ACGTGTCGAGTCGGTAGCTCGTAGTCGTCTCGGGCTCTAGCTAGACATAGCAATTAATCTCGGGAGGGCTCGATTAGATATACTAAGTGTAGACAGTTTCGTCTAAAGACGTGCCTCCCGAGTCACTAAAATAGAGGGAAAGCACGAGTATGAATGGACGTCCTAAGGGTGAGAGATGACATAAAGTGTTTTAGCGCCGTACGGTATTGTCCATAAGGTGTTTTTTATAAGGCATTGTCCATAAGGCATTATCATGCTTTGAAATTATTAGACCGGAGAAAAAGGTGGTATAGCTAAACCAGAGACAAGGATCATCACCTTCCGTAGACTCCAAAGCAAAATCGCTAGAAACGCTTAGATGCGAAAACCAATTGAAAACAGCAAAAGAGTGAAAAAGAGGCGTGGTCTTTCTTCCCTCAAACCATAAGTTCGGCTGCCCGAACCCTCCATCCTTCTCCAAATCTCCTCATGCTCCAGATGACTAGAATTCCAGATATCAGACACCAAATCCCAATGACTGTGAAAAGCCATCCATCTCCACACCAGTCAATCAATGGACTAGCAACCAAACTACCCACGCAAGAAAAGATATTCCTCACGAAATTGTTCAGAGCAATACCGTGAGATGCTTTCTTAGGCATGAATTCGGTCAACATTGTAGTAACGACGGCGAAAATAAGCATCGAGCCGATACCGAAGAAGAAGTTGGCGATCATGGGGACGAGCCAGAAAGTGTGGTAGCGAGCGGACCAGCCATACCATATGAGTGCGAGTGGGAACATGAAAGCGCCCAACCATGCATTCTCACGGAGACGATCTTCGGGGCGGTAGATAAGGTGGCCGTGTTCATCATAGCGGTTCGCTTTCTTAGCCTCTCTAGCCATGATTTTGTCGATCCATCTCCCACCCAGCAGGGAAGCTAGGAAATAGCCTAGAGAGTTGGGAATGTACATAAGACCGACGATGATGGTAGAGTAGTTGTAAGGATCCGAATCGAAGGTTTGTTGAACGGAGATGTTAAGGACGTAGAGGGAGCCGAAAGTTATGGAGGCGTAATAGACAACAAGGGCTACGGCTGGAATGCGTAGGTTGAGGATAATGGCAAGAGGGTCAACGAACCAGCGACGGAGGATGGTAATGTAGCGTTTTGACTTGAGGGCTACACTTTGGCGTGTACTTGTTCTGGAGAGGGTTGGTCTTGTGGTGGCGTCCTTTTCTGAGGCTTCAGCTAGGGCAGCAACCGATTTTGTGTCCTTCAAAGTCTCTGGAAGGAAGAATAGAATCAGAAACCAGAGAAGTCCACCATAGATTGTCGTGAACCACATGGTACTCCTCCATCCAAGGCCCTGTGTTAATGCTCCTCCTACAATCGGCGCCAAGAGTGGCCCCATCAAAGGTCCGAGATAGAAATAACTCATCGCATTGCCTCGCTCGTTGACGTCCCAGACGTCGGCGATGGTCCCAGCACCAACAGCTTGTACAGAAGCAGCGGCACCTCCAGAAAGAACACGCATAATGATGAACATAGTGATGTTAACACTGACAGCGCTCAAGATGTTAAAGACCAGGAACAGGAAGAAGGACGCCAGGTAAATAGTCCGTCTGCCGAGCGTCTCGGAGAAGCTAGACCACCAGAGCGGGAAAATAGACATGCTAAGCATGTAGAAAGCGACTGATAGATTAGTGACGGTGGATGTAGAGTTGAATTCGCGCTCGATTTTGGACAGTCCAGGGAGAATAATTGAGCTACCCATCGGTGCTCCAGCACCTGCCATGGCGACCACAAAGGTGATGAACCATTTTGTCCTGCGAGCGTAGTGTTTGGGATTCTCAGCTTCGGCGATGATGGCCACGCGGGCTAGCAGTCCTCTTCTTTGTCCTTTGGGTACGAATATTGGATCGATGTCTTCACTTGTTATGGAAGGCGTGATTTGTTTTTCTAATGATGATGCATCATGCTCGTCGGGGCTTGGGAGTGGGTGAATGCCGTCGGTTTGCGGTAGAGGCGTTGAGATTGACTCGACTTCTGGTTGTTCGGGCACGGAGATTGAGGATATCGAGTGTTTGTCGGAATCCGTCGACTTGACATCTCCATCAGAGTGTTGGTTGTGTGAGCCCATGGCCGAAGCAAGTCGACTTGTGTATCGGCGTTATGACCGCTTTTCTCCGAGTAGACGTTATGGCGGCAGTTTGGCGAGCTCAGAGGTGTTTTCACGCGACTGGACATGCAAGGATGGAGTGGATGGCAGGTCGCCAGAAGGAAAGAGCGACTGAGCCATGATTGTTTGCTTCCTCGAGCTGTCGCCCATAATTAGTCAGGCCGTTTCGGCACGTCAAAATTGAGCGGACCTCACTCAAGATGTTCCTCAAGAACATGCCGAACAGCCGAACGACGTGCAGCGGCCAACTCTATATTATGCCCTAATGTGGTATAGCCTCACTTTGACAAGCCGACTCCCGACCAAGTCTCCTACATGTTCTTCTCCTTCATCAGCTCTTGCTGTACCTAACGTCGAGATTCACATGAGGAGTACGGTTATCAGAACGTAAAAGCTCCACTGGCAGGATGAAACATTTGTGCACATGTTGAGGCAAAGCTTGTTATGTACTTTTCGCAACTCGAATGATGCTGATTAAACAGCAACATCTCCGTGCTTGTGGAAGAAATCAACGAGATCGAAGAACTCCTCTTGTAATGCCTCTCAAACTTGCCACTGGTCCTGTTGACCGTCTAAAGACCATACTGATTTCAAAAGACTCGAACTCGTTGTTGTCGACAAAATTCCACCAATAACATTGACTCCATCCAGATGCATGGACTTTAGCGTCTCTTTCAGGAAGCCTTCATGATACAGCGATCTCTCGAGATCGTAAAGCTGCTCTACAGGCTTCTTCTCCGACTCCATGAAGGGATTGAAGCCGAACTCAGCGATCAGGATCCCGGAAGGCTTGAAAGTGTTCCAAACGTAGCCTAATGGCTGACAAACGTATTGAGGCGTAATGTAAGCATAGTCATTAGATTTCTGACCGATTTGCCATCCGTTTTGTTGGACCTCGGTAAGGTCGGCACATATTGGTCAGAGAGGATCACTGCTATTATTGATGTAGCTCGCGAATCCGCCTGCAGGCTCAGAGGCAAATTGAGAGAGATCAAAAGTCTAGAGATCGACTGTGCCATTAATGTACGGAGTACGAGATCTGATCTGCGGTCAGAGCAGTCAAGTTGAGATTGGGTGTTGCCAGAACTTCAGAAGGACACTGCTGTCCGAGGAACAGAGGATTGGCCATGATACCGAGAATGAAGTCTTGGTAACGTGACGCTGCTGCCAAATCCGAGCTCTTCGTGAGATCACGTGGAACTGCAAGGTTGTTTGCGAATTTGAGGGTGACCTTCCCAGTAACACCGAGGGTTTGTTTGTAACACTTGTGGACGGCCGAGTGTGGCATGAGGATGTTGGCCAAGCCATTGTAAATTTGAAAGCTTTATGGCATATGGCATTCCGATGCTGGGCTCATTGAAGGTAGCCCAACATGGAACGCGTTCGGCTTAACGAGCCATGACTGCTTAGCGTAGTATAGGTAATCCGCGGTTAAGTCCTTGTCCAGGCTGATCGAGGTTGGAGCATCTACCTGGCCGAGAGTAACAATCGACTTATTAAAGGCAAGTCTTGATGAGATCATCATAATGATCTAGAACTTCAATGCTGACTGGGCTGTCCGCGACACCAAAAGGTACGATCTTGACCAAGAACTTGAGAAAGAATAGCATAGCAATGCGATAGCAGCAAGCCTTGCAATGTCTTGCTTTCAGAGATAGTAGTTCATGTCGGCTTCGACAGAACCGTTGCCAGAGTGTGGAGTTGCGGAGAGTTGGAGAAAATGTGGGGATGGAGATTGTGTCAAGAAAAGGAATAGATCTTCTGCGAAGGACACAACCTTCAAATCGCCTGTTCTTGGATCTGAAACGAGATCGTGTTAGTGGTTTAGATATCTCGTTTCCCTGAGAATTTTGTACATCGGTTCGCTTCACCTCTGCATTCATGTTGCAATTTTCAAGTACCTGTAATTACTGCGTTGACGCGTTTCCCAGGCCGAAGCTCTTCTCAGTCCAGCAGTCAACCACGCGATACAGATAATACTCGTATGGAATGTAATCGGCAAAAGTCTTACAAGGCAGAGCGAGTATCTCGACAAAGACTTGAGGCGTCAAGGAACATAAGGCAAGAAATTGTAACCATCGCCATGACACAGTAGCCAAACGTAGATGCGCACGCATGTTGGGACCCCAGTGACGGTCGGAGATATACAAGCATACCTACTCAGTGATAGAGCAGCGATTTGATGGGCTCCCCTGCTGCACTTTGCATCAAGGTGATTTCTATGGTTCACGTTGAAACCAGAAAAACGCCGAGGCAGGAGGCACTGGAAACCAACATGGGCGAAGCAGGTTCCCGATGAGCGATGCAGGATGCAGGCATTAAATAAAAGGCTGGGAAGAAGATTGGTGGAAAGAGCAACAAGAAAAGTGAATCAGGACTTGCGAGAGTGGCACACACACGGTCAGCCACCGAATAATAATTACATGGCCAATGACACGGTGATGGTGAGTTGGCACCAGTAGAAGAGGTTGGGGGAGGGTTCAGCCAACCAGGATTAGGCGATTGTGACGATCAAGTGCGGTGACGAACAGAGAACATTAGGTTGGGTTACATGTGCATCGCATATGAAGCAGTGCAAGCGTGGGCACGAGTTCTGAGGAGTGGAAACAAAGACAGGTGGATTTTTGGAAGAGGCGCAGTAGGACACGAGTAGGCGAGAAGAAGGAGGATTGACAGGGTATGGAAGCAAGAACAAACAGCGACCAATGCTTGAGCGTTGGCAGGGAAGCGTTCAGCGGAAAGAGCGGGCGGGGCGTAGCGCACAAAGTCTACCGAACGGCGAAGTTGTGTCGCGGCGGATCGTGGATGGTCGCTTGGAGGCAGCATCTTGCATCAAGAGTCGACAGATCCTGCCGTTGGTGCAGCCATAATCCTTCGACCTGTTTGTTCACACTTGCACTCGTCCAAGTCAGCACAAAGCAACAAGAGAAATACGTCTTCTTGTCGAGCAGTTGCAGACTCTTGAAACAAGCTCCAGACGGCGCGTCGGGAAGCAGCCGACTATCTAACGGCCCATATCAACATACAACTTGTTTCTCCACAAAAAAGGTGCCGACTTTATCACAAATGCCATGGTTTGTCGCATCGTTTGCTGATTGCCGGTAGATAGCAATCAAGCTCTGTTTCTCGCTGCGAAGCCTCCGTCCTCAGCACATCTTTGACTGTTTGCTCCTTCTGAATCGCCTAGCGGACGCCGGCAGACCTTCATCTAACCGAGTATAGCTGGAGTCCAGGAAACGACGACTTCGTCCTCTCGGATTGGAAGCGTCTCAGATCATCATCATCGTCATTCCACTCGTCGGGCTGCAATGAAAGCCGCATCCTCCATCGCGTAATTTCTTGAGCAGTCGCCGCCGCCATGGGTGTCGAAGCTCATCAACGACCTCCGCTGCCCGCCCCTACCGAACCCACCGACGTCGACGACACCGACGTCGCTACCAACATCTCACGCCGCACCGATCAGACCTCGTACTCGATCCCCGAGGACGGCAGTCCCATCACTATCTCGACACACAAGCTCACATCTAAAGAAGGCCCCCGTCTTCGCCACGGCCGCAACAAATCACAGACCTCGCTGTTGATTGAATACTTCGAAGCCACCAAGGGCGACAAAGCAAAGAACCGCCCCAGCGTGCGCGTCAAAGTCACTCCTTCGGCCCATCGCAAGTCAAAGACAGCCGACTCTGTCCAGATCACGGGCATTGGTCGCGACAAGAAGCCCTCCTACACACGCCGCATCTCTCTTGGCAGCAAGACTTCGGACAAGACAGTGCCAGTCGAGGGCACCGAAGTCAGTCACTCGTCAGAGAGCAACCTTTCTGCCATACCTCCAGTCGAAGTCGAGATCCTGAACAACAGCGACATATCAAGCCTCAAACACGGTCGCGAGTCCCGCGACTTACACTACCTGCCTGCAACGTCCGACGTCTCGTCAATGCCTCCTGATAGTCTCCTTGATCCCTCGCATGTTTCCGCCATGAGCCAGGATCTATCCGAAGACGCAAGCCGTAGCCAAAGCCTCCTCGACCTTCCCGCCCAAGACAGAGCCCGCAGTGCGAGCCATGAGCGCATCAAGCAAAAGGTCATTGAAAAGTTGATGCAACGGCAACGTGGAGAAGCGGTCGAATATGAACCTGAAACGAAACCTACAAAGGAGCGTCGCCGCCGCTCATCACGTTCCACACGTGAAGAGGACCTTGCCAGCGCTGCCGAGTCCTCCATCCTGTCTTCGAACCTGTCTCCCAGCAACCTCTCATATGCTTCTGGTACTACCTCGAAGGTGTCGTTGAACAACCCAAAGCTACTACAGATGGTTGAAGACACCGTCCGTCGCCTCATACTGCCTGAAATCACACAGTTGAAGAACGAACAGCGCCGCTCGTCGCAAGGCTCATACACCGAAGACGAATTGGACCGGCGTCACTCGAAATCAACTTCTTCGCCTTCGATCTCCAGTAAGCCCAAAGTTGTCCTCAACCGCTACGATGATAATCCTGGTGAGGTACTTTCTCGTGGAGACTCTGAGCGTCGCGAGAAGGCTGGTCGCTCTAGCCGTGCAGACTCCGAACGTTCTCATCGTGAACGACGATCCTCTCGTACCTCAACACGGGAAGAATCTGTGCAAAGCAGATCAAGCAAAGACAAGGAGTCTCATCGCATCAAAAACGCTGCTGCTGCAGGCATTGCTGGCGGCGTCCTTACTGCTGCAGCCCTTCGTCACCATGATTCTCAGGATACCGTCAGTCGTGAACGCCGCAAGAAGCGCAAAGCCCGAGGCAGTCGCAGTGACTCCACCAGTTTGGCTGAAACCGAAAGGACTTATCGTAAGGAGGATATTCCACCAATGCCTTGGACTGGCGCCTCGGCTATGAACGACTCGGAAGTAACTCGCCAGTCTATTCTTACTGCATCGACCGAGCGTCCAGAGTCTGCCTCTCTCACAGAACGCCAGACTCCAGTCCGAGAAGTCCGCCGTGGCTCGCTTCGTGGTTCTTTATCCCCAGCATCTACGACCCCTAAAGGCAAAGGAGCACGCTCTCCTCGAGCTCTTGAATCCATTCACAGCCGCACTTCACTGGCAGAAAGACGCCCTGAAAGCGCTCAGAGTGCTCAGAGTGCTCAGTCTATCTCGGCCAAAGCCAAGATCGCCGCACTAGCTGCCGCCGGACTCGGAGGTGCAGAAGCACTGCACCATCATGGCCATCATGATAATGAGGGTGATAGGAGGCAGTCTTCGAGCCCTGCTCAGAGCGTGTCCACCTTCAGAGATAGTCTCAGCGATCCATTGATTCCACATGGTCTGCGACCCCGAAGTAGAGTCTCCGAGCTATCTGCCGGCTTCGAGGAACGTCAGCGGAATGCCATGTCTCCGGTCTCAGCACCACCTTCTCCGAGCGCCCAACAGAAGAGCTTCGATCTTGACAGAGCTCCACAATCGCCCGCACAGACCTACGACGAGGCTGACGAACGTAGCGAGCTCGAAGAATGGTTCCAGCAGGAACATGAGAAGAATGAGGAATATCGCAAATCTCTCGCCGATACAAGCACCATCCCAGAGTCGGCTGATGAGCGCCGCTTGACACAATATACTGATGGCAGCTATCTCTCAAACGAACAGAGCCCGGAGCGTGATGTAAAGGGAGTGGCTGCGACGCCCCAATACAATCAGCCGTACGGCATCGAGTCAGCTGTAGCTTCGTTGATCGACCCTTCTACAATCAGTACCAGTCTCCAGTCGTCTCAAACCAGCCCCAGCAATTTTGAAGATACTCGTTACCGTGAGCAGCTGGACGAGAGCGTACGCGAAGAACTTCGCCATCAGACTCTGGACCATCAGACCAGAGATCCACAGATGCAGCACCCAACCCAAAGTCGATGGAGCGCATTACGCGAGAACGCATTGGCTCTGTCGAGTCGAGGCTCCTCTGCTCAGCCTACAGGCTCTCCAAACCGGAGCGAGACTCTCCACGAGGAACGTAAGCACGTGGGATCACCCCCTGTACGCTTGAGTGCTCATGGCATTCCTGATGCTAATGACCCCATGCCCGAAATTGGACATGGAATTGACTCTGAATCAGACCTGAGTACAAATCCTCCAGAGATCCAGGGCCCTGGTAGAGGCGACGGACGTTTCAATTTCCAACCATCTTTCTCCCAAAGCCCGGAGAGAGAAGCTGTGAGACACGACAGCATTTCGGAGCACAGTTTCTCCATGAACGAAAAGGTCATCGTGGGAGCCGGCATCGCCGCAGGTGCTTTCGCAGCTGATAAAGTACTGGATCAACACCGTTCGGACAAGCATCTTTCAGCGAACCAAGCTGTCGTTGAAGATTATGCCTCTCGTGAGACGACTCCAGATGTTCGTCAGGCTCAAGCTGTCCGCGTGGGGCGTGCAGGTACTGCCTCCCCTCCGGCCCACTTTGGAGACGAGGGATATGCGTCTGCAGCTTACGCTCGTTCCAATGGAGCCTCCACCCCCAGAGGTCATAAGTCACATACCAAAGGACAATTTGAGGACTATGACATTGAAACAACGCGTGAAGATCAATTCATTGGGAAGCACAGCCGTCACCTGAGTGGTAACTCCCATGGCATGTCCTCTCCGCTGTACGACAGTGCCACCGGCAAAGGAATTGACACGATCCAATCGAAGGACGTTGTCGCCTTGATGGACCACCTTACTGTTCGAGACGCGCACCGTAACGCAAGGGATACCGAGATTCTCGTCACACTGGTCCGCAGCGCCGCGGAAATGCGCCACGAATTTGAGGAGATGAAGAGATTCATCGCCGAGCAGGATCGCAAGATTATGGATAACACAGACCGCGATGCCGAATATACTGTCAAGAAAGTGCTTGGTGGGCCCCGACCTCAACCAGCTTCAGTACCTCGAACCACTCACGGCAGTTACAACGAAGAGGATGTTCCCATGAAGCGCAAGAATGTCTTCAAACGTGCACTCAAAGGCTTGAGTAAGAGAGGTTCAAACGATCTTTCTAAAATTGAGGACATGTTGAACCAAATACTCGGAGATGTAGAAGACCTGAAACTTACCCAGGGTGACCGACCACCAATGTCGCTCCGTGGTAGCAGTTTCGACTCATACGAGGACCGGGCACAGTACGGACGTGATTCTGGGTACGAACCTGAAGGACAAGCTGGGACCTCTTCAACACCCAACCACTCCGGTCATCTTTCCAACCAGTCTGCCAACGCATTGCTCCCGTCTCCAAAAGACAATGCGACGTCTCCCCAGGATAGATATTTCCACTCTGGTTACAACGGCCGCAGGGACTCAATCAACCGTGTAAGCACAGTCCTGGAAGAAGAAAGCAACGACGGCAAGTCTTTCTTAGACCAGCACGAAACCCACGTTCTCAACAACCAGTTTGAGAACAACGAGCGTCTTCTGACTCCGACACAAGAGTCCTACAATCGCCGATCCGGCTCTTTTGATTCTGCTGCAAGTCTGCCACAGCAACAGCACAGCCCCTACGACGTTCACGCTGGCGCTGATAGTACTCCGGAAAAGCAGCGCAAACACAAGTCGAACAGCTCATCTCTATTCGGTATTCCCAAGATGTCCCGCTGGTCCAAGACGACGACCTCATCGGCGCCAGAAAATTCGGATGTTTATGGCAAGCGTAGAAGTCAATACACCAACGCCTCTAAGAGTGGCGAGAGCTTGAGATCTGATGGTGCAGGCTACTACCACGATGGATATGCTTTGAAGTCTGATGATCGTCTTCGGTCTACTCAGTCTTTAGTCAAAGACCATCTTGCAATGAAGGAACACATCTCCGACAACAAAAGTGTGCGCAGCGAACTTAGTGAACTCAGTGATATGACACGGACTCCCTCGCCATTGATTCCATCCGAATCAGGATCTCAACTAGACAACATCCCTATCATCCTTCCAGGAGAAGATGAGCTTGATGACTTCGATGACCCCAAATACTCGGCTCATCGCGATTCTTTGCTGCTACAGCACCCTCAGCCTCGACCAGGCCCAACGCATCGCCACCAGACAAATCTTGAGAACGAAGCACGCACATTCAGTGGACCTGAACACTTCGAGACACTGACCAACAGTGACCTTTCTCAGCGCACGGTGGAAAGTGACTTCGATCCTCTCCAGTGGGGGTCCAACCCTTCGCTTTCCTTGGCACGAACCAACAAGCTCAGTGGAATCCCTCCAGGCAAAGACAGTGGACCTCTTGTTCCTGAAAGCAAGCCAAAACCCGCACCTAGAGTTGAAGTTGAGCCACCGAGAGAACAGCGACAGCAGGCACCACAGAAGCCTCGTCAGATGTACTATTCGACCCCGCTGGGTTCGGGACATCTGCTCGAACCTATCGAAGAAGTTCGATACTCCTTGGAAACAGACCGTGGACACGTAAGTCAAGATACTTTACCTGAACGAAACGCCTGACTAACACCATTGTGATCAGCGTTCACCTGAACCGACAGCTAGCCCTCGCGTCACGAGCAAATTCAGCCCAACCCGTAAGATTACTGGGCCTAGACCAATGGGCTCGCGTGCTGCTAGTGGTGCCAACGATGAAGCTCATCAGGAGCAACTGTCTGGCACTGTAAGAAGAAAGCCAGTACCTTCGAGCAAGAGTTATGGTTCGTGATTTTTGTTGTTTTTACTTTTCTCTTCAACTTCACATATTGAAAAAAAGAAATATCATATCGCTGGGGAGTGGGAGGGTATTGATGCTGCACTGTTCTTATAGATGAGACACAACGAGGTGTCTTGAGAACAGGCAACAAGCTCAGACACATGAGTTAGGAAGAAGCGTGGAAGGAGCTGATGCGAGGACAGATTCGTTTGATGATGACAGTGAGATCTTTTAAAAACATGGTAATGCGGAGGAACAACAACACAGAGACGCAGAGGCAACGACTTTTACGACATGAAACAGTCATGCGAGCAATAACACAGGTGCTGGCTAATATCAAGGGGAGGATGAGATGAGATGTAATGATTATACTTTTGCTTCGTCTATTATACCACTGTCCTTCTCGCTGTTGATTTCTTTTACTATTCTCAATCTCCCGTTTCCTTATTCCACTTTCTTCTGACACTCCTGTGCGTGCCTTCTCGGCCCTTCGCTTCGAGCCGTTTCTGCTTGTTCGACCTCCAAACCGAGTCATAGTTTGAAGATTGACCTTTTCGTCATCTCTGACCAGAACATGACTTTCATCATCAGTTGTCCAGATAATGGTTGACTTTTACAACGATGGACTTTGGCTTCTTTTGAGGCATCGTCCTCGGAAGCCTGGGTCGTTCAAACGTGGTCTCACAACTGCAATTGCCTATTTCCGGCATTCCCATGATTAGCCGCTAATTACCATCCAGCCGAGCATGCTTCGAGCGCAGAAGTCTAGTGCCTGGTTTTTGGGAATTCTCATCTCGTCTTTTCTTGCGCTTTCCCCACGATCTAGAAAGTACCTAGAGGATGAAGCTCCGCCACGTGCGGTGCTCCGCGGAGTGTTGAAGCAATCCACCTCTGTTGTGTGGAGGCCGCTGTAGACCCGTGAACACTTAGGCTTTGCCAACGACTCGTGAGTCTTTCTGTCCCGTTACCCTGATTCGAACATACTGACATCTGGGTTCTGCTAGCCGAAGGCGACGGCATGTCCTCTGAGGCTTCAGGTCCAAGCCAAGTAGTTATGGACGCAACAGAGCGAAGGTCGCGTCTTTGCTGCTGGCTAGTGTGTCAGAGACTTAGGGTTATCCTAGGGTTCGCATCGATAGTCGCGATCTGTGCGGACACAATAGACATCTCGCGAAAGATGCGAGTAGCTGATTGTTGTAGGGAAAGCGCAGCCATGGGGGTGCAATCCATCCAAAATTTGGTCGACTGGCTTGCACTTTCCGCTTTGCAGCACCAACGCTGGTGTTTCCAATTCTTTTTTTTCCGAAAGTCTATTTACTGACGTCGAAATCTGCATGGAAGATCGCGTGGCTTGAGTTTAAACAATGAAGATGGTAATTCTTAACGGGAAAACCGTTGAAAGTTTAACGACCCTACCGCCGGTCCTAAATGACTCTGAAACAAGAGATCTGTCATACGCCAACGGAGTCTCGATGCTGAAGATCTTCTCCATGTGTCCATGCTGAAGAAGATGCGATGAGAGAGGTACGTGTATTGCTATATTAAATGCAGGTCCCCCGTTGAGTCATCATGGTCTCTCTTTCTTACCTTGCGTGCGGACCGGTCGATCATTTTCATACTTGACGATTCAATATACAGGAAGCCATGGAGGGCAAGCAGCTGTCAACTTTTGTCATTGCTCTAGTGAGCTTGATCGTTACGACCATCGTCGTCGTGGTGAGATGTGGTGTTCGTAGGTCCATCAGAGGCTTCGGTCTTGATGATTACTCCATGGCAATTGGTCAGGTATGTTTTTCTTCTCTATCGGCATTTGTCTACCATCAATGTATACTCATTCAATAACAGGTCTTGTTCTTCGGCACCTGTGTGTCCGTCATGTGGGGTTGCGAACAAGGAATCGGTGTGAGAGACGCGAACCTCACACCAGAGCAAAATGTCAACGCTAGACATTCGGTCGTCATCTTCCAATGCTTCTACCTCATCTCTCTCATCTTCGTCAAAAGCAGCATTTGCTTTGCCTTGCTCCGCATCACAACCAGCAGGGTCATCCGCCAATTCCTTTACTTCATCATTTTCCTCTCCTTCTGCTGTGGCTTTGTCACTGCCGTTGCCTGTCTGGCTATCTGCGTCCCCGTCTCGGCTTCCTGGACTGGTATCGGCAAGTGTGCCCCACCCAGCGTACTCAAGTGCGTTGCCGTTTACACCACTGTATCATCATGCATCACGGACTTCTCCTGCTCCATCCTTCCCTTTGTCATTCTCTGGAACCTTCAAATGGACAAGAAGCTCAAATTCACCCTGGCCGCTATCCTGAGTCTTGGTTTCCTGTAAGTCAAATCACCAGAGAAATCACTTTTTTCTTCAGTCACTAATATGATACACAAATAGTGCAAGTGCAGCTACCGTTGTTCGCGCCTTCTACTTCAACCGCTTCCTTGCACCCGTCGATTACGTCTGGGGCTTCTCGGACCTGATGGTCTGGTCCATCATCGAAGACCTCATCGCCATCACTATCGGCAGTGTTCCCAGCTTAAAGCCCCTCTTCGTCCGCTTCAAGTGGATGGCATCCATGTCTTCCCACCGTCGCACCGGAAAGAAGACTGGCGACTACCAGAACTGCGAATCCTACAACATGCACTCTCAGAGCAGAAGCAAGAACCAGACCAGAGTCATCACCACCGTTGCTGAGGAAAGCGACAGCATGAAGGACTTGGTCAGAGAGGAGGGCATTGTCATCAGTCAGGAATTCAGACACGAGGAGGAGTATGAGTACCATGACAGAAAGCCCATTACGTCGGTTTAGAAAGTCATATGTTTCGATGGCACTTTTTTGGATGTAGGAATTACAGGACTAGATCAAAAGCATTCACGACATTTACGTTATGATCTACCCATGTGCGAAATTGTGTCATTTATACCATCCACCGACGTTGTGATACCATAGATAAAGATGCTGTCTCCGATAGCCGTAAGGAAACCTGGTGAGCACGGTTATAAATAATCACTTGAGAAAAAGAAAGATGTTTGGGTGATGAACACAAAAGTTGCGTTTCTATAAAGCTCACAGGATTTCGTCGTGGTTGTTGTCTTCGACGTGGTGGTTACCAAAGCGGCCATTGCCCTTGTTGCCACGCTGATTGCCGCCTTGGTTATTTCCTTGCTGCTTGTTTCCACCCTGTTTGTCACCACCCTGATAGTCTCCTCGACCTCCTCTGTCGCCCTGTCCTCCCCGACCCCTACCTCGACCTCTACCTCGACTTCTATCACCTCGGCCGCCTCTGTTGCCTCGATCGTTGGTGTTCTGACTGTTTGAGTCGTTGCGATTGTTGGTTTGATTGTTTCCTCCCTGGAAATATCCACTTTGATCGTTTCCATTCTGACCTTCACCATTATTGCCATTCGTGTTGGAAACTTGACCATTCTGGTTATTACCATACTGTTCGTTGGTGTTGTAGCCATCGGCATCGGGGATCCTGGTGTCGAGTTCGGGCCCATTGAATCCTGTCTGGCTAGTGTTGTAGCCACCGGCTCTGCGATCATTGTCATTTTGGTTGTTCGAATAGTTTTGATCGGTTCTGTAACGTTTGTTGGCCTGTTGGGTTTCGTAATCAGCTGAGTAGGCTCCTCCACCGCCACCTCCGTTGAAAAGACCGCCTTGAGGAACGTTGATTGGCGATGGGGGGAAACCGGTAGCCATCTTTTTGGCAAACGGAGTGTCGAGGTGCATGGGCGAACCGAATGAGGGGCTAATAGCAGCCGTGGAAACGTGACCCAAATTTGATATCACATACTGTTTGACCTTGACCGCCTTCGTCGTCAGGGCGAGCTTTTCTTCTTCCTCCTTCAGAATTCGCTGTTGTTCGGCCAAAGCCGCGCGAGTCTTTTCCAGTTCCAAACTAGCTTCAAGCTCGACCTCGCTGTCGTCTGTACTAAGGCCAGCGTTCAGCTTGGTAAATTGAAGGAATATAGGATTGGAGTGGGCTTGCTTAAGCAAGTGGAGGGTAGTCGTATCCGCCTCTTGAGTGCGGGAGCGAGTCCACTTGAACGCCGGGTAAGCATGCTGACAGTTGCATGCCAGAAAGACAGCATGTTCTGGCTGATGATGGTCATATTCTTTGCGTGAGTTAGTCGTGACTGTTTCGAAATCTGGTGTTATAATTTCAACACTTCCAGCGCAATTCTCATGGGCGCAGTGAATACTGAAACCCGCTGTAAGACGGTGCAGAGCGTATCTGATACCAAAGAACCAGACGTTATTGTTCAGGTGAAACATCTGCATCGACTTGATGGTTCCAGACATGTCTGTGTTCCACAGAACGCTGTCGTCACCTGGTCTCCAGTTCATGACCTGATTAGTGATAGGACAGAGATCATCCGAGGTGACGGGGACTGTCTCAAGGATTTCCTTCTGCGTGGTAGCGTCCACAAGACTGCTTATGAAAGTACTGCATGCTCTCTTGGTCTCCTCAATTGCCTCTCTCTTTCTCTTCAGACTTTGAATCGCGCTCTTTTCGATCGATTTTGTGTCATTCTTTTCGTTCTCTGGTTTCGATAGAGATACAGAAGCGGACTCTATGATTCTGCGTATTTGAGGATTTTCGGCGCGCAAACAATTCTTGAAAGAGTGACCCTTTTGATGACAGAGAAAGCATTGCAAATGTGGTTGGGGATTGCAACAGACATAGCTGGTATGGCCTTTGTACCCACATCTGCCGCAGAAATTATCACTGACATCTGGTAGGCACTCAACCTCAACCTGACGGGCAACATTGGGGCAGCCGAGGGTGCTATGAGCAAGAAAATTGCACCATCTGCACCACAGAGCCTCGAGTTCCGGGGGACCGAGTTGGAAAGGGGTATTCATCAAGAACCCATTTTGATGACCGTCATAGGTGTTGATCTTCTGGTTCTGGTTATGGTACTGATTCTGATACTGATTCTGATACTGATTCTGATGCTGATTCTGATGCTGATTCTGCTGCTGGTTCTGCTGCTGATTGTGTTGTTGATTCTGGTTTTTGTTCGGACAGTTATTCCAGATGTGACCAGGGGTTTTGCAGTGTTGGCAATATTGTGAGCTATTGTAGTTGTTCTTGTTGTTATTGTTATTGTTATTGTTGTTGTTGTTGTTGTTATTATTGTTGTTTCTATTGTTGTTCGGATTTTTATTGCAGCTATTCCAGTCATGACCAGGTATATTGCAACTAGTACAATATTTCGAGTTATTGTTCCAGTTGTTACCGTTCTGGTTTCCGTTCTTTTTCTTCCCCATTGCGTGTGATTTGATCTGGCAACGATGCACAGAAGATTGATTTATGTGGCTGGGATGTGTATCGTTGCTTGATTTTGAAGCGAAAGAATCTGCCAGCAGACTCACGAGAATGAGACGATGGCGATTGGTTTGACAAGTGGGTGAAAATTAATCACGATAAATTCTGCGCGATGTCGTCAATATATAAGTGTCGAAGATGCGGCCCTCAGGTGGACAAAGGGACGTCGAGATCATTTCGTGCCAAACAAAGAACGTCGTCCTTCAAAAGAGAAACGAAAATCAGAGGCCGCATCCAGCATGATGAGCAAGGAAGTCTTTGTCCTCGTCCAGGACGTCTGCCACTCATGGCGCCGAGCATATGCTCCATCGCAAAGAAATCAATACTGCCATCGATAGGACGGAGGTTAGAGAAGCACGATCATCCTTCAAGTAGTCCAATCACCCAAAACTCCAGCCATCCACCCACTCATACCATCATAGCCCACGCCATCCTTATCAGTTGACGGACAGCCCTCTAGTCATCCGATCAACCCCTTTACATCATCCAGCCCACAAGGCCCAGCATGCAACACAGTATGCACGGGCACCTTATTACCCTCCACAGGAAACTGCGCAATCAAGGTCGTCTCCGAACCAGGAAAATCAGTAACATGCCCCGAGATGGAAACATTTCTTTCGTCGATAACAAGCAGTAAACTCAAAGGACCAGGTTGAATGTATATTTCATCCTTACTCGAAGGAAGAGAGATGTGCACTAGGCCTTGAAGAATCATCGAATACCTGCTTCTACGTCAGTGAAAGCGGGTGGGAAAGGCAGAGGGGAGAAAGTACTGAATTGATTTCGGCCATGCGGCACCGATGTAGGTGTGTGGGGGTATTGCGCCGATGAAGGCGTTTGTGAAGTTGCCGAGGGGGTAGTTGGAAGCTCCGGCGCCTGTGGTCGGGGATTGGAGCGACCAGCATTCGAGGATGGAAGAGCCGTTTTGGACTGCTATGGTGGAGACATTGAGGCTTTGGGCAAGGGTTTGGGTGAGGAGGGCTAGGAGGGAGGTGAAGAGGAGAAGGTATAGCATTGTTTCGCGCTTCTGATGGGTGTACAGTTGGTAGAAAAGGAAAAACAGCAGAGAAGGGGAAAACTGTGACGGAGAGAGGTGTTTTATATTGTCCCTACCTCGTATGGTGCTATAATCCGTAGTCCGAAGGAGTCCAAGGGGTCAGGTATGCAGAGTCGATCTACAGCCAATGTCCGGCACTATCGATGCAGCTGCAGCTTACTCGGAGAATTTCTGTGTTACTTTCGATTCTTGCTGGAGTCACAACAGTCTTGTGCAGCCATGGGAAAGACAGACCGAACTTTCAGTCCAGCAAAAGAGTTGGTGAAGACGATGGTGAGACATGCAGCTCTCTGACAAGAAGATTTCGATGGTCCAAGCAGCGGTATTCTTGGCATTTTTCACATGCAGATTGTCAGCAAAACGAGATCTTCCAAGCGAGCAACATCAACATGCCACACTCGTCACGTAGACCACGCAAACCGTATCATCCAAAGCGCATCATCTCCGAATCAGAAGATGGATGGTCTAGAGTCGAGCGTACAGCACCTACGAGACACGGCAGCACGCCGCTGATTCAAGAAACTCTACCACCAGTCGACAGGTCGCTTACGGTGCAAAAACTATCGGAGGAACATAAGAGATGCAAACAACAATGGGTGGAGAGCGATACACGTCAATGGCTCCAACAGCTATTGGCGATGCAGATGCCAGAAGGTGGATGGCCTTTGAACAAGGCCCTCTGCGTCGCATTGGGCAGCCCGAGTCTGTCATGGGCGAACAGACTGAGGAGTGTCTGGCAGCTTGTCATGTTCATGGATATGGTGGAAACTGTGCAGACAAAGCTCAACCACGCCAATGAGCTCAAGCTATACGCACAAGAGCCGCGCTTTACACAGCTCGACAAAGACTTCCTCGAGTCCTTGACTGTCGCTGTACTAGAGCAGCCTGGGGCAGAACAGCTGGTAGATGAGTCCAGTCTCATCTTCATACCTTGCCTAGAGTGGGTCCTCGAGCTCCCCTTCATGTTGGTCGCCGCAAAGTCACCTCTCTACGTTAGCTCGTCGATGCATTGGGTCGCTGAAGAGGCTGAACGCGCTCGTCACCGACTCAACAACAACCCTGAAGGTTCCAATCGCTTGCAGAAAGACTGCGACGATGCCCTGGCCGCATCAAAAGCCGTTCTCGACACCCATCACGAAAACAAGATGCCCGAAGCCGATTTTGCCGACGGTCACAGTCTCGCCATGACCATCTACACTTTGAAGCACGAAGATGATGATTGAAAGATACATATATACATTAAGGCATGATATCTACTTGATATCCTTGCTCTGGACGACAGTGCCGAAGGCATCGGCAATCTCGTTCAGAGCAGTTTTGGTCAGCTCCTCGGCCTCGACACCAGGGATCGATCTGTCGCCAATCGCATCCTCGACGCAAACGACGTCGTAACCAAGCTCGGCTCCCTGTCTGGCCGTTGTCGAAACACAGACATGTGCCTGCGTCATATATCAGCAAAGCGTTCAAAGAGTAGGGAAGTTACATCCAAACATACCATGTATCCGGTCAAGACGATCTTGCCACCACCAAGGTGCTTGTGGAGATCGGTGCCAGCAAAAGAGCTTGGGTAGTTCTTGTGGATAACCTTCTCTCCGTCCTTAGGTGCGAGCTCGTCGAACTCTTCGGCGAGCTTGGTGCCGGGTGTGAAGACGGGTGCGCCATCGGGTGTGTCGTGGACAACGTGGACAATCTTTCCATTGCCCTCGCGGTACTTTTCAAGTAGCGAGGCAATGACCTTGCGAGAAGATGCTGTGTTGGAGCACTTCAATTTGCCTTCTGCGTATTCGTTTTGAGCGTCGATGATGATGAGAGTGCTGTCGGCAACGCTGGCAGTCGATGGCTGCATGCCGATGAGCTGGCGAAAGGAGGTCGCGGAAGACATGATTGACGGTGGTGTTGGAGGTATTCTGCAGGGGAGGTTGTTTCTGGTTGTCAGTGGACTTCTTGCTTCTCCTCTATATAGCTGTCTCTACGAATGTTCGAGCCTCAAGTCCATCTGTAAGCACCTTGCGGATGATGTCTCCATGCGGTTAGTATCGCGGGGTAGCCAGGCGGGGTCTTGACCAACTCTTCGGACTCACCCCAAGACACCTCGGACCCGCCCCTTGGGAAGCTCTCTTTGCTCATGTGACGAGCAAACACCAGCGCATCTATCGAGTCGTTCATCATGGAAAGCGCTTGGGTCAAGGACTCAAGGAGATACTCGAGGGTGCTAACAACGCTGTCTGCCGAGAAACGAGTCAATGCTTTGCTTTCCCCCTCGTTTCCCCCAAGACTGCCCCAAACTTTGTTCAACCGACCATAACCTATCTTTTTCTCAGCTTCCTGATCTTCCTTGAAGAACAATGATATCCTATACAGAGACAGGAAAGTCTTGAGCCGCGAGAAGGCGCACAGGCTTGAGAGTATACATGTATAAGCTTATCTCCATGGTGAGACGGGCTCTTATCGTGTATACCAAGAAGGGTTTGTGCGGGAGATACCAAGTCGCCGCTGGAGATGTTCTTCTTCGCATCGTCGCAGGAAAAGTGGTCTTTTGTGACGGATCCGCTTGGCGGATATTGGCAGCTTGACTGTTCAAGTCTTGCGACATCAAGATGACCAACCGAATTGACACTCGACGAGTTTGATATGGCATCTCCATTGATACCGTATAGCATGCGTAAACCTATCAAAATCGTCTCCAGCACAAGCACGCGATTCATGTTATTGACATCAGACGTCTAAACTGATAAGAGGACAGTCGACTCCACCAAAGCCAAGTATTCTAGTGTGCTTCCTGCACACCCTATCAGTCCAACATTCTTCTCGAAAAGGCGAAACGATCCTCGACTTGAGGATCTTTACTATAAACATGACTTACGCCGCTCGTGGCCGCCGCATCCAAGGACAACGGACCGAAACATGACCTTTGCTGCGCTTACGCTTGCCTAGTCGTTGGACTCTCTGGGCTTATCTCTTGGCCTGCGTACTTGCTCTGGCAGACGATCTCTGTGTCCGTAGTCATTGGAGATGGTTAAATCTACTGGACGTCCTGCTAAGATGTGGGCTTCCCATACACGCTCTGATCAGCTTACTTGACTTGTTACATTATTGGACCCGATCAGTTGCTCGAGTGTACTACCCAACGTTCTGCTCTGAAGTGGCATTGAGCACGAGAATCACTATTCACTTTTCTGGCTAGTTCAAACGAATCTTCTTCATGTCGTCTGACAAGCTCTCACGGGCCGAGTCGCGAGGAAAGACACCCTTCGACGTCGACCACGAAAAGGGCGATGGTATCTACCATACAACATCAGGTCCTGTACAAGGCGATGTCTTTGACGAGTCTTATGGAACAACACATCGTGGTCTTAAATCACGACATGCTCAGATGATTGCTCTGGGTGGAACTATCGGCACTGGACTGTTCGTCGGAAGTGGTCAGACACTTGCCAGAGGAGGTCCGGCATTCATTTTAGGGACGTTCATTTTCATGGCTGCACTCATCTGGATGATAGTTACCGGTAAGTCTCCATACCTCATTCTTCAGGAAAGTTCTCTGACTTCTTTAGCCATTACTGAGATGTCGGCGTACCTGCCAACACGTGGTAGCAGTATGACTATGTTCTCAGATCGATTTGTGTCTTCCAGTTTCGGCTTCGCTCTTGGATGGCTGTACTGGTAAGTCTGGCGGTCACCTACTTGACGTCGGATTCTTGCTAAAATCATCAGGTACTCTCTCGGAATCTTAGTGCCGTACGAAATCACTGCTGCAGGTCTGGTCATCGAGTACTGGGGATCCACCATCAACATCGCTGTTTGGATTTCAATCATGCTGGTCCTCATTGTGGCCTTGAATCTACTTCCTGTAAAGTTCTACGGCGAAGTGGAGTTCTGGTTCGCTGGAACCAAGGTCATCATGATGATCGGCCTCCTGATACTCAGCTTCGTTCTCTTCTGGGGAGGAGGACCTTCGCACGACAGACTTGGCTTCCGCTATTGGCAAAATCCTGGCGCCGCGAATGTCTATCTTGCCGGGGGAAACACCGGACGATTCATCGCATTACTCTCGACCTGGGTGCTCAGCGCGTTCCCCTTCGCGTTCGCCCCTGAACTCTTGGTTGCTACTGGTGGTGAGATCGAGGACCCTCGCCGTAATCTTCCAATCGCTGCTAGGAGATATTTCTATCGTCTGATCTTCTTTTACATCTTTTCAGTCCTTGCTATCGGTGTCATCTGCCGCTCAGACGACTCGCAATTGACCAACGGCGGTGTTGGAGCTGGTTCTAGTGCTTTCGTCATTGGTATCAAGAACGCTGGCATCCCCATCCTCGACTCAATCATAAATGGCGGAATCATCTTATCAGCGTGGTCTTCGGGTAATTCATTCCTCTATCTATCTGGCAGAAGTCTGTATACTCTTGCTCTGGCTGGCAACGCTCCTGCTTGGTTCAAGCATTGCAGCAAGAATGGCGTGCCTTACCGCGCTATGGGTGTATCTTCCCTCTTCTCACTCCTGGCCTATCTCAACGTCGCGAACTCTGCTAGTGTTGTGTTCAACTGGCTTGTGAATTTAACCAACACCTCAGCATTCATCTCTTGGATCTGCTGCTGCGTTACCTATATTCGCTTCCGCAAAGCTATTGCCGCCCAAAACATCCCTGAAAGCGAGCTTCCATACAGGAACAACATCATGCAACCTTGGGGCGCTTGGTTTGCAATGATCTTCTTCACAATCCTTACGCTCATTAATGGCTTCACCGTCTTCTGGCCGCAGAACTGGTCCATCGCAAGTTTCTTCACAGCATATGTCGGCATTCCTATTCCAATCATCATCTTCGTGGTTCACAAGGTCTTCTGGGCACGCAATGAGCCTTGGGCTCGTCCACCAATGACCGTTGATCTTGTCAGCGGTCTGGACGAGGTGTTACTCCAGGACAAGCCCAAAAAGCCATACACCAAGTGGTACCACTACATCAAAGTCTTGTGGGAATAGATTTGGGCGAGAAGGTTTGATACGTGGTTGAGATGTGGTAAGACTGAGTTTGAGGTGTGTGCGATCTGATGTCGTGGAAAACTTGACCTGAGCGGCATCGGCTCCCGCGGAGTGAATACCTTATCTTCAAGACAGCGCCAAAAGTTCATACACGCAAGTGACAACTTCTGAGAAACAGCATCGACTATGGGTTATCAGATCTCTCCTGCTACGACTATGTCAAAGGCAACTGGAAATACATGCTTCTAAATATCTTGATTTCCGTGTCCGGATAACATCTGGTCTTCGAAAAGCCGAAGTTCTTCACAACTTCGGAAAACTTTTACGCAGGTTGTCAACGTCTTGGATTTGATGGTAAATCAAGGCCAAAACCGAAAGCAGAGAACAAAGCGCGCCTCCTTAGAAATTGTGAAAGGCAAGGACGACGCTGAGACCGTACATTCCTCGCCCCGTCCGTTTTCCCACGAGATCGATTTATCACTCTCCGCACCCGTCGCATGTATCGTGCTTGGCTCTTTGTTCCCAGTTATTGCTTATTCCGGTCACCATGTTGAATTCGAGGTTTTTGAACGATCGAACAAAGCATCGTTCATTCTTCGACACATTCCTTGATAAGGGGTTACAATGGCTTTGACTGCTTGCAGACATGTTGCACTCAGTCATTCACCCTCATTAAAGTTCCAATGGATTGCTCCGCGATGATGGCGGTACCTGCGATTATCATACCTCTTTGGAATATTCTGATCACTGGTCGGCCACGGCACTTGCGATTCTCACACTCTAAGACACCTAGGAACTCGACTACAACTTTACGAGATGTCTCAACATACTGGGATACCCCCGAACAAGCCCAACAATCCATATCCAATATCTGACAATCCCTCATTGACTACCGTTGGAATTATCAGGGACACGTGGGACGAATATATGCAGGATTTCCTGGATCTCCATCCAGGATTCAGTATCGAGAGATATACTGCTGACGGTCGACCAATGAACGGTGTGCTTCACACCATATGGAATGAGATACGACAGGTGCATGAGCACATCATGGGCCGGCACCCTCCCAATACTGAGGTTGCGAGATATCGAGAAGAACTACGAGACATAGTGAGAAGGGCAGGGGACGTCAAAAACGCTGTGTGCATGGGCTTGGGAAGAATAACTCAACGCGGGAACTCCGAGCTCAAACACGAATTTGTTCAACAATGTGGCGTGTTTTTCGCCATGTGCCAGATGATTGAAGAAAAACAAGGCATGCCGCTCAACTCTTTGCCAAAAATCTTCCAAGATCCAGATTTCCAGATTGAGGAGCGCTATGTTCTCGACACAATAGGCAGACAAACAATTGTCTGGCCTCCAGAGGCTAACGATAGCATGACTGAGCACACATTCGTCTACGCCCCTCACTTCCCAATGGATGTTATATTGGACACAATTCTTAGACCAGGCTCCCAACCAGAGATCTTGTTATGTGGCACTTTTGGCGCAGAATTGAATGCGTCCGGCTCACCACTCGCTAGACACTATATCGAACAAGTGTATTTGACGGGCAATACAGCCCTAGACCCCAGGACTATCTGGATGTACGATCTGTTATCGCGGTTCTTACAATCTCACCATGTATTCGAGTTCGACGGCATTTACTCGCAGGAAAACAAACTGAAAAAGGTCTTGCGGCATGCCTTTTTTGGAGCCTCAATCTATGTACGAAAGAGTGGTGAAGCAGGTCTTTAGTGGCATTCAAAACTATCATCAGCTGGTAGCTGGAGTCCTTCCCATCCGGACCCAAGCCTCAGATTTTGACGCTAAAACTAATCTTACAATGCCCACGGCAAGACTAATGAGTTGCTAAGTATCACGAAAGATCAGGCGATAACAGTTTGGATATGTTTTTTTGTGTTGATTCTCGCTCGTTTTATATTTTACGCAGTAAAGGGGCGGATGGCTGCTTGAAACTTGTGATCTAAGATCTATAGGAAGCAAATGAAGTTACTCTACACGGAATGTCTTGCGCGCTCTTCTTTGTTTTTGGGACACCACAGGAACTGGCATACGTTCCAAATATGCGCACGATTGTTGATAAGAGGAATCAATGCATCATGAGGCACAGCTGTTTGGCAGGTTTGAAGGAGTAGCCGATCACGTCGAGCAAAGAACGCTCCATCATCACCTGCCGAAGCAGGCTCTATGGCTTCACAACACCTTCAAAATCCCGACCGCGTTATCCCTCCTCTTCGCTTGAACCTTTGTCCAACATTTTCAGAAAAAAGGAAAGCAAAGAAAAAACATGCCATTATCCGCATCCGGCGACTTAGCTCAAGATGGAGTCAGCCAAGGTTCACGAAACAAAGACAGAACAAAAAAAAAGACCGGCCTCCAGGTGACTGATCGCTTTCAGCGTGGTGGGGCGACGACGACATTTATGACAAGGCGATGCGACATTTAGTGTAGCAATTAGTATACTCACGACTGTCGAAGCACCGAAGACTGAAGTCAATTACCAGTCCTATCTTCCAAGATGACCGTCCCTCCTGAACGACCTTCAAATCCATTTCCTGAATCAGGTGAAGCGCCAGATTACGCTGCGAACGTACCCGAGGACGTCTTTGAAGGATGCCTCGAGAACTTCCACTTCAATCATCCTGGCTTCGATTCGAAAAACTGAGCTGAGGATTGCGAGCCCATGGACGGCTATCTACTCAATGTCGGTCTGAAGGTAGTCGACGTCGTCAAACAGATCCTGGAAGCCGGACCTGAATTGTGGTACTACGTCCCACGACTTCGCAAGCTCCTGGTTGGAACCAAGAATATCAATAATGCTGTGTGTCTAGGCCTCGGCGGCGGCTTCATTCAACTCCAAGAACAAGGCGACGAGGAAACATTCATATGGCAGTATGCACTATTCGATGTGTTCTGCCAGATCATCGAGAAGAAACAAAAGATGGAGTCAGGCAGTCTTCCTCGCTACTTCCAAGACCCAGCTTTCGAGGTAGAGGAAGAGCACATCTTACAAAACGTTCTTGGTGAAAAAGTCATCCAACATCCAGAAGCCACAGAGCTTATTGATGAATATTCTTTCGTCTTTGGTATTCACATACCTTGGAGTAGTCTGGCGAACATCTTTTTCACGGGACGACCACATCCTCAGATCTTCGTTGGAAATTCGATCGAAATTGGAATGAGTGGTATAGCTTGTGCAATTGCGGACAACTATATCAGACAAGTTTATTTGGATCACGAAACAACACCCGGAGAAGACATAATAGAGCTGCGTCGTCAAGCTGAGCTCTTCGTCAATAGCCATTCGTGCACATACCTCTCAGAAGGTGTTGACGAGGATGCTGATGATCAACATTTTGGCAGTACGTATGTTTATGGGAGAAAGCGACCTCAGAGTTGAATAAAATTGGACACAACTTCTTCAAATTTTTCTAGCACAGCATAAAAATGGGCGTTAATATTGCAGCTCTCCGACTGAGCTATCATGACAAGAAAAAGACAATGATGGAAGTCCGGAAACGGTGATGAAAGAAGAGCCTCCCTACCATTTGCGGTATCACCTAACATGTCTCTCGACGGATGCGGTCGTTCTGCATGATCTTATGATGGACAAGTGTCCAGATTTGAAGTGCAAGGTAAGCTCAGAACGTCCTTTTCAGCATACTCAGACTGGAACAATTTGGAGCCATTCAATCCGATCTATACTTTAAGTACTATTCGCGTCTCAAGAGCTTATCAATACAGCTACTCCGACACCACAATGGCAGAAGTACCAGAACGGCGCAGTTCTATTACGTCAGAAGAGCTCAATCAGAACGTCACGAACCCGCTTCCTAAACAGACTGACAGTATTGAGGCGTTCATCGACGAGGGGGACTGGAAGGAAGCGCACCAAGAGTTCCTGAAAGACAATCCAGGTTTCAGGCTCAAAAATTATGATTCCCAAGGGCGTCCAGATCATGGCCGCTTCCATGAGATGTGGGACGACGTTCAGCAAATCGTGACAGAGATCAAGACCTTCACCGGCCGAAACAGACATGTGTTTAGAACATTCCTGCAAAAAATCGTGGAAGGGACTGATCACATAGATTCAGCAGTGTGTCTAGCACTGGGCTACTACACTCACTCGGCCTCTGCGCGAAGAGAGGTTTTTAAACATTAACTGGCCATGTTTCTCGTGTTTCACCAGATGCTTAAGCAAAAGCAACAGGAGCATATACCTATGGTTTTCCAGGACCCTACCTTCGATGTGGAGGAAGAGTACTTGTTTATCAACATGCTCCGTGCTAAAGTTGTTCAACACCCCGCCTGTCTGGAGCACATAACAAAGTCGTCCTTCGTTTTCGCTATTCATTTGCCGTTAGGGGCACTCGCAGACACGGTCGTCGAGAAACTGCCGGCACTTTATATTGGTAACACGGTGGATTACGGATGCGGTACTAGCTACGCACTCGCAGAGAGGTATATCCGCCACTGGTATCTGGCCAACGACCCCTAGATGACTCCGGAACTGGGGAGAGTGGTGGAACAAACAAACCGCTTCGTTGACTCCTACAAGATTGACATATTCAATCCGGCGCATGACGATTGCTATCCAAAAGACGATGTTAGGTACTTCAAAGAGATATTCGTTCATCGTCTGAAGAGGGACCCGAGCACCTGAAGGATCAAAGACCACTTTCGTCTCGGAGCACAAACGCTGCATCAGAACCTTCTGACCCAGGACCGAGAGACAACCCATAATGATGGCCACTGAGGGCGTCCCTCGAGGTCTTGGGCACAGAGGAGCACTACTACCGCGCCCGTGGACATTGGACAACGCAGCACCTCTAGAGATTACTCTTGTTACTCAGAATCTCAACTTTGCCCAGGATATCAACCGTTGACACGGTACCAACAGGTAAACCCCGAGGGTACCCAAAAGTGCCTCCCATCATGAGTCAGGGTTGGGCTTCGCAAGGGCAGGGCCGCCTAGGCTTTACTCGGGATAGAAATGAATAAGGGATAAGATACAGAGGAGATGAGAGCAGCACAACTATTTAGACATTTTGACACAAATCGCTTGATGACTTTGAAATCTGAAAACCTCTTCCCGCTTCATCTTGTTCAATTCAGAAATCTTCGCTCGTTTCGCTTGAAAAGCCAAACAGTCAATCGTTCCAGGCTCTCTCGCCAGAATCCGGTAGGACAAAGGAACAATCAGGTTCCGTAAGCGGCAAAAAGACGGTTCCACCAGTTTGCGATGCGTGAAATGATAAATCGTTTGCGGCATCAAATGATGATACGTTTACGGATGCGGTCATGTTGGATAAAACTTCTCTAGGTATGAAGATTTTAGGGGTCGGTGGGTCGGTTTGTTCTTGAAGCCAGAACATTTATCTTCTCGATCCAGGTTGCGAAAAAGTCGGCTGCTATAACACAAACATGGACTACAAAAGGCCATCTCATTGGGCCAAGCTTCCACTAGCGCCCAGAAACCCCTTTCCACGGGAAACAGCGGATTCGTGGGCTGGGATATATCTCGAAGATTGGAAGAACGCACTCAGTGACTTCCTGGGGAAATACCCAGAATTCAGAGAGGAAGACCATGACGCAGCGGGACGGCCTGGCTACCATTGGCAGTAGAGATCAGTCATGGCGAGGAAGAACGAGATCTTGACCCACACGCAACCAGACAGACAAGAATTCAGAGCCTCCCTCCAATACATCGTGGACAAAACGGATCATGTCGACACAGCTGTCTGTCTAGCTCTAGGAAAATTCGAGAATGTGGAACTCAGCGCAGAAGAGGCCTTGCAGCATCAGCTGGCTATGTTTCTCGTACTGTGCGAAATGCTCGAGATTAAGCAGAACACCAAGATCAAGACCATATTCCAGGATCCACGATTCGAGCCTCCAGAGGAGTACGTTATTACTCTAGCGGGGGGAGAGGTTGTCAAGCATCCTGGTGCATTGGAACATATGACCGAAAACTCGTTCGTCTTCGCGCCTTACCTCGTCTGGCCTGCTTTCCCAGATACCATCATCAAAACACACCCGGCCCTTTACATCGGCAACAAGGTGGAAAGTGGTGGAGGCATGGGCATCCCAATAGCAGAAAGATACGTCCGACAGTTCTATGTGACTGGCAAGCGCGAGATGGGTCCGGATTTGCAGGAGATCATCGACCAAACGAAGAAATTTGCGGACTCTTATGACAAGTATCTGTTCGACACGACGTACGATTCGCTACATACCAAGTATGGGTCTCACTTTCAGAACATGTGGGTCCATCATCCGAAGCGAGAACGACCCGATTCTGATAATGATCCACCTGGTGGCGCAAGCGTTGCACCAGGACCTTCTAATCCAAAGCCGAAAGACGATTCAGACCATGGTCCAAAAGGGGATGGCGGCTCAGGCTTTGATTAGTCGAATCTTCCGCATAGGAATAAAACAGATGCGATACAGGGAAGATGGCAGCCATGATTCAGTGAGAGGAAACAGGTTTGTGTGCGAGTCTTTTTGATGATCAGGTTCCTGTACCTGCAGGTAGCTTGGGCTTTCGGGCAGATGTGACAGCAAAGGTGGAGAATTTTGCATATGATAGTCTACCAGATGAATTTAACATTGTTGGGACAGTCCAGAAAAGGTTAGGGATCCAACCAAGGCTCGGGTATTGCGAGCTGTAACTATGTCCAAGATCACATTGTGATTGTTGGACTCTCAGTCGATGTCTGGCCATGTCCGTGAGAATGATGACGAGGATCGTGGTCAGAGCATCAGGAAGAGCCGGAAGCGTTCATAAGGTCAAAGAAGCTGGGTAGGTCGTTGTTTCCGTTTTCAGCCTCGACAAAGAATTCATTAACCGTGTGGCCGTCGAGACCATAGATGCCCTGGACAACAAAGCCTGCTGGTCCGAGGTCAACCGGTCCGGTCACAACAACAGCTAGTACCGAACAGTCGAGCGACACAACACCTGGCGAGAATGAGCGGATATTCTGACCAACTTAGAGCGACCCCTGGGCCAAACGTCATCAAGGGCGTCCTAGAAGAGTACCTCGGCGAAGACGTCGACAATGACAATTGGAGAGATGCGATCCAAACAGCCACAATACTCATGCCTGAGTTCTTCGGAACACATCTCAATGGGCATCCAGAGCTCCTATTCCTGGCTTCCGAGAAGATACAGACTGTACTCAGAGAGATATACACTGAGCGAGATTGGGAGCCACTGCGCGACCAAGTCAACAACCTAGTCGATAAGATGCAAGGAATCGACACCATGATTTGTCTGAACCTGGGCAACTTCTTCGGCATCATCAACGAGCACGTCCAAAATACCTGGGTGATACAATACGCAATATTCATCTTCATGTGGCAGAAGGTCAACGAAAGAAGAGAGGCAGAGTGCTCAGAGAAAGGATGGAAGTTCGAACCGATCAAGAAATACTTCCAAGACCCTAGTTTTGACATGAGGACCAAGTATTTGCTGCAAGAAATACATCGCGAATCAGATCAATGGCCAAACATCATCCTAGGGCACCACGAGGCTGACCGCATGATTAAGGATAACACTTTCGTGTATGCTGTTCACCTGCCCGCAAGAGCTTCCGTGGACGTATTGAGATTAGGTCCACGCATCGCCGTCACCAACAGCTCTTGGTCCAAAATCGATGGTTGGGAGCGCGGTATGGCGGAAATGTTCATCGAGCAAACACTCCTTACTCAAAACCCAGAGGTATCGGCCCAGTTGCGCCTTTTGGTAGGCGTTCATCAGGATGTGAAGAGGCTGTACGATGAGGAGCCTGTTGCTCCGATTCCGGAGGAAGATCATCGTTTCTTCGCGACATCAATCTATGTGCGCAGAGAAGAGTTGGAGGGTATTAAGTTACCTGTGACTCCCACTCCGCCTGGTGAGCCTGTACGTGTGCCTACACCTTCTTCGAGGACTAAGCTTTGGACGGAAAGGTTGCTGAGGAAGGCACCCCGTTGATGTTGGCAAAGGAAGGATTCTCGTGCGTGGCGGTTGCGAGTTGCTGAGGATCGATGGTGTTCATATTGCCTGACGGGCTACTTGGCGAACGCACAGGCAGACAAACAAGTAGAGTCGCTTCTTTCTAGGTAGTGCCTGCTGTCTCGTTCGTTGCAAGGAGGTGCTCATTCGACCTCGCCGGTGCACGGATTGTGCTGTCATTGTATCAGGGCAAGCCGTGTTCATCGAGTAAAGAAAAGACAAACAAAGAAATGTAGTTCCTTGTCGTCAATATTGGATTCCAGAAGAGCTTCAATAGCTCGAATCGTCAAAGATTCCCTGCCTGTTGGCTTGCTAGCATCGTCTAGCATCCAGAACTAGCAATCATGGCCTTTGAGTTTGCAGTAGCCATTGTAGTAGAGCGGTCTATATAGTGCCAGCTCTAGTCTTCGTATGAGATTAGAGTCTTGCCTATACCAGTATATACCAGGTTATGAGCCCGGGAGGTGCGAAAGTCGGGGCATCGAGAACTGAGTGATGTCGTTCGTGCATCGCTGTGGGAGCAGAAGATCCCGGATCCGGTATGCTCAAAGAAGTCGCAGGCTCTTAAAGAAGTCCGCAGGCGCATCCACAACCACATTACAATCGCCAACCATTGCACATACAACATCTCTACTATAAACGTATCAGAACAATCGCTATCATCGCGACCATGACGGACAAAGGTCCTCAAATATCCAAGGAAGATCTTGACAACCACATTGGCCGAACTGTCAACCAAGACGTGTGGGAGGATGTCCACAAAATTCATGAAAACGAGTTTTGGGACGTCTATATCGCCGGTCATCAAGAGCAGTTGCTCAAAGCCTCCCAAGCTATCGATAACATACTGGAAGACATGGAGAAGCTAGATGCATGGGAAGACTTCCGAAGCGAAGTCAAGATCCTTGTGAGCAAAACCACAGGGATCAAAAGGGCTGTTTGCCTTGCTCTTGGAATTTTCATACATAAGATCAAGGGTGTGGAAGGAATCTGGACTCATCAGTACGCTGCCTTTGCGTATATTTGCCGAGCAATTGACGACAAGCAAAAGCGGGAATCTGACAAATTAGACAGCGCACCATTTAAACCCATAAAAAGATGCTTTCAGGATCCAAAGTTCGACACCCGAACGGAATATCTGTTGACGAAGATTGAGCGGAAACATGATACTGGCGTGAATTTCGTTATGGAACCTCCGGACGCTACAGACATCATCGACGAAGACACATTTTTGTATGCCATTCACATCGAGCCATCGATGTGGAGATATATCTTGAGGAATGATGAGGATGGCCGCTCCCTTTGTCCCCAGGTCATGATCACCAACTGCATCTCTGAAAAATTCGGAGGGCTTGACCGCGACAGAACAGCCGCCGAACAATACCACAAAGACTGCGCCCTGTCAAACCGAGCAACGTTCAGCAAGAGATTGGACGAAATGGAAGCGGCGTTCAAAAGATTGTCGGAGACGCATGCGGAGACAGCGTTTCCCTTGGTCTCTCGAATCGCAAATCTCGACCAACACGTCTTTAACAGAACATCAATTTTCCAGAAGGTTCGTGACATTTCTTCCCAGGAGCAAATTGTAAAGCTGAACGAATCCAGATACCTATTGAGTCAGAACACATTGACGAACCCCAGTCTGCTGAGGGCCCTGTTGCTAAAAAGGCACGATATCTTTGAGGATTCGGTGAATGTCCAGTGAGAGTCGCACTCCGGTGCGCTCTCACTGGACATTTACTGATGATCAGATTACATCGTGCGTTTTGATAACAGCGTTGGGAAGTTCGAGCAGGTACGTGAGAGCCCCTTCAGGTACATACATGCATGCTGACCGAAGATGTCAAGATATAAGCCATGACCAAGGACCTAGGAACGGCAGCGTTGATGAACCATATAGGAGCCTGGCATTGAAGGTGATTTGGATAATATTGTTGAGCATCCCTCCTATGATTTGGCTTTAGATAAGAGAATTGTGCTGGCAATCAATCAGAATTTCCAATAACTCCAGCTAGAGAACATCCAGGAGTGGCATTCCAGTCTGAACGTGAATTTTAGGGACAACGCTGGGCGTTCCCAAACTGCCGGGATGTCCATTGTATGGCCATGAAAGGTACGACGTTTTTGATGTATAGACAACTGCCCATCGAGAGCACGTAACCATAGCTCTCTTTCAACGTGTAAACGGTCATAGAGTTTATTCTGCATTTTGACAAGCGTGCTAGAAGCTCTGCGCGGCAGATGAGATATGGCTGCGGGGCGATTGTTGCAGGCTAATTCTTGTCTTTCGACGAACTAGTAGCCATTCCCAAATCCATTTTGCCTTTTGATCGCCTTGATTGAAGCCTTGCAAGGAAAAAGAGAGAAGTTCCAATACATCCCTCCAGACCGGGTACCAGAAAGTGACGAAGCCAGACCAGAAAAGGCTTCCAAATTTCCAAAGCATAATCAGGTCAAGTCGTCTGCCTGGAGACAAGAGCGGTCTCGTACTGCTGCAGATTGACAGCTCCAGCGGACCATAACATGATGGCTTGTATCTTCGTTCGATTCCTGGACGGAGAAGGGCCGACATAGCCAATGATATTGAGCCAGGCACCGACTTGGAGGTTTTGGTGATCGATGGTGTCTAGTAGTTGACTTATATCGACTTGAGCGATGTGACGATCTTGGGGAGATGGGAAGTTGTGAAAAAGGGAGAGCAGAGCAGTGGACTCATGATATTGATTAACACTTTTTTGTTCAGAATCATGATATTCAGAAAGCAGCTGTTGCAAATGCCTACCACCCCAAAAAACGCACTTTGTCACTTGGACGGTGTGTCGAGAGCTGACTGATGGAACACAAGTGACTCGGCAATGGTGATGAGCTGGCCATTTCGATGATGCGGTATGATATGGCACTGCACGTAGCAAGTGGGTGATGAGTGCTCGAATAAAGAAGGTTCTTGAAGGCCGAGTTCGTTGTTTCCTTGGTTGATTGGATCCTGATTGGTGGCGCGTGATTGGGCGGTTGAACAATCTCCAGGGCTTGGCGGATGGGTGCGTCATGAGCGAGTGGGCGGTGGGAGGCAGCCAGCAAGACAAACACTTCTCCACAACACATTCTCGACCGCCTTAGACGACTGCCGCTACCGACTGCTGTTGCATACCGCCCATCACCTAGAACTCCTCACCGCGCTACTTCCGGTCCCGGCGCGCCCTCTCGCATCCCCTTACTACCCCGCCATCACACGAGCATACGTCCCCCACCTTCTCGCCCGACGATCGCTATAGCCCGCGTCTGTAGCAACAGCTTCGCAATCTTAAACACCTCGGAGCGCCACCACACGTACCATCTTACACCATGTCCGGCTGGGGGTTGGGTGGTTGGTTTGGCGGCAACTCGGCTGCGAAGAAAGATGCCCCCAAGAAGGCCATTCTGCAGCTGAGAAGCACTCTCGAAATGCTGAACAAGCGTGAGAAGCATCTGCAGAACCAGATGGACGAGGAGGACCAGAAGGCCAGGAAGTTCATCAACACAAACAAGACCGGTACGCCCGTCTTAGCCGTAGCCACTCGAACTGCTTTCTAACCAGCTTACAGCCGCCAAGAACGCCCTGCGAAAGAAGAAGCAGCTCGAGACAACTCTGGAACAGACGTCGGCCCAGATCATGAATCTCGAAGGTCAAATCGCCAGCATAGAGACGGCAAACATCAACAAGGAGACTCTCGACGCTCTCGGCAACGCTTCCAAGGCCATGAAGACCATCCACGGCGGCTTGACGATCGACAAGGTTGATGCTACCATGGAAGATCTTGAGGAGCAACACGCTATCAGCAAAGAGATTGCTAGCGCTCTTACTCAAGGCTCTACCGCAAATGCTGTCGACGACGACGAGCTCGAATCAGAGCTCGCCGATTTGCAACAGGAAGAGCTGGACAACACTATGCTCAAGACTGGTACTATGCCTGTACACGACCAAGTCCATCGCATGCCCAGTGTTGCCAACACCGAACGTAAGTACATGGGCCCACTATATTCGCAAATTCGCGATGCTGACAATCTACAGCGAGAGGAAAGGCTCCCGCTCAAGCAGAGGAAGACGACGAGGAAGAAGAGCTTCGGAGACTACAAGCCGAAATGGCCATGTAATCTCCTGTCATTCATCCCTTTCTTCCTACTACATGTTCAGCTGCAAAGACCATACAACTTCGAGGCATACCCTGGTTCTGTTTTGTCGTTTTTCTGGGACGGGCGTTCTGGTGCCACCACTGCGATTTTCTCTCTGATATGGGTTTGCACCGGCTGACATAGCACTTTTCGCGACTACAATTCGATTTAACAACTTTTTCATTCTGTTGTTGCTCCTAATGAGTTCTCTAGAGTTGTATCCATACATGCCATTCTCAACATATTCATGTTCAAGGTATATGTCCAACCTGATATTCTGACAGCTAGTCCCGAGTTCCTTGCACGGGAAAACAGGCTTTCGCAACCACTTCTGTCCTCAAGCGCTTGATCTACGACTGTGTTCGCTTGTATCAACGCAGCGGGTCTGAATAGCGGGTGTGCATGGTCCGTCTATGTGTGGAATACGCATTCAACGTTGTGCAGTCAAGTGTAGGCAGAGCAACATGTGGATTTGCTTCGGGAGTAGCATCCTGCTGGCCTCCAAGCATGATTTTTGCCCTCCGACGTCGTCTGTGACTCCAAGAGGATCAAGCGTTGGATTGCAGATTCGTGCCAATGTCTACGGACGATGTTAGTACTGTTCGCATCTTTATCGTTCCTTTGCTACCAACCTCTCAAAGCAATTCTGCTACTCGGGTGACTCGGCTCCACTGCAATAGCTCTCTTTGTGATGAAGAAGATAAGAAAACAGAAGACATGAGTGAACAGTGAGAAGAAGAACATTGTGTTTTCAGGACGTTGGATTTGGAGGAAAGAGCAGAGGTTGGATCATGCAAACAACAGGTCCTCAGACCGTTCTTACATAGTTGCATGTCCGATGACGATGAACGTTTTGAATTGCCTGTCTGAGATGTCGATTTATCTACAAGTGCTACCTGGAGAAAAAGTAAACTTGACATGGATCTGAGCAGAATCAGTAAGCCGCGTTACGTTGATCCAATCCGCGAAGCCAGAGGTTTGATAAGGCTTCATGCTCGGAGATCTTGTGTAGGCCACATCTCGAGCATTCTGCGATTATCGCATCCGCAAGGCACTCAAACTCGTTGCTACTGTTCGCACTCTACTACCAGTCCAGATCAATTCACCATGTCGTCGATGGCATTTATCGCAAAGGGAAGTTCGTTATACGGAAGCCGCCAACGCCCAATCGCCGACGTCGGTGCGGGCCGCCAACAGAGCAACTCCAGCCGATCAACAACTATCGCCAGTCATCCCGCCGGTGTGTCATCCAGCTTTCTCAATCTATCATGACCATACAGATGGATTTGCAATCAACATGTCCGATCTCAAAGCGACCGGCGGCGGATCAAAGTCGCGGACGGGATGCTCAGAGTGCAAGCGAAAACGTGTGAAATGCGATGAGGGCAAGCCCAGTTGCGGAAGGTGCAAGAGATATCCCGAGCGATGTTCCTATGAATTGAAGTTATCCTGGACGCAAGGACGACCTTTCAAGAAACCGAGGACGAAAGAGCCCTGGCTTACCAACCTTGATGGAGAAGCTGCGACTTCCAAATCCGACCCGCCTCGGCCTGTACCAGTACCTCAAAACGAGCCAGAAACCATTGATCATGTCGTGCCAACTACTTTCGACGAGTCGCAATCATTGAAGAACGCGGACAATGATGTTACACAAGATCTTGACATTGGAAACTCTAACGGTAAGTCTCGCCCTCAGAAACCTCCTCTATCACTGCATCATTTCTCATTCCTCCACAGTGTTAGAAGCTTTTGATGACACTACTGGATTCGACGACTACCAGGACTCATATCTGCTTTCAGAGGATAATGCACTAATAACTGCGGATCTGTTTTCTGAGACAGCTGATATCAATTTCGAGCCTGCTGATGAAACGATCGAACGTGACATTTCCCTTGTTCCATATCAACACTACTCTCCTCCCAGTGAGTCCATTTGCTTGTTCTGTGCAGAACACGTGCTGACCCGTACAAGCTTTGCCACCATCACTGAGCCAATATCCTCTGCTGTGTCCATCCGAGTCTCCTAATGCCTACTTTTTTCTCCATCATTATATCACCCATACCTCGCTTACACTCTTCCCACTCATGGCGCCTGCAATCCATCAAGAGGTCCTGACAGTCGCAGCTCAGACCCCACATCTTCTGTCTGCGGCATTGGCCTTGTCTTGTGACCAGGTACGGCGTCTACGAGGCAACGACTCTATTGAATTACAAAATCGAGCATCCTTTTTCTTACGAAAGGCACTTACTGGCTTACGGAAAGCCATGGCCGATCCCTCTGAGGCTCCCAACTTCTCGACCATCTGCACAGCACTTTTCCTCGGCACTAACGAAGTCATGGCTGGCAACACCGTGGCCATGCGTACACATCTACGAGGCGCAGAGCACCTACTATCCTTGGCGTTGGGCAAAAATAGGCATGAACCTGTCGCACATCTAGACGACAAGAAGTTGTTCTTGATCCGCTGGTTCGCTGTCATGGACATCTTTGCCAGTATCATGAGTCTTGACAAGACCTCTTCATCCGATGGCCAATTTTGGTCGATTGGAGCTCCGAACGCCGGCTCTTCACCACAGTACATCGACGAGTTTGTTGGCTTCTCCCTCGAGTTGATGCCGGTGCTCGCTCGTATAGGTCGTATGGCGCGTTTACAGCGCCGTCGTAAAATTTTAGGACCTTCACTGGACTCTGGCTATGCTGAGATGGCCGACGATCTGGATATGCTGCTAGCAGACAATATTCTGCTTACCGAGCAACAACTTTCGCTTCTGTTTACCCGCGCTTCTTCGCCTTCGCTGTTACATACACAAGATCCTGTGCTCGTGGATGAAGCTGTATACGTACACCAAATGTTCGTACATGCTGCTCTGCTGCATCTTTATCGACGTGTACAAGAGCTACCCGAGTTGGATCCAAAGCCAGCAGTAGCTCTAGCTTCGATGCTGGAGCTTCTTGGAAAGCTGAGACCAGAGTCGCCCGCCAACGTTCTCATTCTCTGGCCTCTGTTCACAGCAGGATGCGAGGCCGAAGATTTGGATCTGAGAAATTATATCGAGACATGCATGAATCGTATCCGAAACTACGGTTGGGGTAATGCAGACGCTGCCATGGGCGCTTTACGGGTATACTGGAACGAGGGCAATGGCGAACGATGGGATGTCTTCCTCGAGCGCAGAGGCTTTGATGTGGTGCTTTTTTAGGGTCTCAATCTTATCCAGTAGTACTTTAAAGGTCTCCTGCCGGTCATCCAGGCTTCAGAATTGCTGCTAGAGTATGACGGTTGCATGATCTGCAACCATGAGATCGAAGCACTCTCATCCATGACACAAGTGATTGTGTTCAGGAAAGAGCGACCGAGCAGACAAGCAGGGAAAAAACAATATTTATCTACGGAACGAGCGATCAGTAGCTCGCTCCTTCCATTCTCAATGTTCCTGCTCTTTCCTCATTTGTTCATTTGTCAAGAACAAGGTTATCAAACCAGCTTTTGTAACACGAAAAGAACGAATAGGAAAACTGCAGCAAGTGATCCCCGTATGGATCTAACAACGGGTGTTCAAGGCTTCATTTCCCTGAATCTGTCATCTCGCTTTCTGGTCTTTTATTCTTGAAGGGTCATCGCTCTTTCTTCCCCCACTTTTGTGTAAGTTATAGCAACGTTTTATGATCAAGAGAATAATACTACCGGGTCAAAAAGAAAAAAAAAAGAAAAAAAAGAATGAAAAAAGAAGAAAAAGAAGAAAAAGAAGAAAATGTGCCGTCCGACAATAGAGCAAGCAACGACCCACCGATCGCTCCTTCTTAGGTAATCTATATCTCGCTCTTCCTTCATTCGGACTGCTTGATTGGTCTTTCCTTGGTACAACGTTTACACAGAAGATAGAGTAGCTTGCAAACTACCGAGCACGACGGGCGATGATTGGAGAGAACGGAAGAAGATGGAGGCCAGGTGAAGCGACGACGTCAAAAGAAGATGGCTAGTATTCACGACTATGATGTGGACGTTTCTGATGTGGTGAGAATGTGGAGGTAACTTTCAATCGCGAACATCTGATTCTTGGAAGTAAGAGTAATATAGCACTGCGCCGCTGCTACAATGGAAAAACGCCGTTGCTCGAAGGATATCAACCCACCCTTTATTTTTGTTCATGCAACACGCCCCAATCCATCCGCTCCGTCGCTTGAAACATGAATGAAAACACCTTCCATGTGACATGCTTGTGCCCATGATGTACAACTCCGATGGGAAAACGAGAAAAAGCAACAGTTAAAAATCAACAACGAAGAAGAAAAATGCTCAATGACAACGCCTCGTAAACTTCGTACCGCTAAACTTCATTACCACTTCCAGGTGAACCAAGACGTCTAGGCTTGGTCATCTGTCTTTTGCTTCTTGGCTTCGTGGTCGCCATCATCGTCAATCTCGATAGGGCGCTTCAGGCCGCCATGTGCGTTGGGATCTGCAGGAGGAGTCGCTGCCACAGGTGCTGGCGTGGGCGTGGCGGCTTGAGCAACAGATGGTGAAGGTGCCGGTGCTGTCGGGGTCGGAGTGGCTTGTGGAGCAGGCGCGACGACGGCAGGTCCGGGTGCCAGAGCTTGTTGTTGAGCCTGAGGAGCAGATGTAGCAGTCGCAGGGCTAGAATTAGGAACTTGTTGCTGAGCCTGTGATGAAGGCGTTGATGTCTGCAGTGTTGCAGGTCCCGTAGCTGGTTGAATGGCAGGCGCCGGTGTATGTGCCGATGTAGGTGCTGGGGCTGGCTGGATAGCAGGTTTGACTTGGAAAGCGGTTCCAGACGCGGGTTGAACGGCTGGTCCCGGCGCAGGCGATTGTTGGACGGGCTGGCTTGGAGCAGGAGCGACCGGTCTTGGGGCGACAGGTGTCGTAGCCTGAGTCTGAGATGCCGGCGTTGCGGCAGCAGATTGAGGCTGCGGTGGTGCAGTAAACGTCGGCCTCGGTGCTTGCGGTTGAGGAGGGGGAGCTGAAACGTTGTAGGCACGGGCTTGAGGCACTTGCTGCTGTCCTGGTGGTGGCTGCATCCTTTGCTGTTGCGGCGCTTGTGGCTGCGCATAGGGACTGGGTCTTGGTGCAATGCCCTGGTGGGCTTGACCCGGATAGTAGGGTGCAATGGGCGCACCTTGTCTGAAGGCTTGTGCACTAGGCATAGCAGTCTTGAGCGCTTCGGCCAATGCTTGTTCAGAGCTGGATCCCGTCGTTTGTTGAACAGGATGAGGCCCGCTAGCAGCTTGTGGTCCCACTGCCTGTGGACCTTGACCATTTGGCGTCTGCTGTTGAGGAGCAGGCGGCTGTCCCTGTCCCTGTCCCACCGGAGGGGGAGGATATGGGCCAGGAGGCCCCTGTGGCTGTGTATTGGGACCGGATATGCTCTGTGCAGCACCTGGCTGTGCCTGGCCCTGAGGCTGACCATTTTGCATACCATTCATCTGAGGTTGTGAAGGAGTTGCGGAAGCGGTCTCGGCTTGAGTAGTAGTGATGATGTCGTGAATAGCTTTATAAAGCTTTTCTTCTTCCTCTGACTCGAACGGACCATGGTCTTGGCCACGATGAATGTGTCTGTTGGTTGCCCTTCGGAAAATCGCTCTGTGTTTTTCCTGCTCTGGGCCCTGGAAGTTACTGAGATACCTCTTATGGTAGTCCATGATATTGTCGATCATCTTTTCCGAAGTTATGCCGCTCTGGTTCTGTGGTGGCAGAGGCGGGGCTTGACCAGGTGCTGGTCCTGGAGCCATCACAGGTCGTGGTGGTTGCTGGCCTTGGGGGACGTATGGCGGCTGACCATTTTGTTGTCCAGGGGCTTGATTTCCCATCGGTTGATTGGGTTGCCCATATGGCGGACGGGGAGGTTGACCAGGTTGTGCCGGAGATTCCTGTAATTGGCCCGGCGGTGGTGGGGGGGCTTGACCAGGTGTTGCTTGGCCTTGCTGAGCTGGAACTGGGGGTTGACCAGGCTGTGGTTGAGGTGGCTGCGGTGGTTGTCCATATGCGTTACCAGGCGGCCGAGGAGGTTGCGGGTAAGGCGCGTAGGGTGCTCTACTCGGTGGGCCATACGGCGAGCCGGCAGCGGCAGCACCTGGTGTGGTCGACGCGTAAGGAGAATAGTAGGTGCCAGGCTTCTGCTGTGGCGTCGGCACGGGTGGTCGCGCCACGTTCTGCACAGTTGGCGGACCATACGGCGTTCCGTAGGGGCTTGGTCTAGCATACGCTCCATAAGCAGGAGCTCCGGGATGGCCGTACGGGTACTGGTTGTTCGGATAGTACGGATACTGTTGCTGCTGTTGCTGCCTGTTATCCGGGGGAGGCGTTGGAGCCTTGCGTTTCTTCTCTTTGTCAATCGAAACGTTCGGGTTAATCTTCCAAAGTCTGCCTTTGCCGATCTTGCCTGCTTCCTCGAAAGCCTCACTGCTGATAAGATTGTGACGGACACTACTTTGCCAGCCGTGAGTGGTACTCCTGTACTTGAAATGAGGATACATCTTCTGCATGGCGTCGTAGATCTGCTGCAAATCCATAACACCATTCGGGGCTTTTGACAGAGCCTCGTGTATTAGAACAACATACGTCTGAGTTGGCTTCTTAAGCTCCTCTTCGGTGTACTCCGATTCCGGCTTTTGCGGGGACGGAGACTTGACAATTCGCTTGGGCTTGTTCGCATCTTTATCCGGAGTCGGCTGAGCAGCGGGCATACCTCCTTCAGTCTTGACTTCGGCCGAAGGTGTGGCGGCGTTGTGCTCTTGAATGGCCATGAGTGCAGGGTCGATCTCAACCGACTGACTCAAGCCCTCTCCTTCGCGGCCATCCTCGGGCTTGGAGTCCTTCTTGGTAGTGCTTCCGCCTTCGGCCCTGGCAAGAGCTAAAAGTTCAGCAAGTGGAGGAACAATCTTGCCCATCTTCTGCAACTCTTTGGTCTTTCGCTTGATGATTGCCTCGTCACGCTTCGACATGACACCGTTCTTTGGAGGTCTTCCAGGTCCTTTGCGCTTCTGGGGTATCTCTTCTGGAGCCAAGCCAGCAAGGATTGAACCTGGAGGTAGATCTGCAGGAACAGCAGGAGGGGTCTGGGATGGAGTGACTTGTAGTGCTTGAAGAGCTTCGTATGAATCGGGCTCAACAGACTGCTTGATGTCGGCGGGCTGAGAGGGAGGTGGCATCTCGGTAGTGGATATGGCAGATTCCCTGCGATCTTCGAACATCTGCTCGACGATTTCGGGTTGCTGCTGCGGCGTCACGATTGTCTTCTCGGCGGCCTTTTCGACTTGCTTTGGCGTTTCGATCTTTTCGATTGCCTCTGCCTTGTTGGGAAGGTCAAGTTTGTGCACAGGCTTCTCGACCTTGTCCACCTTGGGAGTTCTAGGCATCTTCTCTGCCTTTTCGACTCTCGCAGGTTTGTCGGTCTTGATGGACTGTTTGCCAGACTTGGAATGCCGTCTCTCTTTCTCCTTTTCGTTGTCCTTTTCCTTTTCCTTTTCCTTGACCTTGACTTTCTCGGGCATCTTTTCCTTCTCAGGCTCTTTCTCTTTCTCCTTGATCTTTTCCTTGATCTTCTCCTTGTCTTTCTTCTTCTCCTTTTCTTTCTCTTTCTCCTTCTCCTTCTCCTTCTTATCTTCCTTCTCGACGGGCAAACCAGCAACAGCAGGGAAGTTCTTCTTGAGCGTGAACTTGAGCTTGACTATCCTACTACGAGGAGGTTCCTTCTTCTGAACAGGCCGTTTGAGGCGTAGTGGCTCGTCTTCAGATGACAAGTCTACATCTTCGTCGTCATGTGCAAAAGCGACACTGTCGACACTGTCCAAGTCAGACAGAGAACTGTCCGTGTCGGAAAGAATGTGAACGGGCTCTTCCTCCTCGTCCTCATTACGGGCGTTGTCAGGCAGCTTGAAGATGATGGTGATGCCTTGAATTAGAATTTCGCTCCCATGGTGTAGTTTAATCAGAGAGTCTTTGTCGACGTGAGTGTCGTCATGAAAGACACCATTTCTGCCCTTGACAAGCATCTCCCAGTAAGCCTTCTGCAGATTGTACTCGATACGGATGTGTTTTCGAGAAATGTTCTTGAAGGATTGACCGGCTTGAGGGTGGATGGGAATAAAGGGACACTCGTACTCGAAGGGCTTGTCCTGTTGTGGCTGCGAGTCAAGCAAGAGGTCGTAAGGATTGGTGAGGAGGGAGGTGGGGTCCACAGAGTGAGACGAGTTTGTGGAGCGGAACTGCTTGCGCTTGCGTCGCTTCGCCTCTTCGGCCGCCTCCTCGCTGTCGTAGTCGATGTTGACACCAACAATGCCACCGGTTTCACTGACGTTGCTACGCGGTGCCACGCTGTGTCCGTCTTCGTCTAGGTTCATCTCGGCGTCTTGCTCCATCTGAACGTCGCGGTTCAACTTCATCTTGTGCTGTTTACGACCTGCCTTTCGCTCGAACTTTGCAGCATTCAGATCACGTCCTAGCTCCACAGCATATGTGTTGACGTAGAAGTCGCCATCGGGAAATTGCAACTTCGCGAAGGCTTGCATGGGATCGTTCTGCGCAATGTCCTGAACAGGAGCAGCTTCTTCTGCCTCGTACGAGGCAAGAGCGAGGTCTGCAGGGAAGAGAGAGTTCGTGGGTAGATTCAAGTCGGCTACGGCATTTGCAAGTTCGGAGTAGTCTTTGGTAGGGGTTTGTGGTTGGAAAGGATGCGATTGGTCTAGGGGGTCGACGGACTGATCCAGAGGGTCAATGGATTCATGCGGGGCGATGGAGAGTGGTAGGTCTTGATTGTCAAGCACAGAGAGTTCGAGCGACTTCGGCTGCTGGTCTTGTGTCGGAGATAGTGTTTGCTGCTCTGGCTGCGTCTGTGTCTGCGGGAAGGCTTCAGACTGGACTGGCTCTGCCTGACCAGCCGTTGCTGGAAGCTCGGTCTCGTCTGCTGCTTCGTCTTCGAAGTCTTCGGGGAACAGCGACTGTGCTAGGGACATAGGCTTCGTCGGAGGTTTGGGCGAAATCTTGGCAGGCTCGGGCAATGGATGCGATAGTGTCTCTGGATGTGTATTTCGGGCGATGGTTTGATTGTCTGGGACAGGTGGCACTGCATTCTGTGCGTCGTGTCTTTGACTCTGTTGCGCGACTTCCTCGCCCTCTTGATTGCCATTCTGACGGCTTTGCGACGCTAGACTTGTATGTTGTTCGACTTGGGGCGCTCCTTCCTCCGGCTGGTCCAGATGTGTCTCTAGCTCGGGCCATGGCGAATTCAAGGGAGAGGGCGACGGTGCTTGAGGGGTTTCGTAATCGAGAGGCGCAAAGGCAGCATGCCCGAGACTCGTTGCTTCCACTTCCATGTCGGTCGGCGGCGTGATAACATGTCTCTAGGGCTTGGTGACGGAGCGCATTCACTGTTACTGACGCCGGCGCATGCGTCTATGATGCGCAAAAGATTCCGGTCGAGTATTCTTTGTATAAGAGCGACTTTTCTTCCGCGATCCAAACTCTGAACCGTCTGGAACACGCAGTCAAGCGTCTGCCTCTGTCAACCCGCGGGCCAAGGCGTCTTTGCGCCGGGCGGTGAAGAATCATGGCCCGCTCCCGACGCTAATTTGTTCCTCCCGCTTTCGAAACCATGACATCTCTATCTTATGCCCTGTCTCTCTGCTACTTCTTTGTTCTTACTTTTCTACGTGAATATGTGTTCGAATCTGTTGTAGATAACTAAGTCCTTTGCTTCAAGTGCATCTATATCTTTGTACGTCCCAGGTCTATCAGAATGCATGATTTGCTTGATTGAGCCCGAAGACGAATGAACTCAACGCCAAGACAAGATCGGCCTATCTTGAGATCTTTCCGATTGGCTCCGTGTCATTCCTATTAGAATCTTTTGCCATGAAGGTGCTTCTAGATAGCGAGTTTATGTTTTCAGTGCAGAATTCAGACTGGAGTTGGCCTGGTGTATCTGGAAGCTCATGGTCTCCATGGCTTCGGCCAGTTCCTGTCCAAGTATGAGTGAGTCGCTGCCGATTGCTCTCAATGCATCTCGGAAGGTGCTCAAGGTTTGATGCGGAGAGGGCATGGGATTCTGCAGAATGTGGGTCACTCTGACCATGATCAATTGCGATGTTCAAAGACTGCCCTGAAACTTGCAATCAAATCGTCATGCGTCCAGTATCCGTCACATCTCCAGTTCGTATAATCTCGAGGCCTTGTAAGTGTTCCATGTCTCGTCGATGCTCAGGTCAGGGTCAATCCCCAGACATCCACAAGCCGAGGCTCTCCCGCTATATTGTGGGGCCGCAGCACTCTGGAAAGATCCACGAAACCAACCACCAACAACTTCGAACAATTGTCACCAAACCTATCAAAAATGCCACCAAAATCAAAAGCAAAGGTCGCCAAAACTCCTGCTGTGCCTGTAGCGAAACAAGCCCCCGCTCCACGACTGGATTGGCCTGCACTTACACCTCTATCTCCGGCATCTGATCTCGAGTGTTCGTCATTACTACCTGCTCAGATCCTGACTATACCGCGGCTCTTTACCTCGTCATTGAGTGCGAAGTACGTTTCGTTCCTGCGCTCACTGCCACTCACGACAACACCTGGACGTCCAAAACGTGGAGATGCGGTGCGCGTCAACGACCGTTTCCAGATCGATGATCCAGACTTCGCACGCCATCTGTGGGAGCAGACTGCACTCAAAGAGTTGGTCACTGCTGGCGAGATTGATGGACAGACTCTGGACGATAAGCAGCGCAAAGACTTGTTCGGCGGTGAAATACTAGGCCTCAACCCCAACATAAGAATCTATCGATACTCCGAGGGTCAATTCTTCGACCAGCATTACGACGATTCCAACAACTTGATGTTCCCTCAACAGGACGGTACTACCGTTCCTGCCAAGACGACATGGACTCTTTTGCTTTATTTGACGACTTGTGAGGGTGGCGAGACTGTTTTCTACCCTGATCCGCCATCAAGGAAAGCAGCGCCTCCTCCGCCCGTCGAGGCGTCTCCCGAAGTCGGTCTTGCATTGTTACATCGTCACGGCAAGGAGTGTATGGTGCATGAAGGCCGTGAAGTGACCAAGGGTGAAAAATGGGTCGTCAGAAGCGATATGTGTGTCAAGCGATGAGGATTCGACCTCCGCCTGGCTTGAACATCATACGGAAAGCCTCGCGCCTCAGGTCGGACTCGGAGACAAAGACGAGTGGTCAGGAATGAAGCAGGAACCCGTTTGGCCTTGCGAAGACCATGCAAACACAAAAAGTCGACCAGAGGGACCCCGTACTCAATTGGTTACTGGCCATCAATCCTGCAAGCATGCCAAATTTATGACGAACGCAACGAGGAAGACGAAGCCTGGAAACAAGCAAGAGAACGCACCTTTTGCTGACCACCACCACAGTCAGCCCCGACCACCGTGATACCCGAGAAGCATCAAAATTATCCAGTAATGTGTTGTCTTTTCTTTGGCCACTTTTCAGGATTCTTTGTTCGAGTCTACTCAGCACCTTGTCCTGCTGTTTATCGCAACAATCCCATTGTCTCCACACTGCTCTCTTGCTTCCAACTCTCCATTCGAGAAACATTTAAAAACACCTCCTTGTCTCCTTTAGAAACAAGTCAACCTTTGTTAACATCTCAAAAGCCACCAAACACTAACCACACGGAAAAACAGCGATGATTACCCTCATCAACAGTTTGCTTGTCCTCGCATGTTTTGCCCTTGCCTATGTGCTCCACGCCAAGCCATTGCTCAACAACAGAACAACATACATCTTTGCGTGGAGCATGTTATCGATCATTCTCTTCTGCCTCTGCCCTTTTCTCAGCGAGATGTTTCTCATCATGACACCCTGGACTGTTTATTTTACTATTGGACAGCTTTGCCTTATGATCTGGGATGGTATAGAAATGCGCTTATTTGAGCTCTATTGGTGGTTCCAGGACATGGGTATGTGGATGGATCCGATGCAATTCTAGATTGATACTGCTGGTCAGTTCATTTTGTTCCGCGATATGCTCGACTGATCGACTGCCACAATTTTCTGCGAGGTAGATTTATTATGGCAGGACTTGGCTACCAAGCACCCCAGCCTCCCAGCCACTTCCTTCTTTCCAACCTCAGCAAACTTCGCCAAGATGATTTCAATGATAATTTCTACACCACGATTTCTTCCACTCTTGAACTAGTGATGAACCCCAATTTGTGTATGTCAAAGGATCACACAAGCTGCAGGTCGAATGTGCCGATCATTTCTACAAAAGTCAGTGATATATTGGATCTGCACCCGACTGACTGACTACCAAATCCTTTCCCGTACCAACCACTATCTTTGTATATTAAAGCACTCAAGCTAACTATTCCTTCGATGTGATGAACTCCCAATCTCTGTTAGCTTTTCATATAAGATAGGTGACTCTGCTGTGAACTCGTCGCAGAACTTCCTCCCTCTTTCTACCTTCAAAGTTCGCGTGCAGTTTCATTCGCTGCTTTCCCTCTCCATACCGTTTCAGAGAGTACCGCCGCACAAAATGCCCAAACCAAAACACCTCTCCACTATCCTAACCCTTCTCACCCTCACCGACCCCATCTCCACCGCCTCAACATGCTACAAACTCAACGGCGACGCCGCCTACAAAGACTTCACCCCCTGCAACCAATTCAGCGGCGCAACCTCCTACTGCTGCGGCGCCAACCGTCAAAACACCAACGCCACCTACACAAACGACATCTGCCTGACCAATGGCTTGTGTCTCGCGATCGCAGAAATCGACGGAATAGAAGAGTATAATTACTTTCGGGAGAGTTGTTCGAGTGCGAGTTGGCCGACGAGCGAGTGTTTGAGGAGCGTGTGTACGATGCCGGATCAGAATGATGTCAATGGAAATGCTATTATGGTGAGTGAGATACGAGAGTAGAGGGTGTGGATGGAAGGATGTTTTACTGATGTGTTGATGGTGTGGTGGGATTTAGACGCCTTGTGAAGATTCAAAATATTCGAATACGTGGTGTTGTGGGAAAAACAATACTGATTGTTGTGGTACTGATGCTGCGATTACGTTGGCGGTAACGCTGGGTGCGACTGCTAGTTTGACGACTTCGGTTTCTTCTGCTTCGAGCACGGCAAGTGCAAGTACGACTAGCAGTAGTGCGGCTACCTCTCCAAGCTTGGTCTCGACGTCCTCCTCTACACCTCCACCATCATCCTCAAATACCAATTCCGGCCTTTCCACTAGAGCACAAGCAGGCATAGGAGTTGGTGTCGCCATCGGCGTCTTCGCTCTCCTCAGCATCGCATTCTGGTTCCTCCGAAGACGCAGAGCCGCTCACTCAGCACCACACGAGAATACCAATCTGATGCCTGTCAACTCGCCAAGCCCGAACTACGGCAACGATACAAAGGAAATATACACAAGACCGCAAGAATTGGACTCGAGAGTGGTGGGTCATGAGTTGGATCCTGCAGCTAGGCTGGGCGAGGTGGAAGGCGATACCGCGTTCAAGGGAACTTGATGGGGATCTGTGTGGAATAGCCCACCTGGAGTCAAAGAAAGAAAATGACTAGAAATGCTCGGATAGGTAGCTTACGGCAAAGCGCGATGGCTGTGACGAGTCAGTGCACAACAAGTGCGAGCAACGTGTAAGTACGACAAGTTGAATCTCACGAATAGCACAGAGCAGCACAGCAGAAAGCAGAAGTATGGAAAGATTCGTTATTCATACCATCGTGAGGTCGTAATAGTTATGTGCAATCCTCCAGTTTTCTTTGCTAGCAATCCTTTACCCTCGGGCTAGCAATCGTCCATCTTTCCGACCCTCGTCTCCTTCAAGCATAGTCATCTCCCATATCGATATCAACGTCAGAGGATGTATCTTCCATGATCTTGTCTCTCTGATCCTTCTCGAAACCCTTCTTCTCAGTATCTGAGTCTTGCTGTTCGTCCTCGATAGCGCCTGCGGAAACATCCTGTTCCAAGGAGGGCACATCTCTTCCCTCGAGAATGGCCTTAAATACCTCCTCACTCTGCTGAATGATGTCTCGAATGGCGTCTTGCAGACTGCGTTCCGAGTTAGGCATTGTGATGTCTTCGATGCGGACATTGCCAAGGACCTGAAGGTAGTCCCTGCGCATGCCAACAAAAACCTGATCGGTGCGATCTTCCATGTTGTCCTCGACTTCCTTGATCAAATCTGTGATCATGTTGCGAACCACTTCAGTGGCTCTCTGGAACATGATGTCCTTCTGCGCGGTGACATGATTGTTCATGTAGGCCTTCATTCTGTTAAATTGGCCTGGTCCAACCTCAGCGGCGCAAGTGTTGTAGATAGTGAGCATCGAGTTGCACACGTTTGGGGTGAACTCGCGGTTGATGTCGCGTTGACGCTCGTTGATCAGATCGACCATCCTGTTAGCCAGATCGCTGAAGACGGCTTCGTAGTTTGTTAGTTGTTGAGCCAGAAGGCCAAGGCGAGGATTGCCTCCGTGTGAGAACGAATGCTTCTCAATAGTTGTGTGAAAGGCACGCAGGTCGTTTGCAAAGCCTTTGGAGCACGCCTTCAGAATTTGAGGGAGACGACGATGGAAAGCTTTCTCCCAACCGTTTCCCAGAATTTTGTAGACTGGCTCAGTTCTGTCGTCGTCAGCTGACGTGAACCATTCATCTACGTGAATAACGTTGCTTACAGTTGCGCGTTGAAATCCGAGAGACCTAGAGAGCCTGTCCACACGCCTTGGCGGCGAACCACTGCCTTGTAGGTAGACCATGGGAGACCGCCCTGACTCTTGTGAGCACCCCAGCCCTGAGATGTCGGTAACGCGGTATTACTAGCGGCGTTGATGGCTGTGTTGCAATTTTCGAAGACGTTCTCGTTCATCGCTTCCCTGATCTGCGTCAGGGTATCTTTTACGTCCTTTTCCAGTGCCTGGACTCACTGTTAGTAGCTGACTTGATACGCCGGCTATCTGCGTACTTTTTCAAGGTCTTGAAGCTGTCGAGCGAGAAATCTCTGCTCAGAGTCTTTCTGCAGGTCCGATTTACTGGCACCGGAGCTGTAGTCGGAGTTGTAAAGCGAAACCGAGGTTAACAGTCGACATAACGAATTGAGAAAGCGACGAGACTTGATAGACCTCACGTTTTCGGTAAGCATCTTGCAGTGCTTTTTGAGAGCAGGAATCTACAACAATCAGCGACGACAGACATACTCACGTTCTCAAGAGACTCACCTCGGTTTGATTGACATCAGTGAACCCACGGACTGCGTTATCCTTCAGAAGTCTGCCAGAAAGCTTTTGATATGCTCGACTGGAGACACAGAAAACAGGAAGATCTTTTGCAACCTTCTCATAGTCGCGGATTTCCTGCTCAGGATCATACTGATCGGGATCGTCTTCAGCCTCGGCCTCCTGATCAAGCTATACAATCAAGTTAGCATCATACGATTCTGAGGAATTGTTTCTGACCAACCTCTTTGATACCTGCAGCAAAATCGATTTGGATGGCAGATTTTGAGTAGCGGTTACGTGCGGCGATACAGATTTGGGTTCTCTTATCATCGATGCTTCGAGACTCGATCTTCATCTTCTTGATCTCGCCATTGATCTGCTTGACCTGCAGCTCAATCTCGCTACGCCCACGGCGAGCTTGTTTCTTCTGATCTTTCAGATCACGGATATTTGAGTCAATGTCCTCTGCAGTCAGAGGCGGGCCACGATCTGATTCGTGGTCGGAATCATCGCTGCTGTTGCCGTCATCTTCGCTATCTGTGCTGGATGAAGATCGTTTGCGCTTCAGTGTCTTAGGGGCTAGAGGATAGACCGTTTCGCCGTCGTCGAGCTTCTCCTTGAGGGCTTCCCATTTGTCGACTTCGTCATCGCAAGTGTCCATGGTCTCGCTGAGCGAGCCCTTCTGGTCTCTGAGCTTTTTGGCTTCCTTCTCAGCTTCGCGACGACGGCGGTCGATGGCTGAGAGTTGGTCCTCAAGTTTATCGATCTCGTCGCCGAGATCCAGACTGTCGGTCGCTTCTGTGTTCGAGATGTCATCTAATAGAAAGTTAGCCTCTGTGTGCGTTTCGAGGAGACGTACCACTCACCAGTCTTGCTGCAGATGAAGGTTACTGCAGAATAGGTGCCATCGTACTTGAGCTGCCTGCGAAAGGTCGATCCCAAAAGATTCTTGGCTGCCTTGTCGTCTACGGCACGGTTGATTGGGGATACAATCCAGAGGCCAGTACATTGTTTCATGTATTTCTCGGCCACGGCAGCACGAGCGGCGTTTGAATCTGCGACGCCGGGAAGATCGACCAGTACGGCGCCGGTGGAAAGAGCGTCGGCTTTGACGTACAATCGGACTACCTTGATCAAGGGCCAGAACTCCTGCTCGCGCTTTCTCGTCTTCTTCTTTTTCTTATCGCCAGCGCTTTGGGAGTCATCCTCATCGTCCGTCTCGTTCTTGACTCCAGCCTTCTCCCTTGAGTCGACATAGTGCTGGAGCCCCTTGTAGAAGGTGTCACAATGGCGTTCTTTGAGATACATGGTTGTGCCAAGAACACCTCGGACACAACGGTCAGCCATGAGCTTTTCGATTGAACTTGCAGCCAAGTCATCATTTGTGAGGCGCCAGTAGACGGCACGAATCTTGGCGTAAGCAATACCAGCTTGTGATTCCGGGTTGCTCACTTCTCTTGAAATGTTACCGCCGCCGTCGAAGATCTCATTGAAAAGGACTTTGAGCTCCTTTTGCCATTCATCAGGCTTGATGAACTCGATCTCAGCACGGTACTTGCTGCTCTCCTCTTCACTATGGTTCCAAGACATTTCAGTGACCACAGCAGTGCAGGCTCGCATACAGTTCGTCGGGACCAGACGCTCTTCATCCAAGATCGCGTTGATGACTGAAGACTTTCCAGCTCCTGTATTGCCAACGACACCGACAACCGTACGTGCGCCAGTGGCCTCTTGTCTGACCAGCTCAATTTGTTGCAACCATTGCTCGGCATCTGCAGTCTCCTTGCTAAGCTCAAAACTTTGGGCCAGAGAGTCTAGTGCGCTGATGCCTTGCTTGACACCAGCCTCGAGCTTCTCTGCTGAATTCGCTTTGGCCATTGCTTGTAGGTGAGTGATTGACAACATGTCTTGACTTAAGGGGGGATCATCGTCGCCATTCTCATCAGCAGGTGAGCTACCGGCTTGTCCCATGTCTTCGTCTTCGTCTTCGACGGGCTGAATGATCAGAGGTGCTGGAAGTGGGATTTCGGGCTTGATTTCCTGAAGAAACAGTCAGTACATCGAAAGTTGAAGGATTAGAGTGTGGATGTCGTGTTCGAAGCATGTCTCGACGACCATGTGGAGTGGTTAAGGAAGTTCTCACTGGGTCACTAGCATGCGCAAAGTGAAGATCAAACTTACTGGTTGGGTGTTGGCCATCTGCGTGAAAGACAAGCCATGACTGGTGCCATTCGACATGTCCTGAGCAGCGTCATGAGACAGACCGAAGGATGAACCTTGTAGGCTAGGTGAAACCTGAACGGGTTGTAGCCTCCACGCAGAAGGTGGCTGATGCATGCCATGTGAAGCATACGGCACATGAGCGTGTTGTGTTGGACCCGAGAGCGATTCGTTTCCCACGAAGGGAGAGCCCGGAGCTTGGCCATAGTAGGCAGAGCTAGGATTGTGACGCTGCGCATTTAAGAGGACCTGGTGATGCTGTGATAACACTGCGTCGGGAATTGAAGACGGCGACGCATGTGTCGAGCTGCCCGATGCGGATGCAGCCAGTTTCGAGGAGCTTGGGATACGAGCGTCTGCTGGCGCTGAAGGACCCGAGGCGGAGGCAGGAGCAGAGGTCGAAGAACGTGGGTACAAGAATGATCCGGAATTTGGTTGATCCAAAGCACGAGAGACTGTGGAAGTTGAGGAGCCCGGAGCACGAGTAGGTGTAGATCTCGAAGGACCCGGAGCACAAGCAGAAGTTGAGTGATCCGACGCACGCGAAGGTGTCGAGACAGCAAGCCCTGGAACAAAGGCAGAGGCACAGGTCAAGTGATCAAACGCACGAGATGGTGTCGAAATTTTTGAGCCCGAAGCGTGAGTAGGTGTCGATGTTGTGGGACCGGAAGCGCTTGCAGAGGTAAGGAATGGGCGGTTCAGCATATCGGAAGATGTGGAAGCCAAGGGACCTGGAGCAAAGGCAGATGCAGAATTTGAGTGATCAAACGCACGCGAAGTTGTAGAAGGTAACGAGTTTGCGGGACCCGAGGCGTTTCCAGAGATAAGAGTCGGGTGGTCCATCACATTGGAAGACGTCGATGCCGAACGACCCGTGGCAAAGGCATATGTCGGTTCGGAGTGATTCAGAAAACGTGATGGCTTGGAATCTGTGGAGCCCGGGAGGCGAGCAACATCAGCAGACTTTGTGAGACCCGGAACTTGAGCAGGATAAGTTGGGCTCTTCAAAGCAGACGGAGACGTTAAAGACTTCGGAACAAAGGCACGAGAAGCAGCCGAGTGGTCCGCTCCCAGAGCAGGCTCATTCTCAAAGGTTGGCGGACCCGGAATGGACCTTGTAGAATCTGCAGCTTGAGCGGAGAAAGTTGAATTCTCCAAAGCAGACATAGACGCCAAAGACCTCAGAGCAGAGGCACGAGAAGCAGCCGAGCTGTCCGCTCTAACACCAGGCTCGTATGTAGAGGCCGGCGGACCCGGAGCGCGACGCGGAGTGGACGTTGTAGAACCCGGAGCTTGAGCAAGGGAAGTTGAGTCCTCCGAACCGCGATCAGAGGTGGAAGCTGAAGATAACGGAGTATAACCACGAGGTGTAGTTGTGTGGTGCACCGGAGGAGCGGGAACATGTTTAGATGCGGACGTTGAGGGACCCGGAGCGCGACGCGGAGTGGCAAGGGAAGTTAAGTCCTCCGGACCGCGATCAGAGGTGGAGGCTGAAGATAACGGAGTATAACCACGAGGTGTAGTTGTGTGGTGTACCGGAAGAGCGGGAACATGTTTAGATCCGGACGTTGAAGGACCCGGAGCGCGACGCGGAGTGGACGGTGCGGCACTCGGGACTTGAGCAAGGGATGTTGAGTCCTCCGAACCGCGATCAGAGGTGGAAGCTGAAGATAACGGAGTATAACCACGAGGTGTAGTTGTGTGGTGCACCGGAAGAGCGGAAACATGTTTAGATCCGGACGTTGAGGGACCCGGAGCGCGACGTGGAGTGGACGGTGCGGCACTCGGGGCTTGAGCAAGGGAAGTTGAATTCTCCGGACCGCGATCAGAGGCGGAGGCTGAGGATATCGGAGTATACGCACGAGGTGTAGTTGTGTGGTCCACCGGAAGAACAGGAACATGTTTAGATCCAGAGATAGAGGAACCCGGGGCGCGACGAGACGTGCACATTGTGGGACCCAGAGCTTGAGCAGGAGAAGTTGAGTTCTCCAAAGCACGAGCGGCAGTGGACGTTGCGGGACCCAAAGCTTGAGCAGGAGAAGTTGCGTTCTGCGAAGCACAAGCAGATGTGGAAGTCGAAGAAATCGGAGCAATGGTATGAGGAGTAGCTGTATGGTCCACTGGAAGAACAGGCATAGATGTAGATGCAGAGATTGAGGGACCCGGAGCGGGACGAGGTATTGACGTCGAGGCACCCGGAATGCGAGCAGGTGCAGAGGTCGGGGAGTCCAAGGCACGAGCAGATGCGGGCATACGAATAGACTTTGTAGAGTCAGAAGTTGATCGAGGGCTTGGAGTGTAACCGGTCTGGCTAGATACCGAGGGTGCCCTTACCGATGAAGCGGTCGGTAGCCCGGAGTAATCGACACTTGCCCGCGACGAGATACTAGCTTGTCTTTCAGGAGTGAGTGCTCCTGGAACTTCCATCAACTGCGTGTTAGGTTGCTCGAGGGCGGATTGCGGTATGGGTATCGTGCTTGCAGGAGTGTTGTCGCTATTGGTGCCAGCCGGTTCAGAACCGATGGCCCGGAGGACAATGACTTTGTCACTAAATGCATCCAGCTCTGAAATCTTTGTGATGTCTGCCAGAATGGTGGGCCCGAGAGACAACGACACATCGAGCAAGTTGAGTTTAGCAACGTAGCTCTCTCTGAGCCTGTGGATCGATGTCCTGCTCGTGCACTTCAAGAACATGAAATTCTCTCGTTGGACATCAGTGATGGGTGTCGTGTTGTCATGCCAAAGAATGCCTACAAGGTAGGCAGTGGGCTTGGACTTGGAGTGGGCGATCAGATCCTCTTCTGCGCATTCGAGCGCTCGTTGGTGCAACTGATGATCCATGATAGGAAAGACCGGCCGTTGGATGCTTTCTAACTGAAATGAATATCAATCATGACATGCTCGAGCATGAGATGCGCAGGACTAAAGACCAATGCTCTAAGTCAGTCGTCAGCGGTCAAAGCAAGCAGCTCACTGAAGCAGTGATGGCTTTGCAAAAGTGAATCAACTTTCTTGTGGCACGTCTGCCTCAGGATAGTGATGTACGCGTCGACGTCACGTAAAAGCCACGGTCATGTGATTTCTTACGGAGTTGGTCTCCGTCGCCAAGACCTGGCAATCGAACGCGCTTGATCGAAAGCTTCTTGTTGAATGTTGAGCACGCAAAGTCGAAGCAAAGGAAGAGAAGAAATCAAAAGATGAGAGGAAGAGTCTTGTCACTTCCGATGCTCATGTTTGACAATGAAAGAGTCTGCAGGCATGTGACGACGTTTATGCGATGTGAAGCTGATCGGAGTCACAAGTGCTGTCTGTCTTCACAAGCAGACGCCGGCCCTCGCGAATCTGAATGACTGAGTTGTTGTACAGCACGATGGTTTTCTGCTCAGATTCTGTGCTAGGATAGACTTTGGCAACCTGGTAGCTTTCATGCCGACCTTTGATGCGACTTGGTCTGGTCGTTCAGAATGTCGACCCGAAGCGGCATCCTGTCGTGAATCGTGATCATCTCATTCTGGGCTGAAACACATCTTACCAGAAGTCTCTGCGATAGCAATCTTGCTCAAATACTGTCTGCCTGGAGAAACTACACAATGCGATATTGTACGAGTACTCGTAGATGCCTGGCTTTCACGATCCTTCACCCCGCACCCAACAATGCGAAGCGGTTATCTTTGATTGCTTATCAGGCGCAGATCCTCTGATAATCGTCAACACGTCTCTTTGGTTGGTTCTCAGCAGCTCCATGCTGTCGGCCGACTTTTGGCTTTCCTATGCCTATCTCGGACGACCATTTCTGACGCGGAAGCTGCCCACCTCATGTGTCTAACCATATACTATATCTTGGTCTGGCACCACTCTTTGGTCGTGCACCTCGTTCCACGATCATAACAAAGACTCGCCAGCTGATCTTCCATTCCCATACATCAAACATCGCTCTACTTCCCTGATTGATCATACAAGCACTCAGACTCCTCCGTCATGACATACGAAGATGTCTTTGAAGAGGCTCCCGTACCAGGTACCGTCCACCTAGTGGATCTGGAAGGAACCATGCACGCACAGCATGCTAGAGGTGGGCACCGAGACATTGTGCTCGTTCCAACCCCCTCGCAAGATCCTGACGATCCGCTGAATTGGTCGCCCAGGAGAAAGACTTTATCCATGATCTGTATGGGCGTATACACACTCATGGTGGGGATCGCAAGTGCTGCTATCTACTCAATTCTGGAGCCCATCGCCGAAGAGACCAGCTTGACATTGAACGAACTCAATAATGGCACCGGATACATGTTCCTTTTCTTCGGCTGGGGCTGTCTGTTTTGGCAACCGCTTGCTTTGCAGTACGGCAAACGACCCGTGTATCTGTTCAGCATCCTCGCAACCATGGGTATTCAACTCTGGGCACCGTACACTAAGAGCAATGGCCAGTGGATTGCCAACAAGATTCTGCAGGGCTTTTTTGGAGCACCTATCGAATCTCTGTGCGAGATCAGCGTTACGGATGTTTGGTTCCAGCATGAAAGAGGAAAGTATTTGGGTCTCTATGCACTACTTCTTGCTGGCTCCAATTTCCTCGCACCAGTGCTTGCTGGGTTCATCGCAGACGGTCAAGGCTGGCAGTGGGTGCTGTACTGGTGTGCCATCTTCTGCGGAGCTGGTTTTGTTTTTCTCTTTTTCTTCATGGAAGAAACGAATTATTCCCGACATTCTGTTATCGGTGTAGCTCCGATCGGAGTACGTCCGGAGCAAGCTCCCGTCGCAGCAAAGATGAACGAGAAAAGCGCACGCCCGGACACCGATGTGGCATCCGAGGATGATTTGTCTACACCAATTGGGAGCTCCAAGAGCAAAACCTACCTAGACAAACTCAAGCTGTGGCAAAAGGCCGACCTGCAGAAAGACAATCACATTGCTGGCATGACAGCTAGACCGCTGATCTTCCTCACCTTTCCAGGTAAGTCAAGTACCAGTATAGGAATGACAAACAACAAATATTAATCAGAGCACAAACTTTAGTGATTGTATATGCAGGCTTCTCTTACGGGAGCAATCTAATCTGGTTCAATGTACTCAACGGCACCGCCTCATCCATCCTTGGCAACGCGCCATATAACTTTTCGGCCAGCATGGTTGGCCTCTCATACATCTCACCCCTCATCGGCGTAGCCATTGGGTCATTTTATACCGGAGTCATTGGTGACAAAATCGTCCTTGCAATGGCACGTCGTAACGGAGGCATCCTCGAAAGTGAACACAGACTCTGGCTGTTCCTGCCATCTCTCGTACTCATCCCAGGTGGACTGATACTGTGGGGAGTTGGAGCGGCGCAACAAGTCATGTGGTTTGGATGTGTCTTTGCGATGGGGGTCATTGCTTTGACGAACACGATAGGCATCCAATTGAGTATATCGTACGCTGTCGACTCGTACAAAGATCTTGGAGGCGAGGCCATCGTTACTGTCATTTTGATCCGTAACACGATGAGCTTTGCTATTGGGTATGGTATTACACCCTGGATCGATGGCATGGGCTTGCAAAACGCATTTATTCTAGCAGCTTTCGCAGGACTCGCACAGTGTCTTACCTTCTTTGCTATGGTGAAGTGGGGCAAGGGGCTAAGGAAGCAGAGTGCTACCAAGTATGCCAAGTACGTTCAGAAGATGGCAGAAAGCGGTCTTGTGCATTGAGAAAAAACGTCGGTTTCACCAAAAGCCATGATCCGTTGTATGGAATATCTCCCGACTCTGTTTGGTATTTTCACCTTGCACATCTGTACATTTACATCACCGCGCACTGCCAACTTGTGCTGACACTCTGTGCCTCATCTGATATCCCTGCCCCCATCGCAGTCTCGTCTCGCTCGTCTTCACACTCTACGAGTTGTTTCTCCTTTTGAAGTTTCTCGAGCTCCCTGGTTCTTAGGTTTAATGTTGCGTTGCGCTCGGTCAGCTTCTTCTCGGTTGCAATTGATGCATCGAACTTGGCTCGAAGATCCGTGAGCTTGCCGCGCAGGCTATCCTTGCTTGCTGTAGAAACCTCCAGCCTCTTCTCAAGGCTTGCAACTTGCCATTCAAGGTCTATGCTTTTGTTCTTCCAGTCTTGGATTCCGCTCTTTAGATTAGAAACGGTATCCTCCAGGCCAAGGTTTGCCTGCTGTGTCTTCTCCAAGTCCTCACGAAGCTTCGAATTGACATCCTCCATCGTGGCAAACTGCAGTCGTATCGTCTTTCCCTGCTCTTCGGCAGCTGTACATTCTGTGCGAAGAAGCATGTTACTCTCCGAAAGTTCGACTTTTGCCTGCAGGAGGGTCTCGACTTGAGCCTCAAGTTTAGAGCTCGCGAGATTGGATACGCGATGCTCTTGTGAGATCTGAGCCAGGCTTGTCCTGAGACTTCTGTTCTCCGCCAGAAGCCTTTGAACTTCGACTTGAGAGTTTTGTGCTAGCTCCTGTGCCTTTTGACCATGGAGGCGGGCGTCCTCGAGCGAAACCTTGAGCCTTTGTGCTTCTGTTTTAGCCGACGAATACAAGCTCTGAGCCTGTTGCAGCTCCGCTTTGAGGTCTTCAACCGTCTGATACCAGATTCTGGGGATTTTTGACGACTTTGTGTCTTCGAACATGGACGTGCTTGCGGTGTGTTCTGTCCACTTCTTGACAACACCTTCGATCTGACCTTGATGATTTTTCTTGCAGAGACTGAATACTGCGAGGTTTCGCAAAAACATGCGGACCAGTTTGCGTGATGCTCCAGATCCCATCATCAGTAGAATAAGATCTGCTTTCTCGACATCTGTGACCAAGTTGTGGTTGCCGCAGCGTTCTTTGCCGCCGCTCTTGGAGCCGACGCAGGTTGACTGTCCACCAATCTCGATGAGGTCCAGAAGGTTGATGAGTGTGTATGGCATGATAAAGGTGATTACAAGAGAACGAGGAACGAGTGAGTACTAGGATGAAATGTCCAGAGAGGTTGTTGAAGAATTCCGTCGTCTGGAGCTGGCGGGAGCTGGATTGAGTTAATATCCCCCTGATATACACCCTCCGTGGAGGTTACTAAGCAACATTTCATCATGGATGAGAAAACGAAAAAGTGATCCAGTCTTGATTTTGGTGGAAGGTGCCCGGACCGAGAGACATGTTCTTGCACAAACACAATGTGTCTTGTTAGAGCGCCCTTGACAGTATCTCAGAGTCTCAGCTGGCCTAACACGAAAGTCTCAATGAGGGTACCCATACGTCACTTTCGCATGATTGAACGATCATTGCAGCCACATGGATATCTGAGCATGTGGTAGAGAGCGATGTCACGAGTTGTCTCGCGGAACCGGACTGTGTTTGAGAAACAAGGGTCATATCGATACACCCAAGACATAAAGTTGATAGCTGCGAAAATCTTCGGTATTATTCTGGAGAGCAGTCAAGCTCCACAATATGGGTCTGCTTCGACTCAAAGCAAAGTCAGCTTCTGATTACATGTCAAGAGACACGATGTCTGATAAATCTGAGAGAAGATTCTTGTGAGCACATGGAGTGCGAGATCTCGTCTTCTCCAAAGACGCCCTTACTCTTATTGCGGCTGTGTTGGCCCGACAGTTCACTCCATACAGGAGGTCTGAATTGTGACGAAAACTTTTGAAGATGAGCTAGCCTCCTGCACCGGTGAATAAGAGAGGGAGCTTCTCGTAGAGCAAAAAATGTTGAGGTCAAATTGGTTTTGAGGCATCTATCGGACTATGTTTTCTACCGTCATTTCCATGGAACTCGACAATGGTCTCTACCATCTCATCAAATCCACTATCTGAGGTGTCGTGGGGCTTGCTCCATGTTCGAGAAGCAGAAACTGTCTCACATCCAAGATTCTACTTCAAGACATAGAATGAACGATTTCGAGATCTAACGAGCACTTACTGAAGAGCCTTTGAGATTCGGAGGTTACATGAGAATGGGTCCAGCTCTTGGCCCAACCACCGTAGGAAGATTGGTGGACATGCACGTCAATCTTGCTATCTGAATTTTCTTAGTCGGGAATGTCTCAGAAATGATGCCAAAATACACTTGTCTGCCCAACCTTCCGTGCTGGTTTAACGAAACACTTACTGAAAGAGGCTGTGGTTATGATAAGATTTCATCTGGGCTATTCCATGTCTGTAAAGAATATAGTGTAGTCAGATTCGTTCGATATCGGCCAGACGATAAATTCTCAGTTGATCTTTCCAACTGACGAATGCTTAACCTCAGTACATATCCTACAGCTCAGGATGACAGACAGCCTCTGGCCACGACCAAAGCCTAGCGACCGAGGCCGACAACAGGCTTCTCACTCCACCAATAGACGCCATAGCCATGACTCCTGGCGAGGCAGCCTTGTCTTCGCTCTCAGACTCGACAGGAGAGTCAACCATCTCAACCTCCACCACATTTGCGAGCGCGTCTAGCTCTTTTCTCCAAGCAGCCACCACATCAAACAGCTGAGTTTGAGAGCAGCTCTGACAGAGACAAAGTTTGGCCAGTCTCACAAGTGTCTCTGCTCCTGTCCAGCTATTGCTACTGTTTGTAGCATTCTTTATGACGGCCCCTGCTAGTGAACGAATGTTGTAGAAGACAGATACCTTGCATTGATCGCTGAGCCTTCCATAGCTTGATTTGCCGATGCAGCGGTGGATCATTGAGATGGCGGAGAGTTCCTGGAGTGTTGTGATACGATATAAGGGGATTTCGATGGCTTGGTCCATTGTGCGAATTTGAGATTGACGTATGGACTGTTCTTTGATCGTGGAGCAGTACGTGATTCCGGAGGACATATCGGAAGACATGTCGGAATAGATGAACAAAGCGACAGAGTAGATTGATAAAAACTTCGGGGGTGAAGATCAGGTTCGTCAATGCTTCTGAGATTTGGAAAGGCGCATCACTGATCGGGCAGAGGAGACTAATAAGTAGTGTTGTCACGAGGAATTGAGGTGAATCAAGTCGAGTGCAAATATAGCGACCGAGACATGGCTTCCAATTGCTTTGTTTGTTGTCTCATGCGCCTAAGTACATTTCCAAGAGAAAACTGCTGGAACTGGTACTTCGACCATGCCTGAGGCGATGGAAGTTTCAACGGATGAGGTTGCCCCTTAAATTGCAGAAGCAGAAAAAAAGATATAATCAAGCAAAGTCATTCCCAGCTTTGAGTCTTACGAAGATGAGAGCAACCGCTAGAGGGTCGCAACTGCGGATACCTATGCCATATCTTGGAAATGTAGAAATTGCCCTGTTGCCCACTACGACCTGCATATGTCTCCCGGTTCAAAATCCTCGTCCAGCAAGATCACAAGGAAAACATTCCAGCCGGGTGAAGCACTTGTCGCTGCCTTCTCATTGAGAGAGACAGGAGCGGTGTGGTGAACAAAGGGTCTGAATTCATTGTTCCAAGAACGACGGTCTCGGAGCTAAGTGTTCCCGATGACCAAGACAACTGACACGACTACGTCCTATCTCTTTTCAAGGACGGTAAACGAAAGAATAACCATACTAAGTCCTACGCCCTGCCAGACAGCCTTGTAATAATCCAACAAAGACTTCGCGAATGATTCTCTGAAGTTATCTGTATTGTCCGAGAGCTGGTGTTCGTCCCGAAGGTTGCAGTCGAATTTGTTTTGAAGGTTGCTAACCAAGTGTTCATAATACTGCTCGATTTGTTCCGGGTGGACTTTTTTACAGTCCGAGTATACCCAATTTTTATACATTAAATCTGCTGCCACGTATTTTTCTATGTTCATCACACAAAGATGCTGTATGTCTTGCTTCTGTAAGTTGCGAGCCAAGAAAGTCTCAGAACTCGGCTCACTCATTTTGAAGGTGTTTGGAGATCTGATGCATCATTATCACAAGGGATGGCAATGGGAGATTAGAAGCAAGATTGTTTCCGTCTGAGCACGTTGGAGATACCATATTTCAGTGAATATTCCGTGTGCGAAGTTATCACAAATGAAGTTCTAAATGATGACTGCTTGATTTACGACATGACATGTAAAAGTAAAAAATTTACTATATTCTGAAGACCCCCTGTGCGCATCTGCCGGTTGCAGATCCTATCCAGACATTAATCACCAAACTCGTTTGGATATCTTCCCTCTATGCTATGTCCGACTAGCTCAGAGCCCACATGATTCAATCTCTTTGTGGTGTATCTTGTCTGCTGCTGCAAGAACTTTGTGGAGGGGTCAGTGGTCTGCTATTCCCTAGACCTGGGATCGAGAGCCACGAGCTGTTCTCGGGCGAAGCAGAAGCTTCATGAACAATCGCAGGCAAGCGAATATTGACATCCATGATGATGATTTCTTCGTGCTGGACAGGTCCCTGCAATCCGGTCGTCTCCATCTTCAGCTGATGCATATGGGTATTCAGTGGATCGTTGGTATCTTCTGCTTGATTGACCCTCTCTTGGTATGCTTCGAGGGCATTCTCAAGCAGTGCGATTGGGTCGGTCGCGTCAAGCCCGGCTAATGTTAGCCCCTCTTCCAGCAGAGCAATTTTGACTTGGAGTGCAGAGATGGTGGCTCTTTGTTCGTTGGCCATACCTTCGGAGTTTGCCAATCGAGCTGCGAGTTCATCAACATATGACTGAAGATGATAGCACTCGTCGTATGATGAAGTCAACTGACGAGTAAGATAGGACAAAGAAGCATCTTTCGCTGTGATTACACTCAGCAAGCGACGGATCTCATGTTCATCTTGTTGAAGGACATAGGATTGATCGTTTTCGACCAGTGTAAGCGTCTGAATATTCTGCACAAGCTGACTGTTTGCACCTTCGAGCTTGGTATTGTCGCTTCTCAGATCTATGATTGTTTCCTCCAGTTGTTGGGTTTGTGACAAGAACTTCTGAAAGCACGAGGTGACCTTCTTATCCTGTGTTACCGGTGTTGTGTTGTCCTTGTTAGTGAACGTAGTGACTACGTTACACTTGCTGCACTCTGCTAGCTTGATTTCTTCTCCCAAGGTGATCGATAAGTCTGCCAGCCATCCGGTAGCGGCATAGACGATTGCAGTCGGACGACGAGGATGCTCTTGACAAATGCAAGCATCGGCGAGAAGGATGATTGAACAGCAGATTGACTTCTTCTTGCCCTTGAGTTCAAGATTTTGTAAGATTCGCTTGGCTTTTTCGTTGGCTGCGATTGTGATTGTCCTCTTGCATTGATATTTTTCATGAACGAAACCAAGGCAGTTGAAGTTCAGTGTGGAGAGGTTGAGTTTGTTGAAGTTGATAAGTGCGTAGATCATGGTGAGATACAGGTCAGCAGAGATGTGTTGTACGATGTAGTGGTAGGGAGCAAATAATGTTAGATGTAAATGAGGGTCTTCAATACTGCTAAACTTCTCTCGATATATAGTGCAGCTCTTGAGAGCGAGATATCTCACCTCGAGTAACAAAGTGTGTACAAGCTTTCGATATCTCCTTTGTAATTGCATGAGACATCTGTCTATTCTCGCAGTCGAGTCACGACACGAAGTCAGACATAAGAAGCCAATGTCTCGCGAGTCTTCGCAAATGTTTCGAGGCCCTGCTAACACCTCAAGACAGCACTTCCGTCTCAAACAACACGATTTCAGCACAAGTGACTCAATCTGTTGGTGACTAAGATTTCACAGACTCCTGAGGCTGCAAGTCACACATGATACGCCTATGCAGTATTGGATAGTACAAACCTGTCATGAAAAAAGCCTCTCGCAGTTACCATGAACTTCTGTGAGAGAGGTAAGGGAGTTTATGACGTTCTTGATTTGGCTTCTGGCAATTTTGTCACCTCAAGAGAAGAAAGAGCGATGACTTTACAAACTAATCACCAAACAGTTAAACTCCTTCTCGTTGACGGAAATATTCCATCCAATGCCTAACCCACGGAAAAAAAACAGGTCTTCAGAAATACAATCACATTCTAGTAAAGGTCTGATGTTCACAAGACATCAAAGCTTTGGCATCAATCTATGCTTTCTCAATCATTTGAGACCTCGACTCTGTTCAACCTGACTTTCCAAAACATGACACCCACAAATTAGTTGTCGAAGGCATATTAAACAAATAGCTCTGTACTTGGATGTGGGTTCTCTGAGCCAAATATTGCTCATCCAGTCACAGTGCATTGGAACTTTCCACGCAAAGCACAAAGAATTTATCACCAGGCTCCTCTCAAAGACCACCCGAAAGCCCAAAATTTCCAGTCTGATATCATTCTCTTTGAACTACCTTTGCCAGTTTGCTATCTTCTTTATGCTCCACCAAACTTCCGAACTGTCGTTCTATCGTACATTACTGTTTGCGTCAACTTTCTTTATGCTCTCTTTCAAAGAACATTTCCCTTCTACCAAATATTCACATCATATAAAAAGAAACACACAACTTCAATGTCATCCATATCCTCCAGTATCAACACTCTAACACCCGTTTCAACCCCTTACAAACAGGCAAATACTCCCCAAGCCCTTTTATAAACCCCCAACCCACAAACAAGATGCCGTGGACCTGCTGCCGTTGCCGCTACACTCAGAGCACTTACAAAACCAGCTGTGCGGGCTGTGGTATGTACACCCTGTCAGAACTCTACACGCATGCCGCTAATCATCACTTTTTAGGTCATCGATCGTGCTCATACTGTATTTACCACTCTAGAGAGAACCGCGCGACTACTACTGCCTCTTTCTCTGACAGCACATCTGACATTGTCGACTCTGCTGCTGCGATGTTGGAGATTGCTGAAAAGAGCTGTTTTACTATGCCTGATGGTGGTAGGTAGAGCCAACCACCACTTGAATGCCGATATACTTCGAATTGGTTGACTCACTGGTAACTCTACTCGCTACACTTCTTCCAGATAGGAAGCCACATGAGTGGCATCTTATCTTCTTCTTCTTCTTCTTCTTCTTTCTTGGACGGCTTGGAGTTTCTGATCTCATAAAAACATACATATACTCTTCTTGGATTGTTGCTGGATATCAAAATATAAATACTTTTTCTTCTTTGAATTTATTGTTTCTCTCTTGTGTGATGTGATGTGCTAGGATGTGAAAATGATTGTGACTCCTACACTGCAAAAAGCAGGCATAGAATCAAGCAAATACGAAACAAGTAGGAAGGAACAAGGAGAGACGCATAACGAGCAAACAAGTCAAAAAGTCAACAAGTCAAAATTCCTCCTTCACTTACAAGTGGGACAATATAGGTATCAACAATTTGCTCCCTTTCACCCACTCAGGAGCACCAAAATCCCAAGGATGTTTGGCCTGAGGGGAATAGCCTGTGCTTATGCATCGGGAGAAGTAGGAGACGGCGCGGTCTCCTTTTGCTGGTTCTGTGTTCGATCCTTGTAGTGGTTGGTTTTTGCCTTTTGAAATATTTGTGACCTTCATGATAAGAATTCGTGCTTTGGGTGTGTTCTCCGACTGAGAGTTGATACAGACCACAACACTTGATGTGGAAGAAGTTATCATTGAAGCGACGACAATGTGGTTTTTTCGTATAAACACCGGATCAGAAGTGTCTGTGAGACTGATGCTCTAGATATGACCAACAACGATAAGCACCATCTCTCTCAATCCAAAAACGCTTCTATCCGACTGATGATGTCTTCTCTTGCCTTCGACTCATCATGGAGTTGCTTGACTATGTCTGACAACTCCTCGTCCATGCGCTCGGTCGCCGCGAGCCTGGCAAGTAACAGCGTCTCAACCACTGCGAGGTCGTTGCTCGTCTTCTCAAGAGCAGCGTTCTCTCTCTTCAGTTTTTCAATTTCCTGTTTCGCGTGCTGATTGTTTGCCAATGCCGTAGTGAGTTATTTGGTAGACGTTTTTTCGATATGCTGAGGGTCCTTGAGGTTGTAGTCTCCAGAATTGACGCCGCCCTTGCGTGGAATGCCCAGAAGATCTGCGTACCATTGCGATGTCACCAGGTCAACGATATCGGTGCGGTGGGGATGCATCTCGCAAATATAGCTTTTGGCAAGGCGTTCGATTCCAAAACGGGTCAAAGGCACGCCAGGTCTGAGGTAGACTCTCAGGGCTAGCTCGACCTTCTCCATAGCTGCTCGAGTGATGTCCTGATCACAGCGGTGGTTGTCTTTTGTTGGGCCAATGCATCTGAAGCTCAGTGTAGATTGATAAAGCAGATTGGCATCTATGAGGCTGTAACTCATGACTGCGATGAATGAAGTAGTAAGATGGAAAGGTGTTGGGGACGAATGAGTAGGTGATAGTAGGTGATTTGATAGAATGCAGAGAATCATCGAGGAAATGCCTGCTGTATAAATAGTTCAGGAGCAAGTACTCGCTTCATCGAAAGCTTGTACGTTGAAAACAATGTCTTGAATATGATCAATGTGTGAGTTTGAAGTCGATAAGGATCCTGATATCGCTGTATACAAGACACGCCAATGCCTTCTGACCTCTGTCTTAGACCCCATCCTTGAAGGCAATGCAAGACTCGCTGTTCAGGCGACTTCAGCAAGTCGGCGTTTGCGTCAAGACAGATCTGAATCAGATGCCTGAACGCCACGATCCTGAGCTACGTTCAATGAGCGTCTCGAATTGATGGAAGACCATGGCTAACTAGCTAGATTTTGTAGCATGGCGAAAAAGGCGAGACTAGAATAATGCACAGCAATGATGGGAGATGCAGATGAGGAAGCGGCGATGTTCGGGAAAGAAGCCGCAAAGCCTAAGCCGAGAATCAACCGGCCGTCTCTCAACTTTCTGGAGCATACCAAAGCATCAGCGAAACAGACATCGCCGTCGATAATACAAGCCCCTCGTCGCCATGGCCTCAGCAGCAAAGAGCGTGTGTCGCACAGCAGCGCGCCAATTGCGCTCCAACCAACGCCCACACTTCCAATCCGTCTCCCGACCATTCAGCACCACTCGCCGCACCCTCGCCGCAGACAAGAAGGAATCCTCAGGCAGCGAGGGCTACTTCAACCGTGCCTTTTACAACCGTCTCGATCGCGATGACCAGGCTTCATACACATCGCTCACACCGGATGAACGCCAGAAGATGGAGAACGTAGACAGTGCTCTGCGCGACCATTTCGCAAAGGACAGTCGCACCCACCGTGAGATGGAGGACAACATTGCCGCTGAGCTGGAGGCGCTGGATTTCGAATTCCCTGCTGGTCCCGTTGAGAGAGAGCCCAAGAACAATGGTTTCTTCCAGATGGGCGAGAAGGAGGATATTGGTCCTGATGAGGATGATTTCCAGGGCGATGATATTTCGAGTTTGGGTCATGGAGAATTGGAGCAGACGAGGGAGATTAGAGAGTATGCACGTTTGGCAGGCTGGGAGATGCCTTTGTTGGCGAGTACGTTTGGTCCACCTGCACGAGTCTATTCAAGGCTTCATACTGACGACAGCATCTAGATCTCACACAACCCTTCACACCACCCACAGCCGCCACACCTCTCCGTTTCCGCTACACAACCTACATGGGTGAACAACATCCCGCATCACGAAAGGTCGTCGTAGAATTTGACCCCTCGGACCTCAGTCTCACCCCCGCACACACCCAAAACCTGATCAAGCTGGCCGGTGTACGCTACAACCCTGTGTCCAAACTCGTAAAGATGAGCTGCGAAGACCACGAGACCCAAGCACAAAACAAGCGCTACCTTGGAGACACCATCAAGGGCTTGATCGCAAAGGCAAAATCACCAGAGAGCGAATGGCTCAAGGACATCCCCGTGGACTTCAGACACGCAAAGCCGAAGAAGCGATTCCAATTCCCCGAGGAGTGGCTGTTGACCGAAGAGAGAAAGAAGGAGTTGGAAGCAAGGAGGGAAGCCAGAGAGTTGGCACAAAAGACAAAGATGGAGAGCCCGGCTGGTTTGATTGACGGTATCAAGGAGATCGAGGAGGCCAGGAATATCGATCTGTCTAGAGTGGAAGCTCCCTTGATGGCAGAGGCCAAGCAGCCCATGGCCAAGGGTAAGCAAGGCAAGAAGGAGATGAGACAGGGAAGAGCATAGATTGATCTCCCTCCTTCTTGACCTCCTCCACTGCACATATATACTTGTACGATATTCTCTTTCATGTAAAAACAAGAAAGGCTTCTGAGCATTATTTGGATGGCGTTACTATTCTTTCTCTACCTCCTCTTATCATCACTTCCGGACATGACTTTGTCGTTTCTTCTCTCCCTCCATCTGTCAAACCCCACCAAGCTTCTTCTTCTTAATCCACCGTTACCCATCAATCAACAAACTCCAAACACAAACACAAAACACAATCAAGGCCAAGCACCCCTCAACATCCTCTCCTCCTGCCACTCAAACCTCCCCCAAATCCTACTAACCCCATCATCAAAAGCCAAATCCTCCCTCCTCCGATCCCCCGGCTTCAACCTCAAACTCTCCCTATTCCAATCCACAAACTCATTCCTGGTGATAGCAATATTGAACGCAAAACTACTCTTCGCATATCCCGCAAACGAACTACTTCTCCTCAAAACTTCATAATCAACCAATCCCTGTTGATCCCAAGAAAGCGCTTGTAAAGTGGAAAGGTCTGTGGGTGATAAAAGGGCAGTTTTGTGGGTGACGGTTATATTATGCAAGAGAGATGCTTTTTTTGCGAATTTGGAGATTTCGGAGATGTTGCCGGAAGCCACGTATATGATTTGCAAGTTTCTTTCCACGGCTTGGGATAGATATGCGTCTGTTTGGCCGTCGAAATCGGCGTGGGCGGAGGGTGTGGCGTTTTCCAACCATCCGGCATTTTTGGCATCGTTTTCTGTGCGGAGGTGGGCGCCTAGGAAGGAGGATGGGTAGTAGGGGAGGCGGGGGTCGATGTCGTGGAGGTGGTGGGTGAGGGCGAGATTGTAAGTTACCAGGGCAGCTAGACGGCGGACTTCTGGTATCAAACGCAGGGAGGAGCCGAAGTCGCGACGGACGGCTGGAGGTAAAGAGCGGGTATCCAGGCCTTCCCAGAGAGTGCGGCCAACACTGATGAGAGTGATATTCTTGGGATCGCGGTCGGGTTGAGCGAGAATCCAGGATTGGAGGTCTTTTACCGCCGCTGAAGGTGTGTTTGGTTTTTCTGTATCGCGGGTATCTGGGTAGAGATCTTGTCGCATACTCGGCATGCCGTAGCGATTGTGAAGGGGAGGCGGTAGAGAATGATTGCCTTTCGGTTTGTAGATGGTCATCTTTGGACACGCTGCTGCGAAGGTGGCTATGAAGTGGTCTTCGTCGAAGAATGTGCTGAAAGGTATCTTGCCATTCCAAAGAGCGCTCAGATCTGTCGAAGATCTTGATTGAAAGCTAGGTAGCACGATCGAAGATCCGCTCAAGATGGCCAGACCAAGGAAGTCGAAGATGTTGCCTCGAACATTGCCTATCCCACCATTGGCATCGTCCAGATCCAGCACTACGTCTGGCTGCCATTTGATGTTTGGTTGGCGACATAAGAAAGAGATGGCCGAGTTGTTCGGTTCATTACCGATCTGATTGTCCATCCATTCTTGGATGAATGTTTCGCGGTCTATCGTCCAGGCATTGTGATGGGGTATGTGCCGGCTGACGAAAAGAGGAGTCCGCACTCGAAAGTGCCATGCCAGAAGCCAAAGTGGTATCGCCGTGAATAGAACGCCAGCTATGAGCTGTATTCTATGGCCAGGTGCACTTATAATTGCCATGACTAGTACATAGCAAAGAACAGACTGACGTGGCATAAGTGAAAATAATCGCGAGAACTTTCGGCTCAAAAGCTAGCCCCTTGCTTCATACTTGCACATTTACAGAACCATCCCTGGCGATAAGATATGCCGAGGCTTCAATTTGCTAGCACTCTGTGACTAGCAGACTTGAAAGAGCGGGATTCAGCCGACTTCATATTTCTAACAAGCCGCTTGACCATCCTGCTTCAGATCATCAACATGGCTAGCATGCGCGAGCAGAAATTTGCAGCACGTCAACGTGTATTTGCATGCCCTCGTCCAAGCTTCCTCCTGATTGAAGGTTCCAAGCTTGATGCTGTTATCACCAATCTTGTCCTTACTTATCTTGTAAGGAAGTTTGCGACTTAGAGCAGACGCGCCGACATATGAGGGAGATTGCTCAACATGCTCGCCCAGCTGTCGAAGACATTCGAGGAACGCAACCATGGCATTATCGAAGCCACGATGCAGGAAGCCCAATCCGAGAGGAAGATCACTGTTGCAGAAAAGGTCAAGACTTGTGACCTTTGGCTTGCCAGTTCGTGATTGATCATTCGCTGGATATTCGAGCTTCTCGATTCTTGATGTAGAGCCGATTGGAAGAGGCCTAAAGCCGTGAAAAGTGCAGCCTAGCTTCTCAGCGACGACCGTCAATAGTAAGACACAAAGACCCCATGCAGCGTTGATTTCCGGCCATTCGACAGCGTGATCTGGAAGCTTGCCTAATCTCAATCCGTTGATTGTGCCAAACGGACCGTCATGATCAATGCAGAACGAGTCATTGTAGACATTTGTTCGCTGCAGAGCTTCAAGCAACTTTGTGTCAAACTGAAGTTGGTTGAGTAAGCTGTCGTTTTGTTCTCTGAATTTAGTGACAGTGTTATCAAAGTCATTGCGTTCACGCCAGAAAGCGGCTTCCTCTTCTTCGAGTTCGGCTTCTTCGCGGTTGAGGGCAGCGATTTCTTCTTCCATGGCAGTCTTTTCCGCTTCAAGGGCCTCCAACTCCCTAAGAGCTTTTTCCTCTTGTTGTTTCGCAGCAGCCAGAGCTTCGCGGGCCTGGCGTTGCTCTTCCTGTGAAGGAACGCCCTCCTTTGCCTTTTTGAGGAACTCCCCATATGCCTGACGTTCACGGTTCGCCGTTGTTTGACGTTGTTGGAGACCAGCCAGTAATAGATCGGTGCATTCTGAGCATACCGGATGGTCGATATCAGAGCGAGAAGATAAGATCTCCCATAAGCGTAGGATTCTCTCAATCTCGGTAGAGAGACTAGTTGAGTCATGCTGGTCTGGAGACTTTGAGTCCTTCTCAGGGGCCTTTTTGAAAGGGCTAGAGTCTTCCGGTGACATAGGTCCAAGCTGAGATTCACTTAACATCACGTAAGACATGGCAGGATTGAAGTTGGCAGTCTTTTGCGGAGCCTGTATTGACCGCTTTTGCTGAGCGGGACCGGCATTTTGAGAAGCCTTGTCATATACGTCTCTCCGTTCGCGAGCAGCGAGCGTTTTGGGTGGTTGAGGAGTATGGCTTGGTAGAGAAGGCGTCGAGTCTTGACTATCAGCCTCAGTCCAAATAAAATTACTAGTTTGATACACACCGACTAAGATTTTGAAAGAGGACGGATTGAGGTGCTCCAAAGAGTTGTCGAGTTTCAAAGGAGTCCTGCATTTCTGGCAATACATGATTGATGTGTGAGGTTTGAAGGAGGGTTAAGGAGGGGCTCGAGGGAGAGAGGCAGTCTATGCACCAGGAGTATTGGGTTGTACAGTCATCAGGCAGCGGCCAGCACGGCAAAGTCTTAGACAGAGTCAAATGGAATTATTCGAGTACTCGATGTGAAAGCAACTGCGACGTGGAAGCTCGCATGTGATGGAAGCACCGAAGGTTGGAAGCGGCATGGAAGCAGTTGGCGCCTCGGCGCAGTTGCCGGAACGGGAAGTTGCGTCAGCCCCGCGGGAAACAATTCACGACTCGAACGCGTCCACCTTGATTTCCTTCATTGTCTGCAGACACTCTTCTGGACATGTGAAATGCCAACAACAATCAGGCCGTCATCCCCTGAGCCATGGCGTTCGATGGTTTTCACCGAGCCCGCAGCTCATCGCGAGACGACCGAATCGACTATGATCCTGATGAATACCAACGCGGCCGACAACGAATCGACCTGAAACTCAAAGGTACCTTTGAGCGCATCTTCGAGAAATACGCCAAAGACTTTACTGGAGTCGGCGATGAAATCGACATGGAGACCGGCGAGGTCGTCGTCAACAACGGCCACCTGACGTACATGCAACACGAACGAGACACGGGAAAGAGCGCCTCATCGCGCTTCGTGAGAGCTTTCGCTGAAGAGTTGGAAGTTGAAGACGGCCATGAGGACAATGCCGACGACGATGTTGAGGATCCTGCAGAGTTGCCTGAAGAAGAGCCTGAAGAGGAAGACGACGACAGCCAAGAGGAGGAGGATGAACAAGAAGAAGACGTCAGCGACGACGAGGATGGAGACTACGAAGATGCAGCTGTCGACGCTGGCGACGAGCAATCAGGCGACGAATCTGACGACTTGGGCCGCGACCACGACGAGCTCGCTCTCGATCCGCGTTTGGCCCAGCCTGCTCAGTCGGATGTTAGGGTTAGCCATGAGCAGCAATACCACAATACATCCGTCGTTCCATCTACTGAAGTCGCTCATTCTCTGCCTCAAATCTCCATCGCCGACTCTCTGAATCAGCTTGTCCCACATCAAGATGCCGAAGGAAGAGTCGATCCCGAGGCCATTCATCAGCTGGGCCAAAGCATTGCCAATCAAATCGCCGACTTTCTCATGCGTGCTACCTCCCTCAATCGTCAACCGCATTTCCCAGGCCAGCCTCAAGGCATCTGGTCCGCTCCCGCACTGCCTGAAGACGCTTTCAACCCGCCCAACTACCTCGACAACCGTGCCAACGCTCTGACGCCAGCTCCGCATCGCGCTCCCTCTGTTTGGGACTCTCCTTCTGGTGGTCAGTCACTTTGGGCTCCTGCAGCCTCACGGCCCAAGAAGCGTCGCAGACTCCTCAAACATACCGAGACTTCATTCGACCTAGATCCTGCATTGACTGATGATCCAACCTTCTCCGACGCTGCTAATTCAAGAAATCGTGTGAGACAAAACCGTGGCTACTCTAGAGAGGAAGATGATTTGATCAAGCGTTTGAAAGAGATCAATGGCTTGACCTGGCAACAAATCACTGCCCACATGCCTGGAAGAACCATGGGTGGCCTTTCGGGCCGCTACACTCGTGTCTTGAAAGATTTACCTCGACCCGTCATGATCAAGCGTGAGATCATCGAGATCATGGATGGCGAAGACGACGAGTTGTCTACTCCTGGCCCCTCGCATACAGCAGCATCGCCCGGCATGTCACCTTTCCGCACTCCGCTCCTGCGCCGTGCTATGGATAAGCAGATAGCACGTCATGGAGACAATGGCGAGATCCCTATCACCATAGGGGACGAAGGCGATGACACAGACTCACAGCGTGATTCTTCTGCTCCACCGCCAGCTGAGCTCTTCTCTGATGGTCAGGGTGGCCACTATAGACGTCATCCAATCACCGGGGTGGCTGCTCCAACCCTCTACATGTCGGATACGCCCGAAGTGGATACCCCAGAGCCTGTCAAGAATAAAAGAGTACCAAAAGAGAGATACCTTCCACACGGACCTGCTGGGTTCTACAGAACGTTCGACACCTCGGATCCAAAGGTCGGAAGCTTCGGTATGCTTCGTACGGACAGTCCATCCACACATGTTGCACAGGAACACAATCTCAACTTCTTCGGACCTACCAGCGGCTTTGGCGTGCTAAGAATGGAGCAGCCAAAGCAGTCGAAGAAGAAGAAGAGGCGGCCAAGTGCGAAGGCTTCCAACGAGTCAGAAGCACCTCGAAGGACTTCTGATGAGAGACACTATAATCAGGAGAAGTTGGACAGACGTTTCAATCAGTCCAATGCCTCAACGTACACTTACCCAGCACCTCAACTGCGAGATAGGTTAGCCAATACGCCGACCAGCACTATCAATCTGTTTGCTCGTGCTGAGCAGTATCTGAGGGCTAAGGGCCTGACTGCTGCTGGCATGACTACATCTCAGCTTATCTCGTCGTTGCAAGCAAACCAGCGCGCAAATCCCACGGCAGCAAGATCGAGTAACACCGGTAGTTCTACCAACATGATGCCTCCACCTCCTGCCAGATCTCGCTTCGAACCTGTGTTCGAAGAAAGCTCGCCCGTGCATCCACCTCATCCGCCTCCACCGTACAGCGCCAATCCACCTTTACGAGCAAGCACTCCTCCTCCATGTCGTACAGAGCCGATGGTAATCGACACAGAAAACGATGGCGATGTTAGTGACTCGTCGGCGACTATGGATACCCCAGCAACAGCGACCCGCTATGCCGATTCTCCAGTAATGACCGCTCATGATGGGCCTTACTTCCTCTCAAATCTCCCACCGCCGCCAAGTCCGTTCATGCCGGCACCGCAAGCACAGATGCGCATGCCGTCTTCATCGCCACTCTCTTCACCTCCACCGGCTCCATCGCCCGCGCCTTCGCAGTCTTCCTCGAATGAGAGCCAACGTCGTAGTGTGAGAAGCTCCACAAGGCAAGCGACCAAGAAGTCGTTACAACCATCTGAACCAGTCAGATCAGGCGAAACGAGTCTACCAACGCCTAAGCCAGCTATCAGAAACATCGCTCTTGCTGCAACGCCTAAGACGCCGGTGGTACGCTACGGGACGCCTCTCAAAGAGACGGTGGGAAGGAAAGAAATGTTGAGAAAGAGGGTTTTGGCTGAGCCTGACGATGGATCAGAGGACGAACTCGCGTAGATATCTCATTGTTACTCATTATCATCTTTTGTTTTGCATGGAAGGCGCAGCACAGCGTGTGGAAATATCAAGCATGGATGGAGTTTCTGCATTGCGAATACCCATGGTTAGGAGAATTGCTTTCACTGGTTTTGTGCTAAGATTGAGTGGGATAAAGGAGATTGCTTTCCCGAGTTTGACAGCGAAAGTTTCAAGCAAAGAGATGTACATATACTACTTGCAGCGTCAAGCAAACGATTCATCTTCTCTGCAACAACTTCCTGTTATATCCCAGCGATATCCGCATTAAATCCACCTGGCTTCAGCTTACAAAGCCTTCTGACCACCAGAGCTCCCACAATTAACCATCCTCCTTGCTGACTCTTTGTCACCCCCATTGCAAGCCAGCCTTTTCATTTAACCTCAGGTTTTGGTCGCGGTTCGTTTTGGATGTCAGTAAGCGTTCTTTGTCGTGGTCGTGGATACGTGTTTGAGATATGTTGATAGCATAGTTTTCCTTTTCGTGTCACGTTCTTGTTACTGTTGTTTGCTTGATGATCTTTTGGTCGTTGATTCTTGATTTCATAGTCGTGCGGTCGGTATTGATGTTCGTTGTACACCTCCGGGTCTGTTGAGAGTCTGTTCCTCTGTTCTTGCATCTGCACAGCTTTTGTGTTTCTGAACTTAGCTGAAGAAGAAGCCCGGATACGTCGGATCGTTCGGGTCGATATAGAAACTGTGCCGTCCAGTGAGGAAAGCATTACCTCTGACTTTGGGTATGCAAGTCGGAAATTCTGCACCCTCATCCTGCTGCTGCGAAACAATGCTGGCTTCAAAAGTCGTGTTGATGATGGAATGATGGATGAGTTTCTTTCCACCATTCAATTTCCCTTGGGCCAGTAAAACTGCAACTCGGGCGCCTGTTCCACTGCCACAGGGTGATCTGTCGATCGCGCCTTCTGCGTAGACGACCACGTTTTTCTGCTCGATGGCTTGGGAGTTGTCGCTGAGGGTTTGGAAGAAACATACGACGTAGAGGGAAGTTCCCGCGTGATCGCCTTGTTTTCCAAGTTTGGTTTTGATCTGACTGGCCAGTTCGATGAAGCGTTGGGAGTTGGTTGGCTCTATTTCAATCCCGATATCGCGAGCATCGACAGATGCGATTGAAGCTCCGCCCCAAGATATATTGACGCTGAGATGTAGAGTTTCTCCTCCATGTGCAGTTACACTTATAGGTATGTCTTTGGCGAATTGGTAGCTTTTGACGTTTACGAAATCCACATGGATCACTTTGCCATCTTTGAAGTTCACATCTGCCGCTACTCTGCCAGAAGGTACGTCGATGATGACTTTGACTGGGCCGTCTTGTACTGAGTCTACAAGTCCCTTGGCTACTGCATAGCGGCCTAGAGCGATGGTTCCATGACCGCAGGCAGTGGAGAAGCCATCTCTATGCCAGAATAGAACACCGAGATGGGCGCCAGAGTCGTTCGGGGGCACGATGAAACCGCCATACATGTCAGCATGACCTCTGGGCTCATGGCAGAGAGATTGGCGTAGTTGATCCAGAGGATGACTCGGTTCCTTCATGATATTCAGGCGGCGTTCCCATACTGTGTTTCCCGTTGTCGTGCAGTGGGGTGGTAGATCTGGGACGATGCGGAAGGGCTCGCCGGCAGTGTGCCAGTCTTCTGTCTGGATCCAGAATGCTTCTTGTTCTGTCATGATCGTTTTGTCGTCAAAATGAGACTGTGCAAGAACACGTTGGAGAGAGGGAAGTTTTGTTGTCTAACTGATGCCCATCGTGGTTCGTCAGCAGCCCCCACCTTGAGATCCTCTGAGAAGGTGAGCAGATTCAGGGAAGTCAGAAGCCGACCGGTCGGCCAGAGGATGGAGATTGGTACCACATTTTTGACAGTATTCAACGGTACATGTTATGAATAATGTCAGAAATACCGAAAGTTCAAGCACATGATCCTGTGATGAGTTTGAGAAACAGAGCGAGTCATAGCCAGGGTGATACGGTTCACAAAAAGAGTTGAGCGTGAGTCTTGGCATGTTTGCACCTAACACGAATAAGGAGACAACCCAAGGAGCAAGTCCGGGGACATCAAAGCGTAGCCGCTACGTTTACCAAAATACTCAGGAGAGCTGCTGAGCTTCCTGCCTTTTCACTCGCGTCGTCAACAAAAAAACAAAAAGCACCAGCAGGGGATCCCAATTCCGACCGGGAGCCAGGCCAAAGGAAAAAAGAGATGGAGTCACGAACAAGTTTCCTCGTGCGATTGCTGCTACTCGCATTGCTGCCCCTCAGCTTCGCCCTCAAATTCGACATCCAGGCGCATCCCGGAGCAGAGTCGGCGAGCAAGGAACGCTGCATCCGCAACTTTGTCGCAAAGGACCAGCTTGTCGTTGTGACGGCAACCATCAGTGGACACAGAGGAGATGGCCAGGTTTTGAACCTGCACGTGCGTTGATTCCAACCTTCAGCAAGTAAAGAGAGTGTGTACGGGAAGATGCTGACGGGATGTTGCTGGTGTAGATCAAGGATGCTGTTGGCAATGACTACCACAGACCTCGCGATGTCGCTGGCGAAGGTCGCTACGCTTTCACCTCTCACGCCGATTCCGCCTTTGATGTCTGCTTCGAGAACATCCTGACTGGAAGTACGTTTGCTTGATGCAATTCTCAACACGCAGCTTGCAGTCACTGACAAGCTCTTCACGAAACAGACAACGGAGGATCGAACCCCAGCCGCCACGTTGAACTCGATATCGATATTGGTGCCGACGCAAAGGACTGGTCTGCCATCCAAGCCGGCGAGAAACTTCAGCCCGTCGAGACGGAATTGCGCAGAATCGAAGAGATGGTCGCAGAGGTTGTTGGCGAGCTGGACTACCTCCGCATCCGCGAGCAGAAGCTGAGAGATACCAACGAGAGCACAAACGAGCGTGTCAAGTGGTTCGCCTTTGGCACCATGGGTATGCTGGTCGGCCTGGGCGCATGGCAGATTGTCTACCTGCGCGCCTACTTCAGGTATGTCCCTCTGCATCATTCTCTGGTTGCGCCGCATGCTCACGAAACATCACAGATCAAAGCACCTCATCTAGACGAGTCGGACGGTTTCATGCATTTTATGTCATTCCAGGTCGGAGAGCTACGTCTGTGTTATATGCAGCAATGGTTCATAGGTACTGTATTAGCAATAACAGCCTCTCTCCCTCGTTTGTTTCGTTCCTCTGTCACCTGTCACAGCCAGTAGCTAGGTCCTGACCGCCGTCTGTCATTTCTCTGCCTGCTCGTCTTGACCTCCGTAATCTCATAAATCGCCAGATCACGAAGTCATGTACGGCTCAACATCATCCTTGGCACAGCGAAGACCATCGGCATGCTCGTGCCAATCACACTTGGATCCTTTTCTGGGGTCAGGGAAGTCCTCCTTGGCGAGCTTGATGAGAGATTGAGCAAAGTCAGCTGGGAAGTCGCCTCCCTTCTGAAGCAAGTCTTTCATCGAGTCCGAAAGGTAGACACCTTTGGCTGCGGCTTCGCCACAGAGTGCGCGGAAGGCAGCTGTCTCGGCCAGGAACTTGCGCATGTAGTTGGGCGACTTGGTGGCAGCATACATGTACTCGATGCGGAAGGTAGGTGCCGTCATGTTGTTGATGTGGTAGTACGAGCGGACCAGATCGATGGCTGTGAGATGTGAGCTGGTGTTTATGCTTTCAGGAATGATGGACTTACAGTCGTTGCACAACGTCTCGACATCCCACTCCTGACCCATGGCGTACAGACAGAGGTAGTGTTGAACCGAGTGGAAGTCATGGGGACCTTGGAGCTTGCCGCTATACAACCAATGGATGAAGAGGGCGAAGGCGAATTCGTTGAAGCCATCGAAGGTCAGATCCTTGGCATCAGGGGTAGTTGTCTTGGACAGCAACTTCTTGAAGTAGGGAACCTTTTTGATGAGCAGGTAGTTGGGGACACCCTTGAACTCTTTGTGGGTGGCACCGGCATAAAGGATTGAGGTCGGAATTTCCTCAGGCTTGGGAGTCTTGCTGCCTGGGTTGTCGGCATGGATGTTGGCGACGAGGGCTCTGAAGCAACAGGTCAGTCACATGTGCATCGATCAGAAACGAGGAAGGACTCACTGAACAGCACCATCGGGGATCACTGGACTGGCCAAACCAGATCTGAGGTCTCCGGTGCTCGAAGCCTTGGTGACTGGAATGTTGATGCTCGTGGGACGTTCGTCTGCTGCACTGCCTGCACCCACTTCTGCGAGACTGTCTGGAGCTGGGCTGACTCCGCGTTTGACGATAGTACCAAGGTCCTGGCGGTCGTCGATGCGTTCAACAGAGCGCTGCACGCTTTTGGATGAGCTTGTGCGAGATGCTCCAGGACGGCCGGTGCCCACGGGGACTGCAAGGCTGGGGTCGCTAGACATTGTGATGCTGCTGCTGTAGAGATTGACGATGGTGATAGGACGATCTTTTGTTGGGTGTAGGTGTGAAAGATGTTGATCATGTAACGATGAACGAGAAGTTGGGAAGAGAGTTGAAGATGGCCGAAGGGACGGTGAGAAGATCCAGGTTCGAAGCGTTGATTGAAAGGTGTTGGATAGGGAAGTCGCGATTGTGTTGCACTTACCATTTTATTCTTGGAGTCGTCCACGGTAAGCATCGTCTACTCTTTCCTTGTTATATCTATAGTCTTCGTTCAATTTCACCAGAGTCCAACAAACACTAAAATGAGGCAAGCATTACTTGCCAATCATCCGAAACTCTGGTCTTGTATGCTGCAAACAGTGGTCTCAGAATGCAACAAACACTGATCCGCTCGTATGTGATGACTGCTGAGATCATGAACCGCCGACGACTACAGTCCCAGAATGCAAGTAATATCCAGCCATGTCAAGTTTGGCTAGTGGCTTGCCCAAGAGGTTGCTCCTGATGTCTTCCACTGAGGAAGACAACCGGACGCAACGAAGGTCTGTGCGTAGTACCATCATTATGTAGGCGTAGGTATGATAGCTATGCGACTGTCAAAACGGTAGTGCCGTGAGCTGAGATGAATGCTATAGTCCATAGGCAGAGCGTTACATGTATTCAAACAGCAGTTTGGAAGTGAGTTCAGAGCAGAAAACAAGACAATCACGTGAAAGAGTGGTCTCGATCACTGTACAACTCGATCAACGTCATGGTTCGAGCTTGATCGGTAACGACCTTTTCCCCAGATAACAAGCAGCTCTCTTTCCTCCTTCGACTTTGCCATTGTCATCCAACATCACAAACATAACCAAAATGTCTGCAGCAAGACTTGTCCTCAGATCAGTTCGCGCCTCCCCGCGCATTGTGCGTCCCTTTAGCTCGGCCACTGCCCGCTTCAGCGATGCTCCTCGTCCCAATGACACTGTCGACGCATACCGCAAGGCTCAGACCGAGAAGCCTCTCAACCCTCATTTGACCAACACCACCTCGACCATCGCCAATGAGATGCCTAGCATTGGCAAGGACAACGTCCCTCCGGAGATGATCACCAGCGTGGACCCCAGCTTCACAGCCAAGGATTCTGTGCCTGAGAACACCGAGAGAATGACCGGAGGTACCCAGTCCGGCACTCCCGAGTCTGGTGTCAACGCCGATCTTGAAGTAGGTGAAATGGAGGGAGGTTCTTTCCGCGTTGAGCCCTTGAGGAGGACAGGCGAGGACACCAACACCACCAGGGCTAGACTCTTATGTTCGTCGCCATTCACTTCGGCCCCTTGACTTCATCTCGAGCTATAGCTAACATTTGCCCTTCACAGACCAAAGCAGGAAAAGAGGAACACTAGAGAGCGATCTCCTCATGTCCACCTTTGCCGATCGCTACCTCGAAACTATGTCACCTAAGCAACTCCAACAATACGATCTTTTCCTCGATGAGAATGACTGGGATATTTACTACTGGGCTACCCAAGAGCCTACTCCTACTTCCCTGGAGTACGCCGAAGGAGGCGGTCCTGACCAAGCTACTCCTGTAGCTCAGGGCAAGCCTGCCAAAGACCAGCCTGTTCGCCCTGCTGGTACTGGTGAGTGGGCACAGACTGTTGGACTCTTCAAGCCTGCCTACCGCCCGGTTCCCCAGCGATGGAAGAACTCTGAAGTCTTGGCTATGTTGAGACAGCACGTCAAGGACCGCAGCGCCGGAGGAGTCCTCGAGGGCGACAAGTCTGGCGAAGCTACACCGGACAACAAGAGTGGTCAAGGCATGGGCTTCATGCCTGAGCTCAAGAACTTTGACAAGTAAATCACTGTCTTTTTCGCAGTAAATACCCCTGTATATACGTAACCTGCAGCCCATAAAATATCACCCTTTTCAGCAAAACGATTTCCTCGATTCTCTCTGGATGTGGTCAATTTATGCACAGGCTAATCAAAAGGTTCCTATGCAATTCTCGATGTCAGTCACATGGCTGGCAACTGCTTGGCGAGGCCTTGGACACATTCCACGACCTGAGGCTAGCATTCCGATCAGGACAAAGAGATCCGAGTGCTGGGTTTAATGCCGTATACCATAGTATTGAAACAGAGTCGGCTCCAAGCACGCTCGCTACGATTGCTCCTCTACTACCCAAGAAGGGTTGCGAGAGATGAAAAGATCAGTACAGTGGTGATATCCCAATCTCGGCAGTCAAGACTGACGAGTTTGCCCCAATCGTAGCAGGTCAGATGGTAGGAATGCAAGGAATGCAATCTTGAGGAACGAACAAAGAAGTCCCAACCACCAGAAGAGCGACAGATGTACCAAAGAGGAAGACTGGCCATTGTCAACGTCTCATTCCATAAAAATCGCCAGCCACCCGACTGGTCTGCTCAACACCGCATATAATACCTTGCATAGGCTGGCTTGTGTATTGCAGTATCTCAACCAACTCATTACAACCCTCAGAGAAACATTACGTTCCAAACGCTAGCAATGGCATCTCTTACTCATCAATACACTTACCCGATACGTCCGATGCCTGTACGGCCAAACCACGTCCGCACCTCAAGCAAGGAGTTCCAATGGACGTCTGCATACGACCATGTGTTCAACCAGTACATCGAGCCTCAGGGAACATGCAATCCTGCAGCACTTGCTTATCCTGACGGGGCAATCGCCAACGAGCCATCGCCCATAGTCAGCAGTGTCTACCCTGAACCAACAAATCAGCACAACAGATTATGGAGTGCCAATTCATTTGACGCCAAAGACATTCACCAACCATCACCGACTTTCAGCCCCTGGATGGGTAATGATAGCGGGGTCGATTTGAACATATCCACCAGCTTTGAACCGATAGCAGGAGTCACAAGTCATCAAAACGACCTCTCAATGTCAGGATTGAGGATATCTTATGATCCTACACTTGCGCCATCACGCGCGCAGGAGATGGCAGACGAGATGTACATCACTACAGAAGTACGAAGGTCGAGAAGAGAGTCACGCACGCCATCACCATCATATCGCCGCCAACGGACACCTTCATCGGGCACGCCGTCACCTCGGCGGCGTCAACGGCGAACACCATCATCGAAAGGGCACAGTCGCAAATCATCTGGCCAGCTGCAGAGTCCACGAGGGAAATCGGGCAGTTTTGTGAACTATACACCATCAGATAGCGAGAAGCTGTTGACTGGGGTTGCGCCGTCGGGGAGCAGCAAGACCAAAGCTCGACGTGAAAGGGAGGCAGTGGAGAAACGGCGAAGGTTCAGCCAGGCAGCGCTGCGAGCAGTAGTAAAGGCAGGGGGTGACTTGGCGGAGCTGCAAGACGCAGGGCTGGTGATGGGATAGGAGTTGAATGGCGGATGGTAATGTGTAATAGACGAGGGCCAATAATGCAGTTGTTTAATGAATGAACATATACATTTGACCGCAATTTCGTCTTCCCAAGCAACGAGCCGACGGGTGTTCCTTCTCCCGTATAGAAGACGAACAGTGCGGAGGGCGGCGAGTCAGATGGTCACAGTAACCGGCATGGCGGGAACGCGTCTGGCAGGTCCCTGCATTCGAGCCGTGCAGATAGACTTCGCGCTAATTACTCCACGTTGCATGATTGCATCTCATTTAGAAGGTAGGAACGTCTGGATGCCCGGACATGACGGCCTTGTGCCTGTTGTGACCTTGATTCCCATCTTTATACACTGTTCTCGTACTTTGCTGCTTGCCTATCTCGACCATCCTTGTGCGACGAGGTAGACGCAGCAGATCCAGAACACCGTCAACGACCGCGTGAATGGAGAGTTATTTCGAAGACGACAGTCCTCTTGCAGCGCTGCTCGAAGGTGATTAGACGCGCCTTCCTTCTTAGACCCGACAAACGTACTAAAGCGATGCTGCAGGAAATGGCACCGCCGACGACTCGTTCAACTACCTCAACCAAGATCCCTCGCCTACTCCTCCCTACACACCGACTGTCGCGCCGAAGAAGGCCTCGCTCAAGCGCTTTACACAGCCCCTAAACCTCCGACTCCCTGCTCAAGGCACCTTTTCCAAGCTTCACCATGCTTGGTCGGTATGCCTCCTATCCACCTATAGCTCCATCCAGATCTGGCTTCTTACACATAATAGCGTGCTGTCAACTCTCGCATTGGCCGGGCTGAGAACACCCGCTTCCTCGAACACTTCCGTTACCTGATCGTCGCGTCGCAACTCCTAAACGAGTACCCTGATCTCGGATCTTTACACACTACTCAGATCAACGGAACCCCCTTCGACTCCACCGAGTCTGGTCCGAATGCTTCATTGAACATCTCAGGTGTTGCTGCCACTGCTGGTGTCGCTTTTGTTCTCGTTCTTGTACTCAACTGGCTACGTGGATCTCGCTTGAGTAAAAGCCGTGTCTTGTTAGCACTGGCGTGCGCTGCTGTCGCCGCTGTTCTCTTCTACGCATACATCCGTCGACAATGGCTGCAGTACCTTAGACACCAAGCTGTAGACACCGTCTCCTCGTTGACCACAAACGCTCGTGGCTTCGACATCACCACTTCTGCTGCCTTGTCTCTGATCCAGGAGGTTGAACTCGTCTCCAAGGGATACAGATTGTGAGAAGCCCCGATAAGGCCTCTCTTGACCTCCGCTAACCAGTACACAGGAGCACGCCGTTACCTCCGATTTCTCGTTTCGATGATGTTAAGGTCAACAGGAAATGTGCCAAGCTAAGGAGCGCTCTCAACAAAGCATACACCGAAGCCTTGCCAGCATTCAGGGAAGCAACAATATCTCTTAAGCTGTTACTCAACCAGGATGACATGGAAAAATATCTGGACGTCTACGATATCCCTCACCACGCCGTTCAAGAGGCCGTTACCCCCGAGCTCGCTTCTTTGGACAAGGACGATCCGGAGTCTCTCAGAAGTCTTCGCGTTGTGAGCTACCAATACAGTACTCTGAGAAGAGTTGTCTGTTGCTCTCTCATGTCTCTGGAAGCAGATGGTGGCAATCCTGATTTCGCTCGCTGGTCGGCCGCAACAAGGATCATGAACTCACTGAGCACTACCACTGCAACCTGGGCCCAGAAACTGAGCGACCTTCTCCGCGAGGTCGAAGAATTTACAATCCCCAGAGAGGCAAGACTCTCCTCCAGACCCGCCGGCGAACGTCTGCGTACTCAGGTTCGCAAGATCACCGACCTCTCTCAGGGCATCAGATCACTGCAGGCAAAGATGGCCTTGATGAGAGAAGAATCTACAAAGGCCATCGAAGATTCCGACGACCTGACTGACCTCGGCCCGAATTTGATGTCGCAGTACGAGTCGATTGGCGCCGATCTCAAGATGTTGACGCAAGCTTGGGAGAATGGCAAGGCTTCCCTTGCAAGCAACCTCGACAAGCAGGAACGTCGCATCTCGCAAGCATCGAGTGGCCTTCGTTCGCCTGCCGCAAGCCTCGGCGGTCTGACCGCTGTCGAAGAAGGTGGACCTGCTGATGCTTTGCGTGCACTGAATGGCGAGTCCAAGTCCAACAGGTCCAGTCTCGCAGGATCGGGATCAGACGAGGAAGTGTTCGAAGGTGTGTCTTTGGTCATACCCCGCCAGCGCAGCTCCTTGACAAGAGAGGAGCGCATCATCAAGATGCATGAAGAGCGGGCACGTCAATCTGAGATGCGTGACAAGCGCGACTCGGGCACCAACATGATCCGCGAGCTTCAATCTGTCATGAACCTGCGACCAAAGCGTAACACCATAGGTGGCGGCGCACGCATCACCTCGATATGAACACCATCCAACTGTCACCTGGACACACACACTCTTTACCAAACCTACGAACCATCTTCATGAAAATACGACAATCTCTCCGCCACCAAAGCATTTCTCTTCAACAACAGTTCGGCAATGAATATCCATCCGACTGGCATCTTTACAGTTCACAAACCCTTTTCTCTCTTCCTCATGCATCCCCTTAGCACGGATCCACCAAAAGATACCCTTTATCCTATTCTGTTACCTTCTTGTCTATATTATCTCTTACCAAAGCGTCGTTTTCGACACTCATATCAGGGCGGCAATTGTTCATACCACGCATTGCGATATTGTTTCTAGTTGAATCGAATTTTGGAGTTCATCATGTTATGTAGCTAGCTATTTGAATGAACCAAGATCATCTCTCATTCTCAAACCCGGTCAATGGTACTCTTTCTCCGAAAAGTTCTTGAGGCTGGATCAAGATGCGTTCATCTTGATAATCACTCCTCGTCCAGAAGAGCATGACTAGCAAAGCCTTGATTTCTGACTTGAATTTTCATACTATCAAGCACACTTTTCTTGACATTTTCATCCCTGATGTCCCAGCCAGGGAAGAGACCATGCGTGGCGGTGAAGTCGTATGGTTTGATGGCTTTCCACATCTCAAGGATGGTATCGGGAGGCAGCGGGATCATGTTTGGAATGCTCCTAATGCGACCAGATCAGCTCCACTCGTATGTGAACAAATGATTGGAAGAAGGGAGAAACTTACCACATGAAAGAAAACGAAGTCGTGCCTGGAGGTCTATCTTTACGATAGAAGCCAGACTGTCAATCATCAAAAAGTCGTCAGTACCGTCCCACTTTGAACATCAGATCAACGACGGAAAGGGGGAGAAGACTCACCGGCACATTGACAAAGGTATCCGCGATAAACAGATGCCCACCTTTTCCTCCCTTCTCATCACCCTCACCCACACCATCCCAATGCAACACCATACTACCTTCAAAATGCCCTCCTACTTGAATAGCAGTAACACCCTTGACGATCTCCGTATACTTGTCCCTCAACAATATCCTTTTCGTATCTGCGGTGAGGGATCTCGATAACCATTTCTCATCGAGGGCGTGTGTGTATATCGGACAAGAGAACACGGCGGACCAGGAGAGATGGGTGGTGTAGAAATGGGGGTGGGAGATTATTATGCTGGAGAGGCCGCCTAGGGAAGTTATCTGTTGTGGGATTGGGTGGATTAGTGAGGTGTGTGAGATGGAAGGGGGGTTGGGAGGAGGGACAGGAGCACTCACGAAGTCGATGAGGGGTTTGTCGAGGTAGGCGATACAGTCCCAGAGGATGTTACCGTGGGGGGTTTGGATGAGGAGGGCGCGTTGGCCTATTCCGAGCTATGCGGTGAGGCAAAGAGTTAGTTGTGGTATGTTGTTTGATGTTTGATGTTTCGTGATAATGGATGGAAGGCGTGTTGCTGTGAGCTCATCGAATACACCTTCCTGCTACTGCTCAAGAGGAAGTGGTATCGGCCAGGAAGCAGCAATGCATGGTAAAGCCCAACCCGCACTTGCCCAATCTTTCTTCCATGCATACTCGACGCCTCTTTCCCGATTCGACAGGAAATATCCACATACCTTCGGTTCGGCCCAGATGGACCAGATACGCTTGTCCTGCTCATCTTGCTTCCACTTGGTTTCATGCTTACCCGCTTCGGCTTTGAGACTCGTCCATGTTTGTCCGGTAGCTGGAATGTATTGTCTTGGGTCCTGATATCATGAGTCTATGTTTTCTTCATGATGTTCATGTTGATTGTATGAGATTGATTGCTTACATCACAGATCCTGCAGTAGCCGGATGGTGGGTTGTCAGCTGGGACGTCAAACTGAGTGCCGCATGTTGGGCAAAGCAGCAAATCTTCTCCTTCGATCATGATGCTATGATATTGGTCCTTGTATCCCACGTGTTGCGAGAGTTGTGAATGTAGTAGGTAGATGGCGGTATCAGAGATCAAGACGCGATATAGCAAGGAAGATGTGATGACATGATCGCCGAGCAGGGTCATCCCCACTTCCACCCCCACCTTGATTATCAAAGTGGGGTTGATATATCAATTTCTCGATGCATATATACCTATCTTCAATGTTTTGTTTGGATCGAGTAATAGACTGGTCTGTTCATTGCTAGTGTACAGTTACATTCCGCCCTCATCGCAACGTTCGCATTCGAGTCCTGAAGTTATGAAATAACGTGTACATGATGAATCCATGACGAAGAAAAGAAAAACAGAAAGTAGTCGAGGAATAGAAAAAGTGCAGATTGGTATCGCAAAAAGTAACAAGGAAAGAGCAGAAGACTAGAAAAGATATCGATCGCGACTGTGATGCTTTCTGATAAAAGCAAGTCGCGTGAATAGTCGTACTGAGGGTATTAATGTTCGTCGATTACATAAGAGGAGTGTGTGAGGGAAACATCTGCCATCGTTTGACAAGGATTAAATGGTAGCCAGAGAAGAAGAAAGAAGTGGAGATGGCCAGGAAGATCAGTAACGAGGTACGCTCGTGGGGGCTCTCTCCAGATTGCCGGTCAGATGAGCAACACGGGCCTTGATGCGGGCAACTCGGTCCTCGATGGACTCTTCGCCGCTGGTATCGCCCTCATCCTCTGTTCCTGTAGTAAAATGAGATGGTCGGCGAGAGTTTTGATCCTCGCTGATCCGTGCAGCTCTCTCTGCAGCATTCTTTCTGATCTGAGCCCATCTATCCAGGTTGTTTGCAACAGGCTGAGCAGAATCATAGACAGGCTCGGTCTGTTCCATAGGTGTCTCCATGGGAGTTTCGGGGAAGCCGCCGGGTGCATTCAGATGTCCAGCTTCCAGATCCGCCTTGTGTGCCTCTTCTTCTTGCAAATGTGAGTCAATCGATTCGCGAGGCGTCCAGGCAGGAGCATCCGAGAGCGGTCCCTGATCAAAGCGTTGGAAATCTTCATCAACATTGCTTCTGTCCTCGGAATGCATGGGTGAAACCATATGATCGTCGACTGCGAGATGCTGTTGTGAGAAGGTTGGCTCCAAGGGGCTGACTGCAGGTGGGCTTGGCTCCGAGGCGGGTGCCAGAGAGTTCGGTACAGCACGGCGTGGGAATAGAGGCTCGGCTGTTGGCATGATAGGTTGTGCCGGAGGAGTCGGAGTAGTTGACTTCTTGCGAAGGAGCGATAACTTTCTTCCAAGGTTTGTCTCTGAAGGAGGTGCCAGGCTAGTCATGGATGCCGACGGCTGTTGACCATTGAAATTGCGCTTGCCATCATCGCTCTTATCCCTCCTACTGAACATTCTCTTGAAACCGCCAGGACGCTTATTCTCGTGTGCCATGACTTCAGGACTGTAGTTAGCTGCTTTAGCTTCCCATGCTTCTCTTGCAGCTTTCACTGCCGATGTTTCGGGATTGGCAGGTCTCTGTCCTTCCATCGATGGTCTAAATGCTGGGTGGTTCTGGACATTGTTCTTGCGTTCCGGGACTGGCTTCCTTCCTACTTGAGTGACTTTCGGTATAGAAGGCACAGCCGGGACCTCTGTTGCATTTTGTACCACAGGTCGTTCAGAGATGATGGAGGCGCTGAGAGACGGGGATTCGGCCTTTGTGACTGGTGCAGGCGGATGAGACAATTCTTCGACGCTTGCATTCGGTTGTTCTGGACCTGATGGTATCTCGTAATCCGAGACGGAAATTGAGGGTTTGCGAGCATCTGGAGAAGGCAGAGGCTTGTTAGAGCCCTTTGTTTCGGCGAACATGGATGCATTATCAGGAACATGTATGTCTACAGGTGTTCCCTTGCCGGCGAAGTTATCGCCCAGATACTGCTTACGTGTGGCTTCTTTGTCGAAAGTGTGAGCCCACTTCATCGCCGGCGCTGCTTCGCTTGTCAGACCTAGCGTCAGGACACTGTTGGTTTTCATCGAGGAAGCATCATCATGTCGTCCACGGCGTTGTCCACTGGGGGTTTCGTTTGGCTTCACGTTCTGTCGAACGAGAGTTGCAGCAGCAGCTCTGATTCTTGCTTGCTGGTCAGGTGAAATGCTGGTCTTGTTAGGCGTTGTCGATGCTGTTCGTTCCTGCGATTGAGGACTGTCATATGCTTTGGGTGGCAGAGTAGCCGACTTCCTACGGCTCGTCTTGCCTCTACGGCTGAAACCAAAGCGTGATTTCTTCTCCGCGATGTATGCACCCTCTTCCGGCTCGGGAGCAGCGCTTTTGATCTGTTCTTCCAAAAGAATCCAGCGACCACGAAGTATACCAGTCTCAACGAGTGCACATCGACCGAAGACGGCCTTTCTACCAGCAGGCTCTTCACTTGCAAGACTAGTCATCCAGACCCACCAGAAACTGTCATCAAGGTCGAACTTTGTGATACTAGCTAGTTCGCCTGGGTTGATATCTTCTTCTTGGTAACCATTGGAAGATCTTGGAGGACCACCATTGATCGGAGGAAGCACCTTATCAGGTGGCATCAGCATTCGTATGGGTGTTGGGTTGACATCGGTACCCTCGTCTACAAAGCCAGAGTTCAGGAAGTCTGCCCAAGAGGGTGTTGTGGGACGTCCGCCGTCGTTGGCACGAGATCGAGGGGCAGATCTCAGACCGGATAGCCTTGGCTCGAGGCTGGGTGAGGATGCGCCGCTCATAGTATCGTTTGCATCGTCGCCGATTGACGAGAAACCAAAGTCCTGGAAATGCGACCACGATTCATCCGGCCTATTGTTAAGACTGTCCATTCCAATGCTCATGTTGCTCTGAGATCGGACTGCTGTAGACTGATTCGCAGATGTGATACAGTTTAGAACACGTCTGCATTCTTCGGTCAAGGCTTGAGCGGGATCAGAGTATTCGGAGAACATCTGCAAGTCCTCGTCCCGGTATTCGAAGTTGTTGGCTCTTCGGAGCAGGGCGAATGGGCCAGGGGATACGACATCGACGAGCATTACAACTTTCGGTGTCGGCTTCGACATGAGCAAGGGCGCTTCTGGCGGATACTCCGTTTGGGCCACTAGTGCTTGGATGGATCGAGGGAGTCCATTGATTCCAGTAAATCCATCCAGAGCCTCGGGATTGAGGGATCTAAGGTAGCCGAAGAAGAGATGGCTAGAAGCATCTGCAGCACTGTCTACTGTCAGAAGTCATTTGTACATGCAGACACAAGGATGAAACTTACGCCAACCAAGATCTGTAGCCGCCTTCGAATCCTTTACCATCATCGGAGTGTTCAAATGCCCACCAACCAGCCATACGGGAGAGTTTTCTGCCGCCAAAGCCATTGGTCTTGCCGTGAGCAGCGATTGCCGTCAAGAGATCAAAGAAGTTGTAGATGATGTTCTTTCGAGCGTTCGAGTCGACACTCATGGGGACGAAAGTGTGGAAGGCGTTTCTCGCCATGTTGGAATCTACGCCTGTAGTCAGCTTGCTGTCATGAATCGCCTAAGTGGGTAGTCGCATATACCTCTTTCGCCCAGAGAAAACCCATGATACACTGGCCATGTGACGACGCCGCCGGGCATGCGGCTCCAGCACCATTTGAGAACACTACATAATATCTGCAGGCGTGTCAGCTGATCGCCTAACCTCAAGAATCGAGATTACATACAGCTGGATCGGTAAGGACAAGCTCCCTGCGGAGACTTGAACCAGTATAATGCCTACTCCCCTCGCGATTACCTTTGAAGAAGTTGTTGATGAAGGTCTTTGCGGGTATGGTGTCGGTCTCGGGTCTGAATGGCAAGAGCAAGAACGGTGTGTCGAGTGCTTCAGCTCTTGATTTGAGAATCAGAGTGCATACTTGTATGAGCTCTTCGACCTCCTCCGGGTCAATCTCTCTGCTGTTCCATGTCGACACAAATCTAGGCTTCGCCAGTGGCATGTGCCTTTGGCTGGTATCGACCTGTTGGACTTTGTGCTTTGTGCCAGCTTTTGACGAATCCTTGCTCTTGAAAACTTTTGAAAGAAACACCATGGCGGCGAGTATGACAGACTGTGAGCGTGCCGATTATGGGTGATTTCGTATAAATAAGCGCCGGGCGGGACGAAGCATGGGTGGGCGTATTCGAGGTAGCTAGCAAGTCAATTGCAGTTGTCAGTCACTGTATACTCAGAGCAGAGAGCAGGCGGCCGTCGCGCTTTTGCGCAAAGTGTTAGAGCGCAAAGGAGAGGAGGAGGAAAAGAAGGGACAAAGAGGGCGTGTCAGTGAATCATGGAACAGGGTACTGAGGGTAGTACCTTTGGGTAAATATTAAATGACTGAAACCTTGTATGCAAATCTATCCAGTCGCGTCTTGCCGGCGGTCGATCCTGTTTTCCGAGCAGCCACCCGAGCTGAAACTGTATGAACTGCTAAACTCGAGTCGGAGAGGGAGAGTTGGGAAAGATGGACATGGAGCAGCAGGCCTGATGAATGGCTAGATTCACTCTGCAGCCCAGCAGTTATGCTGCAGCAACCTACAGTAGTTGATTCCCACCTCGTGTTAGCCGAAACCACCTTGTTGGTCGGGGTCCCCCTCCATCTTGCTTTAACTGATAACATCGTGCATCACCGACTGACTGATGTCCCTGTTTCCTGTCTTTCCGTTACATCGCCAGCGGTAAGGCCTGACCTGTTACCGGACGCTATAAAGGCTGCCAGCACATCATTGACGATCAGTACAGCCCGCTTGCTTCTACAACCCTCGTCGCGGATGGAGGCCCCTGGTCCCTGGATGCGCTCTCCATCACGAGTCGCGCGCCGCCAGACAAGTGTTTCTGAGACACTTTGCCTGTGTAGCAATTTAACTCGGGCAGCCAAGGGTGCGCTAATCAGGGCTGTTTGTGCATCTCTAACGCCAACGGCCCCTTACCCGCAACTTAGTTGTGAGCAGAGGCCAGGCATGTGAAAGCCAATGCGACTCTGCTCGCTCTGATAGATTGCAATATGCTGTCTTCCAAATTACGTGAAAGAGCGAGCGACCGAGGCAATTGCTTTGCATAACTTTCAAGTATACATATCTATGTACGAGTTCGTGACACTCCAACTGCTACCTTCTGATTGTATTGGAGTGTCCTTTGGAGAGCGCGAAGCTCAATATTGGTGATGTCATTGCTCTTCGATGACGGTGTTGGAATGCGAAACTCGACAGTCACAAAGAGCATTCTTTCTCTTCCATCTCATGTATACCTTTCCCCGACTGTCTCGATCGCCATTGTACCTTCGTCAGTTCTCTAGACATCAACCAATTCGAACGTTTTCAATCTCTACCGTCAAAATGGTACGTATATCGAGCATCCCAACCCCCCAAAGGTCGACATCTGATTTCGCTGGCTGGCATACATGGGATGTTTTGATCGGGGGACCAGCATCTATAGTAATTCGAGAATTACTATGGGAATGCCGTCTGCTGTGGTCGGTCGGACCATCTTTCCTTTCGTCTGCTTCAATCGAAATTCTGATGCGTGCGGAGTGTCCTAAGCAGACCTCTTCCCAATCAACAGCTAGGATGCTGGTGTCTCTGGTGGTCGACTCGTTACTATCTAGCGCTATACCCTCTCAAGACCCATGCTGACTGTATCTTCAGGTCAAAGACAACGACACAGTCATCAAGTGAGTACATAGTTTCTGGCACAAGAGAGGTCGGTTTGAGGACAACCGGACTGATGTAATCATAGGGAGTTCAATGAGCTCGTCAACATGAGTCCGGATCAATTGAAGGAATGGCTCGGCGGCGAGGATTCTGCCGGCGCAGGTTGGTCCAAGGACGATGGCTCTGGCGAGACGGTTGGCCATGAGAGGTAAGGACGTGAAGATACAGTTGGCTTATAGACTCGGTGAGATCTGAACTAACGTCTTATAGCGGCCGTAAGATCATCGAGATCTTGGAGAAGAACCCAAACAAAGACCCAAGCAAGTACGAAGAGGACGACATTAGCCACATGCGCAAGGTTGTGGCGTACAACAAGCGCCACTTAGCTCAAGAAGGAAAGGCGAAGCAGGACCCGGAAAGCAAGAGTGCTAAGTCTTTGAAGAACTGGGGCCATGACCCTCAGCAGGCTTGAGTGTATTCAGGCAAGCTAGACTTCGATGCATAACCTGGTATACATACGAATGAATGAACACGTTAATCTACCTCGGTACCGAGCGGAAGCAACATGGGCGTAGAGGTATGGAAATCGTCCACCAGGGTCGATGTCGAGTCTGAGCCGGAACGAGGCGTCTCACTAGAAGCCGTCAAAGGGCATAATGGGTTTGAACTTGATGTGATTGTCCTGTTAGATCACCAGTGAGTGCCCCTCTCAGTAGACGTGTGTCTCTCTGTCTGATCATCAAGAGCCGAATCGATTATATTGCGTGGCATAAAAGCAGAACACCCTAAGCAGTGTAGAGTTTCGGAGTTGGCTAGTCGATGTGTTTGATGTCCGGCATGTCGAAGTTAGAGAGGCTTCGTGTGCGGAATGTGAAGAACAGAGCTCGCCAGACTCCAGAGAGCAACAACGTGTGCGCAAGTGCCAATAGACACGCATAGACAAAGGGTGATCAATGTCCCCGGCTCGCACATGGTGCAGCGGTACCTGCTCCAGGCGAGGAAAGCGCGGTCAGTTCTGACAGCACACTAGACGCCAAGGGGGTACAGAGGCGGGAAGCGGCATGGTGGGTAGGCGGATTCAGCAAGACGATGGCTGGATTAGGTAGCGGATATTGAGGACATATCTGTTGGCCAGGCTGTGCCACGAGGAGCGTTTCATGAAAGTGGCCCGAGTGGAAGGGATCAACTTCTGGCGGTGCCCACAACGGTTTCCAAATATAGGTAGTTGGGTTCCGCCTGCATGGCTCAAGCTGACGGTTCTGCCTTTTTCGCATTTGATCTGACGCAGGACACCACTCTTATCACGCGTTGACTCGCAGCTGCTCAGGGTAGAGCTACGAGAAGCTCAAGCAAGACGACACGTCCCGCCGATACTGCATATCCAGCAGGCGGTAACGAGACGCTATCGAGCAACGCAAAAGCAAAAGCCAAGGCGTCAGACAGCCATCCATTTTGCGCGTCCAGATTCACCAGATCCACCGTCGCATGAAACTGCTGCGTCCTTGTACCTTTTCCCTTCTCGCTGTCCACGCCCTCGACGCGTGCAAAGACCCATCCCACTTCAACAATGGGTCGCAGAAAGATCGAGATCCGTCCTATCAAGGACGATAGGAATCGCTCCGTGTATGAAGCGCCGCCTTTCTTCTATTTTTGTCCTGTCAATGCTAACGGCTTTTTTGTGGCAGCACCTTCTTGAAGCGTAAAGGCGGCTTGTTCAAGAAGGCATACGAGTTGAGCGTCCTCTGCTCCGTCGACGTCGCTGTCATCATCTTTGGCAACAACAAGAAGCTCTATGAGTTTTCGTCCGGCGACATCAACGAGACCGTCGGTCGCTTCCAATATGTATGCGCTGACCTTCCACCCACAAACTTGTCGACGACCAAGCGCTAACTCGATGATAGTATGGCGGCGCGCACGAACACAAGGGACCAGCCGACTTCCAGGGTAAAGGCGGTGCCGCTGGTGATGATGACGAGGAGGGAGACGAGGATCCGGCCGAACAGCACGAATCGCACTCGCCGCCAGAGGCAGCCATGATCCAACATCCTCTGCACAACCAACCCGGCCTCCAGCACATGAGAAACGTCACGCCATCCGCATCACCTCCAATCCCCAATGGCTCAATGCCTGCCTTCCCTCAGCGCATGGCAACTCCCCAGCCGCCGAATGGCTCCCGCCCTGCTTCTCGCGTCTCGCACTTCCGCCGTACCAGCTCAAATCTCGTGCCTCAACACATGGGCACCCCGTCGCAAGCCCCTCCGCCCCAGCCTACATACGCATATTCGCCCAACCCGCCATACCACCCTCCTCCTCCGAATGCCGTCATGCAGCGACCTACCCCGCAAGGATTCGCCGTTCAACCTCCGGGATACTATGCCGCATACCCTCCTCCAACTCAACAACAGATGCAGGTCGCTGCTCAACAGGCATATCTGCAAGAACAAAGAAGACAATCATCCGTACCTCCACACTTTATGAGCCAGGTCCATCCGGGCGCACAGCAACACATACCACCACCTCAACAACAGCAGCAGCAGCATTACCAACAGAACCAGGCACACAGCGCCCAGCCTTCTCCCCAACCCGACCAGAACACTTTCCAAAATCCACCGCTCCCTCAACCAAGGCCCTTGCCAGCCCATGCCAGATCACACAGCATATTCACCCCGATCGATGATAGCCGTTCACTTCTTGCGCAGCACTGGGGTGGCAGCAGTTCGAACTACAGAGAACCAGTCATTAAAACCGAACCTCCCCGCTCGCATTCTGTTGATGTGTCGTTTGCGTCGCGACAAAGGCCCAATGGAACATCTCCAAAGCCGGCAGAAACAGCGCCACTACCAGTCACGTCTAACCCTACCATGCAAGCGCCGCCTCCAGGACCTCCTCAACGTACGGCATCTATATCGTCAATCCCAGGACCCGTACGTCCAGGTGGCGCGGCAGCTGAAGCGAAACGACCGAGGTTGAAAGTACAGATTCCCAGCGAACAGTCGGATGGTGGCAGCGCGACTGCAGATTCGTCGCCCAAGGATGGTGGGACAGCATCGGCTACTCCTCTGCGCGTAGGTCAAGGGGTAGTTCTGCCACCCCCTTCGCCATCTACCAATGCAGTCCTTTCTGCTGGAGCGTCTGGACCACCCAATCCATTTGCGCGACCGGCACCGCCGATCAGTACGAATCCGCATGTAAATCGTGAGCGAGACCACATCGAAACACCACTATCTGCATTGCCGAGCCGGGTCATGGACGGCAATCACCTCTTACCTAGTCCATCATCATTCTGGCCAGATGCATGGTTCGGAAGAGATAACAACATGATGCCGAGTCCCCTCAACTTCCAGACACCGGTTGTATTGAGTGGGCCAGGGTTCAGAGAAGAGGACGAGAAGAAGCGAAAAGCCGAAGAAGAAGCAGGAGGCGGTGGGAAAAGGCCGAAGGAGTAGAGGATTGATTGCTTATTAATGATTATATTCTGGGTCAGGTGAAGCAAGTGGGCGTTAATTAGGACAGCGAATGTGTGAGGATATCTGAGCAATAGCAAAAAGAAGTGGCTGGTAGGAAATGTCGATCAAGCGGAGAGTTATTGGGCGGATGATCGAATAGTGTCAGCATTTGTAACCCAGCATTTTAGGATCCGTATGAAGCTTAATAACAAGCATGTCAAAGAATCAAAGAAGAAGCAAGACAATTCAGATGCAGATAGGCATACGCAATACGGGGATAATACGGCAGTAACGGTATATGACGAGTCATGGTCTTGGTGGGGCAGTTGTAATAAGGGAAAGGGAATCGAGCTACTCGACCCTTGGCTGCTGCGCAGCTCAGCCATGGCAGACGAGGATTACTTGATGCGCATGACGGCCGCCTTTCTTACTTCTCCTTCACCCGATTGACATCGACCCGACACAATCATGGCATATAATCGAGGATATTCGGGCAACCCCGACGCCCTTCCAGCGTATGAAAGCATTCATTTACACGCAGCGCCATGACGACCCGGCTGATCACACCCTCTCTAGACACGCCGAACCCGAGCAGGCAGCGGCCATGCTTTCGCAACATCCTCAGAGACAATCCTCTACAGCCAGCTACCACAACAAGCCTCAGCCACCGCCGCCTCAGCAGCAGCAATCATACTCTCGCCCACCTGGCCATCAGTCTCCCGCCATGGGCTCCGCTCCGCAACGCTACGACAACTATCCCCCGCCTCAGCAGCCGCCGCAACAACATCAGCGATACGGCAGTGGATACGGCCCATCTCCCTCTGCTCCCAGCGGCGCTCCTCCTCCGCGCCAAACCCTCACCTCGCCCCCACCACCGGCAAACTATGGTCAGGGCCCTCGACCTTCGGGTTACCACAACCGTCCTCCGATTCCTCAAGCTCAACGTCCGCCTACTGTTGCGCCGCCGCAAAACCCTGACCCTAACAGTCGTGAGGCATTGTGGCCGCTATTTGTGGCCGTCGACAAGGAGCGCAATGGTCAGCTGAGCGAGTCATCGCTGCGCAATGCTCTGGTGAACGGCGACTACACAGCCTTCGACGCACACACTGTGCGCATGATGATCCGCATGTTTGACACAGACCGTAGCGGTACCATCAACTTTGACGAGTTTTGTGGCCTATGGGGATTCCTGGCTGCCTGGCGCAACCTGTTTGATCGTTTCGACGTGGATCGCTCAGGTAACATCAGCTTCCAGGAGTTTGCTGATGCTCTCGTCGCATTTGGCTATCGCTTGAGTCCTCAATTCATCCAGCTACTGTTCAACACGTTCGCCAGAACGACGCGCGGCCGTGGCGATGATTCGTACAGCGGCGGACGCGAGAAGACGCTCAGCTTCGACCTGTTCGTACAGGCATGTATCAGTCTGAAGCGCATGACGGACGTCTTCAAGAAGTACGACGACGACCGTGATGGATACATTACTCTTTCGTTGTAAGTGTTCGCTTTCAACCCACATGGTCAGGCTTCGGGCTAACATTCTTGTAGCGAGGAGTTCCTCACAGGTGCGCAAAGCCTTTTCCTCTTCAACTCCATATCCCCCGTAACCGATAATGGCCTGTACTGAACCTTTTGGAAGAAATCTTACGACAGCGATGATGCTTTTCTATACTTTTGACCGACTCTCCAGCTGGTTGGAAACGGTCGAGCGACAGGATGGGACATGTCAAATGTCGACATGGCGGAGAGACGAGCAGTGGGGTTTTATTTTTTGATCAGGTAGTATATTATGATACCCCTATACCTTGCCAATCAAGTTTCGAGAACCAGATATGTCCTACAAGAAAGACCTGGGTGATGGAGATGAAAGTGAAATGGTGCTGGACCCTGCTTTCATGTGATTGAGAGTCGAGGCAAACAAATCAAACAAGGCGGACTTTGGGCGAAAAAGTCGCCGCAGCTTTGGGAAATTCTCAAAAGTTCGAAGCAGTCAACTTTTCGACAAAACACGACCACTGTCGACAGCAACCATGGATACAAGCATAGCGTCAATTCTGCCAGGCCTCACAAGTTCGCTGGAATCAGCCATTCCTGCACTTCCCACCAGCGACTCGATTCTCCCTCCGGCAAACGGCATCACCCTTCTGGACGCAAAGAATGAGCTCTTCCTCTCATACCTTCAGACTCTGGCTTTGCGCAACCTGGCCGTCATCCGCAGTGCCAAACATGGAAAGACCAATGTCGGCGACCTCGACGCACAACTCGTGAAGGATCTGGTCAAGCACCGTGTATACCTCGAGAAAGGTGTTCGCCCTCTGGAGGACAGACTCAAGTACCAAATCGACAAGGTCGTCCGCGCAGCCGAAGATGAAGCCCGCGGTGCCGTCCAAAAAGCCGCCATCGCCAAACAAGCCACCTCTGCCCCCAAGAACAACGAAGACTCCGACGACGACGACTCAGCCTCCGACTCAGGCTCCGAGGCCAACTCCGACGACGGTCTCGCTTTCCGCCCCAACCCAGGCAACCTCACCCGCCCCACCGACTCCACCGAAGCACCCACCTCTTCCAGAGGAGCAGAAGCAACCAACGACGGCATCTACAGACCCCCCCGCATAAACGCAACAACCATGCCCGCACCACCCTCCCCGCGCCGCGAAAAGGGCGACCGCAAACCCATGCGCAGCAACACAATCGACGAATACGTCGCCGACGAACTCTCCGGCGCCCCCACCGCCCAACCCTCCATCGGCAGCACCATCACCGCCGGCGGCCGCCGCGACAAATCCGCCCGCGAACGCAGGGAAGAAGCCGAACGCACCGCCTACGAAGAAAGTAATCTCGTGCGTTTGCCCAAGGAGTCCAAAAAGGAAAGAGCAAAGAAGGACGGCAGAAACAACAGGGGTGGATTCGGTGGTGAGGAGTTCGATCTGCTGGGGCAGGGAATTTCGAGGATTGAGAGATTGACTAAGAAGGGAGAGAGGAGTGGAGCTGGTGGTGTGGGTGGTGCTCTGGAGAGGAGTAGGAAGAGAAAAGTTGACGATAACGATGGTGTTAGGGGTGGTGCCGGTGGTGATATCGGTAGAGAGTTTGAGCGTAGGAAGAAGAGGGCTATGCGTAGGAACTGATAGGGAACTGCATTTTGCTCTCTCTAGCCACGCATTCGCAATTCTAACATTTTTTCTGTCATCATTTTCATCTCTTTTTGTGCAGTATACATGCAAACACACAAGCACAAAGTTCTACCAGAACAGCTCTCTCAGCCTGCCGACGTCCCCTCCAAACCAATCCATCAAAATGCAAGATGTTTTTGTTAATCAAGTCGTTGTCCATTGAGAGCATGTTATTCTCCACACTCTCACTGGACAAACATCCGCAACCCAAATTCATCTTGCATTTCGACAGCGTCAAAATAGTCCTGCAAGGGGGGTGAAGAGATCTAATAGGGTCATGTCGAGGAAGACAAAAGGGTACCAAGGGTTTTATAGGTAGACTGAGCTCTCAGGCTGCATAGAGAATCTCTCGAAACATACATCAAAAGGCAGGATGATTTTGATAACCGTGTGAATGTCCAAAGAGAGCATGTAGGGTAGTCGAATCTCAGTGGACGACGACCTTAGATTTCAAAACTACCGTGCCTTTTCACAGTATAAAAGCAACCTTGCGAGGGCCAAGGAAAGGAAGAGAGGGGGCTTGTATTCGGTGACCCGGGCTGTAGAAAAAGTGAAGTGAAGATCGAGTATTTGATACTACTGCTATTTCTACTTGATTACTTCTGTCCTGTTCTCGATATCTCACTATCTTACAATACTGTCTTCTTCCCTATGACCATTCTTCCTGATGATTCTCCTGCTCTCTGACCCAATGATATCTTTCCTTCTCGCCCTCTCTCATCATTTTATGCAATCGCACTAGTTTTGCTGGGCGTCGAGCTCAGCGACCTGTCTGCTCATAGCGCCAACGTCAAAATCGTAGTTGGCATCGTCGAAGTCGTCGACTGGTTCCAACATCACTGCTTCTCCGAGACCATTGAGCATGTCGGAACGACGCATAGGCGAGAGGTCACGGCCGTTGTCTTGCTGGCCTCCAACCTCCATAGACGCAAGGACCATCTCCTGTGCGAGCGGGCTGGTCTGATAGTGAGGAGTCGATGTCTTTCCGTTTCTGATGCTGCTGTATGGAGGGGTGTTGTAACGACCGTTGCGGTTGACTTGAGGAGATACAGATATGTAGGTGTTGTGAGAAGACAGCTTAGGCGAAGCTGCCAAAGGTTGCTTGTTGGACCTGTTGGATGCAGTTCTAGAATTAGGTTGGATGATAGGTTTCTCCAAGTAAGACCATCCATGGCCCTGACCTGGAGACTTGTACTGTCTGTAGCTTTTCTCGGGGCTTTGTTCGCCATAGTGATCGAAGTCACTGTGTCTAACATCCTGGTAGGCTGTGGTGTTCTGGCGTTTGAGAAGTCGTGGATCTCTTGGTGGAGAGGTCGCGGCACGCTTCGTAGTCCAGCGTTCTTGCTGAGCAGGAGGCACATCGATATCCATGTCATCTTCTCCCATGCCATCATTGCCTTGCCAATCGCCATCGTTTCTTGCATCGTAGCGATCATCCTCCTCATCGGGAGTGTACACTTCTTCTTCGTAATATCTCTTGTTGCTTGGGACTCTGCCAACTCGTGTTGGTCTTCCAGGCTCGTTGACAGCTGCGGACTCCATTCCAGCATCAAATCGCTCAGGGAGAGGGCGTTCGGGGGAGGAGGTGGGAGATTCAGCATAGCTGATTTTCTGCTTAACACGACCGCTACGGCGTGTGCCTGATGATGGCAACTTCTGAGCAGGTGAAACGTTGGCTTTGGCAGTCTTTGTCGCTCTGCGCTTTCTGCTCTCGTATTCGGCAGTAGACTTTCCAGTGGTATTGGCGGAGGTGGGTGAGATCTGGTAAGAGTATCCAGGTGCAGAGGCGTCGGGCTTAATCTTGGGTGGTCTTCCACGTCTCTTCTTAGGTGGTGAGGGGTTGCGCTCAACAGTCGCCTGTTGGTTCGTGAATGAGAAGGCCGGTGCCAAGGTCGGAGGACTGTAGTCCATTTGTGCTTGGAAGGGCTTGCTCGACGTAGGCTTGGTCGGAGAGATGGCATTGGTGGTAGTGCGACAGGGAGTACCAGATAAGTCTCCACCCTCCCAAAGGCCAGAATCTGCGCGACTGAGCATTCTTCTTTGCACCAAGTTGTCGGTTCTGGGAGCGGCTTGTGGTGAAATGAAAGGGGGAGGTTGCATTGCCTGTCCCTCGACATACTGTTCCACTCTACGCATCTTGGCCTCCTTGAGAGCTTGAGCTTGTTTGCACATGTCGAAGACACGTTGTTTCGTGTCTTGCTGCTTCTGTCTGGCTGTCCTGATACCTCCCACGATAAGGAGGCGTCTGTTTTTGATCTCTCCGTTTGTTTCTCTCAATTGAGCGTACTCTTGGTCCTTACCTTGTGCATTCTCGGTGAAGTTCTCCATCAATATGCCCCAAGCATCTCTTCGAACTTGAATATCTTCAAGCTCTCGATAGAGGTCCTTAAGGCGATTCTGATTGTCTTGGAGATCTTCATCACAAGCTTCCAGCAAGGCCGATCCGTTCTCGATCCAATTGGCAGTTTCCTGGTCCTTTTTGCAGTAGGTTCCACCACAGAGCCAGATGGAGGACTCTTTCAAGACTTGGTAGTGGTCGCAGAAGGGGGCCATGCTGGCCAGTGTCTCTCGATCGCATGTTTTGACCAACATGCTCTTGTGGCGACACAAGTGTAGGGTATACTTATGAAAACACATCTTGTTCGAGGGTCCGTAGGGGGCGAGCACGAGTACGGGGTGAGTACGGGACGAGTACGGGACGAGTACGTGGAAGTACTGGACGAGTACTGGGAGAGTACTGGGAGAGTACGGGGCAAGTATTGGGCGAGTACTGGGCAAGTACAGGGCGAGTACGTGGAAGTATGGGGCGAGTACGGGGCGAGTACTGGGCAAGTATTTGGCGAGTACGGGGCAAGTACTTGGACGAGTACTGGGCGAGTACGGGGCAAGTACGGGGCCGTAGGGGGCGAGCACGAGTACGGGGCGAGTACGGGGCAAGTACTGGGCAAGTACGGAGCAAGTACGGGGCCGTAGGGGGCGAGCACGAGTACGGGGCGAGCACCGGACCACGGACGAGTAGGCGAAAGGGGCGAGCACGAGATAGTTGTCTCCGTGTCTTGAGGTGGCAGGTAAGTGTTTAGTAGCGGCCGGGTACGGGGCGAACACCGGGTCACGGACGAGTAGGCGAAAGAGGCGCGCACGAGATAGTCGTCTCCGTGTCTTGAGGTGGCAGGTAAGTGTTTAGTAGNTGGCTCTGACGTGCAGCACATCGAGTAAGCCAGCCCAATGCTTATCGAGAGAGCAATGATGTTTGTGTTTCGTCGTAAACCCTTTGGAAACTTAGCATGTCTGTCCATTCCATCGCATCTGTCTTGGAGCGGGTTCTGAAACCTCGCAGCACCCATGCTGCTAAGTGGGGAGAGGACACAATGAGAGAAATCTTACTGAGTAGAACAAGGGCTTCTGTTTGTCAGGTTGATATACTTGCCTTTGTGTTCACTCTGCCCAGTCCCGGTTCCCAATGCCAGTCTCCTTAGGCTCATCTCTGCGCATGCATACAAAGAATCGCATCCACTGCAGAGACACATATATCACACAACACAGCTTAAATCAACACCGCCCTCTGGTCGATGAGTCGCAACGCAGGATGCCGTGAAGAACTCTTCCAAAGACTGTCCAGGGCCAGGAAAAGGCACGGCACATCTGAGAAACAGGACCATACTTGGTGAGAGCATGAGCAGTGGTCGCCCTCGATGCGTGGTCGTGGTGGTCTCGGAAGTATCGTGCGTTCGAACATCCCACTTCATGGCCCCATCTGCTCGTGAGATGAATTTTCACCTGCGTCTAGGTTACAGCATCGTCTCATCAAGTGTTGTAGTTGGCTTCATGGGCGGCAGATCTACAAGGCCTCTTTCGATGGCCGAGCGATGTCACGATTGTCAAGATTCTAGAAAAAAGAACCCCACGTTTCACCAACAGGCTGAAAGACAAACAAACCTTGCCAAGTTGCGGAGAGAGCTGTAAGGGACTTTGAGCCAAGATTCTTGACAGGTCCCGATGAAACCGATGCTTAACTCTGAGGGAGAAGGTCATACCCAGAGGCTATTGTCTGAGAAACCTGCATACACCTTCTGTTCACTCTGGCCTCGGTATTCGGCACTGCGCCATGCGGTGCTTTGAAATCTCTAAGAACAAGTAGAGGAAAGCATCCTCGGAGATGTCGGCCGAGATGGACGGAGACGGACACGGGTTTTAAATGGCTGGCCGAGATGCCGTAGAGGGGGGCGCGTTTGACGCCATTTACGCATCCTCTGCAAAACAAAATCAAAGAGTCATGCTGCTCTATTTCCATGCTCCTCCTTTGACACCTGGAACACCCAGTCGCCTTCCGACATAACCACTCAATCCTGTGTCACCATGAGCGACGCAGCCCGACGTGACGAGGTCACCCGAGAAGAAGCAGCCGCAGAGGCTGGCCCTGGAGCCGCAACCACGAATAATGTACCGGCCAACCAACTCTCTGAAGACATCGAAAACAACAGCACGTCTTCAGTATCGACCAAACACGACGATGTACCCACGCAAGATAGACCACAATTGGAGCGCAAGGACTCGACACCATTGGAAGAGAGATCAAAGGGCAAGATTGCTCTCATCATGACTGCGCTGGGAATGGCCGTTTTCCTCGCTGCTCTCGATGTCACCATTATCACGACCGCTCTACCTACCATTTCCGAATACTTCCATTCAGCCGCTGGATACACATGGATTGGTTCAGCATATCTACTAGGAAATGCTTCAAGTGTGCCATTGTGGGGCAAGATTTCCGACATCTTTGGGCGAAAGCCTATCTTGATCGTCGCAAACTTGATGTTCCTTATTGGATCACTCATTGCTGCTCTGGCCAACAGTATCGGCATGCTCATCGCCGCTCGAGCCATTCAAGGTGTCGGCGGTGGTGGTCTGGTCACCCTCGTCAATATCTGCATCAGTGACCTGTTCAGTCTGAGGAGAAGAGGTGCGTACTTTGGTATCATCGGAGGTGTATGGGCATTGGCATCGGCTATTGGACCTGTCATTGGTGGTGTGTTTACTGAGAAGGTATCTTGGCGATGGTGTTTCTACATCAACCTACCTCTTGATGGAGCCGCTCTGGTTATCATCTTCTTCTTCCTCGACTTGAAGACTCCCAAGACTCCTCTGTGGGAAGGTCTGAAGGCCATTGACTGGATCGGAGCCTTGCTCGTTATTGGTGGCGTACTCATGTTCTTGTTCGGTCTTGAATACGGTGGTGTCACCTATCCTTGGGACTCTGCTACTGTCCTCTGCCTGATCATCATGGGTGTCTTCACCATGTGTTTGTTCATCATCAACGAGTGGAAGTTCGCCAAATCGCCCGTCATGCCGCTTCGCATCTTCCAGAATCAGAGCAACATCGCTGTTCTCGGTGTATGTGCCATTCATGGTATGGTCTTCATCTCGGCTTCATACTACTTGCCTCTGTACTTCCAGGCTGCACGCGGAGCCACACCTCTCTTGTCAGGTGTCTACATCCTTCCACAGGCCCTGTCTCTGTCATTCGCCTCCATGGCCACCGGTATCTTCATTCGCAAGACTGGTCAATACCTACCCGCAATCTGGTTCGGCATGGTCTTCCTTGTACTAGGCTTCGGTCTCTTTGTCGACTTTACAGCCGACAGCGGATGGGCAAAACTGATCATCTACCAGATCATTGCAGGAATAGGAATTGGTAAACACCATATCTCTTCACCGCTCCTAACAATCATTGCTAACATTACACCTCAGGTCCCAACTTCCAAGCCCCCCTCATCGCCCTCCAAACAAACGTCCAGCCCAGAGATATCGCCACTGCCACGGCAACCTTCGGCTTCGTCCGCCAAATCTTCACCTCAATCTCCGTAGTGATCGGCCAAGTCGTATACCAAAATCAGATGAACACGAAAACCGCCCGCCTGGTCGCCGCTCTAGGCCCCCAAACCGCCTCCCAACTCACAGGAGGAGGTGCAGGCGCTAATGTCGAGTTGGTAGATAATCTGCCCTCTGGACAAAAGCAGGTCGCGCAGACGGCATTCGCGCAGAGTTTGCATCCCATGTGGATCATGTATGTGTGTTTTGCTGCTGTGGGGTTGGTGGTGAGTGCGTTCATCAAGAAGAAGGAATTGAGTAAGAAGCATACGGAGACAAAGACTGGACTTGATGTCCAAAGGGCGAATGCTGAGGCGCAGAAGATGGAGGATGCGGAGAAGAAGGCCGCAAAGGGGAGGAAGATGCAAGATCCTGAGAAGGGTGAAGCGTAAAAGCGTCCCTTTATGAAGGAGAGAGAGAGAAAAGGAGTTTTTGGATTTTTCTTGCATTTTCCGGCGGCGCATCAACTGCGTATACCTTTTTTGATACCATAGCGATGTCTGGCATGACGGGATGTAAAATCGCATCTCGATTTCATCCCAGGGGTTCCAGCATACTTCCTCTGCATCTTTTAGAAGTTTCCTAATTAATCACATCTTCACTTTCAAACAACACCACTCTTCCACACATGTTCTGACAATATCAACAGCTTTCAAATTCCGAATGTATGGGTATTAAAGGACGTCCAATTCAAGCAAGCTTCTTGACCCTCTCTTCCAACTCTTTGACCCAGGTCTCTACGGCAGCACTGTTTTCGAGCATACCGCTTTCCGCTTTCGCGACTGCTTCTTCCACTTTCTTGAGACCGTCCCGCCATTCGCGGATTTCCTTGTCTGCTTCGTCTTGTTTTCGCTCTACTTCGTCTAGTGTTTGACTCGCTGTTACGGCATTGGCGTGTAACGTGCGTAAAGATCGAAGACGGGTGAGTAGTGGTGGTACAGTCGGGCTGAGTGATGTCAAAGTAGGCAATAGAGCGTAGAGAGCGCGCAATTTTGCCATGTCTTCGGGAGTGTGTAGTTCGTGTAGGCCATCGGTGGTGCCGGAGGGTTTTGGCGTTTGTTGTTGTTGGAGTTTTTGGGCCAAGGTGTCGATGTGAGTTTGTGAGGTTGAAGAGGTGAGGAGGGCTAGTTGGCGGTCTAGTAGCGAAAGAGTGGGGATGATGGGAGAAAAAGAGGTGGCGGTGGAGGCTTCAGGTGCGTCGAGAGATGTGATGCCGAGTTGTCGTTCGAGGATTGCGAGACGAGCGTCGAAATCGGCCACCTTGTTTAGGGCTTGTGTATCGGCTGTCTGGCTTATCGCTTCCTCGATACGTGTCGATTCTGGTACCGCGACGGCATCTGCTTTTGAGGGTGTTGTTGATGCCAGTTGTCTGCTCAGACGCGACTGTGCTGATTGCGATTGGCGCATACCATCCAGTGCCGTGCTCAATTGAGCCAGTTGTGCGGCCACGTCTTCATCCTCGGTGTGTGCCTCTGTGCCATTTGCCTCGCTTTTCCTCTTGTCCAATTCATTCTGAACCTCCTGCACCTCCCTGTTTAGCCTCGCCAGCTTTCTTTGCAGACTCTCATTCTCGTCCTCGCTGTCGTAGTCCTCGCCATCATCTTGCTCCCTGTTGCTGACAACATATGCCCTTCTCTTACTGCTCACACGGTCTGAGAAGTCGGTTTCCCTCGCATCGACCCGCGATGATTGGAATTGTGATCGTGCTTCGTTTGGGTGTAATTTACTTCGGCTGATGCTGGGGTTTGCTTCCGTATCCGAGGTTTCTGACCATGCCGTTGATGTCGGTAGTGTGGATGCGTCGTCTGTCAGATCTGGTGTCTCGTATGTGTCTGGCGATTCGTCCTGAGGTTGTTGTTAGTATTATGCATCTTAGTATTCAGCTTGTTGAAACCATTTACCAAGTCGGGCAGAGCGGCGTACTTGCGCACTTGGGCCATGCTGCGATAGCTCTACGGTCGAATATTGGAATGTTGATGGACAAGTGGTGGGTAAGGTGGTGTCGAAATTACAGCTTCGGAGATGGGCTTGGACGTCACTTTGGGTCTCAGGGACGTGGGACAATTGAAAGAGGGTGGAGTTGGATACGAGTCAATCGAAACACCATGTTTCAACACCGCCATTCTGCGCTATCACGTGACGGACATGATCAATCTATCATCCATCAATACATGTATGCTTCCACTCTACTCCGTGGGATCTCGAGCAAGACATGTCGCGTTTCTTTGTTTGCTGTGTAAGGACCAAATCGCGCGAAGTTCACCGGGCGTCTCTCCGCCGTGTAGCTTCGTTGGACTTTGGCTGTACAAATGCACCATGTCGGGCAAGCTGGACAAGGCTTATTGAGAATTGGATTGTGTTCATAATGTTCATCCTTTTCACGAGTTTCTACTCCTGCGCATCCATATGACTTCCTGAACCACGACCCCGTGTGTGTTGAAACACTAGGTTTGGTGCTGGGTGAATGCCCTTAGATATGGTCCCCATCACCGACATAGTATAGGTAACCTTTTCCCAGCACTTCGACTGGATCGATTCTTGCCTGCTTTGCCTCATCGTCTTTGGTATCCATGGTCTCGCCCATCTGAATAAGCGAACAAAATCTTCTCCGATGGTCAAGCGCTCTATGCAATATTGGTCCATTGTCGGTGGACATTCCCGAGCGCATGTCCTCAATCGCTGGCTCCAACCACAAATCCGTAAGGCGTGGGTTTCGATATACGGAGAGTGTCGTTGGGGCATTTTAACACCTCGAGGCGCCCTGGATGAAAATTGATCGATCTAGCGGAGTCGGTCGTGACACGTCTGGGAATATACATCAGCAAGGGAGATATCTTGGAAGAGAGCTATGCAAATATTCGGTTGTCGAGCTTGATGCGGTTTTGAGATGCATCAGCAAGATTGGGCTGCGAAAAGGAAATACGTGGTTATGCGCAATCATGATACGTGCGCCCTATCGAAACCTATGCCCGACTGATGTGTGGCAGAATCTGAGTCGCGAGATCGATAGGGAAAACTCCAGGGGAGTGAGGAGTGGCGTGCTGATGATAATGGCGAGTATGCGCAAGATAACTGAGTAGACAGGGTAGGACGTGCAACAGATTCGGAGATGACAGTCGCAGCGCCATGTCGATCTTCGCCAACGCGCCGATATCTGATTGAACCATCACGCAGATTTTGCCTGGTCGATGATATGTGTCCAGCGATAGAAATGCACAGAAGCAGGCTCGCTGTGCAGACAGGCATGATGCGTGGTGCAAAGGATATGGGACATGTCGAGTCGAGGTGAGGTTGAAGCAAAGTTGTCGCGGGAAAAACGCCGAGGGCACACCGGCTGGCACAAGGGCCATCACCACCAAACTGGAGACATATCGTCCTCTTGGTCCAGCCTCACGAGCGCAACCAGACTTGAAGCTTCATCACTACTTAAAAAACATTTGCTCTCTTCGCTTCGGAGTTATAACATCCAGCATGCTCTAGACTCGAACAGAGAAGCGATGCAACAACATATTGGCCGCCCTTCATTCGCCTCCATATCCTGATATTGCCAACATGGACCCGTCCAGCAATACCAATACTCCCGCGGACGACTTGAAAAATTTCCCCAATACAATCATGGAAGGAGTCGAGGGTATCTTGGCCGCAAATACGGCCTCGGGTGCCGCGACCACGGTGCAAAACCAGGTCCGACCAAAGCCATCAGGCCAGTATACCACACACGACAGTCCCGAAGATTCGAGCTCCGGCCTATCTTCTGTCGAAAGCGAGCCATTGAGTTCTGTTCCCGATGCTCAGGGGGCCAGTCTGAGCAAGGTCGATGTTAATGGCATTCTCCGTTATGGCTCATTGGATGCCGATGAAACTGGTTTATCATCAGTGACTTCCGGCCCTTCGACTAACAAACGACCATTCCAAGAACTTCACAGCTATCCTGAAAGTCAGGTATCTGATGATGACAGAGCAGCCAAGAGACCTGCTTTCTCTTCTCAATTTGCCCCTCTTCCAGATCACGCTACACCTAGCAGTCGTTCATCACTCTTGTCGAATATCCACGTCGAAGCTCGCCCAGACCCATCAGTCGCTACTTCCCTGAGGGATAATCGTATACAGTCGGCGCCGAAAGCCCCAACACCAAGGGCCAGGAAATTCTCGAAAGTCTCCAGACTGACGACTAATGCTCGTCCAAGATCGTCAATCCCCATGCACATGTCTTGGGAAGAATATGGAAGACAATGCATCTCAGCAGCTCACTCATCGCGCCTCAACCCATACGCTCTTCACCCAGGCGAATACAGACTCTTGCGAGACCACATTACGCAAGCTCAAGTCACCACTTATCTGAACATCCGTAATGGCATCCTTCGTCTTTGGGTTCGAAACCCTCTAGTCAGTGTCTCTAAGGAAGAAGCAGCCGGCTGCGCAAAAGATGTGCGGTTTTTTGACCTGGCACATACATCATACCGATGGTTGGTCAGAAATGGCTACATCAATTTTGGCTGTGTCGAGGTTCCTCACGCTGGGGTTCTCAGTACCAAGCGAAAATCAGTACCTAGACAAAGAACGATCGTCGTCGTAGGTGCAGGCATGGCTGGTCTGGGCTGTGCAAGACAACTTGAGGGGCTCTTCGCGCAACTTGGTGATCACTGGACCGACACTGGAGAATTACCCCCAAAAGTCGTTGTTTTGGAGGGGCGGAAAAGAGTTGGCGGTCGCGTCTATTCACATCCACTTCGGGACCAGGTCCCAGACAGTCTGCCGAACGGCTTGCGAAACACTGCTGAGATGGGTGCTCAAATCATCACAGGCTTCAACCACGGAAACCCCCTCAACGCCATTGTTCGCGGACAACTTGCGCTCCGTTATCATCTTATGTGGGACGAGATAACGATGTATGATTCTGATGGACTCGCGGTCAATCATGAACGCGACATGATGGTCAATAAAATCCACAACGACCTCTTGGAGAGAGCCAGCGATTTCCGCGTAAAGCCGACGCCCATAGAGACGCTAGAGGGTCTTCCAGACTATGTTGAAGTTTGTCAAGACCCCATAGAAATCAAGACGGACAAGACCAATGCTCCAACCCTCAACAAAGAAAGGCAGGCCGTGCCGCCCGGCTTCGCTAAGCTTCAAGGAAGAACTCAAGTCGTTGCTGGTAACAGTTCGAGTCGCACAGCTGCACAGGCTGTGAAGTCAGCAGGCTGGCAACTAAGACCTGGTATAACGAAAAGACACTCTCTTGCCCTTGACGCAATAGCTACAGAATCCGACAAGCCAACTCTCGGCGCAACCATGGATGAAGCTGTTCGCCAGTACCAAGAGCTTGTAGAATTGACACCCCAAGACATGCGTCTTCTCAACTGGCACTACGCAGATCTGGAGTACGCAAACGCTGCCACAGTCTCGACCCTCAGCTTGGGCGGTCATGACCAAGACAGTGGTAATGAGTTCGAAGGTCGACATTCTGAAGTGGTAGGTGGCTACATACAAGTCCCTCGCGGTCTAATGATGCTGCCTTATCCTCTTGACGTTCGCTTCGAGTCCACAGTGGAGAAGATCACCTACAACGCGAATGACGATGATTCGGACGGCTCGGCAACAGTATTGTGCTCAAATGGAGAAGTCTTTGAGGCCGATCAGGTTGTTCTCACCTCCCCACTAGGTGTGCTCAAGACGCAGACTATAGGCTTCGAACCACCTCTGCCGGATTGGAAGCTGGGTGCCATTGACCGCATGGGCTTCGGGCTTCTCAACAAGGTAACATCATCACTCTCCACTTGAAGTTTGGAAGCTAAATGTTTAGGTGGTAATGGTCTTCGAACACGCATTCTGGGATAGCCAATACGACATGTTCGGATTCTTGAATGACGCCGAGAATAAAAACAGCCTCAATCCCGATGACTATGCCGCTCGCCGCGGTCGTTTCTACATGATGTGGAATTGCGAGAAGAATAGTGGCAGACCCGTGCTGAGTGCTCTTATGTCTGGTCGAGCAGCTCATGAGGTGGAAACCACGGACAATGACACATTGCTCCAAGAGGCTTTGGACAAGCTTAGACGTACCTTTGGAGCTGAGAACGTTCCTACACCCGTCGAAGTCATTGTTACACGGTGGAAGAAGGATCCATTCGCAAGGGGAACATACTCCTTCGTTGGACCAGCCACCAGCCCTTTGGATTACGACATCATGGCGGCTCCTGTTGGCAATCTCCATTTCGCTGGAGAAGCTACTTGTGGTACCCATCCTGCCACTGTTCATGGCGCGTATCTGTCTGGACTCAGGGCAGCTGCTGATGTTGTCGACACTATGATCGGCCAGATGGCAGTCCCCGAACCCCTAGTACTGCCTCGACAGAACAACCTAGCTGCTGGCTTCGAAGAGGCCTCTGAACTGGCTGTTACACAATCACCACTAGGACAAGCCTTTACGGGCACGCCTCTTGGAGTTGTAAAGCGACCCCCGGGTAGGCCTCCAGGCCGACCGCCTGGTAGACCACCAGGCAGACCAAAGAAGGTAGTTGAGCCGATACAGTCTCTACCCGCCGTAACGCCAAATCCCACAGTGCTTCAAAATCCTTACAGGTCATCGACTAACAGCAAGTCTGTTGAAGACGAGACATACGAGGCAGCGATCATTGACGCTATTCTTTCCGAACTTGGGCCTCGACCTCTGAAGCCCGCCAGACCTGGCGCAAGTGTCAACCCATACCTTCTGTTCACGAACGACTATTGGGCACGATGCAAAGAGGAGCTAAGTCAAGCAAAACAGAAAGCGAGTGGTGACAGCGATGCGAAGGCATTACGAGAAGAGATTCGCAGTGAGGTAGGTCGACAATGGCGAATGTCAAGTGACGAGGTCAAGCGACCCTACATCGAGCAAACACAAGCGGCACAGCAAGCGGTAAAAGAGGTTCGAGCACAATATGAGATAGCGGCAGCCAAGTGGGATCAGGATGCTCGACGAATCAGACTTGACTATCAGAAGGAGCATCCGCCTACCAATGGAAACGAATGGACAGGCGGGACGAGTATTGAAGTGGCCTCCTCGGCTCCTGCCAGACGAAAGCAAGCAGTCAACTACCTGGAAGACTCGGAGTAAAGGGCAGACTAGATGCTTTTTGGCGTTGGCTGCACGCGTCCGAGTGGTGGAAAGTTTCTAGTCAGCGTGTATGAATTATTACTGTACAACCAACGTTCTAGGCGGAGGCTCCAGGGCAGGTGATGATTTGCAGAGGGTCCGACCGGCGGCTATCCTACGCGCAAGGATCGCTCTTGGCTGCACGCGTGACGGCCGCGTGGGAGCGCCAAAGTCAAATTGAGGTGTTTGGACGGTATGGAAGCCCATGCTCGATATTCATAGATAGCCGATCGATTTGATATCCAACGAACAGGATTAGGAGCTTCAGCTTGCTTCCAGCACAAGAACAACCGTGTGTCTACAATCAGACAACAAGAGACCTTCCTGATGGTGTCCTGTCATGACGACACGGGCCTCTGCGCTATGGCGCATAGAAGCGTCTCGCCCCAAAGCGGCGTTTGGAAGGTTTGATCGAGCGACATGCTGGGGGTCAGCGTCGGGCGTGCTTACCGATTGAACCGAAGCCGGGTCTGCTATCAGCGAGCTCAAGGCACGGCGGGTCTCGGTGATGTCAAGGAGCGAAATCCTCCCCGGAAAGGCTGAGACCCGCTGATATGGCTCGTGTAACAGCGAGGACTTGACAAAAACCGAATGCAACCCAAAGTCTGGCAACAAGCAAGCAGTTGAATTAGAAGAAGAGAAGGTCCCGGAGGTGTTTGGGGAGGTATTCAAGCCACCAAAGCGATTGTCGGAAGGTCAGAATCCTTTTTCCCCGCCATCGATCCCCAGAAACCGCTCGGGTAGTAGTGTAGGCGAGACCAGCACTTAGCCGTTGCATTGCCTCTACACTCTGCGCAACTCTCGAGTCTCTTCCTCTCGGCGCTCGTAGTTGTCTCTCCCTCCTGTCTCCCCGTCCTGTCGCTGTCGCATTCCAACGTGCACCTACATTCAGACTCTGTCGACATCCATCTTCCCAGACGGACTTGTTAATATTGGCCAATTGCTTGCCCGAGGACGGGAACGCAGTCGCGCCTGCCCCGACTTTGATGTACGCATCCCTCGTGGAACTGTAGAATGTCTTTCTTCGGCAAGCTCAAAGGAAACGCAGTGAGTAGTCTTGTTTCTCCCTGCCTTTGCGCCACGTTTGACTGACGATCACGACCATCTCAGACACCAGCGAGTCCGACCACCGGCAGTGCCCCTCCAAAGAAAGATGCCACCGCCCCCCAACCAACCCCACTAGAGAAGCACCTGGCCGATCTGGCTGGCCCTGTACGGCCGGATGGTAGCGACAAGTTCTTTGGTTTCGAAAATGTACGTAAATTCGTCCCCTCCCATCTCGACAGCGACACAGACTAATCGCGGCTCGACCAACAGTACGGAAGCACATGGTACGTGTCTATTAGCAGACATCACAAGTGACCTTCTCTGACCTTTGCGCAACAGCTATGCGAACTCGATCATACAATGTCTCTACTATTCGACAACCTTCCGCGAGAATGTCCTCAACTTTCCTCCACTTCCGCCGTCGCCCGAGCCTTCAGAGACAGATGCAGACAGGAGCATGAGCCTACAGAATGGCCTACCTTCTCCGGGAAACCACCTGCTAACTGCAGCGACCAACAACCTCACATCCAGCTCGCCTGCGAGAAGGCCTATCATTCTACCAAACTCGCCCGAAGCACAAACGACCAAACCTGATGACAAGGACTCTCCGGACTACAAGAAAAAGGTGGCTATGAAGTCGGGTCCCGTCTTGGAGATGCAAATGAGCAACTCCAACGCATACGGCATGTCCGAGTCTCTCTTTACCTCGTTGAAGGACATATTCGAGTCCATCATTGGTCACCAGTCACGCACAGGAATCATCAGTCCCCTCAAGTTTCTCGAGATTCTGAGAAAGGAAAACGAGATGTTCCGCTCTGCCATGCATCAAGACGCCCACGAGTTCTTGAATCTGCTGTTGAATCAAGTCGTTGACAATGTAGAGATGTACTCGAAGATGCTGCCAGCCATCAACGGAACCCTCAACGGCAACGGCCATGCAGAACCGAGCATGGCAGGCGCCATGTCCGCTATGGCGAAAGCTCATAATACTGCTGGCATGAGTGGCGCTGGCTGGGTACACGACCTTTTCGAGGGCCTTCTCACTTCAGAAACACGTTGCTTGAGCTGCGAGAATACGTCACAAAGAGATGAGGCCTTCATGGACTTGTCTGTCGACCTCGAGGCACACTCTTCGGTGACGGCTTGTCTGCGGAAATTTTCCGAGGAGGAGATGTTGTGCGAACGGAACAAATTCCACTGCGACAACTGCGGTGGCTTGCAGGAAGCCGAGAAGAGAATGAAGATCAAACGACTACCACGCATTCTGGCACTCCACCTAAAACGATTCAAGTACACTGAGGACCTCCAGCGACTCCAAAAGCTTTTCCATCGTGTTGTATACCCTTATCATTTGCGACTTTTTAATACCACCGACGACGCAGAGGACCCAGACCGACTTTACGAACTTTACGCTGTTGTTGTGCATATCGGTGGTGGCCCATACCATGGACATTATGTGTCTATAATCAAGACCCAGGATCGTGGGTGGCTGATGTTTGACGACGAGTTGGTTGAACCTGTCGATAAGAGCTTCGTCAGGAACTTCTTCGGTGGTGAGCCAAAGCCTGGAGTTCAGGACGCCAGACAGCTTGCTTGCGCCTACGTTCTTTTCTATCAGGAAACGACTCTGGAAGCCATGCAACGAGAACAGGAACAGGAGGCAAGACAGGCTGCAGCTGCCGCAAGCATGCCGAACAGAGATTCGGTCTCGAGGGAGACCCATCAAGGTGGTTTGATGATCAACGGTCTACGCAACACACACACTGTACAGTCACCGATTGAAGAAGAGCCCAACGCCTTTGCCAATCTTGCTCACGCCTCTACTGCTCCTGCCCTGTCTCAGCAACGATCGACCTTCAGCAGTCTGTCCACATCGCCTTTCCTCGGATCCGGCTTCGGATCTCTCGACAAGAAGGCGGCAAAACAAGCGGAAAAAGAACGCAAGGCACAAGAGAAGGAAGCTAGGAAGCTGGCAGATGCTAAGAGGAAGGAGGCGGCCGAAGCCACAAGAAATGCCTGGAAGAAACAGAATGAGGACTATCTGGCAGCGATCGAGCTCAGCAAGCAAACAGCTGCGGAAGAGGCAACTCGCTCAGGAAACACGGCTTCGGATACACCAGCACCTTCAGCGCCAACAACTAGTTCTGCAGCAGATGGAAAAGACCGACCAGGACTCAGCAGATTCAGACACAGCTCGATGAGTCTGCGGCAGAAACCAAAGTTCTGGGCGTCAGGCAAAGAGAAGGAAGCAGGCAGCCCCATGCCGACACAAGCTGAAGAGCCGAGCAGCACAGGTGGAGGAGAAAAGGAGATCAAGAAGAACCGGTTCAGTCTGAGTAGAAAGAAGTCGACGGTGCTTTGAGGATCTGTGTACATAGTACTACACTTTATTCCGCGCAGTTGGTGTAATGCATAGGGCAGATTTTGGACATATACAAAAGGACTGTCTGGCGGCGTTTCATTATTGCAGACGATGTTGGTGGGTGGCAGACAATACCCAGGTTGTTAGGCATTGGCAGCTTGATTTTCATGTTGAGGCTTTCTGTTCGATTATCATGTATGTGTTTGAAGTGTCTTCGTCTACTCCCACTCATGAACTGTACTCTGCCGTGTCATTTTCCATGTCTCGTGTCGTTCATGGTAGCCTTGGGCCCTTGAACAGCTGGCTTGTACAGCCGATGATGCACATCGTCTTCCAGAGTCGCACATATGGCCACGAGGTCTTCTCGACCGCTGGCCCCTCGCGTTTTGATGACAGCTGATCCGGATAGGGATGGAGGTCATGTTGTAATTTTCATTTGTTGTTCTATGCGCAAGCTCTTGTATAGTCCTTCATCCCAGTATAAGTTCGTAGACGATGATGAGAGTGTTGATGACGATAAGCGGTACTGTAGGCACTGAAGTCAGCACATGATATCTGGCAGACGCAGGAAGAGCACGTACTTCTCATAAGAGTGCGGACAGAAGAGATCAGGTTGATGACTTTCGACTTGACGCTGGTGTTGTCTGAAGGACCGCCGAATGCGGGCTCTTGCTGTGTGGATCCCCAGCCAACTGTTTGTATACTGTCAGTCGCAATTTCTCGACAGTAAAGGTGTAGATGCGTACTTCTGGCGAGGAAGCGGTCTTCGGAGAGAATGGCTATTGCGTTGACCAGCAATACCGAGACTGTGAGGGTGCACATGTTAGCTTGTGCATTGCGCGTCCGTCGAGCGGCGTAGATTGCATACCATAGAAAAGGCCTCCGAGGTTGAAGAAGAACATCTTGATGTGCCAGATGTCTTGTTGCGTCGGGGAAAGGTTGGAGGGTGGATGCGCTGTGGACAACAACAGCAGCTCTCCTTCTTCCCCACGTCGTGCTGAAGCCTTTCTCCGCAGTCATCCTCGCGACCACCAAAGCTGTCCTCACATCGCGTGTGCCAAGAACTACACCATGGCTCGCCAACTCATAGGTATGATATGTTCTTTATTCGAGAGGATCGTTCAGCTCTACATACTAATACCGACTTTCCAGATGTAATATTGGCTGGGCTTCTGCCTTTGACCATCTTGGTGCATTTGTACTTAGCCCCTTATACCAAGGTCGAGGAGTCGTTCAATATTCAAGCTATCCACGATACTTTGATTCATGGCATTCCGACGAGAAATGCTACGGCCTTCTTCAACTCGCATTATGATCACTTTACCTTTCCTGGGCCTGTACCTCGCACCTTTGTTGGTGCTGTCGTCATGTCTGGGTTGACTAGGCCTTTGCAGATTATCCTGAACTTGTTGTCACCAGGAGGTGTTGACAAGTTTACCTTCCAATTGGCTGCTAGAGGAGTGCTTGGGTTGCTCAATGCAGCAGCTTTAGTCCACTTCAAACGTGCAATCGATACTGCATACGGCAAGGTTGCAGGAAGATGGTATATCATCCTCCAGGCTTCTCAGTTCCATGTCATGTTCTATGCATCTCGAACTCTTCCCAACATGTTCGCCTTCAGCATCAGTGAGTTCAACAGCCCAAGCTAAGTCCCTTCCATTCTGACCAACTCAGCGACCTTAGCGTTGTCCAACCTCATCTCTGCTCAGGCAGTCGCGATCCGCTCTCAAAAAAGTGTCAAACGTCGCCGTCTAGCTTTGTACCTTCTCACTGCCTCAGGCATCATCTTCAGATCCGAAATCGCCATTCTTCTGGCCATGCAAACCCTCTATTTGCTGGTGCAGGGGAAGACTTCTCTGATCAATGAAGTCATACCTGCTGGAATATTCGGCTTGGTCATCGGCCTTGGTGTTACAGTCTCAGTGGACTCTTTCTTCTGGCAGCGCTTCCCCTTATGGCCTGAATTTATCGGCTTTGTCTACAATACAATTCAAGGCAAGTCATCGGACTGGGGTGTGAGTCCATGGCACTACTACTTCATCAACGCCATCCCTCGACTGCTGTTGAACCCAATTTCTTGGTCTTTTTGTATACCGTTGGCTCTGGTAAACCGCGCTACCCGCAAAACGAGCTTGGATATCTTGATACCCCTCCTTGCTTTCGTGGCTATCTACAGCGTCTTACCCCACAAAGAATGGCGATTCATCATCTACATCATCCCTGGTTTGACAGGCGTTGCAGCCGGAGGAGCATCGTGGATCTGGACTCGCCGAAGCAAGAGCATTCTCTACAGACTTTTGAGTCTCGGCCTTATCGCTTCGACCATTACATCTTTCGTGGGTAGCTTCAGCTTACTCTACATCTCAAGCCTGAATTACCCAGGCGGCGAGGCCTTCACACGTCTCCATGAACTCGTACCCAGCGGACAACAAACACCAATTCGCGTCTACATGGACAATCTCTCGTGCCAAACTGGTGTAACACGATTCTTAGAGAAGGATGCAGGCTCAAGATTTGTCTACGACAAGACTGAAGACGAAACAACACTTTTGGATCCAGCCTTCTGGCAGCAGTTTGACTACGTGCTCGCAGAAAGTCCTGAGCGTATCATTGGTAGCTGGGAAGTTGCTGATGTCATTCATGGCTATTCTGGAGTTGGTCTCGGAAACTTGGCTGGCAAGCAAGATAGTGCGCCTGCTCTGACCACACGTGGTTTCATCGCTCGACCCTTGAACAAGATGCTCGGAGTGTACAATGAGGTTGCTCGTGTGGCAAGTCAGAAGGCGACTGGTGGACGATGGCCTGTGGTGAAAATGGCACCTAAGATTCACATATTGAAAAGACAAGAGTAGTTCTCAAGTCATTAGGCGACATCTCGATTGGAGTTCTATCGTCGGTTCTGCTGGAAACAACAAAAGTATATCGCTGGTTATCCAGCTCGCATTTGTCCTTAGTCACTGGCCACGTGTTGGTCCTTCGATTTCAAATTCCTGGTTTCACTTGCTTGCTTTCACTCGTGCTTTCACCTGCTATATAAGCCACCTCCTTCTTCCACTCAACCTTCTTTTCTCTAATTCGGTTCGAAACATCATTGGTACCACAAAACAATATCTTCCGATTCGACATTCCGCTGACCAGCAACAGGGTCACCAACATGGCAAAACCACCCACCGATCCACGCCTTCAGCGCTGCCTGACCAGACTCGAGCACCTTTTCGCGTCCTGGGAAGAGTGCAACGGTAAACCCGACAACCACCGCAAAGACGACACTGAGGCACTGTTCGAAGACGCGTACATTCTTCCGACAAAGATCTTCTCACTCGAGCGCAAGGAACAAGACATCAAGAACAAGCTCGCAAAACTAGAAGAGGTTCTGGAATCGATCACTGCAAGGATGAACGAAGTCGACCTGGACGAACCACAATACAACGATCTGCATCAAGCAAGAGAAATCAAACTCGAGGACAAGTCAGGAAAATCAGAGGATGTATTCCTTTTGGACGACCCACAATATTACGCTCTGTATCACGAGAGAGCGATTGCAGTCGAGGAACAACAACGTTTGACAGAGGAGCACTCGAGTGTGCTGGCCGAGATGGCAAAGTCCAAAGAGACTTCCGACAAGGCCATGGAAACAAACATGGAAATTCTGGAGGAGAGACATGAGTTGGAGTGGTTCGGCAGAATACTCGACCACATCGAACCTTCTTGAATTCTTGCCGAAACAATAATGGTCTTCTGCAAATGCGCCAGAACTCCATCCAAGTGGCGTGGGAGCTTCATCGAACGTGATGAAAAGTTGAGTCTCTACTCACATATCAAGTTGACATAATAAGATGACCTTCATTAGAGGTATTTTCCTGAGACTGCAATACGAATTCAGTTAATTACCTCACTTTTATGTTACTTTCACATGCTCTCATCCTTCTCGTTAGCTATATAAGATCTTTCCTCTTCCAAATGTCCCAATCTTTTCTTCTTCAACCTAAACCACAACATCATCGGTATGAACAGAAGCCACTCTATGACATAACATCCGACTGACTATCAAACACACCAGACCTATGGCGGACCCTCACAACGAAGTCAGCCTGCAACACTGCGTAATCAGAACCGAGCACTTGTTCGCCTGGTGGCAGAGATGCAACGGTAACCCGGCTCTACATCGCCAACAGGAACATGCCTCGTCAAACATTATTATCAATTTATGCAAAATCGACATCTCTTTCCTTAAACACAAAGTAGAAGAGGGCATGCGAGAATGTGCAGACTTGCTGGTCAAAAGATCTGATACTGAGGCTGCCTGGAAGTTAGCACTGGAGGAAAATAATTCGTACATGATTCAGTCAGTTGCCCTAGATCAAAAGATGCAGGCGGCTTTTGGGAAATATCAGCACGAATACGAGACGCTTATCATAAATAAGGGCTTAATATTAGGACTAAAGAAGCAGCTCGCCAGTAAAGAGATAGTGTTGAAGGAGATTAAAGATGAAACAAAGCAGTTAGAGTGGTTCGAAAAGACGATCGTCCAGTACAAAGGATTTGCTTGATCTCTCACAAACGAAGCAGCAACGACATTTCATAGCTTCGTCATCACTGCTCTCTCTTCTGAACTTCACTCGAGAATAACCGGGCACTCTGCCGAGCTCACCTGCTATCCAAGTCAGCATACCAGAAACAACATCACTTAGCTAGTGCTCAATTCAAAGCTATCTCCCACTCTCACATATGTACATTTTCACTCAACTCTCATCTACTCTCACTCTCTCACCCTGCCCTTCTGCGATATAAAACTTCTCCATCCTGCCACTCTCTCGATCTTGCTTCTTCCAACTCAGGTCATTACATCAACGGTACCAACACATCCCTCCTACCGCTTGACACTCAACTAACAATCTAAAGCATCAACATGGCACCCTCATCGGTTGACCAAACAACCCAATCGCAGCCTGCTCTTACTACATCCGAGAAGATCAAAGGTCTTTACCCAAAGGAGGTGTACGAGAACTGGTTCAAGTGCTACGGCAATCCGGATGCCCACCGCCAAGAAGAACTCTCACATCAAACACATCTTCTCACACTCACCGAGCAAGACATGGCAACAATCAAGTCCATAACGAAGGAGACCGGACGCACTATGATGAAGTCAGATGCCCAACATCAGAAGATGGAAGAATATTGGACCAAGACCCAGGAGCTCGCAAACGAATCTGGATTTGATGGAGCAGAGCATGTGCGAGGAGTTTATCGGCTTTATCAGGCCGCGGTCAATGATCACCGCTACAAGTCGTCAAGTTATTTTTCAAGTGTTCGAGCTCTGCGACGTACACAAAAGGAGCTTGATCGATACAAGCAAAAGATCGACGAGATCAACGAGGGGAGAAGACAACTGAAGGTTTTCGGAAAGCACTACCTGGGTCGTGACGATTGAGTGCTTCAAGGGGAAGCAAGTGGAAGGGACGAGAGGCTGCTATATCACCTACACAAGCGGAGGACAGTAGACAGACTTCGGAGGTCAGCATGGAGGCAGCTTGCAGGCGCAGGCGCCATTGCTCTTTCCTACATTGCTTTCACGCGTCTTTCCACGCTGCTTTACTTCCACACTTCCACACTTCCACACTTCCACACTTCCACACCTTTCAAATCAGCATCAGAAGAAGACCGAAAAGGACAAACTCAACATACTTCCCTTCCCAAGCAAATACCACACCTCAATCAACACACCTAAAATTACCACCCCTCCCCTTCCCTCTCCCTCCACCTTTCAATCAACATAATTAGATATCTCGATCAAATTCCCATCCGGATCCCTCGTATAAACACTCTTCAGTTTCCCCCTAGCACCCGTCCTATCAACCACCTTGCCATCCTCCAAAACTTCCAATCCTTCCTTCTTCAACTCCGCCAGGACATCTGTGATGGGTGTGGATGTTAGAAAACAGAGGTCCGCGGTACCGGGTTTGGCGAGGCTAGCTTTTGGTTCGAATTCCGAGCCCGCTTGGTGCAGGTTTAGTTTTTGTTGGCCGAAGAGGAGGGCGTGTCTGTGTTAAGGAGAGAAGGGGTTAGTAGGAGGAGGTGGGATCGGAGTTTGTGAAGCTCAGATGGAGATATATGGGCTCATGGGTGGAGTTATACCTTTCGATGCCTGGGGGATCTTTCGATGAACGGAAGACTTCATGTTGCATTCCAAATCGCTTTGTGTAGAAGGCGACTGTTGCGTTTACATTTTTGCAAGTCAAGACGATGTGGTCGAGAGCTTTTACGGCGAACGGCATTTTCGAAGAGATGTGAGTCAAGGCAGGATGAATGCTATCCTCGAATATGTTTGGAGCTGTCAATCATGCATACGCAATACGAAATACGCCATTGCGGGGCTGTAAACCTTGTTTGGACTCGTATGATTTTTTGGAGAGGATGGAAGGAAAGAGCGACTGGATAGCCAAGCAAATACGTTCTGTGTGTCCGGCACGATATACAAGGAAAGAAAGAGAATGCGTCGAAACTAGAAGAAAAATCTGGGTATTGGGAAAACCCGCCTCACTGCCATGAAGGTCTCCTTGCTGGTGAGCCATAATGGAAACCATCATCTCTTATGACCTCGGTCGAATGCACGACCTCAGTGGTCTTGACAATACTCGGCAAATGAGCTGTAGAGTCATATGCTGATCCCCACTGGATTGTCGTCTTCAAACTCTTGAGCATCTGTGAACCATCCTCGATATGATTGAGCCGATGGCAAGATGCCGAACTCGTTCTTATCTGACAGATCACTCCGCATCGTGCCAGCAGTGTCTCATATGGTGTCCTGAGCCGGATCGCTAGACTTGCTATGATACTGAGATTTTGTTCGAGTTGCCACCAGGTCGATGGCGCTACCATGTCTCTGAGAGGATCTTGGGTGATTCGATAGGTATGTAGGTATACCATGTTGGCGACTGAGGACATGGTGACGAATAAACCTACACCGACCAGCAAGCCCAAGGCAATCAATTCGTGTAGTGGTCGGTTCGCGCCCTTGACGAAGGTGACGGGCGTCAAAGACAGAAGCATGCTTGTCACCACGCCGAATCCTGGAAAATGTCAGTCAAGTGGTCAACGAAGAGACGCATGATTATGTTTCTCACCGAGTGTGACATAGGCTACAAGTTGTATGCGCTGAGGTGACCAGCAATGTGCTGCCTCGTTACCATCCCACAGCGCAGAGATCGGCTGGCACTGTAAAAATTGAAAGATGGTGGTCGCAATTGTACAGGCGACTTGAACAAAGACAATCCAACAAAAGACAAATCTCCAAGGGCGGTCTTCTCTGGTACGAAGAACAGTGCAAGCGATTGAACACTTTGCGAAGCAGATCGACCATACACAGATAGGCTGCGTCAAGAAGCCGAAATAGAGGGCCTTGATCGATCTGGCCGAGTCTACAAATGTCGTATGTCTACCCAGACCATAGTGACAGCTGATGGCGGTGAGTACGAAGTCTACCATTGCCAGCACCTAAACACGAGCACATATGTCAGGACATGCTGTCTCGACGGTGACATGACACTATATTGTACTTACCAAAGCTGCAGTGATCATGCCATCGATCCATACAAGAGGCGAAGAACGGCGAGCTCGTATCCGGACACCATATAGGACGAGGCCCAATGTAAGAGTAATTGTTGTGGGGACCAGCAGCGCAGCTTGCGTATTGTTTTTGGGTCCGGTGAACTGCGGCAGATCCGCAGACATGTTGTGCTGGTTTCGGTGCTGGAGTTGTATATTGGCTCGATGGGGATTCAGAATTGATTTTAAAGCTCGAGAGTATGAGGAAAGAACGATGAAAGACCGCCTTCTCAGATTCCAGATGCTAGGAACCACATGGCAAGGACACTAACCGCAACTAATAGCAGACGAGACAGAACGTGCTTTTTGCTTCTGTCCAGTAGAAAGAGCTTCATGCATAATCTCGAGTGTGTCTCAAGACCACTTGGTCTTGGTGGCATGCAGGATATCTCATGAAGGGGAACCAGAGGCAAGAGCGTGGAGATCGAGTTGCATTCGCCCTGCTTCGGCGTCCTGCAGGTGCATCTTCTGGGAACGACGCGTGCATGTGATCCGCCGCATGAGGTTTTAGTCATGAGTGATGAGGATATCATGGCCATGGAGTAGACCGTCTGGCAACCTGCAACCTAGAAATCGGAAGTCGCGGGCTCTCTCAAGATGTACTTTTTGACTGTCGATGTGAGGCAAGGTGTTGAATGCTGCCCAGACGGAGGACGGAAGCTTGCATCTCTTGTTCTGGCCGCATGGTGCCGCCCATCACGCTACTGCACGCAGATACTGTATGAGCGTTAGTGATAGCCGTCAGACTATTCCACTTGCACAGTTGTCATCCACAAGCTGCGAATCTTTGGAGGGCGCGTCAGCCTCATCGAGGTGCTGTCAAAGACCTACGAAGAGCATTGAAACTCGATGAACAATTGTTGAGGCTCTCAGAAGAATCTAGGCGGAGGTGACCAGTCGAAACACGAGAGCTGAGGGCAGATCTGCCTCTCCAACAGATAGGGCAAGCATCAACAAAAGATCGAACCAAGGCCAGGCGACCCAGGCCTGAGCTTTGCAAGACGGGCAAACAACCCTTCTATTGACGCCGGAAGTGCACTGAGGAAGAAGAGATTCGTTGATCTTCAGGTTCCACGTCCGGTTCGGCAAGACACCGTTGGAACGGGAAGCGCACACCCCACAAGACAGCAAGATGAAACGAACGGACATTGTCGTCTCTGCCAAGTTGACGCGTCCAAAGCAGCCTGTCAACTCACGGTCTCCCAAATGCTTCACTGGACACTTTCCTCGCTGTGCCGGTGATCCCAATACCACTCTAGGGCAGAATCGCTTGGGTATGCAACCGCGGCTCGATAACAGGCAGGGCAAAGATGCAGTCTCGGCTGGTAAATTGATCGCCAGGTACCATGCCACCACGCCGTGGCACGTCAGAGATAGAGATCTCTCAAGTCTATCTTTGCGCAAGAGCGACTCTGCCATCAATCGATCCGGTACACATTATTCCTAAAAATATCGCCTTCTTCTGTGCAAGGTCAATCCTTTCATATCGCCCGTGAGCGGATCACAGGTACTGCAGCCAGATGGGTTCCACTCTGCTCTTCTGCACACCACTATTTGGCCCGTGACCTGCTTCTTTCTGAGCCGCTCTTCCCAGAACAAGAGGCGGGCCTTCTCGTTACGAGAAAATACCTTGCGATGCCTGCTCTTTTGCTGCAGCGGCATACAATTCTTGGATAGGTGGGCCCGCACCATGATCGACATCCTTACCAAACAGAGATAGAGAGAGCTCACCAGCTGCATATATATGTAGGCCCCTTCTGCTCATTTCGCTGCCTATCACTCTCCCCAATCTCTACACATTCGTTATTTGTGTGATCATTCACCGCATTCGTTTGCTCGGAGTCTGATCTGTACCGTTCTTTATCTTCTATATTCATAATACACCCCGAAAGCAATAATCAAGATGCATTTCAAGACCTCCGTGGCCGCACTCGCTTCAATCAGTGCTCTGGCAGCTGCTCAAGCACCCAGCATCGACCAATGGACCCAGCAAGAAATTAACAATGGCACTGCCTGGACAGAGGTTACCCAGATCGCCTCGGAGAACCAAATCTACAATGTGGGCACTCGTGGCGACGTCTCGTGCCAATATGGCAATGCGAAAGTGAGAAAGGAGTTCCGCCACATGTCGAATGCAGACCGTAAGGCCTTTACCGATGCCGCTACCTGCCTGATGAAGACACCTCCCCAGCACATGCGTGCAGACCAGGCCAAAAACTACCCCGGAGTCAAGTCTCGTCACGACGAATATGTCGCTACCCACATCAACATGACCATGAACATCCACGCCACCGCAGACTTCCTTGCATGGCACCGCAACTTCATCTGGCACTACGAGTCAGACTTGAAGACTCTCTGTGGTTACGAAGGTACCCTCCCCTACTGGAACTGGGCCTTGGACGCCGCAGCCCCCCAAGACTCGCCCCTCTTCAACGGCGATGAATACAGCATGGGTTCCAACGGCGAATACATCTCCGGCCGCAGCGACACCTACCTCTACACCCAAGGCATAAACATGCCCCCCGGCACCGGCGGCGGCTGCGTGAACTCCGGCCCCTTCAAATCCGTCCAACTCCACCTCGGCCCTCTGGACCTCCCCAACGCAGAGAACGTAAATTCGAACTATCAGTACAACCCCCGCTGCCTCAAGCGCGACTTCAACTCCTTCTTCTCGAACAGCTACAACACAATCTCCAACGTCACCGAGCTCGTGCTCGAAAGCATCTACCTCGAAGACTTCCAAGACCGCATGCAAGGCTACGCCTCCGGCGACCCCTTCGGCGTACACGGTGGCGGACATTGGACAGTCGGCGGAGATGCTTCCGACTTCCACTCCTCCCCCAACGACCCCCTGTTCTTCCTCCACCACGGTATGATCGACTACATCTGGACCACATGGCAAAACCTGGACATCTACCGTCGTCAACTCATCATCAAGGGTACTTCCACTCTGGGCAACAGTCCCCCTAGTGCCGAGATGACTTTGGACGATATGATTCCTTTCGGTTTCGTCACCGGTGATGTCGAGTTCCGTAAGCTTATGGATACTTTTGGTGATGCTTATTGTTATCGTTATGAGTAAGGAAGGGGCTTTTTCTAAATCTCTCTGCTGTAGAGGCGAGGAAATGCTTGTTTGTATATACTTCTTGCACGAAAGACTTTCTAGATTTGTATCGCTTTTTAATGATGATTTTGAAAATGGAAAGAGCGTCTGACGAATCATCTATCGACCTTTCCTTATCTGTCATACATGCTTCCCTCGTTTTCACTTAGACGGAGCGACCGTCTGTCCAATTTGGTAGTCGAGAGTTGTATGAATGATTGTTTTTGTCATCAAGAATTATACTCTTTGTCTAATAATGATGCATCTCATTCCGCCAATTTATGCACCGAAGGTCTTTCTGACCCACTCAACCCACACGCCCACATCACCCACGAGTTCCAGAGCCTTGGCCAACTTCTGAGCAGCTTTATTCTGCTCTTCCTGGCTACCTTTGACTACGTTCTGCGACAAGACCATAACTTGGCCGTCACTAGAGATACTCGTGCTAATACTAGCCAATCCACCTTCCACACCTGCGAGAGGGAACACGAAGTCCAAAGTTGGCGATGGTTGCGTAGACAGCGATATATCCACAGAGACGGCGGTGCCAGTGCTGAGATTGGCGCCGCTGAGTAAATCAGCTAGCGAGACAGATGGTTCGTCATTCGAAGGAGTAGCGGTGGTCGAGGACGGGAGGAAAATGGTACGCAGCAGACTTCCCAAGCAAGCCCATTGTCTCAACACAGGTAACAGTGTAATAACCTGGCGAGGATGCGCGAAAGGGATCGAACTCAGCACATAGCCGAAATCTTGCTTGGGCACGTAGAGCGCATTCTTGTGTTGCACTCTTCCACCATCAGGGGTGAGCACATCAGTGGTTTCCGAGGCTGCGGGGCCGGAAGATTGGATCATTGGCTTGTTGAGTATGGGAATCTCAGATGGCTTCTGTAGGAGCGATCCTTCATATGTATGTTGGATGTCAGGGAGGTCAGACATCAAATTAGCAGCGCCAACAGATTGTAAGATGGCATTGGCGGCAGTCCAGGGCATAGTAAGCGGTGGGTTGAGCCTTGCGACAAAGCGTACAGCGGGAGGTTTTTGAGCGCCTGAGTTAGGATTGCTGTCAATGGCCATGGCATCACCTGCGTTTTGATTGTTGTCGGAGAGGTATGTTGGTGGTGGATCCTGCCAGTCAATGCTTTGGTTACCGGAGAGCAGGTCGGTCGGATCGGTCGTTTCTTCGGCTGATTTGAGGATGCGGTCGGCGATCCAGGACGACGAGACACGAATAGAGGGATACATGTCGGGGGAGCTGGCTTCAGCTGTGATGTCGAGCGCGAAGACTGGCTCGTCTGCATCGTTTGTAGGCGTAGTAGAAGGCTTGGAGTCAAGATCCATAGCGGATTCGTCCTTTGTCGCATTTGACGGAGACAGGTATATGTTGCTCTTCTCCATCCAGTAGTCCAGACTTAGGCCAATCTTTCTTCGCGTGTGCATCTGAGGACGACCGCTCCTCTTGCACAAGACATGTCTCTCTGCTCTCAGCTCAGTGTTTCCACGCTTCGATTGGACAATTGTAAGTGCAGCTTGTTTCTCATGTTCGTAAAGTTTTTTCAGGCTCTCGTAGACGCCTGTGATTGCTTCAAAGCAGTTGAGTTGATCGTATACACTCAATTTGTCCAGCCTAGCCAGGGTTTCGAGGTTCGCAGCGAAGCGATCGAGTTTGGTGTTGATGGCAGAGATGCCAGGTGGAGGCGTCAGATCCTCGAGCAGAACTCTGGCAGCGGCGGGCTGATGAGACGTGACGGCCTGATCTTGACTGGAAAACGAGAGATCAATATGGGTGGGTAGGTTGTCCTTGAATTGGAAGTCGATCAAGACGTTGTTCTTGCCAGCGACAGCGACTGGTCTATTACCCTCGAACTTGCGTGCTTCTCTCTTAGCTTCAACTTCGACATCCAGGCCTGCCCAGCGTCCAACTCTTCTCACACCCTCTTCGCTGACGCGGCCAAAGCGTCGTTTGTCTTGCCGTCCAAGAAGCTTGCCAAGTACGGTATCCAGCTTCGTCCTACGCTCGTCGTCTTCGTTGCGTTTGCCCGAAGGAATGCCTAGGTCGGACAAGCTCAGGTTCATGGGCTGTGAAGCGGCGGCTGCGTCGAGCAAGGCCGAGGGGGTACCCATGTCCAGACCAGCTAGAGCAGCGGGCGAGGCAAAAGCGAGCAAGTTGTTGGATGGCGAGGCGCCCAGCAGGTTGTTAGACATGGCTGAGAGACCCGAATTGCTCGTCTGGCTCAAGCTGCTTGTCATGGCGATGCCACTCATTGCAGGCTTGGAAGCCGAAGCATGCTGTGGTTGCGCCGTCGTGGAGGTGGCGCCTTTGCCGGCCGTCGTAGGTACGCTGCGAGGAGTCGGCGTGTTTGTCTGGGCAGGATTGCTCAGCGACGTCTGTGAGAGCGGGTGTTTGCTGAGGAAGCTCGCATTTGTCGTATTCGGCGTCGTCATGGCGATTTTATTTTTGGAGCGTCGCGAAGATGTCGTGTCGAGACCTTCACTTGCACCATCATTTGCTTGATTGCTGCCTGTCTTCAATGAGCATGAGAGCAACCACGGAAGCTACTATGTGACTTTGGCTTGCAACGCCATACCGCGCCGGAATCATGATCCGTTGAATGCAACCACTTTACACCACTTCACGTGACGCCCTCTCTCCTCCGTTTCCACCCGCGCCTTGCGCCATGCGCCATCAACCCCATCAGATGCATCCACATCCACATCCGCCTTCCGCGTCTGGGGTTAGCCATTACGATGCACTGTCTCACTTGGCAATGACCTTGATGTTTGGAAAATATGCAATTCGCTGAAAAGACAAAAAGTAAGGTACTTCGGATCTAATGGCAGTGCCTGTGAAAGGCCACGCCTGCCTTCCATTTCCTCTTGCTGTGTGAAATTATCGCCATCCAATCCACTTCATCTCCGGTGTCTGTTCCCCTTCTCCCCACTCCTCTTTTGCTTGCCGTGGTCGCGTGAAATCCCCCATTTAGGGCTTGGAGATGGGAACAACCATCTCGAGGTCGACGTTCTCAGCGTTGATTGCTGTCTTGTGAACGTTGGCACCGTCGACCTTACCACAGAGCGTCTCGACGATGATACCAGTAATCTGGTAGGGATCGGCGTTCGAGGCGGGTCTGCGGTCCTCGAAGTAGCCCTTGCCTGACTCGGCGACAGCACGGTTGACGCGGACACTTGAGCCACGGTCGGCGACACCCCAGGTGAACTTATCCATCGAGGCGGTCTCGTGCTTGCCCGTCATACGGAGGGCGTTGTCCTCACCGTACACATCCATGTGCTCCTTGTGACGCTTGGCCAACTTCTCCATGGCTTCCTCGATGACCTTCATACCGCCATCTTGGCGCATGGCTTCCGTTGAGACGTTGGTGTGAAGACCGGCACCGTTCCAGTCGCCGGGAATGGGCTTGGGGGCGAGGGTGACCTTGACACCAAAGTCTTCGGCAACGCGGTGGAGGATGAAACGGGACATCCAGAGCTCGTCACCAACTAGGTAAGAGTGTTAGTTTGTGTATGTAATTAGATGCTTCGAGAATCACGTACGGTTGATGCCGGTGCAAGGACCGACTTGGTACTCCCACTGGGCGGGCATGACCTCGGCGTTGGTACCAGAGATGTTCAGACCAGCGTAGAAGCAGGCCATGTAGTGAGCCTCGACGATGTCACGGCAGAAGACCTTGCCGGTACCGACACCACAGTAGTAAGGGCCCTGGGGAGCGGGGAAACCGTTCTTGGGCCAGCCGAATGGCCAGCCGTCGACATCGAGAAGAGTGTACTCCTGCTCGAGACCGAACCAGAAGCCCTCGCCGGCGTTGGCCTCCATCAGGAGAGCGGCGTCGTGACGGAAGTTGAAGGCGTTGGGCTTGCCATCGGACATCCAGGTCTCGCACATGACGAGGACGTTGGGCTTGCCGCGGAAGGGGTCGTCGTAGACGGCAACGGGGCGGAGGTAGACATCCGAGTTGTTGCCAGGGGCCTGACCTGTTGACGAACCGTCGAAGTTCCATTCTGGCAGCTCATCGAGACCAACGCGACCCTTGGCGACTTGCTTGTCATCACGGTCGATAGTCTGTGACGCAAGTTAGAAGCAAACTCTGCATGAGGGATATACTGAAAATCGCTAGCCCTTGCGCGGTTTTCGGACCAGAGGTGATTACTCGACCGCATTGGCGGGGCAGCCATGCCGGAAGAGCCTCCACCGCGCGACTTTGGCCGCGCGACTTTCTGCTTGTGTGACTGACCTTGCACTTGGATCTCATGCCGTTGGAGCCATCGATCCAAACATATTCGGCAATGATGCGTTTGGGCGACTGCTCAAGGCTCAGGTATTTCTTGAGCTGTGGTAATGGTCAGCGACGCTCTCGAAGAGCACATTGCTGTGCTTCTTCTGAGATATCCTCACAGTCTGAGTGTTGGAGAGATATGCTGAATCCGGCTGCGCAATTGTGTTAGTCGGCTGTTTCTTCTCGCAAACATGTCATTGGCAGTGACTCACCATAGTGACGGTTGTGGATGTGTGTTGACTTGGGTAGTCGATTAAGATAGAGACAAGAAGAATAAGTGCACGCTGCGTGTGACAGACGGCAAGCGGATAGAGCAGACGGAAGTGTTTGCGATGGGATTGGAAAGTGAAAGCAAAGGTCAGAGCGAGGGCAAAGGCTGGGGAAGTTATTTGAACCAAGAAAGCAAGAGCGAGCTTCTGGTGTTGACCACGCGAGCTCGGCCTGCGATAAGAGTCCCTGCCTAACAGGTACTTCATTCAACCGCCCGCTCTCACCTGCCGCGCCGACGACGCCATCGTTGCATATTCGCCGAACCACTAACAATGCCATATCAGTCTTTATTGCAACCCTCTTTCCCCCTCCCTCAAGACAAAGCAGCCTCTCTATCGCTGTTCCGTGCTGCTGCTGTCATCCTATTGCATTGTCCCATTTGTATCACAACACCGGCCGCCCAGCGTCCATTGACAGTTTCCATCTCCTAAGGAAGCCCGCCGACTACGTGTGTCCTACAACTATTCCTCGGCTTGTCGCTTAAGACCGGCCTAAATGGCTGGGACCCTTATCGTTGATTCGTTGCTGTGTCTATTTCCGTCATGATTTTGATTCTATTCTTTGTTTGTTTCGTCTGCCATGGCTCTCCCAAGATTATAATTCTCTCGTGGTTTTCGTATCCTCCTGACTCCCTGCTCCTTCGCCAGGATTGGTGTTTCGTATCGCAGAGGGATTGCCTTGCGTGTCCCGAGTCGCAATTGTGATTCCTTCCGGTCAAATGCTGGAGATAGTGGCTTGCACCAAGTCACCGATCCCCAGACTTGCTCCGTCCAATAAACTTCTTCCGCCTCTTTACAACGGAAACCCGGCGCAGAGGTTCGTGCCTTGTTGAACCCAGGATATTCTGGAAGCCCAGATCTCAACTCTGTCTTGATTCTTCAGGGTCTCGTTGAACAACGCCGGCCTGGATTCACGTCAAAGTCGCATCTTTGTCAAAGTTCAGCAAAGAGAAGCATGCAACTCGTTCTGTAGTCTCGAAGGAAGGCGCGACGCCTCTATCGCGCCCTACTTGACTTTCTTTGTTGGACCACTCCGCCGCACAACCTATGTGGGCTTGGAGACGGGCCTAATCAATGCTCTTATCGCAGCCAATGGGGAAGCGCACGATTTGATTACAATGACACTGATCCCCGTGTAACAGTGCGCGTCCCGTTGCCCGAGCCCGAAGTGTTTGCCAAGTTTGCCGCCTGTCCGTCGTCCCAACGCCGCTCTCGGGGCGGCCTTTTGACAGGTCTTGAAACTCCTGACCTGCCGTTGATTCTCTTCTACCACTTGAAACAGGTATCCAACGGTGGTATGAGCATGGGCTGAAAGGAGCATGTTATTACTTAATTCACGGTCTCTGTACCTGCCTGCTTGACTGAGATCAAATAACTGCGCCCTGTCCCGAGTCATGAAGGCATATAAAAGCAAACATAATTCACGCAAACCATGTAAGAGCCGCGGCCACGACGTTCTTCTCAAGTAAAAGCGTGATTTTGTAAAGGGCGCCGAGGGTCTATCTTCGGAGTTCAGACGGGGTTGCTGGTCACGCAAAGATTGAAGCTAAACTTGGGTCCGTCAAGCGACTTTACTTTTCGATGTTGCACCTCGCATTTGTCTCTAGTGGACCACCTCCAGCACACCTGTGCTGGCTACAGAACAACGTTCGAGAAACATTCGAGAAGGTTGTTTGTCACTCATCCAACGACGATGCCCGGCTTTCCTTCCGTCTGTCTTTCAGAGTTTGAGGAACCGGCGGACGCATACTTTGCTGGGCTGACGTCCTATTACGAGATAACTACCAAAACGACGACATCGGTCACATCGCACACCATCCTGCAAACCTCTACGTCCAGCTTCACACCTCTAAGTATACCGGTCAGGTCCTATTGGGTAGTCGTGCTCTCTAGCCCATCCAACACAAAGAAGCAAAGCGTTGCGAACATCAATATTACGAGAGAAAAATCATCGCCGGAAACCCCAGCCTCGATCTGTCATTCGATCTTGAAAACGACATCTGCCGAGATATCTGCCTCGACAACGTGCAAACGCTTTACCTACACTCTTTCTCATGGGATCCCGTTGTATGCCAAAGACACTGCACAATCGAGGCAACAGATGCGCTTTGTATCGCTTGGTCGATTTCGCGTGCTCAGAAGCAATCGCGAGGGCTCCTGAAGAAAAATGGTGCCGGAGAGGTTCATGAATACTGTCGCACTTTTCAAGACGCCACGGTCTTTGGCCCACGGCGATCGAGCGCTTTGGTGGCATGGAATTGATGTTTTTATATCGTTCTTAGAAGGCGTGTTCGAGTGTTTCTAGATGGTAAGTCTGCATGGACAACATGTTGATTGTCTGGTCAATTTTTACGCAGAAAAACGTCCGTCCTTACACTTTCCTATACCGTTCATGATGTCAAACACATACGACCCATGCTTTCCATTCTCATGCATTTTTATCGCTATCATCTGCAGTATCAGGAGCATTTCAGCAGTCATTTCCCTCCTCATAGAACCACAATGGTCTGGGTGTTGAAGCCAGCACTACGCACTTGGAGTGAATCGCAACACGCCTCGCATGTGAAAGCAAGCCCGTAATTGTTCCGCGATAGCAGAGACGCGTTCAACGCGCAGGTAGGTAATGCTGGAATGGTCATTGTCTCATCCCAGCCCAACCAGTCATCAAAAGTCGCCTTGAACGCGCACAGCGGCAGCATGTGTCTCATGCAAACCCCCTATTACCATGTCTGTGGCCACTACGGTGTTCCAGCTGTTGCGCCGCATGGCCGTTGTGCCCGCGCAGAAGGTATACCAGGAGCCTGTTGGGAGGAGAAGCATATTGGCATCGAGACTGTGGAAGAATCGTGTGGAAACTGTAGGCGTATAGCCACAGATGCAACAATCAACGGCAATCGCTCGAGCACTGGACCAATCGACATTAACAAGTTCAACGAGCTCGTTAAGCTGCACAAGGAGACCTGCGACCTCCGGTATTGCTCTAGATTCCTAGCACCAGTACAACTTACTAACACTAAATATAGTGCAAGCAAAGCTAGCCAGGCTAGCGACCACCCTCGACCGAAGCCATGATACGACCCCTTTCGATCCCCTTCCACACAGCCACACAAGCGAGCCGGGTCCACGTCGACTCTCTGGCCTGAAGCTCTCTCTGTAACAACATTCTGCATAGCGACGGCGTAAACAGCATAAAGAGGAGCAGGGGCGTTTTTCCCACTTTTCAAATTCACTACATTGAAAACCCCCTATCACTTACTCTCCTCTCCACAGTCGTGTCGGTTGGTTCCATGTTAAGATGCAAGAAGGTATTCATAGATATGAGTCTGACCACTGAAAGCTCGAGAATCCTAGTCAGGGGCAGGAGCTCTCTGCAGACAACTGCTATGCTGCAAGAAACATTCTGTATGTTGACAGGCAGTTTCGTAGCCCCTTGCTGACCTTGAGATCCAGGCACTTCTGAGCTCTCCCAGCTATACGATCGATCTGCAAAAACCTGCGTCAAAATGCAAGATGTTTTTTGCAACTTTCGAAATGTCCGCTGAGAGCCAGCTATGGATGGTACTCTCACCGGACAATCACTGGATCTCAAAAAACCTTTCTGTATTCTGACAAGGGGTTGAGAGCCCATCGCTGATCGCGGGGAGCAGAGAAATATCAAGGTTGGCGAAAAAACTAACTCGGGCTCTCAGCGGCCAGCTCGATCTGTTTAATCATACGTCAAAAGGCAAGAAGTTTTTCACGCGTAGGGAGCTGGCCACTGAGAGCCCCTTTTCTGGAAGCTGCAAGCAATGCTCTCGCTGGACAATCACTGGATTTCACAAAACATTGTGCATTTTTACGGGTATTTCAGGGGATTGACTCTGTACATGGGATTGAGCTAACTACTGCTAATTACAGCTAACGCTTTCGGTTTTCCATTCCACCGCTTCACTTTCATTCTCCACCGCTTCACTCTCTTCTGTATGACTTGCGCGACTGCATGACTTCCTCAGATTCGATGCGGTCGTGGCTTCTCTCTGTATACCATGGTTAGTTCCGTTTGATGTTGCATCAGAACCAGATCACATACTTCTCTGCTCGGCGATGGCTGCTTGTGCGGTTCCCGGAGCACGAGGAGGACGTGGGAGGTGGTCGTTGGCAGCAGCAGCAGCGAACGTCTCGCGGTTCAAAGTTAGGAGTCTGAGATTCTTGTAGCCCCTCGAGGGGTACATCTGGTGGGTCTGGGCGACGACGAGACCCAGGTCATGCTATCGAGTGTCAGAAAGAGATGAAGATTTGATGGATTGTGTACTAACCTGCGAGTCGTGCGTGGCTTGCGAATTCTGGGGAGACATTTCGGTAGGTGTTGTGGCAGCTGATGATGCGTTACTGTTGGATCCACTACCGCTGCCGCCAGTGGTGCTGCTGTCGCTGCTCGCGTATTCTTGAACGTCCAAGTTACCACCCTTGTTCAGCTTTGACTTTCTCCTCTTGCCGGATTTGGTACCACGCTCCCATCGTCTGAGAATGTCGCTCTTGATTATGTTGGCAGCAGGCAATAAAGAAACAGCCTCGCGGAGAAAGACAGGAGGAGCAGCCTCTCCGTATGGTCCGTAGCAAGGCGCGATTGAGGGACCATCGAGTGGGTCTGGATACGTCCACATGCCGAACGGAGCTGACGACGTGACGAAGTTGCCGAGTCTCTTGACACGCGTGTTATACACGCTGTGTGTGTTGTCGAAGTTCGACATATTGCGTTGCGTCAATGTGTTGTCGTTTGGTTGGCGTACGTGGAAAGAGGTGAGAGTTTGCGTGGAGTCAACGCAAGGTGTACGGGGTCGACGACAGGGTCCGGAACCTTCTATATACTGTTTCGACGCACCAAACATGTCTTCGACGAGTTTGCGTGGAGTGAACGCAAAGTGTACGGGGTGAAGTGTACGGGGTCGACAACAGGGTCCGGAACCTTCTATAAACTGTTTCGACGCACGAAACATGTCTTCGACGAATCGTCTCTGTGGGGTTTGCTCATTGTGAAGGACGAGTAAGACAGGCATGTTTCCGAGACAAATGAGACAAACGAGACGTTTATGAACAAAGCCCACCAAAACATATTCTGCAGTGATACTATATCACCTACTCATTCGTTCATGACATTCCAGCCTTCAAGACCTCGTTCCCATCTATCATCCTCCCACATGTCCATCTCACCGTTTGACTTGAGTCTGTACATCATCTTCGGGCCTTGTTGGCTCCATTGCACATCTTCTCCCTTCACAAATCGAGCAAAGACTCCGTTGACCTCCTCAAGAATCTTCTTCTCGCCGACAGTCAAGCCTTGACCCAAACCACAACCCCAGAACCAGATTGCACGATCGGTTGAGTGAGTGACTTTCCAGTCCGGAGGAGCGATGAAGTCAGCACACTTTGCCCGCCAGTCGATACGGTAGCGGAGGAGATCTTTGCCGATGGTGAAACCACCTTTCGAAAGACGGTCTGCGAAACCACGCTCGAGGTCGTGAACTTGGACGTCTGCGTATAGACGACCGAATAGATCAGGCCAATCTTCAGCAAAAGCAGGGAGCTTCTTTCCTGGCACACGAAGCTCCATGAGTTTCTTGACCTTGGACTCTGGATAATCAGCCGTGAGGCGCTCGTAGACGGCATCATAACTCCAGTCGGGAGTACGCCATGCCTTCAAGGATTGTCAGCTGTCGAATCATGAATTCATGTGGGGACCTTACTCCATATAAGTAGTGCTCCGATTGCACTTCTCCGTTCATGATTTTGATACCACGGGCTATGAGTTGTTTGGCGAACGAACCATCGTTGATGCTTTGGATGATATCTTTGCTGATGAATGAGCCATCAGTGACAGGACGAAACTCATGAAGCTTCATGCTGCTCTGCGCAGAGATCATCTGTCGGGACGGAACTTTTCTGAGACGAGACAACTTCTCAGCCGGGCTCAGCGAGAGGGGTATGTCCAGCCATCTAAGGAGTTCATCAAACTGCTTCTGGTGACCATCAGTTGAGCGAGGCTGTACACCTGGTCCATTAGACAGCATTGCAACTAACAGGGGTTTTGATTAGCACTCCGTCATTTATTTGACGTCAGCTTGTGATCTGATACCTCGTTTTATGATGGCAGATCGCTCCGGAAGATATACATCGTAAGCAAGCTGTTGAAAAGTTGAGTAAGAACCGGCAGAGTAGCCAGCAACAGTGATATTATCCTTGTCTCCGCCGAAAGACGTAATGCGATCATGTGTCCATTCCAGGGCAGTGCGTTGATCCCAAAATCCAAAGTTTGAATAGGCTTCGTTGTTACCTCTCGCCTCGTCTTCCAGTTCCTTACCTGCCAGGAATCCGAAAGCATTTAGTCTGTAAGCAGGCATGACGACGATCGCTTTGAACGCTGTCTCGCTCAAGAGTTCTGCCAGAGCTCCAGGAACCAAGTTCGGATCACTACAAGGAAGTCAGTAACAGCATCCGTCCAGTTGTATGTTGAGTCTTACCCAAACTGAAGCCAGCCTCCATGAATGTAGAAGAGAACTGGCCAGCCTTCTGCTGGTCGATCTCCCGAAGGTATCCAGATATTCAGCTGGAGGCAGTCCTCATCCCATATGCTAGGATTTGGTAGGCCAATGAAGCCCGGCTGAGGACAGACGCCTGCTTGGCCGATATAACTGGCTGGCTGCTCTTTGCTGCCATACCGATGCGACAGTGGCAGATGCCGAGGTGCCCGAAATCGTTCTACAGGATGGGCGTAAGGGATGCCTCCAAAATAGTGGCAGAGGACATTGGACGACGATCTGTCTGTGACACTGAGGCCCTCAATACATCCCAATTCACCCAGATCTAATGTATACGAAGATTTGCTGAACTTGGCCATGTTGTGTAGAGAACAGAATGAGAATAACGATGCTGGGCCGAAGTCGCGAGCTGTATCGGACTTATAGCAGAAGTCCGAATATGTCGCAATAGTCGTTAATAATCAACATCATGGCATGCGAGTAACACAAAGTCGTATCATCTCCATATCTACTCACTCATTATCTTCGGCCAGTATCTCGCTGTTTTCGATATGCTATCTTGCCCGTTGCCCGCTGGGAGCTGCTCGAGCGGGGGGTTTCCACGCACTTCAAGAAGGGCAAGCGCAGCCGAACAACGACACATCTTTTCGTCTCGTAAACCTTCCCATTTCTGGTCTTTCCATCGACCTTCCACCAAACAATTTGCGATCGTCCAGCACTGTCAACCTACGTTGATATTGAACTTCGTGGGGAATGCACACAATTACTCACTTCACTTCAATGCGCGGACATTGATAGGTGACACGAGTGTCTGAACTCGGGGACCTCTCGACCACTTTTAACGACAGAGCATCTTTTGGACCTGTCTGTCCGGGGAATTCGCTACAATACAGCATCAATCAAAAGAGACTAACCTCTAGGAAGCGACGGCATGGTTTTCGAGCAGGAACATGCATGATCCAGCCCTCTTTGGTAACGGAGGCTTCAGCAACAACTTTCCTTTCTGTCTTCTGATGATGTTGGTATGTTTCAACAAGCAAGGCCAGTAGACATCTCACGCCCAGAACATTGATCCATCATGGCACCGAACTTCAGTTCGCTGGAGCATAGTAAAACCAGTTCAAGCAAGAAGGGGAGCTTCCGAGATAGCATGGTCAGTCCATGGTCAACTCAATAGGCTGCAAGCTCGGCTGGCCCACAGGCTGTCGACAGGAGAGGTCAGCAGGCGACTCTGAACGGGAGTTTCTCATCGCAAAGCATGTGCAATCATCGTATCTAATCGTCGACCTGACTGAGCTCGTGGGTGGGTTTGCTGGCGCTTTGCTAATACAGGTCACGATACTGACTTCCGTGGACTGTCGATTCACATGCTTTCAACAATCGGATCAACTCTCCAGCTATTAAAGACCACCCTCGACCCACCGAATCCTCCAACTATCCAACTCTAACAACAATCCACTCCTGCAGTTTACCTCCAGCACAGACACATCTCAAATCAGACTACACAACATATCACACCTCAGCCCTCCGACCTACATCCACAACCCCTTCGGTGCATGTTAGAGCATCTAATCATGAGGGACACCCAAGCCTCCAAGCCTTCTGCCTCGCTCAGTGGAACCCTGGCGAGAGAGCCGAGTACACCCAAGCGTTCGAAGATCAAGAAGCAACATCCTACTCGAGCTATCGACAGCGGACGCGAAGAGACCGACGAAGATCCATCGCCCCATGCTCAGCCACCCGCTCCAACTCCATCGATCAAATCCGAGCCTGACGATGAATCCACATACTCGACGGATGATGATGACGGCCTCGAGCAGGAGATGGCTGGTGACACATCCGAGCTGTCGTCTATCTCGAATGATGACAGAGTTCGTACAACCGAGATCGCTGATGTCATATCAGTATTATCACTCTCCACGCATCGCATCACCGAAGCCGACCCTCTCGAGGACGATTATTTGAGCGACGACGATCTCATTGAAGAAGACGCCAAGAAAGCTGAGGGCTACTTGAACATGTCCGCTTCGGAAAAAAGAGCCTGGGAAGGCAAGCGAGCCGAAACTTTCTTCAGAGCAGGATTCGCGAAGCACTTTGAATGTTCTATACATCTGCTGGAAGAGGAGCATTGCACCACTCATCAGGAATACTACCCTTCGAGATGTGCCGCTCGTCCTGTCGTCTCCTGCTTCTTCGGCCACAACAAGAACGAGTGGAGCCAGATTGTCAAGAGCGTACGAGTGATGCTGTGCCGCAAATGCTACCAGCGCCTAGATCACAAGCACAAGCCACATCTGGCTTCCATCCAACTTCCAGTTTGCCAAGAGTTGATCAATAGGCTGGAGAGGTGGCGTCCTGGCTGTCACTTCAGGATTGGATTAACCAAAGCCATGTCAGCAAAGCTGGACAGATTCAATCTTGAGGTGGCGTCTTGTGGTCTTACCAGACAAGAAGTAGCAGCGGCCATTGATGCCAACAGACCAAACAGAAAGGGCGCGGATATCGACAGAGCAGAGAACACGCCAGTACTGTTCGCAATTGAGCTCAAGAACCGCTTCGAGGGGGACAACAAGACAATCGGCGATGTTCGTGCTCTTCTCGACTGGCTGGCTGCCAAACTAGCAGACGGTACAATCGAGGATCTACCAGCATTTGAGGCACTCTTGAAATTGAGATCACAAGACAAGCAAAAGCTGTTGGCACAGCAAAGACGCCGTGCCACGCTCAAGAGTTCAAGACGCTCACTTGCTTCAGCAGACAAGGTCGAGGTTCGTCATTCGCGCAAGGTCTTGCCTCTGTCAGATTCAGACCATATTGCGGAGACAGCAGACACGCCTACACCTGGCCCCTCAAGAGCAGCTTTTCCAGCAACGCTGCCTCCCGCACGCACATTCAAAGCCATCAATGTCCCCATCGCCTCCAGTTCTCGTACGAGTCTGCTAACTGCTTCTGGAAGCGATAGTTCCGGTCTGGATCTACTCTGCACCGCGGCGGACTTCGTCAGAGATGGCTCATCAGGGACCGATCCCTTTGTGTCCAGCGTTCCGCCCGCTCGAACCCAGATCATGCTCAAGTTCGGCAAGGGAAAGATGCCCGTCATCACCAACCCCGTCACTGAAGCTTCACAAGCACAGATTCCCAAGAAGAGAAAGCGCATCACTATTGTTGTCCGTGAGGATAGCAAGGTGCATGAGGACACAGCTCTTGCCACCAAGAAGGCAAAGCGTGCAAAGGCGGTTCCGAAGGAAGCAGCCAAGGAGGCAGCGCAGGAGCAGTCGCCTGTTAGGAAAGTTGTTAACGCCCAAACAATCGATGTCGGCAGCAACGATCAAGCTTCATCATCCAGAGAAATGGCCGAGAAAAAGATCGAAATCAAGAACGGCGCCACTCATTTGGCTTCTTTGACCTTCAGCGGCATGAAAGTCGTCGTCGACTTTGCACCCGCTTCTTGAGATATTCATGAGCGAAAGGCCTTGCTCTTTCATCCTCCTTTCTTCTTCTTTTTGTTGATGCAGATATTGGCAGGAAAAGTCTTGTCCTGCTTCTTCCACGATATCATTGTTTTGTTCTCTGGTCTGTGGTATGTCTGAACGGAGACACATTTGTTATATCAGGCTTTGTTTCTCCTTTCGGGCTTTATGGTATGCGGGTTAAGACTGTTGATAGCTGAACACTTTGGAATGATACTATTTATCTCAAATTCTTTCTATTTCTCGTACCGTGACAATAAGGCAGAAGCTTCTGATCAGCGCGATAGGAAGATTCACTGCATACGGCTTTTCGGCATCACTCGTATCACGTTGAGTTACTCCCTGGTTTCCCAATTCCCTTTTGCTTCACTGAATTCTCGTTTTGTGTGACTTCATTATTGTCTTGCATTCAAGTCATGCTACTTTGGTATCAATTGCTTCTCAATAATCTTCTGGAAGCCATTCTCGTCTCCCCGCCATTGTCTCCTTATCCAGTAGCTCTGCCTCCTTCGAGACATACTCGTTGTGCCTCTTGCCACGGCCCCGATACTGCAAATTCAGGCCTTAGCCGGCGATTGACTCATTCTCCATCTCCCAAGCCTTGACCACTGCTTGCATATGCTCGACCGTAGCCTTTGTCTCCTTCGAGACATACTCGTTGTGCCTCTTGCCANTTTCCCAGAAAGCCCAGCGATCCTTGCACATGTGATCGCAATTGAGAGCCATCTTTGGGGAAGGGGGTTTCAACATCGCGAAGTTATCCAGCATCTTTCCGTTGATAGCATCCTCGTAGAACGTTCTTCCCATGGTACGAATCCAACTGGCTGCGGCAGGGACGTGCAGCTCGGGTATTATTCTGTCGTAGAGATGCATGGTGTCGTTTAACTCAGGTCTCTGTTCGAGTGCCCAGAGGACACGAAGGTATGCATCTGTACTCGTGAAGAATCCGGCAGCGACGAGTTGAGCCCAGACATCTTGTTTCTTCAAGTACTGCGCTATCTCATGGTCGCGCCTCTCAGGATGCTGGTAGTAGATTTCTGCTACACAGCCAGGAACTTCCCAGCAGTAGTCATTCCGCCAGATTGGATCCAGGTAGGGCAGATCTTTCCACTCCAGTCCTTTGTTTCCGTGTACCATGCTCTCATGAGGTCCATCCTGTAGACTTTCAAACGCTTGGAGAAAGTCGATGAGATCAGGCGTGCGGGCCAATGGCCACTCGCACAGAGCACAAACGAGTAAACTCATCACGATGTGGAGCTCGTTTCTCATAAGCGATCTTCTGTGATCCGAGGTTGGCTCAATTGTGAGAGGCCGAGTGAATAGGTAGGCCGCCTCGGTGGCTGTCAAGCGCTTGTCATGGTAGTTCTTCAGTACGTCGATTTCTGTTGTGTGGTATTTATAGGCTTGGAGTTGGTCGGTGAACCATTTCTCAGGGACGAATTGATTACTTTCATCGGGCATGTCCTCAGGCGCGAGCAGGGTACTGTTGGCAGTAGAGTTTGACATTGTGTCTGCTAGGTTGAGAACAAGTAACAATTTCAAGTGTTTCAGACGGTGCTTGTGAATCATTAGTGAGCGGCACAAAGTGGAAGTAAGACTCGAGAGCTTCGCAACTTCCCAGATTGGCCTCTCACACGACGTACAAGGCTTGAATTCGCGCGTCAAAATGCAAGAATTTTTTCAGCAGGACCAGCTCGTCCGCTGAGAGCCTGCTACATCCGAACATCCCGAATAGAAGTGTTTGCTCTCGAGTCTCGAGATGAGTAGCCTGGTTTTGGTCCTTAGGTTACCACATCGTGTTGTAAGAGATAATGGTTCACAGGGTCGTACAACAATGGATGTCAACCCCTTTTGGAGATGTCTTGTGTCACCGAAGATCTGGAATGGTTATAGCTGGCCACGCCCAGTCGGCGTACAGTTGACTGATACCACGGCGGTACCCGCCCTTCATTATCGTACTTACACCTGTGAAGTGCAGTGTCCAGCGGATAAGGCGGGTGTCCGCTGCTGCTGTCAGTAATAGTTCGAGGACACAAAGAGCGTACACAGGTCTCGAAGGTATAAAGATTGACCATGCACATCACCTATTCTCCCTTGGACAATAACTACTGCAAAAGGAATATCTCTCTCTTAGTCAAAATCTGGATCTGACTCACAACAACATGAAACTCTTCACAGCTCTGACCTTGATATATGCCACCCTGGCAGCTGCAGCACCTTCTCATCTTCTCCTCAGAGACAACAAGCCACCCCCACCGATGATGCCTGTGTACATATCTGGTCTGCCTTCGGACAATGATGAGTCGAACATGAAGTGTGGTATGTCATCCCAAATTCAACAATTCAGGTTTCATCACTCATCGCTTTAGGCTTTTTTGAGGTTAAACAGCGCGATTTGAGACACGCCATGGAATGGGGTACCAACCTACGCATATCCAAGCACTATAACGGAAGTAAGCAAAAGACCATACTCCCTGCTTCACACGCAGTCGCTGACTTGTCGATGTCGACAGAAAATAAATATCCCCACAGATGGCAGAATGCGCGAGACGATACCATCGTCCCCTTGCCTCTCTTCCGGATGAGTGGAATCTGCAGCCCACCTGGTGGTGGTTGTTTCTTCGAATATCCTATTATCGAAGGCGGCTTTTACGCCGGAGAGGACGACACCTTGCTCTTCCGCGCAGTCTTCATGATCACGGACACAGACCCGTACAAACTCCAGGTTAATTATTGTGGTACGATCTGGCGCAACAAAAAGGCGAATGGTGGTTACCTGAGCTGCGACCTGGAGGACTTCTTCGCCCACATGCCACTTGGGCGAGAAGAAGCCAACATTAAAAGCTCTGTAGGATCCGAATCACCACGACGACAAGATTTTGTGTAGTGGCTTGTTTGTGTTTGGATGTCGTCCGAGGCATCCGGTTCAATCATTCTCTTCGTTATGGGCGTCGTTTGCTGTTGCTTCTGTCACATATTTCCACATCGACTGTGGTAGCCACAGCGTGACTGATACTAAATTGATTTTCAGCATTATCTGCGTTCTTGATCTTGTGCACTTACATTTTTCTAGAAATCTGGTTTTGATTGCATGATATGGTCCCTGTATGTAGCTGCTTAGGAAATGTCGAAAACTCTGCTGCTCCATGTACGTACGCTGCCGAGAATGTCTTTTTCATTCAGCATAGCTGTGGAGCGACGCACGCATTGGAAATGCGTGAATATTGTCCAAACCAAACCCGAAAAACACCGTGCCTTGCGACAGGGGCAGCAAAACATCTTTGAGTAGTGCCCGAGTACATCACAGATATCGTTGAACTCTCACTCAACATCAAACTTGTCCTGAAAGAGTTCGTGCAACTCGACAGAAAGGCACCAAAAGACATGCACCTATGTTGATGATTCGAGGTCCATGCATGCACCCCGTACAAGCATTCCCCTCTGCCCTCAAAAAACGCGCCGGCATGCGTCGCCAGACCAGGAGCGAGCAAGCGATTGAAACCCCTACCAACCTGCAACCTATCGCATGGAGCGGGTCTTTTTCTTCGCATTCGCATGGGTAGCAACACATGCAGGACACCCGCATTTGGACTCCGGGACTCACTTCCCCCTTGGTTAGAACGGTTCTCTTTCGGTCGTCTGGCCACCAACAGTCGCGAATCCTTTGGAAAGTGAAAAAGGTACGATAAAATTGTAGATCGACAAAAAGTCGCTGGGTTGTCAGCTGTGGTCGAGCAAGCCTCATGGGAGGATGCGGTACTTTTGAGAGGATTTTGCATTCGATAAAAGTACTCCGTACTGCGCCCCTGAAATCACGTTTTCGCTTGTCTATAACGGCGTTCATTGGCATTTGTACCTTTTGACAGGGCATGACAGGGATCACGTTGGTCAGGTTCGGTACTCTGGTCACCGATGTCGCTTATGACTCTGCTCGAAGGAGAAAAAGATGGAGATTAGGAAAATGATAAGAACTTGATGGTGAAAGATAAGGTGGTATTCGGCTTAATCGACTAGAGGCTCAAAACAGCTTCATCGCTATGGCATAATAAAAAAGTGGTATCGAACATGAAAAAGTTAGGAACGACAGTGTATCTCGAAACAAGGAAAATCCCCAATAGTGCACCAGAAACTCCATGCGCTGTAAATAGTGACAAAGGAAACTTGGGTGGAAGTCAATCCAAAAATCAAACAGCTGTCGCAAATAGGAAGGGGTTGCCTTGCTCATCTAGCCATGAACCTTTCTCTTCTTCTGTCGCTTCGAGGATACCCTCGGCTCTTCTGAGAGTCTGAACATCTAGGCTGGTGACCCAGTTTCTGCCGGAAAGAGGCTCGCGCACTTGGTTGTCGATGCCCAGCATGAGGTCATCTTTCCAGAGTCTGCGCGGGCCATCGAAGACACACAAGACTCGCTTCTTCATTCTCATCTTCTCAGGGGGCGCATTCCAGGCAGGCGGGTAGTTCTTACGACGCTTGTTGTTCTTTGTGATGGAGTGCAGGGAGACGCCTCCTTTGGAGTAGGTCATGCCTTGGCGAGTCGCATCCTTGACGTTGCTGTTGGAGAGGACGGGAGAGACCATCTCGTTCTTGATGTAGCTCTCCTCCTCCTCATCGTCTTCCTCATCTTCATCGAAGACAGTAGGACCCGATAGACTCGAAGCGCTGCTCAATGAGTGTCTCTCCAAGGTGTCTCTGACTGACTTGTCGTCGACCATCGAGCTAAGGATCCTCTCGTTGATAGCCTCACAAGGGTCGCCTTGTTGAATGACGCGAAGCACACAGTCATCAAGATGCTCATAGAAGTCTTGTACATTGGCGAAGGCGACATTGCATGTCGAGCACATGCCAGTAACACCGATCTTGTTGTGGCCATTCTTGATGCTGGAGCTTCCTCCACTTCGTCGGCGAGCGTTGGGTGCGGTCTGCTCAACTCCATGTACAGAAGTGAGATGTCTCTTGAATACATCGGCGCGATTGAAGCTCTTCTCTGAAGAGCTACCGCTACCGGGACAGAAGCCACAGACCATTGTGCCCTTGTAGTGAGTCAAGGTATGTCTGTTCTTGTCGTACTTTCGAGCAAAGCCTTTGATGTGGTACTCGCATGAAGTGATTGGGCACTTCTCAGGTCGCTCGTTCTTGTGAGTGAGCAAGTGTGCTTTGAGATCCTTGATGTGTCTACCACATGATGCGATGGGGCAGATGCCCTTGTTCTCTTCAGAGTCCAATGATGACTGGCTATGTCTTGAATGGTGTGAGTGAGCTGATGAGATAGACTGGCGGCGTGATGAGGATGATGTGGGATAGGGGTTCCAAGATTGTGAGGGAATGTAGGGAGATGTTGGCCGGTTGGATCGGACCGAGTTAGTTCTGAGAACACCCGAGCTTTTGTTCGAGTGTGCTGACGACGGAGTAGGGGAGGGCGGATGAGGGAACAGATGCTTGACATCAGAGTGCATGTGAGTCGTTGTTGGTGGCGTTGGCGACAGAGGCTGGATGAGGGTAGGGTCTATTAGGCCAAAGTTAGAGTGGTCGGGTAACGATCAACAGATCGAAGCAGACTTACCAACACATCCAGGCTTCTCGGGTAAAGAAAGAGCGGCGTAGTTGAAGTTGTCGTTTACGAGTATTTGCTGTTGGTAATGCCCTTGGTGAAGAAGATTGGACCCAACTCCATGTAACGGAGTCCAGTCCGAAGACGAACGAAGACCCATAAGTGGGGACCCTCTGGATGAAGAGAGCATTGAAGCAGCAGACTCAGACTTGACTGAACGAACGTTAGGTTGAAGGTCGAAATAGTTGGCAGTAGTATTGGTGGGCGAGTAAATGGGTGTTGAAAGCTGTAAATTGTGCTTTGTGTACTTCGAAGAGTTGTGAGATTCCAGGATGTAGTTAGAGGGAGCTTCGGAGACATTGTTCTGCTCCATGTTGTATGCATTGAAACTGTTCATGGGTTGTTGCATCTGGAAGTGAACCGATGGGTATGTTGGTGTTTGCGTTGGGAGTCCGGAGAATGCATAGAGGGGATATTCCTCCTCATGTGTAGTCGTCATGGTGATAGGACAGGGACTGAAAGCAATCATATCGATTGATGTTGTAGTAGAGTTGTCCCGACAGTAAGGTCGTTCAGGAGCGAAGTTCCGTAAGAGGTCGAGAGAATCCTAAGTGGGCTGGGGTAAGCATCCATTAAGAGCATGATTTAACCATCCGCAGGGACTTACCACGCAAGAAGAAAAACAAATGGAATCAGTTTCCCGAATCAAGTAACCGCACAGAAAGATCTGCTCTCTATGCCCTCGATGATAGGGTGCAGATATCCGAGGACAAGACAAATGCAGAGATGGTCCGGAAGATCTTCGAGATACAGATGATTGCTACGGGTACCTTACCAATCAAGGAAAGGCGGGATGTGGTTAGTGGAGCGGTTGTCAGAAACTCAAGCTCGTTCCTGTTCGAGGCCAGTCTTGATTGTAAGGACACAGCTGAGCTCGTATATGAAAGAAGAATATCAAGAAGACTGGACTGGGATCTTCTCGCTTCGGGGGCGAACATCAGCTTTATCAATTTGGCCCTGGGCTCAGTGGCATGTGGATGTCTTTGCGCCTCCAGAAACGGAACCGCAGCACACGAACCGAATGCTGAGTTTGACTCAGTCGGTAGACCCTGGTCAAGCCCATGGCGAGAGAGTGGCCGCTGTCGGTTCTGCCCTACGGTTTGACGAGGCTTGCAACCTACACCGTGGCGTCGCTGCGGAAAGTTTACTGGGTCGTGTACTTGATGGCTGCAGATCTGCCCGTCTGGCAGCCAGCAAGGTGACGATATAGCGGCGTCAGATCTGCTAATCTGGGTTCATTTACTCCGCTCAATTGACTGGCTCTAACCTGGAGGAACCGAGACTTGGGAGACGATCCCTTCGCAAAGCGCTCAACGCACTGCAGCCCACGAGTTGACGACTTGCGAGCAGAATTGTTCTTTCTCATCATGCAACAGCAATTTCCTTCTGGAGCAGGCTTGTCGCGCCGGCAGTCTGCAGAAGGTCTCCCCGACCGTTTGGTGTCGGATATGTCCTAGTGCCGTGGCAGCCATTGGCAGGAGTCACCGAAGGAGCTTTACCACATTCGCAGGGCAAGTCGCGAAGTGCAGGGTACCCAAACTGCTGGGAACCAATCGAAGCCGGATGGCGCCATGACTAGCTCGTCGCTAACGCCACGAGCCAATCGTCTTCGTGTCTAGGCACGTTTCTAGGCACGTTCTTCGGGGAGAAACCCCACCATCAGGAAGGGCCGTGCGAACGGCACTCTTTCCCATTCTGGTAAATGATGAAGATCTTCTCCTTTGAGGGTAGTAGATGCCAAAGAACCCGTTCTTGTCACGGCCATGTGCGAATCTCGTTACAAGACCCCAGGAAACCTTTTAGGTTCAGCAATCGTACGCGAATGTGAAGCCAAATTGCTATATCTAATGGTACGGCATATCTTCAAGTCCGGTGCCAATGACTAGCCATGAGAGCTAGACTTGTCAGAGCGCGCCGTTGGTTTGCTCAGCATGGCATGATAAGACGAGCGGTCTCTTTCGAAGGTGCATGGACGCTCACACTCTCGCTTGCATCTTGAACTCGTCTCGGAATGGTCAAAGCAGATACATTGCTTTTGTAATGATTTGTTCACACGAGAGTGTCACTGACGGGATGCATGGATGCATTCGGCAGCTTCTTCGCAGTTCCCTCCCAATACAGTCTGAGGGCTGTGGATTTGGCTCGCTTGGGAAGCTTGCATAAGGCTCATGCATGAGGAGAACAAGTACTTGGTCTTGCTCTCAATATAAGGTTGGCTTTGCAATATCGGCGGAAGGATTCAGACTTGAGAGACATAGTTGATAAGTACATGAAAGTATCTTATAGACTACTCTGCAGTCGTGTACTGCCCGGATCAGAAGTCAATGACGGTCGCAACGGCATTGCTCTACAACAGACAAGTCAGAGCAGTTGCACAAAGAGACGGGCAAAAATAGACTCGGGAGAATATTGATGTTCCTGCATATCGGGTCACTTCCTATCCCCTGCGACTTGCTCCACCCCCCTTGAAGCACATCTACAAGGACGAAGTAGCCGGTCAGTCAGCTCAGGGATTGCAACTTTGACAGACCACCACTTGCTTGTTTGACACGTGCTGGGGCGGGTGGTGCCTGAGTCCACAGTGGCAGACTGCATTGGGATTCAGAGGATTTGTCAAAACACAAGAGTTGGAACTACATGCAATGAGTACATGTACAGTGCTCGAAGGAGCGTGAAGGCAGACAAAGCATGTGGAGAAGTGCTGAATTGGGTCCAGAGCATCAACTTAATGTGGTTTGCAAGCTATGATCGCCGAGCTTGATAACGGACTGCAGAGGATGCGGTCGATCTTGGCTTGACAGGTCTCCAATCAGATGAATGCTCATGAGGAGGACTTGTCGAAAATCAAGATCGACCCTGGGCTATGGGACGACTTGACGGGAGGCTTTTGATCAGGGCTGGGTCGGGTTGAGGCTCAATTGTCGGCAGAGGTTCGGTTAAGCAGTCCAACGAATATGGAGCCGCGACTGTCGGGTGTCCAAGAGAGATGCACCCTGCAAGGGTAGATAAGAAAGTTGAAACTCTGGAGCAGAACAGCTGAACAATATGCTCCTAGATGGAAGAACTCGGTCTTAGACTGATATGCGCAAAGGCAATCTTGCAGCAACTCAGTGTGTCCAATCATGACCCTAGTCCCATCGAGTGCTAAGTGTTAAGTTGGTCTTCCAAGAAAGCTATACTGTATACATTCCAAGCAGTCTGTCGTAGCGTGACAGATGCGATCATGAGTACATTGGTAGATGGCTCTTGCGAGATTAGTTGGGCTAAGTGCTCATGGCAAGTGGAAGACGGTAAAGGGAGGTCCAGAGCAGATGGTCGGAAAAGGGTAGGCGGGTTGTTCAAAGCAGAAGCAGCTTTCACTTGATCCCCGCAAAAGTCGGCGCGACGACCGCGCACGCGAAACGCGACGATACTCTTTGCAGCTCTGATCTGGCCGTATCAACAACTGCTTGCCTCGATCTTTACTCATCGCCCCATCTGCATACACTTTCACGACATCTTTGCTGCATTCGTCAGTGAGAATCTGCTTCACCCGTGCCACAGAGCTCGCGAAGTTCCTGAGCGTCTGCCCACCGCCGCTTCTTCCTCTCAGTCTTTCTGAGAAGGCGCAAACATCACTTCCCTCGCCACACACCAGTCCTAATCTCTCAACATGTGAGTACAAGACCCATGTGGTGATCGGCACCGCATGCGATACTTTCCGAGCTGCAAATGCAGAGGCTGACGCATGCGCTACAGGGAGACCTTTGACAACATCTACCTCGATCTCTCCAAGCAGACTGGCAAGTGTCGCTTCGCCGAGTCCGGTCTAGGATGGAAACCCTCGGGTCCAGGCGATACTTTCACCCTCGACAAAGCCGAGATCATCTCATCACAATGGAGCAGAGCCGCAAGGGGCTTCGAAGTCAAGATCTACTCTAGAAACTCCGGTGTCATTCAGTTGGACGGCTTCATGCTCGATGTACGACTCCTCGTCCTGCCTCGGCTGTTACACAAGCGCTAATTCTAAGCAGGACTACGACCGTCTATCCAGGTGCTTCAAGCTGTGGTACAGCATCAACCTCGAACAGAAAGAGCATGCTCTGCGTGGATGGAACTGGGGAAAGGCCGACTTTGGCAAGGCCGAACTTGCTTTCAACGTCCGCAACCAACCTGCTTTCGAAATCCCATACACCGAAATCTCAAACACCAACCTTGCCGGCAAAAACGAAGTCGCCGTCGAATTCTCTCTGCCCGGCAACGGCGACGAGACGGGGACTAACGGCGCCCTTGGCGGTGCAAGAGGCAGAGGCAAGAAGGCGGGCGGCTCGGTCGATCAAATGGTTGAGATGCGCTTCTACATCCCCGGAACGGCAACTCGCAAGGAGAAGAAGGAAGAGGGCGACGAAGACGGCAGCGAAGCCGACGGCGAAGACGACCAGCAAAACGCCGCCAACCTCTTCTACGAAATGCTCATGGATAAAGCAGAAATTGGCGAAGTCGCCGGCGCTACCTTCGCTACCTTCCTCGATATTCTGCACCTTACTCCCCGTGGACGTTTCGACATTGATCTCTACGAGAGTTCTCTCCGCCTTCGCGGCAAGACTTACGACTACAAAATCCAGTACGATTCCATCAAGAAGTTCTTCCTCTTACCCAAGCCCGACGATGTCCACCAGCTCATCTGCATCGGTCTTGATCCTCCGCTACGTCAGGGCCAGACTCGCTACCCTTTCCTGGTCATGCAATTCAAGCGCGAAGAGGACATCGTCCTTGACCTGAACATGACGGAAGAGGACCTCGAAAACAAGTACAAGAACAAGCTCCAACCAAGATACGAGGCACCTATCGCCACTGTCATCTCCAAGATCTTCTTGGGTTTGACGGGCAAGAAGATCTTGCAGCCCAGTCGCGACTACAACTCGCACCACCAGCAGTCTGGTGTCAAGTGTTCGGTCAAAGCCAACGAAGGCCACCTCTTCTGTCTGGAACGCGCTTTCCTCTTCGTGCCTAAGCCTGCTACCTACATCGCTTTTGACAACGTCTCCGCCATTACCATGTCGCGAGTGGGCGGCGCTGTTAGCGCCTCCCGTACCTTTGACATTTCGGTCGCACTCAAGGGTGGTGGTGAGCACCAATTCTCAAACATCAACCGTGAGGAGCAGAAGTCATTGGAGAACTTCTTCCAGCTCAAGGGCATCAAGACCAAGAATGAGATGGAAGAAGAAGGCGCCATGATGGCCGCTGTGCTACAGGCTGGTGACCTCGACTCTTCGGATGACGAGGTTGTTGCAGCACGTGGCTCAGCCGACGAAGACGATGAGTCCGTTGATGAAGACTTCCACACCGAGTCCGAATCTGATGTCGCCGAAGAGTATGACAGCGCTCACGATAGTAGCGGAGACAGCGATGAGGAAATGGCCGACGCCGGAGGTAGTGACTCTGAGAAGAAGGTGGAACCTCCCAAGAAGAAGGCTAAGACGGCAAAGTAGCTGTCACGCTTTTGCAATACTCTACCGGATATCTGATTTGAAGATCGACATGGCGTAGGCGTTTGGGGGGACAAGGGCGTAAGACGGACGATGGCTCATTCCAAAAAGGCACAACTCAATAGCTGCCACACTCTGAACGTTTTGGTTCACTGCCAACAGAGCACTATGAAAATAACAAGTCACTGTATACTCATCCGTATTTGGTCTCTTTCATCATGACTGTTGAATGTTTGTTCGAATGTGACTCGTTATTGTTTGTCTGCGAGGGTGTGGTTTGAGTCAGGGTTTTCTGAAATTGAAAAATTGATCTTCCGCACCACACTGTACACGATAGAGGCTTTTATTTGGCAGACATGTTCTTCTGTGATTGTTTATCTGTATCGGAACTGTTATAACTGCTCTAGTCAATTGTAGCGACTGGAAAGGTGTCACCGCGTTCTGGAACTCGCTCGTAACAATGTCGACGGTATGACCCTGGCAACCCCAGATCCAGCCCCATCTCCCCACTTGCTCGTCCTCCCAACCTTCTCTACCGTCAAACACATATTGCGCTAAACAATGGTTGATGAGCTGAATAGTACACCATGCGTTCAAGAACTGGATGGTAAGTGCATTCGCGCTTGAGTAGGTCATATGTATACCGAAAATGGCTAATTTGTCTCCATTCAGCTTAACATGTCGCAATCGCAAAGTATCCTAACCTTTCCTGCTGTCATTTCACGTCCTTCACTGACACTGTTGTAGCTCAAGTGTGATGAGCACAAGCCGAGTATGTTGGGATATCCCTTCTCGTCTGTCGCACGTATTTGCACGCGCAGTTTCTGCCAGTCCCCGCAGTGTGTGATCATGGCGGCAGACCTTAGACACGTCATTACCCACACGTCGAGAAACACAACTGACGAAATGTTGCATTGTAGTATGTGGACAATGTACGAAAGCCAGTCGCCAATGTGTACCTAGCCCAGGTGTGGTCTTCAGACATCAGCAGAATGCATCCATGAATGGATCCGGCACCAGCAATGCTGATGGCGGCCTTAAAAGCTTTTATGGCTACAAAGAAACCTTTGGCAAGGATAGTATTTGGGTTGATATTCCTCGTCAACGTATGCAGCATGAGCTTTAGGTGACCAGATGCACCTGCTAATACTACGCAGTCACCTTTGTACACACAACTAACCCCTACGATGATCCGGACTCATCACATTTTCATTCGATCCCGGAGGCTAGAGAACCAGAACCACGGATGGAGCAGACTTGGAACGCTACAGCCGAGTATCCTTACCCCTTCATGCCAAGTTCGACTCATGGGCTAGAGGCGCTGTCTGCCGCAGCTTCAGGCGACCATTACTTCCAAAACGCTTCACGACGAACGGGTGCACCAGAAGCTTTCTCACCACCAATCGACCCGAGACTCGATACTGAGTTATCGGAGACGTGTATGAATTTGTTCGAGTCTGGACCAGATACTGGACCAGACTTCGATCCGAAGACTGACGAGGATGTGCCCTTCCTACTACGCTATTTCTCTGAGGGACCAGGCGAATGGATGGATTTGTTTGACCTGGGGTCATTTTTTGCAGTCGATGTGCCTCTTAAGGCTGCTTACAGTCCTTTGCTGTTGTATGCATCGGTCGCATTGTCAGCTAAAGCCTTAGGACGGATCAGGATCACAGCACAGCATCCTAAAAGCTCTGGTTCGAAACGTACTCCAGCGGAGTGGTCACACAAGGCACGATATTATTATGATCAAGCCATCACGCTGCTAAGACAAGCCCTTGAGAACGAGACTCGACAGGCCTCTGTTGGTCAGCATTCTCCGGGTTTAGCCACGACAACCTCAGATTCCATTGGAGAGCTGAGAGTAGATCACCACTCAGCGTCTCCCCCAGTGTTGTCTCGACCAGACTCAGATGAGTTGATTGCCACGACGGCCATACTCTGTGTGTTTGAGTTTCTCGATGCTTCAGGTACCGAATGGTCAAGACACCTAGATGGTGCAAAAAGCCTCTTCGACATTGCTAAGGATGGTACGATGCCTCTGTCGACTACCGCTTCGGACCATAGTCCAATGCTTATGCCTAGATCAACTACTTCCACCAAAGGCCGTCGTGCTGTTTTCTGGAACATCTGCCGACAAGAGATGTTGAATGCTTGTGAGTTACTTTTCGACCCTGATAGAGCTCGCGCATCTGACAAATTGGAAAGTCATCAACAACACCAGCACGAGATTAGACACGACTGATCTGTCCATGTGGCGCTCGGCTGGTTTGCACATCTCACAAGCCGGCTACATCCTACCATCCAATGATTCAGCAGTACATGAACCAATGACTGATGACATGATATCAAATGCATTGATCTGGCTTATGATGAAGTTGGTCAATTTCATCTCTGCTGGCGATGAATTCCCTCACGAGATGGGATTAGGAGTTCGACAGATAGCACTCCTGGAGTATTGGGAAGGCCTGGAACAGCAATTAGATGTCTGGTTTGAGGTAAGAAAATGCCGACTCCACGCCAAACCACAGCCACTGACACAAATTTTGAACAGGGATTGCCACATAGTTTTAGACCCAGCGCGACCGAATGGCCCGACAAGAGCAATGTAAGCCGCCTAGAGCCATACTTGTTCCACAAACTGATATGTCCTCCTCTTAGAACGACGTGAGGAGTGCTACTAAAGTTCTAAGAAAGTGGTTCGCTAGACCCATGTGCGCGTCGACGATGCAATCGTTCCACTTTGCAAAGATTCAATTGCTGTTGAACAAACCTCACGAATCCACTGGTACAACGCATATCAAGTCTTCAAGCACGCACAGCAAAGGCAATACGTGGTCTTTGGCCCAGCGACACGCATCATATGCGTCCATCCTGCGCCAGAGCAGGAAACACGCCGAGGAGATTGTCAGTATTGGTCTGGGGCTCACAAACGACAGCGCCAGAATTCACAGCGTTCAGCCTTTATATACAGCTGGACAGGTGTTAGGAATGCGCGAGTCCAACACTAGATCGGCACAGACCGAAGAAGGCCACTCGCCGGATGAAGTTGATGCTATGCGAGGGTGTATACTGAACCTGCTACAAAACATTCAGAGGGAAACGGGGTGGGCGACAGAGTATCGCATGCAACAGCTGCTCGAAGAGTGGGGGTTGCCAAATGGACAGGACTAGAGGTGAGGACAAGTCACAACAATCACTACGAAGAGACTGGTGTCGTGATCCAAATGCAGTGCTACTCTGTGAGAAGTACTCGTGAGCTCGTACCGCGGAGGATTGCAGATCAGCGGCACGGTATTCGGTCCGTAAGACCGTTGATGGCTGGATCCGAAGCCATAGTGAGATGGAGTTTGACGAGAAATTCGCTCTTCAACGACGAGCGAGGGCTTTGCTCGAGTGGATTGTTAGATCAGAGCAACAGAAGTCAAATAGTCAGGGCTGGAATAAGATGGCGGGTTAATGAAGTTTGGTACTCGGAGTGCTGTGCATGCGGGCACGGAGAAGACCGATGCGGCAGATGTACCGAATATCAAGATGACACACAGAGAACAATACCAGGGCGTGCAGATGTGTGGATTTCAGAGCACGCGAGCGAACAAGAGCAAGCAGTGAACGCATATTGCAGCAGACAGTAGAGTGCGCAAAGACGTTATTCAAGACAAAAAGTCGAATCGACGACTTGCAGCGGTTCTTCAGATGAACGACAGTCGACTGTGGGAGGCGCAACGCTCGGACGCTTGGCGTGCATGACGACTTCGTGAGGAGAAGTTGGACGAGTGGGAAGACTCGAGTCTCGAGGTGCAACTCGTCGAGTATCGAGCTCTGAAGATGCAAATTCACGAGATAATATAAGCAGAAAAAGACTGGTTGATGATAGGTAGCGGCGAAACAGAATCCCGAGCTTGAAGCAGATAATATTGGCAAAATTGGCTTCTGTGGTTTGAGGATTCCCAAGAGTTCAGATCTCCACACTGAGCCAGGAAGGAAGGCTGCAAGCTGCAGACCGCAACCGCACGCGCGCACGTACTCCGGACGGTCTGTTCTCCATCGCTGCTGCCGCCTCGTACAGATTGCCGGACGCCATTTCCTCTTGACACGACCTGCACACTCCTGCTTTGCGCCTGATCTGCTGCTGGCTGACCGACTTTGACTTGACATTGCTGGCTGTCATATTGATCGTCTTCGCGACACACAGCCACCCGGTGCACGCCCGCTCAAGCGACCGACACCGCGTCCTCGACCACCTAACGACGTCTCGAATACACAATGCTCTGCGCACGCCAGACTGGCTCCTGTTACTACTGACGACTCTGGCTCTCGTTTCTTTTCCTGCTGAGATCAACACCCACTCGCCCACGATCGTTCATCGCCCTTCACGCCCCTCCCCCGCCCTCCCCGCGAAGTCGCTTCGCACCACCGCCCACACCTAGAAGTCATGGATCAAGATCCAAACCCACACGTCGTCCAGGACACGGATATGTCCATGTGGGATGACCCTTCCTTCTCCAATCTCTACGATAACCTCGGCGCCGCCGCCGAATCGCCCTTCGATGGCGCTCGTCTGTTCGACATGTCGGCCGCGACCGTGCAAGCCGACAGCCCCAGCTACCACATCAAGACCGACGACGGCCAACACGCGCATTCGCACCAGCCATACAATTCACGATCGCTTATTTCGTCGCGCTCGGCCGAAAGCTCGTCACAAGACTCGTCTTCCGAGACGAGTGGCAGAAAGCGCAAGAACACTTCGGCCACTTCCGAGTCTCCGCCCGGAAACTTCGACGCTATCAAGCTCGAGCAGCAGCGATCGCTGATGCATTCGCATGCCGGTAGCACCACCAATATGGCTTCGCTACACTCCCTACACAACCTCTCATTGGAGCAGGACTTTGCCAACCAATTTGGTAGCGCTGCAAGTAGTCCTGGTGGCCAGCCTATGGACTTGATTGACCGTACCTACTCTCAGCACCAATATATCAAGGCCGAACCACCGGTATGTTCAATGCTTATAGTTGGTCTAGTTAGTACTAATCTGCCAAGCAGGCTGGAACCGTCGAGCCCTCAAACTTCTTCTTTGGTTCGAGTACCGCATCCCCGGCCTCTGTCAAGGCATCCCAGACCCAAGAAGCCTCCCCGGGAGCCATGTTCAACAATCCGACGCCCTCGTCTGATGGGACAGACATGTTTAACGCCAACCAGATGTGGAACAACTCTGCTCAGAACCCGGCATGGAACACAGACTATGCCCACGCCTTCGCGTCACCCGGCGCTCTCGCCATGACACCCTCGCCTGTCCTGAATGCTCCCAAGCCAGAGCTTCCCAAGGCGCCCACGGCACAAGGTGACCGCATTCCTCTGAACATCGCTCCCATTCCAGCAAAATCTCGAGTCGAGACTCAAATCAACATCCGCTTGACCATGGACTATCTGCCGCCACGCGTCAAGATGCTGCACCTGCCGACTCATACCATCGCAAAGGCCAAATTGCTGGCCAAGGAAGTGCACCTGGCCGAGGACACGCTCGAGCTATATACAATGCTCGTGTGTACCAGCGCCATGAACCAACCGCATTTGCGCGAGAAGGCTATGAATCGAGCAGCGCTGCAGGACAATGCTCACATCCAAGTGCGTGGCCAGGGAGCAAGCAAAAAGGCAGGCGAGGAAGAAGTAGACGAAAACGACAAGCCGGCAAATGGTGGAGAGGTGCGCATATGCAGCAATTGCATAAATCGCGAACGCAAGAGGGCCGCACGCAAGAAGCTGAAGAAGGAGGAAGAGCAAGCACATTGGGAGAAATACGAGACTGAACGCGTCATTGTCTTCAACACCAATGAATACAAGCCATGGCAAGACTGGCAGCAGTCTCCGGCACCGAAGGACAACAATGTCCAAGCTTCGGACTTCTTCCACCCACCAGAGACTGCGATGCAAGTCGTGGCACCCATGCGTATTGCTTGCTACTGCCGTCACCAGAACGAAAAGGATGGCTTCCAAGTCATCTTCACCATCAAAGACAATAAAGGCAACGTCGTGGCCCAGGATATCTCCGATTCGATTCTCATCACCGACGACCACAAGACGCACCCCATGGCGAGTGTGCCTGGCCAAGCGTGGTATGACGGCCAATTCCCTGCCCAGGCTCCCTTTACTTCACACTCGATGGTCGATTTGCACTCCCACATGCCTGCCATGTCTGTGTCCAAATCAACAGGCAATCTCCAAAGTCTTGGCTATGGCGCCCAAAACTTCCACCAGCCCTCTAACATGCATATGCAAAATTTCCCGCCATCACAGGCTACAACTCCTGGAACAATGACACCACGTAACCTCTCTCGTCCAGGCTCTCCCAACAGCGCTGGTCAAGCGGGTCCTAGTAAGAAACGCAAGTCATCGTCCGCCCACAGAAGGATTCCTAGCACGCTTACCATGACCAAAATGGAAAATCAGCAGATGGCTCAACCCACTGCACAAGCGCCATTCTCACCCACAAGTGCTGGGTTCCTTAGTGGCAACAACGACCCGTCTTATATCACCATGCCACACTCAGCATCGCGCGCTCACTTTCACACGGGACCGTCCACTCCCATTGAGACCACTACATTCCCGTTTTCTGCACTCAACCGAACAAACAGCATGGATGGTGCTGCATATCAGGCCTTTTACTCCGCTCCCAGCTCTGCTCACCAAAGCCGGGCACCAAGTCCAGTGCTTGTCGGACCCAACTTGGCGGCTTTCCAAAGACAGCAGGCGCATGGTGGAGCCAGCGCCATGCCAAACCGTCAGAACCCGTTTGCCATGTCAAACTCGGCGATGCCAAATGCCATGTCTGAGCCGGATCGAACGCATCCCATAATCAACAAGGTGACGCCATCTGAAGGTCCGCCATCAGGCGGCACTGAGGTCTCAGTGTATGGCAGCGGATTTGCTCCTGGAATGGAGGTGATGTTCGGTGATCAAGTCGCAACAGCTACCACCTACTGGGGCGAGAAGGCCCTTTGCTGCGTTCTTCCCCCGGGCCAAAACGGGATCGTGCCCGTGGCGATTGCTCCATCGCCCATGCGACAATACTCAGCGCCCCCACCTGGCCAAACACAAGTCTTCAACTATGTAGGCAAGACTTCAGAGATGCAGACAATGGAAATGGCCCTACGCTACTACAGTCAGAAAGAGACAGGCCGTGCCGATCAGTGGCAGGCTCTGGCACAAGGCGCAGCGAATGCCTGGATGTCGCAAGGGTCTGCTGCCGCATCTGGTCTGCAGACACCACAAGGAGCGCCATTCGAAGGCTCAATTGCAGATATGCGATATGCATAGATCGACCACCAAAGAGGATTATGTTGGTGCAAAGTCGAGATGGAGGTGAAGCGAGCTACCTCAGAAGTCTCGCACAGCCAACTTCCGGCATAAGTCCTCAGCAGAGGTGCCAATCGACTCGTTCGCCATACGGCCAACTATGCGAAGGTGTGAATATGTACATACGACATCCACCTTTTTCGCGTCATATCAAGGATTCAATCCTGATTGAGCGCGGCGTCTTTCTCCGTTCATCGCTGGTCCGCTTTCTCTACGCGGAATTGTCTTCAGCGGTGACGAATCAAATTATCCATATCACGAACAAACTGGACGAACGTGGAAAGGAGTCGGAAACGGAGTCTTCCCATCAAGGATATGCTTTAGATGGCGTTTTCTTTTTTTTCCTTTGGTTTCTTTTTGGGTAATGCCAGCTACCCCTTTCTCCTTTTCTCTTTGCATATTACGAAACCACAAGTACGAGGGTTATATATACTTTCCTTATCTGTCTATTTTCCTTTGTATGAAACTATCTGGCCCAATGGTCGATGCCTCTTTTTGTCAGTATGGCCCTTTTCCCTTGTGTATGTGTCTCAAGGATCGTCTTCATTGCTTCTTATGAACTGTGAATGGAAGAAAAGAGCGAATACGTGCTCAATCAAAACCCACCTCTTGTCATCCTTGACGATGCCATTTGACCTCTTTGATAGTGATCTAGGGCGACAAGCTGCAGAGCAAGAAATCCCCTGCCAACCAAGGAAATAGAAACACGAGAGGACGAACGTGAGCAAGAACTTACCTGACCACGTATGCCTGTGATGATCTTTCAAATGTCCGCTTGCTCCCATGGACGACAACTCGGGGCAAAGGGACAGAGACAATGGCTCCTTCCCGTTTGTAGTATCATCTCGGAAGCTTCGCTCCATCCCGGAGAAGAAGAGGCAGTAGCATGCGACAGTCGTAGAATTTTACTTCGCACCCGAAAAGGACTCGCAAGTCACGAATTGAAATTGCGGTGAGAAGACTTGTGAAGAGTATACCACTAATGCCTTTTTCTCTGGTTTGACTTGGCTTGGTTTGTGTTACTTTGACGTTCGATGTGCTGTATCTGGACAGGGGTAAGGTAGGCTTGTGTTGCAAGAGATGTATTGCTCCGGATGATACGAGGGGTAAGGTCGGAAAGGACGAGAGCCAGGCCAGGGTTAGGGTGGGTACAGTGGGTGGGCATACATGACTCGCTCGAGTAGTGGAAGAGCGAAGATGGTGTGTGCTATACAGTCAAAGTCAAGGTCGAGGTCAAGGTACAATTAACGGTTTTGGTCCTGGAGGGTGTGACATGGGCAAGGTGGGCGAGAGGGATATAAGTTCATGGCACTGTGGCTTTATTGTTTGCTCCACGCATATGCATATTGAAATGGCGGTCAAAGTTGTGCAAGTAAGTGCATTGTGGAAATTCGAAAAGCCTTCAAGGCTTGCTGTGATTCTCTGGTTCAAGCAATCTCTTGTGCCGCTCTTTGAAGACCAAGTGGCAGTCACGGAAAAGTCGTGGCTTGGAATGTGGAAGTTGCATTTGCATATGAATATTTGGTCAAGCAGGAGGGTTGCATTGTGAATAATATTCATGTGACAAGACCATCCCACCATTCCTCGGACCGAGGACTTTGAAGAAGGTCTGGCTCTCTCGACTCAAGGTAAGGACGTTATTCTAGAGTATTAGTGTCATCATCGCGAAGCAAATGGGCGTGTCACGCTTCCTGCACGAAATATTGGTATCAGATGTACTCATTGCGTTTCAAGCGGCTACAAGGGCGTGGACTGCGTGTGAGTGGGCCTTATAGCCTCTCAACTCTCAGGAAGGAGGGAGACAGGCACGCTTTATCTCCAAGCGATATACCCAGGCGCCCATACGGTTGTTGAGTGGTAGAGGCAGGCGGCTGCTTTTATTAGTTGCGGTCATATTGGATTGTGTGGCGGCGGCTCTGGGGGAGTTTGGCTGAAACTTTTACCCTTTTTAGAGTTGCAGGTGACAGGAGACAAAGACCTGGTCGAGGGTGGTTGATTGGCGGCGACAAGACGAAAGAGGTCGATGATCAACTATTTCCGCAATGTAGCCCCAGCTCATACGGCAGTCAGTGATGAGAATGTACACTTGAGAAAGAGTGTCAGAGGGCGGAGAGTCAGCAGGGTGATCATCGTTGCAATACTTGACGTATCCGTTCTCCTGCATGAAATGGTCCAATGGAAAAGAGGGTCCCTCTCGCTACTGTACAGTGAATAATTAGTTAAACTGTGCATCATCCCGCCTATCTTTATTTTCCGCGTCAATCACAGTTCTTCGCGACATGCATGTGTAGCTTGTCTCTAGCCTCGTTCTCCAACAATAAGAAGCGAGGCAAGAGGTTGGGACATCGATGCAACCTTTTCTTATCAGGTTCAAATGGCTGTGACAGGTGGTGATGTGCGAAACATTGAGACAAAGGCATGAAGCTGTGTGAAAGCCTCCGCTCTATGGGTGGAGATGTGTTTGAGTACGGGCGAGCCCGGCCGTGGCGTGAACCACAAAGCACCTATCTTTGAGAATGCTATGTGAGCATTTTGACAGCTTCTGGCCTCGTAAGACCATGCGAAAATTGTTGATCTGTCGTGTCCGGTGCAGTGGGAGAAAAAACCGGACTGCACGAGGCACGCCGGCTCCGCGCTGTCATATGCATGAGGGCACCGGGGCGGTACGGATAACAAGTGCAATCTTTGTCCCCTCATCTAACCAGCTTCTTCGCGCGCTGTCAATTGGAAAAGGCCCCTTTCTCCTGCGACAGAGAGGGTCCATATTTTCTTGATGGAATTGCATTGGAATGAGGACTTTCGTTTGGTGGGTGACAACCTGACCCAGCCACTCGTTTTTTGGACCGTGTCAGCTTTCTCGGGTTCTGCAACGATTGGATTGATCCCAGTCCGCCGCTTGTGAATGGTTGTGCGGCCTGCATTGCGATCGCATAGCACGACACCCTCGCTCTCATCTCTCGACGGTCAGCCTGCAAGACATTTTCCCGGCATGCATTTCGCATACAACAACGAGCCTCTGGTCAGATCGCCTGAGATGGCGTGTTATACACAGACGACCTCGATAGGCGCTTTTGAGAAAGCAGTGGAGCAGAGCAAAAAGGTGGATACCTGCCTATTAGACTGATGTGCTGGCAGTTCTTGCACCGCCATGCAGAGCAACTTTTGCCATGGTTGCCGCTGGAGCCGACTGCTTTCTGCTGCAGCTATGCTCGAAACAGACCTTAGTGCATTAACCTCTCCGCCTATTTTGAAACCTTGTAAGCGATACAACAAGACGAATTCTCCGCAAACTCTTCTCGACTGGAGGTCGTTGTCTTTGCCTGACACACTCTTGAAGTTACTCACGCGTTTGTTCCCTGCATGCGCCTCGTTTGGCGTATCCAACGGCCTTGGATTTCGAGAGGCTCAAGCAACTCTGTCAGTGAGATCGGAAGTGCTCACCAAGGGGCCAACCGGGTAAAGCTGCTTGTATATTGCACCGCTTGGCTTAGAGCGAAGCCAAAACCCACAGCTTGATATTGATATCGCTCCACGTATAACCGCATGCTTATCACAGTGAGCGACAATCTTAATAGGCGAGCGTGTAGACAAACGGCCATGAACCTGAAACCACATTCCAGTTGAAGAGGAACTCAGCGGGAATACTGACACGACGCCGGTTACCGGATTCCTGCGTGGTGGTAGTGCAGACGTTACTGCTGCAGGATGAGGCGCCGTCGATCAGAGGGTTGCGAACATGGCAAAGCAAACATTGGGAAACCCCCCGAGGGCCCACAACGGGACGGTGCGCAGTGGGGAGCAGCCAACAGACAATGAGGCGCGAGAACCGCCCGTTAGCCTACCACATAGCCTGGAAAGCCTTCTCCGGGCAAAGATATGGAGTTGAGATACAACGACAATCAACAGGAAACCCGCCTACAGTACTCACCTCAGCGTCAATACCAGAAAGCTCAGCCACGGCCATCAATACCGGATGGACAGCACACTGCAGGAGCTGGGAATGGATGATGTAGGCCAACCCGAAGATGAGGAAAAAAGGAAAGCCGAGCCAGACTCTCACTGGCACCAAACGCGGACTAGTCGCCAAATTTAGGGCAAAGGAGGAAGGCTCGCTTGCGTGCGGCGTGCGGCAAGGCGCTTGGGCCCTCCATGATCTGACTCGCCCGTTCCCTTGTACCTGCCTTTTCCTTCGTCTCTCCCACCTTCTTTTAACCCTTTAGATCCGGATTCCTGGGTTGAAGCCTTTTTGTCTGGAGGAGAACCTACCGTCTTTCGTTCTATACTTACTCGCCCTTCCTTTGGTATTCAGAGAGCCGACCAAGGAATATCGTTGGCTTCAGTCTTGACCGACGCGCCTGTTTCCTCACCAAAAGGCAGCGTTTATTTTGGGCATCATTGATTGCGATTCGACCGCGTATCTCACCCCTTCCCTATCAAACCAGCAAGGGTGAGTCTCCGAATTTCCTCTATGCCTTGCATCTTCCTTTTCGTGGGACTCTCATGGCCACGCCGATGTGATGGTAGCTTGGTCCCAGCCAGACATCTGGATGCTCAGGCTCGTCCGAACCTTCTTTCCTTCTCCAAACCACCGTCACGGACCCATAGACCAAACCCAACCAACTGTGACTGACCATTCCCGTCGCTAGGCTACGCAGTTTTACCTATATCACTGCTGCGCGTTGAATAAATCACATACTTGATTCGTTATCACTGTCATCATGGAATCCCGTGTGATCCCAGTCCCCAACGAGACTGTAGCTTCTTTCTCTCGCACCACGTGCGATGGAAGGCTTTTGATTTACAAGCTCAAGGTTCTTCAGCAACCCGAGCGTGCTCGCGCCTGTGGCTCTGGTGCCAAGTGTGCGTGTATCTCACGAGTTCAACGCCGAGCATCATACTGACGCGATATCAGCATCCGCCGACCGTCGCCCTGTTGACCCCCCGCCAATTGTCGAGCTTCGCATCTATGACGGTGAAGAGAAGGACTCCAACGATGTCACTTTTGGCATGAACGCCAACTACTTCCTGTTTGCGACTTTGGAACAAGCACGTCCTATTGCCCAAGGACGTGTTCCCAACAATGACCCCGCCCGCCTGACCGTCCTGACCGGTACTCCTGTTGCCGGTATGGTATACCTGGACCGCCCCTCGCAAGCCGGATACTTCATCTTCCCGGATCTTTCTGTCCGCCATGAAGGCAAATACAGACTTGGTTTCAGCCTGTACGAAGAGCTCAAGGATCCCAAGGATGCGGACCAAGCAGATGAAGCAGCAGCCGCTGCTGCCGCCCAAGGAGAAGCCCAGATTACCCACCGTTTGGAAGTCAAGTCCCAGCCATTCACCGTCTTCAGTGCCAAGAAGTTCCCTGGATTGGCTTCGAGCACCCAGCTCAGCCGTACCGTAGCCGACCAAGGATGCCGTGTTCGTATCAGACGTGAGGTCCGCATGCGTAGACGTGAGAAGGGTAAGGACTACGACGGCTATTCGGACCGTGGCAGACACTCGGCTACCCCGGACAACTACCAGCCTCACATGGCTGGCCCTCATCCTGCCGCTGATGCCGCTGACCGCGAGAGATCGGCCAGCATCGCCAGTCATGTTTCCCTTGCAGCTGCTCCTTCTTCGCGTCGTCCATCCGGACATGACATGGTTCAAGCTTATCCTCAACCCTCGTACGCCCCTCAGGTTGTTGCCCAACAGACTGCTGCTCAGCCTGCCCCTTCTGCACAGCCTCAGTACTCCCAGGCTCCGACCCACCAGTATGCACCGCAGTATGCGCAGTCCCAGCCCCAGATGCAGCCTCCTCAGATGCAGCCTCCTCAACATCAGATGCACTACGGCCAATATCAGTACCCTCAGGCTGCACCTCCCGCCCCCACTCACCAGCACACTTACTACGGATACGGCCATCCCGCTCAGCATCATGCACAGTATGAGGAGCCTGCTGCTGCAAGAACCATGAGCGTCGATTATGCCCATGGTGTCCCCGCACCTGCCGATCTCCGCCGTCACTCGATGATTCAGGCATCATCGTACCCTCACAGCAGCCAACCTCAGGCATACTCTTCTCAGTACCAGCAGCCTGCTGCTTACACACCTCAGCAGACGCCTAAGATGAGACAGATGAGCCAGGCATCCTCGTCTGGCACATCAGCAATCGCACCTCACGTTCTGCCTCCCATCAACACTTCTTTGGTCCCCCAGACCAAGCTTGAGATATCACCACCATCCAGCGCAGTGTCTCAGAGCCACTACTATGACATGGCCAGAACCTCTGAAAATGGACAAGTCAATGGCAAGCGTTCGTATGACCGTGTGTTTGACACTCGTCACCTCACTGGACCCCTGAGACAGGGAGCCAGACCTTCAGTGTCTTCTTACGGTCATCTGGTTGCAGACGATGGTAATGATAGTGAGCTCGCCGAGTTGGAGAGTTTGAAGATGAGCTACAGACGTGCAGATGGACGCGAGATTGCTCGTCCCCTTCCCCCCAGCCACGACTAAACGCCCAACAGCAGATAGATATCGGCACAAGAGCGGTTTCATATGTACAGAAGGTGGAACAGCGACTTTGATCTCTTTTGTGCGAGTATAGCAGAGCAGCGGGACATGTAATTGTGGAGGAAATAGAGGTGTCACCGCGAATAAGAGACTGAGAAATTACCCGACGATAGCCACGACAGACATGACACGCAATGAAAAGACTCAACGAATTGAACAACTGATGTTACGGACGTTAACTGTGACACGAATCATGGCATATTGAGTAACAAAGGATGATATATTTTAGACGAGCGGGTAGTATGCAGCGGTTAAGTGGTTCGGTAAGCGCAGGGTCTCAACTTGGGAGCTCTTTGTGAGACGTGCGCCAAAGCACGCGCCGAGCTCCTGCTCCACAGAAAAACGGCGGTTCATGTTATGTTTTGGCGGCAGTGTCGGGACAACCAGACGTCAATCTGCATTTGCGCCTACCACGTCTCTCTCTGCCTTGACAAGATTATAAGACTTCTCGGAGGACGAGCCGGATTGGTTGCCAGCAGAGATCTCGAATCTTTGAGCAGATGCAGGGTCGCAGCTGAAATCGACGGTAAGTGGGGAAAGAAGCACCACAGGTGTGAGTGCCGTGGTGTAAACAAAGGCTGCCGTTGGCGGGATTGCATGATTGCAACGGCACTCGTTCACTCTTCGCATCAGCAAAAAGCGCAGAAATAAGATCGACTGACATCGTTGATTGCAGGACCTCAACAACAACATGTCAGACGACGCAGGAATGTACGGCGAGTTTGGACAGGCCTTGGAGCCGGTTGCCAGCGGAAGCAAGCGAAAGCGTACAATGGAATGGGCCATGGAAGTGCCTGAGGCAGACGTGCGTCTGCCCGTCGATCATCATGACAGAGAGGCCAATCACGACAGCAGACACCAAGACAACAATGACCAGGACAAGCATGGCCGACACACACCAAAGCGAAGCCGCCCGTCGCCGTCGCCCAAGCAGCAACCTCGTAGCATCCGCCGCAAAGACGCCCGCTACGGCCTCTCGTCGCTCAACAAGCGTCACGCCGAACCAGCCGACGTCGATGTTGACATTGTCGACAACACACGGCCTTCTCGCTTCCAGGAAGGTAGCATGTCGGACAAGCCCAGTGCGCAACCCCCGAGTGTCTTTACTCGCGATCACTCGAACTCCGGTGTGCCCGCTCTGGCTAATGTCGACCACCTCATGAGCCAGTATCATGAAGAAAACTCGACCCCGTCGGTACATCATCAGCTGAGACCAACCGTCAACCACCCTCTCCAAGACGACCCTGTCGACGATCGACCACCCCCACCCGCCAGCGTCCCCACCTTCGACTCAATCCCTCCCTCTACGACGGCATCAGTCAAGCCGTCAGGTGGTCTCTTCCGCTTCGGCAAGATGTTTGCATCGACCTTCAACCCGGCAAATGTATGGGAGTCGTTCTCGCGCACATGGAAAGAGTCCAAGGAAGACCTGACTGTTAGAAACATTGAGGAGAACCGCAAGCGTGCCCAGGCTCAGCCTGAAGCTGTGCCGGACGACAAGGCCATGTATGAACAAGCTTATCAGGAACTTAAGAAGTCCGGCCAGTTCAACTTTACCGTCGTTCCCAACAAGGCCCTGACTTCGCCTCGCATCGGTGGAAGCAGCCAGTTCAACTCGCCCACTCGTCAACCTCTGACCTCGCCCCGTCACGCTGCCGCATACGCTCGTCTACGCCCAGATGCCGACTTCCCACACTCGCGCGACACTTCTCTAGACTCGACTGGCGATGCCGCTGCCCCGCCACAACTTGCTGCTCTGTTCAAGCGCTCGACTGAACCTCTCACCGAACCTAGGTCGCCGCAACTTCTCTCTCCCGAAAAGCCTCTCAGCAAACGCAAGTCGTTCTTCACTCTTCGTGGTGCTTCTCTTCGTGCTCCTTCCTTGAGTTCGTTGAGACGTGGCCGCTCTCATGCAAATCTGAGCGAGACGTTTGTGCCTACTTCGGAAGACAAGAGAACTCCTTCCTTGTCGCCAGAGAAGCCCAACTTTCACAACCACCTCACTCTCCAGTCGCTTCCTCGATCCCAGTCGAAGAGGGAGCTCAACAAAACAGTGAAATTGAACAAGCGTGTCAGTGACCTCGAGTCCAAACTTGCTGATGCTCGCCGTGAATTGAACAACGCCATCACGAACGCATCGCCGCTTCCTCCACTTCCTTCCCGTTTTGAAAAGTTCACTCCTACCTCAAGATCCAAATTTACTAGGGCTAGATTTGGTTTGAGCAGTAGCAAGCTACCTTCGCTTCCTTCTGAGAGTCTGCTACAGGCCGAGACACTTGCTAAGGCTCAGAACACACCTTCACTCGTCAGACCAAGACCCACCCACTCTCAGTCGTTCGACTTGACCCACCTCCGAGACTCAGACCACCGCAGGGAATCTGTCATCGTCATCGACACGCCCCGCTCTGAGATTCAGTCGTTCTTGCCTGTCGATTACTACCACGACCCAATGGACCCAGCCGCCATTGCCTCTTCTGAGGCCGCGGATCAGAGTGACGTCGAAAACCGCCCCAGTCTGGACGCCAAACTCAAGGCGCTTGAGGCCAGCGTCAAGTCAAGACACAACAAGAAGACTCCTACCAAGAAGCGTAAGAGTGCGTCCAAGGACGACGCCATCTACAAGCCTCCTGCCGACGAGGAAGAAGACGAACTTGAATACGTCAAGGAAAAGCCAAAGAAGAAGCGTAAGTCCACGGGCAAAAAGGCAGCCACTGCCGAGCCAGCAAACGAACAACCTGGATCCGATGTCGGCCATGGTAAGATGATCAAGACCAACACCAAGAAGCAGGACAACAGTGAGCAGCAGGCTACTGGAGAGGTAATCGACCACAATGCAGTTGGCCGCTCGAGCCTGGACACCCTCGATCCCATCAACGAAGAAGACAACATCCTTGTCGCCCCCCGTGTCGATTCTACCCATTCCCTCGTCCCATCGCAGCACGACTCTGCCTATTCCAACGCCGACGCCGAATCCATCCACGTACGCACCGAGCCTCTCAAGTCGATCCTCGTGAACAAGCACGAGACTGTCCGTCCCAGCTCCAGAGGTTCGAACAAACGTCCTTCGTCATCGCAGCGTCGTTCCTCCCCTCCCCCCTCCGCCGTCTACACGAAGCCCACGCTCGTTGCTATCGAGAAGCATCACGTCATTACCGTCACTCCTGGGGTCGGTTCCGTGCCTGCCATGCCCACCACCACCTTGAAGACAACCCTGACCGAGGAACAGGCTAGCGCTGGCGCTGGCTCCAAGCAGTGGGACTGGCCAGAGGACGTCTTCTGATCGCAGCCAACTGGCATAATCCTTTGCTTCGACGCCGTTGTATCTGGGCCGAGAAACTCAACCTGCACATATCACGACTGCCACCTCTCGACAGTACATACGAGACGGCCTCAACCTCCTTACGACCAGCTAGGAGGATTGCTTAAATCTCCAAACACCCCTCTTGAGTTGTTTTCTGCTTTTTCTGCTTTCTTTGCCTTCTTGCACTGACGATTGCTTTTTCTCATTCTCCACTTCTTGTCTCTTCTTTTTTAATACCTGCCCTTTTTTGCTTTTACCATTCACGAGGTCTCACGAACGACAGTCACGATTTTTTCAGATGATCGAACCCGAAGCACAGCAGGAAAAGCGCGTCGAGGAATCACTTCGTATATGCGCATTTTTGCATATGGAAGGAGCGATGGAAATCACAGCAAAAGCCTCTTTCATGCATATCGATTTGTCTTCTTCCCGGGAAGGAGTATTTCTGATGATAGCTCTTTCCCTGCTTTTGTTCCCTGCACATTCTGTTTATAGGGAAGGGGGAACAGTCGCCCTTTCTTTCCACTTCTTTTCACGATTCCAAAAAATGCAAATTTTGTCTTTTCAATCATTTGAAGTGCAATAACATGACTAACCGGAATCATTACAAGTGCAGTGCGAATTATCCTGTGTTCCCAAACCGCCGACCTGCTAAACTCCATGCACTGCAAATTCCGCCACCAACCCAACTTGCCAATCCGATGTGGACAATCCTTGTTCAATAAACTAACCCTGCCTTGACTACAGTTCCATCCTAGCTGGCGCCGACCAAGTGACGAATTCGGTGACTGTAGAATTGCAAGATGGAGGTATTGCGAGAAGTGAGCTGATCGATGATGAAGCGCTGGAACTGCTACTACTGGAAGCAGAAGAACTGCTACTACTGGAAGCAGAAGAACTACTACTGCTGGATGCAGAAGAGCTGCTTGAGGAAGAAGAACTGCTGGAGGAAATGGAAGCCGTTGCTGAAGCGAGTGCGGCCGAGGATGAAATTGAAGATGACGCTGATGAAGAAACACTGGACGACGATGAGGAGGAAAGGCTAGAACTACTTGAGGAGGACGCGCTGCTGGACGATGAACTGGATGAAGAAGAACTGCTGGACGATGTAACAACGCGTGCGAATCCGCTCAAGGACGAAGATGCCGAGGACGAAACCGACGACGAAACGCTGGAACTGCTTGACGACGAAAGACTTGAGCTTACGCTCGAGGAAACGCTACTCGACGCGGAGGAGCTGCTTGATGATGAAGAACTGCTAGAAGCCGATCCTGACGACGATGAAGATCTGCTGGAGCTGCTTGATGACGAAAGGCTCGAACTAGTTGAGGAGGATACCGAGGACGAAAGGCTCGAACTTCGTGATGACGACGAACTTGAACTGCTGGACGAGGATAAACTTAAGCTGCTACTGACGGATGCAGATGTACTACTGCTTGATGATGAAGAAAGGCTGGAACTTCGTGATGATGATGAACTGGAACTGCTCGATGACGATAGGCTGGAGCTACTTGAAGAGGACAGGCTGGAGCTGCTCGATGAGGAAAGGCTGGAACTACTTGACGACGATACGCTGGAGCTTGATGAAGATATGTTGGATGAGGTTGCGGTGACGGAGAAAGTTATGTAGGTAGAATAAGCAGTACTTCCGCTACTCACTGCATAAGGACGTTTTGCAACAAGAGCTAAAGAAGTTCCAGCACTGTCGATGAGCTGGCCGTCTGAAAGGTCGTACTTTAGGTTGCACACCCCGTCCTCGTAGATAGCGGCCATACATTGGGAATCCGCCGAACATACTGTAAGGCAAGTCGACAGATCCGGTTCTTCATATTGCTGATCGGTATATCCAGTAAAAGTTTTGTCACAACGAAGCAGGTATTGAGTACCTGAAGAATCCGTGAAGGTAGAACCATCTCCTTGGGGACAACCCAGTAGTGTCGGTGTCGGTGTAGGTGTACTCGGGGCAGCAGAAGAGGCGGGCACAGCCAATACAGACGATGCACTCGACGAAGATGAAGAAGAGAGTGACGATGATGAAGAAGATGAAACCGATGACGACGAAGAGCTCGAAGCAGAGCTAGCGCTTGAAGATGATCGAGACGATGACACCGAGCTTGAAGAAGAGGAACTCGATGAGGAGGCCGAAGAGGCAATAGTCGGTGTAGCCGCAACGACTCTTATTCCCCCAACGTTGTTCGTGTTGTATGCTGTGACGAATGAAGCAGTTGACACAAATTTGAGATAGCAATTACCACCTCCTACACCGTTAGCACTAGCTCCAACCCACTGAAAGGCGTTGCAGACTGAAGGCGAAGTAGAGGCGGTGTAGGAATCACACTTGTCAAAGCATTCGTTGAAGCCGTAGTTGGCTTGCAGCGCAGTAACTCCGACTCCATTCGTATCGTTTCTGTTGAAGAAGTTAGAAAGATAGCATAGTCTAGGTAGAATAGGCTATTATACCCGCAAGCAATCACATAGTTCACACCATTGAAGTCGGTGACAGTCTGGAGATTTTGTGCCGGGCAAGAATTGGTTGGCGCGGGCTCTAGGAGGCGTAAGTCAGATGGCGAGAATGATCCGGGGATTAAATACATACTAGGACCATACCGGGCCATGATTGCACCAATTCGAGTTGATACAAGACCATCGCTGTTCAATGATTGAGCAGTACCGGATTTCAAATTGCAACCACCAGGCCCATTACCGTTCGGAGCTCCGTTGACCTGGAGGGAAACGTCAGCATGAACTTCCCGAACAAGAGAGTCAGGTGTCCTATCGGTTGGTTTTGATGCAGATGATCGCTAGACGGCACACCATTGTGTATTTGCACGCAGATGAAGTGGACTCACATAGGTAAACCCACTACAACCAGGAGCGTTGTCGCAGAAAGCGAAGCAGGCGGTCCAGTTACCAACGGAGGATGATGGAACCGCACTAAATTGAGCTCCAAATGTTCCGGCACCACATTGGTACCGATAGAGGATACCTTGGGCATCGGTCACTGCGTATGTCTGTGTACCAATAGCAGTGCATGTTGCAGTGGCGACGGTGATCTGTCCATCTGAGCCTGGAGTCTGCCCGCTTACTATGGCAGCAAAGCCGATGGCTAGAAGGGCTGATTGGGGCCTCATTATTGCTGTTGACACACGAACGAAGGTCGTAGAGAAAAGTTGACCGCCAAGAGGAGGGCGACCAGATTGTTTTTGTCAGGGTTGGCTCCAATATGAGCAACGAACAAGTCAACATCCCTTGCCAAGGCTATATGCAGAGGTAAGGCAAGGGCAGAACGGCACAACGCAGACTAGAGGAATGCAATATCGTTTTCTCGGATTACGAGCCGTGCGATAGGTCGATTCTGCTCGCCCACCGCGAACTAAAGCAGTTGGTATGTCGCCATGACTTTGTTGTTTGATCTTCCTTGGTTTCCTTATACATTCGAATAGTGAAAACGAAACTGGTCAAGAAGCGGTCCCATTCTATATTCCTGTCGGTTCGAGGAAATCACGAGTGTCGTATCTCGTCGTGTTTAGTGCGTAAAAGGCCATGGAACTAATGGCGTTATAACGCTGTGCGTACACCGTACTTATGTTTTCTCGACTTATCAGTGCGTTGCAAATGTTCCTACACACACACAAGCAATCCTGAACCGTCGGTTCTGAGCCAACGAGTCGTTTCCATCAAGCTTAAAGTTCCGCTCTCGACGGAGGTGTCCAGGTGACCGAGACCGTAACCGTGGAGCTGCAGGATGGAGGATTGGCCCCCGAAGAAGAGCTGGATATCGATGACGATACCGAAGCTGAAGATGGGTATGCTGCATCTGTGTTTGTCGGAACAGAACCAAGATCGGTCGTCGTTGCCATAGCGCTGCTTGGCGATGGGGTTGATGCAATACTTCCAGCGAGTCTGATTGCACCGACGTAATTCTGATTGTATACAGTGTTGAATTTGGGAGCTGGTTGAACGACCTTGAGATAGCAATTACCAGATCCAGCGCCGTCAGGCTTTCCAGAGTATTGCCAACCGGTACAATTTCCTTGTCCGGTGACGTTGTAAGTATCGCAGAACGCAAAACAGTCATTGAAGTTGTTGGCCGCTTGGACGAGCTGACCTTGGTTGGTATTGGAGTTACCGGTTGTATCATAGCCACAAGCCATCAAATACTGTTGACCGTAATTGTCTACCACAGTCTGGGAGTGGACTGCTGGACACGCGAAAGTAGGTGCAGGCCCTGCAACTATTGAGCTATGCTGGATTATTGGGAGCTGATCAATACATACTGACGATATTGCGCGATTTGAGGCCGGCGACTCGGGTACTTGAAAGAGTGACAGTACTTGCGAACGAATTACCGCCGTATTTCAGAGCACACTGGCCCGGTCCGTTTCCGTAAGCGACACCTGCGTTCTGTAGGCAAACATGTGGTCAGCATGTGTGATGTGAGCTAAAGTTGCACAGATGGATACTGTGTGTGGCAGGATCAATACTCGTCGCAAGGCAGAAGGCCTGCAAACCATGTCCTCCAAGTCGTTCAGCCATGCGATGCCCCGAAAATGTGATCAAACGATCTAAGAGAGATACGAAGTCAAGATCTCAGATGAGCATTGACCTGAGGCTTCAGCAAAAGTAATCGACTCACATATAGGAATCCTGAACAGCCATTTACACCAACAGTGGTATTGTCGCACCAATCGAAACAGTCTTGCCACGATCTGATACCACTGGCTGACGGTATGTTCGTCAACGCAGCGCCTCCGGCTCCACCACCACACATATACTGATAAACAGTGCTGGCAGCATCGACGAAAGCGTATATCTGGGTCCCGGTGGTGGTACATGTTGCAGTGGCCATAGTCGTGATGTTGTCCGGCCCGACGCTCTGTCCTGCAACCAAGGCAACAAAGTTAGTGACCATAAATGCCAATTGGGCCCTCATGATGATTTCAAGACACGAATAAATACCCCGTAGAGATGTCAATTTGCTAAGTGGAATAGACTCAGGTTATTATACTCGAGTACCTGGGTCCTGCCTCCATTGAAGATCAGCAACGAATAGACGATGTCTCTTGCCAAGGCTATAATTATGCAGATGTCAAGCAAGGGCAGAACGACATGGCGCCACCGCGAGAAATGTAACGCTGTGAGAGTGCATTACCGCATCGTCCCGGCCTTTCCTTGGCTCGGTAGTCGAATCAGAGTAGATGGTGGATACCGAGATGCACGATCGATAGATGTTGTTGGGTGAGTGAAGGGCAGTTTCGAACAATGCACTCCGACACAGTGGGCGAAGGCGTATTCGAACAATGCTTCCGGCATGGTGGATGGGCAACATCGCATTCTTCTGGTAGTACACGTTGATCTTTGGGAATTGCATGTCGGGTGGATCCCTTGATGATGCAGATGCGGCTTTTCGGGCTGGACTTCCGTCAGGTGAGGCGATTTTGAGAGACCTCGGCAGTTGGTGATGAATATTGCAATGAGCTGCAAAGGTGCGAGCGTGGATGGAACGCTGAATTATGGTGTTGTTTACGCTTGATCAGCCTAATTGCCCTTGAGGCAAGAGTCATGCAGACCTTACCAACATGGCTTCTTCTTGTGGTCGTCAACGCGCAATCTTCGCTTACTGTCAACTTCTCGATCTCTCGTAGTAAACAAGAAGGCGCGCTCAACGCAAGGTGATGTACACATTTTCATCGCTGAATAGCTGCTTCGGTTTATACGGAAGTCGTTCGTATATAGATTGAGGTGGCCACAGAGAAATTGCGCTGGTCATCTCAAAGAGTATATTGGGGTTATATACATCGAACCAACCAGTTTATAGGATGGAGTGATATTGTCATCATAATTGAATATCGTTATGCGTGGGAATTTACATTGTGCCTAGAGGTTTGGTTTAAGCGGGCGGCTTGAGGCATAATTAGTGTGCCCACTGCCCCTCATTGTGTGTGAAAAGATACTCACTAGCCCAAGAGGTACTTTGCGGCATGGTCGACGTGGTCATCGGCGAAGGTAGACATGAAGTAGTAGCTGTGGTCGTAATCGGGCTGCATTCTCAGGTTGACACCCTTGTCGTTGCCTGACTCCTCGGCAGCCTTGGTCAAATTCTCGGGCAAGAGTTGGCCTTGCTTGTAGAAGTTGTCGCCGGTGCCCTGTCGGGTTGTATTAGCATGTTGTTTCTTTCTCCAGATGTCACAATGACACGTACGACATCGATGAGCATATCCAGAGGACCCTTCCACTTCTTGATGAGCTCGGTGGCATCGTGCTCAGCCCACTTTTCTTTCTGATCCTCGCCAAAGTAACCCGAGAAGGCCTTCTTACCCCAGTCGCAGTTGCTGGGGTTGGCGATGGGAGCGAATGCGGAAACGGACTTGTACTTGCCGGGGTTCTTGAGGAACTGAGAAGACGTGTGTCAGCGCTGTGCAGCAAGAAGCCAGAGAGGGGAAAGAACATACCAAGGTCAAGGCACCGTGACCACCCATGCTGTGTCCAGTGATACTGACTCTGTCCGAGTCCAATTGCTTGAAAGATGAGAAGAGGGCCTTAGGAAGGTCCTCGGTAATGTACGAGTACATGTTGTAGCCCTTGTTGTAAGGCTCCTTGGTGGCATTGACGTAGAAGCCGGCACCTGAGCCAAAGTCGTACGAATCATCCTCACCGGCAATACCGAGTCCTCCTATATAGATAGTTAGACGCAGCTTTGACGGGCGAGAGGAACAAGTAAGAAGACGTACTGGGGCTAGTGTCGGGGTAGACAACGGCAATACCCTTCTCACTGGCGCGGTGTTGGAAGAAGCCCTTCTCTGAGCAGTTGTCACCGGTGCAGGTAAGACCGGAGAGGTAGATGAGGACAGGGATCTTGGATGCCGAGCTCTTGAGAGCTTGAGGAGGAAGGAACAAGTTAAACTTCATCTCGCAATTGGTCGAAGCAGCCTTGTGGGCAAGCTTCAAGAGCTTACCCCCAAAGGAAGCGATTGTGGCAGTGGTTTCGACAGACATGATTTTGTGCTATGAGATAGGAAGTGACAGAGGAAGGCTTCAGAAGAAGACGAGATACGGCATGAGTTATATTAAAAGGTGGAATCTCGTCGCAAGTTCGGCATCCATGGCTGCCCCGCAGTCGAGCTTATGACGATGATAGCAGGACAGATCAGGAAGTAGAATCCGAACTTCTTACTCTTCAGGTAACTTGTTGCGAAGACGTGGACAGCCTTAGGCACCCAGAGTATAGCATATGCCCCAGACTAGTAGTAGAAGAGGAGGAAGCATAAGCTAAGGACTGGAAAAATAATTTCATGTCGTCCCTGTGAGGAGCTTCGCCTTGCTGACCTCGACGCGTCGGAGCGTGTTGAACCGAGTGCATCTCGGGCGGTGTGCAGCCTTGGCACGTAAGAACTGGCAGAATCAATCGTCCCCGGATTTTGCGACAAGTTTTCGAGAAAGCGACAAAGCATGATCAAGGTGGATAAACACGCCAATTTTCTTCTCATGAATTACGCTTGACTACAACAGCAACAATGTGTGGCACCGCTGGAGTCAAGCGTAAGGCTTCGCCGTCGGGTGTCTCGAATTCTGTCAAGCGGAGCAGAGTCGACGACACTCAGAATCTCTCGGATGGTACCTATTCATGAATCTCTTCAATCGTCATTGTTTCTCCTCTAACCACTCTACCAGATGCCAGCGAGCAGGCCGACCTCGAACAAGACCAGCACGATGCCTCCTCTGTCGCATCGCCCGCCTCGACATCTCGGACCTCGACTCAATCCTCGACACCCAAATTGACTAAGGCACAGCCCAAGCCTCGCGAAAACAAATACGCCTGCGACTTTGAAGGCTGCACGAAGTCTTACTCCCGTCCCGTCCGCCTCCAAGAACACAAACGCTCTCATACCAACGACCGTCCCTTTGCCTGCCCTCAGCAAGGCTGCGACAAGACCTTCCTTCGCGAAAGCCATTTGAAACACCACATCAAGGCCAAACACGACGACGTCAGAGACTATGTCTGCGACTGGCCCGAGTGCGACAAAGGTTTCCATACTGCTCAGCGCTTGAAGCAGCACAAGAAGACGCATGAAAATACAAAGCCGGACTTCCTCTGCACCGGCTTTCCTCCGTGCAACCAGAACTTCCGCAAGCAAGACACTCTCGACAGACACATTCAACTTGTTCATCTGCACGAGAAGCCCTTTGTTTGCGACCAGCTCGATCGCTTCACTGGTCTGCCGTGCGATGCTCGGTTCAAGACATCGACTCACTTGATCGCCCACAGGGATCGCGAACACAGCGGCAACCGTTTCTGGTGTAAGATCTGCTCTCCCGAGATGGCCGACGTCGATACAAGTCTGAACCAAGACGCTTTCACCACTGCTGTCGGCTTCCCTACATATATTGAGATGCAACAACACATCAAGACGGTCCACCCACCCACCTGCGCGCAGTGTGGCCATATCTGCGCCTCCAATCGCGACCTCAAGGCTCACATGGAGATCCAGCATGGCGACATCGAGGATCGTCGCAACTACGTCTGCGAATATCCGGGATGTGGTCGTGGCTTTACCAAAAAGGGAAACCTTGTCGTTCATCAACGGAGCGTCCATGCCAAACAGAAGCAGTTCATCTGTGGAGAGACGGACATCACAGGCTCGAAGCGTGTTCCAGTATGGGATGGTCGCGGTGCTTGCGGTCGTGCTTTTAGTGCAAAGGCGAATCTTGAGGAGCACGTTCGTACTCAGCACCTGCATCTTCCTGGTTATGTTCGTCCAGGCAAGAGAACTAAGCAAGAGGAGGATGAATCATACACAGACCTCCCACCCGAAGATCACAACTCGGTCCTCGCAAGACTCACTGGAGTTGGCTACGAACACGGAAGAGACATTGCCTGCCTCGACGAGACTTGTCCGCACCGCTTCGTCAAGCCTTTCGACTTGGAGGTCCATCTCGAGATTGTTCACGGATACACCAAGACAGAGGCTATCGAGGCTACCGTCGAGCGCGAAGCTCTTACTGGTGGGCAGTTCTGGCTTGGTGGACTCCAACCAGATTTCGAAGAGCAGCGTTTGGCACACCAACTGGACCTGGCCCTGCATCAACCTCAAGGTGATTTGATGGACCCCTTTCTAAACGCATGACCTCATCCTCGAATGTTCGATATGACACGCTGTTCTAGAAATTGTCGGTGGACGCGATACCAAGACCGTGGTTACTAAACGACGCGCATATTATGTTTTTATTGCCCTTCATACCCGCAAGCGAGAAGCATTCTGTTTTAAAATAGCTAGATACCCATGAAGTAATTGCAAGTCCATATCGCATATAGACAATGACCCACCTTGTGCAGAAAGGAGTACAGAGAATGGCTTGACATCTGTTCACCGTAAACAATGGCCGAATGAACAATCGTCGTCGAATCCTCCCTCCTTTGTACTCTCGTACACAAGTGTTAGGGCACGACTATCGACGGCTATCCAAGGCGTGGCTTTTTATTGAAAAGCTCGAAAAGACGAATGATCAACACAGTCTATGGAAGCACCCCGGATTGACTTTGCCGCGTGGTCCAACGATGTTATTGCATGCATGCAGCAAAGCACTATCACTTGCTTTGGCTCGACGTCTCTTGAGTCAGTCCAGGGCAAACACTCGATAGCTGAAAGCGTTGTGGAATATAAAGTGTATGTCCAAGGCAGCAGTCAGGGGGGCGAAGTCCACTGCCAAGTGCATAGCACCACCAACTTCTTGCTTCCATCTCGAAATTCTCTTCTTCTTCTCGTTTCCGCATGTCTTTCATAAAATTGGGAAGGTTTGATATGATTACGGCCGCTTCCGTGAGCCGCGCCGTACTTTTGAGCAACTCAGCCCGCAGTGAGACAAAAGAACGAATTGTCCGTGCCGATAGCGAGGGGAAATGCGTAGCAGCCGGGGGTCTGGAATCGGTTGCGGCCTTCCCGTCGATCGCAACGCACGAGCAAGGAGACTGCAGGAACGCGTGGTGACAAGAGTGTGCAGGTGAAAACTCGCCTACAAAGACCTCTTCAAGATGGCTGTTGGGTGTCAGACCCTGCAAGCCGTTAGCAAGTGCATTTCCCTCTTTCCCATCCACCGCCGATGGCTTCGTTCGCCGAACACTAAACAGAGCTGGCTGATGTTTAACGGAGAGGGTTCGCGGTTTGCCTGTGGACATGCTTGAGAGGCGCTGAAGCCACGAGCGCCGTCGCCGTGGCGCTAGTGCTGGCTATGCGTCGAGGCTATTGGCATGGACCGCATGTCAAGCTTTTATATTGTCCATGGCCCAAGTCATTGATATCTCTGGAAGGTGTAATCATATACAACTTGACTGTTCCTTCTCTCAAAAACACACTCGCTTTCCATTGTACATACTATCGCTAAACCTTCTGGAGCATTATTTGCAATTTACGATCTTTTTAAACTGGAAACACAACTGCCCGGCCGTTTGGACAGAACCACCAAACCTGCGACACCGATTGTTACAGAAATTCGTCACATTCATTCGAGTCGAATTGTTTCTTTTTGAGACGTCACAGAGGAAACAGGACAGTCGTAATTTCTGAGGCTCTATTGAATATGAGAGGGCGTCGCTGAAAGGGAAAAACATCGAGAAATTTACAAGTCCTCGTCTTGCGTCGATCAAATCAGCGTTCGCACCTGCCGGGATGAACAGATGGGGTGCCTCATCCAAGTGCCGCAACGACTCAACGGTCGGCATTCACTCTGATCCTCTTCTGGGGCTGCAACAACCGGCTTCTGCATCAGCACTCGCCAGCGCCTCTTCATCGGCCAATCATGCATCATATCCATACTCGAGACTTGAAGTGCGGCAGCCTCGTGCGAAAAAGTCACATGGCGTTTCGCTTCTAGCATCTACACTTTTTTGTCTGGTCATTCTCTTGTGTTTCTGCAGCCCATGCGTGGACGCTGCAGCTAATCCAAACGATCACGAAGAGCAAGCATCGCAAGCCCTAACGAGTAGCGAAAGTATCCTTCTCTTCGACCGGAGCACTCCCCCGGAACCACTTATGCACCTTATCAGACGAGCGGAGCGTTCGACATCAACGTCTTCTTCAGCTTCGTCCATCTCTACCGCCACTTCTGGCTCTTCAGACGCGCTTCCCAGGCCTTTCGATACTGGCCTGGGAAACAATTTCACGACTTCTACCTGTCCGACTTTCTTCAAGGCCTTTCTTTCTGACGAAACTTTTAATGAATGTGTTCCGCTATCTCTTCTTTTACAGGTGAGCATTTGGCTCTAAGCACCTTCAGACTCCAAACACGAGAGCTCGAGCTAACGTTAGCCAAAAACAGACATCTACTTCTTTCTTCACCGTACAGAGATCGCCGGTTAGACTGGCGCAAACACTTAGTGCATCATGTAGTGTCAATTTCGACACGTGCAGCACTCTGATGGCCTCGCTTGCAAGGCAGATCCAGTCGCCTAACAATTGCGCAGCAGACTTGCAAAACCAGAATCCTGTGGCTATGCAGGCTTACGATGGCTTTGTGGCTTACCAATCACTCTATCATGCTGGATGTCTACTCAACAGCGAAACAGGCGCATACTGTAAGTTTCGGGTTTCCGTGCCGTCGTCGAAGTAGACACTAATGAGGTTTCAGGCTTCTCAGACGCAGTAACAAATGCGACATCACCAACCGATAGCTATGTCTACTATCTTCCTCTAGGTGTCTCATTACCTGGCACCACAGCACCAAGTTGTTCCGAGTGTCTCCGAGACACCATGTCTGCATTTGGCAGCGCCGCGACAAATCGCTCGCAGCCAGTCTCAAACGTCTTCGCCAGTGCGGCAGCAATGATCGATCTGACCTGTGGCGCCGACTTTGTCAATGCAAGCATCCCTCATCAACCCACCAGCGCTGCTGCTTCTCTCGCGAGCACTGGTCTGGGAGGACTGGGAAGTATTGCTCTGCTTGTCTCTCTACTCACTGTCTTGATGTGAGGTGATCCTATAATTTTCGATTCTAATGTCTATACTTTTTGATTGCTTTATACTTTGGTTGGTTAGCGATGGCGCTGGAAGGTAGAATGTATGTATATACCCTGTTCGAAATCGAGGGAAGGAGTATCTGTACAGAAGGAAATGTAATTTGAACAAAAGGATCCATTTCATCAACCACTGTCTTCTGAAAACATTTCACTCTGCAATGGGACATGGTGTTTCCTCCTGCACATGGGGCAAGAGAGCCATGCTGAATTGTCGGTGCTACCTACCCCTGCTTTGCCCCTTCCTCGAGCCCCCCCCTTTCTCTCCCAGGCTGGCTGTGTGGACTTTTGAAATCTCTCTGTCGCAAGGTAAGAACGAACTCGATGTCCTGACCTGGTAACAAGGAACTGGTCGAAATCGTTCTTGCTTCCTCGTCTCTCCTGGCTTTTGTCAACGATTTGAATGAATGCACGAATGGATTGGACCAGTAAAGTAAGGATATGAGACACAATTTGCAGCAGCAGAGTCAGGAGCCTGTTGTCAACGATCACTGTGTTCGACACTGCAACAAGCCCAGCACTCCGTGTGCTGTATCAACTCCGGCTTGTTTCCAGATACACCCTTATTCATGGCCTTCTTCCATTCAAGGATAGTCTTCGATCGGAGTTTCCTCCTTCGGTGGAGATGTCGATCACGCGGAGAGAGCCTCGAACTCTACAGCAGAGTCATCAAATTTGGTAGGAACGATAGGCGATAAGACTCCCGATTGGGTCACAGACGTCGTTGTCTTTCTTCTGGTCGATGTTTGATATATTGATGGTGTGTTGATGAGAATGACGGGTTAGAGATGTATCGGTTTTGGATTTACATCTGTGGTCGTTGGCCATGAAAGCCGTGAGTACTTTCTCCTGAGTAAGTTGTTAAGTTAGGTAATCAAGCTCTCTGCAATGTCCCATATCCGGCGCGTATTAGTGGCGGTAGTCCTTGGTCTGTCGTCAAAGTCGATTGATGAGTCGTCTGTGACCTCGACGGCTGTATCTACGGGACGCGAATATTGTTCATCTTGTTAGTAGAGACAGAGATCTTCGACGAAAGCATTGTTAGCTCATTGCATACTTGGTAGAATGCTTGTGGATGATGTTGATGGTGAAACCTTTTTATGACAGGGTCATCCCCATCGCGAAATCGACTTGTTAAATTTACGTTACACAGCATGTTCCGAGCACGTTACTCGGCAACAACGTAAAGCAGTGGGACAAGTATAAGTTGGAATGCATATGATTGTGCCATACGTACTGTGTATTTCAACAGACGTTGTTGGCAAAGGCTATCGCGCCTTCGTCTATAGAAACCTCAAAATGCTGCGAATACCTCACGCATGTCTGAATCACGCCCTCGATGTGAAACAACGCAATCAGTGGGCCTTAGCCTGAACTTTTTCGCCAGTGAGGCCCTCTACCATCTCTTTGGCAATGTCTCCAAGAGCAACCATGCAGACGGTTTGCCAGATACCGAGACCGATGCGGGGAGTGACACCGCGGTAGAGACCCTTCATGCCGTTCTGCGAGTAGATGTATTTGAACGCTTTGCCGACAGTCATGTTCTTGGGACGGTTGGGGTCCTCCTTCTTGCTCTGCATCTCGACACGGACGACCTCGATGGGCTGGTTCCAGGCGGAAAGACCACCACCAAGAGCAGATGCGAGGATCTTCTCGGGAGCACCAAGCTTCTCACCGTTTTCCTTGCCAGTAGCCTTGCGGATACCAGACTCGGCGACACGGGAAAGACCGAAGCGGGAACCCCAGTTGGTGACCTGACGGACGGCGACGGCGTTGACGCCCTTGTTGATACCACGGATACCCTCAGCGCGGTAGATGTTCATGAATGTCTCCATAGTGCCCGGGGGCTTGATGCCAGCCGCCGCCACCTTGTGCTTGGTGATCTCAACCGTCTTCATGCAAGTGCAGAAACCCATGGTTGCGTAGGCCTGGGCGAGACCACCGACCATACCACCGGTGATACCAGAAACGAAGTTGTTGGCGCCAGCGTTGCGGGCGTAGAACTCGGCCTCGGATGCGACGAAGAGGAGGACAGCGCCCTTGGTGGATGCTTCGATCCAAGCCCAGGGGATGAGACCTTGGTAGACTGTGTAGAAGGCATGTTAGCGACCGTCACGCGCAGGGTTGATTGCATGCAGACTTACAGCCAAAGACACCACCACGGCCCCAGATGCGGCTAATGGCTCCTGCCATACCGTCACTGCGGTTGGCGGCCATGGTAGTCTTTACGACTTCCAGGGGCTGACCCAGGGACGTGACCTCGAACAGGTTCAAGCCAGCACCCACTGCAGAATACGCGTTAGCACACTGCGACTGTCGCTACTCTAGCATCAGTTTCACTCACGCAGCAGGTTGCTGAACTTGACAGGCTTCTTCTCGAGCTTGGGAGGAGCGGCAACGCCAACTTGGGCGGCAGCGGGAGTAGTGGTGCTCATGCTTCTAAAGATGACAGCGGGAGACAAGGCCGGACCGAGGCAGGAGTGTGCTTCTTCGCTACAGTTTTATGGTCGTCGACGAGAGAGGGGTAGAAGCAAAGAGTTCCTGAAGACGGGCGTAATCGGGGACTTTTTGAGAGGACGAGAGAAGAAGAGAGAGGGGAACGCGCTCAGGGACGGGCTGGGAAACAAGTGTCCAAGTTAGTCTGGGGAGAGCTTCAACTTGATCCCGGCGCCTGCAGCATCCAATCTTTGACATTGTGCCAGCCGCCATCCTTCATTCTTACTAGTCACTCACCTGGAAATCTGATGCTGTACGAAGAGGTGAAGAGAGAGCAATTCAAGAAACAAAAGAGCGGTCCTCTCGTCACCTCTGTCACTTTATCTTATTTGCTTTCGGACAATTCATCAGACCATTCATATTACCGCCCGTGACTACCCGCCCCGGCTATCTATCACCATCTTCACTTCGGCTTCTCCTCACCGCTGCGTCCCGCCGATTCAATCCAAGATAGCTATGAGATTATGCAGAAACCCTCATCGAAACGCTTGTTGAGAATTTGAACCTTGTCACACCAGCACATTGCTATCGCGTTTGTTTGAAAAAGCTCACTATAGACACAGCTCGGCCTTGCTGACCATCCCCAAATTCTCGGCCTGCTGACTCGTGCACCAGAGCTCCCCTTCCCGATACCGTTGAGCTCGCCGAAGCCGAAGGTCAATTTGTTGTACAACACAACACCACTTCAACCATGCAACCAACCGGCTATCTCGATTTCTCAATCGTTTCATGGCTTACATGTGTCTCACAATTCCTCCGTAATGTCGTATCTCGGGCTTCTAGTCACCCAACATGCTCGAAATAGCAAGACTCCGTTCTGATATCGATTCTAATTGTCCGAACTCGGGGACCCGAATATGTCCGTTTTCACTCGTTGAGTAGACCATGCACGTAGCACTCTCGGTCAATCATGTCATACATGGTTCTACCATACACGGCATCACCAACACAATCCTCAGCATCAGAATTATACAGAAATAATCAAGGCGTTTTATATGATATCAACCCTAATTGCTCCAGCGCAAAAGTCATAGTAGAATACATGATAGACCAAAGTCTACTCCCAATCTTCAGATCAGGTTTAAATTTAAAGCTTAGCACCAACAAGCTTGGCCCAGGCGTCGGTGGAGAAGGACTTGGGGCGCTCGATGGGGGCACCGACGGCGCGGTCGATGATGAGCTGGGGAAGGACACCAAGAGCACGCGAAACACCGAAGAGAACGGTGTAGAAGTTCTGCTCAGTGAGACCGTAGTATTGGAGGAGGACACCGGAGTGCTGAGAAATGAAGCGTTAGCTGGATGTACTTGCGACTCTAGATTCGGAAGAGGACTTACGGCGTCAACGTTGGGGTAGGGGTTCTTGGTCTTGCCGTGCTCGGTAAGAACGCCAGGGGCGATCTTGTAGACCTGCGAGACAAGCTTGAACATAGGGTCCTCGGGGAGCTTGCGCTGGGCGAACTCGCGCTGAGAGACGTAACGGGGGTCAGTCTTTCTCAAGACGGCGTGACCGTAACCGGGAACGACACGGCCCTGCTTGAGGGTAGACCAGAGATAGTTCTTGATGGACTCGTCGCTAAGGTCGTTGCCGACCTCAGCCTTCATCTCGGTGAGCCACTTGAGAACCTCCTGGTTGGCGAGACCGTGGAGGGGACCGGCAAGACCGTTGAGACCAGCGGCGAGCGAGAGGAAGGGAGAGGAGAGGGCGGAGCCGACCAAGTGGGTGGTGTGGGCGGAAACGTTGCCACCCTCGTGGTCAGTGTGGATGGTGAGGTAGAGTCTCATCAGCTCAACAAAGTCCTGGTTCTCGGCGAAGCCGAGCTGGTTGGCCAAGTTCCACGAGTAGTCCTTGTCCTTCTGGGTGGCAGGGACCTTGCCGTCCTTGAAGACGTTGCGGTAGATGCGCGAGGCAATGTTGGGGAGCTTGGCAATGAGGTCCATGGAGTCCTCGAAGGTGTGCTCCCAGTACTCGGCCTTCTTCATGCCCTTGGCGTAGGCCTTAGCGAAGGCAGACTCGTGCTCAAGAGCGGTAACGGCGATGGAGAACTGAGCCATGGGGTGGAGGGTGTTGGGGCAGCGGTCGATGAGCTCCTCAACGAACTTGGGGAGGTCGGAGCGGGCAGCCCACTCAGCGGAGAGGTCGCGGACCTGCTGCTCAGAGGGAACCTCACCGGTAAGGAGGAGCCAGAAGAGACCCTCGGGAAGAGGCTCCTGACCACCGGGGGCCTTGGGGAGAAGCTCCTGGCACTCGGGGATCTGCAATGTTCTTAGCTGTGGTTCTTGGAGACATCGATTGAATGGCTTACGGTCTTGCCGCGGAAGCGGATACCCTCCTCAGAGTCGAGGACGGAACCCTATGTGGATTGTCAGCCTCGGAAACAATTTTTCCAATATCATGTTGAATTATCGTACCTCCCAGACAAGGGACTTGATGCCACGGGCACCACCGTAGACCTGGTCGAGGGTAACCTCACCGACAACAGTGTTACCGTGCTCCCTGGAGCATCATCTGTTAGCAATTGATCTAGACAGCTGGACGGGTCGGTATGGATAGTGAACGTACTTGCGGAGCTTCTTGATCTTCTCGATCTCGCCGGGGATCTTGGCGGCGAAAGTCTCCTTGAGCGACTACAAGGTCGAGTTAGTACGGCGGGCGGAATGCAGCGGCATGTATCTGGCATGGTCGAGGCGTACAGTGCTCTTGGAAGAGTAGGCGCGGGTGGCATTGAGCGCAGCCTGTCTCATGGTGGAGGGAGCGGCCATGGAGGCGCGCAGGGCAGAAGAACCGACTCTCATGGATGCCATTATGACGGATGTTGATTGATAAGGAGAGATGATAGAGAGAGACAGAGAGAAAAGATGGGAGACGAGCTTCCGAGCTGCACCACTGCGCATGCCAAGACTGGCGTGCGGCTCGCCGGTCCTCCTAATATTGCATGCTGGCAGCCACCCACCTCGACATCACTGCACTGGGGTTTTCTCGGGGAACACCACCCTCGACAATCGAGGAGGGGTTGGGACATGTGCTTTCACTTGTTCTCGTTCCGCTGACGCTGCTTGATCCTTTGTGCTGCTGTATTCTCCTTGTATATACCAACATTCACTTGATCTTGTCTACCAATTCAACACACCAAGTGTTTTGACCTCGGCTGTCTGATCCATTTGTCCACTCCGTATTCTCCGTTGCGAACTTCTCCAATCGCTCGATCCGAGTCCGACCATCGTTGGTGAGCTCGAGCCCACTGCGTCGGAAGGCCCTCTCCACTTCGGCCCGCAGAAACTGCGACCCTTGCCGAATCTTTTCCTTTCGCCGTCTTTGTCTTCACCAGAGAATACTTTACCAGCAATCACTTCAGTCTCCTCACTACGGTACCATCAACACTCGACGCGTTCTCGCCTTCTCCATCCGCCCAAATTGCTGTCGCTGCGGCTCTTACTGTGCTCTTGTGACCGGTCGCTCTGCCTGCGTAAGAGAGCTGACCCGATAGCTGTAGACACGTCAACTCCAAAAACTTCGTCTCAGTTGAATAGCACTCGCTCATCAGCGTGAACTTTTTCCTTTCACTTCGCAAATTAGGCAAAAGAGAGACCTTCTGGTCGTAGCGCGCCTGATCACTTTCACTGTCACTGCTCTTGCTCTCTATTTACCGACGCAGCAGTCAGCAGTCTCTGGTAGCTTTCAGTAATCGTCGCATCTTCTCTGCGTAGCGCATACTCGGACCCTTAGATCCTCCAATTGGATCATAGGTACTGTATTAGCACAGTAGACATGGCGAACGTGGAACAGCTCGATCCATTGTTGCAGTCATTGCAGGCTCTCAAGCCCCCAGGTGCATCTAAAGGCAAGATTACTGCCATCACGAACCTCTGCGTTGGAAATGTTCAGGTAAATTGCTCGAAGATATGCATCTTCTAGATCATCAACTCACTCATATTACAGTCAGAATCAGCAATCACACAGAAGCTCTATAGGCATCTCAAGAGAACGCCGGGAACTCACAAGCTTGGAGTTCTTTATGTTGTAGACTCAGTGACTCGCCAATGGATCGAAAAGGCTCGTCAGTCGTCTCAAGAACTGTCGGGCGGTGCAGCGCCCGAGGGCACGTTTGCTGCAGGAGTACACAGAATCACCGAACTGCTGCCATCTCTCATCAACGACACAGTGCAGAATGCTCCAGCTGACCACAAGGTATGTCAAGGCACTTGCAAGTCTGGACTCGCACGCCCGATTCAACATGACTTGTACACTCAAATGCTTACTCATGCCTGTAGACAAAGGTAGAAAACCTAGTTCAAATTTGGGAGCGCGGCAATACTTTCCCTGCTCCTACGCTGGCTGAGATCAAGAAGCAGTTGGCTGAACCGGTGGCTCAAAGTAAGTACGGCATGATTGCAGATATGTCATGTTGCTAATCCAGTTGCTCGACAGATGTTGCCTCGACTACTCCTCCTGGCAGCCCTCCGCTCAGCATGCTCGTTTCTCTGGGCCTCCGCCAGCCTCCGCCAGCAATGAGCGCTCCTCAGGTAGCCCCCGCTGCTCAAGCGCAACCCGACGCCTCGAGCATCCTTGCTGCTCTGTCGCGACTCCAGCCTATGCCCGCTCCAGCTGCATCTGCTCAACCACCGCCTCCGCCTGTCATACCCGTTCAAGCCCCTTCAGCAGCACCGCCTGCGGACCTCGCGGCCATCATGGCAGGCGCTACACGAGGATACCAGACTCAACAGTCTCAAGCACCTCCTGCACCTTATGGCTACCCTGCCCCACCACCTCAACAGTCCTACGGCCAGGCATATCCTCCCCCCACACCAGTTGGAGGAATGCCCCCAGCATACCCACCACAATACCATGCGCCTGTGCCCTACCAACAGCCAGCACATCAGCCGCCAACCCCTAGCACTCCCAATGCCCCCGGCTCATTCTTGCCCCCACACATCTTGAACAACCCTCAAATACTGCCCAACGTCCTTCAATTGATCCAAGGCCTTTCTCAAGAAGGCATCCCACAAGAGCAATGGGGAGCTGTGCTCACCGCCCTATACCCACCCCCACAGCAAGGCCCTCCCGCACAGGATGCATACCCTCCTCGCCCAGAAGACCGCGGTCACTACAGAGAAAGGTCGAGGGATCGCAACGGCCGCAACCGAAGCCGCTCGCCAGAACCACCTCGCAACAACAACAACAACAACAACAACAACCCTGGTCGTCGCGCTAGTCCTGTGTATGGTACCTACGACGCTTCTCTTGCCCAGTCCGCCCAAGACCATGCTTCCTTTTCCGACAGACGTGGAGGTAGAGGCCGCGGCCGTGGCGGTCGCAACGACTATCGCCAGCGCAGTCCACCTTCTGCCCGCACCCCTCAATCAGACGACTCTCACGCTCCTCGCAACATGCAGCCCAAGTGGATCGAAATAGACCCCACTTTGCCTGACAACCACATCAGAGTCCTCAGCAGAACCCTCTTCGTCGGTGGTGCCAACGGTAATGAAGCCGAACTACGTGCAATCTTTGGTCGCTTCGGTCCCGTCCAGACATGCATTGCCAATGAAGACAAGCGCCACGCCTTCGTCAAAATGTGCAACCGCCAAGACGCCGTGGCCGCAAAGACCGCCATGGAAACGACCAGAGATCCCGACGTCCTCGCCAAAGCCCGCCAGACCAAATGGGGCGTAGGCTTCGGCCCTCGCGAATGCTGCGACTACAGCAACGGTGTCAGTGTTATCCCCATCGACACTCTGACAGAAGCCGATCACAAGTGGATGTTGACTGCCGAGTATGGAGGTACCGGTGGTAAGGAAATCGTAAACCATATGGTTGTCGAAGAACCCGATATCGAGATTGGCGCTGGTGTGTCTTCGAAAGCTATGAGCCGTCGCGTTGGTCCTGATGGTGGAAGTCATCGGGGTGGTCGTCGTGGCGGCCGTGGGGGTGGCAGATTCAATCACCAGTCCGAGTCTCATGCTCCTCGCCCTGAGCCCGTTACCATTGCTCCCCCTCCTCCTGTGCCTGGATTCGGTTTCATGAATTTGCCTGGAATGCCTCAGTTCCGTTAGTACGGCGAGGCCTCGTAAGCATAGCACGATGCATTCCTCGATTTTAGGCATGGCGGAACAAAAGGTCACAGCATTGTATATCAGCATTACTTAACAAACAGCAGTCATTCTTCTGCAAGTGGCATATCAAATAGCGAATGCCGCCAATAGTTTATAGCAAGATAGACTTGATTATACATATCCATCCCTTTGCCAACTCCCTCCATCATGCCAGCTGCATACTGAAAACAATCTCATCTAGCTGCTTTTGCATCTCCTCAAACCCAATCTTCGTACCATTCAAGATCGTGTAAATCTCTTCGGCAAGATCACAGTATCCTAGCGCCAGCACACTATTACCCTTCTCGAATGTATCGGCGCTGAGGAACAGAAGCGCCCACACCACGTGAATCTCTGGTATGCCGTTTGTGCGATCCATGTTGATGTCGTTGCCGTTGACAGAGAGGATGAAACCCAAATCGCGGATCACTTGACGTGCATTGAGGGCCATAAGATCGAATTGTTCTTTGCTCTTGTATATCAACATGAGCATGGTATGATGATTGGTGACACCTAGACGGGGTAGCTTTTCATACTCAGGGTAGAGAGGTGTGATTGTATCGACTAATTCTTGAGCCTTTCTGATGACTTCGGTGGCCGTGGCTGGATGTGTTTTCCACCTTTTGAATGTGGCGGCGGCGTCAACGAGATGTTTGTACATTTTTGTGTTGGGTGTGATATATTGCTCGGAAATGCACAAGTTACATGTACATTGGAAGCCCCAGTTCATCTGAAACTCCTCTTGTTGGACGGATGGTAAAGGGGAATGCTCAATGTATGCTAGTGTGATCTCGGTGTTCTTTGGGATATCGAAGTTGGCTCGTACAATCATCATGTCGCCGATGAAGTTGCGGTGGCAGTTGGCGATGCATGAGTGATTGATGTGAGAGACTTGATACCAAAGCCCAACCGCATCAGCACCTGTCTCGTGGATCTTGTTGAGCTCTGTTGGTGGAGTGTTGACGATGGCGTGTTTTCCAAAGCTGAATACGTTGCGTTTCAGTAACGAGTGGACTCTGAAAACGTCTACTGCAGGTAGTCCGTCAACGAGTGGGATAGTCTTCTGGCTTTCACGAGTGCCGTCAGTGTGCAAATCCAGGATGTGGGCCAGAGATGGATTGTCGACGATCTTCCGGACGGTGGCACTGAAGAGTGCGGCGTACGAGCCGATATGCTTAGAGTTTTTGTGCAAGTCCATCATCTCAGCTGCCTTCGAGGGACCGCTCTTGGGGTGCGGCTCAGCAGTGAAAGCCTTCTCACAAAGTACAATCCCACCACATCTGATGTCTTCTGTAGTGAACAATCCACGACCTGCAATCTTGGATGGGCGTATCTCAGTTCGTCGAAGGAAGCTACCGTACTCCGGGAACCTGGCTTGAGCAGTGATAGTCATGGCTTCAAAGTCGTATTGTCCAGTCATTTCTTCCGTGAGTCGATTTTCCGTATGTTCCAGCATTTGGATGCCTGGTTTGTGTGAGGGCGAGATGTTGAGCAAGCGTTCAAAGGTTGATTTAGCAGTGAAAAAGTCGCCCAGCCTGTAAGAGGCGGTTCCGGCTCGTAAGAGTGCCTTGTCGTCATGAAGATCTGAACCGTCGTCCTTCGAGATGGAGAGTAGGGCTTGAGTCTTTGCCAGGTCGTACTGGGTAGCTTGTAAAGCTGCTGCTGACAGATTGCGGTGGAGGTCGTTCTTAAGTGCGGTGTCGTCGGTGACCACAAATGACAAGCCACGTTCGTAGCTAGCGGTCTTGTTAGCCAGAGAACCAGCCTTAGGAAACCATGTTACCGTAACATACCATCTGATAGCTTCCAGAACTTTCTCTTTCTTCAATGCCGCGTTACCTTTGAGCTTCCACTGAAGCGCTGAATAATTGTCTCTGCTCTGCCACAATTTAGGAACTGCAACATGGTCGTCTGCAAGGAGCACCAGGTTTGATGGGTTGTCGACTCTGATGTAATGGCTGCCGCCCGCTTCCTCGAAGAAAGGCTCCTTGATCAAAAGTATGTTGCCTTTAGCCAGGAGAGTACGCTCTTTGACAGTGCCGTTGAACAGCACATTAAGTCGCTCTACATCGGTCGTCTCGTCTTCAACGCCATTCGTCAATGGCAGGATGACACTGAGCTTTTGAGGGTAACCGATGGTGCGAACCAGAAGTACGGATCCAGTGTGATGAGTTTGCACTTTGAGATCCTTGAGATAGATCTGGAAGAAAGTCAGTACGAAACGCAATGCCATTAAGCGCTCTGAACTTGCCTTTCGTAGCTCTGTATATGATTTGAGACAAGGTGGGTATGGTTCACAGAGGGACATTACTTGATTCGTGTCTTTTGCTCGTTCGATAAGTGCGGTCTGATCCTGCAAAGAATAGTCAGATTTGTAGTCTTGAGTTGAAAATGAGGCCTCACTTCATCTGCATAGTATCCTATGATGTCGTCCTTTTCGTGTGCCGTGTTTCGAGGCTGGCCCTTTCGAGCCTTGGCCATTTGATACGCCATCTTTTGGGACTCCATTTGGATAGAATGACTGCGGGAAGTCTGAAAAGTTCACTGAAGATGTCGGTGTTGAGTGTGAACAGAAGAATATGTACTGAACGATGTGCAGAGTGACCCGAAGATTGCGTCAACAGATCGGTTTGTGACGGTTGGAGACAAACGGAAGGTGTTTGCGAAACTCTTTAGGATCTACTGAATCAGATCTACTCCATGGCACCTGCCGAAATGCGCAATGCAAGGGTCTCACGAGACTTTCGCTCATCGGGAAACCAATCGATTGAGGCCGATACCTAATTTAACCACGCGAAAGCTGCCAAATTGTGATACCCAATCCTTTGTGTTCTTTCCTCCTGTTTTGTTGTCTACCCATAATCCCCAGCGCCCAACTATCCGAATTTGCCGTACTTCTTGTACATACCAGAGATGACACCGTTGGTGATGATGTACATTTCCTTGGCCAAGCTTTGGAACTCAAGCGCCAAATCGAGATGACCTCTGCGGACAGCGACCTCCGTGAGGTTAGTGAGCACATCGACCATTATCATGTCCGAGTAGCCGTTCGTCCGGTCAAGATGAACTTTCGTTCCCTTAACTGAGATCTGGTAACCCAGATCGTTTGCCAACGCGATTGCGCATTCCTCAGTCTTGTCGAGGTCTTTTGCACTGCGGTAATTGAACATCATGCATGCATGCGCTTCAGGCAAACTCCAACGAGGCAGGCTCTTGAGAGTCGCAGTTGAGTAGGCATGGATGGTAGTAATGACCAGGGCTTGAGCTTCTGCAAATCTTGCCATGCCTTCAATGTTGCTCAGGAGCCAAGTCAGGGGCTGTTCAGCTGCTTGAGTGACTAGCAACTTATGAAAGGCGCTACGTTGAGCCTCCGCCGTGCAAAGGTTGCAAGTACACATGAAGCCGAAAAGCTTTTGATACTCAGCCTGACGTATCTCGGGGTCAGCATGAGGCTTGCGATAGGCCATTGTGATTTCGGTGCCTTTGGGGATGTTTTTGGCTGCACGCAAGATCATCATGTCGCCGATATAGCTATGGGCGACATTAGGAATGCATGAATGGTTGACGTAGGAAGCGTTTACCCAGAGGCCGACTGGATTCTGAGTTGGATATTCGAGGACGCTGACATTGGGGTTGTTGCCGAAAGGTTCACGAGCGTTGCTCTCGATAGCTCCAAAAGCAGCACACTCGATGATTGAATTGACCAGGAAGACATCCACCACGGGAGTATCATCCACCATCTGAAGTGGCGTCTTCGTCCTGTGGAACGATCCAGCATGCATGTCAAGCACTTTGGGTGCCAGTGATGGATTTGCGAAGATCTTCCGGATCGTCTTGGACCAGAGCGTTCCCGCAAGATTCCAGTGTTCAGTTTGAGTATCTACATCAATCAGACGGGTGACGTCTGTGATGGCTGTTGAAGAACGATAAGCCATTGCAAATGCCTTTTCACAGGCAACAAGATCTCCACAGGCAAAGTCTTGCGTAGCGAAAAGCCCACGTCCGCGATCCTTAGTGGCACATACTTCGGTCCTGTTGATGAAGCTGGCGCAATCGACATGCTTTTTCTGCATGGCCATTGATGAGAAATCGTAGAGACCAGTATCCTGCTCAATCAGCCGAGCCTGGGTCTTGCTTAGCTCTCTGAGCCCATCCTCGTCCGATGGGGAGATCGCGAGCAAGCGTTGATATAGCTCTTCGGCAGCCAGAAATTCGCGGAGATGATAAGAAGATCTACCAGCTCGGTACAAGGCTTTGGTGTCCAGCTTACGAGATTCATCGTCGTTGTGTCCGGTAAGTGACTCCAAAACATCGGATTTTGCAGCATCGTAGTTACCGGCAAGCAGATTCACGGCAGCACGGTTGCGATGAAGGTCTCTCTTGTACGCCTCTGTCAGACCGGAGGTGTTTAGGCCAGACGTGTAACTACACAGTGGTTTTCAGTCGGCTGTATCCCATGTCTGGATTGGCGTATAACATACCAGTGAATTGCATCCGTGTATTTCTCCAGACCCAAGGCGTGATTGCCACGCTCTTTCCAGCACGCAGCAGCTGTGGGTATCGGCTTTGACGGCGTCTTAAAGAATTCGAGAGACAAGGGGTCTTCTTGGCGAAGTATCTTGACGTTCGACGGGTGGTCAACTCTGAGATAAGGAGAGCCATCGCAAAGCTCGTAATATGGCTCCTTGACCACGATCACGGTGCCTTTGGCGAGCATGGCTTCAGGAGGTGAGGTGCTCGAAAAGAAGAGCTGAATTTTCTCGACATCTCTTGCTTCATCTTCTACCACATTGACGAGAGAGACCACATTGTTGAGGTAGACGGGCTCTCCAAAGACGCGAACCACGAGTGCTCTTCCTTGGTGATGTGTATGGATACGAAGGTCTTTAAGTAAGATCTACACGGCAGTCAGTCCTGAACAAAAGGTACCGAAGTCTTGGGAGGACTTACCTTGTCGAGAGCTGCAAGTGGTTTGAGGCAAGGTGGGTAGGATGTGAGAATGGGCATAACCCAGCGATCTATCTCCTTTCCATTTTCCAACTTTTGCTGTGCGAGCTGTAGCAGATATCAGTATACGAAAATTTGTAGGACGTGTGAATATTACCTCGGTGGTATACTCCTCGCTCAGACTCTCTCTTGTATGCTGTGCTACGCGCAGCTCCCCCTGCCTAGCCTTTGCCAGGTCATGAAGCTCAGTGAATCGTGAAAGAAGAGGACTAGGTAACTTCGACATCGTGGGTTGCGACTAGCGAAGATGCGCTGATCGAAAAGCGAGGAAGTCGAGGTCGACTCCGGAGATATTGAGATGCGGGCAAGGGTGTGGTGGAAGAGCGTAATCTCACTTGTTCGCGGTGAAGGGCGAACACATGACTTATTTTTTCTTTTTCTTCTTTTTGTTTTCTAGAATTTACTTGAACCTCCTTCAAAATTGCTTCATGACTCTGGCGCACGATGCAATGTTCTCAGGCTCTGTCCACTGAAATTTCTTTGCTTCTTAACCCAAGAGAATCGATCGATCATCGATCTACGAGTTCTCCGTAAGCCACGTCCCACGCATTGGATGTACCGTTCAAGGTCAGATATATCTGTTTGGCCAGCAACAAGAACTGCTTAACGACCTCCTGGTATTGTTCCTGTTTTGCAAGGAGAAAAAGCGCGTCCACCACCCCTCTGGTGGGAACTCCATTTGTAAAGTCCATCCGTACTTGTGACGCTTCCGTCGATATCTGATAGCCACTTTCTCGCAACAAGCATAGTGCATGTTCGCATGACTTGTCATAATGGCCCAGACGACTGTTCGAGACCATCAGAATCTCTTGCAGCTCCCTCAGTGCGACGCGAGGCAGTCCGTTGAGCGTGGAATAAGTCTCTTCAACTCTGCCGATGAGGGTTTGTGCCTGGTGGATCCGGTCTTCCAGCAAAGCAGGGTCTTCCAGGTCTTGAGGTAGTCTGTGTGACCTTACTTCGTCGAAAATTGGTTTCCACTGTGTGTTGCAAGCGATTTCAGCAGCACAAAGCTTGCAGTCGCAATGAAACTTCCAGATTCTGTTTAGTTCTGCTGTGCGTCCCGGTTCGCCGATACTAGGTGACAAGTATGTGGTTGTGATTTCGGTGCCTTTGCGAATGGGTTTAGATGCTCGGACCAGCATCATATCGCCTATTATGCTCCTGCTGGTATTATTCAAACAAGAGTGGTTCAAGTACGACGCATATGCGAAGAGGCCAACCGACTCTCGTTCTTCGTTGGATGAGTATTTGGTACTGCCATAGGGTTGTTGGGCGTGCCCAGCCTCGAAACCGTAAACGTTGTGGTCGATGATTTGCAGGATTTGAAAGACGTCTATCACGATTTGTCCATCTACGTATGGTAGGTCGGCGTCACTTGAATAGGTCGTGCCGCCGTATAGTGCGAGTATTGATCGAGCGAGGGACGGATTAGCATAGAGCTTTTGCACTGTGTGAAGCCACAATGCAGCTACTCCCTTCCCACAGCCACCGTAATAATTCGTACTACTGATGGAGTGATGGTCTCCCGAAAGTTGGGGAGGTGGATGTGAGATGGTAAACGCCTTCTCACAAAAGATGAGTTCACCACAGACGATGTCGTCTTTAGCAAATACTCCACGCCCATGGCCTTCTGAGTCTTGAACCTCGGTCCTGTTGATAAAAGTTGCATGGTCCGCGAGTATTTGATCTTCCAGCAAGGCTCTGAAGTTGTAGGCACCGGTCGTCTCTTCATGTATCCTTGCTTCAATCTTGCGTAGCTCTCCGAGACCTTGTATGTCAGCTGGCAAGATTGAGAGTAGACGCTGATATATTGCTCGTGCCTGTGAGAACTCGCGCAATTTATAAGCAGCATCTCCTGCACAACGTAGAGCGGTGCAGTCTGTTGATTTCAGCGTATCGCCCGGTGCTGGGAGCGACAAAAAAGCGTCGGCCATCGCCAGGTCATACTGACCAGCATGAAACGCAGCTGTGGCGCGACTGCGATGCAGGCTCTGTCGTAGCTCGTCATTCTCGGGATGTGTTCCTAGGCCGCTCGTGAAACTGAGAAAATGGGTCAGTCTAGCCACAGGGAGGTTTGATACGCATGCATACCAATTTACTGATCGACTGTACTCTCCTATTTCCAGTGCATTGTTGCCTTCCTTCGCCCACTCCATACTTGTTTTTGGGACCAATGGAGGCGGCTCCGCAAACACTCTAGGAAACATCTCATGTTCAGGCTTGAGGACTTTGACATTCGAGGGCTGTACAACTCGGATCACCCTTTTACCATGATTCATAACGTAAAGCGGCTCCTTGATCGCAAGTACAGTGCCTTGCGTGAGTATTGCCGCTGGTGGCGAAGTGCTAGAAAAAAAAACTTCCATATGGCTGACGTCGTTGGTGATATCCTCAACCACATTCATGACAGGGAATAGCGGCCCCAGTTGTATAGGTTGTTCGATTGCACGAACCAAGAGAACTGAGCCGTGATTTTGTGAACGAAGATTACCAAGTCGAACCTTGTAATGTGTTAGTCCTCGCGCAGAAATAAAGAAAAACCACTCACCCTCTTTAAATCTTGGAGTGATCTCAGACATGGCGGGTCTGCATCTTGACTTCTGGCGTGCCATACAGTATGGTGCTCAGTAGCCTGGATGCGTCAATATCTCAGCATGGTTAGATGACGATACGAACGTACCAATTCCGAATGCTCCTTAACAATTTCATCTCTCTTGAGTTTTATGCGCTCGGTTCGCTTCGAGTCAGACTGGAGGGGATGTTGATGTTCTCCCATGAATGTGCTAGTCGTGTTGTATTAGATGGATGTGTACCGTGGAAGATGTGTTCAACGGGGCGGCATGAACAACGCGTGGCCGACCAGGACTGTATGCACACCATCTCTTGTCGACCTTATGCGACAACAATGCTGCTGAAAGATCTTGCATCCAATAAGACTCTAAGGCTCGAAAAGGATCGATCAAGATCCTGATGAGCACACAGCTCGTTGGGTTACTCGCGCATCGCGAACAGGACTGACAGTGGCATACATTGAAGGGCTGAGCGAACGGAAGCTGATTCTGACTTTGCTGATGGAACGAAGAAAAAACAGGTGTAGAGAATCGAGAAGGCGAGCACGATGAATCGTTAGGCGAATGTGGTTGCCTCAACAGCCCGCATCTGTACAAGGCGGCTCGCTTTTTATGCAAGTTATGTAGGGTGTGGCGTATGCACTTGCATAACACGATTGAGTGCTTGCTGTACACTAATTTGAAAGCGATTTTCTGTATACCGTCTCTAGGACCTGGTGTTATCAATCAGTCCATCAAAATGCACAGTCAACTTGAAACTCGGGAGTAAGTCCAATGAGAGCCTTCGAAGGGATTGCTGTTTGGTCAACAGCCAACTGAGACATGAAATTGGGCTGTCCTCTAAAAGAAAGACACATTCTTGTTTCCTCTTACTAGCTAAAAAACGACTACACTAAGACATAAAGGTCCACCAAAAACAGCGCTGCCCTCAAAGCAAACTAATCCTTTTCCTACAATGCAAGACTAAGACAGACTATCGGTACCCGCAACTACGTAGTGACCGGAAGGAAATTTACCAAAAGCATCGGCGGCGTTGTAGCCCAGACTCTGCATCCAGAAATCGCGCGACATGAGTTCAGCCTCCAATCTGCGAATGACAGTGCACAATCGCTTCTCTTTTGCTCCTTCGGGGAGCAGAATGTCGTTATCCTCCGACTCGGACAGATAGTACTTGGGAATGGAGGGTAGACACTTCAAGATACTGATCTCCTTTTCAGATAGGATTGGACGGCCCATCCAGAAGTCTGGCAGTGGATCTTCCTGAGTACCGAACCAGGAGGGCCGTTCGTGGTGTTTTTGTGCACGCGCCCTTTCCAGCTCCTCTCGTTTTTCCTCGTCCCTGATACATTGAGCCAAAGGATGGCGAGATGGTAATGGGTACTCAAGGCCGAGATTGCTGAATCGTCTCTTGCGAGTGCCACTGGAAGCTGGACCCTCGTAGCTTTCGGTGTATCCCGTAAGAATCTTGCTGGCGCGACGACGACGAAGGTCTTCGTTACGCATTCGAGGGCCTATCATGGCATCGATGATACCGTGTCGTGGGCGCTCGACGCTGTCGTAACTGGCATTGGAGGATAAAGCCGAAAGCGGTCCCGCGCGTCGATCTGTCGTTTCTAGGCGATTGTGCTTTTTCTTCTCATGCCATCCTCCCCTCCCGTTTCGCTTCAACTTCTGTGCATATTGTTCCCATTGACAGGCACCGCAAGGATTGATGCTACCACAGTCACCGTTGAGACAGTGTCCCTCCATATCTACTATCTCTTCAGCTAGGCTGTCCTTAGCAGCTTGTTGAGTGCCGCCGAATGTCTGTAGCCGGTCTCTACATCCAGAGCACATGGTGGTGAGACCGCAGTGCAGATTCTTCTTGCAATAACCATAGCAACCCCGAGAAAACTTGTCGGCAATGCCTTGTAGGGTTTGTCGACAGCTTGGACACTTGTTTTGGTCCTTGCAGCTGGCTAGTATCTCTCCGCCGCAGTCGACATCAGGACCATCCGAGAGGGTCTTCATTGATTCAGCCAGAGGTTTGAAGTCGCAGAAGGAGCATGCCAGTCCGAGGCACTGTCCATTCAGCAGCTTCTGCTTAATGAACTTCCACTCAGTAGGACCAGGGCTTTCGTTTCGGAGCTTGAGTATGAGCTTGCGAAGATATCGATTGTGTACGCATCTTCGCAGCTCTACTACCCTGAACATCAATTCAGTCTTATGTCCCATCTCCCTGACCGGATTGAATGGAGCTGGGAAATAGCCAGGCACGCTGGTAGGAATGATAGCATCTCGAATGCAAGTCTCACATCGAAAGCACCGAGACAGGTTGCCGCAAGACGCATCGGTGCAACTGTCTTGTTCTCGTCGAAGGTATGCCTCGTTTGGCTCCTCTAAGCCACTGCGACATTTATGGCACTTCATAAGGTTTGCACAAGTGCCGTCTTCACACCTGGAGCCTCGGCCGAACAAGTTCTCCGTAGCCTTTGACAATTTCCCGATGCCACAAAGACAACAGCTTAGTTCGTGGCATTTTCCGTCTTTAAGATCTTTCAAAATAGAGGTTTTCTTGGCCGTACTGAACATGCCCTTCTGAAGTTGAGCTGTGATCTTGAGAAGGTTCTCTCGATGAACAAATTTGCGAAGCTCGTAACAATCTTCGTCGGGATTTTGTAGAGGCCTGAAAAGCCGTTCCAACGCGTCGTCATCGTAGAGTCGTTTAATTAGAGTGGCTTTGTTCCCAGTGTGAGGAAGTCTACGATTCTTGAGTAACGCTTGGAGGTCGATGTTTCTCATACTAGGATAGTCGGACATCCTTATATGATGGCTCTAGACTACCATGGTTAGCACTCGCTGTAAGATAAGACCGAATGAAGCTTACGAAAAGGAAGCCGACGGCGCTTGGTGTTGAGGTGGCCAAGAGTGATCGAACTTGCGACAAAAGCGGAGGCACAGCAAATCCGAGGCAGCAGGTTGCTGGAGACAGTGGGACAAGAGAAGATAAAGGTCCTCGAGGCCCATGTGTTGATTCTCGGCGAGACGCACTAAACGTGCTGGCAGAACATGATTGCCACGGTAACAAGTTAGCAGCGGGCCAGGATTTACCCCATCGAATTTGCTGACGAAAGTGGGTGACTTATTGTAGAGCTCGGCTGTCGGTGCGGGAAACTCTCTTCGGACTCGTATCTCGGCGTTTCAGACTCGCTATGGTCTTTCCTCTGGGAGCAAGGAGCTGTAGATTGAGAAAGCTCAGAAAGCGTGGACAGATAGCTGGACCAATTGAGACCCCTAGTTATCATCGCAGAAGACTTCATGTTCATAGGGGCTGGGCTCGAGAAGCAGCGGTTCGATTATCCGTGATGCGTTCACCAGCCTCCCCGGGTGCTGAATCCTGTCGCGCGTGGAACTGTAGAAATACGCGACTTCCGCTAGGTCGTCGGTATCCTCCACTGAGCGGGAATGGTGACAGGCCCCTCCACGGACGACGGTGCTGGTCTCAAAAGCACTGTGTATTTCTACAGGCTGACTGACTCAAAACGTGGCCGCAGGGATGGCCGGAGGTGTCAGACCTAAGCGCAGGTCAGGAGGATGTACCAGATAGCACACCAATTTTGCAACCAGTATGGTAATCGCCTAAAAGCAAGTCCGTCAGGAGTGCAACGCTATATTCGAGCGTGTTCAGCCTGTTCGTTGATCTGCAGAGGTCTTGGGCTCGCTTCTGAGCGTTCGACCGACCTTCGACTAGGCAGTCTCGCTGTGAGATATGTTAATATCCATACTACCAGTGGACGTAATCTTGCAATGAGGAAGGTGAATCGGTCTCAGTCAATTAGCATGCTAGTAAACATGTCCTTCGGTCTCATGGTACTCATCCATTTTACCACGCTTGAACCATGCTTGAACCGTGTTAGAACCATGTTTCTATCATGATATAAACATGTTATAAACACGTTAGAAACATGATTCTATTGCGATAGTATTGCGATGTTATTGCGATGTTATTGCGATATAATAGCAACAATACAATGACAATGTCCAAATCTTAAACACAGTTGTGCCAAGAGAGAGTTCTAATACCATTGAAAAATGGTTGGCAAATGGTTGGCAAATGTTTGAGCAATGTTCGTGCAATGTTCGAACATGCTGTGAGGTTTGATGGCACGAAGTACGCCGCATAAAGCAGCTACAAACGTTCGATATCAGGTCCTTTATCACATCTGAATATCAGTCGCCTTCGCCGTCCCCTTTCCTCTTCGGCGAAGCAAGCTATGCAAGGCACGTCTCACTGATTATGACTGTCTAATTCTTCCATTCGATGTGCTCTCGCTGAATACGTTCTCAATCCCAGAATTGTCATGCATTGTGACTGCTACACGCGTGACAAACCCTAACACTTGGAAACGCAGCATCGGAATTCGTCCGCCGATAGCCGACGCAGCGACAGAAAAAATATCTAGGGCGCGGTACATGGGCGTGGCTGATAACACAAGGCGCAAAAGAGGCAGGCTCTTCACTAGGGCGTGATCTTGATAGATAAGAATATGTATGAAGAAATTGAAATCGCGGTAGGATCAAAATATCCAAGTACCATTGACTCATACGAGGCTCGCTCCTGTATCGGCGATGAAGGCGACGGCTATACAAATACTTTGACAACCCCACAGTCAACTCTTCCATCCATCACTTTCTATCAACACAACAACCACGATATCAATTGAGGCTCAAATTATACATTGATCGTTTCCTCAATCTACATTCGTCTTGAAAACACTCGTCACACTCAACTGCGCCTGACATTTCACTGCTGAAAGGCTTCTTCATCACACATCGCCAACATGAGCGCTCAAGACATGACTCCTCCGGCCTCTGGCACCGCCACGCCTACTGCTAAGTCATTGACCAAGGCTGGTATTGCCCACAACCTCGAATCCAACGCACAAACCGCACAGCTCGACGCCTCAAAACTGAAGATCTCCATGACCAACTCACCGAGAGATCCCCCAGCTGCTGGCAGCGAGGAACTCAAGAAGATGCGTACCTGCACCGACCACATGATCACCGCTCGCTGGACTCTGGAAGATGGATGGGACGCTCCCGAACTCAAGGCTTATGGTCCCTTGAGCATCATGCCTACTGCTTCCGTTCTTCACTACGCAACCGAATGTTTTGAGGGTTTGAAGCTGTACCACGGAGAGGACGGCAAGCTGCGTTTGTTCCGTGTCCGTCGCAATTGCGAACGTCTGCGCAGAAGTGCTGCCCGTATCTCCCTTCCCGACTTCCCCGCCGAGCAACTCGAGATCCTCATCAAGAAGCTCTGCGCTACCGACGGTCCCAAGTGGCTTCCCAACAAGGGTGGCTTCCTCTACTTGCGTCCCACTTTCATTGGCACAGACCCCGGTCTCGGTGTTCAGGTCCCTAAGGAGGCTCTGCTCTACGTGATCATCGCTGTCTTCCCCGACTGGTCTGATCCTCGCAACCTGCCCGCTGCTTCTGCCGTCAACCCCGACCTTAGCGAGAAGGTCACCAAGGCTCAAGGCCTTAAGCTTCTTGCCAGCAAGGAGGACTCCATCCGTGCATGGCCCGGTGGTTTCGGTTACGCCAAGCTCGGTGCCAACTACGGTCCTTCGCTCGTCGGACAAGGTGAAGCCCGCGCTCGTGGCTACGACCAGATCCTCTGGTTGTTCGGAAACAACGCCAGCGTCACCGAGGCCGGCGCCAGCAACTTCTTCGTTGTCTGGAAGACCAAGGAGGGCAAGCAGCAGCTCATCACCGCCCCTCTCGAGGACAACCTGATTCTCGAGGGTGTCACCCGCGCCAGTGTCCTGGACATCACCAGAGACCGTTTGACCGCCGCCAACGCCTCCAAGTACAATGTCGACAGCCTCGAGGTCATCGAGCGCAAGTTCACCATGCAAGAGATCTTGGATGCCTATGAGGATGGTCGTCTCGTCGAGGCCTTCGCCGCCGGAACCGCCTACTTCGTCGCCCCCGTCGGTCTGATCGGCTGGAAAGACCACGAGCTCGAGATCCCCTTGATCGAAGGCAAGACTGGCGCCTACGCCAGACTCATCCGCAGCTGGCTCTCCGACATCATGTACGGCAAGGAGCAGCACGAGTGGGGTGTTCTCGTCAACGAGGCTTAGAGTGCCCGTAACGACATTGACGAGCAGTCGTTTCTCAGAGATAGAATACACGAATTTCTTGTGGGTTATCCCATCGTTGTTGCCCTTGAGCTTCGATTCGGCATTGACCGTTCTCTCAAGAGTTTGCTTCGTATGGATGCTTTCGATGGGATACAGGCTGGCGTCATGACTGGGCTCTTGATGATTATGTGTTCTCTTCTCATTGGCGTTCTTTTGGTCGGACGTTCTACAGGCTCTATCATCATCATCCAGGGCCTCGTTGCCGTCCTGCTTAGCCTCTGGAGATGAGTAGATGCGGAGCGGGAGTTGATGGGAATGGGAAGGAGAAAAAGGTATCACCGCGAGGACACAAACATTCTTGAGAAAGAGAAAGAGCAGACACAACTCAGTTTAGAAGCCAGTCACTATCACGAATAAAAACAATGATCATTTCCACTACCACTACCACTACCAACAAAGTCATCTACTTCCACTAAGCATAGTTTTCCGTCGGCTGCGTCCACATATCCTCCATGATACTCTCATCAAGCATCTCCTCCTCCATCCTCCCCAAATCCATCTTCTCCAACTCTCTGGCAAAGAAATCTTGCTCCTCGACCTGCAACTTCATGTCCACACCCATTTTATCAGGGTAATTGCGCACGTTCCACCAATGCGTAAGACTACGAAGTGATTGTTCGAGAGGCAAAGCTTCCTCGACCGTACCGTCGACGTCGCCGGGGCCTGCACCGCCCATGCCGCCACCACCGCCTGAGAGCCAGTCATCGCGGAGTTCGGAGGGTACACTGAGCCACACTGCAGTGATGATTTTCATATTGCTTTGACGCCATTTGCGGCCGCAGTAGGGGACTTGTGTTTTGAAGAGTTTGAGCGTGTAGTATCTCATCATGTCGACTGGGACGCGGAGAGATTTCTTCAACACGTTTGAGGATTTGTAGGATACCAGAAGAAGAGAGCGGTGAGCTTTGCGGCGAGTGATTTTTTGAAGGACGCGCAGGTAATTGATGTAGGTGAAGGTGTTGCGATAGGAATAGTTTTGGATGGGTGCGGGTGGTGGTGCTTGGGTTGGATAACCTAGTTCGTCGATCTCCGGTGGGTGGGTGCTGTAGTCTGGTGGTACGGAGCTGGAAGAGACCTCTGAGATGGCTTCCGATTCTCTGCGGAATTTGATCGGTGGTGGCATGGCTTCGTCTTCTGATTCTACTGCTTCTTCAGATGTTGCGAATTCGGGCATGATTGGATTTCTCGAGTTCGCGCGACAGAAGTTGAAGAAGCTATGTCAAGTCAGCTGTTTGCGTATCTTGTTAGTGGTCGAGGGACTTACTCAAGCTCTGGTCTGTCTAGCATGAAGTGACAGGCGCGTCCGATGTCTTGCCATTGCCAGATTCGTAATACTGCAATGATGTATCCCGAGTCCAGAAGAAGCTGATTGAGGTACTCAAATCGAAGAATATCTGTAGATTGAAAGCGTCAGAAACACAATACTCAAGTTCAAACGTTCAGACTTACGCGAAAGCTTGAACCACTTGAGCAGTAGAAGCAAAATAGATGACACGGCTTTGCCGGTGATCTCAGTAGATCGCGAAGCATCGACCTGCTCAGCAGAAATGGAGATACCATCAGGAACGTGGCCATTCTCGAAAGCTTGCGCTTGTGGATTGGCAGTAGTATCTGCGTAGACTCTTGCCATGCCCTTGAGTAACACGAAGACAACAGATTGCATCTGTGGTAGGACATCGCGGTAGAATTGTGCAACAGCTGCCAATGTCATGTCATTCTCAAACAATGGTTCCTCAACCTTTGGTTCTTCCTTGTCTTCTAACGACTCTTCGTCGTCAGGCAGAGAGAATTCGCCGCCTTGAGGCTCATATAGATCCAGTCGCTGAACATCGTCATCAGCATTCCATCCTCTTTCAGATTTCATGTAATCTATTCTCGTGTCCCAAAGCTGTTTCATGGCTCTGGTTGCCCTCATGCGCTTGGAGAAGAGATCAGCAGCCTCGAGAATGGACGCAGGCACATCACTTCCTCTCCATTTTCGACCGGCGAGAGCGTCTTGCAGTTCAGTAGATCCCTTACCACCCAAGTCGTTACTTGACTCATCTAAAGGTGGGTAGAGGAATGGGAACATTTGGTTGGTCTGGTAATTTTGTTTCTTGCCGCCTTTACCTCCCGGGCCGGCTGGGGATGGCGGAGGCGAGGGCGCAGGAGTGGCAATGTGTACTGCTTGATGCAAGATGGAGGAACCGTGGACACCAGTCCCTGCCGATGCCGTATTGTCATTGCTGTCGATTTTTGTTTGTCTGTGACGAAGCGGAGGCAAGATGGTGTTATTCTCAGGCTCGAAGGCAAACAATGGCGGTGGTGGTTGATAGGCTGGATACTTGGAAGTGATCTCCTGCCTGAAGAGATGGTAGTCTAGCGGAGAAGCGGTGATGAGTGGATGGCCGCGCTCATCCTTCTCGCCGACATTCTCCTGGAAGGAAGATTTGACTTTGTCGGCGGTTTCAATGCCGCCGAAAGATATGAGAATAGTCTTCCATAACAACAGGAAGATCTAAGAATACGTCAGCATCTGAAAGGCGACTGATCGAATGCCAAGAGCGTACCTTTGTCTGTGGGACAGGTGCGTAATCGTCCCATCTCATCTGAGCAATCATATTTGTGCAGGTGATCAGCAGGTCGGATTTGATTAACGCTGGTATAAGGGTAAGCTCCCGTACGTCGTAAAGATAAAAGGCTGCACCTTACCAAGCTCTTTGTGCAACATCTGAGCGTCTGGTGTACCCTCGGAGATACGGCTCAGCTCAACAAAGAGATATATAAGGGTCAAGGCACACCAAACATCAATACTCTCGTCACCCTCGACATACTTTGGCAAGGCGGCTGCATCTTCGTTTTGAGCAGAAGCAGTACTACGAGTGGTTAGCACTGAGATGTAACACTGAGTGAGAATCGAACTTACAGATCCCTTTCACATACAGCTTTCAAAATGTTGTATAGAAGTGGTACAGCTCCTTGCTGGGCGAGCATACAAAGCGTGTTGATCATTATTTGAATCTGATAAGTTGCACCAGCATAGTTTTCGAGGCCAGCAGTAACTTGTGGTTGGTTGGAGCCAAGAACAGCGAAGAAGGGATTCGGAGTGCCTCTGCCCGCAGTCTCTTCCCATGTACCCAGACACACGTATGTCAAGATTTGAAGAGCTTGGGTTTGCTGATGGGGAGAGCCAAGTTGGAGGTCGTGCAGAAGGTTGGAGACAAACCTCATGCCCATCTCAGGTGAGGCGGTCCAATCCGGTACAGAATCCTGCGCAGTATGTGCCCTCCATGCTTGTTCAAAAGCAGCATTGATCTGGCGTAGCTTCGATCTCTCTTTCTCGCTGTATGTGAACCATTCTTCGAGCTCGACGGGGAAGGTTTGCGAGTCGTGGTATTCGAAGTCGTAGACGCTTGATAGAGGTATGGGTTGTTGCAATTGAGCTTGTAGGACGGGGAAGCCAGCTCGTAAGTTCTTGAGTTGGGCAAGCGTCAGAGAATCGGGAGGATCCTGGCTGGGGTCTGTATCGGGGACCTGGGGTGGAGGCTGCTTGGGCGGCGGAGCTGACGAGTCGCGTTTCAACAGCGGTCGCTTAGAGTCGTTGTCGATGGTAGACGGGTCTGCGGGTGAGACCACAGGGGCTTTGTCGAGGTGCAGCTGCTCCGCCGTGTCCTTTGCTGGTGTCACGATGCCGTCGCTCTCTTCCTCAGGAGCCTTGACCTGCGGGTTTTCCACCTCGTCCATGGTGCTTGTTTATTAGATGATGCGCTAATTTCTGTTTCGTTTCGGTCATGAGTTCGTAGCCATGGTGCAGGTTGGTCTCTGGCTGTATTCGGTGCGACTTCCTTCCTCACTGAGCGCGTCTGTTGTGTCCATCTTCACATGTCATCTCCATTCCAGCCACACTCTAGAAAAAGTGTGGCGTAGTTCTGTGGCGTCGCAGCTTCCTCCTCGCTCCAATCTTTGAAACACAGACTACTGCTGCCTCCTGTCAAGATCCACATGCGACCTCTCGAGAGCTCACGTCTCCACTGTTGACATGATGGCGAAGCCGTCAATTTCCTTTGTTGTTTCCTCATCTGCCGCGACATGCCGTCCAGCCGATTCATCGAACCCTTGACATCCTTCCGCCTTGACATGCAGCCTGGCTATCGGCCCCAGTCTCGGTCGAGATCCATGAAATCGTCCCGCTGAACCACCTCCCTCGTCTAATGAACTTGAAACGACAGACCCGCCAACCGTGCAAACTCCTCTGCATTAGTGACATGTACGCAATGCCGCGTACCTGTAACCACAAATCTCTATGACATCTGTGTAAGAATATAAAACATCCTGCCAGACCTGCTGTTGGGGCCTTTTCCTTTTCTCATCACATTCCATTCTCTTCCATCACACTCTTTGATTATCTTCAAACTCAAGACAGCAGGTCCTGTCATTGCATTCATTTTCAACATGCTTTTCTCCATCTCTACTTTCGCCGCCGTCTCGGCCTTTGCATCTGCTGCACTGGGTGCTGCTCTCCCTGTCTCGGCCAACCCCAACACCGTCGCTAAGCGTGCCTTGACTGGCGAGGCTACTTTCTACGGAGGCAACACCTCTGGCGGACAGTGCTCGTTCACAGAGTACACTCTGCCCTCTGGTGTCTACGGAACTGCTCTCTCCGACTCTAACTGGAGCAATGCCGCCAACTGCGGCGCCTGTGTCTCCGTCAAGGGCCCCAATGGCAAGAGCATCACTGCCATGATCACCGACCAGTGCCCAGGTTGTGGCACCAACCACCTCGATCTTTATGAGAATGCCTTCACCCAGCTTGCTGCCAAGTCCGCTGGCATCATCAATGTGTCTTGGGACTACGTCGCTTGTCCCATCACCTCCCCTCTATCGATCCACATGAAGTCCGGTGTATCGCAGTACTGGTTCTCTGCTCAAGTGGTCAATGCCAAGCGCCGCACCACCAAGCTTGAGGTCAGCACCGACTCTGGCAAGACTTGGAAGGCTGCTGCCAGAACCACCTACAACTTCTTCGAGATCTCGTCCGGCTCCGGTGCCACCTCTGCCTGGATCAGAGTCACCAGTGAGACTGGCTCCACTGTTACCGTCAAGAACGTCTCTCAGACTGGTGATGTCAGAGCCACTGCTACTGCCAACTATGCTTAAGCAGCTCGTGTCATCTGAACAAGCTGTATCTGAATATATGTTCGGGCTTGTGTTGACATTTGTATGCTTCAATAGTGATAGCACAACAGACAATCTAAGGACAAACGAGAAAAGCTTTTACAATTGACCGTGTGACTCTCCTTGACCGAAATGTGAAGTCCACAACTTGTTTCGTAAGATTTGTGGTTGTTTGATGTGATCGTCTCTCACCAATTTAACTATGGGCAATACTTAAGGCCTCCTTCTCAAATCAAAGATGGAAGGCGGCAGGTTCAACCGGCCCTCGCTTCTACTTTCCTCCCTCCAGCGCCTACCTTACTCGCTTACTCGCTACTTGCCTTCAACAAAATCGTGCTTGATCCTCTTCAATGGAACCGCTCGTATGCAAGTATAGTAGGCTACCGCATATGAGTTTGTAAGTCCAACGGAGGCCGAGCGGAAGACCGACGGCTAGCCACGGAGGAACTTCTCGGGAAACTAACTCACTGTTTTCCGCATGCATCAACAGGCCACGATTCTTGATAAGACCAAGAGTCCTGCGATTGACCACGTCTCAACGATTTACTGAAGACTTTGCCCTGACAGTCTTGAATCTCTCCCAAGCGGAGTTCAAAAATTATCATCTTCCCCAAATCGAACTTCCATTGATTTGCCGTAAACATGCTGGCACCGACACCAAGAACAATCAAGGGCAAATGTCTAAGCGAAGGCTATGCTTCAGGACCTTTACTCTACAGCTCTATCCCTCTCAGCTTCTGGGGTGGTGTCGATCCTGCCACTGGAATCGTTATCGATCAGCATCATCCTCTGGCCGGAAGTTCTTTGGCTGGGAAGATACTTGCTATACCGAGCGGTCGCGGATCTTGCTCTGGAAGTGGTGTGCTTCTCGAATTACTACTCAATGGCAATGCTCCAGCCGGTTTCATCTTTGGTCGAGAAGAACTCATCTTGACTCTTGGTGGCATCATCGCTACCGAGTTCTTTGACAAATTTGTTCCTATAGTGCAGATCTCGCCTGATGATTTCTCGGGGCTCGCTGGCCACGCTCATGTACAGATCATCAACGAACTCGTGGAGGTCAATCCGACAACCTTGTCCAGCCAAACACAAGTCGATGAGAAGCCGCCTTCAGTGGTTCTCAATCTTTCAGAACTAGATCGTGCTATGCTAAGAGGAGATCACGGAAAAGCTGCACAAGTCGCTGCAAGAGTCATCTCGAAAGTAGCAGCGGTTCAAGGAGCAACAGAACTTATAGACATCAGTCAAGCACACATCGATGGCTGTATCTACACCGGTCCAGCAACACTACTCTTCGCACAAAGACTCTGCGACTGGAACGCCAAGGTGCGGATACCTGCAAGTCTCAACTCTATATCTGTCGACAGGCAAAGATGGCGAGAGCAAGGCATTGATGCTGCTTTGAGCGATCCTTCGGGCTTGCTAGCAGATACGTATGTGAACCTGGGATGTACGCCGACATACACTTGTGCGCCTTACCAACTGGACACAGCACCAAAGCTAGGAGAGCAGATCATGTGGGCCGAATCGAATGCTGTAGTATACGCCAACAGTGTGCTAGGAGCCAGATCTATCAAGTGTCCTGACTACCTCGACATCTGCGTCGCCTTGACTGGAAGAGCGCCAAACTCTGGAGCACATTTGACCGAGCATCGAAGACCTCAAGTAATCATTGATGTTCCATCAGACATTGCTGGTGACGACTCCCTCTTCCCTGTTCTAGGCTATCTCGTAGGTAAGATTGCTGCAAACCGAATCCCGCTCGTCATCGGCCTCGAGCATTTGAAGGTACACAATGACAATCTCAAAGCATTTGGAGCAGCATTCGCAACAACCTCGAGTGCCCCGATGTTCCACATTGCTGGCATAACGCCAGAAGCTGTCAACCCGGCACTCGATGAATGGAAGACTGCTACTCCAGTCGTCAAGACGAACAAAGCCGAGCTCGCAGACATATGGTCGAGACTGGACAAAGCAACAGAGATGAAGATTGATTTGATATCCCTCGGCAACCCTCATTTCTCCTATGATGAGATGGTGACACTTGCTCAGCTATGCGAAGGAAAGACTAAACACCCTTCCGTCTCGGTCATCATGACATGCAATCGCGATGCTTACGCACGAGCATGTAAAGCTGGTATCATGCCCAAGCTTGAACGATTTGGTGTGCAGCCAGTCACGGATACTTGTTGGTGTATGATCGGAGAGCCTCTTATCCCTCCATCAGTGAAGACAATCATGACCAACTCTGCCAAGTTTGCTCACTACGGAGGCGGATTGACGAAAAGGCAGATGCGATTCGGGAGCCTTGCTGGCTGCGTGGAAGCCGCTTGTGTTGGTGAAAAACCGAAGACATTGCCACAATGGCTATCCTCCTGATATCCAATCTGATACTGCAAAGCCTGGAGCTTGGCCTGTCTTGGGAGTCACATCCTGCTGCCTCGACAAGACTCCTTCGACATCGCCAACGCTGTCACCACTCATTCTCAATCTATATGACCTTTAGCATTAGCCTTTCCCTCAATCAAGTCTTGGTGGTGTAGTGGTAACACACCTGATTACTAGAGGATATGAGCGTGGTCCCATAACTTATGGAAGAGACGATAGCCCGGCCGCTTCTCCCTCAACAACCAGAGGACGCAGATTTGATACCTGCTTAAGACAAAATGAATTTATGTTGCTCATCTTCTGCCCTTTCCCTTGCGTCGTTGTGTTATCGTAGGTCTGCTCGTGCTACTCAGAAAATGAGTTGATATGGAGTCTTCGATGATTTGTCGCTTGTTGGTCTGCCACGAAGAATCTCTTCGGGAAATTGTACAGCCCGCCTTGCTTTTGTAGCATAGATATGGTCATTCTGAACACGGTCGCGACAACAAATCAAGTGTTGGTATCAATGGTGAAGTGTGTATGCAGTCGATCACTTGAACAGGTCTGCGCCTGCACTTGAATGCAGGCCAGCACCCCAGCATCCAGAGTTCTTGACCCTCCAGCCTTCGCCAGTTTTACCGACCCAACCTCCGACGGCGATGACAAGCGCACTAGCATCTTCTCTTGGTACGCGAATGTGAACGTCGCTGTCGTGAAGTTTGAGGATGTCGATGGGTATAGCGGTGCCGTGTAGTCCTAAGAATTGTGACAGAGCGGCTCTGAGATGCAAGTGTGCGGTCAGGGCGTCTAGTTGGTAATTTGGCGTGTTCGTGATCAGGGATAGCTGGATGTATGACCATGGCGGGTTGCGAATGGTGAATTGAGTGACGGGTGTTGACGATTTTTCGGATCGCTTGCGTTTGGTTTGACCCGAGGAATCAGCATCCTGCATGTCGACGTTTGGCGACGTCTCTATTTCCTTCTCTTGCGACATGGTGAGTATTTGGCGTGTCTATCGAGAATTGGAAGATGGGTCCGTAGATTTGCATGTGAAAGATGCAACAATCAATGCCAAGAGATTAGATTCAGTGGTTGCATCACCGTCTCGACTCTTCGCCATCTTTGTCTGTCTTTCTCTACTTCACCTTCTGCATGTCGAGACCACCAACATGACGACGCCTTCGTCGCAAGCGCTAGCCAAGCGCAACGCCGACACTCAGCTTATGCCACCTCCTCCGCCGACGAAGCGCATCAAACGCCCGTCTCAAGTCGTCGACGAAGATGTCTATACCGATGCTCTCTCGCACATCATCGCACGCGATTACTTCCCTGGACTACTGGAGACGCAGGCCCAGCAAGAGTACTTGGAAGCGCTAGACTCGAAGGATAATGACTGGATTCGAGATGCTGGCCGCAAACTACACCAGGCCATGACACCCGGTCCTCGCTCACGCAGAGGTACCTCTATCGCGCCTTCAGCTACTCCGCGTGCATGGCAAGGGGCAACTCCTATGAGGACGCCTTCCGTTGCTCCATCTGTGGTCTCCAGCAGTGCTGAAGCTTCTAAGCCTCCAGTAGACACTACGCTCTCGCTAGGCGCATTCCAGACCAAATACACGTCCGAAGACAACGAGTCCTTCAACTCCCTGCTCGATCGCCAAAATCAGAAGCGCGCCGAGAAATACGCTTTTCTATATCACGGCAACAAACTGCCCTCTAAGCAACAAATCGCTCAGCAGAAGCTTCTGTCTGACACACCAGCCTCCCAATCAACAGCTCTCGTCACCCGACCGTCGCAGAACCTGGACGATCGCTCTGCCTCTTTCGACTCTTTTCCTAATCGCCAGGGTCCGCGCAACACCTTGATGTTTGCGCCAGATGGCATCGAAGATACACACGAGACCAAGGTCGACCGCGCACAAGCTGCTTCTGTAGCCCCTCCCAAAGCCGTCTCCTATGCTTCGACCCGCTTCCCCATGGTCTTATCTGAAGACTCATCTGTCCCTCCTTCACCATCCATGTCTGCAGTCGATGCCGCCATTGCTGGTCGGCCGCGTCCTTCTTCAACAGACGCAGGCTATTCCGGTGCAGAAACACCACGAGTCAAAGGTTACGCTTTTGTGGATGCGGAACCGCTACCCCACGAACTCGAGCCTCCGAAAGGTGTACCTGTATCTGACGCCGAGGCGGATGCGGAGGAGCGCGCTGCTGCCATGGCTTTACTTCCTGCGGTGGACCCCGACGCTGGTAACAATCCCTTCAAACTCCAGGCCCAGAGCAAGAGAGAGGACATACTTGATCGGCTCGTTGAGAAATCGAATTTGCAGAGAAGAAAACCTACGGCTGGAGGAAGATTAAGTGCTCTGAAAGGACAAGATGGACGTACCCCAACACCCCGATTTACCAGTAGCCCTGCATTGGGTCGTCAGACACCAGGAGTGAACATGACACCAGCTGCACGTCTGCTGGCTTCAAGGATCGGAGGACGCACGCCTGGAAGAACCGACACACTCTTTGGAAGCCAACAGTCTGGAGATAGATCTAGTCGTGTGTGGACGCCGACACCCAGAGTGAAGAAGCCGACACGATGAATTTACGAATCATGAATTACGAATAATCATAACATAGACTATTCTTACACACCCAAATAATAGCTTGCCTATCATGGCATGTCAAGGCGAGCTAAATGCTCGAATCATGGCATTTGAGTTTCCCGTTATCGTTTTCCGTCGGCAAAGTGCTGAAGACCGCGTGTACCCCACGTACTCCTTGCTCCTTCGTGCCTGAGCAAGTTCGTTCTTTCCTGCTCGTTCGACGATCATGAGACCTTGTGAGTACGTAAAATCAATGCATTTGACAGCTTTCTAGAGTATGTATCGGCACGAATGGCAGGAAGGCCAGGGCCGAGAGCAATTGTGCTGTAGAGCTGTCTCGGGGATGGTCGCTTGAGCCTTCCCTAGCGGGCAAGCCTCGAGTCGGATCTGATAAGCGCACGCCTATCGCTGCAGTCGCGGCAAAGGATGAGTCGAACGACACCAAGGTGGGGTGCTACAATATTTCCAGGGTCCCTTTCTCTTCCCCTTCTTCTTAATCGTACCTGTCTCGCACCTTTCTCGTGCTGTCTGCTCGCTATATCGCTGCTGGCATTCTGCTCCTTGCAAGACTCCCCGCTTCAACTCCGCAATTGACGAGGATTTCCCCGCAATCCATATCGCCAAATAAACACACCACTCGAGTCCGACGAGCCAATTAATCTTGAGTCTCGGTCAAACCATCAATCCGCGATGGCCTCTGTCCTCCGTAACACGGCCCGCCTGACGGTTCCCTCGCTCCGTCACGGTGTTGTACGTCCCACACTTAGAGCAGCAAGTCGTGCTCTGGCAACTCAGACAGTACGCTTCAGTCCGACTCTCAACCATCTTCGCCACTAATCAATCATGTCTCAGGACCGCAAGCAAGCGACAGCAGCAGCAGCAGCAGCTGTCTCTTCAGTTTCCGATGCCTTCGAGCAACCCTACTTCCCTGACGAGCCAACGGGCCCAATCGTCCGAACCGCCATTCCTGGACCCAAGAGCAAGGCAGCTATTAAGCAATTGGACAAAGTCTTCGACACACGTAGTCTGAACATGATGGGCAACTACCAAGACAGCTTCGGCAACTACATCGCTGACCTCGACGGCAATGTCTTGCTCGACGTCTACGCTCAGATTGCGTCAATTCCTGTTGGCTACTCCAACCCTTCTCTTTTGCTCGCTGCTACGTCGAAGGAGATGGCCTCAGCAATCATCAACAGACCTGCTTTGGGCAACTTCCCTCAGCACGATTGGGCCGATATTCTCGAGACTGGTATCCTACGTGTTGCTCCCAAAGGTTGCAACCAGGTCTTTACGGGCCAGTCTGGCAGTGACGCCAATGAGCTCGCCTTCAAGGCTGCTTTCATGTGGAAGAGAGGCCAAGAGCGTGGTGGTCCTGATGTTGATTTCACCGAGGAGGAGATGGAGTCTTCGATGAACAACCAAGCCCCTGGTGCTCCTCAACTCAGTATCATGTCCTTCAAGTCTGGTTTCCATGGCCGCATGTTCGGTTCTCTATCAACCACTCGCAGTAAGCCTATCCACAAGCTCGATATCCCCGCATTTGACTGGCCTCAAGCCCCCTTCCCTATGCTCAAGTACCCTCTTGAGCAGCACGCTGAGGAGAACGCCCAAGAGGAGGCCCGCTGCCTTGAGGAGACTGAGCGTTTGATCAAGACATGGCACCTGCCCCCGGCCGCCATCATCATTGAGCCTGTTCAATCCGAGGGTGGTGATAACCACGCCTCGCCAGCTTTCTTCCGCGGTCTTCGTGAAATCACCCGCAGAAACAATGTCCTGATGATCGTCGATGAGGTCCAAACTGGTGTCGGTGCAACTGGCAAGTTCTGGGCTCATGACCACTGGAACCTCGAGGATCCCCCAGACATGGTGACCTTCAGTAAGAAGGCACAGACTGCTGGATACTACTTCGGCAACGATGAGCTGAGACCCAACAAGCCCTACCGTCAGTTCAACACCTGGATGGGTGACCCGGCTCGTGCCATTCTCTTCCGTGCCATCATCAACGAGATTGAACGTCTCAACCTGGTCCAGAACACTGCCGAGACTGGAGACTACCTCTACTCCGGCCTCGAGCGTTTGGCCCAGAAGTTCCCCAAGGAGATTCAGAACCTTCGTGGAAAGGGTCAGGGCACATTCATTGCATTTGACTCACCGCGTCGCGAGGACGTGTTGGCAAAGGCAAAGGGCCAGGGTATCAACATCGGTGGAAGCGGCGCTCAGGCTATCAGACTGAGACCTATGCTGATCTTCCAGAAGAAGCATGCGGATATCTTGCTTGAAGGTCTTGAGAAAGTGTTCCAGTCGTAGGATTAGTTGAGACTGAAAAGTGCATGTTCTTTGCTGGGCTTCGGTGTGTTTGAAGTAGCTCTCTATCTAATGAATTACGATCAGACTAAGTCTGCGATTTTGTATCTTTCTTGAGCCTCAGGCAGCCGTGTGTCGATCTGACCAAAATCAGATCTTGGCGGGTAACCCTGACCTTGGGAGCTTTCACCAATGACGTTTCATCATGATCAACAACACATTTCAGAAATCACACATTCACATCAAGCGAGATCAGACAGTGACAAACACCCTTCGCAACAATGTCAGATCTTCTCCGCGCCCTCCCCAGTATCCAAAAACCACACAACTCACCAGGACGACCTCCGGCAATGCCCTTGACAACAGCGGATGAAGGCAACTCCTCATCCTCCGACAGTTCAGCATCCACAAATGACAGCATCGACACTTTACGTCCTTCCGAATCAACACTTCCCACACCAAACCCATGGCCTCAATATTTCGAGCAAGAATTGTTTCTGGAGTCGAGTTCGGAAAATCAACATGCTAAATATCATGTTTATCTCACACCGCCCAGGGATCCAGCCAAGGGACCGCTGTTTATATGTCACCATGGCGCTGGAGCTACGGGTATGAGTTTCGCTTGCTTTGCGGCTGCGATCAAGAAGGAAATGCCACATGCTGGAATCTTGAGTCTGGAAGCCAGGGAGCATGGCTCTGTGGTCACTTCTCCTTCTGGCGAGGAGATTTTGGATTTCAGCATCGAGACGTTGGTTAAGGATACACTTGCCATGATTGAACTTGTCAAGCAGAGACAAGGTTGGCACAAATTACCTCCTGCTGTGTTTGTAGGCCACAGTCTGGGCGGCGCGATCGTCACTAGAATCGCAGCTGATGGTGTACTGGGAGCACAATTGGTCGGTTTTGCAGTACTCGATGTGGTCGAGGGATCTGCTATCGAGGCACTGATGCATATGAAGACATATCTGGCATCCAGACCTGCTTCTTTTGCTTCGGTCGATCAGGCTATCAATTGGCATATTCGCAGTCGCACCATCAGGGATTTGGAAAGTGCGAAGGCTAGTGTGCCTAGTTTGATGATCAGGGATGGTGAGAGGTGGATGTGGAGGACGGATCTTACGCGCACGCAAAGGTGGTGGGAAGGTTGGTTTACAGGGATGAGTGGGCTGTTTTTGAGGGGCAGAGCTGCTAAGGCACTGTTGCTTGCTGGTACGGATAGATTGGACAAGGAGTTGATGGTTGGACAGATGCAGGGTGAGTGCTTCTCCAACTTATCCGTGAGATCACATGCTAACTTATCGTGTACAGGCAAATTCCAACTCACTGTTATACCAGAAGCAGGCCATTTCATCCAGGAAGACGTGCCGGAAAAGACGGCACACTTGATGATCGAGTTCTTCAAACGAAACGACCGCAGCAGTCTTGTCCTGCCACCCAAAGTGTCGGACTTACTCGCCCAAGGAAAAAGAGTGTAGAATAGAAGAGTACTAATGCAATAGACGATACATCGAATCCATTGATCATGCACCTCCACAGCGCACAAAATGATCCACGATCTTGAACTCTCAAAAGGAGCGTCGAGTATCGCAATTGACTTGAAAAACAGCTTCCTCGAAAAAAAAAACCTTGTCCCAGACAATAGACTGACATCAAAACGGAAGCTGCTGCCCACAAATTATCCATTGCTGCTTTTCCAACCTTCCGAATCATCGCTTCAGAGCACCGTCAAGCCAGCCACGACGACCAAACTCCCATACCATCTCTCTCTCTCTCTCTCCTACCAACCTCTCCAGCTTCAGAGCGATCCATCAAACCCTACTGCGAATTGCAGATTGTCACAAAAAAAAAACTTCTACATTCTCATCAAACCTTACCACGATGCAGCTGGCTACCCAGCACGAAATTGACATGGCGTATATCATCTTTATGATGACCGTAGTTTCCATCATTTCCATCCGTGGTTTCAATATTTTGAAATCGGGTAATGTGTACGGGTGAACATGAGACTGCAGTGCAACGGAATTGGTTGGGAGCCGGGTGACAAGATAGAAGGAATGGGAAATTCTGGCCTTTGGGTTGGTGTTGTGTCTATTTGGGTGTCTATGTTGTGGGCTGTGGCGTATCGTTGGTAGAGATTCAGGAAGTGATGTGGTGTGTCCCGCAGGTCATGAGTGGGAAGGGAGAGTGGTTTGGTTTGATACTGCCCAAAAAGAGAGGGATGCAATTGAGAAAATGAAAATGCCCAACAAAAGGGTATATACAGATATGGATAATGAAGGAACCAGCAAAAAGCAAGCCAACAAACAAGAAATCTTCTACCTCTTGCTCTTGCGCATCCTCTTCTCCCTCTCGTACTCCTTTGCCTCGTGACCTTCTTCTCCTTGAATCTCGGCCACAAGTCTCTTGTACTTCTTCTCGTACTCTGCATCTCTCTCCTTTTTGTCCCGCAATTGTTCGCGTGCGATGAAGTTTGCATCCTTGCGCAGTTCGCGGACGGCTCCCTTGCGCTCGCGCTTGTACTCTTTCTTGAGCTTGGCGGCATCGGCGCGTTCGCGGTCCGGGTCGTAGTGTTTGTCTGGGTTGAAGTTCTCTTCGAACTTGGGGATGGAGGTGCGGATGGGGAGGGGGCGGTGATGGTGAAGTTCGAGAGGGCGGCGGCGGAGGCGGGCTTGGGACAGCATGATGGAGAGATGTTGAGAGGACTTCTTTTGTCCCTTGAGGGCTTGGAGGGATGTGAGGGCGGCGGGAGAGAAGATTTGGCCAAAGGCGGTCTTTGCGCTCCAGAGGTCGGCCATGGCAAGGAGGTTGTTAACATGTGGTTGTAGCTCCTTCTCGCTGGATTGAGGGCGGAGTTGCAGGGCCTTGACGGTGTAGCGAACGGCCTCGGGGATGTAACGCTTCGACAGTGATTGGTACTTGATGCAGAGAGCGACGATGAATGCACCAGTTGCCAGGTTGGATGTTGTCGGAGGAGTCATCTCCAGCCAGCGACCCATCAAGGTGATGGCTGGTGTGACGACCTGATGGAAGTGGTCCGAAGTAGGGTAGATGGAGCTAACTGCAGTCAAGATGACCAGATCACCAGCGTTGAAAGTACCACTCTCGTGCATGGCAGACATGTGTGTGCGGAAAGCCTTGCCAATGGTACCAGGATACGTCCTTGACAAGGAATGCAAGTGACGGATGAGAGTCTCAATGACGACTAATGATTGCTTCTCCTTGGCCATGTATGAGATGTGGTCGACGAGAGCGGTAGAGAAGTCGGCGAGCTTCTGTTTGTTCTCTGCCAGAAGCGAAGGATGGTAGAGGGCACGAATACGCTGGACGGCAACTGGAATGTTCTCGACGGCCATCTTGTTGAAGATGGCCAACATTTCTTCGTGAGAACGAGGGCATTCGTAAGTGTATGCAAGTCCAGAAGTAGCGGCTGGTGCAGCTGCCTTCTTCTCGCTCTTCTCGTCCTTGTCACCGAGAATACCTCGGACGAACTCATCTTCCTCGTCCTCTTCATCAGCAGCAGCGGCAGCTCCTTCCTCAGCATCTGAATCCTCCTCGTCTTCGCTCTCGTCACTGACATCAACGTCGGACTCGCTGGCAATCAGATCATCCTCCATCAAAAACTCATCTTCGTCATCATGCACAACTGCCTCTTTCTTGTTGTCATATTGCTGAGTAGGTAGACCAAAGTCGGCGGCATCGTCTCTCATGTTGTCCTCATCTTCAGGGTGGACTTCTACACCTTCCTTCTTTTTCTTGTTGTCCTTGGGTGTCTTTTCCTCGACCTCCTCCTCTTCGGACTCCTCGCCTTGCATACGGCGGAGACGCGATTGCTCCATCTCCTTCAATCGGTAAGCTTCTTCGATGGCCTGCTCCTCCTCTGTCTTTGTGCGTGTGGTGGGAGCAGCTCTCTTGTCCATGGCCATTTGTCGGAGTCTGACGTCGTATTCTCTTTCTGTCTCCTCGCGCGACTTGCTCTGGAGCATGGCCAAACGTTCAGGGTTCATGCCAGCATCCATTTCAGCCTTCTCAGCCTTGGGTGGGGGCTTGACGCCTCTGAGCAGATTAAGCATTTCTTGTAGTCCTTGGTCCAGCTCTTCACGCAGATCATCATCGTCCTCCTTGTTCTTTTGTCTCTCGTACTTGTGCATCTTTGACTTTGCGATGACCTCTTTCATGACTTCTGCCTTTGACTTCTTGCGCGCCGGCTTGTCGGGGTCCTGCCCTTCGACATCTGACATTTCCTCGTCTTCGTCTTCTTCTCCAGCGGAGGATCGTCGGCGTTTCAATCCGCGGTCTGATTCGTCGTCGGAGCCTTCAAGACCTTCCATGTCAAAGTCGTCTCTGTCGAGGTCGAGTGCTTGTCCGCCGTGAGTAAGAGCATCCTCTGCAAAGTCGTCATCGGCTTCCAGATCGAACAGAGAAGCGCCGCCCTTCTTGCGCATCTTCTCCTGGGCGAAACGTTGTAGAGCGCGCTCTTCGGGGGTCATGGTCGGGTCGTTCTCGCCTATACGTCTGTCGATGATTCCACCAGTCTTGTTGCGGCGCTGGATTTCGGGCAGCAGGGTAGCACGACGCTATACCAGGTCAGTCATAATCTCTCAGCGCATCATGACAGCGCTTACAGCTTCCTCGCCCATGCTCCTGGTGACACCAGGTCTAAGAACGGCATCTTTCTTGGGATGAGCAGTGAAGGACTGAAACTTGGCGGGACGGTTGTTGGCCTTGATCTCGAAAGGATTGAAGCTGTCGCGAATCTGCTGAAGGGCGGCATTGCGCTGCACTCTGCTGTCGTTGGTGCGTCCTGCTCTATCCTGCTGCTTTTGCTTTTTCGACTTCTGTGGACCAGTCACGCCCTGCTCTCTCAACGACGTCTTCAGTCGTTTCAACTGTGATGGCGGCATTGTGTTGTGATTGATGTGTATTGCGAGTTCCAACTCGTTGCTTCCTAAACTTTTTTGCCCCGAATTCTTGAATCGGAAAGTCTGAGATCTCTGACCGCCTTCGGTCCAGCTTTGCCGAATCTCCGTCCGTCGAGACGAGCCACGTCCGTGCGTCTGTCTTCAAGGCTAGTATCGACCACCTCTGAACAATCAACATCATGTCTTGGGACATTCGGGATCGCTATTTATGGCTGGGCTTTGGTATGTATGCATCAATAATGTGTATGCATCGGAAAGCTGATAGTGACCAGGCGCCTTTCTCTTCGTGGCCGTCAAAGGCATCTCGCAAACCCTCAAGACTACCATTAGATTAAGCGAGGTTTATGATCCGGACCATGCAAAAGCAGCAAACGATATCCAAGCAGAAGACTGTACGTTTGTCAGGAATTTAGTTAGTGTCATCGATGTTAACGAAAATGTAGCAATAAGTCTGGAGGCTTTAGCGACCTTGGTCACTTCACCAAATCAAGACATATCAAGCTCGTATGTACAACACTTTTTCCAGCCATCTCATCAGAACCTATCATGATTTCCAAGGAATACCTGTCTGCACATACCTATCATGCCAATCTGATTATACTCTCAGCGCAACCTCTCTCATCCTCTCCCGCTTTACTCAAGACCCCTCCGCCTGCAAAACACTAACAACCGACCTCTTCTCCTCCACCCCTTCCACCCGCCATAAAGCAAAAGAAGTCCTCTACCTCTTCGACTCTCTATCCCTAGACCTTTACCCCTTCGACGACGCCTCCGTCTCTAACCTCCACGATAAATCAGACCGAAGGCTTCAACACGCTTGTCAAGCTTACTTTTACGCGACCAGAAAGTATAGACAAGGGAGGTTGAATGCGCTGGTGCAGGTGGCGGAGATGGTGGAGGATTCCATGAGGGCGGGGCAGAGTGTGAGGAGGGTGAGGAGGGAGGCTGTGGAGAGCCATTTCGTGTTTCCTGGACAGGGAGATGAAAGTGGAGAAGAGGGGGAGATGGTGGCGGCGAGATTTCAACCTGTATCGCAGAGGGTGGAGTCATTGGTTGATATGTTGGCTGAGCAGGCGGTAACAACACGGCCGTTGGTGAGGTTTGCTTCTTCTGGTGAACAGTCCACTGCTTCTTCTACGACGTCTGAGTTGCCGGCTTTGGAGGAGGTGGATCCGAATGAAGATACGGCTGGCAGTGCTAGATTGAGGCGTCATGCTCAGTCTAATCATGAGGCAGAAGCGAGAAGACGGAGAAGGGAAGCCATGGTCTTGCATGAAGGTGGTGGAAGGATTGGAATGGAGGATATACATCATCCGCGTACGGATGGTCGATCTTGACTTGACGACGTTCAAGCCAGAAAGCGAGGCCTTAGTCATGACTAGCCGACCAGTACTGGTAATAGGTTTGACGAAAACTCGAAGCTTTGGAAAGTTATTCTTGTTATTAATTCAATGTCTGACATCCATGTTAATGGTGCCGTATATCCCATCCTAGATTGTCCACCATGAAACTCTTATACTCCAGACAAATAAAGCACTCCATGCCACTCCTTATGTACGCCGTTGACAATGCTTGTTCTGTACAAAGGTCGATCCTCAAAAGCCGTCTTTCTTCTACTCAAACGTCATCGACATCTCCTTTTCTTTTCCAAACTCATCGTCGTCGTCTGCCCATGCATTGCGTTCATAAGACATGGGAGTGTTGTTGGACACCGATCGGTTAGACACAGGCATCGTATTCGAAGATTGCAGCGCAGGTCTTATCGGGAACTGTGATGCTGTGGGAGAGAGCACAGGCGACCCATGTGATGAGAGTTTGCGATCTCCAAACGTAGGACGGGGCCTCTCAGGGCTTTCAAACGTCATTGATATCTCAGAGTCATGCTGCGCATTGTACTCGAATTCATCGTAATCGTGTTGCTTAGCTTTACCATTCTCCACGGTTTGAGCAATGCTACTGCTCGAGGAGTCTCTAGCTCCATCTGAGAAGCCACTAAAGCTCTTGGTTTGTCTCAAGAAGGGCGGGCTCTTCAAACTGTCGCCAACAGCAGGATTGGCTGTAGTGTCGATTTTCATAGGTGGTAACGTTCCTTTGATCTCTTTGATTTCGATGCCCTGCGCTGCCAATGCTGCTACCTCATGTTGGAGAGCATCAATGTCGAAAAGAGTTCCAAGATTTGTACCGTCAGCGGCATCTTCGGCGGGTCCGGCCTTGATCTTCTCGTCGTATGTTTCCCACTCCTTCTTCTCGGCGTTCTTCTTGTTTCGGCTGAAGAGTGCTTTGAAGCCCTTCTTCTCGGGTTTCTTTTCAAGTGCCTTTCTGGCCTCTTCGATCTCATTGATGAGCTCTCGCTGTCTCTTTTCGTGGTTGTCCGGATCGGGGTCCTCGATTTCTGAGAATTCCTCGCTGTCGACTACCCAGCCAACTTCCTTGAGAAGCTTCGGCATAGCTTTACGATATGCCATGTGACCGGCAACAGTTTCCGTTACATTGTAGTTTTCAACACCAGGAATATCAACCGAAGCCAGTCCAGCAATTCGCATGATACCTCCCGCAGTAGCACGGAACAAGTAACCCAGGATCCAGTCATTTGTCGCATAGCCATTGACGAATCGACCAGCCACGACTGATTTAGCCTTGATATAATCATCCTTCTTGAAAACCACTGGACTACCGAAGACGTAAACATTCTGGACGATGTCATATGCTCCGCGATTCGCAAGCTCTCTCAGACAGGCGTAGATGACACGAGAGCCGAGAGAGAAACCTACAAGCGTGACAGGTCGAACGCCCAAATTGCGATCAATGAGCGAGTCAGCGAGAATCAGACCTGCCATGTCAGCGCGAGCCATTGATACACTCCAAGGGTTATCGATAAGGTATGATAATTTCGTGAGCACAAGTGGCAGCGACATAGCAGACATCAAAGCAGTGAGAAGTGTACTGCCAAGAATTTGTTGGAGTCCTTGGGTGAGAGCTTCGGTCGCAAGAATGTTGATGGTTTGACCCATGCTTTGCAACATCTCTGGCTCCCAATGCACACTGTAGATATCGCCCATGATAGGATTGACTGTACTGAAAGGTAGACGGACATCATCAACCTTGCCTGTCATCCATCCGGCTACAGTGACGATCAAGTTGACACGCTTGTTATTGTGAAGCGGCCGATACTCAAATGTTTTTACGGGACCCGTTCGCCTGTTGCTTGCACGTACGGCGATAGTGCCTCCAGTGGTAACACCGATAGAAGTGATAAGGGCTGCACCACCGACACCTCCGAGGAAGGTACTCGTTCCAGCGACACCGATAGTTGTGAAGCCAGCAGCAAGACCAGCACCAATGACGGGTGCTAGCAGACCAGCACTCAAACCAATGACAAGACCACCACCAACGGTGGCCAAGCCCATCATGACCAGTCTCCTATTCCGTGCCATTTTCTGACGCTTGTCGGTGTGTTCTTCTTCGTTCCAGTTCTCCTTGTCAGCTTCTTGCTGCATCTCCAAAGCATCTGTAATTCGTTTCTCAAATCGGCAAATCTCGAGCCAGTCTACTGACAGAGCGTTTCCAACCAATTCTAGCAGAGCTCTAGAACGACCGTCATATATACTGTCAGCAACTAGCACCAGGAAAAGATCACACAGAACGGTCCAGCGGAGGTCGATATCAATGTTCTTCGTATCGGGTAGCTCGGATGGGTCTTTGACAGAGTAGTCTGGAGGTATCTCTTCCTCGTACGGCGGAGGTATTGATGGAGTTGATGGACCGCTCAGGTTTGGCGAGCGCAAAGATTGGGAGTCTGAAAGTTGTGGTGAATCGGTAGTCTCATCCTTGGGTTTTGTGGGATTCTTGACCCGAGCGTTCTGCATCAGGGGACCTGTTAGATCTGCAGGCTCTACGCCGTGCTCGGCCAACTGTTCTATCATGATCTGCTCTGCGGCATTCAGATCCATGTGGCTGTAAAGGCGAACCATCATCTTCTGACCCCACATCTGCATCGACTCGATTGCGACATCGAGTTGCTTCTTTGTGGATCGGGTCTTCTCGAGTCCTTCGAGGTACTTTGTCATCTGGTACATGGAGACACGTACAAGACCAACATATGCGATACGTTGACCCTCGGTGAGGAGATCTTTCGTAGCCTGCATCTGTGACAGAACATCACGGCTATCGTCCTCGTCCAAGGTGTTGGCACCAGCGTCAGGCTTGAAGAGATAGGCTGTATCTTCATCCAAACTTGTAGCAGATTGAACATCATCGTCAAGCTGGACTCTTGTATACCCCTTAGCAGCAGCGTTTCCGTATGCGTAGTCCTCTTCCTCAAGTTCGGCTACCTCGCGCGCAACGACTTTACCCCAATCATCGTATATGGTGTGCGTCGCAAAAGCGGGCATCTCCTGCCAGTCCAGCTCGTTCTCGTCGGTTTGTTTATTCTCAACAGGGCCTGCTGTGACAGCTTGATGTGACCATTCGGATGCGCCAATGATGGGTTGTGAGAGCGAGTCGGAGTTTGCGGCTATGACAGCCTGCTGAGCCTGGTCTTGAACAACAGGTTCGCCTTCAGTAGACGGGTTTGCGGTTGTTGGCGGGCTGCTGATAGGTTCCATGGCAGAGGCCGTGGGTTGCGCATGCTCGTGTTGGTCGGGAGCACTAGGCTTCGGTATTGTCGAATCGATAGAAGGAGGGGCCTCCTGAGTCACTGGAATGTTTGTTGGCTCTTGCTCGGTCGCATTGGGTTCTGTGAGCATTGGCGAAGGAGCATTCTTGTCGGTGTCGTCTTCTTCGTCGTAAGTTCTCGTCCTGGATGGTCGGATAGGGAGGCCGAACTCATCGACCTTGGGCGAAGGAGGGGCTCCATTGGTGGACGAGTCGGGGAGTTTGTTGTCGGGCATTATGTTGGGCAAAGGTCGCCAGGCCGGGCGATGGTTGAACCACGTCTATACTTCCATGACACGTGCCTGTCTACGAAGGGTCAAAAGATGGGATTGCGAATCGTCTCAAGGTTCTTGCCCTTTCCGGAATGCAAGCCACGCACGCCAGTCGGCAGCCTTCCCCGCAATTCCGACTGCGACAAGTCAACTCTAAATCTTTTGCGCGCCTGCTTTTTTTTATTTATACCATTCTGTTAATTCCATCAACTCATTGTCGCAATCGCTCCTGCCTTTTGATTCGAGCGCCAATCGAATCACCACTTCCTATCCGACACAGCAACCAGATCGTTCCTCACAGATACCTCCACCATGCGCGGCAAACGTTCAAAGCAGTACCGCAAGCTCATGCACCAGTATGAGCTCTCGTTCAACTTCCGTGTCCCTTACCAGGTCTTGGTGGACGCAGACATGATCAAGGATACTTTTCGCTTCAAGATGAACCTGCCTCTCTTCCTCGAGCGTACTCTCCATGGACAAGTCAAGCCCAGTATGTTTTCACAACTACCATTCCATTGTCGCAATATAAAGACTGACTTCCAAAAGTGATCACACAATGCTCAATACGCCATCTATACACCGCCGACGCCCCTGATGCCGCTGCTAAGAATGCCTGGATTGATACCGCAAAGTCCTTCGAACGCCGCCGTTGCAACCACCACACTCTCGATGAGCCTCTCTCGACATTGGAATGTCTGAAATCTGTTGTCGACCCGAAAGACAGCAGCACAAACAAGAACCGTTACGTCGTCGCCAGTCAAGATCAAAAAGTCAGATCCGCCATGCGCAGAATTACTGGTGTACCACTCATCTACGTCAACCGAAGTGTCATGATCATGGAACCTATGGCGACACAGACCGAGGAGTTCAGAGAAGCAGAAGAGATGGGCAAGGTTAGAGCTGGTCTGAAGGGCAGACGAGGTGCCGTTCCCGAGCAACCTCTGAAGCGCAAGAGAGAAGACGACGATGACGAAGATGACGAGGGCGAGGCAACAGAAGGTGCTTCTGCCGCAGACGCTGAAGCTGCTGCGCCAAAGAAGCGAGTCAAGAAGGGTCCGAAAGGTCCCAACCCTCTCAGTGTCAAGAAGTCGAAGAAGCAAACGGCGAAAGAGGAGGCTGAGAAGCAAGCCATCAGAAAAGCCGCAAAACTCGATCCGCAAGCAAAAGAGAAGGCTCTTGACGCAAGTGTTGCTATCGAGTCAACGGCAAATGACGGGTCAGAAGCTGCAGGCAAGAAGAGACGGAGAAGAAAGCACAAGACTGGTGGTGATGCTGCAGCTAACCAGGCTGACGTTAACGGTGACGACGCTTCTGCGGTTGCTATGGAGGTTGATGCATGAGTTGAACTTTTTTTTAGAGATACACCAATCACACCTTTTCGGCATGGAAGGAGGTTCTTCTGCTTTGCACCCTACATTTCCGAACAAGCATCATCGTCCCTGACCTGGTGAGCCACTAGTTAAAAACATTCTGGAACCACTAATCAAGGTTGCTTGAAGCTTTCCATTGCTGGACATCAGAATAAATTAACTGGATATGAGAACAAAATCGAGATCGCTGGCTGGTATAGTATGAACAAAAACGCCTAGCTTCCAAAAGCCAAAAAGAACGAATAGACTTCAGCATAATTACTGGTCTGGATATCTTCTCAAAAACGCCTGTCCCAATATATTGCATGTTCTCTTTCTTCTCACCACAATACGAACGCGAAGATGGCCACAAGCAATGGCAGTGTGAGAGACATTGGCGAATGTGGCGTAAAGGCAGGTAGAGCGCTACTGCTCAGGTTTCCAGTCGCATAGACGAGTTGGAAACTCAAATCTGACGAGTTGAAGCAATTCGAGGCGTTTACTTCTGGTACGTCGGCTGGGTCTGCTAACGTCACATCGGCACACTATTACGTCGCATCAGTAAGGGATTATCGGATTCGGCCTGGCTGTTACTTACATTGTAGATGGCTGCACCGTGCTGAGCGAGCTCTATGACTTGGATTGTGACGTTGTCGCCGATGTTAAACGTTACGCCTGGTACGAGCGGTACTTGAGGTAGACAGAAAGAGCCAGGGTATTCGACATTCGTAGGACCGGTGATTTGGAAAGGTGCGACTACCGGATGAGACATGTTTGGTGGTGCAACCTCTCCTGGGCCGTTGATCCCAATATTGACATAGAACATGGCTGTTTTATGACCTGGAGAACGTTAGTCATGTGTATCTTGCAACGTGATCTGAGCTGCTCTTGCCCTGAAACCATCCAGGCTGGAGAGCCACCGCGCCGCCGGAGACTGGCCATAAGCTTCTATTCGTACTCATCGGCATGCCTCCACATGGATACATCCACTGCTGACTGGTTTGGGAAGAATGGATCAGCATAGCGGTATCATGTTCATATTTGGTTTGCTCACCCGTAAGGAAAAGTCTTTTGGCCATCGACACAGTTCTCTCCTGTGGCTGTCATATCGTATTGAGGTTCTGTGCCGTTGGTGATGAGGTTGTTGCCACGCCATGGCGGATATGTGATTACTAGAAAGTCTTTAGCGAGATAGATCCGTGAAACTCCAGACACTACCAACCAGTATGCGCCAGCACAATAGCTAGCTGAAGACCAAAGGCGGCAAAAATCGTGAGTATGCCCTTCATGGCGATTCTGGATATGTATTATGGTAGCAGAAATGCGAATGAACAAGATGAGAGAAAAAAGTATTTGTCCAAAGGAGTTTGCAGCATAGATTAGTCGTCGAGTTGTTACCTGCTTTATCTCCTGACCACTGCTCATCTTGAATTTAGTGTGGCCGCGAATCAAGGAGTTCACTAAACTTACTACTTGGTGTGGTGCACACTGTACCTCGATAAGCAATTAAGGAAGTACAGCACTCTCACATGTACCCAATTGGCATCTACGTAGCCTCTAATCTGAGTGGACGAAAACTCGCCTTTTGAACGTAAGAAGGTCCGGACTAGTTGACAGCGTTGGTAGAAGGAAGAAGAATCTGTATATTAACAAGTTACTTGACAGTGCTGTGAGCCATCACCTTGTACAACCGTCACAATCGGCTCCAAAAATGGGCCTCATGGAAAACGCCAATTGACACCTTGAAGGGCATTGTCCCAAACTCCGAGCACTTCTCAATCCAGTATATAATGATATCTCTTGTACAGCCTTGTCTGTTGTTACCAGATCCCAAACGCGAAAATGGTTATCGCCAGCGGCAGTAGGACGTAGAGTGGCGACAGCGAAGGTTCCATCGGTGGCGATGAGGCGCTGGTGAGGTTTGCGGTTGCGTACATCAACTGGAAGCTGAGATCGGAGGAGTTGTAACAGTTCGCGCGGCTTACTTCGGGCACGTCTACTGCGTCAACCAAAGTGACATCGGCGCACTGCGGTCAAAGTGTCAGTGGTAGGCAAGGCTTTGAAGGAGGGGGAGACTGACATTATAGATGGCAGCGCCGTGCTGTGCGAGTTCGACGATCTGTAGAGTGATATTATCCCCAACGTTGAAAGTCATTCCCGCAGGCAAAGGGACCTGCGGCAGACAGAATGCCGATTGAGGGTATTCATCATTGGAGGGTCCGGTGATCTGAAAGGCAGGCACGACGTTGAAGGACATATTCTGAGGAGCTAACACTTTGTCAGTGTCTTGTTCGGCTGCTGTCCAAACTCACTATTATTACTGACCCACTTCTCCAGGCAGTTGGATGCCAACGTTGACGTAGAACTGAGCGTATCGGTGGCCTGTAACAAGTTAGACGATGTTTTGTAACGGATCCTGAGGCGCCTACCTTTGAACCACCCTGGCTGGAGAGCGATAGCACCACCATTGACGGGCCACAAACTCCTGAGAGCAGATGTCAGTTTGGCTTGGTTTTATAAAGGACATCCTCGAATTACCTGTTGGTGCTCATCGGCATACCGCCACCTGGTTTCTGTCAGTTCTATCTATAAGAATCACGATAGCAATAATTCACTGACAAGGGTATTGCCATTGCATGCTTTGTTCGAGCCAAGTCAGCTTCGTCAACACATCCGCTAACTACGGTCCGGCTTACCCATATGGAAACGTGTAGGAACCATTGACATAGTTAATACCCAGCGCGGAGGCATCATGCTGTGGCAGAGTGCCATTCGTGTGTAAGTTGTTGCCTCTCCACCCCGGATACGTGATTACTGAATGTAGTTCAGCTCAGGTCGCGTCGAAGTTGGTAAAAGACGTACCAGTATGAGCATGAACGAGGCTCAAGTTTACCGCCAGAACGGTAACGATTGAGAAGATGGACAACATTTTGACGAAACGCAGCTCACGCAAGATCGCACACCGGGATAAGGAGGGGTTCTTAACGAAGGAAGAGAAAACAGCGGAGAGCGTAGCGACTCCATAACTTATCGGCTCTTACAGGCGGCGCTGTGTGACCGAGATGCAAGTATCGCACCCTAGTATATGCCTTCGAATGTGGTTGGCCATTCATAGGTCAAGGTGAGGCGATCCCGCATGGCCATCATACCCGAAACGGCTAGCGCGCACCCTGTAAGCGCCGACCTCACATGTCGTCTCCCGTGTGACTACGAGGCTTACTCCCATGCGACATTGCCATCCATTCGAGTGTCAATGGTCCAGAAAGCTTTCATATCCAGTTGTTGGAGTTTTCTGATGGCGTAGTACTAAATTGTCATGGCTCAGAAACTGGGAGTCGACCGCGTTCTGCGGGCTCTTTTATGTGCTCCCAAGACTTCACCATGCGTTTGACAATTGGATCTTGATGACCGCTCGTGCTGACGGTCAGTCAACATTTACTTTGCGTTCCCTGCGCCGCAGACGAAGAGCGTTCGCGCAAGCATTTGCCGCCAAAGTCATATATCGTACATGCACTTTCAAGAAGTAAGTGGATACGCTCGCATCTCATGACATTCAAATGTTTCACAACCGTTGAGATCTGCAGATCGTGCGAGCTCGAAGTGACTGGTAGAACAAGTAAGCAACAGCTATAAAGATTTGACGTAAGGTTGCTCTCTTACGTGGCGCTTGTTTCGATCTCCGCTCTTGTATTTACCTTCTTCCACGCATCCTTAGACCAGTATGGGTGAGCAGAGCTCTTCAAAAAGAGCTTCTGCTGCGCCGAAATACATCGGAGCAAAGCGGCTGCCGCCATGGGAGCTTGTAGACTTACCACAACTGCCACTTTCGACTTCCAAGGAGAGCAACAACCATGAGCAACTCCGATCTGGCAAAAAACTTGTTGGTCCACTTCAAAATGACCGATCGACATACCAAGGTACGCGCACTTCGCCTCTTTGTGATTAAGGCTCCTGGGTGATATCAGCTGCAAGGCTTAGTAGCTAACATGACAGTGAGGTCAGCAAGTCAGTCGAACAAGCCATCCTACTCGGAGTCTGAGGGTTCTACCAGACCACTCCCTGGCACCATGTCGAGTCGCCGTGTCCAAGCTAAACTTCAGGAATGCGTTGCAAAGGATGGGCAGCCTATGCGGCTCCAAAAAGACGATGTTGATTCGTCTAGATCTTCCCTGTCGCCAAGTGGTCGTCTCACATCCGCAGTCAGAGATCTCTTCCGGAAAGACAGTGTTGACGAGAGCCAACTCGAGGCCGTTGACCAATGTCATTGGGCAGAAGACTGAACGAGTTGTTTAACAATGTTTTTTGACTTCGACTCGATCATATTCTGGTCTCGAAATGCCACCGGGAGGGAGATAACTGCCTGTGACAACCTGGCTTTGTTGCGTATTATAGCAGTTTGGTGGCTTGGAGAGAGGTAGCGCAGCCCTTCAAGACAAGGTTTTCGAATCGGACAAGCAAATAGAATTTGGTAGTGACAGAATCAACACCGGTATCCCTACTTCAGATGCATGTGTCCGAGCTGGATTCGGATGATTTTGGCCATGTGCTTTGGATGGGAGCGTTGACTTGTTGCTCCTCTGAAAACCTCGCGATTGTATAATAGTTGTTCAGGGGTAGTCGCGGAAGTCTGTCGACACCTATATCAGCAAGTGCGATACCCCGTGACTCTCTGCTGGTTTCTTGCAATCTCACTCGGTCATCTCGAGTAGTGTCCACGGAAGGTCGCCAAGCTTAAACTAATTGTGTCTAACTCATTGTGCGCGATTGGCTACCTTCATACCGATGATGCATAACTTGCACAACATTCGGTGCGAAAAGCGCATCAAGTAGGCGCGTGCAGCGGTGAAAATGATACGACGACGAGGTGGTGAACATGTGGTTTGATGAGCACGCTGTATGTATCCTTAGCGTGTCGGTTGGGCCGCAACACAGGATTCTGCCACGTCGACGGACATGGTCGTTTGCCACACGAGTGTCTAAACAAAAGGCAAAGTGCAGAACCGAGACAAGAGATCAATCGCTGTCGAAAAGAGATTCGAGCATCTGGACTGCATAAAAACCGGTATCTGGTAAGTGTCGCATGGACAGTGGGAGAGTGAAGTGTGTGCGGGCGAGGGAGTCTTGTGCTGCTCCAGCCCCACTCGGGCATCGGCAAGCACTTTCAGTGGATGTCGCTCGGTGGGCTGCACCCACCACGAACGAGCGCTGACGACTGCCAACTTCTCGACCTCTGTCGCTCTTCCACTCGCAACGACTCTGCTCCTCCTCTCTCCAATCGCTAACCTGCAGCTGCCTGCTTAGCGTCCCGACGATCAAGCCCTGTCTCTGGCCTGTCTTGCCTTGAATCCCCCGAGACTCCCACGCCTTTTCCTCGTCCGCCCCTGCTTGCGAAAGCGGCCCAAGGTTTTCTCCCACCGCTGTTCATCCATCATTCCATCGACACCTGTTCTATCCGTATTGCCGTTACTTGCGCCGTCGCGCACAGGACTTGATCCCATATACCAGGCTTGTTTCCCTGCCCTCGGACTTGTTGGAACAGGACCGCTCTTCCAGAGTGTCACACCCCGTTAGGCTCCAGACCACGGACTCCTGAGTCCATACCACCCAGAAGGATATCCGGATTGTTTTTTGCAGTTTTCTCTTGCTGTTCTACTCCATAACCATGGCCGGAAGTATATTGCGAAACTGGTTCGTGCCCAAGGATGGCATCAACCGCCAGGTCATCTCTGCAGACATACAGAAATATCTAGGCAACGATGCGACCATCCGTCCAGGAAAGGACAAGGTCAACAATAAAGAGGTAGGAAACACAATGTGACATACGCGATATATGGCTTGAGGAGCAAGAGAAGGACGTGACTGACACACAACCACAGATCGAGGGTTACTGGATCAAAGCATACAGAAATCTCACTTCAGTACGTCTGTCCGTTGGACTCCCCTTCAACCTGGTGCTGACAGGTATACCAGGAAATGATCAACGACCTTCGAATGGCCTCGACGAAATGGGAACAAGAACAGCGTTCCGGCAGAAGAGGTACGTTGTCCATGGAGCCGCCATCCAAACCTTCATACCTAACATGCTCCTAGGCGCCTACGAAGATTCACACACATACAGACAGGCTACCAACACTGGACCTCCTAACGGTAACGGTGCTTATCGCGCTAGCACAAACTCACCTCAGCTTGACGGAGCCTACCTTCCTCCTAATGGTCATGTTCCTCCCCATGTTGCCCAAAGGATCCCCATTCCGGACATGGCTTCTTCCCCTTATGAGGATCCCAGATCCCGGATGTATGGCCTCCCTCCACACTCCGGCGCTCCTGTGACCACAGGTTTTGGTGACCCTTCCATGTACGCTTCGCACCAACCCAGGCAGGCACCTAACGGATACGCACCCCCTGGAGAGTTCTATAATGGCCCTCCCGGATATGCCCATGATGTTCCGCCACCCCACATGAGAAACCCTCCCCAATATCCTCCTCAATATCCTCCAGGTCACAGAGATCCCAGGGATGAAATTAGATATGCTCAGGAGTACCAGGACCCAAGGGGATACGCCAACTACCCTCCGGTATCTGTCGCGCAAAATGGAGGAGCCTCAAGTCCTCAGACCACAAGGTCGGATATTCGTTGACCATTAATACTGTACCCAGACTGACTTCATCTAGTAACTATCCTCAGCCTCGTATGCCGCCGCAATACGATCAATACGGACGTCGTAAGTCACTTTCCGAGTCTCACATCTCAATGCATCAGTGGCTAACCACATTTACTTCCTGCAGCCTACGCTCCACCAACTCCAATGCCTGATCAGTCTTACACTCGTCCATCGCCCTCTGTGGATTCTTCCTATGGACGTGAACGCCCATCTGCTCCTCCAGGTGCGGACCGTGGCGCACCTCGTCGTAGGATTAACTAGAATCGTGACTGGTTATGTGTTGGTTCCGCTTCTCCATGACGGTGCTTCCGGAGGTCCGTCGCCGCTGTTCTCTGGATCTTTATTCCATGTCTTTGTTACCATTCCGTTGGAGATTTATTGCGCAATGCTTTTCATGGCCCGTCCTCCTACCTTTGGATACTCTCTGGTAGCATTGGTGATTGGCATATATGCTTGACATCCCGATGAGGACAACGATCTTTGGTCACCCTTTCTGCTTGTTCAGTTTTCGCCATCTCAGGATTTGCTCCATCTTTGATTATGGACCGAAGGACTCTGCATCTAGCGCTGGATTCAAGCAAGAAGTAGTTCCAGTCTGCATCTAAGACCACCAGACACTGCACCCCATATGGACAGGACCAGCCTTACCTTTGGAGTTTTGCTTTTCTGCATGACAGGCCTGGCAAGGCTTGTACCCGGCGTTATGCTTTACGAGGTAATTTATTCGCTTGGGACGGGCCAAAAGCTTGGGGTTTCCCAGGCACGATTTCCTTTGCAAGACATATTATGATGACCTTTCTTATGATTGCGCATTGCCATGTTGGATATTGTCTAGGTGCAACCTAGGTCCTTTCCCGGATGGTCCTACGTGTGCCGGAGTGTTTTTCCTTATTTCATATCAACTTACTGCCGAGCAATTCACCATGGACATTTTCTTTCCTTATTTTATGGATTGTTGCGTTATACCACCGGTACAAAGCTCTTTGTGGATTTTATATACGCGCTCGAGTCTGTTTGCCTTGTTCTCGTGTTTATTCATCAAATTACCAATCCGTGGTTGGAGCTTGGTGCAATCTTTCTACAGTTGCGCCTTTGCTTTGACAACCCTGAAGCCCCATCTCGGCGCATGAACTCTGATTTCTTTACCGCCAGTTCTGGTCTGTATGGCAAGTACCACTTCATCTTTGGTTAGCTTGACAAGGCGACCTTGATCCTTGTGTCGGAAGCCGCTATCCGTGGGCCAGAGTGAGACAAGATCGCCTTCTTCGAGTTTGACGGGATCTTGGGCGTCCACACCGGTTTGTTGATCGTGATAAGATGCAGCCATGATGTGTTTGATTGCGGCCTGACCGTCCAACGACACCGTCTTTTTCCCCGACTTTTCTGCTTCCTTGGCTGTTTTCTTGAAACGATTTAGCCATGCCCAAGTGTTTGGGTGTTGGTCTTTGGGGAAGGCTTGCTTGGGTAGCATATCTGCGATCCAATTGAAAGGCCACACGGCTGCGACGAGTTATCATCAGTTTTCCATGCTTTCCACTTCGAACTTGCAGCAGCTGTCTTACCGTGGATGTCTGCCAGACTGACTTTTTCCGTGCCTCCGATCCACTGTCTCCCGTCGGCTAGCAAAGCTTCGAGGATATCAAACGCGTGCTTGATATGTGCCAATGCTTCGGGATAACCCTTTACACGATCCGCCTGCGTCCAAGAAGTACCCGTAAAATCCTCTCTGTCCTTCAAAAACTTCTCGTCTTTCATGACCGGCAAATCCGGCGGCAGCGACTGCGCCGCCTTTGAAAAGATTCCAGCATCAACGGTAAACTTCTCAAGCAGAGCTTCCAAGCCTTTGTTTTGGGGCGCCGATAGAGCTGGATATGAGGGAGTAGCTGGGAAGCTTTTTTCCAGTCGGGCTAGGATTAGACGGGTGTCGTAGTAGATGTCGCGGCCGATGGAGAGGAGGGGGATGCGGCGGTAGTTGATGCCCAGTTCGGCGAGGTCGGGGCGTGGGAGGGTGAGGGGTTGGATGCATTCGGCGTAGGGGATGTTGCGGAGTTTGAGATACCAGACTATTCTCTTTGCGAAGGGAGAAAAGGGGTAGTGGAAGAGGATGATGTCGTTGGGGACTTCTGTGGACGACATTTTGGTGTTTGATTGAGTAGTCTCTGGGAGGAAGATGGCTGATTGAAGTATGCTATTGACATGCTGTTTGATGAGCCGAGGCCCTCGGCGTTGTTTTCTTGTCTATCTCGTCTATGCACTGAGCTCTCGTGCTGTAAGTCTGTACACGATTTTCAATATATCATAGAAACCCTCTATATCCTTCAAAGTCTCGAAATCAGTCGCGACTCCGACGCAATCGATGTGTTGCTTTGTTAATTCCTCGCTGTACGGTTAACCCTGACCCTGACCCTGAGGCTGTTCTTTGTGATGGTGCGGGGTAGGGGTCGTGGGGGTCTGCAGAAATACGAGGCTTACGAGGCTTGTAGACCAATCTAGAAGCGACAAGAGGCTTGCAGGTTGAAACCGTGTCTGTCTGTCGCATACCGCTCACACCTTGGAGAACTTGATGCTACACCAGTCTGAGGAGCTGAAGTATGACGTGGAGATATATCATAAGACCAATAGGTGTGATCGATTCTCGACAGCTAGGGTGGCAGATGACTGAGGGCATGACTACCAAGGTACGGGTCTCTCGGCACGGAACCGATCAGCAACCGGATCTCTCGGACCCCGAGTTCGTGAGGGTCAAACTGCTCAGGCACCCCAGAGATCATGAAAATCACAGCCAAAGGTGAGTACAAGTAGGGTCGCAAGGCGGTAGGAGAGTGCCACTGTCTTGGGTTGTGTGATAACAGAGACGGCCGTAACCATATTTGACTGCAACAAGCTCCGAGTTATTATTGGGCTTTGTCTGACCGGCGCGCGAAATAAGGTACGAAAGTCGTCGTCACCTGCAACGAACGTCAGCCCCTACTTGTTGTTTCTTTGACACTTCCCTTGCCTCTTTCCTCTTTCTCCAAATCCATCGGCTCAATTTACACTACACTGCAAAACCATCCCACCTTCGACATAACCAACAAATCCACTATTCTGACAATCACCACAATGCTCGGCCGCACAGTCGGCGCGCTCGCCGCCCTCTCAATCGGCGCAAACGCCATTCTTTTGCCGCCCGGCATCAGCAAGATCTCCGACTCACGAAGCGGCGCTCTCGGTCTCGCCCTCGACCCCAAATCGCAGGCCGTCAAGGTCCACTGCTCTGGATGCGCCTTCCCCTCGCCCCAACAGGAGTCGGTTCAGGAGAAGGGAGATGATGATATTGTCTGGATCCAAGGCGGCTCTAAAGATGTCATCTTCAACTTCACCGTCGACGACAACAACAAGGACCTCTTGTTGAACGGTGTCAAGGTCTACCCCGTCGACACTTTCTCATTCGCCGAGCCTACCGTTGGCCAGATCCACTCATCAGCTTCCCTGGCCGACATCAAGAGCCACCCCGAACAAATCACACCTCTGCGCGTCTCATCGGCTGGCATGCAGGTACACAAGGAGACCATCTCCTCGGTCAACGACATGCTGGTCAGCATCAACTACCAGATCAGCGAGCTGGAGTCACAATCAATGGCCGTTGATGGCGTCGATCTTAAGCTCCTCGAGGGTGCGGACGGTTCGCTGATGATCATCTCGGTCGATGCTGCTCCCATGAAGCACATGTTCGATGTCATCACTCCTCCTGGTTCGGCATCCAAGGAGTGCAGCATGCTTCCTGCCTCTCTCTGCAAGTGGAAGTCCGTCGTTGAGGACAAGATCTCGGGCTTCAAGCCTGGCATGCCCCACGCTTTTGGCGGCTGCGGCGGTCGTGGTGGACGTAAGCCTCCTCACAGACTCCCCGGTCACATCAGACCTCACTTCGACAAGCCTGCTGATGGCGAGGTTCGACCTCACCACCCCCACGGCCCTGGCGATCACCCTCACCCTCACCCTCACCATGGCCCTCACGGCATGCACCGCGGACCTCACCACGGCCCCCACCACCACAGACATCATCACTTTTTTCCCGCTTTCGTTCACGCCTTTGTTGCTGTCCTGATCCCCGTTATGGCCGGTGTGACTATGGGCATGTTCGTCAGTCTTATTGGCATGCTTGTCGGCCGTCTGATCTCCTTCATGTGGATCAAGTTTGGCCGTGGAGGCCAGCGTGGTTACGCCAGTGTTGCCCAGTCCGAACAAGACACCGAGAATGCCGAGAAGGGTGTTGTCGTTGTCGAGGACATCGCTGACGAGGAGCCCTTACCCAAGTACGAGGATGCTCCCGCATACGATGAGAAGGATCGCCAGTAGATGTGTCCTTTGACCACGACCGCTCGCCTCTTGTCTTTCTACCCTCGCGAATTTCTTATCGCAATTATGTTATCTCCTTTGTACTCTAACCATTCACGCCGGGACGGCCGGCCCGCCTTTCACTTTATCCCTACCAAGTCTTGCGTGTTTTTCTTACATAGCTTTCCACTTGCCGCTAGAGGTTCCAAGGGCGTTGACGATACAAATTGAAACCCACCTGCATACATAACAAACTAGTCCCCTTTTCTCTTTGCCGCGTGAACATGTTTTCCTCACAAAAAATGCCGAAAGTCAAAAAGATTAATAAGTTCTTCCTTTACGGCCGTTAGGACATGCACGATATTTCATCTGAACTTCCCCAGCTGCCCTTCGGGATATGTAATGTGCGGATTCTTCAGGGCTAGCATCTTCTTAGCTGCATGAAAAAAGCGCCCCAAAATGCAATGCATGGCGATGCAAGAGCAATATCGAACTGGCCTCTCCCCAAAAGGCATATTGCACATACTTCGGTACAATGCACGAGCAATATATCTCTACCTTGGCCTGGTTCTTGCGTTTCTTTGTCTTTGTCGCATTGCGCGCATAACGACATGGTGCGCATACCGACATCGCACGCATATGACTTATCGAAGAAATATGTTTCTTTGGGGCTAAAATGATGGGTTTTGTTTTCTTCATGTCTCGAGGCGAATCTTGGTGCCCCGAGACATGATCGGGGAGATGGTATGTTTGTACCCGTGTAGATGTTTGATTCGTATGCAGTGAGATCGAGGGTTTCGAGTTTCCTGGAGGCTGGTTCGATGGGATAGATTGTACTTGCTTGCTTTGTATGCGAGATTGAGTGGTTGCAGTAGGACTCGTGTCATGTGTGGTAGGCTCATTCGAATTATCTGCAGACATCTCGTCCCGGGTGTAGATAGGTAAAGTACGCACTGCAAGATTTGATGATATGTATGCCAGTGGCTGCAGGAGGGACTCGTACCAGTGGTGGTATGTTTACCACATTATCTGCAGCAAGATCGAGTGGTGACCCCGGTCTTGCAAGCAGTGGAAAGTGCTGTGCTGCAAGACTGATTGATAAACTACTCGGGAAAGAGCCCAAAGACTGATGAGAGATAGAGATCGACGATCGGTATCTTGGTTGCAGAGCAGGAAGGTGCATGCGTGGAATTGTGGATGGTGACTGCATGTTCTGCTCGAATGTTCAGCTGACCACGATGCTACAGGTCAAATCAACAGCATGTGAACCGGAAAGAACGATGGTTGATTCATCACTCTCAACCAGTTCTGCTCCAAAGATCTGCATCGCGACACTCTCCTGTCCAGCAAGTGGTGTGTGTAGAGCGTAGGTTATCGCAGACATGGATGTATTTGCATATCCAAGACCCACATTCGATTGAAGATTCTAAGAGGTCGTCATCAAGTCTGCAAGCCTTGCACTACGCCGTGGTTGCATAGAATCTCAAGGGTTGAAAGGTTGGTCGCATCACGAGCGAGTACGGGCGAGCAAGAAGAGCATGTGGTCAGAGAAACAAAGATTCATGTCACAATCAATTTTACTTTCTGCTCCACGGCCGGCACTTCCTCCGCGTGCGTGCTCATTGCTCGGTGTCAGTCAATGGTCCATCTCTGCCGTAAAGAGTAGGTTCGCATCCGATCGATACTAGCTAACGCAAGTGCCGTGCTCAAGCTACAGTCCCCTTTTGTTGAGCTAGACAGTGGTCCAGGGTCTTTTCCATGGCTTTGCTTCACGAAACTTTGCATAGCACGTCTGGAACATACGGTGTGTTGCCAGTGTTGGTTCAGATCTGGAAGATCTAGCTGATCTTTCCATTAGCCAAGGGACGACCGCCGTTCAAATCGATCTTGGTGGTTAGGTCGATCGGTGAGGTGGCTGGTCTACGACTGCTCGTCTTTCTGGGACTTGGGAGATATGGAAAACGATAGATTGCTCTGGACTCTGAGTGCGCCACTGTCTGTAGCGTACTCTGTTTAGCCCGGCGATTTGCCTACACATCCGCGAGATGCTGCTCCGTAATCTCGTATCGACTCCATTGATGAGTCTGCAATGTGGTTGAATATATGCGTTGCCATAACCGGGCGGTAGAGGATTCACGGCGCCGCTAGGGCGTGCAAGAGCAGTGCTGTACACTGCATGCATACAATGATCCGTGAGATGCATGGCTGGTGGGGATGTATTCTTTAGCATAGACCGGGAGAATTACCTGGACATGTTCAGAACCTGTGCTCGCAGCACTACGACTTGCTTACGTGTGACCCTGCGTGCACATCGGACATAGGAGGCGGCAAAGGACGGTAGACGGCAATTGTCGAGGGCTTGAGTGTTCGTCGTGGTCCGTCGGTTCTCCCTGGGAGTGTCAGTGCCGGACAGACGTTGGAGTTGGTCTGGTCTAAGCCGGCGCCAGCACCTGCAGAACCACGATCTGAAGTGGGGGCATTGAATGTAGATCTGCGTGAGCATTCTATGGCTGCGGAAAGCGCAGACGGCAGTCACGATAGACTGTGCTCACCAAGACCATTATCCAGTTATGTCGCAGCCGGGCTCTCGTCGTTGCAATTGGTTTGTGGGCCGTTATGTGGACACTCGGCATGTTGAATGTTCTACTGTTTGGAAAGGCGAGCCCCAGATCTACTTCGAGCACACCAACGAGTCAGCTCGACAAGTTTTGTAACGAAGAGCAGCACATCATGTCTAGACGCCTGAACGACTATCACACGCAAGGTACCAGCATGAGACGAGTCGAAAAGGCCATCTGGTCTCGACAATCAGGCAGACAGTTCCTCGCTTCAGCTCTGACGCACTGCATGTGTCAATCTGTCATTGTTTATTCTGCGACACTGGAGTATTGTTGCAATCAATGCTCTGAACAGATACGGCACAACAACAGCTGTCACAGGCTAGCCAGAGCCAGGGCTCAATATAGGCAGATTGCGGGACGGTTCGTCACCGGTATGGCCGCGACGGCTCCTGAAGCGTTCGTGCGTAAAGAGCCGGACCTTGGAGGATTTGGAACGATGATATATTGGTGGGAAATTTACCTCGTCCGGTAGTAAGTTGCAATCAATGCTAAGGTTCTGGTTATAGGTCTTGGCTACTGGGTTGTCAGATTGGAGAAGTGGACCTAGGACATTCCACCTATCCATCAATCTGTAACTGTAAACTTTGTTCCTCGACAGTCGCGAGATAAGGTCCAGAACACACATCTAAGACAAATTGCGAACATCCCTGTCTCCTCTCGAATCCTTTGTGTGGATTCCAGGACGTGCCTTTCCCGGTTTACATTGATTGCAGAATATTGCGCGAAGCACCTGTGATCTGCAGATTAATATATTCGTACCACAATCGGTGATCGCGACGCCCGAAGAACGGTGACGCGATGTTGCTTCTTGTCTGCAACTGGGGCCGTGGGGTGTTGTGGCTTGAATTGTTTTTTACCCTTTGCCCTGTGCCGCCTGCGTGCACGGTAAGCAAGCATCAGAGAGACGTGTCAAGGTCCCGCGGACAGCAAAATCCGAAGGTTTCATCTAATTGGAGAGGGTGATGTGACAGGCTACAGCCAGCCGCCCGTCCTTGAAAGAAGACGGTGAGTCTGCAATGGCGGTGACGTTCGTGATTCGTCGTCTGTCAAGAAGGGGAAATGCGTTGGTGTGGTAACACCGTCACGCGCCGGAGGATCAAAAGGCTGTCAAGGTGACAAGTGGCGCCCTTGTCTCGAGGCTGGAATCCTTCTCTTCTTAGTTTCAGCAAGGAGGCAGTCGTCTGTTCTGTTAGTGGCGTAAAATCACGGCAATAAGGTGGAAGGTGCGCGGGGGCTTTTCGACACGGAAAGACGAGCAAGGCGCTCACTAAACACGTACAAAGGACGTTGCACCAGAACACAGGCCAATCAGCCTTTGGACACGATATTGACACCGTGTTGGCGGTCGATGTAGCGAACGGGGGAGTTGTTCGCTCGAGTCATGATGAAATGTCAAGACTCAGGGCAACCCTATCTCCAAAACGTCGGGCCCAGCGCAAAGGACTGGACGGTTAGCGGCCGCTCATGTCCGGCAGCCGAGCCGACTTGCTCGAGGGAAGGCACGGCTGCGCCTCCTTCTTGACCGCGGACTGTGGAGAGTTGGATCTGAACCAAACGTAACGCGACTTCCGACGCGGGTGTGGTTGAGAGATCTCGCTCGCACGTTCGGGCCACGATCTCCCTGACCAAGAACCACACGCTCTCTTGGCGATGAGACCGGGCTGAGCCGGTTCCACTAAGCAATTAGACTTTTCGGCTCTTATTGTGTCCTCACGTTCGTAGATCGTGCGAAATTACACTTGTCACCGTGTCCAGCTGAGTCGGTTTAATTGTCGTTGGTTGTGGGCGCAAAACGGTGTGCACGATTCAATGGAGCCTTGTGCTATTGTGATAAATCATGTTTCAGTCAAAGTAGTCCAACGCAGGATCATCTTGGTTGACGGTGAACGCGTTTATGTGAAGCATAACGTACACAGTGTCTCTACTGAGTCAAGCGACTCGTCGATCTCATTGAGCTTGTGTCTACGCGGAGGGAGCTCCTGATGCGCAATGGAAACCCAGTTTAGACTTGCCAGTCCATCTCACCGACTCAGTCCGAGGAGGGAGGGCATGCTCGTAGCTCGCTCCTTTGTCTTGATTCGTGTACTCTCTACGAATTGCACTTCAGCACCCTGGCAATACCGGCCAAAATCCGGCTTGGGTGGATAGGGTTCAATGACAGGTTCCTACGTCCGTAAGGGTGGAAACTGGAAAATAAACCTTCGACCGCGCTCGTGTCGTGCTGTCAAAAGTGGTCGGTGGTCCCGAGGCGAAGAGAATTTACCAGCAACGTCTGCCACCGAGACCTTCTTCGTTTTAAACTTCCGTAACAGTGTCACGATTGTTCCATGTCGGTGTCATTCCCTGGTTTGGACATCCCGATGACTACTTGGAACAAGAACAAAGACTGGGCGACTACTGTCGCAGCTGTCTGACCAGGTCCTGTCTTACGCAATCTTGCTGATTAGATGACTTCCACACGCTCGCCTATTGACAAATCCCCGCACATAGCCTTTGTGTCGAGCGTCTCACACCGTCCAAGAATAACACACCTGACTCCAGGATGTGAGTGATGTGATGCGTTTTGTGTGTGTATGAATGTAGACATTATAATGTGACGTATATATGTGGATGGGTGTAAAAAGCTGCCGTCAAATCCTTTTGGGTATCTGTGGTTTTCCCCTTGCGTGTTCCAGACCAATTTTATATGCCCAGGCTGCCCTAGCCTCAATTGGGCAGCATGCACCGATATTGCAGTCCCCTTCGTATCATGCCCTGCCATGCCTTCCCTGTTCAAGGGAGGAAAAACTCCGTGCAATGTGTGAAAACAAGATTCGCTGAAACAAATGAAAAAATACGGTTCCAAACAACTCTGCTCAGACGATCATTGCATATCGTCTTCACGGCTGCCAGCACGACTCTTGTCGCGCTTCTCTCTAAGCTCAGGGCATCGCCTTCTGTGGTTGATGAACCAATTGCTGACCTGAAAGATACGTTAGTTGATGCGTCAAGATATGTGATAGCTTTGCAGTCTTACCTGTGTCAAGTTGATGCCAGCAACAGCGGCAAAATGCCTCTTTTGTTCTTCACTGGGGTATGGGTTGTGCATGTTTTCGTCAAACCATCGCTTCATGATTTCTGTCGACTGCTTGGGAAGATTGCTTCTCTTCCTGGACTTTCCATTCTGGTACTCGTAGTGTGATGGAACGAAGAATGCGTGAGAGTAAGGGTAAGGAGCGTTGCCATAGGCTTGAGGGACGTCAAGTCTGGCTACTGGTGGATACTCCTCGCGAGGCATGTTGTTTGCTGGAACAGACATGTATGACTGGCGAGGGGGCTCCACAGCATATCTTTCACGAGAGGGTTGAGGTTGATATTCGCCGTAGCCTGAGTGTCTACGCATGTCGTCGTCTTGCGAAACAGAAGAAGCATTGCTATACATGCTTGAGCGATTGCGAGCAGTCAACATAGGGTCCGAAGTAGGATAGACATCGGAGCGAGGAAGAGCAGGACTCGGGTAAGTCCTTGGCAGATCGGTCCTTTGGACTCTAAGGTCTGGGGAGGCGTGGTGGCTGTGAATAACAGGACTGCGGCTAGAAGGCGTGGGCAGGTCATACTGCGAACGAGGTCTCGTGTCCTCATGACGGGTTGGCATGTAAGGAAGGTTTTTAGGGGCGGTCTCGGTGAAAGTTCTCTCTGGAGTACGAGCGTCCCATCCCGAGTCTGTTCGTGTCCTCTTGTTAGGGTAGAGTGATGCTGGTTTGTAGGTGGGCTGATGGTCGTAGATTGGCTCCCTTGGCAAAGGTTGCAGTGAGTGACCTTGAGAGGGAGGAGTTGCTGGAGGGCTCATGCCTGACTCTCCAAGAACCTGTTCATTCATGAGTTCGTGTCTGGGTCAGGAGGCTGATGTCAACTTACCGATCTCAATGAAGGCAACGAAGGCTTGTTGCTTTCACCGCTGTTGTACGGCGGCGAGTGAGATGAGGGGTAACGAGTAGGGTACGATGTCGAAGAGTAGGAGGCATGGTGCACAGGAGCGTCTCTACGAGTCGAATCATGATACATGCCGAAGCTGTGTCGAGGACTGTCAATCAATGTAACGCCGTCCATGTTGTCGATATGAGTGGTGAATTATGATCAAGTCGTTGATGAACCGGGTAGCAGCCGATGGAGTATGGTGTATCCAGCAACAAGGTACAGTCGTTGGGGGAGTCGGTCCAGATGGTGAAGAAGAGCAGATTCCGAGGAATGCCGGATGTTGAAAGAGTAAAAGCAGAGTTTCCAGACTACCAGTCGAATGGGATCACGAGGCGGAGGATGCAAGTCGATTCCCGGGTACGAAAGCACATGTATCGTCCGCTGGTGCTGGACGGGCGGTGCAGCTCTCATGTATAATTTTGGACAGGAAGCACGCTCCATCGTTTCGAACGGGCCTCCCTAGGAGCCGTCAGTGATTGTGCTAGCGGGCTGCGCCAACGACACCAAGCGCAAATCATCGTCGGTGCATTGATCGGGATGGCTTGACTTAGCACGCCGGCCAACCTGTCACAACCGTCCCTGGCGTCTTGGGACGAGGCACCAAAAGAAGACAATGCAAATGCCGACGCCATAGCGGTGGGTAACGGAAGCTCGCGCACGAGCCGTAACCCGGGCGGAGGTTTAGACGCAGCGCCATGCACCGTGATGTATGTCTCGATCGGCTCCCAAAGCTACCTGCTTTGATTATGCTTCTCATCCAACCCATGCAAGGCAGGTTTGTGAAGTTTGGCGCTTCTGCATGCCTGCCAAACCTACCGCAGCGGAGTCTGGCGACGCAGGGTTTTCTTTCCTTGTTGCCATTCTCGTATCTCGACGTCTAAAAGCCCCTGACTTTTTTGTGACGGCCGTCAATCTCATTTTGACTGCCCGGAATGGGAGTGTTGCAATCTGCGCAACCCAGCCGGTGTCTTTTGACCTGTCTCTTGGCATGCCGCCATATCCATTGACTCACAGCCTGTTTCAAACATGCCATATGGTGGTACCAACGAGAAAGAAGGCTGTAGTGTGTAGTGCTTCCCCATGAGCGGCATTCGCAGTCGTCTCCGCGCCCATGCACCGAGACGGTCAACGAGCGACAAGACCCAAGACGCAGCCAGAGTCAACGACTTTAGTCATACACAAGTCATGTCTCCCCGCATACAAGGCGCGCGGCACGTTTGGTATATCAGCACGTTCTAACCTAGATCTGTGACAGGCTGTCAGGTACACATGCCAGCTCGAGTCCCAAAAGTCTAGCGAGTACTTGTAGGGATGAATAGACTCGAGCTGGTGGAAATGTAGGTTAAAGTCATAGCATTCTACAAGCTCCCTCGCTTCATATTGGCCGCTCGTGATGTAACCTTCTCTCCACTAGGCAAATGAGGCTTTGGTCGGAGTGGAATCCCACAAAACCCACCCATGACAGTCGGTCACCTTGAACTAGGGCAAAAGGGAGCTGCAGACCGACCTTGGATCTGCGTCTGCGCGCGCGTCGAATATTGGAACGCACGCAACAATAACGCCGTCACCAGAGACCGATCTGCTGGAACCATTGTCTCTGCCAGTCCTCAGCAGACTGGACGCTCTGTTCTTCTTTTGCGCCGTTCTGCTGCTGGCACACGTCTGAAGCATCAGGTATTTCTGTTCAGCTCTCTGACAAGGATCTTCGAGTCAGCTTTCGTAGGAGCCGGTTTCCAGCAAGGTCTTTCAGAACTAAAAGTGAACCCAAAACGGCGAAGACGCCACAATGGAAGAATGATTTGTGTTTCTGGCGTCTCGCATTTGGGCAGAGTTGACAGTAGCGGCCGCACCACTGACGTGCAGACCAGGGCTCATTCTCTAGAGGCAGTTGCACGACTCATGATGATTTAGATCTATGCATTGACACTCCTTGGCAGATTTATGGCCCCCTGATCAGTAATCCCCTGTCTCTCTGCTCGGAAAACGCACCAAATCCTGAATGGCGCTGGTCGTGATGGATGCTCGGAGCGTTCACACCAATATGGTAGACTGACTTCCAATATAGTGGGTCTTGTTCTTCCCTCCTCGGAGCAGAGGACAAGGGCGCGCTTCTTGCGGCTCTGTACGGTGGTGGCTCAAAACAATCTCTCTTTTTGACAATCTCCATCTGCTTCGGATCTCGTGCCAGCTCTAGCGGCTCTGCATACAGAAGACAGGCCCACTCGTCAATAGTTGATGTTGATCCCATTTTCTACCACGACAGAATAGGCTTCGTGAGACGAGAGCAGATCCTCACAGCGTGGAAATTCGCCGCGACTCCGGATTGTCTTGGCTATCCACTTCGGCCGAATGTCATTCTTCCATACGCGTAGGCAAGTACACCGTACAGCAGACGAGCTGTTGCGAGCATCTACGGATGAGCACGCCGTCGTCGAATTGCGAGAAAAGTCGACTCGACTTGAATCAGACGTTGCACTTAGCGCGCGATATGCAAGTGCCTCCTCTCTCACCGTATCTTGGAGTCGACGCTTGACTGCTATATCGTCCCAACGGGACTGTGGTGTCACGCATTTCCAGCGTCAGCACAGGAATAACGACAACAACGTTGCTTTATGCATGCCTTGTTGCGGCACGGTTCCCAGAAGCCGGTCCAGCAGATTGATTGGATCTCCCGAACGGCAGGTCATTTTGTCGACTGTGACAAGGAGCGGGTGTCCCCGCTTTGATAGGTGCCAGGATCTCCATGCCTTTTCCACTACCAGGGTCAGCCGGCTGCATATGCAGGTTGCTGAGACCTTTTCTATCTTGCGAATGCAGAAGCAAAACCGGGATGGGTCCTATAAATCCTACCAAATATTCGGGCCTCTGTGAACTCACGCTCGCGGGACTATCGTGCCTTGCTCCTGGGAACCGACGACATCCCACAGCCGTGTGAACACGTGCATTACACGACGTCTTGGACATTCCACAGGCATGGGCTGGAAACCCGTGCAGCGTTCTGTTGTTGCATTTCTTACTGTACGCCCACACTGCATCAGTCACAGGTCTCCTTGAACTCCATCCCTCGCCTTTGAACTCATGTAGCATTTCTTTCAAGTGGATCAAAAGACTGTTCAGGTCAGTATGATTTGCAAGAGTCTCGCTTGTACAGGCTGCATCCAAGGTTGGGAGTCATCGACGCATACAACGTCCACCGCTTGCTAAGCAGGGTCTAATGCCACCTAACCGCTCATGCAGCCGGTAAGGAGATGAGCGAACCGCAATCACACGCAACTTGTGTTGCAGGCATGTGAGTTCGATCCATCACCTCCCCCCTTGTTCGAGGCCCATCGTTCTTGCATTTGGCGGCACGACCCGTCAGATGTTGTGTAACGTGCGGAAAAATCAAGTGGAGGGGCCCGATCCCGAACCAAGATGAGGTCTCTCCCTTGCTATGAATGACATGCGACCACAGCCTGTCATTTACCAAAGAACTACCAGACGCCCGGTCGTGTAGAGGGCGCACTGCACGCGTTATTGTTGTCCTCCTCAACATCACAATTTGGTTGTTGCGACTGTTACTCCCAGATGTCCCCAGCACATTGGGGGGGTGACATGTCCGCATGTTCGGGTTGGATGGAGGAGACGCCTTTCCCTATTGCGACATCACACCGCTCTGCGATCTTGGTTTCCTCTCCCTTGGGTTCCGCAAGTGGAGATCTGACAGGCGGCAAGAAGCAAAGTATCCCTGCTGGTGGCTCGCCAATAGTCCACACGAAACACCTCAACCAAAAGACGACGGCAAATCAAGACACCTGCCGTGATCTTCTGGCGTTCCGCGAACTGCAACGCCATCACCTAGGTCCAAGCCTCGAACGATTTCATGCTGTGCAACCCCATCACGTTTCCAGCCCGCTGGGAATCTCGATGATAGGGTCCGGCCCGCCTTGTTGACATCTACGCCGCCATTGATGGATGGGTTCACACAAGAACCATCGGCGGGTCATCGATTCTGGCTGTGCGTGCTTCTTGTCTGTCGTAATGGACGGAGTCAGCCGCATATTGTGATTGATCGCAAAAGTCACAATCTTCATTTATTTCTATGATTCCGACAAGCCCAACCATCTTGCGCGATGAAGCAAAGCAATTTCCGATCCCGGTATCCAGTTCCCACAGTATCGGGTTTTCGATGGGTGTATACCTCCTTCCATTGCTGAAACTTTGCTGTACGATGTCGCTAAGGTACGTGTAGTCACAATCAACTTGTATTTCTTGTTGACGATGGGGGCAGTCTCATCACAACACCTTACGTGATCGCTTCCTTCCGCTCATCTTGTGACTGGTTGATGCAGGAAATGCTACGCCCTCGATCAAGATTTGGCGCAATCTACGATCACGTTCACTGTAAACATACTGCTTGTACACACACTGCTTTTACACATGTAGGTGACAATGTCTTTGTTCTGAATCTACAAATCATGTGAGTCGATGTGGCATTTCGCGCTTTTCGTAGCCAAGTTCGCAGGTAATCGATTCTTTGACTATTCCACTCACCATCGCTCTTTGTTGCGAGAACACAACGATGACACTCCACCATTTTCTCTTCGCGTCACGCACCAATTACCTCATTGATTACACGAGATCACAACACCACTGTCATCCACACAATCGGTTGTCTTCTGGATCTCCTCATCACCATTCCTTGGTCTGCATATCGGTTAGAGCATCAAAGCCAGGGTGACAGCTGTCAATAATATGATACGAGCATCGCAACCACCATGATCGAGCATGTATCAGACTGCACACACCGGTGAGACCCGAGTCACAACCCCGTACCACTACTTGCACTCGTGCAATATGGCTAAATCCTCTCTTCATCAATGGCTATGCAAGAGACAAGGAACAATCACACCACGAACACTCATGTATCGGAACAGAACCCCCTTGCGAAGAAGGAAAAGAAAAAAACCTCATACCCATTCCTCTCAATCATCACTCCTAAGCGATACCAGATCCCTTTCGGTCGTGAGCGGGCGAGCCATTCCAAACGAAGGCCGATTTGAAGCGCTTACATCCAAGAATTCCCCAGGATATGGTTCCGGCTTTCCAGATCTCCTATACCTGAAACCCCCTCGAATACAAGGATTCGAAGAAAAAATGTGAAAGGAGGGAGAAGTGCATATCGTTTAAACAATAGGGCAGTCAAGGAGGCTAGATCGATGGTTCCACAAGCGCAAGATATCGGTAACTCTAGATCTTTGGGGGTTGTCTGCTGCCACGCCAGTTCCGCGTGCTCGGGAGAAGAGCTTGTTATGCATGTTTATATTGACCTTGATGCTGCTTTTTTGTTTTCCCCACTGTGCCCTTCTTGTCTTTCCATGGCAGTGGTACCGAAGTCGATGCGCGTGAGTTGGATGGGATGTAATGACGAGATGGAACATACGAATTCGCGGAGGAAGGAATGGCTCTTTGCATAATCATGTGTGTGATGTGTGGGTTCTTGGAAGAGTGCAATGCCTTCATTTCGGTTTCAAGGTTTCTCATTGAATTCGTATGCCATAAAAGTCTAGTTCGTATGCGTTAATGCAGTCTATATACAAGTTGATGGGAATTTTGATGAACGTGGCAACCGCCCCAGTGCCTTTCCCGAATGATCCCGGAACGCCTTCGCTATGTGATGTGTGATGTCAAGAAACGCCTTTTGCATCCTCATGAGACGTGGCCATGAGGGGGCAGAGGCGTCGGTTGTTCCGCCAATGAATATGTCGGAGATGGTGAAGTGATGTAGATCGTGCGAGTCTGTGGAGGATGACCTCGTATCGCAAGGACGTGCAAGCCTAGGCAATCAACACAAAGGCTACAATCAAGGCTGCAACCAAAGAGAAAGTCGAAACTTCACTTCGGGTAGAACCAGAGCTGGCTGCCGGAGCGGAGGCGGCAGTGCTCACGTTGGTCCTGCCAACGGGGCTGGTGACACTGTTGAGGGTGTCTACAACCGCGATGGCGGGACCGACATTGAAAAAGTCAACCAGGATGAAGGTAGGAGCTTGACCGTAGGTGGTGGTGCATTCGGCGGCAGATGTTCCCAGGTTGCCAGTGCCACCCGACGCTGCATTGGTAGTGGTAATGTTTCCGAGATCAGGAGACTCGATTGTCGTGCCAAAGAGACTCGAGGTTTCGTAGAGGAAGTGGTTCATGAATGGCATCAAATTCTGCTGCAACGCCGAGCTTGTGGTGACAGTGGAGGGTCGGTTGGCTGCACAGGAAAAGTTTGATGGCGATGTGTTGTCGTAGTTGTTCTCAAAGATGTAGGTGAACTCGTCCATGAGGTAAGGCGCTGCGGTGTTGTCATCGAGACTAGCGACGAAGTTGAGAAGACGCGTTCCGTCATTGATCAAGGTTTGTAGGGTAGGCCACTCGCTTGGAGCTGTGGTTGAAGTAGGAGTATAGGCGTAAGATGCAATGCCGGCAGTTGTGTATGCACTCCCCAGATCTGAGGCAGATGCATCGTCTGAATTGACGAGCAACACAGTGACAACCTCGTTCGGGTTGCCATCCATCCATGTCTTGATCTCTGATAGCCAGTCGCTCAACAATCCGGCATCGAGAAGAGTGCAACTCGAGTGGCACATGTGTAATGATCCATTGTTGTTGTGAACTTGACCACTCAATAGTCTGACACCGGCACTGAGCTGAACGGTAGTGTTGTAGAATTGGTTTCCAGATGCCGAGTTGCCTGTAGACGCATCACGCAAGAAAGGCGCATTATGACTTCCGAGGTGTGTGATGTTGTTGTACGTCTTACTGCACAGATCTGGAGAGTTGTTGCATGCTGTGGCTCTCTTGGTGACTGCCGAGAAAGCGACCTGAGCAAGAGATGGTAGCAGGAAAAGACTTGTTAGAATATTCGTGTTGGACATCATAATTGCTGTCGGGAAAGTGTCAGTAAGAGGCAATACTGGGACTCTTTCATGTTGTCATACCTAAGAGATGCGACACAGGAGTTCGAATTTGAGGTCTTGTATGTTGTGTTGGTTTGGAATATTTCACGATATTTTGTTGCTGATGGTTCAAGAAGTCCGAAGGGGGCAAATGGCAAAATTCCAGAACAGAAGGGGCGACGCAGATGCAAATGCTTTCTTGGACAAATCCAAAACGATATAGAGAGCAGCCAGCAGAGAAGATGAATGGAAATAGGAGAGATAAATACGAAGCAGTTGAATGTAAAAATAAGACTTGGGTCGCCGTAAGACGACTGCGCCTCAAGAATAGTTGTCGTAATCAGTCCCTTTTCGCATTACGCAGCCCGAAACACTCCTCGGCCGATGCTTCTACACATGTCATGATTTGCTTGCCACAAGGACCAAGAAAACTCAAGAGATTTGCGGAGTGTGCAAGGGTTCTCCAACCACTGTTAGATTGTCTTGGTCGCAAAAGATGGATGGAAGTTGAAAAGACGTGGGGCCAAGGGTTGGACTGCCAACCACCTGACGACAATCAGCTGGAGTTGAGGGTGATCTCCTCGTAACATCATCAACAAGAGACAGCAGCGCACAGTCAGATTTGCAGCCCCAATCAAATCCCTCCAGGCTTTGGATACACATGGATACACACAATATGGAGTCCGAGTCATCAGTCATCCTCAGGGCGCCTGGCGTGTCGCAAAACACCCAAGACAGCCAGCCCCAAGCGTATCAATCGCCCAGCCTCTCGTTTTTGCAAGGCACTTGGCACGTCACTCACAGCACTCTGCCCATGTGGAAGTCCAAGCGCAATGTGCAAATCACCTACACGGCACTGCCGCCATCGACACCTGACGCAACCCCAGATCAGACAGACCGCCTGGACGACGTCGTGTCTTACCAAGGGCTTGATTCAGACAAGCTGCACACTGTTCACGGCGTAGACAAGGCCAGTGGCGGCGTTGGAGTCACGGACGTCTGGGACTGGCGTGGTAAAGGATGGCTCATGATTGCGAGCAGTCATTGGGAGGTTCTGGGTTGGGCAGACAAGGGACAAAGTCAAGACAGCTGGGTCGTGACATATTTCGCCAAGACTCTATTCACGCCGGCCGGTATCGACTTCTACAGCAGACGCAAGGAAGGATTGAGTGAGAGAACTGTCCAGGATATCAAGGCAGCTCTCAGTCGCGTGGACAATGAGGATGTTCGTCGTTTGTCGAGTGAGGTGTTTGAGGTGAAGACGGACAACGTGACACAGGGAGAAGCATGAGCGCCTACGAGATCGCACAGGCAGATATCAGGGGAGTTCGACAGCACTTGCGGACCCGGAGAGTAATGTATAATCATAATTGAAAAGGAAAATTGAATGAAGCTGCTTGGTTGTGGGTATTTTGGACTTGGCGTGAAGGAGCTCTATTGCGGTAATGTACAGTAGGCAATCGTCTAGTTGCTGGAGAACCAAGTCTTGTGTCCCTGTTCCTGGAGTTAGGTCGAGTCTTGGGGCAGTGGTAGGTATCGGGGATTGACGCACGAGGACCATTCTGCCCATCATGTACATGGTAGCAGCCGAGGTCGAGGCCAGCAGAGCGTAGTAGGGGTAGAGCATGAACTTGGCGCGAGGGCCCTTCTGCCACTGACGGAGACCGTCGTGGGTCTGGTGCATGCGCTGCCAGTGGGGGACGTTGTTGCGGCGGTAAAGACCGGGAGAGTTGAGGCTGTGAGGGCTGGTCAGCAATCTTGGACAGCGGAGTCGGGGCGCCGGCGGAAGGAGCTCTGGGGCGGCGCAAAGAAGCGATTGACTGACCCAGCCATTTTGAGAGATGATTGAGCGGAGATTGAGTCGAGGAAGACGGCAAGAGGGTGGCAGATGCAGATGGGCTTCGTCGTCGGCGTTGCGTGATCGCATCCAGAGCTGCTCGGCATGTGCCGCTGCTCCTCCGGCCGCCATTTCCTGGAGTCGTGGACAATTATTGCAACGCACCTGCCAGCTTCGCAATGGAACAGCAGCTGCTCTAAACGGCAGACGGCTCCATGTCTTCTGACCGAGGCTCGCGCGTGTCTGTACCTTCCTCCTTTTCATGCCACCCGGCGCGCCTGCGCTCCACAGAGGGTTGGCCCGACCTTCAGCTCTAACCTCGCAACTCTCGACATCCGTCCGCCCAATCTCACCACTTCTCCCGAGTTACTCTGCCCGGTCGTATGCCGTCCCTTTCCGCCAGAGAGCACCCTCCGCCGCTGTCCCTGTGGCCAATGCCCACAATGTCCGTCAAGAGTTAGAAAATGCCCGTAAGGGTAGTCAAACCCTGGTTACAAGGAATGCCAGCCCGTCTGGAATATCGCATACGGAGCGTAAGAACTTCCTTGCGCGCTTGACTTCTTGGATGCCTCTGTTCGATCGCCTACAGAACAGTCTCGATGCCTTTTCCACCTTTCGGCATGAGGCCGATGTGTGCGACCGCCTACCTGCCCCCAAGGACGCAGAAACACGCTTGATCGATGAGCCACAGTACCTCCAAAACTTGAATCTCTGGCTTGAGATTCTTCGCTTTCGCCTGCGTTTGGATGGCCAACAAGGTGTCATGGACGTTGTTGAAGCCTTCGTACGCCGTCAAGTCGTCTTACCTCTACGCGGCCCTCAAGCTGATCAACTCTGGTCAATTCTTCTCTGGTCCGCCATCCAATACCCGCAGATGCTTCGCCTTCTCTATCCCTATGTCTTTGATACTCTTCCTCGCTCTGGCTTACTCGACATTCGCTTGTACCATCGTATTGTAGGTCCTCTGTTACGCCAGAATCCCATGTTTGCAGTCAAGTGGCATAAGCGAATGCAAATGGATGGCCTGCTGCCTTCCGACCACGTTTCCGTTCTGGCCCATTTCGTTGAAGATGTCTGCATGAGCAACCATAAGCCGAAGGCCATCGAAGCATTCAAGAAAATCTACACCTCGCTTAAGGTCAAATATGCTTACGACGAATGCATGCTACACATTTGTCGTATGCTCGACTTTCCTGACGCCCTCGATATGCACGTTTTCTTCGTTCGACACGACGACAAACCATCGCTGTCAATGAAGTCTACGCCTGTAATCGCTCATTTGATTGAGCACACTTGGCTTGCCAAATCTGGCATGAAACCGTCTGTCAGAGATCACTTCGCTGACCAGATTATGAATGCTCAGTACGAGTTTCAACGCATAAAGCCAATCGAGCTTGATACCGCACATGCTGAAGTCATGCCTGCTTTTACACGCGAGAACATGAGCACTCTCGTTGGTGATGTGCACAACATCAGGGAAAAGGAGCTCAACGACGCTTTTTGCGCCCGTCTGTTCGCCACAACAGCTTTTTCCACTGATTTGATCATTACCGGGCTACGTATGCTGGGCTTGAAGGTCGTGGGCAATCTAGCTCTGAGAGAAATCGCCGCGCGCGTATCTCAACCACTCGAATACGTTGCCACAGTTGATGCCATCAGGAATGCAGGCATCTCTGTTGTCGACTCAGTATTCAGTCGCGCGCTGCAATCGTTTGCTAAACAGCCAGGCAAACACCGAAGTTTTGAGTTTTTAGTGTCGAGCGATCAACACCCAACGGCATATGAAGATCGCTCTCTTCAAAAGCAACTCTTTGGTTCCTTCCTTGCATCCGGAGACCACACTCAGGCAAACGCCGTTCTCGACGTCCTCACAGTAGACGAAGCCGAGCCTCAAACTTATCATGCAAATCTGATCCTGCAGGCGTATTCCCGGCGTGGCCAACGTGCATCGATCCTTCAGATACTGCATGAAATGCGTCTACACCGAATCCCGGTTTCAGAGGCGTCCTTGCGTACCATTCAATGGACGACGTTGAGGCCTCGACTTCGGTCCAAGAGACCTATCACACAGGAACACCACAAGTACAAAGACGACCTGGATTTCACTACCAACATCTTCCTGGAGACCATGCGTACCGGACAATCATTCAATCCGGTCAGATGGCATGAGAACTTAAAGCGATACGGAATGGAGAATAGACTGGAGGCTCTTGAGAGATTGTCAGTTTGGTTGGCTTTGTGGTATTCTGGCCGCTCTGACAAATCATCACTTTTTGCATCCTCAGCTGTGGGTGATCCAGGGGTCGCCAAGAGCCTGCCTGGAGCACTAGACGAAGGCGACCGGCATCCCCTGAATACCATATTCACACCTCATCTTCTTCGTGCCATGGTTGCATGGGGTTTTAAAAGCGAAGTATCGTCGCCGGAGTCCACAACCACGGTGCGACTGGGTTCAGAAGACTTGGAAGCCCAGAGTAAGGAGACCGAGGGAGCTGCAGATGAGTCTTTTAATGGATGGACCAGAGGCCTCGTGCTTGTTCGCAAGCTTCAGCGCTTTGGTGTCAATCTTAGAGGCACGGAATTGCGAAGAGAAGTCAAACTTCGACTCTGGACCCTATACGGCCCGGGTAGATCTACCGTGCCCCTCAACAGACAAGCTCAAAGGATGAACAGACTCTCCTTGGTGGATCGAGTCAATCACATACACCGAATAATGGGCACCAATTGGCTCAGACTTCCTCCAGAAGTCCGAGGCCAATCTGACGTCAGCCAGTGGACAATGTACCGGGCCTTGTTTGGTCAGCCTAGAAGAATGAGGAGAAGAACACAAAAGGATCGTGGTTGATGCTATTTTGCTACTGCCATTATGCCGCTGAGACATATTCACTCTTTCATCGATTTGAGCATATCGTCTTTGCGCATGCTATTCGTGTCCTCAATCCAGGATGTAACGCTGCCAGGGATCTGCTTCACAAGGTTCTCTGGACTGGCAATCGCCTCACCCAAAACTTGTTGAACGGGAACAACACCTGTCCACACACGCGAAGTGGTAGCATCGTCCTTCAAGTCCTTCCTATCGTCATGAGGGCCACCGTTCCGCACTTTGACGCTCGCGGTCTCGATTCGTACTTTGAGAATTCCCGTCGCAGTGAGCTCGGATTTTGTGGGCGGTGTCCGAGAATTCGTCCAACGGTCTGTGATGAGATGATTCGTTATCAATTCCATTGCGCGCATAGTCTCGTCCGTGTTTGTGACTTTGGTTGCATGTCCAAAGACGACGGCTGAACGATAGTTGCAGGAGTGATTAAAAGGTGTCAGAGCGAGTACGTAGCCATCCAGCAGGGTCGCCGCGATACAGACGGGAAGACCAGGATCTTCTTGCCCGGAATCTAAGCGGAAGAGACGAGCAGCAGATGATTTATGTAGATAGACAACCTGATCATCTTCTGCTGAAGAGTCCATGGCACCGAGCATTGGCAAAATGGTTGGAAATTGGGCATCCATGCTTTCAGACATAGGCGCATTGAAAGAAACATGCAGTATGGGCGCTGCATCCACAATCTTGCGTACGGCATCTTTGTCGTACGTCACTGTATATAGAACAAAAGTATTAGACTTGTACATATCAACTCATTGGACAAAGGCTTCGGCCACATCTCACCTCGTTTTGCGTACCGTCCTGCCTTGCTCCTCTGATCTTTTGGGTAGTCGTTGGTGAAACTCATTGCGATTATTGCTGTCTTGCAAAACGGACTTTCCAGTAGGCGCTTTATATCAGCTCTCTCGGAAGGATGATCTGCCAAAAGATAAGGGAGCTGCAAGGTCAGCTTCAGACCCCTCATCTACTTTCGGCAGGTGTATGCGGAGCAAAGGGTTTGCCGCTTGGACTTGCCAAATCTGGCCTCGCTTTGATGTCAACAGCTGCCCGACGCTAGTCTCTTGACCTTCGAGTCTTGCATCGCAATCTGCGGACATGTTCTTTCGACTTGCCGGCGCAGATGGGTTGCATATGACGGTCAATCTAACATTTTCTTGCGCTGAATGATTCGTCGGAGTTTGACTCGATAACGTCGTTATCTCGATAGTAAGACGATCCGGAGCTCTTCTTGGACATGTGTGCACTCTAGGAGAACTTAAGTTATGCTCAAGCCTGGATGGCCTGGCATTATGGCTTAGCGGTGTCGTCTTGCGGACTATGAACGATCGTTGCAGCTTGACACGACTACACTTTTCTCTATGATAGGGCGAGGACCGCCTGTTCCCGTTCAAGGGAGCTAGCAGAAGAGGTGATTCCCTACCTCTAATCTAGATATGCTCGACGAAGCAAGTGTCTCTTAGAATGCAGAATCGGCGGGCTTAGTAACCAACTGTATGGATCTTACCATCCGCTACTGCCACGACACGTAAGAGAGCTGTGTTCTTGCTGCCCTATAGGAGGCATATAGTATAGTAGGCTCTTGTCATGAGATTTCTGTCCACAATATACCTGTCATCGTCGTGGCGGAATCCCGTATTCGAGAGTCGGGTCCTCGTCGACGAGTTAAGTCGTTTACGGGTTTCGACTCTCGATGCTCTCGACGCACGCTGCTATATGTCGAATAAACAACACCACCGTTTTGGTTCTTTTCTTTTACAAGACAACAACAGTAGTACTACCACGCTAGTACTGAGCTGCAATGGTAAGTCCAACCATATGTCTTTTCTCCTATGTTGCCCCTTACCTCCTTGCTGTCTCTGCCACTCGCTTCTGCCTGCCATCCCTTGCGTTCTTTCATTTCTTACTAATATGTGCAGTGGCCTAATCCTAAGCTCCGACGCTCGACAAGAGTTGAAGCCGGCCGCCATGCTCCTGCACCACGGTACGTATCAAGCAAAAAGCCGAACACGAAGCAAGACCGATACTTACCTCGGAATAGCCCGATTCATGACCCCTCTATCATCACAATACTCGTCGGCTCTGAAGAATTACCTTTCCGCATCCATGAAAAGTATGCGGCCTAGTCGTGCATGTTTGCTGCAGCCTTTCGTGGGCAGTTTTGGGTGGAAGCCCGCTCGCGCGTGATGCGACTGCCAGGGGCTCTACCACAAGAGGCTCTTCTCGGACAACCGTGATTTGGAGCAGGAATTTCGCTTGAAGTTCGGTGCGCCGGCAAGCCGCGAAGGAGACCACCAGTACAAGGGATTTCTGGCCAAAAGCCCAGAAACATGGCCCTGGAGGGTGCTGATAAGCCTGTACGTTTTAGGAGATTACCTGGACGCACAGGTGGTCAGAATTGCGGCCGTCGATGCCATGATTCTGAGACACGAGAAGAGTGATTTAATGACTTTTGACGACATTGACTTCGCCTTCGCCAATACCAGTCCCGACTCGAAGTTGAGGGAACTGCTGGTGCACATCACCACATACGACCTCGACATGGGCAGCACCGCAAGGGAGGATTTGATTGGCATGCCGAATGAGTTCCTGGTAGGCGTCAGCATGACAGTGTTCAGAAAATTGCCAAACAGACAGTGTCGGTCTTGCTACCAGAAGGCTCTGTCTTGGGTCCAACAGGCAGACGCGATACCAGCTCATTCCCATGAGCCTCAGGACGGTCCTGGCAGACTCTGAATGCATGCTACTACCATGAGCACTCTACAGAGGAGGAGAAGAGAGATCGTGCCGCAAGAGTCGCAAGAGAAAAGGTTCTGGAGGGACGCGAGCAGGACAGAAACCGCGGCTAGGTCGGGCTGCAGTACTCCTAGTTCATGCCAGAGCTCTCGACAACATCTACTTGGTATACGTCGCTGTTGGCTTGGAGACAGGCACAAAAGATGAGAAGGGGATTTCACTGAATGTCGTCGGGACAAGGGGCGCACCGGTCGGGTTCTTGGGGAAGACGAATCGAATGGTGCTGAACTCAAAGACGTGTTTTCTTTTTTCGTACAGAGTAATTTTCTTCCAAGCACTGGGTCACAAGCCTTGTCTATAACTCTCCCTGAACCCTCCCTTATTGCCTCCTGTATCATTGTAAACTGAGTTCGATCGTGCTGAACATCATGGATCTCGTTCTCCCGAACGTGAGTGCAAAGGAGAAGTATCACTGAACCGGATGCTCATCTCAGTCTCCCCCGACAGGTCGCTCATATAGCTGTCAAAATGCAAGGTGATTTGTTGCTGTGGCTGAATGTCCACTGAGAGTAGTGACTCTCTCGTGCTCTCTTTCGACAATCGTGCTGCTGTGAAAAAATATCTTGCATTTTGATAGCATGGCAGCGGCCCTGCCAGGGAGAGGGGAGTTGGATCCGATGAACACATTCATGTAAGATAGACATGCAAAGATAGTCCAGATACATGGCTGTTCGCATTGCCGACCTGGCTCTCCATGCTGGGGGGTCGCCTCGACTGTCCTGGCTTCATGAGTGCTACCATTAAAGCATAGACTGAGGCGTAACCTCTACCACAAGTCATCAAACATGAGTATGAGACGTCTACGGAGCGCTCTATGCTCAGGAAGGCGTTAGTGCGCCACTATGAATGGGCTGGCGTGGTCACGGAACCCGACGCTTGATGGTGGAAGAAGTTGCCGCCGGAGTTTGCGGCCAATGTGTTGATTGTCGTGGCAAGGACATTACCATACCGCCTGTGTACGGAGTGCCATAACGAGGCTTATGCCGGGAACGAACTCGTAACGAAGAATTTCGACTACACTTGAGAACTTGACGACTCTTGTCCTTTGGACCGGGATTTGTGTATCTACCATGATCACAATGATGAGAGAGCAAGCGATGCTTGTGGAAGATATGGAGAAAGGCCTGGTTCAAGCTAAGACGTGGTCTACCAAGATTGAGACGATTGTCTCGTGGTCGGAAGTACCTCTAATACCAGGAAAGGTCGACGGATATGGTTCTCACATCCGCGTCGGGTGGTGAGAGTATGGATCAAGAAGCGAAAAATGGGAAGTCGACTCCAGGTCAACGGCTGTGATGGCGATCTGGCCGATTGAGGCAATAACGAACTGAAAAGCAAGACGGTAATTGACAGGTGTGGATGATTTTCTGCCAGAACGCTTGTGTGTTATTGTGGACCCGTCTGCGTTGAGGTGCATCGTTGTTGCCGACATTTCGAGAGATGATCCAGACTTCGAGACACTCTGATCGCACCTGCTAATCCCTCTGCTTCGAGAAGTTGACACGAAACTGGGAAGTTGCAGTCCACCGTAACTTCTTCACATTCTGCTTCTCGGCGTCAAATCTCCTGTCTTCGTTTGTTCCCGCCATCCATTCAACCTCAACTTCGGACCTCGTTCACTCATCTTCCAGATTGGTCCTATTGCTTCGTTCTGAGGACGACCTTCACTTCCTACCTCACCTCATCTAGCCCACCCTCGTCAACGCTGACGCATCACACTCGCAACGATGCCTGCTCCGACCGGCTCTGAGCACAAGAGCATCAGCAGTCTTGGGTCAGATCATTCTCCTTCACTCAGAGGCTCTGGACTGACATCTATGGCAGTTACCTTCACTCGCGTATGGCCATCGTACGCGTCGGCCAACAGAAGAAAGAGTACGGCGTTCACCAGGCCTTGATCTGCGACAAGTCAAATTTCTTCAAGAAGGCTCTCACCGGCTCTTTCGCCGAAGCCAGAACAGGCATCGTCCCTCTCGAGGATGTCTCAGCACCTCTCTTTACGATCTTCGTCTCTTGGTTGTATGTCGGCCGGCTCATCTACGTCGCTCCTCCTGATAGTGGCAAAACCATCCAGGATGATTTCTCTTCGCTCGTATGCAAGGAGAATGATGAGCAGCAAGAACATCGAAGCACAGAGGACGAAGGCATTTTCACGCTCCAGCCAGAAAATGCCCATGACGATGCTTTTGGGCGTGGAACACCTCAGCATGGTAACGATCGAGGAGAAGGTCAAGGTGTTCACGAGGTTCCAAAGGAGATCGATCCTGCAATTGCCAATTGCACCGAAGAAGACCCCAAAACCTGGCCTCTTGACGTCCTCGCAAAGCTTTACATTCTCGGAGACTTTCTCGACGCCCAGCTGTTTCAAAATCAAGTAATGGATGTGATCGTGGACTTTGCAGCCATTTCTAGAAATCGTGGAGTTTGGCGCGTACCAAAGAGGCTTCTGATCCGTCACATCTACGAAAACTCCCCCACTGGATCGTTTCTGCGAAACATCATAGTAGACTTTGTGGTCTACCACCAGCCTTGGGATGAGCCTTCGCAGATATGGGAAGAGATGCCCGCTGAGTTTCTGGCAAAGGTAATGGTGTCCATGGGCAGAAGGGTACCTGCCAAGCTATGCAAAGAGTGTTACTCGGACGCCATCGCTGGAAACAGATTGACGCACGCCAATGCTGATGGGATGTGTCTGAAGAGAGACAAAGCACCGTTCATGTTGGATGCGTGCTTCTACCACGTTCACGGGACAGCGGAGGAGCGTGAGAAGTGCCAGACAGAGCTGAAAGAGAAGCGAAGAGAGTTGAGGACAGGCAAGTCGTGATCGTTGAGTGGCCAGAACAGGGGCGGGCAGTCCAGCTTCTTTGCACAACAAGCTGCGCGTTCGAACCACCAAGCCTTTCGAGAGCTACGGGAGAAGGATCAGCAAACGAGAACGTCGGAACTGCTGGAAGTGTGACAACGGGAGATAATTGACTTCCTGAGTCAAGTCTAGCTCACGAACAAGTAGCTCAAGGAAGAATGAAAAGGGTCACATGAAAAACATGGGGAACAGAACAGGGTCGTGAACGTTAAAACATGGCATTGCTTCGATGAAGAAGTAGTAAATAAAGGAAAAGCCTCTTGCAGTCATGTATACCAGTGACGCTCGAGACTCATTTTCATAACATTAACTCGTCCTCTTTGCAGAGTTAGAGCTTGGTCAGACGCAGATCGGGAGAGATTTATGCGTTGCCGTCAACCTTGGCAATGTAGGCCAGGAGGTCGAGGACACGGCGGGAGTAACCCCACTCGTTGTCGTCTGGAGAGAAATGTCAGCAAGAAGTACTCGTGTGTTGAAATCAGACCAAACTTACACCACGAAACAAGCTTGACGAAGTTGTCGTTGAGCGAGATACCAGCCTTGGCATCGAAGATGGAAGACTCGTTGGCACCGCACATGTCGGAGGAGACGATCTCGTCCTCGGTGTAGCCGAGAATACCCTTAAGCTCACCCTCGGAGGCCTCCTTGATGGCCTTCTTGATGGTCTCGTAAGAAGCGGGCTTCTCGAGGCGGGCAGTAAGGTCGACAACGGAAACGTTGGCGGTGGGGACACGCATGGACATGCCGGTGAGCTTGCCGTTAAGCTCAGGGATGACCTTGCCGACAGCCTTGGCGGCACCGGTGCTGCTGGGGATGATGTTCTGGGCAGCAGCACGGCCACCGCGCCAGTCCTTGCCGGAGGGACCGTCGACGGTCTTCTGGGTGGCGGTGTAGGAGTGGATGGTGGTCATGAGACCCTCAACGATACCGAACTTGTCGTTGATGACCTTGGCGAGGGGAGCAAGGCAGTTGGTGGTGCAAGAGGCGTTGGAGAGGACCTCAATGTCGGACTTGTAGCTCTTCTCGTTGACACCCATGACGAACATGGGGGCGTCAGCAGAGGGAGCGGAGATGACGACCTTCTTGGCGCCACCCTTCAAGTGGAGGGAAGCCTTCTCCTTGGTGGTGAAGACACCGGTGGACTCGACGACGTAGTAGGCGCCGGTCTCAGCCCAGGGGATGTTGGCGGGGTCACGCTCGGTGTAGAAGGTAACCTTCTTGCCGTTGACGATCAGGTCCTTGCCGGAAACCTCAATGGTACCCTTGAACTGGCCGTGGACGGAGTCGTACTTGAGCATGTAGGCCTGGAGAGAGGCGAATCAGTCATTGTTCATTGCTTCCAGCAGCTTGTCGGGAGGTCTTACAGCGTACTCGGGCTCAATGAAGGGGTCGTTGACAGCAACAACGTGGACGTTGTCGTGCTCAACGCTGTTGTGTCGTCAGTATTCAAGCTCCAAGCTCTTTGCGGGAAACAGGGTCAACTTACGCATTGCGGAAGACAATGCGACCAATGCGACCGAAGCCGTTAATACCAACCTGTAGCTGTGTCAATGGTTGCTCAAGAGGCGACGAGGTCGAGCTGCGGGTGCAGAGCTCTGGGAGCTTCTTACGTTGACAGGCATGTTTGTGTCTGCGGGGTAGCTGTTAGAGCTCTGAAGGCGAAGAGGGATAGAGTTGAAGAGGTGAGTGGGTGATGATGGGGGACTTACGATGTGAGGTGGATGGAGGTTATAAAGTGGTTGTGGTGTGAAGGAGGGATGGTTTGGAGGATGACAGGAGAGAAATTTCGTTGGGCAGAGTCTCGTGGTGGGTGAGCAGACTCCGTTTCCGCCGGGCTCGGACGTCGTCAGAGACTAGCTAGGCTGCCAAGCTATCTGCTTTTGTGGGCAAGAAACAATTGCAAACGACATGACTTCCCGTGGTTCAGATATCCTCTCGTTGTCTTCCAATCGTTATTCACGACTTTCTATAGCGTCTATACCACTGCTCTGCCGAGATGTATCTCGAGGACCTCGTCGACCCGACTGGCCCCGCGAATGACCCCTCATTCTTCCTGACTCACTTCCGACTTGCTCCGCATCTCGGCTACTCTTCTAGCGACCATTCCTGAATCGATCGTTTGCTCCTTCCGTCCCTAACCGCTGTTCTGAACCCTCTGACAATGAGCTCAAATGCTGCTTGTCCTTGGTCTTCTATACCATCTGTATACCTCGTTCCGAGGTGGTGTTTTGCTCCTTATCACGGCTCCATCGGGTGTCGCCACGCTAGGGCGCCTTCATTCGGCCCCTATCGGCCCTTTCAAATTCGGCATGATCGGGTAGCTACCCCCCAAAACACGTGCTTGAGCTGTACATATCTGAGCTCCCAACCCCGAACATCACCTTGATGATAGCGTGAGCTTCAGAATCCTCATATAAACATCGGTAGTACTTCGTCCTCTCGTGTTTTGTCCTTGCAACAAAGAATTCGTTGGGATATCTACATCAGTCCATCCGAATCACCACCTCGAATGACGGCCGAGCGGTCCGATGAGATGCGGTTGAGCAAGACGAGGTCGGACTCCCTCATACCACCATATACTTATCCCTGAATATAACCAGGTGTGTACGAGAACTGGTTTCAATTAGATATCATCATACGATGCGATCTAAAGCCCGAGATTAAAGTGCCTCTAGAATTGGCGTCACAGTTTACAGTACAAGGTAACGCACACAAAACCCGCAGGTGAGATGGCAGGCTTCATGCTGTCAACCACACCAAGTCTCTATCTTTTCATACAGAAGACAGCCAAGACGCAACAACTAACGAGACCGGTCCTTTGCTCTCGCAAGTAGAATGTGAGAACACCTGCGAGATGCACTTTTCTGTGTAGCTTCGAGGGCAATCCTCAATGTTTGTCGTTGCGTCACGGACTCTGGGCGTTGATGAGTGTGTGTTTTTATGCCAAACGCTCACCCTCATCCTGCCACTTGCATTGAATACCAACCACCTCGCATGACTGACGGCTTCCAAAAGAACAATATGTCACACAACAACTTTCCGGTATGAGCTTGCTGTCTCTGTGGAGGATCCATTTTTACAAGAAATGCATTGAGAAACTGCCCTGACAGGCTGACACGAGAAATCAGCGCTTGATGCAAGACTGGCCGAGTCTGTCTTCCTGGAGCCGGTGCCACAGTAATAAGCATTGGCAAGACAGTGACAAGCCTCTTCCCCACGCCTTGCCAATTCTCTGGCGCAGTCGATGGTCGTTAACATAAAAGCCTACCACGTTTCATATTCTTGTGGACTGCCACGCTGACTAGGCTTCTTGTTGTTTCTCTGATGGCGTAGTAGTCGAATTGATTGTTTCGACTTCTTCCTCGTCATCATGAAGTCTCAATGTTTGCTCGCTATCGAAGTGTCCTCGGCTGTCCTTGCATCACGAACGCGAATCTTCCCCAGTGTGGACAAGCTCCCGCACTATAAACACCTTCACTCCACAATCTTTCTTACGAACTGCCTTTTTCCAACAAGCGTTATCTTGAACTTGAGTTTGCTAGTACGACATGCCAGGGTTCAAAAGAAATCCGAAGGGCCATAGTCGTTTCCTTCGTGATCATTTTCTGTCAACATTGTGAATCAATGGCTCCTTCGATAGCATCTCTTTCGGCACTTGCCCTGGCTGGACTTCCTCTTGCATTGGGTCAATTTGTCAAGGCACCGACGAATTGGACTCACGCTACTGGTTATTCGGATATCCAAGTCCGCTACAAGGAGGTCCCTACTGGCACTTGCGAGCTCAACAGCTCCGTAAAGAGTTACTCGGGATATCTCGATGTCGACACTGACGAACATTATTTCTTCTGGTTCTTCGAGGCTCGTAACCAGAACCCCAAGGATGCTCCTCTCACTGTCTGGATCAATGGAGGTCCAGGGTCAAGCAGCATGATTGGACTGTTCCAAGAACTTGGACCTTGCAGAATTGATGAAAACGGCACAGTCGTCAACAACCCTTACTCATGGAGTGAATCCAGCAACATGATCTTTATCGATCAGCCTACACAAGTAGGGTTCTCGTACTCCATTCCCGTGCCCGGATACACCGACGCAAATTCGGGATCAATTGTCACTCTACCTAACGCAACATGTCCCGAATATGCACAAGGCTGCGGAACGTACTCTTATCCGAATGAGACATTGACTGCCAACACTACTGCCGGCGTCGCGCCTAACTTCTGGAAGGGGCTTCAGGGTTTCATGGGTGCTTTCCCCCAATATTCCCGCCACGAATTCAATTTTGCTACAGAGGTATCTTCAGCAAACGTTATTATCTTTACAACCACTAACTGGCTTCAGTCATACGGCGGCCACTTTTCTCCGTTGATCAATCAGTACATTGAAAAACAAAATGAGCTCATCGCCAAAAAGCAACTTCCTAAGGCTCACCACATAAACCTCAAAACAGCCCTCATAGGCAACGGCTGGTACGACCCCTTGATACAGTACCAAGCCTATTACAACTTCACCGTCTTCCCTGGAAACACATACGACTACAAGCCATTCAACGAAAGTATCTCGGCCATGATGTACAATGCCCTTTACGGTCCTGGTAACTGCGTCGATATGACCAAGGAATGCTACGCCAGCGGTAGAAACGATGTATGCAGCTTCGCCGACAACTTCTGTGCCAACAATGTCGAAGAAGTTCTGGACATCTACGCCCTTCGTGATGAATACGACATCCGTGAACTGTCACCTGACCCGTTCCCATCTACTTTCTACGTGGACTATCTCAACTCTCCTACTGTTCAGGAGGCCATCGGTGCTTATGTCAACTTCAGTGAGAGCAACAGTGCTGTCTCGTCAGCTTTCGGAAGCACTGGTGATGATGACCGTGAGAGTGGCACTATTGAGGCATTGAAGACTCTTGTGTCTGACGATATCACCGTTGTACTCTATGCTGGTGATGCCGACTACAACTGTAAGCTAAATCCTTCACCTCCTTCTATCTATAAGCATAGCTGATATCATCTAGGTAACTGGCTTGGTGGAGAAGTCGTCGCAGGAGAGGTCAACGCTCCCGGCTTCTCAAGTGCAGGCTACACAAACGTCACCAGCTCCGATAACATCGTCCACGCTCAAGTCAAGCAGTCTGGCAAGTTCTCATTCGTCCGTATCTTCGAGAGCGGTCATGAAGTTCCCTTCTACCAGCCGTTGATGAGTCTTGAAATGTTCGATCGTGCCATCAACGGCAAGGATATTGCCACTGGTAGACGTACTGTCAAGGGCGGCTACAAGACTACCGGCTCTGCAAAGAGCACCTACCGAGAGGGCAACTCTACTGTTCAGTTCGAGGTCGTCAACGCAACTGCCACTTACAACACAACCTCAAATGAGCCCGACCCAATTTCGGCCAAGAAGAGCTTCAAGGCTGCTAACAAGAGACGCTTGTTCAAGCCAGCCAAGAGAGTCGTTGATCTGACTTCCTAGACAGTCTTATTGACGTGCATCGCAAAAGTGTTATGTACTATAGAACCATAAGCCAATGTCGTGAATCACATTTGACTACTAAAATTCAGTGCCATCTCTCCACGTGCTGAAGAATGATTTCTTTGGGATCGGAAATGTTCTTAGAAAGTCTTGATGCTAAGGTATCAAAAGAATGAGTCGTAGGCGAGTGAGAAAACGAGAAAGCTTATACAGCGAGAGTCATGACAAGAGGAAGGAGAAGCCCAACGAGAAAGGAAAGTAAAAGGAGCAAAAAGAGAAGGAATGAACAGCACAGCAAGCTGGCCAGCCCGAACACATCGCATCATTTGTGCACCTCACCCCACCCATACATATTGTTTCCAGCATTCCCACCTTCCCAATAACACTTCGAATCCTCAAACTCGCCATCCATCTTATAAAACATCCATTCTCTCGCGACGTATTCAGCCTTTTTCTTATTCCTGATCTTCATATTGAATTTGAAAGGTAGAGGTTTGGCAATCAACAAACTCGAGTATTCGAGTGTAGGGTCTGGTTTTGAAGCTTTTTCGTCGGCGGCGCTGTTGAACATGTTGTCGACGGCTGGCATGTCTGGTGTTCCTGCCATTGCGGTGCGGGCTTTTGGTGACGAGGGAGGTGTGTCGGGGCCGGTGTGTTGTTCGAAGAAAGCGGGGAATTGACCTGGCAGTGATGAGCCTGGTAGACGCAGCTTGTAAGTCACAGTCTTTGCTCGGCTGAGGCCGCCGCCAGACTCGAGAGACTTTGGCTTCTTGACGGTCTTCTTGCGGGAGAGCATAGAGGTGTCTGCTGGCAGCATCTTTTCTGAAAAGTGTTCGTCGAGTTGTTCTTCAATCTCGGTCTCTGATGGAGGTGTTTGCATGCCTGATGGTAGTGATGTTGCTTTCTCGGCTTCTTTGTGGACTGGCAATGATGACGGAACGGGTTCCTTGGGTAGTTCTGCGGCTTTCTCGGCTTCGGCGTCGCTGGCGCTGAGAGAGAACATCCATGCCAAACTGCCAATACCGACGAAGAGATCAGCTTCGGCGACACCCATGCCTGCACAAATGCGACGTCCATAGCCGAACTGACTGTACTGGGTGATGGTAGGATATTTGGTCAGAGGTTCTTGGTAGGTTGGGTACTTGGTCTCCAACCAACGCATTGGGTTGAATGCATCGGGCTCGGGAAAAACTTCTGGATCACGACTGATAGACCATTCGAGAGGGTGCATGACGGAACCAGCAGGAATCAGGTAGCCTTCGTAGATATCGTCCTTCACAGACTCGTGAGGAATGCCAGTCGGGACAGGAGGACGCCAGCGCAGTGTCTCTCTGATAAAGGCTCTTAGCACAGGCATGTCTGGCATATCACTGAGCTTCGGCAACCTATCGCCACAGACTCGGTCGATCTCCTCGTGAAGTATTGACTGGTACTGTGGATGATGGCACATGGCGAGACAGAAGCTTTGCATGGGCGCAGCGATTGTCAGAGCTCCAGCAATGCCATGCATACCGACAGCATAAGCGCCTTCGAGATCAGACGCGAAGCCAGTCGCAGTCTTGTTCTCCAGGAAATGACGCATCCAAGACTCTGGAGCAGTCTTGCTCTTGAGCTTCTCCCTAACTTCGTTCTGCAGTATGGTGAAGAAGCGAGACTCGGTTCTGTATCTGCGAAACTCCCAAGCTTTTGCTGGGACGATAGCTTCGGGAAGCTTTTTGAGGAAACCGAGTTTGTTGGTCAACGCGCCGTTAGGTGAGACACCTATGAGCAGTTCTCTGGCTCGCTGTTTGAGCTCATCGGACGGAGCTGCAGTGCCCCATCCCAGCCTGCAAGTGACTCTTGAGATGAAAGATTCCAGCGCGTGATTGTATCGAGAAGGATCGGTCATGAGTTCGAAGAGAAGACGAACAGACTCGAGCTCAGGGTAGTTGTAAAAGGCATTCGCTGATGATTTGTCCATGATCTGCTTCGCGAACTTTCTCTGTCTTGTCCATAGTTCTGAGATATATGTTAGCGAATTGGTTGGACTCTTCTTAAAGATCACGTACCGTTTCGAGACATCAGAGGAAGATAGTGACCGCTGTTACGGTTGTCGGCTTGCAGAGATGGAATGAAAGGACGCTCGGAGTTGTTGGCAGCACGCTTGCCGAGGATTTCTTGGGCAACACTATCTCGTGTGATCCAGACATGGTTTTGGCCGGCAAGGTTGACTTGGTAGATAGGCCCATACTGTTGGCCCCATTCGTGAAACTTCAGAAAACTATTCTTGTCTGGCACGTCTGATACACTGCCAAGGATTGGATAGCCTGTATTCGTCAGTCATAGCTCATCAGACTGACTGTATGATTCATATACCAACCTTTTGGGCCTGGCAGTCTCTGTACTCCTGCCGGTAGTTGGTTCTTCTTGCTGTTGTTCAGATAGTTGATGAATGACACGACAGCAACGACGACTACCACCGCGATGATTGATATGAGGGCCATGCTGTCTGGGTGTTGTGTGGATTCTGTTAAGAGTTTACTCGGAGTCAAGACTCAAAGGTAAGCTTCACTCTGATGTGCTGTTTGTCTATAACAGGTTTGCGAAGACCATGGATCAAAGAGAGCAGAAGAGAGAAGTGTAATATAATTAGTAAAAGGATAGGTTTTGTAGAAAAGATTGGGACCAGCCAAAGGAAGAGGAAGCGTAGAAGCAGCGAGAGTTTTATATCCACGGCTCAGAGAGACCACAGTCACACCTTATGAGTTACAACCACCACACTACCCTCCACTTGGGCGGAATGTATCAAACCCGAGACCCGCGAAAAGTACTTCTGACGGACGAGACCACCAGAGGGTTTAGAAGGAGTCAACACCAACCCGCCCTCTCTTGATACTATTCCTGTTTGCTCCACAATGGTTTGATAGAGGAGCGATCGTCTTGTGGTTCGTGCCGCGGCAGCCGAGCCTTGGACATGAATGCGTCAAGTGTTTTACCGGCTACTCACTCGGCCGTGCATACCGCCATACAGTCGGTCGACTTGGCGAATCAATTTGGTCGCATGCCAGACACAACACTGTGGATGTGTACATTGGGTGGTACGGTTCCGCCCAGCCAGGCGGGCATGCGGGAGATCGGGGTTGAATCAGGGCAGTATGAACCGACTCCAATGTGTTGGAGATTTTGAGAGAGAAATCCAGACGTAGTTGGTGTTTCGCATGATGTTCTCTGAGTGAGAGGACTTTCGTTTGAGACTAGGCACGTGAAACAGGAGCGCTTCAACTCGCGTCACAACCTTCCCTGATCGTCGTCGACGTTGTACATCTCACGTGCGGAAAGAGCATGGCGTTTGAGCCAAGCCGTCTAATCAGGCACTCTCGCTCAAAGGGGATACAGTGATCAGACAAAATAGAAGGTCTTGGAAAAATGCGAGCCTGAAAACACGAGGCCGGCGGCTAGAAGTCGCGGTTGCAGATCAGAGCGCACCAACCAACAAAATGCTTGTTTCGAGCCTGACCAATCGGAGCTTTAGCTACGTCCCTTTCGGGACGTGCGCTGCAGCCTTCCGCCTCTCAATTCCAACCTCACCTTGCGACTTCCGATGAGGGGACCCGAATTAACTCACCAAAAGCATCACTTTCCGCTCTCCCAAGAGCTGCAGCGCTATGTCAGTGTGGAGATAAGGAGGTTATTGACAGCAAAATCGATCAGCACTCGCTTCATGAGCCGCCGAATGGGATGCTTCCTTGCTCACGCTGTCACAATCCTTCCATGCCAGGTATCATACACACAAGCTGAGCAAATTTTCGTCTCAATCCTTGCGTTCTGGGCATATCATCGGACTTCTGTTGCTTTGCCACGCGTTCAATACCAATGCGCATATTCTTGGAATGTCTTGTGCATACCAGACTTGGCTCCTTCAACATCCCAAGTAAGTGTGGACCTTTGACATTCTCCATTCTATCTTGGCAGGATGCAAGAGCCCCTCTCGAAGTGGGATCAGCGTTCTTGTGTTCGTTCGGACATTTACCTGCAGCTGCTTCGCACAGCAGGGTTCAAAGCGAGCATACGTGCAACGGTAGATCGTCCTGCTTGACCTATGCTTTGCAATTGCAGGCTGTCATAATTTTTTTCAAACTCCCCGCTTCTCGGAAGACGTCGTCTTCTTCCTTCCGAATGCCATCCTTATATCAGCCATACAAGCCGAGGATGGCAAGCTGGCGTTGCTGATCAAGCCAAAGATCTCGTGTGGCTGCGCAAGTGGATGCAGCAACCAGCCAAAACGTCATCGTGAGTTTGTTCATTCTGTCCAAGTAGAATCCTCCTTCGGATATCTCGATATGCCCAGCTCTCCTCCAAGACTTACAAGTCTGGACGCACGCGAGAGATCGACTGTTTACAGCTATGCGTGTAGGGCTCGTGTAGGCAGTGCATGCAACTAATCCAGACCTCTACCAACTTGGCTGCATTGCACTATCAACCACTGACGAATTCCGGTCTTGGTGCAACTGCTTGGACTGAGACATGATTTCTCATCCGATGGGGTGGTCAGATCATGACAACCTCGCCGTTGTTGACCCTCCTGGCATGCTTCGGCATCTGAGTCGGCACCACAGCGAGCTTGGCATGTCTACACGATCAACTTGTGCCAAACGCGCCAGGAACGGAGTCAGAACCTACTGACACTGCCAACAATTCTCGCATGAAATGCTACCAATTTGATGAGGCCCAGGCTGATCTCTCGGAGAAGGCAATGTAGATGTTGGCTGAAGCTAACGAGATCGACCATCAAGTTCCTTCACTCAGTGCTGCCTACCCCGTGAGACCGACGATACAGAAAGTCTGGTCAAGACTGCTTAGTACTCGAGCGTCTTGACAGTGAAATTTCCTGCTCCGGACATCCATAGGTTGTGGCACTACTCACATCCGGCTGTCAAATATGTTTAGATGAGGTGTGTATCTTTGTGAATAGTAACGTGTTCCTAAGCCGCTTAGAGCACGAGGCTGCCTGAAACATCATGGTCAGTCATTCGGACAGTTTGGAGGAGAATGCACAAGGAGAAAGGCAACACTCACACGGAATGGCGGTCAACCCATTCAAGCCTCCGAAAGCACAATCAACGAGTGTCGCTTGGGCTACAGCACGATCACTTGCTGCAGCGCCTCGTCGATTAGACTGACACGCGGTGTAGTATTCTATCCATAGCAGAAGGCGATCTCCAAAGATCGGTTGTAAGAACAATAAGTTCCCACTGCTATAGCTGCAGAACTGCCTATCATTCAATGTGTTGGCGCTGTTTTAACCATTGCCAACCGAGAGCTGAATATCCCGAATCACACGCGCTACCGCTGCGCCATAGCTCCATTGATGAAAGAGTAGGTGGAAAACGAAGGAAATTGAAGCCTGGAAGCAAAGCGAGGGATGAGGCTTCACGTCCGTGCACTGATGCGGCCCGTGCATGGTCTCGAGTAGATGCAATTCTCATCTTCCCACGCGTCCATTCTCTGTACCTCCAGACTTGCTCCAGTCGCCTCCTTGTCGTCTACCCAGAGCTCTACGGAGGATCCATTCTTTGCTGGTGATCTCTTCTTCATCAAAGTTATCTGGATTCTGTCGTCTTTGCTCGTCGATGAGAGCGCTTCCATTCAATACTTTTAGAATAACATCGTCCGCAGGCCTGGCAAAGTAGACCAGACTCATCCGTGTATGGCCAGCCTGATCTCCAGGAGGGTTGACCACACGATGGGTGTTTGATCGCAGAACACCAGCTGTGAACTTGACCATTGCGTCTCCCAGATTAATGACAGCGTGCCCTCGCAACGGCTTCACGTAACACCATTCATCCGAGTTTGGTGGTAGGACTTGTAGCCCTCCAAGACGATTGAATAGGATTGTTACACTTCCAAAGTCGGTGTGTTGGCCCAAAGCGGTTCTTCGGTCGTCCGTTGGTTGTGGTGGAGCGTGGACCCAGCGAACCTGATCACCAGACTTCGAATCGAGTCGGTGTAGAGATGGCAGTTTGTCATGTGGGAGCCCCAGCCGAGAATTCAAGAGACCCAACAGTAGATCTACGAGGGCGTGAGAGTTTCGTATGAACGACCCTAGCAGTCCTCGATGCGGACTTAATACCTCCGGAGCAGGCAGTGGGTCCAAGATCTCGAGTATATCGTCTTTCGAGACCTGCCTTGGTCAGTGCTTGCTCGTCTAAGAGTCAAGGTATAGCTCACATTGTAGAACTCGTTTCGGTCCTTGGTCCCCTGGGCATCGATGACTCCTTCGCCGTATCCTTTGTAGCCAAAGTAGCTACCATGGTCCTTCAGATCGTATTTGACCTTTTCTTCGACAGGCAGATCAAATACGCCTTGACCGACCTTGAAGAGGTCTTCGGCGTCATTGAGCAATTGTTCGCCATCGACATTGACATTGAACTCCATGGTCCTTCCGGCTTTGGATTGCACATCATAATCATTATTGCTACCAGCAGAGTCGGCTCGATTGTGTTTAGTATTGTCATTCTCGGTCTGTCTCTTCCTTTCGGTTGGTTCAAAGTTGCCTACTTCGGTTGAAGGAGCATCTCGAAGATCAAGGTAGAAGAAGCCGAGTTTACAGCATGCCTCCCACAACTTGTTGGTCTCCTCTCCGTCGCCATTGATAAGCTTGCTTAATCTTACACGGAGAAGGGGAGCCGTCGCCACATCTCCTGGAAAGGGTGGCAAGTCGTGAAAGTTCAGGTCTGCCTCAAGCTGTTCTGCTGATCTGTGTACCGACATTCTGGGATACCGCGACTTGCCAAATCAGTATCGGAGTTAGAACCTCTGCGCCTCTTTAAAATCCACTTATAAAAGAAGTCGCATTCAATGACTAGGAGAAGGTCAGTAGTTTTCTGTACGGATGAGATCGACCAAATCATGAGTAACTCCGAGGTTCCCCTCATCTTCGATGGTACAGCCTCCCCGTGTGCTAAAGTTTGTCACTGACACTGCTGTCAAAATGCACGATGATTTTAGAGAGTAGAGTTAGACCCAAGGAGAGGGCGTTAAACAGTCGTTTCCTGTGGACGGCGGACTCTTTCTCAAAATTATCGTGCATTTCGATGATTGGAACATGCGCCGCGACTTGCGAGTCGAGGTGACAAATTTCAGCACACGGGGCTGAGAGTTTTTTGACATCATGAGGCCCTCGTTCTTTGTTTTCCTGACATTTTTAAGGCATTTCTGAACGTGTCGTCGCACTTCCTCAAGTGACCACAAGATTCGTTGCATCCTAACAAATTATTTGCTTTGAGGATTGATGGTTTTCCAGACGATGAAGATGGCTGCAGAGTACTGACGCGCAACGCTTCCGTGGACACCTGCCAATCCAGCCACATTGGGTCAATTTTGACTCGAGCAACAAGAAGTTTGCTGACGAATTCCGCAACACGTCTTCTTCCAAGACAAAACTTCCATAGGCACATAACGAAGATTAAGATACAGCACAAATAGTGTTGACATCGCGAACACTTCACGAATGCGAAGCTTAGTCAGCTTTTAGGGCTTTTTGCTCGCGTTTGCAGGGTTCTGTTTCGGGAGAGTACCTGTCTCATGGACACGATGCTACAGGTACAATTATAGGAGATCAATTTCACCTTGTCAAAGGCTCGTCGATTGAACAAAATGGAAGACCAGCTGACACCAAACTCGACTACTGGATCTGTTCGAGTCCGACCGCGAACATCACGCGCCTGCAATGTCTGCAGAGCAAGGAAGGTCAAATGCGATGGTAACCTCCCATGTCGGAAGTGTGCGCAGAGTCGCATTGACTGCATCTATCCTGGTGGTGTCAAGTCGCGTTCGGACGGGACGAAAAGACCCATTGCACCAAAGCCTACACAACAAAGGAAAGAGCCGTCGGAAGCCGGGACAGATCAAGCAACACAACCAAATACACGGACTTATGACGATCCGGTCACCAACAAGAAACAGCAAGAGCTAAGGGCTGGAATTGGTGCCTTCGATCGTAACACCGATGCCTACCAATTCTACGGCCCTTCTTCCCATTTTTCGTTCGTCCAACGATTGTATCAGCGCATCAGACGTCAGAGTAATGCGCCATTGAACGTGCTCCCTCAACTGCCAGAAGGTCTTCGACAATGGGGTATCGAGCGTCAAATCTTCACACACGGTGACGAAAAGTCATCGCAGAAGAGCACCATACCGGATGGTAGTTTCCTTCCAAAAGAGCTAGGTGAAGCTTTCATTTCAGCTTATTTCACTCTCATGCATCCACAAGGTCCGATACTGATTGAATGCGAGGTTCGTCAGACTTGGAATGTCATGTGGACTGGTCCCGGGCTGGCACCAGAACACAGTAAGAAGTTCGCCAAGGAGAAGGCGATTCTGTACATGGTTCTTGCCATTGGTGCGAGACTGACTGACTATGGAGATGCTTCGCCTTCATCTTCAGATGAATGGGCTCACCACTTCTACGAACGTGCCGGGGTGCCCACAGACTCTTTCGAAGAGACTTCCCTTCTTGGAACTCACCTTTTGCTGATGAGGGTAAGGCTTTCTTTTCTTGAGTGCCAAGTCACGATTCTAACCTATACTAGGCTCTATATGGAATGCAAATCGGAAGACCGAATATGGTATACTTGTATCTAGGCCATGCATCACGATCAGCCATGGCATTGGGTCTTCATCGCGCCCAAGTGGTGGCAGGAAACAACTCTTTCCTGAACCGCCTCAGGCTGACTTTCTGGACAATATTCTACATGGAGAGGATGATGTCAATGTTCACTGGTAGACCCTCCTGCTTCTTGGACGACTTGATCGATGCACCATATCCGGACGACTTTCCGCAATCTGACGATGGCGGTCAGAATATCGAGTTCGCATATATCCGGGCCATGGCAGTACTGGGCAAGATCAGTGAGAGAATCATGGTCGGAAACTACTCTCCCACCAGAGCGAAGCGAGTGGCCGATCTCACTGAGGTCAATCGAGTCAACGGCGAATGCTCACAAGCTCTTCGGGATCTTCTCGACACACTGCCATCATACCTACATTTCTTTGACGACAAGACACCGACTGGAGAAGCATGGCAAGAAGTTCAAAGATCATGTCTTGGAGCGACATATCATGTTGCCTGCATCCTCATCAACCGACCCGCTCTGGTATACGTCACATTCTTCGACTCAAAACAACAAGCGCAAGAAAGCATAGGCGATCGCATCGACATTCAACGAGACATCAACCTAACAGTCTCTTCTGCGAAGAATCTCATCTCACTGGTCCATGACAGCTTCTTCAACCGCTGTCCAGCCATGAGAAGGGATGGAAACATGGTTTACTTCATCGTCTCCGCATGTCTCGTTCTCCTCTTCGATGTCCTTGACACGGAAACGACGCCAGCCCACGCTAGGGAAGTCTTCCAAGCAGTCGAAAAGGGACTCAAATGTCTTGATCGTATCGACCATATCGGATCCACAACAGGGCGAGCCATAAGCCTCGACGTGATGAAGATCGCCAAGGACGCTCTGAAATCCACAGAGCCGACAAGTCATCTAGGCTCAAATCTCATGGAGTCGTTCACCTGGCTTAACAACGAGATGTTCGATCAGTCGCCCTATGACGCTGCTGGTTCTTGGTTGTACAACTCATTGGAGATGCCATCGTTTGACTATAGCACCGTGGGTATGACTGATTTGTTCGCGTCCAACGGGGTAGATCTTGCGGGGCCTTCGGATTCGAATCAGATGGTGCTGGATGTTATGGTTCAAGGGCTGCAAGTCGCAGATGGTAGTTACATTCCCTCGCAGTCCGTACCGCAGGGTCTGTTATAAGTTCGGAGAAAATCTTTGCACTTCGCGGCCTTGATCAAAGTTTTGTGCTTGTCGTACAGACATGTCACTCCACGATTTGAAAAAGATGTTTAATTCACCCAACACCAGCGATCTCTGGTGCATCAACCCGAGTTTAACCATCTACCTCCTTGCAGCTACTCGCGTTGCACCCATAGATCCAAGCCTGAGCTACTGTGGCACAGTGACCATCAAGATAATGGAGATATATCGAGTATGGAATTGTTGACAGGGTGATCCCCTCAGCAAGACTCCATTTGCAGCCGTACTCAAAACATCGATATAGAGGCCAACAGGACGATTACACCATGCCACCAGACTGTATGGGAAGACGACGGTAGCATTCAAAATAACGTCGAGAACATCGCGCAAGAGAGGTTGGTCGAGCGAGGTATTGCAAGACTAGATTGACATCGATGGTGGGCGATAGATAGGGAAAGCAGATTCTGCAAAGGTTTCGATCAAATTTGCTGTTGCAAAGAGTTAATACAAGGCTGATTCACAAGTTCAGGACGATTAACATGCCAACTACTGGACCCGTCGAGACTTTGTACATGGAAGTCAGACAAGGGGGAGCAATTGGGCATGGGTTTTCACGTAGAGGCAAGATAGGAGCATGTCACGATGGGCAAGCGTGAAGGGTTGAGCCTTTCCACGCCCTTCCTAAGCCCAGAGATGGCCTCTTCCGAATGGACAGAGTTGATCTCGACGAATTTGCATGGAAGCAAATGGTTTGTTCGGTGGAGAAATTGCATTCAACTAATACGCTGAAGAGCACTCCCACCCAGCTACCACGCTGAACAAAAAAATTCCCTTGATGCCGGATGCCACCTTTCGTAACTTTTCGTCTTTTTGTGCCGTTCGTTGTTTCCTTGTTGAATGCATCATCTACAAGCGACGAGCTTATGCGACGAGCTGGACGACACCACCGGCCTCCTTGATCTTGCGCTCAGCCTCGGCGGAGACGTAACGGGCGCGGACGATGATGGGGACGTTGGGGAGACGGCCCTTGCCGAGGACCTTGGAGTAGCCGAGGGGCAGGAGGTCGAGGACGGGGGCAGAGTCGGAGTCACCCTTGCCGGAGAGGTACTTCTCGCGCTGCTCGGCGGGAACGAGGGACCAGAGCTTCTCGAGGTTGATGACGGGAGCCCAGAACTGGTTCTGGAGCTTGTGGAAGTAGCGCATACCGACCTTACCGCTGTGAAGGGTGTTAGACATCTGAGAGTGCGCAAGACGAGGATGATTGGCGCAAACTTACAAGTAACCGGGATGGTACTTGTCCATGTTGGTTCTGTGGTGGTGCTGACCACCGGCAAGACCACGACCACCGGGATGCTTGCGGTGCTTACCGACACGACCGTGACCGGCCGAGACGTGTCCACGGTGCTTGCGGGTGTTGGAAAGGCGGGTAGGCATCTTGACTTGTTGTTGCCGTGGGGAGTCGCGGATGAGGAAAGAAAGAAGAAGGGCGCAACAAATTGCCAAAGTCGAATTTCGTCTGTGGTCCGAGCAAATGCCTTGGCACTGATTGTGCTTGGCGGGTCGCTCTTTCTCGCTTAGAGTGAAGCTCGAGGATGCACGTGATCATACAGAAAGGAAGAGCCGCTCGAGTCTGGACTTGGCGAATGACGCACAGTCTGCTTCTGTTCACATGCGCCAATTGAACAGCGACTCTCCTTGATTTTCACCTTGTACTACCACAACACAGACATGGCGGACCTCAGCACGCTGTTTCTGACGTTCAACTGCGGTCGCGAACTGGTCAACACCGACTTCTTCGCAGCGAGCATCAACCAAGGCCTCTCCAAAGCACAGCTGCCTCCCGATGTCATAGTCCTCTCTCTACAGGAGATCGCTCCTCTCAGCTACTCCTTTCTCGGCGGCTCCTTCCTTTCACCCTACTTCGAGCGCTTCAACCAGACCATTGGGAAGCTCAATCAACTTTGGAAACATGACGAACAATACGAGACGATACTCTGCAGTAACGTCGGCATGACAGCTCTCATGTTGTTCGTCAAGCCAGAAGTCGCGCGCAAGATTAGAAGTGTCCAGACAGCTGGTACAGGAGTTGGTACTTGGGAGATGGGTAACAAGGGAGCTTTAGGTGTGCGCCTCGGTTATGCGAATGATGACGATAGCGAGATTGACCTCACGTTCGTCGCGGCGCATCTGGCACCTGCTGAAGACGCCTGGCAGCGTAGAAATCTGGACTGGCGTCTCATCAATGAGAACTTGGTCTTTACTGGTGTTACAGGCGCCGAGAAGACAAGAACACGCGCGACTAATAGCGAGGACATTCAAGACGAGACGGAACCTCTGTTGTCTTCCGCTACCGATAACCAGCACACCTCGCAGGAGCAGGACAATGCTCTGATAACTTCAAGCTCGTACATCTTCTTTGGTGGTGACCTCAACTACCGCACCTCGGACATCTCACCACATCCCGACAACCACCTCGCCTTCCCTCGTCGCAACGACTCGCCCGAAGACCCCACTCACTACTCGCACATGATGCCCAACGACCAGCTGGCCCGCGAGAAAGCTGCTGGAAACACCCTGCACCATCTCAAGGAAGCACCCGTAAACTTTGCACCTACGTACAAGTTCTCCAAGAAGGCACAAAAGCAGGCCGCGCAGGCTGCGGAATATGTCGAAAGACAAACAAGATCAGGCACGAATGCTGTAGTTGTGCCAGATGAGACAGACTGGCACTGGGCCGAGCACCGCCATCCCAGCTGGTGTGATCGTGTGCTATACCTGGCGCTGCCTGGCCGCGAACCTGTGATCCACATGTACAACTCTCTGCCTCTCCAGCCATCATCAGACCACAAGCCAGTCGTTCTGTACGCCTCAATACCGACACAGTCGTCAAAGCCTTTGGATCATGGTGTGAAAGCTCCATACCCTATCAAGGCGGGCTGGAAGCACAGGCGCGAGGCTGCCAGACGCAGAGAGTTGGTTGTTGGTATCGTGACATACTTGGTCATGACATGGGAAGGTGAGGCTTTGCTGCTTGGTGCAGTCTTAGCCATTGTTGGCGGTTGGGCAGCTTTGCGAAGCCTGTTGCTGTGATAGATGGCATGCTTTAGATCCTACGATACACGTTATGCAGTACGAATGATGAGAAATGATCATGGTCCTTTATCGATGACTGACTGTCCTGTCTGCCGCTTCGTCAAAGTCATGATATCTTGCATGGGTATCAATGTCTTTGTGCCTCTATGTCTATGTCTGTGTTCCTGCTTATCGTTCGCATCTCGCTCAGTTTCTACCCTGCCCACGCTCCTCCAACATCTTGACGAACCCATTCGAGAACCTCTCAACCTGCTCATACGCAATCTCAAACCCTTTGTTACCACCATAATAAGGATCATCCACCTCCTCCTTCCCCTTCCCACCCCAAACCCCAAACAACATGACCTCACCCGCCTCCTCCTCCTTCAACTCCCCCTTCTTGATCAACCTCCTCCTCAAACTCAACAGATCCTCCTCATTCGCAACATCCATGGGGAAAATATAGTCGAAATCTTTGAAATCGGAGCTGCGGAATTTACGCGCCTGGTGCTTGTAGAAGGAGGATGTTATGTTGTGGGATTTCAGGACGGAGAGGGTGCGTGGGTCTGGGGGTTCGCCGGCGTGGTAGGCTGCTGTGCCGCAGGAGTCGATGGAGGAGATCATGGGGTGTGCGTTGGGGCGTGTGTGGTTTGTGATGTGGCGGAATACTCCTTCGGCCATTGGTGAGCGGCCTGTGTTGTGTTGGATTAGTCGAGTGTAGGGTGGAGGATTGGAGATAGGATGGTCGTCGTACAGATGTTGCCTAGGCAGACGAAGAGCACAGAGACGGGCTTTTGCGCCTCTGAGGTTGAAGACGCTGGCATTGTGTGAGTATGAGTTGTGTGTGTGGTTGTGGAAGGAAGGTCGCAAAGAAGATGTTGTTCACAAAAAGTTGTTGGTTATGCGTTCATCGATCGGCATGTGAAAGTCTGGGCTCGGCCCGATCGAGACGTGACGACGACAGGGTCCATCGCTCCATCACTCCTTCTTCATCCTCTCTGGATATGTCAGAGGAATTCAAACATGGAGGATATCACGAGAGAAGCCGTAAGAACAGATCCTGCCTGAGACAGTAATTTGCTCTTACATGCTCAATTCGCTATAAGGTCGTGATATCCACTTCCCAAAAGATGAATGAACCTAGGTTGTGTCTGCAGTTGATCCTCTGTTCGTGTCGCTGATGGGTAGCTATCGGAGGGCACAACACCGCGAGTAGTAGATCAGTGATCAGCGAGATGTAACAAGGTAGGGTCTTGCCGAGCGGCTCTGTCCCATTCCAACAATCACTGCTTCATCCTCTCGCAGCATCTCTGCATGAACACCCCGTAAGAAAGAATTATCTCGATTCAGCAAGAGTCATCTACATCTGCTCCCACATGGTGTTAATGATACCTGTCATCAGAAAGAAAAGGCCTCAGGTGGGAGCCTGGTATGGCTGCCATCCACGTGGAAGATATCACAGTGAGTCAAGACTCAAGACGATGATATTTACTCTCTCACGTCAAGACCCCATCCGCTCCTACATGTTATCCCCATCTTCAAAAATCCCCATTTCCAAAAAAGTCATACCAAAGAACACAACATGTCTATCCAAATATCAACATTCTCGCCAGCCAGAAACCAGTCACTTCGGTCACTCCTACTCCAACTCCAACTCCAAGATATCCCCGAGACCGAAACCGTATTCGGATACCTCTCTCAACCGCTATTGGCACAAGCATCCTCCTCCGATCGTCTCGCAATCCTACAAATGCTCCTTCCAAAGACCGAACTGCAGTTGGAATACTGGTTCGGCTCCGACTCGAATCCGCACAACTGGGCCATCACATTTCCCCATCTGGTCCGTGAAGGCTCCAAGGCTCACGATACTATGCGACGCTATTTCAAGACGATTGACCAACGTCACCTTAAACTCACATGGAAAGAATTCTGCGCGTCGAGTGTCAAGGATACGTTTTTCCAGCATACGAATACCGTCACGTTTGCTGTCAGGTTGCAAGGTCCGGCATATATGTATGTCATCGCGACATTCGGCTCCGATACGCTGCCAACCTTCGAGGCTGAGTTTTTCGAACTCGAGGAGTGTTTTATCACTCTGGACGCGGATTATATTCGAGAGCAAGTTGAGATGAAGCTGGAGAAGTGGAGTACGGATTTCCTGGAGCCGATTTCTTTGTCGACTGGTTTGATAGAAGCTATGGTGGATGATCTGAGGGAGATGAAGGATGGGGGATGTTGGCCTTTGCCTTGCTTCTCTTTTGATTCTTAGCAAGTAGTCATCGTGACTTACTCTTGGAACCGTTGTTCTGTGTTCATAGCTAGAAGCAAAATCCATCCATGGTCTTCTTTCAACACAGCTGTCTTCTGCCTCGCGTGCTGCCGTCGAGCGAGATTGTGATGTTCGAGTCGCAGTCTGCTGTTCCCGTGATCATAGTTTCTGATCCCCTTGGACCTCGATTGAAGTATTCTTAGCGGCGTCTTCTCTCAAAGTCTGTCCTACGGTCTTGCGGGCATCTTGTCGGTCAGCCTTGGGAGCCCGGAGAATCAAGCACATATATCTTACCCGAGTAAAACTTGTAAAGAGATCTACGGAAAGAAACCTTTTCAAGAAATGTCCAGTTTTGTTCGCTGAAGACAGTATCGCAGAGGACTGAGTGCATACCACTGCATGCTAAAATTTAGTGACTAGCAAACCAAACGTGCCATGAACGTGGAATCTGCATACATCTCTCTCGTAGGGTATCCGGAGCCAATCAGGGTGAATAGACGACAAACATGCTGTAGGGCTCCGATGTCGTCAGGGAAGACCTCAAGGAAGATGAGATGAAGAAGCTCGGTTGGCAGCTTGTCCAGTGAAGGCCGAGGGTGTTGCGAGGAGTCCATTTTGCGCAGAGACTGGTGTTTGTTTTCGTTTTGCGGTGGAGGTAATACGAAAGGTGATGGTTGATGAGGGCACTCTGCGAAGATGACCAACGGAAGAGAATGAGTAGGCAGAGAGGTCTGGCCCGACTTGGAAGAAGCGTTGCACTGAGGGCAAGGAAAAGCGTCCGAGATCTAGCATAAAGAGAAGGAGCGACCACGCGGTTGAAACCCCGTTTCTATGTGATCAATCCAATCCTGTCTATTATTGTATTACATTTATAATTGTACTGTACATCTATATCGCCGTGCCCGTCTATCTGTGCACCTTGAGTCTGTTCAGACTGAATCCTTGCTGTTCTCTGAGCTCTTTCAACTCGCGCTTGGCGGCGCCATCAATCATGATATCCTTGTTCTCGACAGCATCCTCGATAGCCTGGGCGCCCTCAGTTCTGGTCAATCTGAGCAACAAGACCATGACACCACTCGCTACGATACTGGCGCACACCATACCTACCATGACCAGGTTGCTCTTTCTGTATTTGTGAGGGCCCTTGGCATCGGCGGGCCATCCGGAGTACAAAGCGTAAGTGGTCAAAATAGATCCAAGATTGCCGAGACCGGAAACCAGAGCAGAGGCTGCGGCGATACCGACTTCACCATGGCGAGGTTGGAAGATAGATGTGCTCATTGCCATGATAGTAGGAACAGTAGGGCCGAGACCGAAGCCAATGATCAGAAGACCTCCGTATCTCGACCAGCTATCGTTGCCACCAGCGAAGGTGGTAGTGAGAAGACCAGCCAGGATGACGAGACAGGAGAGACTGAAGATGACGTGGCGATGAGTGTGGAAGCGATCGCTTAGAGGGGTGATGAGGAGGATGGCAATGAGATCCATGATCCAGATTGGTGCGAAGAGAAGAGACAGGTTGATACTGCTCAGGCTGGGATTGATGGCATGAATAATGACAGTACCATAACTTTGAACACCAATACCTGGTAGATTGTCAGCAGAGATCAAAACTAATGATACGGAGAACGTACCAACGCCTACGACACCAAAGTACATGACGACCAGAGGCCAGAGACGCCAGTCAATGAGCACGCGACCCAAATCTTTCCATCCCCACGAAGGGCGATGGTAAACTCTGGTCAATTCTTCATAGTGAATGCGAGCATCCTCTCCGGTGAGCACAGGTGGGCTTCGCGGCAACAAACGTCTCCAACCAACGGGCTGTTCAATCTTCTCACCTGGCGGATGAGGGCGATCGGGCAGCCACCAGAGCAACACGATGCCCAGGATGACTGCCAACAGGCCGTAGATCAAGAACATCCATTGGAAGCCTACGAGCCCACCGAGTCCATCCATCTTCTGGAACCCGGCACTGACAAGACCAACGACAGCGGCAGAAAGTTGCGCAGCGGTATAGTAATGACCAATACGTCTCGCACAGCGCGAAGGTGGGTAATACAGACTGAGATAGTAGGTCATACCAGGCCACATGCCAGCAATGACAATACCCAACAGTAAGCGTAACAAATAAAGACTCCAGGCCGCTTTCATAGCTGTCATGCAAGTACCGATGATACCAACACTCAGCACGATTCTGCTCATCCATACATGTGGGCTGAGCTTCGACATGATAAGGTTGGAAGGGCAGTCGAATATAACATAGCAGACGTAGAAGAGAGCGAGACCGGTCGAGACTTGCTTCGGCGTCAGATTGAGCACATCAGAAAGGTCGTGACCTTGGGCCGAGTTCATAGTCTGTGCTAGACCAACGTTGGATCGGATGGCCGAACAGAGAAAGTAGAGTATCCAGAATGCTGTATCGATGTCAAATTGTGTAACATTGCACAAGCACGGCATTCTTACGAGGGATTATTCTGCGATCGATCTTCCTGTAGAGATGTTAGTTAATGCCTACTAAAGAAGTTTGGGAGGTAAAGGAACACACTTGTATACGCGCTCGATACGAGCCAGATTAACGCCCTCGGATCCCAATTCTTGATCATCAACGACTGGTGCCTCCTTGGAACCATAGCCTGCCAGCTCCATAGCGGCAGCCTGTTCTCTCGAGGAAGCCATCTGGACGAATACTGTGGTTGGACTACACAACCGGAGAAAAAAAGCCGAGTCGCCTCTGGATCGATTTCCAGATGGAGAAGAAACAGATTGATAAGATATGACTTCTGTCAACTTTCCAAATCTTCAAAACCACGATCACGAGCTGAACGCGTATTTGAGTAATTGACCAAGATGTGAGTCACACTAGACAAGACAATGTCTTTATACCAAGGTTTGTCCGAAGCGATTTCGGCGTAATGTTGGGAGGGAGTTCTGCGGTGGTTTCGAATGCCAGAAGCCACATTTTCGAACGCTTCCCTGCATGCTGAGCGGGAGCGGAGATTTTTGCGTGGGAGCCTTCAGCCGGTCCGCCGTAGCGTCGTTCTTGACTTGCCGTCGGCACCGTCTTTGGAGCTGTGCTTGTCCGATGGTCTCTAGCAGCATCAAGAACTCTAATCCTGTGGACCAAGACTCTCTCCAGACCTCGACAAGTACATGCGTCCGATCCGATAACTGCTCTTCTATGTCGTTTCTCATTCTGAGAATGTTGTTGCTGCTTCTCGGGGGAGCGATTGCCGGCACGGATCAATGAAGTCACGGCCGTGTGGTCAGAGCTTCAGCTCGTTCAAGTCGACCTTCAAATCGATCTTTTGGTCCGGCCGTCTGCGAGTTTCGAACAACTCACGAGGAACGCAACATATCATACCTATACTGTAGACGGCTGTTCATGCCAACAGCATTCTTGGTATGTCGGTGCCCAACTTCTGATTTCCTCGACCGCCCATATATTGGGAGACCTAATGACCGGTCGAAGCAACAAATTTATGAGACCTCAGTATGCACATGAAGTAGTCGCCTATGATCGTTGTTCTCCTCTTCTTGCCTATGCGGCATCTGTAAGATCACTGGCTATGGAGACCACGTTGCATACTGGACTAGTCATGCGGCGGTCATGGTCACATTGCTTCGTTAAGAACATCCAGGTTGACAGAGCTAGCACTTGATAGGTGAGAACGCGGCCACCAAGAGTGCAGGATATACAGATGCATCATACGAATGGGCATATGAGTAGAATGTGGTTAGGCTTTGATCAATATGCAGTCATTCACAAGGGTATAGTCCTGGTCTTTGCCGCTATCTTTGCAGGAAAGTAATTGCGAGGTTCAAGCATCTTGAGGCGGAGAAGGGCAGATGAGTTGAGGCAGGTACTTGTACATGCTGTGTACAGGACGAGACCAAGTTGATTGATTGGTCGGTCGTAGGGAGCAGTTGAATATGCTGCAGAGAAGCGGCGGCATGCGCGCATGCTTGTTTGGTTGACAATGAGGGTGCTATGCAGACTGCACAGTGGGTGCATTGCATATGCAATGTCGGATGAGCACGGCGGACGTGACTCTAGAGTCTAGAGCTGAGGGTTGAAGCTCAGCAAATCCACCAGAAAGTGGACAGTCTAATACATAGCAGTAACGATAACGAAATATCTAAGGCATGGACAGAGAGGGTGTTGAAAGGAAGCACTCGAATTTTCCAGAAGTGTTTAGGATGCTCCATGCTTGGTGAGGGGCTTTCGCGGGGCAGCTTGGCTCGTGAGAAAAGGCACATCAGCCGAACAGAAAGAGCAGATGGTCGGTGACAGGTCGCAAAGCTCGTTGAAAGCAAGGAGATACTGCTGCCCGTCTGCAACAAGCTGAAAGGAGCGCTTACTGGTTCCGGCAGAAGAAGATCAAGACGATGGAAGGAATACAAGCAGCGGTTTCCTAGTCTCGTGAGTCTCGTGATGACGGTATAGGGTCTGTGCGTGACTGGGGGAAGCAGCGAGGGATTCGGGGATTCCTCCACCAATTCGACATGGCCGACACGCCTGTTACCACGCGAACTTCTCACCCTCACCCGCTCTCACGAGACACCATCCTCTCCATCTAGAAGCGACAATCCAGCCATCTCCTCGCTCGACCGTCCGAAAGCTGCAAAAGCTCGTTGTTCAGCAAACAGCCTTCCAGTACGACGTCGGCGCCTGCCCGCAGCAGCATCCACCCGCCGACATCACAACGCATCCGTCCGACAAGGCAGCTCTCAACAAGCCAAGTCAGAGATAGGCTCTTCAATTGCCCTGCCATTTCTCCGTCGACCCATCACTCCCTCCACTCCCTCACGGACCCCCCTCATACCGACAACACGTCGCGCTCCACGAGCGCCCGCATCCGCCCATCATGGCTCAGGCCTTCGACGATGACGACCTCTCCCTCTCCATGACCCGTCGGCCGACCAATGCCTCCCAAAATGACGATTCGAACCCTCCAACCGCCATGACTGCTACGTCAAAGTCGCAACCCGCCCCACCGGCAACAAATAAGAGACGCCTAGGTCAATACGACATTGTTAGGACGTTAGGAGAAGGCTCCTTCGGCAAAGTGAAGTTGGCCGTACACAAAGTCAGCGGCCAAAAGGTCGCCCTCAAGATCATCTCTCGTCAAAAGCTTGTCACGCGCGACATGGCCGGCCGTATAGAACGCGAGATTCAATACCTGCAACTACTGCGCCATCCCCACATCATCAAGCTCTACACGGTTATAACGACCCCCAAGGAGATCATCATGGTGCTGGAATATGCCGGTGGGGAATTGTTCCAGTACATTCTCGACCACGGACGCATGGCCGAAGACAAAGCTCGCAAGTTCTTCCAGCAGATAGTATGCGCGGTTGAGTACTGCCATCGTCACAAGATTGTCCACCGTGACCTGAAGCCCGAGAACCTGCTCCTCGACGACGCCCTCAATGTCAAGATTGCCGATTTTGGTCTGAGTAACATCATGACGGACGGCAACTTCCTCAAAACTAGTTGTGGCAGTCCAAACTATGCAGCCCCTGAAGTGGTGGGAGGAAAGCTGTATGCTGGGCCCGAGGTTGACGTTTGGAGTTGTGGTGTCATTCTCTATGTTTTGTTGTGCGCCCGCCTTCCCTTCGACGATGAATACATCCCGACGCTTTTTAAGAAGATCCAGTCCGGCACGTATCATACGCCAAGTTACATTTCATCGGGCGCTGCTCGCCTGATCAAGCGGATGCTGCAAGTCAGCCCCGTCAACCGCATCACCATCGATGAGATCAAACTCGATCCTTGGTTCCTCAAGGAGCTGCCTGATTACCTCACACCACCCGTCGAGGAGTTCATGGACCAAGGCATCGACCCCAACAGGTCAATTGACCCCGCCAAGTTGGCTCCTACTAAGCCTGCAGTCGTGCAACAAAAGCTGCATGAGAGTGTCGTGGGCAAGCTCGGCAAGACAATGGGTTACGCAAAGGACGATGTGACCGAGGCCCTCGCTAAGGATGAACCCAGTGCCATCAAAGATGCCTATCTCATTGTACGCGAAAACACCATCATGAAAGCCAACCCTTCGCTGGCCCACAACCCAGACCTACAGCCGTGGCTTGCTCAATCACCACCGACCTTCCAGACCACTGTCGCTTCTCCGCCCAATCCTCGACATCCTGCACCGGGTACTTCGAACCCTGCCTCAAATGTCGAACACCCCCGCCATGGCTCTACCAGCTCTGCCCACGAAGCCCGCACACCTGCTACCACCATTGGTATACTGCCTTCGTCGCTTCCTTCCTTCCACCAAGCATACATGCAGGGTACTACCCCCAGAGCTGCTATCCCAGAAGGCGAACTCGACCCATATGCACCCAACAGTGTTCCTGGAGGCGAAGGCAAAGAGTTGACGACCGAACAACGCGCTGCTGTCTTGAGAAGGTTAAGGCCTCATGTCAAGAACAATGTCGTTGGCGGTCGCGACAAGCCCGAGATGATGACGCCTCTTCCAAACAAGGACTCGAAGAAGGCGAAGCCAACCAAGTGGCAGTTTGGTATCCGCAGTCGCAACAGCCCTTCGGAAGCCATGTTGGCCATTTACAAGGCACTGAAGGCCATGAACGCTGTTTGGGAAGCCCCTGTCATGCGTCGTCCAGGTCACGGCGACGGAAGTCCCCCAAGAAATCGCAGACGTCACGCAAGGGATGGTAGTCAAAGTCCCGAGTATTCCGACTCCGATCCCGAGGCGGGCACCGATCCTGAATACTCGACTCACGAGGAGCGCGCCAGACGTCGTTCTCGTGGTGGTCACGCATCAGACATGTCCGACGACGACTTTGGTGAAGAACTGTCACGCAGCCATCGCCGCAAGTCAAATGTTCGCGAGCCCCTTGGCCCGGAGAACGACTGGGGCTACAAGATCCCCGAAGACCCCTGGATTATTAACGCACGCTTCCGCAAGGATGGCATGTTCCCACCTGGTGTCGCTCACCCATCATCGACGCATTCTAGCCGTGTGGATTTGCAGGAAGGCATCCGCCGTCGCAGCTCAACAATGGGCAGCAGCACTAGTCTAGCCGCCTCACCTGCAGGTTACACACCACCCACTCAGCCAAGCAGTGCCCACGGCAGCGCCCACGCCTCCACCGATAACATCGCCGCGACGGGCCCCGGCAGCTTTGGCCAAGACAGCCTCCGTCGCCGCCACCCAGCACCCAACGAAAGCGCATGGGTCTACGTGACCATACAACTATACTGCATCGAGCAAGATAGCTTCATGGTCGATTTCAAATGCGCCGGCTACGAGCGTCTAGTCCGCAGACTCCGCCGCGAGATCAAGACGCAAGCGGATGGTGAGACATCAGATGTCTGGCGCGAAGAGGACCACGATGACGAAGATATGGATGAAGGATACATGGGCTGTGGACGCATCCCCGAGGAAAAGGATATTTCGAGCCCCTTCCCCTTTATGGATGTCGCTAGCAGTCTCATCGTTCAGCTGGCACAGGGGGCTTGATTTATCCATCATCGGACTTTTTTGTTGTAGTCTTCTTCTTCTTCTTCTAACATCTTTTCGGTTGTTTTTGCACGCCCTTATAGTTTCGGGCATGGTTGGTCGCAGTTTGACTGACATGGGGGTTCCTTTCTCATGGCGTTTCCATTGGCAAAGCATAGGCATTTGCATCTCTGTTCCTCCTCATTTCCTCTCGTCATTCGCTCCATAGCTTAGAAAGAAATGGCTGGAAGGGGAGGCCATCGTTTATCTACACCAAACTCAGATATTCGTTCTTCATAGCGAGATTAGAAAATTTCAAGACTTTTAGAAAAATTCAAGCACAACGATTCTCAGCATTTAGTTTTTAAGCAGAAAAGTTTATTGTTTTTCAAAGTATTAAAGATACAAATTCTGCAGAGACGTCCGTTTGGAAAGTCAAGGCCCGCCTTAAAAAGTACACCAGCCATTATTCTCCTCTCTACTTTCCAGATTTCAGCCCTTTTTGTCCTTTGTTTTTGAATATTGGTATTCTATGCTTCCTCCTTCTTCTCTTCGGAAGCAGTGTCGGCTTGCTTGGCTTTGTTGAACAATGCTCTAAAGTCATCGTTGCTTTTTGCCTTTGTCTCGCCGGTACCGGTCATGGTCTTGTCTTCTCCTTCGGGCGATCTCGCAGAGCCCGAGTTGGAGCTGAATCCTCCTCTCTTGAAGCCTAGGCCACCACGTCTACCTTGACCGCTCTTTTGCGCAGGTCTGGAAATACCTGCTTGGGCTGGGCGGAGCGACGTGGCAGGTTTGGGGTTCTGAGCGAAGGCAGGCTTGGCTTTCTTTCCGTAGAGAAGGTCTTCGACGGTGCCGATGCGTACCTCTGGACCAAGAGTGCTGCAGTCGACGCCCATGCCAACTTTACCGGCATCCTGGAGGTTGACAAACTCGATCATGGCACCTGATTTGTCACGACGGACGGTTATCTTGCGAAGAGGACCGAATGTTTCGAGGAACGATTGGATGCGAGCGTCGTTGACTGTGTCGGGCAAGTTGAGAAGAGCCACGGTGCGTTCACGTATCGTCTTTGCAGTCTCTGCTCCAAGCTCTTCGACAGGAGCGGCAGATCCTCTACGTCCGTTGGCAGCTCCAGTGGAGCCGTTTTGGCTACCTTCGGGTGCAGGAGATCCACTTGTAGTCGGTTGGACAACTTTGGTCGCGGCATCCTTCTTCGCCGAACTCTTGTCTGTCGCAACGGTGACACGAAGAAGGCGGGTCAACAAAGGCTTGTTATTCAGTACCAGCGCGGCTTCGGCCTCCTCGGTCTTTGAGAAGATGACGAATGCGGTGCCGATAAAGTTACCCCTAACACCTCTTATCATGCGAACGTTCTCGACGACTCCATGCTCTTGGAAGAGATTGCGGATGTCTGATTCGGTAGCATTGTTGTCAATATTGGCGACATGTAGCTCACGGCCCTCAGTGACAGCGCCAGAACGCTCTTTCTTGGCACCGGGATCCGAAATCTTAGCAACGAGGCGGTGCTGACCATCAATGGCCTTGTTGTCCATCACAGTGGCAGCACGAGCTTCTTCGGCCGTAAGAAACTGGACGTAACAGAAGCGGCGTCGTTGGTTATATTTGAGCGAAGGCAAGCGAACGCTGACAACTGTGCCGAAATCGTGGAATATCTCGCGTATCTTGACTTCGTCCCAGTCGGCAGGGTAGTTGCATACGTACAAAGTCGAAAGAGTTCCTGACTGTATACGAATGGTGTTGCCGTCAAAGTATTTTCCGTCTCTGGTCTTAGCAGAAAGCACATCCTCCTCAGTCTCGAATTCGATAGTGGCGTGCGCAGTCATGGAGTTCTCTTCGGCCACTATGCCGACAGAGAGTATCGTGCCACAATCGCTGAAGAACTGTCGGATACGCTCCTCTGAAACATCACGAGGCAGATCCTTGACGGTGACCGTTGTATGCTCTCTGTCACGCTTAGCCTGAGCAGAAGCCGAAGCAGAAACCTCGTTGTACGGTGGTTTGGTCGAGTCTTGTTCTTCTGTCTTGTTCCTCTTGACAGCGTCTTCGACCTCTTGTTCCGATTCGTTCTCACGTTTTCTCTTAGTTGTCGTCGTTGATTCCTCGGGAATAGTATGGAGTTCGGTCGACTGAGGCTGTGCTTCAGTGGCAGTGGCAGTGGCAGTGGCAGTGGCAGTGGACGCGGCGACATCGGCGGCTTCTCTTGCGCGTCTCTGAGCAAGGAAGAACTGTGCTGTACGGGCTTCTGCTTGAGCCAATTGCAATTCTTCGGGGGTCTCGTGCTGATGGAAATGATTCAGCCATACTTCGAGGATCTTTTCGGGCCAGTCAAGGTCTCTTTGGCTCAGAGCATCACGTAGCACGCCAGTTGCTCTGCGGGGTGCTGTTTCAGGCGTCTCAATACGAACGGTCTCAGACATGCGCTCGTGTGCCCATACCAGGAGCTCAAACTGATAACAGGCAAGCCAGAAATCGGCACTTGCTGAATGTGTAGGAACCAAACGCTCATACACACTCCTGGCGTCTTGATAACGTCGAGCCTCCAGAAGGAACTTGACACGAATCTTCTCGAGACGGAAGAGAGGATCACCCTTGTAGTCGTTGCCATAGATCTTCTTGCCAGCGACGGTTGCGTCTTCAAGAGTACCAGTAATACCCATGTCGGCCATATCAATCTCGTCATCGGTATTGTCCGGCGCAAATGCTCTGCGACGAAGGTAACCACACCAGGAAGAATATACTTTGAGAACCTCTTCCATTCCGCCGATACTCAGAAGGCCACTATTGGTGGCCTTGTGCTTGACCTGTTCGACTTCGTCATAGGGGAGCTTGTCTACCTCGGCGCGCAGAACGCGTCTCGACCAAAGATCGCCAGACCACGGGCAGTGTCTGGTAGCCCTCTCCAGTATGGACAAGATGGTATGGTCGCGTCTATTTTCCAGAACGAAGTCGGCAAGGTCGAGCCACCATTCGACCACCGTGGGGAAGCGGAGTAGTGCCCTCTCATACAACGAACATCGCAGCTCGAAATGACACTTAGATCGACGCTTGTTCTTCCTGTCCCAAGTGAGATACTCTGTAAAAGCATTGTAAAGAGCAGCAGTGTCACCAGAGTCGGCAGCTCGTCGAAGGTTCAGTTCATGTGTCTCTCGCATAGCGTACTCATGCTTGCCAGGGCCAGCCATCTCGTTGGTTGCTGCCATGATCTCCTCCCAGTTGCTGGCGTTAAATTTGGAGACAATGGGCCAGAATTTGGCAGAGGTCTCGGACCAGGCTGAGTGAGGTTGTTCCAAGCGCCTGATGAAGATGTTGTTGAGATGTTGGACGGCCTGAGGAGACGGGTTCTCCGGGTACTCCTGCAGCACGAGGTCGATGTATCGATTCCACACAAGATGACTCTCATCAATGCGCCACGTCGTTGCTTGTACAGCTCTCTCCCACACCTCCAGGCAGATTTCGCGGCTGAAGACCTCCTTGCAGATTTCCTTGTCGATGTCGGTCCAGACATTGGGATCTCCCTCGGTGAAGCCATTGGCGATGGAGTACGTCTGCATGACCCACTCGCCATAAAGATACCAAAGCTTCACACTGGTCGGCTCATCTTGGACGGCTTTTTGGCACAGATCCATGACAGCAACGCGCTCCTCGCTCTTGCGAGCCAAGAGAGCTTCATCGTTGATCCAGTCTTGCCAAATATCCTCTCCAACAGCGAAACGGGAGTCCATGGCTTCGCGAGCTTGTCGCATGTCAGGAAGTAGGTTGTAGTCTCTCGGATTATTGACGACGACATCTGAAGCACCATAGACGTGGGCGACGAAGCCTTTGTGGAGGAGGTTGATCAGTTGTACATGGGAGTCATAGGCATACGAGTTTTCAGCCAAGTACTTGACCAACTCTGTGATGGTTTCGATTTCCTGTTCGGTCAGCGAAGCTGCTGTGAATGCGCGCGGCTCAGGTGTTTGTGCAGGAGCCTCGGCCATGGCGACTTGAGTAGAGGAAAGAGCAGATCGCGTGAGAGGAGGCGCAAAACTTGTACGGCGGTTGCTAAAACCATTAGCAATGAAGGATGAAATGTACCGCGAATGACTCACATTGCTGGCAGATGTGTTTCAACCAGTGAGTGCTGTCTCTGTAATTGATGGTGTTGTATAGAGGCTAGATCTGTAAACATGTCAGAATTCGTTTGTATAGCAACAGCGTCATGTGACTGGAAAAATCGCACCTGCCAAAGTCTCCATCTGCGGCGTTGAAGAGTGCCGACGGGAGACGTACTGAAGCTGTGGTCGATGGGCCTGCGGCGTCCCGAACGGACTCCTCATGTCGGATAGAGGAGTTTCAAGATTACTTCTCGGCGTTCTCATCTCGTGTGCGCCATTGTAGGTAGAAACATATGCTCTCTGAGCTTGATCGATGGATTCCTGTCCCAATGTAGGCGCCGAGCGTGGTGGCTCAGGCGGCGGCGAGGTCATGGAAATTTCATTGCTGAGCCCTGATGCAGTCCGTCTGCCACCGGCGGGACGCGCCTGTGGCCTTGGTCTACCAGTAGACGTGGTAGAGCTCGACGGGCTCGCAGCCTGTTTGACAGGCGATTCTGATGGCGACAGCAAGGCATTGATATCCATGGCGGAAGTTGGTCCGTCTCCGGCAATATGGGTCAGATTATTAAAAAGCAAAAACGACGGCCCGTACTAGCTAAAGAAGGGCGAAGACCACTTAAATGAGATATAAAAAATGGTGACACTGGAGAAGCGATCCCTAAGATGGAGGTGGCTCCGCAGATGGTACCTGTCAAGGCAACGAGGAAGCACTCGGACAGCGTGAACAGCAGTTTGCGGGCAGCGTCGTCACACGAGATGCAAGATCCGAGGAGGAGGATCGGAGCGGGGCGTCTGAGGCTCTTGAGCTTCTAGAAGAGCGTGGAGAGAAGCGAGGGAGGAGCGATGGGAGAAAGTGAGGCGCAAGAGGGAGACTTGATGTCTTTGCGACTTGGACACAGGAGTTTGCGATCCTCGAGTGTGTAACGGTGTTGCAATGCAGGCGTCCAATCAGCGCAAGAGTCAGATGTGGAGTGTGGAGTGGACTGAAGATTTTGAAGATGCAATTGTACACTGATCGACAAAGGGGCAATTCGGTCGGCTGAAGAAGGTGTCTGGAAGGCAGACAGAGACAAGGACAGAACAGAAAGACTCGGGCGATTAGGCACACAGTGACTGGACGTGCCTTGATTATCAATTCAACCACGCTGAGGACATGACTCGTAGAGCGGTGTTGAGGCTGAAAAATAATTGTATGCATGGACAAAACATGTATTACAGATCAACCAGTGTAAACACTGAAGAGATGATCCGTTCGAAAGAGCAGAGTAAGAATGGAGACACATTGTAGTTCTGATGAAAAATCAAATTACCAACTTGTGGTTGTGCTACTGTTGTATTGCAGACAAGAAGAGAGATCTTGAGCAGAGGCGCGAGTCAGAAAAGTAGCGAAAGGACAGGGTCGGCTCAGAATTCTGACTTGTCGGATTAGCGTCGCGGCAAACTTCTAGAGATTCGAGAAGCAGCAACGACAAGGGTAGACGCACACATCACACACAATGAGCGCCCGTACGCCTTCGCGGCGACTGCTGCAAAATGGTAAGAGATGAAGGAGTCTTTGTGAGAGAGGTACCTGCTAACGCGGTAAGCAGGCGGTCTCCAATGCCTTCACGCGCCATCTTCAAGCACACCATCAACCCTCGGACGCCGTTCTATCTGGGGCTTCTTTGGCAAGAGAAAGGACGACAGCTCGATAAGCTCAAGGCCCGGCCAAGCGACAAATCCTGTTCTAGACCAGTACCTCAAGAAGAAGCCGACCAAGCAGGGCGCCGAAGGCCTGCAGCGCGGTGACCTCGCAGAGACATCCATCTTCGAAGGCGAGCGCCAGAGTCAGGAAGCAGAGGAGGAGAGGGAGTTAGCAAAGGAAGCTGGCGGCCGTAACATCAGCGCCATGGCCACCGTGCTCGACCCTCACCCCGTAGCACGCGAGCGATGGCAGCGCAAGATGCTCATTCGCGACATTCGCAAGGGCGGCCGTCTCAACAAGGAAATGTTCATCAAGCGCACCGAGAGAGAAAGCACGGGCAAGAGTGAGAACATCAAGACCAGCATCAAGAAGCTGGGTCCGATCGCGCGCCAGATCGCCGGCAAGACCGTCGACGACGCCATTGTCCAACTGCGCTTCAGCAAGAAGAAGGCCGCCGTTCCCGTTCTCAACTACCTCGAATACGCCCGTGATGAGGCTGTTGTCAGCCGTGGTATGGGTCTTGGTCAAGCTACCGTAGCCGACTTGGACAAGCCCGTCGACATCCGCCTCAAGGACGGCAAGAGACACACTGTCGCAGACCCCACCAAGATGTACATCGACCAAGCCTGGGTTGGCAGAGGTCCTTACGGAAAGCTGCCCGAGTACCGTGCCAAGGGCAAGATCAACATCCTGCGTACTCCCTGGACTCACATCGGTCTGGTGCTGAAGGAGGAGGCCACTAGAGTCAGACAGTACAACGAGCGTGAGGACAAGAGAAAGAAGCAGCGTGAGGCCAAGGTCTGGACTCCTCTGCCTGACCGCCCCATCCAGGGTCAGAGACAGTGGTACTCATGGTAGACGCCAAAATCCGTCGCATATACCCCCTTTGTACAATACCTTTTCTTCTTGTACCGTACTTGCATCTCTGGGATTCTTTTTGGGAATAGCTTGACAAGAAAATCATATGACACCTTTCAATCTCTCTTTGTTTATTTTCTAAAAAGGCTATGACTTGTACATGCGCTCATGCACGCTCTACAGATCCTCAAACTTGGACGTATTGTACAAATGCTTTTCCGTGCGCTCCAGTACTTCAAGAGCAGCGCCAACAGCGATAGGTCCTTCGCTCGTAGGAATACAAAGCATACCAAAGCAAGGCTTGTACTTGGCAACCCCACCCTGATCAATACGTCTGAACTTCATAAGTGTGTCCCAAGGTTCGTGTGCGTGCTTCTCGGCAGTATCGGGGTTGACGTTGGGAACCTGACAGCGGGCACAGTGGCACAGGATGTCGAGATGGGTCTTCCAGATAGCCTCACGTGCGTGGTCGGTAGTGCGAATGCACACCTTCTTCCAGCTATCCTCGTCCCAAGCCTTGGTGCCCTTGACGATGATGTTAGGTCTGAAGCGCTCGATGGTGAGCTGATCGTGGCCAGCACCTTCGAGTCTGGAGTTGAGGTCGGCGAGCGAGGCTTCCGAGGCGACTTGCAGACTCATGACATCGGCGAAATGATGCTCCTGCTCCTTGCCATACAAGTCGGGGCTGCCGTTTCCACGTGCCATTCTGGGAGTGGGACCCTTGTAGACCAGAGCGACAGGCTTCTTGAAGTATTCGCTGAAGATGGAGTTGATGTCGTCGTTGTACTCCCAGGCATCGGTGTCCTCACCCCAGATCTCGACCTTGGTGAGCTTGGTGTTCTCGTCCAGCCACTCGGCAGTAGGATAGCAAGGAATCTTGACGTGCTTATCGGTGTCGTGGATGCTGACGTGCAATTCTGTCCACCTGCCCTTGCCATCTCCAGAGAGTCCAGTATCAATCAAAGTCATCGAAGGGTCCGAACGGATGGTCAAGAATTGGCGGCTCTTTGCATCGACAAACATCCAGTGACGGTCCAAGTCCAGACCAGTCTTGTGGAGTTTGATGTCATTGACCTCAATGCCACGGCATGACTTGATGGGGTAGATGCGCAAAGAAACAACTTCGGTCGATGGGCCTGGCTTTCTGGCCGTCAAAGCACGAGCGGCGTCCTCGTCGAAGATGAAGTTGGCATAGAAGTAGAGGAAGATAACACCTCCGACAACAAGAGTAATCATTCCAATTGCCATGGTATGGATGTCAATGCCAGGAATGAGCTCTATGCTGCCCGTGCCATCCTTGTTGAATTGGCCCATTCTGATGTGTTCAAGAGACAGACTGTACGCAATTCAACAGATCTGGTTTTGATTCGAGTCCTAGATTGTGTTGCTTGATAGTGTATTGAAGTGACACTATGTCATGTTTGAACAATGGTCGAGCATTCAGAGAGGTTTCGAAGAGATCATGGAGGTGCCACTAGCTCCGAAGTCTATTCCGTGCTCGGCGTCATGCAATATGGCCTGTGCGCGCACGATTTTGTTGACCTTTGGCAACTACGAACCATCCTATGAGTACCTTCCTCTATAGACCATTTCATATTTTCATTCAGTTCTCAGTAAGTTTCAGATTCTATTTCATCTCTTCTTCGTGTCATTGTTTGAGAAGAAAGGGGAAATTCATGCTGTACATGCTATTCATACTCAAGCCCTGAGAACGTTTCGCGGGAGCATTCGTGAGGCTCTATTTGATGTAATGGAATGCCTCTGATCCTCTTATAATCGAGAAAAACTGTATTCTGTCCATGCGTATCTCGGCAATAGAAGCAAAGCCGATCTACGCAATGAATGGTTGTACGATGCACGATACCTTGTTCTTCGGGCCCTATTCTACACTACGATAGTCAAGAGCGATGTGGAGACATCATATAGAATGGTTTTGCTAACTCTCATAAGCACCCACCACAACAATGCCCGACAAAGACGCCGGCACCCCCCGTGTCTTCCTCATCCGCCACGGCGAGACCGAATGGTCCATGTCCGGCAAACACACCGGCAAAACCGACATCCCTCTGACCGCCCACGGCGAATCCCAAGTCCGCAGCACCGGCGCCATCGCCGTCGGCAACAACAAGCTTATCGACCCTTCCAAGCTAGGCATGTGTTGGGTATCTCCTCGCACGCGTGCCCAACACACCTTCTCCCTGCTCTTCGGCGACAAGCAGGAAGCTGCACTCAGAGAGCAGGGCAAAGTTCAGACTACCGAGCAACTCGGTGAATGGGACTATGGCGCCTACGAAGGTCTCAAGCCGGCTGAGATCCGCGACTTGCGCAAATCGAAAGGCTTGGATACCGAGAGAAAGTGGGATATTTGGCGTGATGGGTGTGAGGATGGCGAGTCGCCTGATCAGGTTGCTGCCCGCATTGACGAGTTGATTGTCAAGATTAGAGAGCTGCAGGGTCCCAACATGAACGGCGAGCAACCTTGCGATGTTGTTCTTGTCGCTCACGGTCATCTCACTAGATGCTTCGCAAAGAGATGGTTAGGTTACCCTCTGGATATGAACCTGAACTTGATGATGGAGCCCGGTGGTGTTGGTGTGTTGAGTTATTCTCACCACAAGGTCGACGAGCCTGCTCTTCTACTCGGCATTGGTTTCCCTGCCGAGTCTTGAGGGATTGTGCTGATATTGTAGAGATAAACTGAATGTACAAAGCAGAGAGGCCAAAGCCATTGCGCGAATCGAAAAAAAAAAAACAACATACATCCATCCATCACCACAATTTGGCAAAACAAACCCCTTCTGCGAAGGGTAAACAAACTCGCCACGGTTGTGGGTCGTTCTGACTTTGATGAATATCCAGTGCTATCCAGTGCTATCCAGTGCTATCCAGTGCTATCCAGACCATCCTGCCCTCCGCTGTGGTTCGCCGCCCAATGGTGAAAGAATTGGGAATCCGATCCAGAGGTTCGAACCGTGGCCGCTTACACCCAGGTCTCAAGTCAAGCGCTTGACCGTGCCACTAGACTAAATCATGTGGTAGATCCCCTGGGAAGGGTCAAAGGTGTGCCGGCTAATTGGAACTATACAGTCATGCGGAGTGAAGTGAAGACTCTCGGGGGCAAGATTTCACTTTGGCCTCTCTCTCTCTCTCTCAGGGGGCGGGTCGCTCGTCAAAACAGCACTGTCAAAAGGCAAGATGATTTCCGTGGTGAGATTTGGGTCCAGAGAGAGTCAATTGAAGTGTCACTCTCATCGGCAAGTCATCGATTCTCAAAAGCCTTTCTGTATTTGGACAAATATTTCGGACATCTTGGTGCGAGCGTGAGAGTGCAACGATTTCTGAAAAGTATCTCAATATCTCAGAGGCAGATCGCTCCCCGAAATACTTATAAAAAGGCAAGATAGTGGCAAGATATCGATTATCAAAAACCTTCTTGCATCTCGATGAGCAGTTTAGCCACCCTTGTGGGAGAGTTGGACGGCAGCCTTTCTACAGCTACGCTCACATTGTCAGATGTATGTATATAAGAACTGACTCGATTTCCACATCAGCTTATAGGCTTTGTGAGTAGAGCCTGAACTGGCTTGTTCACTATATATCTCATCGCTATACCTATATAGCATCGTAAACATTACTCGTTCCTTCCTCATAATATCCTAGAGCACGCACGTTCGCGTACATCCACGCCAAAATGAAACCTTAACTCTTACATCAATATACCTCCCAATACCTCCGTAGACCAATCAACCTGCGCCTGTAAGACCTCTCTAACCGAACAGCACGCCTCCATATCCTCCTCCCTCGTCATACCTATAGGCGTCTCCCTCGTAAACTCCAACAACCATTTCTGGTATAAGCCCCAGCTCAACTCTACCGGCCCGATAGTACCCTTGATACCGTAAGCCTTTAAGACATACTTGACGGTAGGGTTCTGCGTAAGCACTTTGTTGCCACCACGTAGCGCTGACTTCTTGTTGTCGCCTTGGACGCCATTGACCATTTGCTCTAGACGTAGGTTGAAGCAGTCGATCCAGCGGCTGGGGATGAGGTAGAAGGTGTTGCGGTCGTAGGGGTGGGTTAACAGGTGTAGGCAGCGGTGGGCGGAGGCTAGTTGAGGTACGGGCATGGAATCTCCGTCAACCGTATGGCTAGAATTGGTGATGACGGGGAGACAGATGGTATCCGGGGCTAGGAGCTGGGTGAGAACGTCCTGGGGAGAGGGAGGCAGGTATATATGGTTGCACCAGGGATGATTAGGGTGCAGTTCGATCAGCCGGCGTGGAGGAGGATCCATTTCCGGTTCTTGTACGCTCTCGAGGTCGGCTTCGTGCTCGGATTCGACCTCGACCTCGACCTCGACCTCGTAGTCTGCTTCCTCTTCCTCTTCGTCATCCACGTCTGAGTACGACAACGGTACCATAGCCGTAGATGAGCCTTGAGCGTAAGAAGAAGGACCAGCAGATGCTACGACCGGCGAAGTATGACTAGGACCTGCCTCAATAGCCAAAGGAGCAGGTGCAATTGCTCTAAGACTAGCAGCCGTCGTGACCTGGCCTTGCACTTGTGCAGTAACTGAAGCAGTCACAGGCCCAGCGTGCGTAGTCGACAGAAGCCAGCCCGAGTCCTCAGGCATGGTAAACTCAAAAGCCGGAACAACATTCTGCTGAGCTGAGTTCACACTGCCCTCAAATCCAAGTCCCCACATCTCCGGCAAATCGAAATTGGTATAGTCCAGCACGTCTTTGGCAACTTCACTATCGACCTTAGCAGGGACACTGCATTGAGTCGAGGCTGGTTGTATATACTCGAGCGATTGTTGTCCTCCTGGAACACCAACATCACAAGCAACATCTTGTGGGACCGGGAACGCCGATGATTCCGCCGACAACCAGTCCAAGCCGAATAAATCGTGCTCTGTCAGACCGTTGTCGAACTCAAAGTCAGGAATGCCCAAGGAAGGCATCACAGCCCGAGTCGCTCTTTCCCTCAACGCCGGAGCCTGTCTCACGAAATCCTCTTCCGGAACAGAATCATGACGACGTTTCTTGCCAGCAGCATTCGAAGGACGTGGTGTCGATGACCAAGGCTCTAGGAGCAGAGGAGCAGTTGGCGTATCTCTCCGCGACTCTGTCATTGTCGGAAGCCAACGTTTCAACACCACTCCAGTTCCAGGATTGGTATATAGACGTCCCCAAGGGATCATCGAGATGCTCTTGAGTGCCATAGGGATAAGGCGTTCTGGCATGAGGTATGGGAAGAAAGAACCTGTTATGCCAGTGCCTATGATGTCGAAGCCAGCGCCTTCTCTGTCCTGCCAGGCTACGGCATGAGGTACGAGAGCCATATAGCCCGGTGAGTTAGGGAAGATGACGACGTAGAAGGCTGGCGGTGATCCATTGGCACGAGTTTCCATCGTAAGAGTACCAGGACGGCTAGCAGATCCAGCTCTATCCTCTAGCAAGACCATAAAGTCGAACCATATAAGACGCTCAGGTTGTGATGGATCTTGAGGTACGCGAACGGCAACATCGTGAGGGCGACTAGGCTGTAGAGGGAGATGAACCAGACTCAAGTCGAAAGATTGTAGAAGTCGGAACTTGGTAATGTTGGCTGCTACCAACTCGGGCTCTGTGTCTTTGTACTGGTCGTGGGAGAGGTATCGAAGACCTCTGTTGACTCTTGGTGTTGTATCCATCGATGATGTTGATCCAAGATGAGAGTGTTGATTCAATATGGAAGTGTTGGTTCAGGAAGCAAGTATTGATCCAACAGATAGTCGTCCAAGTAGCAAGAGGTATGTCAAAGTAGTTCAAGACTTCTCAACACCCAAATGGATTTTCCAAAGAAAGTCAAATACTTGCATTTGGGAAAAGGAGAGAAAGATACGGCGACTCCATTGTTTTTATCGTTATTCTATCTTGTGCATGGGTTTGCATGAGACAGAAAAGTGGTACTCGTGGACAATAGGGAAAACGCATAATATCTTTTCTGCTGAGGGGGAAAAGAGTGACATGTTGCTGAAAACGCATGGGTTATGTGACGAGCACGCAGTCAAATTGATACACCACGAGCATTGTTTTGTTGCACGAGCTAGAACGTGGTGCTGGCGGATGAACAGGAAAACGCATACCAACCCTTTCCCTTTCAGCAGAAGAAGGTGCCGTGCGTTTTCTCCATCATGACCCGAGCCGCATTGGCTGTGTGAGAAACACGGGACTAAACAGATGCAGCACGAGTGTAGGTATGGTGCACGAGTTCTTGTTGCTTGCCTTTTCAATGTGCATCCTGTCCAGGGTTTTGGACTGTTGCACGTGCGCTTGGTATGGAAAGTGACAGTATGACCGAGCGCTGTCGACAACTGTACGGTCACTCGCAGGCGCCAATCAGGAAGGAAAGTCGTCTTCAGATTCCGGTCTTCAGTCTTGGACGCTGGCATGTTGCTAAAATGGAGTCGTCAGAGCATTGGACTTCCTTGTTGCAGTCGGAAGGGAAAGTCTTACAGACGTGGTATTGGCTGAAGAAGCTAGCTCGCAGCCCACACTAGCAACCCCCTTCCGACGTGCTTCGTCCATCTCAGAGCATTCTTGCTCCAAGACCGTTTGATTGTACCACGCATCAACCAACTGCCACAGGTCAACAATCACGTGAAATCCACTCTGGAAAAGAGGTTGTTCGTAAGATCAAGTTTTCATTTCTCATCAACTACGAAGTGCTCCGTGGCATGCATGATGTGTCATTAGCTATTGTTACAATGATTATCCTTTTCCAGGAAAGGTGAATTATCCAAGAGCTGTCGAATTTTGGTGGTGGCCAACGATATGCCCAAGGAAAAAGTGAGTTGAAGCTTAAGTGCAAGTGTAACCACCGTCGACGCGGAGGTCGGCGCCAGTAACGTAGTTGGAGGCGTCACTGCAAAGGAAGACGACAGGACCCATGAGATCGACCTGTTATATGAATGTCAGTAGGTGATCGGTGGAATGGTGCACAAGAAGGACTTACAGGGCGGCCCATCTTGCCCTGAGGAATCAAGCTGGTCCACTTGTTGCCGAGCTCGGGGTTCTCGTTCAGGATCTTCTCAGTCAAGGCAGTAAGCTGTATCTTGTGTTAGAATAGTTTCCCAATCTTCTCCTAATTCTGGCACCTACCATGTAACCAGGCTCGATGACGTTAACTCTGATGTTGGCATGGGCCCACTCGACAGCGAGCGAGCGTCCGAGGTGACGGACAGCGGCCTTTGAAGCGTTGTAGGGAGCCTGAGGTTGAGGGACGTTGACAATGGAACCGGACATGCTGCCGATGAATACTATGCTACCGGGAGCCTTGCGATCCATGAGGTGACGAGCCACGCCAGTAGCGAAGAGGTAGGTGCCGTCGACGTTGACGCCCCAGAGCTTTCTCACACGATCGATGGGGTATTTGATGGCGTCGAAGTTCTCGGTGAAGCCGGCAGAGGTAACGAGGTTGTCGATCTTTCCGTGTTGGTTGATGACATCCGAGAGGACGCCCTCAACAGAGGCCTCATCGCTGACTGTGAAAAGTCAGCTATGTTTCGTGTACTTTCAGAAGCAAACAAGCTTACCATCGCAGTAGTGTCCGGTGACCTTGGGCACTCGGTCAGCGCCGGGGTTCTCGTCCTTGAAGACCTTGACAAGCTCCTTTGCCTGTTTCTCAGCTTCCTCCTCTGCGATGATGGAGTCAGTCGTGGTTGTGTGGAGACTCGATCAAGATGAGACGCACTGTTGAGGTCGACAATGGCGACATCTGCGCCAGAAACAACCAAGGCCTGGGCCATGACCAGACCCAGACCTCTGGCACCACCAGTGACCAGGGCAGTCTTGCCCTCAAGGGAGAAGGAGGCAAGGGTTCTTTGGAAATGGAAACCTCCACGGCCTTGGACAGGCTCTTGCTTAGGCACAGCCTTCTCATCGAAAGGGATCTCGATGGTGTCGTCGGTTCTAGAGAACGAGCCAACGTGCTCACCCTTCTCCTCGGGGATGGGCTTCTCGTCCTGGCGCAAGAAAGGTGTGACAGACATGTTTCTAGCCGACATGGCAAGAGGGCGGGCGGGAGCCACGGCACGAGTGGCCTGGCGGAGGATACTTCTGCTGAACATGATGGTAAAAGCTGAAGACTGCCGAGTTGTGTTAGTTGAGTTAAATGAGTTGGATGAAGCCTTGATGATGGAGGAGGGGGACAAGGTGCGGAGATGTGAGCACAAGAAAGTGACAAGCTCGATAGAGAGAGACAGCCAACAATAGTAAAGTTGGATCGGCCGGTCTACAGTCCACGTAAGAGTACCTCGAGGTCATGGACGAGGGTTTGGACACCTCACTCTTTGCCCAGACTTGACAAGACATTGCTAACGCGCCTGCGTCGAGGTATCGATCATGCGTGGCAGAAAGAGTAAGGAGATCATCTCAAGGACTTACCAAACACAAGAAAAATTCAAAGTCGACTTCCGAGGTATAGAGGGTTCAAAGATCTGAAGATTGACACCTGGGTAGGAGTTTGGGAAGGTTTGAGTTGCGTCAAAGGGGAATTGTTTTGTTGGACTCGACAGCTCCAGCTACAAGTAAATACGTCACTTTCAAGGGTCCTCCACGCCGATCATCCCATCGGTGCCATCCTCCTCCGCAGCCGCGCCCACGGGGGAAACGAGGAGAAGGATTTATCCACGACTGACGAGTCATTACGAATGAACTTCATATCTAGGGCTGTATGTCCAGCGACTGCTTTCATTTGTGCTTTTGCGACTTGCAATTGATGATCGCCCTTATCACCAGCCTTCGGGGCACCTCATCGTGATTCCCTGTTGAGCCAACGATTTCGTAATTCGATCGCGTTCTGCCAAAAATGGCGTTCTTGCTGTGCATCGTGCCTGCAGCTAGTTATGCATGCAGCTCCGTCCTGACTCCTGCCATGATACTCCGTACCCGACGTGTCTTCTTGCACGGAAGTTGCACAACCATCAGCTCTTTCCGTCGCATAGCGTCTGTTTACATTTCTTTCATACATCTCTTTGATTCTATACTGTGTGTTTTCGTGATTGAATAATGTACAAGAACGATAGTGTTCCGCTCCCTGAAAGCTCAAGGACGGACGTTCCACAGTGATTACTTGGTAGGAGTGCGCTTCTAGGCACGCATTGTCTGCCTACCACCTCTCTTCCTCATGTCCTTTTCTCTTTCTCTCTCGAGGAAGCGCTTCTGCTCATCGGCGCTCATGCCCTTGAGCTTGCGATCGCGCTGCTCCTTCTTGGCCTTGTCGCTGAGCAACTTTCTGTCCTCGGCACCCTCTGCCTCGACAATCTTGCGGACCTTCTTGGCCTCCTCTTCACGAGTTTGGCGAATACGGCGCATGACCTCGGGACGGAAGTGGGCGCTGGTAACGAGCTGATCGGGCATGCGAAGGAAGTACGAGAAGAGAGAGGTGGTGTTGGTGCCAGAGTTGAGCTTCAGGGTAAGAACAACACGCTTCTTGGGAACCAACTCATCGAGACTGTAGATCAGTAAGCATGGGTTCAACTGCATTCAGGCTTTACACTTACGTTCTGGGGGCGTCGACTGGCAGGTCGGTCACGATAAGGGACTCGAGGTCGTCGCCGCACTCTTTGATAGCATTGGCAAGCTCTTGGGTCAGGAGCATCTCGGTGACTTCGGCACTCTCGCTCATAACACTGACCCATGGGGGGAGCTTGGCGTGGTCCTTGGTGGTGGTCAGAGAAACGTCGTAGCGCTCCTCGCGGACCTTTCTCATGGCGTCCTTGTTGACAATGGCGAAGATGAAGCCATCGTAGCTGGTATCCTTGAAGCGCTTCTCTTCTCCCTCACGGACGCGGAAGTATTGAGCCTCCTTGCCGTCGAAGGGGGTGATGGTGATCTCGGCCTTCTCGCCGGTACCAGCCATGCTCTCGAAGAAGAAACCAAGACCGAGCTCAGAGATCAAAGAAAAGGGGTTGTAGCGCTTGAGCAAGCTGAGCTTGACGTCGACGCAAGCAACGTTCTGGCGACCGGTAGCGTAGCTGAGGAAGACGTCCTTGCTCTTCTCGCGCAAGATCTCGGGGTTAATATTGTCGCCAGCAGACATGGCGACATCAGGAGAGACAGTGGCTGGGTTGATCTTCTTGCCAAAGCCAACGTGGGTGAACTCATTCTCGAGAGCGTTCACGTGGCTGCGGATCCAAGCATTTGCGCGGCGGCGGTTGGAGCGAACACCCCAGAAGTGGATGAAGATGGTGAGGAGGAGGAAGGGAATGACGAAGCCCTCGGTCTTGAAGTCGCTCCAGGTCACGCGCTCGTGTACGTTGTACCACTTGGTGAAAGGACGGTCCGAGATGTCGATCTTTGCGCCGAATGTCTGGTAGGCAGGAGGAGCAGAGAGAGTGCTCGACAGAGATGCCGGCGTAGGAGAAGGTGCGTCTGCGAAGTCGGCAAAGTCTAGGAGTCGCTCAATCAGTACTCGATCATGGCCCTGGGACGTGTCGCGTGAAGATACCAGAGTCGGCTGAGGGTACAGCACCACCCACCGAAGGCTTTGCGCCTCCAAAAAGGCCCTTGACAAAGTCTGCCATGTTGTCAATTATCTAGTGATATCGACAATTAGCAATGCTGGTGTACGAGTTCAAGCTCGAGTCGACCCCAGATGCTGCAGCTTGAGGACACCCAACCAGCGACATGCTGATATCAAGCCGAAGTTACCCCGTGACATGTTCTGGACCTTTTGCTTCTCACATCCGACATCCTTCAATCATTATGAGACTACCATTCAGACAAAGGGGTATCCGCTTTTACAGCCGGATGTTTTTCGATCGATAATTGTTCAATTGTGTGCAGTATCTTGTCATGCCGAGCCTAAACCCATGTGTCTTTGCTGGAGTGGATATTGTATAAATGTCAATACCTACTGTGTACGATGCTCTGTCTTTCTGACCATCATACCACATCGTAAGCTATGAAGAGAACACTTTAGTTCCTCGACTCATGTCCAATCTCTCCATTTGATCACAATGAGCAGCAAGTACGAGCATTTACTTTGAGAACAGGGTTGGCCCTTTTACAACGTTTTATGACATCATCATATATGAGTATACCTTGATGCCCTGATGTCCTCGACCTTGATGATCATATACTTTGCATACATCAAAACTCTAGGTGAGACTCATCTCGCAGCTTCACACTTGATCGAGTCGGAACTGACAAGACTGACCATGCTCCAAGACTCTGCTCCGCGTCTGCATTAGCTAACAAAAAGCATCATACCAAGAACATACTCAAGACATCTCAAAACAGTACAAAATGCCATATACCATCCAACCCGGCGGCTACATCGACCCGACGTCGAGCGCCAGCTCCGGACCCGTGGAAGTCGACCCCAGCGCTCCAGGCTCAGTCATGCGCTACGCCCTAGGCTTCGAAACCATGGCCAACGCCATAGGCGGAACATGGATGGTCTTCTTCCCCCAGACCTTCCTCAGCATGCTTGTAAACTCATCCTCAGATATCACTCCAACAGCAGTGACCTGGACTCAAGTCACCGGCGCTCTGGTGTACGCTCTTGCCACTCCTTTGATCTTGGGTATTCCCAACACCAGAAGGGGTATTGAAAGTAGAGCTCCTACTTATTACACTCTTGCTGCTGGAGAGGTTGGTGTGGTGGCTGTTGCTTTGTACAAGGCGTTCGTGTTTGGCGATGACAGTGGGTGGTCGAGAAATGCCTTGTTGGCTGCCAGTGCTGTCCTGGCTCCTACTTTGGCTTGGAGGTTCTATGTCTTGTTTGGAAAGCCAGAGTGGATTGGTAGATATCGTGAGACTGTCCGCAAAGGCCAGTAAGGGCTTGGGATGAGTTAGAAGCGATATTACTGGCAAGTTGCTTGCGATATGATCTTGTTTATTAGTCCTTCATGTATTCTTCGAGTGCCGTCAAGATTATCTTGTCGTCATGATCGCTTAGTATCATTCAAGACTAAATCAAAACCAGCGATGTCATCGCTCACGGGTCGAAGAAGAACCAAGCTCGACTGATCATATTGGCGTCTAGTGATTGGCGTAATCAAGACACAATGCCATGCCCTGCACGCCTTCTTGGACGGTAGAGCTTGTCATCTGTGCCAATAAGCGCCCTCGCCAAAGCCTTCCCACTTGGCATTTGTATGCTCAGGCCTCAGATTTGATTACATGAGACGAGAGTCTTGAAAACACATGGAGACAACAAGAAGAAGAACAGATAGAGCTCGTCACAGATATTTGAAATAGGAGTTGCAGTAAAGTAGGCACTCGATTGATCGGAAGATACATTTGTGTCTTTGATACTTTGCAAAAGCCACAGTAGCATATAACCTGCCTCCCACGCAATAAGAACGATGACACAAGATGGCCAGATAGTAGAGATGTGGCAATTCAATCAAGGTGTAAAGACGATGCGCTCATCTTTGTTATGCCAGTGCTCTTCGATCTGGCTTAGAGGCACGACCTTGACCTTCTGTGTCTTGAAAGTCTTGAACGCGTTCAGAATCTTGGGAATCTCTGGTCTCATGGCTTCGCGTGACCAGCTACCTGGGCCTGCTCCGCGGATGGTGAGGTTCTTGGACCTGAGAACGCTGCCCGGCAGCATCATTTCTGTGCCTGCGAGACCTCCAATGTGGATGTATTGTACTGCACGCGTAAAGCTGACGGTGGAGAGTACGTGCTGTGCGACAGGTCCGTAGAGGTAGTCGAGGATAACATCTGCTCCAGCTGCGGCGCTACAATCCGTGGTGGAAATGTCGTTTTGAAGAATGATCGTCTCGTCGACACCAACTTCGGCCAGCGTTTCTGCGTTACGCGACATTCCAATGACCTTGCCAGCGCCTAGAACTCTTGCAACTTCAACAGCAACCTTGCCGCTGGCACTGGTTGCGCCCATGACGAGTACTGTGAAGTTTTCGGTCAATTCGTGCGTACGAGCCTTGAGCGCCATCCAGCTGGAGAGTACTGGATTGGCATAGCCGGCAACTTGATACGGATCGACACCATCAGGTAGCTCTGCCATCTTTCTGCCAGAAACGTTTATGATCTCCTGGAAGCCACCTCCGGGGAAGCTGATGAAGTAGACGAGCTTGTTGTCGGAAAGACGGCGACCTACACCGTCCACGCCAGGAGTATGGGGCAGTATTCCAGAAGCATAGTGGTTGCCGGTAGCGAGAGAGCGGACCACGAAGTGCAGGCCGGAGCAAATGACTTTGATCGAAACCTCGTCTGTAGTAGGCGAAGGAACTGGCACCTGAGTGTACTTTGGTGCTTCACCCCAGACAGTGACAAGTGCTGAATGCATAACAGGCTCAATAGTGTTGCTTATTGATGGTTCGGAATGGTGTTTGATACTCGATGTTTGGTGAAGAATTTGGTTGGAATCCGACGGAGGAGTGAACTTCAAATGTGGTGAGTATGTATCCAAATATGTTCTTCTACCTCAAGTTTATATCAGGTTCACTTGCGACACCGAAGCTGATGACTGTGTTGCTGCCTTGTATCATGGAGGCTCCATGGACTTTCGGAGATCTCGGCCTTTAAATTCGGAGCCGAATTCTTCTCCGGCGACCTTGGAGATGAATCGAACCACCAACGCTATCGATGCTATCGAGAGTTCAAGATGTCGAAGAGATTGGATCAAGGGAGATTTGATACCCTAGAAGCACTTTCGATCAATATCACGCGCTCTGTTGCACGAGACTTCTTCGAAGCTTGACAGGTACTCATAACGCCGAAAGGAAGAAGGAGTCCCTCTCTGAGCGTCAGTCGGGAACGACACTGCTTTTGAGGAGCCTTCTACTTGAACCAGATGCTACATCAGTCGGAACGTGAGGTTGACCGAGTCCACGAGTCCTCATTTCTGGTTGATTTCGACTCGTCAAAAGGAGGAGGCACGCGGAGATGATATCAAGCGTATGGGGGGTTCGCTTATCCAGCGTATGCAACTGCCCGCTACTTGAATTTAATTGCATGAATGCACGAAGGTATGTAATTCGAAGATGAGCCAGTGAGAGAGTGGATATCTTGAGCTCTCAGTCGACCCTGTGTAAGCCATCAACATTATTGTGTATCTTGACAGCAAGTACGAGTAATGGCAATCCTAGATGCATGATGTTGCAGGCGCTGATTAAGAAAACCTCTTGCGCTCAATATCAACTTCCGAGGGCACAGAGGGCTAGGGCTTGGCACCGGATTCTCTCACAGTTCACCCTTTCTCTCTTCCAACAACCACTTGAGCACACGACCTCTTTCATTTTTCAACGAAAAGGTCAACAATAAACGGGACTCCAAGAACATGCAACAGTCAAGAGTGATGATTGGCCATGGCCCCAAGAGAATGAATGCTTCACCAACTGCCGCCAAGGCTCGGCATCGGGGCTGTAATCGTCTCTCACTTGTCGGCGACACGCTTCGACGCGCACAAGGATTCCAACAAGCGAAGCATGGCGTTATGGCCAAGTGCTCTCCTACTTGGCAATTCCCTTTGAACGACAACGTGGGTTGCTCAGAAGGTCCACGTGGGTACTGTGATTCGTCTCGTTCATTCTGCTCGACTTCAGATTGAAATTTTGCCTCGCGAAAGAAGGTAGGTCTTCAGTATCTGGACAACTTGGCAACATGGAAAAGCAGCCCTTCTGGAACACCCATCACACGATGCTTCCGAAAGGGCATGATCGGGATTGCAGAAAGGCTGCAGGAAGGCGGAAAGGCGTGAATGTTGTGTTCCATATATAAAACCTCTTTTTCTCACCTCATAGCCATCTCTCTTTTCGTATCCAGCAAGACAACACTTCTATATAGTCGACAGCCACTGGGATCCGATCCACATACCTCACCATGCTCGACCAGTACACGTATGTTTTCGCGATTGGCACCTTCTTTGCCCTGCTAGATGCTTATAACAATGGTGCCAGTAAGTATTCTCTGCCACTATGTGGTCGCGTGACCATATACTCACTATCGATATAGACGATGTTGCAAACGCCTGGGCTACCAGTGTTTCCTCCCGCTCAGTATCCTACAGACAAGCCATGATCTTGGGCACAATCTTCGAGATGCTTGGTGCCATCACCGTTGGAGCGAGAACCGCAGAGACGATCAAGAATGGAATCATACCCTCATCTGCTTTCAGGGGTGATGCTGGTGTTCAGATGCTCGCTTTCACCTGCGCTCTAGCTGCTGCCTCTTCTTGGGTCATGTGGTGTACTCGTCACTCGGCTCATGTTTCTTCCACCTACTCGCTCGTCTCTGCCGTCGCTGGTGTTGGTGTTGCTACCGTCGGCGCATCTCAAGTACAATGGGGCTGGAACAACGGCAAAGGCCTTGGTGCCATCTTCGCTGGTCTTGGAATGGCTCCTGCAATTGCTGCAGGATTTGGTGCAACCATCTTTATGCTCATTAAGATGACCGTACACGTCCGCAAGAACCCTGTTCCCTGGGCTGTCTACAGCTCGCCCTTCTTCTTCCTTATCGCCGGTACCATCTGCACCCTCTCGATTGTCTACAAGGGTTCCCCCAATCTCGGTCTCAAGAACAAGCCCGTCTGGTACATCGTTTCTGTCACCATGGGATGTGGTTGGGGACTCGCCCTCTTGGCCGCTCTCTTCTTCGTGCCCTACGTTCGTGCCAGAGTCATCAAGAAGGATGCTTCCGTCAAGGGCTGGATGTTCATCTATGGCCCCGCACTCCTCAACCGCCCTGTTCACGAGTCCGCTGAGAAGGCTAGTGTTCCTGACTACGCCGTCGTTCAGGATGAAGAGGAAGATGACAAGAAGTCTGAATATTCTCAATCCGACAACGGCATGATGAGCAAGAACCCCGAGACCACCGAAAAAGCCATGTCCAGCCCCAACAGCCCTCAAATTCTTGCCGCCTCCCCTGAACTCAGCTACCAAGAACTTCAAGCTCAGAGCGACTACAAGCTCAAGCAACGTCTTCTCAAGAAGCGTGGACCTATGGGCTGGGCTATGCGCACTCTTGAAAACAACCCCATGGGCGCTGGACAGATCTACGAGATTCACAATATGAAGACTTTCTTCAGACGTCTTCCTGCCATGATCACTGTCGGTCTTCTTTACGGCTTCCACTACGACATTCACGCTGCTCAGTCTGGTATCTCGGGCACCCCTGAAGGCTTGAGAATGCAACGCGTCTACGCTGCCGCGGAGAAGTACCCCAACGAGGTCGAACACACGTACTCTTTCGTCCAGGTTCTCACTGCCTGCACTGCCTCTTTCGCTCACGGTGCCAACGACATTGGCAACTCTGTCGGTCCCTGGGCTGTCATCTACTCTGCTTGGTCAACCGGTGATGCTGCCAAGTCTAAGGCCACTGTTCCTGTCTGGCAACTCGCTGTTCTGTCTGCTACCATCTCTCTCGGCCTCATCACATACGGCTACAACATCATGAAGGGTAAGCTTTTTCTCAACTCCATCTCATCTTGATCAAAACACTAACATCTTCACAGTCATGGGTAACAAAATCACCTACCACTCTCCCTCCAGAGGTTGCTCCATGGAAATGGGTGCCGCAATTACCGTGCTCATATTCTCGCAATACTCTCTGCCAGTCTCGACATCAATGTGCATCACTGGCGCCACCGTCGGCGTTGGTCTCTGCAATGGAACCTTCAAGGCCGTCAACTTCCAACGTGTTGGTCTGCTTGTCTTTTCTTGGATCATGACAATTCCTGTCGCCGGTACGCTTGGTGGTGTGTTGATGGGTTTGTTCTTGAACGCTCCTCACTTTGGCAGTTAGACTGTCGAATGGGACTTTTTTCATGCCTGGGATGATTTGTTTGGTTTGCTTTTGATTTTCAATTATACCCTTTTTAGTTATATAGATTCAGCGCAGTGTTGCGTATACAGAAAAGTTCCTTTTCACCTTTGATCATTGTTGCTAAGATGAATGTCTGGAAATTGTGACATGACATTCAGTAACAGCGAGACTGGCAAGATAGGAAAAAGCTAGCCATATGAAGCAGGCAGATTGTGTTCAACGTCAAGACCAAATCAAGAACCATGACTACGAGTTTCTACATGTGGTTCTATACTTCAGCCTTGCTACTCGTCATCTCATCCTGCACCTTCTTCATCATACCCTCTTCAATCTCCAACTGCGACTTGCCAAAAATCAAAGACCCATTGGCCACGCCCCTCAGAGTAAAAGCCAAATTGACAAAGAAGGCAATCACCAGAAATATCGTTAGAGCACATACCAAAGCTCTGAATGTGGGAGAGTCCATAGACGAAGCCAGTTCTAACCAAGCAGTCGTAAGCGTCACGGTGGGGAAAACAATGGCCCACCAAGTCAATGTATAAGTGGCCTGTCGCTTGACAAAAACGTCAACGACGCCGATGATGGCGATGCAGAACCAGAGGTAGTCGAAACCTAGGAGGAGCAAGGCCATGAAGATGCCGGCTCCATCTACACCTTGTGCGGTCTGTTGAGTCCAGAATGTGCCGTACTCTGGAGGCTGGATTGCTGAGGGTTTGTATTGGGAGAAACGCATGTATGTGTTTGCAGATTCGCCTAGCAGTTGGAATGCTGTTGCGAGTTGTCCGCAAGGACCGATCTTTGCGTAGTAGCTCAGTCAGCAAAAATTCCATCTCGTCGTGCATCTATACATACCAAGATAAAGAGTCCTGCTCGCTTCGGAGGAGCAGGCCATCCAGCTGCCAGTAGACGATGGAAGTAAACTGTGTAGAGGAGGGTGGCCATGAACATAGCCACACCGGAGGCGAAGTAGCCGACAATAATCTGTGGTACGGCAAGCCTCGATGACATGTCGAAGCCATAGATCGTGATGAGACCAGCCTCGGAGGCAGCGGTCGCCATACCGACAGGAGCCATAAATGACACCGGCGTCATGTCTCTGTCGGCTTGATTTCCAGTATAGAATAGCACCGTTAGAACCACGACACAAGTCACAAAGACCCATACTACACCCATCCACCGAATGACATAACCGACCAAGGTAAATGCATGGCCACCCCAGGGTCCTTCGCTGACTTGGGTGATGGTGAGAGCGCCAATAGTCATAAGAGCGATAGGTAAAATAGCATAGGTTCCTAGTTCGTCTGGGTCGCTCAAAGCACGGCGAACGGCTACGTGTGGGTAGAGTATCCATTTAGCCAGTAGAATGGCAAGGAAGGAAAAGAATAGGACAATCTCCATGACATAGAGGATAGTAGCCAGTACGACCAGCCAATGGCCGCGATAAGGAAATGGCCCATTAAGGACTAGAGCAATTCCACCTGAGGAGATGCAAACAGCAAATCACTAATCGTGTGTCAACTTGTGTTTGGATCAACGCAGTCTCGTGTCGATTTATACCAAGGGACTGAAGCTTTCCAACGCCGCACCCCATTTTGTGGTGGCATGTCGATAGTGTCGAATGGAGCGCTTTTGTAGTTGCTGACCTCGGTGAGCTTTGTGCTGTTCAGTAGCCACTTCGTCGTTGAGGGTTGGGTCTACGTATGACCATGATATCACGAGATCATGATTGTTTCCGGTGTCTTCAGTCGAGAAACGTGATACGGCCATCTTTGTAGATGACTGTCGATGGCAAGTGCGATGCAAGATTACTCATGAATTCTTGCGAGTAGTCAACACAGTGACTGAGAGGCATATGGAGAGCAGCCGCGCTTTTGATCCTCATCTTGGATTCACGGCTTCCAGAAGGTGGTTGACGTCAATCGGTACCAATCAATATTATTGCAGGAAGTGACGTGACATTGAGCAGTGTAAAAGTTGATAGCAGAGGCTCTGACAGGTCCCAATCAATATCGGATATCAAGCCCAATTTTGAAACCTTCAGTCTCTGACTTGCCTACAAGCATATCTCTACATCGCATCCATGAATTTCTCAACACAATGAATGCATTTCGACATGTGTTCGAGGACGGAGAAGATGCGATGAGAGCACCACGGAAGTTGCGGGATGTGACAGCCGATCTGCCGTTCAGCCAGCGCGGAGATGCTCTCCGTTGTCGTCACAATTCTCACGCGTCACAACTTGGAAACCACGACTCACATCGCAAAGATTTGAACCTCGTCGCATATCTTCTGGAATTTGTCAATACATGTAACTGTAGAAAGGTACAGTCTGTGCTGGAACAAGAGTCTTGTACACTGGAAGGCGTAGGGAGCAGTCCGTTTCTATGGAGCGCTCCACCCACAGGATGCAATCGTGCGTTTCTACAGCGTGGGACAGTATCTAGGTATGACCGCGGAAGAAGAGGGTGAGATCGACACATAGGAGCAGGAGTTGAAGTATGCATCTTAAGAAAAGTTGTAGTCTTTATAACATTCGGAGGTACATCGTACATACGTCTAATAAAGTAACCACCCCATACTCGTGCTAAATCACTTATATCTAGGCTCTAATTTCCTGGTGCTCGATAGCTGCACCTTTCTTCTCGTCGTCGTCAACCATGCTCTCGACATCCTTGTCGGTGGTGGTGGAAGTAGGGGCCTTCTCCTCAGTCCAGCCGTCCAAGCTCTTAGCCTTGAACAGGTTGAGGTAAAGAGGGAACATCCATGCAATAACAAAGCCAATAAGGGGGATAAAGAAGGCCTTCTGAGTGCCGATGTGGTCGGCGACTGTGCCGAGGACAGGGGGGAACAAAGCACCGCCAGAGACGGCAGCGACGATGAAACTGGCACCGCGCTTGGAGTGACGGCCGAGACCTCTAATCGAGAGAGCGAAGATAAGGGGGAACACGCAAGACTCGAAGAATAGGACCAGGGAGATTGATGCAATGCCGGCGTTGCCCTTGAGGCCCATGGTCAAGCAAGCGAAGAGAACAACTCCCGAAAGGAAGCCTATGAGAACGAGACGAGGCTTGGTAATTTTGAGCAGACCACTCGCGACGAAACGACCAATGGCGAAACAGCCTTGTGCTACTGCAAGAAGGTTGGCTCCGGTAGCATGAGTGGTTCCGGGACGGACGGCAGAGACGTAATTGATGAAGTAACCGGCGTAGGCGCACTGAGCACCGACGTAGCAGAACTGTGCGGCAACACCGAAGAACAGAGTGTATTGTTTGGAAAGGGGCTTGTCTTCGAAAGCTGTTTGAGTGCCACTGGATGCAGCCTGAGCAGCCATATCGGCATCGGTGACCTCAGGAATGGGAGCGAAGAAGAAGACGACGGCGAGGATGAAGACAAAGATGGCTGCTTGTTGTTAGCAATGTTACATCGTTGTACCAAGAAGGAGGTCATTCGCGGCGAGTCCGAATTGTGAACTCATTCAGAACGACATCCTCCATAGCTAATAGAGGTTTAAACTCACCAATTCCTAAGTACACGAATTGCACCGACGTAAGGGAGGTGTCGTCGACGTTCTTGAAGATGACCTGACTGGCCAGAACAGGTGCAACAACTGTGCCGACAGCCTGGAAAGCTTGGGCCAGAGTCAAACGCAACTCAGAGTACTTTGCAGGACCACAGGTAGCGATGAAAGGGTTGGCAGCAGTCTCGAGAGTCGAGAGACCGGATCCGACAATGAACATGCTTCCGCAGAATCCACCAAAGGAACGTTTCAATCCGGATGGCCAGAACATCAGAGCTCCAACACCGTAGATACAGAGGCCGGTGATGAATGCCCAGCGGTAACCGAATCTTCTGACGATCCATCCTGAGTAGGTCAAGGGACCAATGGCGTACGCACTAGGCAAATGTTAGTAAGATGTACTTCCACAATCTGCACACTGTGAACACCGACCCAAAATAAGCGGCTTGCAGACCACCGCTCTGGCCCTTGGTGATGCCGAGGGCGACTTGGAAATGAGCGTTCAGGACATCAAGAAGTCCATAGGCAAACCCCCACAAGAAGAAAAGAATGGTAACAAGGCAGACGGGCATAATCGACTGCTTCAGAGTAAGGTTCTGAGCACCGGTGACTGCATTGTTGCTCTCAATAGTCTTGACACCATGCTTTTTGACCACAGAGTCAGGAAGCGGTGCAACGATAGAGTTGTTTCTGCTCGCCATGGTGATGTATTGCTAGTATCGCGACTTTTTTTCCTTGTGAGAGAGAAAGATAGAGCAAGAAAGAGGGTGTTTGCACGAGCAAAGATTGGAGGAGCTTAGTCCTGTCAAAAAGAAGGAAATGAGACTTGATGGGTGTGCTTGTGTGTCCCCAGAGACGAGCGATCGTCCATGACTTTATATTAGCAAGAGAGGGGGAACACTGTGCACGAGACAACCTTGGTCTCATTCTCCGCAACGATATGGTCGATCGCTGTGGAGCCTCCACAAACCCCAGTCGAGTCTACTCCATAGAACCAATCACCCCACGACTGCTACTTTACCCGCTCGAGATACGCAGGCCAAGTCGGCCCAAGTCTTTCGCCATGCGGCCGACAGCGTCAGTGCTGGCCAACGGGACACAAGGTATCCGCTTCCAGCATCGGCTCTCATGTGTTCCATGCAGCCAGCAGAGTCTTGGTTTCATGCAGCCGAATGTCCATTGTTCAACAGAAGCAAGTTGGAAGAGCGCTAGAAGGTCGGGGGTCTTGGCTGGGGGGCAGTTGATCGTGGCGGAGTAAAATAACAAGGCCGTGTTCCAATAACAAGGCCGCGAGGATAGACGACAAGGCGCACAATACGGGATACAAGACACTCGACTATTGTGCGTTGACACTGCAAGTCAGCTGAAGGACCTGGTTTGCGTGAGAAGATGTCTTTCTTGAGTGGTGTTGTTGTTAATTGCTTAGCTCTATCTCGGTCCGGCACATGCGACCATAAGCAAGCGAGACAATTGATTGATCATCTTGAACAAAATGGATGAATAGAAATCCAGAAAAGTCGGTATTAGATGATCAAGCTGTGTATAAGCTCCCAGTGTGCCGAAGTCTGTCACTCATACAGCTGTATAAATGCATGATCTTTTTCCAAGTCTAAAAGCTGGGTCCAAGGTGAGAACCTTCACAGAGTCGCTCTCTTCAGACGACTTGCCATTGCTCAAGAACATCGTGCATCTTGCTAGCTGGCACACGGAGAGTAACAATCGTCTCGGCCGAGAGGTGCTAGCTGGACTAAATTGCCAAAATGGGACGGCTCCTTCAATAACGACACAAGAAGGAATGAATAGTCGGGCCGATGTCAGTCGACCGGCGTGATATTTCAACTACCTACACGTCTCGGCATGAAGGCCGTTATCTAGGTACAAGTCCTCCCGCGACCCAACAAAGCCGTAGCTTACCGCTCTGCATTCATGCAGTGGAATACCAAGGAGCCAGTAGCAAGGGGACGACTTTCAAGCCTCTCCATCTGACTGCATGTCAATCTCGCCTGTAGCCTTGGCCTCAGTGGATGGAGCGGCCTTGATCCTGCCTCTTCTTGACACACCATTGCCATGCTCAACCCTCTCTCTGCCCCTCTCAGTCTTGCCCTTCATCATGCTATTGGACTGTCTTGGAGGCGTCACGTTGCCGTCCTTCTTGTCTGCAGAGCCACGTCTGTTGCGATTACCATTGCTAGAGCGACGACTGGCGGCATTGCCCGGAGAGACGGAAAAACCGCCGTTAGCAACAATTCTCAAGACTCTGGACGCCTCGCCTTTCGTACGCTGATCAGCTGGCGACTCAACACTCGAATACGAAGTGTCCGGTGACGATGACGGTACAAGAACGTCAAAGTCGATAAGATCTTCTTCGATGGGCGACTCCAGGGTTTGCTTCTTGAAGGAAAAGTATGGAGGACCACGAATAGGAGTCTTCGCGGCACCTAGCTGGACGCCACCGGGAGGAGATGCCTCAAGATGTGAGGTGGAGGTTGTAGCAACGCCAGAAGAAACAACAGTAGTGGTGGCAACCTTCTGTAAAGCTGGCTCGGAGCGAGGCTTTTGCGCAGCTTGCTTGGTGGGCTGGCTACTGGTAGGTCGCGGAGGTGGAACACGGACACGAACAGGGTCGTCGCGATGGAGAGCAGAGTTGTCGTTTTGCTGGCGTTCGACGACCTCCCACTCGGAGCTCGAGCCATTGCGGTCAGTACGCTTTGACTTCTGCTTCTTGCGAGCTTGCTCCTTGCGCCACCAAGCAGGCACAGACTTCAAGCCAATCGAGTTGAGTGTCTCCTTGTCTTCAGGCATCTCGTGTCTGTACATGCAACCTTGCTGCTTGTAGGCACATTGACCTTGGTTTTGGATCCAGTAAGTGCAGTAGACTTTTTTTCTCTGATCGGGCTCGATACCGGAGGGAGGAAGCGGGCGCTCATTGTAGAGAGGCCTCGGCTGCAGCTGAGGTGAAGCGAGCGGTTTGGCGGTCGATGCAGGTCCAGGGGTAGAAGCAGGTATGACAATAGGTTGCGTGTTGATCGGCTGTGAAAATTGTGTTAGGAAGACGATAGGTTTCGAAGACACTCGACAACTTACTTGAAGTACGCGACTGTTGTGAGAAGACACTCCAGACTGAGTTGTATACTGCATCGTGACTGAAGGAGGAGGGACTGACTCCTTGACGTTCACGGACCCTTCGTGCGGGAATCTTCCTCTGACGGATGAATGACGCCCGAGGAATAGCATGTCCTTTGTTTGCGAGGCACTCAGACGGTGAGGCACACCGGCCAAGCGTACATCGTCTGGGAGTTCATCGACAGGGACAAGCGGGACGAGAGAGCCGTTGTCTCGCTCGATGAAGAACTTGAGTCCAGGAGCCAACATCGACTGTGTCGCCATCACTGCTGAATATTGAGGAACAGACCAAGCCATCGAGCCAGGTTGGGCATATGCAGACATGTGTAGGCCTGGCATTGTCGACGATAGAAGCCCGAAGCCGTGAGAGAACGAATATATGAAGATCCTTGGAGATCAGTGATGATGTCGATGAGGGACACAGAGAAGACGGAAGACGGTGTCGTGGCACATATACGGAGCCGTTATGGGCTTGAGAGCGTGGAAAGACGGTTGTAATCAAAGCATGACAGAGAAAGAACCAGTTCCTGAAAAAAGCAGGCGAACGAACATGTTTTTTCTGCCAACAAACTTGCGCTGTCAAGCTTCAAAGGCCCAAATCCTGTCGCATCGGATCCAGTGTGTTTGTACACTGCATCTGTTAAGCTGTATGGAGGCCTTTTAGATGCCTGTTCGATATTGAGGCCATCATCATTGGACTGTCACACGGGTTCATGCATGTGGGAGTGACAGGCAGCAGATAAATCTGCGGACAGTTTGTGACCGGTCTAAACGTGTGCGACAAGATTGACACGCTCTTTGAGGTGTCTTTCTTTGATCAAGACGGCTTACTGTAAAGTTCTTGGAATAATCAGTGCCATATAAGTCAGTAGCTGTCAAAGGCCGAATTCGATGGTGACCAATCTACAACAGGATTCATGGCCTCGTATGTTGGTGGTGTTTCCGGTTTTGACAGGTCGCACTGTCACGCAGCAAAGACAAGAGCAAGCAGCCGTGCATCATGCGGTGTCACAATAGCCTGACATTGCCGGGAGGTGGTCACTAAGCGAAAAAGTCATAGACAATCCACCATGTATCAGCAACGAAGCATTGAGACGTCTGCTCAAAACATGTTTGGTGAAGAGGACATTGGGTGGGATTGGATGAGGTCCGCAGAATGCATTCGGTGATGGCATCGAAGGCTTGGCACATCGAAAAAGCTAAACCTTGTTTGGCGAAACACTCCATCTCGTTGTCGGCTCCGTTCATCTTCATCTTTATCAATTGAAGTTGTCGAAAAGAGGCCGAAAGCGCAGCATCGGTAAGTTTGGAGTCTGGCTTATACTGGTTGGTTGGCAGTTAGCTCCAGCCCATCCCAATGAAGACACTACTCTAACTTGACCAAGACCTTGACAGCACGTTGTATCAATCTCATTGGTTTCCCGCCATCTGTTTCTTCCAATAAGACAAAACATGTCTCTCCAGCAGTTTGACGGTCTGGAGATTCCAGCCCCCGCTGACTTCCATGTCCATCTTCGTGATGGACCTATGATGGAGCTTGTCACACCCACTATCAGACAAGGTGGTGTCAACACCGTCTTCGTCATGGTAAGCATTCAATTGAATCACAAAGCTTGAAACGAGAGTCTAAGTTCTTTCACTACCAAAGCCCAACTTGGTACCGCCAATCACCACTGTTCAACACGCTTTGGACTACAAGAAGAGACTCCAAGCAATTGAGCCCAATGTCAACTTCCTGATGTCTTTGTACTTGCACCAGGACATCACCCCCGAAGTGGTCAAGGAGGCCGCAGCCGCAGGTATCACGGGCATCAAGTCCTACCCCGCCGGCGTAACCACAAACAGCAGCGCCGGTGTCGTCAGCTACGAGCCCTTCTACCCTGTTTTTGAGGAGATGGAGCGCCAAAACATGGTCTTGAACCTGCACGGTGAAGTCCCTGGATCAAAGGACAACGACATTACTGTTTTGAATGCCGAGGAGGCTTTCTTGCCCACACTTAAGGACCTGCACAAGCGTTTCCCCAAGTTGAGAATCATCCTTGAGCACTGTACTAGTGCGGCTGCTATCGAGGCAGTCAAGTCTTGCGGTCCTACCGTCTCGGCTACAATCACTGCTCACCATCTCTTCTTGATTGTCGATGACTGGGCCGGCGACCCGCACTCTTTCTGCAAGCCTGTGGCCAAGACTCCAAAGGATCGTGAGGCCTTGCTCAAGACAGTTGTGTCTGGCGACCAAAAGTTCTTCCTCGGCACTGACAGCGCACCTCATCCAGCCATTAACAAGCGTGGTGACAAGGTCGCAGCAGGCGTCTTCACTCAGCCTCACGCAGTCGGATATGTGCTTTCCGCACTTGAACAGGGCATCGAGCGCGGTGTTTTGAAGGCTGAAGATGTGACTGAGGAGAAGCTCAAGGGTTTCCTCGGATTGAACGGCAGAAAGTTCTACGGAGCCGAGGACAAGAAGGGCGAGAAGGTGGTGTTGAGAAAGGATGGCGTCAAGGTTCAGAGCCTGCTCAAGAATGCTGATGGCAGCCTGGAGGTTGTTCCTTTCAGACGCGACCAGAAGACATGGAGCGCTGAGTGGAAGTAGAGAGACAATTTGAATGACTGGTTGGAATAGAGTTGATTGAATAGAAGAAGCTTGTTCTGTGCTCTGATGCTATCATGAAATAGTGGCCTGACCGTGTGCATATCTATGCATCGGAAGGAATATTGAGACTCGTCCTCTGTTTTTTGCCACGAGCCGGTGTATTCTCGCCTTCGTCCCTCTTCCGCTTGCTCTTGCTACGGCCGCCCTTTGGTCTGTATGTCTGGTCGTCATCTCTAGCCTTTTTGGGCTTGCCTGGGGTGTCGTCACCAGCCAGCTCATCCTCATTGTCCACGGTACTTCCTGGGCTTCCCTCCTTTTCTCTAGCGCGTTCGATGGCTCTGTCACCAACTTGCTTGGCAAGATTGCGACGCTTGTTGGCCGTAGCGGGTGTCTGGGCACTTGCGGTACCGCCTTCAGAAGCAGCATCGATGTCTGAGATTGTACCATGTTTCTTGAGCCAGTTGTGAACAGATAGAGGGTTTCGCAATTCGACTTCGCGGTCGAGTTCGCGCTGGGTGAGCTTGGAGAGGGGTTGAGGAGAGGCTGGACGTGGCTCGCTCAGGGCAGCGGGTTCTAGCTTGTTGTCGAGGCGAGTAAGGTAGGCATCTTCGTGCGACGATGTTAGGAATGCGGGATTTGCTTCGGCTGCGAGCGCTGACACGGGGTGGTGATATCGCGGGTGTGGGATCTGAGCTTCCATTTCCACCAGACTCTTTGCATCTTTACGAGCGAGCAGAACTTCGATGTCTTGTCTTATGCGAAGGTAATCTTGGTGCGGCATCTCGTGGTTGTGGAAGGCGCGATGAGCGTTGGCGATGATGTTGTTGGCCATGTCTAGAGTCATTTCGCGTTCGTCATTTGGTTGTTGCGACTTGGGTGCCATTGAGAGATCGAATCGCAATTCGTGCGGGATTGAGAGGGATGTGTTGAGGTCGAGGAGGAGGTCGAGCAGTTGGCTACAAGACACAGGTCAATCATCCGTCGGCATCAGACCTTGTTCGCAAGTCAACTACTCACTCATTCTGCTCCTGCAACCTCTTGGACAAGGCGTCGAGTTTCTGCTCGTCGACAAACAGGCTGTTGCTCTCCTTCATGACATCGTCAAAGTGTGTCTTCATCTTGCGATACTTCTTGCGCCATGATCGGTATTTTGGCTTGACCTCGCTTCCTCGGGCGTCTATTGATGTGGCTCCCGGCGCACCGGCAACAATTTCGTCGTCGGACATGATGACTTTGAATGTTTCTTGATATGTGTCGTGCTTCTGAGGAAACAAGTCGACAGCTACCGCGTCAGCGTCGATGCTCCGCGATATACACCGCCAAGACTTCCCACTTGGTGGAGTGCAGCTTCCGCGCTTGGACGTTGGCTCTTTCCCTCCCTCTCTTACGCATTGAACACTCCATGCACTTTTATCCATCACATGTTTTCAAAGATCACTTCTCTTGTTTCTTTCAACACATGAATCGATTTAGTACCTGCGACTACACTCTCAACTCCTTGCTTCCCACGACTCTTCAACCACATCTACACCTGCTCAGGACGACCTTCGTTCTTGGTCTCGACACGGATGCCTGAAACAACGATTCTTCCTGCCGCATCATGGTCTTGGTCCCATCTTTCCAATTCGCTCAATGGTACTCTGACCAACGAGTTGGTACTTGATCCATCTCCGAGAACAACGACTTCTTGCTTGATCCGATATCCTCCCCATTTCGGTAGCAAGTAAATCCAGGAATAGTAGTACACACCGCAAGCTAGAAGACTGTACAAATCAGAATCTCGGTTACCGACGCTTCAAGGATTATCCACTTACATTCCGATACCGGCAACACAATAAGTTGCATACCAGAAGCTAACATCTCCGCCGGTGGCTCCTCCTGTTGGTGGGTACCAAGGCATAATCAGTAGATACAAGTTCTGCAGGATGGTGAAGATCACGGCAGCGTCCCAAGCGCGGAACTCGCTCCTTGGAACGCCCAGCTTCTTGCGACGATAACGCACAATGTACAATCCTATTGACATTGTGAATGCGAAAGCAGAAGCTGGATAGTTCTGCAGGTCGGAAACTGCTTTTCGTTAGCATTGATCGGCTACCAAACACGAGTTTGACTTACTGAAATTAAAGGCATCACCAGCTGGAGGCGCAAGGACCATGATAATAGTGACGATCCATTTGGTAAAGTAAGGTCCAATTGGAGTACCGAATGGTTTTGTGGATGCCCAGAACTTTGGGAAGGGCAAAACACCTTGCCTGCAAGCGGCAGTATCAGTATGCATACGATAACCCACTGACCTGTTGACTCACCTTCCACACTCTCTGATCAATCGAGACTGCCCGATTTGTACGGCAATCAGGTTTCCGAATGCGCTCAGAGCGATGAGCAGATTGAAGACTTTGACACCTTTGGCATGACCGAATACATTGGTGAAAAAAAGACTTGCAACTGTCACGCCTGAAGTCATGATATCACTCTTGGGTACTATTTCCGATGTCAGCGTATAATTCACCCAAGGTCCAATCAATCCTACCAGCAGCGAAATAAGCGATGTTTGCGAGCAAATAGAGGATGGTCACTGCGACCAAAGAGTAGGATGCATTCCTTTTGATGGTCTTGACAGGGTTCTGTGTCTGGAGTCAGCCTCTCTTTCCTGGATCGTCAGCGAAGGACCACTTACTTGGATCTCATTGACGATGTTGAACGCGTTCTCATAGCCGGCATACGAAAAGATGATCTTGACAAGACTGTTGGTCATGCCGTAGCCAGTCGCCTTGCCTTCGAAAGCATTGCGGAAGTTTGCATAAGGGTCTTGGACTCTGGTGTGTCCGCCTAGAACAACGAGACCAGTGATGGCGATGCTACATGGGTGGTCAGCAACGGCCAATGCAACGCGGAATTCATCTTGCTTACAAGACCAGAGTCAGAACTTTGATGATTCCAATAACATTGGAAATGCGGTAAGAGGTCTTGGTATGGAAAATCAACACTGACAAGTTGTTAGTCTTTGACATGAAACATGTCTCTCTTCTGAAACTTACAAAGCGTGACCAAGGTGTAACAGGCAATAGCGACACCTTTCTGTTCCCAGGCTGAAGGGGTGTGGTCACCTATTTTGAAAAGGTACTGAGCCATCACTGATCGCACTTGTCAGTGACAATGTTAAGAGCACGAGGGAACGATACACACCGATTGCATTTCCACTACTGAACGACAGAATAACCGTCTGGACTGCAAAAGCGATAGGAAAGAAGTACTTTGGTCGAGGGTAAGCTTGCTCCAGATAGACGACTTCTGAGCCAGATCGGTTCGGAAAGTAAGATGCAAATTCGAGGTACACCGCGAGCGAAGTTCCTGATGTCAGGAGACCGAGAGCCCAAAAGATCAGACTGGTTCCGACAGAGCCTGTGCCTTTTAAGATGGTTGCCGCTGTTTCCTTGTCAGCCGATACCCTTGTCGTTCCAGTGGGTATGAATACGTACGTGTTGAGTAGACACCAGTTCCTATCATCTTACTGATGTTGATCAAGACGATAGTCACAGGGCCAACAGCATATCCGAGCGAAGAATTGGCCTCGACTGGCGCACCAGAGACCTCCTGGTAAGATGGTTGTGAGCCATTTCCTCCTTGTTCGACCACGAATTTCAAGTCGCCTGCAGTTGACACAATCTCGTGCGACGAAACGAAATCATTGCTCGATGATCTCGCACTATCTCCCGCCTTCTCGTTGACAGAGCGTCGAAAGAACACCATCGGGTTCGATTCGAGAGCACAAATGCTCAATTAAAATGTTGATATATACAGAGAGACTCGTCGATAAGCCAATGGAAAACTCCTGATATGCTCGAAAGGAGTCTTCGAATATATATCATAGCCACCATAGCGTGCGCTCTTCCTGCAACGTCGAATTGCGACATCAACCCAAAGGTTGAGAATGGCACCATTGTGGAGTTGATAGTGGACACTCTATATTTTCCTTGCGCCAAACATGATAGACCTATGAATTTGATACGACTATGAAAAGGGCCAAGTTGGCCAAGCGGAGATGCAGCTGCATCATCACATGTATGGATGTTTTGGCGTGCTATTGCACCATCCTCGCGAGCATATTAATTCCTGCTCAACCCGACGAGAAACAGTACTTGCGAAGAAACTACTATCATGGCTTGGAGAAACCAGCATAGCTTTTGTAATTGCTTTTCGGCTTCCTTGGAGACTGAGTTCAGGTAGTTAGGCTTGTTGAGTATGTTTGACCCCACTTGTCAGAGAGTGTGATGGAGAGAAGGCGTGATTGATGGCTTCTGTTGCCATCGAGGTCTGGAACGCGCTCTCCTCACGATCGCATCAGCACACCTCCCTGGTCGATATCACGACAGTCTTCATAGTGGTAGAGTCGTACCTTGAGATCGAAACTGTTAATCATTCTCGTCATACGCAGTACTTGCCCTCAGATCTTGTGCCTTTTCCTGGTAAGTTATCTTTCGAAACTTGGCTACATTTGTTTGCAAGTACGGCTAGGAAGCTAAGAAGTACACGAGTTGATGTAAGCGGATGGAGAGTGTTTCATCGCGCATGCGTCTCCCAGCAACACTCCTGGCCGGTATCTAGATACCAAATTGCAGAATTATTATTAGCATCGAGATGGTGACACAATATTATCCGTGGTTGACATAAAATTGCTGGGCTTAAAGGACTATACGACATACGAACAGGCGACTATCGACTATCTCATCCCTCAGAAGTTGGCCTTCTCAGCAAGACGTGGAAGAAGTGCCAGTGCGTTGCCATAGTTGATCTTGGACCTCAATTTCGAATCCATCTCGAAGTTCTCGAGCTTCTCTGCGAATGCTTTGATAGACGGTGGTGGTGCATAGGGGAAATCGCTCTGCCACAAAGTCAGCTTTCCAAGTTTCAGTGTTCTACCTTGGAAACTTGCCCCATATAGTATCTGATCGTGAGGAACCATCGTAAGCAGCAATTGGAGCACAGATGGCGAAGAAGACAAGGCTAAGTCATAGTAGAACGATTTGAAGTCGGCCATAGCTTGTTGCCCGTGTTTGGAACCGTTGGAGATTCTCTCGATGAGATATGGCAAGGCTCCGCCAGCGTGACTCAGGATGACCTTGCAACCAGGGTACTTCCTTCGAGTGCCGGCGATGATCATGTCTGTAGCAGTCCTTGTAGTTTCGTGAGGGTAATCGATCAGTGGTTGAGGCATGCTCTCGTTGACTTTCGTCGTGTCGACTGGGTGTGTAGGGTGAACAAAGACGACTGCTTGACGCCTGTCAAGTTCTTTCCAGATGGGCTCGATATCCGCATGACCGAGATAGGTATTTCCGGTTCCATAGCGTGTGAAAAGTGTCACACCGTCCGCATGAAGAACATCCAAGGCATAGGCAATTTCAGCAAGAGCAGCCTCAGTATTAAGCAGAGACGGAAGGGCTGCAAAGAACCCCCACTTCCTCGGGCTTTTATCGCGGAGCTCGCTACAGTACTCATTGCATCTTCTCGCAAGATCAAAAGACTTCTGTCCCTCAAGTATACAAGCTCCCGGTGCTGTCAACGATAAAATGGTGGTCTTCACACCCAGTTGCTCCATGATGGACTCGGAAGCTGCAGGTGACCATTTTGGCGTTGGCCATCCACTTGGGTCGCCTACAAACGTTGGTCAATTGAAAGAACACTCGAATCGAACGTCAGACACAACCTCCAGCACTTTCAACAGCTGCAAGCCAAGTCAGCCAGGACCATACAAATACAATATCTCAATGTATACCTTGAGCATAAAAGTCGGGGACGAAATGGTGATGTGTGTCGATTTTATCGGTACGCGGCTCTGGACGCATTTCTTCCATAGTCAGGTACTCAATGTTTGTTCAAGGATGGTGGATTAAAAATGATTGTCTTATACCAATAGCAGTCGGACCTCGGTAAGTATACACCGATCCCGACGTCAGCTGTTTTTCGTGATCGATTCCTGGAGACATATAGCGGCATCCCGACACGCCGTTGTGTCGGCGCTTCGGCGATTCTGCACCTCGGCAGACTTGATATACTGTCCTTTCAGAAATCATTGGGACTAGGGAACCTAGGCGTTTAAGCGCGGAATTCGCCGTTTTTTCGACGTTTAGTGACGGTACCATAGTAAATTAGAAGACCTATAAACATCTATTAGTACATGCTGTAACTCGTCGTCCTCGTCAATATAGGTCCTAAACGTGCTTCTAAAGCTAGCGCTAGTATTGCTACTACTAAGAAGCCTTCGCGCGTAAGGAAACCGACCTTAAAGGCTGCTACCGCTACTACTATAACATTAAAGGTTATAAAGGCTTTAAAGACCCCTCGAACATCGAAGACTACTATAAAGCTAGTAACACCCTCTAGCATTAGGATACGACTTAAAACACCTACTACTAAGTCGGTTATTACGAGCGTTAAAGTAGCGCCCGAGGTTACTATAGTAACTAATAATAACGAGGTCTCTAGCGACGAGGCCTTTAATAAGATATATAGCGACGACGTAGTAGATAATAAAGAGGAGGAGGCTAATAATTAGGAAATCGCGCGCCTTAAGCATAAGAAGTTAATAATAGATATTGCTAAAGAGAACCGTATAAGGTAAGAGGCCGCTTAAGCGCTCGAGGCCGCTATCGTCGTATCGCGTATAGTAATATAAGCTCTTAAGGAAGAGGCCGCTTAAGCGCTTAAGGCCTATAAGTTCGTTAGTAAGTAGCATACTATGTATAGTAAAGAGACATTAGATACGCGCACCTTTAATTTTAACTACGCCGATAGTAAGATCTTTAGTCGATTTTAGCTATAGATCGATAAGGTGTTTACTAAGTAGGTGACGCGAGTGTTTAGTACTAAATATAAGCTCTTCGCTACTATAATGTTTCTGCTATTAAACCGTAATACTTACGTGTCGACGACACTACGCGATAATAGCGATTAGGAGGTTCTAACAAAGTAGCTAATAAAGTAGTATAAGAAGGGCAAGTCTAAGTTGCGCCTATTAGTTATCGCGCATTTAACTAAGCTTAAAGAGGACTTAGCTATTGTTACAGCTAGTTAGAAGCGTAAGGGAACTACTACTAATATCTAGAGGCTTAACATACCGTCTACGCTAGAGGCCGAGCGCGCGAGAGGTAACTATTATTCTAATCTTATACTTAAGTAGACCTACTTACTCGATAATGCGCTCTACTCTAGTAACTATTATTTTTAGAAGGGGTCGAATATTGCTTAGAATTATTACTAACTTGACGACACTGTTATTAAAGAGTAGTCTAACGACATTAACTCTAGGTCTTCGATAGTCGACACCCCCTCTATTAACATCGTTATAAAGCTTAAGAAGCACTTAGATGCTCGAAAATTAAGGAAGAAATAACCCGAGGTTCCTCTAATTCCGCTAACCCCCTAAATACCGAACGACATACTTAATCTTATAGCTATAAGCATAATGTCTTAGATGCAGCAATCTTAGTAGCAATACTAGCTCCTATAGCTATAGTAGCTTCTATCGCCTCGACCGCCCGTATTCGCCGCCCCTACTACCGTACCGCTAGTTTCTAGTCCTATCGAGGCAGATTCTAAGGACACGTTATTAGAGTTTTTTGCATAGTTAAAGGCTAGTAATAGGTGGCAGAGCTTAATAGATAAGGTTAGCAAGGTCGAGAAGAAGCTTAAAGAGGAGGACTATAACATAGATAGCATTAGGGACATCGATATAGATATATAGATAAGGGTTTAGGAGTTTAGGCGTAGATTACTCCCTTAGGTGTAGAAGGAGGTAACCCGGTATAAGCGCACTTCTAAGAGCCCCTAATTTGACGATTTAACTAGAGGATATGCTTAAATTATAGTCTTAGTTCGCCGAGTTATACCGCCTTACCTATTCTATAGATAATAATACTCGCTATAGTTAAAATGTGCTACGGCATATATCCTACTAGCCCTTTATACCGCTATACGTAGGAATACCCTAAAGTCGTCAAATAGAGTAGCTAAGCTAATATGCCTCTTAATCTATACCTTTAATATAGCAAACAAGAGCTCGATAGGGTTAAGATCCGGCGAGTACGGCAGTAAGAACTTAAGCTCGTACCTAGCTATAGTTACTACCTTATAAACCTCTATGGATCGGTAAATAGAGGCATTATCTATAACTAATATTAATCTTAGAGGCAGCTACGGCAGTACGTCCTCTACGAGCTATATGTAGAAGATCTCTACGTTAATACCTCCTTAATAGATTAAAGGGTTACTAACGTAGCTATCTATAGTTATTACTAGTAATATTAACTACCTCTCGCTCCTCTTTATCGACTTAAACTTATAGCAAGTAAGGCCCTTTAGACTCTAGCCGTACTTCCTTAAGCTAGTACGCTTATTAGCGCCGCTCTCGTCGATAAACATAAGGCGCCGTCTACTCTAAAACATGCGCCTACTACGCTAGAGCACCCTTAGCGGTTTACTTCTTTTAAGAGCCTTCTTCTTAGCCTTCTTCCTTAACTACTTCCTCCGCTATAATAGGTTCTATATAGAGCTTAAGTAGAGCGCTACGTCGAACTTATTAAGAATAAAGTCCTAAACTTTATCGAGGTACGCGGAGGGTCAGCTAGCGAGGTATTAGAGCACGAACTAATTAATTACTAGTTAGTTACGCGCGCGCTTAGTTCCTTACCTTATTACGCTTACCTCCTTAGCCTTATTACTTAGTAACTTTAGACGACCTCGAACGCCGCTAGGGGGTAGATATAGCTCGCTATGCTTATTTAGCGCCTTTAAGAGTCTATATACAGTCGTACGACTAAGTTAGAGCGTCCTAATGATGCTATTAGCACTCTAGCTAGTAGCATAGAGCGTAAGAAGCTAATTTTAAACAAATTCGGGTAATAGAGTAGGCATGGTTTCTTATAGATTATAATTTACTATAGTACCGTTACTAAACAGACAAATTTAGAGGAATTAACCGTACTTTGCGACCCCGTAACGCTTAGTCCTAATGATTTCTAAAAGGACAGTAATGCTTAACAACTATTTAAGGGGAATTAATCGGACTATAAAATCACGAGAAATGATTTCTCGGGAGTTCTATAGCTTCTTTAAGAACTCTAGACCGTATAGGCCACTTTATAGTAATTACGCTCTAGTATACTACTTAACGTACGCCGATAACCCTAGAATCCGTATTAATGCGCTTAATATCTTCTATATCCTCTAGTAGAACAGTATAATTAGTAGTCTAGTAGGAGTCGGGATCTTCTCTATAACGGCGTATTATACTTATACTAAAGTCCTTACCGATAATAGAGAAGTAACCTTAGAGACGATAACCGGACTATAGCCTAACTACTTATTTGTTTAGTTCGGCAGGAGCATATATATTTATTAACTCTTTAGGCGATAGTAGTTATAAAGGCTATAATATACACGGCGATAGACGGATTAGTATAGACGGCGCGAGCTGCTAAAGAAGCTCTTAGCTTAGACGAACTAGCTAACTTAGGTAATCTCTATCCTATAGAAGGCTCTCCTATACTTTTGAATAAGGCGAAGAAGGGGATAAGTTTAGAGGCATCATTTTCGCCGTAAAGGTCCCCTTAAGGTTTATAATACTAGTATCTCTTCGAATCGGTTTAATATCGGTAGTTTTGTCGAGTAGAGTAATGTAATTATGTTTATAGCGACGCACATACGAGGTCTAGGATTCTTGCTAATAATACAGTAGTGCTCTAATATACTGTATTTAGGTTATAAAGAGACATTATAAAGATTAGTGCTATAAAAGGCATAAGGATAATTAGCGTATCTAGCATGCGGATATTCTAGACTATAGTTAATAGGAAGTATATCTCCGAGTCCTAATAGGGAGGTTCTAAAGCCGGTCTTAGCGGTCTTAGCTATATAGTTTTAGCAACGGTCCTAGCTCTTAGTATTATGTAGTGTATTATGCGAGTTATAACGATAAATGAATGCGGGGCAGAACTTAGCCGCGCACTTTTCCTAAAGCAGCTAAAAAAGTCGATTATTATGCGGTTTTAGCCGCTAAAACCGCATAACACAATAAGTTGCCGATAGCCTCTTCGGGCCTTTATTTAAAAGCTAAAGGCCCGAAGGAGGTGCTAAGACCGTAGCTAAGACCGATTTTAGAACCTCCCTATTAAATAGCGAGTATTAAGCGCATAAGGAAGTTAGACATCTTAGTAATAGCTAGAGTATGTTTAAGAAGAGCTATCGCTAATAGACATGTTCTAAAGGCGCTTACACTCCTATATACACTTAAGTAGCTTATTATTCATACGGCATGTTCTATACTATATAGCTAAGTTAAATCTAAGTCGTTCGAATATCTCCTAACCGGAAGTAACACTACTACTAACCTCCTCCTTTGCTATCAAATCGACTAATTATAAAGCGATAAGTTCGACATGTAGCATCTATAGCAAACATTTCTATATAGCTACACTACGACGAGCTAAGGTGTAGGCACTCTACGCCAAGCAGACGCTATAACATATCGAGTCGACCGAATCTAGAGTAATGCCGCTTACACTAAGTGTAAGCGCTACCTCATTACTCGAGCATTTCAATTGCCGAGGACCGGATTGAGCTTGATTTTCAAAGGCCGATGTCGAGTGTAAGCGCCTTCAGAACATGTCTAATGTTGCTGCGTCAGACAACATGAGACGATTTGTAGAGCCATTTTGTCAGACACGGGTGGATCTGAAGAATTCGCCATCTAGGACAGATATCGTCGTTTCTTCATCCGTTGCTAGGTTCTAAAGGTTGCAGAAAGTCAGAACGCAGGTGAGCGCAGTTGTCGGACTCGGTGATTGGTGCGCCCATTAGAATGCACGATGGTATCGAGTAGGACCGCTTGGTCCATAGAGAGCGACTGTGCCTTGCTCACTTATCGTGCATCGACAGAGCTGTGTGACAAGATCAAACATATGAGGTTGTACTTTATTCTCAAAACGTTCATATTCTGAATTCCACAGTCGGCTGAAACCTCGTAAATGCCGGGCCGTCGCTGACCGCGATCCCAGTCAATTGACCTGTTTTCCGGTCTCGAAAAGTCTAAGAGCGCGGTCGCGAAGGTGAGTGTGGCTGAGTCGCCCTGCGACGGCGGCCTGAACGGTGCATCGGCTCAAAACTCCCAAAGTTGGATTTCAAGATTCTGGGTTTCGCGAACCGCAAAACCATTGCTTCTCGAGACTACTCGTACGCTACGTAGCTACTTATATAATGGTATATAATACTACCTCTATAATCAACATAGGACTACGCTAGTTTCTTCTAGATAGACAATAATATAGTAATATCGTAGAGTAGATAGTATCTAAGATCTTCGAGGGATTGCGCTCGGAGAGAAAAAAGAAGAAAGAAGAAAAGAAAGAAAAAAAAAAAAAGAAAAAAAAATAAAAAAAAAAAAATCAGATCCCGCAGCTTTCGCGTCGCGCGATAGGATTACGTCCAACTTCCGATTTCTTTATTTTTTTCCTATTTGTTTGCACATACGCCTACTATCTACGAATCTCATTTTTTTCTAGACTTATAACGTACTTAGAAAGCGACATACGATCAGTGATTAAGACTGTATTTATTTAGAAGACATAGTATGGTGTCTAGTAAGCAATCAAAACTGCAAACGGAAGTGGTGATTCAAATCTTAGAGCCCGAAAGCCCAAGTTGCGAAATGGAAGTTCAGACTTTTGAGCCGATGCACCGTTTAGGCCGCCGTCCCTGCTCGTCCGGCCTGTTTTTCTAACCCGCACGCGCCTGTCTCCACACACACCTTTTGTCGATAAACAATCGTGCCTGCGCCACCGACACCCAGCCCCGACTGCATAGCAGCCCCATCATATCGCGTGACTGTCACGTTACGCCCAGTCCTGCGCCACGCAATCCAGGATCCAATGAAAGCCTCTGCGGCCCTCGCAGCACCGACAATTGTGAGCACTTTTCCTGTTTCACCGATACTTCATCTTTCCGACCAGAGCAACTTCTCAATGTTTTCTTCGTTTCGACGTCACGGCACGCGCAATGCCCTGTAAGAAGTTTTTACGCTTTTTCCTGACGTAGGAGGTTCTGAACGTAGGAGGGTTATACCGACATATTGGAACACTTAGGCCATCGGACCAAAGGTGAGCCGACCACACATACCTGTAAGCGTGGATCCTGGTAGATTATGTTCAACACGACATTTCTTATCATCCACGGGACTACGGAGTACACCAGATAAGTTCTAGGGAGCCCGTCACGACAATTTTGGCTTAGTCAAGCAAATTGCCTGCATGGCCACTCGCTTGCTTCTTCCTCTTCGTTTTTCATGATTCCTCGAGTTCTCAATTCCTCCTATCGCAATGCATCTCAGCGTTGCTCATTACTGATGAAAGGTAATCATGAGATGCTCAACAGACCCTAATGAGGTACACGTATGATTTGTACCCTCGAACAATTACGATTACGGCTCAGCAGTCCTACACTCTATTAGCCTCGCACTTCGCAACAAAAGTACCTCAGTACAGATCAAGACTCACCCTTACAATAAACCAATAGTCACGTCTCCCTTGACACGCGCATAGATCTCGACCTAGGCCTACATCAGCCCTATCGTCACATCACCCTTGACTCTTGCGTAGATCTCTACCTCGACTTCCAGATCCAGCTCGATCTTGATCTTCAGCGAACTGTCCTTCTCGCCGACTTTAGCAGGGCGGTCCGCAATGCGCGACTGGTGCACGGGAACCATGCGGCGCCCGCCAGCCCGCTTGGGCGCCAGCTCCGGTTTGTCCTCCAGGTCGTCCTCGTCGTCGGAGACAGGCGCTTGCTGCTTCTGGAGTTGCTGGTTGTTCTTGTTTTGACCGAGCTTGGAGGGCTTGGGGCGCGGGTTAGGGGAGTCGGGGGTGTTGTTGGTGGCTTCTTGGGTGGGGGCTCTATGGTGAGATTAGTATTTGATGTGCGACCTTTGCGCATGGCAAGGACAATATACCCTGAAGACATGCTTATGGCGCTATCTGATCTCTTGTTAGGGAACGGAGAAGTCGTCGCGGCTGTTGCGTGTCTGTTTGCGGAGTGAGAAGTGAGAAGCGTGTGGTTGATATATTTCAAGTCGGATGAGACTCTTCTTTTATGGTTCACATTACCAAGAACCGGATTGCATCGGGAACCGCGTATTTCTAACCGGGAGCCAACTTATTTCGGGCATTAATCAGGTTTCTTTCATTTCAAATTGTGGTGCATAAAGCATCTCTACGGAGTAGCCACATCTAGCCCAAGCGTGAGATGTCATGTCCACATCGGGCATCCCTGCCGAAAACAGGTTTATATAGAACGAGATCCTAGATCATCTTCTTGTGTCTATCCCTTGAATTTGGTAAGAGTCCCATCCGGAATCATGGTACTGGGTATTTTGACTGCCATCGCCGCGTGTCCTGCCATCATTGGAACTACAGAGGCAGTGCGTCAGGGCCAAAGACAGAACGCTCGGGAAAAACACCGAGGATTGAAGACAAATCTCGCCGTGGCATGTTCGCGCGCTACAAAAGCTGGCCGTGAGATTGATGGATGCGAGATGGTGCTCAGCGAAAATAAGGTACGGAAATCCTCCCTGATCTCATGGCTCGATTGAGCCATACTCTGCTTCTATGGATGTTGACGAAGCAAAACCAGTTATATCTCAACGTACCATCTGAGGAGTTCCCAGACGGCCATGTGGAGGACCACCCTTTCGCAGGCTACTTCCTGCCTTATCCTGATCATAATTGGGGACGACAGGGCGAGGGCATGGTATCCACGATATCAAATGACCCGCCTCAACTGAATTGGATATACGTGGATCGCGATACCTGCGAGGTCAAATATGGCAACCGGGTTGAATCTGAGGATCACATCATCGGACCCTGGGACGTGACCAAGATGGACCGAAGAGTTATATTGATGGGTTGGGAAGGGTTCACGGCGGTTGAATACGGACCGGGAGAATGGGCATTGTACTTTGATCTAGACGACAACGGATTGCAGGGAGTGGTTCCCGACGATATGACGAGAGTGGAGATCGAGTTGGTTCGCAGGGAGAGGAGGCAGGAAAGGACGTCGAATGAGCCAGCAGAGGGAGCCGGAGTCGATACCGACACTAAAGCTGATTCCCCAGAAAACGATGACGATGCTTGACTTGGCTACATGTCTAATAACAATTGCAAACACTATTACTAGGCCACTTTTAAGATCCATACCTATGATACAGTACACCACCAATGATTCTACTCTAGGCACCCCTACTGTCGTCTTCTAGTAAATCCCTGGTGTATGTTTTAATTTTTTAACCCAGGATCAAATGATTTTTGCTTCGTATGTATGTGCATTTAACAGTGAGGTACGCTCTGGTGTTGCTCCTTCGTGATGGCTTCGAAGGATGCACCAAGACCTTAGTCATCAAGCGCTAATACGAAATGCATCTTCAAATGACCGTGCTCTGGTGCAACCTCCGACCTCCTTCAACGACCGCGACAACTCGAGGATATTTATGACTACGAGTGAAAGCCAACAATGGGTTCCAAGACACCAGAAGAACACCAGCAGGGTCCTGACGGTATGCGTGAAATTGTCTTGTGCTATGAACTTGTCTGATATATTGTGAAAAGGATCCTCGGCTGGCGCAATCGCCGACATCAATCCTCCCAAGACAGCAGCAGCTACAGGACTTGTTTCTGGTGTGCTCGAAGGGCAAGACGAAGACGGCGAGGATGCGGAAGATGACAACACCCAATGTGACATGAAGACCGAAAACAGTAAGCCAAACGATATCCGATTTGTGACATGCTTAATTCTAAATTCACATAGGCAAGAACAAGAAAAAGAGGAAGAATAACAAGAAGACAAAGAAGGACGCTAGTGGGCAGCAGACAACCCCACCCAGGGTCGCACTTGCCAATGTCTTTCCTGACAACAAGTATCCTGAGGGCGAAGTCATCGAGTACGCAGTCAACGATGACAATCTCAAGCGTACCACGTCCGCAGAACTGCGCCATCAAGATGCCATCAGGAACATGGATGGAGACTTCCTGCGTGACTATCGCAAAGCCGCTGAGATACATCGTCAAGTCCGTCAATACGTGCAGACCATCGCCAAACCAGGTGTGACGATGAGCAAGCTCGCCGATGAGATTGAAGAAGGCGTCCGAGCATTGACTGGTCACCAAGGTCTCGAGGCCGGAGACGCTCTCAAAGCTGGCATGGGCTTCCCGACTGGACTTTGTCTCAACAACGTTGGTGCTCATTGGACTCCCAACCCCGGAGCCAAGGATGTCGTACTTGAGTATGACGATGTCCTGAAAGTGGACTTCGGAGTTCATGTCAATGGCAGAATTGTCGACAGTGCTTTCACTGTGGCTTCTAACCCTGTCTATGACAACCTTCTTGCTGCCGTAAAGGCAGCCACCAACACTGGACTCAAGGTATGTTGATTGTAGTCTTCTTAAAGTGGCCGGTTTACTCAAAGAAATCATGTAGGAAGCCGGCATCGACGCTCGTATCGACCACATCAGCGAGATTGTCCAGGAAGTTATGGAGAGCTACGAGGTCGAGATCAATGGTAAAACGATTCCTGTCAAAGCAGTCGAAAACATCACCGGCCACAACATTCTGCGCTACAAAATCCATGGCGATAAGCAAGTTCCCTTCGTCAAAACTGAAACCGATCAACGCATGGAAGAAGGCGACATCTTCGCCATCGAAACCTTCGGCACAACCGGAAATGGCTATCTCACTGACGACATCGGTGTCTATGGCTACGGTCGTAATGAGCATGTTCGTCCCAGCGGTCTGCAGTATGCATCTGCCAAATCACTTCTCAAGACCATCGACGAGAATTTCGGATCTCTGGTCTTCTCTCGTCGTTATCTCGAGAGACTGGGTGTGAAGAACTACCATCTTGGTATGAAATCGCTCATTGCTAGTGGCGTTGTGGAGGATTATGCACCTCTGGTCGATATTCCTGGTTCTTATATCGCCCAGTTTGAGCATGTAAGTATATATCGGATATTGTATGAGTCTCCGTGGTATACTGACATGCGTATAGACGGTCTTGCTCAGGCCCAACTGCAAGGAAGTCATCTCTCGTGGAGACGACTACTAGGGAGCACTCGTCTGATCGATTTCTGAATTACTGATTATGTTTCCTTTGTCCCTCCGTGCAAACTTTCAACAACTACGGAACATCAGTTAACCACGCATCTCAACATGCCTCGCTTACTGCATATATATAACACCGACCAATTACACTCGTTTACACTGCGATCTGCTATCTCAACGACTTTCATCGGTGTCCTTCGAGTTCCTGTATACCAAGGCCTTGAAATTGGCGCGGTGAGTGTTCTAGCTCTACATGTTCTATGTATTTCTGAGGTGTTGGCGGGTAACTGTTTTTGGAGTCGAATTTCTGAAACGACTGATGTGCTTGACGCTTCCTGAATCGGCATAGGAAGATTATGGCTGCACTGACAAGAAGAATGCCGACAGCAGCACCTGCTCCCGCACCGATGGCGATGCCAATATTGACATAAGGACCTTGTGAGCGGAGTGGTACTGCCGCTGTAGTAGTGTTGCCAGTGGTGACTTCTGAGGTAGTGTTGCCTAAAGTGGTGGCTCCAGCTGTCCTATTCAGGATTGCAACGCCGATGTCAATGCTAAAAGGGCGGAAACTGTTGCCAGTCGAATTTGCAAGGCATAATTGTGAAGAGCTGTCGTAGCCAACGCCGCAGCAGAATTTGCTGTCGTTCTCGCTCTCTGAGACCAGAGAGATCGAGATACCGCCATCTGAGATAGCTGTGTTGTGTCAGAAGTGCCTAGTGGTTCAGCCCCCACACCACTTACTAGTTTGGCAGTACTGAGGACATGCGTCGCTGTCCCAAGATTTGTCTGTACAGCCTCCGCGTGATATCCTATTGCCATATTTGTTGCCTTGGTTGAAGCAATAACTGATCCGTCAGCACTGTGAGTTATGGTTCGAGAAAACCACGTACCCATTATCAAGACACAAACTGTTAGCACCACAGCAGTGACTATTCTCCGCCAAACCATTGCAAGACGTCAATTCCTCGGCAATCGACTTGTCAGGCCAATAACATGTCTGAGCAGCTCCCAACCAAAACAACTGAGCAGAGAGGATAAGAAGGATCTGAAACACAAACATTGCACCCTTGTGACTATGCAGAGAAGCGGATGCTAGACATGATGGACACGTGGAGACGGGTATCTGGATCTTATAACTCCACATTCAACAAGGCTGTTATGCAGTCAGCCGGGACACATCTCGATCAACTTCATCATGCTGTGTAAAGGATCGATCTGGGCATAAGTCGATACTCCTGAACGTTTTTTCTTTTTTAGAAAATGCCAACTGCAGATGGAAAACGAGGCGAGTCCTGAGGTTGTGAGATTATGGGGCCAGTATAACTGCATGACGGAGGATTTGTGGCACATTTCAGCCTTGTTCTGTATGCCGCGGCAGACGCATACTTATCTATCCTCAGTTCCTGTGCAATAAAATTTTGTCAAAACCCAAAATGGTAGGAGCGAAAAGAAGTGAAGTGTGTTGACTTAGGAGCAACCTGCGTTGTCGTGGTAAAACTTTTGCCAATTAATTTGTTCGAGGGAGGCATACTTTTGGAAGCAACGGTCCAAGATCTGGAAGCGGCTGTGATAAGTGGCTTTGCACGTAACGGTCGTGCCTTCTTCACACCATCTGCTTTCGTTCTCCTCAATCCCACACTTGCCTGACACTAACATTCAGCCTCTTCGCTCCCATGAAGCCCTTCCATCGCTGATAAGCCTTGCGCTCCTTTTCGCTAACCCTCCTCGCCGCGTCACCTTTGACCGCAGGCCACTCTGCCAACCACTGCGGACACGATCCAGGAATTGTTCTCGGCATCGCATGCCACGCCCACCTGGTTTCATTATCCAGGTGTACGCAATCGCCACTTCTGACTCTGATGGCCACAGTTCTCTTTTTCGGATCTTCTCCCTCTTCTAGCTCGCCCTCGCCTCTTGCAATTACGAAGATACCATCGCAGCCGAAGGAGAAAGAAGCAAGAGCGCGCTCGCACAATTCGCTGACGTCCCGATGCACGGGCATGTAATCTTTCTGTCCGTAGAGTAGACAGACTCCTGATTCGGGACGGATGTGTGGGAAGAGTCCGCTTACTAGTGTGCTGAGGTCTGAAGGGAAGGTCGTAGGTCCGTTACGTGGGTAGCTGCGTGTTGGCCAGTGGTATTGCTCTCCTAGCGTTAACCAGCGTAGTTTCCTTGATAGCATTTGCGCCATGTTGAGAGATTTTTGTGTTTCCGGGTTCTTTGGTGTTGAGTGGGTGGATTGGGGGTCGTATGTGAATAGAGACGGTGTTGGTGCTTCTTGTCCTCCCGAACCTTCGGATGCTGGATACTCAATGTCGAAGTCTGCTTGCAGGTTGATCTTGTGCTTAGGATTTGCCATGTATTGATGCATGATTTGTGATATCCAGAGTACTTGTGTTTCCGGTGGCAAGATCCCCGGTGCGATTTGCAATCCTGGTCGGGATGTTCAACATGATTTCCATCAAAGTCTTCTCTGATGTTGCTTACCTGGGAAGTCTGCATGCTCATAAACTGTCACGTCCTCGATTTCAGTCTCCAGCGGCGACTCGTCTCCTTCCGTACCTAAAGCAGCATTGCGAAATGTAATACAAGCATTTTCAATAGCAGATTTCGAGATCGTGCTGACCGGCTTCAACACTTTGGCCTGTTCTTCGCTTAATCCCTTATTCCAATCCACAACACTCTCATCGTTCTCCAGATCCGAGATTTTGACTTTGTTGTAATGCCAATATTGCTCCTGGATGAATTTTGGCGGAATTGCATGGGTATCATGATGATGATCCTTGAAATCCTCTTTGTCAGTTTCTTGATATATTTCCGAGGTATGCAATTGCCACTCTTACGGCATTCATCACCCTTGGTTGCGGTTGTTCACCCTTACCTTGTCGTCTGCTGAAAAGTCCATGGTGACTACTAAATCGAGAAATGGTCGTTCGTTGGATGTTGGCTATACGTCTACCCCTGAGCATACTAGGATATTCGCGTTGTACTTGTTGATAATGCACACTCGCGTGAGCAGAAAATTGTCAAACGTCGAAGCTGAATGCGCGCGTCTTGACTCGGGAAGATGGGAAGATTTACAGCTTGAGTCAGCATGTGCCAAGTCCTTCTGGAAGCATGATGGAACAAAATATTCCGCACAGAAATTGGAAATCAGAGCGGTGCGGGTGTCCGACGGCAACCGGCAGCAACCATCGTCGCTTCCCCTTCGATCGCGAACACCGAAGACCGAACCACGGATCAGCAAAGTCCTGCACGCCCCTGACCAAATTTTAGAAAAATCTCTGAGCGGAAAGGGGGGAGACACGCAAAATTGTGGACCGTGTGCGAAAAAATGTTTTTGGTTGCCTGGCGGGAGTTGGTTGCCCAAGACACCTCGACGTCATCATCTCATTTTCAAGATCGATGATGCCAGCTTTTTGCAAATATAGACAAGGATGCACACAATGAGGAGCGGGAGAATGTAATAGCACAGTCATGGTTAGAAACATGGTGCAGAAGTCACACGGCAAGATGGAACAGACATCGTTTTGAGTGAGGAAGGTTGTTGATACATTATGAATTGTAGCTAAGAAAATATCTTTGAACAAGAATTGAAGAGTGAAGAAGGTAGAAAGCCCTCACGAGGGATGCTTCTGCAACAGCAGAGATGGCACAAAGTGCTCATCTCGAAAATGGGTTGCAGAAAGGGGTATCGGTGATATGATTCAAAGAAACTCCCAGAAGAATCCCGCTTGGTTGTGGTAAAGCAAAATGCCAATGGTTGGATGCCCTCTGCACGAGGTTCCGGATGATAGAACTCCTCGCTGGTTGTTGGATGATGATGGAAAATGATGATGAAAGACAAAAACTTTTTTGGTGGTCGTAAAGATGTCGTGAGAGGCGTCGAGGAAGAGAAGAAGGATCAGACAGTAGTCTACTCCTGGGCAGACTCTCTGCTCCATGTTCTGCTCAGGCTTCTGAAAGCACCACCAAGCTTGCGGCGGGCTTTGTCAGATACCGATGAGCCGTTCGAGGATACGGATGCAGCACTGTTTTGACGGCTGGCAGAAGGCTTCATCTCATCCACAAAGTTGCCCTGTCCACCCCTGCCGACGAGATACACAGGTGCTTTGGCACGAGCATCCATAAGCTTCTGGTCGCGGGCGAGTTCCTCGTCAAATGAGAACATGGCTCTCTGGCTCTCTTGACGGGTGTATGCGTTTCCACTACCACCACGTCCTCCCAAGTACTTCTTGTGTTCAGGAGCAGGAGAGATCGCAGCACGGGAAGCAGGTCCAGTGGCTTCGTGGCCGACAGTGAGGTCTTCAGCCTTGTAGCGAGCGTAGTTGCCTGCTCCGCCTCTGCCATAGCCTAGGTATGAAGCGTTTTTGCCTCTAGGAGCCGAGGGGTGAGGCTCGGTGATGAGGTAGTTCAATGAAACCATTCTTGTGGATGTTTGTGTGTGTGAAGCTGATATTTTGGTATAAAGCTTAGGATTTCAAACAAATCCTAGCTTCGGGTCGATGTAGTTGTTGATAGTTGAAGAGATGCAGAAAGTAATCTCAGGTTGTAGTAGAGAGCAAGAGTGTGATGGATGATTGATGTTTGAAAAATGTTGTATGAACAAACACTCACAAGAGGGGCAAGGCGGGGGTCTATATATGAAAAACCAACCTCAAGGCAGTGTTGACACATACTCGATCCATCATCCGGACCAGGAATTGCACCACATACGACGCGCAAATTTTTTGCAAATGCAAAGACCTTGTTTCTCCTCACTATTCCTCAAGCTGGAAAGCGCCTTCCCCAAGCTGCAATTCGAAACGGCAAAAGTGATCACACGCCTTGGCTGCGGTGCAAGCTGATGAACCCGTTACCCGAATGGCGTCGTACACGTGCGGGCCGGAAAAGTTTTTTTCATAGCTCCCTGCGAACGCTGCTGGCTGTTGCTCACATCAGATTTCTCATCAGCTTGGTGCATTCTAGGCTTTTCGGAGGCGGCCGATTCCATCTTTGTAATTTCCTTCGCAAGTCTCTGTAAAGACTCTGTTCCAGAGACTTCAGACGCTCTCTCTCTCTCTGGCAAACTTGCCTCCCGCGAAAGACATCCTGCCTTGCGACGAGCATCACTGACCAGCCCACTCCGGCGCGTGAGTCTGACTAAATTTGCCAAGTCCGGTACCTGAGGATCCTATTACCCCCATGTTTCTCTCGAATCGACGCTATTACCCCATGAAAAGTCATGAACTAGTTGTGTTTCGGTAAAGTGTCCGCGGTGTTAGCAAATCATGCTCTTGCGTTCCAAACCCGTGGGTCGTGCTGGTCGTCACAGAAAGGTTCCAAGGGGAGATGAACATCGTGATGCAATATTGCGCTCTCCCGAGGCGGAGTGGCATGCCGTGATGTGTCCATCACAATGCAACATGTTGTGTTGGCAGGCAGGCCCTGACCAGTGAAATGCCTCAAGAGCAACACTGGTGACTTCTCACTAGACGCTCTCGCCATCTCGAATATGGTCTTGCATTCGGACAGCCATGGCATCATCGAGGCTGGAAGAAGAAGTCACCAAAATCCACGGCCACCTCCGCATGATCCTAAAAATGTCTCCATTCGTTGTCAACGAGGAACCTTCTTTTCCAAATGTCCCTTGACCTTCTGTTTGCGGCTCGTACACACCGAATGTTTCCTCCTAACAAAGGCACGCTCGTGACCTGTAGTCGTCGACGGCTACACACCGCTCCGTCCGTTTGCTATTACCGCCTTTCAATCATTTGCCCCCTCTGAATCGTAGTTCACTTTTGCTTGCTCTGCTCACGTGGGATTGCAAAGGAGATGAAATTAAATTCCAAACGAAGTGTTTCGTACATTCTCATCGATCATCGCTTCGAAGATTATTCACGCAGGTCAGGCCACATGATTTTACCTTTGTGATGTCGAGCTTCCAATTTCGTAATTGGAAGGTCAGTTCACGTTCATCAAGGTAGACGAGTGTAAGCCAATAGAAGCTCTTCCTCCTGAAATGCAAACCAGCTGTCTGGTTTCCTATTCGTGCTTCACTGCTTCTCCTCAAACTTGGCTCGTTCGAGACGTGGAAACTATTTGGTAATGTATTGGCAGAGAAGGTGGTTTGTTTGTTCGGTAGCCCCGGACTACGGCTACGGTATGTGTACCTTTGTTTCCTTGGTCTCTTCCTCCCCCACAAAGTGGCGGCGCGCGCCCTACGGATGTAACGTTTCCCCTCACTTTCCTCCATACTCGCGATATTGCCCAGCCTTGTCTTGGACCTCGTCTAGCCGCGCGGCGGCAAAAAGCTCAGGTCTCCATGGACCGCCTCTGCGCGGAGGATCGATCTGGAGGGGGGCATCATGCCGTGAAAGGGGAGAGCTTTGAGCGCAGAGTAGCGTCTCCTTGGCCTTGCCCTTTCTCCGCATCCAGAGCTCCCGGCGTAGCTTTCCAGAAGGAAGAAACGGTCTCCAGGCGAGGTGCCGCTATGCGGGGGAGGAGATGGGCAGGAAAGCATGGCCGAACGGGGAAGGTTCAAGCGTTTCGGTCAGGTGGTCGAACAGATTACTCGATGGTGACTCGTATACTTGACTGGGTCCAGGCCAGACGTTTGCGGAAATAGGAGGGAGCGATGAGGTGTCACAACCAGTGTGCCGAAGGGAAATGTTGCGGAGATGTGTTGTCGTGATTGTCAAGGCAGTGCCATGTCTTTGTCGTCAAGTATTGCAAGAATCGCGTCATGAATCACGCAAACTTTGTGTGAATGATCTCGGGGTTCTCGTGCCAGTCGTCGATGTTCACCCACATCTACGATATCACGTCAGTAAAGATGCAAGTCGTGTAAGGAACAGGGCTACACTGACCCTTCGGAAGGTGCTGAGACCGGCGAGAATGCTGCCACCAATCCACGTGCTGTACTTGCGCTCAGGTGGAGCGAAGATCTTGATGCGCATGTCCTTGACAGCTAAACGCTGGACCTCGTGCAACAAACGGTCACCAAAGCCCTTGGTCAGAGTCGATCCTCCTGACAGAACAATGTTTGCGTAAAGGGACTTTCTCAAGTCCATATCCGTCCGGCTGATGGCGTCGACAACAATCTGGTGGATGCCAGGATATTCGAGGCCAATGATCTCAGGGTCAAAGAGGATCTCAGGCGCTCTGAACCTCTCAGGGCCAATCTACGGGATGGGGTAAGCATAACGAAGCTTGTATAAGGAGCACGTGGTAGTACCTTGAGCTTCTGGCCGTCAGGAAGGGTGTACTCAACCGTCTTGCCGTCCTGTCTGGCACTGCCTGTGGTCCAGTCCTTCTCTTCTTTCTTGGGATCGAGAGCCAGGTAGCTTGTCTTCTCCTTGATCATGCGCACGACTTCCTTCTCGGCGCTCGTATGGAAGATGTAACCAGACTTGCGCAACAGCGTTTGGAGATGCTCGGTGACATCTCGACCAGCAACATCGATGCGGCGGATACTGTTGTTGATTGCGAAACCCTCGTATACAGGTACGGCATGCGAGACACCATCACCTGAATCCAGAACAATACCAGTGGTTCTGCCTGAGGCGTATAGGGACAAGACAGCTTGGATGGAGGTGAACAGAGCGGGTACGTTGAAAGTTTCGAACAGGATCTGGGCGGCTGTGTCGCGGTTGGAACGAGGGTTGAGCGGCGGTTCGGTCAAGAGAACAGGGTGCTCTTCGCTCAGCGTCTTGAGCTCTTCGGTGTAGACGTGTTGCCAGATCTTCTCCATGTCGTCCCAGTCGGTGACAATTCCATGCTCCAAAGGGTAGCGAATCTTGAGCAGTCCGCGCAGCTCTTGTGCCTTCTGACCGATAAAGACATCTCCCTCAAGAGCGCCAGCCAGAACGCGCAGGTGTTTCGGTCGGCCGACATATGAAGGGAAATAACATTTGGGCGCGTCTTCACCGGCGAAACCAGCTCTGATGGTGCCGCTGCCGTTGTCCAGCACTATCGGCGCGTTGTGGAGTGTGTCTGCCATGATTCCTTGTCTTGTATTTCCTTCTCTTTCTTGCCAGGTTATTGTCGCGAGCCCATGTTTAGGAGAGATTGTTGTCGGAGCTGTAGAGTGCTAGCATGGTCGGTGAAACACTACCCCCGACTGTCTACGCCAAGCTTACCCGATCTGGCAACAGCTGTCCGGTGCGCCTACCTCTGGTCCTACACCTCTCACGCGCTCCTTCCTGTACTCGTTCAGCTTACTTTTCAACTACTTCTCTCTCCTTCATTCATTCTCGTCAAACAAATCAAAGTTATATAGCCATGCAGTTCAACGCTCAGCCTGCTGTCCAGGATGCACGTTTCGCTCCAGACGATACTAATGGCACTGCTCCGACCGTCCCTGACAACGATCAGTCTGCCACATCTGCCACGAGACAACATGTCGATATCGACAGGCAGTGTGGTGTTCCCAGGTTCAACGGCGTTCCATGCGCTTCTCCTCTGAACTGTCGCTCACACAGCATGCACGACAAGCGTAGCGTACCTGGCAGAAGCGCTCCGCTAGACCAGCTTCTTGCTCAACATCAGCAAGAGCTGCCGCAGATTCCTCCAAACACTCAACAATGAACGCCCGAGTGGAGTATGTCAGTCAGATGGCTGTTTGTTTTTCATCATGCTAATTGACCCTTAGCTTATGACCAACAACTTATGAACTGAAGTTATGACCAGGGATTGGAATGGACGGCACTGGCACTGGCACTGGCACTGGCACTGGCACTGGCACTGGAATGATTGAAGTAATGATTGATTATTAGGTGAATTTGATCTATGGTATCCAAGACTCGCAATACACATTAGCGCGCTCCAGTCCATTAACCAGCGCAATACCATGACCCTATAACGCCTAGCCATCGCCTCTTGCCTCGTACAAGTCGTGATAATATAGTACAGGAATACGAAAAAATAATGTCGATGGACCGCTGGTCGACATCGTCATCAAAGGATTTGTTGTACAACAGACTCCATGCTGAGAACGGACGCCCACTCTCATTGCATACCAAGATGCTTCAAGCGTGGTCTGCGTTGTTCAATGGAGTCGGTGGTTCGTTTCGAGAAAAGAACTTTCTGCAGAGGTCGCTTAGACCTGGCTCATGGCAGGTCCCTTTCTGATGCCACCGGCACCACCGCGCATGTTAACACCGGAGTTACGGCCCTGGAGACCAGCGAAGACGGCAGAGACACAGAAAGCGGCGAAGCCGAACCAGAGGAATGCGGTAGAAGCCTGGGCCTCAGTGCAACGCTTGTTGGTGTCGCGAGAGCCGTTGGTGATCGAGTTGCTGTGGGTGTACGACTGTGAAGAGTGTCAGAGGCTGAACATAGTAAATGAGATGATTGGAACTTACGCTGTTGCCACAGCTGTGAACACCAAGGTATGCGGACATGGCGACAGCACCGCAGAAGTAGAAGATGGCGTTCAGGACATCAAGACCAACAACGAGGAGAGGGTGGATCATGAATGACTCCTTGATGCTGGCGGGGATGAGGTACAACAGCGAAAGCATGCTGAAGACCGAGACAAACATGCTGTAGTTGACAATCGAAGGGTTGCCAGAGTAGGAGGTTGCGATCATGTTACCGATGAGAGACATGATGAGGAGGGCCCAGACGAACTTCACGGCATGTTAGATCTTGCGAGAGTGGAAATGGGACAATGCTGTTGGCTTACCTGGAGACCACGCATGGCCAGGTTGATGATCTTTGCAACCATTTTGAATAAGGCTGAGTTGGAGTATTCGTCTAGGTGTGGAGTAGATGGATTGACGGAGAGGTCGGTGGCTGTGATAGGCTGCCTGAGGTCGCTGGGTGATGGGTTGTAGATGGGATGATCAGGAATGTGGCTGGATGGCAGGAGGACGAGGTTAATATCCTCTCTGGCCTGCCTCCAGAGCCGCCCACCATGCGCGAAGTTGCGGAAGGACCACACGTCATGCGCATGATGTCAACGCGATGGAAGCTTGGTATCGTCCCATATTGAAATCATCGCGCGCGAATAGTCCTCTTTCTCGACCACTCAAATCGCGCCTCCAACGGCATGTCGCACACGCTTAACCACCATTACCACGAAGATCCTACGGTTTTTGGCTGCTATGACGCTGCTACCCTTCCAGAAGCAGCTTGGAGCGGGCGCCAGTTGGGGGATCACCCGGATCGTCCGGGATCATATTCACGAGGCCACTCTCTGCCTCGAGTTTCGCGGATGCACGATTTTGTATTCCATGCTAGCAAGATCCACGACATGCTCATCGTCCACCACATCTGCTTTTCTGCGAATTCTTTCGAGTGCGCACGATCGAAACATCTCACTTGAAGGGTGCTTCGAGTCCTCGAACTCAAGACAAGCTTCTCGAAACGGTTTTACGGCATGACCTCAGTAGCCGCGGAAGGACCCTGAACCCTGCAAAGGTGACGCCGTCAAAAAGTGTCTGCCGCAGACCCGACAGGTGACGCCCTCCAAGAAAATTGGTACAAAACAAAATTTTCCAAGCATGTGAAGACGGTCCAAGGTCTTGCATCGATGTCAAATAGCCCGTTTGTGACGATTTTGCGATGCAACTTCCGAAAGAAAACCTGATTAGAATTATATGTATGATCTCTATATGTGTCTAGTAGTACTTGAGTAGGGGGCATGATGCATAAGGAAAAGAATTAGTAGCAATGTCGTAAGGCTGACTGAGACCCTTGAATCGTATGCAAGTTCAAACTTGTCATCCTGATGGTCGGCGACTTCGACGTGGGTATATCAGTATCCGCAGATACCACTGCAATCCAAGACTTCGACGGGATAGTAGATCTTAGGAAGTCCTTGTGACATGGGCACTGTAAGAGTGCCACTCTGACCAGCAGTCAAGGCTTCGCAAGATAGAACATCCACAACCTCCGTACCGTTGACGTATCCTGTGTTGGTAACGCTAAGGGTATAGTTCGAGCTGCTCGCACCCTTGTTGGTCAAGACTGTGACGGTCTGATAACCATCATATCCCTTGCGCATGGCGACGTTGGCGCTGTCACTGTAGACGACCCAGTTCTGGTAGGTAAGCCAGTCTCCATCGACATAGAGCGCATGGTTACGGATTTGGTTTGCGCTTGCTGTGAAGGTGTAAAGAGGTGCATCGGTGTTGTAGCCACTCAACCAGACAGCCTCGCGGTTGTATGGGTCCTGAGCGCCACTGAAGTGTTGTTCCTGGCCTTCGTAGATGATGGGAATGCCATCGCCCATGATGGTAGAGGCGATGATGTTCTTGGCTAGTGACATGTCGCTTGTCAACGAGGCAAAGCGAGGTTGGTCGTGGTTTTCTGAAAAGGATCCAAGAACGGTGGTGTCCTTGCATTGACCTTTCATGCCATTCAGTTGCTTGACGAAGCCGGACATGCTTCCAGAGGTAGACGAGAAGGCCGCCGTAGCCGCGTAGTACCTATTTTCTTGTAAGCAGGGGAAGGTAAGCCATTATCCATGCAACTTACATCGCGTAGTTCAAAACACTGTCCATGTAGTTCTGGTAAGGGCAAAGGCCGTATGGGTCGCCATTGGTGATTTCTCCAGTGATGAAAACGCCAGCGGCATCTCCGAATCCGGACCAGAAGTCAGTGTCGACGTGCTTGACAGTATCGATGCGGAGGCCGTCGACTGATGCATTGTAAGCGACAATTCTATCCATAGGTGTTGAACAACTTACTTGAGTAGTTTGAAACCAGTTGCTCAATCCAGATCTGATACTCTTGTGCAACTGAGGTGTCTTCTGTTCGCAGATCGACAAGCTCCACGTTTGAGTCGCCTAACCAACAGTCACGGATACTGGTATCGTTGCTGTAGTCGACATTGCAGTAGCTGTGGTAGTACTTGACGTTGTCGAAAGGCTTGAACACGCTGTAGTCGACGGAGCTGGCATTACCGTTCCATCCATTGTGGTTCACGACGATGTCAACCATGAGGTACTGGAGAATGGTTAGCAACTTCCTGTCGCCGGCGTCAACAATCAACGAACCATGCCCCTGTTGTGTAGAGCTGAAGCCAGAGCTCTGAGATCGTCTGCAGTACCGAATGCACTGTTCAGCTTGTACAGATCTTGTTGCCAGTATCCATGCCATGGCTCGCCGTAAGGGGTCCAAGTCTGAATCTGGAATGTGATAGGAGAGATCCAGATCTGTTCCATGTATTAGCGTTGACCGTTCGGCCGTTCGGCGCCACAGCTTGGGGAACTTACGGCAGTGAATCCCATGTTCTGGATGTAGTCCAGCTGCTTGATGATGCCTTGATAGGTGCCTCCGCAGTACTTACCCACGGGATTGCATTTGGCCGTAGTGCTTCCATCGGTACGCGCGAAGCTGGAAGATATCAGTCAGTGAACTTGTTGAGCACAATGAGTGGTAAACTGACCGATCGGTCAAGACTTGGTAAATTGACTTTGAGCGCCAATCAGAAGCAGATGCGGCCAAAGCTGAGCTGCTGAGACTGAACAGCGTCAAGAAGGTAGCGAGCTTCATGGTTGTGTCTGCGATGAAGAAGCGAAATTACACTCCTTGGGGTGTACAAAGTAAAGAGCTGATATGAAGTCGATGTTGGTGAATGGTTTGTTTGATGTGGCTGATGTAACGTCGCGGACGTGTTCCCTGTTGGCGCTGCCGTGAGAGGATGCTTATCCAAAGTGAATCAACTGTTGGAGTAAATGTATCTTTCGGGGTTGATGACTGCCGTCGAGGCTGATTCGAAAATGAGTGTACTCGAAGGAAGGTTGTATGTGGACAAAGGACAATTAAAGGCGCATACAACGCAGAATTGATGCCGAGAGATCACGACAAAAGAAACGAAGCAGTCACGGATTCATACAGGTTGGGCAACAGCGACTGGAAGAACAAAGAAGCTGCCGTCGCACGCGCGTCGAGAACTTGAGAACAAACCGCAAACATTGCAACCCGTTGGAGGAAACGGCGCCGTTGGCATGTTCTAATGACTGATGAAGGGATTTAAGTGGTCCCTTGACCTAACAAAGAAATGTCGACGCAGCAGAACGCCTATAAGGGGCACCTAGATCTCGGCGAACTTGGACATGCGCAACAATATTGAGACAACTCGACTTCGAGAGGTGATCCACAGGCACGCCTGACTCGCTCAGGTCGTGAGAGGCATAACGCAGCCGGACGTACTGAGCGAAGATAGATGAGATCCCGTTCTTCCATACCATACCTTGAAACTCGAACTGGCCGAGCTGTTCGAGGACGGAAACGAGTGGTCAAAGCAGCACGGGCAAGGAAAGAGGTTACTTGGTCAGTTGGTTGGTGCTCGGTGGACACTAGTGCGGCCCGCTCCGGTCTCCGAAGTGTCAGCCCTATTGTGCTGCGGACATGGTTCGCCGGAGTACCCCTCCTTGAGCATGCCGTCAGTATACAACCTTTTCGTCAGCGTAGTCATGTTTGAAAACCAAGACGATGGCGAGAAGCCTTGTTCATGAAAAGGTAAGAACTGGAAGGTTGGAAATCAAGTTCCGGCATGCCAACACAATAATCCACCCTACCTAATGTAATCCTTACCGAAATGTACAAATGATTAATATGATTTAGTACATCCCTAATCAAGACCGTAGGCTCCTCTGCATATCTAGGACTATGTTCGGTGCGCTCTAAGAAACCTTCCCAATCACAAATGAGAGATATCATAGAGCATTGCTTGTGTGGTGGTGAATCTTAGGTGAAGCCAGGGTCACCCTGTAGTCGAGTTTTACATTGAATTTATGCGGTCGTATGTATGCATACCCTCGGCATCACGAACCAGCAGCGGTCCAGAGAAGGGACATCAAACAAGTCACAGTATAGAGTATGATGAGATGGTATTCAGTCGTGGAACTGTCTTCATTCTGTAAGTGTGCTTTACTCTTTTCGAGCTTGAGTTTCGGCAATGGTCCTTCGTCGCTGGGCCCCTGTCATCGTACTGGGCTCGTTGTTGGTATTCTTCGGGGTTCGCCGCTTTCGTCGCATGCCCCCGTCAACACTTTCTCTCAGCGTATGAGGCTCAACTGAGGCTCTGCTTTGCTTCAACATCACACGGTACGGTCATGGGCAAGATTGCAAGATGAAGGTCTGAATTATAATCATTTCATGTCTCGTAGCTAATGTTACATGACTGCAAAGTCGACGGAGCCGCTCTTGCGTGCTCGACGTCGCAACATTGAAGTTTTTTTCTGATCTCGATCAGATGGTATCATGATATCCCTGCATTTCATGGCTCGTCCCTGTCAAAGGGCGCGGAGCTGTGGCTGAATGTTTTTCATGCTTCCGACCATACGGCGACAAGCTTAGTTGCGGATGTTGGAGCGGACCTCGTCGTTGCCACCAGCGTTCTCGCGGTGGATCTGGGCCTTGGTCTCGGGACCGCCAGCACCCTCGAAGTCACCAGCCTTGTAGAGCTTGCCGGTGGAGGGGTTGATGTCACCACCCTCGCTCAAGGGGATGTCTCTGTTGTTGCCAGCACCGGAGGCGGCGCTACCATAGGTGACATCGGCACCGGGGAACTTGTTGCGGACGCTCTCATCAACACCAGACTCGGCGGCTGTGAAGGTAATGTTAGCATGTTGTACGAGTCATTTGTTAAAGTGCCCGAGGGTAGTAGACTGCATGTCCTACTACAAACTTCGACTTTGAATTCTGGAGACTTACTGCTGTCGCTAGCGCCGTGACCGTGGTTGGAAGAAAGGTCAGCGTTGTGGCCGTGCTTAGCAGTGTGGGAGTTGAGGTCCTGCTCAGCCTGGGTGGCGAGCTTGATGGGGTCCTGGTTCTGGTACTCGGCAGACATTTTGATAGTTGTGTGGTTGGGTGGGTATTTGGATGTGTTTGAAGGATGAATTGATGGAGATTGAGTGTGATGAGGAAAGAAAAACTGGATTGGCGCGACTTGAAGAAGTATTTCTACTGCTGCAATCGATCGAGCATTGCATCATTGAGGGGTGGGTATTCATGACGTTTGTATGCCAAGACGTCTTTTGTCGATGGAAGAGACCCTCACGATCCTCACCATGAAGTCACTGACCATTTTCAGCCTGGAAAACACCACCTGAGTGGAGTTGACACAGTGGATCTTCTAATGAGTTTTCTCAACATCGTCACTCACTCAAATTTTCGAGTCTTCGAGAATCAATTCGTTGGACATGGAGACAATTTGCATCTTGCGGCCTGCTTCCTGCGAGGACTCGAAGGATTTGCAAACTTCTGTCCGATCAGTAACCTCAGCAGACTGAGTACAGCAGAGTTCTGTCAGGAGTAACACAAGGCAAAGGCTGACGAAAGATATCATTACGGCGTGATGGCAATAGCTACGAGAGGTATCCGTCAGCACTCGGTTCCAAGCACACCTGGTGACCAACACTCTCTATCCTTAGGCACACTTGAGGCCCCTTCCATATCGACTCAAGAAGACGCGCCGACAGACCTTTTCGGAATCGAGACTCACTCTAGGCTTGCTCGTACGCATGGTGTTTCCGACCGAAGGAGCTTGTCGTAGTCATGATTGGTGTTAGCCACTCTCTAGACGAATGAAGCCAATAGAGCTATGTTGTTTGTGCATCTCGATGGCTAGAAGTTCATCCGATGGCTTCAGGAGAAGACGAATCTCGGTCTCAAGCTCGTCGGGTCATTAAAGTACGTCCACGGTGTACTGCCTGCCACAGCCCTGAAACCACATAAGGATTAAGGGAGTTATTTCCGCTACTTTCCAGTGACTCAAAGAAGCGAGTTCGGACCGCCTCCTCTACGCTGCCAAACGCCATCGATACCCATGTCGTATTTGCTACAAAGTCATATCGTCAGCGTCGTCCCGATACCAATCAAACTCGAATTCAGAGCTTACCCATCATCGGCCCACATGACCTTAGGCTCTGAAGCACCACCAGGTGAATTGATAAATTTGATATTCTTGATCTTTGACCGGTCAGCTCATGGTCAATATCATGCGTAGGAAGTGACTTACAATGCCCAAGCTCAAATGGATTGCTGGACCTTCTGCGATCTCGTATCGTTCAAGGGTCTCGTCCTTCGTCATGTGCTCGATATTCTCTACGACCACCGGCGCCTGTCTCAGAGCTGGACGAGCTGCTTTGTGAGCTCCAGTATCGGCGACGTCTCCAACGGCAAAGATATTCGGATAGGCTGTGTCGCTGATCTGAAGGGTTCTTTGCACACGCACGAAACCAGCATCATCGATGGTTTCCGGTGAAAGGGTGCGAATAAGCTCTGATTGCGGTGTTTGACCAGTGGCAATGACCTGTAAGCGGATGAGATTAGCACCGCCTCACACATCATCGATACACGAAACATACAGCAAAGTCGGTTGAAATACTCGAGCCATCTTGCAACTCGACATTGAAGATCGATCCATCGGTTGGATACCCCTTTGCAGGCAACTTGACTCTCGAGCCAAGCTTGAGGTTGATACCAAGTTCTGAACAGCGGTCCTTGATAATGCGGTCCAGTTGCGGATGGAACTTATTCATGAGTTGATCCCTCGAGTGTACCAGAGTCACCGACTTTTCGGGGTAGATCTCCTTGATATCGGTTGCCATTTGGACTCCAACGGCTCCTCCACCAATGATGGTGATCTTCGAGCTTTTCTCGACCTTCTGTGCATGCTCTCGGAGGTAAGTGACTCCATCGGCTTTGTCTGATGACGGTAGTGTTGAGGGAGGTGTCAACTTTGTGCCAGTAGCAATGATCTAACAATGTCAGCCATAGTCATATTAGACGGAGATTGTGTACTCACGAGATACTGGTACGGAATACTATTCACACTCTTGTCATTCAACTTGACGCTACGATCAAGGTGAATCTCTGACTTGTCAATTTTGGTGACACCTGCGCGAACGACCACACCAGAACCAGGTGGGCAGCTCGCAAATGTTCCAGGTGTGAAGGGGATGAAAGCCTTGTGTGTGTCCACCTTGGTCGTGACTGCAAATCGGGGGAACGCAAACAGATGTTGAAAATGTGAGTTCTTCTCGATCAACAAGACTTGGAAACGACCGTGAAACTTCGTAGCCAGTTGCTGTGCTGTGTTGACGCCTGCATATCGCTGTTAACCTAGGAAATGTGCAGAGGCGGTTTCTGTAGATCTGGCGTACCGACATAGCTGCCACCGATCACTGCAATGTTAGGGAGAATCGACATGTTCTCTTGATATCAACTCAAATACTGTTTAGATCAGGGCCAAAAACAAGTGGAAAACAGCGCTCAGCACAAAGTAGATTGCTGGTCTATATATGTTGTCCATCTGATTACGCCGGCAGCCCACCTCGGATCTGATAAGCACCGCGACACCGGCGCGTACGACGCTTCTCAGACTCCGATTGGTGGATCGTTCCGAGCTGCTCGGCCGCATTGCTTCGGCCGAGGGCACGGTAGGCGCGGTCGGCATCCTACGGGAGGTGGGGAAGGAGAGAACACGAACTTCTTGCTGCCGTGAACGCCGCCCGTGATGAACTTACAACAGACGGCATGTGCGAGAGGGAAGTATGTTGTGACTTCTGAGTTGAAACATACTCGGGATCCGCTGCTGGTAGATGTGTTGCTTTCTACGGGGTGTGCTTCAACAAGCTCTCCCTATCTCTGTGAACACACATTGTTTTCGCATCAAGATTGACTGTTCCTACGGCTTTTGATTGTCTACTCTTCTCCGTTGGATGCGATAGATGAAGAAGTCCCAGTCGTCTGGGAACCGCTGTCAGATTCTTCGTTGACACGTCAGGACCTTCTTTAGAAGCATAGATACCTGCCACGATCCTTCTGCAAGTCGCCCAGCGATTGCGGTGCTATCAACACTAGGTACACTGGACAGTAAGGTTGCAGCAAGATCTTAGGGAGTCGTCCATAACATGTCAATGATCTGCCAGGATGTCAGATGAGTCAATCGGTAACAGGAAGGAGCGACTGTAGTGTTCGTCACTGAAATGAGCAGGTTCGAGCATGATGCTCGCATCCCTCCGATCGAGAGACTCCTGACGGAAGCGAATGACACTATATCACTGCAGAAAACAAAGTCACGAAGCTTCAGAATGATCGATGAGAATGTCAAAACAGTAGCGAATATCTTCGCCGTTCATTTCTTTTGTACCTTACTCGGTCCCTTTGTCTGTAAAAAAGGACAACTCCTGCGTAGCAAGTCATCAAAAATGAGATAGAATCGTTCAGAAAAGCAAAGTCCACACAGCAAGATGAAACGCCCCAGCTACCCCGCTTTCCTTTAGAAATGCCCAATTATACCAAGAGAGAAGAGGAAAACATCATCAACTCTACTTCTTGCGAGAAGCTCTGCCGCTCTTGGTCACAACAGCAGGAGCACCGCCTTTGGTGGTTCCGTTTGAGGTGGTTGATGCTACACTACCTGCACGCGATGATGCATTGGAAGTTGCCTTGTTGCCACTCTTGACTGTGTCGAGCTGCTTGTTCTGGTTGTGTGTTAGTCTGCGTCTCAGCTATCCATATCATCGAGTGCTTACCTTGACGGCACCCTTTGCCTTCTTTGTGGTAGGCTTGACTTCTTCCTCCTCGCTTGATTCCTCGTCGGCAGCTCTCTTGCCCTTTGCGCCGTTCAGCTTCTCGCCGTTGGCCTCAGCCATCTCCTTGGCGACAGTGGTGATGAGGGTGTTGCAGCGACGTCCAATCTCTTGCGGTGTTCTGCTCAAGAAGAACCAGTCAAACCTGAAGAGCGGCGACTCGCGAATCTCATCGCGGATCTTCTCGTACAGGTTCTCGCTTTCGAGGCCGAAACGGTCGAGCATTACCAGCAGGAAGCGGTCTTCCTCCTCGGTGTATACCTTCTTGTTGGTAGTGCTGACAGTGTAGTTGATCTTGAGCTGCTGCAGTGGTACACGGTACAGGCCCATCTTCTGTCTAAGAAGCTTGCCATGTTGGACAACCTTTGCACGGCGCTCTTCGCCCTCATTGATCGAGTCAATGTGCTTCTCCCAGTTAGCAATTTCCTTGTAGCGCTTCCAGAAGATCTTGGCGTAGGCCTTGATTTCGTCGGGCTCCTTGCTGTCAACTTCCAGAGCGATGTCATCGTAGTTTGTACGGCCATACTTGGCACTACCGTTGATGAACTGCTGGAAGTCACGCTTGTTCCAGTCGCCGAAACCTTCAGCAGCAAGTTTGTCCTTTTCACGCTGCTCCTCCTCGGTCAGAGGCTCAGCATCGTCGATAGCTTGCTGTTCCAGAGCTTGATCTTGTTCACGCTGTTCCTTGTCTTCGTCGTCGCCCTCAGCAAGAGGTGCCTTGATGTTGTTCTCCTTGCGGAACCATGCGGTCTCCTTGTCTTGCAGATCCGCGAGACGGGGGTTGAAAAACTGGTAGTCGTGCATAGCCTGTTGTTTGGGGGCACGAGGAACCTTGGGCTTGGGGTCGGCGGTTCTGCCGCCAGTCATAAGGGCGTTGCGGTAGTACTTATCCATCGAGTAGGATGCAGGATCCTTGCGTTCACGCTTTGAAGGATTGATCCAGTTGATGCCGATCTCGACCTTCTTCTTGTTCTCGAAATTCTCGCCGTTCCACTCGTAAGCAGACTCCGAGGTGAACTTTTGGAGGTCATCAAGACCAAGCTTCTCATACTTCGAGTTGAGCTCAGCGGTACGCTCCTCACCCTTCCTGAGAATGGCGTCGATGTCGTCTTCGGAGATCTCGCCGTTCTTAGCAAATGCGCCATCAGCGTTTGCTTCGAAGACCTTCTCGGCGCCGTGCTGGATCATGTTCAAGAGCTCGTCCTTAGAAGCGGCCTTCTTGGCTTCCTGTTGAGCACGTCCTTGCTGAATAACCAGCTGATCCAGGCGAAGCTTTTGAGCGGCTCTCTCAAGCACCTTCTCCTCAATGGCGTTCTCAGTGACGAAACGAAACACAACAACCTGCTTGGTTTGACCGATACGATGAGCACGATCCATGGCTTGCAGATCGGCCTGGGGGTTCCAATCGCTGTCGAAGATAACAACAATATCAGCAGTTGTCAGATTGATACCAAGGCCACCAGCGCGAGTGGTCAGGAGGAACAGGAACTTTTCAGAATCGGGCTTGTTGTAATCATCGATGGCCGCAATACGGTCTTCGTGCGCCGTTGAGCCATCGATACGGCAGTACTTGTAACCACGGAAGACGGAGTAGTCCTCGAGAATGTCCAAAAGTCTACTCATCTGCGAGAAGATGAGGACACGGCTTCCTTGTGCCTTCATGCGCTTGAGGAGCTTGTCAAGCATCAACATCTTGGCAGAGTTGTAGATCAAATGCTCGTCAGTAGTGTAGGGCGGGCCAGGCTCAGCTCCGTCGAAGAGGTAAGGGTGGTTGCAGCATTTACGCAGTTGCATGACGATGTTGAGCAGACGAGTCTTGGACTCCTTCTTTCCGCCGGCACCGTTGACTGCATCAATGTCCTTTTCCAGAATGCGCTTGTACCAGTTAACCTGCATCTCGGACATGCCAATGTACAAGTTGACCTCCTTTTTGGGCAACAAGCTCTTCTCGACGTCGCTCTTGACTCTGCGCAGCAAGAAGGGGCGCAGAACTCTGTGGAGTTGTTGGACGACAGTCTCTTGGTCTGAGTCTTGTCCCGAGAACCATTGATCGAAAGCTTCTGCATCACCAAAGACGTCGGGAAGCAGGAAGTTGAGCAATGCCCAAAGTTCGTGCAAGTTGTTCTGCAGAGGGGTACCGGTAATAAGAAGACGGTTGCGCGAGTTGAACATGCGGATGATCTGAGCAAGAGACGATTCCTCGTTCTTGATTCGATGAGCCTCATCAATGATGATGTATTCCCAGGCAAACTTCTTCAGGGCCGTCTTCTCACGGAGAATCATTTCGTAACTCGTAATAAGAACATCGAATTTTTCTTCGTTCAGGCGTTCGCTGATGATCTTTGCACGCTCTTCCTTGGTGCCCTGGAGGACCAAAACATCGATGTCCGGGATCCATCTGGCGAACTCGCGCTTCCAGTTGTCGAGGGTAGATTTGGGTACAGCAACCAAGTGAGGTCCGGTGATGTTACAAACGAAGCGCAGGTAGCCGATGAAGGAGATTGTCTGCAGGGTCTTTCCCAGACCCATCTCGTCGGCCAGGATACCAGAGATACCGTTCTCGTGCAGCGAGACGAGCCAATTCAGACCAGCGACTTGGTAGTCACGCATTTGACCGTGAACGTAAGATGGCGACTCGCGGAAGATTGTGCGGGATTCGTCGCTCTCATGCTTGCCGGTACGGAGCAACTCAGCGTCCTCTTCCTTTTCTGTTCGTCTCCTTCTGTCGCCGCCAGCACCTCCCTTACGCGACTGGGCTTTGCCAGCTCTTGCCTTTTCCTCTTCGTCTTGGCGGTCGATCTCGGCCATAATCTCCTTGATGCGGGGGTTCGGGTTGGTATCGATGAAATGACGGAAAAGATCGGTCAGGCCGAGAAGGTAACGGAATCGGCGGATAGAGTCGTCCTCCTACATGTAGTTGTCAGTAACGAGTGACAGAAGCGTCGTTCACTCAATGTGTTGGGTACCTTTGACTCGCCGAGCTTGTCATGCTTCTTGCCCAGGACAGTCTTTCTCAGCTCGTGGCCTTCCCATCTCTTCTTTCTGCCGTCCAGGTCACCTGCAATGCTGCTTTCTGTGGTAGTCATGCCGGTGTCTGAGTCCTGGGAGGCTGTAAGTACGTGCGCGTTTGCGTGCGGAGACGCGTGTTCATGGCTTACAGTGTAGTCAGGCGTGTCGACCACATCCTAGAGTTGCGAAGTCAGCGTATGCTACAGTCTTTGTCGTCGGAGGTGCACTCTTCGGAGCGAATAAGGCATCTTGTGGCAGCAGTGGGGGAAGGGAGACAAGGGGGGTTTGCGGGTGGAGGTGATGGATGAAGAGCGCAGAGAGCGGTACGTACGCGCATGGTGTGGTCGCCATCTCCGTTGCCGTTCATGATGAGGTTTGGGGGTTGTGGTCGCCTTGCGGCGGAAGCTCAATTAAAAAGGTTGGTCCAGGAGAGATTGAGAATATGCGCCGGATCTCGTTTCTGCAGTTGACAGAGTCGGAGTTGATGAGATGGCTGACGGCGCGAATGCCGGAATTACGATGGCGGCGGATGGTTGAAGGGAGGGGATGGAGAGCAAAAAGGCAATGCAAGATGCGAAGGGAAGAAGAGCAGCCAAGAAGCATCATCCGCTCCAGACGCGCAGAGTCGCGACTTCCCATAATTCCCATAAAATGCTCAAGCTTGGACCACCGCCTGCTTGCTTTATCGTATCTGCTCCTTCCCTACGACTACATTTTGATTTATCGTCATGAGAGTCCAATTCACATTTATCCAGCTCTAGCAAGAAGCCACAGGAGTACTATAAGCTGTTTCGCAGTTCAGAGAAAGAGAGATGAGTTGGCTCGTTCAAAACGTGAATACTAAAAATACAGATGGCTCGATTCCATGTCCTTCCTCCTTTTGGCAGGCGGACATGCCTATTGTTGGTGTCCATTTCCATATCCCATTTGGTACCAATCTTGTGTACGCTGAAATCATGCCCGAAACGCCGCGCTAAAACCTGTTGCAATGCCAGAAACTTTGATACAATTTGTCCACCTTTCCCTCCCATGTGCTCAGCATCGATGATCGCAGGCTCACCAATGATCGAACTGTTAGGAAGAGCTCAAACCTGCCCACCAGCGAACATAAGCTCACGATCTTGACGCATACCCTCGAGCACCGCGACAAGTCCACCTTGTCGCAATCGCTCGAGCACCACTTTCATCCCCTCCTTTGCTTTGGGCTGTGATTTTTCGGCGCGGCGGAGACCGATAACTTCAATAGATCGCTGCATGGGACTAGCAGCCCACGACTTGAAGAAACCTAGCTTGGCCGGGGCAGCTTCCTCTTCGACAGCTTCAGCTTCGGCTTCGGCTTCGGCCTGTCTCTGTGCTTTCCTGCGACGGATGTTCTCGCCAATTCGTGATTGTAGTGTAACAGTGGTTGTGACATCTGTCTTTTGAGATGCTTGCTGGCTGTATAGGTCGACAGCGGCCGAAAGTTTTTGCAGTGATTCGAAACCATGTCGGCGGAACACCTGCTTCTCGATAACGCTCAAGACACCGGTCCATTCCAGATTGCGACTTTCAGCCTCCATCCAACCTTCTTTGGCGTCAACTGTAGTCGTCTCGAGAATGTAAGCTTGACTGTCGCCATTCTCAGCTCCACCCATGATACTTCGGGGCAGCAGCTTGAGGATGGCAGCAGGAAGCTTGCTCTTCTTCAGATGCAGGCGGACTGTCGTCAGGCGTTGGGTATCGGGATCATATTCGCGCGAAATGACATCGGTCGAGAGCACGTGGGTGCTGTATGGGTTCGGGTAGCGTAGAAAGTAGGCCAGCGATACGGCGGGAAAAGAGTAGTCGTAGCTATATGAAGTGGAGTAGAATTTGACCATCTTGTTGCATGCTGTGGGGTGAGCGCGGAAAGAGGAGGGCGAACGAGGGTGGTGGAGAAATAAATAGAGTCGAAGAAAGAGAAGAAGCAATCAATTGGCGCAGGAGGTGGAATGCTACAGGCAGAGCCTCTGCAGAAACGGCAGGCTGCTCCCTCAAGTGGTCAGCAGCCATGACGATGCCAGTTTTGCGCCCGGCCAGTCGGCGCGGACGGACCAAACCTCCGACTCGAGCGACCCTGTCCCCGCACGCGTGACATTCGCTGATACCTGCAGATCCTTACCGCCTCAGTCCATCTTCACATGCTTCTGTTTCCTTTGTCCTGCGGTCTGTTCTGGACCCTCTGCTTTGTCCGTCTCAACTCTCTAGAGAACCTGGGCAGTCACTTCACTCTGATGAAATACCTCACGACATAGTGAATGGTTTTGGAGTGGTGGATCTTCTTCAATAATGCAAGGACTAGACAAGATAATCATGAAGGACCTTCTTCTGTACCCTTGACCTGATGTCCCTCGGGATCTTGACCGCGCTCTTCATGTTCCGCTTGAGAGCCCTCTTCCTCGCGTCGAATTCTTTGCTCTTCTTCCTGCCAATGGGCGTCTCCCTTATCTCTGCCTCTACCGTTGACTTCCTTGTCCATCTTCTCCATCAACTCTTCACCAGGTAACAGAACCGCCCTATCAATCGCGTATGGCAGACCCCTGTGTCTCCCTCGAATCATGACGCAGATGAGGATCAGCTTACTTAGAGTATGCCATGTACCACTGAACGAAAAGTTGTCGTACGGTACTCCCAAGCTGAGGCCAACCGTGCCGTATGCAGATACGACCTCGAAAAGAATGGCCCAAAGGGAAAAATACTCGCCTCCAGCGACGATCTGTGTACGCTCGATAATGGTAATTAGCCAAATCGCAAGGATGAGCCACCTGTATCAATTAGCCTCGATCGTCACTCAAAGCGACCATATCATCCGACTTACCAAAGATCGTATGCCAACTGCTTCTTGACGTGTTCAGATAGATACGACTGCTCGCTCTTCTTCTCCGCGTCTTCGTCACTGCTGTTCTGGATACCGAGAGACCTTTCCTCGTAAATGTTGGTCTGTCGAAGAGATATGATGATGGGAAATGCCGAAATGTACATGCCCGCCAAATACATGATCTGCACAGCGGGTGCAGTGTCACTGATCAAGACAGCATAGAGACCACCAACTCGGACACCCAGACTTTGGAACAAGCCTACCAGTGTCTGCTGGCCCGCACTCATGCTCTGTATGGCGGAAAGTCCAATGTTCAAGATATCGAAAAAGGCCCAAAGGATGAAGTCGATACCTAATTGGGCAGCCAGTAGATACCATGTATTGATGCTAGGAAACAGCAAAATGAAACACCTTCGAGGGTGGTGTAGTAGGAAGGCGCAAGTATGGTGAAGTTCGGAATCCTTAGGTACGAGCTTGAACAGACACCAGATGATGAACCGTAGGAAAACTGGGTAAAGCTGATTGCCAACAAGGATAAGAGCGCCTGTAACGATGAGTGTCAAATCATAGCCGCGGACCGCTGGATGTATGTTAGCACTTCCGAGCTGGACATCTAAAGAGAAGACCGACCAATCATGTTCTGGTCCAGCAGACTGAAGCCGCAATTGCAGAATGATGACATGGCTATGAAGGTGGCCCACCTGATACTCGTCAATGTTTGAGAGGTGGATTGGGCGACAAAGGACCTACCATCCTGGCTCCAGGTTTCCCGGCTGAGAAGTTCTTATCACGTCTGCCAGGGGAGGGTAATAGCTGTACGGCACCAGTATTACAACACCCACGCAAAACCAGAAAAGAAGATAAATTGGAAGAAGCCAGCCCAAAAGGTGGAGCGCCTTGTACTCAACTCCTCCTAGTTCTTCACGTTGTCGTTCGTCCAGTGAAAGAAAGCGTCCTCTCGAGTCAAGCGCCGGTTTGAAAGAAAGGTAGTTGTGTGGTTCATCGTGAGGAGGGCGACGTAGTCTTCGAAAAGGCTTGTGGAAGAAGTTTCGAATACTAGGGCTCTCCCAAGGGAACGGAAATCCTCCATAGTGTGTCAGATGATGTGGACTGCGGTCTTTCTTCGTAGACTTTCTGTTCCGCAAATCGGCAGTCATCGCATGGTCGTTTGGGACTCTGCTCGAACCGTCGTTCTTGTGTTGAAGACTATCTCGCTCAATGTCCTTTGCTACTTGGCGTCCTGCTTTGGAGTGCTGAAGGAAGTGCCTGATCTTCTTTTTGAAGAAGTATTTCCTGATGTAGACTGTGGACATGGAAACAACCATGACGTTTCCCATAGGAATCAAGACGAAGAGTACCGCCTGCTGAAAACCGGTGATAGATCCCAAGTTCACAACATTGAGGCCAGAGTTCGTCATAGCACTAGCAGAGAGGAAGAGAGCATCGATATAACGCAGATTGAAGGCCTTTTGGGCGTTGTCAGAGTTGCCATTGGTAGTGCTTCCATAAAGAATGATCGAGGATAGGAGAATGGTGAAGACGAAATAGCAAAGGTGCAGCCTGTAGAAGTTGAAGCGAATATCTCTCAGATAAGATGGTAGACGATCTTTCCAAGAAGCTAGATGTGCGGGCATAGTGAAGAGAAGATGGAAGATCGATTGATTGAAGGTGCTTGGCAAGGTTGTGGAAGGAATGAGCATGCGCGAACTGGTGTTTGGTCTACATGTCACGACTCGTGGGATCTATGTGGATCTAAAACAGGTTGTTTTCCAGAAGCCGGTATAAAACGGCACATGTTGATGGTAGATATGGGAAACGAATGTGACGTGACTGACGTACGTCAAGAGGGCGATCTGGCACGGAAGAGTGGAAGTGGTGGCTGTGTTACAGACAAGGGGAGACAAAGAGTTGCGCTTGTTGAAAACACAAAGGAACATACGAGGAACAAGACGAACTCAGCCTTGTGCAAGCGGGATGGACCTGGGTCGAGACGATGCGTGAACAATGTGCAGCTAATCGTGGGATTACTTGGTCGATGGGGAAATGGAGGAAGGAACAAAGCGCACAGACCACCAGCGGGGTATAGCCGTTATTGAGACGGAAAGAAAGTCGCGAGTGTGGACGTGGAGAGGTGACTCCTTCTCGAAGCATTCAAAATGGCGTCAACCGATGGAGCACCGCACACTGCCGACGCAGTAGGAGCCCCTCCTGCCGTCGAGCAGGTCAAGCAAGCAGCAAAGGAACAGCAGATCGACCCTTACAACGTCAGCGGAGGTGTCGACGAGAATGGAAACGTTACTGCCATCGACTACGAGGCTCTGCGCGAGCGCTTCAACACTCCCGCCCTGACCCAAGAGCATCTGGACCGCTTCGAGCGTGTCACGGGCAAGCCGCCGCACCGCCTGATGCGCCGCAAGCTCTTCTTCAGCCACCGCGACTTCGACAAGATCCTCGACTACTATGAGAAATACGGCTTCTTCCTCCTCTACACCGGTCGCGGCCCCAGCAGTGGTTCCATGCACTTGGGCCATGCTGTCCCCTTCCTCTTCACCAAGGAGCTGCAGGACATCTTCGACGTCCCTCTGGTCGTCATGTTGACCGACGACGAGAAGTTCCTCTACACTCGCAACAAGAACCAGGGCAAGATCACAAAGGGCGCTGCCCTCGGCGACTTCATCGAGTACGCCCACCAGAACTGCAAGGACATCATCGCTCTGGGCTTCGACCTGAAGAAGACCTTCATCTATACCGACTACGAGTACATGGGCGGCCACTTCTACCAGAACATTACAGAGTTCGAGGCTCTCCTCACGAACAACCAGATCAGAGGTGCCATGGGCTTCGACGGCAGCACAAACATCGGGCTCAACGCATACGCCGCAAAGCAGTGTGTTGCTGCCTTTGCTTCCTCCTACCCTACCCTGTTCGGCGCCGGCGACTTCCGCGCTCCCACATACGAGGAGCCCCGTCCTCGCAAGCACATTGCCGCCATCCCCACTCTCATCCCTTGCGCCATCGATCAGGAGCCCTACTTCCGTCTGTTGCGCGAAAACTGTGATCGCATGGAGTTCCCTGCTCCCAAGACCGCCCTCATCCTGTCGAAGTTCTTGACTGCTCTGCAAGGATCTGGCGGTAAGATGTCTGCCAGTGACCCCAACTCGGCCATCTTCATGTCCGACACTTCCAAGCAGATCGAGAAGAAGATCAACCGCTTCGCCTTCTCCGGCGGTGGTGCCACAAAGGAGGACCACGAGAAGTACGGCGGTAACCCCGACGTTGATGTCGCCTACGCATACCTGTCTTACTTCCTCGAGAGCGACGATGAGCTTATCGAGATTGAGCAGAGCTACCGCAAGGGCACTCTCTCCACCGGCGAGCTCAAGAAGCGTTGTATCCAAGAATTGCAAAAGTTCGTCGAGGCCTTCCAGGAGCGTCGCTCAAAGGTCACCGAGGAGATCATGCGTGAATTCATGACTCCCAGAAAGCTCGAATTCAAGGGTAACCCCAACGCTACTGCTTCGATTGAAGACGCGGTATCCGAGAAGAAGCCCGAGGAGAAGCAAGAAAACACTTCCGGTAAGCTCACAAAGGGTGAACGCAAAGCTCTCAAGATCGCCGAAAAGAAGGCCGAGAAGCTGGCTTTGAGGGAGAAGGGCCCCGAGGGAGAGCATCCCAAGGCTGAGGAGTCATAGACGACACAAAAAGTAAAAGCAACCAATTTCACGAGTTTCATTTCCGTTCACATGCATCTCACATTTCACAGTCCACATTTTCAAACAGAGGCACAATATTCGAGGAGAAAAAAAGAGGGATCCAGTCCCATTATATTGAGTTGAGTCTGTTCCACCAACCATAGAGCGTAATACAGGCGATAAACAGAGGAATCACTGCAAAAACAATTAGCAAAATGACTGTCCACGACATGAGACTGATCAAGAATTGGAGCACGGTTAACAGGGCTACAGTGAGGACCACTATAGCCACAATCAGTCAACCTTTGGTTTTGCGTCTGTCTTTGCGCGAAAGGATAGGGGCATTGATCATACCTGGGTAGGGGTTGGTGTCACGCTGGCGGCTGAAGAAGAATTCACGCGTGGCCCAGCGCTCGTAGGTAACAGTCGAGGTGACGGGATTGGCGCGGAAGCCGACGGACTTTGAAGACCATGCGAAGGTGGGTTTCCAGTCGTCGTGATTGCAAGACACACTGAGGAAAACAGCGTGCTCTTTGTCACTGACGATGTAACGGAGGTGGGCAGCGCCATCGGGCTGGAGCATTTTGGGAGTGAGGGTTTCGAGGTTGTGGTCGACGATTCTGCATCGCGACTTGCAACCGGGGTATTTGCAGGTAGGTGTGAGGCCTTGGTGGAGGTAGTTGATGGCGTACCTGAGGCGGAAGAAGCGCTGGTTTTGGTTCTGGAATCTGTCGAGCATTAGAGCCAATGTTTTAGAGATGTCGATGTCCAAGTAGGGGCCGGCGATTGGAAGGGGGCCGCCCTCTCTGGTCAGCTCTTTTGTCAGGTCGATCAGATGGGCAGCAGGGATGTCGCAGTTTCGCGGAGGATTTCTGGTGTAGAGAGGGGTTGAGGGGTCGAGAGGACTGAGAGGTCTGTGTGGGCTGGATGAGGAGGAGCCTGAAACATCAGTCATCTCAGTGTCAGTGTCGCCGCCAGCGGCTGTAGCTTGTTGAACGGCAAAAGCGGAGTCGTAGTCGGGCAGGTCGATATCTTGAGGGTGAGACATTGCTTTGACTGTAGTGCGGATAACCAAGTAAATCCTGTACAATGTCCTTTCGATAGGTTGTTTTAGCTACAGAAGTTAGTCTTGTCAGTTGGGGTGTGACTTACTTTCTGCGACTTGATTGAAGATTGGAAAAGAGATGTTGATGGTGGTAGTTATATATTAGATGTTAGCAAGATACTCTTCATGTTCAGAGACAACGTGTTGTTCTATCAGACAAAGGGAATCAAAGAACAGATCTTGACATCCAAAGAGGGGTGACAGGAGAACAATGAAACTGATGTCTCGTTGCTTTGAGGGCTTTGGCTTAAGACTTTGTTCTGTCTAGCACCTCTAAAGATACTCTACATGACAGGGACGTTGTAAGCTCTGTCCTTGACCTTTTCTCAGCTTCAACAACGTGCGTCGATAACGCACAAAGAGACTGAACGACGTTTCTTTGCTTCAAGAGAAAGAACAAAGCAGCCCTCTCCAACAGTTCATTCAATGTTGTACCTTGTTCCGTCAAGCTGCTTTGTTCACAGGACAAGATCATTGTTCACCTGGAAGTCCACTCTCACACAGCATCTTCGACTCCATGACTATTTAAAGAGCCATAGCTTCCCTCAACTGTCCATCATCACATCCAACACCAAACCAGCAAACCCACAACAACAACACAACTCAACAACCCTCAACAACATTCAAAATGTGCAACCACACCAACTCCAGCATCTCCTCCTCCAACACTCCTACTCTCTATGCCAGTGGTCTCACTTGTGACTATTGTCATGGCCCTGTTCAATACAACCCCATGGCCCGCCGCTGGTATTGTCTTCGCTGCCGCAGATTCATGTAAGTCTCCAAGCTGAAACTCTTCTTAAGACTAACCGGTAAACACGCAAAACATCTTCGGTAAATGGCTAACAGGTAAAATGGTATACTACTACGCATAGAGTCAAACAAACTCTTGTATTTCTAATATCAGGGTGGTGTGTTGAATTTCCAGGTTTCGTGCTCGAGGTAGGCACGGAAAATGTTCTTTCTCTTGCTTTGGATGTCTGATCAATATCAAAAACCAATCAATCAAATCTTTTTTTTTCTCTTCGAATGAGTTTTTCCTTGTCTTGTGCCTGTTATAGATGTTGTGACTTTACTAATTTTAAATAATGTGTCTCGTTTTGTTACGTAGTCAAGACTATCTAGCACAAAGAGACAAGGAGGTAAAATTGTGCTTTGAGGGAAAGAACAAAGCAGCTCATGCCGACGCCCCTGCTAGATTCGTCAACTAGCCAGCAATTACACTAGTCGTCATGTGTAATTTGAACATCTCGCATGGATATCGTCTTTATGCATTCTTGTCTACGGGTCCCGATATCGCCTCGGCCGTCTTTTCTGCAAAGTCAAACGCATCCAATCGTGTTTGGCCTCTCCCCTCGAAGAGATGCTCGGTCCTGATAGAGAGGCTATGTTCCAAGAATCTGCTTTCACTTTTGTTTGACTCTTGTCAATAACCATGCGGCGTGAGAAGATGACTCGATCTTTTGGTCGTTGAGACCCAGGTATATACAAAACGAAAAAAGATACCACCACCACCAGCACAAAACAAGACGAACCACACCCGGTATCAACACGACCATAAACCTGAAACTCCCATTCTTTTCCAAAACTCGTCAACCGTAGAACCAGTACTCAGCCGCGTACGGCACTTTGACCACTCCAGCTTTACTGCAAGTAGCCGGTGGGTTGCCACCAGCAGTCTCAACTCTGTAGACCGCTTGCACGTTTCTGCTGACACCTCTGCCATCATCTTCCAAGAACAACCAGTCGATACTTGAAGCAATGCAACCTGATGGTGCAGGTACACCGGAAACCTTCTTGGCACTCAGGAAACCCTTGCCCTCGAGGTCGAATGTTGGCACACCTGCGGCACTGAACCAATGGTGACCCAGAGTCGGCAAGTCGAACCAAGTATGTGTGCTATATGCCACGGCGGCGAAAGACGGGATCAGAGATAATTTTGAGGGTGACATGAGCATGCTGGCATCATAGAGATCTGCGACTGCACCGATGGAAGTGGGAATGGCACCAGCAGCACTGCAGCTGTAATTCTGTGTGCCCACGCCGAGGGTGATGTACTTGAGTGACAGAGCACCGGGGTCTGGAAGTCCATTCAGAGGTACGCTGTTCTGCTTTGAAGTTGTGCTCGGGGTAGGCAAGGCCAGTGTTATCGTGGCCAAGAAGAAAGCCAAGAGCAGCCGAGCAATGTTTGAAGACATTATAGAGGATATGCAGTGGTCGATAGGTCGAACAGCGATAAGAAACAAAAGGCAAAATGATGTGGTGATATTATCAAAACTGCAGGGCCCGAAGAAAAGACAAAAGCCAACCGATGCTGTGCTGCCTCCCGATTTAAGAAATGTTCGGTCGAGATCTTGCTGCTTGGATATCCACTGATGATAAACTGGAACCGAAGATGGGGGTGCACAAGGGTATGTTATATATCCTGCGAATCTCTGGAAATCTTGCCGCTCACATGTATGCATACTTTTGGACATGTTGGTTACGCACGAGAGATGAGCTGCTAAAATTACACCTGGCTCTTCCTGCAGTCTGCAAATACATGCAATGTCATGCAAGTCAAAGACGGGAAGGATGCTGCGAGGCGCCGCCATGCATTGCACTACGCGTCAAGCGTCTGCACACAGAGATCTGGCGACACCTCTCACCACGCTGCAGAAGACGAAAGAGGGAGGTACCGGAGAATTCGCTTGCCCGTACCGTGTTGGGGTCACTCTATCAAGTGTTGGTATTATCGCTGCCGAGTTTATCGTAAGCGCTGGGTGAGATACGAGCTTAATGCAGCTCGTAGATCTAGCAGATGGGGCTAGATGGTCGTCTGCCATGAATTGGTAGATTAAGTGCAGATGTTGGCAGCATTTGGCGGCGCTTAAAATTGGTGTGGCTTCTGTTCCTCTCTTTTTCTGTCGAATTGTACAGAAGGCTTTCCTAGACCATCGTGGACGGAGAATACTTTGAGTCGATTTTCAAGATCGAACACGTGTATACGCATAGTCGGGAGTTATGTCGCCAGACAAAAGGAGACGATTACTCCGAGAAGAGAGGTTGTGATGAAGTGAGGTTGACGAACAAGCGGGGTTCCGCCTGCATCGCCGAACGGCTCGCATGCACGCATCTGACGACCTGCAACGACATGTCTATAACTTGACATATGCAAGAAAAGAATGTCCACTAATTGCGCTTATGCGGATGAGAAGTATACTCAACTAAGAATAGCATGGGTGCTCATCGCAAAGAGAAAGGATGATTATGTCCGTTAATTAGTGGCAGTTTTTATATTTAGACTACCCACAATGGTGTGAGTATGGCCGTCTCTGTTCCGCTTCCATCTCATCTCTGACCGAGATGCTCTATTGCGGGGTCATTGTTTGCAGACTTGAAGACGTGACCTGTCCAATGCAGACCTGTCCTGGTTCTCCAATCGGCCACTACACGAGCGGCATTTTCCTGATCCAAGACCGCGACTTTCGTATTTTCCAAAGCGAAGACCAGCCCTGTTCAAATGTTGGTCCGTCGAAAATCCAATCTTTATTCAAGTCCGGTGATGCGTCGGTGAAAGAGTCAAATGACTTCCGACAATCATTTTTTGCGTACGCGTCTTTTCTGAGAAGCTGCAGAAGTTCCTCGCGCTCAACCTGTTCGCTGTCTCGAATGTGCTGACATCGATGACTAGTTTCTTACAAGGACGATAAGTCTGGTGTTCAATGCTCTTCAACGCCGGCAAGCGTCCAGACATCTGGATGAGGATCTGACTTGGAGAATATCTTAGCTGTGGCCAGCTCGTCAGAGTGCAAATGTGCGCCTGCTTCTCTCAAAGCCTCAACATGGTGAGGAAGACCAGCATGGGCAGCGACGAAGAGTGGCGTGCGGCCATTGCGATTGCGAAGATGGACGCTAGCACCAAGATTGAGCATTTCCTTTAGCACATCAACATTGGGTCCGGTCGCGGCAAGATGCTGTAGTATCTGTTAGTGACCTTCGGATATTCCACACTATTCATCCTAGAATCTCTGGGGGATGGGTCGGTGGTCGTGGGAGCACAACTTACCACAGGTGTATTTCCTGAGTAGTCCACGTCATTGAGAAGCCAACGGTTCTCGCCCCTTACTACGTCTCTAACGCTCAAGGCATCTCCGTCTTGTATGGCATATCCCAGCGCAGTCAAACTCGAGATTTCTGGAGTCAAAGTGCCGCTAGTAGGATGCTGGAAATGCGTTCTTCCTCTCTCTGTCAGCTCACCTCTGAGCGAGTTGTGCATCTGTTTGGCCACATCCTCAGGGGTCGAGCCAGGCATCGAGAGCAGATATGAAAGCTTGGTCAATGCAGCTTCGGTGGTCATGTCTTGACCGAACACTACGCCTGCGCGGCCGAGATAGGTTGCTGGGGCGTACAGTGGGCTGACACTTCCACTGAGACATTGTGTGACGTTAACGATGACGATTCCGCGCTTGACGGCGTCAGCCAAAACCCTGGTCATCGGTGAGTCCGGTCCTCCGGGTGTATTTCCGGCGCCAAAAGTCTCGAGTACCAGTCCTTTGAGTCCGTCTGTGCGAAGGAATAGGTCGACCATCTCTGGCTTGATGCCGGGGAACACACGCAGACAAGCCACATGGGCAGTGTCCAAGTTTGAATGCACACAGAAGGGATTGACGATTCTCGGTCTGTAAACCAGGTCCCAATCCACATTCGTCCTCAGACTGCTGATAGTAGCAAGGGGAGGCATGTTGGGACTGGCAAATCCATTGAAGTCGTCGGCTGAAACCTTGGTGGCGCGATTGCCTCTGAAGAGCTTGAAGTTGAAGAACAAGCAGACTTCCGGAATCATGAAATGACCAGCGATGACGAGGGCTCCCAGCAGGTTATCCTGGGCGTCGTTCTGCAGTTGCATCATTGGTGCTTGCGATCCAGTAAGAATGACGGGCTTTCCGAGATTTTGAAGCATGAAGCTGAGCGCACTACTGGTGTAAGCCAGTGAATCGGTTCCGTGTAGGACAACAAAGCCATCGTAAAGTTGATAGTTCCGTTCAACCGTTCTTGCGATCTGGTCCCAGCCTTCGGCATCAATGCTGCTGCTGTCAAGCAAGTGTTCAAATTCGAGAACACTGTATCGGACCTGCCGACCGTAAGTGCTTGGAGGAGTGCGCAAGCTCTGCACGGCCTTGCGAGTGCCTTTTCCGTCCGTCACAATCTCGAGAGGTTCAGGATATGAGCCGTCGTTGAACGAGGGTCGGGGAGCCAGTCCATTTTTCAAGAATCCTTTACCCTGCACGAACATTACTTGAACATCCCGGTGCACACAAGTTGCCACGACTTACTGGCACAAGACCATTTTCGGATGGTTGCATACATATCGTACCTCCCGTAATTATGATCAAGACCCTTGATTCGGGAGCTTCCATATTGGCTGGGTGCGCACTTGGTCAATTGGAAGGAGATAGAGTAACAGTCCAGGATAAAGAATAAAACAAACAAGAGTCACTAAATGAAGGCTCCAAGACCAGTGATCGAATTCACGCAAAGTGAGAGGTTGGAGAAAAAATGCCAAAACGTGGAGCAAATCTGGGAGTTACGCGCGCCAAGCAATTTTTCTCTCGTAACATAAATGTAAAGAAGCAGACGCTAAAGCCTTGTTCGGGCTAGAGCGCATGGCCTTCTCCGATTGTCGGCCTCCGTGGCAGCCAGATATCTCCACCTTCTGGGATCTCTCGTTCTGAAATATCCAGCGTCACAGGAGTGTTGTGTAGTTTGAGCGATTTGAAAGCATTCATGAGCAGCCCAGCAGCTTCACCTGACATTTCGAGTTGAAATTCTCGGTTGGAGCGATCCATGCACTCGTAAATCTTCCGTCTTGCTGTTCTCACATCTTCCACTCCTTCCTCCGGGTCTATACCTATCTCTTTCCACGAATCGATAAGATCCCGGATATGCTCTGGGCTGACGCGACCACACACAAGATGGAGGTTCCGAATGGAACAGCCAATTACCGGATGTGCGCAGATTTTCCCAAGTAGCTCCAGACTATGGTGAGTAAAGAGCATAGAGATATTGAACATGTAATTTCTGGCAAGACTTGAAGTGGCGGATCCGGAGAGCCTGTGATTCGCGAGGCGAAGGTTCATGTCGTCTTCGGAGCGCAGTCGCAGACTCTCGTGACGATCTCATTCGGCAAGTCCTCAAGGCAAGATGTTGTTATCGAATTCATGACTGATGAACGGAATAGTCGGATTCTTTTCAAGGGAGAACAAGTTATAGATCACCGATGTTGGAGGATATGGGAGGGACTGAAAGGCAGCACAGGACGACAGTCTTTCCCCGCTGCAAAAGGAGGGAAAGACGGAACGCAAAAGATTGACACAGACATGCTCATGCCCAACAATATCAAGATCCTCTACAAGCACTGGACCTATCACGTGCGTGCCTGTAGAAAGGCACAGTTATTTCCAGGACAGAGTCATGTCCAGTGAGAGCGCGTCAAACACCGCGTCTCTGCGGAGGACTGTTCGAACCTTAAAAGCATCATGCATTGCTGCAGCATTATCTCACAGTAGCGCGAGAGAGGCCCGAGGGGTAGGAATAAAGGGAGAAGGTTTCGAGCAAAATCGCATATGATAACATTTAATTTTTAGAACTGCAAGAATAAATCAAAAAAAAAATCAAAACGCTTGCGAGCAAATCGTAAAAAAGCAACCTCTTATCCCGTCCCAGCGTTAGATCATCATCATCTTCCGTCTGAGATGCTTCTCCCTAAAACAACCTCCTTATCATACACATTCCTTGCTTCCTCTCCGGCGTCTCTATTCGTTGACGCTATGGGTATATTTTCAAAAGTGACATGAATGAATGTGTAACCAGCCTTTTCTTCGCTCCTTGCTTCTCCGTTTAGTGAACGGTCCCTCTAATCTATTACGACGCAGCAGAAACGAGCTCAAGGGGGGCACCCTTGGTCTTGTTCAGCAGCTCGTAGGGGGCACGCTTGACAATACCTCCGGTGATGGGGAGCTGTGTGCCCATGCCAGTAAGGAAGGAGTCCACGTCGCGAGCGGCCATACGACCCTCGTTAATACCCCAGACGATCAGAGATTGACCACGACGGCAATCACCAGCGGCGAAGACACCGGGGAGGTTGGTGTTGTACTTGCCAGCAGGAGTCTTGACGTTCTTGCGAGCATCCTTCTCGATGTCGTCGCCGAGAACACGAGCCTCAGGGCCGAGGAAACCCATGGAGAGCAGGACAAGGTCAGCAGGGAAGAACTCCTCGCTGCCCTCAACCTGCTTCATGTCCCAACCACCAGAAGCACTCTTGGTCCACTCAACACGGACGGTGTTGATTCCCTTGACTTTGCCACTGCCGTCATCGACGAACTCCTTAGAAAGGATACAGTACTCACGGGGGTCCTTGCCCATGTGAGTCTTGACCTCGGAGTGACCATAGTCGACACGGTAGATGCGGGGCCATTGGGGCCAGGGGTTGTCACGAGCACGCTCAGTAGGAGGCTGAGGCAGCAACTCGAAGTTGACAACAGACTTGGCACCGTGACGGACGGAGGTACCAATACAATCGTTACCAGTATCACCACCACCAATGACAACAACGTGCTTGCCCTTGGCAGAGATGTACTCGCCGTCGTCAAGACCAGAATCAAGCAGAGACTTGGTGTTCTTGTGCAAGAACTGCATGGCGAAGTGAATGCCCTCCAAGTTACGGCCGGGAATGGGCAAGTCTCTGGCAACGGTTGCACCAGTGGCGAGAACAACGGCATCGTGCTCAGCTCTGAGCGACTCGAGAGACACGTCACCCTCGCCAACAGATACGCCAGTGACGAAGTTGACACCCTCAGCGGCCAGGAAGTCGACACGGCGCTGGACGACATTCTTGTCAAGCTTCATGTTGGGGATACCGTACATGAGCAGACCACCAACACGATCGGCTCTCTCGTAGACAGTGACGCTGTGGCCAGCTTTGTTCAGCTGGTCGGCACAGGCCATACCGGCAGGACCGGAACCAACGATGGCGACAGTCTTACCGCTACGGACCTGAGGAGGGGAAGGAACCATCCAGCCCATCTCGAAACCGCGGTCAATGATGGCGCACTCGATGGACTTGATGCCGACAGGGTCCTCATTGATGCCAAGAACACAGGCACCCTCGCAAGGAGCAGGGCAGACGCGACCAGTGAACTCAGGGAAGTTGTTGGTCATGAGCAGTCTGTTCAAAGCGTCTCTCCATTGACCTTGAAAGAGCAACTCGTTCCATTTAGGGATGATGTTGGAGATAGGGCATCCAGTGTCTGATTGACAGAAAGGAACACCACAGTCCATGCAACGGGCAGCCTGATATTTGAGTTCGTCCTCGTTGAGACGCTGAGACAGCTCTTGCCAGTCACGAGTTCTAGTCTTGGAGCTGCGGTACTTTTCAGAGCGACGCTGGTACTTCATGAAACCACGAGTCTTGTCAAGGACGAGGGCGGAGCGCTTCTTCTCAGCCTTACCATCCTGGACACTCTCCTCGATATCGAGAAGGTCGTCCTTCTTCTTCTGACGGTCCTCAGCGTCGTGTTGCTTCTTCTTAGAGTCCTCGTGAAGAGAACGGACAGCATTGCCGGGCATTATGGGGAGTGGGTATTGAGCTCTCTTAGCCTCGGCAGCCTTCTTGGCCTCCTCTTCCATGACGCGCTTGTAGTCGGTGGGCAGAACCTTGACGAAGCGGTGCAGAGCACGGGAGAAATCGAGAAGGACACGGGCAGCAAGTTCGGAACCAGTGTAGTGGTGGTGGTCCTCAATGAGACCGCGGACGAAAGCGATCTCAGCAGGGTCTTCGAGAGGAGAAAGCTCAACCATCTCCTGGTTGACCTTGCCCTCGAAGTCACGCTGCATGTCAAGGACATAAGCGATACCACCAGACATACCGGCAGCAAAGTTTCTGCCTGTGGGTCCGAGAATGAGAACACGACCACCAGTCATGTACTCGCAACCGTGGTCACCGACACCCTCAACGACGGCAGTGGCACCGGAGTTTCTGACAGCGAAACGCTCAGCACCCATACCACGGAAGAAGCACTGACCGCTGGTAGCACCGTAAAGACAAGTGTTACCAACGATGACGTTCTCTTCGGCCTTGAAGACCGAGTTCCTGGGAGGGTAGACGATCAAGCGACCGCCCGAAAGACCCTTACCAACGTAGTCGTTGCAGTCACCCTCGAGCTCGAGAGTGATACCAGGTGCAAGGAAGGCACCGAAGGACTGACCGGCAGAGCCACGGATGTTGGCGTGGATGGTGTCGGTAGGAAGACCTGTCTCGCCGTAGCGCTTGCTGACTTGGTAAGAGAGAGAAGCACCAAGAGCACGGTCAGTGTTGACAACATCGCACTCAATGCGGCAAGGGTGACCCTTCTCAAGTGCCAATTCAGCCTCGGAGATGAGCTTGTTGTCCAGACGGACATGGAGCTTGTGGTCCTGCTTGCGAACGTTGTAGGTGGCAACGCCTGAACGAAGAGTGTGGGCGGGGGTCAAGATCAAGGACAGGTCGATGTTCTCGGTCTTTCCGTTGCGCAGGTCATCACGGACACGCAGGACTTCGGTGCGGCCGACCATCTCGTTGATGGTACGGAAACCAAGCTTGGCCATAATGGCACGGAGCTCGTTGGCGACGTAGTAGAAGAAGTTGATAACGTGCTCGGGAGTACCCTTGAACTTGCTTCTCAGCTCGGGATCCTGGGTAGCGATGCCGACAGGGCAGGTGTTCCTAAAGGTGAAGGTACAATTAGCAAAGTCTTCTAGAGGAATTGGAATGCGGTACTCATTCAACAAGCCAGTTCACAAACTGAGTTCGACATCAACGAGGCAGCGTCTTGGAACGCGTCTCATCAATGCTGGTCAATTGTGCGATACCAACTCGCTGAGTTTGTACCTTCAGCGTACTTACAAGTGACACTTCCTCATCATAATACAACCCATAGCAATGAGGGGAGTGGTAGCGAAACCCCACTCTTCAGCACCCAACAAACAGGCGATAGCAACATCGCGACCAGTACGGAGCTGACCATCAGTCTGGACGATAACACGGCCACGAAGATCGTTCAGGACCAAAGTCTGGTGAGTCTCAGCGAGACCCAGTTCCCAGGGAAGACCGGCGTACTTGATACCGGTCCATCTGGAAGCACCGGTACCACCATCGTGACCAGAGATCAGAATGTGGTCAGCTCTGGCCTTTGCGACACCAGAAGCGACAATACCGACACCAGTCTCCGAGACAAGCTTGACGGAAACACGCGAACGGGGGTTGGCACACTTCAAGTCGTAGATGAGCTGCTTCAAGTCCTCAATAGAGTAGATGTCGTGGTGAGGAGGAGGGGAAATCAGACCGACACCAGGAGTGGAGTGACGAGTGCGAGCGATAGGTCCAGACACCTTGTGTCCAGGAAGCTCACCACCCTCACCAGGCTTAGCACCCTGAGCCATCTTAATCTGGAGCTCATCGGCATCGGCAAGATAAGCACTAGTGACACCGAAACGACCAGAGGCAATCTGCTTGATGGCAGAGCGCATGGTATCGCCGTTGTCCATGCGCAAGCTGCGCTCGGGGTCCTCACCACCCTCTCCAGTGTTGGACTTACCACCAAGTCTGTTCATGGCAACAGCCAAGGTAGAGTGCGACTCCATCGAGATGGATCCGTAAGACATGGCACCAGTAACGAATCTGCGGACGATTTCAGTCCAAGGCTCAACCTGATCGATAGGAACGGAAGCACGGTCCTCGAAATCGAAGTCGAGAAGACCACGGAGAGTGCAATTCTTGATCTGCTCGTATTCAGATCTGGAGTAAGCCTCGTAAGACTTGTCGTTCTTGGTGCGAACAGCATCCTGGATGTTGGCAATGGAGGTAGGGTCGTTCACGTGGGGCTCACCACCGTCACGCCAATGGTATTCACCAGTCTCGGCAAGACCGGGGATCTCCAAAATGTTACGGCTAGGGAAGCCCTTCTCGTGGAGGGCGAAAGCGTCCTGGGCAATGAGCTCGAAAGTCATACCCTTGATACGGGTAGCAGTACCAGTGAAGCAACGGTCGACGACAGAGTCATCAATACCGAGAGCCTCGAAGATCTGAGCACCCTTGTAACTCTGGAGAGTGGAAATACCCATCTTCGACATGACCTTCAGGATACCACCATCCAGAGAGTGCTTGTAGTTGTCAATGAGCTGCTCGGGGCTCAACTTCTTTCTAATCAGACCCTCGCGAGACATTTTCATGATACACTCGATAGCCAAGTAGGGGCAGATGGCATCGGCACCGTAACCGACCAAGACACACATGTGGTGAACTTCACGGGCCTCGGCAGTCTCAACTACCAAAGCAACCTGCGAACGCCACTTGTTGCGGACGAGATGGTGATGGACCATACCAGTGGCAAGAACGGCAGAGACAGCGACACGGTCGGCAGAGGTTGCGCGATCAGACAAAACAATGATTCTGTCGTTCTTCTCGATAGCCTCGGCGGCCTGGTCACAGATGCGGTCAAGAGCATCAAGGTAACCCTGAATGCCCTCCTTCTTGGGGAAGGTGATGTCGACGGTGTGAACATTCCACTCACGGTGTAGCTGCGAGATCTGGCTCAGAGCGTTGAACTCCTCAATGGAGAGCAAAGGGGAGGGGAGTAGAAGACGATGGCACTGAGAGGGGCTCATCTCGAGCAAGTTACCCTGGGGTCCAACGTATGCCTCGAGAGACATGACGACTGCTTCTCTGATAGGGTCGATGGGAGGGTTGGTGACCTGTGCGAAGAGCTGTCTGAAGTATTCGTAGAGAAGACGAGGCTGCTGTGCAAGACATGCCAGCGGGGCATCGTTACCCATAGATCCGAGAGCCTCCTTAGAATCGGCAGCCATAGGGCCGAGCAAAAGACTGACCTGCTCAAGAGAGTAGCCGAAGGCCTTCAATCTAGGATCTTCCTGAACTCTGGTCTCGGACAAGGTGAAGCCAAGGTTGGCACCCTTCTCGGAGAGCTTGTCGTAGATAGAGGGCATCGTAATAAGCTGACTGCTGATCCAGCTCTGGAAGTCCTTGCGTTTGGAAACGGTCTGCTTCAACTCGGTGTCATCGACAATGCGACCAGCGACTGTGTCGACCAGAAGCATCTTTCCGGGCTGAAGACGGCCCTTCTGGACAATCTTTTCAGGCTCAATAGGGATAGTACCGACTTCGGAAGCGCAAACGATACGGTCATCATCTGTGATGTAGTATCTGCAAGGACGGAGACCGTTTCTGTCGAGGTTTGCACCGCAGTATCTGCCGTCGGCGAAGGTGAAAAGAGCGGGACCATCCCAGGGCTCCATCATACAAGCTGCCCATTCGTAGAAAGCTTGCTTTGCAGGGTCCATAGCACGGTTGCCTTGCCATGCCTCGGGAACCATCAGCATGACTGCTTCAGGAAGAGACAAGACACCGTTAATAGTGAGAAGCTCGAGGACGTTGTCGAATGCAGCAGAGTCAGAGCCACCGTCTTCGATAATGGGCAGAAGCATTTCCAACTCGTCACCAAACAAGTCAGACTTCATCAAACCCTCTCTCGCGCGCATCCAGTTCTTGTTTCCGCGCAGGGTGTTGATCTCTCCATTGTGGGCTGCCCATCTGAGGGGCTGTGCTCTGTCCCATGAAGGGAAAGTGTTTGTGGAGAAACGGGAGTGGACGAGGGCAAAGTGACCCTCGTAGTCGACGTTGACCAGATCGAAGTAGTATTCGTAGACCTGGACAGGAGAAAGCTGACCCTTGTAGACAATGTTCTTGTTGCTCAAGGAACAGAGGTAGAACCAGTTGTGCAGACCAATAACGTGGGTGACACGCTTGCGCAGCACGTAGAGTTGGCGCTCGAAGTAGGGCTCGTCAAATTCAGACTCGAAGGATTCCTTGGGTGCTTTGTCATCACCGTATGCGGACTTGAGGACGATGAAGGGCTGAAGGATAATAGGTTCTCTAGAGGCGGCTGCAGGACCAAGCAGTGAGGAGTCACGCGGAACCTCACGCCATCCCAAAACTCGCAAATCGAGGCTGTCTGCCGTCTCCTCGAATGTGTTCAACGTCTCCTTCAGGACCTCGGTGTCAGGCTTGAAGAAAACATTGCCGGCAGCGTATTGTCCCTGCTTGGGAAGTGTGAATCCTTGCTCTTTTCCAAACTCCTTGACGAAGAACTTGTGGGGAATAGATGTCATGACACCTGCACCATCACCATCGCGCGCATCTGAACCGACAGCACCACGATGTGTCATGTTGCAGAGGAGGTTTCGTGCATCGCTAACAATCTTGTGGCTGGCCTTGCCCTTGATGTGGCTAATTGAAAGTCAGCTCATAGTCTCTCCTTCTAAACCACGCTGCGACTTACGCTGCAAAACCGACACCACAGGCATCCTTCTCAAGCTCAGGGTCGTAAAGACCCTGCTTCACGGGGAGCGCACCAGCCCATGACTTGTTCTGTGGCGTGTTCTCATACGGGTAGATGTTTACAGGTTCATCTTCCTCGATGATGGTGTTCTCAGCTGGTTCTGCGAAAGACACTCGACCCATTCTTCCGGCCTGGAGCCGAGTACGAGATAACCTGGGAGTGGGAAAGACAGGCGAGGACGTTTAGGGGCGAAGAGAGATCTTGTCGAGCTCGTCTGGATGAACTATGATCAGCCAAATACTTTCAATTGCTTGTAGAGATATGCGCTAGTGTGGCAATAGGAGACGTAGTGGCAAGAGAAGATGTCGAAGCTCGGTCGAGAGGGAGAAAAACAGAGTGTTTCAGATGATGCGCACACAGGTGATCGACCGTCTAATCACGTCTCCGCTGCACGGAGTATGCCAACTGGAGAACGGTATTGCGGGGAGGAGGCAAAAGAAAGTGGTGCAGATATGATAAGGCGAGGTCTCGACGAATGAGAGGCCAGAGTCTTGCACGCTGTGATGCGCACTGCAGCCGAGAAAAAGAAGCTTCGTACCTACGTTGATCCAAGGATGCTCTGATGGTCTGCGTGCAGAGCGTAGTTCAGGCGTACGAGAGGTAAAGACGAGGCGAAGAGGGTGAGGGACTGCCACGCTTTTGTAAATTGGCCCAAAGGTGGGGATCAGTCTACTAGCGCAGTCTGGCAAGCAAAGGTAATAACCAGATGCTCCCGCTCTCTGGACGGAGGCAACCGCGTAATTCAGGCAGGATATTGAAGTAGTACTTTACGAGGTGCTTATCGCTAAGAGAAGTCTCTAGATCAGAATGCTGTTGTCTCGTTGCAGGGAGTCTTTGAAGATTTATTTCTGGTCGTGACTTCTCAACAAGATTTCCATCAACAGTAAATACAACTTGCTCGGCCAAGCTTTCAGTCATACTTTCCATCTTTGTTACCACTTTGACGCAGAGTCTCGTCTTTTATCAATTGTCTCTAGTACTTCCGTACATCTACCTGTCAATATCATGCTCTATGACATGCACATTTGCTTGATTTGCGGCAGCGATACAAAGAATTTCCCCGGACCCTTGAGCTGCCATTGTGTACCGGTGGCTGGGTCAGCAAATGATCTTATTGGATGTTTGGTTTCCCCGGCCGATTGCCGTGTTGCTCATCTTCTTTGTCCGCCTTCTCATTGGCTCGACCCGCACGGCGGAGGTAGGATAGTCACAGCGACATGTCAGAGATTCTGACGTACCATCTTATCGCTGCTCTAAAACACACGTCGGTTGCTACCTACTTTGAGGTGCCATGTACATAGTAGAACCGGAGTCGTTGCAAGACCATTCATTCTTGCCTCGAGTTAGAGGTCTTCCGAACCTACATGATTTTCCCTATTCGACTCAGATAGAAGGCAGTGTCCTGCTTCTTCCGATGTCCAGTTCTCAACCATAGGAGAAAAAAAGGACAGACTTCGGTGAGTTTAGGAAAGAGCCCTGCCAACGGGAACAGTCGGAACAGCATGGATATGGTCCAGCCGCTGCCACTGGTGCATATATGGCTTGCTTAGCCCTGGAAAGAATTGGTAAAAACGAAGCGAAACACACCACCACAAGTGAAAGCACCGCCGATACCGGGAGGGCTCTTAGGCAGATATGCCTTATTGCGAACATGATCCCCGTCGGAAAACGACAGCGTTAAGGGCCCCATTTAGGCGGCTGAGTTTGCACCTATTGAGCCATTGTCACATGCAAGTGTTGTTATGCTAGACAACGTGGACAGCTCACTCGTCCGGCCAACGTGGTGGAAAGACATCAGATTCGCTTCACTCCGCGCGTTCTAGCAAGTGCATGAAGAAGAATCGACAAAGGTAAGAGTTTGTGAATGAGGGACTTGGACGTGAAGTCCGTCTTTATTCATTGGAGGTAATTATTGCTCATGAAGGTTCGTTTCGTTGATGATGAGCTGGTGTCCATCATTGATATGCCAGAGCCACGCGCCGTGACTCCTCGAATGCTGAAAAGCAAAACATGTAACCGTCCTCCTACCCGAGACGCCGTGCCCCAGTCGCGCAATACCCAATGCCGACCATGGCAGTAATGATTGTGAAAAGACTAAGACGAAAACTTTTCTCGAGCTGCGCCGATTGCAGCAGTTGGGGTGCGATAGAAGGAGCATCTACTGCTTCATCTCCTCAGGGTCCTCGAAGTCATCGTCCTCGTCCTCATCTTCGTCGTCGTCAAGGCCCTCGGCAGCCTTAGCGAAGTCGATGGTCTTGCCGCGGGTGCGTCTGCCGCCAGAGATGATGTTGTCCTCGTCAATCTCCTCCATGTTGTCTTCTTCGCCCTCGTCGTGTTCCTCTGTTGTATGTCAGTATACTGTGCGTAGGGCGACTGAATATTTGTGGTTCGTACCGGGAGCGGCCTACGCAATTGTGTTAGTGAATTTATTCTGCAGAATGTTCGGAGATGCGACCAACCTGTTCCTCCTCCTCAGAAGAGCTGTCGTCGTCCATGTCCATGTCCTCGACAGCCTTACCCTTGCCCTTGCCGTGGAGCTGGGCGTGGACCTGCTGGTGTTCGGCGTCGGTAAGGATGGGAGCACCGGTCTGGGAAGTGGTCTTGTTCTCGTCGGACATGATTGTGGTTGTTTGGATGGGTATGTTGGAGTTGAAAATGATGGGTTGTGGTTGTGGGTTGCAGAGAGCTCGAAGTTTGGAAAGTGATGGTAAACACAGATGTTTGCGCAAGGCGTTGCCGCGGTTTGGAGCATACCGTAGAGAACGTTTTCTATCTTATTCACAACATGCGTGCGCAGTGTGTACTGGTGGACAAGATACTGACGTTCTTTAGTAAGTCTGAAATTGGAGTCCGCGTCGCGTCCTTTCTCGCGTCACTTCTCGGCACGTCCATCTTGTGATTTGGAAAGGTCTCACATCACTTTCAGATTGAAGCATTTCAAGTATTCAGAATGGCTTCAAAACCTCGTGCTAGACCGGCTCGTATGTTCGCTCTGTATCTCTATGTTTTGCTAGTGTTTACTGATTCATTACAGACGCCCCTGGACCGACCTATTTAGCATATACCCCAAACGGCAGCAGGTTGATCACAGTCGGACTGAACAATGTTATTCGCGTCTTCACTACTGGTTCCGATGCAGAGCCAGTAAACATCGATGTCGTCCAGGATTCTCATACAGCAGTCGCTGCAACCAACGAATTCTTCTTGACTGGTTCCGAGGATGGCAGTGTATGCAGATACTCCTTATCCACCCATCTCCTTGAAGAGGTGCTCGTCCGATGCACTTTACCGATCCGGGATATCTCAATATCACCCGATGGGTTGTGGGCTGCCGTAGCTTCGGAGTAGGTTTGAGCAACCGATCGTCCAAAACACGTACTGATTCCCATGATAGTGAGCTTGTTGTAAAGATAGTCAACACCTATGATATGACCCGGGTCACATATCTCAGAGATCAATCACGGCCTGTCAAGCACGTTTCATGGGATCACAGTGGATCTACTTTGGCCGTTTCTTGCTCTGACGGCATGGTCTATGTCTATTCCTTGAGCTCCGAAGAACCGAAACTGGTCAAGCGACTGGACGGCCTGATCAAAATCATGGAGACTGATTCTCAGGCAAGCTCAAAAGTCATTTGGCATCCCGATGGAAGGGCAATCGCTGCACCTACGCCTACCAAGACCATCCAAGTAGTTTCGAGGAGCGACTGGTCTAACCAACGAACTTTCCAAGGAGACGGACGCGGTGACATTACTGCTGCATCTTGGTCGCCAAACGGAGCTTTACTCGCCACTGCCAGTGAAGATCTCAGTATCACTCTTTGGAACACGAAGACGCAGCAACCCGTCCTCAAATTTGACAGCGACAGAGAACCTGTTCTGGCTCTTGCATGGCACCCGACCGAAAATCTTCTGTCATACACCACCAACGATGGAGAGCTGTATATGCATACTGGAGTTGTGCCTCAGGGGTACGCATCTTTACTGCAGAAGACTCTGGTACCTGCACCTTTCCTTAACGAACCTGCAGAAGGTGCTTCAAAGACTCTGGTGAACGGTGGCGCAAGACCTGGTGCTCAGCGCAGAGCTGGAACTCCCGACTCCCTCGACGACATCCTGGGAGACGATGGACTGTCAGAGAATGGAGATCCCTTCATTGTGGACGACGACGGTGCAGGTTATGTTGAGCAAGTCAATGTTAATGGTAAACGACCTGGAGCACATGTCCAATACCCTCCATCAAAGCGACCTCAACAGTACGGAAGCGCCAGGTGGCAGCCTCGTCTCCACGATCCCTTCCAACCGGGTAGTACCCCCTGGAGAGGCAATCGTCGTTACCTCTGTCTGAACTTGACTGGCTTCATCTGGACAGTTGACCAAGACACTCACCACACAGTCACGGTCGAATTTTACGACCGCGCTGCTCATCGCGACTTCCATTTCACAGATCCCTTCCTCTACGATAAGGCTTGTTTGGGAGAGCACGGTGCGGCATTTTCATGCCCATCTTCCGATCAACACCCCAGTCTCGTCTACTTCCGCCCTCACGAAACATGGACTTCGAGAACAGACTGGCGAACACAATTGCCTGCAGGAGAGGAAGTCACATCGCTGAGTCTTAGCACCAGTTTCGTGGTTGTCACAACATCGAAGGGATATGTCAGAGTCTACACACTCTACGGCCTGCCTTTCAGAGTTTACAGACAGAAGAGCACTCCAGCCGTGGCATGCGCATCCTGGCGCGACTACGTTCTCACAATCGGCAACGGGCCCATCGGCGGCGACGGTACAGCCAAATTGGTCTACACGATCGAGAACGTGAAGCGCGACGAAGTCTGTCAATCTGAAGACATCATCCCTCTCCCTGACCAATCAGAACTGCAATCGGTCTTTTGGTCAGATAGAGGCGATCCCTGCATCTACGACTCAGAGGGTGTATTGCTAGTATGTCTTCACTGGCGAACACCCGGGCAAGCAAAATGGGTGCCCCTCCTCGACACAAGTCAACTCGATCGTCTGGCCTCTGGACGCAAAGAAGAAATCCACTGGCCAGTCGCAGTAGCCATGGACAAATTCCACTGCATCATTCTCAAGGGTGGAGAAAAGTATCCTTACTTCCCTCGCCCGCTGCTGTCGGACTTTGAATTCAAGGTGCCAGTCACAGCTCGTGACGAAGAGAACCAAGATGAAGCCGAAGAGAGCGATGCGCAGAAGTTGGAGGAGCAATATGTGCGCAATTCGGTGTTGTTGAGTCTGCAGGATGATTTGGTCAACAACACCAATGCTACGCACGCACAAAAGACGGAAGCCGCACAGCGTGAGAATGAAGTTGACAAGGTGCTGCTCCAATTGCTGGCCGCTGAGTGCAGAGAGGGCGAAGAGAGAGGTATGAAGGCTTTGGAGATGGTCAGCTTGATGAGAGACAGATCAGGCAAGATGCTCGAGGCGGCAGTCAGGATCGCAGCAAGGTTCGAAAGAGATGTACTGGGCGAGAAGATTTCGGCGCTTGCGGAACGAAGATTGGTTGGACTGGCTGATGAAGAGGAGGAACTTTGAATGTCATGAACGTGTTTAGATAGAAGCCCGAGTTTCGGCTGTACAATGATTAATTCTCTACATTTCGGACAATCTACTCGTCATCAGAGTCCATCAGTTCGGCTAGCTCGGCTTCCTCCTCTGCTGTGAGCATGCTTTCTTTCTTGACCTCGGGCTCTGCCTCGACTTCGATGCCCTGTTGTAGACGCTCGTACTCTTCCTGGACCTTCTTCATCTCTGCCGGGTCGAGTGTCCAGACTCTGAGAGTACCATCGATACTCACACTGACGACACGGCTAGCTCTGCTTCCTTGAGCAGGAGGCATCAGAGCAAGACCAGTGACTTCGTTGAAGTGGCCGCTGAAGACACAAGCCAGCTTGCCAGAAGAAGAACCCCATACTCGCACCTCTTCATCGCGACATGCAGTGATGACCCATCCAGCTTGCTGGTCAATGACGATATCTCGCACAAAGTCAGGATGGCTGAGTGTGGTATCCGAAGCCCAGTCGCGCGAGCGAACCAGTCTTTGTGCAGTCTTGTCCGATGATGCAGTCCAGAGATCCGCATCGGCATCGGCATCGTCAGCGTCCACGACCAGCGAGTCCTCGAAGCGCAAACGATTGACAGAAGTCTCGTGGACTCGTAGAGGGACGGCCAACATCTGACCAGCACTGTCAAGAGTGATCTTCCAGCGAAGAATATCACGCACGGTGTCGGCACTGAAGAGGAACAGCTCGTCTTTGGTGGTTTTGGCGGGATCGAGTGCAAGGTCGAGGACAGCGCGTGCATGGCCCTTGAGTGTGTGAATCTTTCTTCCTGTCTCAACGTTCCACACTATGATGCTGGAGTCTGCTGAGCCTGATAGCAGTACAGGAGTACCGGAGATCTCAGTTGCGAGGACGCATTTTACAAAGTCCGAGTGGCCGGTGTAGCGACGGATGGGCTTGCGGGTTTTGAGGTTCCAGGAATGGATTGTCTTGTCCCAGCATGCTGCGAACAGGATGGGCTCGGCGGATGGTGATCTGAGGGTGGTGATGGATGTCAAAGGAGCAGCGGCGCCCGTGTAGACGGTGGATTTGTCGCCAGTCTGATTGGTCGTTGTCAGTACAGAATAGCCTCGCGCGTTGGAGCAGGTTGAAGCGTACCTCCAGGACGACACGTCTTGCTGTGCCTGCGGCTTCGGCAATGTAGACAGCATCCGGATCTTGATCATCGGCGTGAATGGCCAGGATCTTCGAGGTCAAGGCGACTGGGTTTCCATTCTTGTTGTCGGCTTTGGCCTGTCTGCGCTTCTGTTCGGCGACCGAATCCCTTTGTCACCAGGTCTCAGCAGACGACTCCTTTGCGCGTATCGGATCTTGCTGTCGCTCACGAGGTCTGGAAGTAGTTGTCGGCGTCTGACTGTAACATTTCGAATAGCTGCCTTGGAAGGTGCTTGACTTTGTTGACTCTCGTGGAAGCTTGTGATTCTATCGAGTGGACCCTTTTTCGTAAGTATCCGGAGCTTTGACCGTCTTCGTCGACGAGCGAAACTGAAATGCTCCTTCGATCCTGAGGGCTGAAGCCAATCCTTCCGAATGCTATATTCATACATCAACTCTATCGTCCTCGTACTTAGTCATTGCCATGGAATCTTCTATATCACGATCGACCTCGCTCTTGTGTTCTCTATCATATCAAGTACTCCGGCAGGCGGACAGGGTTGTGCCCTTCCCCGGTTGTTTTCTCCTTCCCCAGAAGAGGCTGAAGAGCTGTGCACCTGTGGTTCGTCGGCCAGATCCGTGGTCAAAGCTGACCGCTCTGCACCTCATGCCACTCTCGCAATATCTGCTCTATTTGTTGAAACAGGTTGACGATTGATCGCCATTCACCATTTGCTTACGACCACTCGTAAACCCACCTCTAACACCGTTTTCCACCATTGCGACTCGGCTGGTGGATTCCACGTGCTTTTTCTCGGCTGCATGCTGCACCCTCTCGTGGCTGCCCAATCGCCCGGAAATTTTGATGCGCCTCAAAATCCTACGAGGGGCTCTAGTTTCATCCACGACGCCTCGAAAACTTCTCTGCCGGTTGCTTGCGACGGTTTTCGCTTCCTATCCCCACTTAGAACCGCCTTCCTTACTCGTCAGTCGGCCGAATCTTGCTAACGTGCGTAAGACTGCTGCATCGTAGAGGCGAGTCCGCTCGGTTGAGATCAACGTTGATGAAGCTGCAATTCTACCCGTCGGCACTGAGACCCTCAGGGCCAATTCGGCTCACTTACGCTTAATATATTGCAATATAAGGGTCTGAATTGAACCGCGCCATATGAGGTCCAGACGTCTATATCACGGTGGATACTTGACTTCGAAAAGCTACTCTGTGCCTTCCACCAATCTCGAAGTCAAATAGCGAAATTGTTTCGCCGCCGACGTCTCATGGGCCTGCAACTTCCGTGCGCTATATGCACGAAGCGGATCCTTCGCGCGGCATGGTGTGTGTGGAATCCTCTTGCAGCACGCGCACCACGAGACGTACCGGAATAACTTTCAACGGGCAGATGCTCACAATAGCTGACTACCAAAACGCCAATTGACCGCTCTGGATAAGAGACCAAAATCAGCTTTCAAATAAAACCATAATCTCTCTAGCGAGGACGCCTGAACCTCGTTCACCTCCGGACGTTCACGTTAACTAAGTTCAACGTCCGGCAGACGGTCCACACCCCATCCGCACATTGCCCAGCCATTAGGGCGATCGAGGTTCGCATACATACCGCACGGGCCGTCAGCGACCCTCTATCGTTTTACAATAACTTAAGAGCATTCGCGCCCCGCCAAGGTAGATCGCTTTAGTTCTCGAGTTCTTCAAAAGTGGTGGAGTTCCCTGGTCGTTTGATTTTTCCTGAGGCTGATAAGAATGTCTATTCCTCAAGCGCGTCCTGGAAGTAACGACACCATGGATCACACTATCGCGTCCACCTCTTCCGCCAGTGTTATGCCTGAGGCTACCACCAAGCCTGGACTCGCCTCGGGAACGAAAGAAGTTCGTAGCTTCGATGGCATTGACGACGACGCCGATCTTGACTACCATGGTCACCTTCGCAATACTCAAAACGATGATGGATTCACTCGTAACGACGCGCGGGAGATGAAGCGTATGGGCAAGAAGCAGGAACTGAGAAGAAACTTCCGTACCATGTCGACTATCGCCTTCACCATCATTCTCCAAGGAACCTGGGAGGTCCTCCTGACCGCGACAACATCAGGCATGGTCAACGGAGGTCTTGCAGGTCTGGTATGGTCTTACATCTGGACCTTCTTTGGTTTTACTTTTGTCGTCTTCTCGCTGGCCGAGATGGCATCCATGTGCCCAACTGCTGGCGGTCAATATCACTGTAAGACCCATCTGATTACCAGCTTTACAAAGATGGAGCATACCAACTGACGTTCACCTAATAGGGATCTCCGAATTCGCACCCCCATCTCAGCAGAAGATTCTCAGTTTCCTTGGTGGTTGGATGTCAACTCTCTCTTGGCAGGCTGGTACCGCATCGGGACCTTACCTGGTCGGAACCTTGATTCAGTCCCTGATCTACGAGAAGGATCCCAACTATGGCTACGCCAACTGGCAGGGCACTCTTCTGGTCATTGGTATCACCCTTGTGGTCTGGGCCACCAACATCTGGGGATCTAGAGCGATGCCTGTCTTCCAGAACATAATGATGATTGTTCACGTCCTTGGCTTCCTGGTCATCATTGTTATGATCTGGGTCCTTGCGCCTAGAAATACTGCTTCTGATGTCTTCGGCACCTTCACCAACTCTGGAGGCTGGAGTAGCATGGGTCTCTCCCTCATGGTCGGTCAGGTCTCGGCCGTCTATGCTTGTATCTGTTCCGATGCAGCTGCTCACGTTTCTGAGGGTAAGATATATTGTGTCTGAATCTGTACGGTTCCATTGCTAACCACCTTTGCAGAGGTCAAGGATGCCGGAAGAAACGTGCCTAGAGCTATGATCTGGTCATACTTCCTGAACGGTGCACTCGGTCTTGTTTTCCTCATCACCTACATGTTCAGCGTTGTCGATCTTTCCGGAGCCATTGATGATGCCAACAACGGATCAGGCTACCCTTACATGTACGTCTTTACACAGGCATTCTCGATGCCCGCCTTCAACGTTCTCTCTGCCATCGTCGTCATCCTCATCTACGCTGGTACTCTCTCTTACAACGTGTCGACCTCTCGCCAAACCTGGTCCTTTGCTCGCGACCGAGGCCTGCCTTTCAGCGACTGGATCGCTAAGGTTGACCCTAAGCGTGAGGTCCCTAACAATGCGGTCGCCGTTACTTGCATGTTCACCATCCTTCTCTCACTCATCAACATTGGATCTGATGCTGCTTTCAACGCCATCGTCTCGCTCAACCTTACTTCTTTGATGATCACGTACGTCGTCAGTATTGGCTGTGTCTTGTACCGCCGTCTTACCAACCCCGACTCTCTGCCCAAGTGCAGATGGTCTCTCGGCCGCTGGGGTATTCCTATCAACACATTCGCTGTCGTCTACTCCGGCTTTGTGTTCTTCTGGATGTTCTGGCCTCAGACCACCTCCCATGCTGCCGCCGACTTCAACTGGTCGGTACTCATGTTCATGGTCATTCTAGTCATCGCTGTTATCGACTGGGTATTCAGAGCCAGAAAGACTTACACTGGTCCCGTTGTTCTCGTTGAGGGATACAAGGGCGAGTAAATGTAACTCTCGTCAAGAAAAGAAGTCTCTAATTTATCTGTTTATTCTTTTGTATCTATCACTAATTGAAGATGAGAATGCTTCACGGCCGCGTCATTATATTTCTCAACACACTTCCACAAATTTTGATGTCGTGTTGACATGGCATACTGAGCTCGCTCCTTCCCCACTCTGGTGACCGAGGTCATCCGTTATACCCGCTCTACCCGCACATGTTTACTCCAAGCTCATGACCATCCAGTATAACATCGAGATAGAAGGCAAGAACGATCCTTCAAAACTACCTTCAGAAATAGATGTGCTTATAGCATTGCACCAAATTCTCCAGTCGATCATTCGTCCATCACCACCGCCAATCCCGTATTATCCATCAATCGAAAAGCATCTGTCTATTTGATCAATACTCATCGTCCTCAACCATGACCACCAAAGTCCTCCGAGCAGCAGCCTGTCACGCCTCCCCAATCTTCCTCTCCGCCTCCAGAACAACCCAGAAGGCAACCACCTTGATCCAAAAAGCAACCTCCAACAAGGCCAACCTGGTAATCTTCCCAGAAACATACATCTCCGCCTTTCCAATCTGGAGTGCCATCCGCGCACCAACAGAAAACCACGATCTGTTCAAACGAATGGTAGATCAATCCATCTACATCGACGGCCCGGAAATCGATGCCCTCCGCACCACGGCTCAAAGATGCAATGCCATGATAAGCATAGGCATTTCCGAAAAAGCGAGATACAGCAGTGCCACACTGTGGAATTCAAACGTGTTGATCGGGAGCAATGGAGATATTTTGAACCATCATAGAAAACTCCAACCTACATTTTTCGAAAAACTTACTTGGAGTGCTGGGGATGGATATGGGTTGAAAGTTGTAGACACGGAATTCGGCAAGATTGGAGGATTGATTTGTGGAGAGAATACTAATCCGTTGGCGAGGTTTGCGTTGATGGCGCAAGGGGAACAGATACATATATCTACTTGGCCTGCTGTGTGGCCAACCAGAGCGTTGCAGGCGGATAACATTACGGGCAAAGCGAGGAATTATGACAATGTTGCTGCCAACAGGACGAGAGCTGCTGCTCATTGCTTCGAAGCCAAATGTTTCGGCATCATCAATGCTGCGTTTTTGGATGAGCAAGCTATTGATATTGTTGCGCAAGGGGCGAGCAATGAAGCTAGTGTCAGACAGACATTACAGCTTTCTCAGAGGGCGGCCACGATGTTTTTGGATCCCACTGGCATGTTGATGCCTGGGTTTACTGTTGATGCTGATGGGAAGAAGCAAGAGACGGAGTATTTGCAAGACAGAGAGGATATCCTGTATGCGGATTTGGATGTCTCGGAGTGTGTGGAGGGCAAACAGTATCATGATGTCGTTGGTGGTTATCAGAGGCTTGATATCTTTCATCTGAAGGTCGACCAGAGTAGAAGAGAACCTGCTAGGTTTACAGAAGGCCGACGCGATGAGGAGAGTGAGCCATGAGCTGTATATATGCAGAAGGAGCGGATCACCACACCAGCTCCCGGCCTGAGATATGTACCTAGCTTACAATTAGACATGGAAAGAGGGAAAGATGCATAACAATCAGACATCCCATCGAACTGACATCGATCAATCTCTGCTCTCTTTGTATGCAACTATCTTGCTTGACCAGAGACCTGAAATTTAGACCATAGGGCTTACGCTGGTGACCCTCATCTAATAAATGAAGCACAGGCAGATATAACGCCAAAAGAATTGCAAAAAGCTCGCCCACCGTGTGAGTTGAACTCGAGACTTTTGGCAAAAAGAAGATAGAGGCCGGACCAATCAATCATCACGGGCGCATCCAACCACTACACCAAAGTGTAGCAATCGACACAGGCGAATCTCACATGATTGGTCCGGTGAGAGTTTGGCGAGATGTCTAAATTATGACATTCAAATCTCAAATTCACATGTGAAGGGCTCGAAGAAGGATGCTGGACCGTTGATTCATTTTGTCATCGAAACATCACACCAATCGTGTCATGTCGTTGGCCACTTCACACATGTTACAATTACGCGACTCATATCTCATCTACCTGCCAGAATATCACCGGCAATCTTTTCCGCCAATGCATAAATGGTAGCCTGAGGATGACCAGGCGGCAAGAATGGGAAAGCACTAGCATCGACCACTCTCAATCTCTCCACGCCAATGACCTTCGCCCTCGAATCCACAACCGCCATGCCGTCATCTCTCTTACCCATCTTGCAAGTGCAACTGGCATGCCAATTGAATCCAATGTTCGCCTGCAAGTAGCTTAGAATCTCCTCATCTGCAGAATCGAAGGGCAGATCCTGTTGACCAGGGAGCAATTCTTCTCCGATCAAGATGGGTGCAATGGCGGAGGTGTTGAAGAACTGGCGCGCGCGTTTGAAAGCAGCGATTGCAACTTGTTGATCGGTAGGATGAGTGAGCCAGTTTGGATTGATGAGAGGAGCGTCAGACATGTCTGCGCTAGCTAGAGTGATGTTACCGCGAGATAGAGGTGTGAGGAGGACTGGCTGGATGTAGCCGACATCTATCACGTTCTCTGGTGTAGAGAATGACGATGTTCCGAAGGGCGCGGAGGAAATTTCGTACTCAATCTCTGGCCAGTCAGAAGGGAACGTTGCAAGATCGGTTATCGTTGAGTTCGTGAAGGTCGATCGTGAATTGGATGGGAGTTTTTCCCAGCCCAAGAAATCAGACTGATCGTTTGTCAGGATCCCGGTGTGGTTAGGGCTTAGATAGTCGTTCTTAGCTTTGACTGCAGCTGCTGGGTTCATGAGACTGCCATAGGTCTCGACATTGACCTGTTGACCGACGCTGAGAACCACATGGTCCCACATATCTTGACCTACACCAGGTCGGTCTGCTACGACGGAGATGTTGAATTTTTGCAGCTCCTTAGCTGGACCAATACCAGAGACCATAAGCAACTGAGGTGATTGGAAAGCGCCTGCAGAGAGGATAACCTCTTTCTTTGCACTAAGGATGAAAGGCTCAGGCGAAGGACCACTCTCTACCAAGACACCAGCAGCGGTCTTGTTCTGGTCGAACAAGACTTGTTTCGCTAAAGTGTGGGTGTAGACCTTCAAGTTTGTCATCCTCCTACGCATCGCGGTGTCCAAAAATGAGGTTTGTGACGAACTACGGGTTTGGTCTCTCGGATTGAGCGTGAGAGGGCTGAATTGCGCTCCGGTCAGGTCACCGTTGATTAAATCGTGCAGTTCCCCAACACCAATCTCTGCTAGACCCTGCTTTGCCCACGACGCGATTGGGGTTGCCCAGTGCGGGAAAGAGACTTGCAATGGCCCAGTGCCGTTCTCGCTGGTGATCAAGGGTACGGACGCGTTCATTTCCCGGAAGGTCTGATCGGGGTTGGTGTACTTGATCGAGGTCTGGTAATGCGGCAAGAAGTTGTCCCAGAGATAGCTTGAATCATTTACACTGTCTGACCAAGCTTGGAGAGAACCAATGGTAGGTCTGTTATAGTTCATGGCGTTTTCTGCAGAGCTTCCAATCTGTCAGCGTATTCCGCTTTCGTAACTTGAAAGCCACTCACCAGCCACCAAGCATCTTGCCTCGTCCATAATGAAGCCTCTGCCCTTGAGCACCAGCTTGAGGTGTTGTCAAGAAACCCCAATCAACCAATGGTGCATTCCATTGAGAGTCTGATGTGATCTCGTTGTAGTCTTGATTATATGCCGGCACCACCGATGTGTTGCCATTCTCGACTTCGTAGAAGCCGCCTGCTTCAATAACAGCAACAGCGTGGTTGGCTTCGGCCAGACGATAGGCAATCGCTAGACCACCAGTACCACCTCCTACAACCACATAGTCGAATGTTGCATTCTGAGCTGGTCTGCCGAAGTTGTTGGCTAAAAGTGGTGCTGCTTGGGTCAGAAGAAAATGCGTGCTAAACGCAAGGCCAGATGTGATGATTCTCATGGTGATGCTTTGTAATGAAAAATAGGGAACACAGACTGCGTCGCGACGCGAACTACATATTTGTGAGCTGATGTCCGATTTGCATGTTGTCATGCATGGTCTCCGATGGTCTCCGGGAAGCTTGTTGCAGTGGATTTCGCTTTTGCTACGTCAGACCGTTGGCTTTGCGGTATAGACGTGAGCCGCTTGTATAGGGCAAGCCATCACGATGAATTGAGGGGAAGAAACCAAGAAGAAGGACCAGGAGGACCTGAGCATGATATACCGCACCGTAGGAAATGTATGGCTGTTAATTGTAACGTTCGATGGCTTCTCGAAGACGATTAACCGGACGGTCGGAACGCGACTCGAGCATAGATCTGATCGACCGGAAGGAGCGAGGGGAGCGACTGAAGATCACATTGCAGTAACTCCTTATGGAAAGCGGACGACAAGGGCAAGGGAAGCGCCTTTAACTCAGAGCTGTGCTTCGTCGCTGCCGGGGTCGCGGCTCTTGACCGACAACGTTTCATTATGCGGCGGACTTCAGTCCCGCTCGTAGTATTTTCCACGTGTGTGATAGGACTCTCTACGCCAGAGACTACACCATTGCGAAGCACATTAGGTATCGCGTCAATGTCGTTGAGTGTCCGACGTTTCTCCAGATGAATCGATTCTACGCGACATGTAGAAGCCAAAGTTGACAACCGTGACTGTCTTGAACCTCAACCGATGTGAGGACCGCTGACTATACTTGTCAATCTCGCAAAGGTCTCCAAATAATCAAGGCGGCAGTGGAAACTGCTCGAATTTCCCAGAGTGGGTGCGTATACAGAAAAAGCTTGATGACGAGCGGGCTTTGATTGTTTGCTTGGCCCGACAAAACGGTATAGGATGAAAGTGACAAAAGGTGCTGACGAGCCCGATCAATCCTCATCCGAAGCATCATAATCCAAAGTGGACATATTTCGATACTATGAAGGACTCTTCAATCATCATCTATGGGTTAGTATTGCGCGATAAACAGACAGCGGTACTGTTTCGTCCGCTGACATCATTTCTATTAGATATGTTCCATCACTCGTCCTGTCCATAATCGCCATAGTCCTTTTCGGTCTAGGATTTGCTGGACATGTCTTTTTGCTGTCGAGATACCGCACGTGGTATTTCATACCCATAGCCGTGGGCACAGCAATGGAGATAATCGGTTACATCTTCCGTATTCTGTCCAATGTAAAAGATCCCTACGCAGTGGCATACTTCGTCGCCCAGGTAAATATTCCCATGGAAGACGCATTATTGTATCACAGTCACTGACAAACGCTGTCTAGTACTTCTGTATCGTCGTCGCTCCTGTCCTCTTCAGCGCATCCATCTACACAATCGCTTCCACATTGACCAACTTCTACGGTCGGGAATACGCTCCTTTGTCGCCTAAACTCATCTTGTGGGGCTTCGTAGGCTGCGATGTCGTGGCTACCCTTCTTCAAGTCGCTGGCGCCGCTCTGATTGGCACATCCTACAGCAATGGCAATGGCAACCAGGAAACATACAACCACATCCTGCTCGCCGGTCTCGCTTTCCAGGTCTTCTCGTTCGCAGTCTTTCTGATTGTGTTCATCTGGATCCTTCTGAAAGCTCGATCTAGCCCCAGAAAAGTCAGTCCAGCTTTCACTGCCAGTGTTTTCGTGGCTGCCCTGGCAGTTTATCTGAGGACATGCTTCAGGTTGGCAGAGACGGCAGAGGGGTTGCTGCAGAATTTGTCCTCGCATGAAGTTTACTTTGGCTGCCTCGAATTTGCACCAATGATCGTGGCAGTCTATCTACTCATGTATGGCCATCCAGGAAGATGGCTTAGTGGTGCTTCTATGGCCAAGCCAGCTCTGTCACCTATCATGTCGGAGGCTTAGGGTTAAGAGATATCAAACACTCGAGATTTGCTTGTCTGGCTGGAAGAAATCAGTTTCCGATTTGCGCAATGATCGAGGTGGGGGCTCGAGCCGAGGGCGCGTGATCATCCAGCATCTAGCCGCCCCCGATAAAACGACCCATAGTGTCCTCTTCCCCTTCTGTAAAAATTCAATTGTAACCACTTCTTGTTTTCTTACAACCACCGCAGTGACTTGTATCAACGTTGGAGGCTCGACTCTGAAGAGTGTTCTGGTGTTGAGATGAGTGTCATGGCCACGCGAAGCCTACAACGCACGCAGAAATATGTGGGTGACTGCAAGGCATCACTGCTAAGCGAATCAGAGACTCGCATATAGATGAATCAGGTCATCAACAGGTAGTCGAGCACTTTCTGACGGTTCTCCTCGAGGCTGGACGTGCTAGCTTCCAACGCTAGGCCTAGAAGTGTGGCACCAAGAAAGTCAGGTAACTGTCCGACCTTCTTGTTCTGGTAAAATTGACAATCCAGATCCTTGAATAATCTCTCATCCAATCTGGCCCAGTACATTAGACCAGTGTTATAAGAGGGGCTCGTTTTGCCAGCCTCAATGTTCTCGTCTTTTGTTGGTATTGACTCGTGAAGCCATGCTAAAAACTTGGGCGATTCGTATTGAGGAGTGCAATCGTGGGCAGAGCTCCATCGCAGGGCCGCAGTCGGAGTAGCGAGTGCAGAGCCTTGTCCAGTGTGTGACTGATATCAGCCGGAAGGGATCTTGCATCCCTCAACAAGAGCCGAGTACAGGACCGAATAGTTTCTTCTTTCAGATTCTCTCGGTCTAGACAAAGTTTAGGAGCGTCGCCACCCGGAGTCACAAACAACGCAAGAAGTAGCATTCCATAACTGAAAGAGTCAAACTCCTTGAGGTGATGTGCGCGAAATGGCCCAAGAAGAGTATCGTCATAATCAAGGTCCCGGTCTATGGCTTCGGGCATTTCGATGTGCCGAAATAGTCTCGTGCACCAATCTTGTGATCAGACATATCGATGCATACACCAAAGTCGCTAAGCTTCGCGAGGAAAGGAACACTCGGGTTGTCTTGTCGGAATGTGAGAACGTTGGCTGGCTTGATGTCGCCGTGAATGATCTCTGAGCTATGCAAAGCTTCCACTCCTGCAGCAACATCGAGAGCTATGTGGTGCCGAATGTCCCAGTGGCTGACAGCTATCAAGGTGTCTAGGTGACGTTGTGAATCTTTTAACATTTCCGAGAGCGGGAACAAAGCTGCCTCCATGACCAGAACGGGGATTGGAGTTTTACGGTCAGGATAGTCGTCTGCACTTTAGTCAGTCGGATCGGTCTGTTTTGAATGATGGCATGCTATTACAAGCCCATGATAGCAGCTTTACTATGTTCCGGTGATTTCGCAAACGAGGATGGCACAAACTGATGACTTCAAGTTGTAAGTATCGAAGTGTCCTTCGGTACTCACGGTTCACAGCAGAGTCGCTGTCGGTCTGCTTGGGTCTGAACTTGACTCGTTTGTAGACCACTTTTTGGAGGGCATATCCAGGTACATGATCGACTTGCCGAAAGACATCAAATTGATTTCCGTGTCCGACTCGTATTCCACAGTCGCCGATGTTTAGATTCCGAAGATGAATTGGACCATTAGCACCAAGCTCTGCCAACAGAGTGACCAGCTCCGAAAGAGAGCTCGGATACTTTCCACTTCTTGCACGGGTCTTCGAGGCTTCGATTGCTTCGCCGACTGTACCGATGACGGGATCGTCTCCAGGTGTCGTATCATCAAAGTCGAGAAGCGGCAGGGATGTGGTCTCCGACTCGGCGAAAGTCAAGGACATATTGGCTGTTGTCTGATTTGGGATGCCAAGTGGTCGCCGTCAACTTCCTTGAACAAACATCAGCGTCAGCACAGTGGGAAGGAGCCAGCGACATGCGAAGCCCAATTCCATGTAGTTCGAGCGTCACTGCTGCGTGTCTCCCGAAATGGAATGGGGCGCTGTCGATAAGCCGATACAGCCAACATGATTCTCAAGAATTACGCTCCTCCCGAGATTCGACTGTAATTCTCGAGGAACCAGGCAGAATGGTTGATGGTCAAAAGAGGAGATGCAAAACAAAACGTACAGCAGCAGGGATTCCCACGTGGTCACCCACCGTAGTACTAATCTGCCGTTCAACTGCTTATGTATGGCAGAGCGGACGGGATGCCCAGTTTTCAGCTGACTGTGGCCGTACGTGCTGTGAATGCCAGCTGCGCGGTATATTCTCCCGTGAAATCCGGCTTGGCCTCGAACGACGAGACTGAGCAGATTGACGACCTACCCCTGGTTGAAACTTTTGAAATGGATTCTGATCTATTCATGGCTATGAAGATGTCTTGAGAAGGGTATCTGCTCATCACCAAGCGCCTGCCCATGCATTTGGTTATCGAAAACAAGAAAGTCGTAAATTCAACTCCGACCGAGAATGCGTATTGTTGATCGTCTACACAGGCAAGTTGAACTTCTTGCCTTGGAAAACCCTGCAGTTGGTTGTTAGCTAGATCCCTCCCAGAAAGTCAGTTGCGAGGAACGTACTTGGTGTAATAGATGTAGAAGAAATCGGAGTACAGGACAGTCTGAACAAGACCTGCGATGACCGAAATGGGCTCGAACCAACCCTCGGTGAACCAACGGTAGATCCAGTTGGGGATATACAGGGCTCGGTATGCACCCAGGGCGAAGAGGTAGTGTGTGGTGATGGTCTCTGCCTCGCCGGTTCTTTGTAGCATGAACAGCTGGGGAAGGATGGCGACAGCTTCCAACCAGATGGAGAAGGCCCAGAGCATCTGCTCTGTATTAGCGTCTTTCTCGAGCCTCTCGGATGAGTCGACTTCAGACTGCTTACCTCGGAAGGGATATACTTGTAAGGGAATAGAATTCCCAGAACAGCACTTCCTGCGACCAGGTACTGAACTCTGAATGTGTCGAGATTGGGGTCGTGGGTAGGCTTGTAGTCGTTGAGCATCAAATAGATTATGTATGAAGAGGTTCCAATGAAGACGAGCTTGAAAGTAGTGTTCCACAGGCTCTTGAAGGGGTCTGTCCAAAGAAGGTCTGTATGAAGGGTCTCAGTACGCGATGAGTGTTCTTCTCGAGGCAGGAGGGCGTACCGATGTATCGAGTAACGTATACGATGAGATAGAGGAATTGCGACTTGAACGAGATGCCTGATGCGCTCTGGGGACATGGTTAGGACTCGACGGTTCGGTTGATGGTTGCGATGGACAACAGGGACGTACGCTGGATGTCTTCATCTTGTGCAGCAGGATAAGGATGGAGAACAGATGCGACAAGTCGCCTATACACATGTCGGTCAGCGCATTGCAATGGCAAGCGGCCATCAGCCATCAAACATACCCAGAATGCGGAAGATGTTCATCATTGCTGTAACCAATCCCAATCTGCTGGGCTTGTGCTGACTGGGTCTGAGTGAAGGATGCCTGCAGGCTTTGTTTGCGCTGATGGGGCGCTTGTGACACGGCACAGAATGAATTGACAGCGAAAGTAGCAAAGAAGGGAGATGCAACTTGTTACATGGCACTGAACGAACAGCTATCGACACGTTGTCCAAACGCGTCCGTGCGCTGTCCACTTCCCCCTTCGTCAACGTTTCAGGGAGGAGCTTCGAGCTCAGCTTGAGACTCGTCACCCTCAGCAAAACTCAAAGACTGTGACTGCACTTGTGACGTTTTTCAAGCAGGACATTCAGAACTTTCGAGTTGCAGCTCAGGGTGCTTTTGTACACCATCAAGGACCTTCGCGCCCACAGCAGTTGCCTCTTCAAACCAGCTGCCAGCTCTCTTCCGAACGCCGTTGTGACTTCCGTAAGCTGCCCGTGTACACGCACTTCACCTCGCCGTCATATCCGACTCCCGTGAGCTTTACATATATCTCGTCGTCGATGTCTCGTAATAGGTAGTCTAGTGAATACCCTCTTCCTATTTCCCTGCCATCTATGTTGATGACGAAGAAATCGAAAGGTCCTGTAACATCGCTGTGAGGAAGTCCATCATCTTCGGAACCAGCATCCTCCAGTCCTTCGGTGTTGACCTTCCACAAAAGAGAAGTCCACGTCTCGTTGACTTCGCTCAGTGCCACGTCGGAGATTGAATAGCTTCTGGTCTTGCCGCTCCTTGGTTGGATACAGACTTGCATGATTTCGGCGAGGAGCAGGGTGTTGGTCTCAGTGACCTCGGAAAACCCTGTCACACACAGTGAGAGCCCAGTGATTCGCCCTTTGCCTGCTTCAACTGCTTGGATATCTCGAGTCATCGTTGTTTGCTCACATCCGTCACTCGTCATGGGAACGTCTACATCCAAGCCCTCGAGTCGAAGCGACACTCGCAGTCGAGTAGATGTCTTCGGCTTTCGATACTTGATTACCATCGAAAGATCCCTCGTGGCAGGCATATCAAGATTGAAAAGCCTCAAGACGCTAAATGTGCTTGTTTCCCCTTGAATAATGTTTGCCCACAATGTCAGTCTAGGTGGGTTGCATTTCACCTGACTGAAGAGCGTCTTCTGAGCGCCAGCATATAAGACTGGTCGCGGTAATACAGATTTCGAGACAAGGCCTGCTGCTGCTCGGTTCTTTTCGGCAGTTCCACTCGAGCAGACGAATTGCTCAAAGGCTTGCTTGAAATCGGTGTAGAAGAAATTTTCTGAGCCGGCAGGGTACTCATGAGCATTCTTGAATATGGGCTCAGTCATGTAGTTCCGGATGGAGTGACGATCCCTCACGGTACAGCTGCAGCGCAAGGTCTCTGGCAAAGGATTTCCAGTCCACATAGACCTCTCGACGGCCTCCGAGTCTGATTGAGAGGGGAAATGCTCATACGGCCAGGCTGGAGCAAAGAGACCAGAACCAAGCCCAACCTCGGCCAATTTTGCGACACCTAAACCAGTGCCGGTGCCTCCTCCTATCTCCTTGGGGTAGGTCACTCTCAATCGACCTGGGCCTTCCGAGCTTTGAGCCCAAACATCAATGCCGCAAAGAACCTTTACAGGATCGAACCCATTCTGCAGCGCGAAAGCTTTGGACCTAGCAGCTGATTCTGCAGTCCACACATAATTTGTGAGTATGGAGCCAGCAGCTTTCGCTAGCAGAATATTTTGCTCCGTCAATCCATTCTGGTAGTTGATAGTATTCTTGCATGTAAGTGAGTCGTACCAAATGACACATCCGTCGTCGAAGGATGATCTCAACTGTTCTAGAAACCCCTGCAGACATTGGAGACTCCAGTCAGCGATAGGGAAGGTCTTCTCTATGTTAATTAGCCAACCGTCGAATCCATAGAAACGAGCGATATGAGTAAGCTGGGTTGCTAATGCATACTCCCATGTCTGATTGTCTGCCAAAGACCTGTGTAGAATCTTCGAGATGCCCACAGATTGCGGTTCTACTAGAAATGTACCCAATGCCTTGACTCCGTTGCGATGCAAAGTGTTTGTCCAGGATGGCGGAGGAACACAGACCAGCTTTGAGGAGTTTAGCTGAAGACGATCAATCTAGATCGATAATTGCAGACCTTGTGAGAGAAGTACACAAAAGCGTCTATGGACTGCATGTATTCACCACTGTACGAAGGTTGATCTACGAAGGAGCCATGGACGTTTTCATAATCGTGGTAATTGCCAGAAAAGTCGTGTATAAGAGTGATGTTGCTTTTGCCTTTGACTACAGTGGAGCCAGATCGAGGAAGTAGAGGAGTGTTTGCACGTTGAAAGGAGTATGCTTGGTCAGGATGCCAGTTATCGATGTCTTGGAACGAGTCAAAGTAGGTGAATCCTTTGAGAAGGTCTTGTTGGCGGCGGACGTTCTTCTCCGGATTGTCATGGGGTTGTTTTGATGGCAAATTGTCTCTCAAGCCGTCCCTAATAGGACGAAGAATATCTCTCCAGCCCATGATCAACAACTCTCATGGTCAATGAACGTGGACGTGGACGTGGACGCAGTGTAGGTACGCAAAGACGTTGTGACAAGAGGTTTGGCGGGCTTCGATGACGATGACGCGCTGTCTTCTTCGTGAAAGAGGCAATTCGCAAATCTGCAGCTCCAACAACCAGAACACACAACACCGACCACCCACTCATCCCTACTCGGCGTGCACCACAACACACGTCTTGTTTCCAATCCCTTCCCTCTCCTTCACTGCGTTTCTTTGCTTTGATACCCGCGCAGCGTCTGGCTTTGAAGGCGCTTCACACGCACTCACTTTCACTTGCCCGCACGTACCAGGCCTAATCCACCTGCCTTCATCGCCTTCATCGCGCCCTCCTCTACTACCCCCCACCACCCAACATGGCCGACTTGCAAGAACTCTTCAGCCGTCTGAAGAGCCCCGCCGCCTCTTCCAACGATCAGCAGGGCCAGCAACACCAGTCTCACCCTTCCATCTGGGCTCAACCTCAGCCCCACTCGTACCAACAACCCTCCGTCTCGTCACCTCTGTTCTCGCCTCCCATTCACACTCCCAACCCTCAACACCACTCGGCTATCATGAGCCCCAGCCTCACTCCTGCCCCAGGTGACAACAAGTCCAACGATCTCTTGAACTTGCTCAAGTTCAACTCCAACCAGATGGCCGCTGGCATGAGCCCTCTTGCCTCTCTGCAGAACATTGCTTCCCAGAGCTCTTCGCCCCAGCTCCACCCTGCCCAGCAGCAGTCCCGATCTGTCTCGGCCAACGATCTGGTCGCATCATTCAACCAGAAGCCATCGAGTGCCTCTTCTCTGCGCATCTCAATGCCTTCGCCCCAGCCCGACCAGAAGTCCCAGCAGCCATTGGGAGACGCTCAGAACTTCCTCCTCGGTCTTTTGAATCGCCCCAAGAACGGCGCCCCCGCCGATTTCCAGCCCTCGCCCATGCAGTCTGCTCAAGTTCCTGAGACCATCATCAACGAGCCCACTCCTTCGGCCGACGTTGTTGACCCCCAAGACCCTTCTGTTCGCCTGTTCGGTAGCGCCGGATCCCGCGAAACAACCCCATTCGAAGGCCCTTCTTCAGCAAAGAAGCCCGTCTTTACCTACGTCAACCCCTTCGAGCAGATGACCGCTTCGTCGCCCAACCCCGGTCTCAAGACCGACGGCCCTAAGCACCAGCGCGATGTCTCTCAACCCGAGGACAACGACAGTGGTCCTCCTAACGCAAAGAACCGCAAGATAACATCATCCCTTCCTTCACCATCTCCTTCACCTCGCCCTGCCCAGCCTTCAGCCGATGCTCACCAGAGCGTGTCTGAGGCTCTGAGCGGTGTTGGCGAGAAGGTCGACAAGCAAGTTGAAAAAGCACTTGCTCAGGCCCAAGCCGATGGCGCCACGTCGTCTGCCTCGAAAGAGCAGACCAAGGCGACCGAGGAGGTTGCAGACAGCTGGGAGAGCGCTGATGCCGATGAGTCTGGTAAGGACAACAAGGACTTCGCTGTTCGTGTTTACAACTTCCCCATGAGACCCTTTGTCTCAATCACCATCAACAAGGACGGCCAGCCCACCCCTCTGCGCTCTGACTCGCTCATGGACATCGCCCGTCTGAAGAAGGAGTTCGAGCAGATTGACCGCGCCCTTGTCACCGCTTCGCCCAACCACATTGTCTACGCTATGGCCAAGACTGGCGGCTTCCGCGTAATCCGTCAAGACTCTGGCAAGGACAAGCAGGTCTTCCGTTCCACTGCTGAGCGTGTCTTCAACGTACAGATCTGCACTGCCAGTGGTACAAACAAGGATATTGAGACTGTCCTTGCCACTGGAGTTAACGGCTCAGTTTTCTGGACCAGCATCAACAAGGTCGAGGGTGACTCGTTTGACGACTTGGACCTCGAGTCGCAAGGATTCGTTCTGCCTCCCGTGCCCGTCCAGGATGACAACACCTCAGGCAGCCCTGTTAAGACCAGAGCCAAGATGAGCTCGCGCAATGCTGAATTCTTTGCCATCTCAAGAGGCAAGTCTATTTACATCATCTCACCTTTCATCGCCCACCAGAGCCAGTACACAGACAAAAAGTCGCGCGTTGTCGACAACGACAAGTACTTGCAAGAGCGCTGTCTGAAGATTTCCACTGGCAAGGCTGGCAAAGACTTCGCCTTCAGTGGTGACGACAGTCTTCTGGCCTCGCTTGACAAGAGCGGACGTATCAAGTTCTGGGACATCCGCGACATGGCCCAGCAGGCTCGCGAAACCGTTCCTGTTGGCAAGCGCTCTCCTCTGGAGCGCAAGGATCCTCTGCTTACTCTGACTACCACCCTTCCTGCCGAGAAGGCCACTCCTTCCTCCATCATGTTTGTTGACAAGGAGAGACCATGCGTTAAGGGCGTAGCTCTCCGCTACTTGCTCGTTGGCTTGAAGCAGAACCACATCCTCCAGCTCTGGGACCTCGGCCTCAACAAGCCCGTCCAGGAGCTTTACTTCCCTCACGACAAGGACTCCGATGCTATCTGCAGCATCTCCTACCACCCCAAGACTGGTATCATCGCGCTTGGACATCCCACACGTAACTCGATCTACTTCATTCATCTGTCCGCTCCTCGCTACAACATTCCTAGCATGGACCAGGCTAGATACACCACCATGCTCGCCGAGCAGGATCCCAACCTGCCTCGCCCCGAATCCACTGCTATCATGAGTGGCATCCGCGAGTTGTCCTTTGCTTCCAAGGGTCAACTGCGTAGCGTGGACATGCTCCACACCCCTGTCGTCTCCGAGACTTCTGGCGACGTTCTCTTCGAGTTGTATGCTATGCACTCCAAGGGCGTCACCTGCATGAACATTAAGCACGAAGACCTCGGCTGGAGCCGTGACAACAAGGTGCTTCACCCTGTTGATGCGGAAGCTTCGGGTCTTATCTCGGTCTCTGGCATCTCTCCCAACGCAACCACCGCAGAGGCGCCTGCCAAATCGTCAAAGGCTGCCGCACCGGCTTCACCCCAGAAGTCCGAGCCCACTAAGCCTGCCCCCGCTGTTGCTGCAAAGTCTATTGCTAAGCAGGAGCCGGTGGTCAATGGCACTCCGAAGGTCGAAAAGCCTAAGAAGGCCACTGTAGAGCAGAACACCGCTGAGCCTGCCACCAATCCCGCCATTCTCACCCCGGCATCTTACGCCCTGGCCGCTCGTCCCAAGGCCTCCGCTGCTGAGACCACTTCTTCCACCAAGGAGCCCACTCCTGCTGTTACACCTTCGCCTGTGCCCGCTGAGAAGCCTGCTAAGGCTGCTGAGGTCGCCGCTCCCGTTGACACTCAAACCGTCAACAAGGCAGTCAGTGATGCTATGTCCAGAGAGATTGAATCTCTCTACCGCAGACTCGACGACGACAAGCGTGTTCAAGATGCAGCCGCTGCGGCCAAGCAGGATGCTGTCCTCCGTCTCGTGTCTAGCACCTTGACCGATAACGTCGAGAAGACATTGCACAAGATCATTACTACCAACATTACCAGCAGTGTTATTCCAGCCATTGTTGAATCTAGCTCGACGCTGCTGAACGAGAAGCTCAACTCCGCAGTCTCTCAGCACGTCGCGAAGGTAGTTCCTGGTGAGATTAAGGCTTCTCTTACACCCGCCATCGCCGCTGCTCTCCAAGAGAAGGAGCTCCAGCGCGTCATCTCGGAGCAGACCGCCTCAAAGCTTGCTCCTCAGATTGAGCAGACATTCACTACCCTTCTGCGCAACTCGATTGTCCCCAACTTCACCAACCTTGCTCAGACCTCGACCAAGAAGGCAGTTGCTGATGTCGAGCGCCGCTTCACCGAGCAGCTCCACGAGGCCGAAGTACAGCGCCAGAAGGACAACGCCAAGATCGAACAGCTTTCGGACCTTGTTCTCGGACTCTCAAAGACGATTCATGAGATGGCTGCTGGACAGTCGGCCTTCCAAGAGCAGATCCTCAAGCTCCAGCGCCAAATCGCCGGCGACAACTCGGCACGCTCTGCTAACTCTGAGGCCGATGTTGTGCCTTCAATCGAAGACCCCGAGTTGGACGGCATAACAAACCTGATGACCGCAGGCAGATACGAGGAAGGAACTATCCAATGGCTCCAGTCCGAACGCCAAGGCGAACTCTTTGACAAGCTCTTCGTCCGCATCAACCCTCAATACCTGCAGAGACTCAGCCCATTGGTGTCGTTGTCGGTCTCGGCTGCTCTGACGTCGTCGTTTGAGCAGAATGTTGACGAGCGTCTCCAATGGCTCAGCGCCGTCTTGTCGACCATCAACCTCAATGACGCCGAGATCAGAGAGGTAGCACCCAAGATCATGGATGTTCTCCAGCAGCGCATGCAGGGCGCCTACATGTCGATCGCCGAGAACAACGTCCAGGACCCTGCACTCCGCATCGTCTCTGGTCTGTCTCGCCAGATCAACGACATCAAGAACCAGAGTCTCGGTCGCTGAAGGTAACCTCTGGTAGTTCTTTGATGAACTTGTAACAACAACAACAAGATATGCAAGGCTCGGTGCTGAAACACGCCCGAGGCTTGAACAAATTCAGCACGACGCTCTCCATGCTTCGATTTTCTGATGACTTGATGGATGACGACACTTTGGCTAGGCGGAGGCTCATTGTGCATAGCGGCCTCGCGGAACTCTAATGACTGTACATGGAGGACATGAAGTTCTGATGGGAGCGGTAGAGAGGAGGACCGGCCACGAGCTTAGCCTAGTATTTCAGAAAGGAAGAAACAGGCAGATAGAAGATTGCTGCCAGCTAATAAAAGTAATGGAATGGAATTCAATTCATGAATACTCTGTTTTCTATGTCTAAATGTGATTGTCGAACTGAATTGTTTATTTATATGACTCTTTTGCAGTCGAGATCGTTGTGATGATGATGATGTCGTTGTTGTTTTGGAGCTTAAGTGGGGAGAAAGTTCACATGTTAAAACACCCGTCTCCATCCTTTGAATAAACCAAGCACACAAGAACACAACACCAACCACATACCAAACATGTTGTCACTACCACTCCTCGCGCCTCAAAATGTGAGAAACCCTACACCCAGCTCCCCTCACAACAGTGACACTGACAGAGTCTACAGGAATACTCCTTCTTCCTCTCCCCCCACCTACGCCCGCCACCCGACACCCCATCCAACCACCCATCCACCTCCGAAAACAACGCAATACAACAAACCCGCCGCCTGGCATCCCAAAACCACTCGACCCCATCCCGACAATCGCTAGCCCAACTGCTCGCAGACGAACACGCCATCTCCAGCCGCAAACACAATATCCGACGTTTTGGGGCCGGGTGGATAAAACCGCCGGGTGTGGCGAAGACGTTGCAAGCGGAGACGGAGGAAAAAGCCGAGAGGGAGGAGCAAGAGGCTTTGCAGAGGAGGGAGCAGATGATGATGGATATGCAGGCGCAGCAGGAGGTTGAGGAGGCGAGGAATAGAGCTGCTGCTGCTGCTGAAGAAGGAGGAGAAGAGGCAGATGTGGAGGGAGAAGAGGAAAGGGATTTGGACGAGGAGATTCCTGATGCTGATGGTGAGGAAGAAGAGGAAGAGGAGGAAGAAGATGAAGATGAAGATCTCTCGGGTTCAGACGAGGAAGAGGATGAAGAGGAAGAAGAAGAGTTGCAATCGGAATTGCAGTCTGAAATGCTGGAGCATTCCCAGTTGCAGCATTCTGAGGTTCCGGTCGCCGAAGACATCACATTCAATGAGGACAGCATGTTTGCGGAAAACAGCTTGTTGGAGATTGATGAAGAGACGAGGGAGCAGGAAAGATATGATCGGTTGCAAGAGGCAGAGTTGACGGGTGTGGCTCAGGATCAGCTTGATTTGGGTGTTGAAAGGGATCTGGACGACAGTGTGCCCGAGGCTGGCAGTTATCAACATACCGACAGCGAGTTGGACGACTCGGATGAAGATTCGGATGAGAATGAAGACGAGGAAGAGCAAGATCAGAGTCAATTGGGAGAGCAGAGCGAGATGATTGGGGCAGTCATGCAACGCAGTCGCAGCAGTCTGTTGAGCAGGGATGTGAGCTCCTTACTCGACTCTTCCTTTGTCACCAGCAGTCCTGCTCCCATCGGTCGCCTGAGGTCTACTGCTCACAGAACGGGCCAGAGATGATTGATTTCCTCTTCATCATGACTTTCTTTTTTGCTATTCGTTACAGAGATACCCATTATCGTCATATTATACTTTCTTTCCTTCATGAACCCTCTTTGTCCCTTCTGTCATCCATCTCTCTGTACAAGCGTGAAAAATTCCCAGTATCAAAACGCCTTCGCTAAACAAAACCCAATTCGTTTTCTGGGCTGGAGGTAGACTCGATCGTCTAGAACAACCAGACATACCAGAACAAGGCGGTGACAAAGGCAAAGAAGATGAGCCACACCTTCCATCCAACACCCGTACTCTGTGCCATACGCAACATACGGTTCATGGTCCCCTTGAGCTTATTACTCGTATTCGAGAACTGATCATTCATCTTTTCCGCCAGAGCCGTCGAGTCGCGGATTTCGTCGCCGATGCGGAGGGTGAGCTGTGTGAACACATTGTCAGCCTTTATCCTTTTCTTCCTCGTCATTGGAGATACACGGGGAGTCTTACATCCTTCAACATGCCAACCTTCTTACTCATCTCAGAAACCTGCTCGTCGTTCTGACTTTCCAGCTCAGAGAGCACGGCATCACTATAAGCACCCCTTTTATCCGGCGTCGCTGATCTGAAACTCGCGCCCGAGCCCGCTCTTTCTGTGCCTATGCCGCCGTTGCCCGGGTATGCTGCGAATGTGCTGTTCGAGGACGAAGGAATACTGTAGCCATTGCTCGCGGTATACGGGTTTGGCGACGTGGAGGTGGGGCGAGAGCGTTGGTCGTAGCCGGAGAAGAGGGAGGAGCGGTTGTTGTCGCGTTGGTGGAATCTTGGTGAGAGAGTTAGTAGGGTGCTCGAGATTGGCGCATAGGAGGTCGGTGGTATTTACCTGGATGCCATGGTGATGGTAGGCTTCGAGGTGTGCGGTGGGCTATTGTGCCATGAATGTGGGTGCCTTGTGTTGGGATGAATTCGCGAGAGGGAGTCAGAGACGTTGCTTCTTCCGTATGTGTGCAATTAACTTCTGTGGTTGTTGCGACTTGTCTATTTGGTGACGTCGAATTGGATCGCTACTGCCTCTTCATCAAGACGATCGTGTGACGCTGACAAAAATTCTTGAATGCTAGAACTCGAAATATACTTTAATAGCTGCTGTAGCTCAGTGGTAGAGCGTGGGATTGCAGTCTCTGCAATTATCCTAAGGTCCGTTGTTCGACCCAGCGTAGCAGCTTCCCTTTTGCCATTCTCGAGACAAAGAAAGAGTTATGGCGTTTTCTTTTTGGTCGCCAAAAGCAATGGCACAAAGCTGACAGTTTGCTCCAAAATGTAGAGCCTTTGATTCGTTCTTTCCTGCTCGGCGTTCGGGTAGCATTCATGGTTGATGGGCGTTTTTTTTTTGGTGGAAGAAAGCATCAGGCTTCACGGTCCCATAACGCTTCGACGACGATACGAGGAGCCTACTGCAAAGGCAAGGGGCAAAAACGAAGCTGCTACGCTGGGTCGAACAACGGACCTTAGGATGACTGCAGAGACTGCAATCCCACGCTCTACCACTGAGCTACAGCAGCAAGTGATTTCAGTCCGAAAGTTCAACAAATACAATCTTGTGAACATCACAACCATCACTTTCAGGTGACCCTGTCTCACTGCCACCCTCATACACAGTTTAGAAGCATGCCATTGTATTCAGATAGCGAATTTCAATAGAAGCATTGCACATTCGTAGCAACCAGAACGCCAGTATCCACCCATCCATAAAGCCACCGTGGTATCTTAGCAATCTAGCCCTTTTGAAACCCTCCCAGTACACCATGTAAATCAAGACCGAAAATGAAAATCACCATGCATAATCTTCTGCTTCGACTTCAGCACCTTCTGTCCATTCCTCATCACCACTAGCCTCGGAGTCCAGGAAGTGAGTTTCGTTGAACTGCTCTTCGCGTGGGCGTTGGTTGTCAATGCGGATGTCGACAACGTTGCAAAGTCCTTGAATGAACTTCTCGGGTGTGTTGCGCCAGTCTTCACCGTCTCCGGCATTGTCGCCGGAGACAATCGAGATGGCATCAGAATCCCTGCGACCTTGCTTACGTCGACCGCGGACAACTCTCTTCTCAGTGGGTGGCGTGGGAAGTGGTGGTGGACTGGCAGGCTTTATGACGCGTCTGCTGCGACGTTTGGCCAAAGGCTCGTCATCTGAAGCCTGGGAGGTCTGGGTTACCAGGGATGGCTTGCGTACAACCACTTCGACTTGGCTTATGGTGCGGCTTCTTTCCTTGGCTGCATTGTCGGCCAGCCTCTCTTTCCACTGTCTGAACGCTCTGAGCGAGGCAAAATTTGGATCTGGGTCTTGAGGATAACGCTGATAGACTCGACGCAGACGCTCAATCCACTGGTCTCTGAAAGCTGCTCTGTCTCGCCAAGAGATGTTGATATGGGCTTGCAGAACTAGTCTTCGGAGGTCTGGTAGTGAATCGGCGGACTCGACAAGCGAGCGGAAGAGATTCTGAGCAGCATTGGCACCCCTGATTAATGTAAGCAAGTGACCAGATTATACAGCTAGATATTCAGAGCTTACCACTTCTGCAAATGAACAAGCTCCAGAGTTTGGAGACTGGAAGGCCAGGTAGGAGTTTCGTCTTCAAGTAGTAAACTTTCGTACTTAGGTTCGCCAAAATGACGGAAGTGATTCTCCCTGTGGTCGTAGAGATCCATCCTCAGCGATTTGAGCTTTGGACAAGTCGTGCGAAGAGCCGTGAAGAAAGCAAGATCTAGAAAGGGATTGTGGTCCAGGACCAGCTCTTGGATTCTGATGATCTTAAATCAGCCATGTTACGTATGAAAGGGCACGAAGTTACTTACGAATGACCATGACTAACAAGAAATTCGCTAAGCATGTCCGAGTTAAGAGGCATACAGTTTATGAACTTGATAGTCTTAAGAGTGCTTGGTAATTGAAGTAGCATCTGGAGAGAAAGGCGATCGCATGACTCGAAAGACAGTGTTTCGAGCTTAGGTAGATCAGCAAATATCTTGCCGAAAGCAACATCAGCGGCTTCTTCCTCCGGGGTGAGTGCTTCTGCTGCTATCGCTGGAAGATGTGAGACGGTAAGATGGCGCAAGCTTTGAAAAGAGGGTCTCTGGTGTACTCCAGCCATATACTCTGTGAGTCTAGTGGGTTGTAAGTAAACGAAGCCAATAGTATAACTGGATTGAACATACCCTTGAAGTTCTGCTTTGCCGTCTTGCTGTTCGATGAGATTTGCATTCCATCTCCAGCACTCGAGATGGATTTTGTTCGAGTCGAGTGCTTCGAAGAGATTTGGAGGATACTTCCATCGAGGGAGTCGGCCCTGATACTCGTATGGTGGTTCGTCCAGCTGATGTGTGATGAGCAGCGAAGAAAGTCGAGGCAGTTTCGACACTGTTTCAGCAAAAGACAAAGATGTGTTTCGTGCAAAAGACTCAAGGTTGCGAGCCGACACTTCTATGCTGGTGACTTTCATGTTATACGAGTATAAGTGTTGGTCATTAGGTTGCTTGACGATAGCAGAGAAGTCCTCCAGCCATCGTGCTGCCAAAAGGTTTGGTGCTCTGTAGAAAGCTGTCAAAGCTGGTTCAGAGAAGGCTCGACAGACCTTTCTAGCTGTCTTCATAATCCATGTATTCGGATGATTCACTCTTCTGCTCGCAACACCACCTGTCTCGTGCTCGAGCTCCGCAGCGAACGCATAACTGAATATCTGCGACAGAATCTCGTAGGGAAGGGTTTGCCACTTAGGTATTATCCCATCACTTGGAATTGGTGGTGCAGCTGGGGCAGGCAGCTTGGTCGGCTTAGAAGCATGTTTAGCTTTGCGGCTGAGTGGCGATTTTTTGGGCGTAGGTCTCTTTGCCTTGGATCTGGTTTCCCTTGGAGATGGTTTGCTTGTTCGTCTTTTGGTTGTCTTTTGTCGCTTCTGCTCAGGCTCCGGAGATTGAAGATGCTCTTCGGCGGAATCCTGCCCCTCGGCAATATCGAAGTCATCATCCGTGTCTGGGTCCAGGTATCGACTTCTCTTTCGAGTTATGGCTTGACGAACGGATCGGCGCTTTGAGGCGTCGGTCTCCATATTCGAGGTTTCTAGTCTATCCACACATCTGATGTTTGAGAATGATAAGAAGTGTGTGTTCTTCAAATGATTTTCCAAAGTTCGTGATTCACAAGGCTGCGTCTTTGCATCGGCACCTGCGAGACCCTGTCCATCATTTTGATGGTCCAAGCGCCTGCGTCATCGTTTTCGTTTCCTGCAGGGTTCAGAACTCAGTTGCTTCTTTCCTCCTTGACTTCACTCACGCTCTAAATTTACCACAACTCGGAATATTCACTCAACCACTCTCGAGACAGTGAACGTGTTTCTTTGTTGTTCTTTTAAAGCATCACATAAAATGCTAGGCGGCTAGGTAGGACCTCAATAAAAGGCACCTTCCTTTCAGGCAAGTCCAACCAGGCGTGAAGGCCATCTCAGAGTCCAGTAGTTCACATTCCTCATGTCACGCTATGCCACGTTCCTTGACACTTCACTCTATGTATTTCACCATGACAACTTCCGCACTCAGTTCGGAATGTGGAAAGTAGGAGCAAGAAGAAAAAACGCCCATCCGTGATGCATTCATTTCGCAGCTATAAGCAGAAAAGAAAGAAGTTATTTACAAGAAAGAAACGAAGGCGCTCTTTGCCTGCATTGTTGGCCTTTCAGATGTCCCCGAATCACCGAGTCCGTCTTCTGACTGAACCCTGGTCGTGCCGTCGGACTGGTTTAGCGATTGGCTCTGTAAGCGGCCCACATGCCTGCCATTCTCTTGGTTTGGCCGGGAGTGAAGTTGGTGTAGCAGGCATCGTCTGAATAATCCATGTAGTTGTGGATGGGGTCGACGCCAACATTCTGAGGGCAGCTGTCCTTTGCCGGCTTGGAAGGGCAACCGTCGGTACTGGTGCTCTGCATGGGTGTGTCGGCAACGAAGTCACCGTTGCCTGAGCAACTGTAGCCCTCAAAGGTGTGCAGAAGACCCATCCAGTGGCCGACTTCGTGGACGGTGGTCTTGCCCTGGTTGAAGCCGTAGATGTTACCGCCAGGCATTGTGTTGGCCTGGATCATGCAACCATCACCGATGTATGTGCTGGGATCAGGCGTGCCGGGACCGATGTTTGAAGGCAGGCTACACGTGCCGAGGATACTGCCAGCGAGGTCGGTCAAGAAGTAGACGTTGAGTGTAGCGTAGGTGCCGTTGCGGAGGGCAGTCTTCAAGGCAGTGGCATCAGAGCCTGCACCCACGGCCCAGGCATCGTTTGTGGTGTAGGTGGTAGCAACGCGCTTGAATTGGATGTTGGTGGGAGCGTAGGCGGTGTTCAAGGCAGCAAATTGGTCGTCGACCATCTTCTGAGAGATAGTACCCTCCTTTGCGGCAGTAGTGATGACATGGAAAGCAACATCAACAGCTATGGGTTGAGCTGCAGCAGCGCGTGCAACGATACCGGCGACCTGTGTTCCACTGTGTGCCTTGAAGACGCCCTGGTGCATGGCGCGGATGGTCTGGTTGAAGTGCGCACTGGCGCGGCTGATGTCAACACCACATTCAAAGTGCTTGTATGCGGTGGTGTTGGCGGGTTTGGCGCTGGCAGAGGCCAGAAGACCGGCAAGGCCGAGGAAGATGCTGGTGAAGTGCATGTTGTCGATTGGGGAGGCCGTAAAACGAAAGAAGAAAGATGTGTGTATGTGCAATAAACGATGACGGTCGAAGAGCAGAGATATGTACAATAGTCTCGTCCGTCCAGAAGATTCACAATGAGATTCAACTCTTGTGAAGATACAAGGACCCAGATACTGGGGACGAGGAATCTATTTATGCGGCTGATTGCAGAAGTGATCGGCAGCCAGTGAAGGACTCGGAATTGCTTGTGAAGTCGAGCACGAGCAGTCAAAATAGACGTTTGCGGCTAACTTCAAGTCCAGGCTTGAGTGACAAAGGATATATGAGGCAAGGCGAAGCGACACTACCGTCGGACCTACGGCCACCACAATGGATTACGCGCCACGATTACGAGAGTAGGACTATGTAGGACGAGGCAGTTCCGAAGATGGAGTGTGGATATATCTTTTTACAGGGTGAAGAAGCGACGGCGGCTAAAGATGCGAGGGACATGGCCGTATAGGGACTGTTGGGGCAAAATGCTTGTCAGGCGGCTGTGAATCGACAAAGCAGATGGCAATGAAAGTCAACTACAAGGCAGGAGAAAGGTCCAGATCGGAGTAAGGGAAAGAACTTGATTCGAGTGATTTTCTCGAGGGTAACAAAACAAGTGAAGATCCAGCCTACCAGGGTCCCCTCCGAACGCCATGTACAATAAAAGAAACAGCTCGACGGCATGCACACATGAACAACATCAAAGAGGAGGGGCCAAGACTAGGCTCTGCCAGTAGTGGTGCCAGTACTGGGTTGATCATTGTTCCAGCTCAAGTAGGTGTGATCACCAAGTTTTCTACATATACGTCAGCATACAGATGCAAGAGGGTGTGCTGGAAGGGCATACCTGGGTCTGATCAGGTGGGTTGCGGTGAACAGAGCACCGAGGACAATGCAGACGCCGGCAACGACGATGTAAGCAATGCCGAGGAAAGGATTACGACCGCCCATGATGGTGCGAGTACTCAGGAGGATGGACTTTGTGCCGCCGTAGATGGTGACAGGGAAGTCTGAAAAGGTAGAGTCAGGTTAGCAGGTCGCGGCAGCATGTTTTCGGGACATAACTCACAGTCGCGAATCTCCATCTCGTACTGGCCACTGCGCATGGTGGCGGTATCGTTGCGCAGAGCCAGCTTACTGAACGAGGGCAGACCGGCAGTTCGCATCCAAACATGGAACTCTTCCCAGTCGTGGATGTTGGGGATGGGGATGGACTCGTTGTACTCGGGGTACATGATGCGCCAGTTGGGTGGAGGGCTGACCTGGTCGGCAGTATAAGCCGTGTTCTTGTACAGGTCGCCGTCACTGCTCCAAGCGATGCCCTTGTTGGTCATGTTGTAGTCGACGGGGTCGGCATCGCCGCGCTGGTTCAGCAGGCGAGGGGTGACGAAGCTGTCGTTGAACATGGAGTTTGCGATCAGACCGCAAGGGTAGTAGGCCTTGCCAGTGTTTCCGTCGATGCGGAGGGGGTCGCAGTCGCTTCCATCGATGGTATCGTTGTCGCGGAAGTTGCCCTTGAGCTGGTCGGCATCGAGCGACTTGACATAGCGGCGATGGTTCTGGTAGAAGTTTGTGAGTTGGTAGTAGAAGAGGACGGGCGGGGCCAGGTCGTCAGGGATCCAGAAGCGCAACTGGCAAATGGCAGTCTCGACGTTGACGGTGCCATTGTGGTACGACACGGTGTCGTTGTAGGTGCGCCATTGGGGGACTTGCGAGGGCGTTGTTGAATTCTTGAAGTGGCTCGAAACAAGGTCTGATGGTACGTTTGTAAAGTTTGCTGTGGCATCGCGTGTGCAGTGTTGGTATTCGATGGATAGCTCCTGGACTTGCGAGCTCGCCCACAGCAACAGTCCTCCCAGGGGCGCGAATATCACTCCGACGGCGAAGAACAAGGGCAGCACTGTCTTGGGCGTGAGGATGGGTTGCCATGCCTTCAAGCGCTGCTGTCGGAACGCCGTGTCTGTGTTGTCATGATCAATGCCTGCTCGCTCTTGCCATCATCGGGAGTCGACCTACTGGGCGGCCTCCTGCTCTTTTCCTTCTTTCCATCCTGGCCCGCTTGCGGCTCCTGCGAGTGTATCGAGTCGTTGTCCATCTGTGTCTGCGACTCCAAAGGCTGTGCTGATGCTAGGAGCAACAATTATTCACCATGCACTTTAGCCTCACCTCCCTCCACCAAGGGTCGCGTCGCGAGCTTACATCCGTGCACCGTGCACCTTCTCCTCGACGGAACCGAAAACTCCGTCCTCATCCGGCTCCGCCTCCTGTTTATTTTTGGCTGACGAATCGCCTTTCACGTGCTAAACTCAATGCCGTCATACAGAGGAAATAATACACGTGATAGTGATGCTGCTTGCTGCCATATACGCGTTGAATTGTGTGCTGCCTTGCTTCTGACCATATCTAAAATCTCATCCGAATCGTTCGTCGCCAACCTGGTGACATGAGACCCATAACGCCTTGTAGTGAACTGAGCAGAGTAGTCCCGGAAAGAGAAAGTAATGTCAAAACGCCTCGCCGGTACCTTGTCCCGGACATGCCATTGCCAAACGCCAGTCCAATCATCCTGTTCCACTCCCATATCATCAATGTGCGTAAGCATTCGTGAACCTGCTAAAGAAAGAAGAAGGAAAAAAACACTAAGGAAAGAAAGTACAACAGATCGAGAAAAGACAACAGAAGAGAAGGAGAATCCGAGATCAGAAAAAGACCGAGAGGTAAGAGATCGCAGAGTCAAGAATCAGTAACAGCAGTCTTCCATGTAAGCACTTGCTGCGGGTAGTCGACTTAGAGGAAGCGTTGCATGTGTTTCTCCTCGAGCCAGCCTACTTTCTCGAAGGCCTTGTGGAGTCTGCTGGTCTTGTTGACATCAATGCCGGTTATACCGTGCTCATCCGCTCCCTTGCAAGCAAGCTGAGCTGCGTTGATGTTGAAAGCATGATGCTTTCTTGCGTACTCAAGACGGTTTGCAAAGAAGCGACGCTTAATGTAGATGTAATCAGAAGGTGTCAGGACAAGCTTCGACACGACCGGAATTTCCTTCGCATGTAGGAGGTGGCAGTCTTCATGATTGGTGACATCTTGAGGCGTTGCTTTCCACTCAATGTTTGGGAAGTTGACGTGGTCGCCGTCCAAAGTTGAGAGTGGGGGGCAATAGTCCGGGTAGATAGAATAGTCGCGTGCAACCTTGTCAGCTGGTGCTTTCATTCGGTTTGCGTCATTGGTACGGCGACGAAACTTCTTTTCCTGTACATCCAAAGGCGCCTCGCGAGGCGAGACCGAGGGTCTGGGGTGTGCCTTGCTGGTAGATGGCTTTCTCGTACGCTTGGGTGGAGGCATCTCGACTACGCTATCAGCTTTGCGCTTCTGTGACTGATCTCTCCTTCCCACTGTGGTCGAGTGTCTTCTGGTGTATTCAGTAGCATCGGCAGGAGAGACTTGCGCCAAAGCTGCAAGCATGCCTGGAGGTGCTCCAATCGGGAAGTTAGGTGTGGGCAGGGTGAACATTCCTTGCCATTCCATGACGACTGGCAAAGCATATGTCTCTGGATCAGTGGTCTGCCTGGCCCAAAAGTCGTTGCTGCCATATCTAGGAGTGCTTGGAGATATCGGTCTCCTCATGTGAATGTCGTGAGCAGTCTGCCTTTGCTTGGGCTTCCTACCAGGTGGGAACGTATGTCTTTGAGCTAGATTGCCGTGTGCGGGTCTGTCAGATGATTGAGCATGTTGTCCGAACAGAACGGCAGGTTCCATCGGCTGGGGTCGAGCAAGACCACCGGCGTGAGAGTGAGGTTTTGCGGAGTCTCCAGTACTACGTTGCTCTGAAGGGGCAAATCGCTGCTGGTCCTTTACAGACAGAACGGCAGGCTGTATTTGAAGAGTCTGAGCCAGGTTTCCAAATAGAGGCTGTGGTCTTGCGACCTCATTAGTAGCTGACGGTCGGTCAGGGAACAATGGAGCATCTTGGCTTCTGCTGAACTTGATTGGAGATCTCAGAAAGTTTTCCGCAGGACTCCTGTAAGATGCGACCGGCAATTGCGGAGACGATGATGGCGACGGCATCTGATTAACTAGACTGCTGATCGGTGGTAGTGTGATTCTCTCCTTTCGCGTCGAGGGGGCAATTTGCTGCTCGTTGAATATTGGTGAAGATGGCGCAGAAAAATTATTGATAACTTCGTCTGCTGGCGAAGGATATACGCTTGTGGCGGGAGCCTTGCCCTTTGCTGCGTTTGAGTCCATTGATCCTGATTGATTCGCTGGCGATTCATGCATCTCTCTTAGGTACGAATACTGTGCGTTGAGCGCAGCAGAACCCATTGTCTCAGAATTTGAGGTCAATGTTGGAACGGTCGTGGTGAGTGATGAGTATGGTTACTATCAGACTGCGATGGAAGATATCCAGAGCAGAGAGAGGGTGCGAAGAGGGTCAAGAGGAGAAACCAGTGGCGAAGAGGTGAGTATATATCCTCGGAGCAAGGCGAGTTTAAATCCGACGCAATTGAGTGCAGTTTAAGCTTCGCGCCTAAAAGTCGCTGCCTGCTGAGTCAATGGGTCAAGGACAGGCTGACCACTCTTATCAATGATTGTGCGGCGGGTCAGGACGCTTGAATATCCAATGGAGGGGAAATGAGAAAGATGCGCCCGTGATTGATACGAAAGGGTTGCGGAGAGCGAGTCTTGTGAAGATATGGGGAAGGGGGGGTGAATCCGAATGATATGTTCGGGTGAGACATGATCATGCAAGAGCGAACAGGCAGCAGTACCTACCTAGGGTCTGCTGACGAATGGATGCGGCAAAGGAATAACGCGGAACATCGAAGGTGCTCGAATAAGAGAAGGCAAAAAGCGCAGCAAGACCCATTGGCCAATGAAATAAGCGGCTGCGCTACTTTACGAGCGCGAGGCACCGAGGTCACTAAACCAACCACCGCCTGCGTTGCTGTACTAGTGAGTTATTGTTGTTCATGGCAGTCCGGTTCTGTTGCTGCTTTTGCGTTGGTTGTGTTGTCGAAGAGTCATCTTGCTCTCGGCTCGGAAAGACCCTGCACCAAGCCTCATCCGTCCCAAGTGCGGCTCTGCGAATCATTCACCGACCGTGATTCTCTCTTCCCTATCGCTGTGCTGGCTCACACGAAACCCCCTCTCGCCGCTTGTTTTTGAGTCCTCCATCCACGGCTTTGACATTACGCTATCTGAAACCATTCTGGGTATGACAATTGCGAGTGATGGCGTCAATTGTATCAGCCCATTGATCCCGTCCATTGGGCAACAATCCAATGGGTTAGAGACGAACTCCACGCGATTGAGCGCACCGCCTCGGCGCCTCCTTCCCTCCTCGCTCGATCGAGATTGGTCGAGAGGGGCAAGCGCCTGTGTGTTTGTCCGCTTATCAGGTGGGCTTGGTGGGATCAGATCAATCATCAATCACGCATTCGCCCGGGTCCGGCGAGACCAACAACGAAACTAACGCCAAGCAAGCACTCCCCAATGCCTGGATTCGGGGTGATTGCATTCCTACTTCAGCTTGGGCTGTCAGCAATTTGTTTTGAGGCTGTCGGCCGAGGGTGTGCATTGCGCAGATGATAACTTCATCGTCAATTGACCCTCTATCGTCAAGCATTGAGTCCTCAACTGACCCACGAGCTCATGCGTCATAGAGTCATTCTTGCGACCGTCTTTGACATGTGAAAGCCCTCTCCAATTGACTTTGCTATCTTGATGCATCCTCTGCAGCAACGGCGCGATGGTGGCGGACTCTTGGCTCACCACCCCCCACGCCCTAAAGCTAAACAAGTACCCCTCATTGCGAGTTGCGGCCACCCGCCTCCTCCTCCGCTTCTCCTGTGGACCACGGTCACACGGCACTTGATGTCTACAGGCTACTATTCACCGTGTAGGTAAAAGCGCTGACACTATTGACGATACGTGCGTACGCGTACGGAGTCCTTATGGAGTCCCCTCTTAACGAATACACCAAGTCGAGTAGCATCAAGGTATAATATACAACCGGTGTCCACAGCCTATGTTTGAGACCCTCTCTGGATTGAGGGATGATAGGCTAGGCCTTCAACCGACGAACACATGTCCTGAAACAATCTCGTGCCGACAGGGTGCACCTCCACCGGAGCCAAAGAAGAATATCCAACCGATGCGTGACTTGTTCTGTATATTGCACTGTTCCAAGCGCAATCACGGTCCAGTCGTGATCATCTGCACGCTTCTTTGCAGCAGGCAGCAGGGCAAATGCAGGTCGTCGGCTCATGACCGCAGCGGATGCGAGTAATCGTCGGATAGCAGTGTCTGGTCACACTGGCTTTGGGACGCGACAGCGAACGCTGCCAGGGTTCATGAGCATAAGAAGAAGCAAGCGCAGCTCTGATATCAGCCATTGGCCTTGTTCAACCCAAGGACTGTCGAGAAAGAAGAAACACTTGTTACGGTTCTCCAATTGACATGTCGTTCTGTCGCTGCAGATCTGCAGATCCGGTGAATGCCCTGCGCCGGGCGGGCCGCATACTTTTATCGTGGACCTCGTGTGCATGTACAGCGATGAACCACTGTAGCATGTGTGCCTCGCCTGTCATCTGGACGTACTCGGCTACATGCTAACCTTGTACCTCTCTATTCAAGCCATAGCAACTTATCAGCCGGTGTATCTTGACCAAGCTGTAGAGTATCGCATGTGGTCTAGGTGACCGGTTGCTAACCTGCTTTTGCCAGATGACCTTTTGACAATTCCATCTTGTCGCAGAAGCAATCTACGATAAGGCTACACGTATCTACAGGTGAGATTGACGATGAGCATGACGACGGCTTTGAGCAATCACGATGTACTGTAGAACTGACCATTACTGCCGTCTCTACTTTTTGGTTTTTACGTGCTTCCCCCACTGTACGGTCCGAGTCTGCGCAGATATATGGTTACATAGTGTACTCAAGACGTATAAGAACAGTCTGAAAGCTTGTCATCCTCCATCTTCCACAACTGTAAGATTGCAGGTGTTCTGCTGCAGCTCGGTATCCGTAATAATCTTCATGTACTCATGCTGTCCGGGGTACCCTGTCTCTTCGATGAAGCATGCAAAATGTTTACTGAACTGTGTTGCCTCATGAACAATGCAGTTGAAACCGTGCTCTGAGTGCAGAAGCTTTTCAGTGTGTAGTGTTGGGCCCCTAAAGTTGATGATTGACCTTGTATAAACATTTCTCGCAAAATATCCCAAGGTTGTCGATCACGACCACGACGCGGAACAGCGAGCAGCATATTCTAAGCTTCAATCATTCTCACAAATCACAAAAACATCCAATTGTCCTTAGACACACCGAAAAACAATGACATTACCTCAATCCCGCGCCTTCATAACCTCCCTCATCACATCTCTAAACACATCGCCGACATCAACCACAGCCACATCCACATCATTCAATCCTCTCAAACAAGCCACACCAGCAGAAAAGTCAACCCTGCTTACCCTTCACGTGCTATACCCAAACGAACTGCTCGCAGCGCTGGACCTACTAGACCGAGAACTAGTCATAAGAATGATGCCCCACTGTCCAACAAACCCGCCACCAGCATCAGAAGGATCCGATATTCAAATGGAAGGAACGGCCACAGAACCAGATAATACCGCTACTACCGCCACTACCGCCACGTCCTCAGAAGACAAGAATGGCATCAGAGATAAGGGCTATGATAACGCAATCTACTATGTTCGTTCAGCACAGCAGACATCTTCGAATTCACGGTTCAGGGATCCGGTGGCGTCGAGTACGCATTATGAAGTCAGGACGTCGAGTTGGAGTTGTTCGTGTCCTGCGTTTACATTTGCTGCATTTCCTGTGGTTTCAGTTGATGAAGAGGAAGAAGAAGGGGACGGAGAGATTGAGGCAGAAGCAGATGAGGGATGGAATCAAGAGTGGAGGGTAGGAGGCTTGTCACTGGGCAAAGATGTGCCAATGTGTAAGCATTTGCTTGCTTGCGTGTTAGCAGAGAGAGCAGGATCATTTGGAGGATACGTGAAGACGAGGGAGGTCAGCATCGAAGAACTCGCTGGCTGGGCTGCTGGATGGGGTGGATGAACGCCTGAGTGTCAAGCAGACTCTCATGTGCATACGATTCACGAAACGGTCAATGGGTTGTTGGCGTATTTGCTTTTCATATCATGTTGTATGGGCCTTGCGACAAGAAGACGCCCGAGTTTGTTGCTCGACCGGCGCCTGATGCGTCCTCTGATAGTGTTCCTCCGGTCCCCCTTATATTACAAACGCCCGATGCATGCAAGATATCGCTGCCGGAGTCTCAATAGACTCAGCTGTAGCGATAGCTAATAAGACACGTCATGTTTTCGTAACTGGTGCGCGCTTTCATGTCCTTCATCCCTTCTTCTCGTCCTTGGACTTGTCATCCTTTCCTTGCTGCTCGGCCGGTGCATCGCCGTTCAACATGAGGTTCTCAGTCTTCTTGATGGTCTCTTTCGTCTTGTCCTCCTCCTTCTTCAGCTCCTTATCGTCGGCCTGCTGCTTGTTTTGAACCTTGTTCTCGATAAGGTCGTGGAAGGCGGTGATGGCACGGATCAAACTGCCGAGGTAGATAGACATGAGCTGGTCATTGGTCTTGATGCTCATGGCACGAGCAAGCTCAGAATCGCCAGCTGCTTGTGGGCCAGCGAGACCAATGGCGCCTGCGGTCTTGGGTGTGGAGAGGTTGGGCAACAGGTTGAAGACGTCCTGGAGGTTGCCGAGAATTGCGTGGTTGACGGAGAGTTCTTCATCGACCACTTTGTCGAGGTATCGACCGATGTCTTGCAGACGGTGATGCAGACCTTGCAGCGACTGCAATTGCGATGTCACACGAGTCGAGAGAGTGCCGACAGCAACGTCGCGGATATCACGTAGCAAGTGCTCAACTCCAATCTCTTCTGCTTCTTCGGCTTCGATGGTCGAGGGTGTGTGGACGAAGGTCTTTGCGGTTGTGGTTCCGTCCTGCAACATGTGTAAGTCTAAGGGAGAGATTCTATGGCGTTTGACTTGAACGTACGTCTTTGATCTCGTCAACAGCAAAGTAGGCATCGGTCGGCACACCGACATCCTTGGGCTGGACGTCAATGATGACAAGAAGGGGGTTGGGTGTGTAGCGCTTGAACAGCTCGTTGATCTCCAGGTCTGAGGCGCGCAACTTGGGGCCGGTGTGGTACCATCCAATCAACTTCTCGCGAGCGTTGACTTTCTTGAACATGTCGTTCATTGATTCGATGTAGTTGTGGTCGAGGAACCATACGGACGGGTCCTTCTCATCCTCCTCAAATGGCACTGAGAGGCGATCGTCAGTATCGGGTGCGCACGAGCGCAAGCAGTGGCAACATACCAGCAAAACTGTTTGACACTCTCACGTTCTTTCCATCATTCTGGCCCAGCAGCACACCGACGACTCTCTTGCGTGTGCCCTTTGCTGAACGAGCATAGTGATCTGTGGCCGAGAGTAGCACTAACGGCGCTACCGACACGTTCCTGTTGACAAGCGAGAGCGTTTCTGCGGTGGTTGACGGCATGGCGGTCTGGATGTGCGATGTCGTCGGGAGTTGTTCGAGATGAATTAGAGGTCGAGCGAAGATGGGATGGAAATGCGAAAGTGACTGTGCAGTTGTGATGACGATGGCGGATCGAGCTTGAAGCTGGACGGCGTTGCTGTTCGAACATCTCCGAAGACTTGGCGTTTGTTTCTACACTCTTTTACATCTCACTTTAGCAACGATGTCAATCATGCTTTGATCAATGCATTATTCTTGGATAACAGCTATACTGCAGCTATCATCTGTGCTGGTATCACTAGTAACTACTCATGGTAATGGGTATCTGATGTAAGCCATAGACGCCTTCCCCTTTCCTTCCATTGCCTGCCTCCTTTTGAACATTTCAGATGCATCAGATCTGCATCGAGGTCTCCTCATCCCACCACTGTCTAAATATTTGCAGACGTTGAGTTCTCTCTCTGGCCATTTCACGTCCGGAGTGTGTCTGTATCTTGTCAGTCGTGCGCTAAGCTAGTCCGAGGAAAAGCACTTACCTTCATCATGTTCTCCAGTCTCTCGAGCTTCTCGACAAAGTGCTCGATGCTTCCGTCCAATCCTCTGTCTGGTTGCTTGACTGCGCCAAATGCAAAGCATCTGCCGATACCCACTGCACCTATCGCATCCAATCTGTCGGCGTCCTGCACAATACCCAGTTCCGGGTGTTGGTCAAGCACCGCCTTCATCATGCGAGGGTTCTTGACTTCATTGGAGAATGATACGTTCTTGGCAATGAGTTGCACCTTCATTGCTAGATCGGGACTTGCTCCATGCTCCAAAAGATGTTCTGCAATCTGGTTTTCTGGATTCTCTCCTGGCTTGTGATATTTGTGATCGCCGACATCATGCAGCATAGCCGCAAGGAGAACGGCTTGTGGGTCGTACGTGACTCCCTGGAAAGACTGTGTCTCCTGCTCCAGAATGCGTCTTGATAGGGCAAAAACTCGTGTGACGTGCTTGAAGTCGTGCGAGGCGTCGTAGCGGGACATGTACTCCTGTACAAACTGCTTCGTGGGCCAGAAGAGGTTCTGCTCCAATGGAAAGATGCCTTCCAAGTCGGCGAAGGCTGGAGGCTCCAAAGGTAGCTGGTCGTCGACATTGATTGGTGTGGGCTCGGGGTTGTTGGGACCTCGGACAATGCCTGGTATCGGTGGCCTTGTCACCTTGCCAGGAAGGTTGTAGCGCATGCGGTATTGATCGAGCCAGTCTCTGTCAAGGTTTGGTGGAGACTTGCCGCGATATTGTGGCATCTCAGCGTACATTGCCAATGCTCTGGCCTTGAGTGTGTTTCCGTGCACAGCCTCGCCTCTTGCAATCTCGGCCATGTGCCATTCATGCAGAGCGTCTTCCAGCTCGGGCATCTTCGAAGCAGTGAGTGTGACCTTGGCTCTGTATGCGCCATGGTTGTGCTTGTGGTCCTTGATGACAGTGACCCATTCGTCAGAGAAGCGTCGCTTGGAGATGAGGATCTTCATTGGACATCCAGTCTTTCTGCTCATGCGGTTGCGCACTCTGGTTCCTGGATTCTTCTTGAAATGGTCACGGAAGTAACCACCCATCTCACAAGTCAACAAGACTTTGTTCGTCTCGCCATTCTGAACATTCAAGTCAGTCTAGTTTCAAAATATACTCGAAACTTCTAAAGCAGTACCGCAGCAAACTAAAGCAGGGTAGGAGGTATCAGAACACGTCCGGTTGATGGCGAAAATCACAAGTCACGATGAAAATAGCAAAGATGCTCACCTTGTCCTTGTAAGAGTGGCCAATGACCAGAACGTAGCCATGATCCTTTGCAAAGTTCTTGACGGCCTGGTGGTCATCAGCAATGTTGGATACAAAGACAGGGTATTTCAGGGTCTGACATCAATGCCCTCTTGCTTGGTGGCATGCACCTCAGGCGGTGGTGGAGGTAGTTCAGTACGGCTCAAGTCGGCCTCCCATCTTGCACGCAGCTCGGCAACTCCGTCAGGTGTGTTGCTACGATGGATAAATATAATGGTCTTCAAATCTGCGATCAGCTTGGCTTACCTGTAGACTTTCTGCCATTCTGCTTCGGTCCAGGTAGTGTTCGTGCGTTCATTGGACGCGGTTGGGGAAGGTTGGTGCACAGGGCTTTGTGTGATTTGGTTGCTCGAGTTGGCAGGCCTTGTGACAGAATTACATTGCTGTATTTGATAAACACGTGAATTGTATAGACTTACGTTAGGAACGGTCTTTGAGCAGTCGCCGCGGAAGAGTTTGGAGCGTGAGCAGGACCAGGATGCGCCAGATTCGGGAAAGACGAAAGCACAAACTGCATGAAATTGGGAGTCGAGGCAGCTGGATTATCCGAGGGATTTTGAGCCGAAGACTCGTCGCCGAAAGACGAGTACATGTTCTGGTAGTCCATGAACGATAGTCCCTCGAACAGTCAACGCGTCGAGATGATGTGGAAAAAGACAGCGAGGAGTTTGCTTTGAGAACAACTCCGGAGGTTGCGCCCACTCGGTCCCCTGGTCGATCATGTGCTAAAGCTGGGGTAAGCCGAGGCTCCCAAGGCTCTCTGCCAGCGTCACCGACTTCGCGTTCGCATGCTCTCTGTTTTTCTCCTGAACTTGATCACACATTTGCTTCCGGCCTCGAGATCATGGAGCTCTACAGGCATGTGTCGCACACGACACAGGAAGCCCTTGCGCTTCCGCCAAAGTATCTACGCATGTATGGGGACTTTGTGACGAAGAATGCCAGTGCCGTCAGCCAGATCGAGGGTGCATTGCGGTCATTGACCTATATCCTACCAGGTATTGCCTCCTCTGTAGCCAAGCAAACATAGTGTTAATGGCATCAGGTCGGTTTCGCGACACGGAGATTGCCTCTGAATCTTGTAAGCAAAACGAACAATCTGTTCCCAGACCACCAGAGCTGAACCTGTCGCATAGTACACTCGAGCGTACAACTGCTTTCGATATACCATGACTCCCTACTCGCTCGCGCCGTGCAGCGTCTACCTGCTTTGCAACGTCCTCATTCGTCACCACATACTCGCTATACCAGGTTCTGGTCGCAAAAGTCACCGGCGTATAAACGACTCGCCATGCTTTTGCAAGTAGTGCAATACACCGAGCTACTATGTGAGATGGCAGCAAAGAGGAGGGGAGAGAGGGCGAGGTGGAGGGCAGTTGTCATCCTTGAGAGCATCAAGGCTATGTGCAGATTACTGCTCATGCGTTTGACCAACTCTCGCCCCTTGTTGAACCCGCCCTTGCCGGAACGCGAGGCAGACCCAAGCACATTGGAAGAGAAAGACTCTAGTGGTCTCGAATCACCACCATCAGAGAAATCCGAGGACACTCAGTGGACAATGCCTAGGACTGGTCTTTCGCTACCTACACTGCCATCATCGTCTGACATATCCGGCTATCTGCTTTCTAAAGCTCTGACCGCGGACGACATCAAACCGCCAAAGGCCCTGTTACATCGCGTCAACGGAATGGGAGAACTGGCAGAGGTCCTCTACATCCTACGACCAGTCATCTATGCTGCCGCGATGCATTACTGGGCCACCAAGAACAAGAAGAGCTGGCAGCCTTGGGTATTGGGAGTCACGATAGAATACGGTGCCCGCCAGCTGGCAAAGAAGGATCTCCAAGAAAGGAGAGCTGGCGGATTACGGGCGTTGACCGCACTCGAAAAGGAGGAACTGAAGAGAAGAGGCTGGAGCCTTGGGTGGTGGCTCATGAGAGGTGCATTCTACGAGACCTTTACGAAGTACGTTCACCCTGAATCATCATACGAAAGGTTGACTCTACTGACACATCATGAACAGAGCGTGGATCCATTCGGTGACAAACAAGCTCCGAAACAAACCCCTGCTTGACATGGCTGGTGGTATTATTGAAGATTATGAGTTCCTATGGGACCAGTACTATTTCCCTACAGCGACATTGTAATCGGGAAATGAAGGCTGGCAGGAGCGTTTGAGACGTTATGAGGAGTTTGTTTGAAGGTTATCTGGAGGCTAGGTATCTGGGGGTTATCATGGCGTTGCGGTGCAGCATTGAAAAACAGATGATACGGATACCCATCACTCGTCGGACAGAGTCGTGTGATTGTACTAAAGATTGTGTCATTCAGCTTCATGCTGGCTCACTCGTGCCTTTGTTCCCTTTCCTGGTGCAAGTCACGCTTTCACAGTCACTTCGCTTTGTGTTGGAGATAAGACACGGAGCTTGACGCTTGTGACCCGGCGGCCGTTCGTGTTGTCCGTGCTCGCTCACCCCGCATCCGTGTCATTGGTCATCGCAGCCTGCGCCTGACTATCACTCCTTCCCTTTCATCTACCGACCGTCACCTTCACACAACCTAGCTACCTCTTACCATCTCAACTTCTTCCAACTACATCTTCACCACAACAACTCAACCACAAATCGCAAGCATGAGATCCAAGTTCAAGGACGAGCACCCGTAAGTCGCTGCCTAACGTCAAGGCGGTCAAGGAACGTCACGACTAACACGCCATCACAGCTTCGAGAAGCGCAAGGTCCGTTGATGCGCCATCAACATCAACCCAGAACTGTCGCGATACTAACTCCGTATAGGCCGAAGCAGAGCGTATCCGCGTCAAGTACACGGACCGCATCCCTGTAAGTCTTTATCTCCCGCTCGCTGCGAGGCCGGAAACGATACTGACGCCGTGGCAACACAGGTCATCTGCGAAAAGGTCGAGAAGTCGGACATCGCCACCATCGACAAGAAGAAGTACCTGGTCCCCGCCGACCTCACTGTCGGACAGTTCGTCTACGTGATCCGCAAGCGCATTAAGCTTTCGCCTGAGAAGGCCATCTTCATCTTCGTCGACGAGGTCCTGCCACCCACCGCCGCCCTCATGAGCAGCATCTACGAGGAGCACAAGGACGAGGACGGATTCCTCTACATCACGTACGTGCTTGCAAGAAGTCCACGATTGAAACACATGAGCTTACACAATACACAGCTACTCGGGCGAGAACACCTTCGGCGAGGCCGTCTAGACCATACCCAACCCTCTTTCCTTATTTTAATGCCAACGATATCCTTACACGGATCACCAGGAGTTTCGGAGTCTTTGGGAGTCACGATGGAGAAGGATGATTTGAGGGAGGACCGATCGCCGAATGCAGCGCCGGAGAAGGCAGGACAAAGCAGCAGCTCGTCACATTGATGACAGAGCCCGTCAAGAAGAACCACCACCGCTCAAGCCCTCGTCTCCCGTTTAGCTGCCTGCTTCTACACATGCTTTGAATGAAACCCTTTACATAATCATCTGTCTGTTCCGTTGACGTGAAGTTAACCTCACAAATCTGCGTGACTTGTTGGATTTGGACTCGAAAGACGTTTCAGGATCGAGTTCCATAGTTGTCCCACGTTCAAAACATGAGCACAGGAGGCAACTGATCAACAAGTCAAGTTGGGCGATGCCCACCAGGGTGGTTGGCAAGGTACCTGACTTATCAGGGTGATATGCGCCTTATCTCCGGCTTCGCGACTTAGCGCGTCATGCGACAGGCAGCTTTCCAGCGGGCCGGGCCCGAAGCCAAACTGGCAGAAACGAACTTCACGGCTTCAAGAGCCCAAGGACATCAAGGAATATTGCGAGCCAACATCTATACTCTTTAATATTAGGCTACGACACTATCTACAAACACAGCATAGTCTGAACGCCAATAATTCACCATGTCTGCCCCGCGCTACGCCTACATCATCTCCAAGTCAGTAGTGCCCCGGACATGAATGCACGCGGCAAGCGGGTGACTGATGGCTTCCCACAGGAACCTCGACCCGGTGTTTGCATTGTTCATCGGAGGCTCGGCAGCCGTCGTTCGCATCAACCGTGACGAGAAGGAGAAGGGCAAGTCGACACAAGACACGATCGAGTCGCTCAAGAGAAGAATTGGCAAAGCAACTGGCATGAGCTCATGAAGCAACAACCCATAGACAAGATGATCTATGTCGGCTCATTGCCCTCGGAGTAAGGACAGCATACCACTGCGACTAGAGAAAGCGACCACTGTAAGATTGCTTTGCGAGGAGGAAGGCAAGGATGCGCTACCAAGCAGCACACGACACAGTCCTGTGCAAGATGAAGAACAATTCTGAAGAGCAGAGAGTTTATCCTTGGAGAAGGCCGCTAGCTGGCCTTTCATAGACATACAACAGCAGAGAAGTGAAGGAAGGTGGAATACTCGAGTCTACTTAACCGTAAGGAAGTGGTGTCTACAGTATCACTAGACAAGTTAAAAGTTGAGCGTAAGCGAAAGCAAAACGTACTTAACTCCAAATCATCTTATACCAATAAATCAGTCTGATTCACTCGTCGTGCTCTACATCAGTTGCAGCCAAGGGTGAAGTGCGATACTCGGTAAATTGAATCGCGTGCGCGTCATCTCTCCGCGACGCGTCCTCTGGCTTTCACACGACCTTGACCTTCACTCGAGCAGCGTAAGTTTACCGATGTTCTCGAATTACGGCGATGACCAAGCGTAACGAACTTCGTAACTGTTCCGAGGCGAGGCGCACTGCACAACCACCCCGAAATGGCACAACGAGGCCGAGTGGTGATCGACCTGAGCGAAGACAGTCCACCACCACCTGAACTAGAGTCGCACAAGGCCCAGCCCGCAAAAGTTCCCGATACACGCTTCATAACTCCCTCGGACGACGACAACGACGACGATAGCGATGACGGGGTCATGTTCCTCTGGGGCACGCGCAAGCAACGCCATGATACCAACGTTTCGAACACGCTAAAGTCGAACCTGCCTACCAATGTCCTCGATGGCAAGAAAGATGTTACTAAGCCAGCACCCACACAACCGAACATCTCGAGACCGCTAGGTCCGCTTCCAAACGCCCAGAAGCCAACCAAGTCGTCCCTCGTACCGCCGCGATCTTCGTTTGTGCCGTCGCTTCAACAACAGCCACGTCCACATTCGCAGCCTCAACCACAATCACAGTCGGGACCAGCACCACAAAACCAAACACAGCCACGACCGCAGCCTTGGCCAGCAGCGCCACCTGATGGTCGTGAGAGTTCTGTCTCTATAGCGAACCCGTCAACAAAGCTGTTCCTTGCTAGTCTATCCAGATCCCGTGCTACACCTTCAGCCTCCATACCACAACAGTTGAATCTGCCGCCCGGCGCAACACCGCTCCCTTCTACTTCTTCGATCCCACCAGCGCACTCGCATTTTCAATTGCCTCCGCAGTTCTCAAGGCCTTCAAGACCATCATCAGCACATGCAGGCCTAGATTCTCAAGCACATGCTCCACCACCTGGTTCCTCGGGCAAATCAATGGGACTAGCTCCCTCACAGCCTGTGGAATTATTCGAACTCTCGTCTGCACCTGCACCTGCACCTGCAATACCTGCTCTCAAACATCCTGCACTGCCACCTACCCTTCCTTCAAGAGTCGCGTCAGATCCACCTCCAACAGTCTTACCAGAAGAAATCTCTAGAGGAAGGAACGGCGATACTAGCGCTGAACATGCTCGGAACAACAACCTATCTCAGTCAATTGGCTTGAAACCAGCGCCCGCGGCGCCCTCTTCAAGCAAGCATGTGTCCAGGACACTTGCATCACTCTCGTATCCCAGTGAGCCTCGCCAGCCAAGGAAGGAATCAGAAGCAGCACCTACGAGCTCGAAGACCTCAACATCTTTGGTCACGCAGCCACCAGAGCCTTCCCAAAAGAGGACACTCCCAGCACAACAGCAGGCAACGCTTCCTCTCAAGCCCGCTGTCAACAATGCTGTCGACCCGGGCTCACCCTTTAGTGATGACAGCTTCGTGACTGCGGTCGGCAGTTCAAGCTCTGTGGCCAGTAAACCTGCAAGCAAAAGCTCTCCACGAATCGGAAAGAGAAAAATGGAAGTTATTGAAATTGATGACGACGAGCCGCTGAAGCGCCTCAGACGTACTCGATCTTCTGCAGCTAGACCAAAGAGTCCAGGCGTATTGGTCCAACCGGACTCTGTCATGGGTTCTGTCGAAGTCGACACGCACGATCAATTCACTTTCCCGAGGGACATCACAAAGATCAAGCCATTCAAGAACAGATTCGGACAGCCATTTACCTTGGAGGAAGACGCGCTGGTGAGGCACCTGAAGGAGGTCAAGAAGATTCCGTGGAAAGATTTCGAGCGTTTTTTCCCAGGAAGAAAATGGCCTTCGATGCAATCAAGATACTCTAAGGTGTTGTCCAAACTGACAGTGAGACCATCCGGTTTGGTACCTTTGTCACTGTCGGCGTCGACAAGAGAGAAACCTCAGAGAGAGATACCCCGACCGACCAGAGAAGTGCTCCGTCCGGCGAGAGAGTTACGCGGCACGCATCACGTCCATGCAAACTCTGTCGATTCCTCCTCAATACGCCAGAAAGCGGAAGAAGAGATCATGGATGACCCCTACCGATGCAGACGCGTGACCCACCCCTTGAATTATCTCATACGACATCGAGAAATTGGGGCTACTCGCGGACGCCAATGGCCTAGAAAGATTCATGCAGGCTTCAAGGATCTTGCTTATAACAGTATGGGAGTGCAAGCACACATGGATAACGCTTCTGGTGACGTGTCGACCGTTGCATGGTCACCAGACGGCAAGTTTTTCGCTGCCGGCGCAGTGGCTGTTGCAGACCGCCAGACGATCGATCACAGCAAACCGCGCAACCTTGTCATTGGAAGTGCTGCGACCCAGACCGCAAAAGAGCTACCCCAACACACCATCAAGCATATGCTGCCCGACGGACGCCAGAAAGACGCCTTCGCAACGGTTCAGTTGGTAGCCTGGAGCCCTGACAGCAAATACATGTACTCGGTTGGCATCGACCGGCGCCTACACAGATACAAGGTCGGTGAATCGCCGCTTGAAACCACACTTGTCGATACAGTAGAACATCCAGCATCTGTGGATTTCCTATCAGTCAGTAACAATGGTTTGGTAGCAACTGGTTGTGCTTCCGCGGACGCTGGCGCTATTCGTGTACTTGCTTATGACGACGAGAATGCCACGTCGAAAGCTGTACGTCTCTCCGGAACAGTGCAGAGTAGAAAGACCCCTTCAGCTCTGAAATGGGGTACAGCACATAACCATCAGAACTACCTACTTGCAGGCTTCTCGAGGGAGGTTGAAGTTCGTTATGCAGAAGACGACAACAGAGACAAGGAGGGTGAGGTCGCGCTATGGGACATGAACACCCAACAAAGACTTGAGACGGATGCATCAAACAAGAACATCTTTGATCTCGCCTGGAATCCAAACCCTAGCAGCGGCTCGTCTATCTTCGCAGTTGCGAGCGGGACCTTCGGCCACGTGAGCCATGGCATTGAATCAGTCGTACGCCTCTACTCACCCAGGCAAAATCGTGCACAACACACAATGGAGCTGGACTGTCCAGCATGGGACATCAATGATGTTATATACTCTCCACATGATAGCAACCTCATCGCAGTCGGCAGTACTGAGGGCAGGGTTTACATATGGGATGTCCGGTACACAAAGCACGGCCAGTCGCCCCTGAGCACCCTGAGACACGAAGAAACTGTGGCAGTTGAGATGGACACAGGCATACGCTTCCTGTCATGGGGTTCAGAACGCAACCGACTCTACTCAGGCTCATCCGACGGAGTGGTGAAATGTTGGGATCCCTACCGCCACGATTCAGACAAAGAGGTCCGCGACGTGGTCAGACTAAGCTCGTCCGTGATGTCTGGAGCTTTCAGCCCCGACTTCTCTCACCTCCTGCTCGGCGAAGCTGGTGCCAGACTGAACTTGCTAAGTGTGGGTAAAGATGGTGCAAGATTCGACCAAAGAACCACACCTAGATTCAAGGTGGATGAAGCGCCATTGAAGGAAGAGGCTGCTTCCGGAGCTTTGGACTGTCAGAAGATGTTCGACACCGAAGCACTCGAAATCAAACCTGCGGGAACTATGCCGTTCAGACAGGTTGTCCAAGGCCCGAACTACAACGGCCCGTATCGAAGTGATAGCGAGGCAGTCAAACTACGCGAGAAGGCCGGCAAGTTTCAAGAAAAGGTGCTTAGATCGCTGAGACGCCGTAACAAGCAGACTCGCAAATCAGGCCATCAAGACACAGAAGCTTGTAGTCTTGATTGTGGATTCATCCCTTTGCCGGATGATTACGATGCGCCAGAGAAATGGCTCTCAGAGCGGATTCCAGATGATATTTGGGATTGGATCAGAGCAAAGGGACCAATGGCCGAATTCGCTTGCTTCCGCTGTGGTAAAGCAGCGACCATCACATCTAGGGCTCGGACAATTGAGTGCGTAGCTTGCGGTACGACATGGAAGACGGGAGCCCTAGGCTACGAAGTGATCGAGCAAACCAAGACGGGCGTGTCTGGCTTCAAGAGCGAGGAAGAAGAGACAGAGAGTGTCGACGACCTTTGTGATTCGGAGGACGAGGTCGAACGATTCCGCGAACTGTCGATAGATAGCGACACGTAGGCGGCTGCCTGACGAAGCGCTTCTCGCTCATACATAGAGTGATGGTCAACAAAGAGACAATAATGATCAAACGAATTATGCTACCAATGCCAAGTAGGAACGAGGTGACCCTGTCAGACATGTGAAAGCGCGCTAAGAATGCGGAGAAGAATTGGGCGGGCGAAAGAAGCCGAGCACCGAGCAACTTTTTTGGACATTGAAGATTCGGCCACTGCTGAACTCGATAGTGCAGCCTTCATCATGGTAAGTCATTTCTCTTTGCCCGGTTGTTTCGTCATGTGTCTTGTGGAACGTACTATTCTACGAATGTGCTCCATCTCTGAACCATCATGACTACCGCCGCCGACAGCAAGAATCAGACTGACATGCGATGATAGAAAATCAAGGCCCTCACTCGCACTGCGTCGCAGCAGCAGACGCCAGGCACTTCGGTGCAACGGCAGACACGCAACCTGGATCCCGCATTGCACCCTTTCGAACGAGCCCGCGAGTACACCAGAGCGCTGAATGCGACAAAGATGGACCGCATGTTCGCACAGCCCTTCCTGGCCCAGCTAGGTCGCGGTCACGTCGACGGAGTTTACACCATGGCCAAGGACCCCAACTCGCTCGAGAGATTTGCTTCAGGCAGTGGTGACGGTGTCGTCAAAGTCTGGGACCTGACGACAAGAGAAGAGATCTGGCAGGCGCAAGCGCATGAGAACATTGTCAAGGGCATGACGTGGACGCACGACAAGAAGCTGTTGTCTTGTGGCAGCGACAGGAGCATCAAGATGTACGATCCTTACAACCAGGCTGGAAATGCTGCTCCTCTATCGACATACCTCGGTCCCGCCGCCTTCACCTCCATCACGAAGCACCGTACCGAGCCCGCAGTCGCCGCTGCATCGTCCGTCATCAGCATCTACGACCTGAACAGACCGAACTCCGCCCCTCTGCAGACGCTGCAATGGCCCAACAGTATCGATACCATTACCGCCCTCAAGTTCAACCAGACCGAAACCTCCATCCTCGCCTCGACCGCCACCGACCGCTCACTCATCTTCTACGACATGCGTACATCCTCCCCTCTACACAAATCCGTCCTCACACTGGCCTCCAACGCCATCTCCTGGAACCCTATGGAAGCCTTCAACTTGGCAGTCGCAAACGAAGACCACAACATCTACATCTTCGACATGCGCAACCTGAAGCGCGCCTTGAACGTCCTGAAGGATCACGTCGCCGCAGTCATGGACGTCGAGTTCTCCCCCACCGGTGAAGAGCTAGTTTCAGCCTCCTACGACCGCAGCGTTCGCCTCTGGAAGCGCAACGACGGACACAGCAGAGACGTCTACCACACAAAACGCATGCAGCGCGTCTTCTCCGCCGCCTGGACACCAGACAACAACTACATCCTCTCCGGCAGTGACGACGGCAACATTCGTCTATGGAGAGCTTGCGCCTCTGAGCGTCAAGGAGTCAAGAGCGCCAGACAACGCCAACAACTGGAATACGACAGAGCTCTGGTGGAGAGATACAAGCACATGCCCGAGATCAGGAGAATCCACCGCCACAGACATTTGCCCAAGCAAGTCAAGAAGGCCGGTGAGATCAAGGGAGAAGAGCTTCAAGCCATCAAACGCAGAGAGGAGAATGAGAGAAAGCATAGTTCAAAGGGAGACACCAAGAGAAGGAGCGAGAGAGAAAAGATGGTCCTACAGACTGAGCAGTAGTGCGTTCTTCTCTATCTTGTTCCTCGCTATTGTTCTATTACTAGCATAACTTGTTGTTTCTGGTGTAAAAAGGGCAGGCAAAAGGCGTATATGGCGTTCTCGAGAAGAAAGTTCACAAAGTCAAGGATGAGAAAGAGGATGGGGAAAAGCGAATCCTCTGCATGATACCACCATCAAAATACAACTTTTACATTTCCAACATCACGATCCTTTTTTCTCCGACAAGTGGTGACAATCGACTTCGACTGAAAGGGTAACCGCAGTCTGCACGTCGTTCTTTCTTCTACTGTTCGTAGTTGGCCGTGCCTCCTATCCATCTTGATCGCTCTTGCCCAGACAATCGTCGTTCGTCAAAACACCAGCAAACCATCAAGACAAAACTTGCACCAAAGCATACTTCTATCAAGCTTTGGCCAGATCATACTGTAGTTCGCAGACATGTCAGACCTACTCTACGGTAGTCTCAAATCCATCGGCCCCATCAAAGCCTGCTGTGCTATTCAAGAATCAGAACTTTGAAGCATTCTCTCTCTCAATGGGAAACCGCTTGACCACTCCTGAAAACTATCTTACCTTTGGCTAGTTTCTGATAGGGACGGAGCGAGACAGGGTCATTTAGATTATGACAATGCTCGTGCAAGGGGCATCTCGCTCCCTTGCGGAACCTATCATACAGCTACAAGTCATGGTGGTTTTATCTCATCATAGATGTCCAAAGAAAGCTGAGCAAAGTGCCGCTCTCAATGGGCGTAGATGCTATCATGAAAACATCTTGCACTTTGATAGACAGATGGGAAGGTACCTTGGAAGACTGAGAATTCGCTTGGGTGGTGCGACCTCTGTCTAGATGGGAAGGATGACAAAGCAAGCTGAGATCAAGTACAGAGAGGGCGACCTGAGGACGATAATCACATTTTCCTGTGACTTGGACTCTTACCTCTGAAGACCAGGCTCTCTACAGATCCTCACAAGACATTAATCCACATCAGAGATTGCCCCCAAGGAACAGCTCGAACAAACCATGTATTATGAGCTATCAGTCAGCAAGACAGCCGTGACAGATGGAGAGCGATCGAAAAAGAAAACCCATGACATTCAAAATAACAAAAAAACAACGGAGAGCGTATGAGTGGTAGCAACAGCAAAAAACACAAATCGGAGAGGGGCCATTCCAAGAGCTTCTCCTTTTTTCTCCCAATCATGAATCGACCAGCCCCCCTCTTTTCTCCTCGTACAAACCACTCGGCTCTGAACCGTAGTGGTCTCGACCAGAAGAGACTGCGTCCGTAGATGGAGAGAAGGTGAGGGGTCGGTCGGTCTTAGAAGCCAGGGCCCATGGTATCATCGATTTCTTCTTCTTCTCAAGACTCCTCCATCTTTCTCTTCTTCCCTTTTGGCTCCTCTGTTTCTGCTCGGATTGTCCATTCGTCACGGCTGGCCTTAGAACTGCACAAGAGCAACCATCACCATGACATGATATAAAAAGGTGAGGATCCGGTGGGGCATAGAGGAGAGTGAATGCAAAGATAACCGCGCTGTATGTAATGTGCTGCTAGTGGACAGGATGCCTTTTCTCGTCAATGTTCCACTATCTGCGACCGAACCTGCTGTACGAATTCAAGTTAGTATTGAGAATGTAATAAAAGTGTGGAGGGATCGGGAGTGGATGCGTACTTCTGCTTCTTCTCTGCTGGCTTGAGAATCTGGAAAGAGCACAACAAGCTCTCGTCGACGCTCATCATGGCACCGGCATTGTCGAACTCTCCACAGTAGTTGGGAGCACTGAACAAAGTAACGAGCTGGCGTTTCGAGAAGAACTCGTAACCGTCTTCAACGACTTGATGAGCACGGCAGATGAGGTCCATGTCGTGTTTCTGCAGGAAACGCGATACGACGTCGGGACCGAAGGTGAACGATACACCACGGTCGTTCTCGCTCCATCCGGTAATATCCTTGTCGGGATCGGACCACAGAAGATCGCAAAGGAGACCGCAGTCGGGGATCTAGGAATCGCGTCAGTAGGGAGACATTAGTAGCAGGGCCTGTTGACATACATCGGTGGGGCGCATGACACGTCTGATCTGCTCCATCGAGTTGAGGTCGGGACTCAAACCACCGTGCATGGTGAAGATCTTCTCGTCAATGATGGCAGCGATGGGCAGGCAGTTGAAGCAGTCGGTAAAGGTCTTCCACAGCTTGATGTTGTATCTTCTCTTGCACTCATCGTAGAAACCGTAGATGCGGTTGATCGAGGCACACTCGTGGTTGCCGCGAAGGATGAAGAAGTTCTCGGGGTACTTGATCTTGTAGGCCAGGAGCAGGCAGATGGTCTCGAGTGACTGCTTGCCACGGTCGACGTAGTCTCCAAGGAAGAGGTAGTTGGCCTCAGGCGGGAAACCACCGTACTCGAACAGGCGCAGAAGGTCGTAGTATTGGCCGTGAATATCACCACAGATCTGGATACGTCAGAGGAGAAAGCACGAGAGATGAGAGTCAGGGAATGGCTACCTTGATGGGAGCCTCGAGCTCGAGGAGGATGGGCTGAGAAATGAAGATTTCGCGGGCTCTGGTGCAGAGGTAGCGGATCTCGGTTTCAAGGAGCTGGACTTGCTTGCCGGGTCTGCTACCGCGGACCTCGAGCAGTCTGTCGATGATCGAGTCCAAATCGACGTCTTGTTGGTCCGCCATTACGAAGCCGAGAAAGAAAGAACGAGGGGAAAACTAAAAGTCTCTCACCGAGCGCCGGGGCCCTTGCTAGCGCTCAATCGACGTTCCGATGCTTTGTTGGTAGATGAGGCTACACGTGTGGCACAGATGTAGTTAAAGGCGACCTCGGGTGCAACGGAGGTGCTAGATGGAGCCTTGTTGTTGACCGGTGCGGAGAGGGTCGTGTTGAGGTTGGTGTCGGAATGACAAAGCACGTGGAGCGACGGCGACAAAGGGGTGATGTCGAAGAGCTTTCGAGGTGGGCGCCGGAGGGGATGTTTGGCGATAGACCGAGATATGGAACGGGAAACACGCCGTTTACACCGCTGGGACTATGTGAGGACCACGATAGGAATTATCGGTCGTCAAAAATTGAGAGGAGTTTTTCGAAGATGTGGGCGGTTTCAGCGCTGCTGTTCGTGGAAGACGTGGTCAGCGACGTGTTGGAGTTGGATGCTGGAGGGCAAGAATGAGACGGGGGGAGGAAGGAGCGCTCGCTGCTCGCCAGGCAGATTGCAAAAGCGACAGCGCCAGCGCAGCTTGCGGAACAAGCCGCTACTCCAAAATCAGGAAAGTGGACGTACCTTTGGTCGTTGTGAATGGTCGTGACAGCACTTGAGTGGTTGTGTTTGATGGGTAGACAGCGAAAGAAGTCCCAGCAAGCGCGGCAGGGAGAAGTTGGATCCCAAAAGCCCAAGCCTGCCCGCCAGCAAGCGCGGCCGTGCTTTGCGACTTGCAACTGCTAAAAAACAATTTGTCTATCCGCCCTGTTGCGCGGCTTTTGTCTTGGTCATACTATATCTAGCTAATAGCCTGATTTGATCTCTGTCTCACGTATCCACACCGCATCATCTTGCATCTACCCATCATCCAGCATCAACATTGCCTATTGCTTCTCCCATCACGTGGTCACTCGTCTCCAATCCGGCCAGTCAAAACACCATAACAATAAACTGTGCATTCGTCCATGAGGTATCTACCTTTTCCTTTGCGCCATCGCTATGCCTTTGCCCGCGCCATTCAAGTCATTCAACGGGGCCACATTCAGAAATCCATCATCGCTATACAAGTGAACGCCCTTCAAAACATATGTCATCCTTGCCAGCCGGCTTTTGGGTATCGCGACATTCCTTCAACCCAACCTTCTACCACCGACAGTCACTTCCCAACTATCGGTTCGTTGTCCTCCAATTGATGGCCTGGCAGTGTATTCTCTTTCCGTGCTACTCTTCATGTCTTCACTCAATGCTGTCAACCAGCCACTGCCGAGATCACTTTTCAATGTCTCGATCTTCTGGCGGTAGACTTCACTGTTGACACCAATCTCTTCGTCCTCTTCAGTCGAAGTCGTGAGGCCGTCCATCATCATACTCGAAGAACCCGTGTCCAGTGGTGGTAGTCGGGGTGGCGATGAAGTTGCTCGTGTCATGCGCTGTTCCTCCAGTGACACGGTCGCCTTGGTCGCTGTACGCGGCGACGGCGGTGTATCAGTCTGGATGGACTGCTCAGAGCCCATTTCGTGCGACAGCTCGACAATCCTTCGCCGAGTGCCCTTCTTCTTCCTTTGAGATGCCGTCGAATAGTCGGCGATTGATCTAGTCGATCCTTGAGCATGGTCGGCGGCCGCCTGTCGTGATCGTTCACCGAGATCAGGCATGTTCAATGCATCGTCTGAGCGCTCATCTTCAGGTACCGAAAGTGGTACCGGTGCCGATGGTAGTTCTGGGGCGCGATCAACCAGTTGTCTACGCTCACTGTACGATGGACCCGTCGAGTCAATCTTGACGTCTTCAGTGTAGCCTGGTGTCGCTCGGAAGAGGTTGAATATCGTGACTCTGTAGTTTGAGTGTGTGCGAATGAAGGGGTTCTTTGCAACGTAGATGTCTTGCATCTCAGGCATCCTTGTGAGCCGTGCAAGCTCCGTAGGGTCGGTCAACTTGTTGTCGCGAAGGTCGAGACGTTCCAGAGAGAACAAGCGCTCAATGCCAGCAAGAGATACGAGGCGATTGGATCTGAGGTTTAGTGTAGTGATAGCGGGCAAAGGATTGCGGACAAGAGAGTGCAAGCTGTCAATCATGCAATTGGACAGATTGAGGGCTCTTAGATTGGTCAACGAGGCAAGACTCTCGGGAATCTCGGTAAGGAGATTGGAGGAGAGGTCGAGCGAGTGCAGTGTTTGAGCTAGAGGAGCAAGACTGTGAGTTGTGATGAAGGTCAGGCTGTTGTCAGCAAGACTGAGGTGACGCAAGAAGCGCCACTTAGAAGCAGGGATAATGCCGAGTGCGAGAAGGTTGGATGTACTGTTCCGCGGCGTGCTTGAGTGGATGCTTGAACCAGAGCTGCCCGATTCGCGTCTGAATTTGGGTGTGCCACTTCGTGGTGGATGGCCATGGCCATAGGATGAATTGTGTCGCGAGCTAGCAGGTCTGGAAGGCGAGATACTCCTCTGTCTTAGACGAGGAGTCTTTTTACCATCGGAAGAGGCCGTGCGCGTCATATTGACTGCTGAATGCTGGGGACTGCCGATCGATGGCCGTCTTCCCTCTGCCATTGGCGAATTGGGTACTGAAGCAGATGCCAATTCGGCAGCAGTTCTGATACTCGAGTTCGCAGACGCCCATCCTACAGCCGGAGAAGAAGGTATGGGTGCCTTTGACGATCTGCGGCGGCGCTTGTCCATATCATCAAGGACAACGTTTATGGTCAGGTCAGCCAGATCATCAATGCTCGCGCGCTTGATGGTAAGACTGCGTAGCTGCTCAGCCATGCGGTCCCAGCCGAAGAGCTGGCGGAAGTCCAAATCGCAGATCTCCAGAGCGCTGACATTCTTGAATGCGAACAGTGGAACTGCGGTATCAAAGGGAAATTCCTCATAGCCAGCGATCAGCTTGGAGCGGTGATCCGGAGACAGACGCAGACACGGTATCTTTGTGAAAGCCGAATACAAATATTTCAGATCTTCCAGCTCGGCTGCCTTTTGCTTTTCCTCCTTGTTGGACTGTCCACTGAGATTGAAGTGTGACCACATGCTTGACATGGTCGACATGACGCTGCGTACGCTCGAGGAAGATCGTACAGAATCGGCATCTGAGGCACGTCCGCGTGACTTTGGGGCGGAGAGGAACGAGACATAGTTTCCAGGGGCGACGTCGTTGTGGATGTTCTCAAGACGGACCGTCATGGGCCCGACATTGATTCCCAATTCCTCGAAGCGAGATAATAAGTAGAAGAGGTGGTGAGGGGTCAGGGTCAACTTGACGGGCTTGACGGTCTGCGAGGTGAAGCTGAGATAAGGGAGCGATAGGGCGGCAGCAAAGGTGCTGGCGGAAGACGAGGTCGACGAGGCTGAAGGAGCGGCAGGAGGGCTCATGGCCGTGGTCGAGATGGGAGAGGTGACATTTTGGGATCCGCGCCTCTGCAGTTGCAGCGCGTTGGCCAGCGCCTTTTCATGGGTTCGCACGAAGTAGGCGAGTTGCTGTTGGGTATGGGTGAGCCGGCGACCTCTACAACGACAGCGACGGCATGAGACAGTGCGGACACTTACCTTTATGAATTGGTGGCCATCCTCAGTGTCCATGATTTGGGAAGGCCAGACTCTCTATGCATGGGAGCAGGAGCGAAGCAACAGCAAGGGTGCAAGCAAGGAAGTTGCGAAAAGGATGCGGCAATATGGATAATTGAACACTATCTCCCCAGGCCCTCTTCGCGATCGCAACACGAGGCCAGAGATTCAGAGGCCGACAATAGGGAAGAGGCTCTGTCCGACGGTTTCGAACTGGGGGAGCCGCGAGCGTTGTTGGTTGGCGCGAAACAGTCAAAGTGCTGGAGGCCGCAGATTTCTTGAACCCTGTACGGAGTACTTTACCAGTCGTCCCAAATATTGACCCTTGACCGGGCCCTTTGTACCAACACCCCGAAGACGTGACCAGTCGCTAGTGACTGCCTAGCCGTCATCCACAAACACATGAGACAATCACATGCCGTGTTGCCTCTACACCCGCCTCCCTCCATGTCTACGAAAGCCAGTGTCTCTATCTGTTCTCAAGCAGCGTCGAGTCCACCATCCAAGGCCCAGCGCGCGGGAACCTCTCCGAAGGCTGGAAACAACTCAAGTGCAAGGGTCTCAGCACAGACTGCAATCTTGCTGCCTCTTGGCCTTTTGGTCTTCATGCATCATGCCAATCATTCGACAAGTCATGTTCAAAGGCCGATGCTGAGCTGCTGCTTCTGACAATTCCTCTGTCTTTCTCAATCACATCTTCCAGGCCGCCTCTGAACGTGTGCTTTCTATTTCAGGTGGCCACTTTTTCTTCTCATCTAAACGATCGGCCAATCATATTTGACTTCATGCACATCATGGAAGCTCGTGCATCCAGCCTCTCATCCCAAGAATTCCACCAAGGCTGCATGAATTACCAACCCTAAGAATCCTGAATCAACACTGCAACGCAACATTTTGTATCTGGTAAACAATTACGTAGGTCCGAAGCTGCTTCATTTGGTTGACTCTCGGTCGGCCCGCTATGGAAGAACTGCCAAATCTGCACCGCCGTTTGCCCTCTACATTTCCCATCGGCTTTGCAGTTGAAACAAGAACCATCTTGGTTGCACGGATCAAAGGAAAGCCGAGAGTTTTGCTGCTTTACCGGCACTCAGCGCCGCAGTAGTATTCATGTTTAGTCGGTACTTTCTTTGTCGGTGTGAAATGAACACACCTATCAACGTGCTTTTAAGCTCATCATGCTGCAAGCCCTAGCTACTCGGATGGTCGGTTGCGAGGTGCACAACATGTTACTTTCTCATGTCTACTGGGCATTGCTTGGCCAACCCATCTACATTACAAACTATCCGGAGAGCCGGAAAGCAGTCTATCTGACAGTACATGTACATTGCGGCAGACATGAAAACTTACCCATGGTTTTCCAGGTTCGGCAGAAGTGCCTTGATTGAGCAAACACCCAAAGGACACGATATGATAACAAACGAACAGGAAAGCGTGAGAGAAGTAAAACAAATGAAATATGATCTTTGTACAAGTACGCTGGAATAATAAAAAAAGAGGTACAAGGGATCTTTTTTCGTCGTTGCTTCTAATAAGCGGGCTCCAAAATGACGTGTAACCTTCTCTTCGTCCAGTCGGTATACTACGACGGCGTCGATGGCACGCCCGGTTGGCTCCCTCATGAATACAGCAGTATAGCACCTTTCGATTAAAAAGGCGTTTACTTCTGGGCAGGCTTGCTCTGGACCATGAAGCCACCCTTGTAGTCCTCGGCAGAGATACCAGTGATGGGCTCGACGTTGTTCTCCTGTAATTTCTATTGTCAGCCACTGCATCGAGGCAGGTCAGAACTGGTAGCAAAGGACGGACCTTGAGGTATGCGTCGGAGGCCTCCTGGTACTCCTTGGTCATGGTTGGGGGTGAGCCTCTGGCACCGGCGCGGATACCGAAGAACAGAACGGCGGTGACACCGAGACCACCCATGGTGTACCAGAAGACCTGCTTGCCCTCACCGGGAGGAGTTTGGGCGCGGGGACCGTGGGGACCGAAAGCGATCCAGTATGCTGCGCGGAATGACGTGTCAGAGCTTGTTTTGAAGACCCAATTGAACAAATCACGGTCTGAAACTGGCATGACGAGCTTGAAAGACTCATCCGACATGACTGAGCTCGCCAATTGAACGTGTATATGCTGTGAGACAAAAAGTCGACATACCGGCCTTCTTCTCTTGCAGGGTCATCTCGGTCCAGTCAACCTTCATGCGGTCTCTGAGGGCCATCCAGAGGTCGGCCTGCTCCTGAGGGGGCATAGCCTCCCATCTCTTCTCAATGTTTGCGAGGGTAGGGTTGGAGATGGCGTGGGCACGGCGGGTCTGGGTTGCGCGCACGGAAGAGCGCAGGGCGGCGGCGGCGGTGCCGGTGGTGCGGAGCATCGAGGTGCGCATTTTGTCTATTGTTGTTGTGGGAGAAAGGCGGGAGGGGAGAATCGTCTATACAGGGCGACAGGAAGGTTGATGATGCTGTGCTATCCAATTCACCAGGGCCGGATGTCGAGAGAAAGCTCGGAACCAACCGCTGAGGTTCTGCCGCCCTGTGATTGGCCCGACATATCAACATCACCTGAGATTCACCTTCTTTTGATCCTCTTCAATCTATCTCCTTGTCACTTTAGCCATAATTGAGTTATGATGTTGTAGCATATCAGGACGTAAGACTGGTTGATTCTCCGAAAATTTGTGCTCATCACTAGTTGTACAGGTAGGTTGAAGAAAAAACCTTTGGAAAGACGCAGCTTCCTCCCATCGTGCATCCCTCGTCCTCAGAATTGGAGTCAATCCAGGACGATATGCTCTGGCTACCTCACGACTTCCCAATGACCCCGAAAAACTGCCTAACAGTTCCTGTGTTACACTCTGCAACTGCTGTTCTCTCCAAGAACCAGGTGCCTCGCTCATTCGGCAGGGCCGCTGAACACTCTCATACCATGCTCTTCCTTCCAGGCATCTTGATCGTTGCTCAAATCCATAGCTGTCTTTATGGCCTCTGCCGCGATGTCGTTGGTCATGTCGACAGAATCGGTATACTGATCCATCGCAGCTTGTTCAGCCTGAGCCCACTTGACTTCGGCCGCCTCTGCAAAATCATCAGCTCTTGCGCATACCGGAACTTATACGAGCGACACTCACGTAGATCAGCAGTTTGGTTCTCCTTGGGAACGGCTTCGGCGTCTTTGGCATCAAAGATGCTGACTCTGATCACGTCCGCGACTGCGAGCTGTTTACCGGTTTGAGAGTTGTATGCGGCGTAGCGGGCCACGCAATGTCTTGTCAAGACTTCGGGACCCTTCCAATGATAGTCGTCATAGTGAGCCTCGCACCACTGCAGCAAGATTCTCATGGCGAACGAGAGCGCTGTGTCGTAAGAGAAGAAGGCCGATTGGGGCACCGGACGTGCAGAGGTCTCGTTGGCCACGCGCAGCATCACCACATGAACTTTCTGAGGTCCGTTATAAGAGGCTTTGTTGTTCTCTGCGTCCTTGAGCTCGGTTTCCGTGTCCTGAAGCTTGGGATCGATGTGTGATGATGGAAGACTCTCGTCGTCGTCGGAGTGGCTCATCTTGCGTTTGCGCGCTGCGGGTTCGGATTGTAAGTTGGCAGCCATGTTGCAGCTGAGGACGTAGGCGTGTTCAATTGAATCCTGCGCACTTGACATGCCGCGAGTTTGAGTTGCTCTGGTACGTATTGGTAATTCAGGTGAGATGGTGGAAGGTGATGAGGGTGATGTAACTCAAGTGAGTTGGTCAAGCTCGAGAGATTCAAGTGGTGCTGGATAAGTGAATGCTCGACAGAAGCCGCAAATGCTTTGATTCGGTTAGGGAGATTGGCTAGTAAATCAAAACGTCGTATTTGCCTCACTTCGGAATGCAGCAGAAGAGTGATGGATGAAGATGTGTTGCTTGTGTGAGACAAGATGTTTCTTTCAAAAAGACATATGAGCATGTAGCGAATCCATCTTGCGAGTCTGCCGTCTAATGCCTACCATGTGATTCTAGCAATCAGCGATGTTTGCTTGCTTCCAATTGCCAATTGCCTTGGGAACTCCACTACTTTGAGTAGTCCATAACGCCCTTTGCATGCTTAAACCGTGTCCATCCCTGTATGCATGTATTAAACGCCGCGACGCTCAGTGTACCCTTGACAGTATCCCTCCCAATAAAAAACAAATACCCTTATATGGTAGAATCCAAACAAGCAAATTAAGCGGTAATCTTCTCTTCCAGCCCCCTTCTCAAGCCCTCAAAGACTTGTTCAAAGCCACCGACAACATCGCGACATTCACTAGCGCAGAACCTTCCGGCGAGACGATGATCCCAGTCCTCCTTTTCGATGCGCCATTGAGCCTGGTCAGCTAGGTCGCTTTCGCGACGCATCTCGGAGAGCATGAGTTGTGTGTTCCTCAGATGACGTGCAGCGCTGGCAGTGGTCTGACGGCCCATCTGCAAAGAGTCGGAAAGTGCGGCAAGTGTCTGTATTAGGTCGGCCGTTTCACGATCAAGGCGTGAGAGAGTATGCAAAGCACGAGAATCAGGAGCGGGTAGATCTTGTATGACTTGGGTAATGGCGGGCATGACGTCGTCGTCGATGATCTGGAAGTCCAGTGGAGTACCGAAGCCGAAGGGAGCGAACAGAGAGGCAGAAAGAGAAGCAAAGTGCTTTGTTTGTTGAATTATATGAGAGGAGAGACTGTTGGTAGATGTGGTGAGGCGCTGGGTATGTGCCTCTAGGGACTGCTGAGGGGGTAGGTTCTGTAGCGCGACAAGGGTGCGGGAGATGGTGTCCGGGTTCTGGTGTGAGGCAGGGTTGGCGAGGCGTGAGATTTGAGCCATTGCATCCTCCAGTTCGAAGGAGAAGATGTTTGACGAGTCCGAGTCGGCATCGCGGGACATTGGGCGAGAGAAGTTGCGATGTGGTAATGAGGCATTCCCCTTGTCCTCGATGTGAGCTCCACTGTCTCTTGGACCTTCGTCTTCGGCGGCGCCGTCCTGAGCTCCCTCGCTCGGTGTGCCTTCGATTCCCGTCTCTTGATGCCCGTCGGGGTCAGCTTCGCCATCGTAGTCCCAGTCTTCTTCGTCCGAGTCGGCAAAATCGAGTTCGTCGGCGAGATTGCCCATGCCAGATGCGCCAGCCGAGACGTCCATGTGGGTAGCAAAGTCTTGACTGCCATTGGAGAAGCGTGACGCTGTCGACAGGCGATGGCTGGCCGGGGATGTGCTGTTTTGCGAAAAGGACCGCCGTAACGGTGTTAGTGGTGGCGACGTCATGGTGTGCGTGTAAGATGGGTGAGTGCTGGCGTGCGAGAGGGATGCGTCGTTGTCGCCGGATGGCAGGCTGCCTCGGGTGTGGGTGGTATGCGTGAGTCTAGTGGCTTGTTGACAGATGCCTCATCTTCAGGCGTCAGAGGTGCTGACTCGATGTCTTCTTTTCCTAGTGGGCGTGGAGCCAGTAGAGCCAGTTGGGTCGTGAATATGGGGAGACAGCAATCTGCTGCATGTGTTCGCATCAACAGTGTTGGCAGCAACGACGGGCCAAAGTGCTGTCAAAGCTTCCGTCACCTTCATTACTCTGCCACGCCCCTGAATCTCGAGACCGCCGATACATTGCTACTGGCACTTCATGACTTCACTTTCACTTGAACATGTGCTAAACGTTGACCGTGTATTAAGTATGATGCTCCTGGGTTCTGGAGCTATATATAGCCGCCGCTCTCTCGGCAGCCCCCCTCTTCCACACCACTACTGCATCCTTGCGTCCACATCTGGACCAAGGCCTACAAACTATAAAAAGGAAACCGAAAGCGAGTGTAAGAAGACATCAAAGACGCAGAAAAGGAAAAAATAAGAGAAACTGCCCATCCTTTCCACGGCATTCCCTGTCGAGTCTGTAAATCATAAGGCCGTCCCGCGTGAGACAGTGGTATATCCCTCCAACGCCTGAAGCTCCCCTCCGTCCTTGCAAAGTTCCTTTCCATACTTCGCAATTTGATTTCCTGTTAACAAAGGAGATTTTTGATGGCGACACCGACCGTGGCTTAGCGTTCGTCAGGGCTCCGTGTCGACTTCGGCGCTGGGACCAGGACTCTTCCATCTCTTTCTCCAGAAGCGAAGCCCTCTCAATCTGCTTCGGCTACGACTTTCGCGCAGTCCAGATGGTCTTTGAGACATGCCACGATTGTCATCGCCTTCGTCCCCATGTTCTGCGGTAATTTGTGATACCGAGTTCAGTTTACCCGCACGCACCTCGGGAATGCTCAGGATATCTGGAGCCGAGTGAGAAATGCGTTCTCTGCCATGCAGATCTGGGCTTGAGTTGGGATGCAAGAACGGGTTCTCTGTCGACAGTACTGGGGGAGCCTGTAGTCCTTTGGGTGTTGTCTCAGCTTCCATTTCTTCCACAGAGGACGGTCGAGTCGATCCTGGTGATTGTGCATAAGTTCCCGTCGTTGCCGTGGCATTGCTAGGGGCATGACTGCGGGAAGAAGGCAGGGAAGCAGGAACACCTGGCTGAGCTGGCGCTGGGAAGGGGCGAATGGTCTGCTTGTGCGGAGATGGAGGTGACTTTGTGGGCGAGTCTGGCTCCTGCTTACTTTGCGCTGTTTGGCTGCGAACAAGAATTGTCGTCAAAGAAGCATCTCCACTGCCTCGTCGTCCAGCATCGTAGTTCTGGTTCTCGATGCGCGAGAAGCTGCTGAGCTGACCTAACTGCAATTGTTCAAGCTGCTCGAGCGCGGCATCCTTCGAAGAGCGTCGCGAATTGGTGTGTTGGTGGAATGGTACCGAGTACGGCGCGTGGAAGCTAGATGTGCTTGATTTTTTCTTGTTGCTTTTCATGGGCGATGCGGATGTCGGACGAGCCCTCGTAGGTGATGTGGGCGATGCTGGTTCTATAATCCCCCGGCTGCTGTCAGGTTGTGTTGCTTCATCTTGTGTTTGTGACGTACGAGATGGGCCGAAGAGCGAATCTCGTTCAGGCGGAATGTCGTCTTCCTTGCTGTCTTCGGACTCCTCTTCAGGCACAGAGAGAGGGGCTCGAGGTAGAGGCGAAGGTTGGGCAGCTGGGCTTGCCATGATGGATCCTCTCCTCAGCTTCTCAACGTGTATCTTCTCCTCCCAAACAGTACGATTGATCTCGATCTCGACAGTAGAGAATCCCATGGCCGGCAAGACTGCTGTAATGCCTTCGAAAAGAGGCCCAGCGAAAATGCTCATGAAGCCGATTTGAGACTCTGCTAGCTTGACTAAATCCTCGCGATCAGGGGGACCGCCGAACAAGCAAGTTGGCAAGTTAAGCTCTTTCTCCATAGCGCCTTGGTTGGAAAATTCATCCGTGAGAATGACCGCCCATCGTGCTGCAACGGCATATTTTCGTGCCTATGCGAGATTAGTGAAGATCCTGAGTAGGTTTGAACAACACATACCACGTTGCTGATGTCAGCACATTTCATCAGGAGTCCACAGACGAGATCTCTAGTCTCTTCAAGAGCCTTTGGCGTCCAGCCCTCAATGCTGTCATCATTTGAAGAGAGCTTCTCCTGAAGATTTCCCATGTCTATCATGTACTTGAAATGAAGACCCATGTCTGTAGCCAGGATAGAGTTGATCATAAGCTTACGCATGGGGATGTCAGCGAAAGCCTGGGGCCAGTATCTGCGAAGGATCTGCGAATAGGCTGCGCAGTGGAACGCTTCCAGGACCGAACGATCGTTGTAGAGCTGAGCAAGCGGTGCATTCAGAGCGACCAAGAAAGCGTTGTTCACACCAGGGTGGCCTACATCATGGCCAATGGCCGAGATGAGGAGGGTCAATGCATCAAACGGCTGCAATAGAGACGCCACTGGTGCAAGGTCTGTCCTGGGTGCTTGCTCGCCGTTCGAGTTGGGGTAGGGAGGTAGAATGCCAATCTGTAAGAGGAAATAGAAAACAGCTTGCAAAACATCGACGATGTGACGGAAGTTGTGGTAGAGGACAAAATCGTTGTAGGCGTGCCTACAAGCGAAAAGGAAGATGGTTAGATCATCTAAAACTGTATGTCAGTTGCGTTACAGACATGTGTAGCAGGCTCATGCTCACCCGTAGAAATGCGCCATTTCTCAAGCTCCGGCATTTTTAGGGCATGCTCCAGTATGGTCAAAGCAGCGTAAAGAAGCTCGTCAGAGTCAAAGTCATGAGCAGAAAACGCCCATGTGCCAACTGCTTGAGCAACGACAGCTTTTCTCTCAGGTTCAATCTTGAGTTCGCTAGAAGATACCTGTCAGTCAGGTGCCACAGTAACGACAATCGCTGGAACTAACCTGGGGTCTATGCACTCGCCAACAGAGTCAGGGTTGCAAATGCCATTCATCAGGCCTGAAACCATGACTTCTCTGAGGTATGCATAAGGGCGTTCTTCATCAATGCCAACCCATGACAGTTTCCGGTTTCTCTTCTGGAGCACGAAGCTTGCCTCTTCACGAGCAACCTCTTTATATGTACGGTATGCGTGAACGGCCAAGCCTTGGACCCTGTCGACTCCCAGCGGGCTAGGAAGCACATCGACGGCACCAGCATCCAAGAAGCGCGACATACGTGTAGGTTCAGCCAGTAGCTGGATCATGTTAGATTTCGACAGAATGATGTGTTACAGTGCGTAACTTACGTCGGTCTTGCCAGCAAGAACAGCGATTGGGATGACTAGCCTTGAACGGACACGCTGCTGTATCTCCGAGGACAGGTAGGCTAGCAAGTGCACGCCGTATACATCACTTGGCTCGTTTCGCTCCACTTTGGGTCGTCTTCCAACCAATGGGGAAGGCGGGTTCGCATCCCACGATGTTCTACGAATGGCGGCATCATCGTCCTGAGGCATATCGAGAAGCACAACAATAGGGTTTGGGTTGCGCGGTTCATCGAGCTGTGCAATGGTCGTCAGGCAGGACACGCCATCCGCGCAGACATGGGCTATTTGATGGAATCAGAACACAAGACGGGGACAAGCAAGATATATGGATAGACCTACCTTGTCCAAAGGCAGCCAGGACGGTACGGATGTTGTGCTCGGTCTCGCTGGAAGCATGCTTTTCCTTCAATTCATCGAGGTCCTTATCGCCAAGGTAGCCCGTGATGGGGGCCTTTCGGTCCACGTAGACGACGGCGAAGGCGTTGCCCGTCATTTTTAATCGGTTCGGTTCGGCCTCGAGGCCTCTATCGCATTGCGCAGTCGATGGTAAGTCGCGAAGGTCGAGCAGATCAGCACATTCGGCGAGTCCCAAGGCAGTGTCTCAGAGTCGAAGGTGAATGTCAGACAGTGGGCGGAGAGGGACAGTTGTCGCGTCGCAGCAGATGGAATCGGGCGGGATTGGCGACGAGCGGTCGGGTGGTTGGTCGACGTGTGTATGCGACGCAATTTGGCCAGGAATGTGGGAAAAGTCAGGCCGTCGAGGTCAGGTCGTCGTTGTGATGCAAGAGTTGTTCGAGAAGGTAAAGATACAAAAGGCAAGAAAAGAAGAGCGCACTATCATATGGGCATGTCACGCGAGGAAAGGCATCCGGAAAAAGGAGAGGCAGCGAGTATGGCAAGTAGCAACGAAACGAGTAACGTCGAGCAACGGTCGAGCTGGAAGCAGAAGCGTAAGAGGTGTGCTGCGTGCTTCCCCACTCCAATGCTGCCTGCCAACTGCCTCGAGTACACCTGAGCAATCTCGCCGTTGGCAACCTTCCTGAACGTCCGCCGCTTGTCAATCCTGATCCGATGTCTTCTGCTGGCCCAATTCCCAGCTACGCCCCAAAGCGGCTCTGTCTTCCATGCTACTTCAATCGCCCTTGGGGCCTTCCTGGCTCTCCATATCTCGAGGCGCATTGCTTTGGGCAGCCTGCAGAACGGGCAGGTGCACGTCAGCGCCCATCGCCAAGCCCTTCTAATTGTTCCACGTCTCTTCCATCCGAATATCCATGCCCAACTGGGCCTGCGGACGTACAATGACGGTGACACTAGACGATCGTATTCCAATAGCATGTGCTTGTGTTACTGCTTCTGATTCCAATACTCCAACAACCTCACCCATTCGCTATCTTCGCCGCCGTTGGCTGCCCTTCGATGGCCAAAACTGCCGATGCGAATTGCAACGCTCTTTTTTTTCTATTCCGCTTAGGCCGCCGTGCAAACGCGCCGCCGTCGGCCAGTGTGTCGCTCGGTCAGGGCCAACGGGCCTTGCCTCCAACTGTATATATCGGTAAGGTTAATCCCACAGCCAGAGAAAACAGTAACTGGTCCTGCAAGCCTTTTCGACCGTGAGCCCGAGCCAAGCTCAACGCCTTGCCCATATCCATGCATACAAGGCTTAGTTTGCGTTTTGCTCGACTTCTGTATTGAGTGTATCCGTAATTCTGGAAGGCAGCTGTACCTGTGCCCGTTGCGTACGCCGTATATCAGCCAGACGGGCGTTCGGTCAAGCTTCTGATTGATGGGCTCTTCCTGACACGACTTGAGCTTAACCATGGATGCGCCTGGCCTTACCTCAGGGTTACAACTCCGAGCATGTCGAGATGCGGTTTGCCGACGAGCTCAACGTCAGTATTCAGTGGGCAAGAGCATGCTGTGGAGAGAGTCATACATATATGCCTGGTCTGGCGCCTGGTCCTTCGTATCCTATCCGAGAGGGTCACTGTTCTGTTTCCGGCTTTTGCGTAGCTGGGCAAGATCTGACAGGACTTGAACGTGCGTAGGGCTTTATTGATTGTGACATAGGGTCTGTCTCTAGCAGTCAGTCTTGGGCCCTTAGTTCGCTGTTCACTGATGATTAACAACCGACTTCTCACTCATTGTTGCCAGGCTGACCCTGATGGGAAACCATATGTCAACTCTAACCCCAATACCACTGGCTGAGGAGCATGAGACCAAAATACAGTTAACACAGATGAAGTAGAACAATTTTGTGTCACAATTTCTCAGGTGGATCATGTAGGTAGCTGTGGAAATGCACAAGTCTTTCCGAGTCGCAAGTTTCGCCTATCGGGAGTGTCTCAAATCACCTTGATTCCGTTGACAACCATGGCAATCTCGAATATGCATGCAGTTCAGAAACTTCTTTGATTCAAACAAGATCTATGATGAACAGCGACAATGATTCGTGCTTACAGATGTTTGATGATCGAGTAGGAGTCGGTTGGTCACATTGCTATTAGGGAGCGTCATGTGAGATTGTCTAGCTAGGCTGAAGATGCATGAGATTGATGAGGGGTCAACAGTGACGAACATCCCCGCATGCGGTCAACAAGCAACCCGCACCGCCCATTCACCGAAACACGCATCGGATACTACACTCTCTTCCTCTTTGTTTGACTTGTATACCTCTAGAATCGTCTCGGACAGTCTATGCGACTGTCCTATTTCCCACTTTGCGACCAGCACACGCCTTCTTTGTTCGATAACACATCTCGGAGTTGGCCGATAAGACACCCAACACGCATACACACGTACCTTGCAGGCGGCAGCAGCACCCCTCAGTCACGACCCTGCCTTGTGTCAGTGTTGCGGTTTGACGCGCCGCGTGTGAGACACTTACTCACGACTACAAGTTTGGCGACAAGCTCTCTCGTCAGCTACCTCTCGCTCCGTCCGTCTCGCTCCCCTTAACGCCGCATCGTCCACTTGTCGACTCTGGTCTGCGAGTGGTCCTATACAACCCCAAACCTTTCATATGCCATCATCCAACGACGAGCTGTTCCATGCAGAAGACACGCCGGACGAGGTAAAAGGCAACAAAACAAGCCGGAAGAAGCAGAAGAAGAAGGCGGCGGCCAAGCAGAGACTCGAAGCTGAAGATGATTCCTCAAAGGACTCATCGTCCGAGGGGCCTCATTTCTCGCCCGATCTGTGAGTTGCGATAGCCTCGTTCTCATGAGGTCCGACTAACAGAGATACCATAGAGCGCCAACGCTGAATCCGATCGCTCCCTCACCCCCACCTTCTCGCTCACCAAGTCCTCGCCTTGATGCACGTATATCTAAAGAGACGACGGACATGGGAGCAGACCAGGCCACACCCCCGTTGTTGAAGCCTACCACTCATCTGAGTCCTTTTGCGCCTACCTCAGAGCCATCCCCTCCACAAGATGGCGTCATGCCCTCACGCCTGTCTGGCGCTGGTAGTCCGCTTCATGCTGCATCCTTATCTTCGTCTCCACAAGGCGGCATTCGATTGCCTCAAGGATTCTTGTCGAGAGGCTTCCCAGATGTAGCAAACATCCCCTACATCACACCTGCGACCCAACCTGTGAGCTTTGCCAACACCAATCAACCCTTGCCATATGAGCCTCCTCCTCCGCATTTGCCGCAGCGCCATTTCTCGAGACTGGCCGACTTCGATTTCAGCAGACCTGTCTACCCAGACAAGTTTTTGCAGGCCGGTTCGAGAGGGTACTATTGTGGCTTCGATACATGGCAGGCACCCAAGAGCGCATCGCCTCCGTGCACAAGCTCCGTCACTTTAACTGGATTCGAGGGTGGTCTAGAGGTTCATAGAGTGAGCCGGCACAAGACTGAAATGCTCGGCCGACTGGAAGGTTTGCAGGGCGCTGTCATCAACGCCAAAATCCTTCCATGTACAGCTCGGGACGACCCTTTGGAGCACCTGCGGCCTCTGGTTGCCTGTGTCGTCCATGGACCGGTACTCGAAGGCGATCAGGGACGGTCGTCTTCTGCCACCGATATCAGAGAGTATCACACCTTCGTCGAAGTCTATTCGATGCAAACTTGGCAGCGAGTTGGTAGGCTCTTCCAGACCAGACCTGAGAGAATCCACCAACCCGTCACATCCAAAGGCTTTAACCCTCCTCCCCCCATTGGTAGTCTGAGCATAGCTGCGCAAGGACGCTTCATTCTTGTGACCTCTGGAGTTAGTGGCGAGATATACGTCTTTGCTGCTCGGAGCAAGCAGCCAGCGGCTGACCAAATGCCTTTCTGCTGTCTGGGAAAGTACTGGTCAAGCTTGAACACGAAGACATTGCCGGACGACAGACAACATGGACATATACCTGGCAATACTGGCCCTGTCAGACAGAAGAGTGCACAGAAAACTGTGTATGCCTTGAGTGACCGTTGGCTGGCCATCAAACCTCCAGTCACCTCCTCTTCGCAGACGACCTTAAAGGGCACCATAGGAATAACGAGTCACGTTGACTCTACTAGCGTTGCAAGTCATGCTTGTCCCGGCCCACCTCTCGCAAACTGTGAGGTTGATGCACCGTTCAACGAGAGTCTCATCAGTCGTGTCGCTAAATCAACAACTCGTGAGATTTACCGAGGCGCGCAGCAAGGGTTCCAGGCAATCAAGACATACATTAACGGTCCAGCGAACCCAAATGGCGATCCGGCATATTACGGATCGCCTCAGTCGCCACAGACCGAGCATAGCAATTTCCCACCAACTCATGCCCACAGTAATGAGCCTCAAACTTCTCCAGTAGAGCCAGCCCTCGTATCGATCATTGATCTCGAGAAGTTGTTCGAACGCGAGGAGCGTGAGAGCAAGGGGGGCCCGATTCTTTCGGCGACGTTTCATCTTAATGATGGATGTTCTTTCCTTTCGTTCTCACCCAGTGGACTGTCCCTACTTGCTACGAATCACGTCGGTGACGAGTCGAGAGTATGGGATCTAGCCAGGATCAACGACGGTAGAGCAGCTGTCAGTGATCCGTCATCCGTTGGTACCATTCGTCTGGTCTCGAGGTTCCACAGAATGTCACCTTCAGTAGTGATTGATGCTGTTTGGACGGCCTGCGGAAACCGGATCGCCATCGTTACCGAGAAAGGTACTGTGCATCTGTACGGACTCCAGAGTTTGGAGTACAAACCACCGGTGATGCTGTCATCCAGCATGCCCTCTCCTGGCACATCTCCACGTGAAGAGATTCAAGCGCCAGCAGGGGGCTTTTTGAGCAATATGCGCGCGGGAATTCGAGGCATCCAAGACATAGCCACTAGACCACGCACCGGTTCCAGTGGTCTTGTCAATACCCTTGGTGTCGCGGGTCTGGCTGCAAAATCCGCAGGTCGAAGAGTCGTGCGTCAAGGCCTGTCCAAAGGATTCGGCGTGGCTTCCGAAGGCGTTCACCACATTCGGCATGCTGAAGACAACAAGATTCGTCTCCACGTTTCCACTCAGCACTCCATTGCGCCCAACTGCGTTCAATGGCAGCATGGCAAGGACCGAGACATTATTGCAACCTTATGCAGTGGTAACCTCGCGTTGTTGGCAGTGAAGAATGTCAGTCATACCCAACAGCGAAAGACCGTGGTCAGCCCGGCGGTAGAGAAGACTCCACTTTATTCAAGCGCACTTCCGACAATCGCCAGCGACGTTTTACCTCCCGCAGTGCTAGGGTTGCTTGAACCAGAGGGGCCACATGGTGGATGTGCTCGTGAAGGACTGCACGGCTTTTGTATATGGAACGCACCTCCAACTCACAAGCATGCCCAGAGACGGGCATCCATTGTTAGCCTGGGTCAGAGGAAAGCAGCAATGCCCGTACAAGACAAGGATACGAACCCACCTTACATGCCTTACCATCGTCTACCTACAGTCAACCTGTTCACAGTTTCTCAGCCTAAGAGCCAGGTAGACGAAACAGACAACACCTGGGTATTTGGTCTACCTCTGGCGGCAAGCAGCAGAGTGAGTAGTCAACAGGACAGCGACGAGGCCTACGATGAGGGCATCACCGAGGAAGACATGGAAGGCCTTGTCGGCCAGATTGATGAAACACTCCGCGCTCAAGGGTTCTCTCCGAATCGCGACGAGGACGGGTTTATGGCAGCGAACCTGGTCGACATGTGAAGGCAAGAGACCTTTACTCAGCATACATGGTGATTTTATGATGGACATGATAATCAAGGCGTTTTGGTACGGGGTGGGGCAGGTTGTGATTATTAGACGACTAGATACCACTTTACCATCAGTAGCACAATGGAAATACTCTTCAAGAACAACTTTCGCGTACGCTCGAACGAAACGATTAACGTGAAACTTAAGTGACATGATGATATGGGTGTTCGAGAGTTCAGTACAAAAGCACAGGGTGACGAGCCGGAGTGCTTTGTTCCGAGAACAGCGAAGCCGACGCCATCGAATCGCGAGTCCATCAACTTTTGAGCTTCACGAACGAACCTCTTGATCCGTACACATCTTTGCGCCAACCACAATCATGTCTTCAGTACGGCCCATGACACCAGCAGACCTGCTGAAATTCAATCCTTGCAACCTGGACCACCTGACGGAAACATACAATATCGGGTTCTACCTGGATTACTTTTCCAAATGGCCCGAATTGTGCATGGTGATCGAAGGACGCCACGGGGAGATTGAAGGTTACAGTGAGTGTCGAATCCCTTCCCCTTTTCATCCTACTATACTGCCGTATCAGTGAAGAAAAAGAACACAAGACTAACATATCGAGCGCAACAGTCCTCGGCAAAGTAGAATCATCACCCTACCCAGCACCCCACACACCCTACAACCCCTCGCACCCGGCTTACACAAAAACCTACCCCAACTACCTCCCCTGGCACGCCCACATAACCTGCCTCACCGTCTCCCCTTCCTCCCGCCGCCTGGGCCACGCGACCGCCCTCTCCGAAGCCCTAGAACTAATCGGCGAGCGTGAAAACGCATGGTTCGTGGATCTCTTCGTCAGAGTCGAAAACACGGCGGCCATTGAACTTTACAAAAAGATGGGGTATTCGGTTTATAGGAGGATAGTGGATTATTATAATGATGGGAGTGACGCTTTTGATATGAGGAAGCCGTTGAGTAGGGATGTGGAGGGGAAGACTGTTAGGGAGGGGGGAGAGGAGATTAGGGTTGATCCTGGGGAGGTGTGGTGATGATGAGAAAGAGCGAGGATGACAATTATGAGTAAAGCGAGGAGAGAAGCGAGGGTGAAGGAGAGGGGTAGAAGAGGAGAAGGGAGACGCAACACGCATGCTCAGACTAGTCTCTGCGCCGCCGCACACGATACCCAAGAAAGAGCATGGCATCAGGATGGCACGGCTTGGATGGGAGAGAGGACGAGAAGGTACATGAACATAAAGGACGGACTCAGACGGGCCTGATCTCGATGAGATAGCCGAGCCCGTGCAGACCTGACAACAGACACGACCGGAGTCTCAGATCACAACGACCACATCACTGCGATATTGTCGTTCGTACAAGTTCCCCTCAAACTTGGCGACATCAACTCGACATCTTCACGAGCTCAGCAACGGTCTACTCGCTGTTCCGAAAGAGGACGTGTCTCTTGATGGTCATAAAATATGCATTAATCTGGGTATCGTAACTTCTGCCTCATCTCTATATACTCATATACCCTCTCGCGAGGACGAATTTCATCTAAACTGATACGAAATATCAGCTCCTATACTTCCAATCCCACTGAACGCACTGTTCTCTCTCAACATTGGTGGTTTACCACTAAGACTGCTTTCGGGTCTTTGTGATTCTCCATCCACGATCATCTCAAGTCTTGCCCTCTCTTTCTCTTCTTTCTCCTTCATAGCTCTGGGGTCGTACTCTTTGCCTCCGATGATTTGGCTGACAGGTGGTGCAGGGCGGAAACGTCTTTTGCTTTGACTGCCTTCTTCATCGACGAGGACTACCATCCATACACCTACAGCACCACCATGGCCAAGCAGCGGTGTACAGTGGATCCAGCGACTGCGGTCTTCTTCTTCGCCATCATCTTCCACACGTGTCAACCATCGGACCTTGGCTGTTACGCCGCGGCCTTCAGCGAATGCTTGCGCGAGTTCAGTGCGCACACGAGGTGAGCCTCCGATGCGGTGGAGGAAAGGACTCTGCAGGATTCCTGGAACGCGTAGCGAGGGCGAGGTGAAGAGGATGCGTAATGAAGGGGCCGGACGGATGAGGAGGTAGTGCTGATAGACTCCCTCAAGTTTGCCGTTCTCTGGCAGTCTTCGTACTCCATTCGGACCGGCAGACGGATTGTTGGAGACTTGAGAGTCATCTAGTAGCTCGGATGATGGATCTGTGAGGAGGAGACGTGGTCTGGGTTGTACACCCTCCTCTCGCTCGTCGTCAACCTGCTCACGATGCATTCGCCCTCCACATTGTCTCACCGTCTCGAGCTCGGTGGTATTGAACATCTCACTCAGACTTTTGAACTCTTCGTTCTGAGGCCGTTGTCCGTTCTCGTCATGCCTATTGTCTTTATCATGTTCCAGCATCTTTTCGAGTGCCGGCATGCCAGTCATCTCTTTCAACAAGCCAGAAACATCAACTTGCGCACCGATGAAGTATCGCAGTGTACCTTTCGAATCGAATAGCGGTGCTATCATGAGCAGATTGATGAATGGGCTACCATCGCGTCGGTAGTTGACAAAGACTTCGCTATGTTCTCTAGATGTTTTGCAAGCCTCTGCCAATCTTCGTATCGAATGTGGATTCGTCCTCGGTCCTTGCAGAAAACGGCAATTGCGACCAATAGAATAGCCCATACCGTATTGTGTTGTGCGAGCAAACTCCTCCGAAGCAAATACGATTGGGTTGTCCTTTCTCGAAGGGTCAGTCAAGCAGAAGACTTCAGCCAATCCTTCAGAGGCTTCTCTTAGATGTGGCGCTAGTGTTCCCGTAATCCTTCGCTGAACACTCGTGCTGACAACTGAGATCCATGTGTACGTTACATATGCCGGTAGATCCTCTCGTACCAGCTGGTCAAACGCCTGATCCGCTTTCTTCTGCAGCTCGTCGTTCTGCGTGGCTCCAGGCGGCGTGGAAGTGAAGTCCAAGCCATCGACTGGACGCAACGCTGCCGAGACGGCGTTTGCGTACCTGATAGCTCGCAAAGCCTTCAGAGCGTCCAGATAGAAGACCAGTGTGGGAATGCTCTGAGGGCGGTGGTTGTTAAGGAAACTAGTAAACTTCAGGAGGGTCTTGCGGTCGGCGAACATGGCTAGCAGGTGCTCTCTCGACAAAAGTTGTTCTGCATGTTGGTCTAGTTGATATGCTCCGTTGACTTCTTCCGGCGGTGCAGCTATGAGATCGAAGTTTGCAGGATCATCTTCCAGTAGAGGTTGCATGCGATCTACCTCGTCTACAGGACCTGGAGCTTGTAGAGGAGGCAGGGTCTGTACGGTTGGTGCTATTGATGGCGCGATCGAGGGAGCTATCGAATGTGCCATGGAGCCTCCTGAATATCTCTTTGGGTTCCGAAAGTACTCGGAGTCTACCGATATGCGATCGCGGTCTGGGGTGTTTGGTTGCGAAGTTCCAACATATGAACCAGAGTCTCTGAATTTGCGCTGCTGCTTGGGCGCATTGCGGTAAGCAGAGCCGTTCGTAGGCTGTGCAGGTGATAGCAAAGGGTTGACTCTAGGAACATCGATCATTCTTGCACGTCCAGCGCTTCCACCGGTTGCACTTCTGGATATGTCTGGCGGGGCCAGGTCGTCACTGTCGTCTGTATCGAACTCTGAGAAGGTAGGCGAGCTCGGCAGCTGTCCGTTGGGGGCTGACACTCGGATAGGTATGGGCAAGGGTGCGGGAGCTTGTCGGGAAGGCGACATGGGCTGTACGTAGCGAGTATGGAAGTCTTCGACTAGGGGTTCGTGTCCAGCGTGTTCGGTGCTCGACGAAGCAGGGCTCTCCACCATGTCCGTCGACTTCGGAGTCGGGATTCTGATTCTAGTTTCCACAGAGGATGGTCTTGAGCTTGTCCGTGTACTTTGAGTATCCGCCGAGTTTCTCTTGCTCTTATTCGTTATGCGATGCTAGGAAGAAATTAGGCAATACTTAAGGAAAGAGCTCTCCAAAACGCACCTTCCTCAGGGAAGCAAAGATTGGAGGACTCATCTGACCCGAGTGTCGTTCTGATCTCTTCTTCCACAATAAAACGACGAGTACAAGCGTGACCTCCGGGCAGGGAACACGACCGGCCAGCCATCTTACTATGTATGCATGATGACTATTCAACAAAGACCCTATGCTGTTCCTGGCGCGAACCATCAAGGGTCATCGTCATACTCTAGGTACTTCCCCGGGTGCCGAGATCATTATGCGGTGCGATCTGGGTATGAACGTTGGCTCGATCTGCAGTTAGCAAACCTTCGTTTCTAGATCGGATCCGCATCGCCGAAACCATGTAATTAGCTTCCAAATCCATGGAGCTGCCACCGACAGTGTGTTTTACAGTCAGACATTGCAACTCGCTTCGAAGAGTCTACACATTTGTGGTAAAGATAGAAGAGCAAGATGCAGAGAAGGATGGTGGTCGTTACGAGATCTCCGAAGCCTCCACCAAGAGATCGGATCTCCCAATCAGCGCCATCCTCTCGTGCAGCATGCATGCAATACGGTCAATGCTCACCGCGCTAAACTATGCTTTTCCATATGCTTGGGAAACCTTTATCTGCCGTGGCTTGAACAACGTAAAGGCGCGGCTTGGTGCTTAGGCACGATTCAAGAGGACCGACAGCCTCGGGAAAGCCGATGTCGTGTTGCTAGTGGTGCCGTGCGACAATCTTGAGTTCGGCCGGTGTGCTCAAGGTACTGTATCACACAAGCTGATGTGTGGATTAAATATTTGGATGTCTTCCTCTGAGCCTTCCAAAACGCGATGATGCGTGTCTTCGCTGATTCAGTCACGACCCGCAATGTATTCGAACGCCTGTCTATATGTCTAACAGCCTGGCCTTCTTTGACCTTATCCAAGAAGAGGTCTTGTCGCATCTTCTTCTTCATCCTCGCTTGGAAGCTCATTGCCTTTGTATAGGACGTAGTGCTGTACGAAGAAGATCATGTCGAAGCAAAGACTGAACATGGCAAGAAATAATTTGGCAGGATTGCCCGTGATTCCACTCCAGTCTGCTTGCAAGGCACTGTCTATAATCAGTTGAAGAAGAGACATTACACCACCAATAAAGTCGAGCCAGATCATGTCAATAGCCCAACCTGCTGTCGACTTGATCTTGTAATTGTACCTGCGAAATGCGTTAGTATCACGAGCCCGCGATCGTCAAGTGCTGCATACCATGCTTGAGGGGTGTATTTGCTGAGAGTGATGATAAGTTTGACGTAAGAAAAAGCATATATCTGGTGAGGATTCAGATTAGCGAGGTCTTCTGAACTGAGATACGCGGGAACGCACAACGTCAATATCTGCCCATGAATCGGCAGTGTCTCTTCCACCCTTGAACAATGAGACCAGCAGGACAGTGATGGCAACACCTATGATGCTTCCATAGAAGATACCAAGGGCAGTCGAGCTCGCTCGTTGGCCTTTGACAACCTCGAAGTTCCATAGTCGAGGATAGAACTGGCTGTAGAAAACGAAACACACGATAGTACCGTGCAGGGCGAAGACCAGATCATTGAATCGAACAGTAGGCTCAGGAGCGAACGGGTGCCGAACAGCATACTGCTGACGAATCTCAGGTGAGAATAAGAAGGATGTTGTCGAGATGAAATAACTTGTGAAGCCCACAATGTTCAAAAGAGGAAAATCAACGGTTATACCACGAGTGGAGCGGCGTTTCCAGCAGCGCAGTGGTTGCGGGTAGAAAGACAGCGACCAAGATGTGAAATATGACCATCCGAGCAGCCATGAAATAGCTCGGGCTACATCTTCACCAGTGACAGCGTACATGGTGGCAAGTTTTGCAGCGATATGTAGTCAAACAGGGAGGCAGGCAGTAGAAAATTTGACAGAACAAATGACAGAGATGGTAGAGAGCTCATAGAAAAGAACAAGAACAAGAACGACACGCGAACAAATTGTGAACCATTCAAGATGAGGAGCAGCGAACGAGCGAATGATCAAGAATCAGGCAGGTCATGGATTGCGCCATCTTGATAGGGAAGGAGAGAGTCAGGGCACATGCATGATCTGATTAGATTGTCCAAGCTCCGGCGGAGATAACGGACTTGGCACGAACGCGCGACACTGCGACGTACGGCGACGACCAAGGAGCAAGAGCAGCATCGAGAAAGCATCGAACAAGTCGTTGCCGTTGTGGTTTGAACAATTCGACGCGTTTGTTAGCACCTCAAGATTGATGCGACAACAAACAACTCGATTGCAGTGCCGCAACTGCCGCGCCGAATAAATATGGCAGCCCCCGACCTCTCACCTCGCCGCCCCACGCGCACCCCTGCTAGACCGCGCGCTACCTCGTCGCAACTACCTGACTCAGAACCCCCCACGAAACGAAGAAGATACGTTCCCGGCGGCCCGGGAGGTGGTGGACGCTGGCTCGACGAACAAGGCAACGAAACAACAGCCCCGACCTCGGTGCGCCGACACCGATCAGACATGACCGGAGATGACCACGACGAGGACATGTCAAGTCCCAGAAGCTCTCGCCGCCCGCCTCCATCCACACGTCCGCGCAGAGATCGAGACAGAAACCGCGATCGCAGAGCAGCCGCAACTCCTAGGCCTCGCTACAGCAGTGCTGCCGCTGCGGCCGCCGCAAGTCAAGCCAGTGATGGATACAAGCCAAGAGAAGAAAGAAGCTGGGAAGAATTCCATCCAGATCTTGAAGTGGACCAAGACCTTGGTGTGTTCTCTGCCGATGAGGTAGATGGTCGCAATATGGAGACTCTGGTTGAGAGCGATGTGATGTCTCCACTGGCCGGCTTCGTACCTATGGAAACTCCCATCAAGCGCAAACCTGGCAGACCACCGAAGCGACCCGAAAGCATGTTGTCCGGTCTTGGTTCTCCTCCCGCACCTCGTATACTACCTCTTCCCACACACAACCCCAAAGAGCGCCTCAATCTACCCAAGCCAGCATATCGCAATGTCGACACGTTCGCACGTTACGAGCAGGATGGCTCAAACCAAACCAATTACGTCGACAAGACAATGGCCAATGCCGGTTATCAGGAGGGGGATCGCTTCGATATACCCAAACATACCCTCATCCGTCACGTTGAAGGCCCCTACGATGACGACAGCATAACAAGCCTCGTCGTTCAGTCCGACAAGCCAGATGAGTCTCATCCAGCCGCCCCACCCCCCGTGATCAATGTCGAGTACGATATGGACGAACAGGATGAGCGCTGGCTGGAAATGCACAACGCTCGTCGCAAGGAGGAACAGGTCGAAACAGTCAAACCTGCCGTGTTTGAGATTACTATGACCCAGATCGAGCGCGAATATCACGCCCTGGAGAAAAAGATTCCCAAACCGAACCCGAGGCATGCCCAAATCACAAGACCCCGTTCGAGTTCAGCCGCCGCTGTCAACGGAGAGCCCAGCGGACCAGCCGACGAGCCTGACACTAAGTGTGCTGTGTGTGACGATGGGGATTGTGAGAACGCCAATGCTATCATCTTCTGTGATGGCTGCGATCTAGCTGTTCACCAAGAGTGTTACGGAGTGCCCTTCATCCCCGAGGGTCAGTGGTTTTGCCGCAAATGCAAGGAAATTGGCCGCGGAACTCCCACTTGCGTCTTTTGCCCGAACGTTGACGGCGCCTTCAAACAGACGAACACGCTCCGCTGGTCGCATCTGCTTTGTGCTCTTTGGATTCCAGAAATAACCATCGCTAACATGACCTTCATGGAGCCAATCACCGATGTTGAAAAAGTGCCAAAGAGTCGTTGGAGTCTCAAATGCTATCTTTGCCAGCAGAACATGGGTGCCTGCATACAGTGCGGCAACAAGGCGTGCTACCAAGCGTTCCATGTCACATGCGCAAGGCGTGCTAAACTGTTTCTTAGAATGAAATCGACCCACGCTGGAGGTATTGACGCTTCTGTCCTCAAGGCTTTCTGTGACCGTCATGTACCTCAAGATTGGCGTAAAGAACACGATGTCGACAGTGCTGTTGCAGAAGCCAAACGTTACTATCGACACACGATGAGAAACAGAAAATGGGCAGACAGCTCCAGTACTGCGCTCTCCGTGGCCCCCGCGTCTCATAAAGACGTGACAACTGACAATGCCGACGAGCTAGGTCACGCGGATGATACCATCGTCGTTGCTGCAAACAAACGCAAAAAGGCCCAACCCTTGAAAGCTGGCTGGCGCTTGCCGTCTGGTGCGCCCGTTGTCCCTACTGTTGTTTTAAATACGGTGGAAGCCTCTCTTATACGCTTTACGCTTAGAAAGAAGAAAGAATTTGTCAGCGAGGCTTGCAGATATTGGACGCTGAAGAGGGAAGCCCGTAAGGGTGCTGCCCTGCTGAAGCGTCTCCAGCTCTCGCTGGAGTCCTTCACCCCCATGGAGATTACTCGCCGCAATTTCTCGGGCATGGGCGCTGCGGGCAGACCGCGCTTGCTCAGGAGAATTGAGTTTGGTGATCTCCTCCGCAAAGACGTGGATAGTTTGGGAGATCTTGTCACATCCATCCGCGAACGCGAAAATTTAAGCCTTGTTGACACCACTGAGGTCCTCAAGAGCTTCATCGAGAACGTCTACTTTCCCATTCCATCCCTTCTTCAGCCAATCCTGCAGCGAGCACAGAAGTAAGTAAAACGCGCAACTCGATCATACATGACACTAACATCTTACAGGCTTGATGAGAAGACAGGCTTTTTCAAAGAAGGATTCGAGGAGCTTGATCGAAAGCTGTTCGAACGGCGTTACACCTCGGTAACCGAATTCTCGAAAGACGTTACTGCGGTGCTGTCTGGTGGCATAGCAAAACCTGATATAAACAACACTGAACTCCATGATGTGAACGAGATTCACGATCAGCTCAACGAGATACCTGCAGGTACCGCAGAGCATCTGGCCTTGACGCAGGAAGAGAAAGAGCTTAAGAGGCTCAAGAAACGCATTGTCAAGGCGATTAAGAATCACTTGGACACTGCCGCGAAGAAAGAAGCTGAATTGAAAGACATCCCCATCGAAGATCTGGATCCTCGCTGGGCTGCTTTCGATGCTCCTCTCAAGAACTCTACCCGGACAGACGGCACGTCTGCATTGCCAACAACAGAAACGGGTGAAAACATCTCACCTGATGCAAGTGTCTCTGCAATTGCAGGCGCTTCCCCTGGCGGCAACAACAACCGCCTTGACGACGATGTCGAGATGGCGGACGCAGATGCCGAGGAAGATGCTGATGCCGATGGCGAGATTGACATGGAGTTCAATGATACTGCTCATACATCTGTCGACCCGGAAGCCGTGCCAGCCAAGGGTACTATGCCCAGACCAGCACAACCTCTTTCTCCCCCCAACTCTACGTCGAGTGTTCATAACAATAACACTGATGGCAATACCGAGCCTCAACCCCAAGAGATTGCTCCGTCTGCCACCAATCCGCAGGACCCATGGGCTCAAGGTGGTGTACCATGGTATTTCGAACACTTCGACATCTCTGGCACGACGGTCTACGAAGAGCGATGGACAGGTCGCGATGCGTTGTCAGAGGACCTCACCGATCTGGACGAAGAAGAAGTCGCCGACCTTTGCGAGAAGCCTACAGAAGGCAACGACAGCACCAAGAGTCGAACAAGAAGTTCAGCACGTATCAAGCGAGCTGAAGAGACTAGCACCACATCACATGAAGACGAAGAAGAGGTCGTAGCAGCAGAGCCAGAACAAACTGAAGCGCAAAAGGCCGATAGAGCGAAGAAGGACAAAGCCAACGCAAGACGCAGAGCTCAAAGAAAGCGCAAGTGGTAATGATCTGTGTGTTTTCCTGGATGATAATCAGAAAGGTGTTATGGGCGTTTTTCCTTATCGAGTGGGTGTTTTTCAAGCCACGGCTGAGAACAGGGCAGGTGTTTGGGAAATTTGCCTTTTTTCTTCTTCATGAGAGATGAACACAGTTGCTATGTCCTTTTGGCGGAGAGGTCTGCGGGAAGGCAGAAACAACACATAATCTTTGACAAGTAAGGGGAGTGCGGAAGGCTTGTCTGCAGTGCAAGTCTTCGATTTTGTTAGTGTTAACCAAGAACGATGATGCGATATTGATCAATTCAACCCCAATTCTTTACAATCATCTTGACTTCTCTCTGCTTGCCGCTTGTCTGGCTTCCTTCCGTGACCCGTGAACTCAAGAAATGTGCTTGAGGATCCGCATCTTCCAAGACCCTCCACCGAGGTTAGCACTGACGAACCATACCACTCTTCAACCCGCCAAACAGCCACCACCATCATAGCCAACGATCTTCGTCTTCCCCAATCACTTGCATGACACAGATGATTGATCTTCGACTCTACCATGACACAGGTGGATCACTCTTGACTCTAAACCATGACACAAAGTGGTTCTTCGCTCGAACCGCTCTGCCTTTACCCATAAAGTACACTGCATCACCCTGAAGCAGAAAGATCTACCATCTTCTCCAACTGTCATGACGATCGCAGCAACCTTTTGTCAAATAATCTCCGAAGATCTCTTGTTGTAGATCATAGAAAAGATGTGGTATGCAGATCATTCAGAGGAGGAAGAGGCTCCTCGGCAGTGGAGCGGTCGATCGTCTTTGAAACTATGACGTAGCGCTAACCTCCTTTATCCAAGCCACTGACATTGCGGCGACAACAAGGTGCGGCGATTGCGATAGGAGTGTCGCTCCGTTGTTCGAGCAAAGGTTGCTGTATTATGATGAAGATGAACAGCACTTCGAACAAAGAAAGAAGAAAAAGTAGTAAAGAAAAATAGGGTATCATATTTTGTGTCCTCCTCATAAAATTCGTTACATACCATCCAAGTATCCATCTACCAGAGATCCCAAAACGTTATAACAATATCAAAGAAATAAAATCAGTTCAGCAAGCGCATGGCATCAAAGATGTCGACTGTGCTTTCCAGTCCTCTGTCTACAGTGAACTCTCCACTGCACTTTCTTCCCGCCATGACATCTTCCTCGGGTACCTCCTCAGGCACGGAGATTTGACCTGATTGCCTCTTGTCGTTGCTGGTACTCCACCAGGCAGGCATCTGAGCAGCCTGCTGCTGGTTCTCGTGTTGAGAAGTCAGGCCTGCATGAGTGTAGAGCATCTTTGCAGTTGCGGCGGCGGCGAAAGAGGCGGTCAAGGTAGACAGATCGACGATGGGGGTGTTGGATCCAGAGGAGACTGAGCTCGACTTGCTGGATTTGCGAGCTTGGTCGCTATAAACGCTGTCGTGGTCCATGCCGTAGACTCCTGCACTGTTGCGGCGCTCGTACCAGTCCATGTCATCACTGCTGACACTGTTGGGGCTGTTGTCCCACATGCGGCTCGATACTGAGGTTGGCGACATAGAGGAAGATGCTGTGCTCAGGGGTGTGGAAGGCAGCTCGGGCGATGCGCAAGAGTCCAGCATGAAGACATCGAGTGTGGGAGTACGAGCTTCAGGAAGACGGTAGTGATTCTCAAACGACGAGGCCTCCGGTTGGTGAGGATTAAGGTAGTCCAGATTTTCTTCCTCGCTGATGGCAAACGAATAGCCGGAGAAGCGTTTGTTCACCGAAGAGTCGGCAGTGTTGGAGGCACCGGAGATTTCGGTCGAAACGACGGGCGACTTGACTGAGTTGCGGCGCGAGGGAAAGGAGAAGTTCGAAGTCAAGCTCTTGTGCAGACTTCTGATCGAACTGGTTCGGTTCATTCCGCTTGTTGTGTTGATGCGTAGTGGCTGAGGTCGCAGAGATGAGTGTGAATCGCATCGCTTTGGCATAGTCTTGTGGGAGAAGTAGTCGTTGTCCTCGCAGTCAGGATGGATGGTGAATACGGTCTTGTCACTGTTTTCCCTCTCCATCTTGATTGGTCGCGGCGTCGAGGTTTGAGGAGTAGCAACACTATCAACCTCCTCGTTCCATGGAGGCATGCCGGTTGTCAGCAAGCAGAGGTGATATGGTACAGCCTCGGAATCAACAACCTCCTTTGGAGCACGGATCGCGTTGGTGAGCATTTGCAAAATGCTGTAGATCGCAATCCAGCGGACCTTTCTTGCGTCTCCAACAGACAGCTTCTCCTCTGGCCGGAAGGTCAGCTCGCCCTCGAAGTAGACGTAGTTTCGGACGAGTGGTGAGCTTGACGCAAGCTTGTTTGTCGCTGCTGAAAGTGCAGCTCGTGCTGTCCCAGATTGCTCAGCCTTGCTAGGCTTCGAGGCCAATCTCAATGACTTGAGGCCCTTTTGCGATGCAGTCCTGTACTCGAGGCTATGGTAATCCGGTAACAGAGGTGATGGGTGCGGTAGCGGCTCATAGTTGTGACGGGCGTTGAAAGCATCGACATTCTGCATGACGCAGATGCCTCCAGTCAACAGCTTGCTCGGACTCTGCGAGGGAGAAGAATCCCTGTCGACAAGATAATCATAAAGCAGTTGGAATTCTTGGTGTATGCTTCGCAAAAGACCTTTGTCCATAATAGCTCCTGTTTCCGGTGGCCAGTAACCAAACTTGTTGACGTAGTATGAGTGCATGAACGAGCGGAAGCGGTCCAGATGGTTGCGGGCAGGTGTCGGCAGCCCTAGATGAGTAGGAGCGAGTTCATCTTCCAAGAACGTCTTCAAAGCCTTGCTCACTCGGCCCAAGTGTAAGTCCATCTCAAGATATGATCTTGTTATCAAAGCTTTCGTTACTTTGCTAACCTCATCAAACTCAGGACTAAGGTCCAACTGCTCATTCATGCCGACACAGTGGGCAAATGCGTCAATCCAAAGGTCCTTCAACTTGAACCTTTCGGAGAAGTTCAGAAAGGCCAAAGCATAGTCCGGGCGATTGACGAACTTCATGTAGCCTTGTCGCTGAGCATATGCCAGGAAGTACTGGTTGTTGTTTTTGGCCTTGTCCGGGCAGAAGAGCTGGACACGTTCCAATAGGTCGATCAGAGTCTTGCCCAGACTGGATCCAACCAGTGGCTTGTCTTCGATATATGCAAAGAAGTTGCGGGTTGTGACGTGCCAGCGATAGGCATCTTCTCGGACAGCATCTTCAGGAGCTGCTATGTACAATTCGTGCTCTGCTTGTGTGGACGATGTGCTTGTTGTCGTACCATCGAGACTCTCGGTGCACGAATTTGAGTCGGAAGCCAGGTATGTGCTCAAGAATGATTCGCCTGCAACTTGTTCGATCTGGGCGTAATTTGTCCTCAGAGATGCACCTCTTTTAGATTTCCCTTGGCCGTAAAGATGAACGAGACAGTCGCCATCTTGCTGCCAAAGTTCCTCGTCCTACAATTGAATCAGTCTCAGCCGTGTATGGCAAGGATTGTATTATACTCACTCGACGAAGACCATCCCAATTGGCAGTCTTGTGAGTTTTGGCATCCCATCGCTTTACCCCTTGTACTTTGGAAGGATTGCGCATTGTGGACTGTTCAGGCTTTTTTCTTTTCTTGACTGATAAATTTGACCCCTGGGCTCGTACTGACAAGATCCTCGAGAAGTTAGGCACGCCTGGAGTCGGTGGGCCCGGCAGGAGGACCTTTTGACTGTCCCTGATATCTAGAGATGCAGAACATCTCAAAGAATGACGAGGCATGTCGATCACAGACACTGCTTAAAGCTAAACGCAATAGGTAAAGATGTACCTGCTGTACTTCGAGTGAGATCTGGGGATCGTAAAACGGTCACCAGTGGACCAGGGAATCGTCGACGGTTATACCTTGAGTCCCGGGAGGGGATAGTCGCCAGCAATCCGACGCATGCTGGCTAGATCTACAAGCATTCATGCCACACCCACAGCTCGGCGCACTGGTGTCAACTCTTTGCAAGGAATCACGGCCGGAATTGGGGAAGCGAAGCATGCACAGATGAGCGGAGACTCGACCTTTCCCGATCGAGCGGAGAGCTGAAGTTGGCTCTCAGGCCAGAGCGCCCATTTCTTGATTAGAGAGCTGACAAGCGACCACCACTTTCTCGTTTCTCTCACGCTTCAGCTGTAATTTATTTCAGCTCGAGTTCTTGTGTCTCGAGTCTCTTGTGTCTCAGTTTGCAACGCGAAGTTTGTCTTGTTCTCGTGTATTTCTTCCATTGCGACAAGACTGGACTCATATGACGCCTCTCCGGACTTGACCCTTGTCACCACCTTCGCATTCCCCGAGGGCGACCACCTTCTGCGTAACCCACCGCACTCAAACTCTACTCAACCGCTCTTCTTTCAAGCTGTGTAAGGTGCTCCAGATCAGCGATTGAATTATCGTGCGCTGACAGTCTTACGTGTTGACTTTTTTTCTATTGGAATCGTGCCATGTTTTTGCCATCTGGTCAGCCTTGCTCGGGACTGCCCGAAGCTGAGCCGCGTCTTGACGCGCTTCACGAGAACGACGAACCGCTCCTTTGTTTTCTCGCGGAGCCTCCGTGCCGGCTTCAAACTTCCCCTAACAACGACCCTGCCTCAGATCTACGCTATGTCATATCTTGCAGATTTCACGCGGGCTCCACCTCATACCGAGTATCATGTCCGACGATCGCATGATTTGCGTCTCCCTATCCACCTTGCATTTTCCAAAGAGATGCAAATCTGATTCAACCGCGGGGCATCGTGCTTTGTCCTACCTTGTCGATGATGACTGCGTGCGCGGTGGGTACAACGCCCTATCAGCATCTAGGTGATTTATTTGAGGAGCCCAGGATCCTCGGTCGGATCACGGAACGTCTTGACCTCACCAACTCGATATCTGCCTTGAAGGACGGTAACGTGCATACATTTCTTGCCAGAAGAACATGCCAGTCGCTTTCCACGAGGCCTACAGCTAAGTGTCCCCGAACTTTGCCTTCTGCTCTTCCTGCTTCTTGCGTTCTTCATCGGCCTTTGCTTTTGCTGCTTGCAGTTTCTGATCCTGTGCATCTTTCTCCTGCAATTTTTGCTGCAGACTTGTCCTAGCTTGCTTGACTGCTTCGATGAGTGCATTGAGATCAGCCTTCTTCCAATCTGGCTGTACAACCAGACTTTTCAAACTTGTAGCCTTTTCTTCGACTGCTGCAACTTCGGGAATTGAGGACGCATCTTGTCCGATCACATCTTTTTCTGCGGCGAAGATGGCATCATGTGCTTCTTTCATGAGGACCTTGTTGGCCGTTTCTATGACATCCCTGAGGGGTTTAAGACTCTGCAATCGGCAGCGTGTCAGCATGATGATCATTTATCAACCTGTCCGTACTGACCTGTTCCAGCATGCCTATCTCAGACTCGACTGAAGTTGTGTCTAGCGCATCTCCTTGCTGCTCGAGCACTTTTCTGAGCGCAGCCTCTCGATCGTGAATGAAACTAGCATCGCTCTGTACGAGACGGTCTTGATACTCTGACATCCTCGAGTCTGTTTGTGTGAGCAGTTCATTCGCTTTCCTTCTCGCCTCGGCTACTTCGCCCTGTTTCGCTGCTCGTTCTCCTGCCTTTTGGTTCCAGAAATCTTTGACCTCGGCCGGATACGAGGTATGCTGTACTTCCATCTCCCAGTCTGGTAGATGTTGCTCGGCACGATCGAGCCAGAACAGAATTCGCTCGTCTCGATTGATCACGCCAGCAAAGTGGACCAAGAAGTCGCCTCGGCGAACTTGGTAGGGCGCTAAGGTCTCGTTATGCTCCCCCTGATAAGCATTGAACCATCTCTGAGGAGCTTCGACTGTATGTGCTGCAAACTTTTTGTCTTTCAAAAGGGCGTCCATGGCACTTTGGTCTCGGAACGTCAAATCCTGGTCTGGCTTGTAATATCTCGATGAAATAATTGCGGAGAGGAGTTCAACAGCCCATTGGTTGACTCGAATGGGAAAGACGCCGTTGTTGAGTCCGTTCCAGTCGTTTGTCACCAGCAAATGGATATCATCGAACTGGGGCGAAGGAGGCAGGAATATTTCCAACGACACATACGGATTCAACATTATGGTGTCAGCATCAACCCAAAGAAGCCACTCAAGTCGTTCTTCTTGAGGTTTGGCCAATTCTCGTAACAAGAGCGAAAGTATGTACGCCGGCTTCGACCAGACATCGTCCATAATTGATTGACGAAGCACGTGGAGAGGATAGCCATGGAGCTTGTTGTGAAGTGTGTGCGTTTTGACGGTTCTTTCGTATATTGACGATCCGTACAGTACGATGGTACATTTTCCAACTCTGGTCTTGTGGCCCCATTGATTTGCTTCTGGTTCCAGCACTTCTTCAGATTTCAGTGGTGACGAGGATGGTCCGGCTGTCTGACTCGCGGCAGTCGCATTGTATACCGCAGTCGCGTTTGCCTCCAGCTCGGCATCGAATTCAAGATCCGGGTCCCATGTCTTCCAGTACGAGACTTTATTTGAAACCGCATGATGTAGATCTTTCAGAGCACCTTTGATCGATGGTCTTCTGACTGGCTGATTGGCAACTCCATCTTCTCCATCGTAGGCTTTGATGCGATCTTCGAGCTGGTCAGTTTTTGAGGACCTGCCTGGCGCATATTGCGCTCCTGGATACACATTCGGTCCTTCCAATACACTGCTTGAGGTGAAGTCGTAATCGCCGCGATAACTCGCAACGTCGTATTGATCCGCAGGGTTGAATGTGGACGTAACAAGATAGCCAAGGAACATTGTGGCAAGAGCTATGAGCATGAGCTTGAGTCGACCGTGGCCAAAGACTGCGGCGCCCGGGACTGGGTTGGCCATCCAAGAAGATAGTTCCTGCATTTTTACGAGGGAAAAACTTCCATGAGGTTGGTTCTCTCTGTAAAGCGAGAAGTCGCGACGCAGCCGTTCTTTCGTTTTACTACCTTCTACAGCATCCCTGTCTAGAAGAAAATCCGCCCCGGAAGCAAGGTCGTCTCAAAATGGAATGCGACACCACATTCCAGTGTTCGGTAATTCACAAGACTTTGTGCAAAGTTCTGGAACGGCTCAATCTACAGCATCGAAGAATCTACCCGGAAATGCATGTTAATTCTCTATCAAACTTATGACATGCAGGGGATCGTTCTTTCTGTGTGTGCGCCCAAGAGATGAAGAAGTCTGCAAACCACACTGTCATGCACGTCACCGCCGCTTGTCGGAGGGGCTTGCAGCGGCAGTGGCCATGCTGCTGTGTAACGGACAGCTGCAGAAATCAACAGACCACCGTGCACACACTGAGCCGCACGCTCCAGGATCTTGATATGCGAAGTTTCGATGGATCCTTCACGGCAAGTACAGGCTTCTGACAGTATCTTCATGATGCAGAGTCACCTTGAAAGGGTTTGACAGGTCAGTGGTACGGCTTTTTGAGCGTTGAAGTCCCCATACAGATAATGGCATTGCTGAGGTTCTGGACTGGTCAGTCGGTACCAGTTTTATGTCACAATCTGTGAAGACGTATAAGCCTAGGAGGAACAGTTCACAGTCGGCTGCTTGCTCGCTCTTGCATGGCGTGATTGGATGGTACCTGCTTGACATGAAGGTCGAACTACGGCAGTGTACCGGAGTTGACATGTTTGAACGCCCGGTTATCCGCAATGGCAGCCGTCAAACGTCGCTGCACTGCGGATCCTGATCTTCATGCGGAGAACATCTTCATCAATCTACAGATTGAGTCTAGAAAGTCCGCTATGGCGGACATATCTGATCCTCGAAACCAGAATATTTAACAGCCGTCATCTGAAATGTGTATAGGCTTAGCAAGGTTTATGATCAGAGCACCTTCATCTGGGATGTCTTTGACTCAAACAGAGGTCCAATTGGTTTTAAAGGGTCTGCGAGAAACTGCCAACCTCATTCGCCTGATCGTCTCTCCAAGGGTGACGGGAAGCAAGCGTTGCTCGGATGCTTCCCGTCTCTAATATCCTCCATACACTCAAACGGCATGGAGGATTTCTTGCAGCGATGACGGGCTGGGAGCATCAGGGCAGAATCTTGATACCAATGCTCATTAATACATGGTCGGCCGTCTGGTTGGCCATGTCTTACACATCCACGTTGAGTCAGTGATTTTATCTAATCATCTGAGTACTCTTCTGACAATCGTTTTCTCCATTGATCTTGCTGTCCTCGTGGGTTTTCTTATTCGATCATAGTAATAGTGCATCGAAACCTTTACAAGCGTCTATTTGACGCTTTCCGGTGAGTGGCTTGTAGATGAACATCACTCTTCGTCACTGATTCTGACAGTCAGCTGCAGTCACCGTTGCTTTGCGGCACTCTGTCCAAGAATCAACTATTCCAATTCCTCGTGAACCACTCCCATTACCTCGTCGAGCTTTCAGAAAATTCACCGCCGAGCATTCACCCGCCGGCCTGATACTATGCTCTACGAAGCTGCAACCAACTGCAACCATCTGCACGAATCCGCAACTACATCTGTAGCCGCGACACCGTCTGGGAAAGAAAGACTTTGCTACAACGCATATCAACATACCGCTTCAATGAACATGATGGCGGTGAGACCTGGTGGTGAGCAGGGTGCGAATAAGTATTACTACAGAGGTCGGTCTGCTCTCTCGACGGTACGCAAACATTGATCGCTTACAAACCGCGCAGACTTCTTTCAAAAATCTTTCCCCATCTATCGTGCACCTCCTCACCTTGTACCGCAGCCTAACCAGACGGCATATCCATACGCAAACGTGAGTCCTGACAGTCAACACCGAATGAGAGAAAGTTCACTGATCAGATCACAGTACCAACGCACCAGCTTTTACGGTTACCAACAAGCTGTTGCTCTATCCAACAACATGTCGACTCTCTTTGAGCAAGACACGAAGGACTACTTCTTCGATCTAGAGTGTCCTGAGCTCACTGGTAGCGAATCTTCGCAAAGTCCCACTGCCTCGTCTTTCACCAGTGGAGGTTCTTACACTGCGCCATCACCGTCGGCTGACACCAAGGACTTGGTGTTGTGCGAGAATGGAGTCTCTGTGTACTCTCCCATATCTGACTTGTCGCCATTGTCAAACTTCAGTGACAGCTGCTTCAACGTGGACCCAAGCTCCACTTGGTCCGAGCAGCCTATTGTTCCCTCCTGCAATCCATCGTCGCAGTACAGCCCAGACCTATGGTCATGTTCCCAGTACCTCCCATCTCAGTCGCTCTTCGATGTTACTGGTCGTTCCACCATGCCCATCCAATCCCATTCGGAAGGGTCGTATGCTTCCTCGATCCAGGGCATGTTCCCCATGGCCGTGTCCCACCTTCCTGCAGAACCGACATGCTCGCTCGAACAGACCATGCCCATAAGCTTTGTTGATTACGGAGCAGATGGAATGGTTGTTCCTGGACACCTCTTCAATACCACATTGGACAGATACTCCTTCACCGACCCAAGCCCCGTAACCCTCCCTACGCAGTCCATTGGAGATTCTACCTATCTTGCCTCTGCTGTTGATCCTATCGAGGCTGAAGTGACACCTGAGCCGAGCCAACAGACCACCAGGTTCGTCCCGGAGATTGCTCGTAACACCAAGGACGAATATCTCCAGGAAGCTCGTCGACGCGGTCTGTCGTACAAGGAGATCAAACGCCGTGGTGGCTTCACCGAAGCAGAGTCAACTTTGCGAGGTCGTATCCGTATCCTGTCCAAGCCCAAGGAGATGCGTGTCAGAAAGCCGCAATGGAACCGTTCGGACGTAAGTTGTTGCATCCTCGTGTGTTATACTCTCACCTAACATGGCACCAGATCATGCTCCTCGTCGAGGCAGTCGAAAGCTTCTCTGAAGCATCGCAAGGATCATCGTCTCGCAAGACCAACATGCGTCAAAAGAGTAACATGAGCAAGCTGCCGTGGAAAAAGGTTGCCGAGTGGATGCTCTCTCACGGTGCATCCTACCCCTTTGCAGGTGCAACCTGTGCCAAGAAGTGGGAACAGATCCGTGAGATGTCTCTCTAAATCACCGTAAGAGTGTCATGAAGAGTCGTTGGGGGGTCATGATTTCTTCCGGCGCTTTGGTTGGATGACATTTCGTCCCTCACATATGTTATGAGTAGATTCGCGTTGCCTTTTTATTCAATGGCATTGGGCATGGAGGAAGTTGTTTACAGCATCGGCAGGCTTTTTGGCCATGCATAGGCCGTGGACATGTAGTCGTTGCTTTGTCTCGTAAACCAGATAGTGGCTCACAGCCTTAATGATTATCACGTTCTTTTCGTCGCCTTTCGAAATGTTGGATGGTTGTTGTGCGTGACGGAGTTCCTGCCACCATGGAAGGCTTTGTCCTCTTGAAATTCGGGCGAGCTTCGGCCGGTGATGACATCAACTTCTGAACACCACACAACGTGACCATTCCACCTTCCATCTCAGCCAAACCATCTCGCATTTAAGCACAACCATGCAATTAGGTCTAGAAGAAGCTCTACCATCGTTGGTCAAGGCCAAATTTGCTTCTGCGAAAGCCAGTAATGCCTTGATCTTCTCGTCCACTGAGCTTTCTATCTTGCGAACCAAATCTGCAGCACCAGTAAGTTGACGACTTTGACGACAAAGATACCATCCACCGTGTAATTCTTGTATTCTAATCAATCTGCCAGTTTCAACTGCGCTATTGTCCAGCGCTGGCGAAGAAACCAACCGGCGATGGAAAGAAGCAGCCCAGTGGCCCAAAACCTGATCCTTTCGACCAAGTCTCGCCGGAACTGCTCATTGCAAACATCCCCAGTAACAATCCCAGCCACCTACTCGTCTTGAACAAGTACCCCGTGATTCCTCAGCACTTCATAATTGCAACCAAACTCAACAAGCAGCAAACACACATGCTCGAGCAGGATGACCTTGCTGCCACACATGCTTGTCTGAAAGCTTGGGAGGAGAACAAGAACAGTAAACTGTTCTCCTTTTTCAACTCTGGCGAGCACTCTGGGGCCAGCCAGGCACACCGACATCTGCAATTCTTGAGCGTCGATGAGATGAAGCGGGATCAACAGGAAAGTGCAAGTTGGGACCCTTTGATCGAACGCATGTTGGCAGCTCCTGCCGATGAAGGTCAAGGTAAGTCGCAAACCCCCAATCTGCTATCTGCAGACTTCAGGTTCCTCACACCATCGTTTTCAGGATTAAGGACCAACCCCGGACTACCTTTTACCCATTATGCCCTGGAGCTTCCCCATGAGCCCAGCCCAGAGACACTGTACTCGAGTTACAACAAGTTATATGAAACAGCTGCCGCCGCCGTCAGGTCCTACATATCCTCCAACCAGAATCCGGATCTCGAGCTCCACCCGTCCGAAGGCGGATCATCGCCCATCAGCTACAATCTTGCCATGACGACCTCGGCTATGGCCATCGTGCCGCGTAGGAAAGAAGGCGCCGCCATCAAGGACAGTAAGGGTAATGAGGTCGGTAGCGTGGCCCTGAATGGTACGTTACTGGCCGGTACCCTCATGGTGAAATTGGAGGATGAATGGAACGCCCTACGAGATGATCAACTACAACTCGATGGCATTCTGACGGCAATTGGTGTCCCAAGGTAGGAATTCGTTGTGCCCAACCTCACACTCTTGCTGCAAGGTCGCGGAAGTATTCGATGACTCTACAAGTCGCGCGTGAGCGTGACAATGCATGGGCTCGCTCATCAAGAGTCGCTCTGTTTATGTCTTAGAAATTCTCAATACACTATGGGTACCCCAGCACAACACTTGCCGCGAACAGAGAGATGAATGCAAAAGATTAGCACCCAGAGAAACATCATTAATATCTATACAGACACCACCCACGCCGCAGCCGACGCCTTGGAGTACTATGACATACTCGAGCAGTTCGACAATGTTCGTCGAGCTCTATTGTTTCCGTCACCCAGTTGTTTGAGACAGTGTCGCTGTTATTGTCGCGAATAATGAACCAAGGCAGTCAATAGAGATGAAACCATCTCTTCTCGCATATCGCAAGACATACTTCTCTTCATGCATACAACGCTCAGACATGTCTCAATCATAATCTCGACCATACATAAACTCCGATCCTCTTCGCCATCTGGCATGTCATCTCGCCGAAAACGCCAAGTTCCAGCAAGAATGCGCAAAAATGAAAGGCCTTGCGATGAGATCCCTGATAACGACAATGCGGATGCACAATACACCGCTCTTTTGCTCAGAGAGGAGGAGCTGATCGAGGCTGTTCGGATGGTCGACCCCGAGGAGGCTTCTAAGATGGAGAGCAAGCTGGACAAGATCACTCGAGTACCATGGAGCAAGCTCGAACAATCAGACCATTCGTCCGATGAGATACGGCTGGACCGTCTACACTCCATCGAGCGAGCCAGAAACGAAGCCGAAGAAGCCATCCAAAAAGAAATCCAACAAGCAGCATTGAAGAAAGCCCACGAAGAAAAGATCCGCCAACAAGAAGCCCGCCTCGCTCTCCAACAAGACCAAAAAGTTCTCTCCGATCAAGAACTCACCCAAGCCATCCTAGCCTTCATCTCCAAAAGATCTCGCCCCAAAAGATGCCCCGACAATGGCGAATACAGCTGGTCCGGCAAAGTCTTCCACGTCAAACAACAAATCAAATGGAAAGAAGAAGACGACAATTACCTAGCTCGAGATATCAGCAGGAGACTTTGCAGCAGAAATCTTCCATATAAAACCCCGCGGATCCAGTTTTGGAGGGTAAATCAAGAATCGGTTAGGTACTCGAGACTTCTTCCGGAGCATCTTGCTTATCGGCCTGTCGATGCTGTTACGCTGTCCAACAAGAAGGGAGTGGATTATGCTTTGAAGTTGGCTGCGAAGAGGATTTGGATCATTGTTACTCACGCTGATGATGAGGATGTGTATCGAAGGCTTTTCTGATGAACTTGGAAGATATGCTTTCAGCTGAGATCTTGACTTCGAAAGGCAGTATGATGGATGAGGAAAGACTTGGGCACAGTTGGACCACTTGAAGTCACAGGTGCTTGCAGGCATGGGATGGGATGGGCACTGGCAAAACTTGGACAAAGATCTAACTTTATTTTTGATCTAGAGCATGGATTCAAGGATACCATTACACTACCATACAACCCAATTTGAACACTTCACAAAAAAGACCATCCTGTGAGTAATGCTGTTATCTCGATGTCGGACAGGTGCCAGAAGTGATGATCTCACCAAGTCGGACTTGAAAAGGGGGCGACCCTGCTCATATTTTCTCGCCTCAATGTGGCAGGATATCCAGGTGTGAACATGCAATTCCTCGTCGCGAAATGCTTAATTATAATGAAGACTCGTCACAACTTTGGTATTGGTACAACTAGCCCTCAAATCGGGCGGAGAATCGTGTCGGTCTGAAAAATGCTGTCTTGACACATTGACCACTGGACAACGTCTTCACATCAACCCGCTTTCGCCAACATCACACAAACAATAGGATGGGTGCGGCAGGAGTTTAGTCCTCTCAAATGCATTCTGATGATTTGTTGCTCGAAAACAAGTGTCTAGTACATAAAGGGTATCCAGCTTGAAACTCCTAAGGACTGTTACCACCGACCAACCATCCCCAAGTACCATCTATAATCATGAATCATCTCTGTCTAATGCCTTCAGTGTTTGCAGCACTATCGCGCGAGGTTGAACCATCTTTAGGATCAACACCATCGACGCTCTCCGAGATGTGAAGATTCGATTCACTCTTCGCAGCCTTGACAGCAGGGTCGGCCTCGTCCAGGATCGGCTTGCCATCAGGAGTAGCTTGCCACTTTGCGACTTCCTTCTTGAGAGCCTCAAACTCCTTCTCCATGCGGCGACCGAACACATCGATGTAGAAGGTGGCGCCGTTGTAGGTGGCCCAGGTAAAGACAACCATGAGGAAGCCTGCACTGGCCCAGCGATACCAGAACCAAATGGGGCACGGCACCATTGTGACGAGTGCATAAGAGTACTGGATGAGCATGAAGGCAGGTCCTTGAAGAACTTCAGGAAGTGAAATAACAAATTTGCCCAGAGGATTCTTCGCATAAGACTTGCGCAGCCAGGTGAACGATGTAGGACGTCCTGTGGATGATCAGCAAGGGACGCGAGCAGAAATATAGCAAGGATACGTACCAGCAGCGATCTTCTCCTTTCTTCTAACAGTGATCAGGAAGTGATAACTAAGCTGCCAACAAGCATAGGGGACGGTGGCCCAGATGATCATGCCGCCAAGAGTGTAGTGTTCAGGAGAGGAGGGGGACGAGTATCTAATGCTATAAATAGCCGGGAACTTCTCTTTCTGCAACTCTTTGGGAATCAGATGAACAAGACAGTGGAGCGTAGCACAGGGCATGATGTGGATGAAGAGACTATGTGTGGTTAGTAAGGTATGTATGTAGGACGACCGATGGGCACGAACCTTGTGACCTTGTCCAAGGAATGGAAGACCAGGGAGTTTCTCCACATAGCAATTGCAACAGCGTTATTTCCCATGGCCAGGCAATAGGTGCTGATGAACAATCTCTTACTCCCAGGGAAGAACCACATGGTCAGGAGCATGAGGAGGTTGACGAAGTAACACAAGTCGGCAAGGAAGTAGTGGTAGCCAATCTGGTGATACTTGTAGTAGCGCATAGGCATGAAGTAGACCAGTTGAACCGTGTACCAGATGTGAAAGTACTCGGGGTATGCACCGATAAGGTAACCAGAGATGAAGATGTTGAGGACGCCGGTGATGAAGGAGAGCTTCTCACGCAGCGTGACTGCTTTGGCGTCGTTCCACTTCTTACCCAGTCTGTCGACATTGTCCCGCATACGTCTCTTGTACTTGTCGAGCTGTTCGTCGGGCGTAGGCACGCGACGTCTCCACTCTTCGACCATCTTGTCCTTTGCTGTGATGCTGGACACCCTGAGCTTTTGTTGCTGTCGGCGAACCTTGTCTTTCTGAGCCGTGAGAGATTGCTGGAAGCGTTCGAGTCTTTGAGGCAAGGCGAGGTTCTCGAGTATGTCGAACATGGTGAGACGGTCGAGAGGAGGGAAGCTCTCGTCATCGGGCTCGCTCAAGCTTCCATTAGAAGTTGTTCGTGACAAGAGACTGTAGCCCGGCGATGAGGGTTGGGATGTCATGTCTGCGTACTGGTGAGCATCGACAGCTGAGAGGTAGTCTGTATCGGGTGCAGATTTGTGGCCTGTAGCTGCATCAAGACCTGGTTCCTCAGGTTTGGCCTTGAGCGTGTCGGCGGGTTGTGACATGGCGGTGTGGATCAACAAGGGGAAGCCTTATTGGAAGATGAGATGTGTTGGCTCAAGTCAAAGACAGGGAGAAGCTGGACGTTCAAATAAGCATAGCTCTAACCAAAACTTGCAAATGGAATGTATTTTTGCAGAAACACACAGATGATGATACAAGTTTACTTTTGGGACCATGTTGATGGAAGGCACGATGTCATTGGCCCATGCGCGCTAACCGGTGATGGATTCCGCTCCGCTGAGTCCGCTCCCTTGGCGGCGGAACCGCGCGTGACGCGACTTCCCAGATCAACGCGTCGCCCGACTTGATCAGTCTTTCCATGCACCTGTTCGACCTGCAGCAAATCACCTCGTCGCCGTCGCCATGGGCAAGTTAATACGACTGGAGTTGTTCAGTAAGTTCCCGGCTACTGATATACATTACGTTTGACTGTACTCATCATTGCCCAGACTTCAAGTCCTACAAGGGCCACCATGTTCTGCTCTTCGGCGATTCCTACTTCACCTCCATTATTGGTCCCAATGGTTCCGGAAAATCCAATTCCATGGATGCCATCTCATTCGTCCTCGGCATAAAGTCTTCTCATCTCCGTTCGACCCATCTACGCGACCTGGTATACCGTGGTCGTGTTCTCAAAACTTCGCGAATCAACGCCGATGGAACCGCTACCGAAGTTCCGGAAGGCGAGACCCAAGAACCAGAGGCCGAGTCTGGTGCACAAGAGGAGGATCAAGACACACAAACAAGCACTCAACGCGCAGATCCGACCAATGCTTGGGTAATGGCTGTCTACGAGGACGATGCTGGAGACGAACAAGCTTGGAAGCGTTCCATCACTTCTACTGGCCAATCTGAATACCGTATCAACAACAGACCTGTTTCCGCAAAGCAATACAACGAAGCTCTCGAGGCCGAGAACATTCTGATCAAGGCTCGCAACTTCCTTGTCTTCCAGGGTGATGTTGAGGCTATCGCTTCTCAAAGTTCCAAGGACTTGACGAGACTGATTGAGCAAATCAGCGGCAGTCTTGAACACAAGGCCGACTACGACCGCCTCAAGATTGAAGCCGAGAAAGCTGCCGAAGACCAAGCTTTCAGGCTAAACCAGCGAAGAGGCATCAATTCTGAGATCAAGCAATACCAAGAGCAAAAACGCGAAGTCGACAACTACACCCGCAAAGCCGATGAAAGAGACCAAGCCATTGTTACTCACGTCCTGTGGAAGCTGTTCCATTTCCAGCAGGTTGTCGAGTCATCTGGTGCCGAAATTCAAAAACACCAGGAAGAGTTGAAGGAGCACCGCAGAAACGTTGAATCTTTTGAGGCCAGGCTTGCTGAAGCCCAGCAAGAGCAGGCTAGAGCAGGTCGCGAAGTCCACAAGCTTGAGCGCAACATCAAGAACAAGGAGAAGGCTGTCGAGGAAAAGGAGAACGATCTCTTGCCCATCAACGAGAAAATTACCCTCTCTAACAAGAAGCTTGAGGTCTCGCGCAAGCGTATTGCCGAAATCTCAAAGGAGCGTGACGCTCAATCCCGCAACGCCGATCAATTGAAGAAAGATCTTGATGTTGTCCAGAAAGCCCAAAGCAGATGGGAGCAGGAATGGTCAGCTGCACAACAGCAGGCAGGACGTGAACTCAGCGAAGCCGATCTGCAGGAGTACAATCGCTTGAGAGGAGATGTCAACAAGAGAACTGCCGCCGACCAGATCAAGGTTGACAACATTACTCGCCAGCTAAAGACCGATGAGGAGACAGTCGAGAGCTTGAAGAGCAAGGTCGACTCAACCGAGAACCACATTTCCAAGCTTGACAGTGAGGTCGCCTCATTGCGTTCTCGACGTGATGAGCTGAGCTCCACCATCCGTTCCATTAACAATGAAGCGGACGGCAAGAAAAAAGAATTCAACACTTTGACGTCAGAGAGACTCAAGTCGGCTCAAAAACATACCGAGATTGAGGAGAAGCTCAATGAAGTGTTGCACAAGCTCAACGATGCATCGGTATCTCAGCGCGAATCCGAGAAGGAAATAAGAGCTCGCGAAACTGTTGCCGCCATGAAGAGAATCTTCCCCGGTGTTCGGGGCCAACTCTGGTCTCTCTGCAAGCCGAAGCAGAAGAAGTACAACGTTGCTGTCAGCACTGTTCTTGGTCGCCACAATGACTCGATTGTAGTTGACACTGAGAAAGTAGCAAAGGAGTGCATTCAGTACCTCCGTGACCAGCGTGCTGGCCAAGCTACCTTCATCCCGCTCGACACCATCATGCATAAGGCACCGAACGCCAATTTGAAGGGCATGCATAGGGGCATGCGCCTCGCAATTGACACGATTGACTATGAAAATGCCGTTGAGCGTGCCATTTCCTTTGCATGTGGTAACAGTATCGTGTGTGATGATCTCCAGATCGCCAGACATCTCTGCTACGAGAAGCACGTCGAAGCCAAGGCAGTCACACTCGACGGCACGATTATTCATAAGGGTGGTCTAATGACGGGTGGAAATGGCTCGAACGATCAACGCAACGCCCGTAAATGGGAGGATTCGGAGGTCGAGAATCTGCGACGCCTCAAGGACAAACTGCTCGCTGATTTGGGTGCTCTACCAAAAGGTCATCGTCGTCAAGCCGAGGAAGAGACTCTCCAGGGTGAACTTGCAGGCCTCGAGTCGCGCCGCGCATTTGCTGATGAAGAACTCAAAGCGCTTGAGTCCAATATCGAGAGCAAGCGTCGTGAGCTGAAGCATGCAAGACATCAGCTAGAGGAGACCAGACCCAAGTACGAGGAGCAGGCTCATGGCGTCACCACCCTGCGCAGCCAGCTCGAGTCATACTCATCTTCGGTGGCAACTGTCGAGGATGAGGTCTTTGCTGCATTTTGTCAGCGCTTAGGCTACAGCGATATTCGAGCATACGAAGCCCAGCAAGGTAGTGCCCAGCAAGAGGCTGCACAAAAGAAGCTCGAGTTCACAACGCAGCGCAGCAGACTGGAGAATCAGCTTGCTTTCGAAACACAACGCCTCCAAACAACGAAGGACCGCATCGCTAAGTTACAGGCCGACGTCAAGGAAGCACAAGCCAACATCGCAAACCTCGAGTCGGAAAGAGACAGTCTCAACAACGAGCTCGACGAACTCAATGCTGAGGTCGAGCAGATGAACGAGCAGTTGATCACACGCAGGACTAAGTATGACGAGAAATCAGACAAAGTCGCAGAACATCGGCGTGAAGTTGCCAAGCGCTCGAAAAACATTGAAAATACGAACAAAGACATCACTGCTCTACAGGAAGAAGTTCAACGGTCTAACTCGGATCGCTACTCTTTGCTTCGCAAGTGCAGAATCGAAGAGATCAATGTACCGCTTACCCCGCAGAGCAGAAAGCTCGAGTCTCTTCCTCTCGACGGCGGCATGGCTGCAGACGAAGATGCGATGGATGTGGATGAGGAGGAAGGATCTCAACGCGTACCTGAAGTCAACGACTATGGTATTGATCTTGACTTCTCAGAGCTGGACGATGACTTGAAAGAGGACAATTCCGAGCAATGTGAAACGAACTTGCAGGAAACGATCTCGACGATACAAGCCGACCTTGACAAAATGGCACCAAACATGAGAGCCATCGAGCGTCTTGAGGGCGTCGAAGCACGTCTCAAATCCACCGATGATGAGTTCGAAGCCAGTCGCAAGGCCGCCAAAGAGGCCAAGGATCAATTCGACGAAGTTAGAGAAACGAGATCAGAACTCTTCACCAAGGCGTACGATCACATCTCTGGCCAGATCGATCAGGTGTACAAGGAACTCACTCGCACAGCGAGTTTCCCTCTTGGAGGTCAAGCTTACCTTGATCTTGAGGACACCGATGAGCCATACCTCAGTGGTATCAAGTACCACGCTATGCCTCCGCTCAAGCGTTTCCGTGACATGGAGCATTTGTCGGGTGGTGAGAAGACTATGGCTGCGTTGGCGCTTCTATTTGCGATCCACACATATGCACCATCGCCCTTCTTTGTGCTCGATGAAGTTGACGCTGCTCTCGATAACGCCAATACTGCCCGCCTGGCCAATTATGTCAAGGAGCACGCAGGCCCCGGCATGCAGTTCGTTGTCATTTCTCTCAAGGTAAGACCCATGGAGTCTACACGATCTAAACAATCCGCTGACATGAATCACAGACTGGACTTTTCCAGAATAGCGAAACCCTTGTCGGTGTCATGAGAGATCAAACTGTGAACAGCAGCAGAACGCTCACCATGGATGTAAGTTTCGAAAAATCGCTTCGATCAAATAACTGTTTACTGACATGATGCCAACAGCTCCGCAAGTACCAAGCTGCATAGAACAGCTGATGCAGGCAAGATGCATGGAAGGAAGGAACGAAGCGGTGTGTCTCAATCTAGCCGCGCATTATATCATTGTTGTTTTTCTACAAAGCACGCACGGGAGGAAGTTACGCAAGGGAGAGAAGTGGCGACTGTTATTATTAGCTATTGCTCGATACCAATCAACACGAACATGTGAATCCAAGACCAGCAAGAAGGGTGTAAGCAAACGAACTGCGCAAATTCGAATTCACTCTACATAAGTACAGTACAGTACACTACTAAGTAATAAACGATAACAGTAAAACATGGGCCAGGAAGAAGAGGGAAGGGGTCGTAAAAAGAATGCATGCTTTTTCTTCGGCTATGTGTAGGAAACGGAAACCCATTCTTCCCTTTTTGTGTGCTCCAAAAAGAAAAGATCATTGCAAAAAAAAAGGACATCAACTCCCCACTTGTGACTACTTGACTAACAACACATCACCATATTTCATCCTCGTTCCGGACATTCTCCACCGTCTAGTTTCTGCTGCCGAAGCCACCACGTCTGTAGGCACCGCCGGAGGAAGAACCGCCGCGGGAAGAGGGAGGCTCGTATCTGCCGCCAGCAGCGGGAGGAGGGGTCTCGCCATCACCGCGGGGGGTTCTGGGGGCCCAGCGCTCGCGAGGTGCGGCGGCGGGAGGTGCAGAGTCGGAGGAGGGAGCGGCACCGCTGGCACCACGCATGTGAGGAGGAACGTAGCCCGAACGCTTAGGAAGGGCTGCCTCTGCGGTGGCGACACGCTCGTCGGCTGGGGGTGCGGCGGGAGGTGCAGCGGCCGATTCGGCTTGAGGTGCGGGCGAGGCAGGAGCGGGTGATACACCGCCTTGAGCGGCCTTTGCGGCCTCGCGCTCGCGCCATGTGGGCTTGGAGCCGGCGAGGTTGAGACGAGGTCTCTCGCCTGAAGAAGCGGCAGGCTCGGCGGGTGTAGGTGCGCCGGATCTCTCCCAGCGGGAAGGTGCTGCGGCGGCGGCAGGTGCTTGCTTGCGCTCGGCACGACGAGCCTCTGCTTCCTCTTCGCGTTGGCGTTGCTTTTCGGCAGCGGCAGCGGCTTCCCTGTGATGGTGTGTTAGTTTTTCTGTTACAACTGATGGGGTGAGTATGGTGGCAACGTACTCTCTCGACTTGACTCTCTCTGCCTTCTCCTTCTCCATTCTCTCTCTCTTCTCGGCATCGGCACGCTCCTTCTCTTCGGCCTCTCTTGCCTCTCTCTCCTCTTGCTCACGGGCTCTGGCCTCAGCCTCCTCAGCCTCTTGCTTCTCACGAGCCATGCGCTCCTTGACTTCGCGACGGCGTTGCTCCATCTTCTGGTTGAGCTCCTTCTCTGCGACCTTGCGACGCTTCTCAAACTCGGCGTGACGCTGCTCGGTGACATTGCGCTTGAACTTCTCATAGGCGGGCACCAGACGGCTGAGACGGTGCTTGAGGGCAACGGCCTCCTTGTGCTTCTCCTCGGCATCCTTGAGAGTCTCGGACTTGGTCTTCTCATAGGCGGCCAAATCGCGCTCACGCTGGGTGTCGTAGTCAGCGCTCAGGTGCTTGAGCTCCTCCTTTCTGTAGGCACGCTCAAGATGGTCGATTCTCTTGGCGGTGAATCTGAGCTTCTCGCTCATCTCGTTCTTCTCCTTCTCGAGAGCCTGGAGCTTGATCTGGCGGATACGGCCAGTGTCGAGCTCGTTGATATCGAAGCTATCAATATCAACACCCTTGACACCCTGCTTGAGCTCCTTAAGCTGACGCTCCATCTCCTCTCTCTGAACCTTCTCCTGTTCCTGTCTGATGCGACGAGCCTCACGTTCGCGTTGCTCGTCAGCCAGACGCTGGACTTCAGCCTCCTGAAGTTGTTGTTGACGGAGTCTCTTCTTCTGTGCTTCCTCACGCTCCTTGGCAGCCAAAGCGTTGGCGGCGGACTCCTTCATCTTCTGGATGACCTCCGAGCGGGCAATAGTGTCGAGGTGCTCCTTCTCAGCGCCAGCCTCAGCACGCTTGAGGGCAGCCTGCTTAGCCTTCTGGCGATCCTCGTTGAAGGTAGGGTCGACATATTGGCAGGTGATGTAGAGAGCCTTGGACAGACGGGTGAGCTGAGAACGAACAATCTCAGCGGGAGTGCTCTGCAAGCGCTGGACGACCTCTGAGCCAGCGGCACCAGAGCCGCTGCCAGGGTGAAGAGCACGAGCTGACGAGAAGACGTCCGAATCGAAAGTCAAGACACCAGTGGCGTGATCGATACGGATGGCGAGGTCACCCTTCTTGCAACCGTTCATAATGAACTTCTCAATGGCGGCAGGGGTCATTTGGAATTCCTCGGGGAACTGGGCAAGGTTAAGGACGAACTTGAGCTCGACAGTCTCGTAAACTTGAGACAACTGCTGGAAGAGGCGAGTAAGGATAACCTGCTGGAGAGGCAGGACGTACTTCTTCATCTCAGGGTCGGCAGCAATCTGGGTGAGAATGGGGGAGATTCTCTTGCAGATGGAAAGAGGGTGGAAGTCAACCTCGAGGATGTTGTACAGCTCACGAATCTCGGGTCTGGCACGCTTGAGGAGACCCTTGTTGATGGCGTCCTTGAACAGAATGTCACGAGTAGGGGGTGCGGACATGCCGAGAAGGTTAGTAAGACGGGTGTTCTTGTTCTTCTTGGCCTCGTCGACATCGACGAGAGCGCCACGCGAGCGGGAAGTGCTAATGACAGGGATAGCGAGAGCGGACAGAACGACAAAGGAGGCGGCCTTGGTAAGGTCGGCATCACCGATGTTGGAGGGGTTGTCCTTCTTCTGGCCCTGGCCAGCGTTCATGATAGCAGCCGACTGGCGTAGAAGGTTGCAGTAACGGCTCCAGGCAGCGGCGTGGAACAAGTAGTTCTCGCTGACGAGGAAAATACGGGCGAGCTTCTCGAAGTAGTTGGCCATCATGACGTTCTTGGCGGGACGCTTGCTCAAGGAGAGAAGAGTGTGGGTGTCCTCGACGGACTTGAAGGCCTCCTGCCAGAGTTCGAGCTCGACGGCAACGTTCAGCTGCTGGAAGCGAGTGTCGAGATGGCGCTGGAGAGTGTCGGGGTCACTGAGGTTGATGGCGTGCATCTGGGACGAGTACTTGGCGGCATTCTGGAGATGGTTGCGTAGCAGCTCACACAGTCTGCGGAACTCGGTCTTGCGGGCGTAGCGGAGACAGAACTGGAAGGCCTGGAGGGTGACAGTCTGGTACATAACCTCGAGTCTGGCGTTGTTCTTGAAGATGTCCAAAACGGTGCGGTAGGTCTCCCACAAGAACTTGAGCCAGGGAGTAACGATGGCGCGGTCGGTTCTGTCGCGGGCTTGCTCTCCAGAAACGGTCGACAGGAGGATGGACTCAGGTGTCTCGCTGGCCTCGAGATCACCAACATTGGCCAGGTCGGCGGATGTCTCTGCTGCGGAAGAGACCTCATCAGCCTTTGCCTGGGCCTCGGAGACCTTCGACTCGGCGAGTTCGATGAAGCGCTTGAAGACGAGCTATACGTGTGTCAGCGGGTCGATAGACAGAGCAGTGACCGTGTCGGAGTGTACCTCAATAGTGGCGACATTGGTGTTTTGCGAGGTGTTCTTGTAGTTGTAAAGACCATCCTTGGCAGCCTTGCCCTTTCTCAACTCAACACAAAGTTCGACAAACAGGAGCACAACGGGTTCCAGAGAGGCGATGGTGCTGTTGCGGGTGCGCTTGGAGGTGACATGCTCGTGGAGGATAGTCAGAGCCGACTGCTTCTGGTTGACTGCGATGAGCTCCTGCGCTCTCTGTTGTCACAATACCGTTAGTTTCTGCTATGCTCGCGCGACCAGACTGCCAGAATGACTTACCTTGAGCACGTTCTCGGGCTTGGTATGCGGTGGAGGAGGCATTTTGAATAATAGCGACCTTCCTGTCGTTGAACAAGAGCACGCCGTCAAGATGTTCGATTTTTCCCAGCGTCGCTGCGACGTGCGGCTCGCTTGTGATTGGCTACACGACTTGTTCGCGCCAAGACTTCGCGAACTTCTACTTTTCGGACTTTTGCTTTGGAAATGTTCTTGCTTGTCAATCTCAGGATATTGAGCATTGGTCCTCTGCCTTCATACATCAATTCACGAATGCGCAAGATGATAGGCTGTCATGTAGACGGTGAAACATTGCAGCATGGCACAAGATGTCTGTGAAGGTGTTCCTTCCATCGGTCCTTCAACCCTTTCACTCACGTGTCTGGCGCGTGGTTCATACTAAAACATGAAGAATTTGTGAGTACACACATCGAACGCTATGGACAGATCAGTCCTGAGGCAATATTCCATTGGAGTTGTGCAAAAGTGGTCGGTAATATTGGCGGCCAAGCGGCCATCAGGCTCAGGTCAAGCGGCTCAACATCCCCTGACTGACTCTCCGGGGTCGGTCAGGTTTTATGTTTCTGCAAAGGGATGATCTGCCTCAGCAACGACAAGTTGTAAATAGTTCCAGTTGCAGTCCGTCCCAGAGCTGGACTTGACATTTCTAAAAGTATCTCTTTGCGTTACACAAAAGGCGATCGGCCAGGCGGTCAGTAAAGGCAGTTATTCTAGATAGACCACCGGTTGCCAAGCAAAACGCTGTCCACGGCTATCCCTAAATTGGACGCAATTTGAGGAGGAAGCCCTCTCGACCACAACCGCTTCCCATCCTCAAGACACGACGATTCCTGCATCCTCGCCGCCGTGTAACGTCAGTTTTCAGTGGTCTTCCTCTTCACTGCGTCGCTCATTACCCCATTCGTCTCCCGGCCACGAGAACCACACGCGCGCGACATACTCTTCTTCTCCCTGCAATCCCGGTCCATTGGCTCCCACGCCTCGCCCATCTACCGTACGACCTCTTCGTGCACAGTTTACTTTTCGTCAAGCTGACCGCTTATGACAGTCGCCAGCAATTGTCGCCAGACACTCGCCTCTGATCCCTCCCGCTCCGCTTGCCTTTATACCCCCGCGCCCGTCCTCCACTGTAGTCGCTCCAGTCCTCACACACCTCATCCACAATGTCTGCGCCGTACGAGATCCGTAACAACGATACCGGTAGAAGCAAGAAGCAGAGCATGGCCGAGCTGAAGCTGCGCCGTCTCAATGAGCTCAACCAGAGACTGCAAGAGGACCTGAACCGTAGAAGAATTCCTGTTTCCGAGGCATCCATGGAGTGAGTCTGCACGGCTGTCGCATCGTGTATACTCAAGTACTGACATCAAATCTCAGCCTAATTGCTTTCACCGACAAGGAGCCCAAGGACTTCATGGTTCCCAGCCGCTGGGGCACCGTGAGTATACCCAGATCAATGTCAATGTCTTGCTATTCCTGACCCATTTCTAGATCGACAAGCGCGACGACCCCTACGCCCCCCAACAGTCTGGCGGATGCTGCATCATTATGTAAAGCAGTTCTCCTTTTCCTTTTACAAGAGACATCATACCGGGTTACCAGCACTGGCGTTTTCGGTGGAGAGTGGCGGTTCGTGTTTCAACTTAATCATCTTTTTTCCTTTCTTTCATCCTGAGCAAGAGACGGCAGCACGGTAGACTGGCTGTGCGCTCCCGGGAGGTACTTGTAGCATAATGTTCTTACGGATTGATCAATTTCGGTCTACATTTTCTTTTCTCAAACAACAAAGCAATCTAAATTGCCATGTCTCCGCTAAAAGGAAAAAATCGTGCGAGCCCGGATTCCTTTACAGTCATTGCACCCGTTCAAAGGATTCACCGATGATTGTAAGCACGACCAGAGATCCAAGTGGGCCGGCCAGAACAACATCTCGAGACGGGGCCCCGAGAGGAAACTGACATCGAACGCCTGGAGGTTTTCAAATCCGCGAAAAGGCATCCCAGATAGATGTCAAGCAAAGGTGATTACATTGCCCATTAACATACTTATGTGCAGTCTTTGCAGACTGTCTGACCGTTCGCTAAAAGTTGGACTGGGTTCCGGTTGGTCGCAGTCTATCTGGTCATGCCTACCTTTACGATCTAATCTATAGCTTGAGTTCGTGTACCTATTCGTATGGCATCGACATAAGGGAATACATGCGGATGTGTACGTTCTCCGGAAGAGTCCTCTCTGTTCGGTATGGAATCCCGTGAGGGCCGCCCTTAAAGATTAGGCAGAAACCGGCTCCACGCCCGTGCCTACTCCAGTCGCCAGTGAACCAGATGTTAGGACTACTGAGTGACATCCAGTGACATTCGCGCCCCGGCCTTCGGCACATAGAGCCGATTCGCGACAACAAAATTTGGCCGCGAATCGGAACGTATGTCTACAATACATACCCAAATAGCTGTTGTCTGGCAAATCGGTATGGTGGAGAGGTAGGCAAGGTACCAAAGTACGATACCGAGGTCAGAGGCGAGCACTCTGGAAGATCTACGATGGCTGCAGCAGGTCATCAGGACCACAATGCGCCACACAGTATGAAGACTCGATCATAATCACATTCGATGCATCAACGGAAGCGTCGTATAGTGCACTTCAAGGCCTTCTATGCACTCAAGTGGGACCCATAGGTCACTCGGTTCGAAGTTGCTCTGAAGGTCGATCCAGGGAAGTCGGGCTAAATGCAATTCTGAGATGTTTTAGCTCGTGCACTGGCCGCCTCTCTCCAAAGTCCAAAACAGGGTCTTCGGAGATGCTCTTTTGGTGGAGAAGCATACTTTTTCCGTTATCTCAACATGCCTTGAGGTGGTCCAGGTGGCTGGTACCATCCTACTCCTACACATCGAAGTGGCAGCTTGGGAGAACCTTAGACCGAGGTAACTGTGCCTTTCTGCAACCTCTATTGCCAGGCTTGAGTAGGTGGTTATTTGGCAACACGCCCTACTGGAGCGCACTTTGTTCAGTTCCTAGCCCGCAGCCGCCCGCAAGCACCCACCCCACTTTGACCAGCACGGCCCACTTCCATCTCTCCATTTCAACCCGTTGGGTCAGGGAACCAGTCAGCCGGTTGCTCGTCACCCATCTCAATCGAAATTCGAGCCATATTTTTGCACTCGGCACCATTACTGTCGCCGACTCAGATCCGCATTTCAGCAAGCGAGAAGCACTCGTATTATAATATCAATCCGCGCCTTGCGAAAAATCGTAGGGGTCTACTCGAGCCACCTGCGGCAACAGCGACGACATTCGTTCTTTTCTCCTCGCACCACAAGGCAACCTCTGGCATGAACCACACCGAACAGGCGCAGCCATGGCCGCAGCCGGACCACCATATGGACATGCAAGACATTGACTTCTCAAACTTCCTCGACATTGGCGATATAGGCGACATCGGTAACCTCGATGTGAGCGACTTCCCTTCCCTCGACGGGCCTGACAGCCAAGTCATGGCTTCGACTGGCTCGCTGCATGACTTTGGCGCAGAAGCCTTCGAGATGCCGACCACATTGGACGTGCAAAACTTCGGCCAGGTTCAGCAATGGGGCCACCAGCAAGTGCCGCAGAACATGTATCGTCCTCCAAACATTGTCCCGCCCACACCGAACAGCTTCGAATTGCAGGGCAATGCGCGTCATTACATGTCCCAGCACATGGAGTCGGGCGCGGGCCCCTTCTTTGACCAACATCGTCGCTTGAACAAGGACGACAACATGGCCTTCACTCCTCTTGTATCGCCAGCAGTCACACCGCGGGACTCGACTTTCCATCCCATACCCGAGTACACGATTCCGGGCGCCTACTTCAGTCCACTCACGTCGCCAGCCTTGCACGCGCAGCAGCAGCAACAGCATCAGCAAACCCGTAGCTACGCCCACAACCAGTACACGAATCCAACGACGGCCGACAGCTCGGCTGCCGCTTCGCCGCTTGACCTCAACATGGACATGGACACGGCAAAGGACATGACCGAAGCTGCTCCCCGCAGAAGCAGAAGGAAAGCGCAACCTCCCCATTCGGCTGGGCCAGCTGCGCGCGTGCGACAGTCGCCAATCGTCAAGGGTCAGAGACGCCGGTCGGCTCACCTCTCGACCATCATCCCCCCGCGTGAAGTCAACAACATTCTGCTCGAAGCCCAGAGCCAGGCCCAAGGTGCTCGCACTCCGTCGGCTGAGTACATGCCATTCGAGAGCTCAGGCGCAGAGTCGATTTCTCCTGAAGCATTACCCGATTTGCTCATGGGTCCTCCGCCTCTCCCGGCCTCTGCATACCACTCGCCGGCCCTCCATCCTCAGACACAGTCTGCCCCTGCTTCAACCGCTATCCACTCGCACCAACCGCCTTGCGATCCATGTCCAGCTACACCTGCATCATTAATGTCTATTAGGAAGAGCCAGCAGCAGAACGGGACCAATCATACTGCTGGTCCACACCCCGGCTCAGGCCAGTTCCAGATCCAATCTCAGGATTCGACCGGTATGCTTGAAGACCTTGCTCTGCCTCCTGCTGCAGCCGGTCCTACTCGTCCGGCTTTGAACAGGATAGTTACCACCGTCCCAAGCGAGACCACTCCACGTTTGGCTCCCAAGGGTACCCCCCGATTGGCACCATCACAATCTCATGCATCGAGCCCTTCGTTGGCAGCCAATTATTCACCTGCCATTGCGCCTACGCCATCGTTCTCGGGCAAGAAGCCAGACCCAAAACGAGCCCAGGCTGCAAAGAAGCGTGGCAGCGTCAGTACCTCGTCTGCTCTTGTCAGCCCAGCTATCCGTCCAAAGATCAGTCCTAGCATCAAGCCTTTGCTACCTGAAGGAGGTATGTACTGCCACTACCACACGCTCCACCTTCAAATGTCTTCTCTTGCTAACCGTTATGAACTAGGCCTCAGCGAGTCCCAGCAAGCGCTTCTTCTCGCTTCAAAGTCAAACTATACTCATCTTCTGGAAGGCACTCGTTTACCTGGTGTCTCATATCCAGAGTCGTTGTCCATGGGTCTGACATCGAAACGTACCTCGCACAAGATCGCCGAGCAAGGTCGTCGCAACCGAATCAACGAGGCCATCAAAGAGATGCAAACCCTTCTCCCCAAACTCAAGGGCAAGGCCAGAGCGGAAGAGATTGCAGAGGAAGAGGAGGAGGCCAATGCCAAAGATGGCAAAGGCAACAACACAGCAGAGGGCAGAAGTGCCAACTCAAAGGCTGCCACCGTCGAAAGCGCCATTGATTACATCAAAATGCTGCAGCAGGAGAAGAACCTCGCTTTTGAGATGCTCAAGAAGAAAGACGAAGAGATGGCGGCGTTGCGAAAGCAATTGCAGGCTGCTGACATCAACATCACAGCCACTGACTCGGCCAATGACTCGGCCGTCGCGAGCAGTGGTGACGAGAACAGCGCCGAGCCTGAGAAGATGGAAGGCGTCAGCGCCACGCCGTAAGATCCTTTCGACTCTTGCTACAGCGGATGCAAGAGAGGGTGCATTTCTTCGGTCAAGAGGCTTGGCTGGTCTGGCCTGCCGACAACGAGAACTGCGACCCTCCCAACCAACAAGCGCAAGGCCGAGAGCTTCAACCATGACGACTATCAGCACCTCAATAACGGCTTCAGATCCGTCCGTGCTGGGATCGACTTCCGCAAGCAGAAGCATCCTCATCGCTGCGCGCTCGTTGCCTACACCGACCACAAGTGCAAGGTCAAGTCTGTCTTCGTCGCCGAATTATAACAGTGCCGAGCTCACCGTGTGCCATGCTGTCAACCTGAAGCAGAATGACTCTTGCCTCGTGGCTGGCCACTTAGTCAAGTGGAATTTGGGGTCAGCCCGTCGACGTCGAGGAAACCGATTTTGGTTAATTGGGACGGCTTTTTCGAAGACTCGTACTTTGACAGCAAACACGCGTATACCGAGACCGAGCGCTGTTGTTCGGCTCGGGCAATCATCACTGTCATACATTTCCTTCATGTTGGATATGCTCTTTTTAAGCAACAAAATGGAGAAGGGATGGTAGCGTTTGGCATTTTGGCTCTCCCTTTCCCCCTTTTCTCTTCTCTCTTCTTTCCTCTTCTCTCGCACTCTTGTCTTTCTATAATGTCACCTCCACTCATACCCTTCTTTTCTTTCTCGTTTTTCGAAGCGCCCTCCTCTTTTAGGATATAGCTGCTGTTCGGCTTTGGCTTTCTTGTTGTTTTACGAAATTCTCGTTTTAGATATCCGGCACTCTATTGGAGCCTCTTGCTTGTTGGATATGGTACACACCATTTGTTATACACCTTTAAATTAATGAAAAAAACAATTGAACATCATCGACTTGAACAATTAAACTCCAGGATGCCTGATTTTCAGAAGCAAAGCAGTGGCTCAGTCTATGACAATTATAGCATCAATCGAAGAAGCAAAACTGTGAGTTTGCCTATGAAGGTAAAGAGGAAGGAGCAGGCACGATGATCACGATTTCAACTGGTCTATTGGTTTTGGGATTTTGTGTTGCTTTCAGTGTCTTGTGAGAAAATCGAGTCTGGACAGGGGCTTCTGAACACAGCTTGATCGAGATAACTCACTTGCGTAAAGTAATTCATAGGTTTCTTCAACATTCTTGTGAAATCGAATCCCTAACAAACGATAGATGACAAGCACAAGAGCAGAGATAAAGGCCACTGTGTTGTTATAGAGTAGGGCTGAATATCCTCCCCATGTGCCAGAATCTGGCTCTTCCAGCCATCTCCCACGGCCACCCCTGGAGTCGTCTAGCCTGTAGAAATGCACAATGTTTATTAGGTCGGTATAGTCGTCCATAGAGAGGCGCTAACTACTATGCTCTGAGTAGAGGCTACCTCTAACAATGCTAAAATTGTGCATTTCTAAGATCATACGGGGAGGATGGAATGCCTTGACGAAGAGAACGACTGTCTATACTGAAGATTGGGAACCATGAAGTGAAGAATGCTCCTCAGTAGAGATATGAAGCGGTCAACGGCGAGAAACACAACGACTGAATCGCGAACAGTAGGCAAGAGTAATGTAGCGAAAGAGGAATCGATCTGCTCATCTATGCTGCCTCTGGGCAATTGAAGAAGGCCACCTGCACAGTAATGTCATCTCTCACGTCGCGAGAGCGAGGGGCAGGCACTGCAAGCCGGCCGGCTATCATCTCGTGATGGTTACCGCCGAGAGAGTTACGCATCAGATGCACTGCAGCATTGTCGTCTTGAACGGTTGTTCTCTCCTCTTCGAATTTATCATCCACCTTGAACTGACTGAAGTCGAACGGTGCGTAAGTCGGCGATGGTTTTTCATCAACTGTCCCAGAAAATTTGAGTTCCAGCCATTTTCCAACTAGGTCGACCGCCTGCTGGTTGGTGAGATTGTCCCATAAGCCATCTGACGCTAGAATGAGAAAAGAGGGTCTGTCCGAGGGCACAGTGGTCGTTGTAACAACTGGCTCGGCTGTCAAATACGGTGGTGTTTTAGCACCAGGTCTTAGTGCTGGACCACAATACTTTTGCTCGCACTCCCTCTGCAGCTCCAGAGGCCATTTCCAGCGACCATCACCAAATGCTCGAGAAACCATAATTCCCAGTATCCGCCCATTCTTAGCAATTCCTTCTTCACCAGGATGCTCTTGGTTGATTCTTGCGATCTCATCTTCATTGCTACCGGTCTGGTCAACAGACAAAGGTACTGCTTCCCATGTACCATTTGCGTTCTTTTGTCCGAGGACTGCCCTTGAGTCTCCTGTACATGCCACATGTAGCTTACCTGCAACAGGATCATACAAGGACAGTAAAGCACATGAGCCAGCATAAGCGGGAACCAACTGTGGGATCTTTTCTGTCAACGGCAGGTCGGTTTGGGTGATTTGCTGAGCGCTATCCATGATGCAACTGTCAAGATCCACAAAGGCCTTTGTAATGGCGCGCTGAATCATATGTTCAGACATGACTTCTCGTTCCGTAACGCGCTTGACTCGACTCATAGACTGTTGCACGTGAGATAGAAGTTGCTTCTCCAGCAAGTCTGCTGTCTGCCAGCCGGCATGCCCATCAAAGATAGCCCAAGCCATCCACGCTTTGCCATCGTTCCAGGGTGAGGGAACTTGACCATGAATAAATCGGTCCTCGCACGGGCTGTTCGAGGCCAGTTGGACACCATCGTATCTGTTCACACCAGGAATTTTCTTGACTAGAAATGAGTATGCTCCTTGCAGAAGCATCTCGGTAACTTCGTTTTTCGAAAAACCAGACTTGGGGATCATATGCTCAGCTGGCCGATTGTCCAGGAGTGGCACATCATCGCGGACAGTGGTAGACCACCAAAAACCTGTTCCAGCAACCAAAGTAGCAGAGGCAATGTATGTCGCAGTCTTGATGGCAGTGTGCTTTGATTGTGAATTTGCTGTGGAATATCCAAGTCGATTTGTCATCCGAATTGTGGAAGACCAGCGCGTTCGAGCAGAGCGCAGTGGCTGCATTCTGGTGATGATGTTGTAATACTTTCAGAAAGTACGGTTCTCCTTCATCGAATGCAGTCCCCAGTAGAGAATGACAGAAGGGCTGGCGGCGGCACAAAGAGATGAAGTGGGGAAGTATTGAACTTATTAACCAAGATGCTCGGAACTAGGGGCATATGCGAGCGTTTCAAACTCGCTTGTATGACGACGGTAGGGTGGAAGGATTCTGGAAGAAAGGAGTGATAGGGCAATTGCGATGGGGATACTCTGATATCCGGAAAGATCGGCCGTCTTGGTGGAGATAAGGCATGGTGTGCTATGCCGCTCTAAGGGACACAGTATGTAACAGCTCGCGTGACCACTTAGCAACGACAATCGCGACTCTTGTATTGGATAAGCTAATTAGAAGCACATGGGCAAAAAGAATTGCAAAACATACAGCAGCAGGGATTCCCACGTGGTCACCCACCGTAGTACTAATCTGCCGTTCAACTGCTTATGTATGGCAGAGCGGACGGGATGCCCAGTTTTCAGCTGACTGTGGCCGTATGTGCTTGTGAAACACTTCATTCAAAATATAATATCTGGTTGTTGAATCAATGCATTCTGCACTGATCACTATTCGTAGTGCTGTCGAGTCGTACCTCCTCGTGTGCAGACTTGTGTCACGAGCATGCTGGAGGAATGCACAATGCTTTCAAGATCAGTGCAGTCCTCCACGGAGAGTGTGAAAGTCAGCGCTTCCTAGTGCAGGGATTCACTGGTCTAAAAAGCATTGTGCATTCCTTTAGCCGGAATGGCCTTAGTTGTAGTCGCGAGAGATGGCTAAGAGTGACCTAATCCAGCAAATGGGGGGCTGCATACAAAAAGAACTACTCTACTCCTCTAGCCTTCATGAAATCCACCAAATCAAAGAAACTCTTCTTGTAGTTCCTCTCCTGGGTCGTACGATTGACAGTCTGGATTCCAAAGTGCTGATCGTAGTCGCCGAACTCCCAATTGTCAGCAAAGCTCCAAGCGAACGCTCCCAACACTTGCACGCCATCTTCCCAGATCGCCTTTAGCACTTCGGACATAAAGCTCAAGTAATAAACACTGCGGGGAGAATCAAACAACTGATCGGAGAGGTTTTCCTTATCTGCTTCGGCAAAAACGGGGAAGCCGAATTCGGTGAGCACGACGGGGGTGCGGAAGGTGTTGTGTAGGTAGTTCAGGTAGAGGCGCAGGTAGGTGGGGGTGATGTAGACGTATGATTGGGAGCGATAGCCGATGTTCCAGCCAAAGATGTCCGTGGTGGTCTGATTGACGCAGTAGGGTCGTAGTTCCGCTGATGAGTTGCTGGCGCATGCCTTGATACTATCGATGGAACCTGGTTCTGGAGGTGCAATCACTGTAGCTGTGTAAGGATCAATGCCCAGGAAGTCTGCAGTTCCGTTGATGTATTCGAGGTCTTGTTGACTCAAAGGGACGTAGTCGGTGATGGTCATCTTGTAGGATTCGGGGTAATCTTGACCTAGGAAGATGGGATTGCAGAATGGTCCCAGCTGGAACGAATTAAAATGGTCGGCAGCGTACACATCAGCTTCGCTCTTTGGGTCGCGAGGCACGCCAAAGTTGTTGTTGAATTTAAGAGCAATCTTGCCGGTACCCTTCAGCTCTTCCTTGTAGAAATGGGAAACACGAGCGTGCGACTTGATAACATGATCGATGGATTTGCCGTTTGCAGAGTAAAGCAGAGGCTCGTTGAAAGTATACCAGACCGGCACACGATCAGCGTAGTGTGTCATGACAAGTTTGGCGTAGTTGACAAAGGCGTCTGGGAAGGTCTCATTCTGGTATCCACCATTGACATACCCAATTTCTGTCTCGGCGAGTAAGGCAGTGACGTTCTCAATCGAGCCATAAAACTGCAATGGTGTATCGAAGTGCAAAAGCGTGACTTCGGGAGCCATTCCCTTCTCGATGATATAGTTGATCACATCATCATAGTGCTGAATCGCTTGTTGGTTGACCGGGGTGCCGGGCAGTGCAAAAGGCAAGATCCTGGTCCAGGCAATGCTGAAAGAGAAGTACTTGACACCCATGGCAGCAACCCGCTCGATGTCCTGCTTGTAGGTGTAGTAGTGTTCGTTGGTGACATAGTCCTTTGGTCGGTCATCTTGGACCAAGATATCCATTAGGGATGGACCTTTTCCTTCCTCCGCCGTAGCTCCTTCAATTTGGCTGGCGGAACTTGCAACACCAAACTCAAAACCAGGAGGAAAGTTGTAGCAGTCGGTCGGGCCGAAGTAGTCTCTCGGAGGCAGGACTAGCTCCTCAGTCGGCACTGGGGTCGGCTCGACTGTAGTACTGTAAAGAGCGCTTGCGGCTTCTTGGGTGAAGTTGGGCGGATTGGCCATTCTCCACAACTCCGTCCAAGCGGCGTTTCCATATGGGTCTGCCGTGTCTGTTGCAGTTGCGTTTGCAGTTGGATTCCATTTGCCCCAAGTGGTATAGGATACAGTACCGATGAGAGAAGTCAAGCTCTCTGATGGCGGAGCATAGGTTGTGGTAGTTGTTGGCGAGGGACGAGATGTAGCATATCGCACCGTCGAGGTCATGCTATATTGAAAAGGTGTGAAGGTGTACTGCGGTTCGCCTTCAATGCACTTGGTGCATGGTCGAGGTGTGGACCCGTTGGCCTCCAGGTATACTTGCTGGGTGACTGCCACAGAAGCCAGGCCAAGTAGTTGACCAAGAATACACACTTTTACCATGGTTGAAGTTATAGGAAATGATTCAATACTTACAACCTTTGGGTGGACGAAGCCTTCTTATATAAGCTGTTTATTCCGGCCCTTGGCTCTACCAGGTTGCAAAAAATCATCGGTTCTATGCCTTGACTTGGGCTGGGACCATGGAGGAATCGTCATGCCGGACCGTGCAAGCAAGAAGCTTAGGAGCCATGAAGGCACGATGCCCGAGCAAACCGTCGCCAACTCTGCCTTGTTTAGTCTTCCCCTCCAAATGGCCAAGCCGAAGGAATCGCGGAGCGTCGATATGGGGTTCTGATCTGCAGCGATGTACAGTAGAAGCTCAAGGTTGTACCTTCTGTGTTCGTATTTACCCAGCCTTTGCCGGTATAAACTTGTCACGTGCGTCGGGAAACAATCTCCCGAAATCGCGAGCAAGCCGAGGGTAACAAATCACAACGACTGCCAAACAACTTTTGTTTCTGGCCCAAGTGTGTTCGGTTCTTGGACGCTCCGAAAGGCAAGGCATTGGAACTTGCAGCCTGTCGAGAAATGCTCATCGGGGGTGTTCCCTGCAACATTCCCTCGACATTGGCGAGAGCTACTTCGAGCCAAGATAAGGAGCATCACAATCAAATTCTATCGGGGAAAGAGCGATCAAAGAAAAAGTCATTGCATTAAGGGGTATGTGATAAAGGTCATTTACTTTCCTGTACATGTCCGCTCTATATTCAGAGCATGTGGAAGGGTGTGCCATTATGCACCTGTTGCTGCGCCTGAGTCTGTTGTGGTTGACTAGGCAGCAAATTCGGATTCGCACTTCCATTCGCCAGAGCAGCTTTCCTCTCGGCCTCCTTTTTCTTCTTCTGCACTAAAGTACCCTTCAATCCAGTAAGGTATTTCATAGTTTCTGCCTTCAAGTGTCCAGCTTCTGAAGATGACTTGACAGCTTGGATCATCTCGCGTACTTGAGTCTCTGAATTGATGTGTGGACAGATGCGAGAGAAGCCATAGTGTGCGAGACCGCAGAGTCCGCAGTGTTCGACGCCCGCAAGCTTGAGAGGACAGCTACCTAGGGGGTGAATGTGTTGACATGCTACGCATGACGCCATTTGAGGCTGTCGCGGTGGGTTGCCGTTCGAGGCTGGGATTGTGAACTCAGGGTCGTAATTGCGGTAATTGGGTATCTCGACGCGACGAAACAATGGCGGGGCTGGATAAAAGTACAAAGATTAGTAAGTGTTCAGATAGATTCTTCTTCTTGTTGAGGTGGAGAAGGCAACGAGTTGGCACCAGTGACAGTGATGTCTTCATCACTATCTCCGGTAAGGTCGACGAAGCCTGATGGGACTGCAGCACCGAATCTCTGCATATTGATCTGCGCCTCTCGCGCACTCATGCCATGAGATGCTGCCGAGGCCGCATACTTGACTCGCCTGGATGCTGGAGCAGGTGTGACAGGAGTGGCACGCTTCTGTTTCTTAGGCATTGAAGCCACTTTCTTTGTGGGTGTTGAGACTGCAGTTTTGGTCTTTCTTGGACTCTTGCGTGGTTTGGTGGGAGTTTTGATGGGGGTTCTTTGTAAAGAAAATTCCTTACCAGTCGGTCTGATCAGCTTGGAAGTGGTCTTTGCTTGATCAGGAGCCTGCAGCTCTGTCGGGTCGACGATGTCTTCAGGCTCTTCTGCTGCGACGCTCTCATCGTCACTATCGTCTCGGAAGTCTGTGTCGTAATCATCATCTACTTGAGCTCGTTTGGAGGGGCGGATAGGAGAGCCGTTATCAGCATCCTTAGGACCCATGACGGCCTCGGGACCGTCTTGGTTAGTACCATCGCCATAATCAACCGTCTAATTAAAGTTAGCAATGACCCAGGGAAAGTTGGAAGAAGATACGATACTGCTTTGGTTCGGCGACCACGTCCGAATGCCTGCTCAGCGGCCGCCGCTTCGACTGCCGCAATTCTTTCGCGTTCCTTAAGAATCTTGTCCCATACGTCGCGATCAGGAGCCACCTCTGCTGCTTCTGGTCCTTCGACAGCTGTATCTTCGAGCTCGTTGTTGGCCCAAATCCTAGCGAATGAAAAGGTGGATTCTGCCGATTTGTCTTCACCAGCCTTTGTATGCTCGACGTTGCTAACTTCGAGCAACCTATCGATCGCGGCTGAGTCGTACTTGATGTCTTTCTCTCCATCGTCATCGAATAACTCCTTGGTACCGTGGCGAAGGATACCTTCGAGGTCGCGATCTGTAGCATCGTCTGCGTCCATCTGTTCGATCAGGACGTGATCCAGTGCCATCTTGCGTCTACCGTAGGACATGATCTTCTCTTCAGCACTGGCACGAGTGACGATCTGGAAGCATGAGACCTTCTTCTTCTGACCGATACGATGAGCTCGACTCAGTGCTTGAATATCTTGGTGAGGGTTGAAATCAGGATCCAAGATGATGACAGTATCTGCTGTCGCCAAGTTGATACCGACACCTCCGGCACGAGTGGAAAGCAAGAAAGCAAACAAGGCAGAGTCAGGTGCATTGAACTCATCAATACGTTTTTGCTTTTCCAGACTGCTGATAGTTCCATCGAGACGCTGGCAGCGCATCTCAAGGCCATCAAGGAAGTCCTCCACCATAGTGAGCATATCAAGGAACTGACTGAAGATCAGCACGCGGTGACCACGCTCCTTGAGCTTGGGAAGGAGTATCTCGAGCAATTGCAACTTTCCACTAGCATCGACGAGGTTACGATGGCTGGCAGCTTGAGACACGTTTCTCTCTTCGATCTCGGTGCTGTACACGAAAGGATGGCAAAGGCATTTGCGCAGCTGCATAAGGATGTTGTTCAAGTTAGCGCGTTCTGTGGGTCTAAGTTCCTTAGCTCCCTGGAAGATAGCGCGCATGAGGTCTGGATTCTTTGCGAGAATGTTCTTGTAAAGCTTCTTCTGGACGGTAGACATAGAGACCGGTACGATTACTTGGGCCATCGGTGGAAGGAAGGTCAAGACCTGAGCTTTTGTGCGACGCAGGAAGAAGGGGCGAATAATACCGTGCAACTCCTGAATCTTGGCTGTGTCAAGATTCTGGAACTTCTCTTCCAGCTGACTGGCATCGAAGGTGTCGTCGAGGAACTGCAGAAGATTGAACAACTCACGTGCGCTGTTCTGCAGAGGCGTACCAGTCAGGAGAACCTTGAAAGGTGCTTTCAAAGATGCCAGCGCTGAGTATAGCTGGGACTTGTCGCTCTTCAAACGCTGTCCTTCGTCGACGATGAGTGCTTGCCAAGGAATGGACTTGAAGAACTTTCGAGCACTGTCATCAGCAGCGCAGTCGTAGGAAGTCACGACAATATGACATCTGAGCTCTCTGCTATCGCGAGCAAATAGTTCGTAGCGGTAGGTCAAGTCGCGAGCTTCCTTGCTTCCGAAGTATGCGACGACTCTCAAGGAAGGAGCCCATTGCTTGACTTCACGACGCCAATTGGCACAAGTGGAGTTGGGTACCACAACCAAGAAGGGAAAGCAATTCCAGTCTTGAACTAGAGTGGCGAGGAAAGCGATGATCTGGATCGTCTTTCCTAGACCCATCTCGTCAGCCAGAATGGCGTTTTTGTGTGTGTACCATTTGTAGTAGAGCCAATTGAGACCCTCCATCTGGTAATTCATAAGCTCTCCTCCAGTGATGTTGTTAGGCTGCTTCTTCTTCTCAAGCTTTTGCGCAAAGTCAAGAGATCTCGCCTTCTCGAGGCGAGTCTTGAGCTGCGGTGGTTTGGGCTGCTTCACATATCTGCCAAGCACCCAATCGTTATAAGCGACGACGAAATCAGTCCAGCGATCAACATCATCAGGAGTAGGGGGCTTCTCCCAAACAACATCTTCATACCCAAGGCCCTTGTACTTGACCAGAGCGACGTCGACTTCACGAATACGTGCCTTGTCGATCTCTTCAGTCGAGATGTCAACAATACTGGTGTATTTGACATCAAGCACAATGTCGATGCGAAGGAAGTCCTCGGGAATCGCGTCTTCAGTGCGCATCTTGGGTTGACGTGCCTCGTCACGCTTCGCAAAGGCTTTGCGCATGGCGCCAGCGGTGGCACCCCAGACCCAAGGTCCAGGCATCCATGCAGCCTGGAAGTACGACTTACTATCCCAACGCACGAGGTAAGCCTTTTCATCTTCAGGAATTCTGTCGTAGCCCAAGCTAGGGTCGTAGTTGTCTTCATCGATCGGCTTCCACGCCACAAGTGACCCGACCTTTCCTGGACAATCAAGACACTCTTTGCATCTCCAGTCCTGGCTGTACTCTTGAAGTCGCTGAGCGGCTACATCGTCGCTGTCGAGGTCCATCAGGCTGTCCGACTTCGGCGGCATGTGCTCGAAGTGGAAGCCTCTGGAGCAGGCAGTGCAGCGGAACATGACATTATCGGGGTTGTTGATGAGATTTTGCGGAACAGGACAGATCGGGTCCTCACCATTGTTCTCTTCGCGGTCCTTTTGTTCCTGTTGAGGGGTCTTGCGCTCCCTGAAAGGAACACATGATGAGCCATGCTCCTTACAGTCAGAGCACCTTCCATGGTCTGGAGCTGTATGATCCTTCTTCATCGGATAGGCGACACAGCGGCGGCACTGGAGAACAAAGTCGTTCTTACCAACTTTGGTGACCAGATGCTCCCTAGATCCGCGGTGACCGATGCAGCTCTTGTGGTAGGCATAGACACAACCTTGACAGTAGATCAGAGGTGCAAAGTTAGTGCCGTTCTGACATGAGTCGCAGTGTTGGATGTGACGGGCGCGGAAAGGGTCTGAGCGTGGGAGGTCCCTGAAAGATTCACGAGCTCCGACAGGCTTGGGAGGGGCGACAGGACGTGGTTCCGACTCTGATCTATAGATGTCGTTAACACCTGGATCCTGCATGTCGCCTTGGTGACGTGTCGATCGACCCGACTGGCGGACTCCCTGGCCCATGGGGCGTGACGTGCGAGGCCTCGAGTTGTCGTATTGAAGCTCATCCTCACCATCATCGGCGTAGTTGATGGGACGACTTGCGGATCTCAAAGATCGCTTTCGTTTTCTGGTGGGCAGGACGTCGGATTGGAGAATGAAGCCATCGTCGTCGTCGTCGTTGTCTTCTGAATCGGCCTGAGACATGGATTGGAGACGTCTTGAGGCTCTCCTGGGCTCGGAAGCTGGCGGGACGACTCTCCTGGAACGACGAGGAGCCGGGCCGTCCTCGTCTGATTTGCTGTCGTATCTTTTGGTTGCCTTTGGCTTTCTTGAGCGTGAGGGATTGTCTTGTGCTTCCAGGTATTCGAGGGCTTGAGCGGTGTCGACGTAACCAGATTTGCTGGGCCTGGGGCGCTGGATCTCTTCGACGTCACTTTCTTCTTCGGCATAGTCGCTCCTGTCTTGGACGTTCTCGTTGTATTCCTGCAGGGATTCTTGGCCGTTCTCGTACTCTAATAGATCGTTGAAAGAGACCTGGCGAGTCGGAGCGATTAGCTTGAGACGTAGTGGAGGCATGTTGGATGGGTGTAAAGACTATGGGTTGAGGTTGTGCAGTTGTTTTGAGTTCGAGAGGCAAAGTGGAAGGAAGTAGAGTGGATAAAGGGTTCTAAGACCCTTGATATAGGTCGATGAGAGTCGATAGAGGAGTAGAGTGATAGTGAAAGAATAGCGAGTGACGAGAGATACGTGAAGGTTGCGAGGGTTGTGAGGGTAGCATAGTGTGAATAGGAAGGCATCCTTGATGAATAGTAGCGGACGAATGATAGTAAGGACTCACCTGCTCTGTATGTCTATCGACAAACTCAACATTGTAGTATACATCTTCATTCTGAGAAATCTCTTTCAATACACGGCGAACAATGTTGGCACCGTATGTACAGTCGGTGTAAGCTTCACGGTCAAAGTTGGGGTCTTTCGTGATGACGATTTCGATGTCCCGTGTGGGTCTTCTGGTCGTTGTAGGTGGGAGAGTAGGAGCGGGTGATTCCAGTTCAGGTTCAGGATCATCTTCAGCTATGCCGTCGATAATGGCATCGATATCCAAGTCATCGTCCTCGGCTCCGGTGGTCGTCTCAGGTACAGTGGTCGGAGTGTTGATTGAGGCAAAGGTCCTAGGCGGGGGAGCAACTGGGCGAGGAGCAGTGTTTACAGTACGAGGCTTCCACTGGGAGATGTCGACATTCAGTTCATCTTCCGAGGCGGACGACATGGTGCATCAATTCGACATGCGCATACACGTCCCGGACGAAATAGTACGCGTCTTCGGCGAGAAGGATGCTGAGAAAGCCAGTGATATATGTTGTGGAGAATGTACAGAGTGCACCAGTAGAAAGGAAAGGCCTATGTCAGTGGGAAGGAATAGATACAAACGAGGAAGTCGCAACACTTTCTGCTACAAAGAGCAGCAATCGCAAAGTCCAAGACGCGACAGGCCGAGGGACGCGACCGGAGCTTGGACCCTGACTTGCTCTCAAGATGCGATCCAGCCTGTCTGCCGCCTTTTATTTTCCTAGACTTGATTTGTTTACGGACAGGACCAAAAGTCGCCACCCCTCAACCTCATCTGGAATGCTTGCCGCCGCCTTTGCGCAAGCGCGTACTCCTAGGCTATACCTCCAATGTCGCCATAAATCAAACCTCTCGGCCATCAACCGTACCCTCGATCAATCTATCCGCAGAGACCGCCGCAAGTCTCTCGACGACGGAAGCAGAACTAGAGACGAGCGTGGAGATAGCTTCCCATGGCAGGACCGTGGAGATGATCGCAGACCCAACAACTATGACAACCGCCGGGACAGAGATTCGCCTCGGAGCAGAGACGATCGTAGCTCACCGAGAGCCTACGAGGGCAGAAATCATCTGGAAAGAGGTTACACCAATGATCGTCCTGCTCCCAGAACGGACATACGTGTGAGGCCGGAGGATGCCTCCGACGAAGGCTTCAAAATTCGAAAAACAAACAAATATGTACCCAACCACGAAGGCGACCAATCAGACCATGGGGGTGATATCATGAAGGTCCCGTTTACTCACAAACACCACTTCACCGAGGAAAACTGGAATAGACTGATGGACGCCGTCAAGCGAGCCGAAGACAAATACATCAGAGCCCTGCCCACACGCCCGTCAACCCTGCCCGTCTACGACAACAACAAGCCTGCTTCATCCTTGGAAATCAAACAACAGCTCAAGAAGACTTTCAAGGCCGATCTTGCAACCGTCGAACCTACCTTGGAACGTCAGAGAAAGGACTGGCTGCGCGTCATTCAACATACAGGCGAGGCTCTCAAGAATGCGAAGTCGAAAAACATCTTCATCCCCGGAAGACGCTGGTTCACAGAAGACGATCCGAAGAGTGCTCTCAAAGCCTCTGTTTATCCCATCCAACCACCAGCCACTCCGAAACAAGGTGCCGACTGGGCTGGCGAGCTCCGCGACATATCCGTTTTGAACCAGGACATGCGTAGCGAGATTATTATGAATCTTGTCAACAGACATGCCACCGCCCTCATGAGTGGCAAGAACGTACAGGATGAAGACTTTGCTCCAGGCGTCCTTGGCTTCAATTCAAAGCCCAAGGAGAGAGATGGGCAGATGGATAAGTTCTCGGCCAAGGAAGAAAAAGAGCGAAGAAGACTCGAAGAAGAAAGCCGCCTCGACGACGAACAACTCTCCTCATTCGTCCGAAATAACAGAGAAAAGAACGAAGACCGCAAAAACAAGTACAAGGAAATCCAGGAACCGCGAGACCGCAGAGACAGGGACAGCAGAGACAGCAGAGACCGAGATAGCAGAGATAGCAGAGATATGCGTCCCTCTCGCGACGACAGAGATAGAGACGCCTACGTCTCCATCCCATACACAACAGCCGCCTCCGAATTCCTTTACGGCCTAAATGTTGTAATCGCAGCCCTCAAAGCCAAACGCCGCAAAATGTACAAACTCTACATCCATAGCCGCGCCCTAACCAATCCCGCATCAGCAAAAACCATCCGCGTCCTCTGCAAACAGGCAAACCTGAAACGGGAAGACGTCGATGACTCCTTCTTACCCAAAATGGACAAGATGGCCCAAGGTCGCCCTCACAATGGCGTAATCCTCGAAACCTCCCCCCTGCCTACCCTCCCCACAAAGTCATTAGGGAAGTTCGGAGTCACTGACATGAGCATCGGTATCGAGCTCGCTGAGCAATCAGCCGAAGAAGTCCAAATAAATGGAAATCCGAACTCGATACCTTTCCACTACACACACACATGGCGCAAACCCCTCGTCCTCCTCCTCGACGGCATCCTCGACCCCGGAAACCTAGGCAACATCCTACGAACAGCACATTTCTACTCCGTCGACGCAGTAGCCATCTGCACAAACACCTGCGCACCTGTAAACCTCCCAGTGGTGCAAAAAGCCGCCTCCGGTGCTGCAGAAGCACTTACTATCCTCTCTATCCCTGGCCCGGCAAACTTCATCACCACTTGCAAAAAACACGGCTGGCTCGTCCACGCAGCAGTCGCACCTAACGCAGCGTCAGCAACGGCTGGAAAGAAAAACCTCTTCACTTCATCCATGATATCTCCTCTCTCCCGCGGCCCATCCATCCTAATGATCGGCGCAGAAGGTGAAGGTCTCCGTGCAAACCTCGCCACGAAAGCCGACGCAAACGTCGGAATCAGAGGAGTCAAGCCCGCGATCCCTGAATTGGATGTCGGAGTAGACAGTCTGAACGTTGGCAGCAGTGTTGCGGTTCTGCTAGAAGCGTTTATGAGAAAACCTGATAATTTGGAGGATGTGGTCAAAGGAACGCCTAGGGAGGATGATGTGGCTGCCAGGATTGTGTGATAGATGACTTGCACTCCTGCCTGAAGGTACTTACTCCTCAGAACTTGTATTGTAGATATACCTCCTCTTCTCTGCATATAGTATTTATCATATACCCTTGTGTGATCTGATATAACGCTTGCAAGGGGGTATTGAGACAAAGGAGGAGTTGAGACAGATGCATGGCAACACGTGATTTATTTAATTTATCTTGTAAGGCTGTCTCAACTCCTCCTATGTCTCAATACCCCCTTGCGCGCGTTACCTTGTGTTCCAAATTCATCTAAATATGAAATCTTGTTGAAAAAGGTGGTCTTGTGACAAGGTGTGCTTTGAGGTGAGTGTTGAGAAGTCGGCAGCTCGTTCGTCCACCGCCGGAGCGACCTTGCAGCATGCAATGACCTGCATCCTGCAAAGCACATCATGCACATCAGCCGGGCCACAACGCGGTTAACACGGCATCCCACAGTTACTGACTCCCATGTACACCGTACCAAGCACGCGCGGTTTCTGAGTTGCACCTCAACAATCCGTGTACTCGAGAGTCTTGGTTTTTGGAAGAGTGAAAAACATTATCAGTGTTTGTGTAAAAAAGGGTATATCTATAGAATCGTTCTTTGCGTTCTTTGGAACAAAAGGAAAAGAGAACGTTGGAGGAGGCAGCCATTCCTCTGCTCGGTCCACGTTTTTTGAAGCTCTAAGGTTTCGGCAGTGCTTCTTTTCACTCGCCGTCTGCACCATCCGATCCAAGCAAGTAGAAACGCCATGGGTTTTGTGGTAAAAGCCAATCCAAAAGGGAGCCATCCATTTTTCGCTCCAGCAAATCCAACGGTGTAGTAAAGAAAAAAGAGGCTGATCGGTGAGAGCCAGGGGATATCAAGTAAAAGAATCAAAAGAGAGAAAAGAAAGGACCATTTACAACTTCAGAGCTCGCTCAAAGACATCGAGAGTAAAAGCAGTGTTTCTGAAGTCCTCGGCGCCTGGTTCAGGGGTCCACTTTTGGCGCGTTGGTTCGATGTCGTCCTCGGCGACTTCATCCTGATGGGGTCGAAGAGAGTGCTTCTCATCGATACCACTGTCGCTGCGGGAGACGTGGGAGATGCGGGATTCGTAGCTGGGTGTGCGAGCAAGACGATCGTTGCAGGCGACGAAGCGAGCAGTAAAGAATCCTTTGACGCCGTTACTGAGCCAGATAATCTCATCATGCTTGATGGTAGAAATGTCAATGATACCAGCATGGCAGATGCCTTGGTCGATAGCCCAACGACGGGTAGTTCCTTGCTGGCCGCCGCAATCTCTGTGCGGAGTCATCCATTTGCCGTCGCGATAGAAGTAGGGAGTCGTGATAGATCCGTCCATGACCTGGTTGTCGCGATTGAATAAGATGACTTCTTTTGCGTCCTGGTATGACTGGATCTGTGCACATTGTCTGGCATAGTTGTACATGGTACGGTAGTGAGTCTTGTCCCGAGTGAAAGTCGTGGTTCGAGTAGGTAACACATCCAGCACAGCCTTGAAAATGGGATGTTGTGATGCTGCCTCTCCACTGCACTTGCCCAAGTCCAGGGTGGTCGGGAAGAGAAGTGGTTGCTTCGTGGCCATGATTGGCTCAACACCAATCTCCATCTTTCCGCTGTGACGCAAGCATACTCGAACCTGTAAGACATTGTCAGCCCTGGTGTTTCATTGTACAAACACGGCAGTCTTCTTTTGGCAATCTCTTTCAGGATGTCGCGTGCCTGTGGCGCATGCGCATCTTTGTTCATAATCACAGATTATGACGCACGTCGAGTGGAAATTTGAGAAATTGTGAGAAGAAAGAACAAATCGAAAGCTTACCTTGAATGGACATTTGTTGCCAGTCTTCTTTTTGTGCTCAGCTACGGCGGTCTGAATTCGGGTGAACAGATCGACAGGGCCTTTGAGCCTCTTGTTGGTGTCGTACCAACCCAGATGATCGGCTGCAGTGACGAGGCGCTCGTAGTGGTACTTGATGAGATATGCGGCCTTGGAGTCCGGGCAACACACGGGGTTCTGGGCATTGCGCTTCATGGATCCATCGTAGCGCAGCGACGTGAAGACATACTGATCTTGAATGGGTATTTCATCCAACATGGCGAGAAGTGATCAAGTGGTGGTGATCCAGGACGTCTGGGATGTGAAAGGACGAGGATAAATTTTTGGCGGGTGGAAAAGCGGTTCAGGCTAATAATCAGAGAGACATTATGGTTCGTGGTGGAAGTGAAGGCGGGGCGGAATTGTGGGATGTCCAGAAAGTTTAAGGAAAGAAGAGTCGGGGTATCAACAAGAGTCGAGGGCCATGGCACGGGCGAGCGCGGAGTAATTAGGAGCGTCGAAAAGACGACGAAAGAGAGGAGTCGAGGGATATGGGAGTTTCAGGACGAGATGGAGGAAATGGCAAGGTTTTAGAGAGGTGCTTGGTGTGTGGGCGTTGAGAAAGAAGACCCCCGCGCTTCTTGGGTCCTTGTATTTTGACGGGCTCGCTCTGGCCGACTTTGCCGGTCTCGCAATCACCGCAATCTAAGCGCAGCCAACAATGAGGCGCTTATTCGGTAGTTTTGAAGAGTCTCAGAGATTACGTTGCGAGCAGGCTGTGAGCGACCAGACAGGAGAGCAGTCTTGGTAATCCAGCATTTCACAGTGAGACGACAGCGTAACACGACGGCGAGAATATGTCAAGGGAGCGTGAAACCAAACGGTCTGGGCAGCCAAGAGTCAAGAGTTCGCGGCATTTATTGATTTCACGCGGTCGAACCCATAACATCGCGCTGCATGAATAGACCACCAGCTCTCGTATGTACAAAGTACTTTCGGTTATTGCAAGATGCCAGGCTTTTGAAAGGCGCAGAAGGACATAAAAGAGCTATGGAGCAAGCTCACCTTATTGTGAGGGTGGATGCAAGAGTTTCAAACATGAAGCAAGAAGCAAAAGGCCGAAGCATGATTACTGGGTAGGATGAGGTGACGAGGTGTGGTTGTTTGACGATCAAGTCGGAAGTTCGAGGAAGAAGTTCGAGGAAGAAGTTCGAGGAAACAGCTCGGTGTTGCCAAGGCCGTGGACGATGAGAGAGCGCCGTCATCAGCATTTTCGCGTTCGAGTTGCAGACAAGCCATTCGTTTCTGTGCGTCACTACTACTTTTTTGTCCATTTCAACTCGACTGTGTCTTTTGCTGTTCTTTTGCTCGGCCTGTAATACTAGCACATAGCCACACACGCACAACATGGCCTCGACAATTCCCTCGACCCAGGCCGCCTCGCAGCCCAGCTTTGTCAAGCTCGAACCGTCATCGTCATTATGGGATCGCATCACTGGCTGGGCCTCGGAGCACAAGGCCGCTGTCTACACCATTGCCGGTGTCACTCTGGTCGCCACCGGTGCCGGAATCTACTACTACACATCCGAGTCGGCTCCCACGCCGCAAGATCTTGAGGCTGCCGCAGAGAAGAAGAAGGCTCGCAAAGAGAACAAGAAGGCCAAGAAGACTGCACAGAAAGAGCAGAAGTCTCCCACACCCGAGACCAAGCCTCAAGGTCCGTAATATGACCTGCGCAACGCACCCTTCCAATTGCTGACCCTCTCCATCAGAAAAGCCCCAACCGGCATCAGTACAGAGCGAGGATGAAGTTCCCGAGGTGACAGAATCAATGGTCGGAAGCCTGTCGGAAGACACCAAGAAGGACTATGCTGCCAAGCTCAAGGCCGCTGGTAACAAGGCCTACGGATCAAAGGATTACAACCGCGCAATCGACCTGTACGGTCAGGCCCTGCTGTGCAAGGCTGACCCCGTCTTTTACTCAAACCGTGCCGCATGTTGGAACGCCATGTCTAACTGGGAGCGCGTTATCGCAGACACTACTGCCGCCGTCAATCTCGACCCCGAGTACGTCAAGGCCTTGAACCGCCGCGCACACGCCTACGAGCAGACCGACAAGTACAGCGAAGCCCTGCTCGATTACACTGCTAGCTGCATCATTGACGCGTTCCGCAACACACAAGCCGCCGAGGCTGTCGAGCGCCTCCTCAGAAAGGTCGCCGAGAACAAGGCAAAGGCCATCATGGAGAAGAAGCAGCGCCGCCTGCCGAGCGCCACCTTCATCACCAACTACCTCCAGAGCTTCCGCGACAGACCTCTTGCCGAGTCGATTGCCGAGAGCGCCGATTTGGCCGAGAACAGCGGAAAGTGGTGGTTCCGCAAGGGTCTGTTGGCAATGGACAAGAAGACGGGCGAGGGCTACAACGAGGCCGCCGAGGCTTTCGAGAAGGCCATCGAGGCTGGTGACTTGAGCGACAACGAGGCTTTCGCATACAACATGCGCGGTACCTTCAAGTACCTGCGCGGCGAGACCGAGGCTATTGACGACCTGAACAAGAGCATTGAGCTGGACGCCACTTTGACACAGAGCTACGTCAAGCGCGCCAGCATGCACCTCGAGGCTGGTCGTCGTGACGAGGCCGCAAAGGACTTTGAAGACGCCATCAACCAGAACGACAAGGACCCCGACGTTTACTACCACCGCGCTCAGCTCAACTTCATTCTCGGCGATTTCCCAGAGGCAGCTAAGGACTACCAAAAGTCGATCGACCTTGATCCCGGTTTCATCTTCTCCCACATCCAGCTCGGTGTTACCCAGTATAAGATGGGCAGCATCGCCTCATCCATGGCCACTTTCCGCCGCTGCATGAAGAACTTCGACAAGGTCCCCGACGTCTACAACTACTACGGTGAGCTGTTGCTCGACCAGCAGAAGTACCAGGAGGCCATTGAGAAGTTCGAGACTGCCGTTCAGATGGAGCAGAAGGAGCGTGTTACTGGCATGAACGTCTTGCCCTTGATCAACAAGGCACTCGCTCTGTTCCAGTGGAAGCAAGACTTCAAGTCTGCTCAGGAGCTGTGCGAGAAGGCTCTGATCAGTAAGTCCAACCCGTGAATTCTTCATCTCAAATGCAGATGCTAACTATTATCCCAGTCGACCCCGAGTGCGACATCGCCGTTGCCACCATGGCCCAGCTCCTCCTCCAGCAAGGCAAGGTCCCTGAGGCCCTCGAGTACTTCGAGAAGGCCGCCGAGCTCTCCCGCACCGAGGGCGAGATCGTCAACGCCCTTTCCTACGCCGAAGCCACCCGCACCCAGCTCGAAGTCCAGGAGAAGTACCCCCAGCTTGCCAACAGATTGCAGGGTATGCCCACCTCAGCCAACAACATGCGGTAAACGGTTGTCAAAAGCATGAAGGATGAGAGAACAATCATTAAGGAATGCATAATTCGATCGAGGACGAAGAACACACGAACGAACATTGGAATTGAAAGGGTGTAAGTTTGACTGCAAAAAGGAGGAGCGGATGCGCAAAAATCGTTGTTGTGTTTTTTCCGATAGCTCTCCTCCCACATCACCACCACTATTGTACATTATATTCTATTAACTTTTCTCTGTCAAAACTCTTGCTACACACATGTGTCTTGTGCTTGTACATGTTTTGCTTGGTGGACCTGGGCTTCAAGGGTACGTCTGGTCCTAAATATTTCTGATTTGCGAACCTCCCTCTCCCTCTTCTTCATGTTCTATATCTCTTAGCTTGTCAGTTCTGTCTCAATCAACGAGCGGAATACTCTGGGCCGAAAAGGACTTAGCCAGGGCGCTCCCGAGCAAGACTATTGCGAAATGATATGAGAACACGAGTGCCATTCGAGCGAGAATTGAACAAATCAGTCACAGTGTTTCGGGACAATCGGTCAAAGAGGATATTGTGTTGTCGTTGCTTTGAATGCTTCCGTTTTGACCAAAGACATCTTGCAAACCCCGTCACCCTGCTCAAAACTTGAGCCATGTTTTCCGATCTTGTGTTTGCTTATATCTCTTGTGGTGTGGCTGGTAGCGATATGAGATATGTGTATAACTCTTGAGGTCAGTTGATAGTGATAGGCAAGTGTCGTGGTCGAGATGAGTGTGGTGAAGTGGTTTGGTGATGGTTTGGCAAAAGCGTGCATCTGTGACAGCACAAAACCACCAACACTGAAGCTGAATCATCGTCATTCTTCTGGAATTACTTTCATGCTTAGCAAGTGCTAGGGGAAACCCCTCACTCGAGAAGGGAACATAAGCCGAGAGAGAAACTGTATTGCAACCAAAAGCAGAAGGAGTGGTATCCAGACGAAGCCATTATCATGCACAGAGTTCAGATATGACACCGGGCTACCCAAGATTTGAAGAAAAGTAGGAAATAGTATGTTCTCAAGAGAAAAATATGCATTTCCATCAGCAAGTCTAGCTCGCGAGGCATCAATAGTGGTATCAAACATCAAACATGAAAAATCGTCCAACCCATTACTCCCACACCCATGCATGCCATTAAGACATGTTCATCACCTAAACCTTCTCATTACCACTAGCAGCAGAGCTAGATCCATATCCATTCTCCAATCTCTCAACTTGCTCGCCGTCACCCTTGCCACCCTTGGAATGGTGACCATACTTGGGCTCCACAAGCGAACTTCTGCGGCGTGCGCCAGCAGCGGCTTCGGTGTCCATGTAGTTGATGAGGAGTTCGCCGTTCTTGCCGTAGCGATTGGGTGTGTCGCGGGCGACGCTGACGACGTTGAAGATGGAGGTGGTGTTGCGGAAGATTTCGTCCATTTCTTCGAGGGAGCGGAGGCGGGTTTCTGCATATTTTGTAAGCATGAAGTATAGAAAGAAGGGTAGTTGACAAGCAGATGCCCAGGACGTATTAGGCAGTGGTTGTAGAGGACAGGAGCTTACCAGGGTAGAAAAAGTACACGCAAGGGACGATGAATGCGTTAATGACAGCAAAAATGATGTATGTTTGATACCCGATGGTCTCGAAGGCGACAGGGGTGATCATTACGACCATGAAGTTGAAAATCCAATTAGCAGAGGTGGCCAGAGCATTAGCAGGAGCTCTGATACGAAGAGGGACAATCTCAGCCTGAAAGAAGGGGGAAAAATTAGCACGTTTTTCGGTCGAATTTTGGGTACACCACAACACTAAGCCCCCAGACACCAGCGCCCAGCCTGATGCAAGGCAGAAGGTATTTTCTGGTGGTCTTTGTTGCAGACAGATATGTAGATTTGACTTACAGGGTAGAGCCAAGTCATGCCGAGCCAACCAATGGCGAAGAAAGTGTTGAAAACGAAGAGGAAGACAGCGGCAGTGATACCAAGACCAGAGGATGTTCTCGAAGTGGTTCCAGCAAGGATGGCCATAGAAGCGGCCTGTCCCGCAGCACCAAACAACATGAGTTGGCGGCGACCGAACTTCTCGATAGTGAAAACTGCAATCCAAGACGCGAGGAAGTACTCTGTTCCGTTGGCAGCAGCCAAGATACGAGAGAGGAAGCCCGAAAGGCCAATGCTGGTCTCGTAAATCGATGCGGCGTAATACGTGATAAGGTTAATGCCTGAGATCTGCTGAAACATCTGATTGACGTAGGCAAGAACGACACGGTGGAAGTTGCGGTCCTCGTCCATGGTGAAGAGATCTCTAAAGCCACCTTGTTGCATAATCATCGCAGAGTCCTTAATGGCAGCGAATTCGCTGACGATGTAGGGGTCTTCGGAGTTCTTGTCGTTTAAGGCGCAGAGAACGTTCAGAGCTTCGTCTTCTTGACCCTTCATGATAAGCCATCTAGGTGATTCTGGCAGACCCATAATGAACATCAAGATGATGAGGGCGAACAAGATCTGGAGAGCAATAGGGAATCGCCATGAAACAGTCGAGGGTTCGAGGAAGGAGAAACCAAAGTCGATCCAGTAGGACATACAAACACCGCCGGTAATCAAAGCACCCTCAATCATGACCATCTGGCCACGACGATGTGATTTGGAACATTCACTCTGCCATGAAGGTACCGTTGAAGTGTTCATACCGTTGCCGACGCCAGTAATAACTCTGCCTGCAATCAAGTGGCCGAGAGAGAAAGCAGATGTCTGGAGTGTAGCACCAATAACCATAATTGCGGATCCTAAGAAGATCGTCTTACGGCGTCCAAGCCAGTCTCCAATCCAGATTGTCATTAATGCACCGACAAAGCATCCCAAGTTGTAAGAAGCGATTGAGATACCCTGGACGGTGGAGACGTACGAAGCAGTTTGGCCACGAGGAGGAGATTGTGTGTTGATCTCGGGGAAGGTCCTAGTAAAAGATTTAAGGGTGAGCAGACCGCCCATGACACCTTGTGTCTTATTAGCATTTCTGCTCGAAATCAGTCTAGAATTACCACTAACCTTGATCATAACCGAAGAGCAGAAAATCGAGACCGGCGATAACACCGACTGCAATGTTCAGTTTAGTGCCTGTAAGGCCATAGTACTTCTTGCCGAACATGCTGGGCAAGGTGTATGAAGTTGCTCAGCTTGTTGGAATGTCAATTGGGAGAGCGAGATCGAACCAGAGGAAAGGGCAAAACAGAGCTGATGAGATCAGCGGAGAGGCGGCGCCGCCAGTAGATATATATCTCTGCCCATCAATACACGGTACCCGCAGTGCAACACTGAGAGTTTGAGCACCATCAGCTTGGCGACTCATACTTCTCCACCCTCCTCCACGAAGGTACAAACCCTACGGTACGAACCTATCCGTGCCTCCTCGGACTAGAGAGACTAAACAAAGCGAACGGCTGTTGGGTGTATGAGATGGCCCTTGCGACTCGCGAGAGAGAGCCAGTGACGCACGACATGCCCGGGCAGAAAGACGTCTCCCCGGCCACACCCACATCTCCAGGTCTGTGATGGCAAGTGGAGCGCTACGGTATTCCCGATCCAGCAGCTCCGGTCTGAAGGATCGTCCCGAGAAAACGGGGTGGCTTTTTTCCCCACGCACACTTGATGGCGCACAAGAGTCGCATCTTGCTCAAGCAGGTGCAGGTTCGTTTCTTGAAGCGCAGAGGCAGTTGAGCTGCATGCCCATGCCGATATCTCGTGAAGTTCTCCTCATCGTGGGCTAGGTGCCCATGCATGTTATCGTGCCCGCCTCTTCGAAAGAGCTCGTGTTTATATCCATCGATATCGTCGTTGGCAATAATTAAAGGTGTCGAGCTAGTGTAAGGGACGACGTTGAATCTAATTTCGACTTGACGCTGACGTGGGTGGCCGTTCGATGCAACTCTGCCTCACGATTTCCTGTCTCAAGTCTCTTGACGAGCCAACTCCACAGTCATACGGAGACAGTGGGTCACCCCAAGGGGAAGTTGGCAACTCCCCCGGTCCTTCCTCGTAATGTCGGTCCCGCTTCCTGTTTCTGCAGCCTCCGCCAGTCAGGTGCGGATGTAGGGCGTGGGCGGACTCTGCCGACGGCCGGTCACATCGCGGTGAAATGCTCGGTCTGAATAAGTGGCGCGAGGAGATCGCGGGCGCTCCGCATTTCCTTGACTCACTTTGCCGGTGCATTTTGCCGCCCTGAACGTCTTCTCGTCATGGAAGCTTGTTCAATGCTCACGTGGGTGATTTTGCGTTGTCACGGAGTGGTCGCCGGCATCGCACAGAACTGCGTGTTTGTGCATCGGTAGAAGATGTCGAGTGTACGAGTACACAAGAGCTGAGCGTGTTTTGAGGATGTGAGATGCTTGCGGCTGTAGAGTAAGTGTAACCGTGAAACCTCTCCACGAGGTGATCAACAGGAAGAAAACCACGTGCGGATGGCCAGATGAAGACAACCGGCGAGCACAAAGTTGAATCAACACGTTTGAGCCTCGGATACAGAGGTACCTGGAACCCAAAAGCTTGTTCTTATCCAATTATCTTTGCAGCTCCCAGTGTGGCAGATCCGTGGTGCAACCCGGAGAAATGCGTTTCAAAAGAGGTCCTCGGAATCAACCCAACACAACGAGCACGCCTGGAGCTCTTGTCACGACACCGGATCCAAGCGAACGTCTATGCAGAGAGAGATCAAAAAGCAATATCCCCGCTTTGCTTGTCGACGACGATCCGGCAGTAGACACGTGCGGATTGTGTCCTGGAAGCTGGAACCTCACAGTCCATCAGTGTTTGATGCAGACATGTCACGAGCTACGGCCGTTCGTGTTCGTCGACGTCTTCCAGAATACTGATCGAAGTCTATGGTGCCTGTCGATCACCATCTATGCATCTATGGTGGTATGCGGCATGCCAGCCCTCACTGAGCATTCTTTAAAGGCTCTCTCAATGCTCGATGTCATTGAGCCGTTGCATGTCTCCATTGAGAGTACCAGATATTCGGTTAATAGACTAAGAAACAATATGAGAGCACTCCGCATTGCGATGAGTATTCCCGGTACGTGATCACGAAGAGAGATGATAAGTTTATATGATCAAGCGAAAAAGAACTTGGAAGAGAATGGTTTTATTGCTCAGTAAAACTATTGACAATGCAGTAGTTCTCCTCCGATCTGTATAGCTACCTAGTTTGCATCTTTGGCCTTGGAGCCGATGCAAGCAGCCAAGTTCAGCCATGGCAGTAATTGTATGTACGACTCATCAGGAATCGCAGTCACCGCCAAAGTCGTTGTGTTGTTTGGTGCTTTACCAGGCGGAAACTGCAGCAGGTGCAGCGTTCCAGTCACCAGCGCCACCGGCATCGGCAGCTCCGGCACCAGCGCTCATCCAATCACCCTCGGGAGCAGTGGAAGGACCGGCCTCAGCGGTGTAGTTCTGGTCAGCGGGAGCGTCATCCTGGCCCACAGGGGGGTTAGGGCAACGACCAGCACCATGGCCAAACTCCTCACAGTTGCGGCACTTGACCTTGCTCCAGTCCTTAGGCTCAGAGCAGTCCTTAGCGTAATGACCCTTCTTCTCGCAGTTGCGACAGAACACGTTGGCCATGTTGACTTCCTCGGGGCAGTCACGGCCAGTGTGACCCTCCTTCTCGCAGTTGCGACAGATGATGACACGCTCGTTGACACAGTCCGAAGATCTGTGACCCTCGCGCTGGCAGTTGCGGCAAACCTCTGCAGGCTGAGAATGTGTCAGTAAGAGTCACGATGTCAGCACAGCATGGAGGAACGTACCTTGGTAGGGCAATCGCGGACGAAGTGGCCGGAAAGACCGCAGTGCTTGCACTCGACACCGCCGCGGACAGCACGAGCATTGGGGCAATCTCTGATGTAGTGACCCTCCTGGTCACAGTTGGAGCAAGCGACCTTGGGCTTCTCAACCATCTGGGGCTCCTGAGGACAGGACTTCATGGAGTGGCCGACTTCCTCGCAGTTACGGCAGTAGGGCTTCATGTTGTCCATCGAGAAACCGGCGTCCTGGAGACGCTCAAGGTTCTCCTCAGGGGACTTGGGCCAACCCTCTGAGAGGATAGCACGGCGAGGCTTGGGAGTCTTCTGAAAAGAGATCTGGAAGGTCTTGTCACCGTTGCCTTGAAGATCAACGTTGGTGTGGACCTTGGAAGGGACAGTCTGCTCCTTGGCGATGAGGTAGTACTTGAAGTCGGTCTCACGGAAGCACTCCTCAAGCTGGACGAGAGTGAGCTCAGGTGCAAGCTTGCAGTAAGCCCAGAAAGCCTGGATGAAGTCATCGACGTCGCCAGTGGCATCGGCGTCCACGAGGTTATCCCAGGCCTGATCAGCGTCGACGCCCTCGGGGAGGTCTTCGGGGTAGACGTTGAACTTTCCACTGCACTCGGTAGCAGTGTGACCGGTGGCGCTGCACTTCTTGCAAACGGCTTGGGGACAGGCAGACGAGCGATGGCCTTCCTCGCCACAGCCGCGGCAGGTGCCTGAGAAGGCGCGCTCAACAGCAGGGTTGGAGCAGTCAGCCTTGTTGTGGCCAACCTCACCGCAGTTGAAACACTCCCCAGAGTTCTTGCGGGGCTCGGTGCAGTCACTCTTGAAGTGACCCGACTGACCACAGCTGGGACGAGTTGTCAGTAAACAGCCGTGTGAAGGGGAGGAATAAATTTGTTGGCTTACTTGTGGCAAGTGTCGCCGTCAACGCCGTCTTCGTGCTTGGAGACGTGCTCAGGATCGATGCCAGAGTAGTCGCCGGAAGGGGCCGGGGTGGAATCAACCCAGCCAGCGGTGGCCTGAGTGGCGGAGTCGTCGACCCAACCGGAAGCTGACATGGTGTTAGTGATGAGTAGTGGACGAAGTGGAAGACGAAGTTGAGATGATAAATGCGCAACACGCAGCACGCGTTACTTACCAGGTGCGGTGTCCCAATCAGACATGATGGGCGTGATGAGTGTTGATAGTTAAGGGTGGGTTGGTTGTAGAAGAAGTGCACGTCGAAGGTCGAAGTGCGATGATGGAGTGGAAGGAAGGTGGTGTGGTGTCGAGAGAAGAAGAGAGGGTTTAAATAGGTGTGAGAAGAGAATCCGGAACGCGCTTTTTCACTCGTGGCTCGGCGACGATGGTGTGAGAACGAAGAATAGCGACGGAAGGAACAGTGCGATCACTCGTAGAAGGCGCCGGTGAGGTTGGTCGTAGTGGAGAATTCAGACTTCCTTCTCTCGAGTCAACTCCAGCGGTAAGGATAGAACAGAGCAGTGAAGCAAAGATCAGAGAATACCGTAGAACCTGTGGAGAGTCACTCTTTGATATAGCTATCACACATAGATTGGCATGCATGGAAGAAGCACTCTTGTTTGATCTTGCTTCTCATGTCAAGACAACTTTTTGTTGGTCAAAACAAACAGTCTTGGTTTCGACGCATACTTCTAGACAGCTATGATGTGTTTAGGTCATTGAGACAAGAACTTGAGGCATTGAGACCTCCTGACTGCACTCCAGACTTGTTATTGTACGCTTGCCCACCAGCACACTAACCAGATGAGCAATGTGTTTCTCATCGAACAGATGGTTGAAGTCTGCAAGCAGAAGTGGCAGCATTGAAATATGTTAGCCTATTGGCGAGCAAGGAATACTCGATCATGTTTGCAGAGCCATAAGTCGGAAGAGGATGGCGGTGCGCAAATGTACAAGTATTGAGACCAAGAGGAAGAAAGGTTTAAACATATCATTCATGCATTTGCATATCTTTTTCTACAAGACTCGTCTATCCATAGTTGCCCAGGAGCATCATCATCATATGGCAAGCCTAATCATGGACATCATCCCTGAACACCCCAAATGCTGGAAAGAGAAACAAGAAAACCGAAAGTTGCCTGATAGAACGCCTCGCTACATCATTCAGCGTGACCGTGAGATCAAGCCCAAGTCATTAATCCATTACGAGAAATCATCCAAAACATCATCATCTAGACACCTCTGATCAATCTGACGACCAAGAACCAGCAGGCGCCGATGAATCTGAAAGCACTGAGAACGGCGACACTCCAGAGTACAACACTCATGTAGATGGTACTGCGCTGGTTGTCGTCTTGAACACCAACGGAGACACGGTCGAGACCACCGGTGTTGAGCACGACTGCTGCAAGTGCAAGGTTGCAGAACATCCAAGCCAAGACGACGGCACTTCTGAATCCTTTGTAATAGTCCTCGTGCTTCTCGGCAGCGGAAGGAGCCTTCTCTGGCGGTGTCCACTTGGTAGAGAAAACGCGAAGCTCCTCCTCGTATTGGCTGTTGAGATCGTGGTCATCGCTGGGGATGGTAACGTCGACTTTACCACCTGGCTTGGTAACGGCCGAGGGCAGCTTCTCCGGCTTGTCATCTCCCTTGGTACCCCAGGTGATATCGTGCGTGTTGCAGAAGGCGTAGACGTTGAGGATGTTGATGTAGGTTGGTGTCAGGAGGAGGTACTGGAAGAACGACGTAAACATGTGCCAGGGATCCAAGAACATGAAAGAGGCGACGAAGTATAGGACGTATGTACTGGCCATGGAGACGATCAGTGTCAAAAACAAGGAGTTGGTGAAAAGCATGCTGAAGGTGAAATGATCGTGCTCCTTCAGCTGTGCCTGCACAGACTTGACAGTGATGAAGACGGTAGCGAACATGAGATAGCTATTGCAAGTGTTAGCAAAGCTAGAGTGCAGCCGACGAGAGAGACTTACGCCATGAGGATCGCCCAGAAATACACTTGGGTCATGTAGAACTTGTTTGAGCCTTGTGGACGATTGCCGAGCGCGAGTACGAAACAAGTGATCAAGACAGCAAGATATATCCATTCAAATAGTACACCCAACACTTTGCCTGGTGGAAAGTTGAGACTTGTATCGGAGAGCGAACCTGTGAGAATGCGGAAGACGAGGAAGAAGTTACCCTGTGAATTGGTTAGTTACTCGATAGTTTCCACATATGTAGGGCTCCAAGGCACTTACGATAGCGAACCAAGCGAAAAGCATGCTGATGCCCTGGTAGAAGAACTCAATCATGAACATGAAGTTGCGACCAACGGAGTGGTTGCTGCGGAAGATCTGGTGGAAATGTGCAAGAGCGTAGACTGCAGCGAAGAAACTGCCGTTCAGCCAACGTCTTCTCTGAAGAATGAAATCAGCCATCTCGGTGGGCACATCAGTCTCGCCGGTAGCGGACTTGACGTATTGCAGAATCCAAGAGCAGTTGCGCTTTGAGACCAGTTCGAAACACAGAATACGATCTTCGGCGAGATACATGTTGGCAGTGAAAATACCGGCGTTGGCACCGTGCATCTTCTCACCAGCAAAGTACTTCTCGAGAGGACCTTGACCGGTCTTATCATTTTGAAGAGCCATGAAGCGGTAGGCAGAGAAAGCACCCGGAAGCACACTAATGAAGCCAAAGGCAGATTCAAGGGGCTTGTCAAGGATGTTGCTCATCTTGTACTCGAAGTTCTGCGCAGCGACCAGAGGGTTGATGAGAGTTTTACCATGATCCAACATGGCCTTGATTTCACCACAAGCGCCTGCACACATGGGTTCGAGGTCGAATGCTTTCCATAGCTTGTAGATCGAGTCCTTTCCTGGCTTGGTACCAGCATCAATCAAGACACAAATGTTGGGGTCAAGAACCTCTCCAAAGGCCTGGAAGAACCATCTGTGGGAGTTGATCTTCTTCTGGTTCTTCTCCTTGAGACAGAACAGCATCTGTACAGGTGTGTTTCCCTTCTTAACTGACACAACACCTTTCTTGAGTTCCAGGGCCATCTGTGTGGTGTACTCATAGATATGAGCGGTGACATCCTTGCCGTTGACCTGCTGCTTGGCGATACCATCCTGGTAGACACCGAGACCTGCGAGGACGGCTCTGGTCCGCGGGTTGATCTTTGCACGACCGTCGCTGACAACGCAGACGACAATTTTCTTCCAGGCCTCCTTGCCCCAGGTCTTGCTGCTGTTTCGCGAGTTCATGTACTCGATGTTCTTGATAACACCAATCAGAGTACGGGCAAAAAGCTCATCTTCTTCGTTGTACATGGTGATGACGATGAACAGCTCGGTGTGTCTGGGCTTAGCGAATAGCTTCTGGCGCAAGGTGAAGCGCTCGGAGTAGAATTCGGAGGGGTCGCAGGTGGCAGCTGAGTAGCGCATGTGGGTGAACTCGTCACGCTCTGGAGGTTGGGCGTGCTGGATCTGGTTCAGAAGTCTAGGAGGTACTGGACAATCAAGGACCAGGTTGCCGTTGAAAAGCTGAACTTCCTTCACCGTCTTCCATCGACGAATGCCGCCGCCTGATTGTGGTTGTTCTGCGTTCATTTCCATTTCCATCTCCTCTTCAAGCATAGGCGTAGGCATCTGATGGGGATCGGGACCGTATGCGGAATCTTGTTGCAGGATCGGGTGCGTGTCGACCTCATCTTGCCAGTAGTGGGTGTTTTGTTCGCCAGAGGGAGGGCCGTATACGTCTTCCAGAGGAGTGATGGCGGGTTGGTATGGCTGGTTGTGGTATGCATCGTGGTGGTCTTCGGGAGACAGAGCATAGTCGCCAGGGGGGTATACAGGGCTCGAATGATAAGGATGCTGGGCATCATAGCTATCGCTGTGGCCGTATGTTTGCGGAACGTGCTCTACTGAGAACTAGCGTAGTTGGTCAGCAAGGCGCATACTTGTCAGAAGTCTAATCATGCTTACTGTTGGCTGAGATTGCAATCTGTCTGAGGGAGTTCCTGGCATGGGAGAAACTCCAGGACGCGGACCAGGTCCCATGGGCATGTGTAGCGGTTCATCGTGTGTGTAGGGGTTGTCGTGCAGAGCGTACGACTCTAAAGGGTGTCCAGGAGACGGCGACCTGCCAGCGCGAGGATCCATGAAGGGGTTTTGCGACTGAGCGCCGTAGGCTTCGTCTTCGTCTGGGGAGTGGCGGCCGTATGCTGCAACAAAGATGAAGAGGTCAGCGATATTTGCTCATGAGACGCGTGGCCAACACGCTGAGCGTCGCAGCAATCCACGAGACCGTCTCAGGAATGCCAGAGCTTCCAAGCTTTACTCTCCGATGACCTTCATCTCTTCTCTGCTCCTCACGCTTCCTGCCGACTCTTCTTTCGGGAGGTTGGATGTTGCACTTACGGCCAAGACGGTTGTACGACATGTCTGCGACTCTATCTGTGGTATGCCGTATATGCGACTCCAATCAATATGCGCCAAACGCTGTATGCTCCCTTCTCTTGTTGTTGCTGTTTGTGATGACGTTTCAGGCGTGCTTCAGCAACTTCTGATCTGTTGGGGAGTCGAAAGAATCGTGGTCGCTTTGTTTACTCGAGGCTTTTGCGCTTTGCGACAGCGACGGCGACACTTTCCAGGACACTTGACGGACTACCTCACTGTGTATACACAAGATGTCGAGTCAAACAAAAGACTTATAGGAAATATCTAGGTTTTGAAAAAAGAGATTGGCAATGCGGCACTAGATCAAGGCCCGTTGCTACAGCAAGCAACCCAGCTGAAGTCATCCCCCTCTTCCCTGCACAGCCATAACATGCACCAGCCCTGAAACGCGTCCTTTCTTACCGCAGCATCACTAAGCCTTCCTTTTGTACGGTAAGATCGCTTTCTCCTTGGCAGACGATATGGATTTTGCAGTTCGGCAGTTTGTGAATTCTTCTCTATCTTGTATGAACTGGTGTTTACTGCGCCATGCGATTCGCCAATCGATATGGATTTTTGTTTATCAAGGTGATGCGCCTCAGCTGTAAGTCGCAATACGCTGAGATACGCTTTGGGGCCGTGCTGTTTTTAGAAACCATAGCAACAACCTTTTGCCGTGTTCGGCCCGAGGCCTCTTGTGCATCGTCATCGAAGACTTCAACTTCGACTCCTGGTGCCTTCCAACTTGTCTTGTCGAAGAAGAGTCGCCTTTGCCGGTGTTCTCGCCACGACACGCGCGTTCATGCAAAAAGCCAAGAGAATCGTCGAATTCATCTGGATGGCTGCCTGGTAGCTCTCAGACGGACCAACCCAAGGACAGGGTCATTTGGGATGGATCCCGAAGATCGTTACGGCCCGAACCAGCCAATCCGACCTGCTGCCACTCTGGATATCTCAACTCCGGAGCCAAACTGTCAAAGAAGGTGTTCAGAATCATCCTGTCTAGCTAGAGCCTCAAGTTCTGCCTTAAAGCTATAGATCTCCTTGTACAGATCACGCAACCAGACTCTGGAGAAGGCTCCTTGACTGTACGCCCACCACTTCAGATGCTCCTCCATCCTAGCATACAAATACACATGCTTCTCGCCAGAGCTGCAATCTTTATCGTATGATCCGAAAATATCGAATTTGGGCTGACCGTCTTCCGTGAAATCGATACCAAAAGAAAATTGAGACCAAGGGTAGATGATGCCAATGCTGAAGTAGGTGATTCGGTCCAGGGGCTCGATTTCGTTCCACAGCGCGTTGTCGCTGTCAGTGTCATAGACGAAATCCATTGTGCTGCTTTTACGCTCGCAGTCGTCTAGACACGCGTGTGTCAAGTGCATGAGGTTTGAGTCTAAACCGTCCGTAAGAAGCAGCACGCACAACTTCTTCGAGCGATCCCGCATGAGGCTGGTGCACTGTCGCTTTGCTTCCGGCAGGGCATCTGCACCGCCCTGGCGTGCTCGTTTGATGCCTGAGATGGGTGTGCGGTTGACGAACCAGCCATAGACATGCCTGTGGACTTCGTCGAGTGCGTTCTGGTACAATAACATTCTTGCTTCCGATGAGTGGGAATACTCGCAGGTTTGGGCTTTAGGAAACCAGATTTTTGTTCGGGTATGGAGAAGATAATCTTTTGAAAGAAAGACAAAAGAAAGTGTTATGAAGGGACGATAAGTCTGGTGAGTCACTTACCAGTTCTGCCTATCTTTCTTGCGTTCTGATGAGTTAGTATGCGCTTTCCTAACGTTCTTTCGGGGGAGCGTGTAAGGCATAGCAAGGACATGACACTCATCGTATTATAGACCATTCTTGTAGTTAGTGTCTTCAAAGCACCCAATGCTGCCAGAGTAGCTGTAGAAATACATGATCAGTTTACAGAGGCGCAGGACGTCCAGAGAGAGCCCAATCCAAATTCCCTCTCGTTGGATAGCCTAGATCACCAAAGTATTCGTACATCTTCACAGTCCAAAATCGATCAGGGGCAATGTAGGCCCGTCTCGCTCGGCTGGAAGAGAATCACAACTAGATTACGTCTCCTCCACCGTGCGACGCCTCAAAATACATGTCAAAATGCAAGGTGCTTTTTGTGATCAGCTACCTGTCCAGTGAGAGCAACGTTGCTCCTACACACTCTCTGGACCAACTCACCAATCTCAAAAGCACCTTGCCTTTTGATGAATATTTGAGTGACATACTCGGTGCCTGAGAGAGAGAAGCTGGAACCAAATTTCCGAAATCAGGGACACCAACCAGAAGCCTTCCACAAAGCGAAGGAGAAGTATTGTATCGATGCAGCAGCCTTTTCGAAACCATCACACGTTCACAGAGGAAGGAGGTAGAGAAATTCTGACGTTGTGGTATGGTAAAAGTCAAAATGTTGTCGGAGAGAGGTATGTACATAATTAAGAGAGTGACATGAAACATCAAATACAAGAGCAATCGTCCATAAATCATCAAAACAGACTGCAGTGTCCTCTCCGCTTAAGCCTTGGGCTTACAGGCAGGATTGGGATTGGTCGAGTTAGATGAAATGTAAGACCACTCCACCGAGTACTTGTCTGAGCCTCTGAATTGACCGTAATTTGTGCCATAAGAGCTGCCCCATGAAGCTGAGTACATTGAACAATACTGGCCGACGGGGGAGCCGTTCTTCATCAGCATGTAAGTGTTGAAGAATTGGCAAGTCTTGATCTCGCCACCGTTGGCGGGAGGGTGGGCTCTGGCGTAGTCGGCTTGAGCCTCACAGGCAGCAGCACACTTGGAAATGTCAAAGGGTCCCTTCTGGAAGATACGGACACCGAGGTAGCTGGTAAATGTTAGTATCACCTTTCACGAGACTTGAAAAATTTGTAGAACTTACGTATCCTTGCCATTGCAGTCGAAAGGAGCGTTGATAGCAGCGTTACCGAGGTAGACGGGAGTAGTGCAACCAGGAGGAGTAACGATCTTGTTGGAGACATAGCCGTTCGAGCCGGCAATGACTACGTGGAAATCTTTACGCCATTGTCCGGCGTTCTTTGCATTCTCCCCATTAACAGGTCCGCCCCAGAACACGCATTTTATGTTCGTGGTGCTGGGAGGGTTGGCGCAGCTCTGGTCGTTGGGGTTGACGGTGGGATCGCGCTCGTAGTAAAGATTGAAAGCGGCACAGCCCTCGATGGCATCACACTTGGAGGCACAGATATCTGTTGAGTATTCGGAGAGGACAGTGTATCCCATGTAGCCATAAGCATTGTTGCTGGCCTTCAGGTCCTTGAAAGTGTTGTAGTATCCGCTGGGGGTGGATGCAGCGTTGGCCTTGATGGAGAATTCAGGGTAGGCCAGGAAAGCTTCAGGGGTGTCCTCCTTGGGGGCTGGGCCAGCACCGAGAGGCTGAGGCTTGCAGATGGCAGCCCCACGAGCCTTGAGGCCAGTGGGAGCATCGGAATCAACGCCCGAGGCCTTGACCGCTGCAGCGATGGAAGTGGCAGCGGCAGAAGGCTCATAGGCAACAGTGCTAGCTTGAGCACTGACATCGACAACTGGGATGGTGACAGTGGGAATAGGAGCAAGTGCATCAACGGCAGCCCAGTCAATCTCCTGAGGGAGAGGGTTGGCTACAGCCAGAGCTGCAAAGGCAGCAGCAACGGTGAACGAGCGCATGTTGGAGTGTAGCTCTGAACGAAAGGACTAGAAGAGGAAGGGATTGAAAGAATTGGAATAGAATGCTGGTTGTCGAAGCTGATGGTTCTAATGATTGCTCAACTCGATGGGTGCTGGGCATATATATACATGAACCTCGACAGCATCCACTATTCTTACCTCATGAGACTAACCTGCAAACGAGCATCACTGGACATCCCCCGGCTCTACACGAGCCGTCCAAGATCCTGACCAGAAACCAAATGAATCGAGGCCAAGGCAGGATCGCGAGAAGGCTAGCCATGAGGGTCTACCAAAATAGTGGGCATTGAGCCAAAGCAGAATGTGGAGAAGGTGTCGCCACGAAGGAACAGGGTAATTGTGGTATACAGAGCACGGAGCATCGCGAATGGGTTATGATCAGGAAGGACGTCGCGACACTGCAGGGTGCTATCGCGGTGGCTTACTCTAATTCAAGCCCAGCGGTCCAAGAGTGTGCCGTTTCGAGGTGCCATTTCCTTGGCGACATGGCCGCATGGAACTTAGTCCTGATGATACACCTTCTGATTTGGTACGCCTGTATTCTTAGTGCAGAGGCGACAAGTTTTCCCCTGGTCGTCCCGTCCTGTTCCTGTTGTATGGACGGCTGATCGTCCGGGAGTGGTGATGAGAAAGAAGTTTCCATATTCTTCTGGTCACGCTCATCTCGCTTCCCACTTCAATTGATGGAAAGAGGGTGCCACATCAATAGTCAGAGAAGAAGAGCTTTCCGATGACGCTCTGTCTGCTCGAGAATTAACTTCTTGGCCCCGCAATCCTCAGAGTCGCGACCGTTTCCTGAATGGTCGTTTGAAGATCGACACGATGCTAAGTTTGGGGAGTGGATACCGAGCGCGTGGAGGATTCTATCCAGAGTATGCCAAGCACTTACATCTTCCATGAGATTGACACTCGAACTCTGGTTCTTTGTCTCGCACGAGGCCGGACCGAATCTCTGGAACTTGACGATCTGTGCAGATCAATTTGAGTGGCAGCATTGTTGAAGGCTCTGTGCGATCTCGAATGGAGTTGACTACCTGTTCGAGAGAATGGCTGGCGGAGCAAGCGGGCATAGAAACTGCGAATAAACAGTGCTGTGTGTTCATTATCAACTCCCTACGTAAATTCCTTAGCCTCGTGTCACTATCGCGTCTCTTCCCGCCATGCAGCTAGGCTTGACTAGAATTAATAATGTACACATAATAATTGAGTTAATAACCATTAATAATCCATTAATTATTACATCTTGGCATGTTAAGAGGGTGACCCTGTCCTCTGCCGCCGCGTACCTATATATACGCAAGCATGCTTAGTAATCATGTGCTAGCCTCTAACAACTAGACTAGTTAGCCTAGTCGTTAGAGGCTAGCACTGTTTTGCGTGCGCGTAATTATTAAGGGCTAGGGTTCGACTCGGAGCTAAGCCCTTCTTTTTGCACTTTTAAAATCTTCTGCTTGCTATTTTACTAACTATATTAAGTGCTTTAAGTAAATTCAAACGGCGCCTATAGACCTCCCTCTTAACTATATATAGCCTCTAGNGATAAACTAGCTCTAGAGCTTTAGCCTCTTCGAGCTCTTAACATGCTAGTTAAAGAAGCGAATTATCGCTACGGCGCCCTTAGTCGTTATTGCTAGACGATCTATCTAATAGTTTAAGAGGTAAGCGGCATAGTAGATGTCGGTAGTTTAAATGGCTATGCGCTAATCTAGTCGCTCGAGGACCTCTTATTTATACGGTAAGTCCGGTATCGAGCTTAATTCATTACGTAGAGCGCGCTAGCGAGGGATAACTTAGCCTATAGTCGACTAGTCGTTCTTAGAGAGCTTCTACGTAAAGTAGAAGGGCTTAATTAAGCGCTGCAACGTTATAAGTTGCTCCTACTATACCTCGTCATTAATAAGCTTCTTTACTAATAGCTTAGTTACTACTCCTTACGCCGAGGCGACCTTAAGAACTAGCTTATTCTTAAGTAGCGCGTTAATAGTAGCATAGTAAGAGCCCTAACGAGTAGCGTAAGCAATAGCAAACGCTACTAGTTGCTCGCCTTCCTTATTAGCTATTTAAAGTAATAGCTACTAGATCTTGTCGCTTACGCGGAAGAAGGTAAGTACTATGTTAAGCTCGCGAACTAGTGTAGCATATAAGCTAATAGAGCCTTTAGTATTAGGGTCGCTATTATCCTTAAGGCCGAGCTAGAGACTATAGTTATCGTATAATACCGTAAACACGTGCGTAGTCTCTAGATGCTTATATAGAGCTATATAGAAGCTCCTCTAAGCGCTATAGGTATCGGTATAGATACTATTCTACCTCTTTAAATCGCCATTATAGAGCACTCTAACCTTCTTAGTAATAGTCTCTCGTATCTACTCCGCCGATACTGTAGCTCTACTAGCATTAAACGACTCGATATAGAAGGCTTAGCTAGCTAACGTGTTTACTAAGATATTAACGATTTAATCCCTGTTTCGAGCGCTATATTTATCGATAATGACGTTAATATACGGCTCCTAGTTAACTATTGCTTTTACTCGAGCTATTATAGTACTTAAAGCTTACTTAAGAAGCTCGTCGCTTAACCGAGCACGCGACGGAGGGTTATATCGAAGGCTCGGATTAAGAGCCTTAAGTAGCTAGAGGAGTAGCGGATTCGACTAGAAGTAGTTAAATAGCAAGCTACTTCTATATACCGCCATTAAAGTAAGGTTATTAAGCTTACGGCGGTTCGGAAGTTATGCCTTAGAGAGCGGCTCTAACTACTTACCTTAAGTAGCGCGAGCAAGCTAAGCCTTAAACTCGGCATTATCGTCGAAGGCACTAAGCGCTAGTTAGCCGCTCTATATAGCGCTCTTAAACTAAGCGCACTAAAGTAAGTGCTTTATCCTTAGCTCCTTGTTCCTTCTCTTAACCTTCTAGTTATAGCACTAGTAGTAGTTAAAGTAGCCGTACGCGAGGGTATCGAACTAAGCGCTAATATTACCTTAAGGTCTACTAGCCATGTCGTCTATATAACTGACGACGGCTTAGAGCTAAGAGCTAGAGCCTCAGAACTGAGGGGTAAGTCACGTAAGTAATTATTGACCATTAATAATGCGTACTTACTGCGTACAAAGGGCAATAATTGATGTACGCATTAATAATCGATTATTAACGGTTAATAAAGCACCCCTACATGCAGCAGTGCAGAAGTTACAACATCTGCCCACTGTGCCTATGCCATTATGACTGCGCCGTGTCTGTGTGCGGGTCTGAAGGATTTGCCCAGACGCAAGAACACGACCCATTCTTCTTGATTGACTCCGGTGGCGACTTGTGCGGTTTGGACAAAGACAATGTTCCACTCTGAGAGATGTCTCGGAGACAACCAGAGAACAAAACGATTGTCGCAGGGCGAGACTTCAACTGTCTCGGATGGCGGAATGGCCTCACACTGGAACCACACGAGTCAAGCTCAGGGCATACACCAGAGTTTAGCTCCAGTAGCCATCTCAGCCGACGGCCCGTCTCTGAGCTGTCAAGACGAGTTTTGCTTCGAAGCTACAAGCGCCAGAAATATCCTTCCGCGGTCGTCACGAAGCTCGTGTACCGAGTATGCGATGCACTGCAGCAGCCACTGCCTTGCTATTTTTGCTGCCTCCGTGGTAATGAAGTTAATAGTGTCATGCAGGTCGGTCATTAGCTTGTGCCTCCTCTTGAAGAGAACTTATATTCGATCATTATTGGTCCCTCCAGGAAGTATGTGCCTGGAGAAGTGGATGCTTTTCGAATAATGCAAAGCATTAATTCTCCGATCTTAAAATGGACGCAATCCGCAGCGAGGCGGTTCGTGATGCTCGTTTAAATCACTGAGCGCCGAGAGCAACGCAAAACATCATCGAGAGACGAATCCGAGTTTCGCGATGGTCGTTGTGCCCCACTGCCATGTGCGTTTGCGATTCTCGGCGATCGTAAGGCAGGAAGCGGAGTATCACACACACTGGTAAAGGCGGAAAGTCTGTGGAAGTTCCAACGCTGGAGACTGGAGCTCAACGAGAGACAGAACATATGTTTGGGTCGATTGAGTTCACCTTCATTGGCCAGTTTCGATATATTCAGCTGTCGCGAGCTTTCCTACACAAAGCCACTTTGACCTTCAACAGAGCATAGTCTCACCTGACCAATACAGGTCGTACGAGGTTGGCAGCAAAGGCGTCGAACACGAGTGGTATCCCATAGCGCTTACAGTATCCATAACATTCGGCAGTTCTGGAATCGCTCGGCACTCAGCTGGCATCATGCCTTCCCTTTCCGTTTGGTGTTTGGTGCTTGCCGAACTCTCCCAGGAATTGGCAGGAACATACCACATGGCCTGCCATCGTTAAGTATAGACCAATATCATACGGGACGGTCAGAATGTTGTCAAGCACGTGTGAGGTGTGCCACGTGTCAGGCCCTTCCCGAAAGTACGTGGGACAAAGCAACTCCAGTCCTAGAGTTTCTTAGGTTGCAGCTGCCGTTTCCAACAAAATCGGCCTGAGATCGAGACTCCGAAGGTCTCCTTGCAAATCTCCCTCTCGTGAATCAATAACTTGTTCGACACTCGTCCTTGTGCTTCACCAATATAGCTGACTCTAGAATCCATGACAGCACGATTACAGAGACTCTCATGGCGAGGTAGTGTATCGGGATCGCATTTCGGCTGAACAGAGTGGCCTTGATTCTCTGACCAAAGATTTGGAGCTATAGGCTCTTGTTCTACAACGTGTCAGCTGCTACACAACATCCCCTCTCCTCTTCTTCAGTTCAACCATCAACAAGTCCTGCGGATATATCCCCTCCTTGCGCTCTTGTCGACCTGGATGAGGAGCTTCAATGCCAGACCGATACAATCGAGGGAGAGGAAAGCCGCTGTAGATTGAGCTGTACAATTCAAGCCCTTGATCTTGCCGGAATCGATCGACACCCTCCCAGAAACTCAGCTGCCGATCGATCCATTCTTGGATACCGCGCATCTCCACAAAGTCGACCAAGGTCTCCTTTCCTGCCTCCGCTGCGTATCTCGTCAAGTTCGACGTCCCATCGAATGGCCTGTTCTCTGCCAGTCTTTCTAAAGGCAGCCGATGGGTTACCAATTCTCTCATACGATGCAGGCGAGAGATCTTTTCTTGGATGGAAATTTGATACCACAAGACAAAACTCCGATTCCCCATCTCTCTATCAGCTTCATCTTCAAACCACATCAAGAGTCCATCATTGCGTGGTGTCAGATGTTCTTTTCTTTTGCAACAAGAATCTTGATACTCCAGCACTCGGCTGTAATAGCACATCTCGCGCAGGATATGCCAGTGGTATGTGGAGAGAGTCTTGTCAAAGGCGTAGTCGTAGCCAATACCAGACGTTTGCCGGAAGTTCTCGCTTGCCTCACGACTTGGACCGTATGCGTCTCTGGACAGATCGCACATACCCCATATCACTCTACTCCAAGTGAGCGTCATCTCTCGAAGGAACCCCTCACACCCATCGAGGAGTCTCGTCACACTGGCAAACCCCAGGATGTCGCAGATTGTGGTAATCGGATAAGACCGTTGAACGAAGCATGCCTCTGCCATTTGGCTTCCCTGCGCAAGTACTCCTTCCAAAGGAACTTCGAGGCTAGCAGGACTATGCGTCAAGAGAAACAACATGATAGTCACGGCGACCACTGCTATATGATTCCTTGTGTCTCGGTCAACATGCAGAATGTCTGGGTCCAAGTCGCTAAGCTCGTCTTCCGAGCATGATGCCGAGCTAGAAAGGCCTTCCAGTAGCACTTGCTCGTCGTCGTGCGGTTTCGGCTGGTTGCAGTTGGTTTTCGGAGGGTTTTTGGTGTGTGTGTGCGGCTCGGAAATGACTTGTTGTCTGGTCGGCTGTTGCATAATTCGCGTAATCATGGACCCGATGATGGTCCAGAATACTAGGTCTCGGATATTAATAAAGACTGGTGGAGCAGTGGTACGCTTTATATCGCCGTCAGTCTATCGCCCTTCAAACAAGGACCGGCTCGAGGCATGACAGAGCTCCTCGACAACGAACAATGGGGCGATCCAACAAGAATCACGCCTGTCGCTAAGCACCATACATGCGCTTGATGTTCCCCAAGTATGGTTCCTGGAATTAAATACAGCGATTGAGCACCCATGACCTCGGATCTCCATGTCTAGTGGCTTGAAAGCCACATCATAATGGTTGCTTGCACCGCGGCCCACTCTTTCCTTATCACCGACAACATATGGACATGCCATAATCCAGGTTCGAGCTTCTAGTGCTTCGAGGGTACTACACGAACGCTGGCATAGACATATGCAGGTACCCCATCCGTTTGGCTGCACTACACTCTCCTCTCGAAGCTCCATGCTTCGAAACAAAGACTCTACTTGTTGCTGCGAAGTGACCATCATTTGCGGTACACGTTTCACACCTGGCCAGGACATCAAAAAGGCTACGAAGACGCAGCCGGACAAGGTCATCTGCATAGGCGAATGGAAGTCTGACCAGAGCTGCGATTGTCATGGCGGTACAGACTACGGGTAAGTGCTTCTCACTAGCAGTCAAGACAGGTAAACACCCGTGTTTGCTACGTGGAAATCTAGTCTATCGAGCACACAGCGGTTTCCAAGTGGTATCATGTGCCACGAAGGAAATACACACAGAATGATCCGTCTGCATTCTTTACCGGGTCATGCATTTGTCCATGACTATGGAAACCAAGCCAGGTGATCAGGATTCTTGTCTCTGCGACAGAGTAACGAACCCTTCATCGGTAGGTTTAGTCTTATCCGAAATTGGACATGAATTTTTGACGGTCTGACTATCTTGTATCCATACCAACCAGCTGTTGTGTCAAGCCAAATTCTACGATCCTGTATACAACCTCAAGCGATACCAATAGCACCGGAAGGCCATGAGATGACGACAGTCAAGCGAGTTGAAAGTCAGCACAGCATACGGGTCAGTAAAAGCAGAAGAATTGGGCAGTATTGAACGTGAAATTTCTCAGACAGGGTTGCACAAGTAGCATAATTGACTTCGACATAATCACAATGCTGCGACACCAGACAAAACCTGTCATGACTTCGTCAAGGGAATGCTTTTGGGATATTTACATTGGTGTGATAATCTCAACGTCTCGGACGAGGAGATATGCTTCTGGAGTCGTCTCTGCGGCGAGGAGGTGTAGAAGAACGTCTGCGTTCTTTGCGCTTGTAGTCGCGGTCTCTAGTCGGAGGTGTCGGTGACCTGGTGTATTCCCTTCTCCTACTGTCTCTTTCACGATGAGGGGGTGAGTCGTCACGGTCTTTGGTGGAGCGATATCTGTCTTTTCGGGGAGATTCTGAGCGGTCGTGTCGAGGAGAGTTTGAGCGACGTCTGTGGGAGCGATGGCCGTCTTTGCGATCACGTCTGTCGTCTTCGATGTCGCGTGATGAGCCTCTTCTGTGTCTTCTGTGTCGGTCTTCTCCAGAGTGGTCGCGTCTTGAGCGGTGATGTCTCTTTTCGCGGCGCGAATAGTCGTGTTTCCGAGACGAAGATGATGATACCTTCTTCAAAGCCTTCTCAACCTCTTCCTTCTTTTGCTCGATCATGTATGCCTTCATAGGGTCGTCGTCTTCCATATCGCGCATGAGTTTGGCCAGCTCGAGTTCCTCCTTGATCAAAGGTCTGCGTTCCTCCTCTGCTTCCGAGTCTTCGGCTTCTGCACCAGCGATTTGTTTGTCCTGACCCACGTAGCCCTCATCTTCATCCTCGTCGTCGCGCTTCTTGTAGCGTGTGTGGTCGACAGCGAGCATTTTGCCCATGACGGTTGCGCCGCCGAGATTGTCGACAGCCAGATCGCAACTTCTCTGATCCTCGTATTTCAGCCAACAGAAGCCCCTGCTCTTTCCAGTCTCTTTGTCGCGCATGAGACGGATCCAGACGGGTTCGCCATATTGTGAGAAGATTGTGATGACGTCTCCTTCAGACAAGTCGAGGTTGAGGCCACCGACGTAGATGTAGGCCGTGTCGCGGTAGTCGGTATGCCATGAGGCGTTGGAAGGGACGACCTTTTCCAATTCGCGCTCATTGAGGCGCTGGACCTGTTTGATCTGATTCATGTCGATATGTGATGGGTCTGCGACAGATGGGAAAAAGCTGACGATGACGCTTCAGTCTAGACCTTGATGATTGCATGTGAAAGCTGCCCAAGGCGGTGAGGCCGGATGCCACCCTGACCAAGCTGCGGTAAACATTGTTTCAACATTACACTTCCCTGCTCCATACCAACAAATATGGCGCGCTCTCAGTCAAAGTCACGGCCGGGTAGTAGCGAGCGCGACATGTGGTCGACTTTGCTGGACAAAGTGGCCAGCGGCAAGAGGCTGCCCGACAAGAAGTTGATCGTGCTAGGCGGCTCCCAAGAATCACAGCGCGACTTTGTCGATTCGCTGGCACAACAACAGCAACAGAAGACGACACGCTTACGGAAACCCGATCAGAAGAATGCTGCTCCTCCACTGGCCACTCGCTTCGGATTGGGCTATACCTACCACAATGTCTTCGACAGCGACCACGAGGACATGGTCGCGAGATTGTCGCTCTACACCCTGACCAGCCCCGACAAGCAGTATGCACCTCTGCTTACCCGTCTCCTCACTCCCGATGCCATTCCCAATACCGCTGCTGTTATTCTACTCGATTGGGCCAAGCCGTGGGACTTCATTCACACCCTGCGCCAATGGACCCGCCTGCTCAACCTCGTTACTTCTTCCCTCGACGAAACAGCTCAAGAAGCTCTGCAAGAGAACATGTCTGCATGGCAACACCGTCGCGATCGCGATATAGCTACCTCGATGACCGACAACCACACTCCTCTTCCCCTGGGCCCTGGCGAGCACGACGATCCCTTAGGCCTTCCACTTCTAGTAGTCTGCCAGAATGCACAGCACATTGAATCTCTGGAGAAAGAGCGAGGATACCGCGAGGCACACTTCGACTACATTCTGCAATTCTTGAGAACAGTACTGCTCAAACACGGTGCTGGTCTCGTCTACACCATGCCCGCCCAACCAGGCTCCCTCCAACCCCTCGTCCACCACGCTCTAGACATCAACTCTTCACCAGACGGCCCACCAAAACACAACGTCGTCGATCGCGATAGAGTCCTCGTACCACCAGGCTGGGATAGTTGGGGCAAAATCCGCGTCTTGCGTGAAGGCTTCGACGTCGAAGGCGTAAGCAGAGCCTGGGGCGTAGAAATCCAAGACCTACCTTCCACCCCCTCATCTCCCACACAACCCACAACACCCGAAGCCCAAACCGCCGGGGGCGCAGCAGAACCCTCTTTCGTGGCAGAACAAGACACAACCATAACACTCTACGAACAACAGATCCAGAACCCACACCCACCCGCCCCATCGCTGCCGAAATTAGAAGTGGAATGCACGCCTGATCAAACCTTCCTCGCCACACAAGCGGAAACTCTGGATAGGTACAGAGCAGAAGACGAAGCGGCGAAGAAGGCCAGAGAAGCCCGTCGCGTGGCTAGTGGAACAGGCGGTCCTACGAGCAGCAGCAACGATGAAACCGGTGCAAGAGCAATGGCCGAACACGTGGGCCCTGTACAATTCAACATGGGCGGTATCCAATACGATGCCGATGAAGTTATCCGTCGCTTGAAGGTAAGATTACCCCTGCCTAATCTCTCTCCCATCCTCCTCCTAAAGTACTATACTGATGTTATCGAATCTAGGATCGCAACAAGCCAGCAGCAGCACAAGCGAGTCCAGGTGGTGTTTCCACACCTTTCAGTCCCCAATCTCCTTCCTCGAACAATGCTCAAGACAGCAGTAAAGATTTACCCACAGAAAACCTGGAAGCCTATTTTGCTAGTTTGATGAAGGGAGGAAGGGGTGCCAGTGCGCAGAATAGTCCGAGACCTACGAGGGATGCTGGTGTGTAGTTCAACAGAAAGCATCAACGGCGAAGAAGTGTCTTTTATGGTGCATGTTTGCATAGGGCAATGATACCCATATTTTGTGTTGTATTCATGTGTTGAGAAACCCTCCTATAAGCTTACGAATGTGCTATTGATTATATCTAGAGAATGTTTCATGCTCCCTTACTGACTCCCCTAACCTGTCGAGCATGTTCTCCACTGTTTCAGCTCTTCTCAGGAAACTGCCTAGTAAGATAGTTCCTGAAACCTGTACTGCCAATCTTGACTCCTCCAGTCACATCATCGGCCAGTTCGAAGACCTCCCACTTCGCGTCTGCTCCACCTCCGACGACCCACAATCTTCTATCCCCACCTTCCGGATCCCAAGCCAACACTCCCTTTGGCGGTTTACCGTCTGGTCTGCCAGGGACAGCCACGTTATCGACTTTGAGCTTGGCAGTCTGTCCGTTAGGTAGTGTTGTGCTGGTGTAGCGCGGCTGACCTTGCCAGTTTGGTGGATCTGAGCCGATGGTGAACTCGATCGAGGTTGAGGATCTGGTGCCCTTGGCTAGACCGCTTAGCATCGAGCCTAGCGAAGGTGCAGTGGCTGGTGGTGCGTGACGAAGATCTGGAGGCGGGACTGTGTTGACCGCGGTGCCAGGGAGTGGCGAGGACGAGCCAGAGGCGTGTGATATTGTGTCGTAGTCATGGCCTCCGCGGCCGGTAGAGCTACCTTTTCGCTGATTGGGCGGTGGGCGAGCGTGGGTTTCCGGTGCTCTTGGAGGGCGGAGATCCCAGATGTGTAACGTGCCTTTGTCTGAGGTGGAAGCAAGGAATTGCGAGGAAGGCGAGAACGCAAGTCCCCATATCGACGCAGACTCAAGACCACGACGTAATTCGGTGGATTTTGTAGGGTCTGTAGTGCTGAAGATTCTGATAATAGTACCTTGTCGACTGGCTGTGGCGATTATGGTTCCATCCTTGCTCATAGCCATCTGTCGTAGATCTCCTTCGTGAGCCTTGAATACCTTCTTGTCCTTGGACGACAAGGTCAATACTTGTACCTGTCCAGGCGTTTCACCAGGTAGTGCTAGAGCATCGCCTCTGATGCAGCAAAGGCCAAATGGATTCGATGCTGTTTTGTATAGACCCTTGACCGATCCTAGGTTGATGGCTCCAGTGTTTGTGTCCTTGGCGTACTCCAGTGATATACTTCGATCTACCAGGACAACGATGCAGTATTTGGCAGTCACACGGACAGCGACGATGGGTTCGCCGAAGTTCAGCTCCTTCAATTTCTTCTTCTCCACAAGATCCCAGAACTCGAGCTTCGTGAAATCAGTACACCACAATGAAAGCAAGTGCCTGATGACATACCTTGTTTGGTGACGAGTTCGGGAGTCTTCCACCACCCACGAGAGCTGCATATCTGTCATCCAACGCTTCCACGATGGCGAGACCATGTCCAGGCCGAGGTGCTAACGGCTGTCAGATTTCGAGACCCTTGAAGGCCGATCGATGCATGAACATACCTTCTTTGATGGTTCGTATACAGTCTTTTGCCCGGAAGACTGGAGAGTATCAGTCGTATTCTGATGAACACGAAGACCAACACCTACCTCTCAAGCCATCTTCCATACCGCATGCAAACCTGGTGCAGTCATTGTTGAAGGCAACGGATAGAACCTTGGGCTCCGCAGAGTCCCTGATAGGGCGGCGAATATCCATGATGTTCGGATCGTGTTTCGTAAAATGGACGGTTCAACTGTTGTGAAGAGGTTACGCGATTGTCTTTATCGACAAGTCATATTCTGAGTCACTTCGAGCAAGTTGAGATGAGACGTGTTGCCAACACTAGAGCTGACTGTCCGCTCAATTGATAGGCTCCAGATCCGGGGCAGTATACGACCGGATCACATGCCACTTGGCGGTCACAAGAATCCGTAGGGACGAATCGTCTGCCTTTTGCGGACGGCAGGGCTGATGGTTTTGATATGATACGGAGACAACCAGAAGAGATTCCTTGTCGACTAATGTTGGTGATAGTGTGAGGTGGTGGTTCGTCGTATGTCGAAGATGACCTGTGCTGAAACAAGAAGGTTGCGGATAGCCCCACATTCACTCGGGAAGGCTCGACCCTTGAACCAAGAATACAAGCCTTCAGTTGACAGAAAGCCATTTCCACTTTGCCGTGTCACGATCGAAGAGTCGGGTTTGTGATACACAAACATGTAGACTGCAGCAAGATTTTTGATTTGGTATCTCCTTGTTCGAGGGTACAGAACATCGTCTCAAAAGAGGGGCAAGCTCATGACTATCCTATTAGAAAGTCGTCTATTATTGAGCCATGAGAATGCAAAATTTGATCTGTTTCTCTGGGTATCTCGCTGAGAGGACCCAAACGCTCAGGATGATGAGCTGACTGTCCCTCACTTCATTTTCACTATCAGCTCAAACCAAGGTGAAGAGCAATACGTCAAGTCGCAGACGCTTGGGCACCAATTGGAAAAGCCACAAACGAATCACCCCCACCACCCACCACCCACCAGCCTCTCCAGTTCCAGGTTCTTGTCGTTTGTCTCCCGCTCGGTGCTCACCGAGTTGACAGCTCGTGCGACGCATTTCTGACCTTCACACTCTCGTCTTTCATTCTTTGAGTGAAGCGTCACTTCCTCGGTCGGGGTTACTGCCACTGCTTTGGTTTTCCAGCGCTTCTAGCTTTTGATATTTCCCCACGTTGGCCCTGACTCGATCGTTCAGGCGGCCTTGTGGTTCGCTTTCTGACCGTTTCAAACGTCCCGGCGAGGACCATCACCGTCATGTCTCGGCGCTATCCTCCTGCTGATGTTTACGAGGATCGTGAACGCGACCCTTACGCTCGACCTCGACCTGCGCGCAACTACGACGATATCGAAGTCGACATCAACCGCACCCGCTATGCCGACCGCCCAGAAACCGTTGTCAGCGATCGCCGAAGCACCCGCGGAGCAAAACTCCCCGACTTCCTACACGACGACTATGGACGAACAAATGCTGGTCCGCTCGTAGTTAAGAACCGCGAGCCAGACGACTATGCCGACTACCCACCTCGTAGAGATCCCGACACTCTGTCACGCAGAGGTGGCCCACCAGAAAGAGTTGAGAGAGATGAACTCGTGATTCGTGAGCGCAGAGGTGAACCTCCACTTCGAGAGCGACCACCGCCTGCCAGAGATCCAAGAGATGTCGACCGCGAGGAGGTCATCTACAGACGCGGCGAGCGCGATCAGTCAAGACCACCAAGACCAAGGGACAGAGGAGAGGTCGAAGAGACGGACATCTTGATCCGCAGAAGAGAACAGGAGCGGGAACGAGAGCCAGAAGTACCTCGAGGTGGTCCCCCAGACATCGTCTTCCGCAGAGGTGCTGGCGACCGTCGACCCCCTCCCAGGTCCGAGGCTGCAAGATCCGAGGTCGCCGAGGAGGAATTCACCTTTCGCCATGAAGAGACTCGTTCTCCCCCTCCACCTGCCCGTAGCGTGCGCGGTGTGGAGCGAGAGGAAATCTCCATTCGTGAACGCGAGCGCAGTCTTCCTCCTTATCGCAGACGCAGCCCAGGTCCAGTTGCACGAGAGAGGGAAGAGTGGCTCTTCAGACGTCGCGAACCTTCCCCGCCTCCCCCACCCAGAGATGAACGCGAAGAGATCATCATCCGTCGCCGTGAGCACGAGCGTGCCTCACCTCCCCCGAGAGACGAGAGAGAGGAGATCATCATCAGACGCCGAGAGAGATCGGTGCCTAGAGAGCCCAGTCCCGAGCCAGTCCGAGAGCCATCACCCGAGCCAATGCCACCACCGCCAGAACCGATTGTCCGCCCGCCTATCATTCAGGAGATCATCACCCATCACCGGCATATAGATCATGGCGTTGAGCGAGCTCGCTCTCCTGAGCCCATGCCTAGTCCTCCCCCAGCACCACCAAGCCCACCACCTGCGCCTAGGGACGAAAGCCTCGAAATCGAGATTCGAAGACGCAACACTCGTAACGGAGGCTATGACGAGAATATCACTTTCGAGCGCGAGATATCTCGTCCAGCACCCGCCCGTGAACCTGAGATGGAGCGCAACATTGAGCTCACTCGTTCTCGCTCTGTCTCTGCTCCTCGCCGCCGTCACGATGATGAGATTGCCTCCGAGGCAGAATACTACAATCGTAAAGCACTCGAGCGTGGCTACGTAGGTGAAGGTCACAATGGCGCAACTCGAGACTGGGGCCTTGTCGACATCCCTCCCGGTACCAGACGTGTCCAGATGGATGGTCTAGGGGGTGCCCGACAAGACATAACTTGGCAGCAATATAACGGGTCTCGTAGAAGCAAGTTCTATACCGCCGACGAAGAGTACACGACTGATTTTGGTCCCGGTCCTATCCCTGAGCGCAAGGAGGAGAAGCGCAAGGTCACGAAAGACATGTGGACCGAGGTCACCAAAGATCTGGTCATCAAGGAAGCCATTGATGAAATGGGCTATCAGTACGAAGACTCAGAACACTTCTTCTACGTTATGGAATACCTGAAATACGTAAGTCACAGTAGATATATTTGATACACACCAACAGGAAGCTGACGCATCATCGCAGGAGGATGTTCTTCAGCTCGTAGAGCTATCCGAAGATATCCGTCGTGAACGCCGTGACCGCATCCGCGAGATCGAATGGGAGCGCGAACAACTCGAGCGCCTCCCACCCCCAAAGCCACGTTCACCACCCGCAAAGCCTCGCTCCAAATACGACGAGCGCATCTACGAACGCGAGGTCATCTACGATTCCAAGCGCACAGGCAGATATCGATGATGAAGCCGACATACAACACGCGGTGTCTCATATGCGTGCTTGCTTCACAAATCCTTGAACAATTGCTGCAAGTGGCGCCTTTCTTTCCTTTCTCTCCCTTTTGCTTCCGAAGCAACGCATGGCCATAGCAAAACACACACTTCACGACCTGAAACGAACAGCATAGCGAATTGATACACCGAACCAGCTGCTCTCTTGGTGCTTACTAGCTGATTTTTCTTCTTCTGATGTAAACACTGCTTCATTCTTGCTTTTGCTCTTTTCTCCCTCTTCCCGGTGGACAAATTCTCTAGATATTAAATACACAGTTCTGCTCACTGAAACACATAATAAGATCAGACCACGACTGTAATTCTGGCTGCCATTGTTGAAATCGCATGTGAAGCTGATGATGGAGAAGGAAGCGGAGATAAGATGAAAGTGGCCGAGTGAGGCTCAGCCAAGGGAACGTGACCCCAGACTGATGACGCTGGAAGCTTCGGCCGGCTGTGCCCTGCTGCTGCTGCTCGCCGCCCTCTTTCCTTTCATCGATTGTTAATAACCTGAGATCTTCTTTGTTTCGCACACAGCATCTTCTACAATCCACGCGCCACTCTACATAGCAATGGCATCCACCGCAAAGTATCAGGCAGCCCCAACGCGCGACTCGTTCGAGGAGCAGGGCTACAGCCAACCGCCTCCATCATACCAGGCAGAAACCTCCGCTGTGCCTGGAGTCCCTCGCGACGAAGACGACAACGTCCCCGACGATTTCAAGGTATATCACTCTGCCGTAACGACTGCTCTATTCATCTCACTAACGCGACACAGTTCGGTGGCTCGGTATCGGAAGCGACTCTCGACATCCGAATGCAATTCGTCCGCAAGGTCTACTCCATTCTGACCGTCCAACTCCTGGCGACCGCCGCTCTCTCTTCCGTCTCCTTCTTCAGCCCCGGATACAAAGCATGGATTCAGACCAACCAGTGGATGATGTGGGTCTCGCTCTTCGGCGCAATCGGCTTCATGCTCTTGACCTTCTGGAAGCGCAAGTCGTACCCCACCAACCTTCTGTTCCTTGCTGGGTTTACTGCTATGGAAGCATACTCGATCAGTGTTGTCACATCCTTCTTCGAAAGCAAGATCGTGTTAGAGGCGCTTATCTTTACTCTCGGAATCTTTGTCGCCCTCACGCTGTTCGCCTGCCAAACCAAATATGACTTTACCAGCTGGATTCCTTATCTCGCAGGAGCTCTCTGGGTCGTTATTATTTTCGGATTTATGGCAGCCTTCTTCCCCCACACAAGCACTATCGAGCTGGGCTACGGCATTGTCTGCGCCCTCATCTTCAGCGGCTACATTTTGGTTGATACTCAGCTCATCATGAGACACTACCACGTCGAGGAGGAGATTGCAGCCTCGATCTCGCTTTACCTTGACATCATTAACTTGTTCTTGGCTATCCTCAGAATTCTGAACAGCCAGCAGAACAACTAGAGTCAGATCGATAAGCGACTGGAAAAGATCGACATGATGTATTAATTGACGACTATGGAGTTTTGGGTGGGATTCGGGATTTCGCTAGGGAAGTACGGAGTAGCACCTGTAGTTTGCACAGACACAATGGACACATGGGTTTCATATCATACGGCGGAAGTTTTGGGTTGTTTTGTGGTCAATTTGGTGTATCTCTCAGCTGGATTGTCTCAAGCTTCGTGAATTTATCCGTTCTCGCCCGTAAGCAATGGTATCTGGTGGAGGTAAGCTCCCATGGCGCCTTCAGATAGGGGGTCGCCAAGGGTCTGGGGTTGGCGGCGTTGCAAACCAACTTTTTGGATGCTTCACGTTTCATCGGCGCTGACCTTGCGATACGCGTGTCTTCAGCCCTTCACACTGCCACGCGATTTTTATTCGTCTTCTTTTTGGGGAGGCTGCTGCTTCTTGTCAGGCTCAATTGCCAGCCTCAGACTCTCTTCGCATTGGGTTTGCTTTCTGTTTCCTTGTCCGAGTGACCGACGCCTGTTTCTCCAGCTTTACCTCCGTCTAGACCGTCAAAAGACAACTTGACTCTTTTCGGCCTCAAGGGTACTCGGCCGCAAACCTCACCCTCGCCCTCCCCTTCGCTCAGGCGCTGCTCATGCTGCTTGTTTGATTTCTTGCATCCCACTGTCCATTCTCGCCAATGGCCTCGATCGCTCCTACCACCGCTTCGGCGGATGCGCAGTCCTTCCCGCAACACCTCAACATGGCGACTTGCAACCCCACATCTCAGACCAAGAAGAAATCAAAGAGGAAGCATGAGAGTCTCTCGAGCTCCCTCTGTGCCACTCTCGTCGAGCACCAACTGGGTACGACAGCTGCTCTGCGCCATTGACTCGACCCGACCTATGCTGACCTATCTCCGCAGGCCTGTCGATCAACGTACTCATGCTCCTCGTCTTGACTCTTGTCTGTTTCCCCACCCTCCGCTCGTCCACCATCCAATACTTCACCCTCTCCTACTACGATGCTCAAACCGGCCTCTACAACCCAGGATGGCAGGACCTGAAGTTCGTGTCGCTTTGCATTATCGTCTTTACCGCCCTTCGCGCCGCCGCTATGGACTATGCCCTTGTTCCCATGGCCAAGAAATGCGGCATCCACAAGAAGAAGGCCACCATTCGCTTCGCTGAACAGGCATGGCTCGTCATATACTATGCTACATTCTGGTCCCTTGGAACAGTGCGTACAATCACGTCCCCGTTCTCTTCAATTGCGCCAGCTAACCCTCGACTCAGTATCTCGTCTACCAATCCCCCTACTTCAACAATCTCCGCGCCATGTGGTCATCTTTCCCCACGCGCTCCATGACCGGCCTCTTCAAGCTGTACTATCTGGCTCAGTTTGGTTTCTGGCTCCAGCAGATTCTGGTTATCAACATTGAAGAGCGTAGAAAGGACCATTGGCAGATGTTCACCCACCACATCATTACATGCCTGCTTCTGATTGGAAGCTACGGCTATTACCAGACAAAGGTCGGCATCGTCATCTTGTGCTTGATGGATGTCGTCGACTTGGTATTCCCTGTAAGTCAATATCTACGGATAGGTTTTGCGACGACCACTAACTCCCGTGCAGATTGCCAAGTTGCTCAAGTACATGGGCATGCAGACTGCTTGCGATATCGCTTTTGGCGTTTTCATGCTTTCGTGGTTTGTCGCTAGACACGTCTTCTACCTCGCCGTTTGCTGGTCTATCTATGCCCACGTCCCCGTCGAGATGCCTTACGGGTGCTACAACGCCGTTACTGGAGTCAAAACTTCCGAGGATGGCGGAAATGAAGTCCTTTCCAATGTGCTGCACGCTTACACCAGCGGCAACGCCGACGTATGCTTCAACGAGAAGATCCACTACGGCTTCCTAGGCCTGCTACTCGCTCTCCAGGTCATCACAATCATCTGGTTCGGTATGATCTGCCGCGTCGCATACCGTGTGGTTCTGGGCAAGGGAGCCGACGATACCCGTTCCGACGACGAAGAAGAAGAGGAAGAGGAGGAAGATAGCTTGGAAACTGTGAGAGACTTTTCCACAAAGGAGCCTGAGCTCAGGCTTGCGCCTCAAGAGGAAGAGGTTGGTGTAGAGAGTCTGCGCTTCACACGCCGTCCCAGCCCGGCGGCCAAGCGAACCTCTGATAAGAGCCGTGCCAGCGGTATCAGCATACCCGGCAACCACAAAGAACTGCTGGGTCGTATCGGTTGCGACAAGCCAGCAGGCGGATCCTAGGAGTTCTTGATTCTGGCGTTTCCATCTCCCTTTTTTCCCTATCGACTTTCGTATTTTTCTTTCATGTCCAGGTTATTGGGTTTCTCACGTCATGGTTCTCTCCTGCGATTCTCTCCCTCTAGAGGATCCACCCCCCTCCCCTTTTTGTTCTTTTGACGACGTAGATGCATGTCATGCATGGCTTAGACGATTGTTTGTTCATCTTTGCCCCGCAAACTATAGATGGTTTTATGAAAAAAAAATGAGCAGAAGAAAAAAAGTTTATGCAGATTTTGGGGAGAGAGAGAAGGAACTGTCAAACTATAGAAATCAAAACATTTTACGAGAACAAGAAAAAAAAACACATCTTTGGAAAACATACCTCGCTCTCACCAAAAGAAGCATCAAGGAAGGAGCACCCAGCATATGATACCATCCTTTCCCGTTTCACCTCCTTACTTTAGTTCCAGCCTTGCACTCTCTCCATCTCTCGTTCCTTCCAATTCTCCCTTACGCATCACCAAGATCCATCATCGACTGTATCAAGCGTCTGGAGATCATGAGACACCACTCCGATTCCATACCGACCAAATACAACGCGGGATCCCCATACCTCGTGTGACTTTCTTCGGACAATCCAGACCATAGAACCCACTTTCCTACAACATTGTAGCCTCGGGCTGTTAAAAGTCGACCCATGTGTATTAGGTGTTACGTCGATATATGTAGTACTAAATGTCATGTAGAAAGAGAGGACTGTTTCTGACGCCAATGCATCTAGTATGTATGTGCATACGGACAATGTCCTCTCCAAACCCGTCACCCTCGGAGGCGTCCTCGACGGTGCCGGCGCTGGACACACCACCCAACTCACCGCCGCTCACAACGATCTCTCAGTCAACATCAACGCCGTCCAGGCCTCCTGTTGATGCTTTCACCAATGTTGGTCAACGCTCTGGAATTCGACATCAAGATGTCTAGATGATCTCTTATCGGGTCGGCTGAACGAAGTTCTCACGAAGGTTGGGCGATGGCTACACGATTGACAAGAACAATTTGTTTTGACTGCAACATCTCTTACTTGCGGTTTTGCAAGACAGTTGGAGGTATCATGATGCCATGAAGGAAGCCTGCCCGAATTCATAAGCGATGGTTTTCCCTTCGGCTTATCACCAAAAGCAAAGGGGTGGTTCGAGAAGAATGGAGATGAGATCTACAATGAGCGCGTTGTAGTGATGATATTGATGTACCTGTACGCATGTCGTATGTAATATGCATAAGATGAATTCCCTGACTACTCAGGTGGCATTATAGGGACATCTCCAAGGGGAAGACTTGTCACGCTTCTACGGTAGCTGTGGAAATGCATGATTCTTTTCACATCAAGGAATAGTGTCCGATGAGAGCATGACAATCGGCACATTTTTTTTTTTCAGCAGCCGTATGAATTTGTATCGTGCATCTTTGCAGGCTGGATGTCTATAGTCATGGTCGTAAGAGATTGTCGAGATCGTGTCAAGAAGAAGAACTCATCTATTCGCTGTGTATCACGAGTAGTCTGCAAAGAAGACAAGTCTTTGAGTTAAAAACAAAAATTCGCTTTTCTGGTATCTCTACTAGGTATCTGTAAAACCCTTCCCTTTCGAACTCCGACAATCAAAACCAGCTATAAGAATATATACAACAAAGAATCAAAACCACACCTATTCGACTCTGTCTCTAAGTCTCCTGACCAAAAGCAGCATAAGCAGGAGCAGTGGTTCCATCACAAGACTTTTGGACAAAGTACGGGCTCACAGTTGATGACCAATCAGCAGCAACCTTATTGCCCTGCGTGATCTGGAAATACAGACTTCCAGGTCCACCACCGACATTTCCATAGATCAAACGGATAGGATAGTATTTTCCAGCCGTAAGAGTAACAGTAGCGCTTTGCGTACCATTGGCCTGGTTATCCAAAAGCAGATAGTTGAATTCGTTGAATCCAGAGTAAGCCATATCGCCCAGCCAGAAGAAGGCGGCATCATCGCAAGTGGGGATGGAGAAGGTGTAGTCGCCGGAGGTGGGAGCGAAGAAGTAACCACGGTGGTTGAGGATCATCTTCTCGTGGTCGAAGGGGCGGGTGCTGGAGTAGATTGAAGAGGATTGGTGGTAAGTGTTCCATGCGAAGCCGCCGATGAAGTTGGTTACGCCGGTGTAGTTGGGTGTTACGGTCTTGTAGTTTTCGGCGTCCAGACCGTAGTTGGGGGAGTTGAAATCCCACTGGGTGCTGGCGAGGCCGGGGTAGTAGGCGAACTGGAGACCGGCGTTGTTACAGGAAGTATCAGGGAGAAGAGCGGTGGGAGTGGCAGTAGCGGTGGACAAGGTAGTGGACGAAGCAGACACAGCGGTCGATGAGGCCTTGGCGGTGCTGGAGACGACTGTGGATGACGCGGAAGAGCCACAAGCAGCGTAGGGAGCTCCGGGATTAGTTGTGTTGGAAAAGGCGAAACTGTAGCCTACGGTGTAGTGCGATTGCCCGTAGTAATAACCTTTGTTGGTGTTATAGGTTGAGTTCCACGCCATAGTATACAACGAACACGTTTGTCCTTGAGCCACACCGTCCTTATAGAGTAGGTAGGTGGTGAAGAACTGGCAAGTCTTGGGCTTACCCTCAGCAGGAGGGTGGGCCAAGTTGTAGACATTCTGAGCAGAACAGGCAGCAGCGCACAAGTTAGCATCGAAAGGTCCGGAGGTGAAAAACTTGGATTGCATGAAAGTGTCGTGGCCAGAGCAGTCCAGAGGAGCATTGATAGTAGCATCTCCGAGATCAATGGGTTGGTCGTAGCCAGGAGCAGGGTCGATCGTCTTGTTAACGTAGCCATTTGATCCAGCGATCACAACCTGGAACTTGTTGCGCCACTGTCCGGCATTGAGAGCATTTGACTTGAGGGTTGGTCCGCCCCACATGACGCATTTGATCTGGGTTACTGATGCTGGGTTGGAGCAGCTCGAATCGTTGGGGTCAACTATGAATCGTTAGCATGTTCCTAACACGGAAGAAAAGAGACAAACGCGTACCAGAAGGGTCACGCTCAAAGTAGAGGTTGAAGGAAAGACATCCATTGACCTTGTCGCATTTCTGCGAACAGAGCTGGGTGTCGTAAGTGCTCAGGAGCTGGTAACCCATGTATCTGCTCTCTTATCAGCACTAGGTCGAGATTTCATGCTGTAGCATGGCAGAAAACATACCCATAAGCGTTGTTAGAAGCCTGGAGGTTGGTGAAAGTGTTGACATAGCCAGCAGGAGTCGGTGCGGCAGAGGCAACACTAGAGTAGTATGCATCGGCCAAGAAGGCAGAAGCAGTATCCGGGCTCGAGTTGTGAGAGATGCCAGTAGGCTGAGGTACACAAGTAGAGGCGGCACGTTTTGCGAGAGCAGTACTGCTTGCAGCTGCAGCAACTTCCAGGGAAACAGATGCAGCTGCTTGCGTCTCTACGTATGAAACTATTGTGGCAGATGCTGTTGTAGAAGGAGCATCACCAGTGACGTAGACAACAGGGATCGAGGGAGTAGGCACAGGCTCTGCAGCCAGGATCATGTCCATGTCAAATGTTTGCGCATTGGCAAAGGCAACGCATGCCGCGAGAGCAGCAACGGCACGCATATTTAAGAGGTGGAGTGTTGTAGGATTTCGAGGTGTCGGAGAGGTGCTCGTTTGGAGGTAAAGACGGCTGTGTGAGGAAGAAGACAGTGGTCGTTATGAAGGATAAGATGATGATATGATTGAAAGCTAGGAGGAAGATCCATTGTGATATATATATTTGCTGCGATGGCTGGTATTAGATGCCACGGACCTACACCTGGATGCTTGAACAGCCATAGTCTTCGTAGAGAATTGGTCCAGCCTGACCACAGTTCTGTGGCGCTGTCAAGCAGTAAGGGCATAGTGTCTCAGATTGGAAGTGTGGAGATGCAGACCTCAGTCTCTTACAATGGCGCGATGAACCTTTCGTGGTTCGCCGTTGGGATGTTGTGACCGTAGAAGCGCCACAAGATGATGATCGTGATGGCATTCGTGCTCGCAACATTGCAGTGCTGCTGTGATTATGATAGTGTAACTGAGGGTCCTGTTAGATAGGCTGTCTCTGAGAACCGATACACCCCTTGGAGCTGTCTTGTGCTGTAGCTCAGCTCTTTACCAGCATCGTGACTTCCGCGTTGAGTGCCATTACGAAGCAGGTTGTCACAGACGTGTGGTTGGCGCGATATCGAGGAGGCTGGGTAGCGAGTGGCAGTGGAGTCAAAATTTGGCAGAGGCCAAAGCTTTCAGGGCCCAAGGACTCCTTCTCATCCGACACCTCCGAATTCACATCTTTCCCTACATGCAGCCCTACAAGCTCTAATCCAGGAACAGATGCGACTACAAACTCACACGTTTTAGGTGAGACATTCTCGCTGATGTCCTTGTGTAAACATACGTGCAAGTTCATGCGACGTGGCTGCCATATCAAAAGCCGTTGCTCTCGGCAGTTTCTCTTCGTCGTAGAAACCTTCCACCTCACAAAAACTCAGTATCGCGAAGAGAGATTATCCGCGTCCAAACACAGCGCCTAGACCTCATGGTATCGCGATACGACAAGCCCAGAATCGTGGAGAAAGTGGAAGATCCACCTCGTAAGGCTGTAATCGAGTTGATGTGTAGTAATCATTTACCTGTGCATCGCTAACGGACTACGCTTTCGACCATCTGACAAATGTGTATACCAAAGCACATCAGTTAATTCTATACTGTATGTCTATACCAGGTTTAATTTGTTCACCAGCCTCGCAACGTGTATACACAAGTTCAGTGTCTTAACTTGAGGCACGACATCCCGTTGTCGAGAACCGTCATGGTAGCAGTGTGAAGCCCAAAAGAGGCTTTTTAAATGTCTCGGATCACGGCCGACCAACTGCTTTCGAGCTATACCAAGTACAGAAGTCCTTGTAGGGCAGCATGATGGATGCATTGCCTTTCTCGAAGGCGCAGGGAGATGATAATTCCCAGAGCAGGCATAGCCGGCGACGTGTTCTAGATGCATTACTGTTTCAGTTGGCGCTGCTTGCCCCTGATCTTTTGACTACTTGGGAATGCGTTCAGGGCATCGCACTGATTCGGCACATAGATAGCCCGATATGGGAAGCTGATGTCAAGCGCATGAGGTTTTACTGTCCAGCGTTCTGACTCTCTCTGGCCGTGTGGTCAGTTTCACTATCCATCAAAATGCACAATGTTGTTCGAAATCCAGAGAGCGTCCGCTGAGAGCTCGAACCATTCGCACTCCCACCGAGCACTCGCTGAGTTCCCAAAATCATTGTGCCTTTTGATGGCCAGAGCTTGGAGAGCGCTCAGTGCTTGGAGTGATTAGCATATGTGCTTGATATCAAGTCCCTCGATATGTCGCTACACAGCCGCCATAGAACGTTGTGATGAAGACTTGTGTGTGGAATAACATGACAAAGAGAACAAGTCTGTTTTTTGAGACGAGGACTTCTAATTGCGCACCAAGAGTTGAAGTCAGGAAGATGTTTAGGGATCGACAAGATGTTCGGAGATTTCTTGATGCATGGAGATGCGGGATCTGCAACGCTTCTCCGTCCCGAAACCATGACAGCATCAGCAGCAAAATGGTTACACAGGTATCACCAGATTATCAAGTGGCATGAACAAGAAGAAAGAGGACTCTACAGTATGATGGATGCTAGAGTCAGATTTGCAGGGTATCATGCTCAGCTCAGGTGATGTGGTGCAGACAAGAGCAGACATGTCGAAGATCTGTTGATGACGATCACTCCGCATTCACATGCGACAACATGGATGCGTTCCTGCAGACATCGGCCCCATGTAAAAGTCCGAAGTAGATATATAGTCAAAGAAATGGACAGAAGTACTTGACCATCAGCCCTTGTCTTGTTCAAAGAAATCCTGTCAACTCACACTCCAGGCCCCATACTACACGCAACCACGAACAATCGCAAAATTACAGCAACCATGGCCGCCATCGCATCAACACTCACCAGCAACCCTTGGTTCTTCGAGCCTCTCCAGATCTTTGCGACCCTGGGTGCCGCCATAAACTTCGGTGGTTCAGTGCTGCAATCGCCTCTGATCATGCCCACCGTGACCGACCACGTCGTTGGCGTACCAATCTATTACACCGCCCAACAAACCGCCTACCTCCTCCACAACAGCGAGCACTTCTTCCCTCCTCTCAACGCCCTCTGCTCGCTCTCAAACCTCATCCTCACCAGCACTGCTTTCCTCCGCGCTCGCGATGGCAATCTCATCGCTGAAGCCAAGTTCCCCAAGCTCGCTGCTGCTTTTGGATTGAATGTTGCAACTACGGCTTGGGCATTGTTGATCCAGGTGCCGATGAACAAGAGGATGTCTAGATTGGCTGAGATCCTCAAGGAGGGTGTTGCCAATGGTACGGAGAAGGATAGCAGACAGAAGGCTGCGGAGAAGGAGTTCAGAGACTTGCAGTTGAGATGGCGCAAGCTGAACTATGGCCGTGCTGCCATCATGATTGCCAGTGCTGTCGCTGGTGCTCTTGCATTGGTCGCAAAGCCTTAGGAGAGCAAATGATGATGTCTTTAGGTTTTCTGTCGTCCTTGTTTTGGTGTGGGGAGCCGGGAGTTCTTCTCTGGAGATGGAAGACAAACGCATAAATATTAATGCAAAATCGCACAAAGTTTGACCTCTTCCTTGCTTGCCGAACCTCGCTGGTTTCTCTCTCTTTCATCACAACTCTTGGTCGTTTTGAGAGTGGTCCTTTGTGGTTTTAGACGAAGTAGTGTCTTGATCTTTGCGTCTCAGTTTCCGTAGCACCCTCGAGCACCAGAAAACATGAGCCTTCTTGCGTTTATCCCAGGCTGCGATCCAAGCAACATCAGACTCGAAGTCGTCGGTCATCTTCCGACAGTATTGGGCGTCGTCGAAGTCGTAGTCAGTGAAAGGGACAGCCTTGTTCTTGCTGACTTTCCTAGCTTTGACCAACTTTCGACGGGCTCGCTCTGAATGTAAAGACAGAGAGTCGTTACATGGATTCCACATCTTCGGAGTTGGTGGTGGTAACAATCTAGACGGGACGACTGCTTGAACTGTACTTGATGAAAGGTAGAGGAAGAGCTCTGCTGCTCTTGCGATCTTTTCTTGTTCACATGAATATCTTCTATCAGGTTTCATGCATCATGGAGCCAAGTACTACCACCGATGATCCATCGCCATGTCAAGGTCTTGTACAAGCACACATCGACGTAGCCGTGTCAAAGTTGGCAGATGGCATCTCGCACACTGCCACGTTCTACATCTTGCTTATGACAACCGAATAATGCGTGGTTTCCCTTGATGGCTCGACCACTAGATCTTCTGTAAGTGGTGCTGACCAACACGCGTCGAAGGTCTCTTCCTGGGTTCTGGGGAGACAGAGGGGCTTCGGAACTGATCACATGGACTATTTGTCAGATCGAGTACCACATCGTGCACTGTTACCCTGATTCAGCCCACTATGTGCTGACTGAAAAAAGAGCAACCATACTCAGTACAATGTACCTGGACCTCGGCATCATTATTATCCACCAGGAGAAAAGCATGTGCAATAGTGCGAATTCCAGAAGGTCGTTCGATTGAAGAATAGCATTAATCTCGGCGAGGAGGTATCATATAAAAAGGCTTATACCGCCCATTCGTTACTCGTAAGGTATCCACCACCGCCTTGTTTCCATATCCAAAAGCCCTCCACAAAAATAATCAAGAATCAAAGAGCAGCTATAACAGTCAGTCGGGTAGGACAATTAAGCGCTTTGGACGCAGGCTACCATTAACTTCTCGTAGTCGCCTCTTGTCTCGCCACGAATGCGATCGGCCAGGTCTCGCTGGAAGAAGTGTCTGTAGGCGCCACGGGCTTGTCCCATGCGGTGTTTGTCCCAGTGGATTCTCACGATTCTGTTGACCAGCAGGTCGTCCTTGGTGCCCATGCCTGACATGGCAGCTTCGAGTAGTTGAGCATCATGCTTGGCGCGGTCCTCAGCATTGAGTAGAATGTAGAGCAGAGCATCCTCCATATGGCCGCTGAAGTTCTTTTTCAAGACCTCGGCAAGTTCGCGGTGGTACTTCTGACGATATGCTTGGGAGATGGCACGGAGCTGGCCGTCACTACGCGAGGTCATGATGGCGCAGACAGCGACTTGGTCAGCTCCGATCTTGCTACCTTCAGTAGCCCGGTAAAGCTCGCTAACATCGGCCTCGATTTGCTGAGGGATGACGGGAGACGACTCTTCGTTGCGGCGTGCTGCTATGACCATGTCGAAGAGGCGCTCAGTTTTAAGCGATAGGTCGCCCTTGACGTCCGACTCCAAAGATCGCTTATAGACATGGTGGTAGTGGGCCTTTATCGCGTTCATGTCGGCATTGCTACGTCCCAGGAGAACGTCGTTGAGAATGGATTCCTTGGTACCCATACCCTTGATAGCTTTGTTTGCGTTCAGAACGTCTTGCTCGAGAGGACCACGTGCCAGTGCCATAAGGCCGTCGCGGAAGTAGCCCGATGTCTCGGACTCAATGTCTTTCAGAAGGTCGCGACGGTGGCGCTGGTTGAATGCCTGACGGACACCAGCAGCCTGGAGAGGATCGAGAGGTGCGAGTATAGCGATGAGAGCCTTCTCATCGGTTCCGAAACCCTTCATGGCTTTGCGCAAGTCATCGGCCTGTCTCGACATGTCCATAGGAGCTACTTGGCCTGGAACGTAGCCAGCGGAAGGTGGTGAAGGAGGGCCACTGCCGTACTGGGCCGGTGCACCATACTGTGGCTGGCCGTATTGACCGGGAGGAGGGCCTGGAGGAGCACCATACTGCCCTGGTGGGGGTCCAGGAGGAGGGGCACCAAAGGACTGAGAAGGATGGCCACCAAACGACTGCGATGGATGATGTCCCATGGGCGGGCCAGGGGGAGCACCGTATCCGCCATGCTGTTGTGGGTAAGGTGAGTGACCTGGAGGAGGACCGGGTGGTGCGCCATAGGGTTGTTGTTGTTGCGGGTATGGAGGTTGGCCTTGAGGAGGGTATTGTTGGCCGTAGCCTTGCTGGGGAGGATAGCCGCCGTAACTCATCTTGTATAATTCAGGGTTCTGATTGCAGCCGTAGGTGGTAAGATGTACGAAGCTGCTCTGGCAGCGGGCTTGCAGCTTCCTTTATGTCATTTGCGCCAATTGCCAAGGCGACCTTGTGCCGGAAGGATCGGACGACCCAAGACCAAGCCATGCTCACAGGGACGACTGCGGCGCTGCGCCGCATAGGAATGGTGGTTTATCCATTAAAAGCGATGAGCGGGTTCGCACGAGATGGCTTTATGGTTCACCTGTGTTGCCTCTAGAGAGCTCAAAGTGATCTGATTGGAGCGCGTCAGGCCCGCGCAATCGGTTCGTGAGCGTGGCGAGGCTGTGCTTTGTGGCTGAGCGCAGTGACCCTATGCAACCTCTTTCAGGCGATGACTCCATTCAGTGCACCCGAGAAGGACAACGATTGTGGCAAGGCAAGGTAAGAGTTGCAGAGTCACGATGTGTTGATATTCCCGAGATTGTGTTGTGAGAGGAATGGTCAGACCTAAGGCGGCACTCGTCAAATCCACACGATTGCCGAAGCTTCAATATCGTAGAATACTAGATCTGGCGAATCGGTGCCTAAGATTCTCTAAGAAATTAGAGCAGGAAAGGCGTACGATCCTTCTACAGGTATCTGTCGGGCTCAAATCCCAAGCGGTGCTTGTAAGACATGCTCTACACCGTGCAATATGATAGTGGTCTCTGCAGCTCTTCATGTGACAAACTTTGGCACATGGAAAGGAAAGCCACTCGGGTAGCGGGGTTAAACTTCCAATGTCTCTTTTTGTATAGCCCGAAGTTAAACCTCGGTTGAGGTGGGACAGGTCTGGAGAAACGATGCTGTGATCTGAAGCTTGACCGGGCTGTTGAAAAGAGCATAACACGCGACGAATGATTGACATTGTGGCATAATCGCGTTATTAGCAAAGGGCACGGCGCTCGGCATTTTAGGCGTGAACGAGGGCTCGGGATTGAGATGGTCAAAGATGCTGTGGGGTACTGCCGAGCTATCTAACGGCTGCTTGATGAGATGAGATGGACTTCTGTAACTGCCAGTAGTAGAAGCAGCAAGATGGCAGTGGGATTAGAGGTTGACGAGCAGCATCGAGTGTTGGGTCTGACGGGAGGATTACCACAGCATACGATGGACAGAATAGAAGGAAGGAGCGACCTTGAAGTGAGATGACGACTTGGCATGCTGGCAAGGTCCGAGCGCTGCGCCCGGCATTGCAGCGTATTTGATTAAAGCATTTGTTCGTTTCGTCTTTCGTCTCGTCTTGTGCTCGCTGTCATCTCCTAGGAATAACACGACCGTCTATCCTTCCGGACCGCTCTAGGATCGCACGATCGAGGGATCTATCGCATCGGTCACTAATAGAGTTCTAGCTTGCAGGCGCAAGTGCGGGTCAGCGAGTTGCATCTCAGTCGCAAACAGACAGCTCGTGTCCCGGCTCCGTTCAGCATCGGCAGACTCGATGGACTAAGGACCCGTAATCTCGCTGATTGAATGAGGCATCATGTCGTATAACCGCCCGAGCCGACGCCAGTCGCATGGTCAACAAGCGCAGCAGTATGCTCCGACCAACGGTACACCCGACGCCCAGCAAGCTCTCCAATCCTCGTGGTCCACGCCCGAGCTGACAGGCTACGGCTCCTATCCCACTCCCGGCGGCCCCGTTCAGCAGCCCTCCTACGCCGACTATGTCCATCCGTCGCAGTCTTACTATCCTCCGCCCGACCAGCCTCAGCAACCGCAGACTCATGCCGAGTACAACCCCCAGGCTTACGCAAATGTTGGCTACAATCCCGCCGCTTACCCTCCACAACCACCGCCTCAATCGCCGCGCGCTCCTTACTCCTACGCTCCCTCTGCCGCCTCTCCTCCGCACTCGGCCAGTTACCACCAGACTCAACACCATTTCGCACAGCCCATTCCTATGCCTGAACCGGGCCAACCCTACACGTACCCTTCTTACTCGCAGGACAGCTCTTCCTATTACCCTCCTCCACCTCCGCCATCGCATATCTGGTCTCCTTCGAATGGCTCACAAAACGTCCCGTACGGGAATATTCCCTACGCCCCGAGTACCTTGACACCGGACGAGTTGAATCTTCCGTCGCCCCCTGTGCATCCTGGGTATCACTCCTATAACTCTGCTGTTTCGCCTCAATTCTCGCTCAACAACCTGCCGTCTCCGTCCGGTCCTCCACCTCCTCCTCCAGCTCACGGTCAAGGCCCCCAAAGAAGCGGTACATTGCGGCATCCGCAGAACCGACCACTTCCGGGTCCGCCAGAACCGGACGTCGAACGTGACTACTTTCACCAACCTGTATCACTCCCATATCGTGATTCTTATGCAACCGAGCAGGAGGCACAGGAAGACCTCTTCAACCAAGTTGAAAGTGCTGTGCTCAATGCTGGTGCTGCTTCAAGTGCTCGTCGCCAGAGCCCTCGCGTGCAATCGGCATCATCAGACCGTCCGCAGCCACTCTTCTCCCCAAGAAGCAGTGCTACTCCCACGACGCAGCCTTCTCGTGACAGTATGACCATTGCAAACATCATCAATGAGTACAGCGATGAAAGTGATGTTGAGGCCTTGGCCGGTTTGGAGGCGATGCGTATGGCCGAAGCCCAGGAAGCTGACGCGAACAGCAGAGGTAGTGCTCTCTTTGGTTACTATGGCTCCTCATTGGCGAACCTGAATGAGACCGATGATACTGAGGTCCCCATGGATATGAGTACGCTCAGCGGAGGCTATGATGCCCATATGTCCTACGGAGGCGATCCGAACACTCTGGCTGCAGGTCCCGACGCGAATGGATCCAATTCATTGTCAGCATCAAACTCAATGCGCCGATCTGTCGGTTCCAGTAACCAGGAGAGCATGTATGAGCACGGTATGAACCTCCAGTCCCGTGCACCACCAGTAGCCCGCGTGGATGCCGGGGGTACTGGAGGACTGACGGATCCTGATGCTCTCAATCGGAGACAGAGCTTTGACGAAGGCGATGAATACAGCCTCACGGATGACATTGCACAACCTGGCGAGCCTCCGGACATGTTTTTCCATCCCGGTCACTCTTCTCAAAGTCACGATAGGCCTCTTCCACCCCCTCCAATCGTTTCCGAAAATGCAGTCCCACGTCTAAACACAAGTTTGCTCCACCAACGCTCGAATTCGCTCTCTCAACCGCAGTACCGTATGACGCCCGATAATTACACGCCATCCACACTGGACTCTGGCGCTGGTACGTTTCCACGGTCTGCATCGCTTCTCAACCATAGTCAAACACCACAAGTACACCAGCCAGCGAGGTCCAAGACGGATGCTGAGGAACGAAGACTCAAGCAAGGATACCGAGGTTCTATTTACAATACTTTCGATTCGACACCTGCCGCAAGCACTGTCGCTCTTGATCTGCCTAGTCTGCCTACCAAGCGCTTCAATCCTGCTAAGCTTGGTGGATCCGACTTCAAAAAGTGCGAAGAACCTTGGGCATTGAGTTCGATTCTCCAGTGGTTATTCCTCGTCGCGGATCCTGAAAAGATGACCGAGTTGAAGGAATCTATGGTCAAGGAAGCTCTTGTTGCTCTCTTCACCAACAAGGTTCCTACCATGAATATTGCTGATGCTGAGGTTTTGAGTAATCGTGTCGTCGAGAACATGTATGCGGCAAAGACATTGATTGTCGTTGAAGAGTGGGTCAGACTCAACCCAGGACACATGAGTGGTGTCATTTTCCAGTTGACGCTCAACGGATGCTACTCGCATACTGTCCACAACCATATCTTCCCAGGTCGTTGCTATGCTCACCATTGCCAACGCACTCTGAAGAAGGTCAATCTACAGGCCGTCTCAACTCGGGCTTCTGAGGACTGGGCAACTTTCTACAAGCTCAAGAAAGAGGACGTTGAAGGCCACGACAAAAAGGAGATTGAGTTGCAAAACAATTTACACGAAATCGTACAGACCGAAGAGGGTTTTATGGAGAACCTCGACGTCATGATTCGTCTTTACCGCGATCCTTTGGCTACCGCAAACCCATCTATCATCAGCCCCAACCGCCAGGAGAGATTTTTGCGCGACGTCTTTGGTAAATTGGATCTGGTCAAGAAAGCGAACGTCGAGCATCTCTTGCCACAACTCAAATACAGACAGCAAGAACAAGGACCATGGGTCAAAGGCTTCAGCGACATCTTCAGGCAATGGATCCGCAAGGCCAAGACCGCGTATATCGAATATGCTACCGGATTTCCTAGCGCTAACTCTTTGATGCGACAAGAGCTGGAGAAAAACATCAGCTTCCGTAATTTTGTGGAAGTAGCAAGAGTCAATAAGCTGTCCAACAAGCTCGGATGGGACAACTATCTTAAGGCTCCTATCACAAGGTTACAGCGTTACAGCTTGCTTTTACAAACGGTTCACAAGAATATGCTGCAGGATTGCGAGGAAAGAACAAATCTGGCTACTGCAATAGAGGAGATCCGGGCTGTGACTCTGGAGTGCGATTCACGTGTTGCCGACCAGCAAAGAAAGGTCGATCTCTCTGATCTAAGTCAAAAGCTCATGCTGAGACCTGGAATGGCATCCGAGGTTGAGCTCAACTTGACGTCCATTGGACGAGAGTTGATTTACCAAGGAGACCTTCAGAGAATGGGTACCAGCAGATTCACGTGGCTAGAATGTCATGCTCTTCTGTTTGATCACTATCTCGTCCTCGCAAAGGCTATCTCAGTGTTGCAAAAAGGTGCTCCAAACAAAGTGGAAAAGTACGACGTCTCGAGATTGCCGATTCCAATGGACTTGCTAGTTTTGGAGAACATAAACGAGGATGCAGTGGTCCGATCTTCATACGTCAAAGGCATCACATCCGTCACTCCTCTGCAGGCAAGGCCACCGCCGTCGAGTCCGGATTTGAACAAGATGGCTCGCATCACGACAGCCCAATCGGCTCATCCCACTCTGGCCTCCGTCAACACGGGCTCGTCAATGACAAGTCTGAACAGCGTCGCTTCTGCGCCCTCCAAGATGTCCAGCACCACTGTTCTTGATGGCAACAAAGATTCGGAAAAGATTATGTATCCATTCCGCATCAAGCACTTGGGTAGCAAAGAGCCATACACTCTCTTCGCAGCCACAGCTGGTAGCAGAAGTGACTGGTACAACAAAATTATCGAGGCTAAGACCAAACACGCTGCTGCCCTCTTTGCCCAAAATGCGGAGCCCTTCCGGCTCAGGGTCATTGCCGATTCTGCCTTCTACTACGACTCGAACGCGAATCCCAAAGACCATCTTGGGGTCAGTATGGGCGGAAAACCGGTCATCATCAAAGGCACGCCCCTCGATCGTGCTGTCAAGGAAGTCGAGCACAGATTTCAAGCCACAGGTCGTCCAGCTCCAATCTGTAGAGCGCGAGTCAACTGTGCTACCAGCTTTACAACCTCTTATCCTGGCACGAAACACATGGTTGCAGTCGGTACTGACTTTGGTGTCTACTGCTGCGAGATGGACAACCCCAGAGGCTGGTTCCGCGTAAGTCACATCCTTTTCATGACCCCAAGACATCGTACTGACTATACAATAGGCAATTGCAGGCACGAAAGTCACACAGGTCGCAGTGCTTGAGGAATTTAACTTGTTCTTGCTCCTTGCTGACAAGATACTCTACGCGCATCATCTCGACGTAGTCTGTCAGCCTCTTGCCACCAGTGCTGCCGAGACATCATCTTCGCGCAAGGCACCGCAAAAACTCTCAGGCAGCAGAGATGTAGGCTTCTTTGCTGTCGGTCGTATGAAGGATCGTACGCTGGTGTTTTACAAGAAAAGAGACGGTATCTCATCGACATTCAAAGTGTTGGAGCCCATTTACCAGAAGTCAACTGAGAAGAAACGCGGCATATTTAAGCGCGGAAATACTGAGTTCTTCCGTGACTACGACGACTTCTACATCGGCACTGAATGTCACGGCATGAACCTCTTCCACAGCAGTCTTGCCATCAGCTCAGACAAGGGCTTTGAGGTACTAACATTGGACAAGAAACAGCCATGGAGCGTACCAGACTGGAAGGCGCCGGAAGTTAGTAACATCCTGCGACACGTCGAGAAGCAAGAGACCTTGGGCATGCTCCGACTCAACGATCAAGAGTTCTTGCTCTGCTACAACCTCTGCGCGGTCTACGTGAACAAGCATGGCGAAATCAGTCGTTCAGTCGTCATGAACTTTGTCGCCAACGCGAAGAGCGCTGCCTTGTACGGTCCCTACTTGGTTCTGTTCGACAATGAATTTGTCGAAGTGCGCAATGCGCAAAATGGTCGCCTGAAACAAATCATTGCTGGAAAAGACATCAAATGTCTTGATGATGGCGGTGGTGGCACATTGAGCGGCGGCAGTACTAACACTGGCGTCGTCAATGGTGTACCTGTCGGCTACGGTGCTGCTAGCCGTACCATCAAGATCGTCATGCAGCATCCCGCACTCGAGAAGACGCAGATTATCGTCGAAATGGTGTTGAACAACGAGCAGAAGGAGTAAAGCAGGACATCTCTCTTCTGCTCCTGGCTTTCCTTTATTTCATCGCTCCTGCCTCAGGTTACCCGAGTTGACCTAGTTCTTCTTTTTCTGTCATTGGCTGGTCGGGTTTCCATTTTGTTTACTTTCAAGATACCATTCATGTATTGGGTGCATATAAAGCGGAGCATGGTGTTTTTTTTTTCTAGTCCGAGGCAACCACTTGGGTATCTGCCTTTTCTCAATTGACATGGCTACACAGCTTTGGTGTTTCCCGTCTCTTTATAATCAATCAATCTGAATCTTTGCCGTAGACGGTCGTGATGATGATCAGAACAAGGCAAACTATATCCCCACATTAGGCCGCATGGCTGCATCAGAGGAACGTGCTGCTGGTGTGTCTGTTTGTCAATCGCGAACGCGACCGGGAGTTTGCTCCAGGGTCCGACACTCAAAAAAATGTTGATGAGACGCATGAGCCCACACGAAACCTACGACTGTCGCTGAGCACGCGGTTGAGAAGGCTGAGTGGGAACTTGAGCTCGTACTTGTTTGACCCCGGTACCTGACTTGGTTGAAACAAGGAGGATCGTCACATATCATGATGCCCCTCATGGCTCCCCGTGCGCAGGCTTCGTCAGAGGAGGATCGATTATCGTAAGCCCTCCTCGTACCTCTTCATGTCTGTCGCTCCTTTCAACTCAATTCTTGCATACACTGTACATAACGTCTCTTTCTCGTCACTCTCTACCGTGTGCTCTCATCAGCTATGATTTGAATAGGCCGCTCTCGCCGCTTGCCACGCTATCTTGTATTTTCTACCTATTCACGCCTATCGCATACCTATTCAACCCTTCCGATTGCCAACATCGTAACACACCATGACGACCCAGCGTCGTCTATCGCCTCTCTTCTTCGCTCTCTTCTTGATCTTTTTCTTCTTCATCATCTTCCACACAACCCATCTCACTACATCATTACGACATGTACCACAGGTGATGGGACTGAACGGAGATGAGGAGATAGACCCCGAAAATGTTCTCCCGGACCTGCGGGAATCGAAGAACATGCACACGTTCGCAAACCCAAACCCAGCCTTCGTACCCGGTACACCGAAAGATCCCAATGCAGAGTATACAAAGACTCTGGTGATAGGGCGCAAGAAAGAGGAGAACACACTTTGGGTCGATACAGAGTTGGAGGACATGCTGGCTCCCAAGGGACCTCTACGGACAGCAATCTACGTGGTAGACGACAAAGACGCGGAACTGCACCCTCCGAAAAACAAGGGACACGAGGCAATGGTGTATCTCACATATATCATTGACAACTACGACAATCTTTCCGATGTCAGCATCTTCATGCACGCACATCGCTACGCCTGGCACAACAACGACATTATGGATCTGGACTCTGCGCAAATGGTCCGTAATCTGAATCCCAATCATGTCATCCGACACGGTTATGTCAACCTTCGCTGTCACTGGTCTCCTGGCTGTCCTGCAGAAGTCAGTGGTATTCATCCTGGAGCGCTAGTCGCCAATGCACAGAGACAGGAGGAAATGATTATTGCAGAAGCTTGGAGTGAGATCTTTCCTCTAGACCCTATTCCGCCAACATTGTCGCAGCCTTGTTGTGCGCAATTTGCGATCAGTAGGGAACGGATACAGGCTTTGCCTCTGTCCAAGTATATCTACTACCGGGACTGGCTACTGAAAACATCTCTTTCGGACAGTTTGTCAGGTAGAGTGTTTGAGCAAATCTGGGTTGTCATCTTTGGCGGCGTCGCGGTAGATTGCCCTGCGATGCACCTCTGTTACTGCGACGGTTATGGTTATTGTTTCGGTGGCGCCGACAAATATGCTGAGTTCGACGACCTACGTTATGTTCTCAGAGATCGCGAAGATGAGATGAGAACAATTCGCAAGAATGAAGCTCTGATCGAGGAGGCCGAGTCTGGAGGGCGAGTGCCAGAAGAGACGGACAATTTGGTAATACCGGAGCCAGGGCGCAAAGAATGGATCCACGATCAGATCGATATACTGCGCATGGATCTCACCATCCGGCGACGCGAGGCTAAGGTAAGAGGGCAAGATGCTCGAAACCGAGCTGCAGAGGCAGGTCGAGAGTGGAAAGAGGGAGATGGATTCTAGACATTTATGAATGGGCTCAGGAGCCTTATACGATTGGGATAGAGGTATGGCATTGCAGGAGACATTCACGGCGTTGGTAGTAGTTTGTTTACTGTACATATTGAGGGTACAACGTACATGAGCAGAGTCCTGTTGGACATGTATACACAAGTAAAACTCCTCCCGAGTAGGATGGCTTCGGACACCGAGGCTCCAGTGTTGCAATGTCAAAAGGAGAAGTCGGCCGAGCAAGGCATGATTGCATCTCTTGCGCGGCTCTTGGGGGCTTGGAGAACCCTCGGCTGCACACGGCCAGCCACTGTGGAGAAAGCTAAGGTTCGAACGGGCTTGCGAGCCGACAGGGTCCGGCCGGTCATTTTCCGAATGAGGATGCTGACAGCGGAGCTGTTGGGTTGCAGCGATCAACGCAGCCGAGCTGCTGTGATGCATGTAGAGCAAGACAAGGCTCGAATATGAAGTCGAGAGTCGGAGTGCCATTCAGATGGATCTGATGATAGAGCCAGATGGCGGGGTTAAGTGCTTGTCTCTCGTATGTTTGACGAAGGGCGATTCAGGTGACGCAGCCAAGACGCGGGATGCCTCGGTTCCTTGTGAATGGGAGTCGACAATTTAATAAACGACAGCATCGAAACCTCGGGTCATTGGTTGCCAGATCGTACTCGTACTGGCGAGTAAGCAACAGATAGATCGCACTTGCTTCTCCTTCTCGTCTGCTTCCATCATTTCTCAAGCCGGTCGTTGTTCGATTCGGAGGATTTATTGTATTGTATGTGCTTACCATGCCGACTCATGTTCGGAGTCGCCGAAGGGGCCAGCGCCGCTCTTTCAATCTGCTCAGTCCAGATGACCAGAAGCTGACAAGCTGCATGTAGATTGATCAAGACCACCTTTCTCCGTAATACCGCGACTTCACTCCTCACAACCTTTTTCTCCTAAGCCGGACCATCACATACGCCATGTCTCGACCTGTCGCTCTCGCAAGGGCAAGTGAGATTAGAACACCCCCTCCGCCTGGCGCACCTTACAGTGTTGCTCTCGACGGAAGTGAAGAGGAAGGACGTAGCAAGGTTTACAGACACTGGAGATTCAAGGACGGTCTGCTGGAATCTTTGGACCCCCAAGTATGTCCCTGTGTGCATGTCGTCGAGGGATGCGTGCTTACAGGAACAACCAGATCACATCCGCCCATGACTTCTTCGAAAAGACTGGTAAGTCGCTTGCAACTTGGATGCTACCTCTACAACAACTGACCCAATACTTCAGCCAACCGCATCCCCAACTCGAGATGTCTCGGATACCGCCCCTACGATTCTACCACCAAGACCTTCGGCCCCTACGTGTGGGAGACATATGGCCAGGTCCAGGAGAGAAGAAAGAACTTTGGTATCGGCATGGTCCATCTTCACCACCAATATGGCATCACTGGTAGACAACACGGTGTCGGGCTCTGGTGCCAGAACCGTCCCGAGTGGCAGATTGTTGGTGAGTCGACGCTTTCTTGAAGCTTCACGCACCAGACCCCGCTGACTTTTGCAAGACTTGGGATGCATGTCGCAGTCTCTCTACACCGTCTCTCTTTACGACACTCTCGGCCCCGACACGACCGAGTACATCATCAACCACTCTTCGCTAGCCGCTGTCGCAACCTCCCTGAGCCATATTCCTACTCTGCTCAAGCTCGCTCCCCGCTGCCCTACCTTGAAGATCATCGTGTCGCTCGACCCTCTCAGCTCGGGCACCGAACTACCAGGAAACTCAAAGGCAGATCTGCTCAATGCTCTGGCTTCCGAAGCCGGTATTCAGGTCATCTACATCCGCGATGTCGAGGCTCTGGGTGAAGCCAGTCCCCGCCCCTACAACGTTCCTCAACCCGAAGACATTGTCACCATCAACTACACTTCTGGTACAACCGGTCCCCCCAAGGGTGTCGTCCTGACCCAGAAGAACGCCGTTGCAGCAGCTTCGGCTTCCATGACCTTGGTCGACATGCGTGAAAACGAAGTCATGTGCTCTTACTTGCCCCTGGCCCATATCTACGAGCGTGTGACCGAAGGCTCTGCTCTCTGGGCTGGCGGTGCTATTGGCTACTTCCACGGCAACATTCTGGAGCTCGTCGATGATTTCAAGCTTCTCCGTCCGACCAGCTTAATCAGTGTACCGCGTCTGTACAACCGCTTCGGCGGTGCCATCAAGACCGCTACTCTGGAAGCATCTGGTGTCAGAGGAGCTCTTTCAAGACATGTTGTATCAACCAAGTTGGCAACTCTCAGCAGTCCCGATCCTAAGCAGGCAACCAACAAACACGCCTTTTACGACCGTATCTGGGGCAGAAAGGTTACAGCTCAACTTGGTTTGGACCGTGTGAGAGCCATGGTTTCGGGATCTGCTCCCATTGATCCGTCACTACAGCAGTTCATGCGTGTGGTCTTCGGAAACAGTTTCCTCCAAGGCTATGGTTTGACCGAAACTTACGCCATTGCTTGCGCTCAAGTTGAGGGTGATATGACAGCGGGTAACTGTGGTGCAGTCATGCCTACAAGTGAGCTGTGTTTGATGGACGTGCCAGACATGGAGTACTTTGCATCCGACAAACCTTTCCCTCGCGGTGAATTGTTGGTTCGCGGACCGACTGTGTTCAGAGAATACCTCAAGAACCCCGAAGAGACGGAAAAGTCGCTCCTGCCCGACGGTTGGTTCCGCACCGGAGATATCTGCTCAGTCGACGAGTTGGGCCGCTTCAAGATCATCGATCGCAGAAAGAACGTCCTCAAGCTAGCACAGGGCGAGTATATCTCACCAGAGCGCATTGAAAACGTTTACCTTGGTAACACCACTTGGTTCTCGCAAGCCTATGTGCACGGAGACAGCGACAGAGCATTCTTGGTTGCCATATTTGGTATTCAAGCTGACACATTTGCTGGTTTCGCAAGCAAAGTGCTTGGTAAACAGTTGGGCGCAACCGACATCAAGGCTTTGGAGGCGGCAGCACAGGACGTCAAGGTCCGCCATGCCGTGCTCAAGGAGCTTGACAAGATTGGCAAAAAGAACAAGTTCAACAGATACGAGATGGTACGCAACGTACGATTGATGGTGGAGCCTTTCACCGTCGACAACGAGCTCCTCACACCTACGTAAGTTCTTCTCATCAAAGCCGAATGAAAGTTTGGTAGCTAACAAGCACACAGCCTCAAGTTGAAGAGACCTCAGACGGCAAAGAAATACCGCGCACTCCTCGATGAGATGTACACTGAGGCCGAAGCACAAAGCAGTGCTAGAGCCAAGTTGTAGAAGAATATACTACAATCTAGATAGGGATGGCTCAGTACTCAACACATACATGCAGTGTGCAGAAGAGCTCATGGTCAGCTTTCGAATAACATTAACGATTTCACAACAATGTCGCATCGCATCCTGTATTGACCAACCTTAAGCTGATTCTCGTGGACTGAATATACCTCCCCAATATGCTAAACTTTGTCACATCAACTCTCTCGCGGCGGTATCGCGCAGTATGCACTCATCAAAATATTCGATGGGTACAATCAGGACATTGCTAAACACAGAGAGCGAATGGGTATCGATAATTCCCTCGTTGGTATTGTTGGTATCAAAAATGATCGGAATTGTGGAGGGTCTTTTCGTGCATAAAAGGTTATGTAAGCACAAGGTCCCGAGCTTATTGGAGCGCGTCACTTTGGAAGGAGCTATTGTCATCGCCCTGTTCATTCAATTCCTTCACATCAACCCATTCAATCGCGTCTTTTGACATTTATCTCATCACCAGAATTGCTCAGTATCCATTGATCCGAACGAAAACACGATTGCAAACCAACGCGACAAGATGGCCGAGTACACCAAGATGAAGAACGCCGACCTCGAAGCGCTGCTTAAGGAGCGCAACCTTCCTCACACTGGCAAGAAGGCCGAACTGGTCAAGCGACTTCAAGACAGCGATTCGCAAACCACTGACGGCGCTGCGCCTGCTGCATCTAAGAATGAAGACGAAATCGACTGGGACGATGAGCCTGCCGCCGCAGCTGCCAAAGAAGCAACCACAGATGCCGCCGCCGTCGCAATCGCTGCTGGTGGTCAAGGTCAACCTCCAAACCCTCAAGCCGTCCCCAACCAGCAAGTCGACATCGACCCTTCGCAGACGAACGACCTCACAGTGACCCAACCCGCCGACGACGCGTCAACAGCGCCTGCCGCAACTGCCGATGCCACTGCACCTTCAGAAGCACAACCAGAGGAGCCGGCTAAGCCTGCTGTCGACTTCACTTCAGGACTCGCCAAGACGACTTTGGACCAAGAGATTGAGAAGCGCAAGGCGCGCGCAAAGAAGTTTGGCATGAACGAGGATGAGGACGAGGCATTGAAGGCGTTGGAGCGCGCAAAGCGCTTCGGCAACACTGAGATGCCCGGCAAACTCAACGAAGCTCTCCCTGAACGTCGCGAACGCAGTGAGCGCAAGAGAGGAGCTCCTGCTGACGCAGAGCAAAGCGCAAACAAGAAGCGCGACAACGCCGAGGTCAAGCGCGAGAACAACGACAGCAGACGCGGTGGACGCAGAGATGGTGGCAGAAGAGGAGGTGCACCTCAGGCAAAGGCTCCCGCCGCTGCTGCTTCTGCAACCGCCAAGAAGGAGAAGCCGCAGATTAGCGAGGCAGACAGAGCAAAGGCCGAAGCACGCAAGGCGAGATTTGCGTAGGAGGAACAACGCTGCAGTCACGTAACTTGGTATACTTATCGCTCTTTACTTCGTCTCCTGGATCGAGAAGGCTCTTCGCTTCACACCATCGACTGCCATGCAACCACCTTTCAACTGAAAGAACGACTGGATGATTCGTAAACTTGTGACAGTCAAGTATCTGGTGTTCGAAGGCTTGATTAAACCGGCTCCAAGGCATGTTCTTCTTCTTCGAAAAAGCGATCTTCTTAAAATCAGATAGCGTGCAATGAAAACATACAACTTTTGGAGAACATCTGGCGAACCTTTCCATCGCGCGTCCCAGAAGAGTGCGACTGCACGAGTTACATCCGTCGTTTCCAATGATGGCCTGTCGCATATGAGCTCTCGATGGACGCTTTTTGATCTGAAGAGCTATGCATTCTATGTTTAGCACTATCGCAAATAAGGTGCTGGGATCCTTCATCTTAGCCGCGTCACGGCCCTCTTCTGATAGTAAAGGCAGTACTGGATATGCTCTAAGGTCAACACACTTTATGCGTCCAACGCAGCGGCCACTTACACCAGCGATTCACCAGATGACAGCTTTCAAATACCTCGAAATCATCCCACGAGTTAGTCCTGCCGCTGTCAAGAAACGGGGTTGCTACTATGGATCAGTCCAGATGGTACGGGAGGACTCTGTTTGATATGAAGGGCATGGACCAGTAATTAGCTTAGGATGAGGTGCTTCTGCTTGGTTCATATAATGTTTAGAGTAGCATAAGGGTAGCGGAATAACTATCACATAATCTCTCTGGAGATCATCAAACAGTTCTGATACAGTACTCTGTCTGCGCTTACCACCCTCATGTGCTTGTACACCTCAGTGTTCGTTTGGCCAGGTTCATCATGGCCCTATTATTGCGTTACCGGAGTAGCTCTAAATAAGCAGCTCTTATCACATAATGTATAAACCCGAGGCTCTCGTACGTAGCACAAAAATCAAGTTCTTTTAGGCAATTACAGCCCATGTCTTTTTGTTGGGCGTCATACCCTGTCGTTCCGATCGCATGCCTTTTCAGGCAGTCGCAACCATCGAGGCTCCTCTTAGTGTGGGAGTATCGAGCCTAGAGCTTTTGTTCTCTTCTTCCGTAGAGTTCAAACATGACTTGCGTGTTGTGGGCAGGAACGGTGCTGCACGCTACATTTTCGAAACTCTTTTCTCACTTAGCACCAGAACACCACAGTCATTTTACTTTGGACAACCATCGAGCATGAACCATGTGTTGAATGTCAAAAATCAATGCGGTACGAGTGGCCATGACTCGATCGAATGACTGCACGACAATTATTAGTATCCATCGAGGTATACACATTGTGCCTTGTACAGATCATTTCCGGATGGTATTCATTTCCGCAATTATCCGCGAAACAAGCACGTACGGCCACAGTCAGCTGAAAACTGGGCATCCCGTCCGCTCTGCCATACATAAGCAGTTGAACGGCAGATTAGTACTGCGGTGGGTGACCACGTGGGAATCCCTGCTGCTGTACGTTTTGTATCCTTCGTTTTGCTTCTCATAGTACATCAGTAATTCCCTCCGGTATTGTTTGTTTTGTGGTGTTGTTTTTCATATTTTGCTTGTTGAGGATGATGGCGGACGTTGGGTCGTACAATAAGCATTCGTCGCAAGGCGAGAGCACTTTCTTTCTGGCAGTGTGACTCAACGAACTTTGACTGTATGGTCATGGTCGAGCGGAAGGTTATGCAAAGGGACGATGAAATATCGTGAATGATTTGAATTACAACATATAATAGTATAGAAGAGAAGTATCGTTCACTCATTACTTCAGGCTCTTTCCACCACCATGTGACGGCCCAGGAACTTCAGTATAGCTGTCTTCCAAGTGGATTGCTTCCAAAACGACTTGCTCAGAATCATCTACTCGTAGATATTGCTTGCGACCCTGGATGAACCAGAACCCAATGGCGACGACCAGCATCACACCAAAGACAGCAATAGCGTAGTTCATGTCTGCACCGGATGGATTGGGTCCGCCTGGGAAGAAGAAGATGACGGTGGTGACAGCACAATAGATCACACTTATCCAGTTGATGACTGCTCCGTATCTTCCGAGACCAAATTGACCGCCGGCAGGCAATTTGTCGCGACCCACAATCAGCAGTGTCAAGATGGGCATGGCGTAAGAAACGGTGAGCGCAATCGTGGCGACACTGAGGATGGCCTCGAGAACAGTGTTTGCAAATAGGTACAGCAGACCAACAAGAGTGATGAGGAAACCCTGGACCAGCAGGGCTTGAGGAGGAACCTTCCACTTTTTGTTGACGCGCTTGATGTACTTGGAGAAGGGCAGACCGTTGTCACGAGCGAAGCTCCATGTCAAGCGGGAGCCGGTTGTGGTGATGGAAATTCCTTGACCCAAGCTGTTCATGGTGAAGAGCACCATCAAGACGACGGTGCCTTTGATACCAACGGCGTCTTGCACGAGCTGCATGAACGGAAGGCCGGTGGGTGTATTGATGACTGTATCGACGTCCTGGATGCAGAAGAGACACACGACCATGAAGATGAATCCAGTCACGGCGCCGATGACGACGGAGAGGTAGATGGCGCGAGGAGCGTTGACTTTCGGGTTAGGGAGTTCTTCGATCATGTGGACGACCTTGAAGGGGATACGTTAGTAGGTGTTTGCGTGTTGGGAGGAAGTATACATACCGAGTCAAAAGCTGTAAGTCCATAAGCTGCCTGGACAAGTCCGGTGAACCAAACCACGCCTGATGGCCATCCAGTCTCATTGATCCAGGCACCGAACGCGAATGAAGGTGGCTGGAACTCAAGTCCTTGTTTCGTACCAACGCAGATCAGAAGAACGAGACTGAAGATGATGAAAAGTGCTCCAAACTGGATGCCAACGATGTTGTTGAACCAAGGTAGAATCTTATCGTTTCGGCAGGCGACAAGATTGAAACCTGTAAACAAGCTTGCAATGCCGAAGTAGACCAGGAACTCGACCCAGCCTGTCCCTGCTCCAGCCCATTCTGGATCGTACATGAGCTTGATGCCGAGTAAGAAGTTGGTTGCAAATGCCACAAGCGAAGCATTGAGTGTCCACCATCCGAAGACGTTGACCCAGGCACAAATATAGCTAGCAAATCTGCCTGTAGGTGTGTGCCAGAGCGAGTGCATCCAGAAGGCCTGTCCCAGGGCAGTAGGCATAGCACTGCATAGCTCTCCAAGTGAAAGAGCAACGCATAGATTGCATATGAAAACCAGAACAAGGCCCCATAGAATGGTAATTGCTCCGCCGTTGGTCAAGCCCGATGACAGGTCTTGAGCAAATGTACCCCAAGTTCCAAGAATCGAGAAGCAAAGAGCGAACATACTCCATGGCGAGAACTTTCTGGTCAATTCCTCGGTGTGGCCTAGAGCGACCATATCACGGGCGTCTTCATAGCTTTGTCTTCCGACGTCAATGGGTTTGGAGTCCATGACTCCGTCTCCGTGAAACGTTGGGCCGCTCATCAATGATGGTTGAGTTGTAGGTCAAAAGAAGATGATGATGTTGTCAAAGTCCACACGTCGAGCAGAGGGCGAAGTCCGCAAGTGTTATATTCAGGCCATGATGCAAAAGATAGGCGTTACTGCAGTACATGCCGTCTATCCATATGCGTCCCTAAACCAAAAGTGATAAGAAGGGATGTTCAATCTCATGACCAATTCTGGGGCGTAATTCTTTTTCCCCGCTTCTCGAGTGAACTTTAGTTGAAGAGACATTCCGGCAATAGCCAATCTGATGAGCAGAAAACACAGCCTAGATCCATGGCAGCTTGGTGTAAACGGCCACGGACCAAGGATGTGAAAAGCGCGCGACTCGATTCGGAAGGTTCATGCGGATAGTGTCAAACCCCAGTGACTTTCCGTGTCGTCTTCGTGCTTGTCAGAGGAGTTGCGTCCTGCTGTGTGAGCGCCAACGGCATGGGCGCAATTCAGAGATAGACCAAAAGGGAAAGACCACACGATGGTATCTCGTCCGTCTGCTATCGTCCCTGATGATGTTTGTGTTATTGGATGAGAAAATCCGTCTGTCCAGGCTTCAGGATGATTGCTTATCAGATAGCTGACGACCATCGTACTCAACAGTAAACAACATCTCTTGAAGATACCTAATGGGTCTTATCGGTGCGGAACAGGTGAAGTAGGTACACTTGACCAACGCGGCTCAACTTTGTGCGTGTGGTCGTGAGAGGATAGATGGTGATTTTCGGGTGGAGAGATGGCTGGTGAACAAAATGTCCGTGCTTGTCGTTGCCGTCATGGTTCAAGACGCAACTTCTCTGTTGAAAACGATCATTTTCTTCGACTTCTGACTCTCCATTCGAGAACATCTCCAGTATCACTTCCAGTTCGTCCGTCGAAGGGTTGGGGGGTTCTATCACTTCTAATCTCGTCGACATACACGCAAAGAAAGCCATGCATCAACGTCAACTTGTCAACCACTAAACCATATCGATGATTGTGCATCGAAAATGCATAGGCCTTGGATGCGGGTTGAATCCAGGAAGTATTCAACTGACACCGGTTGTACAGCGCATTGGCATGTTATCTGATGAGAGCATGAACTCATGTCAACATGACCAAGGCAGACAAAGCCTAGAGACCTCCCTCGATACCTCGGTAGGTGCTCTGTTCTTTGTGCGTCCGACATGACTGTCTCGGGCTAGGGGCATAAAGAGAGGTCTCCTTCTATACCGGTAGAAGATCTCATTCAACCGGCTTTATAATGAGAAGTAGCTGCCGACTTCAACCGATATGCACCTTCCTCGGCTTCAAAAGGACGGAAACCTGCCATATGACTGCACAGCCCCTGAAGCTATGCATTGAACCTGCCGACAAACTTTGCCTTCGAGGTTCGAATCTCGTCTTTTGCTAGGGTTTTGGTCTCCCTCTTGTCCTTGCCCTGCCATACTACGGAGAAATCAGATATCCCGCATGCACTACCCCGCCTTGGGGCCCCACAGAGTGCAGACCATACTTGCGGAGAAATCATTCATCCAACACCTGCATGAAGAAGACACACCTGATGTGCGTTCCACTGAGAGTATCAAAGGGTAATTCGAAGTGGTATTTGCATCCATGCAGCATACCAGGATCCTCCGGTGGGAGACAGTGCCTGGACCATATGCCATAGTGCCATGCATAAGGCAGCAGACTATATATAAAGGCAGTAGGTGTCTATGTTTCATCGCAGCAGATCAGCAATATCTACCACGCGAAAAATCTTTCAGATGTATGCTTTGATCACCAAGATCGGCGCCCTGGCTGTGGCCTCTTTGGCTACCCAAGCAGTTGCCGTTCCTTCAAACAGCAAGCCCGATCCTTTCTCGAATGCTTCATGGCCTCTGCCCCACAACATCAGTGGTGTTTCGAATCCTGGAGCCAACGAAAGCTATCAAGGATGGGGCGGCGTTCATCTCCATGATCCGTCCATCGTCATGGGCCCCGATGGCCACTTCTACTCATTCTCAACTCATGGCTTGGTCGTCATTAGCAGGGCTTCCCAGCCGAACTCGCTAGATGGCTATTGGGAGCCCATTGGCTCGGTGCTGGGGGGCTCTAGCATCATCAACAATACTGGAAACACTGATCCATGGTACAGTTCATTAGACAATTGGAAGTGATGTCTGAAAGCTAATATGGTCAACACAGGGCCCCTGATGTGCACAAGGTCGGCGATACCTACTACTGCTACTACGCTGTCTCGCAATTCGGCAGCCAGTTCTCCAGCATCGGCCTTGCGACCTCAAAGACACTCAGGCCTGGCAGCTGGGTCGACCACGGTGCCGTACTTACCTCCAACACTACCGCCCCCTCGCCTTTGAACATCACCAACGCCATCGATGCAAACCTCTTCATCGATCCCAAGACCAAGATCCCTTACCTCACATATGGCAGTTTCTGGAGTGATATTTGGCAATTCCAACTGGCCAAGGATCTTCTCAGTGTAGTGTGGACCCCTGCACCAGTGCAATTGAGTTTGGATCCTGTTAGCCCCCAGGCAGAAGAGGGAGCGTACCTGAGCCGTCACGACAGCTGGTACTACCTCTGGTACAGCCACGGTTCATGCTGCGGCTACAACGTCTCTGCTCTCCCTGCTCCCGGTCAAGAGTAAGTTTCCTCCCCCTTTCGCATCTCTCTACATCCCAATTTGACTTTGTCCAGATACTCCATCCGCGTCGGCCGCTCCCGCTCAGCCACCGGACCCTTCGTCGACCGCAACGGTGTTGACCTCAGAAACGGCGGCGGCTATATCATCTACGGCAGCCACGATTACGTCTACGGCCCTGGAGGCCAAGCTGTGCTCACAAACTACCACGGTCGCGATGTGCTTTACTACCACTACGTCAACACTATCCAGAACCCTACCTATGTTGACGAACTCAAGTTGCTGGGCTGGAACTACATCAATTACATCCAGGGCTGGCCTGTTCTGTCCTACGACTAGAAAGCATGGCTTGCAGAGAAGATCAGATGCGGGTTATGAAGAAAACAAGAATCTTGCACTGGCTTGACGCGAAACGGGAAACCAGCACAATACAATCATGAGCTGACAAAATCATCATATTTCCAAACACAGTCACTAATCTTGTAAAAGAACAAAGCTCAGTGCAATTATCTAAGCATTTCAATTGATTGCCAATAGTTCTGCAAGCTTTATGCGTCCTCTCTTGCGTCTTCCTCATGCATGTCCATTCTGTTCGCATGAGTATCTTCTAGAAACCTCAAGATAGCTGCCTCGCCTTCGACTTGTCTGTGCAGACCACCTGATTCTCTAAAACAGATGGTGCGCTTCAATACTCCAGTCAAGATCAAATTATCACCATTTGCGTCTGTCAGGTTGGCGTTGAGTTGCTCGGTCGGTGATGGAATGACTTCGACAGCAACGCCGAGTTTGGTGAGATGTGATGTTACAGCAGTGTCTGTGGACTCGTCGCTAGACAGAAACAACATGGGCTTTTCTTCCTCGGGTAGCTCTGATTTAAGGTGCAGGACATCGAAGCCTAGGCCATAGACTGCATTCCAATCGGGTGCTGTACCCTGGTTCTCGAAGCCAAAGGCGTTGATCAGTCTCTGACTCTCCTCAGGGTGGCCATTGATGGTTTGTCTTGCTTGCGATTTGTTCTTGCCGACAGCACCTTGACCCCAGATCAATCTCGAGTCGGCCGAGAGGAATGTACCAATATGACGGAAGGTGATGGAGATGCGCATGTTGCCATAAGCGGACTCTGCAGGGACGCGCTCAACAGCTGGGCGCTTATCTGGCATGATACCATGAAGCCAAGATCCATTCGTGTCCAGACCCATGACGAACATGCTGTTGTGGGGCATAGGGATACGTTGTGTAACGCGAGCGCGGTCGTATTCTCGTTTGATCTGCGTATCGGTTGCTGCACTTGCATCGATAGATCTCTGTTGCTTATCGGGACTTGAACCTGATCCTTCGAATGTTGTGGGACGCTTCGTGCGGAGCCTCATGGTACGTTGAGCACCAAGCGAAACATTGACGATGTTGCTTCCTGGCACGACATCCAGAGTCTTGTCAGAGTGCTCAGAGATGTGATCCTGACCACTCCTGTACAGCTGTATCAAAGCATGATTCAGTTTATGTCCGACTCTTTCTTCAGCTCTTTCTTTGATCTTTGAGACGACCGGACTCCAGTGCAGCAGAGATAAAGATTGGTCTGAGGGGTGTCGGTACACAGGCATGCTGCCATCCGCATCGTCGATATCGCCTTGGCAGCAGACAAGTCGTGGCACCTCGCCAGCGGCATGGTACATGCGCTGCCAGTAGACTTCGGAGAACAGCTCCTGAAAAGCTATCTTGGAGGTCTCGGAGTCCAGCAAATCGTAGACTATCCTTGAATCGCCGCTTCCGATCTTGTCGCTCGGACTGAGCAGGGTTGAGTTCTTCTGTCGCATCTGTAGCTTGCGAGAGACCCGGGCGGGTTGTGCGGCAGCGGGTCTTGCTGCTTCACTAGATCTCGTGTCGACCATAATCCTTCCGGGTGCGCTGAGTTGATGCAGAATGGAGTCTGCTTCGAGCTGGTTGCCGGCATAAGACATGGTTGACTGTGAGTCAAGCGCCACGTGAGGCTCCGACAATGGCTTGTACCGTGTAGCGTCGGCGCTCCTGTCGTGTATCACGCGCGGCTCCGACTGGATGCTTCGGTCCTGCGTGTCATCATCGTGTCGTCGGCCTCCAGCATACCCTGCGCTTGTGTGTAGTCGATGGCTTGTAGCGTCTGGAAGTTGAGGGCTTGTAGATTTTGCATGCTTAGAGGAAGCGTGTCCTGTGTTGCCTGCTACACCGAGTTGGTCATCACTCAACTTCATACCATTCAAGTGGCGTTCAAGGTCGCTAGGAGAAGAAGGTTCACGTACGCTTCCTTGATCTTCCATGTCCACGTCGGACTGACCAGTCCCGGTTTCGTTGCTAGATTCATCTGTGTTCGTCTCTCCTCTCAGTCTCGATAAGACCGACGCTGATGATGTGACTGATGCTCCCATGATATCGACAAGCTGCTGGACTGCTCGATCGTGTCGGTCCTTGAGTCTGTAGTTGAGGCAGTCTTCGACAAGGTTGATCGAAAGACCGTGTTGTGCGGCATCCAAGGCTGTGGCGTAGACGGAGAGGTTTGTGGTACAACCAACGACGTAGACTTCAGTGATGAGCTTCGCGCGTAGCATCAACAGCAAGGAGGAGGAGGTGAAAGCTGAGTAGTATGACTTGACGATCTTGACATCCCTAGGCGACACTAGCTCCTTGACCTCCGGAGATAGCTCAGCGCCCCAACTTCCTGGCAAGCAGCAGTTGTCTTCGAGCTTGTCCTGGGAGAGGAAGAGGTCCTGATCGACACCCGAGGGCGATGACGAATCTGCTTCGAGTTCTGCTGCTCTGTTCATGGTCCGCTGAACGAGTTGGTTGATGCGACGATTCGACCGCATCGAAGGACGGGAGGAGTAGTTCGTCATCTCATCGTCGCTGCTGACTACAGGTAGCACAAAGCCATCATCTGCAATCACCATACAGCCAGAGCCTGATGCGTTGTTAACTGAGCGCTTTCCACGATACTCGGTCGTGATCCAGAAGATCTCTCCATGCTCGCGAAAGGCAGGGACCAGTTCCTTGATCCTTTCAAGGTACCCTGTGGCGGTATTGACAGGTAGCTTGCCATCGGGTGATGTAAAATCGTTTTGCAGACCAACGACTAGCAGTGCTTGGCGGGTGGATATCTGATTTTGGCTGCCCGAAAGGAGCGCCGACAGAAAGGACATGGTCGTAAAGTCGATTCAAACTTGAAAGAGGGTAGAAAGAGAGAGTTGGAACAGTCAAAATAGGCAGCGTGGACACAGGTAAGGTTTTGGTGTGACGGAAGAAGGTTCGTTTGCTTGTCTGTGCTGTAGTGGGGAAAGAAGGATAGAAGTAGAGTATGTAGGGACAGACAGGAGGCAGTCGCAAGGGACGAGTGGCTCAACGAGTGGTAGGGCAGATAATAAAACGCAGCACCGTCCGAACGAGCGACCCAGAGGACCGGAACCTCAAATCAGTCCATCCTAGTCACAATATCTGTGTACGCCGCGATTTGATTTGAACAAAGGGTCTGGGCACGGCAAGAGTCCATTAGAGTAGACGACAAGGCGCAAGTAACAGACGATGACTGCATGCAGGAGCGATGAGGCTGAAAGAAAGTTGGTATTCATGTGTTTGAAGATCAAGGACACAAGAGACCATGTTCAGGCACAGGACAGCTCGGTGGATGGGATAAACGCGGTGTCCGTGCACAGGCCGAGAGGCATGCGGCCGATCTCAAATCATCGTCGGGCGAAGCCGAGGGGAATTTATGATGCACCGCAAAGAGCTTGTTATTATTGTTATGGTACATGTGTAGAGACATTCTTCTTAGACGCGGTGCCGCTCTACCATCGCTTGTCGATACAAGCGCTCGTGAAGCAATAGATCTTCCTGGATCTGCAGCCCTGTCGGGAGTACTCGCGAGGCTGTGGTGCTATTGGATGTGCTTAACGAAGCTGCCGTTCCGAACGGGACCAGGGCACAATTGCACAAACTGCCGCTTGTCAAACAAGGGTCTTGTCATGCGAAGATTTGTCGCGCCACAATTACAGATCCAGGCAGAGGCTCGAATGCCTCGACAAGTCTGTGTCTAGAACAGCTGTCTAGACCTTTCATTTTCGTCAAACATAGGAGCTCTACCTTCGAGGAACATGAAATTGCTACTGTACAGAGAGAACTGCATGCAGCATGTACAGTGCAATGCAGAAATTTGGAAACAGAACGCGCTCGGGCTTGCCGAACACAACCTCATCACTGCAGCCACAGCGTGCATCAGAATGCCTGCACCAATCAACCTGTGGTTGAGGCACTCTTGCGCTTCCATCGCAACACATGAAACGGCCGCGTCTGAGCCGGTCGCGTGTTCGTCGTTTGTTCCACGGCCAATGGCAGACGGCAGGAGCTGTTTTCTGGAGAAGAGCGGAGAAACATTCGAGAAGGCCCACCGTTTGTCGCTTCCGGTCCGAAAAATGTGTCATGCTTCACAAGTTCACATGCATGTCGCTGGGTTCGCAGGCTCGTTACATACCGACCTCCAGTTTACTCCTTGCCTTTGGGCATCAATCAGTGTGCGAAACAGGCAGCACCGAGCGAGTACGTGAATTCTGTAACAGATGACCGAGGTAGGGAGACGACACTCGGACGTAAAACAAGTGCTGCAGGATCGCTTTCTCAGATGACTCGGCATGCACACGTCCTTCATCAATTCGTGCATAGAACAAATCCGTCCGAGTGACGTTCCTTTTCTGCAGGGAAGAGAACGATCGATTTAGTGTCTGGCCAACTTGGCCACGAGGTTTTGTGGCGACCACGTGGAATTGAGTAGTGTCAATCTATCCTTTCGCCGAGCGGCCCATCTAATTTGTAAAACAACCCCTGGTTCGGACGGACGGGGCTTGGTCTCCTCCAATTCTGACCAACAATGTGGCGGGCATTCATAGTCAGAATTTTACTACGCATCTCATGGCTTAGGGCAGCATGTCGAAAACCGTTCACCTTCACGCCTCTTCCGTGTTCTCCTTCAACAAGCATGTTCCTCTGTCACCGCAAAAGCTGGTGTATGAATGCATGATTGTACGTCATGGTCTAGCTCTGAAGCGGCCGACTTGACGATTTTCCCAAAAGGGATGTCCGTACAGGATACCCGCGTGGCATAATGTTCGAGTTGAGGTCTGTCTGAATTGCCGATGATGATATTAGTGCCGGAGAAGGCGCCGGACGATGTGGGAATATTGATATGGGAAGATCCCTTCCAATATCGCCTCACTTGGCAAAGAAATTGGTGATCTTTTGAGAGCCATCCTTGGCTTTTGGCGGCGACTTAGCTTGTGTGTTGTTGGTAACGGCACTTCTCATAGTACGACCGTGGCCAGAGCGACTGGTGGATGCTTGATCTGGCTCTGCTTTCTGGACTTTCTGTGGTGGTTCCTGATCATTGAAGCCATCTGGCGAGTGCTCACGTTTGATCGCAGTCGATTCATGCTTGTCCGATGTCTCTGTGAGTTCGGGAAGAGGAGCATTGTCTTCAGTGCTTTGAGGGTCTAGAACGGTGGAACGGTCTTCATCGGGTTCTCGTTTGACTTGATCCCCATGTGATTGAAGGTCCTCTTCCTGGTTTTTCACTATTTTCTCCTCGTTTTCACTTTTAGCCTGCTTTCTCTGGTTGCCGAAGAAGTTGGCAATGTTGCTTTTGTTCTCTTTGCTGTCAATTGGGATGATGAAGGACGGAGAGTTGTTGCCAACTTTGCCAACAGCTTTGTCAACAGGGTAGCACTCAAGCTCACCGTCGTATGGCTTGAGAAGTGATTGGAGTTCCTTGGACCACTCCGAGCGAGCAGGATCGAGCCAGGTCTTGACAGCTTCGGAACCATTGTTGAAGATGACAGGCATGCGGTCATGCAGGAACTTGAGTTGGGTATTGGAGTCAGTGGTGATGACGGTGTATGTGTAAAGTTTGTCGGACTGGCCCTCATATTGGACACAGTCCCAGAGACCGGCGAAGCACATGAGTTGACCGTCCTTTCTCTTTACGAAATGCGGAATACGATCACGGCCGTTGTTCTTCTTCAACCATTCGTAGAAGCCTTCGCAGACGATGATGCATCTCTTGCGCTGCTTCATAGTGTTCCACAAACCGCCTGAAGTGGACAAGGAATCGTCGCGGCAGTTGATGGTGCGCATCATGTTGCCATAGTCGGGCTGTCTCTTTGTCCAGAATGGAATCAGGCCCCACTTCATGGCCTGCAGCTTGTATCGGGTTTCTTTTGTGGCAGCTCCATCGACAGTGTCAGTCTTGTCTTTATCTTGTGGTTGAGATGCGGCGCCCGAGTCCGGAACATCGGCACGGTAAACTAGGCCATGATTGCCAGGAGCGAAGTTATAAGTCTGGCGAACAGTATTATCGTCATCGTCGGGAGCCTCATCAGCAGGCATGTTTTCTTGTTGCAATCTTCGGCGAGCTGCCGAAGGGCGCAGAGACATTGCATATCTGCCACACATGATGATTCGATGTTTCTTCTTTGGTTGGAGAGTTTGTGATGGGAAACGATGCAATGGCGATGGCAATGGCAATTGAAGGCGAAGTGGAAGACGCGCACGACCGCGTTGATGACGTCTTCGGAACGTGAAACACTTTGTCGAATTGAAGATGCGGCAGCTTCGCGCTTGGAGCTCGCATTTCTCTACAGCACGCACAATGTTATCACGACCAGCAGCAAGTGCCTTGAAGGCTACTCCAATCTTCCGAGCAGGTGCCAGACGATGTGTCTCGTCGCTTGGACACGCCAGAACTCGACCTCACATCACCTTCAATGCCCGGACATCACACCGATGGCAGCAATCTCGCGGTAAAGCTTCCTTTACTCGAGGTGCTAAAGAGCTTTGGGCCGCCCATCCGTATCTCGTCTCATTAGCAGGCGCCGCCATCCTCGCCGGCTCTGCCGGTATAGCCTACGCCAACTATCTTTATTCGACCTACATTATCGCCTCGTTCCACAACTACCCAGAGCCTGTTGCACAAAAACTGCGGAGGGCCATCTACTATACGAACATCGACCTCGACGCGAAAAATGCCCTCAAGTACTACAAGCAGGGTCTTGAGATCGCCAATGAGCTCGGCATGGATCCCTTCTCCAACGAGATCATTGGCGTCAAGATTCAGGTTTCTGCTCTCATGGAGAAGATCCAGAACTACCCCAAGGCCATTCAAGTCCTCGAGATCCTGAGAAACGACTGCCTGGCTTGGGAGGAGAAGTTCGGCCAGCTTGACGATCACAAGGAGAAGCGCACGCGCATCATGAAGCAGCTCGTTGCCATGTCCGTCAAGCTCGGCGACCTTTACTCCAACCAATATATCCAAGACGCCAAGTCCGCCGAAGAGAGACTGGTTTGGGCTCTGGAAACATCGCTGCGCGAGAAGCAACGTAGACAAGAGCCTGGAGTTTTGGAAAAGGAGGGTGAGTGGATGTCAGACAACGAGATGGGCGCATCCATGGAGGCCCTCGCACACAACTACGAAGAGCAAAACAAGCACTATTTGGCTACACCTCTCTTCCTCCAGGCTTTGAACTTCAAGTCTGACAAAGATTGTCACTCGGTCATCCTGATGAATAATCTTGCCATCTCAATCGCTCAGCAGAACCCTCCTCCAAATTCAGAGACAAAATCTCCATCACAGGCTGTTCTATTAAAGAATGCCAAACAGTGGGCTCAAAAAGCTCTCGATCTTGCTGCCGACATTGAGCCACCCACTCGCGATGAGGAGTGCGACGTAGGTTGTGCTGTCGCATTGCATAACCTTGGTATGTATCACGCCTGAAAGCTTCATGAGACCAACGCTAACAATATTTATAGGTGAGTTCGCCGAGTTGAACAAAGACATCATGGAGGCGAAGAAGCGCTACAAGGAAGCAGTCAGCCTTGCGAGAGCCATTGGCTTCGAGGATGGCCTCGAGAACAGTTCCGCTGCTCTCAGACGACTGTCGTAGATTCATGCTTATTCGCGCTCTTACACTCCACTTCGATACCCTGCGTTGCGAGAATATGAAGAAAAATAAACCATTGTACATATACTTCGAAGTCATGATGCTGGGTAGGGCCATGAATCGTTTACATCTAACAGCGAATACTGTTCTCTTCTTGCATTACATCCCCTGTCATCGTACACTTCCTCAAAGCTTTGCGTATCTGGGCTTCGTCTTCTGTATGCCAGCTGTCAACGAGTCGGTGACATCTGCAGTATTGCAGTATGCCGCATTCCAGACTGACACATATCTCAGACCTAGGAACATGAATGTCAGTCGCCGTTTATCTTGATAACCGTCCATAAAACTTACCATCCTGCACCGAGTGATCCCTTGAGAAGTTCAAGACTTCCTTCGTACCCATGATAGCTACCGGGCTCTTGCTAGCAATCAACTCTGCCTTCTCGACCGCTTTGCTCAGAGCCTCGGCCTTTGTGTCGTAGATTGCAGAAACAATACCCACTGCCAAAGCCTCCTTGGCAGAGAATATCCTGGCTGTCAAGGCGACGTCTTTGATGAATGACATGGGGATGTTAGCTTTCGGTAGACGAGTAAGAGTGCCAATGTCTGCTGCGAGACCGATGTCGACCTCCTTGACTGCGAAGCGGGTGGTGGAGACACAGATGCGGATGTCAGCGCAGAGAGTCATATCTAGTGCAAGGCCGAAGGATACTCCATGTAGCACTGCTATCACGGCTGTTTGATCATTGTCAGAAATGTCCTCAGACGCAAAAGTAGCAGTGGCGACTTACGCTTCTCGCATTTCTCGATTTGACTGATGCTTGCTTGAAATTCATCGATATGGTGGCGTAGACGCTGTGCTACTCTTGCAGCATCAAGTCCATCGTTCCCTGACAAGACCCCGGTTTCTGATGCTGATTGCACATCCAGACCTGCTGAGAAGGCTCTGTCGCCTGCGCTGGTCAAGACCACGCAGCGGACGTCCTGGTCATGCGATAGACGTTCGAAGATCTGACCGATGCCCTTCCACATTCTGTGATACTGTTAGCCTTCGGATCATATCGGCCGTAGTGACATGCGCTTGATAGTCGACGAGCAGTATGATAAATGACTCGTGCAAGAGAAGTGATAGTCAGGACGAGGTTCTTACGTACGTTTCATTGAAGGCATTCATCTTCTGAGGCCTGTTGATCTCGACCTGCGCGACATATTCCCTAGGGAATGTAACGTTGAAGTACTCGTAATTGTATGTTGATGCCATTATTGCGGGCTGTAAGATGTAGGTATGATCCAGGGTCGTTAAATGGAGAAAACAGAAAGGGCGAAGAAGCAAGAGAGAGATATGCCACCTTTCCTCCGAGCAGTCCCACACCTTGGCTTAAGTATCGTCCACTGTTGTCCTTTACCAAGACTTTTATTCGGGCGGTTCACTTCGCGTACCTGGTGGTTGGAATATCGAGTGCATCATACGGCCGCAAAGGAGGAGCTTTGGTGGTGCCGAGAGATGCCGAGGTTCGTTGCAAGTCCGTTCATGCACCTTCGTTTCTTGACACCTTGAAGCCATGCAATTCTGGAGATATGGAGAGATGTTCATGGCATCGACCATCATTGCTCTGAAGAACTCGGTCGCCGAGATTCGAGGTATAGCTCCCTATGTATAGCAAGAGTGGGTTGCTGTATGAGTAGGTGGCGGGTTTAGAGCTATCCGATCCACATGCAAGACCGTTGCGGACCGCAGAATCAGGGTCGACTGCCACCCGAAGTTGGCGTTCATGAGATAGGAAATCCCATACTCGGAGTAGCTCAGCATGCAACGGCATTACTATGGTCGTTGTTCGGTGAAGCGAAGGCGTTGAGAAGACCGGACCTCGTCATGCTACAAAAGCGCGCTTGCATCTCGAGTAATAAGGCTCTAGTAACACAAGAACAAGTGCTACTTCGGCCACGTTATCTACCTGAGTGCTCCTCGCCTCTAACTTACCACTTTGCTGTCGGACAGCGCAAGATGCCACCGTGTGGGCGCGGTGCGATGGAGTCGTTCGTCTGTCCTGATGCCTCCCGACTTTCTGCCATGAAATGTTTCACGAACAAGGACTCGAAAGATCAGACATGTCCCCGGTACCGCGACGAGATTCGGATACCTACTATACTGTACACTCCCTCGCTGCTACGTTTCTAGATCCCCTCATCGCCGCTCCCGAAGATCCTCTCATGGTCTTAGTTTGATGTGGGAAGGCTTCAAAGAGGACGATACACGATGACATGGCAGCAATTTTGCGGCAAGAACTGGATGACACGGAACAATTTAATCTGAAGAAAATAGGCATCGACACTGACCCGTCCTGACTGGAAAATCTCAAGGATGTCTTCTGGGTGATCGAGCAGTTCGCTGTCTCAGTTTCATGCTGAAACAAGGTACGCGTGCCTTCCCCAATGTCGATCACTCGTGGGGTCGTTACGAACTTCAGCCTTGCCGCAGTGGCCAAACCATCTTCACAACACATAGTTGAAGATATAGACATGCTGCGTTGGATCAAGAGGTTCAACGGATACTGCTTATTGAGAATGCGCCAAAAGACTAGTCGCTGAGACGTAGATGCCAAACATCCTTGAGTCAATCACCAGATCTGTGATACAGGATTGAGGACGGGAGATCCGCTCCAGGATGTCCTGTCATGTTTTCTCACACATCCTGCCGGCCTTGGACACATCATCGCATCCGGGTGCTGTGTTCCTGGCGATCTTTGCCCATTGGAAACTCGGGTCGTGCACATGCACACAGCCGCCTTCATGGGTCTCCTCGTCAGCGGTCTTTGATACGGGCACTGGCAGGCTTCCATCGAGTGGGACTCCTCGTGTTTGGTAATCAGCAATCGTATTCTGAGAAAAGCTTCCACATGAAGAGCAGTATTAAAGAGGCAAGTACGTATGACCTTACAGAACTCAGAAGCCCTTGTGTCTCTCGCTTTATTCCTTCATTTAGATCAACTCCTCACCATCCTACTTTCTTTTCGAGGCTCATTCTTTCACAATCATCTATTTTCACTCACTCGTTCTCGGGGCTGTTGGCACACCTCTGAATATAGCCACTGAAGAACACGCAACATGTTCAAGCTTCACACAGCGACAGTCACCGGACTGCTCGCTGCAAAGGCCATTGCTGGTGGTCTCAATGTGCCTTTGCCAGAAAATAACGTATTCGACTACATCGTGGTCGGCGGAGGTCCGGCAGGTCTCACAGTTGCGAATCGACTCAGCGAGAACGCCAACGTACAAGTCCTGCTACTCGAATCCGGAGATGCCGACAACTACCCAGAGAGCATCATGATCCCATACTACCAGGGTGCAGCTGGATCTGTCAATGGCAAATGTGGTGGATTTAACTGGTACGTATCAGTCTGCATAAAAGCGGCGAGGCACGTCACTGACGAAAAAACAGGTGTGATCAAACTGTTGCACAAACCTATCTCGATGGCGGTAGCAGAACTATACCGCAGGGCAAGGGTCTAGGAGGTGGTACCCTAATCAACGCTATGCTGTGGAATCGTGGCGACCGGGAAGATTATGACATCTGGTCTCAACTCGGAAACGATGGATGGGATTATGATTCACTTCTTGAGTTCTTCCAAAGAGTAAGTCCTACACGGCAGCGAACGGGACTTTGCATACTGATGATGACCAGAGCGAGACATTCAACCAGCAACCTTCTGATGAGATCGCAACAACATATGGTATGGGATATGATGCTTCCCAACATGGCGAGACTGGTCCACAGAATGTTTCCTTTCCTGCATTCCAATATCCCGCCAGCCAGCATTTCTTCGCTGCACTGAACCGCTTGGGCGTACCGACCCAGCCTGACCCTGCCGCACCTACCGAAAAAGGAGCCATGTACCTGCCTCAAGGTATCTCCATGACGAACCAGTCTCGCGCAGATGCACGTCGTGCACGCTGGGACCCAGTTGCTGGTCGTGAGAACTTCTACGTCTCCACTGGTCAACATGTACGCCGCATCCTGTTCGATGGTGGGTGTGGTGCCCCTGGGGATGACGGAGCTCGCGCTGTTGGAGTCGAAGTGTCTGCGGGAGCCAACGGCAGAGTCTGGACAGCTGTGGCTGCTCGCGAGGTGATCCTGGCCGCCGGCGCTATCCGTACTCCTCAGCTTCTCGAACTGTCTGGCATCGGCGATACTAACATCCTTGCCCAAGCCGGAGTCAAGAGCCGTGTCAGTCTCCCTGGAGTCGGAAACAACCTCCAGGATCATATGCTTATGCACATGACGCAAGGCTTCAACAATCAAAGCTATGTCTACCCCAATATTATGCAAAACTCGACCATCAACGACTGGGCGAGATCAGTGTACTACAAGAACCGCACTGGACCCTACACTTTTGGACCTCCGGATGGTAACGGCTTCTTTTCTTTGCCGCAGATCTCAAACCGCGCGCAGGAGATTGCTCAGAACGCGTCATCGTTCTCCGACGAGCAATACCTGGCTGACGGACTTGACAATAGTGTGATTCGTGGCTATGCCCGTCAACGTGCTCTTCTCATTCCTGCCTTGAACAACAGCCGTCGCGCAGTCATCGAATTCTTGCAGGACAACGCCGGTAACACACAGATCTCAAACCAGCGTCCCTTTACTCGCGGCAATGTCCATATCAAGACAACCGACGCATTTACCTACCCTAACCTTGACTTCCGATATGGTAGCAACCCCATTGACATGGCAGTCATGATGGACTCACTGCGCTTCAACGACGAGCTGTTCCAACAGCCGGAGCTTCAAATCCTCCAGCCAGTGCAAAAAGACCCACCGCACGCCGCCACTGATGCACAGTTGCAAGAGTTCTTGAATCGCGCTTTGGGTACGGAATTTCACCCTTCTTGTACAGCCGCAATGATGCCCAGAGATGATGGAGGTGTTGTCGACTCTAATCTGCTCGTTTACGGCACCCAGAACGTCCGTGTAGTGGATACCAGCATCTTCCCGATCGTCCCTGCCGCTCATCTTGAGTCTGTCATCTACGCTGTTGCAGAGAAGGCTGCAGACCTGATCAAGAAGTCTGGCAGAACTGGCAGTGTTCCGTACCTGCCTCTTGATCAAACACAGTGTACCACTGCAGCAACTGGTAATGCTAAGCGCGCTGTGAAAGTCAGCCAGGATCAAGCAGAGTGCATCTCGTCTCAAACCGATTCAGCGTCGACCTCATACTCGACCTCGTCCTCGGCATACTCTAGCTCCAACGGCTCCAACTACAACAGTACTACTTCGTACAATAGTTCATCGAGCATTCCTGATTACACAGGTTCGTCGGGACCATCAGATGGCCTTATCGGTATCGTCGGTGGTTACCCTGCTGTCGGATACCCCAACTACAATCCAGGAAACACCAAAGGCTTCGACCTCCTGGCACATGATCGTCCAGCTTCGATTGGTCTTCCTGTCGGCGCCGCACTCAAATGGGCAGATGCGCTAATCTTAGGCCTTGTCATCGATCCGTTGGAAGGCATCATAGGCACAGTTGACGGAATCATAGAAGGAACAGGCGAGGTGTTGCAGAATGCCACGGGCTCTGTTCTAGGCGGGGTCGGCGATATCTTGAACCACACTGCTGAGGCATCATACCATTCATCAGGTATTGCCTCTGGTATTTTGAGTGGGCTCGGAGGTAAGAACGAGCGACGCTTTGTTGCTTGATTGATTATACTTTCGACCCATCTTGTAAATATAAAGCTTCATAATGACATTTCTTACTTCTCGTCAAAAAAATACTCAAAAGCAATTAGTGACAAATACGATAATCAGCATTGCCGGTGCCTCTATGTCGCGCGACAAGAAGCAGTTTGACGGTGTCAGGTTTGCTATCGTGTTGTCACATCGGTGTCGGTGTTAAGAATGCGGCGAAGCTTGTAGAAGGTGATCGAACAGTGGCATGTCACGTGCAAACGAGGGACCAGTGAGCGATGTCATACAGATCGCCGCCGAGAAACATGTCAGAGTTAACATCTCACAATTGCTCAGACGTCTCTTCTTGCCTCATACAACACATCTCCACCAATCGTCCATCCACTCTCACCACCACCTACCACTTCACTTCACACACCACTTAACCCGCACACCACACACATCTCACACTCACAATGTCTGACTGGGACCAAGTCACCAAGATTGGCAGCAAGGCCCGTGGCGGTGCTGCCGGCCCTCGCGAGACCGTCATCAAGGGAAAGAGCGCTCTGAACGCCGCTCAGCGTAGCGGTGGTATCGTTGCCACCGAGAAGAAGTTCGCTACCGCCAACGTACGTCAAGTCCCTTCGCCTGTCCTTCTCTGGCACAAGCAGCTAACACATGACACAGGCAGCCAGCAAGGGTATCGAAGGCCAGCACTTGACCAAGGTCGACCGTAGCGAGGACATTGTCGCAACAAAGAAGGTTCCGGATGATGTCGCCAAGGCTCTCCAGCAGGCCCGCCAGCAACTCAAGAACCCCAAGGGTGCCACCATGACCCAGAAGGACCTTGCCTCCAAGGCCTCGGTCGATGTTGCTTACGTCGCCGCCCTCGAGCGCCCCGGTGCCGACTGGCCAGGTATGGACTTCGTCCAGAAGATCCAGAAGGCTGCCAATGTCCGCCTCACCGGTGCCAACGTCGGCGCCCCCATGTTCGGCCCCAAGAAGAAGTAAACCTATTCAGCACAGTAAATTTGTTTGCTTTTTGGCCCTTCCTCACCGTCACAAACAAGATGGTTGCATTACAAGCTCCAGTCACCGGCTTCAGAGTTTCGCATTTCGAGAAGAGCAGCGTCAAGGGACACCATCTTTTCCATTTTTTCTTGTTGATTCATTTCACGAGCGGGCGTTCATAATGACGAACAAGAATTCATGACGGCAAAAAATGGATTAAATCGATATACACTGGTTTAAGCTGGGAAGGTTTCGGTTCATGGCTATGGTTTATCAAGGGTTGGTTCGGTCGTCTTTTTCTTTCCGACATCAGAAGAGCATTCATCTTCCCCTTTTGGTAGCTTTATAACACAAACCCATGCAATCGAGTGTTGCGACCCAAATTCCACGTTCGATCATCATCCTGTCTGGCAGTTAGCTGTGTGTTTAGACTCTGCCTCGGCAGCTTTTCGTCGGGTTGCGATTTTCTGAAATCAGTCTTGGCTCATTCATGTGACAGTGCAGTACATGATGCAGTCCACATGCTGAACCAATAGCATAGTAGTACTTGCTGTAGCTACTCGATCGCGAGGATGTCGTTAGCTGAGAAGAAGAGTCGGCTGGCAGGCACCTCACGTGTACAGGTCGAATATATCTAACTTTAAGCTAAGATGTCTGTTGTCTTGATGCCGAGTTGAAGGATTGTCTCTGTGACGGCAGAGTAACAACCATCACGGCAAGGTAATATCGACATGCATAGTCCCGAGTCAAGCATCGTTGGTACGGATCAACAGCCGAGAGGAAGCGAATACTGGAGCTGAAGCATTAGATCCGGATGAAGACATGCCCATACAATAACGAATCGAACCTCAATCCACCCTCAGGGAATAAGAACATTTTGGAACGGCATCAACCCGTATCCGGAGCCGTCACTCGGTTGCTGCGCTTCCCGCGTCAAACTTGACTGGTTGTTGGAAAGCCTGGTCTGCAGACTACTGCACGATCGTACATTACCGAGTATTGAGAAGCTCGTGTTTCTTCTGGAAGTCCGCGCCTTTCGCTTGGTCATTTCAATATGCTGTTTTGTCAAATAGGAAACCAATGGTCCGAGACTGCGATGGTGCGAGCATAAGCTAGGCAAGGCAGGCCGTTGAACGAGAGTAATAATACATGCAGGATACTATCGTCCTTTGTTGAGCCATGATCGCAAATGCAAAGCACAATTCCCAAATTGGAAAATGGTTATGGCTCCGGTCGAGGTCAACGTGCTTGCATCTTGAGCGTAACCTGAATACATGCACGATACTGTACTTTGGTACGGAAGGAAGAGTGGTGAAGATGAATGTCTCCGTTCGGCAAGAGCAGTGAAGCTTTCGGATGTGGCCGAGGATCCGCCTTAGGGCATCATCTGTGGTTGCCTCTCCTCTCACTGCATACCCTTTCTTCCTACTAGACTCGACTCAGGAACATCTTCGAAAGACATACAAACGTATATGTGTGCTTCGTGCCATCATGTGTGATCCTTCAGGAGCGCGACGCACCTTCTGCCCTATCCGCTTGTCTTTCCGCATCAATTTTCCTGCTATTATGGATGAATCCCAATAATATTCGGCGATCCTCAACATAGTAAGGTCCAGACCTCGAGTCCAACACGCCTGCTCGCTTTTCAATTGCTTCTTGGATCAGATCGAAGATGGACCAAACGCCTCGAGACGCCCATTCATCTGGTCCCGGGCACAACCAGACCCCTGGTACCAAAGTGATAACGACATCCGTGAAAATCGGAAGATACCCCTACCAGCAGCCGCCGAATGTAGCTGCATGACTCGGCGGACGCATATGTCTTGCGTCTAGACTTAACACAGAACCCACACGAACCTGTTGAACCAGTCTCTTTCTGAGACGGACGAATTATGCCTACTCTACCGTCACCCGATGGCGTTTTTTGACTATCAGGTGATTGACCTCTATCGTTCTTTGGTGGAAACTGCCCGGAAATGCTCACCGTATACGTCAACGGCACCCACTCGCACTTGCCGAACGAACCCTATTGAAGTACAGGATAAATGTATGCCTTATCGCCTTGGCTAAGATATTGAGAGTTTACATCTGCGATGCTTGTTATGCGAACATGCAGGTTCACGGCAATGTTACCATGACGCTTCGTCTGTCCATCTTACGAGTAGATCATGCATAAAGCTGGGCCGTCCGAAAAGGCACAAATCAGAGCCCTGGAGACCAGTCGGAGGTGCCGAAGCTCCAAGCACCCCTTGAGAACCGTTCTTGGGTGATGGTTCGGCTCTCACTAGGTTTTGAAGCAGTGTTCGTCTCTGTCGATCTTGCCTTTTGCTTGAATCGCGTACGCATCTAACATTCTTTTTTGGGTGCGTAAACCTCTTCCCTACTTCGCTTCGAAACGCGCTCCAGCAGGGCTCACCCAAGCCTGGCCGCGCTACGTGGATCAACTCCGCTCGGTATGGTCATGGTGTTCGACGAGGTAAACTTAAAGATAGGGTTAGCCTCCTTCTACATCCCACCTTCTGTCCGAAAGCATTTCGAGATTGCGAACGACGACCGAGCTTTGAGAAATATTGTTGCTTGAGTTGGCCTTCACACAATGCTTCTCGCCAGCAGTGCTAGGGATGGGGCTAACCCATCTGCCAATCACATACGAACAAACCGCTTACCTGACGTTACAACAACAGGAAGAATCAAGAGAGGAACGAAAGGGAAGCGAGAGCATGGGTGTGTGTTTTGTGGAAAGGTAATCGCACTTAGAGTTCATCCCACGCTCGACTGCCACTGACTGTCTTCAGATATACAGCCGCCGAGAACACTTGAAGTGATTTTTTCCCGACAGACAGCTCTCATGTACAGTATGCTGACCCCGAATAGGCGACACCAGGGTAAACACAAGGCAGGTGCGTATGCCTGTCCTGCCGCTGGATGCGATTACACGTTCCACAGCGCTACTCTGCTTGAACGACATAGGCGTCACGAGTGGGTAGTCTGGTTTCTAGCCCCCCTCCAGCATGCCTTACTGATTTCTTTCTAGCTCATCGTTCCCTTTCCAGCTTCCCGAAGCATATTTCTTCCGGTGCCCGTCTTCGTCTCAAGCCTTCAGTCCGACCGACACGGGGTCTCCGAGTCTCAGCGATTCGCATTCAGCCCGAGCCACACCCTTAGCTTCGTCCCAGAACGGCGAAGCGACAGGCAGCGAACGGTATGGATCGTACAGCCCAACACCGTCACACGAAGCCCTTGTCTCAACATCCGAGGCTTCCGTCAATGGGCAGGAGGCACCACCGAGAGCGCAACACCTTCGAGTACCGAGCAGAAGCCCCATGAACAATACACGAAGGAAACCGACTCAACGACCCCTGCCCAGGAATGTGACCAGCTCTCCATCAGTCTTGCAAGATAACCGCTACAATGAAGAGATGGTCCTTGCACACAACTTTGCGTTCCCACCTACAGGTTACCAGCACAACTTCGTCGAGCACGGATTTAGTCCACACTCTCCCCAGACTGGCTATCGAGCCGAAGATAATCTTACAGGTCAATCATTCTACCGCCAGACACACGAGCAGAGTCAATTCGCTCCAATCTCGGAGATGTCTTCAATTGCCGCACAGGTTCCAACATGGCAAGCACCTCGTCACAGCGTCCCGACCTCTCTTGGATCCGATACCCCATTGGCGTGCTGGGTAGGCTCAAGCACGTACAATCATGATGTTACACCCACCTATGTGTATGGTCGTCATTCGTCGCACCCAACCATGTCGTCCGAATCTCATGTTCTGAATCAGCACTTCCCACAGCAAAGCATGAATCGGTTTCTACAGAACCAGACTCAGTGGCACGCCCACAATCAGCAGTACCAATATCCACCTCAGCATAGTGGCTCTTATTCAGAAGAAAGGACTCGACGGAACAGTGTATCACCACGCCATTCGACAGGCAATCTCTACCCAGGTCTAAATCCATATACGAGTACAACTAGCGGTTAAGGACAGGTAATGAGATTGCCAAGTCGGAACGGTCGAGGGAGTCACCCTGTTCTTTAATCTCTAGCAACATGTCGTTGTTGGAAGAAGCTCCCACTTCGACAATCCTGTGTCAGTCTTGACAAGCTGTTGGGGCGCTTTTCTTCTGCACTCGCTTAGCCCTTCGAAGCCCTTTGTAGCGATACAGTACTATAACGATTGATGAGGGGTCCCGCGCAAAAATAAAGCTCAAATCCAGTCCAGTCCAGTCTGGTATGTTATGAATGGAATCGATTTGGACAGAGAAAGGAAGAACAGGCATGTCACATAGATCCTGCAAGTCCTTAATCATCAAATCCGAAACCACAGTGCAATCGATCACCGCCTCCTTTTGGGTCGGGCCGCCAAGAAAGAAATTCAACGCGTTTGTGGCATCAGAAGGGGTCATGAATTTCATTCAGATTAAGCGATATCTGAGAACCTCATCATGAAGCAGATTCACTGCTGCGCTAGCGCAATATCGCAGGATGTAACACGTAAGAAAATTTTGATCCAAGGGGGGCTCAAAAGCCAAATGGCTGTGAGAACTTACAAGTGCTGCAAGCGTCATCACCACCAACCACTTCATGTTCTCCAGCCTGTTTGATACATCTCTTTCCAATCCATCAGAAAACCACGAAAAATCATCTCAGAAAAGGCTGTGCTTCATGCTTGTTTGCTGGGCTTGATGTAATCGACATGCGTAACTCCACGATGTGATGACAACGACGTCGCGTTCAGCTGGGGCTAGATCTATCTGCAGTTAGCAACGCAGGCCAGACAACTAATTGAAGAGCAGCGACGTACTCGACACTGGGAATATCAACAGGTTCTTGCAGTCGATCGCGCATACTCGCTTCGGTCTCTCTGGCAATGCGAATCTTTGCATCGAGCTCCTCGGCAATAGCCTCTCTCGCTTCCAACTTTCTAGCAAAACCTCCAACGACCTTCTTGAGGTTGCAGACGGACTTTGCAATATCGACCAGACTGCGGAGTGCGACATCCAATGCTTCCGTGACGCGAGCCTCGTTGGCTTGAGCGGCTGCCAACTCGGCACGTTGTTTGTTTCTCAGTTCTTCCATTGTGTCGAGGTCTTTGCTGGCGATGTCGACGATGATATTTTCGACGTAGCGGAGCATGGAGATTGAGGTGAGGGCAAGCCTGGCGACGCCTGGGCTGTCGATATCCGCAACGTTGTCAAGGGCTTGGAAGACGTCTTCAGTCAATGCGGTCAGCTCGTCGTGGTCGATGTCGACCGGCATGTTGATGTTCCGATGAATTTTGTGGAATATGTATGGCGTGGCTGGACCGGACTGGTGAGCTTCTCAATTGGCGACCGGCTACTTTATAGAGCAGCCTTCGTAAGGAAAGACTGAAAGTGTGTTGTCCTGTCATTGTCTTGCACACTAACAGATTGCCAGCAAACTGATATAGTGTTCATTCTGTTTGGAAGTTGGGACGCTCGCTTCCAAACATACACAAACGTTTTTCCAAGGTCTGCCCAAACAATTGATTTGGCCCTTCCGATCCAAAGGTAGGTCCTTCCAGAGTCAGGTTGATACGTAGGTTGGAAGACAGCATGTCAAAGAGTCATGATTCGAGACAAATAAGATATCACCGTTGATCAGAACAAGTGGAGGGTGTTAGAGCAACAACCTATGTGGTGGAACAATACTACACTCATTTCGTTGTGCAGTTCTTTCTATGATGTATTCATGTATATGTAAAATCGTTCTGAAACGTGTATGCTGTTGTCGGTTTGCCCGCGAATGTCTACCGCGGCATGTGTTCTTCGAAAATCTTCGTGAGCTCTTTCAGTCGTACGGGCTTGGTCAAAAACAAGTCCACGCCACTGGCGAATGCTTCTTGTTGTGCACTTGCTGATGCCATACCAGTGAGTGCGACGATTATGGCAGGGCGCAATCCTTTTGCTCTCTCGAAAGCTCTTATCTGTCGAGTTGACTCGAGACCTGTGTTGTTACAAGTGATTAGCTTAGCTCGAGATCAATTGAAGACCTGGAATATCGTGCTTACCATCCATCACTGGCATATTCAAGTCCATCAGCACAAAGTCGAATGACTTGGCTTTTAGTTTAGGTGTCTGTTGAGAAAGTATCGAATTGCCACTGTCATCAGGAAGACGAGTCGGATCAGAATTGGTCTGGAAAGTATGCAAAGCTTCGAGACCATTAGTAGCCGTGTCATATGCATGTCGCTGCTTCTTCATGAAAGTGGCCAACAAGTTCAAATTGATGTGATTGTCATCGACAAGTAATACCGATACGCCCGGTCCGGATGGCGAACTAGGCATGCGAGAGATCAATGCCCGCTTTTGAGCTTCCAGAGACTCAGCTTGTCGATTTGCGTCAATGTTGTGTTTGAAGTTGAGGTTGAAATTGAAACCGCTCTTTTCGACCATAGGGGTGGCTGGGACAACTTCTGGATTTGATGCACTGCTGTTTGCCGAGAGATTGGATGTTGCTCGACGGGCCCGCGGGCGTTGGGATGATATACTCGCTGTTCGGGATAGTGTCTGGATGGGAGTCGCCGCAAGATCAGGGCCATAAGAATTTTCACGCTCCAAACACTGCATGAGTGTCTTTGCGATCTTATTCGGAGCCAGAGGCTGAGACATGTACTCCATCACGGGGCTGATGGCGGCCATCGATCTCGAAGATTGAAGAGCATGTGCGGACATAAGATCCTTGCACAATACTATGACCGGCTTCGTGCTGGTGAGATTGGCACTCGCAGGTCTGAGAGAAAGTCGTTGTGCCAGAGCGTTGGCGTGCCTCTTCATGACAATATATAAGTCTGCTTCTTCGGGTTCAGAAGAACATAAAACAGGTGCTTTGAACCACTTCCTGCAAAGTTCAACGATGTTCGTCTCATCGGCTTCACCTTCAGGAATGATCATGTTGATTCGCTTGCTTTGCAGCATTTCAGTAACAGCAGACACTGCAGAGGATTTGCTTGACTCTGCAGACTGACTGGTGCGTGTCATGCACACCACGACAGAGAATTGAGTGCCCTCGTCCTTCTTGCTCGACACGGAAATAGTCCCGCCCATGCTGGTGATAATTTGCTTCACGATGCTGAGGCCCAAACCAGTTCCAGGTGATAAGGGATCTTCTTGGACGAAAGGAGAGAAAACACTCTGCCCAAGGAAATCGTCTGACATGCCTTTGCCACTATCAGAAACTGTGAGCAAGACCTCGACATCGTCCTCAGATGTTGGGCTGGGCAACTCTCTGGAGTCCAATCGAATCGTCACGCAGCCCCTTTCTGTATACTTCAGGCTGTTGCCCACCAGATTCAAGATGATTCGGATCCAGCCACCAGCTTGTGTTGCGAATACCCAGTCCTTGGTTGTGTCGTAATCAAGAAGAACAGTCATTGCTTCGAGCCCCTTTGCAGGATGTGCGGCGGTCAGATGTGCGGGCACGGCGCGAGTGGTCATACCACTCTTTATGGGCGACACTCTGACGAACTCATTTCCAGCAAAAGCAGTGTCCACAACTTCCTCGGCAAGAATGCTGAGATCCACAGGAGTCTGTAACGTGTCAGAGCCGCTCCGGTGTACCTCGCTCCGTATCGAAGTGACAGAAGGTCGCCGGTAGTTTGAATTCGTCAAATTGTTGATTTTGCTAAAAGATAGCAGATTGTCGAAAGTATCCAGCAGTGTTTTCCCACAAGTCTCAATGGTATTGATCAAACCTGATTGGAAAGCGTCTAGAGGCGTACCCTGGAGGCACTCAGAGCTGCCCATGATGCCGTGCAACGGAGTCCTGAAATCACGTTAGTTCCGTAAATATTGGTTGGGCTTGAATCGCAGATGACCAACCTCAATTCGTGGGAAATGCTAGATATGAAGGTCGCTTTGGCCCTATCGGCACTCTTCACATCTATTCTCGCGATCTCCGACATGATCGATTGCCCGAACGCAATCATGTAGTTGAGCTCGCTGGAAGTAGACAAGATTCGCGTCGGACTACAAGTCCAGATTATACTTCCTGCAAACCATCGGCTACGGTGCGGATCCCACATGCCCACCAGCGCTAAACTGCGAGCATCAGGGAAAAGCTCTTTGAGCATCTTTCTTTCTCGCCAGCGTTCACCTCTCCGATTCATAAATTCGGCGGTGCGAGGAGAGTCAGTCAAACCTTCATAAATGTTGTCATCCTCATCATAGCTCCAGATCTTTCCCCTAGGGTATTTGGCTAGCAATCTTTGCAAGAACCTTTCGCTGATAGATTGAGGCGGGCTAGACCCAGCGATTTGAGAGGATCTGCGCTTGTCGAAAGGCGACAATGAGCTGCCCAGAATGATGCAATGCTTCTCGTCAGAGTTACGAACACTTTCGTTCATCTTGGTCGAGTTTGAAGATGCTGCAGTAGAAGATTGGGTGAAGGATCCTGAATGATGAGTCCCATCTACAAGGCCGGCAAAAGTTCCGATTGAGGCATCCAGGAAGACAGCGCCATCGACGTCCACGGATGCTCGTATGATCTCTGCGGCTCGCTGAAATGCGGTTTTGATATCGGGGGAGATCGAATCTTCTTGTAGTTGGTTAGCGACCACTGTCTCCTCTGATGATCGTTGTGGTTCCTGTGAAAGCGTTGTTGAGGATGAATCGATGCCAGGCGTGGCAGAAGATACACCTGGCGTAGGCGTAGGTCCAGGGCGGACATCTGGAGTAGCTGTAGAGTCAAGGTCTGGACGCAGACGTTTGGAGGACGTTCTCGAAGGCCTAATATTAGACTGACCAGCGTCCCGTCGGGGTTGACCTTGTTCGAGATTGTTCCACCAATCCTTCAAACTGGCTTTTCCACCCACAAATTGTCCAAGCCCCTGGACCATATTCTGAGAACGATTGAGCTCTGCAGTTGCTCGCGTCATCTCCAATTGGCGCATTATTGTCTTTGATACATCCTTGAGAAAATCGATTTCAGCTGTGGCCAGACCTTGCTCCCTCGGCATGTCGTCTAGAACACAGAGGACGCCGATGTTATGTCCAGTAGACGAAATAATAGGTACTCCAGCGTAGAATCGTCCTGTAGGGCGTCAGCCAATGAACACGGCCTTTATGAATGCATTGTTTCAAGTCGGCCAGGTCTCAACTCCATGACAAGCATCTTATTTGCGTGCTCGGCGTCTCAGCCCCTGAGAGTCCTCAACAATACGATGATGTTGGAGGAGAAAGGCAATATGCGTCTTGTTTTACTTACCGTGTGGTACCTCAGTGACCAAAGCATGGTCCTTGAATAATACGTGCTGAGACAAGTCTGGAAACACTATAACATCTCCTTTATACTCTCTAGCGAGGAGATCTGGGGCAATGAGTAGGCCTGCAGCATACTCGCAAGGCGTCCTCCTGCGTTCAAATTTTGTAAAGCCAACCCAAAGCTTGTCCTTCTCATCATCTGCGACGTCCTTCTCCAATGAAAGAGTCCTTGTGGCTTCGGCGATGATGTATCTTCTCAGCAGTCAGTATGGCTGGTGCTCGGTGTTATCGATAGCGTCGTACTGGTATTTGCGATCGATCAAGGATATGAAGGTCCTACGGACTCCCAGACGAAACGCGGCCAACTGTGCGAAAGCAGTAAGGGCACGGTCTGGTGATGAGGTAGGTCCAGAAGAAGCGGATTCGGGATTGCTGGCTTGTATGAGGTCTTGCAAGGGTTGAAAGTATCTGGTAATCGAATTGGCGTCAATTAACATCCAGGACAAAAGATGGCACAATTGCGACAAACTAACTTGTATGCCTCGCGTTCTCTCAAGACATCGTCGTCAGACGCAGGTTGGAGCAAGGGACTAGGCATCCCGCAAGCGGAGGCCATTGCAGAAACAGGCGTCAATCAATCGCAAAAGTCGTCCGCATATGATATGATATGCTGAAGTGTTGTTCAAAGAACGATAGCAACAGAAGGAAGAGCCTGAGCCGCAACTGGCGGGGCAGCCATAGGGAAAAGAAGGTTCCAAAGCCACGACTAGACCGTCCGGACGCTTTTAGCATTTGCCACTGCATAACTTAGAGCAACGGCTACACGCACTACAAATATTCCCCTTTCCCGTTGCGCCAACTCCTCGTCGCATCATTTCACGATCCGCGCAGCGAAACAGATGGATGACAAGTGGTTGTGAGCCGCGGACGGAAGCTGTTTGAATGGCGCGACGAGTGGGTAACCCCAGAGTAACAAGGGCTGCAGCGCAAACCCGAGACATGGTATTCCTCGTCGGGTCGAGCTCCTAACTCCGTGAAGTCGTCTGGAGACTGCTGTTTCACGCGCTCGACCGTTTGATCTCTGGATTTACCGGCATGATTGGAAAAATCGATACTCTGACCTTAGACGACCTGGTCATGTAGTCGTTCTAAAAACAGTAAGCTGTTGCTCGGGACATGAGATATTGATTATCCATAGAACTGTGGATACATGCACGAACGTCCTTGCGTGCTTTAGTCTTGCGGCAAAGGCTCCGCCAGATGAAAGACATATTAATCATCGCTAACGGTGGCTGGTTCAAGTTTGTGGTCTTTTGTTCTTCTCCATTCACTCAAGCTAAATCGAATCGGCAGTCCTGAAGGTATTCAGATGGCTTCCGTGCAAAATCATTCTCTACAATACACACTCTACACGAACAGACACGCATAACTTTAGGGCTTATCTTAAAAGCCGTAGACGCCATCAAGCCACTCTGGAGACGCTCTCCGCATCTAAGCCGAATCTTCTCACAAAGTTCACCGAACTTTGCTCCTTCGATACAGATCGTTCCACCTCCCGATCGCGAGTACATGAATTATTAGACGATCAGAGGTCACATCCTGGAAGAGGCTGACTGTGCTCCTGCTTTGTGTTGGCAGATCCAGCGCTATATCGGGACACCGCAGTCTGTAGGTCGGATCGTGCTACTTAGAAGCAGCTAGGATAGTCCCATCTTCGCATCTCATCTAATCTTGAGCGATCCTTCGGTTTCGAGCGGCTTTAGAGCATCGAGGCTCTCTTAGCTAGACCACTGTCCCACCTAGATTTCTTCCCGCGGTGCATCATTCATGGGACTGCCCTCTTCGAACAGCATGGCATTCTACGGACATCCCCCAAATGCAAGTGGAATTGTCAGGATCGAAAATCAAATCCATGTTGACTGTATCGGGGATTTGGAAAGCGCAGAACCAAACGACAAATAGATCGACAGCAGATCAACCCCAGCTGCGGCACTTGGCGGCACAACGTGCGGCAATATTTGACGGCGTCGCAAACACCTTCCTCAATGTGAACCTGGAGATGAACCTCAAAGCACTGTAAGCACATGACTGCTGTACCTCCTGGCCGACCGAGTCTCGTCGATCCACCAGAAGCCATGTCCCGAAGCGATCTTCGACTGCATCTCTGTTTTCGATACGAGCTTCGGGAGCTCGAAGATCACAATCACATCCAGCATGCATGATGACGGAGGAAGTCTTTGAACAGCAGACGGACGATATGGAAGTAATTTTTGGATAGGAGGCCGGTATGGCGAACATGGTTTTGCTGGTCATCCCCATGTCTTGTCCCTCTTGCCTCCTCACACAACAGCCTCAGTCTGCCTACTTGACCTCCAGCCTCAGGCTGTCATACTGGACATAAGTACTTCTAGGCAGCACTGCACTCTCGTAGTCGGTCGCATTGAACGGCAAACTCAAGATCATCTTGTTCTGTCCCTCCTTCAACAGATTGGCATCGAACTCATACTTGTGCGCCAGAGCATAGCAGATAACTGCAGATCTAGTGGCACATGAACTGCTCTGGTTCCATCTGTTCGAGAGTCAGCAAGTTTACTCTAAACGCTTGATACTTCAAGCTGATGACTTACGGGATGTCCCAAGGTTCCAGTTCATGTCCGTTCATCACAACCGACAAGGGCAGATTATTCCACAACTGGGTGGCATTCCAGTTGTCCGTGTTGCCGGCAGCTGTCTTCGCGCCTGCGAGCTGAATGGTCAAAGTGGCATCTTTCTTCGATTTGAGCTCACTCTTCTTCGTATCGAACAAGACGGTCCAGTTGTTTACATTCTCATAGTATGGCTCTGGCCTTACCGAGTTCGCATAACCGCCGAAAACACTCCAATGCACTATCCACAAAGTCAGCTGTCAGGTCATTTATCCAAGGGAGGCTCAACATACCGTAATTGAAGTCTGTCGCCTCGTCGCTCTTGCCAACCTCGAATGTCACACCCTCTGGGTAGTCGGTTGGGAAATCCCAATTGCCCCAGTAAATGCGGTACTCTGGTGGATGGAGAGGCTTGCTTGGATCGGGTTGGTCTCCATGGCGATATTCTCCACTGCTGCGGTCAGGAGTGCCGATACGCCAGAGCTCTTTTCCAGCAGACTCCTCGCGCCACTTCGCTTTGGTCGTTGTGACTTTGCCAACAGCAACCACGACATTGTCCTGGATGTACTGACCGAAGATGCCGTCTGCGTAAACAGTCAGGCGATATGTACCAGGCTTAACCATTGGGATCTCGATATTGCCCTTTTTGTCAATGTCTCCCCAGTACTGGTATGCTTTGGTGTCCAGAACGTTATCTTGGAAGTCTACGCCATTCTGAGCAAGAACTGCAATTGGACGCTTGGCCCCCTTTGGCAGATCGATACGACCTTTCCAGGTTGATCTCTTCGTTGAAGGAATGTAGTTCGGTACGAGATGGGCGATGGAGTCGTAGAAGGCGGTGTTCCAGGTTGGTGAAGCAAATTGCTCAGCTTCTGCTCGCAACTCGCCCAAGGTGGTCGTGTTAGAGCCTTTATTGAAATGGAAGTATTGTGGTCCGAAGGTGCGGTCGAAGCCAGTCGTAATGTTGGGGACGTTGTCTCCGTGATGGTTTGATGCTGTGAGAGGTCAACCTTGAATTTTCGTCAATCAGATCTTGTGATTGAGTTCTGCTTACAAATGTAGTTGTACACGATACCATCTACGGTCAGATCAGAGTGCGTCGGACCACCGAAGTAGGTGTCAACGGTGTTCATCACCAACCATGCGCCGAAGGTCGAGCCATCTTTGCTCTTGGAGCCATCACCATACATGCCGTGGACTTTGTGGCCTCTCCACTCATCTGAGAAGGTGTACTTGGTGAAGTAGTCGGCGAATTGCTCGACATACGGTGCACTGGTGTAATTGCCGATGTACCATGTGGCATCTTGCACCGTCTTCGAGTTCTTCAACGTATCCGAGGAAGGCAGCGGAGCATTGATCTTCTCGTTGGTAGATATGTGAGTCCACAAAGGCGTAGTCGGTCTGAACAGCGTTCTGAACTCCTGCAGGTTTCTCCAGACATGTCAGCAGATATACCCGCAATTTCTCTCTAGCAGACACACCTCAAGAATGGCTTCGTCTCGTTATAATAAGCCAGACGAGAAAATGTATGTAACCCCGTCTCCGTCTCCCTCAGAAACCAATACTGCTCCAATACTTGTCCAGTCAAAGGATAGACCTCCGACATGACCACACCTCCGTACGGCACACCAGTCGAATCATTGCCCTCAAATAACTTGAACGTCGCATATTTGCCAGGCGTATACGCACCAGCAGGAACGCAATAGCAATCCAGATAAGGACCAATACCATTCTGACCAGCGGCATTGCCTCCAGGAGTGACTTCATTATACTCTTTCGTGCCGAGTAGGTTTTGGCCATCGAGAGTAAGGATGTCCATTATACCTGTGGATTTGTTGACGGAGGCATAGAGGCGGTCGTTAGCGATGACAAGGGCTTTGGCATCTTCGGTTGCGTTCAGAAGGGCCTGGACGGGATTGGTGAGGAAGAGACATGAAAGCAGGAGAGCCTGCAATGCCCAGAGTGCAGCCATATTGAGAAACAGCAGTCGAGGTCTGCACTGCTCTGCTAACTATGCCTTCCTTCCTAGCAACTACCACTGCTTTTATCATCCTCGACTCAATGATCGACCATCTACCCCGTCCTTGCCCCATGTCCTACCCCGTCTTCTCTCCCAAAACACACACGGGCCAAAGATGTTTTGCGGAGAAATTACTCGGGGTATGGAGAAGATCATGTCTACGCCATTCAGCCCTCAGTCGTCGCATACCAGTAAACGAGACAATCTCGGTGTAGAGCATACCGAAGTGCAGGATGCATAGCCCCCCCACGCCAAGCGAGGTGCTTGTTGTTCCGTCGGAGCTGTTGATGCTTGGTCATGTTGACTGCATCAACAACATACCATTCTGTCAACTCATGGTCTGTATGAGTGGGAAATCACATCCATCCATCCCTCGCACCAAAAGACCGCACGTCTGATGTACGCCACGAACTCGACATCAACTGCAGTTCATCGTAAGAGATTCAAGGGATGGATTTTCTCTAGAGCAAGGTTACCACCTGAGATTACTGTTTTCACTTGCATGTGATCGGCAATATAGCAGGTGACCACTCTTCGTTGTATTCTCGTATCCGCGACTCCCAGCACCATGGGTCTATTTAACCGAAAAGAAGATCGTCAAGAGATCCTTCCAAGGACTTGGCATACATGAGCTTCGTAGGGCATGGTTATTGGCAGGCACATGTCATTCAAGTGCTGTTAGAAGAACATAGGAAAGTGTAGGTTGTTGTCAGGAGATGAAGAAATCTCGGTTGGAAAGAGGCCTCCAGATTAAATCACTTGCATCGTGGACCCACGTATTAAGGCAGAGAATTAAAAACATGATTACTTCGTTGCACACTAATTAAGTACAGACTGCATAAGACCAAACTTCCGTATCTCTCTAGTAGACATAGCGGAAGTTGGGATTCTCTCTATCGGTCAAATCATCAAAGGCATGAGTATAAGCATCGTCCGCAGCTTCTCCAACACCAGCAGCAGCCAAAGCATCCTTCTTATCATTACAACGCTTGAGCCAGTATCTCAAAAACACAATCACAATAACCAGCAACACATAACATCCCATGTGTGTGGCGAAAGCGATGAAATAGCGGGGTGCGTCGTAGGCCAGGAAGACCTGAGGTCCGATGGCGTTGCCAGCAGCCCAGGCGGCAAAGTTGGCAGCCACGACGACGGATTTCTTGGTCTGGCCGCCAATGTTACGGGAAAGCATTGACATGGCGAGGGTTTGGGCGGCCCAGAAGGAGAGGACGATGTAGTAGGAGAAGAGCAAGCCACCCTGGGTAGCGGTGTTTGTGTTTCTGACGGTCATGAGAACGATGGTTCCGGCGAAGGAGGGTATGACGAAAGCGCCCATGACGAGCAGGTTTTGTCCTGTCTTCTTGACAATCCAAGTGGAGGAAAGTAGGACGATGACAATGTAGGCACCGAGTACCATGGCGAGCAGTTGAGTTTGCAGAGTTGTGAACTTGAAGCCCTTGACGATGATGTTGGCGAAAGCGCCGAGACCGCTGGTGGGGAGTGTGGTACAGATCTGGATCAACATGTAGCAGTACAGTTGAGGGTCCATGAGAGCTTCTTTGACCTGCTCAGGGCGGAATCTTTTGTTCTGGATACCAGTCTGGTTGGCGCGCACTCTCTCGACCATGAGCAGCTATTTGTTATTAGCTTTGAGTAACGTATCTGGAGGAGACGGTGCTTACTTTGTCTTCCTCAGAGAAACATTTGGCACGCATAGGCGAGTCGGGTAGCCAGTAGAGTACAAAAACGCCCCAAAGTACAGAGGCGCAGCCATATGTGATGAAGATGGCTTGGTAGGATGTGACAATTCTCTCGTTACCGAGCAGAGAGAAACAGTAAGCTAGCAGACCACCGACGATCTGCTGAGCACCGTTCATCACGTACCAGTATGTCACTGTCTGTGCCTGCTCATCTCTCCTGTACCAAAGAGATGATAAGATCAAGAAAGCAGGCTGGCAGACAGCTTCGAAAATACCCAAGAAGGTACGGCAAATGACGAGGGTCTTGAAGTCGGTAGCGGCAGCGTGGCACGCGAGGACAGCACCCCAGATGATGATGTTGGCAGAAAGATATTTGGCGATAGGTACACGCTGGATGATCCAATTCGTAGGATATTCGACAAAGATCACCGCAATGTAGATACAGGTGGTCAACCAGGGGAACTAGTAGATATCAGCAGGTGGACAATGGATCATCTTCAGAGCGCGAGACTTACCTGTGTATCACTGATGTGAAGTTCATCTCTGATACCCATGATACTGGTGAAACTCATGGTTCCTTTGTCGATTGCTTGGAGAAAGTAGGTCAAGATCATGACGACCAAAACTCGACGGTCGATCATCTTCTTGAGTCTCTTGTCGTCGGCCTCGGAAATGTACACACGTTCGCCAGCGGTGTACTTGGCAAGTTCCTTATCCACACGCTCATAGTTCATGTGGTCACCCTTGAGATTCTCTTCGTGTGACATGACAGTCTCGAGGCGGACGAGGTCGTCCTTCTCCATTGGAGCGGAGGTGCTGTTGATGTTGGATGACATGACTGCTTCGAGATTGACAAGAGCAAAGGTTGACCAGGACGAAATGAAAGTCCTCAAGTAAAGGTCTCTGGACAGGAACAAATGGATATGCCCCATGCAGCACCTTCCTTTATCTATGCGTGAGGTTGCACTCGGTGGTCATTATCCCATGCCCAGACGGACTAACCATAACTGCTGATTGCTTGTATTGGAACGTCTCTCTTCAACCGAGAAGCCCTGAGAACGAATATTATGTCCCATGGGGTTTCCCCCACACATCTCCAGTCAATAGTGAGCGCCACTGGGGACGCCATCGCAACGGGCGAGCGGGGAGGGCCAAGGTTAGCGAGTCAGATAGACCAAACATGCGCTCGGATAGCGGATTCCGCCATGCTTCCGGCGGGTTGATGAACGATTGGTGGATCGTGAAGGTTGTGGGGTGTGGTTAAATTGACTGCATGTTGAGTCGTGATCCTCCAGCTTGGCGGTCGGTTGCTCGGGGCAAAGATGTCGAATGATCGACAACAGATGAGGGGATACTTATCCCAAGTACCATCTTGAGAAATAATTGATAGCTCAAAAACATTCATCCTGTTAGCATTTCTTGTTGTTGCATTGCATTTTCGTTTGAAGGGATTAGGTATAGACTAGAAGCCAGACTCACCATGCCTACCACTTTGCGTCTTCACGGCTACGAAGCCACCGATATCCATCGCTATATTGAACTTTTGATTCACAATCTTGTGAACATCAAAGATACTACGGGTCGCTTCCTACTCAAGCTCGATGATGGCCGAATCATTGATACAAAAGGTCAGCACTCCTATAAGCTTGCCATTCTCCAGAAAGCATACTGACGGTGAACCAGGTTGGAACGATTGGGAATGGACCCATGGTATCGGTCTTTATGGCCTGTATCAATACCATGCCTTGACTGGTTCCGCGTCCGCCTTGTCAACAATCCAACAGTGGTTCCAAGGTCGCCTTGCGGAAGGAACGACGAAAAATATCAACACAATGTCTCCCTTCCTGACCTTGGCGTACCTATACGAGAAGAGTCGCGATTCCACCCACGAAGCCTGGCTTGACTCCTGGGCCGAGTGGGCAATGTACGATCTACCGCGTACACCCTACGGCGGATTGCAACATATGACCTACGCAAGCGACAACCACTACGAGCTCTGGGACGACACCTTAATGATGACTGTCATGCCTCTTGCAAAGATTGGTCTTCTGCTCAATCGTCCTCACTACGTCGAGGAAGCCAAGCGTCAGTTCATGCTCCACATCAAATACCTCTTCGACACAAAGACCGGTCTCTTCTTCCACGGCTGGAAGTTCGACGAAAGTAGTCCAGGAGGCGTAGGACACAACTTTGCAGAGGCAAGATGGGCAAGAGGAAACAGCTGGGTCACAATTGTCATTCCTGACTTCATCGAGTTATTGAACTTGCCCAAGGATGATGCATTGAGGGTCCATCTGATTGATACCTTGGAAGCTCAATGCAAAGCGCTGGCCAAACTTCAGGCTGAGAATGGTATGTGGCGCACGTTGCTTGACGTCCCTACAAGTGAAGGCAGCTACGAAGAAGCTTCTGCGACAGCCGGCTTTGCCTATGGTATCATGAAAGCTGTACGAAAGCGATACATCGGTAAAGAGTATGAGGCAGTTGCGCTTAAAGCTGTAAAGGCCGTTATCGGAAGCATAAGTGAAGATGGAGAGCTTCAAAACACCAGCTTCGGCACGGGCATGGGTAGCGACCTGCAACACTACAAGGACATTCCGATCACCAGTATGCCTTACGGTCAAGCGATGGCTATGATGATGCTTGGTGAGTTCTTGAGGGTATTTGTCTAGGGATAATGCTATCAGTCTTAGAATCTAGCCTCTCAGAATATAATCAATCATCAGCAATGCTACAAGTGCCATGCTCCCATACTAATGCGGCCGGTGCAGGACAGGAGGGCTACTCGTATGCCAAAGCTGCAATCTTCTGAGTGTAGCTTGCGTCGCCCGACAATGCGGCACGAGCAAAGGCGGCAGTAAGAAGTGAAGCATAACTCCAGGTCAAGTCTGCTGCTCCTTGTGCGTGTCCATCATTGCGATTGAACTCCTCGGCCAAGTTACCACCAGCTGGCGTGTGGTACTTGATACGGCGAATGTACGCATCACCCCAACCTTTGAGGCTTGCAATGACGGATGCAAACTCCTTGGTGTTGGAAGAGTAGGCTTTGCCGATCTTGAGACCAGACTTAGGAGCATAGTAGGCGAAGAAAGACGCGGTGACATTGTTGACGGTCAGAGTACCAGCCGTCTGATACTCCGATGCGGCCGAGTAAAGATATTGAGCCATAGTGGCAGTCGTCAGGTACCATGGATTGCTGTACAATTATGAGTTTGACTCTCCTCAAGACTATGCGGGCATGTGATGACTTACCCGCCGTTCGGCGAAGTGCCTACACCGTTGTATACATCTTCAGGGTAGCGACTGTTGATTGTCAGCATGGATGCAAGGCATGTCGTTATTTTTTATCTTACCCAATAGGAATGCCAATCGGAAGTCCTTTCGAATCTTTTGTCGTCTTAGCTATGCCGTAAACATCGAGGAAGCTGGTGGAAATCTTCAATGCCGAAGCAAGAACTCTGTCGTTGGTGTAAGAGTATACGCCATCGCCAGCATATCCGTGGATGACACCGAGAATGACGGCAATGTCGATGAACGAGTTCTTGCCAGCTAGCACGGGGCCGTACTCGTAGAGAATCAGTTTTCTGTTCGGACTCCAGAATTGATCGAGTGTCGCAGTAAGCTGGGTAGCTGCCGAAGAAAGCTTGCTACTGGTTGTTGCGTCACCAAGCAGAGTTGCAAACCTGGCACCCATAACTAGAGCACGACGCTGGACCAAACGAGTATAGAAATGGGCAGATTCTTCTTCTTCCCAGAGATCAAAGCTTGGAGAGCTCCAATTGCTGGCGACGAACAGCAAGTCCTTGAGAACTGGTGCTACCTCTGGATTGGCATTTGAGTCCCAAATGCGTTGGCGAACAGAAGACAAGCTTCCGCCTTTCTTCATGTAATCATAGGCAAATTCAATCAGAGTGATGGCTGCGGTCGCAGGGCCATCGTTCTGGGGTCTTCCCCAAGGGCCGGTGAAGGCGGTATTGTTCAGGTAGAATTTTGGCTCTCCCAAGCCAGCAAATGTGAGCGATGGGTCGTTTTGCTCGACAGCTCTGCCCTCAGCATAGTGAAACATGGCGTCCTTGTACTTGCGGGTGAAGCTGTCCACCGTAGACGCACTGTAAAGAGCACGGACGACGTCCATCGTCAGCGAAGAGTCTCGGACCCAATCATACTCGTAGTCCGGAAGTTGCTGTTCATAGGAAGGCCCTGATCTGGCTGCAACCACAGTACCTTTGGCAGCTCCATCGATGTCTGGGTTGATGTTCAGGAACATGCGCGTCTTCGAGAAGTCGGCTTGTGAGCCACTCTTAGGAGCCAACCACGCAGTGATATCATCAGAGAAGCCGCTTGGGTTTGCATATGGAGCAGGGATGGCTGCAGGGGCAGGAGGAGCATTTCCGGAAGCCTTGACGGAGAGCTGCAGCTGTTGCACATAGGTCTGACCGATATCCTTGGCCTGATAGGTGAGATTCAGTAGCTGGGTAATCCCGTCGAGATAGACTGGAGTGTTTGCGCTCCAGAACTCGTAGTTCGTATCTGGGATACTGGAGTTGTAGCCGAGAGCGACGGATGTCAAGGGCGTGGAAACACCCTGGCTGTCCGTGTAGTACAAAGTGACGACTTTGTTATAGTTGACATTGGCGATGTAGACCGAGACATCCAGGTTGCCCCCGCAGTACGAATATGAGCGTAGAGCTACATTGGTGTCGCTCGGAGTCGATGCCTGAACAGTCGTGGTTTGACAAGGAGTGTTCTGAGCGAATGATGAGGAGGGGTAGAAGGCCAACAGGCCACCCAAAGGTGTGGCTACGTTTCTCAACAACATGTCCCAGGATGAGTTGAGCACAAGCTGCAATGCCGGAGATCCCAGCATCTTGTATATCGCTTCACAAGACGCACCTTCCCGAAGTGACGCTCTCTCCTAACCAAGCTGTCGGTGCAATTGTCGGGGGTGGAAATTGCTCGCATGCATTGATCGCTGCAGGAAGGCGCGGTAGCGGAGTTTTGACTTCCTCATGCCTTGCCGACCACCAATCATCCCTTTGTCCTGCAGCAGGTCACACGCAGAAGGCAGGTGCTCGACTGCGGTGAAGGTGCACGAACCATTTTCCAAAATGTCTCCAACTTTCCCCCGCACGCGACCTCCACGCGACTCCTTTTTTGACACATCTCGTCATCACAACGAATCTCACTCCCTCGGAACTCGGATCTGTCATGTAAGGGCTTTCACGTGCAAAACATCAACTGAAGAATAGAATGTGACGATGGAAATGCACACGTCAACTTTTCAAAGCGGAGTCTCAACCTCCTGATGCCATACAGAGACACTGAAGGTCATCGAACGAAGACAGTAGCCGAGACCCCTTCAGATTAGTACCATACAGCTAGCTGCTTCTACCAGTAACTTTAACAAGCTAGGTGTGCCTCAGGATCGCACTCCGGCCTGCTTGACCCAGTCGGCAACCAAAGCCTTACGCACTTCTTCGTCTGTGTGTAGGAATATCTCAGCCGTGCTCTGATCAAGGAAACGTTTTACGACAGCCACTCTCGCTTCGACCGACAAGAACTGGAATGTCCTTGTAAACAGTGCAGTAGCAGCAGCCACTGAAGACATGTTTGGGTTGTTGAGATCTCGCGCTCTCATGTGAGTCTCTATCTGTGAGACTTGACGAGTCGAAGGAGCTCCTAGAAGGATCCGTTTGGCTTCACTGGCCAGACTGGGCTCGGCCGGTCTCTTGGATGAGGTGGGTTGAGGAGTACGTGAGCTGTGGTTCCCGTTCACTGGTGCAGGTGCTGCCCGCGTATGCTCGGGTATGAAGTGTGAACCTTCCTCGCCATAGAATGGGGTAGATGAGTGCTCCAAAAGTTGTGGTGTTACGGGCTCATACGGAGATTGTGGTAGATGAATTGATGGGCGGGGAGCAGGCATCTCAGTCGGGGCGGTAGTCAGCGAAGCTATCGATTCCTTTTGACTCGGATCAAAGAGTTCGGTCAATTCCTCGAAATGCCTTAGAGGGGCTGCTCTGAACTTCCTGGCGTTTGGATCTTGTTCTTTGTAATATGTCTCCAGTATGGCATCAGTGTTTGTAGGGACGCCGTTGGGTAGTCGTGGCCATCCACAGTTGAGTAAATTGACGTATGTACGCCAGTCGTTTCTCAAAGCACCGAGTTTATTCTTCATACGAATGTCATCACAGAGATCAGGTTGCATGGATTTGACCTTGATAATCTCTGCGACTCGTTTATAGGCTTCTTTGGTGAATCCGGAAGGGACAGTTTTGGTCGGAGCAGATTGCATGCTCTTCATGGTGGCTATGAAGGCCACTTCCATATCGTTGGTCCATTTCAACTGTGTCCGTGATGATTTGGGACCGGGCGAGTCGGTAGAGACAGAAGTATCAGGGTCCATACCGAATCGAAAGGTGATTACTCGAGTAGTGGTTGGTAGAATTAGAGCGGGAAACTGGTTTTCGGAGAAGTCGTGGAATTGTGGGAGAAACTGCTGATTGCGGCACCGGGCCAGGGTCGCTGACGTACTTGGGCTAGATAATTCGCGATTGACTGCAGTCACAATCTCGGCCAACCAATTGTACATTCGACATTCCTCAATTGCTTCGCGCCTGCCACAAAGATGAGCACGAAACCTACAATTGCGCCTTTGGCGACCTTGACACCAGCTTCCAACACACGCACATGGCTCTCGTCGCCGCATCCGAACCTTCCCATCGTCGCAACGGCATGCAGTGATCGCAGCGTGCGCGTCTACTCTCTCAGCTCCTTCAACCTTCTCAGCAACATCACCGGCGGTCACAAACGCAGTATCCGAAGCGTCGCCTGGAAGCCTGATAGTGGCACATCTGCGCTGGGCGAGAGCGTACTTGCGACAGGCAGTTTCGACGCCAGCGCCGGCATCTGGAGACGATGGGAGGGCAACAGCGGAAAGGTCAATCAATCCGAGGACAATGAGGTCGACTTCACAAAAGACGGAGGAGATGACGAGGACGATGAGTGGCGCTTCGCTGTCGTCCTCGACGGTCATGAGTCGGAGATCAAGAGTCTGGCCTTCAGTCCCACTTCGCCATTGCTCGCTACCTGCAGTCGCGATAAGAGTGTTTGGATCTGGGAAGAGTTGGAAGATGACAACTTCGAGACTGTCGCCGTTTTGCAAGAGCACGAAGGCGACGTAAAGTGTGTCTGCTGGCATCCTTCAGAAGAACTACTCGCCTCATCCAGTTATGATGACAACATTCGTCTATGGAGAGAAGATATCGACGACTGGGGTTGCTGCGCCGTACTCTCAGGTCACGGTGGTACAGTCTGGTGGGTCGAGTTCGAGGGTGCTACACACACTGCTCTCAAAGCGCAAACGGAACAACAGCAAAGGTTACTCGACCTCAGAGAAGCCGCTGGCCCACGCCTAGTGAGCTGCTCCGACGACCTCAGTATTCGCGTCTGGCGCCGTATCCCCAAGGACAGACCCAACGGCGCTCCTCAGACTGGCCCGAAAATGCCCAGCATCATCAAGACAAACACCATTGAGGAAGAATGGGTACCCGAGACCGCTCTACCCCAACAACATGAACGCGCAATCTACTCTGTCTCGTGGAGCAAAATTACCGGCCGCATCGTCAGCGCAGGTAGTGATGGAAAGATTGTAGTCTACGAGGAGCGCTGGGCAGCCGACCAATCCACCACACAAATAGAAACAACGGATGGCACAAAGGAGATTGCAAGGACGGAATGGGTCGCTGTGGCTGAGTTCGGAGATGCACATGATGTCTTTGAGATTAACCATGTCGTCTGGGCCAAGCGAAGAGACGCTGGACGTCGCAGCGACGATGAGGAAATCATCATTAGTACGGGCGATGATGGTGAAGTGCGTGTTTGGACTCTGGAGAACTTCTCATGATACTACTCGACGTGAGATTTGCCTCGGTGTCGCACTCTCGACTTCTCAGGGAGGCCCTCCCCATACAGGACTTTGTCGGTCGAGGGACTCACGCTTGAATTTCGACACTCTCATCGCCTTGACGTATCTGCAGAGGAAGACATCTTACTACTGCGAGGCCAGAGCTAGAAGGCGGCGAAGAAACGGCAAAAGGAACACTGCCGATCTTTGTCTCGGACATGGTACTTCGTGAGCAGCATATAACAATTTCCTCAACCGCCATCTCTCAACTCTATGCATTGTGATCGGCCTGGAAGAAGGCATGATATAATCCATGTAGATATTCAAATTAGGAATCTCCAAACCCTTCCTCAATCATGTGTATCTCGCAAACCACCAGCTTCCACATATCTTCGACCCGTTTGTTTCACCTTTGCTTCTGATTCTATAGACGTTACATGTCGATCACACATAACGTTCGTCCAGATGTGGTTTCTTCTGCTGTCACTGCACAATCATACAATGTGTATATACTATCCAACAAGTCTAGAACACCCACCTCATTCACAAGTATATAGACCCAACACTGCCCTCTGGTCAAAAAACCCACATCCCATTTTCAACATCCCACAAACCCACCATTTCAATCCAACAAACATCATCAATTCCCATACCATAAGCTCTTGCACATTCTTCACAGCACACATCAGACTGGTCCACAGAGACGCATACAATAATACCATCGACCGCTGTAAAGTCATCTCTGCTTGCCACAACAACAACCACAGCACCAACACACCCATATTTCCCCGGTATATCTTTCCACGGTGTGCCTCACTCTTTCACTCACCCAGGTATTTGAGACTACAACATTACTGCCACAAACAACACCATCATCTCACCTCACCATCCCCAGAATCACCCTTTAAACGACAATGGCAATGGAGGCATCGAACACCATAAACCCCGTGAAGAAAATGATGGGGACAAGAGATGCATGGATTGGAAACAAGAAATGTGGATGTTGAGCAAAATGTCGACTTTTGAGAGGTTCAATCTTACGGACATGGAGAGGCTGATTGGGGTTATTGGGAGGAGTGTTGGGGTGTTGGAGGGGAGGGATAGTGAAGAGGCGAAGGAAGAACAGGAAGATAAAGACAAGGCAGATGGAGAAGGGGAAGTGGTTGTGGGAAGTCCTGTTTCTTTTCCCCTCGGTGGATAAGATGGGTTATATGTAGCAGCAAGCATGATCGAGCTTGAATCAAAACAATTAAGCAACCACTTGACATCACAAGATATCACAATGACCACAAGAGACAAAAGAATCAAAAAGAGATAAGCACCATGGGCAGGAATCGAACCCGCGACCTCCCCGGATCTAGACTGACACGGCGTTGAGTAACAACGAATGACTGCGCACGTGTTAAGACCTCGGGTGTGATACCACTACACCACCACGGCTTTTCTACTTGTTGAAGAGAGACTGGAAAAAATGGAATATAAAGGTTGCTTAGGAATAGGGGGGGAGCATGGTGGAGATGGAGCGAGTGAGGCGGATTGAGGTGGATTGAGGTGGTTTAGGGGGGTGGCAGAATTCTGATAGGGCATTCGGATCCACATTTGACAAGGTGTGTTTTGACAGAAGGATGACCCTCTTAATGTTGTGATGAGATCTATCGCGATATGCTGTACTCGTTAGGCGAGAGTGTAGTAGGCAACAGCTTTGAATATTCTTGGAGACGAATGATGGACGCGTTTACCAAGATCTGGGTTTGGAGATAAATGAAGATGATTTGGAGTTGCTTGAACGTGCCTGATCTCATTCTTGCTATGGTTGATTCTTTTTGAAGAGATGCTCCGGTATGAAGCGTCATCCGACACTGTTATATTTGTGAACGGTATGCTGCATTCTGCTGCTTTGCTGCCAGTGGACGAGTCCATCGAGCGTCGTGGTCATGTCCGGTAAGCATGCGCCGATGCACGAAGGAGGTCATTGAGCCTACATAGCATATGCTATAGGCTGATTTCAGGTGGGCGAAGGGAGTGCTTGTGATGTTGTATATCCCAAGTGTTTCAACCAGCTTTGCGCAAGGAATTGTAATGCTCGCCCAAGCCGAAGCCGTGTCTGTAGTATGCTAGCCACAACTGTTTGTCCTCAGTATCGCCTTCAGGGTTGATCTCTTCGACTCGGCCATCACCCTGCAGAACGCTGATAGCAACGCCGTATTTCTTAGCCACAGCCATCAGTTCAAGCTGACCACCCCATTCTGCAGTGTTCTTGATCTTGTAAATGTAGTAATCCAGAGGCTCGTCCAAGAAAGAAGCGAAGTCGTTCGGGTGTGCTTCGATGTACTCGGCGGCGGCTTGTCGCACGATCTTGTATGGCTCTAATGTGGTTGCGACATGGGGAGTGGATGAAGGAGCAGTACCCAAGGGCATGCCTAGTTGTTCTAGCTGGTCGGCAACAGCAGAGTATAGACAGTGACCATCTGCACGTATCTCCTTCTCGGATAGCTTGCGAGTGGTGAACTGCTTGAGCATCGAGTCGCGCTCGACGGCCTTGAGATTGGGGATGTCTTGGGCTTCTTCTGCAGCGGATGCGATGAGGGCCTCTTGTTCGGCAGCGCGGCGGGCAAGGCGGGCCTTTGCGCGGTTCTGTTTCTTTGGTGCTGGAGCGGCAGGTGGATCTGAGGGAGCAGTCGACGTCGATTTGCCCTTTTCTGCGCCGCCGATGTCTAGACCATCAACACGGTTGGCCAATTCGTCCTGCTCTTGCCCCTCCTCTTTCTCGGCATCTTCGTCCAGGCCTTGGTCGACGGTAGGTGCAGTCATTGATTGAAGCTCTTCCTGGTGACGAGCCTTCATCTCTCGCTCGAGGTTGTCGCATTCATCATTGACACCTTTGCGTGTCTTCTTGGTGGCGCCCTTTTTCTTCTGTGTAATTTTTGATTGGAGGTCCTTGGCCTCTTTGCGTTGGCGCAGCTGTAGCTCTTCCATGACTCCGGCCAGTTGGGTACCAGAGGGTGAAAGGTGTAACAAATCAGAGTGTCGCATAAACAGTGGTGAGCTACTCGAGTAGTCATGGTCACGCTGCCCACAAAAGCTTCGGAGCTTTGATGACAAGATCATGTTCCGAAGCCTTCCACTTTGCAACAACCACGACAATGACGTTTGCGCCTTGCCTGCTAAACCGTTTCATTGATATCCTACTGTTGCTTGGACATAGTTCGACCTGAACAACCACCTAGACATGACTGCATAGTTTGTTATATATCATCATCTACGCCGCCATGCCGCACCCGCATTCACCGAGGGGCGTGTCAGTCGCCTTGACGGCCGCCTTCTTGGCCTTGACCACCATTTTTGCCGCCATCTATACATTTGGTCTACCTGAACTCGATTATTGGCATTGGAAATCAAATCAGAACCCTTTCGGAAATCATCCATCTTCTCAAAATGTATTCGGTGCATCTAACCGACCTTCGATCTCGGACGACTACCTTGTCGGCGTCGGCAAGGCTGACATTACTGGTCCCGTCGTCGAAATCAATCTCATGGGCTATGCCGACCCTGCTCAACTTGGCTCTGGTGTGAGACAGCGTCTTTACTCCCGTGCTTTCATCCTTGGTGATACCGAAAGTCCTCGTGACCGTTTCGTCTACCTTGTCCTCGACACTCAATCCGGAGATACCGCTGTCCGCAATGGCATCCTCGAAGGTCTTCAACATCTTGGTCCCGAATACCAAGTTTACGGAAGCCAGAACGTCGCTGTCACTGGAACTCATTCTCATTCTGGTCCAGGTGCTTGGCTGAACTATCTGTTGCCTCAGATTACCAGTCGAGGCTTCAGTCATCAAAGCTATCAAGCCATCGTTGATGGTGCTCTTGAGTCTATAAAACAGGCTCATGAGACGCTCAGCCCAGGTCAACTCTCTTTCGGTTCAGTCGATATCGAAAATGCCAACATCAACCGTAGCCCTTATGCCTACCAGGCCAATCCAGAAGCCGAGCGTAAGAGATACGAGCATAACGTCGACAAGACTTTGACTCTTCTCAAGCTGCGCAGAAACAGCGACAAGAAGGATATTGGCATCTTGACCTGGTTCCCTGTTCACGGTACTTCGATGCTGGGCAACAACACGTTGATCACTGGTGACAACAAGGGCGTTGCTGCATACCTGTTCGAGAAGCATGCTGCTCAGCTGGACTCTACTGCTGATGACTTTGTCGCTGGCTTCTCTCAAGCCAATGTCGGAGATACCTCTCCCAATGTAAACGGCGCCTATTGCGAATCTGGAGATGACGAAGGTAAGCAATGCGACTTCAAGACGAGCTTGTGCGCTGGTAAGAACGGTCCTTGCCATGGACGTGGTCCACACTGGGGACTGGACGACGCAGGTACAGCATCAGCTTGGGAAATTGGTCGCAGACAGTACCTTGGTGCTCGCTCTGTGTACGAGTCCATGACTACTAAGTCTACCTTCACGCCCATCCAGGGCAACGTGGTCCGCTCTCTGCATACATTCGTCGACATGTCGAACCAGACTGTCATTCTACGCAACGGCTCGATAGCACATACCTGCCCTGCCGCAATGGGCTACTCGTTCGCCGCCGGTACTACCGATGGTCCTGGAGCCTTTGATTTTAAGCAAAACAACCCAGGCGACCCGAATGCAAGTCCGGTCTGGGCTGTCGTCCGCAATAGCCTGCATTCACCCGGTCCAGAGCAAATTGATTGCCAAGCGCCCAAGCCCATCCTCCTCGATGTAGGCGAGACTGAAAGTCCTTACCTCTGGACACCCAACGTGGTGGACATTCAGCTCTTGCGTGTCGGACAACTGCTCATCATCGTAGCACCGGGAGAAGCTACCACCATGTCTGGCCGACGCTGGAAAGGAGCTCTTCAGAAATATGCTCTCGCCGCCTGGGACGAAGAAGACAACATAGCTGAGCCAATCGTCGTGCTTGGCGGCCCAGCAAACACATACGCCCACTACATTGCGACAGAAGAAGAATACGGCATCCAACGCTATGAAGGCGCATCAACCCTTTATGGTCAACACACTCTGGCCGCCTACATAAAGCTCTCTCTTGCACGTCTACCCTACCTCTCTGCCTCCTCGATCTCGAACTCGCCTCTCCTTCCTCCCTCTCACCCATCTCTACCTCTCCTTCCCTCTGGCCCCGAACCTCCCATCCACACGAATAAGTCCCTCAGCTTCATCTCCCCGGTCGTTTTTGACCGCTCCCCCCTCTTCAAATCCTTTGGCGATGTAGTCACGGATGTCTCACCCCGCTACGCCATCTCCACCTCTCCCATCATCAAAGCCTCTTTCGTCGCCGCCAACCCACGCAACAACCTCCGTCTCGGTCTCACCTTCGCCTCTGTCGAAAAATACACCAATCAAGGAACTTGGCAACAAATCCGCAACGACGAAGACTGGAGTCTGGTTTTCCAATGGGAGAGAACTTCCACCACGGCCGCCACTTCTCAAGTCACCATTTCTTGGGAATTGGGTTGGGAGCTGGGAGATTGGGGAAGAGTTGAGAAGACCACCGATAAGATGGTCGGACATGATTTGGAATTGGAGAAGAGAGGTAAGGTGGAGGAGGAATTGAAGGGGAGGTATAGGATCAGGTATTTTGGAGATAAGAAGGGAATTGGAGGTGGTATTAGTGGATTTGAAGGTGTCAGTGGGGAGTTTGAACTTGTGTAAATATACACGCGGTATAGTAGATTTTTGTGTAATTAGTCTTTAGGGAATCGGTCATGAAATCACAAGGTTTTCATTGGCTAAATGTTTATTGTTGTGTGTTTTGCTTGTGATCTCCATGGTGCATCATACCTTCTCGCAATGTCTCTCCGTTTACATCCTTTGTAGCTAAGCCCTTTACCTCATGTCGCAAGAACATATAGTGATCACAAGGATGAAGGAAGTCGTAAGAGCATATGTGAGACAGGGTGCCCCTTCATGTCAAAACAACTCACTAGTCAATGTAAATCTAGAAATCTTCAAGATCTCATGTAAGTAAGTGTATGTGCGGATAGAAAGCGTAATTAGTAGGTACGCATGATCTACTTACATGTTCAAAAGGATTCTGGCGAATACCGGTATTTGGTGGGAACCTCAAAGGGTTTCGATCGTCCCTTACCGGGATCCATCGTGAAGCTCGGAGCTGCAAAATAGCATGATTTGGTTTAGAATTGCTCGACTCATCGGAGACAAACCAGATTCCTGCATGGCAGCAGCTGATACATCACTAGCAGATGAAGTTGGAGTAGAACAGAAATGCGAATAGTCATTTACTTTCGTATGGATGGCGTGTGGAGCTATGTAAAAAAAAAAAAGACGGAAAAAGACAAGAACAAACTTTGAGAGGACCAAACGAGAAGGGGAATAAGCTACATAAGAGAAAAAACAAAGGCAGACGCGCGATGATTACAACAATTACAAACTCCACTTTGAGTCCTCCATCCAGACCACACTATTTTCGAGCACATGAAAAGAGCTCTTCCTCCGGTGACATCCAAGAAAGTACCACAGCTAGAATGGACGTCCTTCACTCGGGAATGAGTCGTGTGCGAGTATTCTATCCTCTGAACTTCTCCTTCAACTTGGCGAGGAAGCCCTTCTTCTTGGGCTTGCCGTCCTCGTCAACCTTGGAGGAGCCGGCAACGCTAGTGCGGTCGCTCTGGGGTGTACCGCGGAAGAAGCCGCTGGATCTCTTGGTAGCGTGTCTCTGAGGTGTGGTGGGTGCACTACCAGTAGTGGCAGGGACGGTGTGAGTCTCAGTGCCAGTGGTGACTTGAGGCTCTGATTGCTTGGATGAATCGGGACGGGTCATGGGAGAGACGTCACGCGATTGCTCGGTGGGAGCAGCAAGGGTAGGGGCGGCAAGCTGCTCAGACTTGGGTGCAGGAATCTGAGCTTGGCTGTCGGCAGGGGCGTTCAGGCCGGTGCTTGCAGCAATAGCGGAAGTCTCTTCGTTATAGATGGGTGTCGCGCTAGTGGTGGCGCCGGAAAGGCCAGTGTTCTCGGTGAAGGCACCAGCCTCGGTGGTAGCAGCCTGAGTTGTAGTAGGCAAGGCGCTGTGGCCACCAGTGAGATCCCGAGGAGCCTCGTCGTCGAAACGCGAGCTGCTCGAAGGCACGGTCGTGTTATAAGAGACAGGCGCAGCGCTGGAGCTAGCAACATTTTGGATGCCGCTGACAGCAGCAACACCGGTAGTAGAAGCACCAGCACCAGCACCGGCACCGAGGACAGCAGACTCAATGTCAGAAGTGGGTTTGACAGGTGCGGTAGCGCTCAGAGCGGCAGACTCAGTGGGTGCAGGCTCGCCAGCCTCATCGGTACGAGGTACACGGTCAAGTAGCTCCCTCTCGACGTCGCTCTTCTCAGCAACAACCTCGGGCTGGGCAGAAGCCTCAGGGCCGACGTGAGCTTGGTGCTGAGAATCCAAAACGGCCTCAGGGACAGACGAATGCGTAGCGGGTGAAGCAAGCGAGCTGTTGGTGGGAGGCAGGCCCTGGTTCATGTTGTCGATGGCGCTCTGAATAGAGGAAGGAAGAATGGTGTTGGCATCTGTGCCAGTGGCCTCAGCAGCCTTGTCGCGAGCAGTGTAAGCGACACCTGCAGCAGTTGCACCCAAAGCGGCAGTGCCAGCAGCGATTCCAGCTGTAGCCTTGCCGGAAATGCCACGTTCACTTGTGCCGAGCGCACCAGATTCAGAAGTGGCAGGAGCCTTGTGAACGTGAGACAAAAGCTCACTCTCCATGTCATGCTTCTCGTGGACAGCTTCAGGGTTGGCGGAGGCCTCAGGAGCGACGTGGGCTCTCTCTTGGCTCTCGTGGACCACCTCGGGGACGCTGTCGTCGACTGACTTGCTAGTGACCGTGGTGTCTTGACCGGTCACCTCGGCAGCCTTATCGCGAGCGGAGTAGGCTGCACCAGCGGCGGTGGCACCCAAAGCAGCAGCACCAGCAGCAATACCAGCAGCAGCCTTACCAGTGATGCCCTGTTCACTGTTACCAAACACGCCAGACTCGGAAGTAGCAGGTGCCTTGTGAACGTGTGACAAGAGCTCGCTCTCCATGTCGTGCTTCTCGTGAACAGCTTCGGGGTTGGCAGATGCCTCGGGGTCGACATGTGCTCTCTCCTGGCTCTCATGAACAACTTCGGGGACCTGCTGCGAGGCAGCGTCTGATTCGATGCTACGCTGGTTGAATTCGGAGCTGCCAGTCAAGCTCTGGGTCTGAGGAGCGACGGACTCGTAAGCCTTGTTTGCTTGAGTGGAAACGGCAGCGGAAGCAGCAGCTACACCAGCAGTGGCCTTGTCGGTAATACCTTGCTCGCTCTTGCCCAGAATACCAGATTCGGAGGTTGCAGGGGCCTTGGACACTTCAGAAAGAAGTTCGCCTTCCATGGCAGTCTTCTCGCGAACGGCCTCGGGGGAAGCAGAGGCTTCAGGCTGCACGTGGGCACGCTCTTGGCTCTCGGTGACGACTTCAGGAACAGAGCCATCGATAGTGGGTTCCTTGGTCAGGTTAGAAAGAGGTGAGCCGGCATTCTCATAGGCATTGGTGGCTTGGTTTCTGGCGGCGTAAGCAAGACCAGCGGCAGCGGTTCCGGCAGCAGCAGTACCAGCGGCAATCTTGCCAGCCAGACCACCTTCGCTAGCGCCCAGAAGACCGGATTCGGAGGTTGCAGGTGCCTCGGGGATGGAGTGCTTCAACTCGTCTTCGAAGGCGGCCTTCTCGCGAACGACTTCAGGAGAGGCCGAAGCCTCGGGCTCGACGTGAGCTCTCTCCTGGCTCTCAGTAACAACATCAGGGACTTGCTTAGAGGCAGGAGTGGGCTCAGTAGCATGGGTGTAGGCCTCGGAGATCTTGTCCTTGGCAAGAAGGGCAGCACCGATAGCAGTAGCACCAGCAGCAGCGAGACCACCGGCGACGGCCTCAGGGACATGTGAGTTTGACACGGTCTCGGGCACACTAGCGACAGTCTGGGAGACGCTTGAGGCAGCGTCCGCGACGGGTGAGCGCTGGGAAGTAGCGTTCTCCTCAGGAATGGTCTGCTTCAATTCACTCTCAACAGCAGCCTTCTCACGAACAGCCTCGGGGTTGGCAGCAGCCTCGGGACCGGTGTGAGCAGCATGCTGGCTGTCGGTGACAACCTCGGGAACACCGGTGACAGGGCCAGACTCGGCACTAGCGTTGGCTTCAGGCACCTTCTCCTTCAGCTCTTCCTCGACGTCGTGCTTGCTCTGAACGGCCTTGGCCGAAGACGAAGCCTCAGGACTAACGTGAGCGGATTCTTGGCTCTCGGAAACAACCTCGGGCACACCACGAGGCTCACGAGGAACCTGACCGGCAAGCTGAGCAGTAGTGCTTTGGGGAGCGACGGATGAGCTAAAGGCGTTGTCGAAATTGGGCAGTTGAGAGTCGCCACCCATGGGAAGGCTGGACTCAGGGATCATGTTACCGCCAATGGAAGGCAGGTTGAACATAGAAGCACCGTTGGCCTCGGCCTCGCTCTGAGAATCAAGAACCGGGGGGAGGACGGGAGCACCGGTGTCGCTAACACCATACTGAGAGCCGTCACGGACGGTAGATTGAATTGTGTTGGAGGTGATCTTGCTGTGGTGAGGGACAGGCTCGCCAGGCGCGAGCTTGATGGGGTTACCAATGCCAGCGGTGGCAGGAATGGGGTTGATGCCAAAGGCCTTGGTGTCCTCCTTCTCCTCACGGGCGGTGGATGGGGCGTAAGCGCCGGGGAGGTCGTTCTCGGTGAGTTCACGCTCGCGAGACTCATTGGCGCCGTCGTTGGAAGTGGAAGTAGCCTTCTTCAGTTCGGGATCATCGCGTACGGTAGATTGAATAGTGTTACTGGTCAAAGTGCTCGGGTGAGGGACGGGCTCGCCAGGGGCAAGCTTGACGGGGTTGGAAGGGCCGTCAGTAGCAGGAATGGGGTTAACAGTGAACTGCTTGAGGTCAGCCATAGGTGTGACTGGGAATTGACCTGGCAGATCCTCGAAGCCGGGAGTCTCCTGAGGGAAGGTCGTCTCGTCGACGCTCTGCTCAGAGTGGGCGTTTCTTTCCTTTTCAAGCGGCACCTCACCAGCAAGGGCGGCGGTGGTAGATTGAGGGTGGACCGAAGAGATGAAAGCTTGCGCAGGTCGCTCTTCGGGCTCAGGGCTCAGTTCTCTGGCCTCGACAACATTGTTAACGTTGCCCGAAGAATCCGTCTCTTGTTTGGCAGTCCAGTCGGTTGTCCATTGCCCGTCGACGACGAACTGGAGAAGCATGTCAGTCGCGTGCACTCTCGATATAGCGAGAAGGTCCATACCTTGTAGTGAACTCTGTGCTCCTCACCGGGAATGGTCACGGTCTTGTGGAAAGAGTCGCCATTCTTGTTAAGCTTGATCGACTTGGACCAGTTGTCGAAGTCACCTGTCACGTAGACTTCTTGGGCGGGGTGGTCCCTGTCGCAGCGTGTTAGTGATGGCTTCGTTTCAGCTATGGTGCGCGCGCATTTGTTGAGCAGCGCGAGCGAGAACTTCGCACGCAGGCCCTCAAACCATGCGACGCGATTGACTGTCAGATGCGACTCACCAGGTAAATGTATAGCTGCCCATGTCTCGGCTCGCTGTTCAGCAAATTCAAACAAGTTGGAAGATTCGAATGGCCTCTAGAGTAACGGCCTGTTGCGAAAGCTGACGGCGTGGTTGGGGTGGGTTAAGATAGATAATGCGCTGGTAACACAGAGATGCGCGCGCCTTGGAGCTTGTAGACACCAGCGACAGGCAGAATGGTTCGTGCGGTGGCGCGTGTGTGGCTGATGAGAGCCTTGGCTTGGGCGACGGCTGGTAGCTCTGCAGTCTGGACTCTGATCGGTGGCAGGGAAGTCGCTGGTTGCGCGTGAAGAATGCCGAAAAGATAGCTCTGTTCGTAGTTGAGAAAATGTTTGTTATACTTGTTCTACAAAATTCCCAGGCGGAAACAGCAACCTCAATTTCCAAGTGCCTTGTTCCTACCAGCCTACGTCATTGAATTTAGGCGGAGCACTGAAGGAGCACGTTCTGGTTCTTGCCAAAGCTTCCTTGGTGGGACTGAATACAGACCAACTGATTCTCTGCTAACCAGCGGTGGGTCTGTTTCTCCCATGCCCGGTCGGACGGTGATTAATCAGCTGCAGAGATACAAGAAATTGACACACAGTAAAGCAACGATCGCAGAGATAGCCATCAAAGTCACAGCTCCAAGTCCGTCTTCTCAAGACTCGGACTGTTCTATGCATACAGCACACGCGGTCATATGTTTTGGGGATGGACTCAAGATCGACGAATGCTGCGTAGAAACCGCGTTGCGCTCTGTAATGCAATCCAGCTCCTTTTGACAGGAGCTTGTCCAAAGCTGTTCCAGTAATGCCTGGCGTGAATACAAGTCGTGCTCGTATACCAGTAATGCAGCAATCGATTCTCACCTGGTTAGCAAAATCATTGTGTTTCCGTAGTACTTTGATTGCAGTCGGTATGCGTGTTTCCTTGCTTGGCGTGTCGGTGTCTTGCAAGCAAAGCACGAAAGTGGGAAGTGTTGCCATGACTTTTCTCTCTCGGAAGAATATCTATCTGTTAGGCAGCTCGAATATCCTTGTGAGGAGTAGTTCTGTCTATCGTGTTCTGTCTTGTCCTACTCTTAGCCTTGTTCATACAAAGTATTGGGTGTTGAGCTGCTGTTGTGTGACCGTTGTCAATCCAGAGCTGTGCCGTTTGACCTTCTCGAAGGAGCAGCAAATAGTGTCATGAATAGTGGCAGTTGCGAGTAGTAGCGATGGGAACGAGGTCAATTGGCCCCAAAAGCACATAGCTGCAAGCTCCCGCTCCTTCCTTTCTCTTTCTCCATACAATTTCCATCTTGGTCGTGTTGAGTTGAAGCTCTCTAGGTTTGGCCGATATTACTCACTCGTCCAGATTGCTTCTGTCGTCACGCGCCACAACTTCCCCCTCATTATCTCATTGGCCGTCGGTCGCAGTTTCCCCCTCAATAATACCCTGAACAAAGTCATTACGCACCAAAGCATCGATTACTGAGCATCGCATTGCAGCCTCGCATCAGCTTCATCACGTCTCCAGTCAATCACAGGTGACAGCTGCATCGAAACAAAGAACCCCACTACGGCAGTGTAGCTCCACGTCTGCGGGCTCCTGCACAAACGTCCCGACACAAGCTCTCCCCAAGCTCCCAAGTACCTTAGCAATCAGCTACAATGGCTCTTCCCGCCGACTACAAGCACGAGATCGAAATCCTCGAGCGTGAGGTCCTGCAGAACAAGCCCACCGACGTTCTTCAGTTCTGCGCAAACCACTTCCACCGCCGACTAGAGTCTCAGCGACACGAGTTCCTGCTGGGCGCACAGCATTCCACCAGCAAAACAATGGCCGAGAACAACTTCCCCGGCAGCAACCCCTTCCACCACATCCAGCAGCCCGGAATGCAGCGCCTTGAAGAAGAGGATGAAATGGACACGTTCGCCTCGCCCACTGCCGCTTCTTTCCCCAACAACGCAATGAACCGTGACGCTTCTCCCTTTGCTGCAAACGCAAACCTCTTTGGTGCTGGCAGCGCCAACTCGGTCAGCAGCCCTTTCGCCGCCTCTCAGAGCTCCGATCCTTCTGCCCAGCAAAGTGATGGCTCTTTTGGCGGTTTCAACTTCGGTTTCGGTGGCGCTCAGAACACCAACAGCCGTGATCAGAAGGACGTGCCGCAAAACTTCCCCAACAACTACAACATGGGCCGTCGTGTGTCTGTCTCGGCCGAGGTGCTCGCGCCCTCTGGTACTGACGACTCGGACTGGAAGCCCCCAACCTACCCCAAGACCCAGGAACAGCTCAACCGTCTGCGCACATCAGTGTCACGCAACTTCTTGTTCTCTCATCTGGATGACGACCAGACGGAGCAGGTCCTCGGTGCCTTGCAAGAACGCAAGATCCCCGCCAAGGACGTCAAGGTCATTGCACAAGGAGATGTTGGTGACTACTTCTACGTCGTCGAGACTGGCAGCTTCGACATTTACGTCTCGTCAACCGGCAAGATTGAGCCCGGCATGAACGGTATGGGTAACAAGGTCGCATCCTGCGGTCCCGGTACCTCATTTGGTGAGCTCGCACTGATGTACAATGCACCCCGTGCCGCAACTGTGAACAGTGCCGAACCCAGTGTCATCTGGCAACTCGACCGTATCACCTTCCGCCGTATCCTGATGGACAGCGCATTCCAGCGCCGCCGCATGTACGAGTCGTTCCTCGACAGCGTGCCTCTCCTCAACACTCTCACCGCTTACGAGCGCAGCAAGATCGCTGATGCTCTCGAGACCCAGAAGATGCCTGCAGGAAGCACAATCATCCGCGAGGGTGACGTCGGTGACCACTTCTACATGCTCGAATCCGGTACCGCTGCCGTTTACAAATCTGGAATCGAGCAATCACTCAAGCAATACAACAAGGGCGATTACTTCGGCGAGCTGGCCTTGCTCGACGACAAGCCTCGTGCCGCCTCAGTTGTCGCCGAGACAGATATCAAGGTGGCTATGCTGGGCAAGAACGGATTCCAGCGCCTTCTTGGACCTGTCGCAAGCATCATGCGTCGTGATGACCCTACAAAGTCGGATGGAGGCTCGGTCCAGACCTCTTCATCCTCTGCTGGCCCATTCTCCGACAGTGTTAACCCCTTCTCGTCGTCCTGAATGGCCGGGGAGCATGGCGCGCGCTTGACCAAACGACAAAGATTGAATTGATATCGCTGGGCAAGAATCGGTGGCGCCATGGGTCCCGTCTTTATTTTTCTCATTTCTAGAGCCAACTGGGCGACACGACTAGTCAGCCGTCGTCCACATGTATTCCATGTCTTATCTTAGTTTCAGTAATGAGATAGTGCTTCGAACTACAGTCTACAGAACGTTTCTTGAGATGCAATTCTTCGTCATGATCGAAATCGTACAATGCCCTCCCGTAACTCTAACGTCTTCCTTGAATGCTTGTTGCAGGATAAGCATGCCAGCACCAGCACGGTTGAGGAGCGTGCGTACGTCATCAACCACAACGGGGCATGGATCAACTGGTCCACGCTTTCCTGCCGGCTTCCCGTTTTGCTACTCGTATATCACACTTGAAGAGCCTCTTGCCCTCGCTCTCTTCATTTTCTATTGCAATCCATTGTTCTTACGATTCACGAAACATCCATTGTCCCATTAGCAGACTTGATAGTCACCGCTTGCTGCGAATTTCAACCAATCCCATCTCTACTACTCAATCGCAAAACCTCTTTCTTCCTCCACAATGGACTGTCTTCCTATTCCCTTCGTCTGCTTCCAGTGTGGTATGGTCAACGCACACATCCTCTGTCGTCTCGATATCTGACTATGATCAGGTACCGACCAGAACCCTTGCCACTGCAAAGTTGTCGGCCCTACCATCGGCTTCGCCAGTGCCATTGTCCTTGCAGTATGGACCATGTTTTCGTCTTCAACGTTCTTCAATTCTGACCAGAATTCAGGTTGTGTGTTGGCCCGCTTCTCTCTTCTGCGGCTGCTGTGCAACTGAAACCGGCAAGAAGTAAGTCCTAACACCTGACATGACTAGCATGTAATTGGGCTGACACCTGCAACACAGGATGCTCGGCTACCCAGCAGATGCAAGTGGCAAGATTAGCAATGCTATACCCATCTAGAGTTCTCTTCCTCGATACGACAATTCTCTGTGGATATTTTAGGAGTCGGCAATGGCGTTCACCCTGGGTTTCTGGTATAGCTGTGCTGGGCATGGCTTGAGATGTTAATAAATAGCAGCGAAACGTCGACAAAGCATAAAGGGATACACGCTGTTCTTCCTGATGTTCGACTCCCGGATTCCAAAACTTGTGAAGTCTGTCACGGTGTTGGCTAGGCGTGATGACCTGACGGGAGAAAGCATTGCAAGCTCTCAACTGTCCAACATAGAGCCCGGGTCCATGAACAGGCCTTCCAATACCTCCTTCTCCAATAACGTACCGCAGAGCACACCGTCGCATCACTAATCACATTCAGCTCTTTCTCGTTTTCACTTCACAGATTCCAAGATACCGCACACGGTGACCCCTAACTTCGCAGGCTGTCATCACCCGGCCGCGCTACTTTCAGATCGTCACAGAAACCCACCAGTTGCTCGCAAAACACGTCTTTCTCGCGTTTCAACGACAAAACTCACAAACAACGGCAGACGAGCATATCATCACATCTGTCAATGCCACGTGCGCGTGCTGGTCAACAACCATCGTCAACAAGACAATTTACAGCTTCAGGTCCGTCGGTCATCGCCGTTACAGTCATGCAACATAAAGTCGTCCACCTCTCTCCCTTCTGGTGGTGAATGGCCCGCACAAAACGACTATTTCAGCAAACTCGGAGATTATTTTGACCGTCCGGAATGGTGGAATGAAGGCGCCCAAGCAATTGGTGATTTCTTCAACCAAGACAACCCACCTGATAACTTACCAGATCAGCGACTGGAAGACCTCCTGGAGTCCTTCGAACCTTACGTAGCGACTGAAGGCCCTGTCACGCGCATCGAAAAGGACAACATCGACAAAGGACTGCCTAGCGAGATTGTGAGTCCGTTACCGTCTCGCCGCGTGCAAGAGTTGAATGTCCATAATACAAGCGCCGACCAGGATGAGCAGAGCAGTCCTGTTGAACCGCAAACCCAGAAGCAAGTCGTGTCCCTGGTGTCTCCGCCACAGCAAGAAACTGCGCCAGGACCCGATGACATTGCCGACGATACGGACAGCTCTCTTTTTGGATCGCGGTCTTCATCTCCCAATGCCGGACATGCTGAAACGGAGATCATAGAGTCGAGCAATAATCTTCCATTCCAAAAAGAGATTCTCATTGATGTTACCTTACAAAGACCCAGCGAACCCGCATCTACCAACATCAACAATGCCAAACTGAATTTGCCGTCATTCAGAGCTGCTTCCAACGAAAGACCACTGTCAGAGCCAGGCGCTACCATTGCTGATGATGCTATTGCCGCATCTTTGCCTTCACTCACGGGCACAACCACCATCACCAGACAAACAAGCATTCAGCCAGACTCAAGTACTCATGCCCCTTCCGCTTCCTTTAGCGATACAGTATTGCCCAGTGTCTCTACTGGAAAGAACGCTTCTTCTCCTTCCGCTCTATTACAAGATGTTGACGAGCGTTTGAGGACGCCTCAACTCCCGAACGAATTAAACGAGAGCATTGTTCTCCCACAAGACGGCGAACCTGTATTTTCAAGAGCTGTTGGAACTTCGATCGAACCCGAAGACCCTGTTCAAGGAAGCCCTCTCGACGAGGATATCGAAGATGTGAAAATCACTGGTGCAGTCTCTCATGTCGACCCCACAGGTATTCAAGCCATCAAAGACGAGTTTTCTGAGCAGTATGGCCTTGAAACTGGTCAAGACTCGAGCTTCATCTCTCAAGACGACGATGTCACCGTCGTACACGATCCATCTTCAGCAGCCACATCATTCTTCCCACCGAACCCTTACTCCACCGGTCCCGTGGAATACGACTATGGTGGCCTGCCACTGATCGAGGAAAGAGCTGCCTCCGTGGTGCCAGACCCAATTCCAGACCCTGTCGTACAGGACACATTCCCAGATCATGTTGTGCAAGATGCATCTCTAGACGAAGGTACCCAGCCATCAGATTCATCGCCTCATGGACTATCCGACGAGAAGGATCAAGCGTTTGTTCAAGACACAATAGAGACTTCGACGGCACCTGATCCTGTGCTATCCCGCGGCGAGCTCCCAACCTCATTCACGGACCAGTCATTGCTTCGTGAACAATCTGACGCAATTCAAGATGATCTCCAAGGTACGATCGAGGCTTCGACAATACCTGATATCCAGTCTGTTATTGATAGTCTGGACTTACCACTCCCAACCCCAACCCTGGAAATGTCAAGCGCTCTTAATATCCGTGCTGACACACCACCAGCACCGCCTACATCGCCATTGACCCCGCCACCAGAATACCTCGCCGCAAGACTGACCGATGAGCAAGATGCCGTCAGTGGGGCTGCCGAAGAGGAGAGCGAGGATGTTGAATCGAAGGTGGGATCATCGATTCCTAAAAAGACCTTCCTCAAGCTGGGCAAGGTAACACCCAACAAGGCTACGACTACTGGCAACTCCTGGAGCGGAAAGGTCTTTGGAGTGGCCAGAGAAGCCGACGATGAGTTCGCTCATGACGTGATGCAAGACCAGGATGAGGACGAAATTGAGGCCGAAATTGCTTCTGAAGACATCATCGAACGAAAGCGCAAGCAAGATCAATCTCATGCAGACGAGCCACCAAGAAAGAAGTATCTGTCAGAAATACCAGAGGACGACGAGCAATCTGCAATCGAGACCATTGAGCCGAGTACCGTTGCAAAGGGCACCACCAACAAAGGCAAGTCGAAGATGTCAGTGCACAAGACACAGGCACCAGTCACGAGACGTGACTCGACCGATGAACTCGCTCTGGATCTGCCTGATCAACCTGCGGACCCTCCCGCATTGACTCCTTTTGCTTTGAACAGAGGTAAAAAGGTCCTGCCGTTGGCAAAGACCATGCCTAAGAAGTCAACACCCAGCCGTCCAGGTGCTAAAAAGGCGGCTGCGACAGCCAATTCATCAGCCCCTGTCAGCGAGACAACTGCTCGTCCGAAGATTTCCAAACAAGGCGGCGTCTCGAAAGAGTTGGCTGCGTTGTTCGACTCTTCGCCCCCTCGTAAAGCCGGCGAAAAAGCAAAAGCAGATATTGGATCACGCCTGCGTAGCCAGCCCAACACTGCTGTACCCGTAGTTCCCAAACCAACCGCAGTTGCCGCAGCCAAGCAGATTTCAGACACCAGCACAACAGGCGCCTCCGCAGGCCCTAAGCGAGTTAGACTACATGGCTCCAACCCACTCGGCGGCCAAGAAATCAGCAACTTGGGCCCCTTCGCAGAGACGAGGACCAGAACACGAAACTCTACAGCTGCGTCTACTCCCGAAGCCACTCCTGGACCTTCTACAAAAACGGCACCCAAGCGTGTCAAAAACGCAATCAGCAAGCACGATCTTGAGAACGTGGGAGCTGTTATGGAGTCAAGGACCAGATCGACAAACACTTCAGTCGAACCTACTCCTAAACCTGCTGCCAAAGCTACTCCATCAAAGCGTGTCAGAAAGGCCCCGGTCCAGCCTTCTGCCAAAGCTGCTGTCGAACCTGCCGCTAAAGCCAATCCATTCCTCCTGACGAAGAAGCCGACGGGCGCCTCTAACGCACCTAGAAAAAGGGCACCTGCGAAGAAAAAGGCAGTCGAGCCGGAACAGGGAGAAGAAGTCCCTCTCGCAAGATCGGGAAAGCAGAGCAAGAGAAAGCGACCCAACGAGGGCAAAGATACTGAAGAGGGAGCTACGAGACAAAGCAAGAGGATTGCTGGAGCAAAGACTCAGGAGGAGTGAGCACGATGTTGCGAAGATGGATCTGCAACTTGTTTCGGAGGTTGCTATTGAGATGTCGGAGGTAAATAGGAAGATGGAGGTTCTTGCTTGGTTCGCAGAGCTGGAAGGAAAGTGCCATTGGCTTGTTGCTGCTTGCTTGTTTAGGTTGAGATAGCTAGACAAGGCGATTGTATCCACATAGCTCTCTCCTCCAAATACGAATGCGAGCAATTTCACGATCAAACAACATTCTCCTACTAAGCCCACTCCCCAACAATACACATGAGCATAGCCCCTAAGAAAACACATACCATCATGAATGTCAACCGCCTGTTACTCTTCGTTTGAAGTTCAAAGAGAAAGTCCCTCGCCAACAATTCCACCAATCCATTGTAAACCAAAATACCAGCACTGATGGCGTCGAACACTCCGACGATAAGTAACTACATCACGTCAGCATCGTAATACCCAACCCCACATTGCAATCAAGAGAAGACTCACAGATTCATAACTCCCACTGTTATAAGTAGTCCTCAGACCCAAACCCACAGCCATGGATATCGGAGTAGTGACTCCATAACCTGCAATACACAACCAAGGCAGCCAATTGCGATACTTGACAGGAAATGGAATCATAGACATCCTGGCTCCGATGCCCAGTCCTTCGAATCCTTGATGGAACATCAGCACTATATACAATGTCGACCATTCGCTGCCCGCAACGCCGAAATTGAGTCCGATGAAGATGGAATGCCATATAATTCCAAACTCCAAGATCAAGAATGCAGCAAATTGTTGGGCGAAAGCCACTTTTTCCGCTTTTTCCGTGTCTAGTGCTTTTTCCTCGTCTGTTTTGTGTATAACGTCCCTTGACGCGGGAGTATTGGAGGGAGCAGAGCCAGTAATTATGCCTTCGACATTAGTGTGCAGATCCAATCCATATCTATCAGCGACGTATTTCTGCGCCACCACATCGACGACGAAAATGCACATGCAGGAAGCGAGCATGATGGCCGGCGTCCAGGAATACATTGCCCAGTTTCCTGTCATGCCTACACAGCTGTTTGGACCGATGTTTTGGTATGCCGGATCCAATCTGCCGTTTTTTTTTTCCATCAGTACTGCCATCTTTTTGTTTTCTTTCCTATATGTTACAAATACAACTTACAAATGTATAAATGCGGTACTCACGATGACTCCAGAGCCAAAGTATCTAGCGAACAAGTAGACCACGGTGGGGATCCGTAGACGAGGAAACTGTTTGCCAATATATGGGAATGCGGTGCCGAGGGTGGAAACGACGAGCATGACGAAGACGGCGGAAATACGAGCGGGGAGGTGACCATTGTATTCGTTTTTGCCCAATTGCAGATAGCAGATTATGTCTCTGGGGGAGGCGGTGGTGAGGTCGATATTGGTGGGGTTGAAGGTGGCCATGGTGTTCGTAGTCACGACCGAGAGACCGAAACCAAAGTGAGTGGTGAGATGCAAACGGTGGAAAGAGACTGTTGGTTCAATTCAATGGCAGTGTCGTGTTCGAAAGCCAAGTCGTGGTTGTTATGTTGGTTTTACCGATATTCACGGTTGAAAAGCCAGCACCTTGATGAAGACTTACCGGGTACGACGGATCTATTATAGTAGACAAGCGGGAGGTTCAGGAATGAATCGTCGTTGCCAAAGAATTGCCAATTGCTTGTATGCCAATGTTGTTTACTAAACCGAGGGCTTGGTGAAAGCTTAAACGTAAAGTTGACGCGTGGTATGCATTTTTTCTCCAAAAATCACCTTGATGGTCGGAGATCCATGATGCAAGACAGGAACTGATTCGATATATTGTATTCGCTTAGCGAGTAGAGGATCATGACTTCTAAGCCTTCTCTTCCTCCTCCCCTGCAAACTCTACCAGTGCCGTGCCAGCCTTGCACAGATCTCCAGCCTTGTGCACGACCTTTGCAATCACACCATCATGCGGCGCTCTAATGACCGTCTCCATCTTCATACTCTCAATGACCACAAGTGCCTGGTTCTTAATGACCTTTGAACCTTCCTCAACTTCAACACGAAGCACCTTGCAAGGCATGGGTGCCAAGACACTGTTCGCGACATCTTTCATGCCCAGAGCTTTCTCGGCCCATTTCGGAACAGCGAGTTGTAGACGGTATTGACGTCCTTGTTGGAAGAGAATGAGGTTGTTTGTTTCTGGATCTCGGATGACTCTGGTTTCGAGACGGGTGTGAGGGTAGAATGATTGGAGGATGTTGGTGGTGCTGTTGAGTTTGCTGGTGACTTGTAGCGGTTGTTGGCCTCCGATAGAGACGGAGAATGTGTGTGGACCAAGGTGCTGGACGTGTGCAGTGATGGATGAGGCACTGCTGCTTTGACCGTCTGCCGGGATCTCGACGAGATCAAAAGTCCTTGATCCGGACAGTCCAGTGTTGAAGCCAATGGTCTGAGAAGACAAGACTGATTCGCTGCCAGTCAGTCCTTGCTCAGCGATGTACAGGCCAAGAGCTGCTTGCGACCAGGCTTCGTCTGGGATGTCGACCTTGCGGAATAGCTCATCCTTGTTCTTCTCGATGTATCCAGTCTCCACTTCGCCAGCCACGAACTTAGGGCTGACACACATACGCTTGACGAACTCGATGTTGGTGATGGGTCCAGCGATCTCGTATTCTTCCAGGGCGGTCTTCATCTTTTGTAGTGCTGCGTGTCGATCCGGGCCTTGAATGATGAGCTTCGCAATCATTGGGTCATAGTGTGATGTGACTTCGTCTCCGACAGCAAATCCAGCGTCAATCCGTACAGTGTCGGTGATTTCGGGAGTTCTCAAATGTAATAGCTTGCCCGAATCTGGCACAAAGTTCCTGTTTGCGTTAGCAATCTAGCATTGTCATGATCAAGTGTGAAGACTTACATGTCAGGGTTCTCGGCATAGATGCGAGCCTCGATAGCATGTCCACGAGCCTTGATCCTCTCATGCACTTCTTCCTGTGTCAGGGGCAACTTGCCTCCTTCTGCAACCAGAATTTGCCAGTGCACCAAGTCTTCGCCAGTCACCATCTCCGTGACAGGATGTTCGACTTGTAATCTAGTGTTCATCTCCATGAAAAAGAACTCGCCAGAGTCGTTGTCGAAGATGAACTCGACAGTACCGGCACCTTCGTAGGCAACCGCAAGGGCAGCAGATCGAGCTTTGGCCCAAAGGTCTTGTCGTAGTGCTTCGTCGAGATGAGGTGCTGGTGACTCCTCCAAAATCTTCTGATGTCTTCTTTGGATACTACAATCTCTCTCGCCCAGTGCGACACAGTTTCCGTGTTTGTCTGCGAAGACTTGGACTTCGATATGGCGAGGTGTAGTGATGTATTTTTCGACCAACATGACATCGTCACTAAATGAGCTCATGGCTTCAGATTTGGCGGATGCTAGTTGATCCAAGAAGTCGTCAGGAGACCTAGAGATGCGCATGCCCTTACCACCTCCACCCTTGACAGCCTTGAGCAAGACAGGATAGCCGATCTGAGCTGCTTGATGTTTGAGAAAGTCGGGGTCTTGGTTCGAGCCATGATAGCCAGGGATACAAGGAACACCAGCCGAGGTCATGATATCCTTGGAGCGACTCTTGTCACCCATGGCCTCGATGGCTTTCCAAGGAGGTCCAATGAATTTGAGTCCTGCTTCGGTGCACTTCTTGGCAAATGCCGCATTCTCACTGAGAAACCCATAGCCAGGATGAATAGCTTGACAGCCATGTTCGCGTGCTGTTTGGATGATTCGGTCGCCGTTCAGATACTGGCTTGAGTCGCTGAGGTTTATAGCAAAGGGAGAGCTCAAGGCATGTTGACTGTATGCATCCGGATCTGTGTAAAGTGTTGTTGTTCTGATACCGTACTGCGCAGCAGTTTTGCCGACTCTAAGAGCAATCTCTCCTCTATTGGCAATGAGAATAGATTGTAATGGCTGTCTTTCAGATCCCTGGCTTGTTGTTGTGCTGGTTAGTCGTTTAGTCACTGCAGGAACGAGATTTCGAGTGCCTCTGGTATGACGGAACATGTTGATTGGATGCGCGGCACGCTTCATGAATTGTCGCAATGGTACTTAGCAGTCGACGATATGTATACTGATGGTCATCCACACCGAGGGTAGCCACAGGGCGCGTCGTGGGGGCATGCGGGGTACCTGCCTCATAGGGAATTGCCGGAGGCACAGGCATGTGACCATCGAACCTCTCCTTGGCTGCACCTCCTACCATCACTCATGGTGCCTTTCGAACGGCCAAATCCATGTCTTCACTTGGGTTGGAAGATTGATATTCTCGCCAGGTTGCTGGCATTGAGGAGAAATCGCGAAGCAGCCGCGCTCCAGCCACGTCATCATCCCGCGGTATTCCCGTCTTGTTGCCTCCTTGAACGCGACGACCATCCTTCTCAACACCACGAAATACTGAGCGGCAACATCCTGACGCATTATCACATCTCCTGCTCGTCCAATGTAGAGATTGGCACAAACTTCGTGCTCTGGTGAAGACTCTTCATTGGGTCATCATCCAGGGTACGTCTTGGTTTCTTCCCAGCGCCTAGAGCTTGGTGTCTTGGTTTGGAACATTTTTTCTCTTGGTTGGAATATTCCTCCAGCATTGACACGCGATCATTGAGCACACGTGTTGGGCTGCTCTGACAGAACATCAATAACATCTTGATATTGGCAGCTTAAGGACAAGACTGCCAATGGTTTGACCCACAGAATGTAGGTAGGCGACGATGAGTTGTTTTTGCAAGACTATGTTGAGGACCATTGACCTTATTCTCCATATAAATGGTAAGTCTGTTCTACATAAACAACTGTCAATAACAACATCACCCGAACTGATCGAACTCCTCCCTAGCTTCGTGCAAGACATATCTCCATCATGCCGCCCGCTGTGACCGCCAAATACGACTGGATCCTCGCCATCACGACTATCGCCTTCGTGTTCAGCGCCTTCGGCAATGGAGCCAACGATGTCGCAAACTCGTACGCCACATCCGTCGCTGCTCAAACTTTGACTATGCCACAAGTTGGTGTTCTGGCAACCATAACGGAGTTCGTGGGAGCTGTCGGCCTAGGAGCTAGAGTCACTTCCACCATCAAGAACGGAATCATCTCGATTGATCGCTTTGAGGGCAATCCTGGAGCTCTCATGCTCGCCATGGGTTGCGCGGAAGTTGGAAGCGCTTCATGGCTAATGCTCGCCACTGGACTTGGTATGCCGGTGTCCACAACTCAGACCGTAGTTGGAGCCCTGATTGGTGTTGGATTCGCAAGCGGAAGTCCTGTCAAATGGGCTTGGGAGTCGGGCAGTGTATCTCAGGTCGCTGCCTCATGGGCTATTGCTCCTTTGATCGCAGCTGGCTTCTCTGCTATCATCTTCGGGTCGGTCAAGTACAGCGTTTTGGAACGCAAAGATTCCTTCAAATGGGCCATGCGACTGATCCCTTATTATCTGGCATTGACTGCTGCAATTCTGGCTCTCTTTATTGTCGTCGAGACTCCTACTGCACCTTCTCTGGAAGAATTTGGTGCTGGCAAGGCAGTCGGAATCATTCTCGGCGTTTTCTTCGGCGTCCTGGCCATTTCGTACATCTTTTTTATACCATACTTCAAGAGACGATTGGTTGTAAAGGACGCGCGTGTCAAGGTGTGGCATATTCCCCTCGGCCCTCTCCTTCTGAGGGACAATCCACCACTTTACTTCCCTGGCAACCCTGATGGCCAGTACATTGGAGAATATCAAGCCGAGGGGAAATCATTTAACGACTCACCGGAAGCTAGTCCAGATGTCAGAGGAAACAGTCCAGCATCGCTCATGGAGCAAAATTCAGAGAAAGTCGCACCTATTCTCGGAGACTCATCGTCAGTCGAAAAGGGCCCGCAACAACCTTCAGGGATGCGGAGGCGCCATATTGGTCCACATGAGCGCTTCTTGGAGCCAAACAAGGACCTATCCATCGCGCATCCTCAGCGCCTCTGGGGTTATGTCAAGTTTGTACTGCTCCAAGGTGTTACGCGCGATGTCATTACTCACGACACTGCTGCTATGCGTGCGATTCACGCACGTGCGAACAAATACGATCCAAGAGTGGAGCATCTCTGGACATATTGCCAGGTAGCTTCGGCCATGATGGTACGTATGCAAGGGTACAGATGTTATGAGCCAGTAGCCGCCGAAAGGTGTCTGCTGTCTTGTGGTATTGTGCCACTAGACACACATGAGAAACATGCTAATTGTGAGGTCAGATGTCGATTGCCCACGGAAGTAACGATGTGGCCAATGCGGTCGGTCCATGGGCTGCTGTGTACCAGACATACCAAGCAGGAGAGATCGCGACAACATCTCCGACACCAGTCTGGTTCTTAGTGGTCGCCGGTTTCCTCCTGGGTGCCGGTTTCTGGTTCTATGGTAAGTTGGCTTGTGTCAAGATTCAAGATAGTTTGGCTGACAATTTCAGGATATAAAATCATGAGAGCCATGGGAAACAAAATCACCCAAATGTCACCGAGTCGTGGATTTGCTGTTGAGTTGGGCGCAGCAGTGACGGTCTTGTTGGCTTCAAGACTAGGTCTGCCAGTGTCGACGACGCAATGTCTGACTGGAGCAGTCATGGGGGTAGCACTCATGAACTATGACTTAAAGGCTGTGAATTGGAAGCAGTTGTGCTTTATCTTCATGGGATGGGTCTTGACGCTCCCAGCTGCAGGATTGATTGGAGGACTCTTGTGCTTGATGGCGTTGAACACTCCTCATTTCTAGAAGACGTCAAAAGCGATGCATAGGCCGATTGGAGCGACGGACACCTCGTCAGGAAGTAGCGTGATGCGAGGAAAATAAGAGTCTTCTCTGATGGTCCTAGATTCGGGACCGCTGTGCTTTCAAACATAAAGGAACAATACTGTCGAGTCCTCGTATGCAGAGTGAGCGGAACCGATCAGCTCATCACATGTCGCTTTTGGTGGGGCGGCTGCCTGCAGCAGTTCATTGAGGTGAAGATTGGTTGACAAATCGTCGAGGCTACTTGTATACCAGGAGGCGGAAGTTCAACTCTGAGAAGGACAAGTCTCGTATAATGCAGCAGAAGCCTCAAGGACCATGATCCTTGAGGGTTCACGGCTCAAGATTGATGGAAGGAGCAAAAGCAGGGTTCAACCTCGGCCGAAAGTGTTGGATGGCTTGAGAAAAGTGTGGGGAATGTTTACAAGAGAACGGAAATCAATGGCGGTATTGACAGTCGGTCGCGAGCTGCCTATTGCAGACGAGTGCAGGTGGTAGAGAGTAGAGCACTGCATCGCGTATATCAACCTGCATAGACAATCGATAGAGCAGGTACCGAAGCAGCTAAGCTGTGGCTGACTGTCTGAACGAGGGACGCCGTCTCCAACTCTTTCTCTCTCTCCCTGTTTCCTGCTTCCCCAAAACAGCTGTGCCATCACCGACCGCGACATCCTACACAACATCGCCATCATTCGAGTCGCCTAATCTCAATCGCTCCAACACCACTGCGCGACCACAGCCATGTCCGGAGGCTATGATAACGACTACGACTCGGACTGCGACTACTACGACTATGACGATGATTACATCTACGCCGATGCAGGAGCCTTCGACCTAGCCGTATGTCTTCGAAGATGCACTGGAAAGACCAAAGCTCTAACGTTTCTCAGGACGAACTCGCGTCTGGAGCAATAGCCGAAGCTCCCGCCTTGTACTACCGCGATGACGAACTCGAAGAATACGACAACTACAATTTCTGGTCAGAGATCGAGTACGGTAACAAAGAAATCTTCGACCAAGAATCCGCCCATATCAACCCAACCGACAAGAAAAAGAAGTCAAAGGCTGCAGAGATCAAGGACACAATCAAGAAGATACGCTTGCGCGGCATTCAAGATTACCCGACCGTCTTATGGAAATCCTCACAAGAAGCCTTCAGTCTGAGTCAACCTTGCCCCGTCTACGACAAGCCACAACAACCGACCTCGCTCCTCCCAAATTGGCGACAGCTCCTCAAAGACCGACCTGCTGTATTCACCACATCATACATGGCCATCCACACTACCAAGGACAAGCAAGAAGACGCTGAATGGGAGGACATGTCAGAAGACAATCATGACGACGAGGAAGGTGACGAAGATGACGACGAAGACGACGACGATGAAGCCGACGAAGAAGCCACGGCCTTGCAAGACATTGATCCAGAGATGCTCAAGTCTGCTCTTGCGGCGAGACTGTCGGCTTCTGGAATGGCAGGCAAGGACCAGTCGGCCATGATGGAAGCCATGCTGCAGATGCTGGCTGGAGGCGACGGTGCTGCTAACGACGACCTCCTTGAGAGTCTCACATCCAACATGCTGAATCAAGTCACCAAAGAGGGCGGCGACTCGTCTATGGGGCAATGGCTGGCTGGACAAGGTGTATCGCTTGAAGAAGATGCTGAGACTGGTGACGAAGAGCAGGAGAGCAACTCATCCATGACAGCTGGCGCATCCAAGGACTCCTCACCAAAGGACAGCGTAGCAGCTGAACAACCAGCTGCCCCCAAGCTCTCGGACCCATCGATCGAGGTACTACTCGAACCACAGTCTACAGGAAAGAAGCGAAAACATCCTCTATCCGAAGTTGTCAATCAGGACCAAACACCAGATACGTCTACTCTCGAGTCGGAGCCCGAGCCAATCCGCAAGCGAATCAAGCAAGAACCCTCTAAACCTTTGACTGTGTCTGCTCAGCCCAAGTCTTCGGCGCGCAAGCCATCAGTACCACAAACGAGAGGAAAGATGGCAGATGACAAGGCTACGGCCAAACCCAAGCCTACCGTCGCAAGCAAAGCTAAGCCCGAGACTACAAAAGCAACCAATCCCAAAACCCAAACAACCCAGGCAAAAGAGAAGGCACCACTTATCAAAGAACCCACAAAGCCAGCAACGCGAAAGCGCAAAGCTACAGAAGAACCTATTCCGGAAGAGAAGCCCAAGAGACAGTTGCGCAATTTTGCTGCACCCACCGCGAGCAGCCAGAGTAAAACGTCCGAGACCAAGGCTTCAGAACCAAAGACTACGAGAAGTGGCAGGGCCAGAAAGTAGACGGTGTTCATGTTTTGGTGATTTTCTCATTATTCAGGCTGGCTAAGAGTTTCAGGCGGTCCAAACCAATCATCATCAAGTTTCAGCATGGTGGCACTTTCTCGGGGTTTGGGTAGCACATTGTTCCGATCGTTCATTTTCTGTATGCTATCAGTTTGACCTGCGAGATGATCTCTAGATCGACCATCATGGTGTGCGACAATGGTCCAATCAGAAACGCGCTTGCCAAGTTTCTGGCTGTCAACAAAGAAAAAGCAGGGTCCTCAGTCAGCCTCTGACGAACAACGGCCTCGCTAAACAACAACGTATGCATGTGTGCATGCGCGCGACTAAGGACCGATAGATAAATGCCTTGTCGACCGCAGGATTCGTAAATCTTTTCAAAGGCAAGTCTCGACAACAAACTCCCTCGCACCTGCTGTCAAACACTTTCTTCGTGTGACTTTGGACAACTCGACATCAAGGTTGAAAGCACAAGATTCAAGGAAGGTGATACCCAACGTGACATTCCTTTGTGTTGGTCACACGTGCCAATAGAGCTACATCTTTACCCCTTGCTTGCTTCCATCAAACTTTCTTCTTTTTCAGTACCAACATTACTTCTTCAACAAACGTCTGGAATTCTTACCTTTCCATCATCACTCTGCGAAAATAGGATTCCGCAATCGAGAGAACGACGTTTGGAAAGCCTAATATCAGGACGTCAAAGCCTACTATCGCGACTACAAGGAAGAAAGATCAATATCTCGATTTCGCCGTCGGACAACTGTTCTGAGTATGTTCCAATCACTGAAGGACCGCTCCTCGTTTGGAGGCTACATACGATTCGCTCTCCGCATCTTGCAATTCATCCTCGCCATCACTGTCATTGGGCTCTATGGCTACGATCTGGATAATGCACGAAAGGCGCGTGTTGCTGCCGACCCCAAATGGACCTTTGCAGTCGTTGTGGGCGCACTGTCCGCCCTCTCGGTCTTCATCTACCTTTTCAAATTTTCATTACGCTTCTTCTGGGACGCTATCATGCTGTAAGTCTTTCTCCCCACTCCTCTTCTCGGACAGCCACTGACGTCCGAGCAGTATCCTCTGGGCAATAGTATTCGGCATTTTTGGAAAGCTTTTCATCAACTTCCATCCCACTCCTAGACAGGGTGGTCAAATCAGAATGAAGAACGCAGTCTGGATCGACTTGGCGAACATGATCCTCTGGTTCATCACCTTCGTCTGGAACCTGATACTGCACTTCACCCGCATGGACAAAATGACCCTGCACACCGGAAGAGCAACAGTCTAGAATGCTGAACAGATGAGATACAGGTCTTCCGACTTGTACGTCAAGTATCCCGTAATACTTCCACGTGATGCGGAAGATGAATTGGGTCGTTCTCGTGCGAAAACCCTGAGAGGTGTGGAACCTTTGTCGGAGGATGACTGTTGGAACAACAGGATGGATGCACCGCCGCGGAGGGTGTATGCGCCTCCACCGGGACCGCCGCCGACTGAGGAGCTTCCGCAAATTGGTTGACGCGTGCTGAGACCATACGAGCTTATGAGCAACCGGGAACCATTCATGTTGATTGAAGGGAAAGCATAACGGGGCTTTCGACCTAGGATAATAACGATGGTTTTTATTTTTCCAACTTCCCTTACTGACCATACTCTTGTCCATGGCCATCGTGATTGCTTCTGCTATACCTACGTCCCAAATTGGAATCAAGATCACATTGTAATTGCGCATTTGCAAGGAGTTGGAAGTCAAAACAATATAAAAAGTTGAAAAAGTCATGTTGTAATTCGTTGTCTCGTAGGACTTGATGCTGAAAATGCAAATGGTTCCAGAGGTATATATCCCCCTCCTTATTCCCCATCCTATTAAACCAAATACCTGAATCCCTGTCTCATTCTCAGCGCCTCATCAGGAGATTCCAAGAATTCCTTCTCGGCGGTGTGCTCGAGAACATCGGGTCTGGTGGCCCAAGCGGCTGCTTCTCCTGCTTCCAACTTTTTGTTCAGGTTGACGAGGATCATCTTCATGATGATGCAGCCGACGATGGTGACGCCGAACATGGATAGCACGATTCCGTAACTCTTGCGGTAACCGTTTTCCGTAAGCGCCCATACGTATGATCCAGCGACGTTGCCGAGTTGTGAGAAGGCGTTGACCAGAGCGATGGCTACGGCGCGTTTAGCAGGGGGGCGGGGGAATGAAGACGAGATCCAGGAGTAGAAGACGATGAATCCGGCGTAGGAGGATGCTTGGAGGAAGAGGGCTACATAGCGGGCAGCGGTTTGCTCGGTGGCCATACTGATGATGAAACCGACAAGGCCGATACAGATGGGTCCAACGATGTGCCAGAATTTCTCTTGGGTGCGGTCGGCGTGCCATGCGTTGATCAGGGAGACGATACAAGCGAAGGCCCACGGGGGAGCGCTCATGAGGAGAGTAGGCACGTAGCCGAAACCCAGCGTCTTTGTGAGAGAGGGGAAGAAAGCGTTGAAAGAGAGACCGACGACGTAGGCGGTAAAGGTCAGCATGAAGACGTAGATTTTCAGGTCTTTGAGGGCCATGAAGAGACCATCGAATACACCGTCTTCTTTGCTGTCTTCATCTGCTTCACCGACATCTTCGATCATGCGGAGTTGGGCAACCTGCAACTCCTCCTCGGTGAAACCGCGCGAGTTGTGAGGCAAGTCGGGAAGCACGATAGCGGCAGTAATGGCAATGCCCATGGTAACCGCTCCCTCGATCCAGAACAGCCATCTCCAAGCTGCGTGACCAAGGACACCTTGCATGTTGGAAAGCACACCTGCACCAACCAGAGCGGAGAAAGCGTTGGAGATGAGGTTACCGCAGAACAAGATTGCGTTTCTAGTGGTCAATTCGCGTCGGGTGTACCATTTTGACAGGATGAGCAGGGCACCGGGGAGGAAAGCGGCTTCGACGAAACCAAGGCAGAAACGGATGGCGACCATGCCGCCGAAACCGTTGACGACTCCGGAGAGGGTTGAGACCATACCCCATAGAAGCATGGCAAGTCCGATGTACCATGATGGCTTGGAGATACGGTTGATAATGATGTTCGAGGGGACCTGGAGAAGTTCAAATCAGCATGCTTCTCACAATTCTCGTGTCTTCGAACCAACTCACCTGCATCAAGATGTATCCGACATAGAGAATACTCAAGCAAGTGGCGTATTGTGTGTCGCTGAGCTTCAAGTCCTCTTGCAGACCTCTCAGTCTAGCTGCAGCCATGTTGTTGCGGTCCAGGTAGTTCATGATGTAGATTAACACGAACAGCGAACACCTCGCATCGAGCTTCCTCTTCATCGACTTCTCAACAATCTTTCGACGTTCCGGGTCCATGGGAGGGTGTGCATTGCGAAAAGTCTCAATCGGCGACTTCTCGGCGTCGACAAAGTCGCCGCCATCCTTCTTGATGTCGTCGGTCATGGTTGCACTCAATCAAAAGACAAGGAGAAGAGTTGAGTGAGTGGATAGAGATCATGCACAGGGGAAAGGCCTCTTATTTATGTGTGCTCCCATGGGGCCCCACGTAGAGTCCAACCCCGGTACCCCAATCACTCGTCCCCGGCACATTGCCCCGTATATTGATCCACCTTTATGGCCTTGGCTTGAAGAAAATGATGGAGCAAAACACGGCATATCCGACCATATCGTGGTAGAAGGTGAGGCGACGTTCGGATAGCGCAGGTTTAGCCCGAACGCTGGGGCCATCTTGTAGGTTCACTGTCGCCCTGTCGCCCTCAGAGACGAACGAATGACCAGAGATGTCATGACTTTTTGGTGAGAAACTGGTTGTGCTGATTGAAAGCCCTAAACATCCGAGATCACCCGCCCTGTAACGGTGGTATCCTGCTTCCGTGCTCGGAGTGCTTGATTCAGAGCTGGAGAAGGAGAAGGTGGAGGAGCAACAAAATTTGGGGAGGTGTGATCCGTGCTTCATGCTGATCTCTCAACCTTCAATATCACAAGAGACAAGCATTTCAACTGCATCGCTGGTTAGATATCACTCGATGTTCCTTCGATGAACGGCATGGCTGCAATACAAAGCCATAAGGAGACAACACACGATCTCGGACCCGATTTGATCAGTGCGACTTTTGGCATAAAGTGATGAGGTTCAACTTGAATTTCCGGCCACTGTGCCTTAAAGGCGCCAAACAAAGTCTATGGAAGCTTGGCTAAATGGAGCTTCAGCTTGTCGCGTGCTCCATAGCAAGTTATGCAAACATGCACAGGTGGCTTACATAAAATCATCAGTGGCTTCGACGCGCTTCAACACCAGCGGGACTTTTCGGCTTCGCGTCTTTGGCCCATGACATCTTTCGCCAATCTATCCACCATTGGTCAATCTCACAATATCCCCGGCATGTCTCCGCAACCTCTCAGTATTATTGGCGCTGGCCTTGGAGGTGTCACGCTCGGGAGAGCTCTGCTGGAGAGAGGAATTCCCGTTGTGCTATACGAACGCGCTACATCGGCACCTAGACATGGCTATGGCATTAGTCTACACGCGTCCACATATAAGCCATTGCTCAAGATGCTGAATATGGACGAGTCAACCTTCAGAAAGAGCGTTGCTGTCGATGCTGCTGTAGGCGGAAATGGTGCAATTGACCCCAAGAGACTGGTCTGTCCTCGCGAAGTGACATCTACATCATTCCGTGCACACCGCGAAAGGCTGGAGAAGCTGATACGACAAGGACTGGATATCAAGTGGGAGCATGGCCTGGAGAAGTTGGATCAGACACCTAACGGCACTACACTATACCTCCAGAACGAAAGCAGCATCGAAGGTCAAACATGCATTGTTGGTGCGGACGGCGTGCACTCTCTCACGAGAAAGTCTATTCTGAGAGAAGCTGGTTTGGATGTCTTACCTTTCGTCACCTTCAATGGAAAGAGAAAGGTGAGCAGAACCACTTTCGACGATGTTTACGCTCCAGCTTTGAGAGGATCCAATGTCATCGAAACTCACAACAACGGTGCTTTCCTACAAGTCTCTGTCAACGACATTACAACCGATCAAGCCAGTGTGAGCTGGGTGTATTCACGTCCAGCCAAAGGATCAAGCGACCATTGTTTCAAGCCAAATCGACTACTCTCCGACGCTACCAAGATTCCCAATGAATTCTACCAGGAAGTTACTGCACTTGAGGGTCTCTCTCCGCCATTCTCGGAAATCTTTGATGCGGACAAGATGAAGGAAGACCGTGTGTTGACATGGTTGATGCGCACCTCGAATGTCGATCTTCCTCAACTCTATCAACTTGCCTCTAATGGTATCTTCTTGATGGGTGACTCGGCACATTCTCAAGCCATCCTCGGTGGTGAAGGAGCCAACATCGCCATCTCCGATGGATTAACGCTTGCGGAAGCCATTGCTGCCAAGCAGGGTGAGACGATTACGAATTGGTACAGCAAACGCTTCCCGGCCTGGGAGGAGAGTTTGAAGACGAGCAAGGCGACGATTGAGGACATGCACAAAGAGGAGGCTCCCAAAGTTAAGGTCTAGAAGACACTGTTCAAAGAAGAATGAAAAGACTCTCGGGTGTAACAACTCGTCAGAAGACTCGAGCAGAAGAAGGTCGCTTTGGTCGAACAAAATGAAATGCGATCTATCACCCTGGAGTATTCAGATGCTCTTCGTCCTGGGACCTCATGAGAGAATCTTGAACGCGCATCCTATTTTCACCAAGGGCTTGGGACGTTGTTATGCCCTCTCCAGATCAAGCATCATGTGGACAGTCACACTATGGGTTTTGGTGTTCTAGTCGCCTAAGTCACCTTCCAGACTAAAACAATGTTCAAGTTCTCCAACTCGGGCCCTAGCCTACTTTGAACAGAGGACCTCAGTTGAGAACAGATCAACGATGACGGTGTTTTGATCGTCAGCTCAAGTCTATATTCGCAAGACATCACGACACAAGCACATACGGCCACAGTCAGCTGAAAACTGGGCATCCCGTCCGCTCTGCCATACATAAGCAGTTGAACGGCAGATTAGTACTACGGTGGGTGACCACGTGGGAATCCCTGCTGCTGTATGTTTTGCTCATGCTTTTTGTCTCGTGCTGAGGTGAAAACTCTGATTGTGGTTGGTGTGGTGTGCTTGTTGGTTGATTTTTGGTTACACCTCCAAACTTCGTGAGAGGCTTTTCACATCGAAGAAGATTGCGGAGCTCCTTTGTCTGGCTCCTATTCATACTTGTTCATACCCAGCATCCCACTCATCCCTAGTCACGTTCGCTGCCTTTGTCTCTCACTTCAATCGCTGTTCCAAAAAGAGTTGCACACAAGTGAACAAGCTCTCATCCTCGATGGATCGTGATTCTCGGCTGCATCTCCATTTGACCGGATGGTCAATTATGCTGATCTCAAACAACAACTTGCCAAAATGACCTTGTCCTTTACAAAGGCAAAAAGACATACATGATAGCTAAGCTTGGTTTCGATCCAAGGTCCTCCGGGTCGCACATTATGAGCTCTGTGAGCTGTATGAGCCCGGCGCGCTACATTTCTGTTAGTCAAGAGTGGTATAGGAGGTGAGTGGATAAATTACGAACCTTCCGCTGCGCCACTCAGCTTGTGGGTAAAGTGAATTCCGACTGATTATCCTATGATTTGTTGTTCTCTGGCAGGGTGAGCTCAGAAATGGCAAGTCAACGCAAGCATGTCACTTTACGACTACTATGGTACTCTTCATGTCTATCGGTCTATTAACATTCTGTCACTGGTTCATATAGGGACACAGTGTTTAATTCACTGAGGTCGGTAGCAGTTTTTTAGTACCTTTGCTATACGGAGATGTGTAATAGGGTCGGTATCACCGCGGCGTGAAGCTTCTCTTTACACATTCTTATAGCTAGAAACATCTGCCGAACTTGGAACTGAAGCACTATGATAACGACTTGAAGGGCCACTCCAAGATCGCATATAACTCTGTTAAGTTCTTCCGGCCGTTTTTGTATTGTTCAAGGTGCATAGCGAGGTGTAACCAGGCATTGAAACACAAGAAAATCTGAAGCCAGGGTCATACCCGCGACTTACGGGATGAGCAAACAAAAGAAAAAAGGGAGAATAAAAAATACATCTTGGCCACAGGATTCGTCGCAGGTTTCCGGACACGCGGACATCTCTCCCAGCCACCTCGGTCCATCAGCGTCACAACTCTCGGATACTTCTTGTGACTTGGTGTATAGATGCAATTGTCTGAATGATGCGAGACACCCGTCAGTCCCCGCGAACGTACGTCAAATGGCGGACCGACAAGCCTCGAACCGTACGAGGGACTACCTTTTCCAGCAAATGCGAGTCGAATAGGCCAACGGTACCCTTTTCCAGAACTTGGAAGATGAAAAAATCCTGTAGTAGGTGTGGTTATACACGGCTATACAAGCGCGAGTGCGCCGCGTGGGTTTGACCGTGTTTCTGAACGGCTTCATAGAACCGTTGGCGATCGTCCATCTTTTCGGCTTGCCCTTCCTCGTAACTTCTTCCATATCGAAACGTCGATGTCGACTTTCGAACTTCAAGTCGAAAGCAGCAGGCATCGTGCTTGCCCTACTTTGTGGATGTTTGTCTACGAGGCTGTGGCGTCGCAACGCCGGACGAATGCATGCCCAAACAGGAGAGAGCAATGGAATAGCTCACTCGTTGCTTGAGAAGCAGCTTACGCAGAGCCCTTGCGCAATTCCTTGGACACTACACATTGAGCTCTGGGACCGCGTCCCAGCACTACGTGATTTACGAGTAGTGGCGTCGTATTGCTCGAAGAACCTTTACAGACTCCCCGTTGTCACCATATCTCCAAGAGGAGTGAATAGAAAGCGCAAGCAGCTTTCGGTCCACGGCAAAGGGTAACTTCCTGTACCTACCGGAACTCAAGCGATTAGCTCTCAAAGTACCGAATGGTCATAGCCCTTCCAAATCATGAACCAGTGCTAGACACCAGGGACAGCATGATATAGTCCTCCACGAGGACGTACTGGAATCCATCTGGGAAACAACGCTCGTCAACATCTTCTGATAAATCCTGGAGTCAACTATATGAATGCGCTGTGCTCAACTTCAACACAATCCTTCTCGGTGCGTAAAGGTATGCCTGGTGTTCGAGAAGTTCCGCCGTTTGGCTGTAACCGTTTTGGTTGACTATCGTATAACGGTCAACTTCTCATGAACTCATGAATGGATTGGTCCAGCCGTTCGAACTGCCTGTCATTGCCGAGTCACCCATAAGATTACACGCCTGTCTCGGAGATTGAGCCAGCTGAACCTGCTGTTGTCCACTCGTTCGTTCAGGTGTCGACTTTTCATCCACTTGAGAGCCTTTTAACAAAAACAGCATTGATATAGCACGGATGGCGTCCGCCGTGCCGGCAGCCGCTTCTCAGGCACCTTGGACTGCCTTCGAGTCCAGGAAGGTTGGCCTTGTTAGTATCGTGGAGGAAGAGTTAGTAGCGGGCTGTCAATCACCACTGGCCTCATCGACTCTCCAAACGCCTCAATGGCGAGATGTCGACTACTTTGACAATGCGAAGAGCTCAAGAGCCAAAGGGCTTGGTGTCACTTCAGCCTCTCATACTGGCTCTCCCCTGGTGATGTCTTCGAGGAACAGCTCACCTGGAGCATCTCCTAATCCTTCTTCGCCCAGACTTACGACGTTGGGCTGGGGTATGGTACCACCACGTCAAACCTCACCTTTGGGTACTGCCTCGCCAATACTATCTCCTATGGAGATCTGGGACAAAGGGCCGTCCGTGGTCCCCAAGCTATCATCTGTGATACCGGATATCTCTGACGACGAGGCTTCACGACATGGTTCGATCGCCGACATCGAAATCATTCTGCGCAAGGCTTCAATTGCCCTGTCTCAGCTCGACGGATACACGACCACAAAATCCGACATCGAAATCTTGATCAACGAAGAGTCAGATGTTTTGGGACCCCTTCACTCGCCATCAACGCCATTGACACCTTCCATCCGCACACCGCTGAGTCAAGCATCACCAAGGGCATCGCCGAGGGCATCATCTGAGTGTCTCGGAAGGGCAACTTCCAACGACGATCAATCAGCTGGTACTGCAACGCCACCAATTGGTAAGAAGCGTCCTCTGCTTGAGCCTTCCGTCGTTTTCAAGAAATTCAACAACTTTGCAGACTTGCACTCCTTCTCATTTGGTCAAGGCCCAAAGGGCCGGAAGGAAAGTGCTGGTGGCCAGGACCCTATGTCGTCTCCTCGGATGAGTGCAGAAGGCAGTATCCAACGACCGTCATCTGCACGTGTGAGCCTTGGAAGCAGTATTGACAGCGAGATCACCCGAGACGTGATGCTTATCAATCCTGTTACTGGAGAACGCAAGATGTCCGCCATTCGGCCCTCGTTATCGGTGGAGCAACTGCGCCGACCTAGTGCGCTGCGACGAAGTTCTTCTGCGACTTCTATGTACACATTGGTTAGAAGAGAGTCGCTGTCAGCTGACAAACTACGGACACGCTCAACAGCTTCTCGACCCAGTCTCTCCGGGAGGAATACTTCGATACCCCTGTCATCTGATCAAAGGCCCATGTCGACAGAATCTGCATCACAAACAAGGACCCCCTCGTTCACCACTGATCAACGCACTCGCAATTACTCGTCTTCGACACGTCATTTGTCTAGTGCTTCCAACGCCCGGACCATGTCGAGCACTCGGAACATGTCTCATTCCTCTTATGCTCGTACTATGTCTAGCACAAGGACCATGTCAAACTCAACATGGTCAAGAACGATGTCGACATTCTCAAGAGCTTCATCAACAACATCAGTAACAACGTGTGATTTCGAGGCAGACAGGAATATTTGCAACGAGATCCAGGATACCTATCCGGATGAACAACCACGCCGCAAGTCATCGCTATTGGTTCCCTTATTCGGCAATTTTCAGTGGCGCAAACCAGAGCCTGCAATTACTCTACCAATCCAGGAACCTGTGCCTGCCTACCAAGAAGCATTGGCAGATGTTGAGGAAGATCCTGACTTTGTGGAAGTCGAAATCGAGCCCAAAGCCGGATCTGTGTCCAGAAGAGCTTCGCTAATTGCGAACATCTTCACAAACAACGATGTTGATGTAGATCCAGACCTCAAATTCGAACCTTTAGCCTCCGAGACACAGATCAAGCAGGGCGTTGCAGAAGCTCAGGTCGAAAGAAGCCAGCGCAAAATGCTCTACTCCCGCAATGTCGCAACAGCATCACTCGGAACTATTAACGCAATCTGTGTTGTCTTATCATTTGGACTATTCACTGTCTGGTATGCCGTTGCACCCCTTGTCCTGGTCGCACCTCTTCTCAGATCGGTCATGGTCCTCCAAGTACTAGGCGACCATCTCTACACAAAAGTCAGATCACTGTTACGGCCTCAACAGGATTGGTCCGAATCTCCTGCTATGGACTATGCTACTATTTTGTCATTCTCTAACGAGACGCAAGAAATGATGGAAAGCACCCTCGACTCTCTCGTGAATCAACAAGGTATCGATATGTCTAAAAACCTGTTGATTATCTCTTGCAACGATCAGATGCTGGACAGCACTCGTGCCAAAACTACCACAAGGATTCTTCTCGAACATGTTTTCACAAACATCGTTGATGAAGCAAAGTTCCAGATTCCACGTGAGGATGACGAGTACGAGTTCGATGCTCTATGGTGCCGTAGGGGAATCTACAAAGGCTTGCCGTACATCTTGATGGTCAAGGAGGGCGGAACAGCCAAAGTGGAGAATCTCAACTTGATCCGAAATTTAGTTCATTCTTACAACTTGCGTAAGGAGTCATATCACAACACTGCCCCTTCTGCATTCTTTGCCTGGTACAAGGAATGGGCAGAGTTACATGATTTTGCATCTTTCGACTTCCTCGTCAACGTCAGCTCCAATACTGCTCTTGACGAGCGCTGCATTTTGGAGCTGTACCGCCAGTCTCTTACGAGCTCAACCTCTGTCGCCATCTCCAGCCGTGTCGAGATCGAGCCTAGCACGTACAAGTGGAGCTTAGGAAACTTGTTCGACAATGCTCATCTCATGTACGACCAGGTACGACAGTCTCATCAATCGCAGTTTACCCACAAGGTCAACCCCATACCAGATGCTTGCCAGATGCTCAAAGTTTGTGAGGAGACTTGCGGGCAGCAAACCCTGGAGGACATCAAAGGTCATCATGCCTCGCCTATGAGCAATATGGTAAAGCAGATGTGCTCGACTGTTGACGAAGATGACATGACGATGCACGCTTCATCTGGAATTACCACTCAGCAAGCCCTTCACGCTGTCACATACGCCCGCCCTTCTATCACCCTCTCTGAGTTTTTCGTGGAGCGCCAAAGACTTGCATTCTTGACTTGCGCCGTTAACCTTGCTATCGTCCGCAACAGCCAGACGCACTGGTTCGAAAGACTTTCATCCGGCGCCGAGTTGCTGGCGTGGTGCCTCCCTATCTTCTCCCTGGCCATCATTGTCAACTTCATCCGTGCCGCCGCAATGGCGCAGAACATTCCAGTACTGATCGTGCTCAGTGCAGTCGCCCTTCTGCCATGGGTTTATGGATTTACTTCCGCAATGTGGTTAGCTCGTTCTTGGGAAGCGAGAGTACGCTATGTACTTGGCTTTTTCATCATGGCTGTTGCAGGTCCGTTCGTTGCTATTTATGCTGTTGCTTCTACCGTTCTCAACTTGCATCGTGTCCGTCAGAGGGAGTCCAAAAGCAGACATCCTTCTGCTACCACAAAAATCATGTATTCCGGCGTTTGATTGGGGAGCACAAAATCGTGTGCTGCTTCTTGTTCGTTTTCTTTTCTCTAGATACCCCCTTTTGACTTGTATATATTATCTTCTCATACAAAGCTATCTCGCCATACCAACTTTGAGTCCTCCTTCTACGCCTGTACTGGTATCCGTGTCTTTGCTGTATTGTGAAGTGGCATCGATATCGATTGGTTATATTCTTTGTCCTGAACTGCTCCTAGCAGTACTGATCGGACACGACCTAGCTCTGTATGTTAACTCACAGTACTCTACCGTCGACCAATTTTCATCAAGGAGTGTTCTTCTTGCACCACAGACCACCAGAACAAAATGCCAAGAACCGAGATTTTCAACAACGCCGCGCCATCCGAAGCCTGCAAAAATTTTCTCAGCCACCCAGAACCTTTAGATAGTGTTGTGTACATCAAAAGAAAGCCCTTGTCGAGCAAAAGAAGATGTGATGGTCAGTACGGGGGTCGAACCCGCGACCTTTTTACTTCTAGGAGGTTCACTCCAAAAGAGCTGGAACGAAAAAAACCAAAACTGAGATGAGCGATAGCGAGTCTCGAGGTTTTTGGTTTTCGGTTCCGTTGTTTTAGAGTGAGCCGGATGGAAGGAAAATAGAGACTGAATCAAGAAAAAAGGACAAGTCCATAACCGTGACCCGAGAATTGACCAAGGATTCCCTAGAATTGACCAAAATTGGAGATTTCCAGATATAATCCCTCATAGTGATTTTACTTCTAGTAGGTTCGACATAGAAGAGCTGGAACGAAAAAAAGACAAGCCTTAAGGTTCGCTGCTCTTCCATGGTGAGCCGGATAGAAGGAAAATAGACTCCCGGTGGTTGACCACTAAAGTAGAAAAACAAAAAAGATGGAGTATTATCCCCTAAATTGACCGGCTTCAAACCAAGGAAGCCCGGGAATTGACCGACTACAGAACAACACCAAAAAAAGATGTTTGAGAGTGGTCAGTACGGGCTGGAACATTGTTAGTCAATAATCAGAAGTTTGAAAGTTCGAGTGTACTCACGGTCGAACCCGCGACCTTGGCGTGCCGTATATCGATTGATATTAGCACCACGCTCTAACCAACTGAGCTAACCGACCTGTTTGATGTGTTGGAAATTGATCCAAGCATACACAATTCCTTGCCCAACGGTTCGCGGCTGTCCTGGGGACGAGGAGGAAGTCTCAAGGTGCTGTCTCTCTTCTGCAGGTCGCTCGAATTTGGTGTTGAGTCGTCCTCTGAAGTCTCAGTGATGCACAAGTAGTCTCAATGACGACCTGAGTCGGTTAAACTGATGACCCGAGTGGTCGAGGTTCTGGGCGAGAATGAACTGGCTCTCCCAGGTCCAACACGGGGTCGCATAAGCTGCTGTGACAATGCAAGATGTTTTTGAAGATTGGTGGGACCTTCAGTGAGGTAGCGAGGCAGAATGGCTCTCAATGGACGGCTGCCCCATCCCGAGAGGTATGTTGACTTGCTACAGAAATCCATTGGCATGTAGCTTCGGCTGGATGGAAACCAGAGAAAGACCTTGGGTCAAGGCTTAAGCCAGCGACAAAATGTTACTCGACATGAGTAGCGGCCAAGCTAGGACATATGTTGGTATAGTGTTCCGTCTCTGGAATGGTTGTTTGGAAAGCTTTCAACCAGTTTGCCGAAAGTCATGTCCCAGGAGCAAACAGCGAGAGCAGAAATTGGTCTACAGCCTGTCGATCTTGTACTGTCTCACCTCTTGTAGAATCTTAGACGCCAGGACTCCTCGAACAAAGGAAGAGTGTCCAAGATCAGAACGCATGGCCATATCTGAGACACGCAAGTCTGACTCGATTGGGATGTCTCATGGTTACGAGGCCATGGCATCATTGAGATTCAGCTCTTACGTGACCAGACTCTAGTTGTGCTTCGGATTCTGGTATATAAGAATCGGTAAACATGCTTCTTTGGACAACAAGTAGAATCACAATCACCTATCACTTTGTTTGAGTTGACTTATCTTGTACGATGAAGACCCTTTTTACCTCACTCTTGCTACTTTTGCTCATCATCAATGTTCTCGTCAGTGCGACTGGACCTACTCGGGAGAAGACCCTTGTTTGTCCCCAGGTCACCTTCACACCTCCAGGGGCATCGGCCATTGTCGATGAAATCCATCATCTAGAGTGCCAACGCAACATATCTCACGAGAATGAGAAGTTGGGCGTCCTACAAAGGAAAGTAGAACAGACAGCAAACGACTTTCATAAAGACTTTCACGCCATAGTCAGGAAGACTTTAGAGACTTGCACCCATTCGCACCGCGGATTGACCAAACCTGAGACCGCTCAGATGAGGCTCAGATTGAATCGCTGGGTGCCAATTCTCTTTGATTCTCCAATTAACCTTTACTTATCGGCCGGGAAGAAGTTTCTGTCCAGCCTGGAATCTCTCGAGAGCAAAGCACAAGAGCTAGCAACCATGATCAAGCAGGACATAGTGGGCTGTACCGTCACACTTAACTCGCTGTGTGACGGTACATTGTCACCTTGCACCGGAGACGTCCTGAAGACATCTCATTCCGAATGTCCCTTGTTGAAAAATGCTTGCACCGATATCCAGACACCAGGAGAAATCAAGAAGATAGCGCGAGCATGGGCGACACTGGCATCTCTGATACGCCGGGAGAAAGCAGTTTTCAGCTCGACGTGGGATTTGGTGGAAAGCGCCCAAAAGGAGGATAGAATGACAGAAGGATGGGCTGTCAAGGTGATCGAGAAGTCGATTGAGCTACTGAACCATCTTGATTCGCGAGCCGAGAAAAGAAGTGCCGGCCTCAGTGTTGCCAGGCATTCTGCATTGTGGAGGATAGGTGTTCCACGGTTGTGAGAGATTGTTCAGGTTGAGTTCTGCTGGTAAGACGCCCGTTCCGGACAATGGCTGAGGAGGTTGAATTGTTTTGTCTGTTACAGTGCGCATAAAGTTCTACAATCGAGAGTCTTTGAATTGATGTAAATTTCCACGGAATAGAGCAAGAAAGGACTGTCTGGCGATTGAAGAGTCGATATTGAAAGCTGGTAGAAAATGCCAATGAGATCTCTCGAAATGCCAGCCGCAAGATAAAACAAACGAGAGAATGTGAATGGAAGCAACAAAAAAAGAAGCTGCGATCTATAACAGTACTGCAGCACAACATCTTCATTCAGTGCCGAAAGACAACTTCATTGGGCCAAGAGGGACGCGAAGAAGTACGAGAAGATCAGAGATGCCTATCTCGCAGGATCGGGCAATGAAAAAGATTTCAATGGTGCAAAAGTCTTCTGCTTTGGTGGGGAGAGCGAGGGTGGTTAGTCTGGTTATGGTGCTGTGACTTTTCTCTTGCTTACCCAACCATCCTTAGACTGTTCGGAATCGAGAAAATACACGACTTCGCAGTCGAAGAAGAGTAGGGGCGAAGGGAAAGCCTAGCTTCCGCTCTCATAACATACTTCGTGATCAGAACAATGAAGTAGGACGATGAAAATGGGTGTTCATGGCAACGATCAACGTAAATTGGAAATGAAACAGTAAATACTGGATGCACTCATTTGCGAGACGTAGCATTCCACTTGCTGTACCCGATGATCTGGCGTGCGTGACCGTAGATACCTAGTGAGCGTTTTAGAGCGAGCAGAAGCATACTACGAATGACATAACTTACCCATAGTAGCCATCAGGATCAGGTAAGGCGTGTAGATTATGGAGAACAAGATCATCATCCAGAAAGTCGTGAATTCGGATCGAGCCATCTGTGTTATTGCGAGCGTGAAGATAAGACAAACAACGCTGTAAGCTATGGTCAATACTGGTGAATCTTCATTGACGGGTACGAAAACTCACGTTGCGAAGAGGAACCATTCAGCCATCGGATAGCGAAAAAAGACCAGTTCGACAAGCTCTGTAGGATTCTTCGGCCAGCCGGTGATGATGAAAGATAGTAGCAAGCACGTATGCTGGGTGACGAGGTAGTAGCTGATCTCTCGAACAAAAAGAAGGGAAAGTACGCCAAAACGTTCATTGACGGTGCGTTTGCCGTCAGGTGGGCTGTTCCAAATAAGAGGCATATGTCTGATACTGGCTTGGGTCCAGCCCTGTGCCCATCTCATACGCTGTTTCCAGAATGCAGCAAAGTTGGTAGGAGCCATCTCATATGACAACACGTTCATGTCGTGTACAGCCTTCTTGCCTTCGCCGTAGGCACGGAGCGCCGAGTCAATATCTTCGCACAACATGTGTCCATGCATCTGATGTCCTTTCAGGAGGTCGGCCTTCCAGTATCCATTCGACCCACAGAAAAGTCCGAATTTGAATAGCCTACTGCGGCCTGGATGTGAGACAGCATAGATTTTGTCAAACTCGATGGCAATCATCTTCGTGAAGAATGTTTCGTTTGTGTTGTAGACGACACATCGGCCTTGCACGATGTCTACAGACGAGTCTTGCACAAATCGTTCAGCGGCCCAGCGAGGGTTGTACGGATGTGGAAAGTGATCACAATCGAAGATGGCGATGATATCGGCACCGGTATTGAAATTGAAGAAATGGTTGAGGTTATCAGCCTTTGACTTGGAACCAGGAACGTTGATGACTTTGAGCTGGGGGTACTGCTTTTCCATTTCGGCCAGCTCGGTTTGCAATGGCTCGATCGGCTTGGGTGTGTTGTATACTGGACACGATTAGTCACGCACTCATTGAATAGACCAAGAGTCCATACCAAGGTTGATCCGAAGCTTATTTCGAGGGTATACAAGCTCATCTAAAGCATAAAACACCTGATCCTTGACGATGTCTTGCTCGTTTGGAAGGTATGCCACTATGACAATATCGATGACGGGAAGCTGGTCGTCTGGCGTCGGAAACTGGAAATCCTTCTGATCAACGTCGATAGCGGCTTTCCTAGATTCGCGAAGAGGCGAGATGCCGAGAAAAGCCTCGATGACTGTGCATGCAGCAATGTAGAAATTGACGGCCATGTAGAAGAAATAGAACACCTTGATCGTTCCCTCAGTGGCGGATGTGTATACTGCAGTCGATGCAATATAGTACGTAGAGACCAGCACAAACGGTGTCCAGTCGAACAGCCAGGCAGAAAACTGAGCGCTGAGGCCTCGGACACTCGTCGTTACTCGCCTCAATGAGGACGAGATAGACGGGTTTCGTGAGCTCGAAATCTCGCTAGATGTGACGTCCATAGCTTTAGACATGATACGATTCAATGACGAAATGATAGAAAAGCGAGCGGAATGAGAGATGTCTCTGCAAAGTACAAACGAAGAAAAGGATGAGAGTCAACTCAAAAGACCAATGCTGAAGCGGCTGTGAAGACGAGAGCCATAAGAACCCATGGCCAGCGACACCAACATACGATAATCCACACACATCTTACCTTCCATCATGGCATCGATAAGCTCCAGTCAACCTTCTGAATGCCGTTTGTGGAAAATGTCGGACATTCGTCTCCGTCGATTACAACCTATGCAGATATCCGAAACCATTTGGAGCGCAGCGTAGATCCACAGACAAGCATCATCAACTTGTTGAGAAGCCACGAGCGGCCATGCATACCATGTTTCGACGTGCCAGGCCGCGCGCGGTAGAAAGATGGTGAACATTTGAAAGTTCTCGGCCGCATCGCTATCGTCGGCAGTCGGTGGGAGAAACTCCGATGGTTGCCAAGATATAGTGCGGCTCGGGGATTTTGCACCAGTCTAACCCAATCAGAGCGCCACGGTGGTGGTTTGACTTCTTCGCTACTGCAGACCTCGCATAGACTATGATTCTCATCCCCAAGACGCAAATATCCACTCCTGCCGCAAAACTTAGATGCCTGCAACTCCGGACAACTGAGCAAGGTTGGCAACGGATGAAAGGCCGCCAGGTGGGTCGCTGACTGATGGGCCTGCGGCATTCTCAAACTGCTCTTAGCTGCCGGCAGCCCAGATTGATGGATGGTAGGTGGTATCAGGATAGATATCCTGTGGGTTTTCGAGATCTAGCCCGTCTTCAAGCTCATAGAACTCTTACCGCAAACAACGATGGCACAGGTCAAATTCGTGCATTCCATCAAGGGGATGTTGACTACCAATACTAAGGCATCGTCAGCCAGACAATCGCAGGACTATCTTTACGGTCTTCGCGGGATACTGGCCATCGAAAGCTTTCTTTGGCTGTTCCTGAAGACTTTTGTCCCAGCAGTCGTTACGAATGATGTCTCAGGTCCGCGTCATCAAGTCATTGCCAGAAAGATATTCTCGCCTATCTTCTGGAATGAAAGCCTGATTTCTTCATTCTTCGTTATACTCTCGGCACGCTCAGTGTGCATACACTTCCTCCAAGAACCGACTGCCAAAGCGTTTGCTCGCTCTTTGATGACTCGGCCACTGCGTATTGGCATACCGCTTGCCTTTGCTTTGGTCTTTTCGATTTCAATATTTTCGTGCATCGACACAGTGTACATCGATCTGGCCGCCCAAGCGCTGAAGAACCCCAACCTTGCTGTTCCTATTATGCCGTCTAGCGCTCTCGCTTCACTCAACACAATCTGGGATGTTCTCTGGATGGTTCGGGACTTTGGAGACCAAATGGCGAACCAAGCTTTCCCTGGTACAACCATGTGGTCCCCTTCGTTGATCTATTCGCAGAGCTACACAGTCTACATCGCGATGGTCGTTCTCCCGTTCACAAGAGCTTCCTGGCACGTACAAGCCGTGGCAATATTCAGTATCGGATCTTTCTGGTTTGATTCATGGGGATGGTACTCTGCGGCTGGACTTTTCGTTGCCGATATATCGCACAATCCCGATTTGGCTGCCCGGCTTCGTTCGGGAATCAAGATTGGTGAAAGTCCCAGCTTTCCCTACTGGATTCTGGCTGTTCTGTCGGTAACAGCTGGTTTTGTCATGAAATATCTTTGGGTAGCTGTATTCCCTGAGCATCTTCGGGCGGAGCTTGTCCTTCACCCCAGCCTCCATTTGACTCAGGGCCTGACTATCCACAACTTCAACACAGGCCAAGCTTATGCCCGGCTAGATGACTACTTGATCGTAGTCGGCATTTTGGTTCTTCTTGAGTTGTCAACCCGTATCCGATCGTTCCTCTCTTCCAGATTCCTGGTAGAAGCAGGGAAACGATCTCTTAGTAAGCATCAAGTATTCATCCTACATGAAAAGGGTCTAACAGGGTACAGGCCTCTACATCGCACAGTCCTTGATGTTGTACGTTGTCAGTATCAGGGTGTTCGTTGCTCTACATGAGCTGAAACATGTGCCTGTGGCATCTGCGATCTTCGTCGCTTTCGTCTCTTACTTGGCCCTCACGGCTGCTTTTGCTGAAGCATTCTACTGGACCATTGAAAAACCAGCAAGCTGGTTTGCTGGGTCGATTTTCGAATGGAGCAGAAATTGATGTCTATCAAGGTAGCGAGCGAACCTGCTACAGCCCCATAGAGACGAGCTAACCAACACGCTCTCACTGGACACGACTCTGTCCCAAAGGATTATACAGCTAGAAGTGTGACAGGCTTTGAAACATCGGAAGGATGTAGTCAGGTTGTTCCTTGTGCTTTGCACTTCGTTGAATTCTGGCTATAGGTTATCTTGTTGGTCAGATGCATGCTCATTCGTATTAATCATTGCCTTCGGGTTCGCAACATGTTTGGCACGTTTTTCTTATCTGCACCCCTGTGACATGAGTTTCTCTCGACGCCCTATCGAGTTGATCATGTCTCGGACATTTTCAAACTCCACTCTCACTGTACTTGTCCAGTAATACGACTGTCAATCCTCCCGTGTGGAGTGCTGCATACGTTGCGTGGTACAGTATTGTATATTCAAGGAGTTGTACTCCGTCAAATGTCGCCAAAACTTCGGTAAGTCTTGCAAGAGAAGGTTTCGGCAGAAGATCGATTCCAAGATTATCTTTCAGCCCCCGAAGCCTGTGCTTCAGCCTCTCTCGACCACAATTCTGTATGTCCGCATCTAATAGCTCAACGTTGGATGGGCACAAAGGCGTTTCACACAAGAGCATCTGGTATTCCGGAGTGTGAAGATTGTGTCAGAGTCGATGCAGTCGGCTTCGCGCCATCGCTTCGCCAATACGCGTTGCGCATCTTGCTCCAGGGTTCAAGGATGACACTCGTACCTGCTTCAACATGTTGATGCGATAAGAACAGGTTTCTTGGCAGGCCATCATTTTGGGGAGCCGACACCTCTGTACCTGCATATGACAGTGGGTCCCTGGGATCTTTGGGATCGATGCCGGAGAACAATTTACTTCCCCATTGACGCTTCTAGCCTTTGCCGTCGAAGCAACCATCTCTTCTAGCGATAAGGCCCGCCTTACCAACACCCAGGCGGCAGATCTCCAATAGTGTGTTACCGAAGTCCAACAACCAACATGCGATATGCCGTCAATCACGCGGATGTTAATCACATAGCATGGAGACTCATGCTATCGTCCAACCAGAGAGCAAGACCTGATACACATGTCGTTATGGATGAAAGACTAAAGATGTTTCTACCGACCTGCATGAGAAGACTCGTCATCAGACTTGCCACAAGATGTGCCTGAATATGCATACTGATTTGAAAGACATTGCAGCCCCAACCCTTGTCGCGCATGGTTCGGACATTTCATTCAACCCATGACAGCCCAGGTCCTAGGAGAATTCCCCAACCACATCCGAATACCATTGAATCCTACCCTTGCTACATCCCCACAACAAGCCCTAGTGGCTTTTCGGACCATTGAGCGGTTTCACTTCGAGCCTCGAGGCTGCTGGATAGACTCTGGGGTCAACTGGAGACGCTAATCACTTCTGAACGGCATGCCGCCATACTAGGCCTTCGCCGTTCGGAGAAGAAAGGCTCGAGCTATGAGACGATCACATCACTCCATCTTGGTGGCCCAACCAAATCGGCATGTATACATAGTGCCCAGTCCATCAACATGTTGGCTAGGCAGCGATATATCCCTCATCTTCTATCTGGCATAGTCAAGACAATTTTGCGTTTGGGCACCTCTCCAGCAACAATTTCTATTACATCACCTTACAATCTTCTTGCCATCGTCCCCATCATCACGGGCAATGCGTGCAAGCTTGTACTTCCTGGCTGGAGCTGGTGGTCTCATCGGGACCGCCACTTCCGATCCTTGTTCTTGTGGTTTCTACGACCGTTCCACCGATCAAATATTCACTGATTCGATCATTGTTTATTTCAACGAGACGCAAACCATTCCAGATGACGTGTTCCAAGCTCAGTCTTTCACACACAAGTCAGAGAAAGGGTGGAACAGTCTCTATCGTCAAGGTGCTGTCATTGAAAACAGCTTGATATCGAGCTCTTTGGAAGGACAACAGGCTTTGGATCTCTTCGTGAGTCCAAGCACGAAGCATCATGTCGTAAATGGCGGGGCTATTGAATCACGACGACAAGACATCCTTCATGGAACATTTCGAGCTTCGATCAGAGGCCCAGGACCCTGGACGGGTGGTTCTGCACTTTCCATGATGCTCCGATTCAATCAAACAAGCTCCATGGAAATTGACATGTTAAACAACGACAACCCGGGGAATGCCCGTATAACCACTCTCGTCAACGGCGAGTACCCGTCACAAGAATATGGTCTGAACTACACGATCTTGGAGAAAGGATCCGACGTTATGACAGCCGTCAACCCCTGGGATTTCATCCCCGTCCGCCTGGACTGGACAAAGGAACACGTCAACTTCACACTTGCGGCAAACCTTACACGCTCGATTTCTTACAAGAAAGGGAGTTTTCCGACCGAGCCGCTGCCTCTGAGCTTCAAACACTGGTCCACTGGTGATTCTCAATGGATGCAAGGACCTCCCAAGAATCGCTCTGTTGCGAGTGTTGAGTGGGTCCGAGCATTCTTCAACTCTTCTGCAACTACTGCCACACAACGACAAGAGTTCGATGACCAGTGCAATCTTTCTCTAGCATGCGATGTGAACGACAACACTCTGAGGACTTCCACCAATTACACATCAGCGTCGCTCAAGGCATGGAAGGAGCCACCTAGGAATGAGAAGTGGCAACTTCCTTCCGGAATAGTCGCTGGTTCTTCCTCGTTCTTCGGCATCGCTGCTCTTCTCAATGTTCTGTTTCGAAGAAAGCCTTGGGAAAAGTTGTCAACCAAGAAACAGAGGTCTGACGCGCAAAAGCAACCCCCTGCCGCGAACAACAATGGAAAGACAGACATGGCTCGATCCGTTTCTAGTTCAACTCTTGGTAGTGTAGGTGTATCGAAGTCCAAGTGGGACTACAGATGTACTACTGCCGAAGCATCATCGTCAAACGTCACTACACCATGGGAAGCAAGGACACCTGCGCTCTCGAGAGCTCCGAGTACAGCTGATTTCATCGACGTGGCCTTGCTTCGGAAAAAGATGGTCGAAGGTACTCCCTTGCAGTCTGATACTACACTTCACCAGACCAAGCTCCGTCAAAGTCCTTCAACTGGCAGTGATGGATGGTCAAGCCACGCAAACACTCTTGTCTGCCCTACTCCGGAGATCAACTTCAGCAAGCCCATGAAAAGTCCAGAGACGATTCGAGAGTCTGTAGAGATTAAAGTACTCGACAGGAAGTCCCTCGAGTCCGACGAGAAGCTGAAAGAAGCTATCGTCACAGCACAAGAGTTGCCTGTTCAGTCCGCACTCGACCGCACGAAAAGCCCTACGCTGCCACCTCGTACTACTGCACCTAAGCGTATCGACTACCTTGCTGGACTTGTAGCCATCTCATGTATCGGTGTTACTCTAATTCACTTTACGCTCACTTTCATCCCATATGCTGGTGGTCTTGGCTATGGAAGGCATTACAAGTCGGAGCTCTACTCGCGTTGGTCAGCCACACCTATTCTTCTGAACCCCATTTGGATCGGCAAGTCTCTCCCGCCTGGTTTGCAAACTCCCTTGGCTAATTTTGTGTAGGTCCGTTCTTCACCACCTCGACCAGATTCTTGGCTCAGAACTTCCTCCGTACTGGCAATCTTGCCGATGTTGCAAAGAAGATGTTGCTCAGAGCACCTCGCATGGTCATACCCGCCATAGTTGTTGCCGCACTCGAATACTTCTTCATCGAGCTCGGGCTGACTGCAAAACTGGAGTGGCTCCCTTCCATCACGTGGTCTACATGGCCGTGGGTGACAAACTACCCCAACTTCGGATGGTTCATGAATGAGATTCTAGAGCTCGGGTATCTAATCCCGAACAAAGCTCCCGGCATCGTCAACCATTACTGCGTCGGTGTGCTTTGGACCATTCCCGTGCAACTGCAATTCAGTTATACCACACTGCTCGGTGCAATCATGGTCCGCGAAATCAAATCCCACTGGAAGCGGTTTTGCTTTTACTTCTGGTGCATCTCGGTAAACTGGTACTCCATGAACTGGGGCAGTTGTTTCTGGGTCGGTCTCCTCATCGCCGACTTGAATGTCACTTACAACTACGTAGCTTGGCTCCAAACTCGTCCCAGATATCTGTATCCTTTCTTCCTCTTGCTCTGGGTATTGATCATCCAAGGCCCTCTGTGGACATTCCTCGAAGATCGTGGCTTCTACACTCTGATGACACGCGAACGCAACATCCATCCTAATATCGCTACCGGTGCACCTCAAGGTCAGGTCGACTCGATGTATCCGGCTTACTTCGAGCCTCGCCTCAACACCATCCTCTTCGCCGGCGCCGTGCAAATGATGACGGAACTGAGCACTTCCTTCCAATCCTTCCTCAGCCTGAAACTCTGGATCATACTTTTCCCACATACGTTTACCATCTACCTTGTCCATGGCTTTGTATTCTGGTCCTTTGGAGCTTGGCTCTGCGTTACTCTGGCATCATTGGAAATCTTGCCGTACTGGAGTATCTGTCTGATACTGTTTGTGTGTTGTTACACCATCATCGGACTTGCTGCCATGATGATCACGCCATTCTCGGAAGGCGCAGCGATGGCATTGTGTCGTAATCTTTGGCGATGGGCGTCAGAGGAGCCGGTGCCGCATAGAAGCACTTTGGCGCCTTTCAGAAAAGATCTCTTCTTGAACAGACTTGGAGGGGAAAGTGGAAGGGATGAAGAAGTAGCGGTTCATGGGGTTGTAGAGGTGCTTGATGAGAAGAACTTTGTGGCTGGTGGGGAGGAGCAAGATGGTAAGGATGGTAAGGGCGAAGATGTTGATGTCGATGTTGGACCATTTGATGATGCGAACGAAGTTGCTTCTTCGTCTTCTGGGTCTGTGAGGTCGAGGACGAAGTCGATATCTGCGGTGGATCGGCAGTTCCTTGATGATGTTATCACACCTGTCACTCGCATCGTAGATGGTCTGGGTATAAGAGCCGAAGAGAAGAAGTAAATACATTCATCCATTTAGGCAGACAACACATCATATGCAAACCCTCAACAGTTTTTCCTTGTTTAAGAGGACTCTCGTGTTCAACACAGACTTCCTAGTCCTTACTGCATGTTTTCCAACACTTGTGTTTTTGTTGTTCATATTGTCAAACAATACACCCTCTATATAGCATGACCAACCAGTTCAGAGCTGTCGAGCCCAAGTGCTGATGTATCCGTATATTCGGAACATATTTCCGAAAGATCAAGTCTAGGGGTCTATGACATTCCGGGAGAAGAGTCTCTTGAGGTTTCTGTGGTTGTTTAAGGGGTTGGTGTAATTGATGAGGTTGATATCCAGATCAGATGACTGTGACATTGAGATTGTGATTCGATCTCGTGGGTGTCAGATATGAGGGTTTGACTTTGTCTGCTTGGTCGGCTGCTGGATGTGTGAGGAGTCTGTGGCACAGTGCTGGAGATGGCTGCTTGGGGGATGTGTTTCATTCGATCTCACGCGGATATGCAGCGAGCGTCTGACGCGGTGTTGTGTGGCTCGGGAGTAGCTTCGTTTTGAGATCCCTAGGACGTTCCTGTTCTGCAAGATGATCGAGAACTAAGGAAGCTTCGGGTCCGGACTCATGCCCACGGAGCAGGCACAAATGGACGTGCCATAGCAGAAGAAGCGAATGGCGTGGTATTCTTCTGACCCAGCTCTTTCACAAGATTTGGCAACATGTCCTCAAGAACATGTGCACACCTCAACCCGTCCTTCCCAGTGCTGTTCTTTCCCAGATGAGAGAAGAATTGCTCTTCACCCCTCACACCACCAATGTTCACAATACCAATCGGCATGCCTTGCTCCCTTGCTCTTTTGACCAACCTCCAAGCCGAGTAGGTCGCCAATGAAGACCCCAGCACCAGAACTCTAGAAGCCTCATCGATGGCGAGTTCAGCAGCTGTTTTGGTAGTATCCGGTATGCTTTCTCCAAACATGATGACATTGGGCTTGAGGATGCCTGCGGTGGAGTTGCCAGCCACCCATGCGCCATCCACATCGACTTCTATAACATGTTTCTTGCCGTCTTTATCTTGCGGTGGTTTCGCCAGACATGTTGGACATGCTGGATATCTGAAGGTGGCGTATTCGACACCGGGCACATCGACATCACCGTCTGGGTTTGTTTTCAGTCCTAGCCTGCGTCTTTCATCCGGATTTTCAGTAGTCAGGGCGCCGGAAGCGAGCATTTCGTTCAGGAAGTCGCTCCATGCTGGATTTAGTGCGGCAAGGTCGTTCTGGAAGAGTTGACGATCGTATTCTGTGCGGCAGGTTGTGCAGACGGCACTGCGAAGGTAACCGTGCAGTTCGAGGGTGCGGAGGGAGGGATGCGCTTGAGGGTGGAAGGAGTCGACATCTGTGACTTCTATTAGCACTGGTGTTCGTGAAGCCTCCAGAGGGTAAATGGCTTACTTTGAGTGATGACGCTGGACAGATAGCCCATGCGACCTAGGTCCGCGACTGCCTTATGTGCAGGGTTTGGCTTGGACTTGTTCAAGTTGGTCCATCCCAGGAAACTGCGAGCCCAGTAGCGCTTCCGCGCTGCATGGTTGGCCACGAACTCATGGAAGTAGATTGGTCGGTAGGTCTTGTTGAGTGTATATGTGCCCTTGGTGCCTCTGTAATCTGCAAGTCCCGACGCGACAGATATACCAGCTCCAGTGAGTAGTACAGTCTTATCCTTGTTCTTGTTCCGTAGTTGTGGCGTCGAAGCCAGGAAGTCGGTCAAGGCGGCGATTGCTCCAGAGACGGAAGCTGCTGCTGATGGGATGATTGTCGGTGCTGGAAGTGGCGCCGTGTATGGAATTCGCATCAACTGTCCTCCAACCATTTCTACTGTTTGCTCTTGCTCCTTCGATATTTCACGCGACTCTTGCTTCTGCAGCAATGATTGACAGGGACCGAGTCTTCGTTTTGCTCATGATTTACACTAAGGGTCACACTACGTCATGGACTTTGGTTCGGCGTAAATTCCGCTGTCAAATGATCAGGGTTACCTCGAGCTGAGGAGCTGAAGATATTGATCTGTGAAAATGCATGGCCATTCTTCATTACGTGATTGCTCTACCAAGCAGCAGTCCACTCTTCTGAACTGTGCAGAAGAGCTTCCATAGAAAGACCAGCCACGGCATTGCTTACTCGCTGCTTCTCCGTGCTGACAACCTGCTTTTCAAGACGCAGCATAGCCTCCAGCTCTTCTTTCATGCCCAACACCAGATCTTTCAAGCAGCGCAGTATGATGGATAATGACGACTCTACTCCATCTCCGCTCGGCGGTGCTGAAGGGAGCATCTCAACCTCTCGCTCAACCAAGCGTAAGCGTTGTGTGATTGAAGCATGCAGATGATGCCAGTCTAGTGCTAAAGGACCCGAGAAAATATGTGCCCGGTCCTGCTCTGTTGCTTCGGCAGCCCATTCGGAAAATGTGTGCACTAGCGCTGTATACCTGCTCTCTGGTGCTGATAGCATCATGAGCTCGTTGAAACAGCCACTTAGGCTTTGTATCATCTCTGCGGCCTCGGGGCCAATGTGTGCTCCTTGTGCAACGAGCCACTTGGCTATGGCGGCAAGATTTCCTTGTTCATGAAACAGCTTCTCTTGCTCTTGAATTTGTGTCACCTCATCTTGTGTTGCTTCGAACTCTGCCTTGAGTGCTTTCCTTGCGCTTCTTTCATAGCTCCGTAGGTTTGGCTTGGCAGACTCGTGGAGAAGGGAGAGGTATAACAGCTCGGATTGGAGTTTTGTGGTTTCGAAGACAGCGCCAGATTGAACAGCCTTATCTTCAGCGGAGGGTGCAGCTCGTGAGGAAGGGACCGGAGGTTTCGGTAGTACGGTTTTGGCAGGACTATAGTGCTGCTGGAGTGTGTTGAAGGCCGGGCGCGAAGTGGAGGGATCGAGTTTCGGCGCATTCGATGTCGCTGTCGGTCGTACGAGGCGCCTGACAAGAGGTTTGGTCGGTTCCGTGCTGCTCTTCTCCGAGGTTGGTGTGGATGGAGTGGATGGCGCCGTGAGTCTTGACTTCAGCCCTGTGGTAATTGAGCTCTGTGATCGAAGGTGTCTGGTTGCGGTGGTGGTAACAGAACGCTTCAGAGTTGAGTCGCCTGTGCTTGAAGCTGCGATAGTAGAGGTACTGGGGGTGCGAGAGTGAGACACGACGCGAGGCTTTGGAGCCGTGGCCGTCGAGGGAGCAGGTGCCCGTGTCGACAGCGACCTTGACGGAGCGGCGAGACCAAATCTAGTGGCTGAAGTGCTAGTAGCTGCGGGAGTTTGCGATACTGGGCGGGTGCGAATAGACTGAGTGCGAGCTAGAGGAGCAGAAGGGGGTGGCATAGCAGCCTTGTCCTCGTTTGCTCGTGTCGGGATGCCCATTGTCGACCTTGTGGGACTTGACATGGGAATACTTGAAGCAGCAACGTCTTTGGACGTCTTGATGGAGCGTGGAGTCAGCTGTGGAAGCTGGCTCCTCTTCTTTGCTATGCCATCACCGTCTACCGAATCCTAGACCATCTCAGCACTGTTGGAGAGTTGAGAGGCGGGCGGATTTCTACCTCGGGTGATGCTACTGCTGCCCTGATAGGCCGTCGAACAGAGGGCATCCGCGACGACATTATTTATCGAGATTGGGATGGATGTTTTGTTGTTGATGGGAAGTGAAGGATAACAATCATCACATGGCCGCCTCATGTTTGATTGATTTGCTCGAATCCCCTCACTTCACCACCAATCCGCTACCAACTCCCTCGACATTCGACACATCGTCTGTTCAGTCCAAGTGAAGACGTGTTAGAAAGTCAAAAGCAAGAATAATCCAGTCATTATCACCTATAAATTGTAATGCCAACCAACATGGACGACGACCACTTTTACTCGTCTCTCCAAGAACTCAAGCACCAGCTTGATCTCATGAACAAACGTACTGCACTCTTCTTACAACAACACTCACTCCAAAATCCTTCGCCAAACATGTCTCCACCAGAGACGTCTTTGCTCTATCCTAGCATCTTTGACCGACGCCCTGTCGACAAACCGCAAATTGTACCCATGCAGCAATTCGATCAAAAGCTCCATGCTCTGGAAGCCCAGCAAAAAGCCATGGCTGAGGACCTCGCCGATCGCTTCACTGATATGGAAAATGAACTAGATTCTCTCTCCGAACAAGTCAATCAGATGCACTCAGGTAAATCTCAGTTTACTCCACCTGAGTCACCAACTCCATCAACCTCCCCTGCTTCACCCACTCCCTTCATCACACCAACCTCCCCTACTCCATCAACCCTCTCTGTTCAAGACACTTTGAACCCCAACGCCTCTCCTCTCGACACATCAACAATGTCGAAACCACCTGCCACTGTTGCCGATCTTGGCGGCTACTTTTACCCTAACCGCCATCACGCTTCTCCCAGTGACGTGCAGTACATCTCGGACGCCTCGATCTTCGTTGGCAGAGTAAATCGCGCACTTCGCACAAAGTCCATTCAAAACCTCGAAGCTTACCTCAAAGGCTCCGCTCTGCGATGGTTCCACATTGGCCTCAGCCTCGATGGCTCTCATTCTTATGATGACGACAAAGGACAGATGGACTTGACCAAGTTCTGCGAGTCGCTGATATACCTCTTTGGCATACCAGGTTTTGTGGCAGAGGAGTCCCATGAACAAGCCCGCTACCTCATCATGGCTTCGATGCGCAGCAACATCCTCGAGGAGTACGCCTTTCCTGCTCTTGAAGCTCTGCGTCGACAGACTACTCTTGGCCAGCCAGACGTTGACGCCAACGCTGCATTGCGCAAGGCAGTTTTGAAATACAACAAGGATCATCCCATGCTTAGTGTCGATCTGGACATCCTCAGTGGCCAGGATGCTCTCGTCGATTTGGCGCGCCTTCGCCAGCAAGAGTTCGACATCAGACGCGAGAGAACATCTCTTACCCTCAAGAAGCTGCACGACCCAAAGGCAATCTCTGGTCAGGCTGCGCCTGATGCTTCAAACAAATCAACCCTAGTCCATGAGTTCCTCTCGGCTAGCAAAGACGCTGCAAAGGTTGACCATGAAGATGTCCCTACGCAGAGACCGTCATCAGTCAACGACAAACTCCTACCAAGCACCCAGATAAACAAAGAGTCTCGCTCGACTGATCAAGAAGGAAAGGTTGATACATATTCCGTGTCCCAAGATGGCCATCAACAGCAACCCAGATGCACACAATCCGTGTCTAGGGCATGCAAGACTGAAGAGTTTACTCGATGCAAGACTCAAAAGTTTACTCACAAGACCAAGCGTTCTCCTAGAACTGTTGTCCAGCCTGGTACCTTTTGGTCGAACTCCGACTCCACCAAGTCCGGCACACCTGTACATGGCGAGATTGACTCTGGTACTTCACGTCCTTCTGACATCCCATCTCAGAGCATGTTCACCTTCCCATGCTTTGCGCCTGATCCATGTCCCATGCCCCCGCACACGCTGTGTCCTCCTCCGCCTAGCGATTTGAATTTGACGCCCGATGTCAACAGACGCCTGAAGGAGCTGCAAGGCACCACATCACACGACGCTTCTGACTCGAAGGAAGAGGCGCAAGGTTTGGAGATCCCCACGTACGGTCGTGCCAAACCTTTGGGGCCCAAGCAAGGACCTGTTGCTCCCGTGACAGTCGACAAGTCGCACATGAGGTACCAGCACTCGGTCTCGCACCTGCCAGATGACTCCACGGACTTTATGGAGTCCTTTGCCTCTGCGAAGAATTCTTCGTACCGTGGATACCCTCAACTGAACACAACCTACTACGCCCCTGAGACTGCGGTCGACTGTCTTTCTGGATATCCTAGGCTCCCGTTCGGCCCACCCGTTCAACATCCTCTAGTCCACCCGACCGCCTACCGCCCAAGTGAGGGATTGTTTGCATACAGCCATCCCAGACCAGCACAGAGAAAGCCTCGCAACCTCCCTTCTGTCATCCCCGTTGACTACCACACGCTTTGCCCAGGCCTACCAGGACCACCACCACAGAGCACTAACGCCCTCCCTCCTATCGAGAAACCCTACAGACCCTACTACAACCACATGCACAGCAGAGGTCCAACTTCAGCCACGTCGACACAGGCAAAGAACTACTCTCAGCTCCGCTCACTCCACGACGACGCATCTGGAGGTTCCTCTGGTTATGGCTATCCTTTGTTCAGCTCTGTCCCCTCGGGTTTCATGACTCCCAAGGAAGACACTGAAATGATCAAGGACATGGAAATCGAAATCGAAAATCCCACCACAACCAGACCCACTGGATCGGGATCTGATGTTCCTGCTAATGCTAATGCTCAAGCTGAAGCACCCGCCGAAGGAAGTCCTGCTGAGTCTGCCACTCCCGCACCTAAAGCTGCACCGAAGTCATGGGCAGATTTGATGCGCTCGAAGAACTCAGCAGTAGCTGCTGGCGCGACTGCGTCTGCCATCGCATACCCGTACTCTATCGACAAGGGAGTGAAAATGGAGGACAAGGATGACGAACTGCCTTCCAGACTCTCCCGTGATGGAAGATTTTGAGCCGTAACAGCAGACTCCCAGAGGCGAAGGCGAACGAGGAAAAGACACGATAACCAACGAAGGAGGGAATGAGGAAAAGACACGATGAACCACGATGGAATGATCTCAGGCACAGAAGCGATACGGTAACCCGCTCCAACTCACGAACAATCACAAAGAATTCAAAGGAGGGAAAGCAGGCTACAACACCACAGCTATCAACGCCCGTCTGAAGAGCTGCAATAACAGCATACCCATAACATCATGCTCATGAAAGCATACGAGGGATGAAACCCACGAAAGACACGAAACACACCTACGTAGAAGAACAACTGCAATGAGAAAAGATGCTTTTAGCATACCCAAACATGAATCTACCAGACATGACATGACGTGACATGTTCAAGGACAACTGATATCCAATCGGAGTAGACGAGCAAAAAACGGAGAGAAAGTATCGTTAATCCACTCATCACCACGTGTGTAAAAGCCAATCTTTGAAGTTTGTTTAACGTCTCGTGAGGTCTCGCCCTGCTGGTTCCAACATAGTGTGTGACCAGACCAAGGGGATGGAGAGAGAGAGAATGAGCGAAGCCATCATCTAACATGTGACAATACAATCAGCGAAAGGAGAAAAGTGGTATAGATGAAGTAATTGTGAAAATAAATTGTGGGTTTCTTCATGGTATCAACGCTAAAGTATCGACAACAAGAGGATAAGTATTTGGGTGTTTTGTGTGTGTGTGTGGTTTTTGTTTCTCTATAACTTTCCTTCTCTGAACATGGTGGTATCATGACCGTCCCGCGAAGCTTCCAGTATCCATGTACTCATATTGTTTGAATGACCTGCATTTCGAAATTCGAGATGGGTGAATCCAGTCACACGACACACGCACTAAAAAACAGCTCCCCCAAACCAGTGAGGAGGGAAATCGATTTCATGGGTGTTTCGTTTCCAGATAAGACGCAAGGATGCAAGGATGCAGGGATTACAGGCTTCCTCTGCGGGGCACGCTGACGCCTTCGAGTGCGGCGTTGTCGGTGAACCAGCTGACCTTGTCTCCGGCGCCCTCGTTGACCAGACCGCAAGGCAAGGCGCGGCCCTCCTCGGTCTCGAAAATGCTCTTGAAGATGTCGCGCTTGCCGGCACCGGTGGCGATGAAAGCGATCTTTGCGCCGTGGAGGACGACGGGCAGACTCAAGGTGATACGCTTCGGTGGGGGCTTGGGCGAGTCGGAGATGCTGAGGACCCAAGCGTCGGTTTCGCGGAGAAGGGGGTGCTCGGGGAAGAGCGAGCAGGTGTGGCCATCGGGGCCGCAGCCGAGGAGGATGAGATCGAAGAGGGGAAGCTTGACGGAGTCGCGGGCGGCGAAGACGGAAACGAGTTGCTTTTCGTACTGGTCGGCGCACTCTTGAGCGTCGTCGAGGTATTTCTCCTCGATGGGGTAGACCTTGGGCTCGCCGAATTGTTCCTTGTCGATCTTGTTCAACAGCTCGTCTTTGAGTAGCTTATAGTTGCTGTCCTCGTGGTCTAGCGGCACGCAGCGCTCGTCGGCGAAGAAGATTTCCCACTTGTTGAAGTCGACGGTGTCGGTGGGGCTGCCATCGCCCTTGGACAGAAGAGCCTGGGCGAGAGTCTTGGGCAAGGAGCCTCCTGAAACAGCGACTCTGAAGGTGCCGTGGCGCTCAATGGAAGCGGCTTGTTGCGTGAGGACGTACTGGCGCAGAGTGGGAGCCAGCTCGGCAACGCCGGGGAAGCTGTAGACGTTTGGTGACTTGCCCATGGTGGATGTATTGCAGATGAAGAAGGTCGCCGAGACTGTGAGTATCAATTCCGTGTAGCGGAGACGGGCCAAGATAGATTGCGGTTGTGCGAGGGGTTGGTGGATGATGTGACAAGGATAAGAGACGGGCCCGGCTTATCAGATAAATCACTTCTTTGCCGATGACGAGCACCTTCCCACTCAATCGCCGTGGGGCTGGTCCTCTTTGAACATTCTTGGCGACCGAAAAGATACCATCAATATTTCCACGAACTTCTACCGTCCTCACCGCAACCACTTATTAGCCAATGCCGAGTCTTTTTCGCCATCACCTGTAACTCAATTACAAGAATTTCACCACTGACATGTCTTCAGCTTGACCGGTTGTTCTGGGACATCTTTTGTCGGTGTCGGCAAATATGGAAATCCTCGTTACGGGGCGCAGCTCCCTCCTCGGAGCCAACTTCCGTCTGTCACTCAGGCGTCATTACAACGGTTGTCAATCATCACGTGTTTTTCTTCTCTACTCGGAGTACATTACCTTAACCATACTCTACACCTTTATGTGTAGGCAGAGCGTAGCATATATGCTATGTCCAGCGCGGATGACCGCTAGAGCTTGAACGCAATTCTCTGTGGACCATCATTGCAAGCGACACCGTGTCCGAAGCTCTGTTTAGGCCTGATGCTGGCAAGGCTGACAGCTTTATCCGCTCCACTTTTGGAAAACCGCTCCTCGTGCTTCTTGGGAGGACTCAACGTTATCGGCATTCCCTCAAGACCGGAAATACGAGACTAAAACATAAGGTTATACAGCTCTACCTCAAATATGTCGTGCCCTGGAAACATCAGAGACTATGGCACAGATCTATGCTCCATGTTTCTACGGGGTATATCAGTCGTTAGTGAGCATAACACGCCACAAGAAGAGCTTCCACGGTCTGGTAACGGACGTGTATAAGTCGATCTTGACCATCGTCTCGTCACATGGCGCACGAGGCAGTCATGAGTGGGACTCAATTTCGCACCTACCTTGAACAGATACCCAAAGACGATTGCAGCCTAAAGAACTCCTACAAGACCTCCTAGCTCTCGACTTGCATCTTGAGCATCCTTCTCGGTCCTATTATCGGACTGCACCTAAGAGCTCACCTAATCCCGCGAGTCTGATATTGAGGTCTAACAAGAAAGCTGCGAGCATCATTGCGGCAGAAGTAGCCGGTTAGGTATTCGATTGTGACCAACAATCACCACTCTGCACCATCCTCTTTTGTAGTCAAGTCCGCACTTGCAACCTGAAACTTTTATTTACGCGCTGCCTTCCAATTCTGCCGGTCCTGGTCAAGGGGAGGCCAGCCATAGGAGATAAAACCCCACACAAAAAACCCACAAACATTCGTATGAGTCGCTGATGTGGTGGCTGGCTGCCTTGGCCAGTGGTCACCTCTTTCTTTTTGTTACGATTGTTGCGGCGACTTCATGTTCAATCCAGCCGAACGATGCTTCTGTTCGCTCTCGTCTTGGGTAATTGAGCTGGGCATGGCAATTCAAGTCGTGAAAATATTCGGCGTTGCGAGCTGGAGGCGTACATGGCTGGCGTAGACCTCAAAATAACTTGTCATCAAGCAGAGCGTCGAAGCTATCGAGGCTTCCACGTCGTACCGGTCAAACTCTCGCCACGACTAATGACTTTTCTCAACATTGCGCTTTGCGCCTTGCGATGCGGAGGAAGGGGCACAGCGCTCTCAGCTCTCGAATCCGAAAAGGCGTTCGGACCCGGCGCAAACTATCACCGGTCGTCGTGTTCAATCCTTCCTTTGCCGGAAGCCGATGACTTGACAGGTATCAAACAACAGAACCTAAGCACAGCCCCAGTCTGCCTTAGCATTGGATACGCAATCTTCACTGCGCGTTTCATCCTTCTGTTTGCTGCGCATCAGGCAGCGACGAAACGCTGTTTGCGATTACGAATCTTCTAGCCCTATGCTCACATCAGATAAGGAAATTGATGACTGAACAAGACCCCTTTGCGTCCGTAATCAATCGGTGGCAGGAGGTGACACGCTGGCAATTGTACTTTTTGCGAACGCCTTGGCTTCGGTGGTTGGTGGTACGATGCAATCTACGAGCTGATGAGTGTGTTTACGAAACGCCTTGAACGCCTCTTTTTGTGTAGACTGTGGACAGGTGTCTGCTAAGAGGCCTGATGTTCCAGAACCTTGCAGCCTATCTGTCCACAAAGCCCGTCTAGATAGACCAGATTTTGGAAGAGATTGTACGCTTGCCATGTGAATACACAAGGGGCCAAGGGCCTTTGTTGCCAGTTTGATTGACCGTAAATGTTCGCAGGAAGTTCTAGGACGTGAAACGTTCTTTGACATGAAACGGAGACAAGGTTCGACGAGTCTGGCCGACCCCGCCTTCGAACCAACCATCAAACAAGGGCTGCACCAATCACCGAACTTGCGACAGAAGTTTGTATGAAAACCTTGATAGCAATACACGTATTGTGGTAGTCCGCGTAGCCTTTCCACGACTCAGCCTCCACCTGCGACAATCTGCAGAAGTGAAATCTACTTGACTCTGTGGGAAGAGCAAATTTGCGAGAGAAATGCGACAAAGGAGGGTCTGGTGGCATGGCCCGGTCTAGATTGCGACTTTTCGACATTCGGGACTCGGGAACAACGGATGGTGCTGCAGACCACGGGCGTTTGACGCCTTCTCGTGCTCTCCTTGTCTGAAATCTGCGGATTACAACGGAGAGGGGAACTAGGAATGCGAACTGCACAGTGCAACACGAATGAGGTGCAGCATCCGTACGTATCGCCTCGCAGCCACGGCGTACAACGGTATGGTTCTGGCCAAGCATCAATAAGAGTAAGGCATGTGTACGAATTGCTAGGATACGGTGAAATTGCCTGTTCGGGCCTCGATGGTTGTCTGTTGCTGGTGCCTGGTCTTGTTATGCAGCTTGGGTGGCTTTCCATCTTGTGATTGCTGTAGTGACCTGATCTTCTAGGACCTTCTTCCGCTTGACTGAACACCATGATCCTTCCACAGCGTTCAGTGCAATTGTCCTCCAATCAGATTCGGTCAAATCGAATGCATCCTGAACAGCACAGTAGTTTTCTTGAATGTAGTTGCCGAAGTACGCCGGGTCGTCGCTGTTGATGGAGAACCGGACACCGCGATCGAGGAACTCGCGGATAGGCACTTCGGCGATGCTGCTTACGAATCCAAGGGTGAAGTTCGAGATTGGGCAAAGAGTGACAAGCGTGTTTGTCTCCGCAAGCCTCTGCATCAATTGGTTGTCTGTTTTCGATATCCAACCATGGTCCACTCGCTTAGCTTGGAGGTTCTCAAGCGCAGATGATACGAACTCTGCTGGACCAGCTTGACCTACGTGTGCTGTGCATCGTACCCCGGCTGTTCTTGCATCGTCGTATATCGACTTGAAGTACTCGGGCGGATGCACGAGCTCATCGCCGGCCATACCAAGTCCAGCAACGACGCCATCTGCGAAGTGGCCGGCATCCTTGACCTCTTGGAACATCCTTGTTGCGCTATCCAAGCCATGGTGGCGCAATATACAGGGAATGTATTCGATACTCATGCCAAACTCATGCTCCGCTTGCTGTTTCGCGCGTGACAATCCTTGTATCACTATCTCATAGGCGATACCACGACTGGTATGCGCCTGTGGGTCGAAGAATACCTCTGCATGCTTGACACTCTGCTCGTGAGCTTTGGTGAAGTAGTCGTAGGCTAGTTCCTTGAAGTCCTCGGCCGTTAGCAGAACAGAGCTACCGAAGGTAAAGTATCGAATGAACTCGGCCAGTGAGGCGAAGGAACCGTAACGTGCTTGCAGTTGTTCTTCGCTGGTATACACCTCATCATCAGCTGAAGCAAGATCTACATTATTTCTTGCAGCGAATTTGAAGAGCAGACGTGGCGTAAGAGCGCCTTCAATGTGTATGTGATGTTCACACTTTGGCAGCGCAATAAGCAGGTCGTGAATCTGGCCTTTGCACATGTTTCGGCAGCCCTGGACCCTGTAATAGCGATTCGGTGTCCGTTGTCTCCGCCAGGTTATGGTATCGAGTTGATTGTGCAACCCCGTTTCTGCTCAAGTAAGGCAGGAGGCGTAGGCTATCAGACAAGCGTTTCTTGTGCTGGATGCCTGAATGCTCGTGCACTACTAGTATGTTCTATTGTCGTCTGGCGTGAGCTGTCTCGGGTTCCCAGAGCCGTGCTAGTATGCGTCCCAGCGCGCAGGATGGACTGAGTACAAAGGCGCCGGACAGGCCCGCAGACGCAACGGCGCGCAGCTGCGGAGAGGAGATGTTTCCTCTTGAGCTTCAGATCTAGAATTCAGCTGTAACCACCCGACAATATGGCCTCGAAACAGCATCCGTTTGTCCAGGTCAACGTCGAATACTCGGAGAACAGCCGGCAGTGACTCTGGTGAGACAAGACACACAATTAAATGGTGGTGTTAAGTAAATAGACCACCTCGGCTGGCTGCATGCAGTACCTCTAGCAACGTTGGTGGGGCATCTGCGAAGCACGATCTTGCCTTGGCTGGCTGGCCGTGGTGTTTGTCAGCCTTGGTAGATTGGTGAGAAGACGTCTGCGATTTGATCAGTAAACATAGATCGATCCGAAGATACGATTGTGGAAATCACTCTTTGACTTTGCCGGGGTTCGGAAGAGCTCCTGCCTTGGTATGATTCGTGATAAGCTGATGAATCGCATGATCTCTGATGAGTGGGATGAAATCCGCAGCGAAGGTTTAGTCCGGTTTGATACGTGTATTTCACACTTGGCAGTGTTCGAGGTGGCTTTGTTTAGGTTACGGCCCTAAGCAGGGTAGGCGGGTCGCACGGGCGCAGATGCCCAGGTCTGCCCGTTCTAAAGCCAATGAGTGCAATCAGCGATCTGTCTGGCCAACATCGAGATTCTGTGCGGCTCTGGTGAGGACCAAATAAATGTACGCTCCTATCCGCTCCATCTGGTCGATCCAACTCGTGCATCTGAGATCCTCTTCCCGTCCCATCTCGCAATGTCTACTTCAAGTATCGCCCTCTCTCCCATTCAGGGTTCCTGTTACTTTTCTATCCAACACAACCAACAATCTTCATACCACAACGACGAGACTCCTTTGGCATCTCCCTTCACTCCATCAGGCGAGGACATTGTATCGGATCCATCACACCCTTTGCTGGCTTATCGACCTTTCTTACATTCTCCTTCAACCACCACTGTTCGCAACACAATGGATAGTCTTCTTCAGCTCCAAACACAAGCTGCACACATTCCTCCTCCAAGACGACCTCAACCTCAGCCTATTCAAAACGTGCTTGCTGTCGGTGACGACCTATCAGATTCCGATGACTTGACAAGTTTCGCCTTCTCACATTCACAAATGGAACTCGCCAGATGTTCACGCTGCCGTCGCTCTCAAAGCATCGACATGTCAACAGGCAAGGCTGCCAACATGGTCTCCTACGGCTTGAATTCCTTTTACTGTCTGAGATGCGCCAACATCGTCGGTTTCGGCTCTCAAAGCCGCTAAAAACGCATTCGCTGCGCTACCGGTCTCATCTCATCTCTCGACCTCACCACCGGTTCCTCATCTTTTGACCAGTCCATCGGTCACTCATGTTACGATCATCACGACATTTTCATGCGCAGTCTGCATGATCTCTTTCTACGATACAAAAACCTCTCTGGACACTTAACCAGAGTTATGATGGGTTCATTCAAGGCGTTGTAGACCCAAGGGTCACTGAAGCGAGCATTTTTGGAGTTTCTTTTGTTTGCATTCCGGCACTGGGTCCTGTCCAGCCGGTTCATTTTGTTATTTTAGATACCCCTGTTGCATAAGCATACTGGTTATGCCTTCTTCGACCGAACCAATGAACAACATTTCTCAGACCTGCCCAATTCTCCATCTGCATTTTGATTCCCGTTACCAAGGTGGCCATATGATCTGAAATAAGCTTTCTTCCTTTTTCACGATCAAAGGACCAGGCTCGGCCGTCCAGGGCTTTTTTGCACTGAAACCACCAGACCCCACACTGATCGCGAAGACTGATCGACGATCACTGCTGAAGAAAGGCACGCGCGGTGTCTGCGGGCTGTCTGCTTAGCCTCTTTCTGCCTAGTCCCAGGGACCTTTCGAAGACACTTGACTCGGCATCGATAGCCTTATTCCTTCGGGTACACGTTGGTAGAGATGAAGAGCACAAAAGAAGATGGCTGGAAAGTCGCATTGGCAGAATGGCGTTCTCCACTTGATTCAGAGGCATCAGGAAATCATCAGATTGCAAGTCTCGAGAAACGAATCAGACGCGCACGACTCTGACTCTGACTCTTACATTCGAGCGCGCAATAGTTCTCAAACGGCTGCTATCCACACACTACCGGAGAAGACTTGTCAACACCGACAGGCTGCTTTGAGTACAACGGCCAAGCCGGCCTTCCGGAGCGGCCTCCTGGGTGCGATGGATGCGACATCGTGGGCTGTGCGAGGCTGCCATTTGATAAAACGGCAATCTCTTGTTTTGCAGAAAAACGCGGAACTCTGTTTTCTCGAAGGTCGATGGCGGCCGATCTTCCGGTGATTGGAGGCGGCGTTAGACACATGCACCACACGTTTCGGCTCAGATGGAGCATCTCCCGATCTATCTCCACGATCTGGATATCTTACGAGAAATGTAAGCTAGCTGTGTCTTAACCATGCTATTGGGAGCAATTCATGATGCGATACAAGGAAAGGGGTGATATTGATGAAAGCTTGCTTTGTTCGATATCTGCCTCGGAGGCGAAACATCGTTGATGAGGAAGCAGGAGGTTTTCTGATGCGACGCATCGCTGATCGCTGATGGAGAAGCAGGAGGCCTCTCTCCATTCCAAATGCATCTCAGATACCTTCGAAGCAGGCAAACCATCGTTGACGAAGAAGCAGGAGGTCTCAACGGACTGGTGTTCATGTCCAATCATGTTCATTGAGTGCTTGCAAAGTGCAAGAGCGATGCTCCGCGTTTGAATCCATCAACGCGACGCGTCCGACGGCATCTTCCGTGCTAGGAGAAATTTCACGAAAGCTGCATGCATCGTTGACCAAAAATCTTCATACAGCAGTTGTAAGGCATTGCGACCACTCAGCCGAGAATGTCGTCCTCCGAAGATGCCTTTTCTTTCCACAGGATCGAAGAGGCCATGGCCCGCCTGAACGCAACAATCAGCAGCTATAAGAACGAGAAGAACGGCAAGATGAACGGACACCATCGATCAGAGTCGGACGATCACCCCTACGCTCCTCGCTCGACACTTTTTTCCAGAGAGTGGGACTTGTCGACCGATGAACACTATCCCTCCATCACCAATGCCGAGCTCAGAAAACGCTTGAATGCTCTGCATGAGCTTTGCAGCTTCTTACCCGAACATCCTTACAACATCGATCTGTACTTGCGCATCGCAAAGGCTTATGTCGAGGTTGGATACCCCGATCTTGCCATCGGCTCGGCATACAAGGCTCTGTTGCTCATTGATGCAATCAACAACGAGGACGAGTTTTGCGACGAGGCTATTGAGTCTTTGGCTTTGAGCATCTCGAAAGAGTCATTGGAATACAGACACCAGAACATCCTCGAGAATGCCGAGATCTTGGCCCATCTCTATCCCGAGTTCATGCTGAGGAACAAGGACCAGCTCGTAGATGTCGATGTGTCAGACATTGAGGTTTTGGTTTGGACCAAGGGACGTTTCTCTTTCCAAGTGTAAGCTTCCTGATCTCTGTTCCGTGAGTGAATTTTGTCCTGACGTGTCGTAGATATGCATTGCTTGCCCAGTGCCTTCATGTAATTGGGTGTCAAAGAAGTGCCGCCGAATATTGTTTCAAGGCCCAGGATCTCTTTGGAGAGGATCCGACCATCGAAGCGACTTTGGACGTCATTCACGCTGCAATCGATGACTGGCTGCGCGAAACGCAGCCCGACGAATACAACAAGCCAGGCTTTAAGTTTGGGCTCGATCAGTTTCCTGACGAAGGCATGGTGCGTAGAGAGTGCTATCCTTGGAATGAACATGAACCCGATCGCTGCTCGGACGAGAGCTTGGAATTCCTGAATGCCGAAATGGAAAAGGTTGCTCCGAGACTCGAGGTTAAGGCTACCAAGCTGCCTCTCTTGACTGAGAGTGATGGTGTGGAAAAGTTCGTTACACAACTTGGTGTTTTCGCCAAGGAGGATATTGCACCCGGCGAGATCGCACTCTCGGAGACTTCGCTCCTTACAGCAAACAACCGTCTGCAGGACGCCCTGTGCGACGCTTGCAGTGCTGATCTCCCTGAGCTCAGCGATCCCGCTTCAGCATATGTTGTGCAATGCCCTGACTGTGAGGTCGTCTTCTGCAGTCAAAAGTGCAGCGACCTTGCTGAAGACGAGTATCATCCTGCTGTCTGTGACCGTGGTGTCGAAGACATTGCGAAGGATGTTCCACCAGCTGAGGCTGCCAATGCTCTTTACTCTCTGCTACTGCTTAGATCTTTGGCAATGGCAGAGACACAAGAGATCCATCCACTGGACATCAAGTACGTCAAATTTATCTGGGGTGACTATCACACTCTCGACTTGTCCAAGCACTGGCGCCCACACGACCGTCACAGCACTGAGTCGCCATTCCCGCGTACTCTGCCTTTCAGCTTCCAGGCCAATGTTGTGCTGCCATTTAACATGCTCGAGAAGATGGACGTCGATATTTTCAAGAACCCTCAATACGACGTCTGGGTCTTCAACACCCTCTACGCCAAGTTTCGCGGTACAGCATCAGCTCGTTTGAGCGGTTCTGGCGGCGGCGTCGCTCGCGGACCCGAGGTCAGCGCGGTACACCCCATGTGGTGCCTGGCAAATCACAGCTGCAACCCCAACGTCACCTGGCGCTGGGCAAGCGACGTCCGCTTCCGCGTCCTAGAAGAGCGACCAACATGGCACGGAAGCGAGTCCCGTGGCGGCATCAAATCCAAGCCCGGTCTCAAGAAGGGCGAAGAGGTCCTCAGCCATTATTGCGACATTGAACTTCCGGTCAAAGATCGTCGCGAGTGGGCTGCAGGCGCACTCGGGGGCAATTGCTGTTGTGAGCGATGTCTCTGGGAGGCGTGCTTTGAAGATATGAAGCAAATCACCCGCGAGGCTGACAAGGCTCGCGGATAGCCCTGTCGTGTATAAAACACATCTATATTCAAATAATGTATACATGGGAACAAAGTGATTGCGTTTCCCTCTCTTGGCCAACCCAGCTTCTCCAAGCGTGTGTGCAAAATGAGAAAAATCATTGGCTCCTGTACCTGCTTATCATATCTTTCTGATTATCTCATCAGCATGTGGATGAAATTGGTCCTTCGTTCTCGGTACGAGTGGCATTCCTATAGATGAGCTGACAATACGTGGAAACACATATTACCTGGAGCCTCAAGTATAGTAGAAGGAAGTCGGCAAGTTCATCAATATCAAAGCTGAACTGAAAACAGCCAATTGAGATACAATCCTGCTGGGATATGAAAGTAATCCTGAGATATCGCTATCTCTTCAATCTTCCCTTCTCTGCAATCAAGATTGATGAACCCCCAAGACACAGCCAAGGAGCAGAAAGTCCTTGGTCCGAACAACTGAAGGTCCGCATAAACCCACCTCTAAAGGCACCACCGCTACCAACCCCCCCACCAGCGGGCAAGGACATGACCCCGAGAAACCTATCGGAATTTCCTCCGGACGTTCGATTCATGAAACACTTGCGCGCATGCAATGATGACTTGATGCATCCCATCCCATGCGCGGTGGTCATTCCGCTTCTGCATATTGCAGCTCCGGATTTGATTCACGCAAGCAAGCAAGCAAGCAACAATCCTGATTTTCTTTCCCTTATGCGGCTGCTCCCCAAAGCCTCGTATTCGAGAATGCATGTGGGTTTGATGTAGCCTGCTTACTCTTGTCTATTTCTGCGACTTTTGGGAGAGGCTGTGATTTGTGGATGATGATGAGATAATTGCATTGGAAAGGGGGGTGTGCGTGGTGTGTGCCTCTTTTGCGCCTGAGCCTCAGAGTGTCTCAGAATTTCTGGTGTTACACAGCATGAAGGATGCAGGATGCTAGTCACGTACATTCGCTGCAGGGTGCGGGGAAAGGATATAAGACGGCACATGGTAAAATGATACTATTCGCTAACAATTCTTTTGGCACTCGTTGATATCGCTCACATCTGCTCTGGTTGGTTGATGTCTGTTGGTTGTCTGTGTCTCATTTGGAGCCGTTGGCGATGATGAGACCGTCGACGAAGGTCTTGCTTGAGCTTGCTGCAGCAGGTGCGACCGCTTCCTTTTCCGTGTCGAAGCGTACATTGATTGTCTTGCTCATGAGCTTCTGACCGTGGAAAACCTGGATGGCTCTGGCTGCGGCTTCTGCATTTGCAAACTTTGCTGTTGCAATGCCGCGCGATCGGCCAGTAGCCGGGTCCCGTCGGATCTCGCAGCTGTCGAAGGATCCAATCCTGCGCAGGTACTCTTCTAGTTGCCGCTGATCAATCGCATAATCCAGTTGACTGATGAAGATGCCTCTTGATTCGGTTTTGACGAGGCCGCCCGTGGCGTTGATGGGACGGTGGTTTGGTGTGTAGACGTAAGTCGGACTCATCCTCCTCGGAGCCACTGGTGGGCGGTGTTGGAACACAGGACTTCCGTGCATGGGTGTGCTCATGGGAGTGCTCATGGGCGTACTCATCGGTGTGCTCATTGGTGTACTCATGGGAGTCGAGTACGTGCTTACGCTGTGTGATGGCGGCAAGAACGGCTGCATGGAACGCGGAACATCACTATTGCAACGCAACAGTTCCGGAGGTGATCGAGCTGTTGACCAGAGATATACCTTGAGTGGCTTGAGGGACGGTGAGCCACTGGTCAGATACCCTTGGAACTAGTTAGTCTTCCGCTCAACACGACTGGACAAAGAAACATACCATATAAGTTGAAGGCATCCTTGGGACGTCTGATCTTGATCCAGCCACGACCTTTCTGCATCCCTTGTGGGTTTGAGGCCATCTCCGTCCACCCTGGATATGGTGCAGCCTTTCGAGTCAAGTCTTTGAGCATCCCCCAGGTGTAGTATGGTGGTAGCTGCAGTTCTGAATTAGATCATAATAATCAAATCAAATGATTTGTGACTTACGCCTTCAACATAGAAGAAGAAGTCGCCGTCGCCAGAACTCTTGGCGCGAGAAGGAGGGTACTGGCAGTTCATTGCGGGCATGCGGGACAACATGTTCGATAGCAAGACGGGTAAGTAAGGTAGGCAGTGCAGGACAGCACAGTGCTCATAAGTCAATATATCTGTCGAAGTCCAACTGCAAAGAAGGGCAGCCGCAGTTTGAAAGATTGTTGGATCTTCGAGGTGAAACTGGTTACAAACGACAGAGATGAACCAGAAAGAGTTGCCGGAATATGGTCGAGGGACGTTCTATTTGTACAAACCATCAACGGACTTACCCCGTGTATACAGCTTCAATGCATGATATGCGTGACTTTCAATCAGCGAATCCAGTCGATTGTCTGGACTTTGGTCTACTTTCTTGCAAGCAACATCTGGAAAGCGGGACTGGACAAACAGCTCTGATTGCCGGGGAGGTGTAGCCCGAGACGATCGCAGGGTCAGATACTCGGCAGAAATCTGGGGTTGCAGCAAGCCATCTGGATAAGGCCCATGTCGCCATGCACCCTGACTGACCACCCCACCAGACTGAGGATTGCGATAGGATAGAGCTGACCCAAGACAGAAAAGGGGAAGCAAGGCTGACTCTCCGTCTGCTCGCTCAATGTCGATTGTGATCTTTGTAAGTGGAGCAAACGCTTTGTCCAATTGCCGATGAGCAGATTGATATGCAGGGCTAGATGCGAGACCGATGGTAGCGGTGAAACCACTGGCTGGGGTCAAGAATGTTGTTTGCAGCTTCGATGAAGAAATGATGCCCTGATCATGAAGGGGTCAAGAACTGTGATCTGTCATTTTTCGCGGCACGGCATATATACTTATGAAGCGACCGTTGTGGTGGGCGCCCACAGAAGCAACGTGTATCGCGGCTCCGTCAACCAACAGGAGGCTCTGATAGCGGCTATACCAGCCATAAGTGGCATACCAAGAGTCGAATTGGGCGAAAGGGCCGAATCTCGCGCACAGCATCGAGGATCAATTGAGCGCCACGGTTACACAGGCTCCTTTCACGCCTACCCGTGCCGCATCCCGTGAAGAACTGGTGCGGAGGCGCGGTGCATGATGCTAGGCGAGAAGCCAGCTATTCCAACCAGGTTTCAGGCTCAGCGACAGACGTGGTGACACAAAGGGCGGGAAGGATAATATCGAAAACATTGCGGACGTGCAGAAGGTGCCAGTTTGACGTCGGCTCCAGAATCTTGGGGAAGTCGCGGTCCATCAACCGAGGTGCGACTTGCCAGACTCCAACCGCCACAGCCCAAACATTCCCAAACACCTGGAGCCACTTTCACGAGCCCTTCCATCCGGATCCGATCAACTTGCGGTCAACATGTCACCGAGTGAGGCAGCAATCATCGTTGCCCGCTTCCTCAAGGCCAACAGCTACGATGAGGTTCGAAGCTCGCCATAACAATTATCCTGACATCACCAGCTAAAATGTTTCCATGCCAGACTTTGGATACATTTATCAGGGAAGCCGGCCTTCCTCCAAGTGCCGGATCGACAAATAGAGGCGACCTGACCATCGAGAAAATCTTAGAAGAGAAGCAGACCTTTGATATGAGTCTGCAGTTCGAAAGGCTTGGCACAGATGATGGCGCTCACGGTTGGAGCCAGCATGGTAGGTGTTTTTGATTCTTCCGAAGTCAATATATTGAATTCCTTCAAGCACCGGCCGTGCCAAATGAAATTTCTGGACCGACACGTTCCAACATCCTTCACACCTCGCTGCCACTGGTAGCGAGCACCACTTCTAGGTGAGTCGATTGTGCCTTGTCATTCCTGAGGACAGTGCATCGTTGACCTGCGTATAGCGATGCATCCGAACCGTTGTTGGTAGCTACGACCGCTGACCGCCGGCTTAATGTCCACAATCTGCCTGCATGCACGCTCAAAGATTCGCTATTGGCTATACACGACTCGCCGGTGCTCTCGACTGCTGTGTTGAAACAGACACATCTGCTGACAGCATCCATGTCTGGCCAACTGGTGGTTTCTGATCTGCAGGGCGTGGTCTTTGACAAGCGCCGTGACCATGCCAAGTATGTTGTGCAGATCGTAACTCATGAATTGGAAGATGTCACCTGGCTCGCGACCGCAGGCTGGGACGGCAAAGTCCATCTGTACAGTATTGACGTTGCTGCCACTAACCCCAAGTTGCCTGCTCCTGTTGCATCTATCTCGCTACCAACTAATCCGGAAGCACTCCTCTTCATCAAGCATCCCGATAATGGATCTCTGGTGCTCATCATCACGCGCCGAGATTCGACACATCTCTTTTACTACAGCGTTGACAGCGAGGCACGCCTTCTCGGCAAGCAAAATCTTGCGCCACACAGTAATGCCTGGATTGCCTTCACTCCATCAGCAATCGCTCTGTGTCCAACAGACAGCACCTTGATCGCAATCGCCACCAGTGCCATTCCGCACATGAAATTGCTGATTGTACGATTGATGGTTCCCTCGATGGACGGTGACGCCTCAATTGCATCCCTTGTTCCTGCCGAAGAGACGCAGGCCTCACAGGCACGAGCTGCATTGGCGCTGCAAGACCGCGAATCAGCCGCCATCCTGATTCAATGCAACACCATGGCGCCTCAGACAGCCTACAGCACTCCGGCACTCACATGGCGTCCTGACGGCACAGGCGTCTGGGTCAACAGTGATGACGGTGCAATCCGTGGTATCGAAGCCACCACTGGTAAGATTATCGCTACTCTCAAAGGCCACGAACCCGGTAGCAAAGTCAGATGCCTCAGCGCTGCCTGTGTGAAAGCGGGTGACGTGAAGCAGGAATGGTTGGTTAGTGGAGGGTTCGATCACAAACTGATCGTCTGGAAGCCCGAACCTGCAGAGTAAATGTTGGGACGACAATCACTCTCAAGTTACAGGAGCTGCAGCGATTCGAACATCGTTCGGATTCAGTATCCCTCGATTGGATGGATGAATGTCGTTGCGATGCAAGGGATCATTTGACATATGCAAGCCATACAAAGGCAGGGTCGCCTTAACAGCACATGCAATGATCACATCGCATGGTACTTGACATGACAGACAAGCCAGATTTAGATGTATCAAGTACAAAATCGTATGTATAGTCCTAAGTCAGGGCTTTCGGAGATCTTTGTCGCCAGCTGACGTGCCTATCATCGTCGTGAACCATTTGAGCACATCAGTCGTCTCGAATTCACCACAAATGGCATTGATGGATCTTCGTGTTCTTCCACGGCCATCCTTCGTGACAAATCCTGCTGCTCTGGAGCTATAAAACACCTCTCTAGCAGCTGGCACCTTATGTTCCTCATCATACACCGACTCCACCAACCCATCGACTCGATGAGAAAAGAGCAGCCAATTGTGCGTGCGCCTTTTGCCGCCAGACTCATTCTCCTCACGGACGAGCGAGTCAGCAAGGAAGGGAAGGGCGGGCAGGAAAGTCATCACGTCAGTGAAACATTACACACATTTGCAGTCACCGGTATGTCGTCTTGGGTTCGTGGGGAAGGAAACGATGACTTCTTTCCGTGTGGAAGTCTTGGAGGAGTAGCGGGATGTGGGATCGAGGTAGGGGTGTAGATTTAGATGCCTTGGGTTGTTGGACACGTAGATCTCAGAAACTCATTGCTGTGTCGTGCATAATGATTTCAGTGTATGTCGCCGTTGCTGGCATAGGAAGGGAAACGACCAGGTCAATGTTCCCCTATCTCCTCCTCCTGACTCGTGCCACACCGAGGACCTTGCTCTGATAGATAGCAGCGTGTTCTTCGAGCAGTCGAGATTGATGAGATGATGTCAGTGGGCGATGAGTCGGTGACCTGGTAGTCTGATTGCTCTGCCTCGCTGTCTGGCGGGTCTTGATCGTAGAGCGAGCCGTAGCCACAATGGCTCACATTCTGCAACCTGAGCAGATACCCACGGTGGCAAGTGCCTTGCCGTCAGTGGCAGGAACATGAGAGATGGATGGGAGGAAGACTATCCATAGACGGGTGGGTGGCTGTTAGTCTTACGTGCTTCAGTGGCCGGTGGGTCACGATGAGAAGTCGACCTGCCAAAAAAGAAAAATAAACCGGTGAAACTGGTCTTTGGAAAAGATTGCAATGTCATTCTAACGCTTTTGTGGCGGGTATACTAAAACTAATCATCAATAAAGAACCAGAAACTACTGGGTAAAACGCCCTTCGCAATGCTCATAACGCCATGATCCATCACCTCCCTCTAGTCATCATCAAGCCGCACACTGACCAGCCCCTATGCAGCAGCAGCAGCGACAGCATGCGTCTTAGGCAAACCCGCAAAGGCGGCCTCGAAGGCCGATCTCTTGCGTCCATGTTCAGCTTCTGTGATGCCGAGTTTGCGAACAACCTTCATAGCACCAGTACCAATACTCATGCTCTGACCCATGATAATACACTCACTGACACCTTCAATCCTGTCTCTCTTCATGCCCACCGCAGCATTGAACAGATGGTCAGGAGTCTTTTCGAACGACGCAAGCTGCAAGACCGAATCACGCATCTTGGCGAGACCGAAACGTGTGATACCCAGCACGTCTCCTTTGTAGGTCATGACGTCTGCCAGCAACTGCATGTGACGAGGATCAATGTCCATACCTCCCATGACACTGCTGATTTCGTTGATGATGGTGCTACGTGCTGCTTCGATACCGAGGACCTCCTTGCACTCCATGACGTTGTTGGAGCGTGTTTTGACACCGTCTACACCTTCGGTAGTCATGCAAGCTCTGAGGCCGTAGCCTTCAACCAACACGGAAACAGGTTCGCGACCACTAGCATCTGGCTTATCGTCCTTCTTGACAATCGCACGGGCGCAGTCGGGATATCCTTTCACGACGACATTGGGGAGGATGCGCTTGAGGTCTTGAATTACGTCGAAGAGTTCGAGGGGTTTGCGGTTTTTGGCTTGGGCCGCTTTGCCGCGTGGTTCGGGGACGTATTGAACGTTGACACGAATGTGTGTTTTGCCAACAGGAGCGACTTGGACACCAAGAGCTTTGACAGCCTTGTTCTTCGCGATAGCATAGGTGATGTCTTGGGTGGTCAGACGAAGACCAAGTTTCATGACTGTGTCCCAGTTGATGCGCATATTGACGTAAGAACTGGTAACTGACCAGACGTCTTCGATGTAAGCGATAATGTCGCGGAGATATGTCTTTTCGATCATTGCCTTTGCGACACGACCGGCGACAGTTTCGTAGCGTGAGTCGAGTGTACAAGTAATGACAGGGGTACTGATGACCTTGGATGCGTTGATGATCTCCTTGATACGTGGTACACCCTGAGTAATACTCATACCGGCGACACCAGCAAAATGGAAAGTTTTCAGAGTCATCTGAGTACCGGGTTCACCGATGGATTGGGCACCGGTGGCACCGACGGCATGACCGGGTTGAACCTTTGAGCGCTCGTACTTGGTCAAGCACAGCATGAGGAACTCGTTGATAGCAGCAGTCGAGATCTTGAGCACGCCATCAGCAATGGAGCGCTGCTTGCAGTCGTCCGCCACTCCGGCATCGATAGTACCAGAATCATCGATACCAGATTCCATGCCGATCTTTGTACGAATAGCAGCCAGCTTATCGCACTTGATTTGGATGTAGTTTTGGACAGTGTCGAGGAAGTCACGAGCACTCTCCATCTGGTCGATGCCATGGTCGCTCCTGTCGTTGTAACCAAGCTTCTCGCCAGTGAGAGAGAAACGCTCGAGCTTGGCGCGCTCAGGGTTGAGTGTGTTTGTTGTGATCTGCATGATTTCGGAAGGCCTCAAACCACGATCAACGTTGTTCCATGTGGTTGTAACAGCATGGGTGAAACTGCGATCGAAGTGTACAGGCTTTGCACTGCCCTCCATATCCACGGGATCAAGCTTATCGTCTCCGTACTGGAATTGAACGATACCAGAAGATGAGTTGCGTACAGTGTTGTCGTATTGAGCCGACAAATCTTCCAGTGACTTCATCAAACGACGAGACATGTAACCAGTCTCAGCAGTCTTGACAGCCGTATCGACCAGACCTTCACGACCAGACATGGCGTGGAAGATGAACTCGGTAGGGTTCAAACCAGAGAAGAAACTGTTTCCGACGAAACCCTTGGCCGGTGCATCTCTGCTGCCCTTTGCGAAATGAGGAAGAGTACGGTCCTGGAAGCCCTCCAGAACACGCTTTCCACCGATAATTTGTTGACCTACGGCAGCAACCATTTGAGAAACGTTGATGTTAGAGCCTTTCGAACCACACTTGGCCATGACCAAGGGTGAGTTGCGGCGACTGAGCTCAGCAAAACAGGCGTCACCAGCTTCTTGACGGACTTTTGAAAGAATACCAGAAATCTGGTTCTCCATGGTCATTTCTTCATCACAACCGGGATCGCGTTCCAGCTCTCCCTTGTTATAGAGGTCGATTAGCTCGTAACATTTTGCCTCTGCTGTTCTGATGAGATTCATCTTCTTTGCTGTCAGTGCGTCACTAGGGTAGACATCGCTGATGCCGAGCGAGAACCCCTGGTTAGTGAGCCAACGTGCGGACAATCTAGCGAGACGGTTCATGGCGTGGACGGCGTAGTCGGGACCAAAGTCACGCATGATAACGTAGAAGACTGAGTCCTTCTTTCCGTCACCAACGGTTGCCTTGTCCATGTAACCGCACATGACCTCTGAGTTACGAATGACCAAGTATGCATCATCCTCGTTCATGTCAGGAGCAACACCCTTCGGCGGTGCTTTGTATTGCTTGCACTTGGCTTCCAGGTTGACCAGCACATTCAGCTTTTTGTTTGGTCGCATCAAGACGTTCCAAATTTGCTTGCCAGTCCAAAGTCGTTGCGGTTTCCAGATTGCAGGTGGTGGCAGTTCGATGGAAAGCTTCTCACCAGTCTCTGGGTCATCAATCACATCGTCGTGGAACATGTAACCAATAATTTGACTGAAGGTTTTGCGGTCGAAGAAGTTGTCCTTGATGGAAGAGAGGTAGGCTCCTGTAATGAAATCCTGGATGGCGGCAATGATGGGAGTACCGTTCTTGGGTGTAGCCAAGTTGTTCTTGACACCCATCAAGTTGATAGCCTCTGTACGTGCTTCTTCGGTCTGTGGTACGTGCAAGTTCATCTCGTCTCCATCGAAATCGGCGTTGTAAGGGTTGCAGACACACTCGTTGAGGCGGAAAGTCCTCCATGGCCTGACCTTGACCTTGTGACTGAGGATACTGAGCTTGTGGAGAGATGGTTGACGGTTGAACAGGACAATGTCGCCGTCTTCCAAGTGACGTTCGACAACATCGCCAATCTGCAGTTCGCTTGCCGCCTGCTCGAGCCTTCCGATTCTTTCCATGATTTCCAGAACCTTTCTTTGACCGTCTTTCTTCACAATGAAGTTGGCACCGGGATGCTTTTTCTTTCCTCGAAGGACACATCCGCGAAGCTTCTCGATGTTGTATCTTGTGACGCGTTCGGGGTAGGTCATGTTGGTGGCGATTTTGGACGGGACAGCGACTTCTTCGATGCTCAGGTTGGGGTCAGGAGAGATAACGGTACGTCCAGAAAAGTCGACACGCTTGCCTGAAAGGTTACCTCTGAAACGACCTTGCTTACCCTTCAAACGTTGGCAGAAACCACGAAGAGCCTTGCCATATGCTGAGTCGCGACCAAGACCGGGCAGGTTGCCATCAATGTACATGGCGATTTGGACTTGCAAGAACTCCCACATGTCAATGATTTTCATGACGGGTTGTCCCGATTTCAGGCCAGCCGAGAGAAGAGTGTTGATTTGAATGATGTCTCCGAGCTTGTTGGTAATGTCATCTTCGGTGCTTGCGGCTTCCTGGGCGACTGATGGACGGATGGCGACTGGAGGAGCGGGCAGATATTGCCAGATGAAAGCCTCGGGGCGGCCTCTGCTCGGATCCATACCTAGCAACTCCACATCTGTTGTCGAGATTCTCTGGAAGAGGTTGAGCGCTCTAAGAGGGTTCATATCATCCACAGCACGCTTCGCATGTTTCTCCAGATCCGGAACACCCTTCTTGGCCTCTTCAAACGACTTTTCGAAAGCGACCATGGAAGCCGGCTTGACCTTCGACTTTGCGTTGGAAGCGAGGTATGTCTGCCACTTGACGTGGATAAGCTTGATGGGATGTCCGGCGACTTTCTTGACGGTGCCATTGATGGAGCCGCAGTAGAAACAGGTCTTTGTCTTCTTGGCCTCGTCGACGATTTTCTTGCAGATGGCCTCTTTGCGCAAAGTGTCCAGCTCTGGTCTACGGATCTGGCGCAGGTACTTGCGGCGAGTGTTTTCGTCCAGGAGAATGCGGGAACAGTCTTTGCAGATGGTGTTGAGGATTTCCATAATCTTTTTGAAGTAGCCCCAGTGGTAGGCGGGAAGCGCCAGGCGGACGTGACCGAAGTGACCGTTGCAGTTCTTGAGGTCCTCCTTGCATTGCTCGCAGGTTCCAGTCTTTGAGGAAGTTCCGAGGCGGCCATCGAGGGGACCGTGGGCAGTGAGGGTACGTTTGCCGCCAGGGCCAGTTCCAAGGTCGTAAACGTTGCGATCCGAGACTTCGACGACGGACTGCTTTACCATGTCCTGGTTGGATCTGTACAGTGAGTCAGCGACGGGGTCTTGGACTGGGCGCATTCAGACAGTCATACAGGACACCAAACTCCAGCTCCGAGATGCGCTTGGGAGGACGGTCGATGACCTGCTCCTTGGGCGGAAGCTCATCACCGTCAAATTGCCGAACTTGACTTTCCATGATGGCGGCAGGTGTCGACTACTTCCATAAAGAAAGACTCGGCGCAAGTCTGACTTCTGACTGTGGTGACTGGTTCGCTGAAGTTTACCGTATTCGACTTCGACATAAAATCGCAAGAGCAGCCGCTAAGGATTTGTTGCAGCGTCGGCCACAAGGGTCCGAGCTTCATCGTTCATCGCGGGGTCTATCTCCGACCGTACATCCGAAGCTTATCTTGGTGTGATCATCAAACCACCAAACCCTCAAGCAAAATAAACTAACTCATCCGACTCTGGATTATCTGCTTTGACCCGGTTACTTTCCGTCAATACGGCACTCTCGTGAAACAAGGCATAAAGAATTCCACGGCTGCCCTATCACAAGCTAGAGTGTGGACAGCAAGAGAGGTAGCTCTCGGTGAAGAGGGGTCGACCTCCGCAGAGCTTCTGCCTTGACACTGTAACACCCGAGTGGTTATCGACATGCATAGCGGCGTCCGCCGAAGATGGAAGAAGACATTTGATCCCACCAGCAGGTTCCAGAGTCTTGAAACAAGGTATTAGAAGCTTGCTTGAGTGATAGAATTGCAAGTAGAGTGAAAGCTGTAGTGTACGATGGTGAGGTGGTGTTGGCATGTGACTGTGGGTTGCGGCCTATCAAAGGGTAAAGGGTTGGTCCCCGCTCGGGTCGCTCTTACCTCAAGGCAGAGCAAGTAATCGACCAGACTTCCTTCAACCTCGAACCACCGACACACTACGCCAACTACAAATACTGACTCATCTCCTGCCCTCGCACCTGCACGCCCTCCTTCCTCCTACCGCCGGCTCCCAACATGACGGCGCCATTCTCGCACACGCAGAGACCTGTGCGTCTTACCGTCTCACTACAGGCCATAGCTCGCAAAGGCGCCCCTTCGACCGGCCCCATTGATCGCACCCTAGTCATCCCTCAACATGGCTTGGTCGAGATTGGCCGCGCTTCCACCAGTGCCACCAAGAACAGAAAGCCAGCCGCCGACAACGCTCTGTTCGAGTGTGCTGTCATGTCCAGACACCATGCCGCCATTTCGGCTCCCAAGGGTCCTCATGTGAGTCCACCTCTTTCGATTTTGAGACTCGTCGACTGACATTCACAGGGACCCATCATGCTCGAGGATACGGGCTCGATGCATGGCGTCTACGTGAACGGAAGAAAGATCCTTAGAACTGAGATCTTCTCCCGCGATGAGATACGATTCGGAAGTCAGGTCACTCGTGCTGAAGGTGAATTCTTGCCGCCAACCCAAGCTTTCAACTTCGACGAGTATCCTCTTCTGACTCCTATCCCAGCCACGTTTGACGGTGTCGAGGTCCGGATCACCAACATCGTCCGCTCAGGCGCTTCCTTCAGTAATCCCTTCTCCACCAGCACCCTCACCAACACCAGCACCAGCGTCACTCTCCCGGAAAGTAGCAAGAAGGTCAACCCACCCTCATACCGCGTCCCCGGCTATGACACCGACTCTTCCAAGGAAGATCTCACCTCCATCACCTCTGAAGAGCCCTCGATTACCGTCAAGCCCTCAATCTCCACAAAGCCTTCGACCGTCATCAAGCCCGCTACTTACATCGACCTCGATCCACCTTCACCACCCGTCTATGCTCGCAGTGTCGTCGAGGTCGATGACTTCACCGACAACATGTCCGAGGAGGTTTCCGACTTTGACAGCGAGTTCGACGACGGTTATGATTACCCTGACAACCCCGACGAAATCGATCATGACGACGACAGCCAGGCGGCCTCGGACCGTGACGAGTCTCCTGGTCTCTCCGAGTCATTCAACGACTACTCGGACGAAGAAGATGTCATTGACTCAGAGTCTGAGGAGTCTTTCGAGACACAGCTGGATAACACAACCGTGTTACCTGTTGTCGAGTCGTTCAAGTCCAAGGCCGCTGACACTCAAGCCCACACCCAGACTCAGGCTCAGGCTCAGGAGGTAGAAAAGCCTCGCGATACTGCCGAAGAAGTCATGTCTATCCCGTGGTTGGTCGAGAACTCCATGACTGCTGCTGCAAACGAGTGGTATTACCCTCATATCACCTTGCCTCAACTTCACTATGACTCTATCAAGATCCCCTTGGCTCCAAGCCAGAAGGACGACAGTCTCGCAACGTCCAAGGACGACATCTCCGCTGCTCCCAGAGACCAGAAGAAGGATCCCGAGATCAAGGCCATCCAAAACACCGACGATCTCCGCATCGATGATGATGTCGTCGTTCAGGAGGTGATCGCCGAGAGCCGCGTAGCTCCGGCTGTCTTTACTCCGATAACTGCTCCCGAGCCTGCTGTGGCTGAGAAGCAGATCGCTGCACAAGCTCCTACTGCCGCCGAACTCTTTCATAAGGTGGACTCGCCGACAGGAAGCAAACGCAAACGTGATGTCGAGGATGACGGCCACGAGGCACTACCTGCCTCGTCTACTGCTCGCAGATTGTTCAAGTTCAGACTTGGTCCGCAGCACAAGAAGGCCCTCGCCAACTTCTTGCCAAAGCGCACAATCGTCAAGGCAGCTCCTCGCCCTATCAAGAGGGCAAAGCGTTCAACTGCTAAGGTCGCTTTGAGTGCTTTCGCTGGTGCCCTTGGTGGTATGGCTACTGTCGTCGGTGTGCTGATGACTCCTCAGTGCGAGCAGTTGCTGGCTAACTGGCCCATGCCATAAATGGACGCGGTGCTTTGAATGATGAGTAAGCCTCGAGCGTCGACTTACATGAGAAGTCCGCAGAGGGGATCCGGAGCGTTGACCTACAAGTGAGGTCCGCAGGAGGATCAATAATGGAGATACCAAGAGAGACCTGATATACATGGTCTGTGTTTTTGCGTTGTTGGTTTATGCCTTTCCAACTTTCAACGTCTGCTCAACTCGTCGATTTCTGAGATCCGATCTTCGATGACCGTTTTCTTGGGTCCAGGGAGTTTTATTATGGGAAGGTCTAATTCTGCTTCAGCGCTTCAGAGATGGGTTTATTACACAACGAAAGAGACGATAACGATGACGCTTTTTGCTTTGTTTTACTTTGTTGCTACAGAACTTCGACAAAACAACAGAAAATATGAAACCATAATTACCACAGATCAACTCTCTCACAGAATGGTGTTCTCTCCTTGTTGGCTTCTGACAATGGCAGCTCTTGCCTCGTTGTTTACACTTACGGTAGTGAAACATCATTCCTATCTTATCTGCATTTACGAAGTGTTTCCATAGATGTCTTCATCCACTTGAGACTGATGGTTTTGGCATCTGCATATTTTCTACCATCTCTTCCTCCGCACGAAACTTCCACCCGACCATACTTTTCTGATCTAGCTCTTGTGAAACTCTTTTCTGGTCGAACTCTTGTGAATCTCTTTTCAATTGTCATCTTCAGGAGTCTCAGGTGGTGCGTGTTCTTCACCCTGACATGAGTCAGAGAGAGGGATTCCCGTAAACCGGCTCTGAACCTGGAAGTGACTCGCAGATGACCAGAATTTGAGCAAGATATGACCGCAACTCACGCAACAAGCAATGGGCAACGCATCTTCAAGAGTCAACAGGCTTAGTAAGCAGACAAGCAGAGAAAGACTATAAAGCCTGGCTTCCTCTCCCTCTCTTCTTTCTTCCTTCGAATCCTCATCTCGACCATCTCGCCGGGCTCATCTCCTCCCATCCGTGGCTGCGCACTACAGGTCGCAGGCGGTGCGCGGTGGCTGGCGCTCCTCAGGCAACCTCCCCATCGGTGGCCCCGGTCACTGATGCAGAGGCTCTGCCTGAGGGCCCAAGCCACACGCCCATCGCCTCCCTGTAGTGACGCAGCACGGGTGGTCGCAGGAGACAGAGCCGCGGCTGGAGATGGTACGGAGATGGGGGGCCTGGACTCAGTCGCAGCTGTGAAGCATGCGCGTTGTGCTCATCTCGCATGGCATCTGAGGGGTTCAACACCCTTTCAGTGTCGTCGCGGTTGGGTAGTGGCGCGCGCCTCAGCTCGGCGAGTGGCAGGCTCCGGCACGAGCTCCCACCTCACCGTGGTGTGTCGGTCTAGTAACTTCTTCGGAGGTGAAGCCAACGGGAGCACAATCGACAATCTTTATTTATCTTTTTCATCGGTTCTGACTTTGGTTTTTCGGATGGGGGCTGGAGAAGAATGCATGTGTCGATCTTGTTAACCTCTCTGGAGATATATCTAACGGAAGCGCAAACATTTCTCGCATGCTTGGTCATGAGTTATTTCCGATATTGGGTTGTGTAATGCGCGCGGACTACGGTATCGCGATGATGTAGTCCACTCGATGAAAGAGTCGTGCGCTCAAGTCCACCTGAAAGTTGGACATAGGATCAATTAGACAAGCTCGATTACGAACCTTGCGATCGATGATGAGCAAAGTCTTTCTCTTCAGGATAGTCAGTAAAGACGTATGGTCTTCCATCGACTCGAGCTTGCTCTTCCCTCTCATAGGGGACGTTTCGTCTTACACCGCCCGTGAGACGGGTAGGGTGAATGTAGTTATTCATATGAGGGGCAGAGCCTTGCCCGGGATTGAGGGCGGACTGGAAGGGGGCCCAATGCTTGTTTTGCCAGGTGGGTTGTTCACCTTGAGGAAGTCGAGGAATCTCGAAGGGATCAGACAGCTCAGATGACTGTGATGGTCGAAAAGATTGATGTGACCGAGAAGCTTGAGAAGATTGAGTAGAGGAGGGTTGCGAGGTGGAGATTTCAAAGAGAGCGGCATTCATGCAAGACAAGTTGAATGAGTTCTGCTCCGGTGGCTGCGGCAACGGTTCTCTTGCCTGCCAGCGTGTAGTCATTGAGGGTAGACATGATGGGATATGAAAGACATTGTTAAGCGGTTTGGTAGAGGATTCATACGATTCCCGGTGCTCTCAAATCTGTGCTTGTCGACCATCTTGCTCTCACCTAAGCGTCCACGCACTTGATTGATGTCTTGCTCAACAGGGCCTCTGTCCTTCCCCCAGTTTCATGCTCTCTTTATGGAGAGGTGCTTTGAGAACCCACCATGTTGATTAGCAACGGATGATGTCTTGTCAAGGGGCCCTGTTCCTAGACCTTCTGGCGAACAATAATTCAATGACAATAGAAGACAATGCTGTTGATGAAGGTTGGTTGGTCGGTCGGTCGCTCCTTCGTTTGCAACCTGAGGAAGACGGTTTTGCTTGGCGTGGTCAAAGCCAACTTCATTCAAGCCTCCATGAAGCCAACTTTTAGACAATGACATACACATCAGCCAGAATGCCTTTGATACAGAGCTCACAAGATTACCTCCCTTGTAAGATTGAATGGCCAACCCGTGAACGACATGCGCTTACCGATGCGACAGACATTGACCCGGCACCGTCAGAGAACGAGCTGCAGTCAGCACGCGCTCTCATCCAAGCCGAACTGCCAGAAGACCACAAGACGACCCTTCATCCTTCAATACCAGAACGTACACCCATCAAGTTCAGCGAACTGGTCGAATCCGAGCACGAAAGGCTATCCTCGGGCGCAAAGAAAGAGGCTGGTATTGATATGTCGCGCTACGAGGCCCAGGATGCGCCTGCGACAAACGACATGGAACAATGGCGCGCAACTCTACAACAAGCATACGCTTCTTCGGAGTATCTGGAATCGCGTCAAGTCAACCTATCGCTCCTAGAGACATACGGCAAGAACGCCTGGTTGATCTCGAACGACCAACTTGAAGCCATTCTACGCGACGCCGAGCGCGAAGTCTCGCAGAGGAAGATTGAGCTTGAAGACATTGACAGGAGTAGAAGAGATGGCCAAAATGCTCGCAAGGGCGAGCTGGAAGCGCTGGAGCAGCAGTGGAAGATTGGCGTTGGCCAGATGATTGAGGTTGAGGTTGCCGCTGAGAGACTGCGCCTGGAAATCCTGGACAAGAAAAGAGCTGGCGCAAAATGAGCTTCGTCAAGACTTGATACCCCAAATCGCCATACCGTCCGCGCAGTCTGACAGGCTTTCAGACTGGGTTGCTCGCCTCAGCCGTGCGATGTCTCTTGTGCACAACAGTACTCAAGAAGTTCCTTCGAGCTCACGCTTCATGACATGCATTGAAGAGCGTCACTCAATCACGCCTCCTAGCTGTTACTGGCATCGATTCTCGCGCCGAAGATCAAGCCAAGTCGCCAACCGGAAAAGAGACCCAGCGCAGACACGGTCGACCTCGTCGGCAGCATGCCTACCAGAACCGTCCACTCGTTTCTCAAGAGAGCCTAAGACTTTTTCTGTCTGACTTTATCCACTCTCAGGCGCCGAGCCGTCTTCTCCACTTCTTACATACATGCAGCTGGTCTTTCTCCCATGACCTCCTGCTCGTATTACTGGGTACTCTGAAATCAAAAGGATATACATCTACACTTCTTGCAAAACCATCATGTTCCTCTCGTCCATTTTCTGCTCTCGCCGATTTTAAAGCTCCGACCTTGTTTACGAAGTTTGTTGTTGGCGCTTCACTTGTCCATATCCGTTATTTTCACCAGGCGTATGAATCGTCACTTTCCAGCGCACTTCAATCGTATCGTCATTTTCCAATCCTCCCACCTCGGCGTCACTAACGTCAGTCCGTATTATTTCTCTAAGAGATCGTTTCTGCGAGAACGGGTACCCATCACACATCTTCTTATTCAGCAAGGCGCCTCATAACAACGCCCTGTTGCAACACATTCTTTCGATTCTGCAGCCAGAAATCGTTCCGGCCGAGTTGGACCGCCGACAATGGACGATGACAATACCGGCCGCCGTATTGCAGACTTTCGCCGCAGTCTTCTGAATTACGAAGAGATGGCCGCTCAAAACAGGACTTCTGAGAACAGATCGTCAGACCCAGACTCTGGTTACCGTTCCTCGACCCCTGAGCCCAGCGCCTTCATCGCAGACCCAAACTCTCCACACCTACCTCATAGCCCGGCGCTTCATCCAAACATCACGACACGCGCTCGCAACCGTACCCACCGCCGCTTCTCCGATCTGTTCTCGCTTCGTGGCCGCACTCCTACCTTCGATGAAAGACCCAAGATCTCGAGACCTATCGTTAACCAAGGAGACATTGATGTCCCCCACAATGGTCCTTACATCTACAACCATCCCAGTCGCCCGCGCCTTGATGTCGAGATCCCAAGAAGCAGTTTTAGCGATCTGTGGGGCCAGAGATACGGTCCTGTTGGAGACGACGGCTACAACATTGATGCTCGACCAAGCCCAAGAGTTACTCGCAGCATGGACTTTGATCTTCTTGTTGAACCTAGAGAAACCCAAAGCGCCATGGCCAGGGGATCGGACAACCTGGCTCTTGGAAGAATTCGTGATTGGTATGCTGCTGGTATGCCCGACTTCGTTGCACCTGCCGACGCCGACGAGTCGCCCGCCGATTCTGATGTTGACAACGACGAACACGATGATGGAGTTGAAGCTGAGGGAGAAGATGAAATGTCGTACCTCATGCCTCTCGTCTCTCCTTCACCCGAGTCGTCTGCTTCTTCCACCACAACATCGGCTTCTTTGCCGTCCATCTCCGATTTGCTTGCCAGACCTCGTTCTGATTTCATCCGCCGTGACCAAGAAAGCCGCCCTTTCCTGCGGCCTTCTGTTCTGGTTCCCGAGGAGGAAGATTTTGAAGACTCCGCACCTCTCGTCTCAGAGCTGAGTGAACGCTGGGTAAGCCACCGCCATCCTAATCCTTCTGTTGCTCTATTTTTCGACTCGTCTTGCACACCTTTCTCCTCCTTCCACCATAACTGACACAACGCCAGATTCGTCACCCGCTCCGCCAGAACCCACCGAATGCTCCTTCGCCCGTCCCACCCGTCCCATCAGCTCCACCTCCCTCCCCAGTCACTCCATCTCAACCTCCCACGCCTGTAGACACATGGTCTCACCTCCACGGCTTCCAACCCCATTGTGGCGTCACAATCACAAGTGTCGGTGATGACGAAGGCGCTGTGGTCGAAAACTTCACCCTCGAGAGCTACCCTGCTGATCTTCGTGCTGGAAGAGCCGTTGGAGTCAATGCTGGAGTGAGAGACAGACAGCCCGTCTCTAGTGTCGAGGCTGTGGACGCAGAGGACCTCATTGTTACTTCTCCTTCCGCTCGTGCTCGTTCCCGTGCTCAAAGCACACCCCCAGCTCGTCCCCAAAGCACAACTCCATCTCGTCAGCGCAGACAGAGCGGAGCAGCAGGCATCACACCCGTAGCAGGACCCGCCTTTCCAGCCAGAAGACCAGTACCCACCACCCCAATCACAGCACCCACCTCCACCATCAAATCCTTCTGCTGCGGTCTCTTCGGCAACAACAAGAAGAAACAAATGCCCTCTCGTCCCAACGTCTCCACTCCCACGCCTATCATCCCACCTCCTCTAGTCACACCCATTCCCGCAGCCCATACCACCATTTTCGAAGAAGATGAAGATCAAGACGATCTGGAGATCGAACCCGCAACTCAATATCCTCCTAGAATTGTTGTGGAGCAAGAGCAAGAGGTGGAGGATAACCACGTCGGAAGCGGTATCATGGACGAAGGAGTCAGACGCAGACAATCTGTTCGTCACAGTTGGGTCACCGTGTCCAGATGGTTGGAGTAAAAGATTGACCCTTTTGGCTTTTACTAAAGAACATGGCGGGAAGACAAAAGAGATGATCATGGTGCATTACGAATGAACGATACTGCTGCGGAAAGAGAACGGAAAAGACGGATACCAATATAAAAGAGCTTGGACGTATACAGAAGAAGAAGAAGAGAGGGACTCTGCTCATGTAGAAACGCCAGCTCTGGAAATCAATGAAAGGGTCTTTCAACTATCGAACCATTGTGTGCACATGTTGTGAAATTCCTTGTTGTGTGTTGCAGTTCATTTTGTGGTCATTCCACTGTGGAAATACATGATGTTCCTGAGTTCGGTGAATTCGTGGAAGTCCCGCTTTTAGTGGAGGCTGCATACCTTTAGTGTATCTCTACAGCTACAAGCACGACACAGGTTAACACATAGGGTTGGCTTACTTCACGTAGCTTGCACTCTAAGTGACTTGGGTTCTGAAAAGACGGTGTTTTATTTGTTACGAATGTTATGAATATTGTGAATGAATGTCTCCTCTAACTTCCCTTCCCTCTGCATGACACATCTCAGCGTGGTCATATCTCAGTCCGATCCTACATCAGCTTCAGAATCATTGGGACAAAGACAGAATAAGCAGCAACAGCATGGACAGCCTCGTTGGAAGCAGTCACTCCAGGTGTTTGATGTCCAGCTGGATGGCCACTGCTTCTTCTGCTTCTCCGGCCGTGGGTTGTTCGGCTGTGGGTTGTTCGGGAATAGGGTCTCCATACGTATGCCGCCTTTTCCACCTTCCTCATTCCTGATGGTCGCCGGTTCAAGTGGTCTGTCGCGTTCTTCCTCCTTGTAACAGTGCAAGCACTTGCCGAAACACTGACCAACGCTGGAAAGGAAAGAACGGCTTTCAGGAGTGGACTCGTCATCCTGGATCGGGCTCGCAGGTCTTAATTCATACGCCATGCCAGGCTTTTGTACATGAGTCTCACTGGTGCTTCCCGCATCTGCAGCACCTTGGCGCTGGCCGTCGTTGCCTGATGTCGAATGACGGGTGTTCTTGTCAGACGGATCTGGCTGGCCAGTGTCGCCTTCCTGGAATTTAGTAGTGCGCTGGGCTTCGCCGACTGCTGTTGTTTGGCCCTCGCTGGCTGCTGTTTTTTGGCCCTCGCTGGCTGCTGTTTTTTGGCCGTCGCTGGCTGCTGTTTTTTGGCCGTCGCTGGCTGCTATTCTTTGACCCTCATTACTTGCTGTTGTTTGGGCCTCGTTGACTGATGTTGTGTGCTGGCCACCGCTTGGTAGTATCTCTGGCGTTAGACCATCGACAGCAGTGCCATCGGTGCCATAACTTTCGATGGCCCAGTCCACATAAGGCTCTTCTTTCTGAGGGTGTATGTGCAAGCCAGTATCTTTTAGCGTTTGATCCATAGAGCCACATGCTTTGATAATAGATAGTCCGTATTTCTCTTCTTCCACAAACGCATGCATCGGTTTGACCGAGCAAAGCCGCTCTTCTCCGCCTGAGGGACACTAAGCCTCGTCGTCCGTGCTTTGCAGGTCTTCGGGACGTTCATGCTCCATGCCGTCCAGAGGATCTGTCTCCTGGGCCAACAACGGTGCTCTCTCGCCTTCCTTTCTGCGGAAGTGGCTGGAGATGCTCAGAGCGAGAACGCTCAATCCGTGCACAAAAGTGCTACACATGACCACAAAGCAGACCACAGGCCAGAGCATTTCGGTGGCCTTTTCGCGGTTGGTGTAAGGAGGTGAGAAGATCGGAGGATGAGGCAATGGCTCGCTGGTGCCGGTCTCGAGGGTCGCACGAGCTTCAATGGCAAGGAAGACTGCACCTAGACCCATGGGTCCGAAGTGTCCGCAGAAGAGTGCCTCGCGGAAAGTACGGATGTCTGGGTTGAATTTGTAAGTCGCTAGCATGACAGGAATGCGACGGAAAAGCAAGACCAGGACTGCGAATCCAAACAGTCTCCAGGGTGTTACGTTTGGAGTAATGTCGCGGGAGCCAAAGGCCTCCCAGGGGATGATTGTGCCGAGGTAGATAAACAAGGCTGAGTTGAGCAAGAGGTCTGTGACGTCTGGGAGGTGGGCATCTTTGGTTTTCTTGCTGAACCAGCCGTCACGAGCGAAACCGTAACCAGCACCGAAAGCGACGAGGAAGTCGTCAGAGCCTAGAATACTGCCAACGCCGACGCTGAAGATGGCAAGAAGCAAGTAGAAGGCGATCATGCCAGCGGGGTCAATGTAGCCGCGGCCGTCTGAGAAGCGCAAAAGGCGGTTGAAGACTGTGCCGATGATCAAGCCAGTGAGGATACCCAGAGAACATTGCCAAAGAATAGTGATAAGGAAGTAGTTTTTGACTGCTTCCTTGGGATCTGCATTAATGAGTGCGTAGAGTCCAACATAGAGGAACCTGTGATGATGATAAGCAGTGGCTCAAGTTCATGTTGGAGGGAACTCACGGGAATGATATTCCATCGTTGCAACCGGACTCTGCAGACAGCATGTCCTTGATACGCTTCGGTACCCTGGTGCTGAATTGACTGTTTGAGAGAATGGAAGAGGACAAGACAGGATCGGTGGGGGTAAGGCAAGCTGCAATAACGAGTGCAGTTGCGATATCGACTTTGAACATCAATGCGGCAAAGAGGGCGCTGACGAACCAGCCGAATGTCATGACGAGAGCTAAGATGCATGTGAGTCGTGATGTCGAGTTGAAAGGAAGATCGCGAGGACTTACTCAAAAGAATACCAACACTCTTCCAGTGCTTGGAGGCATAGTACTTTGGCAAACCAACACCAACAGTGAAGACTTGGACACCAAGAATGACTCGAGAAATCTCCTGGATCTGGTTATCACCCCAGCCCCATCTCTCGTTCTCATCGCCAGAACATCCTTGCTGGCTGCAATAGTTTGGGTTCAGCCAGCCAAGCACTCTTGGACCAAGAAGGATGCCGACGAGAAGTGCCAATGGCGGTTCAGACAGATGAAGGCGGTTTCTGATGAAGGTAGCGAAGAGGCAGTAGACAATCAAGAAGGACGAGATAAGAAGGTATGAAAGATGGGGTGGTGTAGGTTCAAGCTGATCCCAAACCATCGCGTCGGTTGATAGAGATGGAGGGTGGGAGCCTCCAAATTGCGGTTCAGTTGATCGTCCCGCGGGATGTTGAATTGAAACGATGGGCCGAACGATGTCGACAGGTTGATGGGTTAGTGATGGGGACGAACGCCTTTCAGAACGCCTGATGTAATGCAAGAACAAGAATACTTTCCAGCGCGGATCGATGAGATGATGAGAAAACTTCGGCCTCAGGAAAGAGGAGTCTTCAACAGAACAAACACCGCTTCGGAGGAAGGTCCACAATGATGACGTTCGCAAAGAGGTTTAGAGTAAAGCCAAGCTTTTTGCCCTTTCTCCGATTCGCTGAAAAAGGGCAGGAACGCACGGACACTATTGGAGAGTTTCCTTTGCACTTCCTCGTCAAGGTAAACCCGACCGGATCGAGGTGAGACATGGGGAACCAGAAGAGGCTGACTGTAGTTACGCCTCTGACAGTTGCGGATCCAACCGTTGAGCGACCGACTCAAGAAAATAGTAGATAAGCTGGCTGCCGCCCTGGTCTAGAAAAGATTGGACAGCAATCCTTGCATACAGCCACACGTAAGCTTGCCTGATACATAATACCGCGTTTGATCCTTCGTTCAGGCCACCTCTGAGCTCACTCGACCTCTGCATTCTCTCAACCAAGAGCGAAGATAACTTCTCGCACACCACTCCATTGACCGGTATCATCGCCTCAGGACGCCATCATGATCTGGAAAAGAAGTATATATACCGTTGTCACACCACTGCCTCCCACGGTCAGCCGCGAGACAGCAGTCGCGATGCTGCATTCACACGCCGAAATGATCGAGTTGAATCCCTTGGTGATTCATCATACGCAATGCAAGCCGCCATCGTCAGCTCCGCCGGACGAGTTCCATGCCATCTGGTACGAACTCACAGATCGAATCACATATCTACCAGGCATCAAGGGCCAAGTCAGCTACAAGGCCTGTTTTCACGATCTACCTCGTGGTCTTCAAACACACGTCTACGCCCCCGCCGGTCTTGAAATCAAGGAAAAGTGGAGCATCGGTGGAAATGAGGCTGGAGAAGAGCGCGAAGTCATCGAACTCGGCCTGAGCAATCTTGGTGTACCGCGGGAAGGACTCTACTTGCGCGAAGACATCGACATGAGCTGCAACATCTTCCTCACCAGCTTCGTCAAGAAGACACTCAACAAAGCTCATGGAATTCTGGTTGACCGCCTAGTCGTCAAAGCAGACCTGGCGGACGATAAGAAAGTCAGAGAGAGCTATCGCCGCGCCTCAGTCCTCACAGGAACTAGTGGTGTCAGTGGCCTTGGAGTCATTTCGCCGCGTGCTTCCCTCATGAACGACAGAAGTCACAGCAGTATGAGTGACAGACATCTCCGGAGCCCGAGCAGCATGAGCGACGTTCACAACCGAAGTCACAGCAGCATGAGTGATTCTCGACCGAGCTTCACAGACAGCACAACAACTGCAGCGACATTGCGAGATGATCAACCTGAGGGCCAGCAACTCCAAAGCATCGCCGAGCTGGAAGCCTCAGAGAAACTTTTCGACGCAAAAGGTTTTCAGCTTGAGAGGCAGCTTCCGCCACCTCCACCAATCGAAATGCCATGACTGACGCCTGAGGCAGGGAGATCGGTTGCACATATCTTCTCTTCTACCGAGTTCTGTCTTGGCTTGGTCTTTGTTTCTCATGCGGTCACTTTTCTTCTGTTTATGGGCGCTGACGATTACCCTTTGTTTGCTCAATATCCTCTCCTATGTGTTTTGCCTATTGTTCTGAGCTTTTCGACTTCTTTATACCTCTTGCGTTGATATCCATAATTGTCTGTAGGGCAGTGTACTCGAATTGTTCTATTTCTCTCAATACCATTTTCCCGCTATCATGAGCAGCAATTACACCTTACTTACTATTGCGATATGTCCAGGAACGCTAATTTGATGAGCTCTCGGAAGTTCTGATCGTGCTTGCACGTGGCAGAGGACATGCTTGTGTCCACGAGACCACCACGTGCGAACTTCTGTAGTCGCATCGTGACTTCCTCTGTATCTCGTCGGCCGAACAAGTCACGAGCTCTCATCCCTCTCTACCATCTGAAAACAACTTCTCATTTCCATCTGACAACCAACAGATATATAATGTCCCATCGCCGTCCCCATCTCCATTACCGATTACCATATCATACACAAACCTACCACTCATACCTAAACAACACAATCATACTTCCATCATGACTACCAACCCAAACCTCCTCTTTGCTCTTCAGAGTATCATTGACTCCTCTCCCCCATCTCCTACACTGAACACATCTTCTCCTCCCAAAACAAGAACATCCAGAAAGCCACCACGACTGAGAGATCTTCTCCATGGCTGTGTCAACGGTACTAAGATCACCACGTGCAAAGTCTGCATCGGTCGTGTGCTCCGAGAGTAAGTGACCTCCTGCTTCTCCTTCCCTTCCACAATCTTCCACATGCGTAAAATACTGATATCGTGCATCAGCGACAAGAAGTGTGCAGGCTGCAAGGGCACTGGATTTGCGATGAACAAATGCGGTGCTTGTCATGCTGGAGCAATCACGTTGGCTGTGTTGATCGAGGAGAATGCCGCTGATGTCCTGGCCGGAGACGTTATCAGAGCTGAGCAACTCGCGGAGGAAATGGCTAAGCAGACGACCATCAGAAGGGCAGATGATGAGGGATGAAAATGACGAGAATGAACGACTTGAGAACGAAGAGACGATAGTGGATTGAGCCTAGAACTTGCGGGAATCGTGGTCTCAATGGAAGGCATTTATGACTCCAACATCTGCATGGAGGCCATGGGTTTTTGAGAAGACAGGGAAGTGTCGGTCAGTCGCCAAATTGTTACTCTGAAAGGAGCGAAGGGAAAGGTATCGAGAGGTTTAAGAGAGTGCGAAAGGCAGATTGAAGTTCCACGTTCTCATTACCAGTGTTGCTTGACTTGTGCTCCAACCAAAACGACCTGTCGAAATGCTTTCAGAAGCAGTTTATCTACTGCTCAGAATTCGTCACCTTATGCGATTTTCGCTCTCGTTCGCCGGGATTCCAAGAACAGAAGCGCAGCAACCATATTCGCTCTAAGCGACATCAGAACCATCATTTCACCGTGATGTGACGACTCAGCAATGATCAGACGAGTTGGAAAATGGGTGATGAGAGCAGATCGTGGTCGCTCGCTTGGCAGTCGGGGCAGGAGACGCTAGCATTTGTGAAAGCACGACCCGGGATAAGTTCGGCACTCTCGTGTGTCGCACTTGGCTGCGTCGAAATACCTTTGCATCAATTTGATCTTCGCAAGCGCCAGTCAATCGCCCACGTCTCACTCCGTCAGGTCAGCAACTACTCCAAAGCGAACGCGCGCAGCGAAACAGGACACCCGAATTAACAATTGAGCTGCAGCGATCCTCCATCAGTCAACATGGCCGAGCAACTTGTTCTTCGCGGCACCCTCGAGGGCCACTCCGGCTGGGTCACCAGCCTGGCTACCTCGCTTGAGAAGTGAGCAACACCGCAAAAAAGAGAGATATAGAGAGAGGCACAAGATGCTGATTGCCTCGTGTTCAGCCCCAACATGCTCCTGTCGGCATCTCGCGACAAGACCTTGATCATCTGGAACTTGACCCGCGACGAGACCTCATACGGCTACCCCAAGCGCAGCCTCCACGGTCACTCGCACATTGTCTCCGACTGTGTACGCTGAACCCTGTAACCGGAACGAACTAAGAACAGCCTCTGACCTTTTGCAGGTCATTTCTTCCGACGGTGCCTACGCCCTTTCCTCCTCCTGGGACAAGACTCTCCGTCTGTGGGAGCTCTCCACCGGTCAGACCACCCGCCGCTTCGTCGGCCACACCAACGACGTTCTGTCCGTCTCCTTCTCGGCCGACAACCGCCAGATCGTTTCCGCTTCCCGCGACCGCACCATCAAGCTGTGGAACACCCTCGGTGACTGCAAGTACACCATCACCGACAAGGGCCACACCGACTGGGTCTCCTGCGTCCGCTTCTCCCCCAACCCCCAGAACCCCGTCATCGTCTCCGCTGGTTGGGACAAGCTCGTCAAGGTGCGTTTCCATTCTTATTCTCCAACTCCTCTACTTTCTCGACATGATGTATTGCAATTATGTATTTGCTACTTCAGAGCGGCCATCTACCGCCATGAGACAACTATTCACCCATTTGCCCTGATCCTTCGCATAACACACATATTTCACAACGACTAGCAACCGATTGATGAATCAATGCGCTGACAAAAGACAATCACAGGTTTGGGAGCTCGCCACTTGCCGCATCCAGACTGACCACATCGGTCACACCGGCTACATCAACACCGTCACCATCTCCCCCGACGGTTCCCTTTGCGCTTCCGGTGGCAAGGACGGTACCACCATGCTCTGGGACCTGAACGAGAGCAAGCACCTCTACTCGCTCAACGCCGGTGACGAGATCCACGCCCTTGTCTTCTCCCCCAACCGCTACTGGTTGTGCGCCGCCACTGCCTCGAGCATCATCATCTTCGACCTCGAGAAGAAGAGCAAGGTTGACGAGCTCAAGCCCGAGTACGTCGAGGTTGGCAAGAAGAGCAGAGAGCCCGAGTGTGTCTCGCTCGCCTGGTCCGCCGATGGCCAGACCCTCTTCGCCGGTTACACCGACAACAAGATCCGCGCCTGGGGCGTTATGTCGAGAGCTTAAATGCTTTGATGTTTCGACAGTGCTAGTCAAAGATGTCGTAGGGGGAGAAACAGGATTGAAACTGAAAAGTTATGTTGCTGTTTTGCACAAGACCATTCTAACGTGGCTACTCTTACACGTATCTTCTCATACCCCGACTCGAATTACCACGAGTCGAGGCGACGCTAGAATGGGCGACGCACGAATGGAGTCGGTCAGACGGAGTGCAGGGTATAATCGGCGTTTCGTCCAACCAAAGAAAAAAGACTCGTTTCGTAGGTTTTTTTCATGCCAAAAAGATAAATGTTCAAACCATCTCTTGCCACATGAATGTATGATTGTATATGAACCTACGCTATGCTATGCTCAACATAATCTTGTCTGACCCACCTCTCATCTTCAACATGTCTGAGCTACTTCCACGTCCAAGGTATCATGCCAGTCAAGCTTGATCGGCCCAGCTATATCACTGCTGATTGTGCCACCTCGTCGTCAGCTAGACCTAACATCCCAGCCCTAGTCATGTTTTCTCCATCTCTCTATTCTCTCCGTCTACAACACCCTCCTAACCCTCCCCTTCAGCGCACCCTCGAGGTCAATTCGCAACTTCTCAGCGAACCCCTTGTCAAAAAACGCAACCCCCAACTCCTGACTAGTAAACCAACTCGCCCTATCCAAATTCCCCGACCCTAATAGCACCAACTCTCCATCCACAATCGTACATTTCAGGTGACTTTGCTGTGGTTCTCCCCTCCCTTGTCCCTTGGGTGTGAAGTATTCAATCCTCAAGTCCCCCATCTTCGGTCTTCCCGCCTCTAGATCTGTAGTTTGGGAAGAGCAAAGGTCTTGATATCTAGTGATGAGTTTGGAAATACAGCGGGATGTGGTTGTTCCTGCCGTGACCAATTGCTCTAGGATCATGAGTTTCTCGCTCGTGACGATATGGATGTTTATGCCGCGGTGGAGGGTGCGGAGGATGGCGGTTAGGACTGGAGGGGCGGTTAAGTTTGGCGTTTGGATGTAGATTTCTGTTTCGGCGGAGGCGAGACTGCGGAGGAAGAAGGTGTTTAGAGGTGTAGGTGGGGGAGGGGCTGAGGTCTGCCAGGGCAGGCGGAAGGAGGGATTGCGGTTGTGGGGGCTGGGTAGGAAGATTGTGGGAATGTCCTTGAGGTCCAGTGGTGCGTGGATGGGTAGGTGTGCTTGTTGCTGTTGCTGTGGTGTCATTGAGATTATATCTTCCAGTTCAGAATCCGCAGAGCGATTGAGCAGTTCATCTCGATCTTCAGGCTGTGCCCAAAACTCCCTCCAAAAGTCCACAAAGCAGGAAACCACAGGTCCAGTGAGCGTAACAGCACCCTCGAACCAATCCTCCCAACTAACATTGCAACTCGGTAATACTGCAACTTTCCTATCCACAATAATGAATTTCGGATGCATAACGGAAAACGGCAAGAGGAAGATACTCTTGACTTGCATATCCAGCCCCTCCAACTCTTGCGGATTTGGCAAATGCAGTGAAGACTGCCATGTTTCTGGCTGATACACTTTCCCAGCCAAATTCTGTGGATGCAAGAGTTTTTGCAAGATACCAGAGGAGGAAAAACATATCCTCACGCGAATCTTTCTTTCTCGTTGCTTTCCTTTGTCCGAGAGTTTTCGTAGTGCATCATTGACCAGTTTTTGCGTAGAGGAAACAGCCCAGAAACAAGTCACTAGTATCACTTCTTCGTTTGCAGACTCCAAAAGGGGAAGAAGAGAGTTGTATATCGACTCGCCTGTACCGAGATGGAGGGAATGCAAGTTCGAATTTGTGATTAGAGAGGTCGAAGGAGAATGCAGGAAATAGGTTGGTGGCGAGGTTACATTTTTGTTATAGCCAGCTTTAAGGTCGGACAACCACGGCCGTATGAGTGTAGTGGCGTGTTTTTGAGATGTCATTTTCGGTGGTGTTGATATAGAGGAAGTTGTGGAGATGTGGTGGACGCGAAGTTGGAGGTTATTTATGGGACTAGTCTCAATTCGGCAACATGTGAATTGGTTGTTCCTACCACGAGTTTTCCTATTCGCTGTGGAGTGAAACACTTCCGACCAAGACGAGCCTGTTAGAGATAATGTGATTAGCGTGAGAAATGTACCTCTTTTTGGAGGTGACAGCTGCTCTCTAACCCTGCGTAGACCATGCTGCACGAAACAGAAGTGTCATGCAGATATACTTCCATCAATGTTGACGCACGCCAGCTGACATATTTTGGGATCTTGTTGTACATTTCACTGCTTATATTGAGCATACTGATATTTCTAAAGTACCAAAGTCTATGAGTCGTGATGTATAATTGATGAACATTTGAGATGACAGGGTGCGAGTGCTTGCGAGAAATCTTGGCAGAAAACATATCAACACATGGATGGATCCACCGATCCAAGAACGAGTCTGTAAAGACCAAACCTTTCAGCAGGGTGAGAGAACTCGTCGAAAGATCCTAGAACCTGACAGCTGATTCATATCTTGGGAGAAGGGTATAAGCTTGCTTCCATGACAATCTCACAGAGACAAATAGTAGCATGAACGCAGCTCAGAGAAAACGGTACATGTACCGAAGTGCCCCTTGCCTTGCAAGATTCTTAGTATAACTGTTGGAAAAAAGATGTTCTTGTCGTTAGGTATATGTGGACTGAGAGCGCCCACTCATACGCAATCTGTCTGAACGATCATACCAACATCGAAGCCATCTTGCCTTTTGATGGATGCTTCGGTGACCAGCTTGCTCTCAGGAAGGTAAACTTTCGTTCCTGGTGCCTTTCTCCTTCCCCTCCAGCTACATTATCGTATATAGGTAGATGACATGTGTAGATTCGGGGGCATCTCGTGAGGTACTGTCTTAGCGTCGTCTGTTTCGCGGCAACGTCTCTTGAAGCACGCCCCGATAAACACGCTGGTAAATGTTGAGAATTCGAACATGCCAATGAATATGATCTCGAAGGATCCAGATCTGATGACCAATACACATAGATGCCGGGTGATCGGTCATTGAAAGACCTATGTCGTGTCGCGGATGTGTACGGAGGGTACCGTAGAGCAAAGCCTCACCGAAGCGGGTCTGATGTCGACACACAACATGCATGTAGACGAGATGAGGTCTCTTTGTGATCTACAAAAAGCCTTCCTCTCATTTTGAAGTCATAAGACCTGGAGTGTGAGAGTGGTTCAAGATGCAGCACCATGACTCGGAGGAAAATTCCAGAAAACGAAAGTAGAAGGCATCACGTCAGTCAAGAGAGATGTCAATAAGCCAAGATACACGTGGTGCCGCAAACCCCAGAAGGATGTGCTTGCGAAAGGAGCAATCTCGGGCGGTTCGAGTTGCAGTCGTATGTGGAAACAGATGGCACGCATGAGTGGTAGAGTTTGAACGGCGCAGAGGCTCCAGGTGTTTCGAGAGAGCGAATGGGGCACTCGGAGCGGATTCCAACGCTGCCGAGGGCAGATGACGAGGATTGTGACACGTCTGATTGAAGAAGCGACCGTCAGATGAAGGGAGGAGAAGAGCATTCACAAGATGAGCAGAAATGCGAAGGCCAGTGTTTCAGACGGACGGTTTATTGACAATCAGCAGTCGTACCTGCATACGTGTTCGACGAGCAAGATGGTGGATTTTGACAAAAGCAAAAGGTTTACGAGGTCAAGACCCTGTTGTCGGCTGGCGGTTTCACAAGGCGTGTGGCTTTCCTCCGCATGACGATGCCGGCTTGGGATGGGTCACTGGGTGTCGTATTGCCGTTGTCAACAAGAACAAGGCTGCAAGTTTGGTCTTTGTGCTTTGTTGGCGTGCGCACGTTTCCTTCTTCTTGCTTCCTTCCTGATTAGAAAGGCCGACTTGCGACTGCCTGCAAAATCAAGGTTCACTACGTGCCAGGGCCTTATCCAAGATCGATCCCACACTTGACAAAAGCCCGCAATCATGTCTGCTCGTGCACACTCTCCACCCATCTCGACTTTCAGCTCTCAATCTGACACTGCTCCTATCGTCTCTCCGCAGCTCGACACATCCTCCACCACTGCTTCAGCAAAGACCAGCAAGAGACGACTCTTCGGACTTGGAAAGAAAAAGGACAAGGCCGCCGACAGCAGCAGCACCGTCATGGACGCGACAAACAACGCGACGCAATCTTCACCAATCGCCAGGCCAGCAAACATGATCCCTCTCACCTCGTCCCCCTCTCCGCCCAATCGCTTTGTCGCAGCTTCACCGACGCGTCTACCATTTGCCCTGGCTTCGAGCCAATCCACCTCGACACTGGCCTCGTCGCAGATCTTCGAGCGCAACGTCCAAGAGTCAGCTGTACCCAGCGAAATGTCGGATGCCATCCCGGCTCACATCCAGACCGAAGACCATATTCCTGCTGTCCTCGAGGCCTCGTCACTTGCAATCACAGACAACCATCTGAACCCGGACCAAGTCGAGATTGTCACACACACGGCGCACCAACCTGCTTCCGAGAAGGTTGCAGAGGGCACAGCCAGCGCTCTTCACTCGGACGCCCAACTGCCAACCTCACCCCAGGACTCGCGGCATGAGAGCTTCCACTCGGCTGGCTCGCATCCGCCGGACGCCGATGACGCGGCATCAAACTACGGAGCCTTGGATCCTGCCGATGTGCGCAGATTGAGCTTCATCTCGTTCGCCGACGTTGTACAAGCAGAACAGGCCGAGTCTAAAGATTCTCTTCATCACGCAACAATGTCAGCCAGTTCTTTTGGTCACATGCAAACCCACTCTCCTCCAATGCCTCGCTCGCCGTCACCTACGCGCTCACCACTATCTTCGCAATACTCGCAAGAAGTCACGACACCTCCGCTTGGGAGTAACCCAACCTCAATCAAGGGTTTCGACATGAGCCCAGTACGCAGCCCAATCGGCAGTCCTCATCACCAGCAACATGGAGAGCTCACCATTGAAACGATGCGCCAGGCGCTGCGCAAGACAGCCAGTGGTGACTTTACAGGAGCCAAGATAGTCCCATACCCGACAGGCTCCACCGGATTCGAAGACGCCGGTCTCGAAAGACATGGCTTCAGATGAAGATGAAGAATAAGAAACATTTACGAATAACAAGAAGCGGAATACACTCCGATGATCCCTACGCGCGCTGACTTTTCCTCTCCTTCTCGAATCTCCTTGTTTATCTCTACTCATGACTTCTCACGGGATGACCCTCTCGGTCTGGTCTGTTTCTCACCTCCAGGTTCATTTCTCTCACTCTATTCCAGCAGGCGGCTTGCTTATGACGATACTTTAACTACCTGAAGCATAATTTCAAATGTTAATGCTCTGAAACGTGACAGCCAACCAAGCCACCATCCTCTGTGATAATATAGATACATGGCTCATTACGCGATTGAAGATGATGTGAGATTGGACATGTCAAAATCAAAGATAGATTGACTGGATGCCTAGGAAGGAATCGAAGGATGACGGTGAGGTTGCTGCAGGCTGCACTAAACCTGAAACACGGCAGAGCAGTTTGTTGTGCAAGATATCGAGGGCTTCAAGCAGCAGGCCCCGCAGATAGAGGCGGTGGAGGCATGTCAGAAGGTCTTTGGTTTGGCAATTAGATTGTCTATTCTTGAGAGTGTTTCGCGGATGGGTTTGCCTGGAGCTTTTGAAACTTCGTCGCCTCCTTGTTGCGACTTGTCGAGTGAGCACCGACAGCGGCGTCTCAGCCTTTTCGCTCAGGCCGACCAATCACAGGGCGGAAGCGCATCAAGTTGCGGCTTCAACATAGCAAGGGCAATATAGGGAGTTGAATTAAGCAGCGGAGCCCTTTTTTTCAGGCGGCCTTCAGTGACAATTTGTAGCTTCTTATTCGGGCACTTCCTTGTCATGTGCCTCGGAGTCGCAAGCAGCGGTCAACAGGAAGAAGCGAGAACGAGAATCAACGTTTAGCACAGGACAGCAAAAGACAGTTTACGGTAGAATAGTGAACGATCCAGAGCCGTTAGCTTTCTGCGCGCAGCGAGCAACGACTTGGGCCAGCACACCAACGACGACGCATCCCGTCCATCGACTCCTCTGCTCGAAGACTGCAAACGACGTTTCAATTGCTGCCAACACATTCTGCCCTTGCGCAAGTAGACTCGTGCATCCAGCGTCCTCACCCCCGGCCACGTAGACGTATCTTCCCTGGACACCGGTCCGCACAGCAGGCATCGTGGCCCCCCAATGTCTGCTGTAGCGCGCCGCCTCGCTCAACCGACCACCACCTCGTTCGTCTCGAAAGCCATTTCCTCGAGGCTTCGCTGTTGACAGGATCCACCGCACCCCGTCTCGCCAATTGCGCGGGGCACCAACACCAAGGCCGAGGGTACAATATACTCTGAAAAAGCATGAGGACCCATATGGAGCCTGCCTCCCGCCAGAAATGGTCAGAACAGTCGAGCCGCCGTCGAAAGCAGCCCAGTCTGTACGACGAGTACCTGAACCAGGAGCGCTCCGCCATGACACAGAGTCACCCTGTGCCTCAGAGCATCATACAGCCCACTCCCGAAGTGCGCGAACAGCACTTCCCCCAGCCGCGGTCCGCCCGTAGCGACAACACCATCCGCACCGTGACTCCAGACTCGGTGGTGGAAGAGACGACGATAAACATGGAGGGACACGTGCTGGGCTCTTCTCCCCGGACGAGCCTCAAGAGAGATCGTGATAGTCCTCGCTCTCTGTTACTCGGCCGTAGCGAGTCGACCGACAACACGCGCAATCGCATGCAGTATACTTCGACTACTGCCCGTCGCAATCGCACAAGGACCCTGGACGAGAGCGCCTCTCGCGACGTGTCGCCAGGGACGGCGCTGCACCCTGGTAGTCGTCTGCGCCATGGCTCAATCCACCTCACCGGCAGTGAGAGTGTGTCGACACAGCTTACTTCAACCTCCTCGTTTGATCCCTCGCAGTCCACGTCGACATCTGCCTCGAAACGTCCTCGATCTCCCATCTCCGTGTCCGACACAGCCAGTGTATCTGGCGCTCTGCCCAACTCCAGCGCTCGCCGCATCCTACATCTCATGAAGACCTTGTGCGGTCGCATGTCGGGCACTCTCTGGTTCCGCCGTGGCCCTTCAGCGACGTGGCTCCAGTCCTACTGCTATATTCAGGAAGACACGGGCAGTCTGCTGTGTGAGGCCGACGTCAACAATTCGCAAAACCGTACTCTTATACCTGACCTGCGTGGCTGTCAAGTACGTACTGCCATGGACGAGGATACTCAGATGCCCTATCTTGACATCTCAGTACCAAACTCGACTCTACAGCTGCACGTTCGTCTGAAAGATCGCAAAGACTTTGACTCATGGTTCGCTGCTCTCCTCTGCTGGCAGCCGATCCGTCCTAGAGGCATCCACAACAAGATGACGAAACCTCAGACTCCTGTTGTCCAAGGCATCACCTTGACCGATAGCAGGCGCAACTCGGAAATGTCCTTGACATTGAAAGAAGCTCCGATCATCAAAGTTGGTCCCATGATTTACTGGGACAGCAATATTTCATATACCAACGCTGGTACACCAAGGTCACTCAAGCCTTCCCCTTCGCGTTTCCAAAGCTACGGTTCGCATTGGTGGAGACGCGTATCCTGCACACTACGTGAGAACGGCGAGCTCAAACTCTACGCAGAATCTGGCTCGACTCTTCTCTCTGTCGTTCAACTATCTCAACTCTCCCGCAGCGCTGTGCAACGATTGGATCCCTCTGTTTTGGACAACGACTTCTGCATAGCCATCTATCCTCAGTACACATCTGGCGCTACTGTTACAACTGCCATCCGACCCATTTATCTCTCCATGGAAACCCGTGTTCTCTACGAAGTCTGGTTTGTCTTGCTGAGAGCTTTTACGATACCACAACTTTACGGCCCCAAACCTAATGGACACTCTGACGAATCTGCCTTTGTCCCCGACACTCCTTCATCATCTGCCTTTGATAACATGATGGCTAACGAAAAAATTGAAATGTTCCGCATGGAGCGCGCTCTGTCTATTCGCATAATTGAAGCCAAGCTACCTCATGCTCCTTTGAGCTCACTGGCTGAATTTAATCATCACCATTCCAACCGTCATAACAACAACAACAATGCTGCCAACAAGCCAGAACTCTCGGACGGATACTATGTTGAGATCCATCTCGACGGTGAAACCCGAGGCAAGACACAAATTAAACATGAGTCAATGGCGCCCTTTTGGCGCGAGGAGTTCGATTACTTAGATCTGCCTGCCGTCCTCACCTCGGCTTCTGTCTTGTTGAAACGTCGCCCGCCCGATCTTTCGAGCCCTCGTGAGCAACACGAGCTCCGCCTTGTACACGAAGCGTATGGTCTACTCGACCCATCACAAAAAACTGGTGGCTCTGCTGGATTCATGCCCGTACAAAACGACCAGACACTCGGCAAAGTTGAGATCTTCCTCGAGGAGCTGGAAGCGAGCAAAGAAGTCGAAAAGTGGTGGCCAGTCATGAACCAACACGGTGAGAACGTGGGCGAGATCTTGATTAAGGCGCGCGCCGAGGAGAATGTCATTCTTATGGCGAAGGACTATAAGCCCTTGAACGATTTGTTGCACAACTTCTCAAACGAGCTCACATTGCAAGTTGCTCAGATGATCCCCACAGAGCTGAGGCGGCTGTCGGATCTACTACTCAACATCTTCCAAGTATCTGGTCAGGTCACCGAATGGATCATGGCTCTGGTCGAGGAAGAGATCGACGGTGTACACAAGGAAACTCCTGTCTCTCGTATGAGATACAACCGTCGCGTCGCGAACAGCAACAATGAGACTGACCTCAATGTCACTGCTGCAAGCGAACGCGAACTGATGGTCAGAGATATGAACAAGAACGCAACACTGGAAGCAAACTTGCTCTTCCGTGGTAACACATTACTCACAAAATCTTTGGACTCCCACATGCGCAGAGTCGGCAAAGAATACCTCCTGGAGTGCCTTGGGCCCATCATCAGAGATATCAACGAGAAAGATCCGGATTGCGAAGTCGACCCCAACCGAGTAACCAACCAGCACGATCTGAAGAAGAACTGGGACAGACTAATAAACTGTACCAAGTCAGTTTGGAATGTGATCAAAGTTAGTGCCAGAAACGCACCTTCAGAACTGAGAGTCATCTTCAGACACATCAGAGCTTGTGCCGAGGACAGATATGGTGACTTCCTGAGAAGTGTCAGCTACAGCAGTGTTTCCGGTTTCCTGTTCTTGCGCTTCTTCTGTCCAGCAGTCCTGAATCCTAAGCTGTTCGGTCTTCTCAAAGACGACCCCAAACCTCGCGCTCGACGAACGTTTACTTTGATCGCAAAGTCACTGCAGGGCCTTGCCAACATGGCATCATTTGGAAGCAAGGAACATTGGATGGAGCCAATGAACGTTTTCTTGACAGATCATCGTGAGGCTTTTAAGACATTCATCAACGATATCTGTTCGATCTCTGCTCCTGATGGTATGATCGGCCAAAAGCCTCCGTCCTACTCAACGCCGCTGGCTATTCAATCACGACTTCCTATGACAAGTAGGGAAGGCTTTCCCAGTCTACCATATCTCATCGACCAGTCTCGCGAGATCGCAAGCTTAGTTGAGCTCTGGCTCCATGGCACAACGAATGGCAGTGAAGCAGAGCTACTAGCCGCGCAGATTGGAAAAGAGGATGGTGATTTGTTAACCTTCCACAGGCTTTGCAGAACTCTCGATGCCCAGACCAAGGAGTGCTTGTCTCGTGCCGAACGCGCCGAACGTCCAAACTCTGCTCTCAGCTTCCGTTGGGAGGAGCTCATCGACCAGCTACAGAACACATCGCTCCTTGAGAACGGTGCTCGTATTGATGATGCTCTTGATGTGCCAACCCGCGACTCGTTCGAGGATGTCACCAGCCAGGCTGCTCAGCTCGATCCGACAAGAGGTCGCGGGTTCAGCGTTGGAGGGGTCGGACTTGGTAGATACAGCGGTGACACAGAGAGTCAGCCCCCAACGTCTTGGGAGGAAGATCGCGATGGAGGCGCACAGGCCGCGGCTGTAAGCATCTTGAGTCAAGACAACAACCGCTTCGACAAACCTAGCTTCGATATTCCAAGACCAGGAACTTCGACAGCATCGGTGTCGGCTTCGGGCTCATACAGCAACAACATCGGCGCTGCTTTCATGCGCGAAGGCAGCGCGCAGCTTCCACGCGACCTCACCTCTGCAAGCCTGAACCTTCATTTCCCACGAGGCGATCGCGAGCGCAAGTCCAAGGAGCGCGAACGTGAAGGCAGTATGAGTGGCAGTGTCGTTAGCAGCGAGACAGATGCAACAACCGCACTACCCAGCCTAGCCCGCGAGCGAGAAAGACGAGAGCGCGAAAAGGAGAGAAAAGAAAAAGCCAAACGTGAAGAGCGCGAGCGACGACTCAAAGATTTCATACCCGGCCTCACCGGTCTACGACGAAAGAACGAGCAGAAAGATAAGGACAAGGATAAGGATAAAGAGTGAAGCCCTTGAACGGTTCGAGGGTTTAAAGCATTTTTTTTATACCATAACATCGCTCTGGGTCGGATTGCGGTTTTCTCTTTGCGCTTGTTTTTCCTGTGTCACGAATGCCTGGATAGAGCTGGATGTCAGGGTAGGGTGTGGTCTTTTGTGTTTTTTCCTTTCTGTTTTATCTGTTAGAGCATGCATTGATGTAGCATTTTTGGCACGTTTGTAACGAACAATGTTCATACATTTTTGAACCTCAATGCATCTGACCAACTTCATGATTACTCACAGCGGCCATCTCTCACACCGACCCTGTCTTCGATCTGATTACTGATGAGTCCGGAGATAATTTGCGGGGTTCCTGAGCTCCCCTCTTCTGTGTTTTCGATGACGTGACTTTGTCTTTGCTTACACAATCTCGAAGCAAGCTGCTGTACCACTCTGTCTTTCCTCATCCAAATGTTCTTGCGCAGTCCAATTCTTCGCCTTGCACAAACCCAACGTCAATTCGTTCGTGTAATACCTGAAGCAATCACAAAACCCATCTCCAACATCATGTCTTCCGATGCACCCGAACCCACTGGCTTGATTGCCGACAAGGGTCTTGAGCTCTTGACTTTCGGCACTCCCAATGGCGTATGTTGCATGTTGAGTCAACACTGATGTGAGAGCATCTGCTGACAATGTCGAATGGGTGTAGCACAAGATTACCATCTTCCTTGAGGAGCTGAAGGAAGCTTATGGCAAGGACTATGTTTACCAGAGTGTCAACATTATGAAGAACACACAGAAGGAGCCTTGGTTTACCAAGTTGGGACCCAATGGCCGTATCCCTGTTCTTGTTGACCATGACAAAGGCGGTCTCTCGATCCAAGAGGGTTCTGGTGAGCATACACATAAATGTTGAGGATCGCGAGAATGAGCATGAGGCTGACTCGATCTTTCTCGCAGCTATCCTTGCTTACTTGGCTAGACACTACGGTAGGCATACTTCGATCTGCGGAATAGAAGGTTGAGGCGTTATATTGACCTGCATGAACAGACACGGAGAACCGCTTCTCTTTCAAGGAAGACCCTCAGCTGTCGCATCAAGAGCAGTGGATCGCTTGGCAGCACGGTGGTCTGGGACCCATGCAAGGTCAGGCCAACCACTTCTTCAGACTGGCCAAGGAAAGAATCCCATACCCGACTCAGGTACGCAAGAACATCAAGCTTTCCGGACTTCTCCCCAGCCTCCCGTCCATCAAGGTTTGAAGCCGCATACTGACCGCTTTTTGTGCCATGTAGCGTTATGTGGGTGAGACGGAACGTCTGATGGGAATCCTCGACAACCAGCTCAAGGACAACTCCTACCTCGTCGGCAACAAGTACTCGATCGCCGACATTGCAAACTACAGCTGGGTCAACCTCGCATACTTCTCCGGCGTCAACCTCGCACAATTCCCAAACCTGGAGAAATGGTGGAAGTCGATCAACGGTCGCCCGGCAGTCCAAAAGGGTCAGAGCATTCCTGGACCTTCACCCTACACCAACGACAACTTCCAGCAAAAGCTCAAGGACGACAAGGAATTCGCGGACAAGAATGCCGAGTTGGAGAAGCTGAGAGACGAGGCCAAGAAGCAGTACGACTACAAGTACTCGAGCCCTTAGAAGCTGATTCTCGTCGCACTAGTTCCAGCTCGTAGGGAGGGTGAAGGGAGAGACAAACCTGTAACATTGGTCTGCAACCATAGTCATGCAAATTTCAAACATAACACTTGCTTGCCCTACTTCCGGGGTCTTCCCTTCTTCCCGTCTTTCCGGCCGTAACGAGACAAGCCATCGCGATTCATTGCAGTAGACCGGCAACAAGGGCTGAGACCTGGGCTGAGCTGTCATGCAAGAATCTAGAAAGTCACGGGTACTTGATATATCAGGTTTTGCTAAGCTGATAAGATAAGGGATCTTAACGAGATAGCCGGTTGATTTCCAACGTTGAGGTCGAGGTCATACGTACCAGACAAATCCAGGAAATCCAAATCACATTCAAAACGGTCTTTCGCGACTGACCTTTTGCACAAACGTCTCTCTTATGACCGGCATCAACAAGCAGTCTCGAAGGGTAGAAGGACAGAGAAGCTCACGGATGAAACATTTCTACACAAACGGGTAAAAGGGAGAGAGAGACTCGAACATCGAAATACGAGTATCCGTAGACCCTGCATTCAAAAAAGCGCTTGCTTTCGAACTCCGACGGCGCTGATCTGCACTCCGCAAAAAAAGATACGAGTCGCAATCACGGCAAGCAAGCACAGCAGCGTCATGCAATAACGCACTCGCTCGTCTTCACCGCTGCAAAGTAAATCATTGCGCCAATCTGATATAGTTTTGTCTGCTCAGAGGCTTGATAAGCGAGCAAGAAAGAGGCTTGCGTATAAAGCGTGCGTAGATCGGAAGGCTTGGAGAATCGCAGATGCGGGTGCGTACGAATCAGGAGCAAAAAGATGCGCTGATGGGCAGAGAAGCAGAGAATGCAAGAGAGATGCGTGAACGTTTTTGCGAATCAGAGGTCTGTGTCTTGCACACCCTCAAAGTGCCTATCGCGTCTCTTGGTCATTTATGACACAAGTCATGCGGATGGACGGCTTTGGGAGAAGAGGGTGTGTAGCCCGCTGCTGCAGGCACCGGTGTGCTTCTTTCCTCTCGCTGAACGTGAACAGCAACCAGTCATCTCGTTTCAAAAAAGGGTCTTGGGATCCTTGGCCTGTCAGTTACAATAGCCTGACATCCGATTATTGGTCGCGGTCCTTCTTTCGAAAAGGGAAAATGGGACAAGAGGGTGATTTCCAGGCGTGCTGGGCCTAATTTATCAAGGTCCTTTTGTTCCCGGTCCTTCTCCGCATTTTTCTGCTGTGAATCTGTGATTGATGCCGCTCGTCAATTCATGCTCCTTTGCTCTTTCCGTACTTGCAGCTTTTCGACTCATGCATGTAATCTTTTTACCTTTTGTCCATGGAGTTTGTGATCAATTCGTGATCATTATCGTCTTGATTCAAGCTTGAACGCGACCCAAGATACACGAGGCCAAGAGTCAGACGGCGCGTTGTCGCGTACGGCATGACTCCCTCCTCACCCACATCTGACCTTGGATGCATCAGTAGGAAAAGGACCGTGTCCTTCCCATATCGCGAACATTATTCCCAACGTCCGGGCGCCATCATGTGCCGGCTAGACGCTTGGTCTAACATACGGTCCTTGACTCCTTGGTGATCTACTTTGCACCTTTCGCGTGAGCGGTGAGGGAGAGCCGTTATGCCTATTTCCAGGCCCATTTCCTAGATCATCACCCCGTTTCAGTTGGTAAACTGGTATTCATATATGCGGTTGCCCCTCCTCCCACGCTCTGGCTCCCTTGTTGCTCGTATATTCCCATTTTATATTAACCACCAGTCCCGCAAGATCTCGAGTCTTGCGTATCTTTGTCATACGGCTACGTCGTTGGAGTCCTGATCTTCTGCTTTTTCCCTTTGACCTTCGAGTGACTCTTTCCTGGATACAAGTCTGTCATTTCAGTCACAGCACAGCCCTCCACACTCCATCCCTCCTGCTGCCTACACTACTACTGCACACCTCCAAACGTCCACGACACCCTAAATCCAACACCGCCTCAGCATACATCAACGCCGCCTGGTTGCTGCCTACAACTTACATTGATGTCCACCTCTGCTGCAGCACAAAAGCAATCTCGCCGTACAACATGGCCCAATATCCAAACCCTCACAACCAACATGTCAAAGAGCAGTAGCAAGAGCCCGTCACCGCCGGCAACGGACGACATTGACGAAGACCCTTTCTCACACTTCCTGTCGCCTGTACTCGACGAAGACGACCCCTTCGAGGGCCTTGAGTACAATGCTGGCATCGACACACCCTTTGACGATGAAGTCGAGCAGAAGAGGACGAAGTTCCGTGTCAGGCTAGAAGAGAAGTGGGGCAACTTCCTCTCATCACGTCGGACACCGTCACCGCCAAAGTCACAACAGGCACCGCCTAGGACACCGCCATCAGAAGACCAACTACCCGAACTCATCATTGACGACCTCGAAGGCTTCGGCTCACCATCCTCATCACCGCCTACTCGTCTGCCCTCCCTCACAACACTCAAAGATATCATCCATGAAGAAGACGAGGAAGAAGCAGATGGCTGGGAAGGAGATCGCAGACGTAGTCGCACCTTGCGCAGGAAGAACAACTTCCACCTCGACGAAATGGATAGACCGGTCACAGCACCATCACTAAGAACATCTCATCGCCCTAAACTTCAACGACCTAGATACAAGAGGTTTAGAACATTGAGTGGAAGACCTCATTCTTTCGTGGCACCCAGTCCTCATCTCTGGACTGTGAGTGAGCACGATGAAATCCTGGAGCAACTGAGGAATGAAATGAGAGGAAGAAGATCTAGTCGATGATCTGTATCCCAACGCCAAAACAAACTACGCCAATTTTCCTTATCATGATGGATGGCCTCTACGACGAGATTGCTAAACGACTTTCTGGATGACTTTTCTCCTTTTCGTCACGATCATCATCCATCCTCGGGTCATCTCTTTACTCTCGGACCTTTCATACACAGCATTTCGGAGTTCTTGTTTTGGGTTATGCATGTTTTGCCACTCGCTTTTTCTGGGTTTTAGGATCTTTCTTGTTTCTTTGCAACTCTCGTTGACTTTATACCCAAATTGTCTTTTGCATCTGGTTTTATGATTTTATGGCGCATCTGGGGACACGGCGAAACGAATGCATGCGAAAGGCTATCTTCTGATTTTGTTTAACGGTACACATACACCGGTTTGGTTTCATGGTGGAAGGGGCAAGCAAAACCATAAAATACATCACCTACGAGCTCACGCTCTCTCTTTTTGCAATACTTGCCGCCTTTTCCCTCGACTTCGCTTGATTCAGATGTGATATGTGTCTTTGTTTTACGCCTCTGTGATGTGTCCGTATGGCATGTGATTGTGAGTGTACATTGTGACAATGGTACGTATGTAGAAAGAGATCTCTCGTGGCATGTACCTAAGTCTCTAATTCTCGCCTTACCTTGCCCTCACCCTGATGGCTGCTTGAGAACGCCCATCCCATACCTCAGATGCCTCTTCCCCTCATTCCCTCACAAATGACTCAAAAAGATCAATTTTATGACTCAAACCTCATCCTAGCCATTCATTCGTTTCAGGCCCCCCCTCTTGCTCTTCCACTGTCATCGCAAAGAACCGTAGATCCTCCACTCTGGGAATACGCTATGATATGCCCCATCTTCCTCGTCGCGATTTCCATGGTTCTTTCCAGAATTCACGCATTGACTTGACAGGAACGTGGGAATGATGATAGTCCAGGACGCCTTACGACGAACCAGCCAGCCAGCCTAGCCAGCCATGTCATCCGAGCAAGCCCGTTGTCAAGGCGGGCAAACAAAGGGAAAGAACAGACACCCGTGCCGTCCCTTTCCCTGTTCCTTTCCATGGCAGAAAAACGAGTAAGCAAAAGCGAAGACCAGACTGCGCAAGACTGGTTCTTCATCACCATGACTTCCAAGATAAGAATGTCAAAAGATGTCAACTTCCAAATCAGGAAAGTTGTTGTTTGTTTACTTTTTTGCCCTCCTTCTACCCCTCACTCTTTTTCCCCACAAAAACAGCTTTTGAGGCAGTGTGGCAGTTTGAGGGAAACAGGCGCGTCTCAGGTCGTGTAAGGTTTCAAACGTTCGTTCGTTCCTATCCCTTTGCTCCTCCTTCCCGCAAACGCTCAAGACACAGCCTTACCGTGGTATTGGGGCCAAGGAGGAAGGTTCAGGGAGACATAGCTCAGCAAAAGTCGAGTTTCAGCCATCATCGGTGCGTGCGAAAGGGCTTTGCGCACGTAAAAACAAACACGCATCGGTGAGATAATACATGCCAAGAAACATGCCATTGCCATTTCTTCCGAGTTCTTGCGAGGCTGCGCAAAGTTCAGCAAACAACGTTGATACATATCAAGAAAGAAGACACCGGTATAGGTGGAGTGAAAAAGCGGGGACGGTGGTGTTTGTTGCCTATCAAGGAACCATACGCTAGAATCCGAGTAAGTTGTAGTTCACCGCTCTTTTCTAGCAGCGTCTTGGACTCTTGGACAAGTAGAAGAGGCACACAGACCAATCATGCCATTGCGTGTTTTTGATCATGTATAGCGAGAGGTATATTTGGGATATATTTGATTGGGTGTCTTTGACCAAGATTGACGTGATGGGTTGGCGCAATATTCGCGATCTTTGCGGGAATAAAAAAGTGCGACATATAGAGTAAAGAGATGGATTTACGCGACACCGATATAGAGCCGTCTCGAAGGTTGTGATGGTATACTTGCCACGAAAGAGTCGTGAATAAGGAATGAGAAACTTGAGTACAAGAGAGATCGACATTGTATAGAGATAAGGCTGTGCCATCTTCGAGTCCGCGCTAGTGAGCTGTCATGGAAAATGCAGTGTAACCGCTGAAGAGAACACCATGTACCATCCTTAGCAGAAAGCCACCGGTTTGAGCGATTCGCTGTTCTAGCCCTCATCACAAAAATCGGCTTGCATGGTAGTACGGGGGGTTCGTGATTGATAAACATGTTTGAAGCTGGTTGAGATCATGATGGCACAGCATAAATGTGACTCTGCCGGGCTACCGATGTCTGATCCTGCGGTCTACTCTAGTCTCCCTTTAGCACTACAATAGCAAGTCTCAACAAGTCCCTGCCTGAGTGATCGCCAGATGTCGTGCATACGAGCTAAACAAGAAACCTCCTCTAGACTCCTCGAGCCTCTTACAACAACGCCTCGAACGCATCCACGGCATCCTGATTCTGCTTCTCGAGATCGGCGTTGTTGGTGAACGCCGCGCCCTTGCCCATGAATTGCTTCATCTTGACCGGATCGTCTTTGACACCGTCCAGTGCAAAATCGTACAAGCGGCCAAAGTCGCGACCCATGGTGACAACGGTCTGTGCGCGGGGTCTGCGTACTTTATCGTAGGCTGCCAGTGCCTTCTCTACCTGCGAGACCGACTCTACGCGGCGGAAGAGTGCGGTTAATACGGCGGCGTCTTCGATTGCTTGAGCGGCTCCTTGCCCGACAAACGGCATGCTGTACGTCTTGTCAGAAAGTGTTAGACTGCGGTGGAGTTGTGAATACTCACCAGGCGTGTGCTGCATCTCCCATCATGGCGATATTGCGGCGACTATAGTAAGGTGCTGGATCATGTTGCTGAAGCTCCCAAGTGATGTTGGGATCCTCGGCGACAAGCTGCAAGGACTCTATGTTAGCCAATGTTCATATCGAGAGTGCGCGCTAGAATTACCTCCACAGCAGCCTTTGCGTCTTCACGATAGTCTGCAAAGCGCTCCTTCTCGAACGGAGCGATACTGCCATCACTCGCGATACCAGTACGTGTCACACAGATAATGCTCAGTGTCTTTCCCATGTGCAAAGGCATCATGTTGACGTGGCCCTCACTGCCGCAAAGAATGGGCACAGTCCGCCTCCATCTCGAATCAATGGTTTTCATAGCGAGTTCCATCGGCACTTGGCGTGAGTGTACTCTCCAACCATCAGAGTTTCTCGGCGGCACGGCAGGGTGATCGGCTCCAAGAAGGAACTTGCGAGTGCCACTGTGAACACCATCCGCACCAAGCAGGCAATCAGCCTCTGCTGTCGTACCATCCTTGAATGTGAGCGTAACCTTGCCATTGGCCTCGTCTTCGTTGATGCTGTCCAGCTTCTTGCCAAAAGTGACACGATCCTTAGGTAATAAACTCAACAGACCATCAAGCAAGTCCGCTCTCGCCACTGTCCTGCGACCTTTTGCTTTACCAAGCTCTGCGACTACCTCTCCGGTATTGGGTCCGCTGACAAGAACGACCTGGGTAACCATCTCTTCATCCTCTTCTCCAGCCATGGTGAGAGCTTTGGCGAAGTACGTCTTTTTGATTGCGGGGTGAATAAGGTCCATGGCTGTGATGGCGTTTTTGTGCAGCGCAAGTCCAGCACCAATGTCGGTATACTTTGGTACACCTTCGTAAATGTGTACGTCCAGGTTGGGCTTGTCCATTAAACCAACAGCGAGACATAGTCCACCGATGCCACCACCGGCGATCGCGATACGGATCTTTTCCTCGGAGTGAGGCATTGTGCAAGGTACTGTTGGTGAGATTGGATTTGACGAGCTCGAGTGGTGTCAATCGGTAATGCTTCTATTGTATCAAGCTGATTATGTCGAGAATGTTGCTTGCTTGCGAATCACGTCTCGACGTCGGAACCTTTGATGCAGAAAAGGAGACCGGCCGTGAAGGCTTTACATATGTTCTCACCATGCTGACGATTGTCCGACAATGTCAAAGTGATGTCCGGGTTGCTAGGTTCGGAGAATAAGTGTATCGGCCCCAAGCACTTTGAGCTTGCATGTCGTCAGACAGGGTGCGAAAATCACTGCTTCATGGGGATGATTTGTGGGGTGTGCTTTTTTGACAAGAACACGAACTCTCGATGACATGACAGCAGCGAAACTCGCTTTTAGCAGAACACACCTACCTCATCCTGCAATCTAGGACGTGCAATTTCACTTCTGTTTCCAACCGGATTCATGGGACAGAGAAGGAAAGAACGTTCGTTGGAAACGGTGGGTTCCCGGAAAGTCGATCGCTTGCATCAACCAATGCGGGTTCGGCGTCACACACCCTTCAACGTGCCGCCAGTCAAGAAGTCGTGTTCTTTCCTCACATTCATGAAAATGGTCGTGGAAACAGTGGATGAGATGCGCTGAAAGACGTTGACATGCTGCTACCGTGGTCGCAGGTACTTCAGACAACATTCCTCATGCTCATGCGGCTGGCAGGCCATATATAATTCCGCAATGACCCGGTTATTGATGCCCATCATCTATTTTCCTTTCCATATCATCTATCATTGTAGCCCTACGACCCCAGGTCCCAGATCACAATAACACCTCTTACCCTTCTCAGGCCGCAAAATACTCCCAACTTGCATACGGGAGATTGTCTTTGCACTGCTGTGCCCGCAAACCGGTGGTTCGATTCGCTGACCGGTCGTATTAGCCGAATCTGCATGTGCAAACGCCATTCGCCAGCAGTTTGGGCGGAAGTCGCTGTGCGTTTGCCTGGTTTTCTGAACAGTCATCTCCTTTTCTTTCTTCTGGACCAGAAAATGTCAATCTCTCTTTCTTCTGCATGTCTCTGCTCTGCCGCAATGTCTGACATTTCTACAAGCTTTGCGACCATCCCGAGAAACATCGCCTATTGCATTTCGCGATAAAGGAGTCTCTATACTATTGACCCTTACTCATCCCCGCGTTTGATGCCTGACCGCATTTTGCGGGACTACTTTCTATCGGCCCACCGCCTCACCTGCCGAGTACTGACGTGAGTCATTCTACCCCAGCAGACTACACCGCACAATGGCGGATACGGATCCTGCAAATAAAAACCCACGGGCGGCCACAGTCGAGGACCATCCAGATACGGATGACGAAAAAGGTGATTCCAGCGCATCAAAGCCTGCTTCCAACTCGGCATCCAAAAGGGCCCGCAAATCTTCGAAGACTTCATCGAGCAAGACTCGGCCAGCCAGTAATGTTGGACAATCGGAACCTCCCCCTCCTAAAGTCAAGGACCCTCCACGGCCTTCTGAAGAGCCAGCTAGTCGAGCAGGCGCGAGGGATGAAGTGAGCTCTGAGCCGGGTGCCAGACCTCACAAATCAAGGCGACACAGCCAGTTGCCCCCTCCAATCAGCCCAGGAAAGGTACCGAAGGAGCAAAGAACACGTAGTCCAGAGAGACGTCCTCATGAGCACCATCGTCCTGATTCTTGTAGAGAATGTGCAAGCGCAGCCCGCCATGGTCATCCGAGACCTGGAATAAGTCCTCTTCAGCAGCACGAACAACGCGCCAATACCTTTCCCATGCGACCCAAATACGGACCACCACCAGTTGTCAGTCATGGTCTTCCCCCACCAGGACATGTCCTGCCCCCAGTGTATCTGGTGCCCTCTGGCATGAGACCAGCATATCCTCCTGGCGGCAATTTTCCTGGAGGCCATCCGCCACCACACCCTGGACCTGCCTTTGACCCAAGGGCCCAAGGAATGCGCTCAGCCATGGCACCGCCTCCTCAGCCTCATCTCCGGATGTATCCTCCATCTCAAGTCTCTATGCCTCCCTCCTTACCTGGAATAGGAGGACCGACATCCCCAATAAAAACAACGGCAAGACCTGCATCTATCCATCACTCCCGGAAGACATCATCTGCGAGCTCTAAGCCACAATTTTCTTCTGCCAAGATAACACAGTATGATACCTTCTCTGCGGCTTACCATCCGGATGATGAAGAGCACGTTTCTGCTCGGAACCTGCCTTCGAAACCGCACCATGTACCAGGAGGATTTGAATCTGATTCATATTCCTCGGAGTCACCGCCAGACAGTCCTGAGTACTATGAACAATCTAGTCGACCACATCCTTTGCAACGCGCGACGACGTCAGCAGTCCAACAGATTCATAGGACTGGACACGCAAGGTCGAGGTCAGACTATCCTACAGACTCGAGCTATGGCTACCGTCCAGCATACCCATCCGATCCTGGCTGGGATCCTTATCCACAACGACTCTATCCGGATCACGATGATCCGCGGGCCTACCCTGGCGGCCGTCGAGGCTCTGATGCTTCCAATTGGACACATCAAACCTCGGCCTCTGATCCTGTACGTTCTGGCTACGTTCAGTACGCGCCCCCCGAGCACCATGGCAATTATAGGACGTCTGAGGATGCTGCCAACATGTACATGAACCAAGCTCGTGGACACCCGGAGGTAAGAGAAACAGTTGAGACACTCAATCAACGGAGCAATGGACCACGGAGCACTCGAAGCACTCACAGCCATCGCCGTAGTCAGCACAGCATGAGTGAGACGTCTTCCAGGTACCGTGGAGCCGAGGGCAGTGTGAAGCTCATCATGCCAATATCAGCAGAGGGAACCAAAATTCAGTTGAGCGGTGATATGGGAGATCGCGAAGTATCATTCCGACCGACTAACGATCCTGGTCAGGTTGAGGTGACAATAGGTACTGTCAATGGTGGAGAGCGCAGGTATCTGAAGAGTGGCAGCCAGTCGTCTCGGCCTACAAGATCTTCTGGAAGCACACGGCATGCCACCAGAGGTGGAGCAGAGGGGCTGGAGCAGGTTCGCGAGCATCGAGAGCACCGTGAGCGTCGCGAGCACAGGCACTGAGTCGATTGGCATCCTCCAGGACGTAACGGACGGGGAGTGAAGAAGGCGTCTGAGGAATTATGGTCTTTACGGCGAGTAATGAAAGGAAAAAGGCGAAGGATGGATGAATGGGATGCGCATGTTGTGCAATGTTATGATTTGATGATTATATGAACATGATGAACAGTCTCCGCTCTCGACGATTGGGCAGGCGCTCTAGTTCAGTGCAGCGTAGTGTATCGTTCTTGTATTCTTGCGATCTTGCGCGCTTGCCTCTGGTTCTCTTGAACGTGTTTGATGTATTTCTCGCCTTGCGGCAGGCAACAGATAATCTTCAATCGATCGCGGTCTCAACTATTGATGTCTCGATGACCTGCTCCTGCCGATAGAGCAAGCAGGCAACCCAAGCTGGTGATGTGAGACAGAATCAAATGCTTGTGTCGACTTCAAAACGTTTGCATGCTCTGATGCCATGCACCGTACCGAGTATGCCAAACGCGCTGAGCGGCTTGATGGACGCATCAGACACGCCCCTGAGCGCGCAAACAGCCATCACAACAACGCGTACATCACTTCCTCCCATCTGTATCATCACAATCCCATCACTTCCCATCAAAACAAAAGCAGCCTCTTCTTCAATTTCCAGCTCAGAAGAGCCAGAAAATCAATGAAAAGATGGGTTCGCGTCAGCTTGAAGTAGTGCAATACAAGCGACACTGTGCCAAAAAGACATGTGCAAGCCCAGAGGTCTTCCAGCGAGTTCCAAAAAGATGAATAATCATTAGAATGGCCGTGGCCATGTCATAGCGATTAGACTATGAAGAACTGGTGATTGTTAGCATGTAAATGGATGAGAAAGATGAGTGAGAGAACATACCAGATACTACACTTGATCTAAGCCAGAAGCTGTGAATATCGTTAGCAAAAATGCCATGCAATTAGAGGGGTGACGTGCGCAAGAAGACTAGTCGAGGAGGGAGGGTTCAGGGGAGAAGTTTCTTTTATAGGTCACTGCCGCAGTGCCTGCTTACTAAGCATGGAATACATGATTATGTAAGCGAGCTTTGACCGTGTACTGTATCGAATTGAGAGTGAACTCAGGGAGCCAGCGTGGGAGCATCTCAGGTTGGAGCAGCCTCGATAATCCCCCTGAATCCAATCACAAAGTTGTTTCTTCGGCCACCAACTTGCGAGAGAGTATGTCAGCAAACGATATGGCACTTCTGACAATCGTAGTCTCGTCTCTGGAGGGTTCCTTAATGATGACAGGTTCTCGTTAGAGATGCAATTGACTTCTGGTACCCCTTGTGCGTTCTGATTCTACATGTGGTCAGGGTTTATCGTTCTCTGGGAGGCACGTACGACTGGTGAAAGTCAGCTTTTGCAAGTGTCTTTGAGCGCTCTCACTGGACAGACACTACGTACGGATACGTTCGTGCATTTCTACAAGCTCTGTCACCCCCTTTCGTTGTCTGGGATGAGGCTTTGCCAACACTGCGGTATTGAGCATCATCACCAACGACCCTCCGAGAAAGATGCAGACCATGTTCTGAGTCAGATACGTACGAATAACCTGTCAATCGTCATGTTGAATCCTTCGCCAAGCTCCAGCACGAAGATCGACAAGCATCAGCCTTGGGTCAATTCCTTCGACAAAGGTATAAGAATACATTGCCTCCTGTACTAACGCGATTGCTCCACGTCATTTCACAGTTGTAACTGCCTCGTTTCATAGCACATACTCCGCTCAGACCTGCCTTTTGGTACATCAACATCATGGCATCCATCAAATCATACGAACTTGTCACAACAAATCTCAAACGCACAAAGGCAGAGCTCAGACAAAACGATGGAACACCGATCTACGAAGTCGACCTGTCCTTCGCAACCACAGATTGCGTGCGTTCTACTCATCCAGATCGTCACGCTATAGTCCTTGCAACCTCTTCATCGTCCGATGCGATCCAAACAACACTAGGCACATGCGACTTCACCTTCCGCTCCATGACTACACCAATTCATCTCGGCTTTGGTAATCCTGCAGACAAGGTAGACGCCATGATTTGGGAAGACATGCATGTCCGCGAGAAAATGCGGCAATCTGGTTTCGAACTCACAATCGATTTGGGCGGTACGATTGGACGCAAAGTGTTTGACTGGAAGCGTACACATGACATTACTACACAATCTGCATTGGGCAAGAAGTTGGACACACTGCATCTGAAGATGGTGGAGCGAGACACCGACACAGTGGTCGCAAGATTTGTGCATCATTTCATGTTTGGAAGTAAGAGAGGCACTTTTGAGCTTGAGCAGTATGAAGGTGGCAGTGACTGGGAGAGAACGGTTCTCCTGAGTGGACTGGCTGTATTGGAGTATATGAGGAAGAGTCAGGGATGGTCGTGGTAAGTCGATTACGACCAAGTGCTTTGGAAGCATGTACGACCCTGTCCTCTCAGCGGCGACCTTTTTCGAAGCAGAGCCCATGTCTTATCACAAATTAAAAACGACTCGTGGTTCTTCACTGTTCATTGCTCCCTCGGTGTGTTTTTACAGTGTTCTCATTGTGATGTTGGGGTGGTGCTGATTCTGTTTTCAAGGCTCGCTTGGTTTTGGGTTTACGTATGCAAAACACCACGACAGGATTGGCTCCCTAGCTCTCGCACTCTCTGTAAACATTCTGTCAAAAGACAAGAAGCCCCCAAGCTGGTGGGATTCTCCAATGAGAGCACACAAGACTATTCTTCCCAGGGAGCATAGGCCATCCATGCTCGTGGTGAATGCTTGAGGCGCGCAGAAGCAATCTGATAAGATTTGATGAGATCCACTAACAAGACAAATCGCACTGTCACAATCCTACCATACTCGCTACTCTATACTAGAAAGGCTTGCAAAAGAAGGGCAAAGCAATCAGGAATCGATTTCTAGTCATGATGATCTGCAAAGCTTCACCGACTTCGCTACGAGAATTGTCTTAATACGAGATCATAGAGTAGCGATGGTACGATTATCAAGACATCTGAGATGAGTATAAAACCAGTGATCTGGTCGAAAGGGTGTCGAGTTATATTCGTCAAACTCTTATCAATATGTCTGTTCGAGCTACTACATTGTTCGCTAGTGTTGTCTCTCTGCTCGCTGCGTCGAGTGCAGCAACTAACATCACCAACTCTTCCTCCCCTTGGATCGACTGGCGTACATTCAAAGCCAACGGTGTGAATCTTGGTGGATGGCTGGAACAAGAACAGTAAGTCGTTTGACTTCTCTTTGCTCTTCTCCATCCTGATAACCTCCCAGATCCATGGATCAAGCCTGGTGGTTCAAACACAGCAACGCCAGTGACGAATGGAACTTTTGCAAAGGCCTTGGTGCTCAATGTGGTCCTATCCTAGAAGAAAGATATGCCACTTTCATCACCAAAGCACATATCGACAAGTTTGCCTCTGTGGGAGTGAATTTGCTGCGTATTCCTACCACGTATGCAGCTTGGATCGATGTCCCTTGGTCGGAGCTGTATTCTGGCAATCAGCAGAAGTGGTTGAGGGAGATTGTCGAGTATGCTATTGATGAGTATGGCATGCATGTTATTATTGGACTGCACTCACTCGTATGTTTACCTATCCGCTGACCACATATCTGTATGCTGATATCCGACAGCCTGGCGGTGTCAATGCTCTAGATATCGGCGAAGCTGTCGGTCACGCCTCTTGGTTCAACAACCAAACAAACCTCGCCTTATCCCTCGACGCCGTCCGCAGCGTCCTGGACTTCATAACCTCCTCCCCCACGCCCCACTCCTTCACCCTCGCCCCCATAAACGAAGCCATCGACAACCCCTCCGGCCTAGGTCAATCCACCGCCCTCACGAACAATGGCTCAGCATGGGTGACCCATTACATCCAGCAAGTAATCCCCCTGGTCGAAATCACCAACCCGCACATCCCCATAATGCTCCAAGATAGCTGGAAAGGTGCATCCTTCTGGTCCTCCTTCTTCCCCTCTTCCAAAAACCTCGTCATCGACACCCACATCTACTACAATTGGAAACAAACCTACGCCTCCAATGTAACTTCTCTGGTTTGCGCACAAGCCGCCACCACATCCGGTGATGGCAAGTTTCCAGTTTTTGTGGGTGAGTGGGCCATTGAATCGACATTTGGAAATGAGTTGCAGAGGAGGAAGGGTATTTTTGAGGTCATGAGGTATGCGTGGAGGAACTTCAATATTTCTGGTTCGGCTTTTTGGTCGGGTAAATACGAGGGTAATGCCACTGTGGATGGAGAGGGGTTGCAGAGGGATTATTGGGGTTATGCGAGCTTGATTGATGCTGGAGTTGTGGAAGAGGTGGACGAAAGTGCTGTCTTTTGTTAGAGCGTGGGTATTGGACTCTCCCTCTGCTACGCCGCACTGCTGTTGGCTGGCATGATTGCGAGAAGGCAAGGTGTTATTGTAAGTTGAAACTCTGGCGGAATTGGAGACATACTGTCGAGACTCTATTCATTCCATTTCAGCAGCTCTGTAACAAAAGTCAAGCAAAGCCATGTCTTCTACATACATATTTCCCAAGCTTCCAGTCTTGGTGAATTCAAAACGCCGTCCTAAGATCTCGAGTACCGGTCATTGAATCATTCAAACCCACCACCTATGCTACCCAAAGCGCCCAATGCACCACCAGCTTTGCGTCTGAGCCCAGCGATCTTTCTGACATTCTCCTCTCTCCTCTTGGCCGCCTTTTGCACAATCTCCTGTCTCTCCGCCTCTCTAGCTTGGTAGTTGATACTCGACTTCTTTGAACCGCCATTCCTGACACTCGAACTGCCTTCTCTGTTGAGAGAAGGAGGAGCTCTGTTTTCGGTGAATGAAGTATTGGTAGTTGCCTTGCGCAGAAGCGAAGCGGGCTTGAAAGAGAAGCTGCCATTACCGCGGGATTGTGAGGATGTGGCAAATGCTTGGTTGCTATCATCGGCGACGGTGCTGGCCTGTTTCTTGAGTGTCAGGCGGTCGATGATGTCGTTTTTGGCCGGCACTCTACGTGCAGAAGCTGGGGCTCTTTCGACGGAAACAGCGCGAAAGACTTCCCTTTCTTCGTCGGAGGAGAGCAAGATCTCGGAAGCAAGTTCTTCATTGCTGGGATCATCGATGAGAAACGAGAGGGAGTCGCGAACTTCAGCCAGAGACTTGGGCTTGCGGAATGTGTCTGCAAGGTTGGAGCGGCGGAGGGATGCTGCAGACTTCTTCTTTGGAGGCTGTTGCTGTTGGGATGATTGTGAGAGGTCGAAAGAGTCGGCGGCACGCTTGAGGCCAGTTGAAGCCTCGGATTGTTCTTCGTTGCCTGCTGGAGGTTGTACCTGCTGAGAACCAGAAGGCTGCTGCGAGTCTTGCATTTCCACATCGTCGTCCACGTCATGGCCATCCAGGAAGTCGACATCGTCAGCTTCATCTCTGTCCTCGATAGCACGAAGGAAAGCTTCCTTCTTGTCATTGCTGCCAAGTTTACCAAGTGTCTCGTCTTGAAGCAAGAGTTTACGCTTGCGAGCTTCTTCACGTTGTCTGCGACGTCTTCTCTCGAGCACTTGATCATCCTCATCAGAGTCAAGCTCGAAAGCATTGCCACCACGCTTGCGTCGAAGGTTGCCAGACATGAGGTCCTTGTACAGCTTGCTGGTCTGAGCTTCATCCTGCACGCGTGACTTCTCAGCATACAAGGCGGCTAATTCGCGTTCGTTGACTTTGACGTCGAAATCGTCGATCATTTGCTTGTCATCTTCGTCGCCTGATCCAGCGTCTTCATCATCACTGGCACCTCCGAGACCGCGGTACTCGTCCTCGGATTCATCGGCTTGTTCGTCAACCATATCCTTGGCATTGCTCTTTTTCTTGTCGAAATCAGGTTGAGCTGGACGTTTGGCAGCCTGACGCATCATGGAGAATGCATCTGAAGGTTCCTCAACAGCAGCAGGTGCTGAAGATTGCACTATGTCGTCCTCAGCCTGCTGAGAAACTTCGGATCGTCTCATCAGACGACCTCTGCGTTGTACAACAGGAGATTCTGGAACGCCGAGCAAGACTGTGTCCACGGTAGACGAGGGAGCATGGGTTCTTGCGGCGAGAGGAGTAATGTTGGGGTCGAAGCCGACATCTTGGGATGGATCAGGGATTTGCGAAAATTCGGACATGCGGTCGATTGCAGGCGAATCGGCAGAAGGTGGAGGGAACTGAAGATCCATCTGCTGAGTAGGTTCGTATGTACGAACCTGAGTAGCACCCGTCTGGCTGTCTGCCACGACGTCCTGAGAGTCCTCGAATAGGGGAAGCGAAGGCATAGAGGCAGATGGAATATGGCGGAGCATCTCTAGAGAATCCTGCTCCTGAGTGGCCATGTTCGAACCTTGGGAGTCGTCCATGGTTCCTGCAAACATTTGCGACATTCCCATGGGGGCGGATGGAGCGTGTCCGAAACCAAAGGCAGCTGCAAGTTCGTCGTTGATACCATCGCCCGAGGTGTTCTGCTGAGTTGCAGGGTGCTCGTCTTCATCATCCTCGTCGTCCTCAATAACGTGCTTCCTGCGAGCCCTTCGGGCTTTGGGCAGTACAGGTTCATCGTCTTGAGGTGCTGCGTCTTTGTTTTGCTCTTCTCTTTCTTCAGGCTCTTCTGCGTCATCTTCACCAGCCTCGGCATCGATCATGTCGTGGTCGGCAGTGTCTTCCTCCTCAGAGCCTGAGAGCTCAATCTCCCCCTCATCTTCTTCTGTATCCTCCTCTTCTGCAGGCTTGGCTTCTTCGTCACTGCCAACGTAGTCTTCATCCTCGCTCTCGTCAGAGCTTACACCGAGATCCTCGCCATTGGCTCTAGCAGTGGCCTTCTCCTGCTTGCGCAGTTTATCGGCCTCGTCTCTTGCCTTGCCCAGCATATCCTCAATCTGCATCTGCTCCCTTTCACGCTCCTCCTCAGTCAAGACAACGATACCCTTGGCGCGCAAATCAGCGAGCCTTGCAGCACGTTCCTCGTTTGCGATTTCGTGGGCACGCTGACGGAGCTGAATTTCGAGTTGCTGAGGAGAAATGGATGGCTTCTGACCCTTCTTGGAGCGGATCTTGTCGCCGTTACCGGTAAGCTGAGCAAGGTGTCTGAGCATCAACATTGTTCTTCCTTCAGGAGTTTGCGTCTTGGGTACTATGTCGAACATGGCGAGGGGATTGTGCACAATTTCGAGACCATCATCTTCGTCGTTATTATTGTGCCTGTTGAGGACATTTTGTGGAGGAATCTTGACGCGGAACTGGCGGATCGGTACTGATTTTGGCTTGGTCGAAACTTCGCGAACAGGAGCCTTACCCTTGTCGACCTTCTTTCTAGGTTGGGACAAAATCTCCTGGAGAGATGGCAGATCTTCGTCCGAGTCATCAGCAGCCGTGTCCATCGGCTGCCCGGTCAGAGTCTTGAGGGAGTCGTCAACACTTGGAGGACTAGATGGGGGAGTATCGCGGTCTTTCTCGGCGCCAGTCTCTGAGAATGGCTCTGGTGGAGGCGAGGAAGAGGTTACGTCGGCGGCATTGGTGACGTTTGCAAGACAAGACGATGTCTTGGGGCGATTGAAGGCGGAAAGGAAGTCCTGAGCAGTAAAGCGCTTTTTGACCTTGGCCTGGTGGGTCAATTGCATATTTCTCTTGATCCTCTGCGTCTCTCTGTTCATCTCTTCCAAAGCCTTCTTACTCGCTTTGCGTGTAGGTCTTGCTTGTTGTGTGAGCCTGCGCTCTGTGACCTCGTCTCTGGTATCCTCATCTTGGAACATGTCCGATAGGGGAGCTTGTCCAGTAGCAGCACGCTCTTCTTCTGCATCCTTCTCTGCCTGCTCTCTTGCCAATCTTTCAGCACGACGGCGGTTGACGAGGTCGCGCAGACGGGAGGGTGCCGATGGGTCTGAGGGGAGATCCGAGTCTGAGTCGTCGGAGTGGTTCGAGTTGTTGTCGGTCGATCGTCTTTGCTCGGGGGCTGGTGACATAAACAATCCAGGGCTTTCTGATCGAGAGGAAGTTGTCGGGGTCGAGGCACGGTTCTGAAGTCTCTGACGCCGAGGACTGGGTTGTGGTGTTTGTGTACGAGCCATTGCAATTGAGCTCGTAGCTTTGACAGGAGACTTCTCAACAGAGGACGCTTTCTTGGAAGCCATGAGGTCTTTTCGGATTCGCTGGTAGACATCCTCATCCTCCTCTGATGAAGGCTCTTCATGAATAGGAGCAGGGGCACCACCTCCCATCCGGGCAGCCAATCTGCCCCTCGGCTTGAAGACTGGCTCATCCTCCTCTTCACTTTGTTCATTCTCATCATCCTTGGACGCGTTGCTTGGACGCGTGGGGTTTGCTGGATGAGTTGTAGAGGCTGGTTTCGTGCTTGGTCGGACGAGTATGCCGGCGTCATCGTCTGATTCATCGTCGAAAGCGGCCATGAGCTTCCTCATTCTGGTTCCTGGCGACTCGAGGGCCATAGACACGATTGAGGAGCTGTCATCTGCTGGTGTCGAGGCGCGACTCGACCGCGTTGAACGCGCCGGGGAAGACATTGTGGTGCGTTCGCCGTAGATGGAAACCGCTGAAAAGATGCTTGGCGACTACTGAGTTTGACAAGGCACAGAATGATATGGATAAGGGCGACAATTGAGGGACAAGAAAGTGGTGTGGTAGTGGTTCAAGATGCTCTAGATTGACTCTAGATGAAATTACACGCTGGACGCGACGCGATCTCGCCAAGACTTTTGATTGCTCTTTCCCAGCCTCCTCGAAATCCTGCCATCCACATCCGATCATCGCTTTGATCCGACACAGTTCTCACTTAGTAAAAACACCTCAGTCATGCTTCAGTACCATCGCATGTGCTGCTGCTCCTATCGACAGTGTACGCTGAAAAAACACAAGTCGAGTAAGAGGTCGGTTTTACCCAGAGAGTGCTTCTAAAAGTCCGAGGACTCAAATGAAGGCTAGTGGCTACTTTCTGAGAGGACGCGGGAAGGTGAACAAGAGAGAATCAAAGGCATGAGACAAGTGTAAGGCTCAGAGGTTATAAGGCTACGTCGACAAAACAAATCTCTAGTAGCTGTGTATGAAAGGTGCTACAACCGGGCAAGACTCCTTTCTGAGGTTGGTGAAGATAAGCATTGAGGTATACTTGTCTGCGTACTCTCCTCTCTAGGTAGGCCCCAAAAGATGTCATGAACTTACAAACAAGCATTCTCTCCATGTGCTAAATTTTGTCATTCTCACGATTGCAACTAAAACCAACCGGGCTGGAGGAATGCACAAATTTTTTGCGATCAGTGCAGCCTTCAACTAGGAAGTGCCGACTTTCACGCTCTTAGTTGAGGGCTGCACTGATCTAGTAAACATTGTGCATTTCTACAGCATGCGTGTGACAAAGTCTAGCACACGGGAGGATGATTTTGTCGAGATCAGTAGAAACACCCGGTAGAACACTGCCTTGTCGACTCCCAAAGAACATGTCTGCAGATGTCAGAAATCCTGTGCTTATGGTTGGTAGTCGAGCATTGAGGCACGAAGCGGAGATTCCTGGAAAATTGATGTTCTGCAATAGATTCTAGACGTCGAACAAAGGTGGTGGTCGGCAAGTGGAGAGCATCCGAGAAACGCAAGTGCAAGTGCCGACCACTTCCTTGGCGGTAAACACCACCGCATTACATTCTTCTGTTGGACACGTTGTTCTTTCCTTTGTTGAACCATTGAGACTGAAGCGACTGCTGGATTGACCATAGGATGCTTTGCAGGCGCCGATTGTTATCAAGTTACTGCTGTCGGATGTTCGAAGCATGAGACGCCCGTGGACCGCTTTGCCGAGACCGGACCAATACTGGAAACATGCTGGATGAACATCACCTAGATTCAATTGATCAAGAAACCTCAGAATCGATGCGCCTCAGGATCCAGACTATGGAAGAGTGGTCGACCTCTCGGAGTATCCTTATTGTATGTGCTGCCTTGTCCGCGGCCATCAAGATCGATTCCATAAAGCTGTGCACCTATGTCGCAAGACGGTCATCACCAGAACACATCAGACTAAGAAGTCCCCTAGACTGACAGAAAGGTCTGGAATCAGCAACTTGCATGCGGGATGTCACCAAAGTCCGGACGGTAGTCTGGACGCTGTGGAGATCAGCAAGGATGACATGACGATGGGGGACCGTGGGATATCAAGCCCAGACAAGGACTCGAACGCTGCCACCCCGGCTCCTGTCCGTTCAACTCATTCACGCCGGACCGTACCCTTCTACTGTTCCTGCCTCTGTCGGATCTTGTTACCGCTTGAACCTTGCCCTCGATCCAGGTGCCCAGCACCCCTTCGCGAGGATCAATCTCGTCAAAGCTTTCTCACAAAAGAGGTGATCCTATTGGACGGAGTAAACGAGGGCTGAGGTCAGGAGACCAGAACAGATGAGGGGTGATAAGCAACATCCGAACGAGGACAACATCAGCGAGTCACAAGCCTAGATTTCGACCCGGATCAGGACCGCTGTTGCTCATCTCCGTCTAGAATTGCATCTGCATCCGCTTCCGATGAGAAGAAGCACATGCTCATCCTCCCTGGAACGTCCGAGACCTGCATCAGAGTTCTGATCGCGCTTGATGAGTTGCGGAGATTCGTGGTCACCGTAGGTACCACACAATGCCGACCTGACCACCCGAAAGCCACGGCAACGGGGACCGGCATCAAAGTGCGGCGACGCTGACTCTCTGCTTGAGGATGGCTATGCAATCAATGCATTGTTGATCGTTGTTTTGATCCATCATCTGCCACTAGCGTCTTGTGTCGTATCACATCATTATTCGGCCAAGGTGGGTTGATTCTTGGAGGCTCCGTCGCATCGCGATGGGTTGCTCATCTCGATTACCCCGTGGGACATCCGCCACGACATGCGAATTTAATGCATGCGAGATCGGATGGTCTCTGAACGTCTCCGAAATAAAGCTCTATCACATTGGGATAGCCGCTATTTGCTACTATCCAGGAGCCATGTCCGTTCTGCTATGCGCTGTCGCACTCTCCGGGTCATGTTCGCCAGGCTCCCAACATCTTCATCCACCAGGTAGTCAAATTGTGTTCAAAAATACTCTGTAGTGGTATTGTCGTAGATATGGTATTTACATGAATTTTGTCTTCCCGACAGACATCTATCTCCTCGAACATCGACTGGATCCGGCCTCATCTCCATCAATGACCACTCTTCAGCTGCGCGGCAATAACCTCCTTAACCTTTGCGACAGGCAACTGATCCAAGGTCTTTCCAGTCCAGTACATTGACTGCTCAAGACCTTGATAAATCATGGCCTCTGTTCCCAAAATGACGTTCCAGCCAGCATTCTGCGAGATCTCGGCGATCTGAGTCCAGGGGTTGGGGTGATAGCACATCTCTAGGATGGCACCCTTGTGAGGCTTTGCAAGGAACACCTCCATGACCTTGCGAGCGGTCTGTTCGGCTTCGGTGACGGGAGGGAAGTCAGGAACGCAGGAGACGATGGCACCTGGACCTTCGAGCTCTTGTGCTTGCTCTACGGTTGCGGCGTGCATGACACCGTCGCCGTAACCTTGCTCCGAACACCACGATACGACAGCGTCAACCTCAGCCTTGTCGCGGTTGACGATGTACACCTTGCTGCACTTCATGAACTTCTTCAAAGCGTAAACGGCACTGCGAGCGGCACCACCTCCACCAATGACCATACCTGGCCGGCCGTGGAATACCTCATCGGGATTCGAGATGTTTTGGTAAAAGGCCTCGCGGATGCCAATGACGTCTGTGTTTGTGCCAACGAGGATAGTTTTGTCGCCGTTCTTGCGGAGGTAGAGTGTGTTGACTGCACCAACCTCACGGCCTTCTTGTGTGAGCTCGTCCACGTACTTCATGATAGCCACCTTGTGGGGCATGGTAACGGCGGCGCCTTTATCGTTGCATAGTAAGTCAGATTCAAGTTCAATATCGTTAGGAATCTCCCAAGCAATTCGGTCGGAATTACTCTTTTACGGAGCTTACGACGCACCAAAGAATTTGACCTCGCGAACCAAAGAGAGGAACATGGACATATCGGTCGATGGCAGGAAGAATTGCTCCCAATCGCATCCAATCTCGCCGAAGATGGTCTTGTGCATCAAGGGCGACATTGAATGGTTGATGGGCCATCCAAACAGATAGCCACAGCGCTCGACATGGTCGTGAGCAGGAGTCTCGCAAGAGATGACACGTTGAGGGGCGGCCATTTTGTGGTTTAATTCTTGTTGGAGAGGGGAGATGGGAATATGAACAGCTTGTTCAGAAAACTTCGAAAGCTTCCAGAGGATACCTCAAGCTATTGGAAAATCTGCCAGTCGTCACCTTCAATCTGGTCAGCAAATTACCCCGCGAGCTACAGACGACGGTAAGCAATGTCGGGTCCTGGAAATGGGGTGGGCTGTGGGTTTGAGGGTCGTTCGTCTCGTTCACGGACGTCGTTCTTGGCTGTGATTCGAGGAGGTGCGGTTGACGCTCAACGTCACACACCAGGCGACTCCCGGTCCGTAGCCGTAGCCATCGGCTTCGATCAACGAAACCCCCACTTTTTACCAGCTCACCAGCTGCTAAGATTACTTGACTCCATAGGAAGGCTGATTTGAGGGACCAGAACCCATCTTGAGTCTGTCTATTCGGGAAAATATTAACTCTGGAGCTTAATGTCCCCAGAAATCTGTTTCTGGTACCACTGCAAGACGCATTGCTATCATCTTGCCCATACTTATACAGCACAATTCTTTACAAGCAGGGGGTCTTTGTACCTTCGGCCCACGAGCATCCGTAGGAAGGCGGCAACGACTTGCCGCTGCTGTCTCCCGTGGTCTTGGGAACCTGAACTTCCCGAGATCGGCCTCGAACGAGGAAAAGTGTCTCCGCCTCTCCGCACAAGGTTTCGAGTCAATTGTCAGCCATGCCGCTTGGCACAGCTTTGGGGAATATGGAAGTCTGGGCTTGGAAACGGCGTGGGGGCCTTGCAGAAATTGATTGATTCTTCGAGCTCGCCTCGAGAAATCAGCAAACCAGGTCTCGGAACACGCACATCCATCTCATTCTTCCACGTTTCTGGTCTCTGCATTGGGGCAACTCAATTATTCGGCTACCCCGCGGAGTCCCCAGATTGTCACCTAGCCCCAGGCCTCTAGTATATTAGGTCCTCTCTTTCCCCATCTTCTTCTCTTCTTTTTCTCTCCGTTACGACCTTCCCCCTCTATCTCAACCTGTCCCATTGCTCGAAGCAATCATGGGTCTCCTCACTCTCGTTGAAGACAGGCCTACCCCTAAGGAGGTCTACAACTGGCGCGTCTATGCCTGCGCTGCCGTCGCCTCGTTCGCTTCATGCATGATTGGTTATGATTCCGCCTTCATTGGAACCAGTCTTGCGCTTCCTTCTTTCGTCAAGGAGTTCGGCTTCAAGCAAATGAGCGCCCACGAACTTGCCTTTGTCAAAGAGAACATTGTCTCAGTCTACCAAGCCGGCGCCTTTTTCGGCGCTCTTAGTGCATACATCAGCGCTCACTACCTCGGTCGCCAAAAGTCTCTCTGGGTCTACTGCGTTGTCTTCCTCGTCGGTGCTGGTGTCATGCTAAAGGCTGCCAACGGTGATCTCGGTCCGATATACGCTGGCAGAGTTCTTACTGGTCTCGCTGTAGGAGGTGCCTCTATGGTCGTGCCCATCTACATCTCAGAAATCGCTCCTCCTGCCGTCAGAGGTCGTTTGGTCGGTATCTACGAGTTGGGCTGGCAGATTGGTGGTCTGGTCGGTTTCTGGATCAACGTACGTGATTGTGAAGGCCTGACGCAATGCACAATGCTAACCCTTTTCTAGTACGGCGTCAGCACTACACTCCCTAGTAACCATAAGCAATGGCTCATCCCTTTCGCCGTGCAGTTGATCCCCGGTGGCCTGCTTGCTGTCGGTGCAATCTGGCTCCGAGAGTCACCTCGTTGGTTGTTTTCTAAGGGCAAGAGAGAACAGGGTCTCAAGAACTTGCTCTGGATCAGAAATCTCCCTGCCGAGAATTTTTACATCGTTGAGGAGCTCGCATTCATTGAAGCTGCTCTTGAGGAGCAGAAGTCCACAGTCGGTCTCGGTTTCTTTGACCCCTTCAAGGCAGTTTTCAAGAGCCGAAGCCTCCAGTGGCGCGTGTTCCTCGGTACCACACTTTTCATCTTCCAGAACGGCTCTGGCATCAACGCCATCAACTACTACTCACCTACCGTCTTCAAGTCTCTCGGCATTGTTGGCGCTAACACCTCGTTCCTTACTACTGGCTTGTTTGGTGTTGTCAAGACTGTCTTTACGCTTATCTGGCTGTTCTTCTTGATCGATAAGTTCGGCCGTCGTAACTTGCTGCTCGTTGGAGCTATTGGCGGTGCTGTCTGTATGACCATCCTTGGAGGCTACCTTGCCAGTCCTCTCGTCGATACTTCCGCAGCTTCGACAGCTGTTGCCAAGCCGCTCACCTCGGGTGGCTATGCTGCCATCTTCTTCTTCTACCTCTGGTGTGCCTTTTACACTCCCTCGTGGAATGGTACTCCTTGGGTCATAAACTCTGAGATGTATGAGCAAAACGTTCGTTCTCTTGGCCAAGCCATGGCTGCCGCGAGTAACTGGTTCTGGGTAAGTAACTTTGAAAAATTCTCGACACCAAACAGATGCTAACAATGAGCTCAGAACTTCATCATCGCCAGATTCACTTCTCAGATGTTCCTCAACATGGGCAAATCTGGTTGCGGTGTTTACTTCTTTTTCGCCGGCATGATGTCGCTCTCTGTCGTCTTCGTCTGGTTCCTCATCCCCGAGACCAAGTCTGTTCCTCTCGAATCAATGAATAGACTCTTCGAGATCAAGCCTTGCCGCAAGGCCAACGCCATCATCATGCTCGAGGTCCAGGAAGCCGAGCAAGAATTCCGCGAGGATGCCGAGGGCGCTGGCTTGAGCCTCGAGAAGAGCAAGGTTGCTCACGTCGAGGACAGCGCTGTCTAAACGATTATACGTCTTACTGGTTACGGGAAATGTACATAGCGGTTTGTGTTTTATATCAAGGTCAATCAGACCTCTCATATCAAGAACTCCTTCTTTCCAACTTAAATCGTTTCGCATCTCCTCCACATGCCACTTCCACCTATTCATCGCAAATAATTCAATGCACATATCGGACATGGAATTCGACCACCAGTGCAGCAACTGGGTCAATTGCGAGCTCCTTGACACCATACCTAATAGTAGTGTTTACTATTGCACATGATCAAATCATAATGTTGTATCTTGTACACCACCATCCTTTCGCATTTACGTTCATCAAAGTCTCGACCTCCACCAAAAAAACAATCATCAATAGTGACAAGTGCTATACCTGTGGTAAAGCGACGCACAAACAAACCTCGAAGCTTTTGGTGACCTCAACGTGCGTTCCACGCTAGACCTCGAGGTTCTTTATACTTTACGGATGTCGTGCATTCTGGACGACATCGCAGCTCGGATGCGGAGGGGGTACGGAGGTGTCTGACGGATGCGGAGGGTACGGAACCGTGTAGCCAATGCTAAGCCCTATAATTACCGTGTGTTAATGCGAAAGCCGGCCCTATGCCCACCAATCTACACGAAGCACCCGCGTCAAACATTGCGGTTTACGGAGAAGAAGAGGGGGCTCCAGCGTGGGGGTTGCTTCGGCTGACCATCACGGCTTCCAGAAGACGGTGCCAGGCCGGTTTCAATCCCTATTCGGCCCGGTTCCTGATAGCCAAGTACGTCGTCGTGCTTGCTTATCTTGGGGTGCCAACCTCATGATGGAGCCTTTTCCCTTCGGATGGTCGATTCGGTATTTCTCTACCTGTGCTGAATCTTGAGAAGCGAAAGCAGCTCCCCCAACCGTTATAGTCGTGAGCAAATATTCGTGGTCTCTTTTGTTTCCAAAGGCAGGTGCTACTTACGACTTTCTCCCCCACATCCACTGCTCTACCACACATTTCTACAACCTCATCCTTCACGGCTTTTGTATCTCCATCGAACTCCAACCCAATTTTCGTATCACAATCATGACACATCAATTCGGTATCTCCACAATGTCCTTGGGACGAGCATGGGTTCATGAGTTAGAACCGAAGCTGGATCAGGCAGCGAAATATGGCTACACCGGCGTCGAGATCTTCTATGAGGACTTGGTATATCACGCCAAAAAGTACCCAGGAGGTGAAACACCAGAGAACCAAATAAAGGCCGCCGAAGACATCCACTCTATGTGCAAGGCCAGAGATCTCAGTATTATCAACATCCAACCATTCATGCACTACGAAGGTCTCATCGACCGTCAAAAGCACGCCGAGAGGATTGAAGATCTCAAGTTATGGTTCAAGCTTGCACATGCTCTTGAGACGGACATGATCGCCATCCCTGCTTCCTTCTTGCCCGAATCAGAGACCACTAGCGACATGTCCGTCATCGTCGCCGACCTCCAAGAAGCAGCCGATTTGGGCGCAGCTCAAGATCCTCCGCTCCGCTTTGCCTACGAAGCCCTGTGCTGGAGCACACATTGTTCGACCTGGGAGCAGAGCTGGGAAGTCGTGTCTCAAGTCGACAGACCAAATTTTGGATTATGCCTGGATACATTCAACATCGCTGGCCGCATCTACGCAGACCCCACACAGGCTTCTGGCAAGCGACCAACAGCAGACGCCGACCTTGCTACCGCTATCGCAGCAAGACTCGTCCGTCCTGACAAGCTCTTCTTTGTGCAAGTAGTAGATGCCGAAAGATTATCCTCGCCTTTGGTCAAGGGTCATCCCTTCTACGACCCTGAGCAACCGGCCCGTATGTCATGGTCTCGCAACTGCCGACTATTTTATGGTGAACAGGACCGTGGAGGTTATCTGCCTGTCCGCGAAATCTTGAAGGCCATCTTGCACGACTTGGGATACAGTGGATGGTTGAGCTTCGAGCTATTCAACCGTTCCATGGCGGATCCCAGCCCGGAAACACCAGCCGAGCATGCTCGTCGCGGTGCCGAGTCATGGGAGAAGATGGTCGCCGATCTGGAGCTCAACGGCCATGCTGCTGATAGTGCTGTCAGTGTTGGCTCGTCTGCTGTCAAGGCATAATGTAACATCCTTTCCATCAACTGCATCATCACATTCCAGGCGTTCTTGCATACTTGTACATACCTTAGATATCTCAAAGTTATCAACACCAATTCAACCTTTCTGCAGATGCAAGGGATAACATTCCTCCCTACTATTCTCTTACTTGCTTCTTTACTTCTACCCTTTCTCTCCAACTGGTGTGAGCTGCACCTCGTAGCTGTGATTACACTTCATCTAAAACGATTCACTGCTTTGTCGCGCTCCCCGTATCGACGGTTGGGATCATGTAGAGAAGCTCGACATCGCGAAGGAGGTCGATGAATCCCAGGGGCAGAGTCGTCTCTCCTCAAAACGACGAACCAAAAGCATTTTGCAAGATATAGAATAGTGTGAGCCTGGGGCCCGTGGTTCGGTTTTAGGGCTTATAGACCTGCGGTCGTTCGCTACTTTTCTTCTCGAGAGAACATCTTCTAGCTCCTGAACGGTAAGACGAGACATCCATCAGACTTGCTGATCTTGGATTTTGCATCTCACATAGCGTTCTATCTATGGACTTTTTGTACTCCCGAGTGCGCGTAGATTATTTCTATCACACCATAATTGCAACTACAAAAAGTCATTCCAACACATCTTCGGCACCATGGTGGCCATGTCTGTATCCATCAAAATGCACAAACCAATCCAAGTCTCAAGATTGTCCAGTGAAACTCTGCCATTTTTGGTCTCTCGCTTGACGCTGTACCCTTTTCGAAGAATTTCTTACATTTTGATGGCATCTTTTGGAAACCTCTCCTTGTTTCTGGAGTAGGGAGTCCAGTCACCCACCCAGCTCATTTTCCACAAGATTGAATGCTTACATCTGGTACGTATCACTAGTACAGTAAAGGTCGGAGCAGAAACGCATGCAAGGAAAGAGCAGATCACGTATTCCATTATGTTTCAATCTTGCCTGAGTTGCTCTGGCAGTTGTCCTTCCACAATATTCCACCAGTTTTGTTGAACACATCATATCCCTCCACTATCAAGGAATGCTTCAAATAAGAACTTACAGGCAATGCTGCACAGCGGCAATAAGAAGGAAGTTCCCATCAGATTCGTGAAGAGCGAGCTGGAGAGTATCTAAGGCAGTAACGAAGGAGTGTCCGCAGCTCGCTTCCTTCCACCTGCACCACACCGAGATTCGGGGTGCGACTCCCATTCTTTGATGTCCCTGCAATGGTCCAGCTAGTAGCATTTGGATTTTACACTATGCAGTACATAGCAATACTTCTGGACAAAGAAGGTGGTCTACTGCTTTCTGGCTTGGGTGCTCTGGTTTCTAGTAGTCGTGACATACCACTTTCCGGACTAATGGACAATACAAACCACAAGGTCTGTGAAGCACTGACAATTCCTAGGCTTCTGATATCTCTCTAGGTTTGATCGGCGCGTTTGCCACTCTGGGTGCAGATTCACTCACCTGTCTGTCTTTCTTTTGCTCGCTCGTGGGCCAAATATGAAAGTAGCTGTAGAGTTTCAACTTGGACTTTCGGTCGCACTAGAACATTTGTTTTGCTGATGCAGCCCGAACGCCAGACTCTACACAATCGGGTGCGCCTATATACGTTATCGAATTTTGAAAGTGGACTGAGGAGAGGATAGGGGACGTGGAAGGCAGAACATGAGCAGGCCAATGACTCCCACGATTGCTCCGGGCTCCAGAGCTGCGTCTTCTGTTTCTGTCAATATCGTAAATGCAAGGTTCGACGGCTCGGAGAAACGAAGAAGATGCACCGACCTGACTGCTGTTCTCCCTGTTCTCTGACTATAGATTTGGCCAGTGTTTTGCTGAAAGGCAGTCCGAACTTCTCTCCAGACTTCTTCTCTGATTGCTGTGCCACTGTCTTCTTTTTCAGTATGACACGTCAATCGTCTGTCGGGAATTGGAGCCTAGTTTTCTAGTATGCGCGAAGACAGAGACACGTCGGACTTGATCTGCCGACAGACTATGGTCAAGTTAGCGGCATGTGTCGCAACCGGTGGATATAAATGTGATGTACGCGGCAGAGTGTCAAGTGAACAGGAAACCGCAAGGTCAGACTGTCATCGACTATAAAGCACGATTATGCTTCATTACTGCTGAGCCTCGAAACCGCTAGCGAAGGCGACTCACTAGGTCGCGCAAAGAGAGTCTGGGTGCCCACAGATCGCTGTCCACGGCCGTACGAGATCGAATCGGGTTCTAGAACCTGAGCAGAGCAGTCAGAGAAAGTAGCGAGGTCCATGATACTTCGTCTGGTCTTGTCCTCTCAAGACTTGACAAGCCGCTGTCCTGTCCAGTCACTTTGTTCTCTCGTTGCTCCGATGTCGATGGTGAAAGGCGACAGGGTTTGTTTATCAAGCAGCTCGTGTGCCACGTAGGGCTGTGTACTGAGCTTGCCAGTCCCATGCGAGTATATGTTGATTAATTGCTTCCTGGGATGGCATGTCGGCCCTTAAAGTCTGATCAGTGCTGCAGTAGGTATGTTGGCGATCGGTTGTCTCTGACGCCTTACGCCAACGTGTTATGTGTCGAGAATTTATGTGTCCGTCTGTCCGATACGATACACAGCACTAAGGTGGATGTGATTGATGGTGGCCGTGTGCAAGACTCGTGTCGAGTTCTTCTGACCTTGCGATGACCTGGCCAGAAGTCTTGGCCAAACAATGACGCTCATCACTGAGCAACACCTCGGTCCTGAGGATAGACGTTGTAACGTTTGTACCCCGCTTACAAGAACGAGCTTCAATACTATCTCTCAAACAACTGTTCAACCTTGCCTCTACCCGACATCAACATTACTATCATCATGACTTCCGGAACTTGTCTTTGTGGAAACGTTTCCATCTCCTACAGCGGAGAGCCCGCGCTCAAGGTAAAGACTCGTCGATTCGTGAGTATGAGTTGAAACTAAACTTGCATAGGCACTCTGCCACTGCACCGACTGCCAAAAGATCAGCGGCAGCGCATACAGCGTCAACAATGTCGTCTCTGGCGAGGGTTTCAAGGTCACTGGCAACCCCAAGGCCTTCACCAAGACCGCCGACAGTGGAAAGAAGATCACCAGCTACTTCTGCGGTGACTGTGGATCCACTCTCTACCGTGACGGCGAGAATTTCCCTGGCATGAAGATTGTCAAGGCTGGTGTGTTGGATGGCAAGGATGTGCTTAACGAGAGCAAGCCTAACGTCGAGTTGTTCGCCCCCACAAGACCGAAGTGGATTGCTGCTTTGGATGGTGCTGAGCAGAAAGAGACCATGTAGATGGTGAATCTTGATTTGAATAATATTTTTGGTTGGGTGTGACAATTGGACTTTTTGGAATAAGCTGCGAAGCTTCTGTCAATTAGCTTACTGTCTGTAGTCAGTACGAGATGAGCACGATATACTTGGAAGTACCCACATGGTATGCGTTTGTCTCATGATTGATCATTTAATAGTTCCTCTGTCGTTGGGAGAATCATCGGCCCAAGAATTTTCATCCTCAGTCAGGACCTTCACACTGCACAGTGCTCAGGATCTTTTGCTTCTTCATCCCATAATTCAGGTCGGGGTAATGGCGGTCGTAACAGTGAACACGTCTCGTTTCCTACTCGGAGCTCGAGTCCTCGGCCTCGCGAACAGTGTCCTTCAGGGCCTGTGAAGTCGTCAGTATACAGCCAAAATTGGTTCAGGTTGTAGTATTCACATCTTTGAGCTTTTGCTGCAGCTCTTTCAAGTTCTTGGTGTTGATCAAGCAGGTCTCATCGTCGATGTCCTCAGAGATATAGATGCCGCCGTGCTCCTCATTGATTTTACTGATGATGGCTTTGATGGAAGGATCACACTGGACCAGAGTACCTTTGCACAGTGTCAATACGGACGTGACATGTTCAAGGCTGGGAAGAGATGGCACCCAGATTCATCGAGACGGCTTTCGATGTTTGACGCGAGGCACAACGATGCGACAAGACTTACCAGCGGTAGCGCGAGGCATGATGGAGGATGATAGATGGCTTGGGTAAAAGCGCGATGAACACCTCGATATCTTGATGGGTTTGGATCGATGTGGCAGATTCTGTCAGGTGTTAAGAAACCTTGATGGCAGGTGGATCGGCAATGATGGCGCCAAGGGAAGCTCTTTCGACTTTCGAGGCTCCTCGGACGGCAAGTCCGGCAGGCACGGCAGCACTGGCATGTGATAGTTGTGAGCTCTCGCCTCTGCCTTCGTCCTTGCAAGACGGTCCATTCTGCATCACCCGTCCTCTCGCCTGCTTTTCTCTTCTCTGCATAGCGTACAGTTCACAAAGAACGCTTTGCACTTTCATCACAGCCAATTCTTCACGCCGAGCCTACCCACTATTCCCGACTGCAAGGCGCCTCCAGCCATCGAGCATTCTTCGACTTCCGAATTATCCGCGCCGCCCAACTCGAGTCCCTCCAAGCCTTCGCTCGCTGAATCTCGCAGCACATATTACTTCTTTCATGAGCGCCGCCGCCCTCTCGCTGTGACGGCCCTCGACCTCGATACACACACCGGCTCGTCTACGTCATGGCCACCACCACCAGCGCCTGGGCTCCCGTCACTTCGGACGCATACAGCACGCCGACCGCCAACTCTGTCCCCGACTCCTCCTACACATCCTCTCAATCTGATGACAGAAGCTTCGGAGACTTATACCAAAACTACTTTGCTTTTGTCGCTGTCGTCATCGTCATTGCACTTGTTGGAGGCTGCGTCTTCTATCGTCGCAAGAAACGCATCATCTACCGTGCCAGCGTCTCACGCCAATTGGCCCTGTCGCGTGACATCGAAGACCAGGGCTTGCGTGCCAACAGAGGCTGGGGTTGGGGTGCTCTGTCTCGTGACTATTCGAGCGGTCCCACTCCTCGCGGTCAGCCCCTCAGTGCAAGAGCAGGAATCGGCTTGGCTCCCTGGCGCCGTCGTAGAGAAGAGGAGGGTCTGAACGAAGCTGGTGAAGCTCCTCCCGCTTACAAACCCGCCCCAGACGACAACGACACCGTACTCGAGACTGGCCAGCCTGCTCCTCAGAACGACGCAACCACTCCAGCTGTTCCTCGTCCGACTCTCGGCAGAGAGCACACTGGCCTCAAGCCTCCGGACTATACCGAAGCCGTCGTCGCACCCGTCAGAGGCTCTTCAAGTATGACAGTTCCAACCTCGAGCGCTGCAAATCCTACAACCATAACCAACGAAGCCGACCCCGAACGTGGCGACCTTCCTGGCTATGTTGCCAATACTCACGAACGCAGATAGCTTCTGCTACGACCTTTTATACTGTTTTACGTTACTTTTGACACTGCATTTCCATTTGACGGCATAGCGAGGCGCTGGGCTTTCGGGTTTTGGGTATGACGGGCATGGCACGGAAAGGGGTTTTGGCATTGTTTTTACTATACCCATCAGGCTTTCTCTCGCTTGTTACATCCTCTATTCAGATGTTGAATAGACATGATCAACAATAAATTCTTCTGTTTTCCTATCCCCATCGCTCCACAATTCTCCCAGACGGATGACGGCCCTGATCTCGGGGGCGAGCCGGCCTCTGTGGAGATATTCTTGGCATCATCTGGTTATCACCTTTCCTCGATTGTGACTCTTGTCTTCTTTTTTGAACTATCGGTGCAATTACGACCATGTCAGATACGCAGTTTACTCCAGAGCATCTCAAGGAGATCTATGATTTCGCGGTGCAGTTGGCGAAAGATGCGGGCAAGATGTTGATGGACGGCGTGGAGGCACGATGCGGCGATGACACAACTCCGGGTGCAGTAGCACAGGTGCAAGTTGAGAAGGATAGTTCTGTGGATATTGTCACTCAGACTGATGAAGGTTTGTCATCTCCTCTCATTTCAGTATCTTCTGATCTTTCTCTCTCTGGAAACCACTGATTCGACTGAAGAAAGATATAACTATCTTCTAAGAGCATCACTGACCATATTATCATAGATGTCGAAGCATTCGTCAAGGAACAGATCACAAAAACATATCCCAGCCATAAGTACGCGTAACCACGCAATCCCAGAACTCTCGCAGTTGACTAATCAAACACAGATTCATCGGCGAGGAAACATACTCCAAAGGCTCGTCAAAAGACTATCTCATCACCTCCGCTCCGACCTGGTGCGTGGACCCTCTCGACGGCACAGTAAACTACACCCACCTCTTCCCCATGTTCTGCGTCTCCATCGCCTTCATCCTCGACAACAAACCGACCATTGGCGTCATCTACGCTCCTTTCCTCAATCAAATCTTCTCCGCCTGCAAAGGTCAAGGTGCTTTCCTCAATGAGACTAGACGTTTGCCATTGATCAGGAATCCGGTGCCGCCGATGCCGGAGCAAGCGCCTAAGGGATGTGTGTTTTCATGTGAGTGGGGCAAGGATAGAAGGGATGTGGCGGATGGAAATCTGTATAGGAAGATTGAGAGCTTTTTGAACATGGCTGGAGAAATCGGAGGAAGGGGAGGTAAAGGTGGTATGGTGCATGGTGTGAGGAGTCTTGGAAGGTATGTCTTTGCTCCATCCTCTACCCTTTCTGTGACAGTTTACTGACTTTAGCGCAACAGTGCAACACTAGATTTGGCATATGTGGCCATGGGCTCTTTCGACATCTGGTGGGAAGGCGGATGCTGGGAGTGGGATGTAGCGGCTGGAATCTGTCTGTTGGAGGAGGCAGGAGGTCTGGTCACAACAGCCAACCCACCGCAAGATATCGAGACTGCGCAGATAGAAGATGTGAGGCTAGGAAGCAGACTTTACCTTGCCATCCGCCCTGCTGGACCCTCGGCAACAGAGACAGGAAGACAGAGTCAAGAAAGAGTAGTGAGAGAGGTTTGGAAGAGAGTCAGACATCTGGAGTACTCAAGACCGGGCGCATAGGTTTACAAAGAAGCCTCACATTTTGTATATAGGGAGCATGCATATAACAGAGCATTTAGCATAAATTACCGTCTCGAACCTCCAGCAGCGTGCCAACATTCTATCCACCGAGGCAGATCTCCAGCCCATCTAGCATGTTTACGGACGAAACTCTTGCATCCATGTAATATCAAATCGATGCAATATCACAAATCAAGAATCATACCACTGCTACGCGGCCTTTTTCATCAGATGGACTGCCGACTCATCCGCAGACAAATAGAGTAGACGAATAAGGATGTGTTGGCAAAAGCTTAGCCGTGGTTTTTGATGAAATTGAGGAGAAGTTTGGGGAACTCATGACGACACCTTTTCGTGCGGAGACCGTTGTTTCTCCTGCAGATTGGCCGTGCTATCCTCGAAGAGTTCTTGACAGGTATTGCTGTACCTATCTTTCTGTCGCTTGGAGAGAACACCGGCGGCCTGCGATTAATTGATATACATGAAGCTAGGTGTGATGCATACGACGACTCGATCTGCTGCTATGTCCAAGGTTTCCTGCATACTCGACCCTCTTCTTGAATATCGCAAACATCGCGGTATGGGCATGGCGACTCTAGAATCGATTCATATCTTGAGCCAAAGGTTCGAAGGTCTACCAGAAGCATCAAGGTACGGCTCACATGCCACAAAGAGATAATCAGGCTCGGATAACCTCTCCGCACCATGTCACAAACCAACCTCGAACGGTTGATTCAAACCCAAGTGCCGGTAGTCTCCAACGGCCAATTGGAACAGCAGGAAGGTGCCGCCAGTCTCCCAATTCGTCACCTTTGTCCGTCACACCCGGTCATAGTCTAGCTTTCATTTATCCTCGCGAATGGTTACGCAAGGTCAGAACGATGATGTGTGTTTACAGAGCTCGTAACCGAGTCCGCGGGGTATGCTGGTGCTACTGATATATATACTAGAGGACGATGCCTGGGCTTGAGGCGAGAGCTTCATTGTATCCCAATTGACACTTAAAATGCGAAGAGCAATCTCCCTCCTTGCGGCTTCAGGCCTGCTGAGCTCAGTGCTCGCCGCTCCGGCTCCAAACAGAGTCAAGCCTCGCCAGGAATCTGCTGTCCAATTCTTCGACAACACCAACAATCCCACCGCCACTCCTTTTGGACCGGCAGGTGCTTCTGGTTCTCTAAGAGGTGGGCCTGAACTCAGAGGTCCCAACCCTACCAACGTTGTCAACTTCAACGACCCCGCCGTGGTCCCATCTAGCGCTTACTCTGTGCTTCCTCTCCAAACCGCGGATGCAGACACTGGATTCTACCTCGATCTCTCGCAAGTCGAAAACCCACAGCCCATTCGTGGCAATGGAGGAAAGTCGCCGACCGATCCTGGACCGAGGAACAGAGAGGTCGAGAAGCAGAACCCAGATTTGTTCATTCCCCCAGTGAGTTTGGATAATCTGTTGTTCTCGACTCCTTCTAATTGTGAGATTAGGGCACCGACGCAGGCGATGTCTCAAACGCCAAATGGCCCCTTGGTCTTTCTCACAACAGACATGGATTGAATGGCGCAGGCTGGGCGAGACAGCAGAATGTCAATCAGATGCCCATCGCCAAGAACATGGCTGGAGTTGATATGCATCTTGAGCCTTATGCATATAGAGAGTTGCACTGGTATGTCATCGGACAATGTCTATCCGTGGTCATCCGCTGACGAGCAATTCTAGGCACCAAGCCAACGAGTGGTCATACATCTTGAACGGCTCCGTTCGCCTTAACGCCGTCAATGAGGCCGGCGAGACGACGACCGATGACCTTCAAGCTGGCGATGTCTGGTTCTTCCCTGCCGGAGTGCCTCATAGCATCCAGGCACATGAATCTGGTGTCGAATTCCTCCTTGTCTTTGACGAGGGTAGCTTCAGTGAAGACAACACCTTCCTCTTGTCTGAGCTTTTCGCACGTAATCCCAAGTCGGTTTTGGCCAAGGACCTCCGTGTCGATATCTCCGCCCTCGACCATATTCCTCAGGATCAGCTGTACATCTTCAATGGCACAGCTCCTCCAACAAACGTATCTGACCCCCTCAACAACATCACCGGTCCTGCTGGTGTCATCCCTAACGACAAATCTTACACATACCACTTCTCCGAGCAGAAGCCTTATGAAGTCCAGGGCGGCAGCGTAAAGATCATTGACACCCAAACCTTCCCCGCCGCATTCGACTTCGCCGTCGGTCTCTTCACGATCAAGCCCGGTGCCATGCGTGAGCTCCACTGGCACACCACGTCCGACGAGTGGGACTTTATCATCAGCGGTCAAGGCCGTCTGACCGTGTTCCAAGCACCACAGTCATCACGAACTTTCGACTTCCAGGCTGGTGATGTTGGCTACGTCCCTGTAGTCACTGCCCACTATCTGGAGAACACTGGCACTGAAGACTTGGTCTACTTGGAAGTCTTGCAGGCGCCGATCTACAATGATATCAGTGTTGCTCAATGGTTGGGCTTGACACCTAAGCAGGTCGTGAAGGAACATCTTGGCTTCAGTGAAGATACACTTAACCGTCTGCCTAAGATTAAGCCTTTCATCTTGCCTGGAGATACGGACTTGAGTCAGACCAACTTCACCTCTGAGGCTGAGTAGATAATGGCTGGAAAGCGATCGGACGACAGTAGATCTGTCCGACACAAACAATTGCAGATGAGCCATAATATGCAATGCCCTGATGGCTAGTTGAAGATGTACACACCCTTCGCCGTGACTGTAAAGAGTGTTCGAGCCATGCTCATCATGTTTGTGAAGATCGAGATCATGGTGAGTGTCTTATCTCATTAATCAGAAGCTCGAACGAGACTTGGCAGAGCGGGAACTACTTCGTAGCGTCGTATTTTACACCTGTAAATTCTACAGGCCAATTAGAGCTTCGCTTTAGCGCAAGGTGTAAGAACTCGTTCGAGCGTCTAAGGACTTAATGTCACGATTTTGGTGGAAGGCCTTTAGAAATTCGACCCTCTATTTCCTACATTCTAACACTACGCTCTCGCACCACATTTTTACCAATTTATAAATCGATTTCCCGAAACTTCTTAACCTATAGATTCTATNATATAGGCGGAGACTTCGTCGCTACTATCCTAACCGCGTTACGCCTAAGTAGCGTTTGCCTACGCCGATGCTACTCGGCAATTCGCGTTAGTATACGGAGCTATACGAAGCCCGGTACACGGGGGTGTACTAGGACAGAAACTCTGCCTAGGACTTATTACGCCTCTTAGGAGGTAGCACTAGTTAGCGAGCTACGGCGAGACGTTAGTCCCGCGTTAGCATTATTATAGAGACCGACGCCGGTAAACGTAGGGTCATTCCCTACCGCAATTGTCGTAATAATAACTAGGACTACTTATAGCTCTACGATAATGGCGCTAGGGACTTAATTCCTTACTCGATCGGAGCAAACGGTAGTAGCTATGCTCCTTGCATGCACTAGAATATCGCCTATAAGGACTAAGGGGGGTAGGGCGGTTTTTTTTTTTTATGATGTACAAGTAGCAATAAAACACATTAAAAAAACATCTCTATCTTTTCGTGACTCGTATGCTAATAAACACGTCTTCTATATCAATTTAAATAGCCTATAGGTTCTACAGGTTAATTAAACCAGTTTTATCAACCTATAGAAACTATAGGCTATTTAAATTAATGGGCTTTTAATATCCCTACGTTTTAGAGTGATGTTAGAGACGTAACTCGTAGACTAATAAACATGTCTTCTATATCAATTTGAATAGTCTATAGATTCTACAGGCTAGAAAAAATGGTTTAATCAACCTGTAGAATCTGCAGGCTATTTAAATTAATAGGCTTTTAATATCCCTACACTTTAGAGTGACGTCGAGAGACTTAATTTAGCTACTACTTTGCCGTTTTTAGAATGTTAGTGCTTACTAAGCATAGCAAACTCGAACTTCGGACTAACTTTATAGCCTATAGATTCTATAGGTTCATTTAGAGCGTAGCTATATAGCTAACGACGTGCACTATCTAACATATCTTGCAATTTCTCGCTCGATATAACTAGTTACTCTAACCGCCGATTTAAGCGGTAGGCGTTAATATCCCTTTCGCTTAACGCCTTTCTACTACTCCTACTCTAAGGTATAACGGTCCTATATTNGCCATTTTATTATATAAGCAGTTAAGTCGGTCTACCCTAAGGCGATAGGCAATATATTTCCTCGTCTAAAGCGACCTATAGAATCTATAGGCTAAACGACGTCGGTTCCTAAGCGCCCTACNGCTCCGCGTAGCTCGCCGAGCCTAGCTCTTAGTACNGCGGTCGCCCTTTCCGTACCTTAAGTTCCTACTACGCTAACATCGGCCTCCCGCGTTTTAGCTTCTACCTAGCCTATAGATTCTATAGGTTGCAATACTGCCACTTTCTAGCCGCTAACGCTAGCTTTAATAGCCCCGCTATTAAACACACCCTACTATCCTATAGCCTCTTCCCCTTAAATACCTAATGGTTCTTAACCTATAGATTCTATAGGCTCTAGCGGAAGCGAGAGAGTTCTACTAACACCGGCTTCGATGCTACCCCCTTCTTTAACCTTACGGCGCTCGTAGAGAAGAGTAATAAGCATTCCGGCCGTCTTACGGCCTGTACTTTCTATAGACTCGGTCATAGTACCCTTAATACCGGTATTATTACTTAACTCGTCGTTTAATTCCTCGTTCGACTTATTAAGCTCTCTATCCTACCGTTAGCTAGCCTTATCTACGGCTACATAAGCTTAATCCTCGCCTGCCCCTAAGCCTATAGTAACACCTACAGAAACTATAGGCTGCACTTAGATGCTATCCTTCCCCTTTATAGACCGTCTCCTACTAGTAAGGACTAAACTTAAGTAGCTTAGAGCAGCATTTTATAACGAGGGCACTATTAAGGGGACCATTATAGTATATAAGTCTATCTAGCTTAAGAAACTCGGATACGATAGATAGGATAATTGCTTCTCTACTCGCTTATAGCCTATATATAGTAATTAACTTACGGCTTAACACATCCGCTCTATATAGGGCAGATTAGCAGAGTCTCGTCTAGCTTTTAACCGTCGTAAACAACTTATGCCTAGTATTAGCTAGTTTCACGTACTATAGGCCATAGTCTATCTAATTATTCGTACCCATTTCTCTAGCGATAAACTAGGCGACGATGCCTACTGCACCTTACTCTACGACATTAAAGAATAGGACTAGAAGGGCCTCGCTAAAGACAGTGCAAAGTATTACTAGTTCGAGCCTCTTATCCTATATGGATTTAATGCTCGCATTACTACACTATAGTACGATAGCCTTTACGCCCGTAGCATGCTTCTAATAGGAGTCGTTAATAACAAGAACGCCTTTAATAAGGCTATTAGTACGCTATCTCTACTAGAATTTAACGAGATTATAGAGGAGATCCGGCTTAAGGCCTTTACTCTCGATGCTTAGTCGTCGGCGTCNNAAGCACCTTACGATAAGGAGTTTTAGAGCATATGTCGCTACCTCTAAGAAGTAGAGACGTTCTANACGCTTAAGACTACTATTAAACACGGAGATATTAGAACACTACGTCGTCTTATGCCTCGCCTATCGGCCATGTTTTTCGGTGCTAGTTAATACAAGTACGGTCATAAGATGCTTTATCTTAACTAGCTGCTTTCGGATGCAGTATTAGAGCCTTATGTACAACGTGCTATCCTTATAGGAAGTCTTGTTAACCTTAAAGGCCTTCTAAACTCGTAGAAACCGATCGATCTAGCGATGGAGCATATTAATTACTTCTATAAGGAGGATATGAAGTTACGAAAGAATTTAACATACGACCTCTACTCTACCTTTAAAGATCTTGCTACGATAAGTAGCTATACTAGCGAGCTCCGTACCCGATATGAGGCGATATTTAGTAAGACGACTATAAGCTAACACTCTCCGAAGAGTGCCTTACAAGACATGTAGGCTATAGCATTAAAGCTATTTAAATCGGGATATACTAAAGCTCGTAGTCGTACTAGCTCTTAATTTAAGTCGCTAGACATTCTACAGGTCGGAGTAGAGGCATTTAGTAAAAAGATTAAAGAGTTTAATGCTCGTAAGCTCCGTAGTAGCATCCGTTAAGATGCCCCTTTTGCCGAGGGAGACGCCGAGTTNCTACTTTAACATCCCCTTTTAGATACTNCCGNANACGTTACTATAGTAGAAGAGGGGGACGATAGATTTCGTAATATAGACGACTAGGATGTACTAGAAGAGATTAATCTAACATCGTAAAGGGCCTATAGATTCTATAGGTTAACAAGTCTAGAGATCTAGCATTACTATGCTACGCGATAGTTATAAGCCTTAGCGCTTTACTACTAATCTACTCGCTTTGCTAGAGCCTCTACGACCGATATTGCCGTAACTAACCTGCATCTTAGGGGTTGCGGACCTATAGAATCTATAGGTTAACAAGTCTAGAGATCTAGCATCGCTATGTTACGCGATAGTTATAAGCCTTAGCGCTTTACTACTAATCTATCCGCTTTGCCGGTACGCCCCTCCTACTCGTAGGAGGACTCGCGCGACCGTACTAGCGAATAGCTTTACGAATCCGCTATACGCTAGTTTAGCCTGCCGTAAGGCATAAGTATATCTATTTCGGTCGCTGCCTCTAATAAAGCGGGAAAATCGTAGTCTACTTATCTAAAAGCAGAAGCTCTATTTAGGACTTTGCTCGATTTTCTAAGTTAAAGATTCTATAGGTTGATTATACCTGATTTCCTGGCCTATAGATTTAGTAGGTTAAAAAACAGAGCAGAATGTGACCGTCGTCTAGTAGCTCCGCGTGCGTGGCCTTAAGTTTAACTAATATAACGTTACATACAAAATCAAAACTTAAGATAGAAAATCGCACCTCGAAGCCTCTAACCCCCTTTTTGTCGGCCTATCGATTCTATAGGTTAGTTTTACTTAATCTTCCGGCCTATAGATTCTACAGGTTAGAAAGGAAATAAAAAAAACCGCAAGCTCGGCATGCGTCGCCTCGAGTTTAACGATACGACGTTACGTACGAAATTATAACTCGAAGATTTAGACTCCCTTTTTATTATTACTAACATTATTATTATAGTTACTATAACGTCTGAATCGTCTAAATCTGCAATAATAACAGTAGCATTTAACTATTAATGTGTTTGTTCTGTTTGCCTCCATTAATGGCGAGACCCTAGGCCCTATCGTATTACGTAGTCGGTGTTATCTTCTTAACTATTACCCCTTCCTCCTTCTTGCCCTTTACCCCTTCCTCTCTCTCTTACTAGCTAATGGCGCGGCCCTTTCTAATAGGCTTAATAACATCCTCTTCCGGATAGAAGAGAAGTCGCTGTCGAGGAGGGCTTAAGCGGACATACCGCTTTAATGAGGTTAAGGAGAGTAGATGCTATTAAGCGGACACACTGCTTTAATGAGGCTAAGGAGAGTAGATGCTATTAAGCATTCTAGTAATAGGAGGGAATACGTCTCTTACGTTAGCTTTAACGATAATCTCGAGGACAGAACTTCGACGCCTTAAGAACTCGGCTTCTTCGTAGGCTTTCTTATAATCTCGTTAAGAGTAGCGGCGTTAGCTACATTAGTAGCAGCGTCGATAGGAGAAGGAGGGCCCTAGATGTAACAGTTAGTATGCGAAAGAATAAGGAAGGGATATAAAGCGACAACATACACCTCTAGCCTTAGCTATTAACCTAGTTTCGGCCCTATTAGCGGCCTCGGTCTCTACTTACTCCTGCTCTGTTATTACTATTACTAGGCATAGATCTCTAACTCCTCGGAACGACTTAGAGATCTATGCCTAGCAATAGCGGAGGATACGGCGACTATAGGGACTAGGGGCCGAGAGATAGTTATCGTCCGTGTCGCCGTTATTAGATTACGACGACGGACACGGACGATAGCTCCTTATTAACGAGGAGGCTTATATATACCTGCATTAAAGGTTAGTAGATGTTCTAGATAAGCATTAGAGGAGCGCGTAACATACGATCTCTTAGCCCTGTTCGCGACATCTTTAGTCCTTAGGAGGGTATTAGCTTTTAAGCTCCTTAATGCGGCGGTAGGAGACGTCTAGTCTAGTCTAAGTTGTAGACTAGGACGCCTCCGGCAATTAAGAGCTAAAGTGCTAGACCCTACGAAACATGTTAGCTAGAGGAAGAAGATAGGAGATAGAGTAACAAACCTCCTAAGAACTAGAGAGATCGTTAAGGCTAGGGTGTATCCCTCCCTATTTGTAGTAGCTATAGAGCGAGTTACTCTAGGAGGCATGTAAGCGACTCGCTCTACGGTGCATATAAATAGGGGTATCCGACTAGGACATCGCGATCGAGGGCCGGTGCCTAGCATAGTAGGAGCTATACTAGGTATAGGACATCGCAATCGAGGGCCGGTACGGGTGCCCTATTAAATAGAGTTAGCAATGATAGAGGAAAGTTAAGGATAAGGACGAACAAACCTAGTAGATACTGCCCTAAGATCTCCCCTAACGCGCGACTATCTTATTATAGATATGATTTCGAGTTACGAATGCGATAGAGAAGGCGATCTCCGTCGTCGAGATAACGGCAGCTACGCGCTAGGGAGTAGGTAATAAAGAGAAGAGAGGAGGTAGTAGTTAAGAGAGAAGTAGTAGTCTAAAGAAAGGAAGGTTAGAGTTAACGCTAGATTAGAGTGAATAAACAAACTATAACACTTACTTTAGGGCTTAGCGTTGCTCGCGGAGCGTATACCTTAGGCCTTAGTCTTACGCTCTTCTTAATCCCTCTAGCCGTTAAACAACCTTTCTAACCCCCCTAAATTAATTATATAAGTCGATTATTTCCTTAGTTTGTGCTTCTATACTACTGCCTTAATTTTCCTGCCCGTTTTCTATTAACCCTACCCCGCGCGCGCTTTCTTTTTATAGAAGGACATTAATCGCGAGGAACCTATAGATTTTATAGGTTCCTCGCGGTTCGTTTACTTATATATCTATACTACCTTCTACATAATACTACATCTATCTCTCTCTCCCTCTCTCTCTCTTACTCTCTTACCCTCTATTAATTCTGTACATTCGAATAATATTAGTNGTGACGGGCAAAGCATTGCCAAGAAAGAGGTCCGGAGCATGTGAAATCAATCGCCGAAGCAAGAAGGCAAGCAGTCGACAAGTTTTCGTCGACATGCGCCAAACGATATGGACTTTGTCAACATGTCTGCGACGTACACCGCGGCCCTTGTCGCTACGAGGCATTCGTCTGCAAACCACAGGTGAGAGCAGAAAACAATCGCATTCCTCAAAAGGTCGTACTAAATGTTCAACAGCAGCAGCGGCTGATGGAGCCATTTCTACTGCCCTGCTTTCACGAGCTAGGTCAATGGCAAAAGAACACGATGAAGTTACAGCAAAACTCGCCGAAAACTTCGATACAAAAGCAGCCAAGAAGTTGGGACAACTGTCTTCCGTCAACAATGCATTGAAAGAGTGGGAAAAGGCAAACGATTCTTTGTCAGAATTGCGTACACTTCTATCCGACCCGAAGACAGACAAGGATCTCGTTGAACTGGCAGAAGAAGATCTGGAGTCCTCGCAGAACGAGTTCTCAAAAGCCTCTGATGAGCTCAAACTTGCGCTCGTGCCTCGTCATCCGTTCGCCGAATTGCCTTGTCTGATCGAAATCAGGCCGGGAGCAGGTGGAGGAGAGGCTGCACTGTTTGCTGGTGACTTGCTGCGCATGTACACTTCATACTGCAATCGTCTAGGCCTCCGAACATCACTGCTACAGTACGAAGATGCCGACGGCCATGGCGATCCACGAGGCTCAGACGCGCCACTGCAAGAAGCGGTGCTCGAAGTCGAGTCTACTGGCGCATATGGCATGTTGAGATGCGAGGCAGGAGTGCACAGAGTCCAGCGCGTGCCCGCGACAGAAAGCAAAGGACGCACACACACAAGCGCCGCATCCGTCCTCGTACTCCCATCCTTCCCCGAAGACCCCTCGGCAGAATTGGGAGAAAACAGCTTCGACGACCCGAATAGTGATTACTACGTCGACCCCAAAGATGTCCGTACCGATGTCATGCGTGCAAGAGGAGCAGGTGGACAACACGTCAACACAACAGACAGTGCTATCCGATTGACCCATTTGCCAACCGGCACCGTCGCTGCTTGCCAGGACTCGCGGTCACAACCAAAGAACAGAGAAAAAGCATGGAGGCTGCTCAGAAGCAGAATCGCCCAGTCAAGGCGTGAACAAAGAGAAGAAGAATTGATTGCATTGCGCCGCAGTGTGGTCGGTGTTGCAAAGATGGGCAGAGAAAACAAGATCAGGACATACAACTGGGGCCAACAGAGAGTGACAGACCACCGCAGCGGCATTAGTGTACACGACTTGGATGATGTCCTAGAAGGAGGCATTGAACTCGAGCGTGTTATGGAGAGTGTCAGGGGATGGCTCAGTGAGCAAGAGGTGCTGGGCCTGGCTGCCGAAGATGAGCTGGCTGCTAAAAAGGACGCTTGAAATGTATTATAGCTCCTCTTACTGTACAACATGACTATTCACCTGTCGATGGTTCGAAGCCGAACATCCTCTCGCTGCTTGTACGTTATTGGGGTCAAGACGGAGATATGGTGAGCTACTTGGCTGATAACCGGCCGAGGTAGGAGTCGCTCTTCACGCCGTTCTTGCCGCTCTGTGACGAATGTGGAAGGTGGGATGGCCGAACCGGCCAAACTGCCCCGCCTCTTGTACGTGATGATTGCCGTGGTCCAACAATTAATTCTACCATGCCTGTTGCCGTCTTCTGTGTCATATCTATAATCTAGCTTGCTACCCTTCTTCCTCTTTGCAAACCTCTACCACAGAGTTCATCCACCTTCTTCTCTTGGTTCATCTCGTCCATTGAACGACCCCACAATCTTTGAGCTTTCCCCAGTTCTACCAAACATGCCTCTCAATGCTCAAGCCATTTACCCGGCATCGGACCCAGAGTTCGTCGCCTTCCCTAGTCGCAGAAGTGTAGTCCACAGCACCAAGGGCATTGTATCGAGTTCACAGCCCTTGGCCTCAAACTGTGGCTTGCGAGTGCTGCAACAAGGTGGAAACTGTGCAGTAAGTAGAGCAGCTGCTGTTGAGGTACGACATGTCAGGACTGACGAGATGTCTAGGATGCCGCCGTCGCAGTTGCAGCCGGTCTGAACATGACCGAGCCTGGTAGCACAGGTATCGGCGGTGACATGTTCTGTTTGTTCTACGATGCAAAGACCAAGCAGGTTCACGCTTTGAATGGTTCTGGCCGCGCTCCTGGAAACGCAACATGTGAGAAGGTGCGAGAGTCCTTGGGCATCAAGGAGGGCGAGAAGGGCACTATCCCCATGGCGAGTGCTCATGGTGTTACTGTTCCTGGTGCGGCTGCTGGCTGGGTCGATGTAGTGGAGAAGTTCGGTAGTGGAAAGGTGAGCATGGAACAGATCCTGACACCAGCCATTGAGTTGGGAGAGAACGGTTTCCCTGTCTCTGAGATCATGGGCTACTACGTAAGTACTCGACCTATAACTTCGAGTCTAAGCACTCTGCTAACATCTTGTGTAGTGGAGCAAGGCCGAGAAGTCGATTCGTGATGCCTCACCCAACTTCGCCGAAATGTTAAAGAAGGACCCGAATGCACCGGACGGCTGCCGTGCTCCCAAGCCTGGCGAAATCATGCGCAATCCTACCCTGGCTCAAACCTTCCGCGAGGTTGCGAAATCTGGAAAGGCTGGCTACTACACTGGAAGAATTGCAGAAGAGTTGGTTAAGGTCGTTCAAGATTTGGGAGGCTTCATGTCTCTTGATGATTTGAAGAACCACATGGAGAAGGGCAGTGAAGAGGTTGACCCCATCAAGCTCAACTTCCGCGGACAAGGCATCGACAAGTCGCACGGAGAGACAATGCACGATAAGAGCTCAGAGGGTGTCGATGTTTGGGAACACCCTCCCAACGGCCAGGGCATTGTTGCTCTGATGGCCCTGGGTATGCTGCAAGAGTTGGAAAAGAACGGCAAGATCTCGACCTTCTCCGACAAAGACCACAATTCTGCAGAGCATATCCATGCTGTTGTCGAGACCCTTCGTATCGCCTTTGCCGATGCCAACTGGTGGGTGGCCGACCCTAACGTAGTCAAAGTTCCCTCGCAAGAGCTCATCTCGGAGAAATACCTCGCTGAGCGTGCTGCACTTTTCGACCCAAACAAGGCCGGTGACATTCCCGACCACGGTTCTCCCGCACACAACCACTCTGACACCGTCTACTTTGCCGCAACCGATAGCGAAGGCAATGGTATTTCCTTCATCAACTCCAACTACGCCGGTTTTGGTACCGCCATTATCCCCAAGGGCTGTGGTTTCACTCTCCAAAACCGTGCTTGCAACTTCATGTTGCAACCGGCAGACCACCCCAATATCTACGCCCCCAACAAGCGCCCTTACCACACTATCATCCCAGCTCTGATTACCAACAAGGCCGATCAAAGTTTGCACTCAGTCTACGGAGTCATGGGCGGTTTCATGCAACCTCAAGGACACGTGCAAGTGCTCATGAACATGCTCGTCTTCAAGATGACACCACAAGCCGCTCTCGACGCCCCTCGCGTCTGCATCGGCGCCGGAATGCCCGACAGCGGTGATGTCTTTGACAAGACTGTTTACCTCGAAGACGGTATTCCTGAAGAAACCGCCGAGAAGCTGCGCGGTATGGGCCATAATGTTGAGATCATCAAAGGCCATGGTAGAGGACTGTTCGGTAGAGGACAGGTCATTAGGTGGCATGTTGATCCTATTGAGGACCGTGGTGTTTGGAGTGCGGGCAGTGACCCTAGAGCTGATGGTCATGCTGTTCCTTGGATGTAGGATGTTTGAAAAGCTTTACTGTTTATCTTATGAGATATATGACTTGTCTTCTACTTTATTTTCACACAGATTCGGAGAGAGGCAGACTTGTGGGAGTACAAACGTCAATATTGCAGTTTCCGTCTCGCAAATCATGTCCATGGTGAAATACTCGGATTTTGATACTCAAGGTCCAAACATCCGTTCTCAAACAAAGCCCGCATCTCCACGTCCACCGTCCACGCACGGTCGTGGGGCATCTCTACGGTGACGTGGTTCATACTGAGTAACATCTCCCGATCGTGGAGTTACTGATACCCCGAACATCTCGTTGTCGAATATTGTACGCACCCAGTTTGAGTAAGTCCACAGATGCGTATTGGTTGTTGCTAGTGGCGATCATCCGCAACCAAGAAGCTGAGCCTCATCGCTTACACCACTTGTGTCGACATCTCGTCATACCAGCCAAGCTGTTTGACGAAACCGGGCTATCATGAACACATGGGAGTCATGAAGTAATGGTCGGCTCATCTTTACATCGTGATCTTAGGAGCCAGACTGAGCTCGAGGGAGGTATATAAGTAGGTCTCTCTGGCTTCCCAAGTGGTTGTTTCCTATCATACCATTTCTCTCTACTCCGACACTCGACCAACAAACAAAACACTCTCCAGTATGCCTCAAGGAACTGATCAGTCTCACGCCGTCGGTGGCTCCAAGGGTAAGCCTCTTCTTGAGCCATTGCTCCCCAACCATCCTTCTAACTCTCAGCCAGTCCCCGTAGGTGCACAGGAATCCCTGCCAAAGGGTGTCGAAGATAGCGTGCCAAACAAGGTGCATGACACAGGTATATTCTACAGCATTTTCTTTGCAGATGCAACGTCCCCAACCTCAGAGGCAGGCAGCACCGGAAGCAAGAGCCATGCCACAGGCCCTTCCAAGGTCCCCCAGGTCATCCAGGTTAGTATATTTGATTGATGTGTCATTTCTTCAGTGATCTGACATTCCGTACAGGAGGCAGCGCCCAAGAAGTTGGAACAGATCTTGCCCGAGAAGATTCATCCTACCAAGTAGGAGGGTTAAGTACGACTTGTCATGGATCTTATGAGATAAATAGCCGCAGCCGGCTCATGAATATGATCTTTCCCTAGACTTCTACTTATTCTACGTGTGTGTTCTCTCATACTGCCGTTGTTTGAGTCCGTTGATGTGTTCAGGACAGCAGTCTGAGATTAAATGGCGAGAGAGTCCAACTGTCGGACTAGAAATATCGTAGAGCTATGGTCAACTAAAGGCTCAATATCGAGCGAACTGCTCAACGAACGTATCTGCAGACCTACACAGCACGTGTGTGCACCTGGGGATACTGTTAACGAACACCAAAAGCTCAAACGTTCAATATGCTACTCCTCGCAAGCGATCTTTTGGAACGACCCTTGTCTTTGATTCACGAGACAATTTGCCAAAAGGTCAATCGGACCATTGCGAGAAGACGACCCTCATATCTTCCAACGTGTCGCGTCTTCACGCGCCCTTCGGTGAACAAGTGGAGCACCACACGCGCTTGACCGACACCGCGACTTCGGCAACTTGGAAGGTCCAAGAGATGCCCAGCACTGTGCACAGCCCGCCGGAAGTGATAGGCAAACGAGCGCCTATCCTCATGACTGGTCCACATTACTCAAAGATGTCTCCAACAACACTCTACTTCATGGTCCGCAGGCCGGCTAATAGTTGGGGTCGAGATAGAAGGCTGCCGCAGTAATGTGCTTCACTGCAAGCTTATCTGCATTTCGGAGATCGGGCCTGCATGCATATCAGCACATCAATATCGCGCCTATCTACAACCCTTGGATTTTGCGATAACTCTACTGACTTTACTGGGCAGGTAGACTGTAGGGCGTAGGTATCGTAGAGGCGTGCTTTTGAGTTGTTACGAGCTTCCACAAGTGACTAATCGTTATCCTCGTGGTTTACTGCCATGCCTGCTACCCGGTGTCAACCTTGTTGGGTTACGTTTCTAGCTCGATGTTATAAAGGTTAGATATGCCGCGGTGTTGATGAAAGTAAGGAAACCTCTCGTTTGATTCCTCACCCCTCAGGATGGTCCCTCGTTGCTACCAGTCTGTCGCTTCTGCGCTTCTGCTTCTCTCTCAGGTTGCCAGCACTTCCTTCGCTTTTAAATTTACTCCTACTGGCCAGACTGTGCAATTAGATGGAGCATCATACTATATCCCTCCTGATGTGGTCTCGACTATCACCGTCTCGAAGCACTTGAAAAAGGCTTTGGACAGTGCTGGTGGACTGCTCCCGTTTACTGTCGTCAACGCCAATTCTTTCGATTACGGTGAGAGAGACTTCAGCCAGGCCATTACTTCTTACACATCCACCGACGATGTCTTCAGCAAAAGCTTCTTGGAGGCTATCTATGTTCAATACTCTGGCGTGTCGAGCCACAAGTATCCAGGCTTCTCAGCACCCAAACTGTCTGGCAACAGCAGTGTGGGAGTCGTGACCACCGGATTCGCCTCAAATACCTCATCCATCCCTGCTGGTCCTTACTTTGTGACCTCGACTGGTGCAGTTCACCAAGCCTGGAAACTCTTCAGCGATGTCCAAGGTGCTTTCCTCGAAACCACCATCGCAAACCAGGATGGTACTTTCTCTGTATTGCCTGCAAATGTCGAAGGCCAATCTTTGGCGATTGCCGTACCTTCTCGTCTTTACTTCACCAAGACAGAAGACAAGCCGCTTGCAGGTGTCCGTTTGGGTATCAAGGATATCTACGATATTGCTGGTTTGAGGACTTCGAATGGTAATAGAGCATGGTATCACTTCTACCCACCAGCCAACGAGACAGCTCTTACTGTTCAGCGTCTCATCGATGCTGGTGCTATCATTGTTGGCAAGATGAAGACTTCGCAATTCGCCAACGGCGAGACCGCCACTGCCGATTGGGTTGACTATCATGAACCTTTCAACCCTCGTGGTGATGGATATCAGGATACCTCTTCTTCCTCCAGCGGACCCGGTGCTGGTGCTGCAGCATATGATTGGCTGGACTTGACTCTGGGCTCTGACACCGGTGGCAGTATCAGAAACCCTTCTCAAGTACAAGGTCTTTTCGGCAATAGACCCTCGTGGGGATTGGTGCCGCTTGATGGTATCATGCCCATGGCTCCTCAACTTGACACTCCTGGCTTTTTGACCAGACATCCAGACATCTGGATCGCAGCTTCCAAAGTGTTGTACCAGGATAACATTACTCTTTCCCACAACTACCCTTCAAAGATCCAAACCATCGGCTGGCCTACCAACAACAGCTCAGTGGCCAATGGTCTCCTTCTCTCCTTCCTCGACAAGCTCAGCACCTTCCTCAACGCCACCACCTCGACTCTCAATATTACCGAACAGTGGACCGCCTCCCATCCTGCCAACGTGACCTCCTCTATCGTAGAACTGATGAACATAACCTACCCCGTCCTAATCGGCCAACAAACAACCTCCATCCGCGACCCCTTCTACGCCGCTTACTCCGCCGCAAACTCCGGCCGCGTCCCCTTCATCAACCCCGTCCCCATGACCCGTTGGGCCTGGGCCGACAGCCTGCCCAAATCCTCCGTCGCCGATGCCGCACACAACAAAACAATCTTCCAAACCTGGATCCACGACAAGATACTCACACCCTCCGAGAGCACATGCAGCGACTCCCTCGCCCTCTACGTCGGCGGCGCGGGAACCACAAATTACAGAAACGCATATAGAAAAGCTCCGGGCATTCCGTATGGGTTTGATACCAGTAAGGTGTCGAATATGGGCAGTGGACCTGATTTTGTGATTCCGATTGGAGAAACACCTTATGTGTCGAACATCACTCTGCAAACCGAGTATCTACCTGTTAGTGTGGATATTCTGGCTGCTAAAGGTTGTGACGGTATGATTTTCGGGTTGGTGCAGGATTTGATCAAGGCTGGTATGATCAAGGGCACAAAGGCTGGATATAGTGCTGTTAGTGGTGAGCAGATTTTGTTCTAGATGGTGAATGATAGACGTGTATGTAGAAGTAGATTTTTTTGTAATGAATCATATGAGTTTTTTGAACTTTCAGGATGGACAAAGTGGTGTGTCGTAGCTTCTTCCTTTGTCCAAGATCTCCCACTCCGCCGCTCCAGCGATCGTGTCTAGGATCATTATGCAGAGAGGCAAGATATTTCTGAGACTCGTGCAACCTTGCAAAGAGAGGGATCTGTTGACGAGCTTTCGGTGGGAACGACGCCGATTCAAGAAACATCGTGCAATCCGACAGCCATAAGCGTGACAAGGTTTAGCACGTGGGGAGGAAGCGAGCTAGACGTGAGGAGCGTTGCAAATTTATATGAATAATGGCGCGCTTGAGAGCGCGAATGCAGTCTTGAAGATAGTCCTGCTCTACATAATCTTTGTCCGCTCGAGCGACAGGTCCTCTGCATACTCGTATAAACGACGCTGGGATGGCCAAAGTGGAGATGGGGGCTTGCAAAGAGCTCCCAGAAACTGGCGGAGAGTTTTGCAGAAGCTCCTCGTCGGCGTCGACTCGAGTGCTCTGGGACACTTGGCTAGCCAAAGGGCATGATGGTGTGTGGTGGTGCTTGTTGAGCGATTTCAACCCGAGCCTCTCAATGCCATATCTACGATGAGTCTTCCTCTTTCTCCGCCCAAGAAACCAGCGCCCTCTTCTCCCTCATCTTGCTCAAGGTCGAGACTGGCATCATATGATCTGCGAACCATCTCTTCATCGACCTTGACGCCATTCTCAGCCAGCGCTCTGATGCAACCAGCGACTCTGGCAATTTCTCTCCTCGTATCCGGGCTGATGTCGTCGTTCTGGCTCGAGTACATTGTGGTCTTGACTTGTTCTTCGATGCTGGTGATGCTGACGTCCTTGCTCTTGTCTGCCTCGATGTGCTTGGAGATCCAGATGTAACCGTTGACTCCGAGAATGACATCAACCTCACCACCTCTGCTAGAGGTCTGCAAAGTGAAGATCTGTCTCTTTGCCCTCACGACACCAGCGCCACCACCAACACCCGACACAGCCATAAAGTAGCCATTGCGCAGCTTGCCATACTTCAAACTGCGGGTATGTAGCGACGCCGAGCCATCCTGGAACAAACTCTGCACCTCCGCAACCAACAACTCCCCCTCTTCAAAGAAGGTGCGGATGTTCAACTCATCCACACTAGTCCTCTTGCGCAAGATACCGCCGGGCAAATTGATACTGCTCAACGGCAAGGCAGCCGTCAAGGCGCCGGCGACATCAACCTTCCACCTCCTCGATTGCACCTCGACAATCCTGCCAATAACCAAATCTCCAATCTCTGGCGTGTAGCGTGCGCGCAGCGGTACCACGGAGAGCAGTTTGTTTGTCTTTTGCAATGTGCCGGCGAGGGTGGAGCGGATGATGGGAGCGAGGTCGCCGTTATCGTTCGTGTATGTGCCGTGGCCGCGCATCCATTGGGGATCCGAGGTGATGACTTCGCCGGGGGTGATGATGTTTTTTGAGCGTTTTGACGAGCGCGCGGCGTGGTCTTCGTTGTCTAGTTCCATTTCGTCGTCTGAATCATCGCGACGATTTGTGATAGCAGGCGCTGCTGCCGCGGGTGCAAATATTTGGATCGGCATTGTGTGAAATGTATGTGTGTCTTGTGAATTCAAGACTGCGAATAATTTCTGGATGAAGCTCCAATTGGTGATGCAATTGTCAAAGTCGATGCCAAGCCTCAATTTTGTGCAAGTGGCTGGTAAACTGTGCAACAAGATATGCACGATAATGATCAATTGGCTCAACTTTTGTCAACGAAGTGATTGCTTTTGACCGAAACCATACACGCTCTTCATGATATCGTATGTTTTGTAACATCGGAAGTCTTACTGCCCGTGGAGTACTATACAAATGTCTACTCGTAACGCCATCCGATAAATCCATTCGCCCTTACTCAAAGCTAAACCTGCTGTTTGGTCGTGAAGATTCTCCTTCTCGAATTTCACTCCTCAACACTACCTCATTCGGTTGTACACTCCTTCTTTCCACTGGCGACTGCAATGAATCACCTGTAGGTGTTGCTGGGTTGCTTCGGTCGACACCATTATAGACCTCTTCTCGCCTTCTCATCATCTCCTTTTCTGTGATCGATCTGCCATCTGCTTGTGCCAGATCAGGCATGTCACCAGGCATCTCATAGATCTCCAACCCCCCGGCCTCACTCGCTGCACCAGGTGATGCTAGTGCGGGTGATATCGGATCTGCTTGTGTCGATGACCATGTGCTGCCTCCGTATCCCAAGGTTGTAGGGCTCGCTAAGCTTGAATCTGGACGTTGTGGTGATTTCAGGTCGTCGTGAACTGTCGATCCTTCCAGTTCTGCTTTCGGGAAAACGGTCGTTCCCTTCTCTCCGATGCCGATTGTTGTACGAGAGATCGAGTCCCTGGAGGGTGAAGATTCGTCACCTGCCTCTTCCTCTGCCAAACGAGCCTTCTTCTTCCTCTCGCGGCGGATGAACAATGTAGCAAGAGCGATCAGAGCAACAACTCCAATAACACTTCCTGCTACAATACCACCGATAGCACCGCCACTCAGTCCGCTTGAAGAGGGCCCTGAAAGTGTTCCTGACGTTGTCGAAACATTGACTCCAGACGAAGCTCCACTGTAACCACCATTCTCAGACGCCGGTGCTGGCTCAATGATGATGATTTCCGTAACGTTATTAATATTCTGTGGCCAGATACATTGAGAGACATTGAATTTCGTTCTTTCGTAATCCACCGTGATGTAGGCTTCCTGCATGAATGTTCGACCAAGGGTGTATTGAGTGCTGTTCGCTGCCCGTCTCAGCGGGAAATAGCTTGATCTGTCCGCCAATCCTTGGTACGGTGACTGCGCTGTCATATCAAATGCAGCGTATGGCAATGAGATTGTTGTTTTTTGAAGGCCTGCTGCTGTGGTGCCAATAGTGAAATTGACATGGGCATTGCGGGCAAGAAGAGTGTCGTGAAGAGATGAGTTGACGAGGTACAGGTTGTAAGTCGAATCCCACGTCAAGCCAAACTCCCTCTCAAAAGCTTGACAGGCATCGAGTGGAAGCCAGATCTGGCTCACTGTGGAGTCAATCAAGGCATATATCGGTGCGGGTAAAAGCTCAACACTGGAGGTTGAGTTCAAGGCGGATGTAGTGATAGACTGAATTGCTACCACGGTGTCTCGTGCTGGATCAGAGGCAAATTCGAACTCGACATTGTTGGCCTCGAATCGACTTTGGTCATATCCACCGAGTGTCAGAGATCCTGCCACGCCCGAGAAGCGGTAAGGGGCGCCTGCTGTGTATCCGAATGAGATGCTGGGGATTGTGCTCTGTCCCTTCAACTTCGTCATGAAACTCGGCCATGTAGAGGTATCCGACCAGTTCGTAGGCTTCGGGTTCAGTCCCAAACTTCCAAGCCAGAAATCTGACACTGCCAGAGCACCAACTGTCGTGTCCTCCAAGACAGTTTGATTGGAGTCATCCAAGGCTATCCTGTCGTAGCCGTAGTATGCGTTTCCAGTAATTCCAAGATCCTGTTCAATCCCGAGCTCGAAGAGTCCGACATAGTCCCAGTTTGTAGATTGACTCAAGTTGAAAACCTCCCCTCGTGACTCGACGCAGGCATCATAATTGGAGTACATTGAACATCCTTCCGGGGCCACAACCCAAGTCTGAAATGACTGCCATGATGGTAGAACGCGTACCTTCTGTGCAGGAACTCCTACACTGAGATCAAACGAGGACCATGTTCCGTCCAGGCCGTCCCTAGGGAATATCAGTAAGACTGTGGACGTGTCCGAGAAACAAATCAGCATACCAGACTTCACTCGGGTTGACCACTATTGGTTGTGCACTACAGGAGACTTTCGCGACATTTGTCGCCAGAATAAAGACCACTCCGACGGGGCTCCATGAACCGAGAAATGATAGCACCATGTTGACAGATTTTCGAGTCACCAGAGATGTCAAAGAGATGTGTCTCGGACTACATGAGAACCTTCGCGCGTTGAGCGGCTCTACAAATTCTCGAGTCGTAAAACTTCTTTGCTTGACTGAGGTCGATTGACAGTCATGCGAAAAGAAGTCAGACGGCAGACAGCCCTGTCAGCATAAGATCGCAGTACCCACCAGCCGTCGGTTAGACCGAAAGCTAGGGAATTGGAGTGCGCCAATCGTATGGCGCTGGGAGCCTGCATGAGGACGCGAGCACTATCCACGTCGCTTGTCCTGGGCGTTCATCAGAAAGGATTCCGGACTGCCGCATGTGGCGTCCTCCTCGCTGATCTCAAACGAAAAAGGATTTGTAGAGAGCAGTGACCCTCTGCCCGTTGCGACTTGCTACAACACGAAAGCAAAAAGGAAGATGGCACGAAACCAGATGCCACTCTCCGTTTCTGTTCACGCACTTTCTGCTGAATTGTTTGCTGCTCGAAGCCTGCAAGGACTCGAAATTCACAATGCCTTGCTTGGCAGCACGTGCATATTCGGTTAATTATTATGCATGTTCTTCAAACACAGTTCCATCGCGCGAACCCCGCGGAGTGGGCAGCGATGACCTCTTTCCTTCCTTGTCACAGCCTGACGAAACGCAAGGGAAAAGATCCAAGCAGCGTGCCGCGCCGCTGGGCTGGCTAGACTCGACAACGCTCTACGGACTTTGACATTATTGCGTGTTCACCATGTACCTGTAGTTACGTCTGATACCCTACCCTTGCTGCACTTGCTCCGAAGACGATTATCGCAGGTGTGCGAGATCCCCGCAGGTGTGCTTCATGCGTGACTATTCTGAGGAAGGCTGATGTTGTACTACCTTCGGTAGCGATAGTTTGTACTCATCTCGCCTCTTGGATCGGAGAATCTGGAATCAATGATATCGTGTATTTTTACAATCGCTCCATTCCTGACTGAGCTACAAGCCCCGTATCGCGCACTGACAACGAAGTTCGTGGCTGCGCTCCGGCTCTCAGAAGTGTCCTGGGGACAGCAAGCTTTGAGGCTGGCGGGCGAAGGATCCTGCACGCACGGCCGGGAATTGGAGCCAGTCAGCAGGTCTGCCGCCTGTTCGAGATAGATGTTGAATAAAACTAATAGACGCGGTAGGCCTTGCAAAGACCCTGCTCATCATGCCATTCCGCTGAAGTCCTTTCTGCAGTTTGTGTGGATCCCAGTACCCGGCCAACTCACACTTCCTTGTATGTACATTAGGATAGCGGATCAGCCTTGGCATAAGCAATGTTCTTTCGTTCTTTCCTTCACCAGGCCTGAAGTAGCAGCATACTGTGACATCGAGCTTGTGAGGTCGTCGCGTTCGTTTTCTTCTTCTCTTCTGGGCTTTCTTAGCAGTCTCTCGTTACTACAGCTCGATCCGTCATGAGCTTCTGTCTCGCATAGCGGCTATACTTCAATCTGGTGTAACGGCAACATGTCGATTTATACACTCGCTTTCATCGCGTTACTGGCAGGGGAAGGCGTTTGTGCGGGTATTCAAAAACGCTCACAGCCCTATGGTGTGTAAAAAGAGATATTGCACAAGGTGCCTGGACTGACTCGAACAGGGTGGAACTCTACATCGTCTACAAGCACAAGTTCTTCAATTTCTTCCGCAAGCCTGAGTGTTTCTACATCTCACGGCCCAAGTTTGTCGCCGAGTCTCAGCCTGTCGTCCAGTCTAACATCAACGACATTAATCTCATCTAACGGAACGGAGGCAATATTAACACCAACATCTATACAAAGGTCATCTCGATCACTGGTTTATTCGAGCCAGCAATCGTCCGAGATTCCATCGTCAGCTCAGCTATCCACATCGCAAAGTAGCTCACCATTACTGACACCAACATCTTCACAATCGCCATCTTCATCACTAGTACATGAGAGTCAGCAATCTCCAGAGACTCTCTTGTCGTCTCAACCATCCACAGCGCAAAACGGCTCACTCTCAACATCATCATATTATGCATACAGCACTGGCGCTTTACCCGGGAGCGTTAAGTCACTGGAGTCGAAGACACCTTCAGTTGCTGTTCCACCTACTTCTTTGTTATCCGAGGAAACAAGCACACAACTTCGCCTTCCAGTACCCTCGTCGGGACAGGTCGCAACGGAGTCAGCCTTGCCGACTGCGCAACCAGCCGCGGAGGTAGAATCTCAGGCTTCATCAACGCCCGACGCAGAGGGTGTGGAAGCCTCACTGACGGCATCGCAAGCAGATGCGCATGTATCGTCAAGCACATGGCAGGTCGGCATCTCACCGTCGGCTTACGCAGCAAGCTCTGCTTTGTCAGAATACCCACCACAATCGACCAGCAATTCCGGATTTGGCGGCCTGGGCTCCATTATTTGGTCTGGACTTTCAGGATCTCTGCCGACTGACAATGCTGCCCCTGGTAATGCCGATATACCACGCCCGTCAGGATACACAGGAACTGCTCCGTCTGGTGGCACTCTCGACCATGGTTCAAGCCCTTCTCCAGTGTCAGAATATCCAGCGTCAACGCCGATGAACGGAAATCCTGTAGGCACTGCCGGATCAGCCGTCCTTACCGGGTACACGGAAACATCACTGATCGTAATAGTTCCGACTGATGGATTTAGCACTGGTACCGGTGTTCTCTCTAGCACAGGCGCTGTCTATCCGGCTGTTACATCGTACGCTCTCACTACCCAAACTGGCCTAGTGCTACCAAGTGGCAGCGGTGCCGGCGTGTTCTACTCACCAAAGTATTCGTTCAGCTGGAAGTTTAACACCACTACTATGCGTCCATCTCTCGGAACAGGCATCAAGGCACCGAGCGGCAGCCTCCCTGATCGCCCGTTTCCTCGACCATCTCCTCAAGACAACAAAGATCATCAGGACAACGCAACTTGCGGTGGTGTCACCGTCAATATTCCCGACGCGACACTAGACTATTGGTACACGACGGCTTTCGATTACGCGGCAGCCACATTCTCGATCCAGTTTGATGGCAACGATTCCCAAACTGGATGGACGCTTCTGCCTGCCACGACTACATTCAATGTCACCGATGCATTGCAAGATCCAACTACTTATTACGTCGCCTCCACAATCGCCACTCACGCTAATAGCACTTCGGTCTCGTACTATACGACGGTAGACACAAGCCCAACCCCTGTCTATGCATCCACGGTAGTCGTTACTCAAACAGCGACTAACACACTTGACTCTACGAGTGGCAAAGGCGACATACCTTCTGATGCTGTCATCACTCCGCCGCCTGCCAGTACGGTCCTGTCCGCTGGACCTAACCAGCCCTCGCTTACCGCCTTGACTAACACTCACTTCGTCTATTTCTCTCAATATGCGCTCGACACAGAGCACACGACCACGCACAAGAATGGTACACCAACGTGTGTGACATCCAGAGAAGTCAAGGATCTTGGTCACGCTTTTGCTATGGCGTATTATGGAGACGATCCGGACGGGCAAGCACTGGTTACTGGTGATCTGTCAGAAGAATTTCTCAGACTTCTCCCGCCGCACCTCAAAATTGCCGTGGGAGTCTTTACTGCAGAACCTACATTAATTGTCCCAGTTCAAATTGACTATGTTGCGGAAGGAGTTCTGGCAGTCTCGCAGACTGCCGAGTCGGAATCATCAGCGGCCAAAGGGCACAGTACGTACCCGTTGGCGTATTCTTCCGCATTAGCAGCAACCTCGTGGCTAGTCGTGCCGGGCCAAACTTCACCTCCATCATTCGCTGCTCCAAGCGCGGCCATACCTAGGCCACCGGTCATATTCTTGAAGCCTACTGGTACTTCTAGCATAGCCGTCACCAATACGCAGCTAGCAACGAACTTCTACATTGTTTCACCAACGAGTACAAGCGCTCGAGTAGAGGTCACTCAAGTATCTCTCTATGTCGGGCCGAACTCTGGACCTACGAAACTGCCTGTGGGAGGAAGCCCTGGCGTAAAAGGAGGTGATGGCTCTGACTCTGGTTCAAAAAGCAGTGGCTCGGGTACACAGAGCAGCAACGGAAACAGTGGAACAGGCTCGAGCGCTGGTTCGAACGGGGGGTCGAACAGCGGGTCGAGTGGCGGTTCCAGTGGAGATATTTCAAAAGGCGGCTCCGGCAGCGGATCAAACAGCAACGGCGGATCTGGAACTGGCAGTGATAACACGCAGAATGGCGGGTCTTCAGGAGGATCGAGTTCAGGGAATGGAGGCTCGGGCTCAGGCTCTGGTTCCAATTCTGGTTCGACATCAGGAGGGCAATCATCTGGCACTTCTGACTCTAACTCTGGAGGTTCAAGTTCAGGTAGCGATAACACTGGCTCAAGCTCAGGAAATTCTGGTGGCTCATCGGTTGGGACAAATTCTGGTAGCGCTGGAAGCTCTGGGGGTTCATCTGGAGGTTCATCTGGCGGCAACCCGCAAAGCGGCAATTCTGGTGGAAGTTCAGAGGGCAGTGGTTCGTCATCCGGCAACAATGGAGGATCGATTTCGAACGGTGGTTCATCTCCAGGTTCCAACGGTGGCTCTCAACCGGGTGTCGACTCCGGATCAGGCGGCAAGGTCATTATTCCCGTACCGGTTATAATTACAATTGGCTCGACAAAGGCAACAATCAGCCCTGGATCTACTGTCGTTATTGGAACACAGACGCTGGTTCCTCAAAGAGCAGCAGTCACAATTGACGGAACGCGTGTCTCCATCGGTCCTACTGCCGTTGTCGTAGGCGCTGAGACTCATGCTTTTCAAGGATCCACTTTCCAAGCAGCAAACCCGGTCGCACCGACTGTCATCACATATGGCGGCTCTGTTATCACTCAAGCCCCTGTACCTGTGTACAACATTGGTGGAACTGATGTTCATGCAGGGGAAGTCGTGACCATCTCAGGTACCGTCGTATCTGCTGCCTCTAGTGGTGGAGTCTTGGTGATTGGATCAGACACTGTATCTATCGCCGTTCCAAATTCTGCGGTCACACTGAGCACAGCTGGACGACAGGTCATCGTCAATCCAACACCTGCATACGTGGTCGGTGGTCAGACTTTGGCAGCTGGAGGCCCTGCAGTCACTGTTGATGGCACCCGCTTGTCTTTGGCTCCTTCCGCGACAGCGATCGTGGTCGGCTCTAAAACGTCCCAGATTGCGGCGGCAGCCAATCCGACTCGAGGCGCACTTCTTACTATAGGTTCCAAGACGTTCACTGCAGATGCATCGACGCGATTCGCTCTTGGGTCTGATGTTACTTTGGTTCCCGGCGGATCTGCAACTGTGGAAGGTAAGACTATCCATCTGGGCCCATCCGGCTTCTTAGCTTCACTTGCAGTTGTAGATGGAGTGACGCAGACTTTGTCGCCGCCATTGATCACTCCTGCACCTGCCTTCTATATGGGCGGCAATGCATATGGAACCAACGGAGGAGCAGCTTTCGTGGTAGATGGTCAAGTCCTGACGCCTGGAGGGATAATTACTGTCTCTGGTACTCCTGTGTCTTTCGTCAAGGAGGGCACAGCTGTTGTAGTCGGCGGCTTCACTCAAAGGCTTCCTCAAACTCAGGCAGCTCAAGCTCCAGTGCTTGACTTTGGTGGCCAGGCCTACACTGCTCAGGCTGGTTCAGCTTTCGTGGTCAATGGACAAACTCTTACTCGTGGAGGCGTGATCACGATATCGGGAACCAAGGTCTCGTACGCCAGCGAAGGCACGGCCGTAGTAATCGATGGTGTGACTCAGGCACTCGATCAGGCAACATTAAATTCAGCGCCAGTACTGACCGTTGGAGGACAAGCATACACAGCTCGCACTGGATCGAACTTCGTCATCAATGGCGCTACTTTAGTGCCTGGTGGCCAAGTTATAGTAGATGGCACCACCATCTCCCTTGGAAGTGGAGGTACTGCTGCAATCGTGAATGGCGTAACCCAAAGGTTGTCTCAAGCGATAGCGGAGGCTGTATTGAGCATTGGTGGCCAAACGTATACTGCTCACAGTGGACCTGGTTTCGTGATTGGAGGACAGACTCTCGTTCCGGGTCAGATCATCACAGTAGATGGCACCACAGTGTTGCTCGAAAGCGATGGAACAGCAGCGGTAGTCAACGGTGTCACTCAAACACTGTCGTCGAACACGCCAACATCAGCAGCGGCAGCAATTCTGACAATTGGCGGGAAGACCTACACTGCTCATACTGGAGTTTCGTATGTGATTGGAGGCCAAACACTGCTTCCAGGCAGTGTGCTAACAATCGATGGTACTACGATCTCTCTCGAGAACGGAGGAACTGCTGCAGTCGTCAATGGCGTAACACAAACTCTCTCCCAGGCAACAGCAGCTGCGGTGTTGAACATTGCTGGAAAGACGTACACCGCTCAGTCCGGCTCTTTCGTGATTGAAGGTCAAACACTGAAGCCCGGAGCTACGATTACAGTTGATGGGACAACGATATCACTCAAGGCTGATCAGACAGTCGCAGTCGTGAATGGCGTGACAGAAACACTGGCTCAAATTACAGAACCAGCAGCGTTGACATATGACGGGCATACTTACGCGGTTCGAACCGGCTCATCATACGTGATCGACGGGAAAACATTGACGCCCGGTGGAGTCGTGACATTGGCAGGAGGCACCACGGTCTCTCTTGCGCCTTCCGGCTCTTTCATTGTGATCAATGGCGTTACCTCGACTATTCCTCCCACGGCAGGAACGACTGCAACATCCGTCCTCACCATCGACGGAAAGACATACACAGCATCTTCAGGCTCCTATATCATCAACGGTCAAACTCTGACTTCTGGCGGTGTAATCACTCTTTCGGATGGCACAATTCTGTCCCTGGGCGCTTCAGTCTTGGTAATCAACGGTCAAACCTCTACTCTACCAACCACACAAACAATCTCCCCAGGTGTAATCACAATAGGAAACCAGAAATTCACCTCTCTAAGCGGAAGCAACACCGCAGCCCCAAGCTATGTTATAGACGGCCAAACCCTTCGGCCCTCTGGTTCTGCCATCACCGTTACAGTGTCAGGAACAACCTACATAATCTCCCTCTCCGCTGGCTCTTCAACTGTCGAAATCGAAGTCTTGGGCTCAGGTGGAAACGTCATTTCTACAATCTACGAAACATTGAGAGGAAGTGATTTGGGCGCCAGTACTGTTACTGCAACAGAGAGTGTGCAAGGTGGTGATGCAGCACCGACTTCTCGACCCAGTTTGACTGCTACGCCTACCAAGGGTGGTAGTGCTAGTTTGCAGAATGCAGCGCCTAGAGATGGTGTCATTGGCATGAGTGTTGCTTTTGCTGCTATAATGGCTGGCGCCCTTGCCATTTTGCTTTAAGAGGAAGAGAAGGACGTGCGGAAAATTCTTATGGCTTATGAAATGTACGAAAATAGGCATCGTAGGGAGCCGTTGTTTCTTCGAGTGTTTGTGGTTTACAGCGGGTGTTTTGAAGGGGCATGGGATGTAGTATGGGAGCTTGCACTTATCAGCAAGAAAAGTGCTGGATTTAAAGCTTGAAAGGGATATTCTGTTGCTTTCTTCTGCTTTTCGATCTTTTCTCTTCGATAGCCACTCTTTTTAGTATATAGCTTTAATATACCGTTGTTTCTCTTTAGTCATTGCTTGTTTGTCCATTATATGTGTGTATCATCACAGTCCATTACAACCGTGCCAATCATTTGTTAGCGGGCACCTCAACAACCTGATCGAGTCCCTCATACGGCGGGATATCCAACTCATATTTCTCCGCCATCGCCTGTGTCAAAAATCTGCCTCCCACAAAATGTCTGCCCTCGAACCACTTGACCAATGGCTTCGGCGCCGTCAAACTAATCAACGCATCAGGATTATATCCCTTCCCGGGCCCCTCATCAGGAGGACCAGTCTCGATGTTCCAACTGGAAGGTGCGTCCACGGCTAAGACGGGGACTTTCGAATCGCGCAGGGCGGCAATGACGGAGGGGAAAGGTTCGCGGACTTCACCGCTGAAGCTGAAGCCGAAGATACTGTCGATTATAAAGTCGGTGGTGGAGAGTTGAGAGGAGAAATCTTCTGTAAAGGGGATACGGAGGTCGCGGAGTTGTTGTGATAGCCGCTGTACGGTATCTATCAGCCATCATACTCTCCATGTATCATTCGCTAGATGTAGCTTACCTGGTAAAGCTCATTCTTCGGCTGCTTGGGGTAATACACAGTAGGCTTGTAACCATAGTGCCAAAGATGTCTCGCAGCGACCAATCCATCACCACCATTATTGCCAGGTCCTACGGCGATCAAAATGCAATTGCCTTTTTGTGGTGGTTGGAGTTTGAAGAGCGCTTGTGAGACGGAGAGGCCGGCGAGTTCCATGAGTTGGTCGAGGGAGAAGGCGCCGGTGCTCATGAGCTCTTGGTCGAGCGCCGCTGCTGCTTTTGGGCCGAGCGTTCGCAATGCCATGATGGATGGATGAGTGACTGTGTATCGGAGTGCGTAAAGTTGAGGTGTTAGGAGGTGGAGTTTCGAGAAGGGAAAGAGTCGAAGTGGGATTGTGTCGAGGGACGATCATCAATGTACATGGCTATGGCGTCACAATTTCACAAATCACCCGAGTGGAAATGGTGACAGGGTTACCCCGAGCCAGCAATCTCGACCGTCCACTGCACTCGACTTGACAAGCAACACCAAGGAGCGGGGTATGATCTAGGCAAGTTTTCGCGGTGGAGGGTTACGAACGATCAATAGGCAGTTTCACAGTTTGAGAGGGAAAGAGCATATGACAAGTAAACAAGACTTTCTGACCCGAGTCGCGCCTGTAAAATTTCTAACGACTTCCTTCCCAGTTATCAATCGCAACCCCTATGTACACTCTGCGAACCGATTTGTCCAGGCGCCAGTTCTAATTTTATCTTCAATGGGGCGTGTTTCACTTCTTCGTAATACTGCGGCTCGACTCCTTCCTCTCATGCAGCCACTTCTTCACAGGGTTGGTCTCCTTTGTAGCTGGTGCTGGCGGTGTGTGGTCGTGCTTGGGGTGGCCAGGAGCGTTCTCTTCGTATGACACCCTTTGACAACAGTCCATCCTACGAACGACATCTGATGTAAGAGCTTCGGCGATGGTGATGCGCTTCTCTGGGTTGGGGTTAAGCATTCTCAGAACCAGGCGCTCCAACGACTTGTTATTAAGGAGGTGGAATAGTTTGCCGCAGTCTGGATAATCGTCCGACCCAGGTTCAATCACGCCGTCAGGGCGTGCCTTCAGCCATGTATTCCATCCGTTGATGTATTTCTTGTAGTTTGTGTTGTCGGCAGTGGCCTTGACCCAGGGGTGTACTCCGAAAATCATGCTCATGAAGTTGATACCACATGACCAGACATCCAATCCTCTTGGATCGTAAGCGTCCTTGGCTTCCATGACCTCAGGAGAAATGTAGGGTTGAGATCCGAAGATGGCCGGTTGCGAGTACCTAACGCGATCAACCTTGAATGCCTCGAGGTCCATTCCAATACGGAAACTTGGGTGGGGTCCACTGAAGATCTCGCTCAAACCGAAGTCGATGATTTTGACGCATCCTTCCCTCGTAAGCATGATGTTCTCGGGTTTCAAGTCTCGGTGGGCTATTCCGTGGTTGTGAAGATAATCGACGCCGCGTAGCAGCTGCTTAAAGAAGCAAAATTTGTCTTCGAGGCTCAAAAACTTCTTCTCGAGCAGGCCAAAGAGCTCTCCATTGTGGCAGTATTCCATGACCTCGCTCCAGATGTTATGCGAGAAGCAAAGACGGATAGGTTCGATGATGTTGGGATGGTGACAAGATTTGGCGATACAATATTCGGACTTGACCTTTTTGACGTAGTCCTCTTCCGTCTCCCAAGAGTCACGGCCGCGGAATTGCTTGACTGCGTAGAGATGGTCTGGAGTCTCGCCTTTTCGGCGCATGAGTTTAACACAGGCGTAACCGCCCTCGCCAATCTGTTTTGGGCGTCTCATGGGCAATCGAGAGGAAGTCTTGAATTCCTTTTCCAGAGGGATGCATTCGATGGGAAATTCGTTTGGGATGTTGGTAGAAAGCCTACGTGATCTTGTACCCATGCCTTGGTCAGCTGCTTGGGCAAACGAAGGCAGAAGACCCGGCGGCTCATCGGAGTATGTTTGAGCTCTCTTTACCTGAGAGCGCGGGAGCTCGGTGCTGCCAGAGCGACGCGAACTGAAAGACTCGTTGCGAACATGTCTAGGGTGTTGTCGATGTTGGAATTCGACTTTGCTGTTGTTTCGTCCAGCGGCTTCCAGGTCAGTAGCAGATCTATGCTTAATTCGTCTGTCGCCTGGGTCTTCTTCATCATCAACTCCTAGATGCATTTTCTTGGAAGGCGAGGTGGATTTGCTGTTGGGAGTAGAGGATCCAGTTCCAGCACCAGATGCGCTCGCATTGAGAATCGAGAAGATGGCATCACCACTGGACTTGGATTGGGACTTTGATCTCTCCGGAGCAGTCGCGGCAGAGTTTATTGAGGATGCTCCGCTGTCATCGCTGACGTCTCCGGACTTGGATGCTCCAGCGGTGGTGGGAGGTGCCTTGAGATGGTGATCCTCGGCTGATTCGGATCCTCGAGCCGCGTTAGAGAGCTCCATGTCGCTCTCGGACAAACTCTTCGGGGGAGGCGGCGCAGGTCGCTGTGACTCTGAAGAAGCAGCAGCAAAGTCTGCTACTCCCACACCCCCGGAAGAAGACTTCTCGGAAACCATTACGTGTGGAGGGCCGCTATCGACCTTTCGGATAAGTACCGCGGGGACGATGATGCAGAATCGTTAGGCGTTACCACAGTCTTCGACGGCGAGAGAGACGCGCGCGAAGACAGGGAGGGGTGAGCAGCCAGCAGGCGCTTATGGCGCGATTAAGTAGATGAGCTAGAAATCATTTTCGCATGGATGCTGTATCTTTCGGGGTCGGCGAAGGAGCCAGCCTGAGTTTGTCAGTGGCTTACTTGGCACCGTGCACGCCCGTCCACCCCGTCGCATTCGCGGGGGCAGTCAAATCCCATCATTGGTCGACTGCTCGACTTCACCCGGCTCTCGGCCTCAATAAGCATCGCGATTGAAGACATTTGTGAGCAGAAACACGCTTGTTATTATCTCAGAAGAAAGTACAAGTCACTACAATGGACCCCAAACTCCGCGCTGCCCAACTAACGCTATCAAAATTCATGCACTTCGTCATCGCTGAGATCGGGTGGTCTTTGCTTTGCGCTTGGTCGTTTTTGTCGCTGGGGCAGTTTCCCTGCCTTGAACGTCTTCCTTGTCCAGCCACCCTTCATCAAGAGCAAGCACAACCAGGTCGCTGGCAGATCTGAGGCCCGTCTGTGGCATCTCCTCGGGGTCCAGTAGCTGGTTGACCTTGAGCAGAGCGGCTTCGAGCTCTTCTGCTCTTTGTGCTGCCTGGCTGTCCTGAATGTGATTACCCGAGCTGGGCCATTCGATCTGCTCGGCGAGCTTGTGCAGGACAAAATGCAACCAGACAAGATTGGTCTGTGGATGGTACCCCTTCCATGTTCTTCCCGACTCCTCGGCCTCGTCCCACCTCTCCCAGAGATCACCCAGTGGCTCACCCAGATACATGGCAGAGCGCATATACCTATAGATCTCGTATTGGTATTCCTCCTCGGCGTCACCCTCGAACAACGCCAGATCTCTTTCAAGATCGAGGTACGCCACGTCTTCCTCACCTTCTGCGCTCACAGAAACACCCATTTCCGCTCGTGAGATGGTGTAGTCGATGAGAGTTGTTTCGATGCCAGTGAAGTCGAGTTTTCTGTTTGAGCTTGCTGGAACATAATCTGCCTCGCGGCAGTGTGCAGCGTTGTTAAGACCAGATACACAAATGTTACCCATGTGCAAATCTCTGTGCTCAAATCTGGCAGCTTCCTCTCCCTTGCCTAGTGCCAGTACAACTCCCCAGAATATGTCCCAAGCAAGCCACACGTTGGCGACCTTGGTGTTCTCGAGATCGGTACCTGCGTCTTGCATTTCGATGACAGCCCATAGCTGATCTTCAGAGTAGCTTGCTTTCTTGCTGGGGTCAGGGAACACACTGATCTCCTTGCCCTTGGTCTTCTGCGAATCGTTCCAAGATGACCAAGCTGTTGCAAAAGCATCCCCAGGGCGGCCTTGTAGCACGCAAATTTCGCGGAAGTTTGTGAAACCAGGGGTGCATGTCATGCGCTGCATCAGGCGTACTTCGGCAGCAACATCTACAGGATCGCTCATCATCTCCGTTCGCTTTTTGGCTGCCTTGCTCAGCTTTCTCTTTGCTGACGGCGGAGGCTTAAGAGCGATGATCTTGAGTACTGATTCATCTGTCTTGCTCAGGGCGGAATGCGCTTTGAGAAGAGAAAGACGGTAGACCTCGCCAAAAGAAGCTTCGGCAATCTTGGTGACTGCAAAGTGCGATGAAAGTTGGTCAGACCAGGAAGAAAAAGACGTCAGGTCCTGAGAAGAAAGCGATAATAGGGATGAGGCATGTTTGGTGAAGACGTTGGAGATGCGAGGCTTGGTAATTTCCAGAGCAGCCAGATCAGCCTCTGTCGACTCTGTTGGTGTCGGATCTGTAGTCTCTGTAGGTTTGGTAGGTTCCGAGGGCGACGGGATTGCTGCAGGTTGAGGTTCCTCTGCAGCAGAATCGGCCGGCATGGCTGACGGTGTAGGTTGTGTCTCGTCGCAAATGGGTTTCTTTGGACGTTTCTCTGACTGGGACTTCTTGGGCTTTCCATTTTTTGTTTTTCGTTCCCTTGGAGAAATGGATCCCGTGCTAGTCACAGATTCGCTGCTGATTGTTCTTTGCCTAGCCAGCTTGATGGGCCTCTCAGTGTTAACAATTCTCTCACAAAGAGCTTGTCGCACAGGCGGATTTTCATCCTCGTCATTGGTCGAGAATTTTGTTTGGACCGTCAGCCTCGAGAGCTCTTCGGCAACCTCAATGACTTCGAAAGAGGATGGCTCATTTTTTCGTTGTTTGATAGGACTTTGGAAACTGCTAAAGCTGGAATATAGGTGCGATGGCTTGCCGTAGACTGCTTTTCGAGGCATTTTGGCGAATTAGTGCTTGCTGAAGCACGAATGTTGGTTGGAAATGGCAATGTGAATGGTTTGCAGGCTTGTTGTGCTTTGCAAACAAACGACGTTGTCGGGGCAAAGTTTAAATTGGCCGTGCATCCCTCGCCAAATCCATGACTCGAGCTTCATCTATCCTACACGCATCGCGACTCTTGAAACCAGTCAGGACCATTCAAACATCTGGAGCTGGTCTCCATCTCTGTTCTCTGATTTTCGTCCATCTGTACATATCTCATCTGGATCATGGCGCCCAAACAAACCTCATCGCCTACGTCGTCGGCCAAAGGCTCCGAGTCCGATCCCGTCACTCGTGTCTTGTGGGCCCTGTGCATGTTGGAGCTGGCTGCCATCTACTCGCCCTTATCGCAACTTACACTGGCTCCTGTATACGGTTCAATACCCTCATCTGTCTTTCACCATGAGATCACCGCAATAATTGTGCTCTTGGCTCTCACGCGCAGTAGCATCTTCTCACGCTTCATGCCCGCTCAAGTTGAATATTATATTCCCATCTTGGCCTCCAGCATTCCACTCATTCAAACCTTCTTGTTCAAGTACAGCACCGAGCTTGGTGTTGATGTCGGTCCTATTATCACCGAGGGTCTGACTTACTACCCGCTACTGCTGTTGAGCACCTATTCTGCAGCCCGTGTTCTCCTAGATGCCAAGATTGATCAATACCTGCATGCCTCGATGGGCTCTACGATACTTGGTCTCTCTACATACGGTTTCTTTGTTCTGGTAAGATCGAAATCTGCTTTTCTGATCTCCCAACTCTTTGCATACTCTGCCACAGTCACCAGAGTGAGTCTCCAATGTATCATTGGCGCTTTGTTCACCATTCTGTCGCCATCAAAACTGAGTCTTCTCGCCATTCCTGCCATGATACACACAACATGGTTCAACCCTCACTTCATGTCTCCCCACACCGATGCTTTGGCCAATACGACCCTGCAAGCAAGTCAATGGAATTTGCTGGAGCGTGCCGAGTCAAACACTGGTTACATCTCGGTCCTGGAGAATTTGAATGCTGGCTATCGAGTCTTGAGATGTGATCACTCTTTGCTCGGTGGAGAATGGTTGATCACCGATGAAAGGAGAAGACAAGGCATCACCACCTCAGAGCCCATCTATTCCGTCTTCGAAATCCTCGAAGCCGTTCGTCTGGTCGAGACACCTCATAGTAACGTTCCGGACGGTGAGAAGAGCGCGCTTGTAGTGTAAGTCGACTATACAACGACTCTTGGCTTCGGCGGCTAACATTCCTACAGAGGACTGGGCATTGGAACTGCACCCAAGGCTTTCATCGCCCATGGCATCGATTCGACCGTCGTGGAGCTCGACCCCAAGGTCCACGAATACGCCACGAGATACTTCGACTTGCCCGAAAACCACACCGCCGTGTTGGAGGACGCTGTGTCTTGGGTTCAGAATGCCTCTCATAATGCTGTCAAGCAGTACGACTACATCCTCCATGACGTATTCACTGGCGGAGCAGAACCTCTGCCTCTCTTCACCGACAACTTCCTTCGCAACCTGCGTTCTTTGTTGACTCCTGATGGTGTCGTCGCTGTCAACTATGCTGGTGACCTCGACGATTCTTCCACGAAACAAATTGTCAACACCATCAACCTGGCCTTCGACCGTCAATGTCGCATGTTCCGCGACTCAGAGCCGTCTTCCGAGAGAGGAGATACTGACTTTCTCAATATGGTCGTCTTCTGCAAGAATTCTGCTGTTGGCGAGCTCAAGTTCCGCGCACCTGTCGAGGCCGACTTCCTAGGCGCAGTATTGCGCAGACACTATCTTGCACCCAAGGACAAGCTTGAGTTGAAGTTCCCTACCGAAGAAGAGATGCAGGATTATGCTGTTCAGACGTTGACTGTAGACAACCTCGGCGGATTCGAGAAGAAGCAGGTTGAGTCTGCAAAGAAACATTGGAAGATTATGAGACTGGTCGTTCCTGACTTCGTCTGGGAGCTTTGGTGATCGATATCCCTCGCACGTCTATATGTATCAACTGTTTAGCTTACTCATACCCATGGAAGCTTGTTCCCGCGTGAATATCGCGTGCCCGAGACCCCTGTTCAACCTCGCTCAATCTACCTCAACTTCTCCACACTGACACTGATTGAAGCTTCCGAATCTAACTCGCAGCCAGCTGTCATCCAATCGTGTCATCAATCTGCTTCAACGTTCTTGTCTGTATAAAGTTGCTGTCAGACCGCTTATACCCCATAGATGGCTCAAGAATCTTTGACACCAACACCACATACAACATGAACAGTCTCTATCACTTCACAAAGGAAGAATGTCGCACGGCACATCCAGAGACTATTCTCTGTCGCATGTTGTCGACAACGGCAACACTTCCCGCGACTCCGTACATAGAATCACATGGCCTTGGTCTCCAGATAGGGAAGGGACAGTGTGGCACAATACATACATTTGAAGAATATCTGGTCAGAAAGACACCCAACTCGGCTAACAAAATCAACGAGCTCCGACGCGATGCACAACTACACGCCATTGTCAAGACTGCCTTTAGCAACGCTCCAAATGGCTTGGCTCGCAATGTCAGCGTTCCAGAGAGGTACCGCTTCAGGTGTCCACCCGCGAATGGCGATGAGTTCGGTGACTGGATACGACTACCCGGCTCGCACGATATCGATCATCTCTCCCTCCACAACTACGACTTGATGTCTGAGCGCATCTTTCCGCTCCACGATCCTATTCCTGAATGCATACTAGCCTCGCTGATCCCTAAATCGACGCACCTCAAGAGATCCACTTGCTTGAGCAAACCGGAAAACAACAACTGTCTCGTTCGTATCTATCTCGGTCGCAGAGGCGTGGACAGGAGTAAGACTACTACTGAAAACGTCAGTCTACGGAATTTCCCTCTGCACGTGGATGAAATGGAGAGACTCAATCTGCCTATTTCCATGTACACTACAGCGATTGCTGAGGCCTTGGCTCTGATGCACTGGAAAGCCGGCATCGATGCCAACGATGTCGAGTTCGTGCTCGGTAGCTCGCGACGAACCGGGCCCATGTTCCCTGTCCACGGCGTCGAAACAGGTCTGTCGGTGTCTATCTGGCTGCTGGATTTCAACCAATGCCAGAAGTTTGAACACGACCAGGCTGGATTGAAGCGACTTGTCAATGGATTTTGGTGGAACGATCCATATTACCCTCGTCCTGACTCTGGTCACAAAACGGACAAGGCTTTGTGGACGACCTTCCTGAGCAAGTACTTGGATGCCAGTGCTTTACTGACCGACAGCGATCTGCCGAAGAGGTTTATTGAAGCTGTGGAGGAAGAAGGATACCGTCGTAGGGTAAAGCCCTCTCTATTTGGCTAGGTCTGTAGATTCTGCAGCTCTCTATTCACGGAATCCAGCTATAGAGATGCACACTTATCTGAACATCAGAGTGCTTAAATGAAGTACCAGTGCCTGAGAATACTGTCAAACTTATCCAGTCTTTTATATGAGCACAGAACCAATCTCAAAGACGGAACACGGCAACTAAAATCTCTATATAGCAGCTTAGCATGGTAACTGCTCGCCGTAGATTCACTTTACAAGTATCTGGTTCGCATGCCAGAAGCATAATGTTGAATGTTGCAAATGAAGATTTATAATCTATGACTCTGCTTCTGACTCCAATCTCGCTAAGACAACCAAAGAACGAACCAATGCTTAATATGTGTACGAGATTGGTATGCTAGTCGTTGCGTCTCGATGTCTACTCTACATATCCTAGCACTTTGTTGCACTTCGTTGCACTTCTGCAGCCAAAGAGAAGTCAACGAAGTTTCTTTTGATGTTGTACCCCAATGTTTCTTTTCGACCAGTGAAGCACTGCCTGCTTCCCATTCCTATTCAATCTCCCAATACAGATCCCGCATTCTTCTACCAAAAGAATAAAGAAACTCCCCGGCGTCAAAACTTCTGTAGCCGTAACGCCCGCAACGCTTCGACCAAAAATCCTCCCCTCCCACCACCACCCGTCCTATACCTTTGCAACCACTTTCTAGACCAAAACGACACGTCTGGCACCACTGAGATAGTGCAAAAAGGGCAAAAGATAGCGACGCCCGTGTGATTCGAACACACGCCCACGAATGGATTTGATATCGAGATAGTTCGAGTCAAACGCCTTAACCACTCGGCCAGAGCGCCAGAGGTAAACCAAAGAGTTTACGATGAGGTTGCGGTGGCTGAGTAGAATATGACTCTGCGATGGCAGCGGGGGTGGATTGTGGCTGGATCTTGCGGTCGCCCAAGAGCCTTGAGGGGTGATGGTGAGTGGATGGAAGGCTCTCCGTCTCCTACTAATTAAGGTAGTAGAAGGGGGATGCTACGTCGCGCTGTCTCGAGAATCAGACGAGGAGCAAATGCCATGTCTGTTCGGAGAAAAGCACGGCGAAGGAAAGGAAGGCTGACTCAAACGCTCGCATGACGGAGCATTCAGACTAGAAACGCCGAACCTCGGCATCTCCGGACCAGATCGACCAAATATTTCCTGAGCGAGTTGTGACTTCCCTACTCTTGTCAAGTCAACACACCATGTCGGCAGCACAGCGTATGCCTGTCCTCGGTGGCACATTGGCCATTGGAGTCACCGGTGCAGCAATGGCAGCAATTCCTGCTTTCCGCGAGGCTGTGACGAGGTTCTTGGGTGTTTCTGCCCCTGGTGGTGTATGGAGGATCCTGGCCATCTTCTTTGCTTTGCTGAGTGTTAAGAGTTTGCCATTCGTGTGGCATGTGAGTATCGCCTTGCACCCTTCCTATGACTTCCTCAAAGGATGGTCGAGCTGATTGAGTGGTCATGTAGTTCCGCGTCTTCAAAAACCTCATCTGGCATCTCTACATGCAACCCAAACACATAGAGCAAAAACACCTTTTCAAACCCATCATCACCACCTCCCACAACAGCATCAGCGAATGCGATTACAACTTCCACAAGAGCAACTCCACCTACTTCATGGACCTCGACGTCAGCCGTGCCGCATTCGTAGGCGTGCTACTCAAGAAATCTCTAGCCAGACTCAACGGCGGCGACCTCACCGGTCTCCCCGAAGAAGCGAAGAAAGTCAAGGGCACATACATCGTAGCCCTCGGAGGCGTAGGCTGCGTATTCAGAAAAGAAATCAAACCCCTCGAGCGCTTCGAAGTCTGGACACGATTGCTCTCCTGGGACGACAAATGGATCTACATCGTCAGTCACATTGTCAAGCGTGGAGCCAAGAAACCCACAAACTACTTTCTTCAAAACTGGAGAAATGGCGGAAAGAGCAGTGGAAAGGGCAAGAGCAAGACAGAGGGAGAGGACAAGATCAAGAGTATCTACGCGACCAGTCTGGCCAAATATGTGGTCAAAAAGGGTCGTTTGACGATAGCGCCGGAAGTCGTGCTCAGACGATCTGATCTCCTGCCCGAAAGACCTGCAAACCAGCCCGCCGTTCCTGCAGTGTCGGATACACCCACCCCCGAGGGCGAGAAACCATACATGTCTAGCCCAGAAAACTTGGTCGCGCAAGTAATGGGACAATTGCGATCCGAGAGCATGTTCGACAACGAGAAAAAGACAAAAGAGGGAGAGATGACCTGGAGAGAGGTAGAGACGCAGAGATTGAGAGGGCTTGAGATTGCACAGCATTTCGATGGTTTGACTGCTTTGCATGGAGAGTGGAATGCTGATGACGAGGTTATTGGCGAGTATGGTGATTTCTTCTGGTAGACGTCAAATGAATGCAGATGCATCCATAGATAGGATAGACAATGATACCCTTTTTAGACAACATCTCGACTTGACAGTGCGGCTTTCCACATATCTGTAAAAATGCAGGATGTTTTTCGTCTTCAGATAGTTGTCCAAAGAGAGCTCGAACAGTCAGAGGCTCTCAATGGACAATCCGATTCTCTGCAAAAAGATTGTGCATTTTGACAAGCCCATCTAGTAACCACGCTAGTGAGATCCAGGTCAGGGGTTAGACGCTGATACGAAAGCAGGGTTATCGAAGCATGACCAACCCTACAGTATCTCCTCGAAACATCAATTCAACTGCAAAAAGTATTCTGCATCTCGTCAATACCGCTTCACAGCTAGACACTGGACATTGAGATGCGTGCGTTCATGATCTCTCTTCGGACACTACTCCAACAGCATAAAACGTCTTGCATTTTGACAGGCCCATTCTACACCCACTCCTGAGGCTGAGATGCCACCTGCGTACGCGAAAGCCGGAATTAGATAACGTAATCAGTTGAGAATCATCTCCTATAACCACGGGCGATCGACTATACACCGCTCCCGAGCAGCCACGTTGCTAATAGTTGCGTCGACGCACGAGGTTTCGAGCCAGCAGTGCCGTGAAGCTGCGATCTCGCAGTCAACTACGATCGACGAGAACCCGGTGCGTCTATCGTGTTGCCTTGCATCGTCGGACGATCGAGCGGACTCGAGGAGTATCGAGCGCGCGGAGCCCAGCCAACAGGCATAGGAAACCTCGCAGCGCTTGGTTGATAGAAGAGAAGAACCAGAGACGACGTAGGAGAGGTTTATATAGCCAAGGGGAGGACGTGAGAGTTGACTCAGAAGTCGTCACTTGTTGTTCGCAAATGTGAATGTGAAAACGGTATCTGATAGTGAGTGTGTAGAGAAACCTTCTTATTACATTATCGTGATGCATTTTTGTCCTCGTCATTGGAACCATCTTGTGGTACACAACTCTTTTGAGGGGTGAAAGAAGACTCTCAGACCGTACAGTGAAAAAGCAAAGGCACTTATTCCGCGCCAGTCTATAAAAACCTGATGAATGAGAAAGCCGACGGCAAGAGGGGTTGTTAAGTACAGAGATTCGACAGAAGGGTGTGAAAGCAAGGGAAAAGGGTAGAAGAGAAACCACAAAGCCATAAGCCATGAAGAGGAAAGAAAAGAAGAATGAGAGAACACCAGTTCTCCATCTGTGGTGCAGTTTGAAGCCAGCCATAAACGCCTTCATGTGTGTTGAAATGTGATCTTAGTCGTTCACGGGTATCGCTCGTTTCAGTCGCTAAACGCTGAGCATCGAGAAGTAAAAAATGCCAGTCAAAGAGATTATCTGCTGTCCTGCAGCTTGCTCTCATCGAGTCGGTCGCCATTGGGCAAGCGACCCTTCTTCAGGCATTGACCTTTGCGGCCAACATCTTCTCTCAAGGTGTTGAGTTTGTCCTTGTCTCCGTTCCAGCTAAAGTCTCTGCTCCAGAAACCACAGCCAATGTTGCTTGTCTCGCCTCTCCAGTAGGTCTGCTTAAGACCGGCCTTGTCGACAGGTGGGCGCCATTTCTTGTTGTCCAGATTACTAATCAGACTCTCGCCCTCCATATGGTGCAAGAGTTCCGGGTTGACAGTGTAACAGCGGAGGCCCTTGTCGCGGCAGGCGGTCAAGATGGCAACATCATAGGCGTGGTCGATGGTGCCGCGGTCGCCAGTTACGGGAGCATACTCTTCAACCAGGCGTCTAGCCGAAGCACGAGTGACGGCATATCCGAAGGTGCAAAGTGGCGAGACAGATTTGTGGACGATGCGGGACTTCTCGGGCACATCGAAAGCGGTCATAAGGGAGGAGGTAAAGGGGTGGAGATCGGTTCGGCGAGGCAGAGTCTGGTCGGGGTAGACAACGTGAGGGAGGTCAGTCAGATTGTTAGGGTGAACCACACCGACACCGACGGGCTCGTCCAGGGTTGTGAAGTAGTCTCCACAGTGTCCGACGTAGAAGAGTTCCCAGTCGTCGGGGTGTCCCCAGTAGTACTCGTCACCAGCCGGAGGCAGCAATGCGCGGGCGGCAGTGGCAGCGAGCGGGACTTGTTGTGTTCGCAGGCGGATGTCCCAATCGACATCGTCTTCCAAGATCAAGGCGGTCTCGAGACCGGACTTGAGGAACTCATTGAGTACGAGGTTGTGGCTCAACCACGCGCGGACGGAACCGTTTGTGATGGTGGATTTGTCGTCCTTGCCTCGGAAGGCGAGAATCTGCTCTTCAGACCATGTTGGCAGTGTCGGGATGGTAAAGTGCAACTCGCTGACGTTCGCGGATTGGATCAGGTTGTTGCGGCGTGGACTTCCGGGACCAGAGACAACAAACAGACCGCCGAAGCCCAAGGTTGAATTGGCGGGGCTTTGATGGCTGATGGAGAAGGAAGGGATGCTTGAACCGACGCTGCTTCTGAAGTAGATGATCAGAGTGAGCACACTCAGCCCGATAAGCACATAGAGCGGCGGCAATCGCGGCGCAACCATTGTGGTGTTGTTTATGTCGGCGACGACGGCGTTGAGGGGATACGAAGAATAGACGCAGCGCTACCAGCTTGTAAGTGTCGCGATACGGGCATCTGCCAAGCTGAAGTGGCGCGAAGAAGGCGTAAATCTGCCGGCCGGGCGAGATGCTGAGGGGATCCGGAGAGGGGACGACAATGGGAATTGGGAAAGTCGAGAAACAAACGACAAGGAAGAAGACTGGGATAGCCTCCAAAGATGAGGAGTCCAAGAGTCCAAGGAGCAGCTGCCGCGCAAGACGTCCCACTCCGAGGCCCCTGGTGCGACAAAGACATGGAGAAACTTGGTCAAGGATCGACAAGCCCTGGCCCAGCCATCGTGAGTCCGACATGAATTGCAGCCAATCTCCATCCTGTCAGCGTGTCAGGCAAACAGGTGAAACACTGGCAAATTAGTCTCTATTGCCTTCATAGCGATCAGCCTGATACATGTTACCTTGTTCCGTCATTTGTGCACGTGGCTAGCCAAAACTACAACCAACGATGAATAGTGCTGTCGCATCGCGCAAGAACACGACATGCGATACAATTAAACCCAACCTCTTTGCCGGGAACACGACCAGCTCTTGAATGTTTCTACATTTTTGTATCTTATCGATACATGCAAGCACCCGAACCTTTTCAACAGCCTTCCCGCCGGCAAGCACGTGGCTGTTTCGTGATCGCTCTTGCCCTGCAGTGCCGACAACGTCCTTCAGCTCGCGACTTTTCGAAAAACGAACCTTCTTCGGCATTGCAGAATAGCCGTTTTTGCTGTAGGTGTCGCCGTTTTCACTGTCTTCAGCCGAACCTCAGCACAGTGCTCGCGTACGTGAAGAACAGCGTTAGTTTGATCGCTATACAAACGCTTGTGGAGATTAAAAGTGTGGGTTGAATTTGTTTTCCATTCGTTCTGAATACTATCGCTGTCGGTCTGATGCTACTTTCTCGTGATATAGAACCATCTCGGACGAAAGAAACTGCATCGACCTCTCTTCTGCCGTGTTCCTTCTCCTCTCATATCATTCTCGTCCTTGAATCTGCTTGAATTTCTCCTTCCATCCGTTTTTAGAGATTCCCTCTTCCGAATGCCTTCAGATCTGAAAGCTGGAAGAAAACGTGTGTCGCGGTGACAAGCAGAAAGAAGTGCTACAATTTCAGACTGTCAGTGTTTTGATACCAGTAGCTCGTGTCTGTGGAGCTTACCTGGTTCGTTAGTTGCCATCACTTGTTTCCATTCTTCATCAGAGCCAGGCTGTCCTCCACGATTTATCGATCTGCCGTTGATGTATGGAATCAATCACTTGCTTCCTTGACCATCTTTTCGCGACGGTTGAGGCACGTTTTACGTTCTTCTTCGCTGGTGTGCTCATGGTAGAAGCACCGGTCTAACCTATAAGGCGCGATATCTTGAGATCCGCACATGCCATGTGCCTTGAGATCTTTGACTCCGTTTTCCGTCAGTCCCTTCTTGTAACAAGCTTTACAAAGATTTGTAGGTACTCTGCGTCCCAAAGTCGTCAAGACTTCGATCAGCATCTCCTTTGGCAGCCAGTGCCACCAAGTTGCGCCTTTTTCGTATGCCGACTGGTATGCCAGCTCGTGCACCAAGAATTTGCTGAGCGGTGAAGATACATGGGTATGTGCCCAGATGTATACGGCGTTGCTGATGAGCATGATCCGTTGGTTTGCCAATGTAGAATCGATGAAGACATCAAGTGTATCGATCCTGAGTGCCTCAATGTCGAAACGATCAGCGAACATGTATAGCTCGATGATCACATGATACGGCCAAGTAGATGGATCTTGATCAACAACATCTGGACCATCGAGGTCGATTTCGATCGAAGTCTCTAGATTTTCAAAATCTTCAGCAACGCTTGAGCCTTCATCTAAGACTGTGTAGATGAGCTTGTCGTAGTAGAGCCAGCCAACGAAGATTTGGAAGAGGACTGGCGAGACGTCCTTCAATTCGACGATACCAGTCTCGGCCTCTTGGAACGATCCAGTGAATGCTTTGTTGAAGTATTGAGACCGGTCGCAGATCAAGGCTTGGTGAACCCCGAACTTTTTCTTCTGAGAGCCGACGATGATAGTAGCCATTCGTGTGTTACACAACAGTCTAACAAAACGTGAGCCAAAGGATCATCATGGGTTTGGCAGACTACTGACTTTATCTTGTCAAGAGACTTCGGTTTGACAGCAGTTGAGGGCGCCATGTCTTTCTGCGAGGGAAGAATGTGTGGAATCTAGTAATGGTGATGCGCAGATCAAGGCGGTAGATGATCGCCAGATGATCCTGGTGATTGAGGTGGAGGAGAAGGTGAACGAGGCTGAAAAGCCTAGTGGAAAGAACGAATAGAGGTAGATGATTTGAATCCGCCGTTGAGAGACGGTCATTCAGTATGGTGTGAGAAGCTAACTTCAAGTGATGGATAGTAATGAAGCAGTCGAAACTCGGGCGATCGAGCTCAAAGTGAATTTTGCGAACAAAGCTCACTATTCGATTACGTCTAAGTGAAGTTTGAAGACATGAACCAAACAACCAAGAGTGAGCCGCACGGACGTGAAGAGTATAGAGGAATATGTATTGATGTTCCAGTAGTCTCATATCGCGAGGAAGAGAGATTCCCGACCTCCTTACACTGAATATCCTCGAAATCCTTCGCTGATGCTTCTGAACTCCTCGCACTTGAACGCACTGTCCTTGTTACATCTCTTTAATTTCTCTGCCTCTCCGTGTACTAGTATCTGTCACCTTCATCATCTCTTCCAGCGCCGTAGAAGTGCACAATATTTGTGACGTTTGAGCGTGTCTTCGTGGACGTTTCCAAGATGCAAGCTCTGACCTCCACCAAGCATACAGCTTACTCTCGACAGTCCTGTCCCCGAGAAGACATGAATGTAGGGTGTAGTCGAGGGAGGTTAGTGTCTGTGAGACTGTTTCATCGATTTGATCCTACTTGGTGGCCGTGCGACGGGCACAACAAGTCTCCTTCTCTTGGTCATTGGCATGCTCGTGATAGAAACAAGCATCCGACTCGTAAGGTGGGCAATCTGCCTCCTTGCACACATCATCGATATCCACCTCTATTATTCCACCTTCAACCAATGCTCTGCGATGACAGGTGGAACATTGGCGTACCGGCAATCTTCTACCCATTGCGATTACCACAGCAGCAAGGAAATCGCTGGGCAATTCTTCCCAGAGAAACGATTTTGCGGTATCGGGATCGAAGCTGACGTTGTAAACGATTCTGTGGATTGCAAGTCTTCGAAGCATGGATTGGGCGGTTGTGTTCAGGCAAATGTAGCGAACTAGCCAGTTGCTCATGCCTCGATGACCCTCTCTTTTGTTTGCCAATGCATCACACAGAGCGTTGACGGTGTGCACTCTGAGTTCATGGCTATCGAATCTGTCGGCAAAGATATAAAGCTTAGCTAGTGCATCAAGAGGCCAGGTTGAAGGATCATCTCCGTCCAGTAAGCAGTTCTGAGGCTCGTTGGAATGAGTCTTTCCAGGCACACGATCGGCTTTGTCGTTGGTCGAGGGTGCGAACTCCGTCGAGCTATTGGGGCTCTTGGTAACACATTTTGTGCCATTTTCGTCATCTTCCACTTTGGATTTGCGTATTGAGTTGGAGGAGCGAGTCGGTATCAGTCCAATCTCTTCCGGCTGGATCACCAGGTTTTGGAGATTCATTCCGGTTTTCTCGTCGTCCTCCCCAGCATAACAGAGTTTGCCATAGTACAGCCAATTGATGAATATCCTAAACAGAGTAGGCGAGACATCAGGAAGTTGGACAAATCGCTTGACGCTCTCCAGGAATGATCCAGACATGGCCTTCGCAAAATACTGTGACTTCTGACAAAAAAACTTCTCATGGACCACGAAGATCTCCTTCGGAGGACCGACCTCGACGGTGACCATTGTTGTACCGTAGAGAAGTCTGAGAAGATTATCGGATCAGTCTAGGACGGTCGAATATTGGTTTTGCTTCTGCGGACCTTAAGGTGTCTTTTGACGGCTGTGCAATAGTGGATGAGTTCGTCATGGCGATGGTGATAATGCGCTCACGACTTGCGGTGTAGGAGGAAATAAAGCAATAGCAGTAACAGTGAAGCGATGTTGGAGAGAAGCGCGATACAAAAAGTTGACCATCAACTGAAATGTTTACTCAACAGACATTCTGTAAAAGCAGCATACATAGACAAAGACAGACTGGAGTGAGTCTAATCACTGTTGAGCCACTTACAAGCGAATGAGACACTTGGTCCGCAGACGTACCTTCACTTTTAGCTCAAGTGCTATGTAATTCAAGACCTTGTTAAGACATCATAGATTCATCAGCCTACCTACTAACATTACCGTCGCATTAATCCATTTTCCATCATCATGATCGTAACACAAAGAAAAAAGAACAAATCCAGAGATCAATGGGCCATCTTCCTACCAAATTTACCATTTCGTCCCGTCTCAATAATATCCAACTTGCCATACTTGTCAATGGTCGGTCTCTCATCGGCTCTGCAAAAGACACTGATCATTCATTAGCGTCAAACTTCTTGACTTTGACCGAATCAACAAAAGCAGACGAGAGCAAGAAGACGACAAGACATAGAGGCGATCGGATGTCCTAAGAAAGAAGTCCATTCAAAAGTCGATGCCCTCAATGGGAACGCGGACCCAAAGGATGTCTCCGTATCCGTCGGTCATGCCGATGCGTCCGTATTCATCCTTGAATGGAAAGTGGTTTGCTGAGCAAATGATATCGTTGCCTCTCCTTCGCTCTTATTAGTCGGATGATTCGCGATAGACAAAACCAGTAAAATAAGGTGGGTGGTGAGAGCAGAAAGACACAATTTGACACAGACCAGTCCCATTAGATGACTACTGACGAAGCCCGAATCGTCTTCCAAACTTGTCGATTGCGAGTTTTGAGCCAGCTCGACAGATGATGCTATGATTTGCACCATTGTTCAGCAGAGTACTCGGCATCAAAGGCGCAAAGGAAGGAGCGATGGAAGATGTGATGCTGGGAAGTGGCTAAACAATTCGTGTCGTGCCGTTGCTGTATCGGACTGCCCATTTGCCGAGTCTGGTTTTGCCGACGCCAGCGTCCGCTGGTACGCTGATTCTGTCACGCCAGGAATATCAACATCTGTTTCCTCTTCAAGTCGGTGGAAAGTTTATATCAGAGACAAGACGAAGTGCCGGTATCCAGTGAGGTCCAGATAGAAACCAGAGGAGAGATCCTAGACGACCACCTTGCCATCCGTCATGACCTTGAATTTGCCGTACTTGTCCTTCCAGACACTAGATCCTTCGACACAGGTGATCCTGGATGGGAGCAAGCATAACAGTCAACACAGCTCTTTCTTAATCGTCCAGGCGTGCTTGTGCAGCCATCTCATAAGGCTTGTAGGAGTGCATTTTTCCGAATTTGTCTTTCGTGACAATGTCGCCCATTTCGCAGAGAATCCTTTGTAGTGGAGGTGTAAGATGAGATCAAACAGGCATAGGAAACAAAGGGCAGGGGAAATTGAAAGCAGAGAAAGGAAAATGAAAGAAAAAGGGACAGTACTAACCTTGTGGTGGCGGAATTATGCTCAATGTCGAAGCCGCCAGGACCCCAGACTTCCTCCATCTCCTTTCTCTTCTCACTCTTTGGCTTGTTCTGCTTGATACGCATCTTCTCGAAGAAGACATATGCGCCATAAAAGACAGAGCTCGTGTTACCGGCATCAGGGCCTTTTTTGCCTCTGAATGCCTGCATTTGAGAGCCGCTGATTCCCTTGGGAGCTCTGTCGGTGTGGAACTGTTTGAGCAAGTCACGGCCGAATTGTGCTTGGGTGACACCAGGCTTCTTCAGATATGCTGTGATTTGACGGCGAATGTCATCGCAGGTATCATACACAGGGACTGAGTCTGTTTCCTCGCCTGTACGTAATTGTCGTTAGCAGAGTCGTGCTTCGATTCCTGCGTACGACTTACCATAGAGTTCAATGTCATCGATATCAAGTTTCTCGGCTTCGGCTTTGCCGTCCTTACCACCCTTGCCATCGTCCTTAGCAGTCTTCTGCTTCTTAGTAGGCAACTTCAATCCAGCTGCCTCTCTCTTCTGGAAAAAGGCAGCAGCGTTAGGATAAGCAGCACACTCAGCACCCTTCATGGTACCATGCTTGTGCATAAAGTTGTAGTATGCGTTACTGCTAACGCCAATCGCAGTGCAGAAATCTCCCACTTTCATCTCACCGGATTCGATGAGTCTGTTGATCTTGTTGCGGACGACTTGGCAGCTGTCTGTGACGGGAAGTTGACCGAGATAGACTTCTGGATCGTCGACTCCTGGTGCACTGGTGGACTCATCGTGGGTGCGCTTGGTGCCTTGCTCTTCGTTGCTTGTTGTAGGTGCAGGAGTGTCCTTTGTCAAATCGACTTCGGGTATGCTGTCCTTGCGATTCTCTGCCTCTGATGCTAAAGCAGGGTTGTTTCCGGTGCCGGTCTCAGCGGAAGCCTTATCTGCAGACCCGGGTGATTTTCCATTGAGCTCGACGTTGGCTTCGGTTCTGCTCTTGGGTGATGGGGGTGTTGGTGTAGCAGCCATGTTTGCAATTGATATCAGAATGAAGCGTTATTGAAGGAGATAATGTGAGACGTGATGGTACGGATTATCTTCTGAATAGGAACAATTGCAAATGGAACAGGATTCTGACCATCCTCACCAAGAGACATTGAGCTCTTAAAACCACGACCATTGCGTAAGGTTCATGTCGATCTGGGCCACCCTGGTTATGACGTTTTTGCGGAGACACACACTACCACGACGCGGCAAAAGCAAACCTTGGAAATGTCAGCTAGGCGAACCTCTCACGTCTTCACGTGCGCTACCAAGAAAGGTCGACTGCAAATGGATGATCGATATGGAAAAGGCATCTTCTGTGCCAGATTTATTCTTCGGGTGAGTATGCAATACAGACTGGTCATACACGGACCTATTCCTTCGTTACACCCGTGTTCTATGCGCCGCGCTGGTGAAATTATATAAAGAGAAAACAAGAGCCATCGATCGTTCCATCCAAAGAAAAGAAGCCGTCCATGGTGGGAAATGCGTTATGAGAAGGGGTGTTTCGTGGTGAGATGGGGAATTCTATGCGGCTTCGTTCGTCGCTTCCCCATTGTTTTGTGCTGATGTTTCCGTCGCTGCTCCAGGGCGAGGTGATCTAGGGGGTCCTTCTGCGCTGGCTCGTGAAAGGCGCTTAGCCTTCTTCTCTTTTGCCGCCTTATCGGCATCAAAGTCTTTCCACTTGCGCCAGCCGTCAAAGTCGATAAGAGCTTGCATGCAGCCCCATTCCTTGACCTTACGTTCAAGCCATACGAAGTTAACAGGCTGTGGAGTGTTGTTAGCATGTCTGTGTAGGTACATCTTCCAGAGAGCGTCATAAACTTACCTTTGTCAAGAAATCGTTGCAACCAGCGGCGAGAGCTTCATGTCTGTCACTTTGCAAAGAACTTGCAGTGAGGGCAACAATGATGACCGGACTCTTGAAAAGACCACCATCTGAGACCAGCCTGTCGTCCTCTCTCTCCTTCTGAGCTTCGTCCTGTTCCTCTCCGTTCTCGCCGGTATACGGTTCAGGAGCAGCGGTGCTGAAGACACCAATTCCGTTGACTCTTTCGAGTCGACGAATTTCTTTTGTTGCTTCCAGACCGCTCATGATGGGCATTTGAATATCCATCAAAACCAGATGGAAGCCACCAGTTCGCCATTTGTTGACAGCGATCTGACCGTTCAACGCGGTGCTCCATCTGACCTTCAAACGCTTCATAAACGCCTCCAGAAGTCTTAAGTTGATAATGTTGTCCTCGACAATCAACACATTGATAGGAGGGACTGCACCATCGAGCAGAGAAGGGGGCAGCGTAGTTTTGGCGCCATTGTTGGGAGATTTGACAGTGGCTGTGCCGTCTGTAGGTGTGAGCTTTCTTTGGCGACGAGGGCGAGCAGGCTTCAGGGTGCTTTGACTCTGAGAAGCAGGAGTAGGCGGTGAACTGCCGGGGTGAGCTGTGGGAGCGGCCTCAGCAGCAGGAGGTGTTGGGAGAGGGGGCGCAGCCGGGATAGCATGGCCTTGTTGTTCGGAAGCGGTGGAGCCAACTCTTGGACGGCCCTGGCGAATTGAAGGCATGTGTTGAGAAACAGCGAGGTTGGATGCATTGAGAGGCATGGTTGTAGGTGGAGGGTTGTGTGTCATGATGGTGGGAGATGAGGTGTGTTGGCGGTTGAACTTGGGACGAGGGTCACGAGGATCGCGGTGACGGCGGGCACTACCCGGCGACGGCAGGACAGGAATTTGACCAGTGTTCAAGACGGCTATTGAGCGCGGCGGCTCCGGGTGCAGTGTCTGCTGCACTGGAGGTTGGCCGGGGACATTTGTTGGGAGCTGGACGGCTGGCATAGGAGGGAAGTAGTCGCTTCCTGTCTCGGCAGGACGGTAGTCGTCTAGAGCGGCGTATGATGCACCATGGTAGATTCGAGGCGAAGGGCGGGGTGTACGGCGTGGAGGGGTTTCGATGAGGAGAGCCTCTTCAGCGGTTTGGCCGCCAGTATAATATGAGTCCAGTGTGCGACAAATGTCTTCATCTGGACCAAGAATGCGCTCCGGGCCACGCTTGCCGGTCTCGTCGAGTCTACTGACGATGCGCAGGACAAGGTCTGGCGAGTCGTAACTTCTGCCCAAAGAATTGCCGTATTTTCTCATAACAAGATCTCGTACATCATCAACAAGGTCATCCTCGCGCACAGTGACCATTGTGGGAGAGGCATTGGGCCTTTTGACCCATACTTTTCGAGTCAACATGCTAGCAATATTTGGAAGTTTAGGGACGGGAGCGTCAACAAAGTAGTCCGAGGCTTCAATGGTAGCCGGAGGGGTTGAAGGAGGTAGCGGGAATTGAGAAACGGTGGTGGGGCTGAGTAGAGCACGAATGATAGGAGCGTTGGCGCCGGTTAAGAGGGACTGTCGGCGGACTGTGTTCTCAGATGGACGTTTGGGCGGAGGAGGCGGCAACGACGGAAGAGATGGGGACGGCTGCGCGCGTATGGATAGTGGAGAGTGAGGACGGGAGTGGACAGATTGAGGACGGAGGCTGCGGAGTCTGATGGCAGTATCTTGTCAGTGTCGGGCGCGCACAATTTAGGCAATGAGGTAGGGCAACAGGGCAACATACTCGGCGTCGATGTGCTTGCCGGCTTCGGGCGTGGCACACTGCAGAGTTAGGGATGGCTTGTCTGAGTGGCTCGATATCCCATGTCGGTCTTGGTTGGTCGCGTCGTCGTCGTCGAGGTCGACGGTTGGCTGATCAATGTCTGGAGCACGGGCGCCGGGTGTCGGAGGAGCAGCGGCGGTGCTGGCGCTGTTGCTGTTGCTGGCAGGACGAAGAGTCGGCGGGCGCGGACTCGTCTCGGCAGCGTCGTGGAAGTGATCGTCGGCCTCTTCCTCTCGGATGCTGTCCTGGACACTAAACTTGGACGGGCTCTTGAGAGGGATATGCGGAGATGATTGACGAGAGCTGCTTCTGCTTGGGCTGCCTACCGCTACCGCAGAGGCAGAGGCTTGCACCGGCGGCTGGGCTTCTGCCGAGGAGCTGCCCGTGCTATGCGACCGCTTCAAGAGTCCTTTGAAAGCCGCTCTGAGACCTGGCATTTTGTCGAAAGTCGTCAAGTAGAGTCCTGCTCTGCGGCCGTCTAGCCTCTCAATTAGAGGAAGCTCCGATTTGTTTACACCCAAGGTTAAAAGTACCCGTACCGCTGACTTGGGCTGCACCAACTCGTCAAGAAATCACGGCTCGCCCAAGGACGCTTGGTCCTCCTTAATCTTCTCCTGTCATGTCCTGTCAATTCGTTTCGACCACTGCCCTACCAATCGAGGTCAAGACGTCACCAACACTCAACATTTACTTGCTCGAGTACTTAACAGGAGGTCGTGTACTTCCACGTGTTCTTGTGCCTCTTCGTCTGCTGTGCGCCATCTGTCCTCTTTTAATCGTCCTTTTGCTTTGTTCCCCTATCGAGCAACTAACTTGACCCTATCGATCCGATCATTTACTTTGAGCCGTGAGGCTTGCCTGCAATATGCCTACCCTTGGCCCTGCATATGCAGCCTTTCCTTATTAGAGTACCATCGGGTTGTTCGTCTCAGTAGTATGCTTCTCTCACTGTGTAGCTACCACGCCCAACCACTCCACATCGTCTCCAAGGTCCAGGCACTTCTTGACTTCGAATCTAAGCCCATCAACGGCTCCCTCTGCTCGGTCTGCGGCCTCATCTGAGATCGGCGACAGTGCTATCTTCCAAGTATGCTTGTCGCCGATGCGACGTTCTCCTAGGTCCAGCTCTTCTGTCGTCATCTTCTCTTTTGGCATCCGATGGTCAATATACCACCCTCTGTCTAGGTACTTCGATCCGAGGACGATGGTGTTGAAGTAGTCTGGAATGCGGGTGGGGTATGTCCTGCGTTTGATGAAGGTGGCGTTGGGAAAGATGCTGAAAGCGTGGCTGCCGGTGATGACATTGGTAAGCGCTGTTGTGTAGGTTGAGAGGGTAGAATGGATGGGATGGTTGACTGTCAATATGATCTCGAGTCTGACGAACTCGCCATTGACTTCCTTGTCGTACTGATGCACCTATCGAACAGACTTAGTGGAGTTCAAGACGGGCAGATTCTCGTCTTACCATGGCGACATGCGTCCATTGGTACGATCCAGCCTTGCGAGAAGCGAGATCATATCCTTCGACCTCCTCCATGTAGCGGCAGAACTCGTTCGCCTTGTCGCCAACCTGCACGCACACATCAAGATCGGAACCTTTCCAATTCACCCGATCCATGAATTGAAGAGCAAACCCTCCAGAGATGATGCCATCGAGCTCGGCCAGTCTTTGCCTGAATGCGACTGGATCTTTCACGAACTTCTGTAGTCGGGTGTTGATGTCCCAAGCATTTTTGTTCATCATTCTTCGGTAAAGAGGGTTGAGTGCACGGCAGGTGCGAGTGAGTGCGACGATATCTCGGATAGGAAGTTGCGCCGTGAGAGCATTGAAGATGGGTGGGAATCTGTCTGAGCCGAGAATTGCCACAAGATCCGCCATATCGTGCTTCTCGATCGTTGATGGAAGTAAGAATGAGTAGCGTAATGGTATCTTGAGTCGGGCACAGTGCAAGAGTTGATAGTGGGCGAATTTGTTGTAGATGTAAAGGTTTTCCGGCTGCTCCATTGTTCACCAATCAATCGATCGGGACAGTGAGGGGTGCAGTCGGTGTCCACTCGTTTGTTTGTCTGCAGTTGCTTTGATGTTCCGGATAGTGTTTGCTGATGAATGATCGGGTTTGCGATTGATGTCAATGTCGTCAATCTGCCAACTCAGGCGTAAAGCGGAATTTGAGATGAAGGTAGATTATGTATGTGATGAAACGGATATCGGCGCAATGATTGATGCGTAATAAGCCACGGTTCGACGATGTGGTTGTTGTGAGATGGTCCAGAAGTTCAGGTCAGGGTGCTGGGGAAAGCAAGGAAGACGAGCGGCCACAAGCCCTCTCACCATGCTTCTGCTAACACGTTCAAAACTATGGTTAAAGTTGCGCAATGGAAGCAAGGAACATATTTGTCTGGTAGAAAATGTCTATTAATGCTATTCATAAATTCGTTCCATCTGGTAGTGATGTCTGTCCGGGTTGTAATCAACCACAGACCTCAATGCACGTCGCTCGATCGTAAACACCCAAACTCCATGCTTGTTTTCCATAGCCAATGTATCCCATGTTACTGGTTCTTAGTGTGAGGGCCCTGATGCACAGCACGAACGTGTTCGCTTTATAGTGGATGTTGGGCGAAGCCCAACCCAATTTTGGGTGGGTTTACCCCCAAACCACCACCACCACTAGTATAGACTTTTAGACGACCTCGTCTGCACCAGCATGGTCTTGATCAGGGTTAGCTTCCTCGTGCCGGAAGAAATTGCAGAAGCGGTATGGTATAGTGCAAATTTTAGAAGATTTAGACGACCTCGTCTGCACCAGCATGGTCTTGATCAGGGTTAGCTTCCTCGTACCGGAAAAATTTGCAGAAGCGATAGTAGCCAGCGGCGAGTGCACCACCTAGAAGCGGACCTATCCAATAAACGTAATGTCCTCCGTTGAAGTTCGCGGCAGCAACACAAGGTCCAAAAGAGCGTGCGGGATTCAAACTGCCTCCAGTATAGTAGACGCCTATACCTGTGTTAGTGACCGCTGCTGGACATGAAGAACAGTAATCAAGGCTTACCTGCGAGCTCAGCAACGAAAAGAGCCAATCCAATACCAATCGGAGCAAGGAAGGTCGTTTTGGACTTCTCAGCCGCGAGCATGAGAACAGTAAAGACAAGGAATGATGTCAAGAACATCTCGAAGAAGAGGCCTTGTGCGTGAGACATTCCAGGAGCCAGAACAGTACGGGTGGCCGCAATATCGCCCGGAAGCATACAGCTCACCAAAGCAGCCGCGACGACGCCTCCGAGAATTTGAGCAGGGAAAAGAACCAGACCTCTAACCCATGGTAGTTGACCAGCAAGGACCATGCCGAATGTGACTCTGATTCAGTTATTAGCGATTGGACTCGTACTTGTCATACAAGCCTTACTTACGCTGGGTTGAAAAGACCACCACTAATTCTGAAAAGGATCCAAACTGCGACCAAGAGTGACATGCCATATCCTAGGGCTATGTAGACGACTGTCGAGGAACTGACACTGCCATTGGGTGCTTTGTTCGGGGCTTGATTAAAGGCCATAAGTTGGCAAGCAAAGGCGAAGAAGAGAAAGAAGAAGGTGCCGACAAACTCTCCAGTGGCAGCGATGAAATGATTCTTGACGGTGTTTCCTACATGTCTGTCACCAGTCATGTGCTCGAAGGGCTTCTCGATAATGTTGTGAGGCATCTTGACGAATTGATAGTACGAGACTAATCACGAAAAGGTCGGGGTCAGGAAGCACGGTTTCGAGACACTGGGCGAACGAGAAAGATATAAGATGACCACCGACAGGAGATGATTTTTACGTGACGAGGTCCTGTGGAGGACTCCCGCTCCAGCAGCAGCATGACGTTGCTGGAGAAGGGTCCGTAAGGAGAGATTTCAGTCATTTTGCTGAGGTGCTCGTAGACGGGACAGAATTGGGTGCTTCCCGCACCGTTTCCAAACGAAAGGGCTGGGAAACCCTGTACACTTTCCCGTAGCTCCACTGGAAAGCCCTTGTGGCTGAGCGCGTTTCAACAACATCCTTCCGCCCTTTGAGGAACTTGTGGTTGTGAACTCAGCAAAATCTGGCCGCTGGCGGTACGTGCAAGGCTTATGTTATGTCGTCAGTGGATAGTAAACGATCATCCCTGCATGAAACAACCCGTCCCAAGGAGCTCACGCGATTCGCGACGGCCGGTGCTCGTCGAAACCATCGCAAAATGAATTCGGTGCTGGTTGTGGTCTGGAGACGAAAATACAGTTGACGATTGTTGTTGGAATCTTGGTTTTAACATTCTCCCTCGGACAAACCGGCAGGGAAAAGCTCCACGGAAGTTCGTGAGCATCAAATCATCTTGTTCATCTGCAACTCTATCACCGTCAAGATTTACTCCTATTTTTGTCCGGACAATGTAGCTTTGTATCGATTTAGGAGAGCACTTTTGGGGAGCTCGAGATGTTGTCTCGTAGCTGCCATCTCATCCGTCACTTTCGCGTGAGCTGTGGGTCAGAATCACAAGTCGTATGAGTAATGTCCACAGTACCACCGTACCGACACGTATCGCTACCGTAGAATTCATAGCATAGGCGTGATATTGACAGGAGTAAAGTCGTTTTTGTCGATGAGCGCGTTCTGCAGGATGCCCATACGCGAAGGCTGGCGTGTGTGACGTCAAAGGAGGCTCAACTCCGCGATTTGTTTCTCGTTCTGCGATCTGTCTCCGATCACAAGCAATCTGCACTAGAAAATAATATCGCATGCGTTTGCAATTTGCAGCGACTCGCAAAAGTCAAGTGTGCTTGGTCAATGATGGCGGATTCGAGTCCGAGAACCTGGAAGTTGGGTTTGATCTGAATTGCTTGAAAGCACTCCCGCTGTTCTAGAATCTGGCTCTCGATATTAACCAAACTGCAACTTCTTCTGCCCTTTCTCCGCCTTTACTACATTCGGAGGTCTTCCTCGCCCTTTGCTCTTGGGTTGGGTGGACGGTTTCGTACTCGTACTTGGAGGACGACTTTGTTCTTGCCCTGCTGCATTCGCTCTCTCCTCCGCTGCGAGGTCAGCCGCAAGGTCCTTGGCAAAGTGCCAGTCGTCATGCTCGCCTTGTTCCGTGACCAGTAAAGAGCTATTACATCGAGGGCAGGTATAGCGACTAGTGTCGTGGTCTGGATGCTCGGCTTGCTCCTCTTCATGTGATTTGAACATGTCGGCTGAAGCTCCCTGAGCGGATGGAGGGACATCAAAGGGGCTTTGAGCTTCTCCTGTCTCATCTCCCATACCGTTGTCTTGCTCCTCTCTTTCTGAAATACCACCCGAGCTTTCATGCCTAGCTCCGAAAAACCGCTGTATACCACTTTCCTCGACCCGTCTTCGTTTGTTTGGAGGGGGTGTCTCTGGGTTCCGCGTTTCTGATGGCTCTCTGAGAGCAGCTGATATTGCTTTTGCTTCGTCTCCTCTCAGCAGAAACCCGCCAATCCCTTTGTTTCCAGTCACACCCTCTTCAAAGCCGCTAACACTCAACGATAGATTTGCACACGGCCATGCTCTTCCTTCTGCAATGACTTGCGCAAGCAGTCCCTTGGCTATGTCAAACAGTAGAGTCTCATCCATAGTCCTTCCCATGGGTATGGAAGCCGACTTACTCCTGGTTTGTGCGCCTTGTCTGTGATACAAATTCAGTGTCTTTGGCCTTCTCTTGTTCTCCAAGACACCTTCTTCAACAAGCCGCGAGAAGATATCAGCGACAAAGATACGGATCCACCTTACAGCTGAATCCAAAGCATTGATAGAAGGTCGGAAGGACTTCGCGCTGAGCATTGATTTTATCTGAGTTCGCGGGTTGACTTCACTGTGGTCCTCTCCACGGATGATGCTGTAGAGCCATGTACCAGTATCGTCACCTATTTTCTTTTTCAGCTGCTCGACGGGAACCTCAAGCAAATCCTTGACGGTGTCGGTACTGAACGCTGCGACAATTTCATCGCCGAGCTTGCCGCCCAGATTTCTGATCTTGGTAAACTTGAAGTCGCTCAAGAAGTGATGTACAGCGCGATTACGAATGATAGTCTGTTGATTTGGCTTTTTGTGGGCAGAGCCGAGTTTTGCGAGCATTTTGTTTCGTGCAACTCCGGCTGAACAAGTGTATTTCAACACTTCGTAAATCTTGGCTCGAACACCTCGCACGATCTCGGAAGCGATGACCATAGCAACATCGTCCCAGTCAGGGTCATCGTCTTCTGTTTCTGTAGAGTCCAAGTCGACCAAGGCATCCGTGTCCCACTCGAGAGCGGTAGTAGGCGGTCTTGGTAGCTGTTCCGTAGGATCGTCATATGGTGGTGGTCCCTTCAACTCTGGAAATCTCTCGAGCATGATGCCATGTACGTGGGTAGATAAATCCAAAAAGACTTCATCAATGCTGGCCTTCTCCACCTTGGATATTGGAGCGGCTGGAAGATGGTCCTTGATGCAAGCTAAGATCCTTCTGCTCTCCAGCCTGTATGGGTCCAGACTGACCTTGTGTGTAGCCATGTTCCTGAAAGAATCTTCATGATATGCCCATTTCTCGTCTCCTTCTTTCCATGTCGCTACATGTTGCATAATCAGATCTGGACATTGCTTAATTGCCTCGGTGATTGTAACATGTCGATTGAGGCCGAAAGCTCGTGCCGGATAGTTGATTGCGATGAGACCTTGCCACTGTTGAACGGCAAGCGGCTTATCCGGAGGGATATCCAGGCGGACCATCTCACACTGAGCGTAGAAGGCATCGAGATCGATGTGGGCGATGACGCGTAGAGGGCATGATGTGGCAGAGGCGGCGAGCTGAGCTAGCTGTCGGTATGTGAAGGCGGACTTGCGGCGACGCTGTGAGCTCAATGATACAGGCGAGGACTCGAGAAAATTGGGTGAAGACATGTCAGCCTTCGGTCGTGAACTATTTTCAGTCCATAGGGGTGAGTGACCCGCGTCACGCGTAAAGTGGCAGAGAGGGAGGCTGATAGAGATGGCCTTGTTTGATCCCAGTGCCTCGGACTTGGACTTCAGACTGTACTGTAAGAGGTATTACGATAGCAGCTGGCGACAGATCCCGTATGGTTGGAAAAGTAGACAATGCCAAATATTTCTCGGAGGTTATAGACGCGAAACGCGCTGCTAATGTCAAGATTCGTCTTGGCTATTTTAATATTCACCAGATGCTCTGCCAACTAGACGTTCGTGTACCATCTACAATGATCTATGTGCGTTTCAAGCATACAATGAGTTAAAGAAACCAAAATATCTGTTCGTTCTCGATGAACCATTTCTGAAGCACGAGAGAGTTTAGCTGGGCTTCGAACATGTCCACGACGTCATCAAGAAGCTGGTCTCTCTTTAACAAATGTGGAAGTCGCAATCAAATCAACAACACCCTCATTGTTTCCTTCCAATTTGAAAACCTGTCCAACCTGTTCCCAAAATTAGCCCCAGCTTGATCAACTCTCTCTCAACCAAAATGTCACTCCGCTCGCCCACTTTCCTCATGGGACTGGCCAACCTATTCGCAATTGGCGGAGCAACATATCATCTCCGAAGCCATCACATTTACAACCTCGAAGAGCACGAAGCACGAATGGACGAACTCGAAGGTACATTGAGAGGTCACATTGGATTGATCGAAGAGTCTCTCGAGCGACTTGAAGGCAAGCAGATTACCAAGGGTCAGAAGACGTGAGTTGGTTCACCTGTTGTCTCGGAGATCAAGACTGATAAACAACAGTGAGGAGCTATATTCGAAGCGAGGCAAGGATGAGAAGAAGGAGAAGAAGTAGACCGAGCAGGATCTGAGGTCAATGGCAGCAGGAATTGTAATGGTAGACAGATGAAGGATGTATAAATGCTATGCCCCATGATCTTGGCAGATGGAAGTGGTGGTGGAAGGCACAGACCAAGGGTCTCGGATCCCCCTTTGCTGGCCTGCACCTCCCCCATACCTTGTCAAGCACCCCGACAGCAATTCATCCCATCGACACAGGCCGCATCCACCACACTCGTTCACCCCAATTCCTTGTCGCCAACCAGTCACCTTGATCCACACACTCGATACATGATGTCTTCCTACGTACGTGCGCTCCAACCTCGACGTCGCTGCTACCCACCTGTCTAATGGCGCCCACTGACACAGCCACAGATCAGGCGCAAGAAGAATGTGAAGAAGGGAATCCAGTTCTGCATCATGGTCTGCGGTGCATCAGGCACTGGTGAGATGACATCCGCCTCGACGACCGCCCAATCCATCGACTAACCAATGGCGCCCCAGGTCGCACCACCTTCGTCAACACACTCTGCGGCAAGAGCGTTCTGTCTGGTGTTGAGCAAGACGATCCCGCCAATGCACACGTCGAGGGCGGTGTCCAAATAAAGCCCGTCACCGTTGGTACGATATTCTGATAAGCTGTCCTCGCCACTACCACGATGCTCATATTCATCTACAGAGCTCGAACTCGATGAGGAGGGTACCCGTATCTCGTTGACCGTTGTCGATACCCCTGGCTTTGGCGACCAAGTCGACAATGAATCAAGGTGCGCAGCCCTTGTACCCGTCAGCTCCGACGCTCCGTACTGACACGCATACGTAGCTTTGGCGAAATCGTTGGCTACCTCGAGCGCCAGTACGACGACATTCTGGCTGAGGAGTCCCGTATCAAGCGTAACCCCAGATTCCGCGACAACCGTGTCCACGTCTTGCTCTACTTTATCACACCCACCGGTCACGGGTATGCACTCTCATCCACTCGCCCGATCTACTGATACACTTCTGACATTGCCCCACCAGTCTCCGTGAACTCGACATCGAACTCATGAAGCGCCTGTCGCCTCGCGTCAACGTCATCCCCGTAATCGGAAAGGCCGACTCCCTTACCCCCGCCGAGCTCGCCGAGACCAAGAAGCTCGTCATGGAGGACATTGAGCACTACCGCATCCCCGTCTACAACTTCCCTTACGACATCGAGGAGGATGATGAGGACACAGTCGAGGAGAACGCCGAGCTGCGTGGCCTCATGCCATTCGCTATCGTCGGATCAGAGGACACTGTCGAGATCGGAGGTCGTGTCGTCAGAGCTCGCCAATACCCTTGGGGTCTCGTCGAGGTGGACAACCCGCGCCACAGCGACTTCCTGGCCATTAGAAGCGCCCTGCTCCACAGCCATTTGGCCGACTTGAAAGAGATTACACACGACTTCCTCTACGAAAACTACCGCACGGAGAAGCTCAGCAAGAGCGTCGAGGGCGGTGCTACTGCGTATGTGACTCAGGACATAGCATCTTTATCTTTAGCAACTAACGCAATCGGCAGCGATCACTCACTCGCTCCGGAAGACCTGGCCTCACAATCAGTCCGCCTTAAGGAGGAGCAGCTGCGTCGCGAAGAAGAGAAGCTCAAGGAGATTGAGCTCAAGGTGCAGCGCGAGATCAACGAGAAGCGACAGGAGCTGTTGGCCAGAGAGAGCCAGTTGCGCGAGATTGAGGCCCGCATGCACAGAGAACAGAGCGCCGCGCTCAGCGTCAACGACACCGAGTCGACCGAGGCCGGCGCCGCCTAAGAATTCTACAAAAGCAGATGATATCCAGTGTCAGTCAAGCAGTGGCTTTTGTGTTGTGAGGACTCGCGGGAAGAGTCCGCATTTTGTTTCGTTGTTCCTTCTCTCTTGGTTGCGCAAAGTATTCCCCCCGATATCGCTGTATTCAAAAATGGCCTACCTTTAGTCTGTAATACCATCTTCAAAAGCACGTCTTAAATTACATACTACTACCATTATTCGAATGGCATCGCAAGAATGGACAAATAGCCAAAGCATGTGATTCTTGGCGTCTCCAACCACGCAGGTGTTCGATGATGCCACATGTACCCGAGTATATACACACACAATACACACATCCATCATGGCCGAACTATTCGACAAGGCACCCGAGCTGCCCCCACCATTCGTAAATGTAACAGGCATCGCCAACTTCCGCGACATTGGCGGCTACAGCACCACCGACAAGCACTCAATCCGCCGAGGTCTCGTCTTCCGCGCCGCCGACCCGAGCAAAGTGCAACCAGAAGGACTCGCCAAACTGAAAGAGCTAGGAGTGAAGAAGGTATTCGATCTCCGCAGTATACCCGAAATCCACAAGCAAGGTCCGGAATGGCAGGGTGTTGAAGTTGAGAAGGAGGTGTTCACCACCAAGCCCGAAGGTAGTGATGAAGCCGTCCCTGAAGGGGAAATTGAAAGGATATGGTGTCCGGTATTCCGAAACACGGATTATGGTCCCGATCAGGTCGCCATCAGGTTTCAGAATTATGCTAAGAAGGGGAGCGAGGTATGTTGTATTTCCACCCCTGCTTCTAGTCAGCGAGAGTAGAAGAAGGATATACTGATTGAGGTATACAGGGATTCGTAAAAGCATACGCAGATATCATGGCGAATGGCCCTACTGCATACAGAACCATTCTCACCCACCTCGCTCAACCTAACCCTTCGCCCTGTATAATCCACTGCACAGCAGGCAAAGACCGCACCGGCGTCATCTGCGCGATCCTGTACCTCCTCTGCTCCGTCCCCGCCACCACGGTAGCAAAAGAATACTCCCTCACCGACACCGGACTACAGCATTTAGTCCCTCTATTCACAGAACGCCTGCTCAAGAACCCGGCATTAGTTGGCAATGAGGAGGGAGTGAAGAATATGATTTCCGCACAGCCGGAGAAGATGGCTGCGACTATCGAAATGATGAAGGAGGTTTATGGTGGCGCGGAGGGGTATGTGAGGGAGGTTGTTGGATTGAGTGGGGAGCAAATTGAGCAGATCAGGAAGAATTTTTTGAGTGATGAGGAGGCTGTTTTCTGATAAGTGTCTAGAGTGACCAACAGACATTTTCGGCATCTCTCAGGCCAAAGATATGTTTGAATATCATCGCATCTCGTCCAAAGCTTGTCGTCTTGATTTAGCTGTTACAATTCACGAAAGTGCTTCGAGCAAGGTCATGACAACTGGAATTCCGAGCCAGCAATCACTCCCAAATGGACGCCCTCAAGAAATTGTTTGCTTTTAGATGCAAGCTGGCTCAAAGATAGGCTTGGACCGGAAGATATAATTGTAGAGTTTCTCATTGATGCTTCTGAAAGCTGTTATCTAATAATGCTATTCATGCCTTTGTTTATCATGCCTTCGTTACTCATGCTGGCGTTAATTCATGCTTGTTGTGGCGCTGCTTGCGCTTCTCATATGATACTGGTTCCTCGTATCCGACTTCATCCACATCTGTGTGATACAACATCACCCATCATCCCTGCCAACGAACTTTCTCGCTTCTCAAAAGGTTGACCAACTCAACTGGCAACATCTCCTTCTCGCCCAAACCCAGGCCGCCGAATCTCTCCATGGCTTCAGCTGCGTAGAGTTGAACGGTCCACTGCCAGTACACATCCATGAGGTTGTACGAAGGCTTGATCTGCTTCGAGCCGCGGAACTCGCGAGGAAGAGTGTTGACGGCAAACTCCATGAAGCGGGTGTACTCGAGGCCTTCAACCATAGGCGACTCCAATAGCTCGACGTATGCATCCTTGAGTGAGCTAGAAGTCTCCTCACGGAAGCGCACGAATTCCTCGAAGGAGAAGAACTTCTCCGGGTCACAGCCCCTGGGAATGTCGTAGATTTTTTTCTTGTTAAAGGCTCGCTTTGCCTCCTCGTACTTCTCCTCGTCTAACTCAAAAGCCGCTTCGATGAGTTCGTAAGGCTTCTTGATCGAGTTAGTACGAGTGGTCATGAGAGGAATGAAGGGGTTGCGCAGCTCAAGGCCACCGAGCTCGATGGGCCAATAGAGGAAGGCATTGGCGATGTCCTTGGTGCCGAAGCGCTCTTCAATGATTGACTTGAGGTAAGAAGTGACGTCCTCGCAACCGGTGACCTTATCATCGTCGACGAAGAGCTTTTTCTGGATGTACTTGAATGTGGTGAAGATCATGTCGAGATGTTCACTGCCCAGGCAGTTGGCTGGGTGTCCGAAGTTGTTGCCCAAGAAGCGGCCCATGTAGCTGTTCCAGGCTTGGACGTAGGAGAAGACGGAGCGGCATTGTGCAAACTGCAGGCGCATCTCGGCGATGTGCTGGTCAACGTTGGTCATGTCAACGACCCAGCGAGCCTGGACAGGGTCCAAAACCAAGAAACCCCAGCGAACAGGGCCTTTGGGGAGAATGGTAGATGGCTTCTCGCCCTTGTCGCTCACATGGATTGAACCAGTCTTCTCCTCATTCAAAGCCATGCCCATGACAGCTGTGAACTTCTTGATAGTTTCCCAAGCCAGCTCGCAATCCTCCTTCTGACCCCAGAACCAGACATCGTCGTGGAAGCGGTAGAGCTGACAGCGACCCTTGGTTGCCTTGCTGACAGCAAAGTCGAGACAAGCCAGGATTGCCTCGCCAAATACATCGCTGAGTGTTTGACTGATAGGCACACCGCAACGACGAGTGCGAGGTTCGGCGTTGGGTCCATCCTGAGGAAAGACGAGAGACATGGATAAATACTTCTTGAAGAAGTCGACCCAAGAGTCCTCAATGCCCAAGAACTCCAGCACAGTGAAAATGGTGCTGTGAGGGAGGCTGGGACCGAACCACTTGAAGTCAGTCTGACAGAGGGTGAAGCTGCCGTAGATCTTTCTTTGAACCATGAGCTCAGTAGTAGCCAGTCGAAGAAGCGTCTGCTTGACTTCAAGAGGCGACTTCTTCTCAGAATCCTCCTCATCAGAGTCATCAGGGGCGTTGTAGTCGCGGTTGCCTTCCTGGATGGAGCTAGGAAGCTGAGTGAGGAAGAAGTCATCCTTGAACTGTTCACGACGGCGGTAAAGCAGAGACTCGTTGAAGCTGGGCTTGCGGCTGAGGTAGAAGGCAGCACGAGCATGATCGCGAGAACTCATGGTGTTGTGAGCAGACTTCGGCCAAGCATTGGAGCGGAAGAAGGACTCGAACTGTTGCTTGGTGTGAACTGCAAATCGGACTCCAAGGTACTCTAGAAGGAGAGCTTGGTGGATTTCAGGATCCATGTAGACTCTGTACTTTCCATTGATCTGCTTTCTCATCTGAGCAGGGGTCGGCGAAGGCTTCCAGGACCAGTCTCCGAGGTTTTGAAGCTCCATGTTGATGACGTCGGCAACTTCGCTGAGCACACCTTTTCCAGCACTACTGAGTGCGATCAGTTCATCTCTCTTGCGGCCGCTGAGGAGATCGGCCTTGAGCACAGCCTTGATGGCTAGTCCGACATCGCCGCTGGTGCAATCAAGGTTGCTAACCACCATCCGGTCTTTCCAGCCATTGCGGAAGAGCTCGAATGGTGTCTCTCGAACCTTCTTCTTCTGCTGGGGCTCGATGAAGATGTCGGCAAGGTACTTCTCGATGGCGACCGTGTCTGTCTTGCGTTCGGTGAAGACGAAAGAGTCCCACTCCTGACGTTGGCGATGCATTTCCTCACGGCCAACCTGGACAGATTCGAAGCTTTCGGTGTCTGATGAATCTGCAGTGCTATCGCCTCCCAAGTGGGCATCGAGGAGGAGGTTGGCATCGTTGGGCTTGTCGACCCATTCAGTGGCGAGGGATGAGAACAAAGATGTGTATTCAAACTTGTTGGACTGAATGGTAAGGAGGCGTTCAAGATCAGCCTGCCACTGAGCGGGAAGAGCCGAAGGGATGGATGCATCAAACTCGGACTGACTGAGCATCAACTGGGTGTTAGAGAGCGGGAATCCTCCGAACGAAGGGGCGGCAGTTGTCGACTTGAGACCGAGTTTGTCCAAGCCCTCGATGAGTGTGAGGATGGGGTTCTTGCTTTCCTGAACCTGACTCAGGAGCTCGGCCTTGCGTTTCTCAAAGGCCTCGTGACGGTCTGCCAGTTGAGACTGCTTGTAGTTGGTGACGTCTCGCAGTACTCTGGAAGCCATGATGGGCGATGGGGATAAACCACGAAACGTGATGGGATGAAAAGAGGTAGCGGGAAGGGATGAGAGCTGGAGGTTGACTTCCAGAATCTCAGGATGAGTGAGGAGTGAGATGGGAAGGCACGCTTCACGTTGTACTTATAGCTCTTGCCAACACGCCGGCGACCAAGATGGTAAACACAGAAAGGGTTCACCGCAGGTCTTGGACAAAGACCTAGTCGTGGGCACTGTCTAGTAACTGTAAGAGGAAGTTTCACTCGCCTAGAAGCTACTAAGTTGCCGCTGCAGTTTGCTAATTGTTTTGATCGGTGCCTTCTTCGCGGTGACGGTGTCTCTCTTTGGAGTCTTGGTCGAAAAAGCGACACGGCGATCGGGGCTACGTCATCGTCATTCAACAAGTCCAGCCTTTGACTTACATGCTGCTCTCAACAAGCAGACCATAGAAGGAAAACTGATACTTGTGTACATTCAGGCATAGGAAAAAAAGGCGTTGTAGAGTGAGGTTGAAAGGCAGATTCTATAATTTCCATAGGGGCTAAAGTTGTGTTGTTTTCCAAGTGAAGCTGAATTTATCCACCACATTTAACCGCCCCCGGAAGCACAACCTAAGGGTCTGGTTGAAGTCATTGCCCTTGCTGACTTATCTTTTGTGGATCATTGAAAAGAAGACTCTCGGTCGTCGGCGGCAACAAGAGTTACACACAAACTATCCACTCAATTCAATCATCATGGCAGAATCAGGACCTTTGTACTTGGTATGGACGTCTTTGAGAACCCAGCTTCACCATTTGCTGACCTCTAATCCCAGGGCTTTGACCTTTCCACACAACAGCTGAAAGGTCGGGACAATCCACCTTTTGAGTACTTGTGACGTGTCAATTGACTCTGAGAACTACAGGTGTTATTGTGGACTCGCAATTGAAGCACAAACATGAAGCCAAGGTCGACTTTGACGCCGACTTGGGCGAAAAGTACGGCATTGAGAAGGGTGTCCTTACAAACCCCTCGGAAGGCGAAATCTATGCGCCTGTGGGTATGTGGCTCGAGGCAGTAGATCTGGTACTCTCAAGGCTACGAGAGGATGGTCTCGACTTTTCACGAGTAAAGGGTGTGTCCGGAGCGGGCATGCAGCACGGAACTGTCTTCTGGAGTCAACAAGCAGAGAACCTACTCTCCAGCCTGGACGCAAAGAAATCGCTGGTCGAGCAATTGGAGCCCAGCGCGCACAAGGACGAACGTAAGGGCGCTTTCAGTCACCCCGACAGTCCCAACTGGCAAGATTCCTCAACTCAGAAGCAATGCGACAAGTTCGACGCCGAGCTCGGAAGCCCTGAGACCCTGGCCGATGTGACAGGCAGTGGAGCGCACCACCGTTTCAGTGGTCCTCAGATCATGCGATTCAAGGCAAAGTACCCAGAGCACTACAAGGAAACTTCTCGCATTTCGCTCGTGTCATCTTTCCTGGCGTCTGTCTTCCTCGGCAAGTTCGCTCCAATCGACATCAGCGATGTAACAGGCATGAACCTGTGGCACATCAAGGAGGGAAAATGGAACGAGAAGCTGCTTGCTCTGGTAGCAGGAGGCGAAGACGGCGTTGCTGAGCTCAAGCACAAGCTCGGTCATGTACCTGAAGATGGTGGTGCCAGTTTCGGTCACATCAGCAAGTACTTCTCGCAGCGCTACGGCTTTGCCCAAGACTGCAACGTCATTCCAATGACTGGCGACAACCCAGCAACCATTCTCGCTCTCCCCCTCCAAGCCTCGGACGCCATGGTCTCCCTCGGCACATCCACCACCTTCCTCATGAGCACACCACAATACAAGCCTGATCCTGCTTACCACTTCATGAATCATCCCACAACCGCTGGTCTCTACATGTTCATGCTTTGCTACAAGAACGGTGGCCTCGCCCGTGAACACGTCCGTGACGCAATCAACGGCAACAAGACCGACCGATCATGGGACAAGTTCAACGAGATCGCCCTTTCCACTCCTCCCATGGACCAAAAATCCTCTTCTGACCCCATGCGTATGGGTCTCTACTTCCCTCGCCCTGAAATCGTGCCCAACGTCCGCGCTGGCCAATGGCGTTACGAATACGATTCTTCCTCGAACAAGCTGAACCAGACTTCTGCAGAGCAGAGCGTTGATGCCGATGCTCGTGGTATCGTCGAGTCGCAAATGTTGTCTCTACGTCTGCGTTCCGCAAACTTGGTATCCGGCCACGAAGTCAACGGCGAGAAGCTTCCTCCTCAGCCTCGTCGTGTATACCTCGTTGGTGGTGGCTCTGCTAACCCTGCTATCGCACGCATCATTGGTGATGTGCTGGGTGGAGCTGAAGGTATCTACAAGCTCGACATTGGTGGCAATGCTTGCGCTCTGGGTGGTGCTTACAAGGCCGTCTGGGGATGCGAGCGCCGTGGCAAGCAGACTTTCGAGCAGCTTGTTGAGGAGCGCTGGGACGAGGACGCCTTTGTCAAGAGAGTTGCCGATGGTTACCGTCCTGGTGTGTTCGAGAAGTACGGCGAGGCTCTCAAGGGTTTCGCTGCTATGGAGAAGGAAATTGTGAAGTCCACTTCTGAGGGAGCCACAACCACTGGAGGCGTTTTCATGAAGAACGAGCATGGTCAAGGAGCAAAGAACTAATTGAGTCCGTAATCCTTAAAAAGATAGGTGCGAGGCTTTTAATTTGATACCAAAACTTATGCATTTTACATCAAAAGCTCCCTGACAACAACATCGTGCGCTTGATTAGCCTGGTCTACAGTTTGAACCCGCCGCTAATAAAAGTTGTATATTGGGTCCACAGATCTGTGTTGTGCGTAGAGCGACTAAATACTCTCCTCACTCCATGGCAGAGGTCCTGAGAATGGCTGCCGCTCGCGAGTGCTGAGCAATAACTCTAAAGATTGTCTTACCGACGAATTCGGTATGTCACGAAGTATATCAACGTCCGACAACCATTGTCTGGCTACCCTTTTGGTTGACAAGGGAGCATTGGCTCCGTGAGGGTCCTTCTCGAAGAGATCTAAAGTTTGCTTCTCGAGTCGCTGTACGTCTCGTAGTTCCAAAAGAGGGAAGGGAGGATTAATCCCTTGTACGCGTATTCTGTCCCCAGGCCAGCGGATGGCATCTGCGTGGCACTCCTGCGGCTGTTAGCATCATAGTCTACCGGAATGGATTCACGTATTACGAACTAGGAATCGAGCCTCCTTGAAGCTGTGTGTGATTACAGTAATCATCTGCGGCCACTTGCTTTTGATCTCGTAATACTTGATGAGAGAGAAGAGCAAATTCTGGTAACTGTCTGTTGCAGCATCTTCGCACACTATTCTGCCGTCTGCTATTGCCCGCTGTACAACGTCGGATTCGCCGAAGCATTGCATTAGGACATTTCGATAGCTGTCAGCTTCGCTCAAAGGAGCATCCCGCTCTGTCTTCGCACCCGAGAAGACGAGAACAGTTTCCGCTCTACGAAGGGTACTTGCTCCTGCCTGAATATGCAACATGAAGGTTTCATGCTCGCCTGGTTTCCCAGTAGAGGGATCAGATCGCTGGAAAGGCTTCAGCAGCCAATTTGATTCTTCATATGGATTTCTGCGGAGAGGACGAAGAGTATGAATACTTGCGATAGGATAGAGAACCAATGAGAGCCTTACAAGGAATCCGTGCAAATGGCATGGCAGCACACCAGAACAAGTTCACCCATGATGGACTAGACGAAATTCTGTTCCGAGTCCTTACAGACGCCCACGACAAGTCGTAAATGAGGCGCAGCAAGCTGGGTATGTATGCACCCTTTTTACAGCATAGAGTGAATACGCAAGAGGCGGTCAAAGCGCAAAAGCGAGTGCGAGGTACAAGTACCGGTACTTGAGGGCGGTATTACTTTGTGATGTGACAGAAATCAGGTGGTTGGAATGCCGCTGACGTCGTGGATGGTCGTATTGATGTCTGTACACGATCAAGAGACAGGATTCGCAGAGTGTGGATGGACAGCTCCCAAGCATGCAAGTCGAGTGGCTTGGGTCTGTCTCAAGTTCGCACACCGTTGGCCGCCAAGTCGAGGTCACAGCTTCCAGCGCGTCAACAACCATGTACTATTTTTGGAACACGACTCGTGGAGGGTTACTGGGGGAATGAAGAAATTGATATGAAGGCAAAGGAGGATGAAAGTGGAAAAGGGATGATGCAGAGAGTAAGAGAAGGCCTCGAGGAAGAGGAGGTTTGATTGAGCAGTGGATTGTTATTGGCCAAGCCGCGTATGTTTCGAAGCGCTGTGCACTCTCGTTTCAGCTGAGCATCTCCGCAATTTGTAGAAGTGTACGAGTAGCAGCAAGTTCAGGGACCAACACCAGTGCAACTTCCTTTGTCCGAGTGTCATCAGGCCGCCCTGGCAGTGAAGCTTTTGTTGTCGTTTCGACTTTTCCCTTCTCTGTCCTCCATCATCCATCTCGTCGCAGACTTGATACCCATCTACTGTCACAGGCTCTGTTTCATTGCATTCCTCAAAGTGTTACCGTACCAAGCTTCACACTTTCAGTAAGGGGTAATCCAAGAATTTGCCCAGCATGGCCTACCATGGCGTCCCAGGCGGCTACGACCACGATGCCATAAACAACGACGTGCGAACTTCCTCCATACCACACACATGGACCACAAAATGACTGACAGGCGGCAACCGCAGCAGTACCACAACCAGCACGAGTCCGACGAGGAGGTCGAGCGCTCGCTCCTCCATACCAACCCTACCGGAGCCTACCAGGGCCCCTTCGACGACACACACTCGCACACGCCGGCTCCTCTTGACCACGGCTACAGCTTGACAGAGTCCTACGCCGACAACACACACCATGTGCCTCCGTACGACAGCTATGACGAGTACCGAGGTACTACCCTCGAGGACCCGGGATACCAGCCCGCCGGTTCTCCAGTATCTCGTGCCGCTACAACATCGACCGAAGCATGGGAAGCAAGAGCAGCAATTGGCGGTCCGGCTGCTGGCGGCGGTGGTCTGAAGCGCAATGCCACACGTAAGGTCAAGCTGGTACAGGGCAACGTCCTGAGTGCCGACTACCCTGTGCCTAGCGCTATCCAGAATGCCGTCCAGGCCAAGTACAGAAACGACCTTGAGAGCGGCAGTGAGGAATTCACCCACATGCGCTGTGAGTATTGGTCGAGGGATGAGATGAAGGAGTTCACGCGCTGACCTGTACAGACACTGCGGCGACATGCGACCCCAACGACTTCACCCTCAAGAATGGTTACAATCTTCGTCCGGCCATGTACAACCGTCACACCGAACTCCTGATCGCAGTGACGTACTACAACGAAGACAAAGTCCTGACCGCTCGTACTCTGCACGGTGTCATGCAAAACATCCGAGAAATCGTCAACCTTAAGAAGTCCGAATTCTGGAACAAGGGTGGTCCGGCATGGCAGAAGATTGTCGTCTGTTTGGTCTTTGACGGTATCGACCCTTGCGACAAGGGTACCTTGGACGTCCTGGCAACCATCGGTATTTACCAGGACGGAATCATGAAGAAGGATATTGACGGCAACGAGACGGTTGCTCACATTGTGCGTTAATTTGCTCAAAATTCTACCACGAGGCGGCTTACTGACCATTCGCAGTTCGAGTATACCACTCAGCTCTCAGTCACGGCCAACCAGCAACTTATCCGTCCCCTCGACGATGGCCCGACGACTCTGCCTCCAGTGCAGATGATGTTCTGTCTCAAGCAGAAGAACAGCAAGAAGATCAACTCGCACAGATGGCTGTTCACTGCCTTTGGTCGCATCCTGAACCCCGAAGTTTGTATCCTGCTCGATGCCGGAACCAAGCCTGGCCACAAGTCCCTGCTTGCACTGTGGGAAGCTTTCTACAACGACAAGGATCTTGGTGGTGCTTGTGGTGAGATTCACGCCATGTTGGGCCCTCGCTGGAAGAACCTTACCAATCCTCTGGTCGCCGCTCAGAACTTCGAGTACAAGATTTCCAACATTCTGGATAAACCGCTGGAAAGTTCGTTCGGATATGTCAGTGTTTTGCCTGGTGCTTTCTCTGCCTACCGTTTCCGCGCCATCATGGGTCGCCCTCTTGAGCAATACTTCCACGGTGATCACACCTTATCCAAACAGCTTGGTAAGAAGGGTATCGAAGGCATGAACATTTTCAAGAAAAACATGTTCTTGGCCGAGGATCGTATTTTGTGTTTCGAGCTGGTCGCAAAGGCTGGTTCCAAGTGGCATCTTACCTACGTCAAGGCCTCCAAGGGTGAGACCGATGTTCCCGACAGTGCTCCTGAATTCATCGGTCAGCGTCGTCGTTGGCTGAACGGATCTTTCGCCGCCTCCATCTATTCTCTGATGCACTTCGGTCGCATGTACAAGAGTGGTCATAACATTGTCCGCATGTTCTTCTTGCATCTCCAGCTCATCTACAACATCGCTCAGCAAATTCTTACTTGGTTCGCTCTCGCTTCTTACTGGTTGACCACTACCGTCATCATGGATCTTGTCGGTACCCCCAGCTCGTCCAACAACCAAAAGGCTTTCCCGTTCGGCAATGACGCTACTCCTATCATCAACACCATCATCAAGTATATCTATCTCGCATTTGTCCTCCTCCAATTCATTCTGGCTCTCGGAAATAGACCAAAGGGTTCGAAGTTTACCTACATCGTCTCATTCTGCTGGTTCGGCCTCGTACAGCTTTACATCACTGTCGATGCGCTATATCTGGTTGTCCACGCCTTTACGGGTGGTCCAGGCTTCGATACAGACAGTGCTTCCGACTTTGTACAGTCCTTCTTCTCTTCAACGGGACCCGGTATCATTGTTATCGCTTTGGCTGCAACCTTCGGTCTCTACTTCGTCGCTTCCTTCATGTACCTCGACCCCTGGCATATGTTCACCTCATTCCCTCAGTACCTTCTGATCATGAGCTCGTACATCAACATCCTCAACGTCTACGCCTTCAGCAACTGGCATGATGTGTCTTGGGGAACCAAGGGTGCCGACAAGGCCGATGCACTGCCTTCAGCCAAGACAGAAAAGGCTCAAGATGGTAAAGCGACGGTCATAGAGGAAGTCGATCTGGCACAAGCGGACATCGACTCGCAGTTCGAGACTACTGTCAAGCGTGCTCTCACGCCTTACGTTGCTCCCAAGGACAAGGAAAGCAAGTCGCTGGAGGATTCATACAAGAGTTTCCGTACTCGTCTGGTCACCTTCTGGATTTTCAGTAACGCCCTCCTTGCCGTCGCCATCACCAGTGATAACTTTGATAAGTTCGGTTTCACTAGTGGTGCTAGCAAGCGCACTGCAAGATTCTTCCAAGCTCTGCTCTGGGCCAACGCCATTGTTGCCCTCGTCCGCTTCTGCGGTTGCTGTTGGTTCCTTGCCAAATCTGGTCTGCTGTGTTGCTTCGCACGCAGATAAACATCTAACGTCCATGCTCACGCCCTATTGCATTTGCATAAAAAGATTGTATTTGGAAAACACGACACTTTCTGAATCTTTGTTTCCTGGAGTTTTTGGGAACTGCATGTTTTGTTTCAGTTTTTCCCATCCGCATGTCGCATACCTAGCTTTTTATATACCACTGGTTGGTCTCTGAAAGCCACAGAATTCTCTGCATCTTTAATCTCTCCATTATTTCCTCCGCGTTTCGTAAATCAACATGCGTGCCTTTTCCGTTCACCTCTCATCCCAGCGGGGTGTCTTGTTTGTCTGGCCATCTGAACGCATGATGGTTTTGGTATTGGCATGGCCGTCACAGGAGAGTATGTGGAAATGTCTGCTCTTGAAAAAAATGATGACTCTGAATGACAAAAAGGGATCGTGCCTTTTGACCGTATCTTGAGGCACTGATAAGCAAGATGGAGTTGGGTCTTGGTGTGTTTATCTGGGAGCCTCGTGCAGTGTAGTGTGATTTGATGCAGTGTAGTGTGATTTGATGCAGTTTTGTCTCTTGCTCCCTCTCTCGTGTACAAGACTGAAGGAAACTTAATGACATGTGTCAGCCAAGTTTTCCGAACCCAGCGAAATTCTAACATATGCGTCTGAGTGACCTTCTTGCATCGGAGCCCTTGATTGTTCGCCAGGTCCGTGTACTCCCCTGGATTATCCTTCGCTCCCTGCCTCTCCTCCGGTCTTGTGTATATATTCGTGCCTTCCCTCATGCTATGGCACCCTTCTTTCGTCCTTGATGCAGGTGCTTGGTCGCATTTGTCCTTGCTTTGGCGACCAATTCGTTGCTTTCCTGATCGTGTCCTTCGTTTCTCATCCTGCTGCACTACAGGGGTCTGGTACCTCACTGGATACAGACATTAGGAACGAGCGGAGGTTGAGAAGTAAAGCAACCATGCAGGTTGTTGTAGGACATCAGTTCCATGAGTAACCACAAAATCTTGCCAAAATATCGTGCTCTTACTCAGGGCTGTTTCTGATAATCAGCCGCCAGACAAGGACGCCGACCTAGCCCGTCAGACATGGCAGCAGCTCAAGCGTTGCGACCTACTCACCTAGCAGAATGCCGAGAAACACGCCGTGGACCCAGAATCACACCCAGTATAGCAGCCAACACGATGAGCGAGGCAAACGTGGTGAGCCCTACGATCCAGTAGACTGTTCGTCTCTTGTTTCTCTTTATCGTTGATTGTGACTCCACCAGAGTTTCGCTGGTGTTCGATGATGCCGAGACCGTAGCTTGAATCTCCGGCGTCTCGAGTAGAGTTTGTAGTGCGATAAACTCGTTTGTCTTGTGTGCGGTTCTCGGGGCGAAGTCTGTTGTTGCTATACCTTGAAGTGTGCTTGCTCGAGACATGGTGTCGCTGTCTTTCGACATTCTTGGAGCCATTTTGAGAGATCGCTGTTGGATTGGATGTTTACAGATGGGATTCGATGCTGTTAGATACATTTATCTCCGCAAAGGAAATATCTATTTTGGTGCTTGTTACACAACATCTCACTCTCGAGCGCTGCAGATCGATGTCGCGAAAGGCTTGCCGCTTCTTCGGACATGCCGTTGATGCAAGGCGAACATGGGCATAGCTGGTCGTTCGCAGGTGACTGTGATTGTGATACCTTGACCGCATAGGTCTGGCTTTTATCGTCTGTTTCTCCAGGCTCTCGTACTTGACGGACATCACAATGCTGGTCAAAGGCATCGAAAGCTATTCATGGGATGCGGCAACTTTGCAGCAACAAACCTACCGCGCTTGAACGGTCCGTCAGTCGATGGCATATCTCTCAGCCTCCTCGCGGGACTACAATAAATTCATGATTCATGTCAGCTTCTTTGTCCTACCAATTTGTGTCTTCGAAATCGTCCACGTGGCTTCCTTATCAATTCCGATGCATGAAATATATGCTGCAGTGAGTTGCAGCTACAGTGCATATGTTGTGCCATGATGTTGGGAGATGAAGGAAGGAGTGCTCAGAAAGGTGAAGATCATGACGCAGATCGCTTGGCTAAAGGTTCCTTTCCCAGCCACCTTGAACTCCATCATCACTGTGCAACCTATATCATAGCTACTATGTTTTCGTCTCTGTATCGTTGATTATCTGATGCCGTCTACTCCAAGTTCACAGCACTTCTACTTGGACGCTTACTAGCGACATAGACCACATCAAGCGTTATATCGTCGAATCTTGGTGAGACAAGCACATACGGCCACAGTCAGCTGAAAACTGGGCATCCCGTCCGCTCTGCCATACATAAGCAGTTGAACGGCAGATTAGTACTACGGTGGGTGACCACGTGGGAATCCCTGCTGCTGTATGTTTTGCATTTCCTTTTTCTTGTCCGTGTAGGCTTCTACCTTAGCTGTTGAAAGGCTGCTTTTGGTCATCATCTACACGTCCATTAAGAGTGATTCTTCTTGATACTTTTGGACGACTGAGTAGGAACCAAAGATCCCGTGCCTTTTGACGGCTACGTTATGAACTTTCGTTTGCTTGGTCATACAATCTCCGTACGACTGATTCAAGGCTGCTCTTGTTCTCTTTCTTTTTCCTTGGATATCTTGACAGATAGAACGGCATAACAGTACGATTGATGAACTATTGGGCAAAGCTATGGTTGATCGAACACTCCTGTGGACGAATTGCTGGGTTCCGATGATCGTGATCTTGCACCAAGTTCTGGCAAGAACAATTCAAAATACAAAAAATCGCTTGGACTGCACTCGATGACAATATAAGGACTTAAGAGCACAATAGGCCGTCAAAGTGATGCTATAGACACCTACAAAAAGTCAAAGAAGAGCCCAGCATATGTGGCCTGAGAGTAATGTCGTCGATAGCATTGGAAGCGATGGCCAAGGGGATGACCCTGTCTCAGATGGAATCTGAAGGCAACCGGCACGTTTCCATCGTTGCGGGATCGGCACGGCTGTTGCAGACACTTTGATCTGAATGATGGGAACACAGCGTACGTGGTGACCACATGGTGGCAGACCTGCCCACCTTGAGAAGCAGGTTATTCTCAGTCAACTCAGATCGTCCGTCGTATGGATAGCGATCAGCATAAAAGCTTGGAAGAACAGAACGAAGAGCACAGTGAAAAGGTCAACGACCATCGGATTCATGTGCGTTCAGGTTCGGTGAATTCGGCAGAGCAAACACACCATATGCCGATGGTCTGTTCGTAACCGAGTTTCGGCCTCCCACAGGGCCGTGATGATTTTCGATTTTGCATGCCGCTGTTTGTGAGCTAAAACTCCAAGCTTCTGAGTCTTGATAACGAAGTAAGCGTGTGTGCGTGTGATATTCGAATCACCTAAGAACATTTCGGGAGGCCCCTTCCTTGTCTTGACTGCCGAAGAAGCCGAGTTCGGCAGCGTCCAGCTCGCTGCCAGACGGGCCGTTTCCCCTAGAGGCTCTATCATTTGACTTTTGTTTTTTCTCTAGTAATGCAATCGAGTTGGTTGAGATTGAGAACGATCAAGGCGCCCTGTTCAACCCAACACCAGCAGTGAGCAGGCAGATGAAAAGAAACAGAGATTCGGAAGATCAACAAGCCGATCGCTAGCCGAACTGTTCAACCACATCAGTTGAGACAAGCACGAAGCAACAGGCCAAGGCGTTCCTTCGCAAAAAGATAAGCGCGTACGTGCGTCACTGCTGTTCTTAACAGGCTTCCATTATCCACATGGAAGACTCGTGGACTTTAGCCTGTTCTCTGCTGTCTCCTGATGTTAGTTTGCTCCTCGGGCGACATCCCAGATGTGGTCGAGCCGCAGGCGGTTTCGGCCATGCAGAATCCCGTCTGGGCATCTGTAGTTTTTAGCATCGGATCCCCGAGACGCGAAGGCGAAAGGACGAATTGTTAGAGCGGCCTTTGCTGGCTTCCTGTTCCCACATCTATCGGACTCGGATAAGATCCACATATGCCTTCAAGCGAGTGATATCCGAGACCGTTGCTGATTGCGAACAACGCGGTCCAAGGCTTGAAGTCCAAAAATTCCCTTCGCCATGAAGTCTCATGATAATCGACACTCCTGTCATGCTTCAGCTTGGCTCATCAGAAAGAATGTTATGAGCAGGGCACACCGTCATTAAAGCATTTCGAATCAGGCGAGAGCGTTGACTTAGGGCGCACAAGCGCAGGCCTCCCATGGTGGAGCGAGTAAATGAAGAAACATGGGGAACATTTGATGCAAACCTCAACCGAGATGTTGTTTTCGAAACTTTCTTCCCAGTCTCGGTCGGCCTTCGTCCCGAAGATCTGAATCGTAACTTCACTTTCACGTTTTCTTCGTGTTTGCTCCTCGTTGCTCCGCATTCCTCTCCAACGCTCCGCATCTTTTTCGTCTTCGGAACCCAAATACATCACCTCAGTATGATGCTCCGTGGGGAGATTGGTGAATCTCCAGACGTCCCCACCTTGCCCCAGGCCTTCAATGTTGCAAATTTGCAGCAGATGCCGTTAGTTTGGGCTTCTCCGACTCAGAGAGCATCGGTAAGAGTAGGAGAAGGACCGTGAAAGGGCCGGAAGACGTGCATGCCACCCTCGGAATTAACCAATCTTGACGACGTTGGCCACATCGGCGGTTCGAGAAGAACCAGAGTCGAAGGGCACACCGGCTTGGCCTGGGTGCCGTAGGTCCCGTTCGAAACAATTGCTGACCATGCTATCGTATCCCCATGCCCCAATGGACCCACAGCAAATATGGAGTATGTGGAGTAGACGGTGCACCAGGAGAAAAGTGCGAGGTCGGATTCGAAATTGGCAGAGAGTATAAAGACAGAGCGATCTGCCCTCTGCAGTCTGCACTACTGTCCGACTACAGCGCTCATCACACGCCAAATTCTCGTCGAAGGCTTGACTTGTCTTGGCCCCTTGCTGAGAGTTTAACGCCCATTCTTGTTTCTACTTGGCTCTTTTGCAGCATAAACGTGCACAAGTCGTCGCCTACAGATCATCGACTCTCGACAAAATGGTCGGTTTCCTTGGAATGACGGGCAAGGCCCTGTCCATTGCCCAAATCGCTCTGGTTGTTGCTCCATCGTTCATTTTGTTCGGTTACAACCAGTCTGGTCTTGGTCCCCTCCTCTCAGAAGAGAATTGGAGACATCAATTCCCCCTCATCAACACGGTCGACTACACCGGCGAGACCAAGGCCCACCACGCTACTCTCCAGGGTCTCATTGTCGCAACTTTCACAATCGGTGCTTTGATCGGCGCATTGAGCTGCAGTTATACCGGTACTCTTCTTGGAAGACGATGGGTCATCTTCATTGGTGCTCTCTGCACACTTATTGGCGAGGCCATTGAATGCTCTGCATTCGAGCTCGCTCAGCTTATCGTTGGCCGTATCATCATCGGTCTCGGTGTTGGTCAGCTCTCTGCTACAGTCCCCGTCTGGCAATCCGAATGTTCATCGGCCAAGAACCGTGGTAAGCACGTTGTTCTTGACGGTATGTTCATCTCATTTGGTTATACTCTCGAGTCTTGGATCGATTTCGGATTCTTCACCCTGAAGACTGGATCCGTCACCTGGCGTCCCCCGATCGCCATCGCCCTGCTCTTCTCGCTCATCGTTCTGTTCTCCATCTGGTTCTTCCCCGAGTCGCCCCGCTGGCTTCTCGCTCAGAACCGCGGTCAGGAAGCTCGCGAGAACTTGGCTGCCCTTAAGGGTCTTCCTGCTGATGCTCCTGAGATCGAAGCCGAATGCGTTGGCATCGAGATCTCCCTCGAAGACTCCTCGGCCAAAGCCGTCTCGTTCAAGGATTTGTTCAAAATGGGCGAAGACAAGCTTGCGTACCGTTTCGGTCTCTGTATCCTGCTCCAATTCTTCCAGCAGATGTCTGGAACCAACCTCATCTCCGTATACGCCTCTACCATCTTCCAACAGGGTCTTGGCATGAGCAGCTACAACTCCAAGCTTTTGTCTGCCGGTACTCTCACCTGGAAGTTTTTGTCCTGTTTCGTCGCCTTCTTCTGCATCGACCGCTTCGGTCGTCGTCTCTGTTTCATGGTCTCTGGTGGTGGCATGGCCTTGTGCATGGTCGCTCTTGCCGTCGCAACTTCCTTCCCTCACGACAATTATGGTGCCTCCGTTGCTGCAGCCTTTTTCGTCTACCTCTTCTGCTTCTTCACCCCCATTGGTTTCCTCGGTGCCAACTTTTTATACTGTAGCGAAATAAGTCCCACGAAACTGCGTGTCGCCATGGCCTCCATCTCTACTGCGAACCATTGGCTGTGGAATTTCGCCGTTGCTATGATTACACCAGTAGCCATCAACAACATCGGCTACCAGTACTACATCGTGTATGCTTGCATCGGCTCATGCATTCCCGTCACTGTCTACTTCCTTTGTAAGTTCCACACGTCTTACAACATATTTGAATTCCTGCTAATCATATTTTTTTCAGACCCCGAAACCAAGGGACGCTCATTGGAAGAGCTGGACACCATCTTTAGGGACAGCCCCTCAGTGTTGGGTACTGTGAAGTACGCTAAATACAAGCCTATGATGGCTGCGGATGAAGTTCCTTACAGCAAGACCAACGATGTCCACCTCCAAGAGAAGGTTTAAGGCACGGGTGCTGGACATTCCTGCTGGAAAAGTTTTCTATGAATATGTATGATTTTTAATGTCACCAAAAGATGTGCCACTTCAATACTTCTACCAGTTTTCGTCTATTTTGCCAGTCTTTAAGCGTTGTGGCCACACTTTGATTGCAGGCCCAACCCTCCCCGTGTGCGAGATTCTGTCACTTTTAGCCATCTCCCACGGCCATGCTAGAGGTTATTTGGTTCGTAGAAATGCACAATGTTTTCGACATATCTCTAGTCGTCCGTAGAGAGGCGCTAACTACCACGCTCTCAATGGAGGCTACCTCTGGAAATGTTGAAATCGTGCAATTCTACAGCTATACGCGTGACGAAGTTTGGCACACGGGGGACAGAAACATTTCACGGCCTTATCAAGGTGATTGCGACCGCCGGCTCATGATGGCTTGAGCCACACACCCTGAACACCTGAACACCTAAAACCACCGGTAGTTCCATGCCCACCCGGATGCCATTTAAGACACGGCATTCGAAATTTCTTTTGCCAGACTTTGTGGAAAACAACCTCGGTGCTCTACGCGTGCTTTGAGAGAGACGCGAGAATTGCAGGTTCGAGAATGGGAAACCAACGTCTTTCCAAGAGCTCGCGCTGGGCGTACGGGTTGCTCGCTTGCAAATCTGATAAGATCTACCCGCCAGATGGGTTGTAATCCCATTATAACTGCAAGCCAAGCTACGCCCAATTCCTCTGGAAGTCGACTTCACCTGTAACAGCCGACACCTCGCGAGCTAAACACATCTTGCGCCGCCTTGGGAAGCCACCCGCGGCCCAAAGCTCCAAAGCTACCGTTGGAGCATCTGATAAGATGAAATTTTCCTTTATCGAACCATCACGGTACTTCTCAACTGCTCGCGTTGTAGGAGATGTGTATCCGCGGCTTTGCAATGCAGCGACCGTGACAAAGCAGGAAGACGAGTGGGTGCCGAGTCAAGACATAAGGATAACATGACAAAGGTCTAGGTCTGCGATGATCTGCGATTTACCAGGTGGTCGGAAAAGTACGAGCAAGAAGTAAGTAGGTGGACTCCGCCGACCAGACGGGAATGCACGCCTTTGATCCCAGCGGAACACCCTTACTGGGCAACGGTCTTTCAACAAACGAGCCAATAACTCGCACCGTGTCGCTCAGACCCTATGATCTGATAAAAAGTTTGCCCCTAGTCTCTGAGGGATTATCTAATCCATCACCCAATCTTGCCTGGCCTGTCCATTCTTTTGCTGGGAGGCGCATTTCAGCTGCGCGAATGGCGCTTTCCTTCTTCCTTGGCAGCATCTACATAAAATGGCGCCTCCCTCTCCCAGTGGCAGTTGGTTTCGTCGATCACTTCTTACCCCGCCGGTCGATATCGAGTACTGACCATCTGAGTTGATTCCACACCTTGATTTCTACTGATCAAGATGTCTTCCATCAACTCCAACACTCACTCGGCTACGAAGCCCGAAGCCGAAACCGACGTGAGGGCACACACTTCAGAAGACACTCGCAGTGAGCAGCTGGCCCTTACTGGAAAGACGAGTCCTGGTGTTGCACGCATAGAAGCCATCAATGCCCACCTCACTTCCTTCGACCGCTGGTTCCTTGGAATCGGTGTTTTCTTGATCGCATATGCCTACGGTCTGGATGGAACCATCAGATATACCTATCAGGTGATTAATATGAAAGCTGCGAATCTCGAAACCGACTGACTAACAAAACTCAGAGCACTGCCCTTTCCGACATTGGCCAGCACTCGTTGCTTTCGACCGTCAACATTGTTCGCACGGTAATTGCTGCTGCTGCCCAGCCCACGGCTGCAAAGATTGCCGATGTTTTCGGCCGCGTCGAGCTCGTTTACGCCTCCGTATTCTTCTACATCCTGGGCACCATCATCGAGGCCGCTGCACACAACGTCAGTGCTTTTGCTGCTGGTGCCATCTTCTACCAGATCGGCTACACCATCGTTACTCTTCTCGTAGAGGTCATCGTCGCCGATATCACCTCTCTTCGTTCTCGTCTCGCATGGTCCTACATTCCTGCCTTGCCCTTCCTGATCAACACCTGGGTCTCGGGAGATATCGCATCCGCTGTCTTGAAGGACACAACCTGGCGCTGGGGTATTGGCATGTGGGCCATTATCTACCCCATCTGCGCCATTCCTCTGATCGTTGCTCTCTTCATCGCATCCGGCCGCGCGAAGAAGGCCGGAGCTCTTGCCAACTACCAGTCTCCGTTCAAGCGAAATGGCTTCAGTAACACTCTCGTCGCCCTTTTCTGGCAACTCGATGTTATCGGTATAATTTTGATGATCGCTATGTTCGCTCTCATCCTTGTGCCATTCACCATTGCTGGCGGCGTCAAGGACACATGGGGAACTGCTCATGTCATTGCTCCTCTGGTCATTGGCATCTGCGTCATCCCCTGTTTCGTCTTCTACGAAAGACAGGCTCCTCACCCTCTTGTGCCATTCCATCTTCTCAAGGACCGCAGCGTGTGGGCTGCTCTTGGAGTTGCTTGGATGCTCAACTTCATCTGGTATATGCAAGGAGGTTTCCTTTACACAGTCATCGTTGTTGCCTTCGATCAAAGCGTCAAGTCCGCTACTCGTATCACTTCACTTTACAGCTTCGTTTCTGTTTTGACTGGAGTCTGCCTTGGTCTTCTCATTCGATTCGGCATTCCCCTTCCTGGAAGACGTTACCGCGTCCCTTACTTGAAGCCGTTCATTGTTTTCGGCACTCTGATGTTCATGGTTGCCTTCGGTATCCTGCTCCGATTCAGAGGTGGTCTTAGCCAGAGCTCGTATGCCGGTGTTATCGCGGCCGAGGTCGTCTTGGGTTTCGCCGGTGGTCTGTTCCCTTACCCTACCCAGACTCTCATCCAAGCAGCTACCCAGCACGAACACCTTGCCTTGGTCACCGGTCTTTACCTCGCAATCTACAACATTGGCTCGGCTTTCGGCTCCACTGTCTCTGGCGCCTTGTGGTCTCAGGTCCTTCCTTCAGAGCTCGAGCGTAACCTGGCTGCCGTCACCAACAATGCTACCGTAGCCATCTACGCTTACAGCAACCCTCTGTTCTTCATTCTTGACTACCCTGTTGGAACTCCCGAGCGCGATGCCGTCATTACATCATACAGGCACATCCAACGTTTGTTGTGTATCACTGGTATCTGCCTCTGCGTTCCGCTCATTGCTTACTCATTGTGCCTGCGCAACCCTCGTCTGGGCAAGGAGCAATCGCTGCCTGATGCAGAGAAGACCATCTCTGAGACTTCGAGCGAAGCCGGTGTTCAGGAGGTGTCCAAGAAGAGTGGCCTCTTCAACAAGCTCTTCTAAACACATCTTCGTATTGAACCTGATCTTGATCGCCATCTTTGCTACAAAGCGATAATTCGGGGGAAGAAAAAAGTTTCACGTCTTTCATCCATAGTCTTTAATGTCTCTCTTATCATTGATACCAATCCATTTTTCTTCTCATACTATCACAACCGTCATTGCCCTTATCCAATCAAGTTTCCAGTAGGTTGTTTCCCTTTGAAATCGACCTCAGCAGCTAAGCACTTCATACAAGGATCTATGGTCACCACCATGGCGGGTCTCTGGAGTCACCAAAACGATGGAGTCAGTTCCTCTTGACAACTTTCAACACTCTTAGCCACCTCTCGCGATTGTGACTAAGGTCATCCGGACTGAAGGAATGCACAATGTTCTTGAGATCAGTGCAGCCCTCCACTGAGAGCGTGGAAGTTAGCGCTTCTCAGTGGAAGGCTGCTATAGTCTCTATAACATTGTGCATTTCTACAGCATGCGCGTGACAGAGTTCAGCACACGGAGAGGTCGTGGCCACAGAAAACACGTGGTGGTGTTTCACAAAAGAGAATACGAGGAAAGAGTGACTCATGTGTGGATGATCTCACTCACTCACAGCTCTCAGGCTCGATATCCGAGTTCGACTTCTGTCTACTTCTAGTTTACAAGATCATCTTCTTTTCACCTTCATTTCACTGACTTGAGCCTCAAGTGCCACCACATCTCACTTCTCGTATCCAACGGCAGAACCATTCATGATGATGCAAGTCTCAAGCGCCAACTTCTTGAATGAGTTGGGGCCGCCTATGATCTTCCTGCTCATCAGTTGGCAAGGTGGATAAGCCGCAGGGATGCAGGCGCTCTCATCAAACTCTCTCAAACGACAAGGATCATTGCGGTGCAGTTGTTGTGGAAACACATATTTTCCAGCAATGTGAATGCTTCAGGGGGTTGAAAAATGAAAATGAGAGGAAACACTATAGACAACCTCCATGCTATCCCCACTATTCTTGAAGTGAGAGTTCCGCAGAATAACTTAGATCCGTTTGAGTTCGTCCAGCCATGAGCCTCCATTTTTCCATGCGCCATCATTTCCCTTTGAACTTTTTATAGTCGCAGGTTCGTCTCATCGTTCGTCCGCGAGGCTCCTCTTGGGCAATCTAAGCCTCTTGATCATTCACCAAGCTCGAAAACTGATTCTTTCCGTTTTGCGAACTTTCGGGGCCTTTCTAAGACTCGCCAGCAAAGCTTGCGCCGCGACCTCTAGGGGCATATCCACCTCTAGGAGCGAAGCCACCGCGCTGACCGCCGCGACCGAAGCCTCTGCCACGACCGCGGCCACGGAAACCGCCACGATATCCATTATCAACATTGGCTTGTCCGAAAGTCTCGAAGTTCTTCTTGCGCTCCTCGGTTCTGAACTCCATACCGCCCATGCGTCTTCCAACATCCTGAGCTGCCTGTCTGTCCTTGAGTTCGGATGAGATGTTGTCGAAGAACGAACTCGACTTGTTGTAGGTTGCGCCGGGAATCACAACTTCGCGCTCAGTCTGGGGAGCCTCAAAGCCGTTGGATACCTCTTCCAGAGGCTGGCTGGGCTCATCGGCGGTGGGTGTACCCATAGGAGATCCTGAAGCGATGGCCTCCTTTACCAAATCTTGCTTGTTGAACTTTGCGTTGCTGGTCTCGAAGTCGAAGTCTGCTGTTGGGACCTCGACAGGCTTAGCCAGATCACGGTTACTGGGGCGTCTACCACCACGGCCGCCGCCATGCTGACCGCCATGTTGGCCGCCATGTTGACCTCCGTGTTGACCTCCGTGTTGACCTCCGCGATGTCCAGCAGCGAAGCCACCAGTTCCAGGCTGGCGCGAATGTCTTATTCTGTCATCGGTGCGCATATCTCCGACACGCTTAGCCAAGTTGTCGACGCTAGCATCAGCAGGACCAGTAGCGGAGACAGGAAGTTTAGCCATAGCAGCTGCAACAGCAGCGGCAGCGGTTTGAGTAGCAGTCTGTTGCTGTTGAGACAAGTTGGAAGATGCATTACCAGGCTTTGCGTTCAGAGGAACAAGAGGGACGGCAACACGAGTGTTCTTAGGACCGGTAGAAGGCTTTGTTTGCGATTGAGCGGGGGCAGTAGCGGCGGCTACATCGGGCTTCGAATCGACAGGCGGGGGAGGAGCGGCTGCTTCGAGAGCAGGTGTCTGGTTTGCCGAAGGTGCGGGCTTCTGCTCTGGAGGGAAGATAGCTTTGTCCTCGGTGGGTTCAGGCTGCTTGTGAGAAGGAGCTGAGGGCGTTTGTGCTTCGGGGGTTCTCTGCTGCTGAGATTGAGGCTGTTGCTGGTGCTGTTGCTGACCAGGAGGACCGATCGGCTGAGGAGGGAATTGTCCAGGTGGGCCCTGAGGAGGGAAGCCCTGTCCTGGAGGAGGGAACCATCCCGGGGGAGGAGGACCGTAGTAGTGAGGAGGGCCATTGGGGAAACCGTGAGGACCAGCTGGGGGACCACCGAAGCGAGAGTTGCCCTGAGGCGGAGGAGGGTATCCGTAAGGAGGGAAAGGTGGGGGTTGATGAGGGCCCTGGGGACCTTGAGGACCGCGCCACTGCTGCTGCTGTTGTTGCTGCTGCTGGTTGGGCTGAGGGAAACCACCTTGAGGGCCGGCTGGCGGGGCTTGGGGAGCGCCGTGAGGAGGTCTTGCGGCCTGTAACAAGTCAAGGTCAGCTTTGACTCTCTAAGTAGCAGATTATGCAAGAGAATGATGTGTGGGCTCAGAAGGAAGGCAACGGAAAGTGTCCACTTGGTTTTGCGCTCTCGGAAAATGACAAAATTTACATCCGGAATGTTTCATCAAGGCGGTTTCAAGCATCTTTTGCGACGGACAGCAACTTACACCGAGGATAGCGGGATCATTGGGCATCTGAGGGGCCTGGGGAGGCTTGTTCTCCTTGGGAGGCTCGACAATGGTCAAGTCCTTGACATCGCTGCCACGGAACACAATGTAGTCGTAGATCTGGTCATTGGGCGGGATCTCGTCGTCTGGGTTGCCGCGACGGCCTTCGGTACCGAAAGACTTGACATTTTCCAAAGCGACTGTCGAGTTCTCCGAGTTGATCTCGTGTAGTGTTCCGACGTATCTGCACAGACCGCCGTCAGCTTGTGCTTCAAGTAAATAAGCAGGTCTGAACGTAGCCACTCACTTGATGTCGCTCTTGGAGATGAGGGAGATGCGCGATCTGTCCTCAGTGTTAGCTAGCTTGCTACACGACAGGACTCGATTGGATAAGCGCACCCGATGAATTCGGACATGGCGAAGTATGAATGACAGCCCAAGCTGTAGATTCAGGCAGAGAAGAAGAAATGCAGGTGTAAGAAGATGTCGTGTGCTGAGAGACAGGAGTAGCAACAGCGAGTGTCAGGCCCAGCTGCGAGCAGCGACACTATGATGCTGGGCGCAAGCTCGGACCACCGACTTTCACTACGCCGTTGTTCACTGTCACCCTGCTCTTCCAAAGCCTCTACGAGTACCACGTGTACGAACAACACAACATGACTGAAACTCAGCCCTCAAGTGACGCTACTGCTGTCTTTCAGAAATTGGACGATTACGACTGGGACAACGACAATGAATTCCAGACTGCTCTTGCTTCAATTCTGAGGTCTGCATCGACTCCCGAGCAGACCGCACATCTGACTACAAGGGCTCGTTGTTATTATTACACAAGGTAACACATCTAGATTGTCACATCCTGTCAACGTATCTCTCATACCTTGTACCAGGAAGTTCAAGACACCCGTCAATTTCGAAGCCTATCAAACTTGGCTTCGATCAAAACAACAGGCTGGCTCTGAGCCACCCTCACAATCTAATATGTCATCTGAAGCTACTCATCCATCTGCGATGGGTGAAGCTCCTCCACCGGCCTCGTTTGCTGAGATTTGCGAACTCATCGCAGCCGGTAAACCGATACCTGGGATCAAAGATATTCCTGATACCATCCTGGAAGGCCAAGGAACCCAAGCACAAGCACCTCGACGCAAGAAGCCATGGGAGAAAGATGCAACCACAACTCCAACTCCTAGCTGGGCGGCAAAGAACTAAACAATCTTTTCTCAATCGATTTATGTCTGGTCATAAAGCATATCAAAGCCTTTGCAAGTATCTCTCAATAGTATATACCCATTATCATGTCATACACATATCTACAACAAAGCGTCCAGCACTTTGTCCTGCAGCCTGTTCAGCTGTCCCTTCATGAGCCTGACCGTGAAATCCAGAGCCATATACTTGGCTTTGTAGTCGATCTCAGACTCAGGCATTTTACCCACTTCCTTAATCATCTCCTGCGCACGAGCCTCGGCATCATTAGGATCCACCTGCTCCTGTCCAATCTCAAGTCCGACAACGCAGAACTTTCCACCTACTCCGCCAAAGCCAGCAGACCAACTAATATCAAACTTCTCCCTAACTCTGGCGGCTTGGTCATCTGGTCCAATCGGCTCTTCGAGACCATGATCACGGATGGCAAACCTCTGCACCACAATTTCCTTCTCTTTACACGGAGTTGCAGAAGCGAATCCGAGTTGACGCGATACGCCGAGCCAACTAGTCGCCGCGATGCGAAGGGCGTCGTCGCTCTTATTGTCTGAATCTGCTCTAGGTACGTTGAACCGCTGTAGAATTGCATCAGATAAGCGCATCGCTTCTGGCCCCAACAGTCTGCTCGATCTGCCAGACAGGTCGGCACGAAGGAGGTCAGAGGCGAGTACGCGTTTCAGAGCTTCATATGCAAGTCCCGCCTCAGGCTCAGGATTGTTGTTCTGACGCTGGGCGGGCGTCTTTGTAGCCGGCGGAGTCGCCGGCTTCGCATCGATTTGCATTGAATCTCCAGCCGAGGTTTCATCAAAGTCTTCATGCGCAAGAACTGATGGAGTCGCGAGCTGAATTGGTCCACCAGTGCTTTCTGGTACTTGCAAAGACAGACGTCCCCGCTCAGGCCGACGTGGAGCGTCCGCGTCAGAGGGTTTGGAGATCTGGAAGACAGGTTTGTGCAGCGGTTTTGTGTAGGCATTCGGACGCAGCAGATGCGATTCTGTATCGTATGGCATTAAGGAGACAGCTGGAGTGCTCCTCTGCGACGCTGATCTCTCCGCGTTCGGGTCTGCTGGGAACGTGGTATATGGCCCGTCTTGAACAGATCGTTTACCGGGAGGCCTACCTCTGGCTCTGGCATTAGCCGCAGTTGCGTGGGTCCAAGCAGAAGATACTGCCGGGCCATGCTTGCGACGAGACCGACCACGGGAAGATCCAGGAGTAACGGCCGACATTGGCTCATCATATGATGGCAGACCTGATGCTCGAGGTTCAAGAGCTGACATAGGGTGGGGTGTAATTGGTGTGTCGTGAGATCCATGAAGTTGCCACTGGAGATTTTGCGGTGGTCTGGCAGCCATCGCAGAATGAGGTATCGTTCGTCCTGGTGCCGAGCCCGTGTTTGTGGGTGTCCACATGTCATTGTGGAAGTTTTCCACCGGTCTAGCACTTAAGGGAATCGCGGATGCAGTGTAGGAAGCCTGCGGCTGAGCATATAGAGTTCGTCCTTCGTAAGAGAAAGATGTTGTAAGCAAAGGCTTCTTTGGAGGGGCAGGATCCTTCTCAGGCGTCTCATTTCTCTTCCGACCTCTTTTGGGACGAAATGAAGGGTCTAGAGCTCTGATCGCAAGATCTTCGTCGGCTGGTACACCATCTCGACCTCGAGTAGGATGCGGATCGTGCGGTGGGGGCAGATCTAAGTAGTAGGTATGCTTCTTGCCGAGCAAATACTCGAAGAAGGCGTCGACATGCATTGCGCGCAACCAGCGCTGATATTGGTGTAAGCTGAAGTCAATGATAGGGAACAATATTGTTATGACGGACCTTTAGTCTGACTGAGTACTGCTGCACCTTCTGCACACTACCACCTCTCTCGACCGATGGAGGCTCAACACCCAGTTCCAAGGCTAATTGTGTCCATGTTTTGATCTCTTTGCTGTCGAACCTTTGGATGAGCTCCCACAAAGTGTAGATGCTGAAGTCCTTGCCGTCGCTGCGAGGTGGAGTTTGGAAAATGCGTTTCAAATCAGAAGTATCGATATCCAGAGGGAAATACGGGTTACAGTACAGAATGAATGCAGCATATACGTCGGCGATGTTCTCTTCTGAAACATCGCGCGGAGGTAGGACACGTTGAGTAGGCGGTGCAGATGAACGAGTAGGTAGCGCTACAACATGCCTTGGAGATGCGGAAGTCGAGTCATGTAACATGTCGCTTTCAGCGGTACCAGTAAAGAGAGAGTTGGGCGTCGCATTGGCTGACTCCATGTCATAGTCATGTCCCAAGCTGTCTCCATGGTCATTCGACGAGGCTGGAGAGCTACCGGCGCTCTCCATCAGGTCCTCGGACATATCCATATGCGCCATCTGCGCAAGTCCTTCTCTTCTTCTATAGCTCTCTTCACACTTTCGCAATAGCGCCTGAGGCACATCCGAGCTCGGAAGCTGAGAGCAAGAGCTACCCGAACGTCACCGGCGGCCAGGGGCCGAGGAAGGCCTGCGAGGCAACGAGGTCGAGGCCGAGGGTGAAGCGATGGACACTGGCTTCCGGTTTCAAGACGTGACGTCCAACTTAATCGGCTTTTGCTGTGGGCGAGAGGTCGAATAACGGGTCAATTGACTGGTTCTGGCTGGTCGCGACCTGGAGAAAAGGGGCAATGTGAGATAAGCAGCCAAAAGTCGTGGGCAGCTCCTGATCTTTCTAGCCCTGAAAATCATGCATGAGTAAACGAGATAGCGATGTCAATCAATTTTGAAACTATTAGCAACTGGAGAAGTGCTTCATGGACGATTCTACAACTTCCAATCATCCAGTGATCGGATTTTACGCATACTTAGTAATCTTCCATAACTGTCGCTCTGGCTGTCGAAAACTTAACCGTTATTTGACACGAGTTCTGTCAAAAGACACCCTGGAAAGTTGCCGACCGCGTTCACATGTGGGGAATGTCAACCTCGGCTCCTCGATCCTCTCGAAGGTAAAAAGCTACACCTGACACAGCTGGATACAATAACTTGATTCAGGCATAAGGAGTTTCTCTTTCTTTCGTTCCCTTGACCAAATCTCGAAACTTCACTGTAGCTCTCACGAAACTATCACGACTCTTCTCTTTGCTCCTTACTAAAAACAGAAGCTGCCTTTAATCCCTTTGCGCTTGTTGCTCCATCTACATTCCCTTTGATCATCATGTCTCAGTCCATTGCTGTCAAGGATGAGTTGCAGAAGTCGACTGCTACTGCACCTCCAGATGCCGTTTCTCAGCAATCTGACAATGTTGCTCACGCCCTTGCCGGCTCAGGTGGTGGTCTTATCTCTATGGCCCTGACCTACCCTCTGATCACCCTTTCGACACGCGCCCAGGTCGAGTCCAAGAAGGCCGACACGAACGTCCTCCAAGCAGCCCAAAAGATCATCGCACGCGAAGGTGTTCGTGGTCTGTACGCCGGTCTCGAATCCGCTCTTTTCGGCATCAGTGTCACCAACTTTGTTTACTACTACTGGTACGAATGGACCCGTGCCGCTTTCATCAAGGCTGCAAAGGCTGCAAACCGTCCCAATGCCACCAAGTTGAGCACTGTGGAGAGTATGCTGGCTGGTGCCCTTGCCGGAAGCGCAACCGTGCTTCTCACCAACCCCATCTGGGTCGTCAACACCCGCATGACTGCACGCAAGAATGAGAGCGACGACAGCGCTCTCCCTACCGAGGAAGCTGGTGTGAAGCCCAAGAAGAAGCTCAGCCCCAGCACCATCGGCACGCTTCTGTCCATCATCAAGGACGAAGGCTTCATGAGACTTTTCGCCGGCGTGCTGCCTGCTCTCGTTCTCGTCATCAACCCTATCCTCCAATACACAATTTTCGAGCAGCTGAAACAGTCTCTTGAGAAGCGTCGCCGTGTTACTCCCAAGGACAGCTTCTACCTTGGTGCCCTGGGCAAGTTGGCAGCTACTAGCATCACCTACCCTTACATTACTGTAAAGTCCAGAGCACATGTTGCCAGTGGACAGAAGGAGGGCATGTTTGACAGCTTCTCGCGCATTCTGCGTGAGGAAGGTTGGGCTGGTCTCTACGGTGGTAAGTTTGAGATATGTTTTCTGACATGGCGGATTGACACTAACGATTCTCCTTTAGGCATTGGCCCCAAGGTCACCCAAAGCGTCATTACTGCTGCTTTCTTGTTCGCCTTCAAGGATGCTTTGTATAACGCAACAGTCAAGGCTCGCAGAAGCATTGCACAGAAGGCGTAAGCATCTTGTCTGTGACGAAATGAGAAACTAGACAGGAGCGCAAGGAGAATGAAGGGGAGCGTATGCTGGGTATAACGAACCAGGCCCGAACGATGGGACCCAAGAATCAGTTGAATGACGAGAAGCAGAGGAGAACGAGAAGAGCAGAATGGAGTTCACGATCATGTTTCGCGAAATGTACATATATTTCCCAGTCTTGTTTTCAGTGACGCGTACCAACCCCAAGCCAAAGGAGAGGAAATGCACAACTTTGAACAAACCAGCCTCAAGTCCCTATCCATCATCTTGTTGCCCCAAATATCAAATCCTTGACTCCATCCCAATCTCTCTCACATCCCACAACAGCTACAAAAGAAGCCTTACTAACATTCAAACTAATCACACTGACAATACCATCATCCACCAGTTTCGCAAAGTCGACTAATAGCTCTGCGATGGAGCGACTAGAGGTCTTACGCCAGGTGGAAAATGTGCTGGGTGCATACATGTTGTGCCAGATTATGTCGACTTCGTTGATGGTCTCGTTGGTGGATGGCGAGGCGCCGTTGGGTTCTGCGACTTGCTGTGAGCTTCTCGTGTGCAAAGAAAGTACACATACTAGGCATTGTACCTGGCGAGACTTCTTTGTCGCCGACGGACGCCATTGTTGTCGTGATGATCTTGATGGTATTCTTTCGTGGTTGTGGTAGAGGAATGAAGATGCGACCGGAGCTTTCTGCAGGATTCACGATTGAGGAGTGCGCACCAGCGCGGGAGAAAATCATATTCGCAAAAAGGTATTCGATGATTTTCCATTACATACAGATGCTGACGCTAAATCATAAGATATCGAATGGCTTGAGACATAGAAGCAAGCGCTCCTCTTCTGACAGACGAGCCGTTTACTTTCTCTTTCTCGAAGCACCGCTCTTGCTCTGAATTCCCGAGGTAGAAGCTTCAGTCTTGACAGGAGCCGAGTCCTCTTCAGGTGCAGACTTCAAGGGCTGGTTGGTGATCTTCTCCTCAACTTCCTCGTCGTCACCACCCTGACCAAACTCGTTGACACGGGTGTGGTCGACCTTATATGCCCAAGCCTGGTAGAGGTAAACGAAGAAAATGACATCGTCACGCAGTGTGGCCAGACGATGCAGAGTAGGCATCTTGATGGTGAAAGCGAACAGGTCATCAATGAAAGTGTTGAGGAACTTGTAGGTCATGGCCTTTGCAGGCATGTGTGCAACACTCTTCAAGCGGTAGTTGATGTACAAGCTTGGCACCATCATGAGGAAGCCGTAAGCGTAGACAGATCCGACCAGAGTAGCGATGATGAAACTGTACCAGCTCTTGTGAGTCTCGTAGACAAGGGAGTATCCAGCGTATGCCAGCAGAAGCGGTACTGCGACCATGTACAGATAGCGGAAAGCAATCTCGTCGTACTCCTGTGTCTTCTTCTCGACATCGGAAAGCTTGTGCTTGTCCTCGAAGACGACGCGATACGGGATCAGAGAGCCTTCGGGGGCGGCACGCACGCGAACGTCGACGGCCTTGGTGACCTTCCAGGCTTCGATAGCGATTCCCATACCTTGACCGAAGAGAATCATCCAGGAAGTATTCTCATTGTTGTCCATAAGGTAGAGGAAGATGACGCTCTGCATGAAGACGTTGGCGAGAATGGTGCGGACGGAGGTACCAATGTTGTCCTTCTTCTTGCGCCAATGGCTGACATCGTTCTTGAAGGCCAACATTTCGAAGATCATGTGGAGGATACTGACGAATCCAGTAATGCCGAGGAGGTACATGTTAGTGTCAAGAAGGACCTCCTTGATCATCTCCAGCTCGCTACCATCACCGCCTCCAGGGGTTGTTTCTCCACGGGCAATCTTTCTGGCATTCTCCTTCATACCCTCATCCATGCTTGCCATGACACTGAACTTCCAGTTGGGGTCGGTTTGCAGATCCAGGTTAAGAGGCATTTCGGTCACGGTCGAGTTGAGTTCGGTCATCTGAGAACGAAGTTGCCAGAAAGTGTTGAGGTAGAGGACAGGGTAATACCAAGCATTCTGACCGGACTCATCGCGGGCACCAGTAGCCTCCAAGGAGACGAACTGGCGCATGGCCGGGTGCATCTGAGGGTAGACGGGTGTGCCGACGTTGGGGATGATGGACAGAGTGAAGTTGGGGTGGTAGTAGTTGGAAATGACAGGACCAGTAGACTCTGTTTCGGCCTCTTCGTCGGCTTCGGAAGAGTCAAGCAGGTTGCGAGTCTTGGAGATCTTCTTCTTGGCCAGGTAGTTGGTCAGGGGTCGGGTAACACGGTAGGCTTTGAAGGTATCGTAGCCGGGCAGAGTAGGATCCATGACACTGCCTGACTGGGAGATGTAGATGTGGGCCCAAAGAGTTCCATTCTCTTGCACCGACTGAGGAATGTTGATGTTGGTGTGGACGTGACGCTTGTCGTTCCAGTCTCCGTAGTGGTAGTTGCGCTCTTGGAGGACCAGGGACTCGGCGGGCATTTGACTAAGAGCGGGCATGGCGAATGAGGGCGAGACATACATGTTGATGTCCATGGAGGTATTTTGCTGCCATAGAGGCATGATCATCTGAGGGATTACATTGTATGAACCAGGAGCGGCGGCGGCTTGCTGGCCAGTGCCAGCAGCAACAGAGGGAGCAGGAGCATTGTCGACCTTTGCTTGTTGTTGAACTCCTCCAGTAACTTGTTTGATGGCGAAGTTCACAAACATGAAAATACCAACGGTTTGCGCGATCGACTTTGCGGTTGACTGCGAACAGCGTTAGTCCAAAGGATGGGTACGGGGTGGATATGCAAAGTTCTGACCACCCAGTTGGTGCCTTGATCGGCTTGCTGCTGTACTTCCGGCATCTTTGGCGCAAGTTTCTCGATTCCGACACTTGTCAAGCAACGAAAAAACAGACGTCCTCACAAAAGGGCGGAAACATCTGTCCTCAAGCCACCCTCAACCCTCTACTCGAGCTCCGACCTCCGCAATATCGAGACGCGACATGGTCCGAGTGTCTTGCGATAAGACGGCGATAAGGGCACGTCCCTAAACAGCGACTGACAGGCTGAAACATGGGCCGGTTGCAGCTTTAACGACGACTCGGCCGCCGACCATTCTGGGGTCATTTCTACCTGTGACCGCCCTTGGACACACGAACGAACAATCAGACGCCTCTTGCCAGCACCTTCTTTGTGCTGCTCTCTCACTTGTCTCTCTGTGAAAGTGCCCCGAGTGCGCACGTGTTACTGCTTTGTCACAACACCTTCGACCCAACTCTCGGATCTCGGAGAACGTCATCCAGGACCTTAGTGGATAATAATACCGTTTCTGCCATCACCCTTGCGACTGTCCAACCCTTCAACACCTATATCGATAGACTTTTGGGGTATACCTGGGTTAGATAGTACCTATCCTGCGAGCTCAGACTTGACCATCACATGTCAGCCTGGTCGTGACTTCCCACCTTATCGCCGAAGCCTTCGTCAAGTCTGGACAAGATCGCCTGAGCAGCTTCCTGCCCACCTCCAACCTACGCTCCTAACCATCTACCTCAACCCACTGCATATCATATCATCACATATCGGGCGGCCTCTACTTGGTGCTGCCGTCGCTTGTCATGTTCTCTGAATGTGAGTTCTTGCTATTGCTTCACCAAGTCCCAAGCCGAGGGCGCGTGACTGACAATCTTGACCAGATGCCTCGCGCTTCCTGGCGCAATCACAGAGCCGCCTCTCCTTCACGCAGCATGAGCCAGATCCACGCTCTCGTAATCCTCTCGACCGTCGGCGTCCACCTGCCTCGTCTTCTCGTTATGTCCAACGCACCTCGATGCCTACGCCGTATCAGCCCTCGGGCTCGTATCTATCTCGCTTTCCCTTCGCTTCCCGCACACGACACGACGTCGAGATGCCGCTGTTTAGTGCCAACGAGGGCTTCGATCAAGAAGACGAAGAAACGCAACACGAGCGTGAGATGACCGACTATCTAGCTTTACAAAAGTCTCGCCGCAACTTCATCCCCAGCCATCTCAACGAGTCGTCCGAGATTGAAGACCACAACATCGAGTCCTCGAACTTGGCGTCCCGAGCCAATCTGTCAAACTCAAGACACAAGTCGGCCATGGTGGATGTTGAGCTTGGCTCAACCGACAACGACGATGGCTATTCAGACTTCGATAGCATCGACAGAGAACTTGATGCTCGCCCGCCCGCCTTCCAGATGTTCCAGCCTTCAGTACCTCCTCCACAGTCCACCTTCCTGCCGCAAGAGACAGATCCGGAGACGGCCTTTGCTCACCCAAGGCCCCAAAGTCCGGATGGCGACAGCGTGCCGCCGACCGTGATCCTCCCTGCACCAGAGCCGCCACAACATGATATGTTTTGGGCTCAGCTATACAAAATCTGCATCTTTGCCATGTTTGCGACTTTCATCTTGGTCTGGTTCCATACTTCAGCGCCAAACTCAAAGAGGCCGCTAGGAGACACCATCTACTCTGCTCTGACATCCTCCATCAACCTTTTGCTCTGGGACACAGTCATCACCGTTATTGTTGCTATGCTCTGGCTTGCTCTACTTCGCGAGTATGTGCGTGTCCTCGTCTTCCTCATGCTCGTCTCTGTCCCCATTATTCTTTTCTCCTTCTCGCTCTACCCCTTCATTGCAAGCTACAAGGGTGCTTGGCATGGAGCCAGTGTCCAGGACAAAGTCATGCGCTGGTTCTCTTTCGTTCCTGCGGTCATTGCATGTGTCTGGGTTTACTCGGTTTACAAGGGACGTCGCTCGCTCGGCAAGGCAATTGGCATTCTCGAGTTTGCGTGCAGAATTGTCAGCGCTTCCAAGACTTTGACCTTGTTAGGTTTTGGCACATTGGGAGTCGTCGTCTGCTTCACCTGGATCTGGATGGGAATGTTCACGCGACTGTTCCTCGGTGGTCACATGTCCAAGCTTCAGACCTTCATCATCGACCTTAACACGTGGTGGTTGGGCTTCTATTTCGTCATGATCTATCTCTGGACACTGGGCGTGATTGCCGGCGTGCAAAGGGCCACGACTGCTGCCACTGTCTCACAGTGGTACTTCCACCGTTTAAGCGTACCTGCACCGTCATCGACCACGGTCGTACGAGCCTCGTTCATGCATGCAACTGGACCCATGCTCGGCACCATCTGCCTCTCAACCTTCCTATCGTTGTTGATCCGCTTACCTTTGATCATCCTTCCCCGGCGCATCGCTAGCCTTGTAACCCTCTGTGCATTCTCAATGGTGCCTACGTCACTCGCTGCTCTCACCAATCCATTGACGCTCACCTATGCTGCCATTCACTCGCAGTCGCTCAGCATCAGTGCAAGAGGCTTGTCTCAACTACACTTTGTCTCCGATACTTCGCCCACGACTACCTTGAACCCTTCGGTCTTTGCCGCACACCCGGGTTCTGGTGGTACCATGATGCCCTACCGTCTGGCCAAGCTGCTTCTACACGCAACTCGCTTCATCATGTCATTTGCTCTAGGCTTTGGCGGCTGGGTTTCTACAGCACGTAACGTACAGCTGGCAGGTGGCGGTTTCAAGGGCAGTCTCTACGCCTACATCGTCGGTCTGATAGCAGCTACGATCGGATGGGCGATCCTGGGTGCTATAGAAGGCGTGATCGGCGGTGTTGTCGATGCAAGCGTAGTATGCTGGGCCAGCGAAACTGGCGGCAGAGGAGGTGCAGGCGAGGCGAGATATTGCCGCGAGGCGGGCGAGCTATTCGGCGAGGGAGATTATTAGTCTTCCTGCCTAAGTTTAGCGGGCCTCTGCTTTTTCTTTCTCTTTCCTGTCGTTCTTTTCTTTCTTTAAGCGGGTTCCAGGTCATTGTTGTTATTGTGTGGCTGAGCCGGCGCTTTTGGGTGGCACAAAGATACCCACTGGGTGTGCTGGATTTGCTTATGGTACTCTCGGGCGTTCTCCTCCTTGAATTTCGAAGGTGGATGGCTAGGATAGGCTACAATACCATACATGCGACACTGTCTTCACACCATTCGCTTGAAATGGTTCATACATGGATGTGATTATGTCGATTTTACAGAATGACGGGAAGGATATGTGAATCTTCCTCTTCCTTTTGTCTCGATCTTACTTGCTCTTCTACCGTAAAAACGCCTTGAGCTATGCATTGCCATGTTTAAGTAAAAAGCAAACCCTTGTTGTTCCCCCATTGCCAAGTTCATGCCGTCGTGTGGAAAAGTCCTCTTCGTCTTCTAGCTTCAGCCGAGTGTTTGGCCGGGACCCCATGAAGAAGCGACGTTCTTGCCACTCTTGTTTGACTTGGGAGACTGGATCTCAAGACCAGCTTGCATCATGTTGATTCTGAACAACTTGAGACGAAGCTGATGCTCGACTTCCTCTGCAGTCTCCATGACGCCACGATGGGCATCAGCGCGCGAGTCCTTGGGCGGTGCAATGAGCAGTTGATCTACGGTATCGATTCTGGCGTCCAAGATGCCGCGTTGAATCATATCGACCAACTCGTTCTCCATCATTTGAGGTGTGCCACCTGGTCTTGGGAATGCTTCCGTCAAAGCTGACAATGTGACTTGAGAGAATGGAACAAAGTATTGCACAATACTCTTGCTGCGGATGAGGTGGTAAAGCATATTGATATGAGGGCCGAGGAAGATGTCAAGCAAATAATCTGTGCGGTATGCTTCGAGGATGGCAAGACATTGACTGTACTTTGCGCCGCAGAAGAAGGAAATGGCGCGACGAATGTGTGGTTCGAGTTCGAGGAAGTTGCGGAAGTTTGCGTTTTCGAGGACGGAGTCTTGAAGTTGTTGGCGGTTCATCGAGGCCAGGGCGCAGAGACCGCCGTAGACTGCTATGTCGTTTGCGGTCATGACGGCGCGCGAGAAGTCGATGTTTGCGACGGGGCCGACGGTGGCGTATGATGGGTCGACTGCTAGGAAGGCGTGAGCGGCCTGGCCATAGTTACCAGAACCGAGGTAGCCTAAGCCTGTGCATGCTTGCGAGACGGAGTCGAAGCGGGGCTTGTCTTCGGGGCGTAGTGTCAATGAGCGAGCCTTTTGAGCGGTCGAGACGGCAGCGATCCAGTTAGGAGTAACCATGTTAATGTAGGCCAGCTTCAGAGTCATCTCGGCGATGTGCTTGGGAGTAGTGCAAAACTCGCGCATCTTTTGGTAGGCCTTTGTTGCCTGATCCAGTCTGTTCATGTTGAGGAAGTGTGTGCCTAAGTCCTCCTGACCCATGCGGATGCTCTCCTTGATAAGATTGTTCTTGTAGCCGCGCAATTCATGTTCCAGGCGTTCTGTCTCGTGCTCGTTCAGCTTGTTGGTCTTTTCGACCCATGCGTCATCGACGGTAGCCAGGTCATCGTCGGGGTTGATTGAATGAAGCAGCTTTATAAGATCGAGGTACTGCTGGGTGTCCTTTGCGCTCTTGGAGGTGGGAATGGCCAGACGAAGAGCGTCGAGTGCTAGCGGAGGACAGAGGCGGGCGATGTTGAGCAAGCGACTGACTCGCGAATATTCTGTTGTGTTTGCGTGAGCTGGGGCGGATCTGGATGGGCGCAAGACTAAACATACCATCATAGTTGGCGGCGTAGCTCTCCAGGTCGAACTTTGGGGCTTCCGAGACGATGAGGCCGCCATTTGATCTTCGTTCCGTGAAGTACGGGCTCTGCTCTACTGCAAGCGCCATGTCGGTTATGTCGAGATGGCCGTCTGGTGTGTTTGAGTCCAACTGCTTGACGGTGACGATGTGTGTAATTCTGCCGATCTGGTCCAAGCTCATCGATTCACCGCTCTCGGAGAAAGGACTGTCAGATAGCCGCGATCGGACATGAACCGATATCCCAACACAGTGGAGCATCTCTTGGCTGAGGTGAGCTATTTCCACCTCTCTTCCTCGGCCAGCCGTCTCGCGGCGCAATCGCCCTCTTCGGCACCCCCGCAAAAGCTAACAGGAAATATTCGGCTGAAGGTGTGAGTTCAGTCGCCGAGCCCGGTCGGTCTTGTCATATCATTCAAGTTTTTTCAAGCAAGAAACAGCTCTCCCTGTCTCGCTCGTCAATTGTAGCCAAACATCCATTACTATCCCATCTCCCGCCTAGCCGAAGTGAGGCTCTTTATCACTCCACCTCACTTTCCTGCCCGTTCCCGTTGCTCGTAATTCGGATCGCTGTCTCGACCGTGCGTTTCGTCCCCCGGATCCTTCTTTAGGAGTGACGCCGAATTCGCTGCCCGCACTCCAGCTGTCATCCATCGTCCGTCGTGTACCAGAGTGTATTGATTGCCATATCACATCTTCCAGTCATGGCCTCCACCACCACGACCATCAAGGAGACGGTCAAGGAGACGCTGCTTGGTGTTGAAGATGAGCCGCAGCTCTCCAACCAGACGCGTGCTGAGTTTATGCAATATGCTAAGAATGACGCCGAGTCCGGTGACTTCTACATGGACGAAGAGGACTTTGTCAATGCCATTGCTCCCGAGTCTGAAGACTACGTGCGCATCCTGAACCCCTTGTGCTTGCTAGCATGACCTTGCTGACCCCCTACAGCACAAGATCAAGCGTTCGCAATATGCCGTCCTCTTCTCCATCGCCGACCGCCGCAAGACTGGTCGCGTTACCCTCTCCGACTGGGCTACCTTCAACAACCTCCTAGCAAAGCCCGATGCCGAGTACGAAATCGCTTTCCGTCTCTTCTGCGACCCCAACACTGGTGTAGTCGACTTCAACTCCTTCAAGGAAGCTTACGCTCGCAACCGCTCTCCCGAAAACATTCCCTTTGACTGGAACTCGACATGGGCCTCGCTGTACGTTGGCGACCGCAAGAACAGGCATAGCATGACCTACCCGCAGTTTGCCCAGATGCTTCGCGGTCTTCAAGGAGAAAGGATCAGGCAAGCCTTCCACCACTTCGACAAGAACGGTGATGGCTACATTGACCCCGAGGAGTTTGAGCGCATCATCCGTGAAACTGCCTCGCACAAGCTGTCCGACCACCTTCTCTCCAACCTCCAGACCCTCTGCAACATCTCACCTGGCAGCCACATCTCCTACGCCAACGTGCGCGCTTTCCAAAACATCATCCGTGACATGGACCTTGTCGAACTCGTCATTCGCAATGCTGTTGGAAAGACCGACGACGGCAAGATCACTCGTACCGACTTCTTGAACGAGGCCGCTCGTATCACTCGCTTCTCCTTGTTCACCCCCATGGAGGCCGATATTCTCTTCCACTTTGCCAGTCTGGACCAGCCCTCAGGCCGCCTCGGAGTCTCGGACTTTGCACGCGTTCTTGATGCTTCATGGGCATCTCACCACACAGTCTACGGCGCCGCTACTGGTGCTGCTGCCGACACCGCCGCTGCAGTCGTTTCGAAGTCAAAATCTTTCCTGCACGATGTCCTCGTGTCCGCACATCACTTCGCTCTTGGTTCGATCGCTGGTGCCTTTGGTGCCTTCATGGTCTACCCTATTGATTTGGTCAAGACCCGCATGCAGAACCAGAGAAAGGCTCGTGTTGGTCAGCTTCTTTACAAGAACTCGATCGATTGTTTCTCAAAGGTCATCCGCAACGAAGGCGTCAGAGGTTTGTACTCGGGAGTTCTGCCCCAGCTTGTTGGTGTGGCCCCCGAGAAGGCTATCAAGTTGACCGTCAACGATTTGGTAAGAGGAAAGGCCTCGGACCCCACAACCGGTGACATCAAGCTACCCTGGGAAATCATTGCTGGTGGTACTGCTGGTGCTTGTCAGGTCATCTTCACAAACCCTCTTGAGATTGTCAAGATTCGTCTGCAGATTCAGGGCGAGGTTGCCAAGTCACAAAAGGCTGTTGAGAAAAGAAGTGCCATGTGGATCGTGCGTAACCTTGGTCTGGTCGGTCTCTACAAGGGTGCCAGCGCCTGTTTGTTGCGTGATGTTCCCTTCTCCGCCATTTACTTCCCCACCTACAACCATCTCAAGAAGGACTACTTCGGCGAGGGTCCCAACAAGAAGCTCGGTGAGTTTACACGCTTGTGATGACACTAGACTTTGCTAACACACTTTTCCAGGTATCTTGCAACTTTTGTCTGCTGGTGCTATTGCTGGTATGCCTGCTGCTTACCTGACCACCCCTTGCGATGTCATCAAGACCCGTCTGCAAGTAGAAGCCCGCAAGGGTGAGACTCAGTACACATCACTCCGTCACTGCGCCAAGACTATCATGCAGGAGGAAGGTTTCCGTGCTTTCTTCAAGGGAGGTCCCGCTCGTATCCTTCGTTCTTCGCCTCAATTCGGTTTCACTCTCGCTGGTTACGAGCTTCTACAAGGCCTTCTTCCTCTTCCTGGTGAGGAACATGAGCTTGGTCCCCGTGGTAGCCTCGAGCCTGCAACCGGTTTGCAGGAGGCAAAGGCACCACTTCCTTACCTGAGAAGTAGAAACGCCCTCAAGATCATTCTGGACCTCGACGTCGGTTTCGGCAGCCCGAAGGTGCCTGAGGGTCAGAAGTTCACCGGCATCCCTGGATTCCGTTGATCTTTTCCCAGATAAGATGACCTTGACGGTCGATACATTAGATTCCTTGTCATCATAGGTGTGTCCCTCGTTCTTGTTCGGTAGGCAGGACATCTGGAGAAGCAGACAGAAAAGCGTGCGTTTTGCATAGCGTGCGAGGCGTCAAGGCTGGATCATGTTTGGATCTAGTGGTGGCAGTTGTTCTATACAGCAAATGTACGATATTTTCAATAGACTCGGAAGTCTGTACCAGCAATCATAATGTGTTCATGTCATAACGAATTGTTCTCAGACCTCAGCAGGTCTCGGTTGTCTCAAGTGAATGTTCTCTCGCTGCCCAGAAGCGAAGCCGGACCCTCTGCCGCCTCTGATGAACTCCCCCGAATTTTCGCAGCAAATTCTGAACGTCCAAACCAACTTCCTTTTGCTGATTTTGAAACATGCTTGCTCCAGCAAACTACGAGACATGTACTTGCGCCACTCATCTCGAAGTTTTCTGGTTACAGGCTTGTGATAAAAGACTACCGGTTCGGGAGCTTCAGGGAACTTGACAAACTCTCCGAACTTATAAACCAGTAAATCGCGTACGACTACGAGAAGTTCTGTCTAGAATACGAATTGAAATCAATATGGTGGTGGAATATATGTTTGAGTGAAGAGTTTTGTCTGCTCTCAGTATGGGACAAAATTTGGTTCGCGAGAGAGAGCTCAGGGTCGAAGGCCGATCCATCATCTTACTGTGCAACTATCGAGAGCGAAGCAGCAACAATGAAAGCTTCCATTTTGCTGCATATTCACCAATTCCAAATGCCCTGGTTCATGTCCCTCATTTGATGAGCTGGCAAGCCAAAGGTCGGAATCACGTGACAGGACAGACAAGCAGGAGGTCAGAATAAACTACTCTCAGACACATGGCATTTGCGGGGTGATCGACGGGAACTATGAATGGAGCAGCAGGGAGATATGGTTCCTGGATGCTCTCAGATGCTGTATGCTTGATTTTGAGGCGAGGGAGGGCCTTGGGTCATGCGGAATGCCCAGGAGAAACTCTCCACAGCTTGCCAGATTGTTTCTGATATTAAATTCATCAATTGGGTATGAATGCTGAGGTGAAATGACTATCCGTCGTTGTGCTCGAAGTAAAGCGCGAATCGTCGAAGTTTGGATGGTGGGTGGTTTGCCAAGCCTTGCTATCAAATCGCTTCTCACCCCCAAACGCACCCTCTCCTTTTCATCCTTTCCATCATTTATGATTTGAATACTATCAAAGAGCAGTATCAGCGTGCTCTATGTCGTGCAGAAAAGGACGCGTTTGTTTGATACACTTATTGCGAGGTTGAGATTTCGACCATCCGCCGCAACGCCAACACACGCAACCCAGCACAGCCAAACGCGTGATAGACGGCAGTCATAACCATCTCAGCATCAGTATATGATTCGCGCAATCGATACTATCTCACTCTGAGTGTCGCGCAAGACATCGAGTCTGTCCAAAAGATACTGGTAGCCCGGACCCCTCCTGCACTGCGCAGTTTGCCGCTCGACACACCATGCCCAAGCGCTCGCACTCGTTCAGACGTCCCGAAGATTTCCTCAAAAGCGATTCCGACGACGACGATTACGACGACGCGCATGTGCGATCATCCCCTAAGAAAGTGAGAAGCGCACGACCCAAGAAGTCGAAATCACAGCCCTCGCGCAAACGCCAAAGAAGAGACGACTACGGTAGCGACGGGGTCGTTGACGACAGCGACGATCACGAGGAGGGTTCATTCGACGAGGATAGCATCGAGGAAAGCTCTGGTTCCGAGGACGAGGAGGACTCGCCTGGTCCTTCCAAGCGCAAGCAACGCAAGGCTGTCCGCACCCGCCGGACGTACGTTGAATCCGACGAGGACGCCGAAGGAAGCGACGACGCCATAGCACATCTGCCAGAGCCAGTCGCCAGTCCGAAGAAATTCATCATCCGACTTTCCATCCCGTCAGAAAAGTTGGAAATCTTGAAGGCCACAGGAAATATGAGCAACCCACGTAGATCAACACGGGCCAATAGCGCCAGAGTGTCGGTGCGTGGTATGAGTGCAACACCTGCGGAAGGACTTGGTATGGCGACCAGACGCAGTAGCCGCGCTTCGCAAGACCAATTGGTCGCGCTCAGCGATTCGGGCAGACACACCCAAGCACAAGGCGCTCGTCAAACGTCCTTCACACCAGACCCACAACTACAATCTGCTCGAAGTACAAGAAGCAGAGGGCTTAAGAAACCGCCACCGACTGTCAGTGCCATCATGGAAGTTTCTCAGGAAGAGATCCCCGCCTCTCAGGAATATGGCGAGGTGCCCGAGTCTTTTGACAGACAATTGCGCGAGTTTGCTGAGCCCAAGGAGGAAGAAGGTGAAGAACCTCAAGCTGGAGCCGCTTCTCCTTTTGTTTCGGATGTGCAAATGGAAGTCGAACAGGAACCAGCTGAAGATGAGGCTGATGCGGAGGGAGACGAGGGAGACGAGGAAGACGATGATGATGAGGGACCGATCAACAAGAACAAGCGCAAACTGAGGGTAAGTCAAACAATACTGCCAGAAGGTTTAGTTGCGTCTGACTTATTCGACCAGTCACAACAGAAGACCGAAAGCCCACCGCAGCGAGGTCGCGAAGGACGACGCCTTCGACCACGAACACGTAAATCGCAAGGCGAAGCTAGTAGTGACTTTGAGCCTCCTGCGGGATCCGGTGGTGAAGAAGCTTCAAGTGCCGACGAACTGCAGGTTTCGCCCAAGAAGAACCAAAAGAGCGACAACGACTCTAGTAGTGGCGGTGGTCGTCTCAGACGCTCTCGACGAACAGCTACTAAACGTTCACGCGAATCTTCCGAGGAGGAGCACCTGGATCCCGACGAGATTGCTGATGAAGCCGATGACCTGCGTGAGGATCGTCGTCGCAATAAACGTCCTCGTCGTAACAAGCACCATGACATTTCCTTCGAACCCACAACTCTGCGTAACAGGAGTAACAGACCTGACTACCGCATCTTCCGACCCGAAATTCACCAAGCAGACGAGGAAGAAGCAGACGCACCGCCAACATCACAACGACCTCGTCGTGGTGCAGCTGGCCCATGGAGGTCGCTATTCTCGACTATGGGACCTTTCGGTGGTGCCGGTGGTCCAGTGCCTATCTTTGGTGGTGAGGGTGCAGAGGCTGCTGGTGGCGCCGATTCTGACAGTAGTGACGATGACATGGCTCAAAAGATGCCCCGCGGCATTGGAGGCGCAGTAGGAATGACACCAACTGCGGGTACAGCACCAGGTCTTTTCCCACAAACTCACAACGCCGATGCTGGTGCTTCGACTGCTGGCGGTCTCTCCAACTTCGGAAAAGTCAAGGACAAGAAGGCCTTGGCTGATGCAGATCCTCTAGGTGTTGACCCGAACGTCAACTTCGATGGCGTCGGAGGTCTTGAAGACCATATTGATAGACTCAAGGAAATGGTCCAACTGCCGCTCATGTACCCGGAAATCTTCCAAACCTTCAAAGTCACCCCACCCCGCGGTGTCCTGTTCCACGGACCTCCCGGAACCGGTAAAACACTTCTCGCAAGAGCTCTCGCTTCCAGTATTAGTACCAATGGAAAGAAGGTCACATTCTACATGCGCAAGGGTGCTGATGCACTCAGCAAATGGGTAGGAGAAGCAGAAAGACAGTTGAGGTTGCTTTTCGAAGAGGCAAGGAAGACGCAGCCCAGTATTATCTTCTTCGATGAGATTGATGGTCTTGCGCCTGTGCGATCCAGCAAGCAGGAACAAATCCATGCATCCATCGTTGCTACTCTTCTTGCTCTCATGGATGGCATGGACGGCCGTGGGCAAGTGATTGTGATTGGAGCTACCAACCGTCCTGACTCGGTCGATCCTGCACTGCGACGTCCTGGTCGTTTCGACAGAGAGTTCTATTTCCCACTCCCGAACGTCAAAGCTCGTCGCGCAATTCTTGACATCCACACCAAGGGATGGGAGCCTCCGTTAAAGCCAGAGTTCAAAGATCAGCTCGCAGCCTTGACGAGGGGGTATGGTGGTGCCGATCTTCGTTCGCTGTGTACGGAAGCTGCTTTGAACGCAGTGCAGGGCACCTTTCCCCAGATCTATTCCAGTAACAAAAAGTTGCTCATTGATCCTTCACAAATCAGGGTGAAAGCCAAGGATTTCATGATCTCTGTCAACAAGATCGTGCCCTCCTCTGAGAGATCTGCAGCTTCTGGTGCCTCGGCACTCAAACCAAACATCGAACCTCTACTCAGAGACGCACTTGCGAAGGTTTCGGCCCTCATCGACGAGATCATACCTCAGAAGAAGCCGACAACGGCATTGGAAGAAGCTATGTTCGATGATCGAGATGACGAGAACGGGTTCGAGAAGGAGAACCTGCAACGAGAGTTTGAGAGCTCCAGAATCAATCGCCCGAGGTTACTGATCAGTGGTCTCGAGGGTATGGGTCAGTCGTACATTAGTGGTGCATTGCTGGCCAAGTTCGAAGGACTCCACGTACAATCGTTTGACATGTCAACGTTGCTGAAGGACTCAACAAGGGTAAGTGCAATCAAAACCGCTAATTGATAAAACTAATCTCGTGGCAGTCACCTGAAGCGGCTGTTGTACAGCTGTTCGAAGAAGTCAAGCGCCACAAACCTAGTGTCATCTATCTTCCCAGTATTGATATCTGGTATGAGACAATGGGTCAGCAAGTCATCAAGACTTTCAATGGTCTTTTGAGGACTCTATCTCCTACAGATCCTATACTGGTGCTCGGTGTGATGGAGCTGAGGTCTAATCAAGCCAGCCCTAACCAAGAGATGATGAGAGAGCTCTTCAGCCGTTCGAGAAAGAACTACTTCTTGTTGGATCGACCAGGAGAGGTAAGTTCTACTCTTGACATCGTGATCTTCAGATTGCTGACAGTTTCGTCCAGACGGCTCGCCGTGAATTCTTCGTTAAAGCAATGAAGTATATTCAGCAATCACCTGCAGAGTTCCCTCAGCCAGAAAACCGCAAGAGGCGCATCTTGCCAGTTTTACCCGAGGCGCCTGTCGTTGAAGAAGAAGCAAAACCTCCTAGCAAAGCCGAACTTAAGGCGCAGAAGAAGAAGGATCGCTTCACACTCAACAACCTCAAGTTGCTCATTCAGCCAGTCATGGATCAGATCAAGCTGAAATACAAGAAGTTCAGAGCTCCCATCATTGATCCAGCCCTTATTGGCTATCTATATGATGAGCAAGACCCGAGCGTCTTCACAACCGACCTGGACCACACGGAAGTGCAGCAGCTCAGGCCTTATGAGATAGCGAAGGATTCCAAGGGCACTGCGCTTCTGCATGAAACCGCAACTGGCAAGCAATACTACAATCTGGAAATTGTCACTATTGAGAAGCGCCTCTCAAATGGCTACTACAAGCGGCCGAAGGATTTCCTCAACGACGTCAGAGCACTAGCTAAGGACGCGAAAACCAGTGGTGACCAAGATCGCACACTCAAGGCCAATGAGATGCTAGCAAACGTTGAAGTCGATATGATGAACCTCGAAGCAATAAATCCCGTGCTAGTCGCCGAGTGCGAGGCGGTGTACAATCGCGAGCTTGCTCGTGAGAAGGAACAGGTCGATAAAGCGGGACAAGCTCAAGAAGAAGGGCATGAGGTGCCCATCATCAGGCCGAATGTGCCGCCTAATGTTTCAAACACCGTCACCGATCACTCCACAGGACCGGTTCACCTTGGGGAGGATGTACCGGGACCTAGAATGCTGCAACCATTCACTCCTGGCAGACCTCTGGGGCCCAGTCCTCTGTCCAATGGTCTTACCAACGGCTCTAGCGTTCCTTCGTGTGTCCAGGAGGAACCTGAAATGCCCGACAGCCAGGAAAATTCTCTTATGAACCTGCAGGGAAGAGCCGGATTCGTTCAGCCCTACGCAACTCCATCGGCACAAGGGACACAGCCGTATCATACACACACTCAGACTAGTGCCTTGACACGGTTAGCGCCTGGTTCGGGACATCAAGACTACTATAACAGCGCATCTTCGACCAGCTCCGGTCACAAGACAAGCAACCAGAGTCACAGGAGTAGTGCTCCCTTCTCCGTCATTACGAATACTTCCTCGAACGGCGTGCGCAACGACGATGCTCCAGACTTCAGTGCCTTGCCACAAGTCGAAGGCGGCAGTCAACTGCCCAACACGCAGCCACCGGACATGTTCAGCTCGCAGCAATCACAATCGTCGCAAAGGGCTATGGGCCCACCGCCACCAAGCAGTCAGCCTCACCACTCTTTCACGGTTCAGGCGCTGCTCAACGAGCCACAGCTCATTCAGGCCGATCCAGCAATGCTGAAGAGCCTTGATGACCAAATGGTGCGCAAGTCGAGCGGGCTCAATGTCGAACAACTCGAGCAAGTCATGGCGAGCATCATGGACGCCATCTGGAGAACCAAGGGCGACTACAACCGCAACCATGCTGCCTCGGCTGTCTCTGATACTTTCAATGAGACTATCCGAGATATTGAAGAGTGCCAGGCTATCCTCGCACCGAGTCAGGACGAATAGCAGTCAGACTGAGGCGTAGCAAAGGAAGTGTTGGAATAGGGTACCTACACTATTTGTTGATTGCCCATTTACGTGCTTCCTCTGGCGTAGAGATACAACTGATAATGCTACATGCTAATGATATTATTCTATGAGCCGCCCATAACTTTTCTTTTTGATTCGAGTGCATGAATGTTCGAATTGACCAAGTCCGACTTGCTTCGAGTGTGACCCTGGCTCCTCTGTATGAATGCTCAATCTCGTTCAGTATCTGTTGCATGATGATCAGTTCTGGAAGTAGAGGTTAGTGATACTCCGTACGTATATTCATCTAGTAATTTTTATGGTTGCAAGAATATTGCTGCCGTTCTCGTGCATACCGATGCATTTCGAAAATCGGTCTTTGGTTCAACAAAAGTCTGATGAGAAACTCGGCCGACTGAAACGCATACCCCTTGACTTGCCAGATGATTCGAGATTGAGAACAATTGGATACTATTCAACATTTCCATGCACACCACAGAGTATGTAAAATCCGAAACTCCATCTTAGGTAGGACGCATTAATCGAGGGATGATTTGTCCACAGAGCGAGTTGCAAGCTGCGGGTTGTTTCCGCGAGCACATGGCGGGGCACCGCTTGAATGCGGCTCAAAAAAAGCTCAGGGTAAAGGCAAAGAAGGTTTGACACCTCGGTCGCCGCTGACCGCTATCGGTCCTCCTACAACACGACGTGGAGAGCTCTAGGTAAATGAGAAGTAGACAGTTTGGTCGGGATTGAGACTCGGGTGCAATTAGAGGATCACTTATTACCTAAGAAATGGTATGATAACAGGCGTGGGCTGTCATAGAATGGACAAAACTCAGCGAAGCTAGGGCAGCACGGCAGTTGTGAACGGATTGCTTGCAAGAGTTCGGTACTTCTCATTTCCACGCTATGGAGGGGAACAATAACTATCTTGGAGAGGCGGGGTCTTCGTAACCTTCTCTCCTCTCTATCAACACACAAGGTCAGACAATCGCAAACATGGTCAGACTTCCCTTCCACGCCGAGCACATTGGCTCGCTCCTCCGCCCTGCCGACTTGCAGGAGGCCAAGACCAAGGCTGCCAACAAGCAGTCCTCAGACTCGGAGCTCGAGGCTGCTGAGCACAAGGCCATCACTCACATTGTCAAGCGCCAGCAAGAGGAGGGTGTTCGCCCCATCTGCTCAGGCGAGTATGATCGCAAGGTCTACTTTGGTGGTTTCTTCGAGGAGCTTGAGGGCTTCGAGGAGGTCGAGGACGCACCCTGGGACCTTTACAGACTCTCCGCTCCCCCAATTGCTGCCCTGAAGAAGGCCGGTCTCAAGTACCCCATGACTGTTGTCTGCAACGGCAAGATTGAGTACAAGCACAGCCCTTACCTCAAGAAGTGGGAGTACCTCAAGTCGCAGGTCCCCGAGTCGCAGTGGGACCAGTGCAAGTTCACCATGCCCCCGGCTCCCTACTTCCACCTTCGTCTTGCTCCCGGCAAGTGCTATCCCAAGGAGGTCTACCCTACCGATGCCGCTTTCTTCGCCGACCTGGCTGAGGCCTACAAGAAGGAGTTCAAGGTCCTGCACGAGGCTGGCCTGAAGAGCGTCCAGATCGACGACCCTACTCTTGCCTACTTCTGCTCCAAGGACATGCTTGAGGGTCTCAAGTCCGACGGTGTTGACCCCGACGAGCTGTTCGACCTCTACTGCAAGGCTCACAACGACTGTCTTGAGGGCCGCCCCGAGGGTCTCCACGTTGGTCTCCACATCTGCAGAGGTAAGCTTAACCACCATGAATCGCTTTGACCAGTATACTAATGTCGTGCAGGTAACTTCTCCAAGTCCATGCACTTCTCCCAGGGCTCGTACGAGCAGATCGCCGAGAGATTCTTCAAGTCGCTCAACTACGACACCTTCTACCTCGAGTACGATGATGCCCGCAGCGGTGGCTTCGAGCCCCTCCGTTTCCTCCCCAAGAACAAGAACGTCGTTCTCGGTGTCGTCAGCACAAAGGTTGCCGACCTTGAGGATGCCAAAGACATGAAGGAGAAGGTCCTCGAGGCCGCCGACATCATCGCCAAGGGCCAGGGTGTCAGCCGTGAGCAGGCCATGGAGTGCATCGGTATCAGCCCTCAGTGCGGTTTCGCCAGCACTGGTGTCGGTGCCGAGGCCATGACCGAGGACAAGATGTTCGCCAAGCTCAACCTCGTCAAGCAGGTTGCTAACGAGCTCTGGCCCGACCGTGCCTAAACATTAGGCAGGTAGGAAAGAGTACGATTGGACTGATGAAGCTCTAACGAAAGAATCATGCATGGAGTCTAGGGGGAAATGTTCAACATTTTTTGGGGCTATGTGATTACGTTACTGCAAGTATATGCCGGGTCTGTCAACCAGCCGGACGAGAAGGACATTAGGGATGATACACTGATTGGATTGGAAAAGTTCAACATGGATTGGAATCATGTAGTTGGATTACAAAAGTAACAGAGATACAAACACATGAATAACACATGACAAGCTCGTGAGAGCTCGACGTCATATCACCCGACAGCAAGCTTGAATGTGATCTCTTGGAGCTGCGGAACCGAGGGCTAGAAGCATGGTAGGATTCTGTAGGCGTCAAACGTGAAAAGGTGAATGGATGACGAGAGGACCATGTGCTGTGCCGCCGCGTAGGTAACAAGGTTCGATATCAACGACATACTGCGAACGTCGTCCCAACAATGTGGCCGAGTGAGGGGTTTCGCAAGCAAGACTCCATTTGTGCACTCGATGCAAGCATACCCTGCATCACTGCATGCATTTAGAGGCACTGCAGCTCAGCAGCTCAGGGGAAACATGTCATGAAGCATTTGCAAAAAGCAAAGCAAGCAGCCAGCGAAAGTGGTACGAGTTTCGAGTGTAGGAAGCATCTCGAACGGTCATGGAAGGAAGCACAGATGTCGCGTTGATCTAGCTCTGAGCTCTCCCAGACCGGCCCGCAAAAAGCAGCAACAGCATGCCAACGCCCGTAGGTAAAAAGCGACGCGGTCAAGGACAGCGGGCGTAGGGAATGGAGACGCGAGAGAGCCACTCCCGTGTCCCCCAGACCATCCTACCGGTGTCGGGTGGTTTGCAAGCAAGCCTCAAGAGTCAAAAAGGCAGCAGAACAAGGTCGAAGGTCGGGGCAATTAGGAATGCCAAGAGGTCGAGCAGGAGAGATCAGCAGAGATGCTGTTGAGGCGCTTCACCGCGCTTGAGCCTTTCGCAAGGGGCAGCTTCAGCGTGTGGGGACGAGATCGACCATGTTATGGAATTCGCCGCTCGGAAAAACCCAAGCAAGACAGGCTGGGATTAGGGCAATGGTGAATTGGTAGATTCAGAGTCAGGACGCACAATGAGGTCGCGAGGACATGAGACTGTGTGCAGGTGAGGAAATAGCGTTTGCCGTGGTGGGAGTCGCAGCAAACACAGGATAAATGTTGGGAAGGTTTTGATGGTCAGCCAAATGGAGCAGGCGCGATGAAACGCAAGATTCGCCCGAGGTTGATCGGGTTTTGGCTGGTTCTCGATTTCGTTCAGGGTCATCGCTTGCTTCTAGCGCGTGGGCGACTACAGAAGCTTGGGGGACAATTTTTCTGGCCGCACCAGGTGGATTAAAAGCCGTCTCCCTCCTGTCCTTCCTTTGCAACCCGTTCGCTCATTCGCTCTGCAATCCTCCCAAGACCTCGTCCCGCACACGCAGGCTCAGGCTCTTAGTTGTCCCTTGGGTGTCTCTCAACAAGTCTTGTTGCACTCAATCCCCCCACTCGAGCCACTTGTCCCGTCTCTCGTCTCTCCTTATTACTAGCAATTCCCCAATTGACCTGTCTTTCACTCTCACCACAAACACAATGGCATCCACCACTGCTCTCCCCACACAGAGGGGCGCTGTCCACCGCTCCGTCACCGACCACTCGGTCGCCAGCTCGTCGGCTCCCTCCCAGGTTGTCTCGCCTGCCGACTCGCCTCGCAACTCTCCCTCCAGCACCTCGCTGTCCTCGATGGGCTCCGTTGACGAGGAGCCTCTCAAGAACCAGCGTGGTACCTTGCTCGACACGTACGGCAACGAGTTCAAGATCCCCGACTACACCATCAAGCAGATCCGTGAGGCCATCCCCGCCCACTGCTTCGAGCGCTCTGCTGCCACTGGTTTCTACTACATCACCCGCGACATTGTCTGCATCGCTACCACCTTCATCCTCTGCCACAACTTCGTTACTCCCGAGTACATTCCCTCGACCCCCGTTAGAGCTGGCCTCTGGGCTCTCTACACCGTCCTCCAGGGCCTGTTCGCTACCGGCCTCTGGGTCATTGCCCACGAGTGTGGTCACCAGGCTTTCTCTCCCTCCAAGACCCTCAACGACACCGTCGGCTGGGTCCTCCACTCTGCTCTCCTTGTCCCTTACTTCTCATGGAAGATCTCCCACGGCAAGCACCACAAGGCCACTGGCAACATGGAGCGTGACATGGTCTTCCTCCCCAAGACCCGTGAGGTTTACGCTGGCAGAGTTGGCCACGCTATCCACGAGCTCTCCGAGCTGATGGAGGAGACCCCTATCGCTACTGCCACCCACATGATCCTCCAGCAGCTCTTCGGCTGGCCTCTGTACCTCATCACCAACGTTACTGGTCACATCAACCACCACAAGCAGACCGAGGGTAAGGGTGAGGGCAAGCGTAACGGCTGGTTCGGCGGTGTCAACCACTTCAACCCCTCCAGCCCTCTGTATGAGCGCAAGGACGAGAAGCTGATCCTCCTCTCCGACGTCGGTCTTGCTCTTACCTGCACTGCCCTCTACTTCATCAACCAGAAGTTCGGCTTCCAGAACCTCCTCGTTTGGTACCTTCTTCCTTACCTCTGGGTCAACCACTGGCTCGTTGCCATCACCTTCCTCCAGCACACCGACCCCTCGCTTCCTCACTACGATGCCAACACCTGGACCTTCACTCGTGGAGCCGCTGCCACCATTGACCGCGAGTTCGGCTTCATTGGTCGCAACCTTCTCCACGGTATCATCGAGACCCACGTCCTCCACCACTACATCTCGACCATTCCTTTCTACCACGCTGATGAGGCTACTGAGGCCATCAAGCCCATCATGGGCAACCACTACCGCAGCGATGTCAAGGACGGCCCCGTTGGTTTCCTCAAGGCTATGTACAGCAGCGCCAGATGGTGCCAGTGGGTCGAGCCCTCGGAGGGTGCCCAGGGTGAGGGCAAGGGTGTTCTCTTCTTCAGAAACCGCAACGGTCTTGGTGTCCCCCCTACCAAGCTTGCTGCCAAGTCTGGTTAGATGATCCACTTGTACAGAAAGGATTGATTACTGCGATTTTGCGTTCAGCATGTTTTTCTCGACATTTATTCTTCTTCCAAACACATCCTCAGGCGGACCACCGAAGTCAAAGGGGCGCAACATAGCGTCGGGTCCACACAACATCATGGATACATAGCTGCCACACAAAGCCGCCCAGAGCCACGCGCCGCTCCCACCGGTGGCTGTCCCGATCAGCCATAGCGGTGTCTAATGTTCTTTGTCATTCCATGGAGGCGTTAGTTCAAAACACAGGAGAAATGGGGACTTTGAGTGCTGGCTGGCATACAAACATAATTTAGATGGGAAAGGGACCTGTAGATGAGATCTTGATCATTTTTGACAGGTTCTGAATAGACCATTGCTCTGTCGTTTTTGGAAATACCGAAATATGAAAAGTCGATCGCTCCACTCCCAAATAGATGCTTACCTCTTTCGTGACCTTATCTTGACATGCTCTTAGTAACGATAGTCTGATGCGAGAGTAGAGTTGTCTATGATTTCGTATGGCAGCACCGTTGAACGCCTTTGGGTATCTTTCAATCAACAGTAAAAGTACAGTATACATGTGAATAAGAACAGGGGCAAGCAAGCTTATCCCTCAATTCTTCTCCGTCTCATCGTCAGGATTCCTCCAAAAGGCCTTCCTGACAGGCTCGGTCCGGATGTCCCAGATCTTTTCCGAACTGCCCTTCTCAGCCTTGTCTCTTTCATCCTTTGCCTGATAAAACTCCTTGATGCGCTCTTCTCTTTCATGGTCGGGCAAAGCCTTGATACGCATGCAGAACCAAAAGGCATTCCAATTGTCCGAGCAGCTTTTCAGTTCGCCGTAGCGGTAGATATCGTTGAACTTGCCGCCTAGGGATTGGCAGTAGAATGCTTGATCGAAGGCTTGACGGCAGGACATTTGGCGTGGGTACAGGGCTTCAGGGGAAATGTCGAGGGGAGCGTCGTTTTCTGATTGCTGCTCGATCGAACCCGAGGGGGAAGGGACGTAGTGTGTGGGTGTTTCTTTTGGCGCTGGTGTTACGTTCGTGATTGTTGGAGCTACACTTGTGGGTTCTTGTGTTTGAACTATGGGTTTCGTCGTTGTCGAGGGCTTTTCGAAGGAAGCGAATAGTGCTTCGAAGTCGCTGTCTGGTGAAGCATTCTTCTTTGGTGTCTCCCTGAATGGTATTGATGCCGGCGCCGGAGGTTGTGCTGTTGTTGGAGGAGCAGACTCCGTGGCAGGAGCCACTGTTGAATCTGATGACCACCACCAACCCATGACTTGATATTATTTGAATGTGTGTTTGTTTCGAGAGGAAAAAGTTATGGCCAAGACATGCATCTCCAGAGTCCAAAGCTGCTCTGGAAAGTCCGCTCCAGCAAGCCACACGTGACGTCGTCGCTCACTTCCAACTTCCGTAACTCCCATCCAACAAGTTTGATACAGGTCCCTTTTCTCTATCTTTTTTCACTGATTTTCGTCGTCGATCTGATCGTCTTTTCTGGAAATATTGGATACCAGTTTGGATAACAGGACCATGGACTCATAATGCTACCGACTCGACATATATTAGCACGCCAGCTGATGCGCCCTGGCCTGCCCAGGGTGAATCGTGTGGCATGTGCTCAATCATTACGCTACAATTCTCTGGAAGCCGGTGAAAACAACACCGGTCATATTAGTGCTGCTTCTAACGAAGGTGTACTATTCTTCAATAGTAAGCCTTGCTTATTTCACCCATCGAGAAAAGCCTACATCTAATCTCGGCATCAAGATCTTTATCCTCTCAGGTTACAATGGCTCCTCCGTTTGCCACTTTTGAGCGCCGACAGACTGTTCTCGACTCTGACTGGAGGTGACAAGTCCATGGGAGCCATTGATCCTCAGAAGGTCATCAAGCGGGCACAGGAAGCTACCCCTGACAAGCAGGTACAAGCTAACGTGGTCGAAGTGCTGCCCAGAATCAAGGAAGGAGGTGCTTTTGTCAAGTTCACATATGATTCCGGCTCAAAACTATCGGATATTGAAGCAGCTGTACAAAAGCATCTTCAAGATCATCAGGTCAAACCTTGGTGGGCACCTATCACTAATGTTCGCGCTGGACTAGTCAAGGGTAAGCCATGGGTCGAGGATCTGTATCGCTTGCCTAGCCAGCGTCTGAGAATCGAATTTTTGCCTACCGCCCCTGGTGGTGAGATTGCGGAGCTGTCTCAAGAACAGCTCTATGCCTTCTTCAGACCCTACGGAAAGCTGGCAGATATCATTTCTCAGCCTTCTGACTCGAAGGTGCTACCAAAGTTTGCCAATATTGATTTCACGACTGTTCGCAAAGCCGTCATGGCTAAGAACTGCTTGCACGGCTATGTTGTATCAGAGGCACAGGGCGGTGGCAAACTAGGCACAGTCTTCAGAATCTCTTACGAGAAGAAACAAAAGGCTCGATGGTTCATCGATTGGCTTACGAGCCATCCAAGAATAGTCATTCCTGCTGTCGCTGCCCTCGTCGCTGGTATCACGGTCGCGGTCTTCGACCCTATTCGTACCGCATTCATCAAGGCACACATCACGCGAACGCTCCACCTTGAGGACAACAGAGTCTACCGCTGGTTTAAGCAACAGGCGAATGACCTTCTGGATGTTGTCCGTCTCAGATCGCATACTCCCGATGAAGCTGGAATGGAAGCTATTTGGGAGGACCAAAGAGGAAACATCAATCAGATCAAGACCTGGCTCATGGAGACCGCAGACACTTTCATCGTGGTTCAGGGTCCCCGTGGCTCAGCGAAGCGCGAACTGGTCGTTGATCAAGCTCTGAAGGATCGTAAGAACAAGTTGGTCATCGACTGCAAGCCGATCCAAGAGGCCCGTGGAGATGCAGGCACGATCAGCGCTACTGCTGCCGAAGTCGGTTACCGCCCAGTCTTCTCGTGGATGAACTCAATCAGTGGACTCATCGATCTTGCAGCCCAGGGTGCAACTGGTGTCAAGACCGGCTTTTCCGAGACCTTGGACTCTCAGCTCCAGAAGATCTTTACAAACACTGCTACCGCTCTGAAGCAGATTGCTCTTGATGGAAGAAAGAAGGACGATAGAGACGCCAACCTCAGCGATGACGAATACCTTGAAGCACATCCCGAGAGAAGACCTGTCATTGTCATCGACAATTTCTTGCACAAGAGTCAAGAAGGCACTGTCGTTTATGATAAGATTGCTGAATGGTATGTGAAGTGGTACCTATCCTAGATCCAGAAGACTAACCGATTCAGGGCCGCTCGTGTGACCACCTCTAACATCGCTCACGTTGTGTTTTTGACTCACGATGTTTCATTCAGCAAATCACTGTCCAAAGCTCTGCCAGACCGCGTGTTCCGTCAAATCTCTCTTTCCGATACCTCGCTCGAGGTTGCCAAACGATTCGTCATCAACCATATCGATTTCGAAACCGAAGATGCCGAAGCAGGCATCAAACAGTTGACTCCCTCTCAACGTCGCAAAGATCTTGGCGAGCTTGACAGCGTCCTCCCTGCTCTTGGAGGTCGCTTGACTGACCTCGAATTCCTGGCTCGCAGAATCAAGGCTGGCGAGACCCCTCGCAAGGCTGTTCGTGAAATTGTCGAGCAATCTGCCAGTGAGATCCTGAAGATGTTCGTGCTTGGCCAGGATGATAGTGGCAGACAATGGACACCTCAACAAGCCTGGCTGCTCATCAAGCAGCTAGCCAAGGACGAAAGCATTCGCTACAACGAGATTTTGCTGTCTGACACCTACAAATCTGGCGGTGAAAAGGCTCTCGCGGCTCTCGAGCAAGCAGAACTCATTGCCATCCAGTCCTACAATGGCCGTCCTTATGCCATCAAGCCTGGTCGTCCAGTCTACCAGCCTGCATTCGAGAAGCTGTCCGAGGATAAGGTCCTCAGGTCACGCATGGATCTCGCAGTCCTGGCTGAAGGCATCAAGGCCGAAACACAGAGCATCGACAAGTACGAGCAGGAGTTGCATTTGCTGGGTGAGCTGCCGAAACAGCCGGCAGAGTTGACGAGCCGTGTCAACTATCTCTTGGCTAAGATCATGGCTAGTCAGGCCAAGGTTGAAGTCTATGAGAAGCAGAGTGGTGAACTCAAGAAGATTTTGACAACAGAATACTAAGATAGCATAAGAGGGAGGATGCTTTGGATTCAGTCATCCCATCTCAATTTTGTAATAACAAGATTAGCGAGCGTTAATTAAACATCTTTTTTTGACCGGTGCATCGCTCGACCCATAGGATTATCATCTGATATGATTGCTCTTTTCTTCGGCAATTTGGGCTATATCATGCTCATGATAGTGAGAGAGATGTACGAGTAGGTTGTCACAAAATTGCTTGTCACTTCCGAAGTCGACCAATGGAGTTTAGAAAATCATCAAGTGTATATTGCAATCAAACATCATAAAAAGGGTATCATTTCCCAGCATTAACCCACGCCTTCATAACAGCACCGCCATCAAAGATACCACCATTCCCCAACGACCATATCGACAATTTTCTACCCGAATCTCTTCTCTCCTGCGTATCCGTCTGTATCGTGACCATTTTCGTAATAGCACTTCCACCCGAATTACTCATATTGTATCTCTGCCCTCCTTCTAATTCAACATCTTCAGGTCGTTGTTTGTCGAATTGCCACCATCCTGCGTGATCGGTCCGCGGTGATGCGTGTTTTGTTCTACGACAGCAGGTTCGGAGGGTTATCGCTCGGAGGCTGGGGAGGGAGGCGCAGATTATGCCGACGTTTACTTCCATGCTTGAGAGCCAGGCTGCTGGGCCGTTGCTTTGGGAAACGTCGTTTGCGGTTGCGATGACATAGAGGGGTCGGAGGCGGGCCATGGATACGAGACAGACACTACAATGACTGTATCAGTAACCAAAACAGATTGTATGAGCAGCGAGGAGGAAACTTACAAGCCACCGAGAGCAAAGACGGCGATCAGACCTGCCTTTTGACGTCTGGGAAGATTGAGGCCTTTGAGATATGGCATGGGTAGACTCAGCAGGATGAGATCTGTGAGGATGTTTACGGATGCATCGCTGAACCATTTTGCTTCGAAGATCATGCAATGGCCATCTACGGTTTGGTCCCAGAAGCGTTTGACAGGGAAGCAGATGAATAGAGCTCCGAGGACTGACCAGGTTCCTGGAACAACATGTCAGTATTGTGCTCTCAAGGTAAAATAACATCAATACTCACCGTATGCTGCAACGAATACTAGCATGCCGATGATGACTCTGTTGATGGTTCGGTCTTTGAAGAGTCGCATGTATTGTAAGAGGATTGATAGTTTCGTCAAGGTCAAGCCTGCCAGGTAGGTCGGGATGAGTTTCCAGAGGGTCTGGTCCACTGGGTCAGTTCATGACGGCAGTTAAGCTTGTTGGCTCGTACCTTCTTAAGAAGTTGGACATCATCTGCTGAAAGAGCACTCTGTGCAAGACCCTGTCCGTGCTGGACCTCTGGTGGCGGTTAACATTGAATGATGTTTTAGCAGAGAGCGGATTCACCTACCAACTACCACGAGCGCTACTTGGGCTACTGAGAAACACTACCGATGTGTCAGAGTCTTCTCTTATAATCCATGTCGTCGGTTGACTTACAAATGCCGCTGTAATGACCAAGTCCTCGAGACCATAATTGCGAGTAACGATGACACGCGTAAAGAGCCGTAGAGACAAAACAACAAACGACAGAGCAAGAAAGACGGAAACAATGATAACTTGCTTCGTGCCTTCGTAACCGCCCCACTGAACCATGGCTATATATGTTGATATAATGCTTCGAACACGGAGAATACTCCAGTTGACCAAAAGAGAGTGGAGAAGAGAGGTAAAGGAGTACATGCGTAGCTTATGATGAGGTACTCCATCCTGCCATGCCGGCTGCAAGGCGGTTGAGCCGCGCGCACACGCTGCACGCCATCCTCATCCAAGGACCAATATCATTCCAGCGGATGTGTTAGGACGTTGAACCATCAGCAGCCGCTTGGAGTATTTTTCGGTTGTCTGCCGGGCAGTGTACGCCATAGCCCCTGATATCCCAGACTATTGGATAAGCTAGTCTTGCGTACTTGGAAGGAACCATGGACGTGCCCTTGCATTCGCACACGGGGAAAAGAAAAGCACGTCTGGATTGTCTTGGAATCCTTCAAAAGCCACCATCGTGGAAGTCGCAATGGATGGTCAGAAGTTGAGACTAGCAGTCGCCCGTTTTTCCAGGGTAGTGCCTACCTTTGAGTGTTGGTTTCTCATTGCCCCACGATATCGTGTCACATAAGGATGCAACGGCCTCCCGGACATGTTCGGTAGCCAAAGTCTGAAATCTTATTCCGGTTGTGAGCCCTAAGCTGAGAGACTTACCGTTGTCAGCTCTAGAAGATTGAGATGTCTTCCAGGCAGCCTCAATATACATCGTTCAGCACACATGAACTGGTGCTTGCATGTGTAGAGACGAATCAATGTGTGGACGTTGAAGTGATATTATTTGAATTGCAAAATGGCAGGGAATCTCGCTTGTGACTCGAGTCTCGACTGCTACCACGACCAGAACTCGGCGCTTCCTCCGAGCAACAAGAACATCTTCCTAAACGTCCAGGATGTGACGGCTACAAATGTTACATAAACAACGGCCCGATTTGCTATTTCTCCGTCTGTTCTCGGTGTGATTCTGGAAGGACCGAAGCTTCAGATATTTCAATGTCGTAGCTTACCATCTCAGGACGCCCACTTGGTCTATCTCGACCCTTACTGCAATAGATCTAATGAGATTTCTTTGCTGCCTGATATGAAGGTCATACTGGTCGGACTTGTATGTGTCTGAAACCTTGCCTAGCCTCCAAGAGTCACGGCAGAGCTCCACAAACGGCACTTGGGGAGAAGGAGCATTTATCACGGAAGTCCTGAATGTCAAGGATGAACGATGTAATTTTCTGAACTTTATCTTTCTATAGAATAGCAGGTTCTCTTCAAACAAGACGCAAAAAAGAAAGAAAGAAAACTGCAGCACCTTGTCTGCAAATGCTGAGCTCATCCAAGAAGTTATGGACAGCATATCTGGTGACTTGGCAGCTCGAGAGTGGCAAGAATAAGACCACAGTGTCAGTTAGTTAGACGGGATGAAAGTCGTACCATCCTCACGGATAGCGGCTTCGAAGGTATCGGCAACTGGATGAAGTTGCAGCGTGTACTTGATATGAGGCCCGCTGTTCGTTGCTTCTGTGACTTCTTTCTTGGAATCCTTGTACAGCATGAACAAGTCATCAGCAAGTCCATCGACGCGGTTTTGAATCGATCTTGCTCCGAGCTCACGAATGTAGTCCTCGGCAAGAAACTTGCACAAGTCTCCGTCCCTCAGAAGTGATAGATGGACATGACCGACAGGGCGTGGGGGCCTGCTGTGTAGATCAATCGGAAGGACGACATCGTCTCCTAGTGTTCTGAGGAATTTGTGATTTATGACCGCAGCCTCATCGCGGCTGAATGGGAAGAACGGCAGGAAACTGCTGATACGACCTGTCACGGCAGGCTTACAGACGTTAGTAATACTCTAAATGCTGATTCAGAAGCCCAACTCACCGTGTACGCTTCGATAAAGAGTTTGTAGAGATCATGCTGTAGTGGCTTGATAGATACATGACGCTTTTCGCTGTCACTCTTGCCTTTGAGATTCTTGTCGTAAAACTTCGAAATTAAATCATCGCCTTTGTTCGAGGCGAGAACCCAGATGGATTTGGTCACGTCCAGAACTGTATTCGAGCGCAGATCCATGCCAATTCTGTATTGAGAGTCAAAACAATTCTCTTGGGAATATGAGGAACAACTTACCCAGTGTCCAAGATCGTGAGAAGAGATTCGCGTACTTCCTGCTTGGTTTTGTCGAACTCGTCCAAGAAAATAACGCATCGCTGTCCCCCATGACTTGCGAGATAGTTGTTCAAAGGCGACCCACCCAAAGATCTTTGATACCCTGCAGCAGCACCAAACAAGCTCATCACAGTGTGCGTTTTGCTCATATCAACGTTGCAGATGTCAGTTCCAAGAAGTGATCCGAGGCTGGTCGCGAGCTCTGTCTTGCCGTGACCGGATAGACCAGCAAATGACAGGACTAGCGGGCGCTTCCTGTGCATCGTATCATAGGCCATGATCTTGTTCATCACGGCTTCGAGTGCATGATCCTGTCCAATGATGTGGAAAGGTAAGTGAAGGATACGCGGACAACCAGAGAGCTGAGCCAGCTGACGTTGTCTTGCTGTCGCGAGTTTTGTGAGGCTGGCACGGTTCAGATGATACCGAATGGTGAGGTTCAGAGTTTCCACAAGAATGAGGCGATGTTGCTTCTTCACCCAGGTGGCCGAGGGATGAGGAGAACTGTCCTTGTTGTGATCTGCAGTCGGCATTTGGATGTACGTTGACCACATGTTCTCCGGAATGCAGCGCGGATCGGCACCATAGGAAAGTAGAAGCGCGACCATCTTGTCGGCATTCTTGTAGGTCCATTTGGTCCACATTATGGTTGCTGCAAGCAAAGGGATGTTGTTGGGGTCTTTTGCACATGGATCGGCGCCATATTCCAGAAGAAGCTCCACGATGTCGAGTAGATTTCTCTTGACGGCGTGGAAGATCACAGAATGATGACCCTGAATAGTGTCTGAGATCTTGTCCTCGACAGTCTCGCGCTTGTGACTCTGGAGATAGTTTTTAATCTCGGCTGGGGTGCAGCCAGCCTGGATTCCCGCTGCCAAAATCTTGGGGGTGAAGAACAGATACGTGCTTGCCGAAAGAGTGTCATGAGGTAGCTCAAAGGGCTCCAGGCGCAAAAATTGAGGTAGTTCTGCCATGGGTGTTGTGATCTGTATGATACAAGCAGAACTAAGCTAGAAGTATGGCAGCGGACGCCATCTTGTATAGAGTTGCTTGTGTTGTCGTAACATATATCTTGAGTGTTGCCTGGAGAACAAAGGGAGCACAAATGCAATAACGTGGTCTCTAGGACTCCGGGTTGAAGAGAGCCAGTTGAGAGACCGCAATACATGTGATGTTGAGACCCTCCAGTCTTATGCAGGGACGCTGGCGCAGTTTGCTCAAGACAGGTTTTGAACGGCGTCTCATATGTGCATCCATAAAGACTCGTGTAATGCGAGACATGTGAGAAAACACAACAACTCGCAGAATCGGCGCCCAACAAAGCTCAGTCGGCTGACGGACAGTACGAGTCCGTGAGTTGAAATGGGTAAGAAGAGCGTCGCAACTTCCTCTACTGAAAGAGAACTAGTTTACAGCTGACAGCGACAGGCACAGTGATCATGACGAAATGAGTTTTCTCCATTGAAATCTGACTCTTTGACCAGATCATCTTTTCATGGACTTTTTGATTCAAGCATCGTTCTGTGCTCCTACGATGCTTTTCTCTTTGGCAGCCCAACACTATGCGGGTTCATTTCTTGCCGTGTTCGATCCGGATGTATACTTTTTCATGCAGTTGTTTTAAGGCCTCAACGCTCATCCTTGTTCTCAACGACCGTTGGACCTGTCCAGAAATCCCAAGTGCTTCATCCTCTCTGCGTTGACTCCGCTGAACTCCCTGCGCCGTCTTTCCCTTTCGTCTTCGTCCGGACTGTTTGTTGTGGGTGGGGTTGCGACCTGCATGGGTGACTGGGCGTATTTTGTTGTGCGCTGGTGAAGTCCGCCGGCAGCGCCTTTGATAGAGAAACCTTCACCACTAGAGTAGTCTTCGCTAGTCCCTTGCATTTCGTCATCACGCATATCTCCAGCTGGCGGAGGTGGAGGGGGAGGTGGTGCAGGTGCAGAGACCCTTGCCTTTTTGCCTTGTTGGTCATCTCCTTCTGAGGCACCTGCTGCTGAACCTTCCTCTTCTCGTGCTCGCTTCAAGACAGCCGGACTTGTCATAGCAGAGAGGTCGTTGCCATCGTCCAAGTCGGCAAGAGTTGTGGGTTCGTCGACGTCGGCAGCCTTGGGCGAATCGATTTGCATCGGCTCCGTGTCTCCTTGGCTTGAAGTTTGTCCTTTGCGTTGGTCGTGCTCTTTTTTCTTCACGACAGCCTTCTCGAAGAAATCTGTCACGAACTTCTTGACTGCCTTCTCTTGTCTTGGGTCGATCTTGTATGGATCGGCGACACGCTTGTTTTTGAAATCGGAGTTGACAAGCTTTTTCGAACATTCTTTGGCGAAGCGCTTAATATCCTCTTTGTCTAGTTTGCCCCTGTATTTGTTTGCGACGTGGATGACGGATGGGAAGAGCTACATGAATGTTAGCTTCAAGGTGTCGACACTGTTGTGCATGTTCGTGACAAACCGTATTTTCGTACACCCTCTTCTGTTTCTCCTCGGGTAACGAACGCCACTTCTCATCAGGCTTGGCTTTCATAGGTGTCTCAGTCGGTGTCGCAGTGGCCGAAGGCTTGTCAGTGTTTGGTGTTTCTTTCTTGTTAACGATACCCTGAATCAGATCCTCGAGTTTCTGCGCTTCGGACAAGACTCTGGGCGGCGGTGGAGGTGGTGCATTCACCGCTGATTGTGTGGGCGGTGTCCATTGCACTTTGCCATTGCCGTCGTAATAATAGCGAGAACCGTTCTGATCGAAAGCGACGTACCAGCCGGGAGGGAGCTCAACAGGATGGGGTCGAGATCTGAAGGGAGGCCTGGAGCCACCTTGGAAGAAACCGCCTCCACGGTGCGGGCCTCCTCCACGCGGGCCTGAAGGGGTTGCCTTGGCAGATGGTCCTTTGGGAGCCCTCGGTGCTTCAATCGATCTTGAGCGCGAACGGGATCTGCTTCGCTCGCGAGCCTTTCTCTCAGAACGATCAAGCCTCTTGTCTTGTTGTAATAGGTTGGGGTCTCGCTTCACACGCGGGATGCGGTAGGCGATTATAAGCTTGCTCCATTCGTCGAAGATCTTTCCAGCTTGCGACTTGACTCTTTCGTCTTCGTTGTCAAGCAGGCCCTCGACGGTGACATCGATCTTGGAGTCGGCAATCTTGTTGCGAGTCAAGCGGGGGATCTTGTTAAGAATGTCCAGAATTTGCAACAGGATGTTGGTGTCGTCGTTGTAGGTCTTGAGAAGCTTGTTGAGAATGACATAGCCGTGCATCTTGGCTACCTTGAAGAGTACGTTCTCGTTGTCGCAGCTTTGTATACGGTTCAGAAGCTTGACGATGATCCATTTTTCCTGGTTCTTGTAGATCTCACCCATGACAGCCTTGACGTCTGCTGGACCAAGCTGCTTCAGCTCGATGCTATCGATGTATTCTTCATCGTCCTCAGAGGCCTTCTTCTTGCGCGGCTTTTTGGTGTGAGCGGCATTCTCCCAATCCTCATTGCCGAAGATACCGAGAGCCTTTTGGATGTTGGATGAGAGCTGGGTTCCACGGTCGTCGGTTTGTGTCTTGCCGCCAATGAAACCGGAGCAGTTTGGTTCGCCGCAGTAACAGGGTTGGGGGTCGGCGCCGTAGCGGTCGACATTGTAGTTGAAAGTGAGTTCTTCTCCGGCTTCAACGCGGCGCTCGGCGAAGATGCCCATGCGGAGTCGATCGCCAACAACCCATTTGTCGACAAAACAGTTCGGGTTGCACGAATGGTTGCAGAATCGGCCGAGGTTGCCCTTTTTTGTTGCATCAACAAACTCTCCTTTGCTGAGCGACATGAAATAAAAGTGTTTGATGCCCTCTTGGTCATATTGGTGCATGCGCCGTCTGAAGGCGGGCTCTGAAATGACTTCGCCAATGTATTCGAAGATGAAGTCATTTTGCTTGAGGTCCTTGTTAGCACGCAGACCAAAGCCTTTCTTATCGGTCTTGATGACAGAAACATCGGCGTACACCTTGCGCTGGAAGCGCTGGTTTTCGCAGCCGTCTCCGCAACCGCAATCCTCGGGGCACTCCATCTTGGTGGCCCGGTTGATACAGTCCGAATCCTCGCCGCAGGCATGATTGGACTGGGTGTGCGCGTCTACAAGTAGCGTTAGTTAACAGCAGCTATGGGATGCGCATTATGACATACCCCATTCTTCGACACAGTCACATTCGAGCGCCTGCTCTGTGGTGCCAAGATGCTTTGCGCCATAGGTGCAGTCGGGCAGGACTTCGAAGGTCGAAGTGGCTTCATCAGTAGAGTCGGGCAGATCGGTGTATAATTGACGGGGGCCAGTGATGATTTTATGCGACATTGTGCGAGACAGCTTTGGGGCTTTGCCAGGCTCAATCTTGATGCTGAGATCGCCACCTATCGTCTCTTCGCGCTCACCCTTGACCGCCGGGGATTGTGTAGCGCTTGGATACTTCGAGGAAGGCGTTTCTGTCTTGACTCTGCGGGGAGTGCCTCCATTAGACATGGGACGCGCCTGCTGGTCTTCGGCGACAGTAGAAGATTCGCGTGTTGCGGCGCCCTCGCTTGTATCCACTGCTAAATCCATCTTTTCCACCTCGGTCGTGAGGCTCTTGCCTCTGGCATCTCGCGGGCCGGGCATGGCGGTAATGTGATTTGGCGAAATCGTGCGTCGCGCAAAACCAGAAGGTCGTTCGTGGTGTTGAATTGACAGGATTTAAGCAGCCCCGGATTCTTCGACACTCTTGTAGCCAAAACGCATCCCGATGGGCCGGCGGCGCTGTATGGAAGGAGACGGAAGTACGAGTGATGTAGACGACGATGCGTGGCTCGTTGGCTTCGCCGAATTACTGAAAGTGGGAAACGTGCTCAACGCATGTGGCGAGCTCTTGGAGGTATGGATGGAATCGCAGACGGCAGGCGAATAGGCTCGTGTAATGAACGCTTGCAAATGAACGTTTCTCTGAATGCGATTTAGGTCTCGAATCTAGAGTAGGTACTTGATGGCCACTTTCACATACATTGACTACAGCTGGACAGAGTTCCCTATGGCAGCCTTCTCATTACCCTCCGTCGATCGCAGTAACACGGACTGTGCAATGAAAGGAATAAGAGAGGTTTGCTGTGTCGTGTTGCGACTGACGGCAGGGATGGATGAGATGGACGCCATGCCATCTTCTTCAACTCATCCACCGTTTCGCCAGAAGCTTGGCGCGCTGACCAAAGACCTGGTCACGGCTGTCACCCTGGTACTGTGCAAGTAGCCACAGCCAAACACACGTCGATCAACTCCAAGACAGCTTGCTGTCTATATCGAGCACGCAAACCATCTGAATGTGTCTCGGTCTCGATTGATCGAGTCAGATTGGTGTCAGTTCAGCCACCACCTGGCTCATTCCAACTTTTGAGCTGCAGGGAGGTATGTTTGCCGCGGAGGCTCATAGTTGTCCACTCGCAATGCGACCAGCGCGCCCTACAAGTTTTGCAAACGTAGAGCAGATACTTGTACTTACTTGAATAGTTGGATGCTAGCATAGGTACGGCATGCAGTAACATTGCCCAAGCCGTACCTGTAGGTTAAAGTTTAGGCGGATTGTAGTGCTTGTCGAGACTACTCGAGTACAAGTGCAAGGTGAGCCGAAGCGAGCTGGCAGCAAGAATGTTGAGAAACCTTGGTTGAATTCTTCTGGAGAGGAAAAGACATCCACCAGGCGCGCACTTGCATGTGTTTCGATGCAATGCAGGTTCTGATACGACGCGGAAATTTTGAACTCGCAGTACAACCAGGGTTGGCGGTCCCGGCAATCTGGAGTGCAGTGAGGAGCCGTCTGTCTGCGAATCTCAATGACCCACGGCCAAGAACCAATGAACCGACGAGGAGATACTCTGGAAATCGGTTGCTCTTTGTAACTGCGTGGCTTCATGTAAGAACTGACGAGGCCTCTGCTTTAGCGTAAAGGCATCCCGGGTTGAGAATCCGCGTAATTTTGCGCCGAAGCGAAGATCCAAGGCCCTACTTCGCAAGGCAGGATGAAACTAGGTACTGTCGTGTGCTCGCCGACTGTCGCGATTAGACCATCCAGAGGTTGAACGTCGACAATTCGTTCGTGGTGATGGCTGTTCTTCTCCGCGTGTGACCGTGCCTCCTGGGCGGATTGAACGAACTCCCCGCACCAGATGTCATGGTTTGCAAGATGTGCTAAAGCGTAAAGACAAGGCTGAATTCTAGCAATCAAGGTGAGAAGAACAGAGCCAACATGCCGAGCGTTTCATGTTGGGTTGCCGTGTACCGGGACGAGCGGACCCATCGCAAAAGCGCGGGACTCTCAAAGCCGAGAAAAGTCAACTCAAACCCAGCCTCCGGATCGCGCACATGGTCTGGTCTGTTCCGACAGCAGCAACAAACAGTTTGCTGGGAACAGGTAGGTCTATATCATCTACGGGAAAACGTCTGCAGAATGTGGCTACTATATCCATACTCGAGGATCACCCACACAACCCGGATTGGCGGCATCGTTTGGCCTTGGTGAAGCATGACATCCATCTTGCAGGGAGATGTGCGCCAGGATGCAGTACCTGCATGCATCAACCTCGCCCTCTAGAACCGAGATCCCAGCCCTCTCTGAGCCTTGACGAACCCCATTCTCCACTCTGGTTCCATGCTCGCGCCTTTTTTCTTCCCTAATGCTTAATGATTGTAGTTGTTTCTTTCCTTCTCTGCGCCTTGTGAGGTTTTTCTCGCACTTCTCTATGCTTTCTTTCAAGGCAAGCAGTCTTTTCCGTTTCGTCGTCTGACTGACGCACTTTCGTTTCACCAGCTGCACTCGTTTCCTTTCTCATATCTGAGACTTGGCCCTATTTCTTTGTAATACATGTTCGCCTTCTTCTCTTCTTCTTCGTTACTTCTCCGGCTCGTTACAGAATGAACCCTCGGGACGTGAGCTTCAACGCGCACGAGCAACTCGAGATACTGGCCGAAATCATCAAGTCCAGCAATATCCATCCGGACGTGCTTGTCCTGTTTATACGACAGCACGGCATCAATCCAGATTGGGGTAATGTGGCGCTACCAAGGGGTATGTATCTTGCGCTTACGCGAAGCGGCTCATGAACTGACTAGCTCTTCCAGGACGAACAGTTAATCAATGCAACAACTGGTTCTACAGTGTCATGAATCAACCTGGACCGTCGGGACCTGCTTCGGGCCATATGAGATCTCAAAGTCTTCAGGGGCCCGTCCCAGCATCGTCGCTGAAACGTCCATTCAGTCCGGAACAACATTCCTTTGCAGGTGGCCGTCTTCTTGTGCCCAAGCCACCGATGTCTACTATCGGCAACATACTCAATCAACCACCCGAGCCACCAAAAAAGAAACGTGGTAGACCCACCAATGCAGAGAAGGCAGCTAGAACTCAGCAAGAGCTTGCACATGGGCAATCGTTCCGACCTCCCCAACGCGCACCTCCGATCGCAAGCAGCAGTAGCAGTGCTGTTGCACCGGGTCCATTATCAATTGCAACGCACGCTGCTCAAATTGCCATGACGCCGCAGATACGCGACCAGCCCGTCAGCGCAGGTGAATCCGAGAGTTCGTCTAGCAAGAAGCGAGGTCGTCCTTCGAATGTCGAGAAGGAGACACGGCGATTGCAGCAAGAATACGGCGAGCCTCCCGAAGTTGCGTCAGGCCCAAATCGCCCTGGTCCATCACGATATCCGAATATACTCTCTCCCGACGAAAGCCTTGGAGAAGCTGGTCCTAGGAGGCAAGAAGGCTCACCACCAGGCAGAGGTGATGCGGCAACTTACCGATAGTTCTTGCATTCCTGGACACTCCATATCCAGCAATACACAAAGATCCCGATCGCATCTTGATGTTTTAACGACATGCCGCTACGACCGCATACTTCCATTGGACTTGGTTCGTACTGCGCGATACTGGCAATTCCCTTCGACCTCCGATCTCTTTACTCTTAATTTCCTTTGCCTTTACATCTCTTTTGTTGGTTTCACACGAAACATAATGACGGTTGGATCATAGTGATATATGATGATTTGACGGCCTCACATCTACGGCCTCTGATATCTCGTTCTCTGGACGGTGTATCTCTCACGAATTGGCATGCAGGCAGGCACTTTTTGGATTTTGCCATGGTGATGGTTATAGAGCTGTAACACGACGTAATACGATTAATCAGAGCCTAATTTATGCATTACACTGCACCTGAAATTGAAAGCCGCTCTTCGACGGGTTCGATGACGAGTTCTTATTAATGCTCTAATGTCACGATACTCTCAAAGCGTCTGAAATCATCAGCGGCCAACACCCTCTCGCTGCGGGTATGACCCTGCCTAGAAATATGTCTTCTTTTCTCCCCCAATCTGACACTCCCTGTGCCAGCCTAGCACACTGATTTCTTGCGTACTGTTACTGCAGTATCCCTTTGATGATGTGTCGTCGTGTCTAAGGATATGCTTCCCTCTCACCACTCAGTTTGCAACAAAATCTTGTTTTGTGTCACCAACACAAGCAAAAGTCGCACAAAACATTGACATCAAGAAGCGGTATTTAAGATTGACTTTTAGAAATCGTGCTCGCATAAAATAATAGTATCTTACAGAATCTACTGACCCAATCCAACGCTCACAAACATGCAAAGGTCGTTAATTGGAAAATTATAATGACACAGCCGCCCTGCGGCTCCATCCAGTTTTACCACCCAAGTCTACGTCAACCAGCTTCAACGAAGCTTGATCAATTGTCGTATGGCGGTCTTTTGTATTTTGGTGTACGTCCAGACATTGTATCCGAAAAATGGAGAGCTTAGGGAGCTCTAACGTTGGACTTGTTCTCGCCGTGCTCGGGGTCCTCGTGCTTCTTGACATGCTTGCCCTTCTTCTCGTCGGCGGACTCCTTTTGCTTGACGGCAGCTTCGCGCTCCTTGATACGCTCTTCCTCAGCGGCGACCATGTCTGTACAGCGTTAGTAATAAGTCTCGAGAATTGGCGAAAAGTGTCAATGTTGCTTACCCATCCACTGGTCCTCACCAGAGTAACGCTCGTGGTGAATCTTCTTCTCAATGACGTGCTTGTGGGTGGGGTCGTTGGGATCGAGGACCTTGACGGTCTCCCAGCGGCCCTGGCCCTGGTTCTTGTCCTTGGCCTCAAGTGCCAAACTGGCAATGACGACAGCCAGAGTCAAACCCTGAGCGTAGACACGAGCCTGAACAAGCTTCTGCTGACCACTCAGGTAGGGGTTGCGACCGACAATGCCGAAAGCAGTGGTCATTGAGGCGAGCCATGAACCAAAGACAATGCTGTAGCGGTTTGTCGAGGCCCAGTCTTGCGCACGCTGGGAGAAAGGCTTCTGCGACTCGAGCTGTTCTTGTAGCGTTTGCTGCTGGTCGGTGTATTCCTTCTCGGGATGGCGGCTAGCCTCGAAACCACGCGAGTAACGGTCGGCATTGATAATGGCGGCGAAAGTACCAGCACTGGTGATCAGGAAGGCGCGGAATGGCAGGGAGAGGCCGCGGAAGGCTGGGTATTTCCTGCTGGCGCCCAGGACACCGACAGCACCAGCTGCTGTACCGAGCAGACCACCGATAGTACCTCCATAGACGGTAGCGCTGCGTTCATTGTTAGCAGGGCTCAATGGCACGAGGGTGGGGTCACGAGATCGGAGACGTACTTGTAGTGCTCCTGCTCTTCTTCCTTTGTGAGAATCTTCATGATGTGCTAGTTGTGTTTGGGATGGGAAAGTGGGATGCGATTGGGAAGTGGGAGGAGAGTGTTTTGATGTGTATGACGACTTTGATGAGTGAGGTCAAGATGTACAAGCAAGATCAGGTCGTCAAGACAGAATAATTAATAAGAGCCTAAGTCCGTATCTCGCCGATATCACACTGACGTACACGCCACACGCAGACACCGCGGCGTTTGCAGACCTGTCAAGACTCAGTCGCATCCTGAACTCTAAAGCCTGCCGATTCATGATCTCAAGGCTAAAAGGCCTTGCCGAACACATGTTGGCGTCATTCTGTTACTAACGAGTACTGATCTGATCAGAGATCCGAGACCTCTGCGAGCATCATCCGGCTCGAGTACTGCTACAACATGTTAGGATTCTGCTACTGAGAACATGCTCAATGTTGTCAAGAATCCAAGAGAAGACCAGGAGAGACCGAATAGACTCTGCTCTCAACAGAAACTCTCCAAGCTCATGGATTTGTGCGTTCCAATGGCTGCTGACGAAATTCTGGCAGTCGCGAAAGCAAGTGCTTGGCGTGGCCGGCGTTCAGGCGATCACATGCATTTCCCGACTTGACCGAATCTCGGTCAGAAATTCTCAAATTTAGCAAATATCTAGCCACCAAACACCATGCCTCTACCACTCGGTAAAACCGTCAAGGCCCGCGCAGCCGACGAAGACGACTACGAAGAATACTCGGGAGATGATTCGTCGCCATCTGTCATCGAGACTGGCGAGAACGAGGCCGACGAAATTTTGAGCTCTTCAGATGAAGACCAAGAGGAGGATGTCAAGGACAAGCTGAGCAACATCTCATTCGGCACGCTATCGAGAGCACAAGAGTCAATTTCGAAGAAACGCAAGAGGCCTGCTGGAGGCGATGATGAGAAGGAAGACAAACTTGAAGCTCTGCGCGCCCGCCTGCGAGAGCTGAGAGAGGCCAGCGGTGTCGAAAGCGCACCCAAGAAGAAGAAGAAGGACAAGAAGGAGGATGGAAAGTCTACAACAAAGCCGGCAGCAAAGAAGTCACGGACGACCAAGAACGACAGCGACGACGACGCTTCAGATGGTAGCGACAGTGACTCGGACGAGGATGGCGCACCACACGCCCGTAGCTCCAAGCACGCTCCCATGTCGCAAGTATCCAACAGACAGGTCACTCGCAAACGCCAGGTCATTGATGTGCCCAAGCGACAAGTTCGCGATCCTCGTTTCGGCCCGCTAGGTGGTCCCGTAGACGATACCGAAATCTCCAAGAAATACTCCTTCATCAACGACTACCAAGACTCGGAAATGGCCGAGCTCAAGGCCGCCATCAAGAAGTCTAAGAGTGAAGATGACAAGGCCGTTCTCAAGCGCAAGCTGCTCAGCATGGAGAGCAAGAAGAAGGCACGCGAGAACAAGGAAAGAGAACAGGAAGTCATACGCGAGCACCGCAAGAAGGAGAAGGAAGCCATTGCACAAGGCAAGAACCCCTTCTACCTGAAGAAGTCGGAGCAGAAACAACAGGCCTTGGTCAACAAGTTCGACAGCATGAAGTCCAAGGACAGAGAAAGACTCATCGAGAGACGCAGAAAGAAGGTCTCGCAGAAGGAGAAGAAAATGATGCCTGCTCCCAGACGCATGTAGGCTTCTTTTTACTGTCACTGCAGCTCATCAGGTACTTTATGCATCAACTATCATGATCCAACCTGTCGAATTACAGCATCTTTGCATCCCACACGCATCTTCAGCTCAGAAATGGTTCGAGTATGATGAAGTATTTTCAGATCATAAATTACCTAATTATCCAGAAAATCAACTGCCCAAAGAATATTATAAGAAGATTCGTCTCATGGAGTCGCACTCAGACCATTACTCTTGCGGCTCCTCGGTCTCCTGCTCGCCTTCCTCGTTGTCTTCCTCGCCCTCTTCCTGCTCACCGTCCTCGGCACCTTCCTCGGTCTCTTCGTTGTTCTCCTCCTCGTTCTCCTCGCTGTTCTCCTCGTTGCTTTGCTCCTCGTTGTTTTGCTCGCCATCGTCCTTCTTTTGTGCTCTGGCTTGCTCCGAGTCCTCCAAGATAGGCTTGACTGAGTCTTGTCTTGGGTCGGGGATTGACTCCTTCTCGAGGTTCCACTTCTGCATGGCGATAATGATGTCGACGGCAAGCTGTCCGTTCTTTCTGAGGGCCTTGTCCCATTGAGGGGGCATGCCAGAGTTGCTGGTGACCAGGTTTCTTGCGACACTGCTGATGAGCAGCTGGCGCATGGGAGACTCGAGGTCGGTGTTGGCGTAGATGTATTGCACGCGGCGGAGGGCAGGGTAGGTGTCGGACTCCTTGTACCAGTTGCGCACGCTTTTGAGGACTTCCAAGGTAAGATCACGGATCTCCCACTTCTCGGCCTAGCAGTTTGTCAGCTCTGATTGCCCGTTAGATGCTAGAAATTGCAAAAACTCACCATCAAGTACAAGTCGAGCAGAACAGTAAGGTCCTTCTCCTCCTTGGGAGTGGGGGTGTAGCCACTGTAAAGCCAGCCAACGAACAGGCGGAAAGGCTCATCTTCCTCGTCGGGCAGACCATATTGGCTGTTCTTGTTCTCCTTGCTCTGGAAGATGTTTCTGAAGAACTTGCTGCGGTAGCACAGAAGCTTTTGGTGCAAAATCCAGTGAGTGTTCTCTTGACCGACATAGATGTCGACCATGTCACGAGACAACAGCCTATAACCACCGTTAGCATTTTGGCTTCATCTAAACTAAACTTCACGTCGCGTGAACGTACTCGTGAAGAGGCTTATCTTGTTGTTCTGCCATTGTGATAGGTTGAAAGCTAGTTTCGGTGAATGGAAAGTAATTATATAAATTCGAAAATGTCGAGAAGGTCAAAGCTACCGAAGGACTTTGAAGAGACGAACGAGGGATTGGGTATTTATTAGAAACAGGGAAGAAAGGGTGGCTTGACAGGACTCGAAGAATGAGGCGCAGGCGGCAGGACTTCAGCTTATGAGAAAAAGAATGGCTGGTGAGACCAAGGGATCTGAGAGGCAGGTATGCCCTTGGATTCTTGCGTCACTCTGCAGTTCAGAACGTCACTTTCGCCAAAACTTGGATAGCGGGGCTGCTTCTCCAGCCGTTCCACGTGCGATTCTCCTGAAGATCGCCAAACGTCTATCGTGACTGCTGCCGCTTTTGAAAACCTTCCAATACTTGAAAAAGCTTTAGCGACTTCTTATTGATGTAAGCCCAAAAAGTTTGAGTTGCAGACGAGGACAGACGGGACAGTTCCAGGCTCGAGTTCTCCAACGTCGACGCTCTGTCGACTACCTGCGACCGAGCTTTGCATCGTCTTTGAATATTCTGTTAAGTTCGTCTTCTTATCGAGGTTAGAACGACGTAGCAGGGATTGATGTAGCTGTGAGCCGGCAACGAACCTCTCTGTAGCTACACGCATGCTAGCTTTGGCACACCGAGGTGATAAAGGAGCCATCAAAGACAGCTAGATGACCCTCAGGCAGTCATCCCGTTGGAAATGATCTCTTTCCTTGGACAATTATGAGCCACCGGGTGACGGTCATGATTGCGAACGACTTATAAGAGACTGATGCGCTCGCTCCCATCAGCATCATGATCATTTAATTGTGCAGACCTTGAATAAGCGAGGAGTATGGAGACAGGTCTCTGTCGACTGGCGGACTCGTTCAAGCTGTGATCGAACAGTCACTGGTGGGGAGGTAAGGCCGGGAACAGTCATCATCTACCCTGGAAGAACAAGAGTAGGCAGCAGTAAAGATGCTTCACTCCATTTGATGTCTCAAAGACACTTTTACTCAGTTCTAATTGTATTTGGGCTTGGCTATGCTCACTGAATGTCAGGTCCAAACGCTGTGAACAACATTCTTGCCTTTATTTTCACTCAGACCGCTTTCATTCTGCGACGATACTCTCGTACATGCGCGGCTCTAAAGCATTTTTTGAATCGTCCTTTCCCTTTCTCCTTCTACCACAACTTACATCTATCAACAACCAACACGACATCCTTGCACCCAACCACGACATCGCTGCCACAGCATGTCTTCCTCAAGCGGCTCCAAGACTGGTTCACTGAGCTCCGCCAAGTAAGTGCACAATTCAAATCACAGCCGATGCCCAACTAATCAAAGTATTTAGATCGTTCTACTCCCCAATCATCACCGTCCGTGTGGGCCCCGATAAACAAGAATTCTATATACACAAAGGGGTGCTCTGTTCCAACTCGAACTACTTCGCCAAAGCTCTTTCTGGACAATTCCAGGAGGCGAAAACGAATACAGTTGAGCTTGACGACGTTCACGTGCTGCTATTCAAGGTCTTCGTTGCCTGGCTGTACACCGGAAAGCTCACCTACGAATCCTCGGACCCAAGTGTGTCAGCGCAAGACGAGTTCGAGAAACTCGACACTATGCTCAACGAACTGTACCCCTTGGACCGAGAAGATGATCCAGAAAGCGACATGCCTATGACAGACGACCTTTCTGAATTCGATGCAGAGGATCCAACGACCTGGACCCACACAATACTTTGCGCACTGTTTGTTCTGGCCGATCGCTTGGATACACCCAGACTCAAGGTGTTGGTTCTCGACTTCATTCCCGGCAGAGAGCGATGTATGGACATCTTGCCAAGTCATGCCGCTATACTCTACTCAAACGCAAACACAACGAAAAGCTCTCCATTACGCCGACTCCTGGTCCACATCGCTGCCTATACATCATCTTTTGGCCAGTCAAGCTGCACATGGAACCACTTGCCTCCTGAGTTCCTCACTGCCGTGTTGGTGACACTGGGAAGGAGGTTACCTGCCAAACAATGCAAGTCATGTTTCGACGACGCTCTTTACAACAACGGGATCTACGATCGAGTCATAGATGATGTGGATAGAACAGAAGACATGCCTCCTTTCCGCCGCGATATCTGTTTCTACCACGAGCATAAAGATGAGGAGGAAAAGGAAGCATGCCGTGCCGAGCGCGAAAAGCAGGGCGGTTGAGTCTTCAGCAACAACCGGATCCAGGACCACTCCGTTCAACGACCAAAACAGAACTACTCGCCTCAGCCGAGCATCCACATACAGAATTCGAAAGCAGAGAGCAAGAGCGAAGCTCGGGTCAAACCTTGCAATGGAATTACAATGGTGCAGAAGAAGTAAGAAACACCCATCGGGTAGCAGAGAAGAAGAGCAGGAGCAACGTTCAACAAAGGCACATAACAAAGACAATTTTTTGGACGGGCAGGAATAAAGCAGCAACACATTGAGATCCAGAGAGGGATCGGAAGAACAGTCATACACAATACGGAGCTGACAGAGTGCCGTCGAGTTGCTGGATGTTTTGCTCTGCTTGATCGACTCAAGCCTTCGTAGCATTGAGACAGACTTCTGTGCTGCCAGCACGATATCAACTCTAGTAGATACAGAAATCGAACAACAACTTCACTCAACATAGCCAACTTCGACATAGCATTCTCAAAGCAAAATAGCATCGAAACCTATTAATACTGACTTTCTAACATGATCTATTAATGTTACATCTATATTACAAAAACCTTTATCTCCAAATCTAAAATGGTATCCACATTATTACAGTCCGTAGAAGAACAAAACAGCCATCGCGGCTCCCAGAGCAAGCGAAGACGAAGCGTGGATGATTCCAGCAGCACTGTCGTTATCAGAGCTCGAAGATGTGCTGTTGCTGCTAGAACCAGAGCTAGAGCCAGCATTGTTATCAGAGTCCGAAGACGAGCTGGTGACAGTGGTATTGGCATCACCGGTACCGATATCGACCTTTGAGTCTGAAGCAGTGAGGGTGCCATCGTTGACATCGACGATACCAGTGGAGCCGAGAACTTCACCATCGGCATTAAGAGCTGCAGCGCGAACGTAGCGAGCATTGGTGCCTACGGTGACATTGGTCTCGAAACCAGTCTTTGTGACATTCTTCCACAGGTTGTCTGCAGAAGAAAGATCAGAAGAAGAGTTGGAGGCGAGGATGGCCCACTGCTTGATCTCAGTGGCACCGTTCCAGGACATGTAGACGGTAGTGTTGTCGGTAGCGTTTCCAGTAGCAGCGATACTAGGGTTCCATGTAGGGAAGCCTTGCCAGTTTTGCTTGTATGCACGGTAGGATTGGACGCTTGAGTTGCCGATAATTCCAAATTGGACGTCCCAGATTACCTCGCCGTCGTTTGTGTATTCGACGAAAGCGCCATTGCTACCGTAACCCATGAAGACGTTGTTGTTGGAGAGTACCTGAACACTTCCTTGAGATACGGAAAGAGTGCCTTCAGGGCTGATGTAGTCTTGCTTGAGGGTGACGGACATGTCATCATAGTTGAGGCTGAGCCAGAGACCGCGAGTCTCGTTCTCAGTCTTGACCCAGTCGGCAGCGCCGTTGTCGAAGATAGTCATCTCTGTGAGATCGGTGTTGCGCCAGCGTGCATCGTGCTGCCATGCAAAGTTTGTTGCTTGACCATCGCTCTTGTCCTCGAAGTCGTTGTTCTTGCCTCCCAGGCTCCAAACGATATCGCCATTGGTTCCATTGATGTAGTAGATACCGTGGGTGTGTCTCGCAGAGATCAGATAGTTACCGGAGTCATCCTTCTCGATGGAGTTGATGTGAAAGAAGTCGTAGGGGCTGTCCTGAGAAATACCAGTGGCACCAGGATCGGCGTATGAGGCGTTGAGAGCAATATGCTCGGACGCACGCCAGGAGAATATGAGGTCGTTGGTAGCGATGTCGACTTCCTGGAAAATGGAATCTGCGAGCCATCCGTTCTCAATGTCGTAGGCGGTGAGATCGTACTCCATAGGCTCGTAAGCAGTCATAAGTGCGGTACCGTTGTCGGTCAATTGGATTTCGTGAATGTCACCACCAACGGTCAAGTTCTTCGTCGTGAGGTTGTAAGCAACATTGTACTCATGATCAAGCATGATATAGCTGCCGGTTCCATATCCAGCGCCCTTGACTGTTCCTCGCCAGAATGTAATATAGTCTGAGCTGTTGAATTCCTGTACTCTGACACCAAATGTGGTCTTATAGCTGGGATCGCTCCAGACCAGGGATAGATCATCGGCGTTGAAGATCATAGGCGCGATTTGGTCCACTGCTGTGCCTCTTGGAGATATGAAAACCCGATCCGCAGAGTCAACACTGTCCTCGGCAGCCTTGTTGACCTGGAAGACAGGTACCTCGAGGCTAGATGACTCGTAAGTCTGTGTAGGGTAAAGACCGAAGTCCTTGTCTTGGAACTCAGAACCAGTATAGGGCGACTGATCGGCCAATGCGATATGGCCCAGAGGCAGCGCAGCAAGCGCCAATGAGATGAAAGAAGGCATAGTGTTCGGGAGTCAAACGAATGTAAGACGAGAATAGAAAAAAAAAAACGGATGCTGCTTTGATTGTTGGAACAGCTCACAGGGGCCTCTCGAGTTCTTGCTCGGCACAAGCAAGAGAACTTTACCTACAGGGGAGACCTACATCATATATCACATATCGTCCTATACCCTTGTCATGTCCTGAGGCCCGCGCTCGCACTACCAAAGATCGAAAAGGTATCTAGCCCGCGGGTCCGTCCCATCTTCTTGTTTCCAGAAGATGCCAAGCGCTGTGCTATGATGAAACTCCGTTGTGGCTTTCCGCTGAAATTGTAGATGAAATCGATTGGGAGTCAAGAAGCGATCTGACAGGCGAACAGGTACAATGGAGAAAGCTCATACCCTAGTGGCGCTGGATTGCTGCCGTGGCGGTCCGTCAGAGAAAAACAAGCCCGAGTCAGCATGAACAACGGTTCGAGTAGAGGAGTGAAAGAACATCGCAAGTCAGCGCATGATAGCTGGGATGCTTATCAGATTGATCTCAGAGAACAAGATACGGGCAGCCCTGTCATTCATCTGGTTCTAATCGACTGATGTGGTGATTGCTCGCGTGCCCTCTTGCCCCATGGAAAACTTGGTACACAGAAAAAAGGACGCGTCGTCCAGAGTCAAAGCGTCGTTAGCGGACTCTGGCGGTTTGCGGAAGCACGTTCGCCGTCCGCTACTCTCTCATGGCGTCCTGAGGTGCCGACATCGTTGTGACTAGGGTTGATGTTTTTATGTTTTTATGGCCCAAACACGGTTTTATTAAAACGTTCGTTTTTAAACGTGTTTTTAAAGGTTTTTATGTTTTTATCCTTCCCTTCCCTTTGCTTACTACTCTATCTAATCATTACCTTATCGCCCTCGCTGCCGCCGTCGCCCTCGTCGTCGCTATAAAGCCTCTACTCGTCCTCGTACACGCTTAGTTTAACTATAGTCCTAAGATCGGTTAAGAGAAGGTCGATAAAGTTATCTGTAAGTAGTGCAACAAGCGGTTCTCTAATGCGGCCTCTCGTAAGGCCGAACACCTTACTAAATGCGCCCTATATAATAGTTACGTTGCTCGTTAAGGCGACGTAAATACCGTACTCGTAGGCTTCGTTTCCCGAGTCTCGACGACTAAGAAATAGCGACTCGACACCCTCCTTAGTAGGAGCATGTACGAAGACTACCGCCTATTTAATGACTTTAATAAGGCTATAAAACTAGCAACATTTAAGTTCCTTTAGGCCCTTAATCTAGTATATACCCCTCCTAATAGGGCGACCCTCGCGGGACCCTTCCTCGACGTAGAATTCGAGCGTATAAAGCACCGTATTAAGACCCTTACTACTAGTAAGAACTTCCTTAATTTCTCGATAGATGAGAGCGATAATATTACTAGCACTAGGGTAATCTCTCTTGCCGTCTACATTACTAGAGTTAGCGCTATATAGCTCGGCATCGAGAGCCTTAGAAGCATAGCAGCAAATGCTAGAAATCTTGCCTAATAGGCCATTAATTATATCTTAGAGTTCTACGAAGGCGACTATATACGTATTAACTTAGTCGTTACCGACACCTACTCTACTATACGAGCAACACATGCTAAAATAGTTAAAGACGACAGGTGTAGGTATGTCTTCTTTATTCTTTGTGATTCCTATAGTCTACAGCTTTTAGTTAAGGATATCGCATTAATCCCTCGCATTAAACAACTCCTTACGCAATGTTAGACTATTAGCACCTTCTTTAAACGATTACGTCTCTATCTCGCCTTCCTACGCGAGCATTAGATCCGTTATTACGGTCGAGTCCGCGCCTTTATTCTTAGTGTTATTACCCGATAGGGATTATAAATAGGAGTCGTTATCTTAGTGCTAAGGAACGAGGAAGCACTACTAATATAGCTACGCGATGCGAGGGTCTTAAGCGCACAAAAAGCTACTTTAAAAAGAGCTACTAAGCAAGCAAACCTAGGCTTATTAAGCAAAGTTATAGCTATTCTTAAGGACTCCTCGTTTTAGATAGGAATTAGAGATTTAAAGGCATTATTACTTCCTATCTACGAGGCGTAGAAGATGTCTAAATCTAACCGTGCTTACCTAGGCAAGGTTAATGGTCGATAGATTAATGTATAGAACTAGATTAAGGCGCTAGCCGAGTCCTCTCTTAGTCGCGAAGTTAAGAAGATCTTTAAGGCTAGAGGCATGTTTTATTAGCGATATTAGCGCTAGCACGACGATCTCCATTAGGCGGCATAGGCACTTAATCTAGCGACCTAACCCTTAACTATGACCATGCCTATATAGCAGAGGGTCATAAGGGTAATAAGGCACTATATTAGCAGTCCTAAGAAGGCTCGGGAGGCGGTATCGCTATTCTACGCCTTCCGCAAGTGTAAGTATCTATTCTCTCGCCTAAACGAAGACCTTTAGACTAAGGGTAATATCGCTAACCCTCTTATTTTTTGGCGCATTATAAGGTACGAGGGAGGACCCCTTACTGCCCTTGCTGTTCGCATCTTCTCTACTATTACAAACTTAGTCCTAAATGAGCGCTCCTTCTTAGCTATAAATCTTATTAAGAACGACTTCTAAAGCAACCTCTCGATTAACCGACTAAATAAGCTCGTTATAATTAGCATAAACGCACGTCTCTTTCGACGAGCTCCTAGTTAGCCGACAGTAAGCTAGTAGAACGTATCTAAAGAGGTCGAGGAACAACTAGAGCTAGATATTATAGACCTCGCTATAGAGCTAGATAATTAGGAATTTAATGATCCTAAGGAGGGCTAATTTACCTCCACCCTAGTAGTCTATATAGTAGCAGAGCTACCTGTTTACGAGCCTGCTGCTGCTAAGCTAATCTCTTACGACACATACATCTGTTTAGGAACTAGTTGTTTATATTAAGTAGAGACCTAAGGCGACTCGCAGTATTATACGAACAGCTACGACGACATTAGTTTAATGGAACCCTCGCAGCTTTAATGGGTGTAGAGCAAACAAAGCAAACACATTAATAGTTGCAGGTCTGATTTTTATTACTGATTTAATAGATTTAGACTAAGAGAGAACTTTAGACTAAGCTCGCACATTTAGCCTAAAGTTCATCTGCTCGACGGCTACTACACCACCACTTTTTGTTCATTTAATCTAATTCTTCTTCTATAATACAATCAAGCATATTATCTGACTTCCTACCGAAGAGTATAATTAAATGGTGCGTGGTGGTGGTGTTAGAGGGGGTCGAAATGACGGTCCGCGGGAGACTCCATGAAAAGTCGTCACGTGCACCACTTCCCCCGCTACGCCAACTGCCGGCTATACTAGCCGGTTTTTATGTTCGTTTTTATGATCATTAAAACAAACGCCAAGAGGTTTTAAACGGTTTAAAACGAAACGATTAAAACAAGGCATCAACCCTAGTTGTGACAAGGTCAAGGTTGTAGAAAGTTAAAATCGGAGCGGCTCTGCATGGTTGCGTAAAAGAGACGATGCTTCTTCTGGTGCAAGATGCAGCAACCGAAGCCAGGAAGTCTTGGCCAAAAAGCCAAGGAGAATCCAACTCCGAAACCATGCCGTGGACCGAGAGCCCTCGGAGAGGAGTACGATTGAATCACCATGCCATGATATGACCACGGAGCAGTTTTCTGATATCATCGCCCCTCTGGTCACCTCACAATACGGTCTGAGTGGTAAAGATTGGTAGGTACTGGTAACACAAGTTGATACAAAACTAAGAAAGTTCATCACATCATATCCTTTGGCGGTTCATCAGCCACCTTTCTGTGCACAGCACTGGTAGACTTCTCCAGATCCGAATCTACAGCCTGGCCTCTGACAACACCAACGTCACTGCTCACATCAACATCAGCAGGTACCGGTGGCCCAGTGAACGCCTTGCGTCCACGGATGAAGTACCACGCCACACTAATAGCAGCAAAGCCTGCGAAAACGACGGAGGCGTAGTTCATGCTGGTAGGATCGACAGGGAGAGTGACCGGCATGCAGAACAGAATAACAGCCAAAGCAATCCAGCATAGCGTGAGCACGTTGATGGCCATTCCGAAACGACCCAGAGAGAAAGAGGAATGAGCGACCATCTTACGTCCGCGGAGGACACTGACGAGAATGGGAAGCCCGTAGGAGGTTGAAAGGCAAATAGTCGCCACACCAGTGAAGGAGTTGAAAGCCGCTGTGCTACCAAAGTAGATCAGGCCCAACAAGCAGTCGACCACAGTGGACAATACCAGAGCCCAGAGAGGAATATCGAAACGTTTGTCAACACGGGACCAGATGCTGGATCCAGGAATTGCACCATCACGAGCAAATGCGTACGTGCAGCGACTTGCGGCCGTCAAAGCACCGGTTCCAGCGAAGAAGAGGATACCTGAGGAAAACGATCAGTACGAGTGCTGTCTTGCTTTGCGAAAAGAAACTTACCAAGGAGAAGGAATAGCAATCCGAAGCCACCAGCAGCTGAGCCTGTGACGGTCTTGAAAAGAAGACCAATAGGTTGACCATTGGCGACGTCTAGGAGCATCTGGATATCTGGCAGAACGAAGAGAATCGGGATCAGATACAGAACACCGGTGACACCTGCAGCAGCAACAGAGAGGACGATAGCTTTGGGCACCTCGCGAGCAGGGTTCTGGAAACGATTTGTTAGACTTTTGGATGAGAGTGAGTACCGGTCTTGTTCTTACCTGGACTTCCTCACACATGGCTGCAACCATGCCATAACCGGTCAATGTATAAGATGCCTGCAGAAGGCCCACAAAGAAAGCCCAACCACTCGGCCAACCACTACCACTGGCATCGTAATGGGCGAAGACGAATTCTCCACTTCTGTAGTTATCTGACATGGCAAGCAGAACCACCATGATGATGATTACACTCGCACCCGTCCAATAAATACAGATCTTGTTGATCAAGTCGAGATATTTGGCCGCGAAAATATTGACGCTCATGCAAATGAGCATGACACACCAGAACATCAACACCGTCTGCCAAGCGTTCGGTACAAAATCCTCATTCCAAAGACTGATAGCACTGAGGATCAATTGCGCACCAGAGAAGTTGATACTAGTCGTGACAGTCCAATTACCGACCAAAGTCAACCTTCCGAAAGTCAGCATGGCCATCAAATGTTGTGAACAACTGCCAACTTACCAGCCAGTGATCCAAGAACTCAATCGAGCATACTTCTTCGTACTCAGCATAGCCGCCCAATAGTAGACACCACCAGCAGTAGGGAAAACAGCACAGATTTCAGCCAAAGATGCTGCGATTGATAAAGATATCAAGGACACTAGAACCCATCCCCAGAGAATTGTCACACTTTGACCATCCGCTAGTGTGATGTAAAATGTTGTACTTAAGCCAAAGGGTACAGCCATGATCGCAAATGAGCTGAATGAAATCTGTCAGCGATATGATGCGACTGCCATTTCACTTGTGACCTACAGTCCTAAAACACTCATCATGCTCAAACTTCTAGGCAACTCTGATTTGTAGCCCATACGGGCTAGATCGGCTTCAGCAGCAGTAGCCATGATGGATCGTCTTTGTATGTTCGTTGAGTCGTTGCGATTCGTGAAATGTTGGTGGATTAACGCGGTCGTATAATGGGTGAGATTGACGCCCAGCAGGTGTGCGGTGGAGGAGCAGAGGAGTAGACAAGAGAAAATAACAGCTGCTAGGTTGTAGATAGACTAGACTTCGGGCAACATCGGCGTATGAAGTGATGTAGAGTAGCGGCGGTCCACTTGGAAGGGGTCAACAGCCTCTAAATTCTTATCCGCTTGTACGTGTTCGAGGTGGTGGTGGTCCAACAGATAAGAGACGAGTCAAAATAGACGAGAACCAGTTGAATGTTTCGATTACTCTAGTACATGATATAGAGAGATATGAGAAAGAAAGATTAGGGCATCACAGCAGATAAAGAAGGCCGGCATCGAGTCATTCTGGAGCCTTTCATCATGGCCGTGTGGGAGATGTCCCTGCCGTTGTAAGCCCCGCGTCACGGAGGCGTATCGAGGTGTGCGCCATGTTCTTCAGCTGAGCCGAGCGAGCGCCGATAGCATTTCTCTTAGTCACAAGCCCGGGCCCGGCTGGGGAAGACATGGAGGATGGAGCGCTGGGGTCGTTCGTCGATGTCTGCCGGCCTCGCGGTCCGAATGGAATAACAACTTGATCTTGATAAGATCTTCGTCTCACGTTTGTTGCGATACATAAGAAAGTGGCAGTACCAGCAATTAGACACTGCCAAGACACAGATTGGGATTCAGATACACATTCGCTATCTGTAAACTGGCATTGAAAGCCAAAATAGAGGCTCAAGGCCATGTAGAAGGGCTAGACCTTTCGTACGGGAAAGACGACCCGATAAAAACAAGAACTTTCCCATGCCCTCCATAACGCCAAACGATCGGAATTCATCAAGAGGATCAATAAGCGCGTTGAGAATTGGGCACGCCTGGCATCTGTTGTTGATGCATGTGCTGTTGTTGCCTTAGTTGCTGTAGATCAGCAAACCAAGGGTGTTGGAGGGCTTGCTGAGCAGAGATGCGAAGCTCGGGACGGAGCTGCAGCATAGCACTCAGCAGTTGGAGACCGACAGGGTCGACCTGCGGCAAAATGTTGCGGAGGTCTTGGGTTGCGTAGACGGGGAAGTTGGGCTTGTACTCAGGGAACTGGGAGATGCCTGGCCACGCGCGCTCTGAAGGAGTACCCATGAGACGGAAGATCTTCTGCAACTGGTCCTCGTTGGTAGTGCCGGGGAAGAGAGGGCGACCTGTGTACATCTCGGCCATGATGCAGCCAGCAGACCAGATGTCGATCGAGGTGTTGTAGGTGCGCGAGCCCAGCAAGACGTCAGGGGCACGGTACCAGAGTGTGACGACCTCGTTACTGAAGGTGTTGACAGGAATACCGAAGGCGCGAGCAAGACCGAAATCGGCAAGCTTGAGTTGGCCCTTGTTGTTGATCAGAAGGTTCTGGGGCTTGAGGTCGCGATGGAGAACACGGTTGTCGTGGCAGAAGGCGATGCCGCGCAGCAGCTGGTGCATGAACGACTTGATGGTGACGGGGTCGAGCATGCCGCGCTCACCTCTGGAGTCCATGTATTTCTTCAGGTCCTTGTCCATGAATTCAAAGACGAGCATGAGCTTGTTCTCGGTGTGGATGACATCGTGAAGACGGACGATGTTTTCGTGCTTCAGTTCCTTCATAAGTGAAATCTCACGGATGGCAGTGCTGGGTGTGCCCTCTTCCGAGTCGAGGTGGATCTCTTTCAAGGCGACAAACTCGCCCGTCTGACGGTTGCGGCCTTTGAAGACCTGCGCACGGTCAGCGATGTACATGACCAAGGAGGAGCACTCTGGACCGAGGGCGACGTACGGTGGCATAGGTACCCTCGCCGAGCTTCTCGAGCTGCTGGAAGGAGCTGGGGTGACGCTTGTCCATGGGGGGTATGCGCTGGCCGCCGCCGAGACTGCGTACGCTGATAGTCGAGTCGGAACGGTTGTCGAGCGAGAGAGTACCGACGTGGGTAGGGTGTAGCCTGGCGTGCGGAGGGTTGCGATTAGTGTAGCGCGGATCCCAGAGGATAGAGCTAGCTGTCGTTAATTGACTGGCGATGTCAAGGCTCGATGCCGTCGTCGAGCGAATGGACGCGGGTCGGGAAGATTGCGCCGTCTTGAAAATTCAGAGGGCAGGAGTGAGCAGGGGAAACTGCCCAACTTCCTGACAAACAAATAATAATACTCGAAAGGGTGTTAGTGACATGGAGCCTCGCCTTCTCTCATTGTTGATCCGCGCGCTGGCAGTTGCGCCTTGGCGCTCGTGAAACGGTCTACACCATGTTGCTATGCTATCTCATTGCCCACTTGTATTCACCCGACTAGATACTTGCACAGCTTCTTTCAGCTCATTCGCAGCCCAGAAGACTTTTGTAACATGTAAAAAGCGCCACGGCGAGGAGGGGAGGAAAGAGCAGCCCGAACAGGCAAGATCTGGGTCCCAAGTGCCGCCCATCTCCCGCTTGCCAACGCCAGTAGTCCGTAGGTAACATGTGATAGTGAAGAACAGTGCAGCCACTCTGTAACAGCAGTCTTCTAGAGAGCGTCACACACAACCACGACCTGGTGTCCACCCTCTTGACAGGACTTGTCTCGGCTACCACCCAACCCTTCTAGCTTCTGTCACAGCCGGAGCGCCGAACCGACCGAGTGCTCTCTCCAAGATCTGGGGTAGCTGTGCCTGAGGTACCCATGACATGGTTGCATATCATAAATTACTCCCATGTTTCAAGTCTTCCTTCTACCACTAACCCGCACTATCACTCGTCTGCTGTTTCGGTGATAGTCCCATGCTGGAACTAACTTAACCTCATTGTCATCACCGACTGCCTTGTCCGATCGATCAAAGATGCGCGACTCTCTGTCTGATCGGCTGCTCCGCCGCGAGTTGCAGGATTCTGCCGGACCTTCGAGAAAGGTGAAATCAATCTACGGCGACAAGAATTGGGTCAGGGATCTAGATATCGTTAACGAGCTTGATGGCCACGCAGGTTGCGTGAACGCTCTCAGGTTTGCCATTCCTTCAAATGCTCACTACCGTCTTCGCTAACATATCCATCAAGTTGGTCAAAGTCTGGCCGTCTCCTCGCCTCAGGATCCGATGATCAGCACATCAACATTCACACCTACCAACCCGATGATTCGAACTCCCAATTCAGACTGGCGACCAGCATCGCCACCGGTCACCAAGCCAACATCTTCTCCGTCAAGTTCATGCCTCACTCCAACGATCGAACTGTCATATCAGCTGCTGGAGACCATGAAGTCCGTATCTTTGATCTGGAATACTCCGGCGCCACCAGAGAAGCCTCGCGTGCATCAGCCATGGCTCTCAACGGCCACTCCAGAGGGATGCGAAACAATATACAAGATGGAGTACGTCACTTGAGCGATGGAGATACAAATTGCAGAGTCTACCGCTCGCATGGCGACAGAGTCAAGAGGGTTGTCACGGAGTCCTCTCCCCACCTCTTTCTGACTTGCTCAGAAGACGGAGAAGTGCGCCAATGGGATCTACGTCAACCGTCGTCCGCCTATCCTTCTCCTTCCAGTAGGTCTGTCTCTACTGTCTCTGTACCCCCTCCCCTCATCTCCTATAAACGCTATGACTTGGATCTCAATACCATCTCCTGTTCGCCAAGTCAGCCGCACTACATCGCACTAGGTGGTGCACATCTGCATTGCTTCCTTCATGATCGCCGAATGATCGGTCGCGACAAGCTCCATGAACGTGCTGCCTCGCCTGCCCTGTCAGTCGGCCAACTATCAGACCTTGATGATGATGCACTGGGCCAAGCCACGCAGTGCGTTCGTAAGTTCGCTCCCCGAGGTCAGCGCGTCATGGGTCAAAAGGACAATGGACACATCACTGCCTGCAAGATCAGCGATGCTCATCCGAACGAGATAGTAGTCAGCTGGTCTGGCGATCATATCTACAGCTTCGATTTAGTGCGCAGCCCGGATGCTAGCGAGGTGGCAAGAAACAAAGTTTCAACACCCCAGACGAATACTAGCACCAGGAGAGCAAGGGAAAGCAGCGAAAGAAAGCGGAAAAGGAGGGCAGAAAGCCAGGTCTCCCAGTCTCCAGAAACAAGTTCACGTGTACAGTCGCGTCAAAGGACTGAAGATTCGGCCGAAAGGGAGGGAGATGTCGCCTTGAGGGTGAGGTACAACAATGGTCAAAGCGAAGACATTCCAATCGCGCGTTCTACGAGCCCCGTTTCGTCTCTGCGGGAGAGCGTGATGACTGATAGGCAGCGCAAGTCATATCGTCTCGCGAAAACAGTCGTCGAGCTTCGCAAGACAATGTTTACCCTCAACGATCAACCTGCCGCGCCATCAAACAGAGACCCAACTGGTCATACTGCCGAGTTTACCTCGGCGCGAAGCTTGGCCGCTACCATCTTACCTCAAATGCAGGAAATCACACGGACATGGCGTTACTCGGTCGACCCTGTACAGGAGGAGATTCTGCTGCAAAGAACATTGCGTTCCAACAGAGAGTCGGCCTGGCGCTTCGTGCAAGCTTCTGGGGTTATAGCGCGGGCTTTAGGCGGACAACCTCATACCGCTAGTCAAGGGATCTTTGACACGCCTCTTTTCACGTGTATCGATCATGCACCCAATGAGGGTAGCAGCCTAAGCGATCGTGAGCGGTTCGGATACGACTTCCTCAAAGCGATCTTCCTGTGGCTTGACAGCGGAGTAGGTGCCTTGATTAATGGCTTCACCAGATCTTCGGACATGGCTAGATATGCATCTCGCTTACCTGTACCCAAGGATGCGAGCGCTGATGCATTTGATGAATGTATCGTGCCGTATCTCCTTGCTCACTCGTCAAGTTCCCCTGTTTGCAATGTCGACGCTTCAAGGTTCGAGGTAGACGAGAACAGAATCATCTACCAGACCGAAACGGATGCGGTTAGGGCGTTCGTGGAAGCTGTCAAGACACCATTTGCAGATCTATCAAACGAAGCAATGGAGGGTACATCTGAGTCCACCCAAAGACGAGGTGGCGCTCTGATACACTGGGGCCTCAAAGTCGCACGAGGTATTCTCATGAATGCCGGTGAAGGTGTTAATTTTGCCTTGGTAGACAGAGCTTTTGGTGGACTTGGTACGGGTAACAATCCAGCAGGACGAGAGGATGCTCGACTGCGAGACAGACAACGGCAGATTGACACAACCGAAGAAGAGCCTACAGCAGAGTCTATGGAGATTGTCAATCCTTCAGGAGACCAATCTTCCGAGGAGGAAGAAGATGTCATCACAATGAGCGACATAAGGGCAGCTATGGGAGAGACCAGCGATGAAGATGAAGACGATGATGAAGATGACCATGCCAGCGAAGACGATGAAGACGAAGATGCTGAATCGAGTGACGAGGAAGATGACCATGGACAGGATGATGAAGGCGAACAAGAAGAAGAAGAAGAAGAAGAAGAAGAAGAAGACTTCCCTCGCATGATGTATCGCAACGCGTTCGGGCGACGACGGAAGCGGGGAGAGGTCGAGAGGGAAGTGTACTGTTCCCCCCACACCAGAGTATATCGCGGTCACTGCAATGTCAAGACAGTCAAGGATGTCAACTTCTTTGGCCTGGACGATGAATACGTAGTTTCTGGTTCCGATGACGGCAATTTCTTCATCTGGGACCGCAAGTCAGGGCAACTGGTCAACATACTGGAGGGAGACGGAGAAGTGGTCAACGTGGTTCAAGGCCATCCTTACGAACCCATGATGGCCGTCAGTGGAATTGATCACACTATCAAAATCTTTTCACCAGATGCACGAGCGCGCGAAGCTGCTAGGCTTGGACGCGGCGTGGCAGCAGCTGACACATCGACTTTCTCGTCAATCTCATGGATGAGACGAAGAAGACAAAACAGAGCAGCTGGAGCCACTTCAGAGCCTGCGGTAGACGCAGGTGCGGACGAGCGAAATGCAGCGGATGACGACGAATATGTGGCGTCCGGCGGGCTTTCAAGCAGGAAACGAATGCACCTGGAATACCAGATCACCTCTCAAAACGACGTAGAGCGTCAAGGAGGGAATCAGGAAACTTTCCTTACAGTAAGTGGACCGACGTCTCGAGTCGTATAATGACCCAAACTAACAAACGGTAACAGAGAAGCATGCTTGCGTCCTTGGCACAACATCTTAGAAGGCAGAGGGCCGAAGGAGGGGGTGCAGGAGAAGATGGCGAAGGCGGAGCTGTCCCAGGAGGCAGGATCGTAATCGGCGATGATTGCGTGATCCAATAGAGGCATACATGCACACAACCAATGGGTTGAGTAATCGGAGAAGGCATATAGCAACGTGTAACGACTAGGTTTATGGAACAGGAAGACGTTGCTTGTACAAGGTGAATATAGCTCTTGTTATGTGTCTTTTAATGAAAGGGGCTGTGGTGAAGGATTGAGTGTCGGAGCCTATTTGGCCTTTGATTTCTGGGCCTTGAGGGCCTTTTGACGGTTGCTCTTGATCATGATGAGGGACAGGAAAGAGCCAACAACGGCACCTCCGACCAGAATGAGGATGACGGGAAGACGGATGGCCCAAACACGAGGAGGGAAAAGGGATTGAGAAGGGTGCGACGAGTCGACAAAGGGCTAGAGGCGAGAAGGTCAGAAATGTTCAACGGCAGCGATGGAACATTGGGAGGCCGGCATACCATGACCAGTGTCCAGATGGTGTAGTAAAGAAAGACGGTGGTAGCTACGATGAGCATGCTTGCGCCGACGAGTGGACCAAGCTATGAAACCTGTCAGCCCATCTTCATCTCTGTGAACCTGCAGATCATATATGTACCATTGTGAAATAAGGGGTCTGAGTGATTGTTCTATCGAAGACGGGTTTGAAGCAATGCAGAAGGAAGTATTTACCCCAAGGTGATAACCAGACAGTTGTACGGGAGTGAAGCTCGGGGGTGCCAAGAAGTCGACGTCGTCGGCGTTCGCTTTCAGTGCAAGTCGCAACTGCCATTTGGACTTTCTTCTTTCTATTGCCATTACATTTGGTACTTGCATCCTCGAACCTGCTCCGACACATCGACATGGCGACGGCTATGCAGTCGGCAGTACGTCTACCTTCTCCCGATGCCGCCGACGGCCAGTCACATACTTCTGGGCGCAAACGCTCGCCTTCATCGCGTTCTCCATCGCCAGAAAGACGCCCTCCGACACTGCGCACCAGATCTACCGACCCTGATGCAAAGAACGACCCCTCACCGCCGCGCGACCGCTCGCGATCGCCACTCCCTCACCGTAATGGCCCGCTTCCACGCGACGTAGACCGTCAAAGAGCTCTCGAGCGCCAAAGACAGGCCGAAACCCGCCGCCGTGAAGAAGTCAAGGAGGACAAGCCTCTGTCGGCTGCTGAGAAGCAGGCCGCCGCAAAGGCCGAGTATGAGCGTCTGCTCACCATGCGCTCAGGAGGAACCTATGTACCCCCGGCCAAGTTGCGCGCTCTACAGGCTGAAATCGGCAACGACCCATCTTCCAAGGAATTCCAGCGCATGGCATGGGAGGCCCTCAAGAAGTCTATCAATGGTCTGATCAACAAAGTCAACGTCTCCAACATCAAATACATTGTTCCCGAGTTGTTCAGCGAGAACCTCATTCGAGGGCGTGGGCTCTTCTGCCGAAGCATAATGAAGGCTCAGGCTGCCAGTTTGCCCTTTACTCCCATCTACGCCGCCATGGTCGCCATTGTGAACACGAAGCTTCCTCAGGTTGGCGAGTTGCTGGTCAATCGCCTTATTGTGCAGTTCCGCAAAGCCTTCAAGCGCAACGACAAGGCCGTTTGCCTCAGTAGCACCACCTTCCTGGCCCATCTGATCAACCAGCAGGTTGCTCACGAGATGCTTGCTGCCCAAATCCTGTTGCTGTTATTGAACAAGCCCACTGACGATAGCGTTGAGATTGCCGTGGGTCTGATGAGAGAAGTTGGTCAGCATATCGAAGAGTTCAATGCGCAGATCGCCATGGCCGTCTACGATCAATTCCGCAGTATTTTACACGAAGCCGACATTGACAAGAGAACGCAATACATGGTCGAGGTCCTGTTCCAGGTCAGAAAGGATCGCTACAAGGACAATCCCGCGGTCAAGGAAGAGCTGGATCTTGTTGAAGAGGAGGATCAGATCACCCACAACACTGGCCTCGATGACCAGATTGAGGTACAAGATGGTCTCAACGTCTTCAAGTTCGACGCAGATTGGGAAGCAAACGAGGAAGCATACAAAAAGCTCAGGGCCGAGATTCTTGGAGAGGCCGATGGAAGCGACGAAGACGACGAAGACGGCTCTGATGTGAGCAGCAGCGAGGACGAAGACGACGAAGAAGTCAAACAGGTCGAGATCAAGGATCAGTCCAACACCGATCTGGTCAACTTGCGCCGTACAATCTATCTCACCATCATGTCTTCTGGAGGCTTCGAAGAATGTACCCACAAATTGCTACGCATTAACCTACCGCCAGGTCTGGAGCACGAGCTACCGTCTATGATTGTCGAGTGTTGCTCCCAGGAACGCACCTACAACAAATTCTTCGGTCTGATCGGTGAACGTCTTTGCAAGATCAACCGCATGTGGAACGAGCTGTTCGAGGCCTCTTTCGTCAAATACTACGACACTATCCACCGCTTGGAAACTAACCGTCTACGCATTGTTGCTCAGTTCTTCGGTCACCTCCTTTCCTCGGACGCCATTGGCTGGCATGTTATTAGCGCTATTCACCTGAATGAAGAAGAAACCACTTCATCCTCGCGTATCTTCATCAAAATCTTGATCGAAGAACTGGCTCAGAATGTTGGCATGAAGAAGTTGTCGGAGAGAATGAAGGACGATGCTCTGTTGCCTGCTCTGGGCGGTATCTTCCCTGTCGACAATCCTCGTAACACTCGCTTCAGCATCAACTTCTTTACAGCCATTGGCATGGGTGTGTTGACAGAAGGCATGAGAGAATACCTCAAGAATATGCCCAAGCCGACGCTACCTGCTCTGCCTGTCAGAGCTGCTAGCCCGAGCGACAGGAGTGTATCCAGCTACTCGAGCTACTCAAGCTATTCGAGCCGCTCTCGCTCCCCCTCCCGCTCACCGTCTCGCACCAGGGGCCGAGCTCGCAGCTACACTCGTTCGCCAACACCGCCTAGGCGCTCAGTCCGGGATAGATCACACTCATACTCCAGATCGCCATCTCGCTCAAGGTCGCCTCCTCCTAGACGCCGCTCTCCTTCTGCTTCCGTTTCCCGTTCAAGAACGCCCGAGCGCAGGAGAAGGTACACATCATCCATTTCGCGTTCTCGCTCGCCAGCCCCGAAGCGTACCAAGGGTCGCCGAGACTCTCGTTCGCTATCATATTCCCGTTCTCGCTCGCCCACTGCCCGTGGAGCCGCTAGAGCTCGAAGCTACTCACGCTCAGCCTCGCCCCCAGCTCGACGTGCCGCGGCTCGGGATCGAAGTTACTCCCGCTCGGCGACGCCGCCTCGTAGACGTAGGGGAAGCTACTCTCGATCCCCAGCCCGCTCTATCTCGCGTTCGCGTTCTCCTCCACCGAGAAAAGCAGGCGCAGGGCGCAGACGCTCCCCTTCAAGATCCATCTCCCGTTCTCCACCTCCAAGACGAACAAGATCCCCTGTCCGAGCCCAACGACGTGCGCGCCGTAACACCTCTTCTCCAGAAGTATCACGTTCTAGATCACCACCTCGCCGCGCACAAAAGCCCAGCGATACCTCTGCTCGTGGACCCAAGCCCCCTGCTCCGAGCGGCGAAATGGACCTTAGCGACATTCATCCCAGTCGTAGAGGTTTACTAGGCGCTGGTGGTAGGGCAAGACCCACTGCTGGTGATTTTATTTAAGTAAATAGCAATACCCCTTCTCAAAATGTAGCCGAAATAGCCATGACCATCAATATACCACTTCGAAGCCAGGAGGATTTCCCTCCACGAAAACAAAACAAAGAAACACGCAACATCAAAATCCAAAGAGAAGAAACCTGGACGGAAGATTGCCAAATCTCGAATGATTTTCATTGCTTAGGCGCCCATGCGGGTCGAGATGTCAACGGAGCAGGCGCATTCATGCAGTCTGTGTCTCCCTCTTGTCGTGCGACGATGATCTGCGTGCCCATGTCTGCATTATCGAGAGCAGGCGCGACCTCAAGAAAAGAAGGACATTGCTGCCGAGGCCTCCCGAGGTTTCTTTCCTATCAGGAAAATGCTGTCTCTACTGCCTTTGTGTTTACTCCAGACAAGCATTTTAGTCCGAGTCAAAGTAATACCGAGCTGTATATCGCTTGAAGGCAAAGCGAGTCAAGAATCAAGATCAGGCATGCCATGCAGAAGTTAGAATGTGCGTAACATCGTATCTTTGTGGTCGGTCGGGAGATCGCAGCGAGCAAGCCACATCGATCACACAACTTGTCGGTTCATCGGTCTGCAATTGCATGTTTGACGTGGCGGCTCCCCATCGTTGTTGAATTGCACCGGGCGGCTACCGAAGCCCTTTTGCATGGTGATTTTCTGGTTTCATGCGTCGCGCGATGGAAGAAGGACCTCGACAAGCGAAATAGATTAAAATGCTGGCGAACGGGTAGTCCGGCCAAGTGAGCATCGCCAGGTTTCGTATTCACACCCCCTTTTAGATACTGAGCCACTTGACTGCGGCATAGTAGAGTCTCCTTGAATCCGGGCAGGTCAACGGTTGTCGACCGACCGAGACGAACGACAAGAACAAGGCTGACTCGAAAAGACAACAGAGCTGCGATTTGAGTTTAGGGATCATCGAGGAAGGTTTTGGTTCCTGCAGCAGAAAGGGCTCCGCTTTCTAGCACTTGGCGTTTCAGACTTCCGCTTTCCCACCGCAACCCCTGGTCATCAAAGGCTTTCATCTATCCAACACATACGAGCAGGCCTTGCGCCAGACCTCCACTCCCCACAACATGGTTGTCAAGTTGGCGAAGCGCAGTGGCTTGCGTGCTTGGTTCACGTCTGGGCTCAGCAGTCTAATGCCGCGCCACATGGTCGTCTCTCAACCCTGAAACACGGCATCAATACCACCATATGAATAACTCCACTACACTAAGGCAGGGGCTCCGCTAGAACGTTCGTCCTCGCGATTCGGTCCTGGTCCGAACATAGTATGCTTGGTTCAGAGTAGGCGATCGTTTTCAACTATAAGAATCATGTCTCCCAAACCTTCCCTTCCTTCTTCCCTTCTCAAGCTATCGCCTTCGACGTTCTTTGCAGTGCAACTTTTCGGTCTCGTACCACCCACACTCTTTCTTCACGTATCATTCTGCATTGACTGCAGCTGGGATACTTCCATTCTTTACATTCACACTTCAACTTCATCCACATTTTCGCATCTTCGCAAACCAAAAACTAGCAATCTTTACGAGAAACTCTCTACGATTCAAACACACAAAAATGTCTTTCAAGATCGCCGCCGCTGCCGCTTTGGCTACCCTCGCCTCCACCGTCTCTGCTCACGGTCACCTCCAGAGCATTGGTGCATCTGGCACTACCTATGCTGGATTCAACAACTCTATCCTCTACTCAAACACCAAGCCCGACCTGATTGCCTGGTCCGACACTGTCAAGGACAATGGCTACGTCGCTGACTACACCAGCCCTGACATGATCTGCCACGCTGGTGCTGGCAACGCTAAGCTCTCTGCCCCTGTCAACGGTGGTGATTCTATCTCCTTCAACTGGGACACCTGGCCTACTTCTCACAAGGGACCCGTCATCACTTACCTCGCCAAGTGCGATGGTGACTGCGCTGACGCCGACAAGGCCTCCCTTAAGTGGTTCAAGATCGATGCCACCGGTATCGTCTCTGGAGACAGCAACACTGGTACTTGGGCCTCCGACAAGCTGATCTCTGACGGCTTCAAGTGGGATGTTAAGATCCCCGACACCATTGCCTCGGGTAACTACGTCGCTCGTCACGAGATCATCGCTCTCCACAGCGCCAACAACGTTGGTGGTGCTCAGAACTACCCTCAGTGCATCAACATCGAGGTCAAGAGCTCCGGTTCTGACGAGCCCGAGGGTGTTGTCGGTACCGAGCTGTACACTGCCCAGGACAAGGGTATCTACGTCAACATCTACTACCCTCCCTTCGAGCAGTACGACATGCCCGGCCCTGCCCTTTACACCGGTGGTTCTGGCTCTGCCCCGGCCTCGTCCGCTGCCGCTTCATCTGCCCCCGCCTCAAGCGCCGCCGCTTCTTCCACCTACGCTGCTCCTGCCTCGTCTTCTGCTGAGGCCACTTCGTACGCCGCTTCGTCTGCTGAGCCTACTACTTACGCTGCTTCTTCTGCTCAGCCTACCTCTTACGCTGCCTCATCCACCGTCGAGGCTTCGAGCTCTTTCACCACCCAGGCCGCCGTCGTTTCTAGCGCTGCCACCGGTGGTGATGAGGTCGTTGTTACTGCCTACCAGACCGACATTGTCACCGCTTCCACTGCTGTGACCGTCACTGCTGGAGCCTCAGCCACCGCTGCTGTTTCTGACATCAAGTCTGCTATTCCTGCCTCGCTTTTGAGCTCCACTATCTCGGCCGGTATCCCCACCGCAACTGCCTCCAGCGGTGTTGCCAAGCCCACCAAGGCTCTCCCCGAGGGCACCACCCTCGAGGACCTCCTCTCTTGGGTCGAGTACCTCTTCGCTGAGAACGCCTCCAAGACCTCCAGCAAGGCTCGCCGCCACGCCCGCGCTTTCCGCCACTAGAGCAACTCACATACTGTAACTAGTACGTGATGATGATCGGAGTATCGGACTGCAGTTGGTTTCATTTTTGGTTCGGTCTCTTTTGCCAGTTTCATTTCGCTTCTGATTGCTATACCTTTTTGTGTTTTTACCCTTTTCTGGAAGATGCAAGTGTTTGGATGATACCCGCACTGCAAAGACCTTTTTTGAATCCACCTTTCTATACATACAAAATCATGATGAATTCGAACATTCTGGTTGATCCTGGCTTGCCGGGATTGCCACAAGCAAATACGCCTTCCACTTTTCGCATGTGATGATAAAGTTGATCATCGTCTATTAAGCTTGATATAAGCATATTGAACTGGCTGGAACTTTGAGCGATATATGCTTCGGATTGTGCTGCTCTTGATGAGGTTGATGCCGGTCGCCGAGCAGCGTTCTATTGGTAGGTAATGTCGCCGGCGATATCAGAGGCTGGGCGACCGAGGAGTCCACGGGCAGGCACGGACCGAGACCAATGAACTAGCGGGGGGAAGGGCCAGGAAGATAGCTCCAGGAACATCTTCATCTCACGATACGTAGGCTCATGGACCCAAAATACACAAGGCACGTTGATTGAGCATTTTCCTTGCCGCCCAGACATCCATCCGGGAAGGCTTGCAGCTCACTGCATATTCACTCATGCAAGCATTCGTAATCCTTTCGTCTCTACCCTACTTCCTACAAATTACACACAATGCAGCAAACGCGCGCGGTTATAGGAAAGGGACAGCCTGGAATGCAAGAAAAGCAGGATTATTCTCGCATCGGACGGACTTGGCGGCAGCATACGCCAAGGCACTGGATCCAATTAAGTATCAATATAGGTAAATAAATGCACCTATCAAAGGAGTAATTGAATGATGATGTGCCCTAGAAGTGGGCTAGAAAGATTGAACAACACATACAGGCATGCCTTGGCGAGGAGGTGTTTTGGGAGAAGCAAACAGCTGGCAATTGTGCTCGGGTTTCTGGATGATTCGCGGACCAACAAGGGAGGGGCTCGTGATGGGTGTCAATCGGGGGGTGTTAGATATATAAGGCTGGTGGGGTGAGTGTTTACTTTGTCCCTCACTCACGTTTTCGTGTTTTCTTGTGAATCTCCGAGCTTTATCAATTTGGAAGTCTGACTCCCCTTCTTTGCACCTTCCAATCTTGTTTCCCGTCTACACGCAAAAGGACAGCACATCATGTCTTTTTTCAAGAAACTCAAGAGCGAGTTTGAGGATATGTTCGGTGATGATGACAAGAAGAAGGAGACTGCACCTACTCAGCCTACCCAAGACACAAAGCCCGCTGAGAACAGTAAGTGTCCAGCATTGCATTTTGCGCAATCTCACCAGTAATTGACATGCTTTTCAACAGAGCCCGAGCAGACACGCGATGTCACACAGCCTCAGTACTCTTCGCCTGCTCCTCCAGACTCGTATGCTCAAGCCCACCAGCAGCAGTCATACCCACCTCAGCAATACCCTCCCCAGAACCAGCCTCCCCAGCACCAGCAGCCATATGGCCAGCCCAGTCCTAGTCCCTACGGTGGACCAAGCCCTGCGCCCTATGGCCAAGCTGCTCCTCCACCTTCTGGTCCTCCCCCACCTCAGCAAGGTGGCCAGCTTCCTCCTGGCTGGGTCCAACAGTTCGACCAGCAGAGCCAGCGCTTCTTCTACGTGAACCAGGCCACTGGTCAGACCCAGTGGGACATGCCTCAGCACCCTGTCTCCCAGAACCAGTACTCCTCGCCTCCTCCTCCCACTGGTGGTGCCTACGGTGGTTACCAAGCTCCTCCTCCCCAGGGACAGTACGGTCAGCCCAGCCCTAGCCCTTACAGTCAGGCTCCTCCACCTCAGGGTCAGTATGGCGCTGCACCTCCTCATGGCGATCAGTCTCGCGGACAGGCAAACTCCTTCTACGACAGCTATGGCGGTGCCATGCCGTCTGTTCCTCCTCAAGGCCAGCACGACACACGCTCCAACCAGTACTATGGCGATGTCGATAACAAAGAGAAGGATAAGAAGAAGGACGAGAAGAAGAGCGGTGGCTATGGCGGTGCCCTGGGTGGAGCTGCCGCCGGTCTGGTCGTTGGTGGCATTGGCGGTGCACTGATCGCCGACGCCCTCGGTAAGTGCTCGAAGCTGGATGGTTACTTGATCTTGTCTTTGCTAATCCTTTGAAAACTTCAGACGACTCGGACGACGAGAAAAAGCACGCTGCCGCTCCTGCAGCCGCCGCACCCAGCTACGCTCCCGCTCCTACCAACTACGCACCTGCTCCCGATCCGTCGTACGGCGGCTACGGCGCTCCTTCTCAAGACCCCTACGGATACAGCGCCCCTGCTCCAGTCGCACAGCCTTCAGGTTACGGCGGATCTGCCTACGAGCCAGGTCTGTACGATGAGGCTCCCCTGCCTGACGAGACACGTTCCGGATCATCCGTGTCCAGCAGCGACCGCGAGAGTCTCGAGGAGAAGCGTGAGGAGTTGCGCGAGGCCCAGGAAGAGTACGAGGAGGAGTATGCCGAGACGTACGATGATTAGATGTTCAAATGGAGCCGCTTCGGTCGATAGACAGGCGGTCTGATCATACTCGGCCGAGTCTCACTCATCGCGTTGATGGCATTTGACAAAATGTCGTCGCGGAGGTGCTGATAATTTTCCGGTAGATAAGGATAAATGAACATGGAACAGGTTGTTCAAGTACTTATCTATACATGTTCCTTTTGCACATATGCAGGTTGTTGGAGGTGAAATCGATTCACCGGCGTTTTTGTAGGATGCCGACCGAGAAGGTGGGGAAAAACGCAGCCAAACCGTCATCGGCCGGCGGCAAAGCGAACGGCAGTCGGCACGCGACGATTCGACGATATCATTCATCTTTTCCTCACAACCAACTTCCCTTTCAATTGTTATTGACTTTCGAGATATCACTCTGCAGTATGCTTTTTGTTACGCATCTTCCTTGGCGAACTGTTTAAACACCTCTTCGTCGAAACGTTATCATGACCTACTACGCATCTTTATGCTTTTAACAAACTCACATTACAACGAATACACGTCTTGCGACCAACCACATAATCATTAGAGGATCATTGGGTGCTGCCGTCTAATCGTCGCGAGGTCTATCTAGCCCGCTCAGTACTTGGTCACTGGTTGCTATTGGACTTTTCTCCAACCCTCTTGCATCGACATCCTCAACCAGAGAGGAAAACAAACGGGACTATGGCTAAAGAAACGAAAGATCTGGAGGCTGCCATTCATGACCAGACAAACTTGGTACCACTCAAGCAACGATTGGTCATATTTTTTACCCTGGCCTCCTGCATGTTCTTGTGCTATGTCGACCAGAACGGAATCACTGTATTGTTACCTAGCATTGCAAAGGACTTGAATGCTGCCGACACGATCGCCTGGGCTGGTACATCCGCCCTCATCGCGAATACTGTCTTCCAGGTTCTCTATGGTCGCCTGTCAGACCTCTTCGGTCGCAAGAAAATCTTTGTCGCATGCATGGTATTACTGGCTATCTCGGATTTAATCTGCGGTCTCACACCTAACAAGGAAGTTCTCTATGTGTTCCGCGGTATCTCTGGTGTTGCTAATGGCGGCATTGTTGCTTTGGTCAACATGATCATGTCAGACGTTGTGACCCTACAGCAAAGAGGCAAATACCAGGGCATCATTGGATCTTTTATTGGACTGGGCAATGCTGCCGGTCCGTTGATTGCTGCTGCTTTTACGCAACACTCCACCTGGAGAGGCCTGTTCTATCTGAATGCGCCCCTGTGTCTTATCGCTGCAGGAGTAGCTGCATGGACATTACCGCAAAGCATGCCCAAGGTCAATTTCCGAGAAACCATCCGGAAAGTGGATTGGATCGGCCTCTTCTTCAGCACAGCAGCCATCATACTTATTCTTATCGCCATTTCCGACGGTGGTCATGGCACACCCTGGAACTCGGCCGAGACCATTTCGATGCTGGTGGTTGGCAGCATCTGTGCCATTGCCTTTGTCATTGTCGAATGGAAATTTGCCAAACTGCCAATGATGCCGCTGGAAATGTGGAGGAACAAGTCTGTCGCATTTATGCTGGTCCAGTCGTTCTTGCTCGGTATGAATTACTATGCTCTGATTTACTACCTGCCTCTGTACTACCAAAATGTCGGTGGATACGATGTCATGAAATCGGCAGTTCTAATCTTGCCCCTGGTCTTGGTACAAGCCGCCTTCTCTGCACTTGGCGGACAATACATGTCCTTCATCGGCCACTACATCGAGGTCATTCTTATTGGCTTCGCCGTCTGGACCCTAGGATCTGGTCTGCTCGTCTCCCTTGGTGCCGATTCTTCTATTGGTCACATCTGCGGCTTCATCATCATGGTCGGATTCGGTGCCGGATGCACGTTCCAAACGACCAACACCGCAATGCAAGCGCATTCTCCAAAGTCGCAACGCGCAATCGTCATCTCGAACAGAATGTTGTTGCGTCAACTTGGTGGTGCAGTCGGTCTGGCCATCTCTTCAGCCATCTCAGGCAATGTTCTTGCATCGAGTCTTCCAGCACATCTCCAGTATATCGCTGAATCCACCTTTGCCGTACCTGACTTGAACACTGTTAGTGCCGCCGACCGAAGAAGTATTAGCACGGCATATGCAAATGCCAGTCGTGCGGTGTTTATCTTCTGCGTGGCAGTCATTGGTGTGGCACTCGTGCTTACCTTCTTCGTCAAGGATAAAGGAATGAAAAGAGAAGAAGACAAGGTCGAGGAAAGGGCTCGCGAAGAGGAAAAGGAGCAGTCGGATCATGATTCGGAAGACAAGACTGAAGCTGCAAAGAAGCCTAACATCCTCGCACGTTACATAAGCTGGAGAGACTCGCTGATGAAGGCGGATGACTGAGGGTGTTTGGCAACAGAGATGCTAATTGCAAGATTCCCGTGTACAGAGGGTCAGATACACCAAAAGTTTGATGTTACCACGAAATATGACCATATCTCAACCAGAACAATGTTATATCATGACCAATACTTCCCAAGTGTTTCTTCGAATTGCTCTCTCAGCCAGCCCTTCAAACATCGTAAGCTTTGTAAGGACCACTTTCCAAAGCCCATCCGTCCGCCTTGTCAATATCAAGCTCATCCAATTTCAACCCATCAATAGTCCTCACATTGATCGGCCTAACCGGTGCCTTGAACGTCGGATGCAAGTCGACTCTATTCACCACATCCACCCCACAAACACTACAGAAACCATGGTATGCGCGCTTGGGATGGAACAGATAATTTGTCAAGTTCTTCTCTGTGTCCAGCATGTCTACAGAAGCAATCGGTGGGTATATCCACATATCGGCATTCTGAATACATAACATCAGCAGGGAAACTCAAGAATGAGGGAAGGAGCAGGAAACATACACGAGAGCAAAAGCTGCAGTTGCATGTGCGAACCTCTTTGATCTCTGGACATGTGAGTGTGTACTTCACAGCTTGACAATGACAGCTTCCTGTATAGAGTTTCTGTCCTTCGGGGATTTCTGGAGTGTCGGATGGGGACAGGGTGAAGGGTTCGTAGATTGGGTCCACGTTCACTCGATCGGTTGTACTGATTTCGAGATTGTCAATGTCGAAAGAACCGTGTTTGAGCGTGTTTATCTGAGGGTCTGTTAGTAGGTTGATTTGGTGAGGGTTGTTGATAGTGGGTTACATTAATGACGAGGATGTTGTATTTTGCTGCCTCGACGAGGATGCCTGAGCCGCATGTTGGACAAAACTATATTACACTGTGTCAGAGTAATTACTCGAGACAACATCAGGAGGTTGTTCTGACCTTATGTTCTGCAATACCATTGCCGAAAGAGTAGGTCTTGAGAACACCTTCGCCAGCTTCGACTTCGAAATCGGATGGCTTCTCCGGCACTGCAAAGAGGTATCCTTTCTGATAAGACGTTAGACTTTCAGGTGAAAGTAAAGAGCAGTTCGCTGTTGTGCTCTTGCCTTGGTGCAGATACTGCAGTTGCATCGCGAAGCCTTCTTCATCGGCGCAAGTTTGACCGAGTATTTGAAAGCACCGCAATGGCAGTTGCCATAGTATATTTGCTTTTCTACTTCGAGCTCTGACATTTTGTATGGTTCTACTTTGGAAGGGAAATGTTGAGTTGTAGCTTCCCTTGCTATGCGTTTTTATATATAATAGCGCGGTTCAAGGTGTTGACCGGTAATGCTGACAGGCAGGAGCGAAGGCTGAATGATAAGCCCGACTTCCTGCTTGGTATCACCTTTCTAACTAGGCAAGTGGCGTTGTGGCGCATTTTGACTGCTACTGCCATACAATGTACAGAGTTTGAATATCTCTACAGAACACTGCTTGAAAATATATACAATTTACTCCATCGAATTTACTCCTCGAACTTCAGCAACGCGATGTGTGCTCCGGCATTGACGGTCTCGCCCGGCGCAACTAACAATCTCTCAACCTTTGCGGACTTCTGATCTTTCGGAGCATTCACTGCAATTTCCAGCTTCATCGCCTCAAGGACGGCTATTGTCTGATTAGGCTTCACAGTCTGTCCCTCCTCGACTGATATTTTCCACACGTTTGCGGCGACAGGTGAGTCGATGGTTGTGTACTTGGGATCTGGCCTTCTGTTAGTACCTTCGTAAGCAAGGAGACGGAGATACACTTACCAGCCAGCATGGACTCAATTGTACTGTCGTCAACCTTGTTCTTCGCCTTATCTTCTCTCCATTTGGTCAAGCTCTCGTTTTCCGCTTTGGTCATCTCAGCTTGCGCAACCGCCTGTTCCGCACGAATCTTCTTGACCTCCTCTGCGGTATCCGTCAACAAAATGTTGTGTTTGGCCATATCGAACTCGATCTCTTCCCATTCGAACTTGTATCTTCCAGTACGGAAATCTGCAAGCATCACGTCGAGCTCTTCCTCGCTGACCCGATAGTATGTCAAGAGATCGAAATCTTGGAACAGATATGGTCGCGAGGGAGAGAAGTCATTCTTCCAGCCAAGTGCATCAAATATCGGGATGGTCCGACCTGTCATCTGGTAGCCTCCTGGGCTGTCGACAGGATAAATCGACATGCAAGATCCGCCCCAACTCACAGTACCTTCGGGGGTGAAGACGCGACTAGGATTGGCTTTGGGACACTGCATGCGCTGTCGAGGGTCGACTGGCAACGACACTGTGTTACCAGCATAGAAGCCTACAACAACAGCCATGAATTGGCCAGTTAGGAAGATGTCTCGCAGTTGATCAGATGTAAAAGCATTGTTCTTGGCGACAAAGTCGAAGTTGCTGGGCAGGTACGGCGCATGTGGTCTTTGCGTTTCCATGTACCTCTTGGTCGCTTCCTCTTGTGCTTTCGACTCGAATGAGAGCGGAAGGCGGAACTTTCGGCAAGGTACCTTGACGGAGCTCAGGTCTCCCAGTTCATCTTCCAAACTCTGAAGATGTGCTACTAATTTCTCCCTCTCAATCTTGAGGCCGTTATAGAACAGTGTGACGCTAGTACAGCAGGATACGGTGTTGTTCAGCCATCCGGGATTGGATGAGCGCAGAGCTTTCTCAAATGCGGTTGTCCTACAGCGATGATTGAGATTGAATTCCTCGTTGCCATACTCAACGATTAAATGGTCGTCACCACCTTGTCGATATCTGACTAAAGGCTGACGACCCTGTTGCTGTCTCTCCCAGACAATGGCTTTGCCGAAGTTACCTGATGGCTCGAAGGTCGTACTAAGGGGCTTGATACCTCCGAACTCGCTGGCGTTCTTGACAGCTTTCGCGACCGACTCAAGGAAGCGGTCATTTTGCTTTCGCAGTGACAGTGCTTCCTCAAGAGACACTCTTTTGTACTTCAAAGTATCTCCTGACTTGAGTTGGCCAAGTTTCCACCACTCTGCTCTGATGACAGTCGTGCTAGAAACAAAGCCACCGAAGTTTGGACAATCGACAGGGAAGAGACAAGGGTCGTCGCCAGTCCAATTCAGGGCACCGATGGGGTAGCCGTACTCGACTAGGTTCGAAGGGTGAGCGCCGCCTTCGCCACCATCTTCGCGAGCCCATTTGGGCACAGGACCAATCAACCTGATGGCACTGCGACTCGCGTTGTGCGAGACCTTCCAAGTCGTGTCATATATCATCTCGATGTCTTCGGGCAGGAGATAGCCTATATCGTGTGGCCCCACCATAGCCATGACCTCCCATTCGCTGGCGTACACAGGTACGAGATTTTTTGGCAAGCTGACACTTGAGCTAGAGATGGACTCAGGGACTTCGTCAACGATGGCTAGAAGGTCTCCTGGTGCAAGCTGACGACCTTGGTAACCACCAATTGCAACAATCGGAGATGTAGACTTCGATCCGAAGTACTCAGCTACTGTTGGGAAGCCGCCGTATACAGCAAGATACGATCGACAACCAGAGCCCGTGGTCTTGCCGATCTTGAGTTTTTGACCGGCCTTGATGTGATGTCGCTGCCACATGGAGAATGACTGACCATCAAGCTGAGCCTCCATAGGAGCGCCCGTAAGCGCCACTACTGCTGGACGTACGAAGCGTAGCTCAGGCCCGCTTAACGTTATTTCCAAAGCCTCTTTGGCCGGTTCGTTTCCAGCAATAATGTTGGCAAGTGAGAAGGCAATCGAGTCCATTGCACCAGAGTGAGGGATACCTCTGCCCACTGTTGGTCTGGCTGGCAGGTCTTGAACGAGTGTGTAGGCACCTGCTGATACTACGTCAATAGCAGCTGGTTGGAAGTCAAACGAGTCCAAGAAATTGGTCAAGGTATTGCCAGCCTCAAATTTGTCATCGCGTATGATCTGTTCCAGGAAATCAAGATTGGTTGGCGGCCCCGAAATCTTTGAGGACGAGAGCAGATTCTGCATTCCCTCAAGTGCCTCTTTTCTCGAGGGACCATGAAACATGACCTTCGCTATCAGTGGATCGTAGTTCGGTGTGATCGTAGCCCCCGTAAACACCCAAGTGTCGATGCGGATATGGTCGTGCTGTTGCTCAGGCCAGCTCACTGATTGTAGGAGACCAGGAGAAGGAGCGAAGTCGCGAAGAGGGTTCTCAGCATAGACTCGAGCTTCAATGGCAGAACCCTTCGGCGACGAAGGCTGCAATAACTTCAGGAAATCTGCCTCAAGTCCACCAAGCCCTTTCAATTGTGCGTCAGCCTGCTGAAGCATGAGCTTGACTAAATCGACATCATAGCAGAGCTCAGTAATCCCATGCTCTACCTGAAGGCGAGTGTTCATCTCGAGGAAGAAGAAGTCGCCGGACTGGTCATCAACTAGATACTCAACTGTGCCAGCAGAGCCATATTTGATGGACTCTGAAAGACTGACAGCTGCATCACCAAGTTTCTGCCTCATGCCAGGGTGTTTTTCGACAAACGGGCTGGGGCATTCCTCGATGACCTTCTGATGTCGTCGTTGTATGGAGCATTCTCTCTCGCCGAAATGGATTGCTGAGCCTTGACCATTACCGAAAACTTGCACCTCAATGTGTCGACTCGCCGGATAGTATCTTTCGATGAATAGTCCAGAGTTTTTGAAAAGCGTCTTGCCTCGCGACTGCACTTTTTCGAAGCCCGAGCGAACCTCTTCAGCATTGTAGCAGGTCACCAATCCCATACCTCCACCGCCTCCGGTAGCCTTCAGCATGACAGGAAATCCAAGTCTTTCAGATTCTTTGACAGCATCTTCAGCGCTTTCTACGAGGCCCTTGGTACCGGGCACAATTGGCACGCCAGCCTTTTCGGCCAGCTCTCGTGCTACATGTTTCACACCAAATGCTTCAATTGCTTCCGGACTTGGGCCTACCCAGGCGATGCCTGCGTCTGAGACTTGTCTTGCGAATTCGGCATTCTCGGACAAGAAGCCATATCCCGGTATGATCGCATCGGCACCTTTTTGCTTTGCAATAGAGATGATGTTCTCGCCATCGGTGTATACAGTGGAGTCGCTGCCTGTGAGCAAGACAGCCTCGTCTGAAGCTGTCACGTGACTGGAGGCTGCATCTGCAGTGGAATAAATCGAAATGGTTTTGATTCCAAGAGCTTTCGCTGTCCTGATGATGCGTACCTAGAAAGATGATCTCGTTAGGTAATCGCTCCATATCCCCTCTGCCAAGCCGTGTGGGGGTTGGTGGCTGGCATATATGGACAGGGTGGGGAAAAGACTTACTGCGATCTCTCCTCTGTTCGCTATGAGTAAAGTCTTGAGTTTCTCCATGCTGTGTGTTTACAAGGAGAGGAGCTGTCAACATGTGAGACAGCCTTCGATATATACTTCCAAGGACGATTGCCTCGTCGCCGGCTGACCGAACATGGTCGGCCGGCGATGAGGGGTCTTGACAGTACCTTGTTTCGGGGCAAGCTGTCGATCAATGATAAGACCCCGACTCAGGTAGCTACAAAGATGACCCCAATGACACGCAAATGACTACCCCAACTTCAAAGAGAGAAGGTCCTGCCTTGTGAGCCTTCCTTCCATCCGACTCACTTCATAGTCGATAACTCCCCAAGCTTGATCATTCCTTCCTCTCATACTCATATCAAACACCACCATGCCTCCAGTCAGTAAGAAAGTACACATCAACGTAGATTTGGGAGAAGGCTACGGCAACTTCAAGTGCGGTCCAGATGAGGAACTCATCCCCTTGATCGATCATGCCAACATCGCATGTGGTGTGTCAGCTCTACATTTACACGCTTATCTACGACTAACGTTCATCAAGGCTTCCACGCCGGAGATCCCTTGATCATGGCCAACACAGTCAAGCTATGCAAACAACACAACATCAAAATTGGTGCACATCCTGGCCTTCCAGACATCCAAGGCTTTGGCAGACGAGAAATCAAGATGTCACCTGAAGAACTGACCGCAATGGTCACTTATCAAGTCGGTGCCCTCAAGGGATTCCTAGATGCTCAAGACGTGCCTCTGCATCATGTGAAGCCGCATGGCATCTTGTATGGTATGATGTACAGAGACCGCGAAGTATGCAGAGCCGTCTATGCCGGCGTCCCAAAGGGTACGCCTGTGTTTGGACTCGCAGGGACTCTACACGAAGAAGTGGCCAAGGAGCTTGGTCTGCCATTTGTCGCCGAGTTATATGGCGACGTCAAGTACTCAAAAGATGGTACATTGGTGATTGATCGCAAGAAGAAGTAAGTGACAAGATAGATAAAAGGGGGAGATGGGATAAATAGCTGACATTGTATCAGAGCATGGACGCAAGAAGAGACTGCTCAGCACATCAAATCACAACTGGAGAATTCTTCGGTGACTGCTGTCACAGGAGAGGATGTTGAATTGCCTCTGGGCGATCATGAAGTGTCTCTCTGTTGTCATTCAGACAGCCCAGGAGCAGTCGATATCGTGTCTGCTGCAAGGAAGATGGTAGACGAGTTCAACCAAAAGTATCACAGCTCCGGGTAATTCAGGCATGGCTATCACGCGACTTCACTCAAATTGGAGTTCCAGCTGTCAGAAGTGATAGTGGTGGCATATGCTATGATACATTTACATTTCGTTCGTGACCTATGTGCAAGGCGTTCATATTTTTCATGAGTCAAGGCCCTCAGGCCATGTCAAGGAGTCATCGATATCGACCGCCTTCGAGAAGCTCATCGATCTGTCGCACGGCTGTTTTTACCCTTTCACGGGTATCAGCATCGATGTCTTCGGCCAATGCGCGAACCTTCTCATCTATACCAAAAGATCTGAGCTCTTGTGCTCTGGCTTTTGCTTCCTCACGATCAGCAGCACTATCCACCCAGGTGAGGTTGATGATAGCCCAGACAGACGCTACACGAATACGCCGGTCAGTGTGGGAGAAATGCGGCAGCCATGCAGTCAGCAGGGGCTTCTGCGCTATCAACTGTTGACGGTGTTTGGATGATCCACCAGCCACGTGTATAATAACTCCCAGAGCAGCATTGATGAGCTCTGGAGGTTGCCATACGGCATTTGATTGATGTGATTGAGGCGAATATGCTGTTTCCTTGTGAGAATCCAGCGGCGAACTGGAACGGAAAGAGACTGGTCGGAGTTTGTTATGAAGCATCTCGAAGAGTCGATTCGCTCCCAGGACGTTGTTCAGATGTTCAATCATGGCGACATTGTCGTCGCCGTTTATCAAGTTCCGAATAAAGTCCAGAGCCTGTTCTTGAACCAACATATCATCGTGTTTTGCTTGGACAGCCGGATCCTGTTCGTTTCTGCGGAGCAGGCGCAGATGCGCTTTGTAGTTGGTAGTATCCAGCGTGGACCTGAGACCGCTATCCTGGTAGCGTGTACCGTTGTGGTCCAACAGAATCTCCCCGTCCTCGTCATCGCTTTCCTCTTGCTCGGTCCAGTCCATGTCCATTCCAGTATCAGGGGTGTTCAGCAGATCGACTTGTTCACCTGCAGCGTTGATACTTCCCAAAGGTACGGTTGAACCAGGCTGAGATGCTCCATTCACTGCCTGGATAAGCCAACCAGTTCCTAGTTGCTCTAGACATTCAATTTTCATATCCTTGGGAGAGTTGAGAACCAGATGCTTCAAGGCCCAGAGTGATGCTTGACGCAACTTTGAATTGGAGCGTTTTGCTTGTTCACACAAAGTTGTAACAACCCCAGCAGCAACGAGATCCTGGATAATCAGCACGTTTCGATCAAAATGATGAGCGGGAATTCTTACCTGGCGCATTGGACTAAATTCTAGAACAAGATTGCAGATGACGTTGGTCGCAGCAATCTGCACGTCAACGTCGGGATATGCCAGAAGGGCGAATATGGGTTTCGTGATACCGGCATCGATAAGCGCAGTGCGCAAAAGACTGACCGATCTCGACAGAGCCGTAGCTGCGCGACAAGCGGCGAGCAGAACTGGTACTGTGTTCCCATTTTTCGAAGGAATTACAGATGGGTCAAACACACTGATAGGTGCAAGCGAGTCGATCAGATTGGAGACAATGCCACTGTCAATGACTGCTTTGCGGTTGACATCTTCTTTCTCGGCAACTGCGGCAAGAGCATCTAATGCACCTGCTCTACACTTCATAGCATGCATAACTTCAGGGGCAAGACCGCTATCTCCGAGCGTAGTAGAAAGAGTAAGAGGATTCTGCGAATCTAGAGCTTGAGGATTTGCAGACCACATAGGCCTGGCGAGGGTGATGGGATCAAAGGACTTTCTGAAGAGCTGTGAGACATACTTGACCGCGCCCGCATCCAAAGCAGCTTGCTGAAGCTCGGTGCTATTCTCGATGAGATGGGCCAGAACAGAGCAAGCATCCTCCTTTGTCACGGCCAAATCCTCACCGTACGATGTATCCAAGGCGTCTTGGACAAGCTTGACAGCGATAGGTACTGCAAACAAGGCCATTTGTCTTTCTCTTTCTCTTGATCTCGCGGTCATGTCGGAACGAGGGGCCGCGACATCTGCATCGAGAGCATCATTAAGGATTGCCAGAAGACGGAGGGCAGCTAAACGACAGCAAGGGTCTTGTTGAGAGCGTGCGAGATACATCAGCCAGACGCAGAGGGGCGAGTCCACCGAGACATTGGTAGCGGAGTGTTCTGAGAAGAGTCTAGAGTTGATGAGAGCATGGTGGCCGAAAGCGAGGGATTTTTGGAGAGGAACCATGACTTTGGGAAGAAGAGAATCGACAGGAACAATGTTAGTATTTCTGCGATAGTGTTGGTGATTATAGTCGAGAGTCTGGATGGGGTCTGAGGGATATGAGTCGGACGAGTGGGAGAAGATGCGCCTCAGGTCGTTGGAGAAGATGAGACGGTGGGCTCGGTAGGTAGAGTGGCGCACGATGCTGGATATGGCATTGAGGAGAGTTGTGATGTCCAGTTGTGCATGGTTCGACTGGGGGTTACGGTTGTAGACAGTCGCAAAGCTGGCGAGGTTTGTAGCCAGAGCATCCAGAAGGCCTTGGTGGACCAAAGCTGAGCGCAACTGGTCACTATAAGCACAGCATGTTGCCAGCAAGGAGGAGGTCAAGGCGATGTGGAGTTGTTGTTTAGTGGTAGGAAGAGGCTGGCGGAGGATTTCGAGGAACGAGGCAATGGTGTACTTGGTAAAGACATGGTGGACGAAGGACGGGTCAGGAGTAGGTGAGAGGGTCCACGAGATGGCAAGAGCATTGACGGCGCGGAGAGAAGCAGTGACGAGCTTGGGGAGGGATTGTCGCGGAGGGAGCGATAGCAAGAGGGGTTGGATACAGTTGCTGTGGAGAATGGGCGCAACAAAGGCAGAGCCCTCTTCGGCGAGGCTGGCGACAATCAGAGTGGCCTGGAGCTGGACTTCGGCATCCGGGGAAGACGACAGGAGATGGACCAGGCAATCAAGCAGGCCATGACGGACGACGAGCTTCTTGCGCTGGCCGTGGCCGACGATGTCGTTCTTGATGGTGCGCAGTAAGCGCAATTGATGCTCGAGCGGCGGCTGCGTCGACGTCTTGAGCTCGTAGAGAGCTGCTAGCGACGGAGGCTGCACCATGATGCCGGCTCTGGGTGAGAAGCAACACTCTGAATGGAAAGTCAAGGACCGAATGAGGCTGCGCTGTTCCTGGACCGCTCTGGCTGTGGCTGCCCTTGACTGCAATGCACGCAATGGGCGATGACGTGCGGCTTTGCCAAGATGAAGGCTCCTTCCTGCACGTGGAGCGGAGCAGATGAGAGGTTGGTCGAAACACAGGCAGACTAAACAAGACGTTTGACTTGACCCTTCTTCCACCAAAAAAAGACTCTGCGCCTGCCTAACAAGACCGCCCTTCTGTCGCTTTCTCGCCCTCGTTCCTGCTCTCCCGCCTCCGCCCTCCTTCCTAACTATGCGCCACGCCCGCGCATCGTCGCAGTGCCTGCAATCCACATCGCAAATCCAACTCCAAGAACGTCCATAATCTGTCTTCCGTAAATGTCGGCCCTGGCTTCCCACTCGCCCAGTGCCGCCTTCCACGCACGCTACGCTCGCCCTTCGCCCAAGAGTCCTGCTCCGAGACTTCCGCCCACCTCATCGCCTGCTCTGCAGCCATCTTTACATGCCCGCACCCCCATCTCCAAGCCCCAGACGGCCGATGCCGGCACGCAATACACCCCCGAAGGCTACCCTCCCACCGCCAACACCCTTGCAGGCAGTAAACGCAGAGGCAGCTCTCCTCCTCCGCCATCAATGACGCCTCGCCCAGAGACAAACCTCCCCGAGCGTCCTGTTCACTCAGCCACTCCAGACATGTCGGCTCAGGGTGTTGTCGCTGCTTCCCAGAATGCTTCTCCCTCGCTCTCGAAAAAGCCTCGCACTCAGCCGGATCCCAATGTCAAGATAATGCCTCTCAAATATGAGACATGCGACCCGAAGGACCTAGGCTACCTGATTAGCAATATGCTCATGGAATTGATCCGACTTAATGACAAACTTCCACTGAACGGCCGCCTGACTAGATTCCATTCCAGGTAAATGCCTCGTCACACGTTACTTCAAGACACCCCAATACTAACCCATCCACAAGGGCTCCTCCTGGAATTTCATGCCACGATTACCTCCAGCGTCTCATCCAGCACGCAACCCTCTCACCACCCATCCTCCTATCCATCGTCTACTACATCGATCGCCTGTGCTCGCTTTATCCAAGTTTTACTATTAGCAGTTTGACTGTCCATCGTTTTCTCATCACAGCTGCGACGGTCGCTGCGAAGGGTCTCAGCGATAGTTTCTGGACCAATCCCACCTATGCAAGAATTGGTGGCATCAGCGTCAGTGAACTTGCTACTCTGGAGATGGAGTTCTTGGAAAAGGTCCAATGGCGCATCGTACCCAAGCCAGAAGTCCTGGTCGACTACTATGTCAGTCTTGTACAGAGAAACGAGGGTTACCAACTTGAGGCTGCTACCGAGTCGGACCCGACCTGAGGCTGAGCCCGAGCCAGTGTCCTCTTCCTCTACCTCAATGCCAGAGTCTACACCTCCCATATCACTCTGGCGTCACGTACTCTCGACCGAAATCGGGTATACTCCGCACAGCCCAGAGCCGATCGCAGGCTATACACCCCGTCCTGCTCAACGTTGGGATCGCATTCCGTGCCACATCGCATGGAGGCACGTATCTCCACTATCGCGAGCTGCGGGAATAATTCCAGTCACCACTAATATTAGCAGCGCCGATTGGCCACTGCACCAATTATTTGCGAAGGCCGAACGGTATCATGCGAGCCCACATCTATTTCCTCCCCACGCTCTGCAGCTGGAGCCGCATAGATCTTCAAGCCACGCACCAAAAGCCGCTCGTATAGATTGAGCCGCACGGTCCCTTGAGCCGCTTCAAAGCGAAGCGACGGCTCGCTTGTAGATAGGCACCATTATACCGCAGCCGCCCAAAGATGTAGAAAAGCACTCGTCTATAGAAGGAACTAGCCCAGCACTCTATACAACTAAAACTTTTATACTGACTTCTCTCGACCATCTTGTCTGTGCTCAGTCACCTGAAACTCTTTCTGTGGTATCAAATGATCTCTTTGTTTGTTCCAATGCTTCCAAGTTTGTATTCAAGAGGTCGTCTTGTGTTCTAGATAGTTTCTTCTATTCGACCTTTTACATCGCTGCTCCTGAGGTTCCAGACCTCGGATGGCATCCTCTGCCGACTCGAAGTCGACATGCTCATCTATGGTTGCTACCAATGCATGTATCTACATTTCTTTCTTTAGCAGCCGTTCCTGGAGTCTGGCAGCAAGAGCCACCTCATGCGATGCTTGGTCACGAGAGAACGTCACAGTGGAGGCTTCATCTCCATATGTGGGGTTGTGAATTTGGCTTGTCGTCCTCTTCACTTTCTCTTGTTGAGTCCTGCCTTGGAGCCTTCTTCTGCGTGCTCGTGGCTGTGGCTGTGTCCTTCGTCATGACTGTGGTCGTGCTCGTGATCGTGATCGTGCTTCTGATCCTTTGACGCAACGAATTCGTTTGCGAAAGCATCTGCGGTGTTGGCGGAGCTGGTGAAGCGGATAGAGACACGCTTGATTCCTTGTGCTGCTGACGAAACCTGTTCGCGGACCTTGTTCTCGGCTTCGGTCATTTGCTCCAATGTCCAGGATGATGGAACGGTGACGGCGATCTCGATCAGATAGTTCTGGCCACTCTTGATACCTTGGACTTGAGGTGCTGATTCGGTGGGCAGCTTCAAGTCGCCAAGGGCTTGTGATGTGGCGGACTCGATCTTGTGCTTCATGTCGTCCTCAATGGAAACGTCTGCCAGCTCCAGGAGTGCAGCTTTGGTGTTTCCGTAGCCAGCTTGTACAATCATACCCGAGATGATCAAACCACCGACAGGGTCGAGCCATGCAGCGTTGGTCAAGAAGTGACTGGCTGTGATGGTGGCCAAAGCGACAACAGCAGTCAAACTGTCAACACGGTGGTGGTATGCATTGCTCGCCAACACACTGCTGCGTTTCTCCGTCGCAATCTTCATCGTCGCCCGGTATAACCACTCTTTGATCACAATACTGCCGGCTGCGAGCCATGCTGCATTGATGTTGACGCCCATACCCTCAACTCCGTGACTATGACTGTGACTGTGTCCGTGGCCAAAGATACCAATGTGGGAAAGTATGTGGGCGATCTCGGGGAAGAACTGTTGTGCCAGGGCCATGACTGCTTGAAGGCCGATCATGATACCTCCCGAAAGGAGAATACCTGACACACCAAGTGCTCCTAGAGACTCAATCTTGCCATAACCGGTCGGAAATCGTTGAGTAGGGGTTCTTAATGAGTACGAGACGGTCGCGAGGGTGGTGAAATCGGAAATGAGATCTGTGAGGGAGTGGATGGCATCGGCCGATAGTCTGTTCGGATATCGAGTTAGTGGCGTCCTCTGAGAGTAGTTGTTGGCGTTACACACGCTTTGGAGTTGAAGACGTAGCCGCCGACTCCTTTCGCAATGGCCATGCCGAGGTTGACAAAAAGTCCGACTCGCGTGATGCGGACTCCGGCATCGTTCTTGTCGGTGCTTGTCAAGAATGTGGTGTCGTGATGATGGTGGTGTCCATGGTGCGAATGGCCAAAGTGGCCTCGTGTCTGCTCCATGCTGACGCTACTCGCACTCGTCTCGGCGAGAGATGATGTTGATGGCCGGGTAGGTATGCGGTGATTGAGCAGAGTCCAGTTGTGTCGAGGGCGAGAAGTCACAAGAATACGAGACTGTTGGTTCTTAAGAAGTATCCTCGTGGTGGTAGAAGCAAAAGTTGAGCGAGACGCGTGTAGCAAGGGGCTAGTCGTCTGTAGACTCAGCCCCGGAAGTTGACACACTCTCATCTAGTTACGGAATGCCCTTCAGATGCGCCGTCGCATGCATACGTAGCTTCTTTTTCCACGTAAGCTGACCAACGTCTGCCGGTTGAGTCGTCAATTGAGAGTTTGGAGCGAATGTTTATAATATACAATCATGCCTGAACACGCAATTGAGAAGGAAGCCGCGTCTGGTCGCCGAAAGCGGCCTATTACCGAGATACGTCAATCGCCTTGGCGTTGTGATATACATCAGCCTGATGTGCGATTGAAGAGGCTGATTGCCCAAATATTGGAACAGCTTGCTGATGACTAACTTCCATACGAACTGTTGTTATGGTGATCTCATTCAATCATTGACTGTCGTACAAGGACCAAGGAACAACATGTTCGAGACACTACACAGATGGACCCTCGCTGATTCCAGATCGCCAACCATAAGCTTGTCAAGAACCAAGCCCCTTCCCAAATACCCATAACTCCCTAAAACAGTCATGGTTCATCATTCATCATTCGTTGTTATGGTTCAATAACCTAGGCAGTGGGCACGGGTGTGTGGGAAAGCATAGACTGGATACTGACACTCCGCTGCGTTGAATTGTCCGGTGTACGCTCTCGCTCAGGAGGGCTGCTGACAGATGGACCAGCAGGAATATATCTGCATGAACCTGAGGTGCTACGGACATGGGCTGTTGGCGGAGGTTGGTACAAAGGTAGCGGAGGGGGTCTAGGCAGGATGTGATACATTGCAGTCTGTTGGTTTGGCGTGAGCCCTAGTGCAGGTTGCACTACATGTATCGATGCTGAGCTTGTGGGAGGCGGAATAGCAGGCCTAGAGGTATCGGCTGGCTCCAATTCAGCGTCCGAACAGCCTATGCCGGAATCGCCTTCGTGCTCTTCCTTGTTTGGGGCAGGAATATCCTCACTGGGAGCAGATGTCTTGCGAGCAGTACGTGCGATTGATTGCAGGTTCTTCACCCCCTTCTCCATACACTGGCGGAACTGTTAGTGATGATACGCAGAACGCTTGACTGAATGGCTTACCTTTGCTTCGACCACACTCCAACGCTCGCCAATCTTGGCTGCAAGCGGCCCCCAAATTTCTTTTCTGAGCTCCATGTATTCCACTGCAAGGACGTCCAGTCTTTTGGTGTTCCAATCCTCGTGAGTCCGTCTCTCAACCAGTCGTTCGTGTCGTTTTCGACAAGCGTTCGCAGTTTTGTTGGGGAAATGCTTCGACGCAGTGGACTGCCAGTTCAGACCGGCCGCTCTAGCAGCGACCAAGACCTCGTCATCAGCAGCACTCCAATTGGCCGTGTTTCTGTGACCTAGTTGAGGCTCTGCAGACCTGGATTGTCTGATTTGTGCGGCTGGGAATGGTGAATGTCGGTGAGTTGACAGGACTCGTTGCTCCTTGGGCATATCGAGAACGATGGACCTTTGATTGATGCTGAAACCTTTGATTACCAATGCAGTGAAAGGAAAGAGCACCCGTATTCCGTGGCAATGACCGACCTGCGGTGAAGGAAAGAAGATTAGGATTAGACAATGAATTGGAAGGAATGGTATGAAAAAGGGAAATGCGAAATATGGAACAAATAACGGACAGAGGCTGGAATGGCACGAACACAATTTGACGGTCCTAACGTCTTCATAAGATGAACTTATACTTTCGTTCAGGGCATGATGCTTGACTGAACGGCCAATCGAACTGAGGCCATGCTGATACTGAAACACAAGGACACATTGAGAATGAGGATCTCAGGCAGTGTCCTATTTTGGTAGACGGCCTTCCAAGAACAGCCAGCATACTACGAGCGCTTCTGTGGCGGAGGTTGAAAGGCCGATCGACCAAGCGTGGACCTTAGGCGTGGTGGAAGAATAGCCTACCAGGACGAGCGCGTCTAAGAAGAGGGTCAAGCGGCTGCAGAAACCCATAGAAAAAAGCGTCGCGCCAGTTTCAAGCTATTTGTAGCATTTTGATGTCAGGCATCTTGATGTCAGTGGTATGCGCGCAGATAGCATGACCGGCGCGTATCTTGAGGGCGGTTATCCAAGCTGTTTCGATGCGGCCACGGTCCGAGCAGAGCACGATCGGTTTCGAAACATTTCGATGACCGAATCACTAAAACCAGAGAGCAGGGAAATCAGAGGCTGTGCCAATATACAAGAAAGATCTTGCAAAATTCGAATGTAGGTGCAAGCAGAGAAACCAAGTCAAGTTGGAAGGCGCATTATTGCTTCGGTTCGTTGTTACTCCATTAAGATGTCTCTGAGATGCTCAAATCATGGTCTGTGACTAAGACACAAGTAGCTGATCAAGGGCAATGATGTTTTGTAGACTGGTGGAAGTGATTGCGGACAAGTCAAGCATGTTCGGGGGTGGAATTAGAATGCGAAGTGATACCGAACGTTCGTGTTCTATCCGGCGTGCCAGCACCACATAATTTATCTAGGGAATCCCATCCTGAAGAAGTGCCAGATCTCGGAAACTCCTCAGGTCCCACCAGCACTAAGTGTATTCTCTATGCAATCTTGTGGCTCTCTTGATCTGCCATCGACTGGAGAGAAGTGGTTTCCGATACACCATGGTGAAGTGCTTAGGAGCTTGCGCTAAACAGTGCACGCGGACCGTTCTGTAACGAAAGGCTCGGAAGAGAAGTGATCGGGCCGGGTAGGAAATCGTCGGTCGGCCCCATAGCAGGCTTGATTATTGTTGAGAGCAGTGCAGCGAACAACTTGTCGTCGTTGTTGTCGCCCTTGTGTCTTGATTCTCGCAGTGACAATGGCCGCCTTTGCCAGTTCTTGCAGGTTCGCTGCTGCCGTCGTCAGCAGACATGGTCGCCGTCGTAAGTCCTCGTCGCCGGCCTCAGCAGGCCCAAGTCTTTCTCCCGAGTCCCAGCCTAATGCATAGCAATTGCAGCTTTCAGTGTCGCTGCGGCCAACCGTGCTGCCCAGAACTTCGCCATGCCCGCCTTGTCGCCGACCATGACTGAGGGAAACATCACAAGCTGGAAGCTCAAGGAAGGTGAGCAGCTCACCGACAGCCCCACCAACAAAGCGCTTTGAAGCTGAGCTCTACAGGCGACTCCTTCTCGGCTGGAGATGTAATTCTTGAGATCGAGACCGACAAGGCCCAGATGGATGTCGAGGCTCAGGAGGACGGCATTCTCGCAAAGATCACCGTCCAGGAGGGCGCAAAGGCCATCCAGGTCGGTTCGCGCATTGCTGTCCTGGCTGAGGAGGGTGACGATTTGGCCAACTTGAAGATCCCTGACGAGGACGCTTCGTCTACTGGACAACAACCCGCCCGCAAGGACCGCCCTAGCCCGCAGGAAGAGCTCAAGTCCGGTATCGACACAACCGAGTCCTCGCCGAGCGCCTCAGAGGCCCCGCCGTCATCCAAGCCCAACGCCGATGCTGAAGCAGGCGGCGCCGCAGACACCACCAGAGCTACCCAGTTGCAAGGCTCTTCCGACGCAAAAGCAAAGAAGCAAACATATCCTCTCTACCCCTCGGTCCAGCACCTACTGCTCCAGAATGGTCTGACCAAGGAGGACGCCAACAAGATACCTGCAAGCGGTCCCGCTGGTCGTTTGCTCAAGGGTGATGTTTTGGCATACCTGGGCAAGATTGAGAAGAACTACCCCGGCCAGCAGGCCAAGCGCATGGACAAGCTGGCACACCTCGACCTCTCCAACATTCAGCTTGCTGCTCCCCCGAAGAAGGCCGAATCCAAGCCTGTCGAGGCCGAGAAGCCCGCTCCTATTCCTGATATCGAGATCGCCCTTCCCATCTCCCTCTCCGCCGTGCTCGAGACCCAGAAGCGTGTCCACGACACTCTTGGAATCAACCTTCCCCTCTCTACATTCATCGCTCGTGCTTCGGAGCTCGCAAACGAGAACCTTCCCTTGTCCAAGAACAGAAAGCCCACAGCTGATGAGCTTTTCAACTCCGTCCTTGGTCTCGACAAGGTTTCTACCAAGACTGCCCGCGGCAACTACATTCCTCAGGTCACTGGTCTTCCCTCGACTCCTCTCGTCCCCAGCCAACGTGCTTCCAAGAAGGCCGATATCTTCGACATTCTCGCTGGAAAGCCCTCGGGCCCCAAGAAGGCACCTAAGATCTTCGGTGCTCAGGGCGTCGTGGCAGCTCAAAACGTCTTCAGCGTTTCAGCGCCCAAGGGAGACGAGAAAAGAGCACAGGAGTACCTCGAACGTATGAAGCAGGTCCTCGAGGCCGAGCCCGGCCGTCTTGTTCTCTAAGCTTTTACTTTACTCCCCTCATGTTTTCTTCACAGCGTCAAAGATATCTCTGTAGTTTTATATTAACTGGAAAGGACCGGCATAGAATTTCAACCTTCAAATCTTGAAGATCTCGAAAAGTAAGGTTGCGTATGATGCAGGCCTTTTTCCCCACATAACAAAGTTTTGCAAACACTCTGCGAGAGGGCATCCGAAGTCATCGACGAAGCGGACAATGTATCAGAGCTCAGATCGATGGGATTGTAGACCTCGAAATATGGTTGTCTATCCGATGACCCTGTCATTAACCTCATGACTCCCTCGAGCCTTGATACGCGGTCAAAAATTGCAGTATTTATGCTCTAAACGCTGGAGTCTATCGAAGAGAATGGTCTAAGATCAGATAGGCTATATTTTGCCTGTGGTGCTCGTTCTTCTCGCTCTTGTATCAGATCAAGCGATAATCGGACGCACAGGTCCACGGTTCGTGCACAGCCTGATCAGTCAATTTGCCCTTCTCCGTCTTCACAAATACACCAACTCGATGTCAACAAGTCTGCGGAGATTGCACGTTCCCATCCGGAAACTGTGGCCACCTCGAGCAGGTGCCCGTCTGTTCCCCGCCTACCACACGTTTGGCTCGTCTCGAGCAGGGTGGGGCAAGGATGCCCAAATCCTTAGAATGCATTCTGATCCGGAATACCGCAACAAAAGGTACGAGTCCAGGTCCGTTGCGGATAAGAAATGATACCACGAAAACCATGAGTACCACGAGCTGAAGAAGAGGACCTCTCGGGATTATTGTCGATCTCATGCGCAGGATCCCATATACAAGATCCGCAATCGCATCAGCAAATGGATCACTAAATTTGCTTGGGTCAGAGAAGAGCTGGATTGGAAATCACATATACCGATATACAGTGACACGAGAGTTGTCAGATACTGCAAGAGCTGTGAGCATGCGGGTATAAGAGGCACCAAATTATGGTGGTGAGTAAAATTACGCATTTTGGACACGCTGCAATGTTAACCTTCGACAAGGAGCAGGAACTATGATCCAACCATCTACGATTGCAATCGGTGCTTCCTAGGTGCGGATCCTCGAAAGGCGTTACCCAAGCATTGCGAAGATGTCACAACATTTAAGGAACTGCGCCAGCGAAGAGGCGAGCTCAGAGCGATGAAGTTTAGCACCAAAGATAACTCCGACAAGGCCGCAAATACGACAGAACCGAAGAGTGGCGGCCTTTGAGCTGTGACGGCGCAACGGTATATCAACTCCTCGATGAATGAGGGGCTACATATTTTATGCATCATACTACTTCTACTCCATGTAGGTCTGCGCTCTGTTCTTGGCCCGAATACTCTGACTCGTCGGGCAGAATGTGTCGATGGTTGTGACATCAAAAGCCTCGAGCCAGGATCTGCGTGGCACGATGGTTGCACTGCAAATGCATGTGACTATCTAGAGACTTTCGAAACGATATTCATCCAACGAGCCACGGCAAACCTCCTGTGGTTATGACTCTGATTGTCGATTGCATTGTGGAATCGCAGCAACGCCAATTATTGGAATGACTGATCATTAATGGCTTTGCTTTGTATCAATTGAAAGGATAAAATATACATGGAAGACAAGAGTTTCACGATAAGTCGCAGGACAAACTCGGTATGCGATCTCATGCACTCTTCTTGCCAAAGTAACTCGTTAGCTTGTTGCTTTGTCCTGCATCGATAGGCTTCTTCCCCTTCTGAGGGCTTGCTCCCTGCTTCTTTTCCTTCTTCTCACCAACACGCATCAAGCGCATTAGTTCTTCGAATTGATCGACATCAACGATGCCACCACTCGCCTGCACATGTCCTCGAGCAAAGTCGTCTCCTAAACGTTCCAGAAGTGGTATCTCGTGTTGGTCTGGAAGACCGCCGTCGTTATCGTCGTCCTCGTCTTTCACCGGCTTCAAGCTGGCATATGCTTTGAGACTCTGAATGATGTCGACCGACGGATCTCGGGCTTTCGCACATCGAGGGACACGACAGCTGAAGTTGACTTTGCCTGGAAGATAACCCTCATTGGCCACCATGACGATCTCCAAAGCTTTGCTTTGCAGGTGACCAGCCCATCTGGTCGCAATGACTGGATGCACTTGTGCTTCTGATTTGATTTTGAACACAGCAACTTTGCCATCCTGGCTGAACCTGGGCGCGGTGTGAGTACACCTTTCCACCTCGGCATTGACCTCCTGACGTGCAGCAAGCAATCTCGAATGTTTTAACACGTCCTTGGGATGTTCAGCTGAAAGGAGTGCATCGAAGGCAGAGCTGACATCGTACGTTGCTGTTCGTCTAGGCGCATTCACATATGATACTACATCGTTAAGGGCCTTCTTGGTGTACTTCTTCAGAGTGGCAGACATATCTGGGAATGGATCTTCCCATTTCAGAGTGGTGCCCAAATCGCCATGGGTTCCAACCACACACAACCAGTCGGTTCTGTCGCTGACACCAGCGTGAAGCGGTTCACAAAGCAGATAGGTAAGGAGAGCAGAAGTCACCACAGGCGGAGATTGGTTGGCTGTGCAGAATGCTGAACCTTCAGGGAAATCCTCAGGCGTTGCATGATGATGGTCAATGACAAGACCAGTGTGGGGTGCAGCTATCAGAGGTCCAGACTTGCGAGACCCTTGATCAAGGACGAAGATGTAATCGGGGGATAGGGCAGCCATGGCCTCCCTTTCATGCTCATGGTGGATCGTTTGGCCTTTACTTAGTAGATGAACGCGAATCAATTCGGGATTCAAACCAAGCAGAACCAGGGTACGATGGAGGATCACGCCAGACGACAAGCCGTCTGCATCCTTGTCTGGCACTATTATTGTTCGCTTTTGCGACCGGGCACTGGGAGCACATCAGTAATGTCACGGTGTGTTTACTAAACATTGATCTAATTTACCATTCAAGGATAATGTCGCGAGCTTGCTTCATTTGAGCTTCTGGAGCTGGCCATATCGCATCACTCGTCTTCTCATCTCGAACAGATGGGCTCAGATGATAGTCAGGAACTTCGAGTCGTGCTCGAGAGCGTTTTGTAGCGCTGGCCTGGGCCACTGACGACGGTTCTTTGCGCTTCATCAGTTGCGGTGGTGAGGAGGCGTGGATAGTGCGGCGAACGCTGATTGAGGCTCCACTACTGCTGACGCGACAGTTTAACCTGCATTTACTGGAAGTGTGCAAGCCCTTGCAAAAGCGGGTTGTGAGGCTGCTAAACGTTGTGGAGGTAATCTGCATGGATGTCTTTAGGATGGTGTCTTGGGTGTTCTTTACAAAGTGCCATCGCGCATGGGTCGTTCAAGACAGACCCTGAGTTGAAGCTAGACCCTTTCGGCTTCGATGGCAAGTCCTCCGCGGCCGTTTCTGGCGCGTGCCGACTGTGAGTTCTTTGAAGGTTTTGCAGTGAAACGTCTATAATCTTGATCGTACTCTTAACAGAGAGTCTCACCAGTGTACCCTCTTGGGGCGGCAAGGATACATTTATGCATGGATAAGCCGTCTGCGTTATTCACACCACCACTTGGAGGTACGTTATTGTGATACACCCAGCCACCCACCATCGGCGGCCGTCGCTATCTGACCATGTGTCATGGCTGGTCAGGCAGGATTAATAACAAATGACAGATCGAGCAAAAGATCAGTATCACCGAAAAAGGCATCAGCGAAAACAGGCGGATACGACTCGGATTGGCATTCTGGGCCGTCCATCAGAGGCATCAGATCGGGCAGATTTTCAGTTTCGTTGTGCACGCGCTTGCCTCCAGAAAAGTCTAGATTTGCGCCCTGCAGAGGCTTGGCACTATGAATCGCGCGTCGCGCGTTGTTCCATCAAATGACAGGTCGCGAGGAGCAGACTCCGTAATAGAGGGCAGAGGGGCCTTGCGAGCCGCAAGAGGACCGACCTGTCGGGGAATAGACACCTTGCCCAAAAAAATTAGAGGTTTTCTATTCACCTTGTTCCATAATCCACCTCTGAGATCGGCAGTCAAATACGTGTGCGAACTGATGTAATACCGTACGGGACGAGCGGACACTATCGTAGATGTCCAATGAGATACCTAGGATTTCTCCAGGTTCTGCGACGCCGGGCGATGCCTTCCCAATTAGGCCAGTTAACATGGTGTCAGAGGTTATCCATCTTATGGATAAGTGCTGTCCATGTTACGGTCTCCACCTTCCCTATTAGGCCATTTTTAGGTGAATAATCGAGGTGGAAACGGTTGGGCAAGGTGTCTATTAAATGGGAGGATCTGAAAGCTGACAAGCGCATACAGATTCGAAACTAGACAAGCAGATTTGCATTTTACGGTTGAGCCTCGAGCCTCGCGGCAAAATTGCGGTCGGGAGGGCAAAAGAGGGTGAGGCTCTTGTCACTCACCTCGGGTCGAGCGCCCGTCTTCGCTGAGAGAGTTGGTTCTCACTTCCATCTGAGGCGATGTGACCGACTCCGCCGGACTGTTAGTTTCTTGTCTGCTACCAACCCGTCCCCCCAAATGACGGATACTACCGCGCCCTTACCGTCCTTCTTTCCTCTCCCTCTTTCGCTGCTCCTACCACCTCTGGTCTACATTCTTATCATTTCTTATTTTCCAATTCATCATCCACTGTTTAATACAGCTGATAACACATTGCCATCCATCTTAAATAATTAGTTGGACACGCGTGCCTGGATCCGAGTCGCCGAGAGATTTTCGATTCAGCTTTTCTGCCGCCGAATCCCAACTCGCCGACTGATTCGCACACCCAGCTGGTGTTTTGCGACTCACCAGCTTCAGCACATCGGTGTATCTCATCGTGAGGTCGTTCATCAGTTGAATACATTGAACCTGGACACTGTTAGAAACTGTACTTACAACGCCGACCCAAGGGTAGGTTGTATTGTGTTTCCGACAACGCTCATTGTGACGCGGCGTCTCGCATGCTCTGGTACGTACGAACTCCCATCACGTTGTTTCAAAAAGCTTCTCTTTATGAAATTGCTCCACTACCTGATGGTCAAATCAAATCTAACAAGAGGCTGGACCAAGCCACGCGCTTGGCCTCTGCCCTGGTTGTCTTCGCGATTGTTTGCGTGACATGTGATGACAAGCTGTCCGCTCAAGCCAGCGTGAAAGCGGTCACCATCTGCCATGTATCAGCTCAATACCCTCCCTACATTTCTAAATTCACTTTGTCACTCTCATCATCGCAATCAGTGCGCTACAAATCACATGGAAACACAATGCTGACTTGCCTGCTGCTTTGCAGAATCCCTTCCAGACACTGCATGCTACGGCTTTCTTAGCTTATGCATTAGAACTTCTTTTTCAGCACATAGACGCCCTGCCGTCCTCACTTGTATATCTTTTATTCCAACCAACCAACCAACCAACCAACCAACCAGCTCTGCGATCTTCTCTGAAGAAGATCAATTCTATTGCCTGTCCACGCATCTGCCCCGAGCTTAACTGGACCCCCACCAAACCCTAGTCGATCTTGTCCAGCCTCCTCCAAGATGGGTCATGTTGGTGATCACATGCATTCATTGAACGGACTCGAAGAGGGTTACGTCCACAACAGGGCCAACCCACTACCTGGACCGGATCACGACTACATTGATCGAAATATACCTCCACCCGATCAACGTCCACCAGCACTGGGATACATGCCTTTACCTGAGCCCCGCACAGAGCTCTCCCAAAGCTTCTCCCCAGACTCATATCATTTTACGGATAGAAGAACAGAGAGAAAAACAGACAGGTCCTCCACTGGAAGGCCGCTCAGCCTGCGCACCATGACCAACACTACATCAATGCCCGAATATACATACCTCGACCGTGCCAACACCGATTCACCATCTCAACGAGCGCATTCGATCCACGCGATAGGGGCCGTCCCGCCATCTCTTTATCCTCTCTTGCGCCCTGATGGAACGCCAGAGGAACCATCATCTTCTTCCCGGACGGATCGCCTTCCCGGATTCCATCAACTAAGCCAGATCGCCGACAGCGCAGCGGAAGCAAGTGATCCAAGACCAACTGGATTACCAAACCTATCTACGTATTCTGGTCAGATAATCGCCCAGACCGCGTCGACTTCACATCCACACTTCCCACCATCGCAGAAATCCAGTCCGTCGACTAACTTCATGTTACTTGGGCACGCATCGCCTACAAACACCCGGACCGACGATACATATGTAAACTCGCACTCGCCAGCTTCCTTCTCTGCTCCAAACAACTTTGATTCAAGACGTAAGTCGGCTCAAAATGGTCGACCCCCACCATTCATTCCATCGATGTCTTCTATTGGGACCACATCTTCCACAGATACTATGGTTAGTCTCCAGAGCCACCAAAGCTCTGAAGCTGGAGGATACAGCACGAATCACACGACATCACTGGAGTCTACACCGTCATCTCTGGACGGAACGCCGAAAACATCGGGAGTTCCACGTTTACAATCATCGACATCCGCATCTGCAGGATTCCCTTGCGAGTATCCTGGCTGCACCGCACCTCCTTTCCAAACGCAATACCTTCTCAAGTAAGACCTTTGCTGTTCTTGTGTATCTGTTGCACAGTCTAATGTTCACTGCAGCTCGCACGCAAACGTGCACAGTTCAAGTCGCCCGCACTACTGTCCTGTTAAAGGCTGCCCAAGAGGCGAGGGCGGTAAGGGGTTCAAACGCAAGAACGAGATGATCCGTCATGGACTAGTTCACGACAGCCCAGGCTATGTGTGCCCATTCTGTCCCTTGCGGGAACACAAATACCCCCGCCCGGATAATCTCCAGAGGTAAAGTGCATCAATCAGGAGATTTCTTGCGTTGACTAATTTGGGTTCCTACAGACACGTCCGTGTCCACCATGTGGATAAGGACAAGGATGATCCTTTACTTCGAGAAGTTCTGGCCCAGCGACCCGAAGGTGGTGGCCGAGGGCGCCGCCGGCGTGCAGGCCCCGCTTGAGGAAGAACAGCTTTGAATCATACTGACAGGGCATGTCAACAAATCTGCTTCAATTTGGGCGGCGTTCTGGTTGTTACAATTCACCTTCACTCAAATCGTCCCAACAGGACACTCATATTCATAGTTCGTCAGTGGGATTCATCGGTTCACGATACAATTGTCAAGGCCGCTGGCGTGCTCGACAAACAACGGGATGTGGCATTTCAACGATTCTCATGATTGGCGCTTTGGGTTTCTACTTTCTATTATTCTCTCACTTTGATGGGTAGCTTCCTATCCAGATGTCGCCATTAGCATGCAGGGCAGGAACTATGTACGATATTCAACACTTAAGGTAGATCCATTCAGGACGAATCGAGGAAGGAATTAGCAGCATCAATTTTGTTCATGCATTCGAACAACGCTAACAGGTGTCCAGCGACGGAGAGCGCTCCTACCTAAACGCTATTCGTTGTTGGTTTCGCCGATCCAGCCGCAAGACGATCACATGTCGAAATTGGCCAACCGTTCGGCTGATTTTACCTCGCTAGTCGCCTTACCACTAGCCATACCGTTTGCTCGAGACACGCGCTTTCTTCTGCAGCGATTAGTCCCTCGCTTGGTTTGGGTTTGGGATCTTTGGGATTTCACCGCGGCAACGACTCGTCGAGTGCACTCTTGTTCTCTGGGAATGATAAACCTGAATTACACCGTGTGCAAGGGGCGTCTATGGCCTGGAAGCGAAAGAAATTGATAATGTAATATCACATTTGAACGATACGGTGTGAACGCTGCAGGATGCAGGAGGTCGCGCCAGGCTGCACCCACTCGCGTGGGGATTTGTGAGTTGTGATCGTCGCTCGCGATACAAGCGGACTTTGATGATCGTATCTTCGAATTCCGGTGATCGGGAAGCCAAGAACCTTCGAATGCTCTTGAGTCTTGTGCTCTAGTTGGAGGTCTCCATCGCAGCAGGTCTCCGCTGCTGCGGTATCGTTGAAATCACAACATTGAACGGAGAGCTCCTACTCCGAGCTTCTCCCCGAAGCAGAAAGAACCAATCATCGCAATCTGCGCAGGCGAGTGAAGAAGTATGACCCATCGTTTTAGATTACGGTATGAACAGGCGAGATGATCGTCAATACTCGAGCTTCGAGTTGCCACGAGACTGCATGTCAAAGTGAACCAGGGGCGCGTCTAAAGCAAGGACTTTCCTCAGCCACGCGATTTTATATTTACGCGGAGCCAGCTCCTTCTATAACATAATCATGGTCCATATGGTGTGGTCTTAGCATGGAGGGAGGCTCTAGGATTCCAGGTATGCTGCCTGCCGCGAACTTCTGGTCTTATGCCTGAACAAATCTTCCTAGATGAGTATTCTTTCTGACTGTAGGGAGACCATTGGAGTGTACTCCGGCTACGTGGGGGCTCTGACACCTCATGAGCGCCGAGCGGCAAGTGGCAGGAACATGCCACCCGGATCCCGGGCACACCGAAGTTTCCAGCTTCAAGCGAGCAACGACAATCGTTTACTGTTTTGGCGTGCACTTGCTTACGCCGCTGTCTATCCCCGTTACTGATCACAATCGTGTGTCTCGCAGCAAGAGGACACATCTCTGAGCGACCCGTACCCATACTGTAGGAACGATTCCGTCGCTGAAACGCAATCCTTGAAAGATTCCGTGGGATTCGCACAGAATTCGCATTTATCGTTTCGATGTAGCAAACCTTCCGAGTACAAGATTTGAGGCTCGCGGCTTTGAAAATTCGGCATTTTTTCTCAGTACCGGCTTGCTGCTTGGTACCACATACGGACATGACGCCTGCTCGATGTCGGCGGAAACCATGCCTGCGATCATAAGTCATTTGATGACATGTTTATCTAAAAAGAATGCTCCTTTCTGCGTGCAATCCGGACTGCATGACGACGCACATCCTTCGCGCCAAGGGCACTCGATTTACGGAGACTGTTCACAGACATCGAGACGAAAGGTCATTACCGAGCCATCGTCACCTCCTGTTCCACCTCAGCTCGTCAGTTTCGGCTCTTGCTCTCGTATCTGTAAAATCTCCCAGAAGGTTGGAAACTCTGTTTCCACCACGTGCATTTGTTCTCGGATCATCGCCCTTTCTCATCCGCGGTAAATCAAACCTTTTCCAACTTGCAGACGCAGCAAGTTTTCCTTCCGACGGGGCAAATCTAAACGCAAAAGCAATGTGGTGAGTGTCCCGACTGTGGGAATAAGCACATGACGGGCAGACTCTGCCCTGGTTCCAGCAGGATTGGTGATCCACATGAACTTTGACAATCGTGAATCCTTTGGTCGGGCGCGCCCGTTGATGGTTGATCGATTTCTCGGACAGAGACTTTGCGACATCTGGCAACAAAGATCGCTGCTGTGTGTTCCGATGGCATCTGCACCCTTGGATCTTCGAAAGACAAACCAGCGCACTGGTTCACATTCACGGACGATTGGGAGCCTCAATGGTCGACTGCGAAACATCGACATGTTTGTAAAAGAGCTTCATGCCTGTGGACATGTAGTAGGTGTCAGCTCTGCGGTCAGAATACTCACACCCAAGGCCACCTTGAGAAATTGCCTATAATCTCGGAATGTGAGTTTCTAACAAAGGGTTCTGATGCCAGCTATCTCAGATACGGTCACCGGTAGCAATGTACCTTCCCTCTTCAACTCTGGACGAATCAAATACCATGTAAAAAACACAGTCACACCTGCGAGTGGAGACCATGTCCTCGGCAAAAGCACAACTTTTGGGATAATTGTAAGGACTTTCTTCATATCGTGTCTCTCGCTCACCTAGGCCTGCGTTGCACCTTCCTGTATACGACGCTCTCCTGCGTATGGCACAGCTTTCTATGAAACACAATCCTCGATACTGTACTTTACTTAAAGATCGTGCCTTCTTCTACATCTCTCCTTCCTCTGTATATGCATTTAGTCCTTGATCGCATTCCCTACTCTGTGTTCTCGCTATATCTCAACCGACACCGTGCCCTGTTGTACTCTAGCTAAGTATACATTGCACCTGCTTGTGATTGCCATCAGCTGAACTGTTCACATAGTTGTTTCTTGCTTACATGGTGCGACAGTGTCTTATCCCTCCAAGTCTTACGAAAAGTCGAGCCGTGACAGCATGCATGGACGTTCCTCTGGCTATCTGGTAGCCATAATCTCGATATCAGACATCGACATCAACATCTCAAAAAAATCGCATTTTCTTCGTACATGACCATAGATATCCACACAAGAGCGTTACCTGAACACTGGCAACTCGCCATTGCTTATACAAGCCGACCGATCAAGTTGATACTCCATTATCGTCCAAAACTCATGCCAAAAAATCAGGTGTTTGGAATGGTATGACCCTGTCCTTCACCCATCAGTCAATGCTCCCGCAACTCTAATCATCATCATCATTGTTTTTTTTTCTGCCTGGGCAGTTGTACTATTATTTCCACTCTTGGAATCGAATGCAATGAGCAGTATAAGAGGTACGGTCAGAAAAGGTATAGTGACGATACAGCTACCCATCTTCAACTACCACAATTGAGAAACAAGCAAATACCAACGGTAAGATGATTGCAAGACGATAGCAGAGCAGACGACAATGTCGTTGCAAGATGCTAAGGGGCTTGGACTAACACGTATGTCACAAGGCAAGGTCAAATCAAGTTAGGAAGAGTATCGTTTGTTATTCAGTATGAACGGAAGGCCAAGTTATATACAAGAGGTAAAGGCTTCGGAGGTACAACAATGCGAAACGAAAGGATCATGTAGGATCTGGGTATCTGGCAATGCAGGGTGATGATGAGATAACGATATAAGATTCGATAGCCAACAATCGCACGACTTGCTGGCACTCGAAGGAGATGGAATGTAGGAGAGATGAAGAGGTAAAGAGGGAAAGAACGAGCGCGTTTTGCGGAGAAAAATGTCGTAGAATTTCCAAAAGTCGACAGTAGCGTTTAATCGTCAGTTTGTTCGTAGGAGCGTTCATTCGTTTATGTGTTTTGTTCAGAATGTGACCACGACAATCCCCTCTTCCATCAAGGTACGCTCAGGGATTTTGGTACGAGTAATGGTTGTGTCTTGACGCGTCCTCTTGAAGTCTCCTTCAGCAGGGATTTGGTATGTGAGGCCAACAGCCTTTCCATCTGCAGTTTCGATGCTCGATGTGGTGAGGGTTGTTGCAAGAGAAGAAGTCATTGTGACAGAGCGGTCCAGAGCCTCTGGGAACTCGTGAATGTCGTAAGAGGGTGGCGCAAGTTCCCATTCCTCAAGCATATCCATCTTGGTGTTGACCCTCAAGCGGCGACCGTGGCACATGATGATATCGGTTGCACGAGGAGCATCAAAAAGCAATGTGGGCATGCATCGCTTGATGTATCGCCACTGTGAAGCATTTGTGCGAGCATGCGGAGGGTTCCACTTTCCACCAAGACCCAAGTTGTCAGGGCTGGTCTCGTATTGGAACGAGGAACGCGAAGGTGGAGACTGTAGAAGCGGTCGTTTGACGAGGGTTTCCGGGTCTGGTAGTTGGTTGTGATTCTGGGCCAAGATCTTCAGCAAGGAAGGACAGATCAATGTCTTCAGCTTCTTGATCGACTGTGGAAGTAAGAGTAAGAGCATTTGTGTCATCTGCTGTTTCCATACGAGAAAGGTCTACACCCTCGGAAGCTCCTTCAATCGATCGTGCCAACGAAGGATACATCTCACGCATGATCTGCTCTTGCTCCTCGATCACATTGCGATCCTCAATGTTTTCCAACTCCTGAGTTCGCTGCCTACGACGACGTCTGGGAATAGTGCAAGGCTTGGGTGCGGATCGCTCGTCAAGTGGCAAAGCGATGTCGATGCCAGCAGAGAGATCATGGATCCATCGGAAGATTCGCTCTTCAGAATGGTCGGCCAGTAGGAATTGATCGGTCTCGAGACGCAAGCGAAGTACGACCTGCGAGATGGGAGTAAAAAGATTGGGATCCTTCTCGAAAGCCTTGCGGCGAGCCGCAGAAGGGATGAAGTGAGCAAGACGAGTGGCTGGCAGCAACTGGCTGTATTGAACATCCGTGGCCAGACCAATCTCTGCGTGCTGAAGGGAATACCGTTTGATCAATTTGCCAGCTGCTGGGAGAGAGTGACCGGCGAGCTGAACGGACTTGAGCTTGTGCACACTCAATTGAGTACCGTTGAGCACAACATAGACAGTGCGGAAGTCTTGCTTAGGCAGGTACTGGAAGGGAGAGATCTTCTCAATTCGCATCTGCATTGGGCCCTCTCTCGACACTGAGCAAGTATATTTTGGCAAGACCTCTTTCCCATTGTCCAGGAATCGTGGAGCAGGTGGAAATTTCGAGGCACGAGCAGTGACGGCATATGATGGAGCAGGGTCGTCGCATGGCGAGCACCGAGTTTGGAAAGGATGGTGGTAGCTTGTCACACGACGACTGCGTGGACGTTCTGCTTGTGCATCGTCATTCTGAGCGGGTGTGGTAGTCGAGCTTTGTGTCGCCGGTCTGAAAAGCTGATTTGTGTCAAGAGGCAAGACGGTCGAGGTCGGTCGCGTGGATTGGACAGCCAGTGTGGTGGACATGATGGTTCTGTGACAAGCACGCCCAGCTTTGTGGAGAGTGAAATTGGCTTCGGATCGCTACTGCAGGCTTGTGTTTGGAATCGGAAGAAGCAGGAACGCTGCCGGATCGACAAGAAGCGAATATCAATGCAAAGACGACGCGGAAAGGGAGTGAGACTCGCGATGGAGCATGTGTAGTCAACGGAGAGGGAGGAGTAGAGAGAAGAACGGCAGCGGAGGACAGGATGTGTTAAGGCGGCCTCTCACCCTTGCTGTCGTCGACGATGATACTGATTGGCGAAACGGTGACCGAAGAATTGTGGAGAAGTCTAGGCCAAAGCCGGGAAACTCAGCTAAAGCGAGCTAGCGGCGTAATTAGCCGAGGTTGGGGTTGTGGAGGACCCAGGATTTTAACAGATCTGTCGAATGGAGAAAACTTGGAGTGAGCTGGAGAAATACCGCCGAACAGGCCGAATAACATGCAGTAAAGTGCGAGAAGAGAGAATTGAGAAGTAACACAATGGCTGCGTCCAAGATGAGAGATAAATGCAAAGGATCATGGGTTCCCCGCTCGCCGCAGATCGCTAATTCATGGCAGGGCAAAGGAGTGTGTGGGCACATGCCACCACCGGTTGTGTCCAGACGAAGCCACAGAAGCACTAAAGTGACAAGCGATGGTTCATGGCGCATGGCTCAGACCAGTGACAGATAAGCCAGATACAGTTGAGACATGTAGATTCAGAGGCACACAGAGTGAGCGTGAACGACAGACGGCCAATTTGCAAGCAGAGGATGCAAAGGATCAATTGATGATGCAGCATGAAGGCATGAATCAGAAGACACACACGAGGTGACCAAATCTGGTTTTTGTCGTGGAGCCTGAGCACGCTAGCAGCATGGGGCTGAAAAAGGCATTTGAGGCACGCAACGTGAGGGCCCGCTGTTGGCAACAAAACACGCGATGCAACGATGCAACGATGCTCCGCGCGGACCTTCTTGCTTGTCCTGTTTTGGTTCCGCCCAGACGGGGGTAAAAGGCGGGGTGGATCCTTTTTGTAATACCGAGACGCTGCAATCAGCCGGCAGTTCTCAGGTCCATGTCCAGAGCGACAGCTTCCTCTGTCAGAGCATCCATGTCATGTAGAGCTCCGTTAGCAGCATCTATATCAGCAATCGTTGTCTCCAGCTGCGAAACGAGACGCTCAATATCGCGGCGTTGTTGCAGGACCGTATCGACCAAGTCGGCATTCTCGGATTGGGCAGTCTGCAGTCTTGACGATAGTGAATCGTGCTTCTCGGAGAGAAGTGGGCCAAGATGCGACAAGTACAAAGACGAAGCCGGCAGAGTGTGAGGACTGTGCAAAGAGTAAGTGCTATTCCCGGCGACAAAGCAGTCAAAGACGTACGGGAGCGGAGGTTGTGCTGCTTGACCGTCCTGAGCCTGCTCTGCGGCTGTCTTTCTTTTTCTCGCGTCTTCTACCAAGCGATCCAGGTCGTTCAGCGACGCGACAACTTGACGATCGCGTAGGATTTGATCAAAGTTGAGTTTACATGTACGGTCCAGTTTCTCGACAAAGTCGGTATGCAGGCGCTTCATGGCATCGGGAGCATGACTGGCCGGTGTCGGGAAGGACGAGGCGAAGTTCGAGTAGCTACAAGTGCGAAGGGTGTGCGAGACGGCATCGGAATACAGCTTCTGGAGGGCTGCGGCGCGTGGACCGGGAGTTTGCTGTACAGGTGGTGCCTGGGCTGGCGAGGGTGAGCGAGATGGACGAGAAGCGGACATGGCGATGAGGGCGAGAAGATGATGAATGCTTTGCGGTCGACAAATGGCTGTGCTGTGCTAGAGACGCGCGAGTGCTGATCGCTCTGGCTATCTAGTCGTAGATAACTATGCACAGCTTTGTGCGCCTTGTTTGCAGACCAAAACAACTCTGAATGCCTGCCAAGCAACCATGAAAGCTTGTATACGGATACTTTATGCAACTTCTGCACACCTCGGCATGCTTTATCGATACGGATAGGCGCCTTCGCATCCGCCCTGTCTCGAGATATTTCCAGGCCATTGAAGATCCGTTTCCCACAGCCAACCATGGCTTCTCTCTGGCGACCATTCCGGCTCCTGCCTCCGTTGCAGTCGACCTTCTCACAACCCTTCGGTCTCCGCGCCTGCACACCACTCCAGTCACGGCTTCTACATTCGTCGCCCATTCTCGCTGTGCGCAAACCTTCCAAGGCCGTAGTCAAGCCACTCATTGCCTCTGCAACTACTCGCAAGAAGCAACGCAAAGACGCCCTGGCCGAAGAGCAGCAAGATTACATCCACATACCTTTCGAGACCCACTCGCCGAAGACGGCCCCTTCCACTCCTGCAACACACACGCCGCGTACATCCAGGCCCTCAGCTCCTGCTACAACGATACAGCAACCTTTGGTGAATCGGCATGTACAACCACAACAGCCCGTTGTCGAAGAACCATTGGAAGTCTACGCGCCTCCTCCGTCTCCTCTGAAGCCTACTTTCGAATACGTACCCGGCGGCCGCACTGGTGTCCACGCTTCCCTCCGAGAACTTGACAGTGCCGAGTCCCCTACCTTGATTTACGAAGCCACAAAAGCTCGCTCATACATTGCTTGGTGTATCTTTGCTAGTTTCTTCCTTGGCTGTATAGCTGCCATGCAAATCGGCTTCTTCACCACCGATCCCTCAAAGAGCGATATCCGCATCGCCAGTGTCTTCCTCCTCACTGCTTTGATGTGGGCTATCCTTTCCTCATGGGCCGCCTGGGGTGCTACCGATGTCATCAAGCGTATCTATACTATTCCCACTGGCACCGGAAGGCCGCTATTGCGCATCGAGCCCGTCCGTCTCTGGGCCGGCAAGCGTCCATTGCCCTTCGAAGTCCGCATTGGTGACGCCTTTTCTAACAAGGGCTTCGAACAGAACATCGCCATGTTCAATGCCACACGAGATGTGAGACGTCAACCTGGCGTTCTCGATGCCCTCTTCGAGCCCATCGGCACACTCTTCTCGTCCAACATGAAGATGATTCAGAGAAAGTCTTCATTTGCGCAACTGCACATCAAAACCGGAGGTACATGGAAGGTCGACCTTCGCGACTGCAAAGCCCTTGATCATGGCAAGAGTAAGTTCATGCGACCCAATAGTATTGAGAATCCCTTACTGACAACATCTTTAGCAATGGATCTTGTGATTCTCCCCATGGAGACTAAGCGTGGCTGGTTCGCCTCGCTCTTCCTTCAGGACTAAACGCCTTCTTCAAACTAGCGTAATTCACTTCGCAACAAGTTTCATCGATCGGAAGAGACAGCAAGCTTTTACAGGCCCTGAAGACGATTGCTTCACGGACAGTTCTGCAAACCTTCACACTACCACGAGTAGTGCCAACTCCAAAGCCGTATCTTGGATCTGTAATGCGACCTCCAGCGGTTGCCGAAGCGTCCAACTCGGACATACATTGAACTTCAAACTCGTTATATATAGACGTCGATTGTGTAAATCCGGGCACATGACACATGGATTAAGATACTGGAGCAAAAACTTGTATGTACGAATATAAAGGATGAATTGTACTTTGGCTCAAGTCGAGCCGACATCAGGTCGGACTCGCACTATCTGAGTCCCTCTGCATAACTTTCAAACACGCTTTAAACCATCTATCTTCTGTCGTTTTCGGCAAACTTGTGGTTCCAGAATCCTCTAAAGTGCTTCTGCGAACCAGCCTCGTTGAGATCATTGACCTCTCTGGGTGTGAGTTTAAAGGTCATTGCTCTCAAGTAATCGCTCAATCTCTGCTCCTTGCTGCTGGTAGTGATGGGCACGATATCCTGATCAATACAATATCTCAAGCAAATCTCGCCAGGGCTAACGGCGTACTTCTTGGACAGGCCGGCCAGAACATTGTCAAGAGGTCCAGGAGCCGCCTTTGTCGCGGGAGTCAAGGGGCCGTAAGCTTCAGTGGCGATACCCTTGTCCTTGTGGTAAGCGAGAAGTTCGCGGTGTTGCAGGTAAGCGTTGAATTCGATCTGGTTGAGGGCAGGAGGGATCCTGGCGGTCTTGATTATGGCATCGAGATGGTGAGGCAAGAAGTTTGAAACGCCGATACTGCGAGTGAGCCCGGCTTCCTTGACATCCTCCATCGCCTTCCAAGCCTGCTGCAAAGCCTCTGGTGATTCTTCAGGCGAACCGAAGAAAGGGGCGTGAATCAGATACATATCCACATACTCCAATTGCAGTTTCTTCAATGACGTCTTGATGGCATTGGGGATATCGGCAATGTTGGGGAGGACCTTTGTGGTGACGAAGAGCTTGGATCTCTCGACTCCGGATTCTTTGATGGCCTTGCCGAGTTCGGGTTCGGTCTTGTAGACTTCGGCGCCGTCGAGGTGGTAGTAGCCTATGCCAATGGCGAGCTTGGTTGCGTCCACGCAGGCTTGGTCCAATTGGCTTTCATCACCAGTCTTGTACCAGGCAGTTCCGGTGCCGTAGCCCAGCATTGGGATTGAGTTGCCATCATTGAGCTTGAGGTTGGGAATGGGGGTGTGGATGTTGGCCATTGTTGCTGCTGTCCTTGATGTGGTTTTGGATGGGTGATTATTGAGGGAGAATGTTCTTGTGATAGGAAACCTGAAGGGCGATTGGCAGAGTCTTTTCGAGAACAAAACACTCATAAGAATTACGTGGCCTAGATGTTGATGCAATCAGGGAAGCTGCTGTCGTAAAATAGCGGCATAGCTCTGGCGGGGCACTTGTGACGTGTGTGGGGTCGTCGGCCGAGCACCTGCCGAGCTGCCGCTTGATATACCCCCACTCTGGTCTGATATTGATCAGTTTCCAGGAGACTATTGTGAATGCATCAGTTCCATCTGAAATGATGGTTGTTGGCATGATTTGTGGTCAAGAAGACAGTTCTGAATATGATGAGGTGATTCAGGAACTAACCGCTCAATGCTCGTATTAAGCTCTATAATCGTACAATATACTGTGAGCAATAGCAGAAGGGAAGCAAGTATGAAGAGTCAGGCATAGGGTTGTTCAGGCCTCATCGCGGAACATATACCTGCCACCACCTCTCATGGCATCCCTCCACCTTTCTTCTACCCTTTGTCTATCCATCTTGTCTGCCTCTGCTCGATCTTCTTCCATCTCTTGAGTCGAGGGCATCTCTGCACGCCAGAACCCAGGAGGTGATGGGTTTCTCTGGAACTTTTCTCTATGCTTGCCATGGCGGTCTGCAAACGCCTTGGCCCTTGCTTCGATCAACATGTTCTGCCTTTCCTCTGCTGTCGCTTTGTGGATTGAAGTCGCATATGCCGAACCCAAGTATCCTTGCAGCGTCAACTCATCGTCGGTGAGTGAGGTATCCTGTGGCAAGCCGCCTGCGGCAATAAACCTTCGGATTGCACCACAACATTCCTCCTTCGTACAACCAGGCAGACACTTCTTCTCTTCGCGCTTGCGGACACTCTCACGGTAGGCGAATCCTAGGCTTCCGCTGTACTTGGGATTTACCTTGAAATCATCCAGATTAAGTCGTTGGAGAGGTCGGGCGCGCAGAGGCTCGTGTTCGGGAAGAATGGGACCTGGCTCTTCTGCGGTTGCCAGCTTTGAATTGTATCTCACAACAGCAGGACGAGGGATTGGCCTATCTCGGACTGTCCTCGTGATACGGCTGACGGGTCTCTCAACTGATCTTGAGACTTCATGCTTCTCCAGCTCCTTCGTAACGGCATTGTCCAGCCATTCGCGCTGTCGTCGAATAGCTGGGGCGGAACGTGGACTCAGAATTGTTCTATCAACCTGAGGTGATGTCCCTTCAAGAAGTCCACTCAATCTTCCAGTACCGACGGCCTTGGGCGTTTCATCATCAACACGTGGTTTCTTAAACCCACGGGCGGTGTTGTCTCCATCTTCTGACAGAACATGCACAGCATGAGCTCCTCTGCTATGGTCAAGCTTTTTGCCGGATGTCATAGGAACAGCACTCGTGCGAGGCAAGTTTGGCGTGTTGGGGCTCAGGGTTTGCAATGGACCACCATGCGGCCGTGATTCCTGGAGTCCAACACTCTTGCTAATTGTTCTGACCAACATGTTTTCCCTCGATTTAGAGAGCCCAGGTTCCGTCTTTACAGTCTTCACAGTACTATCGGAAAGCTGAGATTCGATACTATTGCCATTCTCGTCAGGGTTCGGGGCTGGCTCGTCGACTGGCGAGCAAGCTTTCGATCTACGATTTGCTGTAGGGGTTTCGAATTGTTCAGCCGTACGTCTAACCGTCTCCATGTCTCGATCTGCTGACTGTCTCAAGGGGGCTTGACTGAGCGGATGCCCTATGAAGTTGGGCTTCCGTAGTTGAGGAAGGGGAAGAGGCTGTTCCCGGTAGACGTCCAAGTCGGAGGTTTCTGTCCGAAATAGGGTAGGTAGAGGGGTACGCGAGTTATGCGGACTGCTACTCAAGAGCTCGTTCTTGATCTTGTAAGCTTGCGAATCCTTCTTCGGCGAGTCGCGTTTTCTCTTGAGAGCCTTTGCGGACACGACGATGGGCGCGTCATCAGAATGGGCAAGAGAGCTGGAACGAGCTTCGCCTTCGGTGGTCTGGCTGGAGGTGATCCTACTGCGAGTTGGAGAATGTGATGGCGCGGCAGATGTGTTCCTAACAACTTCTAGGGCCGGATGGGGTAGAGCAAGAGCATCCTCGATGTTTTCCAGATTGGATTGAACAGCACGGGGAGTGGCGAAGTCCTGATTTTCGAAGTCGCGATTGGCGTCTCGCAAAGCCTGTTTTGCGAGCTTCTTGTCGATGTAGTCTTTCCATTTGCGAACAGTATCCTTTGATTCTCGTATCTTTTGGGCGGCTTTCGAGGAGCGATCTTCAGCCTCCTTCCGGTATTCGTGGAAAGCTTTCCTTAGAGCTTCATGCTTGAGTAATAGCTCATTGTATCGAGCAATGGTCACGTAGCCTTCGGGTGCATCAGATTGTCCCGAGTTCATGCTGAATCCGAAGTATGTTCTGTGACAATTCTGGCAAACATGTCACGGTATGAGAAAATGAGCAAACACGAAGGCAAAGGCAGACGCGTGCCTAGCCAGGCCGAGGCACGCGGTGCGGGAGATCGTCCGGGGGCTAACGCAAGGAGATTGCGGAGATATGGACTGGCTTGGCACCCATCTTCGACACCCAAGTTCGCCGCCATGACTGGAACATGTCACAATCTCTAGGAACGACAAGATGGCGAAGCGCAAGGCGTCGGAGACGTGCGAGGACGGGCGTGAAAACAAGAGACTGCACTCAAGCAACCCGGACCGGCTGTCTCGACTCAGTCACGAATTAACACTGCGAGTGCTGTCATTCCTGCCCGTGCCCGATCTTATCATCTGCCAAAGAGTCTCACGACATTTCCATGTCCTCGCCGGCGATTCTCAACTATGGAAAGCCTTATACTACAACAGATTCGTCCGACCGAGAGCATCGCGCATACCTGGAATCCACGAGTCTGGAGTGCCCGCCGAGAGCTTGTATTATTCGTCAAAATTATCGAGATGGCTGCACGAAGACAACCTGGTCAGAAAAGGGAAAGAGACGAATTGGAAGAGACAGTACAAGACACGCCACAACTGGACAAAGGGAACATGCGGTGTCAGCGAGGTGCCTGTTGCGCCTGAGCCATCAGTCCCGCCAACACTGCTGCATATGCACGAAGGAATCATCTTTATGGCCGACCACATTCACGGCCTGCGCGCATGGTCTTCGCAGAGTGGACAGGACATGTTGGCGACGATAGCCTTTCCCGACAATGCTGGTCCTCCTTCAGCTCTGACGGTCGATTCTGCATCTACACGCTCCTCGACTGTCACGCTTGCCGTTGGTTTCCAGGACGGCTCCTTCACCGTCTACGATCTTCATGATAACCGCTTTACATCTCGCTACTCTCACGAACCTTCTTCTAATGGCATGATATCGGCTGTCGCTCTATCGTTTCCCTACTTGGCGACCATGACAGCGAGCCAACTTCTGTCCTTTTACAAGTTCATGCCGGCCGAGGACAAGCCATCAGGAGCCATCGCAGATCCTCCACGATTATTACAATCCTTACATTCACGGACCGTCTGGCCACCTCTCACCCTGTCCATTCGCCCTCAACCTGACACCGTGCTTGTGTCCATTGCTTACTCACTCCCCACATATCTCAGCGGCTGGACCGTTGGCATACAGGAGATGCGTTTGACCCCAGATGGCAAGCTTGTCGAATCGCGCCTCGCATCCGCTATCGATCAGAACTACCGCCCTCTTACCTTCAACTCCACAAATCCTGCTCCAGCGCCAGCGCCGCTAACAATACCCCCGTTCGGCCACTTCAACACCTCCGAAGCCAACCAGATCCACTCCAAGCCAACCTCCCTGTCATACTCACATCCCTACCTTCTGGTCTCTCATCCCGATAATACTTTGACCCTCTACCTCGTCTCTTCTACAACAGACACTCTCAAGATAAGCCCTGGCAACAGGCTCTGGGGCCACACCTCTTCTATCTCCGGCGCACATGTCGGAGGCCGTGGTAAGGCTGTCTCCGTCAGTACCCGCGGTGACGAACTCCGCGTCTGGGAACTCGAAGGCGGCTTTGCTTCAGCAGCCGCACGACGCCGTCTCGCTGCCGGTGAACTAAGCGTCCAACTACGACCTGAAAAGCCCTCACACCCATCAACAGATGACTTGACTCCGGCCATCAAGGTCAGAGGTGATGGCTTGGGTCTTGCGTTGAAACACAAAGGCGGTATAGACGAGACCAGTATGACAAGAGGCTTTGTAGGATTCGACGACGATAAAGTCGTTGTGCTCAAAGAGAGGCATTTGGGAGCACAGGCTTTGGTGATTTATGACTTTACGTAGCGATGGCTCTCTTTCTGGCCAAGTCTCTTGACGACTTTGAAATGAAATCTCCTTTTGTTCTCCTGCTAATTGTATGCTATGTGTGTACCTAAAGGTTCGTACTGTTGTTATCGGCACGCTCATCTAGTCTTCAAAGATTCAACACCAGAAATTCCACGTCCTTCGTACCTTCCATATCAAGTAGCCAAAACTGATCCTTTTCCACCAAGTCAACACGTCGCTGCCGCAACCGTCGTAATTCATCAATCCGCCACCAGCTTCAACAAACAGGCTCAGTGGTCTAGGTGGTACGACTCTCGGTAACAATCAGTCTGGACGTGTACATCGGATCCACCGACATACATGTCCAGACTGCGATCGAGAAACCCGTGTTCGATTCACGGCTGAGCCAAGTCTTTCTTTTTTGCCCTGTTTTCCCAGTGCTGTTGGGCATGAAAGAAAAGGGTGGTGTGCTCTCTGCGGACGACTACACCCATCTAGAAAACCATTGTGCATTTTTACAAGGCTGGATGAAGTCTAGGTGTGGGGCGCAGGAGAGGGCTGGAAGTGGTAGATTTTAGCACATGGGGAGGAAATGAATGTTACAAAGAGTGATAAACAGAGAAGGAACACTTCACTTCACTTCAATTTCCCTCCTTCTTCTCCTGATCATTCACTAAAGGCAGAAGACAAGGATCTTGGGGGTTATAATCTGCTAATTCTTCACCTCCTACATCAATCGGTACTGTGGTCTAGTTGGTTTTAAGACGCTTTACAGCAATCAGCCTGTGAAGGTACACCAACGGTGTGCCCGTACAGACTGCGAGAAAGAAACCCTCGTTCAAATCGGGGCGGTGCCATTCTTATTTTTGCTCATTGTATACAGCAGCCTATACTGCAAATGATAGCATGAAGATGACAATCACTTTTTGGAAAGACAAGATCACGATCAACCTTTTGAACGCCAAGCACGAGTGAAGCACACGAGAAGACACGTCTGAAAGACAAAAAACACACTTCCATGTCACATCTAAGTAGAAGCTCTACACTACAACAACGCAAAACAAGACAAAACTCAGCCCACCGTGGTATCTCTAATATCAAACATCCTCTCCTTTGCCTCTCACGCTCAGAAATTCATCTTCAATGCAATCGTCGGTTCCTTTTCTTCAACCTCTTCTCTGACTTCTTGTCTCGGTCCTTGTGATCCCTTGATCACTCTTTCCATAAAGGTCTTTTGGTCGGCATTGAGGCGCGTCACAACACCTCTGAAGGCGTTTGCGTCGTTGCTGGCGAGCTCTAGTAGTCTGGCTGCTGTTTCCTTCTGTACAGCATCGCTGGTCTCTTTTTGAGCGCGTGCGAGTAATGTGGGGATGAGAAGTGCGAAGCCTGCTAGTCTCTTCTCTGTGGGCAAGGATGAAAGGGCAGTGGTGAGACTCTGCGCGATGATAGTGCGACTCTGCTCAATGCCTTCGAGATCAGAAGGTGCAGTGAGGAAAGTCACTAGACGCGGTAACAGACGCGATAGTATAGCAGGGTGTGCGGCACCGCGAATAGGCACGACAAGTAGTGTTCGTACACAGCCTGCGGCCATCTTCGTTGTCATTGGGTTGTCAAGACATTCTGTCAGTTCGGTCACAAAGCGTAGCAGAACCGGATCGTTGGCTTCGAAAGCCGTATTTGCAGACGTGATGAGCATTGTTCCCGCGAGTATTGTGTTTTTCTCGCAAGGTAGAGACGCCTCAAATTCACGCTTCTGAGCATTTTTGAGGATCACTAAGAATCGAGAAAGGGTGCTGCGGATCTGTTTCTTGGTGTCGTCGCTGGGCTCAGTACCGACACCACTGATGAAGCGGCGGAAGATAGGTAGCGCTTGTGGAACCAAGGTCGCTTGGCAGGCACCCGTACTCATGATTGTGACGAAGATCTGGAAAATACATGCGTGAAGGTCGGCCCTGATGATAGAAGGGAAGACTTCGGAAGCATCGACCAATGCATCCAGCGAGAGTCGTGCTAGCGTGACTGCCTCGTCTGATATCTCAGCTCGCACAGGTCGAGGGCTCTCTGCCAGACCAGGAACGATGCTTGCCAATACAAGTACGATGATGCGGGTCAACTCAAAGAGTTGATCAATGTCATCGGACAAATGATCGTCCGCGCTCATACCTTGCCTTGACGAGGGATGGCCGACACACAGATTTCTTGCGATCTCAACGATCACAGTCTGCACATTGGAAGGCTCAGTGAGGATCATACGGTCGAACAGGTCCATCGTCTCGTTGAAGATCACTTCCTGGTAAATGGCGTTACCTGAGATGGAGGGGCGTAGGATTCTCTTGAGTGCCTGCAAGATTTCGAGCTTTTGGGCTCTCGCAGTTGCCGAATCTGCACCAGGCTTACTAGCGAGAGCTTCGAACGCAAGGCCGAACAACACGAAGAAGAACGCGACAGGCTCTTCACGGTAATTGATGTCGCTTCCGCGTGATACGGTGGTTGCGCCATTAGAGTCAGCTTCGGTCTTGCCATCAAGCGCATCAAACACAAACTCGCTGTCTTCATCAATCAGACTGGCAATGGCGTCCACAAGATTGAGCCACGAATCTTGGTAGAACTTGAGCAAAGTCTCGCGATTTAGCGCTGCGTACACAGTCTCGAGGTCATCCGATAGTGGTGTCGCGCTGGTGTTGTTCGAGATGTCCGGCTCGAAACGTAGGCGAGAATACTCACGAAGAGATGAAAGCCACAGCGGTGTCAATTTCGCAACGTGAGGCTTAACGACATCGACTAGGTATTTCTGCTCTGCCGTAGCAATTTGTAGGCCAGCCCATGCTGAGAATACTGACATGCGTACCATGACTTGAGCATTGGGACTGAGACCTTTCAGCTCTCCAATGGAGGATGTTTCGGTAGATCCTGCAAATGTCTCAAGAGCGGCAACCAGAATTTTCAAGATGCGGCCCATCCGGTCAATGTCTGTGACGATGCCTGTTGACACGAATGTGGCGCAAACGTTGATAGCCTCTGCTGCCAGCTCAGGAGATGAGTCGACAGCAAAGGCAGGAGTTAACGCGGAACTAATCTGGGCTTGGTATTGTTCAAGCAGCATTGCCTCGGTGAAATCGGGATCGGGTACACCACCGAATAATCTAAGGACCTGGTCGATAATATGCAGACCCAAGATGCGGAGTCCAACAACATTAGCTGTGGAAGCAGAGAATGCGACGCGTACGACATCGGAGATCCTTTGCTGGAGTGAGGCTAAGGCGGGGATATCTTCGTTTACAGCGGACTCTTTGACAACAGTATCCAAGAGGCTGTTGAGAAGATTCATACCGAACAGTCGTACTTGCCATCTCATCAGTTCCTGACTTGAGGTTGGAGCGGAGGCGTCTTCATCCTTAGTGCCTGCTCCGGCAGCGAAACCTGCGACTTCCTCATCCTGTAAGTCGGTAGCTGCTGCCTTCTTGGCTGCGGCTTCAACTTGAGAAGCTGTGTCAACACGAGCTTTGGCCTTCGTCAGGACTGCGTTGCATCTTTGAATCCAGCCTGCCGTATCTGAAAGCCCAGTCTGCGACAACCAGTTGACAAAGATTTCTTTGATCGTCTCCTGAGCAGGGTTTTGATCAAGCACGTCCCACAATTTATCCTCCAGCCCAGGGTTTGCGGTACGAACAATGTCTTCAGCATCTCGACGCATGAGGTTAGCCAGTCCACCAATAGCCATGTCACGAATCTCGGGAGATGGGGAGTCAAGGTCAATCTGTAGTCGCTTGACGTACTTCTCAAACTCCATGTGGCCTGGTGCATACATCGAGAGATTGCCCAAACACCTGGTACTCTCGACCAGCACTAGAACATCGCTCTCGGTCTGGAACTGCCGGATCAAGGTCAGCACCATGCCGCGAGGTTTCGCCATCTCAGAAAGATCTGGTCCCATCACGTTTATAATGGCGTCAACACAACAAACATTGGCTGCGGTTGTCTCCAAGTCGACTTCCAGGTTTGAGGATGCTAGCGGGCCTGTCTCAGCATTGTGCGTGTCCAGTACATACAACTGCCCAAGAAGACCAATAGTGCTTGAGACGTAACCAGAAAATGTCAAGCCGGCAGAGTCGACGATTCTCTTTAGACTTTCCAGTGCCCAGAAATGGACCAGTGGGTGGGGGTCGGCGCAGAGAGACATGAAGATACCGAGAATGGTTTTCAGATGGAAACTGGCCGCCATGCCGCCGAGTGAATTGTGAATACAAGCCAATGCAAGTGCACAGCCAGAACGAACATGAGGCTCGGTGTTCGAGACAATGGTTTCGATCAAGTAATTGATCTCGCGCGATGTAAGATCATTGCCACCGACTTCACAGAGACGGCCCAGAGCTTGCGCAGCAACATGGCGAACGCTTTCATCAGGATCGGCGACAAAGGCCTAGAGCCTACGTTAGATCAAGATACGACAAAATTATGAGTGTGCTTACATGAAGTAGATTTTGCATGTTCCTTTCTGCGTTCGCACTCTGAAGCTTACCATCCAAACCTCTGACCTGGCCAGTCAAGACTTTGCAGGTGACCAACAAAGCTAGTGCAATGTTTGCGCTCAGGGCCGCTTTCTGTGCAACGCTTTTCTGTACAGTGGATGACGTCAAGAACGAGTTGACCTGTTCGAGAATGCTATCCTGGATTCTGGGAGATTGTAGAGGGAACGCCAAAGCGAAAATCCCAATAGCACTATTCACCACTTCTGTTGCAGGAGGCTGGGGTTGGTCATAGAATTGAGGCTGTTCAGGGGCAACATAAGAAGTCGTAGAATCATGCTCCCATGCTCCGCCGATTGGTGAGAGGATCTATCGTGAATCAGTGAAGGTTTATACAGTGCGTTCCAGATATCTTACTGTTCGATCTATTAGTGCTTCGAAGCTATGTCGTGTGGACCAGTGGTCTTCTGATTCGCCTTGCTTCTCAAAGGGCAGAGGAACATAATCCAAGCCATTGATCAAACCGTTTACGCCGAAACCACTATTGTCGCCCACGCCCCAGATGCTATCAAGCGTGCCTGCTGAGCTAGCGATTGAAACGCTCAATGATGAAGGGCCAAGGCGATCCGGATCGGCGAAAGAAGCAACAGCTAGTGGGAGGACGTTCGACTGCGTTGCGATCTCTGAAGCTGCAGCGGGGCTTGCAGTCACGAGAGCAGTGTAACATTGGAAGACTCTGCGCCGCACCATGAGGTCGAAGTCAACCAGTTGTAATGCCGGAGACAGTCGCTGTGACATATCCTCAGATGTCTTTCTTTCAGGCAAGATTGCTAGGAATGTACCCGTGTTCTGTAACATGCTAGCGAGACGCCTCGACACATCAGATGTCAAGAGTTTGATGTTATAGTGCAAGAAAGCCTTGACGGATCCTAGAGCGCATTCGCGGACGTGAGCAAGGAAACTGAGTTCAAGCTGACTTTGACGTGCCATGTTCTCCTTGTTAGGAGGCGCAAGAGCATTCTTCCAAAGTAACAACAGTTGCGAAAGATGAATCTTCACGAAATTAGGTCCAAGTGACATGAGACCTCCTATCATAATCCAGGCGACCTGCACTTGAGTGCTGGAGACTCGCAAATCTGAGTTGCTGCTCGATTTAAGTAATCCAGTGGCTTGTGTGAGTACACGGGCGTAGACATCCACGGATCCGTAAAGAGGGTGTTTGTTGGAAGCGCTCAACACAGCAGCAAGGCCGTTCGCGTAGCCAGCACATCGTCTCGGACTTTGTCGAGGTCCAGTGAGAAGACCTATTTCTCGATTGACGCTATTCATGCAGATTGTCACTGTCGGGAGAAGCTGCTGAGGACAAGCCAGTACGAAAGATCTCATACACCTCGAAGCATGGACTTGTACGGTATAACTGGGATGTTGCAGGACTTGCAGCAGAGACTCGCGACAACTTTCTGATATGATGCTCACAGCAGCATCTAACCTGTCGATAAGCGAGGTCAGAGCACTTAACGCAGCCGTCAGAGTCAGTTTTCCAGGCTCTGGTCGCTCTTTGATGACTTGAGGATAGTCCTTGATGATGTCGTTCATGAGGAAGCGGGCAGCGTTCAACTGCGATGTCTCACCAAGCATGCCACCCACCACGTCTTGCAGAATAATACGAACAAATTTTCTGGTCATGAGAGTACGATATCGGTGGTATGTGAGACTCTGGTTGCTTAGCAGCTCGGTAAACAGATGTTTAGCGATCACACCGTATTGTCTCTCGACAACGCTCTCACCCAGCGCTGTCAAGATTTGCTTGTAGCATATAGCTATAGCAGCACGAGAGCGATTTGAGACTGCAGGCTTCGAGTATTGAGTAGAAAGTTGACGCATGATATCCAGCAAGCTGAAAGCTAACGAGGTGATTGGCTTGGATGATACAGGCGTAGTGGGGCGCTCCAATTCGTCTTCGCCGTCATCTGCAGCTCCCTGTTTCTTTGATTTCTTGGACTTTTTCGGAGGAAGCACGTCTCGTACTGGAGCCTCCGAGAAGCTCTTGACAAGAATGGCGGCCATGCAAGTAGAGGCAGCATGCCTGACGGAGACCGAGGAACTATCCATGGCTTTCCACAGAGCAGCTTGCAACTTGTCGAAGTCATTTGAGTTGTCGTAATAGGAAGTGTAAGTCGCTAGTTGCTCGAGGCACCAGCAAGCATTCATCTGAACCAATAGAGCCTTGTCGCTTGAAGCAGCATTACGCGCAGACTTCCAAGACTCTTTTGCGACGGTCTCGTCGATAGAGCTGCCGATACCTCTAGCGACCCTGCCCAAAGCCTTGTAGACGGCAGCCCGTAAGCCAGTATGCGTGGAGGCAGATTTGAGTATTCGCAGAACGGAGGTACAGGTCAAGCTGGACAAACTGATGGCACTGTCACCAGCAGCCTCGAAGATGGCACCCAGACAGTGAACGGCGGCATGTTTAGCCCTGAGAGGCTTCTCTTTCCCAGCGTTTAGAACGGCGACCAGGTCGTTGATAGACTCATATAGCAGCTTGCGGTTTCCCTTAGTGAAGAGGTATGCGAAGGTCGAAGCGAGGTTATTACGGATAACACGTGTTGGGGCTGGGGACGGGAGGTTGACGATTTGTAGGAGTTCCTTTTTGATCCAGACTTGCTGTGCTGAAGCTCCATCTTCGTCCAAGGAGACTGCGTAGCGAGATAGGTCCGAGGAGAAGGTCAAGAGGTATAGGTCCTGCTGTTCGGACGGGAGAGCATGAAGCTTGGCTATATCGAGCTGCAAGGTCGAGTCGGCCACCGGGGGCGGCGCATCTTGATCTGTCGCCATTGGTGATTATGATTAAGTCGTCTTCATTGCAATCAGGCAGAGGTCAATTATATAGTCATCAAAAGTACTCGTTTCAGGAGTCGGCAACCTTGCAACTGCCTTCGAGACCCCCGATGAGCCCGCCCGCATCTCGACGCTTGGCAGCTCCATGTTCAATCGCAGGTCGATCATTTCGAGCCTCCTTCCTTGTCGCATTTCATATCCTTCTTTCTTCGTTTGTCGCATTTCTGTTCTGTTTTGATTTCCATAATGCAGTCCTGTCAGTCCATCGTTCGACCTGGTCGTCAAACATATCGGTGCCTCAGTCGTCGCGCCACCTCGTTCCGAAGCTTTCACGAAGCAACCGTCTGCCAGTCGGGACATAGTAGATGGTCCAAGATCAAGCACGACAAGGCCAAAGTCGACAGTTCCAAGAACAAGGCTCGCAGTGTCTTTGCCCAGGAGATTGCCACCGCTTCCAAACTCTTTGGCGGCGATCCCGCCTTCAATCCTAGACTCGCCGATTTGATCGTCAAGGCCAACAGGGCTGGTTTCGCAAAGTCCTCGATAGAAGCAGCCATAGCCCGTGGCCAAGGACGTTCGGTGAATGGCGCTGCTCTGGAGACGGTCACACTGGAGGCTATGCTGCCCAACAATGTTGGCGTAGTGATCGATTGCGAAACCGACAGCAGACTACGAACGCTGGCCGATCTGCGTGTCATAATCAAGCAACACGGCGGTAACGTCACTCCTACAGGCTATCTTTTCACCAAGAAAGGCAGGATAATCTTTGCAAACAAGGACGGCGTCGGTGTGGACGACGTCTTCGAGTCTGCTCTGGAAGCAGACGTCCTGGACGTCGACGAAGATGGCGAAGGACGAGTCGTTGTCTACACGGAGCCCGGCGACACAAAAGCAACTGGGGAGCTGATATCCACAGCTCTAGGGCTGGATATCTCGAGTTCCGAGATCATCTCAGATGCCAACGAGGAAACGCTCGTGACACTGGATGATGGCGAAGCGACACAGGAGCTGGCCAAATTCGCAGACGCCATCCAGGACAAGGAGAGCGGAGTGCATGGCATCTACATGAACGTCAAGGAAGGCTCACTTGATCATGGAGTGTTTGCCGAACTGCAGAGCAGAATCACAGCTTGATTGTAATGTACATATAACCAGCAATATACCCCGATGTCGATATTCCCCCCTCTTACACCAAAACTCCGCCAATCCGTTCCAATCCCATAATATACAGTGTAGTGTTTTGATCGTGATGTTTGATGCGATGCGATGCGATGCGATGCGGTTACTTCAGCCATGAGAACCATCCTTGGGACTGAGAGTTGTTCGCTGGTTGTTCGGATTGGTGGTCGTGCTGGACAGATGAGTCGTCGGAGTTCTTCAATGTCTGAAGGATTGCACTGGGTTGGGCGTCGACATGTTGGTCTACGGGAGAGTGGTTACCCTCCAGCTCGAATCTTCTCTGGCGGGCAGCCAAACGGCGGGCGCGCAGTCTGGCCAGTTCTGATTGAATCTCATCCTTCTCGAAGGGGATGTGATGTGTTTCGTTCTCCTTGGGCCAAAAGTCGGGGACAGAGAAACGTTCGTCGAGGTTCGTGCCAAAGTAGTACATCCATCCAATAGGAAACATGATGTACATGCCGAACTGGAGTCGCATTAGTTGGTTGCTCGCTCTCGGGAAGAGACAGGATGGCGCGCACCTTGAAGACTTCGAGATTGGGGCCGCCCATGGTTGCGATGTGGTATAGTGCTTTGTCTGTGAATCAAGATGGCGAATTTGGGCGACTCTTGGTCACAATCGAAGGCAAGCCATCAGCAGATGCCGAGACGCCGATGGTCGTGGCTCGACATGTTCTCGCGTGCAACAAGAGTGAGAAGTGGTTGCGGCATTGACGCGACTCCCGAGAGACAAATAATCCATCCTTCACTTTTAATTCACTACCGCGCAACAGGCAAAGTGGCTTTATCATTTCGAGCCTCTCTCTTTTGCGCTCGCGCAATTCGGCACCAAGGCGCGCCCTTATTGCTGCCCCAATTCACACTCAAATATCACGCACCCTCCCAGCCCGCGACTATGCAAACGGACCAGACGGACCATATCACAACCCAGTTGAACGTGCTATCTATGCAAGACATTCCGAAGAAGACGAGGAAACCGCGAAAACCGAAAAACAAGCAGAACCAAAGTACCAAGACCAGTCAGGAGACGGCGACGAGGAGTACCTTCCGTTCCGAGCACGACCAGCACGCTCTCTTTCCTTCTGCTCTCGACATGGCCCCTCATCAGAGTCGACGGCAACACCAAGATCCGAGTCTGATCCGCTATGTGCCCTACGACTCGTTTCCTGACACTTCGTACCGCTCCTCCTCCTATCGTACTCTCAATCCTCGCGCCGACGATTATCCTCCTCCTGTCGCTCCGACAACCTTCCACTCGATAAACCGCCATCCTTCGTCCTTCTTTGTGCCTTCCTACGCTTCTCACGCCCCACCGCCTCCACCTGTTTCCCAACGCCAACCGCCCGATTTCTACACACAGCCTATATCTTTCTTCTCTCAGCCCTTCCAACAGCCAGAGATCCACCCTCAAAGAACACTAGACCCACGTCGCTCTGCTCGTCAAGCCGCCCGTCAATCTCATTCACAGCAAGAGGACGCCAGATTCTTCAGATCCCATCTTTTCCAAGCACCTCCACCGACCCACCCCATTCAAGACCCAGAGATCCGCACCCCTAGACCCTCAGACAAACGTGCTCGCACCATTGGCAAACTACTTCGCCCGACCCCCTCGCTCCCATATCTCGTCAACTCCATGGTCACATCTCCGAGACTCGACCAGCCAAAGTCTCTCCTTGTCATTCTGGATCTGAATGGTGTTTTGGCCTTCCGCAAGAAGAGGACTAAAGGCTACCACCCTAGACCGAACCTCGATCCTTTCCTCGACTACCTCTTCGCCAACCACCACGTTATGATCTGGTCAAGCGGAATGCCCGAGAACGTTGAGCGCATCATGGAGAAGATGTTGACCCCCGAGCAGCGCGAGAGATTGGTTGCCATCTGGTCGCGCGACAAACTTCGCATACCTCCCAATCTTTTCGCGGAGAAGGTCCAAGTCTACAAACAATTGAGTTGGGTCTGGGAAGATTCTACTTTACGGACAAACGCACCATTGGGAGGTTGGAGTCAAAGAGATACAGTACTGGTGGACGATTCCATCGACAAAGCTGCTGCTGAACCTCACAATCTGATCCAAGTGGACGAATTCATCAACAGCGCTGCTCAAAAGGAGAATACAACCCTGCTAGAAGTCATCGACTACCTGGAGCGTATCCGCTGGCACGAGAATGTCAGTGCGGAGATGCGTGTTGTACCTTTTATTGCACGCCAGGCTTGATCCCTTCATGTGGATAACATGACGCCGATCACTTTCTTTTACAAACTTTTCACCTTTCTCGCATTGAGAACGAGTTTTTCCAGAGATACCCCCTTTTTCGCTTTTTTCGCTTTTCTCCTTTACATGTACAGATACATAGAAATGCACATATTACATTTCTTCCACCGCCTGATTAGAACGAGAAGACTGATGAGATATGAAGAGTGTGCGGACATATTACAGGTGAGTATAGTAGTATCGCTGCTTGAGAAGCCTCAGGACCACAAGTTGGAGCCTGGAGATTGGGATATCAAATTGCATTCGGTATTGATCTATCTATGTTAACAACCTTGTCGATCGAGCCAGCCGACCAGATGCAAGCGCAGATGCAAATGCGAATGCAAAGAAAGAATTGACAAAACCATGTTTCATGCTCATCGTTCCTGCAAATCCTCACTCACTCTACATATTGGCCAAAGCGGCTTCAACAAGAGCCATAGTAGCCGAACTATGACTACTCAACTGCAAAGCCTGACTCGACCCAAGCGCAAACGGGCCAGCCCACTTCTGACCAAGCAAATTGGTACCCGACTGTCTGCTATTCGCCCAAATACTATCAGCATTCTTGGTCAAGAAACTCTTGATCTGACCGCCTGCGGCAGAAGGTTTGGCATCACGCAGCGTACGCAGACCTCTCATCATGATACCCTTGAACTGTGCGGTATCAGGGTTGCAAGAAAGATCGTTGTCGCAGAACTCTAGTGCGATTTTGTTGTTGTCCATCATGCCGTATTTGCCGGAGAGGAGTTTGGTGGCGAGGGTGTCGGCGGTGGTGAGGTAGGATGCGTCGTTTGTGGCGTGGTAGAGGGCGACCAGGGCTTGGAGGGCGACGCCTTCGATGTAGGTCAAGAAGGCGTGGTTGTTGCCGCAAGAAGGAGGGTTGCCGGTCAAGGCATCACCTTGCATGATGCCGTCGATGAGGATGTTTTGAGTGATCCAACTCCATTGGGTCTTGGCCTGGTTGATGAAGTAGGTCTTCTGGGCTGGGTAGCGGGTGGCGAGCAAAGCTGCGGCTTCCACGTAGAGCACAGTGGCGATTGTTGATGACTTGACCAGATACTTCTCGGATGGATAGGCATTGGCAAGACCGCCGCAGGGGTTGTTAGAGGGCTTGTCGTTCAGGGTGATGGCGTTGAATGAATCATTGGCGGTCTTGAGGAAGCTGCTGTCCTTCGTAACATCGTAGGTCTTGACCAACGCGACGACCCACCACAATTGATCATCGAAGAAGTCGTCCCAGGCAAGTGCGCCAGTGCTGTCCTTGTTCTGACTGTTTAAGGTGTGCTTGAAGACACCATTCGGTCCATCAGTGATGGACGTGAGGAAAGAAGAACTGTCCTTTGCACGCAGATCGGCAAGCAAGGTCAGACAATTAGCAGTGTTCCACCAGCCGGCCGACCAAAATCCCGGCCTCGGAGAATTGTAAAATGTTTGGAGTTCGGTGATTGCAGTGTGCGAGTTTGTGAGGTATTGGTTGGTTGCACGACGCTCTACCTCAGCAGGAAGGGCAGAGGCAGTTGCCGCCAGCAGCAAGGAGGAGGTAAGAAGGTTGTTAAAGAACATCGTGAAAGAATTGCTGTAATGATTGTGATAGAATGAATGTGGTGGTCGTAGTGAGCGTATATATATATCAAAGTCGACCAGAGCCTAGAATGAGCGTGCGAGACAAGATGACATGGAAAAGAAAAAGACAGATGGATAGATAATCGTTATTCAAACGTCTGGATCGTCCTACCTTTAAACAACCATATATGATTTTTCTTCGTGGCAAGAATGAATTGCCCTTTTGGTACAAGGTACTTTTCTGGATCTGAAACGCGGCTGATGGGCGTCTAATGCAGTCTGCAAGGGGCCCCCACGCGGCCTACATGGTTGCTATTCTCTTCATGCATATGTCTTTTCCACGTCCTGAGTCGCAGCAGAGTGACACTTGATGGTATCCAGAGCGTTTCGAGATCGCCACCGAATTGCCGGCTCTCGACGTTTCAAGTGAGGTAGAAGACCCGAGCATCTTGTCTCGCACAGTATATCACCGCGTCATTGCATTGAATGTGCCGTGGCCGTTTAGCAGGCAAACAGAACGGTATGTGGAGATTGTGATGGGGGTGGTGAGGTGGAGGCCGTTGAGATCTGCGGCAATAGGTGAGCGTTGGCAGACAACCCCTTTACAGCGTTCGCCCCCTATAAGACCCGACTAGAGCGGCTTAATCCGCCAGAGGTATGCATCCAAGGTGTGTGGGTGTGAAGTTGTTTGATGGTGATGGACGACGAAACACAGGTGAGCACGAGGGTGAGATGAGGGGTGCATCGCATTTTCTTGGCAGTTCGACCACGTCCCAAATCAAGGTATGCGTGCAGTCCAAGCAGTAAATCTATCGAATCTATTATTCCAATTCAAGACAGTTACAGTCTTGAAATTCAGTGATCTTGAAAGGCCAACTATCTTATAACTGCGTCCGAATTCTTATCGCCGTCTCATGCTTCAGTATTCGTCCACCCATGCAACAAACGGAAAGCAGCCAACCACTGCGGATTGTCCACCAAACTTTGGTTCCAAGCATCGTCGGAATCATACAGCAATCTTCTAGCTTCATTCTGGAACATCTCATCTGTAGGAGTGATGCCCATACTCAACTGTTGTCGTCCATATCGACCAAGATGGAATATGACCATCTCGTTCAAGGTCAAGTTGTTAGTCTGAGCGGCTGGTGCTTCCATCTCAGGGGTTAGTGGAAGAGGCGATGTTGGTTCCGAAGGCTCAGATGGCATTGCTGTCAGTCGTGATGAGATTTGTGCCACATGATCTCTGACCACATGGCTAGTAGATGAGAAAGGCACGATCGTCTCTGTTTCATCGCCAATGAGATATGGGGGAATGGCATTCGTGACTTTCGCGGCGATTTCAGGCTCGAATTCATGATCGCCACGCCAGTCTTTCATGGTACGCCCAGCACGGAAGTGAGCAGCGATATGCTCGGTTCGTTCGTCCCAATTTGTCATTCTGCGATCACAGAAGCCACAGCGAGAAGTAATATTTGGACCTTGAGTCTTCCAATCATCAATGATTGGCATGGTCTGCAGTCGATGAAACAACCGAAGATGCTGGACCAGATGGTCCTTGCGATTGAACTGCCTTCGAGAGCTCCTTACACAGTTGCTGTGGTCGTGAGTGTCTAGGTGTTCTAGAGTGGGATCTAGCATGTTGCAATATGCGCACAAGTTTCTGCCAGTTGCTTCCGAGAAGACCGAACCTCCTTGTGGACAACAAATCCATACCTCCAGATTGAGATGTAGTGAACGCTCATGTCTAGACCAGTCGTAGCGTTTGTAGAACGTATCGCAGCAGAATGTGCATTTGAAGATGTGTGCCTTGTCGGATTGTGTCTTCGGCTTGCGTGTTCTTTGCGGTCTTCTTCGAGTCGAACGTGATCTAGCGGAGACACTAGACGCTGCCGAGTTTGAAGATCGAACAGACGGCGAACTCGCTGCACTTTCGATACTGGTGATAGATCCTGGTCGACTTCGGCGACCTCTACCTGGATAGAACACTTCGGCAGGCTGACTAACATGATTTGAATCCAAGGACTCAAACTCTGTACTTTGTAGTGCTCTCTCTACTGCCGCCATAGAGACATAGTCGTCTTCTGGAGGGGAGTTCTGGTATCTTTGTAACGGATCGTAGCGCTCAGCCGGTGCTTCTGGGATAGGCATGCTTGAGGTCGTGTTGCTGCTACCCATGCGATTCAAGCGATACCGGCTCCGACGGCGGGGAAGACCACTGTGTGTTTCTCTTCGCATGTCTGCAAGAAGCTGGCTCCAAGATCTGCCCGATCTCTGGATCTCTCTGCTAGCCAAGGACGATGCCAGAGGGGCATTTTCAGACATTCCATCCATGAATCCATTGCTCCAGCCATGTGGTGTTTCCAGGCCTTGTCCAACAGCAGTCCCCATGTAGTCATAGGATGGCTCGAGGGGTGCCGGGCTATCTAGAGGAGACATCATCGACGCAAAGTCCGTCGTCGTAAGCTCGGAATTTGGAATGTACAGATTGCTAAGACTCGTGTAGTCAAAGGGAGCGTTCGAAAAGTCGTCCAAGGTCGGATTTTGATCAAGCACGCCCAGTGACTCGTTCATGTCTCCGAACGTCGAATAAGGTGGTTGCTGATGAGCATGGCTTCCCGAATGGGTTTCATGATCGTCATTTTGAGCCATGCCTCCTCCCGTTTGGTTTGATTGCAAATTATCCATGTTCATTACTGAACGGTTTCGAGTCGCCGACTTCGCTTATGTGGCCAAAGTATGACGGATCCTGCAGCATGTTGAAAAGACTTGAGGTTGATAAGGCGCCTGAGATGGAGGGGTAAGATGGCGTAGGGAGCAGGATTAGAGGGGTTTGGCGATATTTTCGATCATGCTTTGCGGGTCACCCTGTCATCGACAAGCACATAGCGTACCACCCCCATCTCTCCTCATGTCCTCGTTGGCAATGGTTATAGAGCAATCTAATATATGTAGGGGAGGTTCTTATGATAGGGTAGGCCTAACATAGAGCATAGGCCTTGTCAAGGGGATGTTGTTGTTGTTGATGGAGACTTTCTGGCTTCGTTCAGTCATTGTAGCATCGTTGGTTTCATTACTCATATCATCTACAGGTAGCTCTTCGTCTTGGCCATGTGTACACCGTGAGCCCAATGGAACAACTTTGCGCTGACCATGTACCCATCCATCTTGCTGTACTCGACCAACTTCTCATAGAGGTCAGCCAGCGGCACAACGACACGCTCAATGTGTTCACCCTCATCAAGCTGTTGTTCAGGCTCCTTGTCTCCCTCCTTGAGGTGCACCTCCATCATAGCCAGCTGCATATTCGCACTTGTCATACCAGGGTCTGCCGAAACAATGGGGCTGACAGATGTGACTTTGCCTTCATATCCAGTCTCTTCCCTCAACTCTCTGACGGCCGCATCTTCCACGCTCTCGTTTGCGTCGACCAGACCAGCGGGCCACTCGACCGAGATGGCATCGATCGGTGGACGGTATTGAAGTACGAGGATCGTGTTAGGTGGTTTACTCGGGTGGAGGATGATGTTGCCCATAGCTACTGCGTCGACACCAGCCGAGCCGCGGGTCTTGCGTGAAGCGACTTCCCAGGTTCGTGACTTGTTGCTTTGGTCTGTCCAGTTGATCTTGCGAAGAGCGACCCACTTGGTGTCTGACGTAGATACATCTTCGATGCTGTGGATGGTGCCCTTTTGTGCCTTCATGGTTGCTGCTACTTGCGAAAAGAAGCGCTGGGTGATGGATGCGTTGCTTATGCGACTGGACGAGAAAGTGGGCTTGGAGACCAAGCGTAGAGCTGTACGGTTCAGCATTGATTCAGGTTGCTCAATTTGTGACCAAGTCTAAGGTGTACGTACAAGTTCCCGGTGGTGCGCGTGTTTACTGATGGTAGGGAAAGTTGATGATGCTGTGTATTCGCACACGTCATTTGCGCCAACTTTGGCTGTGCCATTCCGCCGTATATTTCACAACGAGTTATACACTGATTATGCACCCGGGGAGGAAGAAGGATCAAAGTGATGGGCATAAAATGTTTGCAGGTCTACATCGTAGACAGGACCATTATACAATCTCGTCTTGATCATCCTACATGCATGATATATACCGTCGTAACTCGTCATTCACAGTCCTTCCATATTAACCACAGCGCCTATATTGCGTCCTTTCCAGCTCTCCGATTTTTATACATGAGTACCCTTCAATAATTCCCGGAGTTCAGCTGCCTTGACCAACTTGCAGCTTGTGCCCTCACAGATCTGAACCATATCCTTGTTTTGGTCAATCGAGCTGAGAAGCTCGTTTCTCTGTCGGAGCCAATCGCTCTTGCTATCGCCACCTAGTCTGACCACTGTCGAGCCGGGGCGAACCATCTGCTGAAGCTGTTTTAGAGCACCCTGAACTTCAGAGCTAGACTCGGTTCCCGAAATCACGATAGGCTTGACGTCGAGTTGTGAGTTGACAATGACGCCCATCAGGCCAGTAAAGAGGCCGGGGTGCTGCACCATCTCAACCTCGAAGGCTTTGGCCGTGCGTTTGGCAAGGCTAGAGTAGCGAGAATCGTCGAGCAAAGAAGACAACTTGAACAGGTTCGTTGCGCTGACGCCATTGGCACTAGGCTCCGCGTTGTCCATGGCGTCCTTGCTGCGAATCAAAATGTCGGGTGCATGAGCCGGTGTGCCAAAGAAGCCACCTCTTGTCTCGCTCTCGTTGTCAGCGAAATGCTTGATCTGCGATTGTTGTAGCTCATCGGCCCATTGAAGGTAGGAGTCGTCGAAGGTGGCCTCGTAAAGGTCAATCAGACCACTGATGAGGAATGCATAATCATCAGCAAATCCTGCAGTGGCACCTGGACCTTCGCGGTATACACGCCGTAATGTTTGAGATTCCGAGTCGTAAAGCTCCTTTCTGATGAAGTTGGCCGCCAAAATCGCAGCCTCGAGGTACTTCTTCGATGCTTGCGTGTCAGATTCCTTCAAGGCTGCACTGGTACGAGCGAGACCGCCAATGGCCAGACCGTTCCAGGAAACAACAATCTTGTCGTCAAGAAGGGGACGAGGACGATGCTGATCACGCCAGTCTGACAGTCTTTGACGACCAGTCTGGATGGCACTTTCTGCGTCGTGCTTAGACAAACCAAATTGCTGGGCAAGATCCGAAATCGATGAAGTCACACAAAGCGTGTTAAGTCCCTTGAGCTCGCCCTGAATGTCATGCTTTGGGCTGACATTTCCGTTAGGCTTTACGTTCCAGTACTTGGCGAGGATTTCGGCGAGTTTCTCGTCACCCAGAGCCTTGCCAAATTCTGAGTGCGACCACACATAGAAAGCACCCTCCTTGTGCTCCTTTTCCGAGGCGCTTGGCGCGCTATCAGCATCTTCGGAGGCATGGAAACCACCATTAGAGGAATGAATAGGTGGTGAAGTCAGGTATGTAGCGATGTCATGAACCATATCAAGGAAGAGAGGGTTCTTGGTTATCAGCCATGCATCGAGGTAGACGGGTAATAGCTGAGCGTTGTCATAAAGCCTGTGTATCGGTCAGCTTGGCTCAATTGAACGGTCTTCAAGGCGTACATCTTCTCGAAATGTGGCAAACTCCAGTCTTTAGTGACGGAGTATCTGGCAAAGCCATTGCCAACCTGATCCTTGATTCCACCCTTCGCCATGTTTTCGAGAGTCTTGACGACCATCTTTTGAGCATTCTGTACAGCATCGTCGCCAACAACGTCTTTGACAATGCCATCCCATTCACTCAGCCTCAACAGGAAGGATAGATGCGAAGGAGTGGGAAACTTTGGAGCACCACCAAAGCCGCCATGTTGTTCGTCATATCTGGAGTGGTAGTGGTCATAGGCTTCTTCTAAAAGTTCCAGCTCGAGGCTGTCGTCGCTTCCATCAACGCCCTCGCCAGATCTCCTGCCGGAAAGCGTACCCTCCTGAGCGAATTGCCTCAGCTGGTCGGTAATGTTGGAAGCACTTTCTCTGCATCGCGACTCTTGCTCTTTCCAGGCGCTAGCCACTTTGGTCAAGATGGCTTCAAAACCACCACCATGATGAGCACGCTCGCTCTTCGGACCAGGCCAGTAGGTACCACCAAACAGAGGTTGTAGGTCCGGGGTAACGAATACGTTCAGTGGCCAGCCACCGCCACCGGTAGTAGCCTGCAAGAAGTCCATGTAGACCTTATCAACATCAGGACGTTCCTCGCGATCGACCTTGACAGGGATGAAGTGTTCGTTGAGCAGTTGAGCGATGCGGTCATTCATAAAACTCTCATGAGCCATGACATGGCACCAATGGCATGCGGAATAGCCAATCGAGACGAAGAGCAGGCGGTTAGTTCGCTTGGACAATTCGAGCGTTTCCGGGCTCCAAAGTTGCCATGCGGTAGGGTTGTTCGCGTGCGACCGGACATAGGGCGACTTGCTGTCATTGCATCGGTTGCTCAGCGACACGAAGCCGCCTTTGGAGGATGCGGAAGCCATGGCTCGGACGGGGGAGACGCGACGATAGGGGCGAAGATGAGATGGCGAGGCGACCGAGAGAGCTGCCGATAGTCCGAGACGCGATGACAATGGCATGCGCCTGTTGATGCTGCGTGCTGTGTCTGGTACTGTAAGGTCGAATTGCAAAAGTCGTTAAACCGTAATCTCCAGACAAGAGGCTCAATCCATCCGATCTTGCGTCATTTTTGGGGCTCTCCGCCCTCGGTGAGATCCGCCCTCCTCCTCCACATCCACATCCACCATGAACCCCCAAGACCCGTACTCGGTTCTGTCCGAGCATCATCTCTGTCCATCCGTGGAGGTCTCTGGGGGATGTTCGTTCATACAGAGCACGCATATCTCGATTGGCCGTTGGCCCTTTGCCTTCGACAACTCCATACCTAGGAAACATGGATAACGGAGCGCTTTGCGAAGAGGTCCAACCTCCAAGCAGTTGGTCCATGAGAACATCGTCAGCCACTTGATCGCAGAATCACATTGAACTAATTATTGGAAACTTCAGGGACGGGACTGAGAGTAAAAAGTCATTGCTCGTTTCATCGGCGAATTTCATTTCGAAGAAGCGAAAGCTACAAAGTTTTTGACCACAAACCATGCGATCCATCACATCCCGTGAAAAAATATTGACACTGAAGGCGAGTAGTAAAAAAGTCGTGAACAGATTGCTGACTGTGTCAGTAACCATATCCTCTGTTTTTTTGGAGGGCGAATGAAGAATCCAGTCCCACTTGCCCACAAACTCCCCCACATGCAATCAACAAAGAAAAGAAACGAAGAAAGATAAAATATGTGACTTCCGTTGCCATCAAGACAACTTCTTTGGAAAGCCCAGCACTGTGAGGAGAAGAGAAGTGTTTGCCGTCAAGAGTCGTCAGGCAACTTTGAGAGCTGCGTCGCCTGGACTATCCCTTACAGGTTGTATGACCAGTTTTGGGTAGGCTTGTTGAGCGAAGCACCAATGTTCTGGGCGTATTCACCGGCGTAGTTACCTATGAGGATGTTAGTATATAATTTGAGTGTCTGTCATAGTGGAGGAACGTACCAGGGCTGCCGTAGTTGCAAACGGTGAAGTGAGGAGAAACGTATTGACCAACGTTGGCAAGGCCGCCAGAGCAGTACTGAGTAGCGCAGCCAACCTTGGTGGTTCCCTTCCAGACGAGCTGAGAGAAGTGGCCCCACTTCTCGAAGTTGGTCATATCGGGGTTGGCCTGGCCGTAGAGGTTGTTGAAGTAACCGACCTCACCGTTGTAGAAGAGCTCAGTGATGACGGCAGAGACATTGTTGGCCTCGACACCAGCGGCAATGTTCTGACCGTAGCCACCGCCGTTGACATCCATGCTGTGGGCGTAGACGCAGGTGGCAGCGATCTTGGCGGCGGTGTTGGCGAGGTCAGTGTCCCAGGTAAGGGCGGGAGCCGAGTGGTTGGCACGGTGAACATTGTGGTGGTCAACAACGCGCTGCTGGTAGGTGGTAGCCTTGCCAGCGGGGGCGGCGGCAGTGGTGCTAGCCTGTATCGAAGTTTTAGCAACGCTGATCAACGTGGATGATGAAACCTTTGTCAAAGATGAAGTTGATGACGATTTGGAAAGAGACGATGAAGACTTGGTGGCAGTGGAGAAGGTAGCGGAAGATAGGCGAGATGAGGTGGATGAGGTCTTGACGGAGGAGGACGAAGGCTTGGAGGAGGAGGAGGAGGCTGATGATGATGAAGAAGAAGATTTGATAGAAGGGAGGAAAGAGGAGGATGGAGATTTGGTAGAAGATGAGGGCGTGAATGAACTGGAGAGGGGTGCAACAGATGACTCGCGCTTGCAAGCATTGCGTGAGGCAGAAACAGCGGCAACGCGTTCAACAGTAGACAAGGGGAGGGAAGAGACCTTTTTGGTACTCGATGATGTCTTCTTGGAGGTCGTGGAAGCCTTCTTCGTTGAAATGGGAGTTCCCTTCTGGGTTGTCGACACCTTCACCGACGAAGAAACCTTCTTACTCGTTGAAGTTGCCTTCTTCGAGGAGGTGACAGTAATCTTCTTCGTCGTCGAAAGTGCCTTCACCGTCGAGGTTCTCTTGATCGTCGAAGTGGCACGCTTGACTTGGGAGGAGGAGGCAGGACGGAACATCTGAGCCATAAGGCTTTCGAAGTTCACACGGGGGTGTAACGAGTCACGAGAAAGAAGATGATGAAACGATTCAAGTAAGCTCACCTCAGTGGTGGCTGCAGGAGCAGCAGAAGAAGTAGCAACAGCAGTGGTGGGTTCAGCAGATGGAGTCACGACCCAGGTAGAGGCCCAAGAGGAGGTCCAAGCGCTAGTGTAGCCTTGAGCAGGAATGGCGGCCTTGGAAACGGCGGACGAGGAGGCAGCGGCGACTGAAGTGGCCGAAGACACGACGGTGGCAGCGGGAGCCTCTGAGGTGACGACTGTGACGACAGGGGCAGCCGACGACTGAGCAGCCTTGGACCAGGAGTGGCGGTGTCCGTAGTGCTGAGAAGTGAGGACGGCCTCAGTCGTGGCAGCAGGGGCGGACTGCTCAACAGGAGTGGTTGCGGCGGCTGCAGAGACGGTGACAGGGACAGTTACACCCTCGGTCTCGGTGACATAGACAGTCTCGTAGGCGACATCGTAGACGGTGTCGATCTCAAGGTCGCGCTTGAAGATTGGGCTGGCAAAGGCGCTGGCAGCCAGGGCGGCTCCAGTGATCAAGGTAGAAGTGCGCATAATGATTCTTTGTAATTTGTTGATTGTAGTTGATGTGAGTTATTCGTATTGAGGGATACCAGATCCGGGTAATGTGGAAGACTTGAAAGACTGGTAGGCCAGATGTTAGTGACCACTGCTACTGCTGCTGCGTTCTTCTGCTACTGCTTTGATCTTTCCAGAAGATAGCAGAGGCAGGCAGCTTTTATCTATTCGCGATTGTAGAGAGTGATTGGGGCAAACGGGAGGTGAATTGACGATGAACACGGCCAGAGTGTTCGGCTTGCAATAATACCGTTCGTTGTCTCTGACAGGGACCGTAACGGTGTGCTCACCAGGGAACGAATGTGTGTGGAGGATATGGGCTGGATCTTATCGATCTTCAAGGGCGAACGGTGTTGTTTATATAACGGGCAGGGTGATGGATGGGATTCTTGGAAGAGTGCGTACTTACGTGAAAGTCCTCACGGAGGGAATGGCTTGCAGAGAGTGTGGTGGAAAAAGAGTGAAATGCAACCGTAAAGGCGCGTGAACGAGTGACAAGAAAGAAGCGGTGGTGGACAACGAGAGAGAAGCTGATGTGGCAGCGTGGTGGGCGACTTTTGAAGTGGTGGTAGACGGGGGCTAAAACGCTAGTGGCCGCACGACTCCTGTGACCGGGATGTTAGTGAAAGTGGAACTTGATGAAACACTCTCCGCAAATGCAGGTGGCTGTCGATTGCGTACGAGCACCGTTAGAACGCCTCGCTGGGCAGACGGCTCCTTTGTATAAGGTTCACTGCAGCTGAGTACGGACAGGTTGGCTGGCTCGGGCTTCAGGGGAGTGTGGCATTCTTTTACTGTTCCGAAGTCTAGACAAGATTCAGGAGACTAGGCTTGACATGTGGTTCGAATGCCACTCCTTGCTTGTTGGTCGGTCGTGGAATGTGTTTCTTGATTCAAACCTCCAGACCCCCAACATCCATCTCCTCCGCAACCATTTCATCACTGGGAATCGTAGCAATGTAAATCATGTAACAAAGGACTGGAAAGCCGTGATTGCCTAATGTCCAAGCCGCGTTAGTAAAGCTCTCCCAGGTCCAACCGCGGCCCGGCGCGAAAATCAAGGTACCGACGAATGAAACGCAAGAAAAGTTGTTCCTGCGCAAGTACAATAGCCACACATCTCTATACTGTGGGGTACAAGCCCCTGTCTTCTTTCGCTTCCGGATCCGATCCAAACATGCACGGTGCATGCTTCTTCACGCTCGTATGACAGGGCCTCGCCTTGATGCTATTCCACCATGCGAACTTGTCTTCACGCCGCCTCGAATCATAGCGACAAGCGCTCTCCTGAGTCCTGAGCGTTTGGCTGCCAGGGGAAAAACGTGGTACGACAAGACTAAGCGCCAGCCGAGCGCTGTACAGCGATTGAGTAGCTAACAAGGTTTCGATGAATAGCGTGGGAAAAGGAGGGGCCGTTCAGACCATCCAAAAGTCTCAACCACAAAATCCGTGACTTTGACCTGTCAAAACAGCTCGACCGAAACCACACCGTGTTGATGTTGTCGCAGTACTCGAGATCCGGTTTGTCACTCGATACGGCCTCCTTACTACCCCTTCGCTCACAGCTTGAGTCACACTGCACACCCTTTCACTTCCTCCATTGTTCGGGTTGGCGCCAGCGACTCATGATCTAACAGACCTGCGGTCATTCTCAGCAAGATGTACAGCTGCTCGAGGCTCGTTAATGCGGATCGGAAAAATAGCGTGCACTATGATGCAGATTTTCTGTGTGACCTCGGTGCATGAAATGCAATGGAATGTCGTTGATCTCGTTTCCGCCGTCAGCCCACGTTCCGCAACGCTTTGTTCGAAGTTTCGACAGCTGGCTTGACAACCGCCTTTCTCGTCCATCCCCAACAACGTTGGGATTGGCCGTTGACAAAAAGCGATGCCTATCACCACGGCAGTACAGTTGTCGCTTATAGGAAGGCAGGCACCTTTCTGGGCTGCCTGCGTCAAGACCAAAAACGAATTGTCGCAACACAACACTGTAGTCGATCACGAAACGTCCTGTCGTTGTCAAGCTGAGCAGTGATTCAAAGTTCGGTCATCTACAGTACGGATTAGAAGATCTACAATACCGACTGTTCTATGGTGCGGCTGTGGCATTTGCTCTTCTACATGATGGTTGTTGTCTATTCGCCTGAAACTATCAAAACTGTCTTGAGCTCCCGCGTGTCCAGATCATTTGACAAAAGCTGAATTCAAGACACGGCAGCTCCTCTCTAAGGTATCAATGAGATCTGCTCTCTTTCCATAGTCCTTTTCTGGCCAAAGGTGACGACGAGATCACTTGCCATCGCGTCAGAAGAATCGACCTGCCCATGGTCTATCGCATGTCAACGTTTGCAATCTTGGGTAATGGCTGGTATTGAAGTAACCTTGTACTTAGATTGGCGCTCCTTGCAATTCGGGTCCAGAGTAATCGCCTTTCGTCATCAAGCCAGAATGCACCTGCCATGACCTGTCAAACGGAAACATCTGTGGTCCCACGCAGTACTTGTGCTACAGCCATGAAATCGTCATATGCTATCACAGGACCGAGGATTGTCGTCGCTCCGAGAGGTAGCTTTTCAGATTCCATCAATCCTCGACATCAGAGAAGGGCTAGAGTGAGGTACGTACCTTACAAGAATTCTCTCCCTGCATTAACGAGCCCAAGCATTGCCGAGAAGTATGTATGAGCCGTGTATGCGGTTGATAACCTTGTTCGGCTCAAAGATGCCATTGTTGAAGATGGCAGAGCAGCAGCTCCAGTTTCGTACCCTCGAGAATATCCACTCTGTCCCAACTTGCAGCTCAACAACTCCCAACATACATTTGTTGGCCGATAGCATTACTTGAATGCGCATGAGCTTACGGCTGACCGCTCACTGATCAACTTCGGCTGGTTTTAGTGGTCCACTTTTTGGGGAAAACTACCATATATACCAACTTGTTGCTCAAGCTACAGCAAATATTTTGTGATCGCACAGCTGGTGGTCAACTAACTGGCTTTGAATCTGCAATGAGAAGTCAATCTCGATGCTCTCACCCCTATGCCAGCTCTAGATGTTAGTCAAGACTCGAGACAGTTACTGGCGTCGATATGTTCACAAAACGTATGATTCAGCCCTAGGACATCGGTACCTTACATCTGTTTGTTTCCCCATAGGCGCTACCTCTCAGTTTGTTCTGCAGTTTGCAAGCAGATACGACTTCCCTTCGGTTTGGTTCACAGATGTCTATCCGCGCCAACTCATGAACGCAAGATGACCATCGGCCACGATCCGAGAAACATGTCGGTTTCAAAGTTTTCGAAACTGTCACAGAAGCTTCAGGCCCTCGAAACATGCTGCAAGTCATGGTTCAAGTCGTAGAATTAAACTGGTTTCATGGGGTTGTTGACAGGCGTGTTGGTTCGTCTGCCCTGGTCGTGGGGAACCGAAATGACGAACGCCAGAGCTTCTCGCGAATCTCGAACCTAACATTCTTCCTTCACGAATCACCACAGTTCAAGGCCATCCAAAACACGACGCAATCTCGAAAGGATCGCCGCAAATCTCCTTTCCATCAAGATTCCCGTGTCAAAGCTCTTAAGCTTGCGAGCGGCCGCCTGTATATCTCTGACGTCCAGCGTCCGCCGCGAAATTCTAGACTGCCCTGCTTCGATGACGAGCGAATATTCATGCGGTATACGGATCTGACTCGAGACGGTGGATATTTGTAGCCAACGACTCACGTGGCGTGTAGCCACGAGAAACTGTCGGCATGTCAACAACCGTCCAAGTCGTTGACCTTTCTAGTCGTTGTTATCAGATAGGCGTTGAAAGAACGATTCGCGCTTGCCAAGGGAAGGTGCGACACAATAGTCGTCGCGACGGGCAACTCTCACAGATTCGAAAAAAGCCTTGCGTCCTCGAAAACATTGCGACTTCCGGAAGATGGCCGTGTGGCTTGTCGGCACGGTATGTTGTCTGTACCATAACACAGGATGTGACGATTGGTGGTCAGGTTTGAGCATACCGCAACATCCCTAGGCGGCTAAGAAGCTCGACCGAAAGCATGTCAGGGTAAGAATATGCAAGTTCTTGCTGCTGACACAGACAGACACGGACGGAGATCCAGCGCCAACTCTGCAAGGTAGGCCATCGCACCATAGAGATGTATGAGATTGACATGGCCATCCATCGCGAGGACAATATATCATACGGTCGGTATCATAGCTCCCTCCCGGTGTGCTAACAGTCACATTCACCCATCTCCCGCGACTATGCCTAGAGTTATCCGGGCTGTAGAAATGAACAACCTTTTCGAGATCGTTGCGAACGTCCCTAGAGAATGGTTAACTGTTACGCTTTTCGTGGAAGCCACATCTAATGAAGCAAAAATCGTGCATTTTTACAGCTCTACGCTTGACAGAGTTTGGCACGCGGGGAGGTCGGGATATCACATCTGGATAATCATACGCCAGACTGCCACAAGGAGCAATGCCTTAGTCCCAGGACGTTTTGCTTTTCATCAAGGTTGAGGGCTTAAAGAGCAATGAAAACGACTTGAAAGTAAGTACGAAGGTCATGAGATTTGTGAAAATTGATATGGAATACTTTCGACATTCTCTGCCAGCTGTGAACATATCTTGGCTATGTTTGCATCATATGCCTCGGTGACAGAAAGAATGGCATAGACATGCTAGAGAAGTGTTCAAAAACGCTCTCATGATCCGCCTTCGAGCCAATAGTCGACACTCAACTGCGCAAGTTTACTCGAACCACCAAACAAAGCACCCCACTCGCTTGTGTCTATTTCTACAACCACTACTCAGGAAACAATCCTCTTCTCCTTCCTACACTCCTCCCAAATCCTGTCATCTATCGCCTTCCAGCGCCACGAAATCATGTCGTCAATCGAATCACCACCGAGCTATCCAGGCGAAGTCTTCTTCAATGAAAAGTGCCCCAAATCCACCGCCTATCACTTCACTCTCGAAAGATGCAGGGAATGCGTCAAACTCGAAAGCGGACGCTACGCCTCAACCGGCATCCTCGACGAGCTGAACATCGCGATCACCATTCCCTCCCACCACACCTGGCCCCAAGTTCGCGAGCAAGTGTGGTCTCGCTTCCAATCAGGATGGCCGGCAATTCTGGGCAAGGCAGACCTAGAGGACTTTGCAATGGGCATCAACATGCAGTACCTCGCCCAAGACGGAAGAATCAGAGGTCGGGTGGAGCTTCTGACAAGTGATGAGGATGGGCTCTGGGACCTCTGCAGGCGTGGGGGTATCAATGTCGTCAGATTCCGCGCACACTGTGCTCCGAGGGAGGGTGTGGCTGCTGGGCAGATCAAGGGGAAATGTGACAGCTGGTTTGAGGAGGTCACGCGTGAGGATGTGGAAGAAGACATTCGTGAGAAGCCGACTAAGAAGGGTATGGGCAAGGGCAAGGGCAAGAGCAGCGTCAAGCATCGCTGCATTTTGCAATGATGGCGTCGGGGAACCATCACTTTGACTAAAGCTATGCTCGATGTTTCCCAAACCTGGTTCTGACTGTCAAGTCTCCGCCATCAGGTTTATCGATGGTAGAAAATGGCACTTGCTCGCCTGGAGAGGGGTTACCCTGTCCTTCACCCTGTACTAAACACTGTAGACCATCTGGTCACGCTTAATTAATGATTGCTGCCTAGTTACCAAGCTAGTATACAAAAGTTCTTGCTTTAACGAGCGTTCTTCGTGTCCCCAAGTCTCGGTAACCGTTGTCGTCGTTGTGATCTTCAAATTCAAGATACCTCTGTGACAGCATGGGCGTGTCGATGTATCATAGTTCCGATCAATCACTCGTCTCATCTGTCTTGAACCATACCTTGAGTGACTCAACAGGTCTTGAAGAGGCGCGATTGTGGCTGCCCAAATAGTCACAAGTGCAAAAGTTTATCATGGCATGTCACGCGCAAGGTGAAACCAAATCTGGTGGAAAAGTGCGTAAGCGATTTGAAAATTATGTACGGAACAATGGGTTCCCTTCGAACCCAAACTTGGTCTATGCTACGCCATGCAATGCTATGCCCAAGTACGACGACATATATGAACAAAAGAAACAGGAAGCAATGCAATGCTGCTATGCAAAACTCCGGGGGAAAAAAACGCAACCCGATAACGACAGTTGCTCGACCATCGCTCATTGCTTGATGTAGACCAAGATGTAGGGGTTGAAATTGGTTGTTGGTCTCTTCCATTCTTTGGGACTGCTGTTCATGATCGTGTCATCACTAATTTCTTTGATGCCGTCGGCGCCGCGAACGTAAGCGATGTAATGTCCGAACTTTAGCGTGCCAGAGTGGGCGACGATGGCTTGAAGACGGTACTTGAGTGGCTTTGAGGTGTCCAATGACCAGCGAGCCAGGTCGAGCTCTTCAGGGTATTCGACGTGCTGCTTGTTCTTTGTAGGTCCACGAGCGCCGAAACCGAAGCGCATCAGTTGGATTGGCAGGACATCAGGTGCATTATCGAGTTGGAAGACGCGAGTGCGTTTGGAGTTCTTCTTGCATTTGTCGCAGCGGATGGTAACGTTGGACTCGCGGTGGTATGTGTTCAGACAATCGGTGATGTTGACTGTACCAGACTGTTTCGGAATCGGCAGACTGAGACTGAAGTTGGGTGGATCGCTGTGGACGTGTGTTTTCTTACAGCCATCGCAAGACCAGGAGATCTTGTGCTTGACGCCGAAGAGAGATGAGAACTGGTCCTTCTGAACGCCCTTGGCCTTCTCTATGGTGCCGAGCAGATATTGCAAGAAATCGTTGCTGTCCTCTTGCGTGTGGCCTACAGCACTCCAACGAGGATCACTTGTCTTGCCGGTTGCTCTGATTGCGTTGTCGAGGGCACCAAGCTGACTGCCAACACCGCCAGAAGAGGAGTGGTAGCTAAGGAGAAGCTGTCGCATTGCGCAGGTCACGCATCTGCCTTGCTTTGGGCAGTTCTTGTGCGACTCATCCAGAAGATTGAATAGCTGGGGTACCGCGATCAGACTCTGCAACACGCTACGACGATAGCACCATTGAGCCGGGTTGAACAAGCCCTTGATCTTTTGCTTGCCCACGTTTGATGGCCAGGATTTCGAGATTCCGGAAGCAGGCGGAGCTGATGATTTCGAAAGCTTGCCCTTGGTCGACGCCTGCTCAGGCTTGGATCCTTTGCTTGGGACGGCCTCTTGCTTGAGCCCCTTCTTCTGAGGTACAATGGGCTTGGTCTCGTCCGTGGCTGGCGAACGGCTGGCTGGCTCTTGAGACTGAGGGTCGGGTTTCTTTGCTGATGACTGTTCCTGCGTGCGAGGTTTCTTCGCCTGATGCTGAGGTTTTGCTTCCGGGGGCTCAGACTCGGAGATTCTTCTCTTCTTGCTGGGCTTCGATGATTCCTGAGCAGGCTGTGCTGGTGGCAGAGAAGAAGTGCGCGGAACAGTAGGTGTGATGGAAGGGTTGGTTTCAGAAGCGATCGAAGCTGGTGGGAGGCTCCTTGCGCGTGCCTGCTTGGAGTTTTCCATTTGTTTTAACCGGCGTTTTTTGTCCAGGAAATCTTTAAGGGCTACGTTCCTGCAGTGGGCGCAGTTCGAGGAGCTGAGTGCGCGAAATGATCGAAGAATTGAATGTTTCAGAGCATTTGCGACATAAGAGGCAGCAACTTCTTGGTTGCGCCCTTTTAATGTCGTGCGCATCATGCTTGAATAGGAAGGGACAATAATCCGGAGTATTCAGATGACAATAGGAAAGAAGAATACGACCAATAGAAAAATGCCTTTTCGCAGACTCTTCACATTGACAATTGTAGAGAGTGAACAGGAGTGACAGCAAATCACGGGAGACTACTGTTGTTCATGCACGCGGTTGCCACGGGTGGTCAGGTACGTTTCGAAGAGCGGATTTCGCACAGTGAGTGACCGAAACGCGAGAGTCCGGATTCCTGGTCCAAGAGATGATTGCTGTACTTCTCCCGAGCTCGTAAGCAGTATGTACAGTCGAGGTAGACGCGATGAATTAAAAAGTTTGCGACTTTGAAACAAAAAAAGTCGAGGCATTTCCGGATACGGAAAGGCCGAACATTGACATGATCGACTTGGCGTCGTCACAGCGTACAGAGAAATCATACAGCTTCCTGTCCTTGGAGAAACCAAAACTTGGTCTTGTCATTGCGTGTTTGTCAATATGGCAGCTGAACAGGCTGGAGCAGAGTACGAAGCTCAACATGTGCACGATGTGTATGAGCAAATTGCGTCGCACTTCTCGGCGACACGCTACAAGGTGCGACTCTATGCTCCGCACGCACAACCACCTCTCTGACCGTAGTTCATCTCAGCCGTGGCCAGTAATTGAGAAGTTCCTAAAAGAACTTAGTCCTGGCTCCGTAGGTCTGGACATTGGCTGTGGAAATGGAAAATACTTGACCGTCAATCCCTCCGTTTTCATCGTGGGCAGCGATCGCTCGCCCTCGCTCACCAAGATAGCCTCGTCGCACCAACCTCACGCAGCTGTCGTCTCGGATATTCTTTCTTTACCTCACCAGAACCATTCGTTCGATTTTGCCATCAGCATCGCCGTTCTTCACCACTTATCGACGCCCGAACGTCGCGTAGAAGCTGTGCGGACTATCCTCGACACGCTCAACAAACATGGCAAAGCATTGCTCTATGTGTGGGCCTTGGAACAGAAGGAGAGCCGAAGAGGCTGGGATGAGGGAAATGAACAAGACACCATGGTGCCTTGGGTCATGCGCGAGAAGAAAGAGAAACAGAAGAAGGACCGCAAACAGCAAAACAAAGGAGACAGCGTCCAGCCCGACGCCTCCACTCAAGAGGGACAGACCACCGGTACGAGTCTCGAGCCTGCTGGTGACAAGACTTTCTACCGCTACTACCACCTGTACCGAAAAGGAGAGCTAGAACACAACATCGAGCTCGCTGGTGGCACAATTGTTGAAGCTGGCTATGACAGAGACAATTGGTGGGCCATTTGCCAGAGGAAACAGACTTGATTGATTGCTGTTCTATCGCTTGAAGAATCTGTGGTCGATCTGTGCCGGAGACAGACTGATCTCATTCAGTGTCTCAACGACCTGATATTTGCTCTTGTCTTCCTCGCTCAGGGGAGCATTACCAGGTCTGTCCACAACTATAGACTGCATACCTGCCTCGATGGCAGCCTTGACCTCCTTGACGTTATCGCTCAAGAAGAGGACGGTGTCAGCAGGCTTTCCCAACTCCTCGGCGATCTTGGTGTAGCTGCTAGCATCATGCTTCAGACCAGCGTTCATCGTGTCAAACCAGCCGTCGATCAAACCTTGAAGGTTTTGCGTACGCTTTTCATCCGCTCCTCCGAGGGGATCTTGAACGTGCCCGAAGAGGAGCTTCTGCGCGAAAACGCTGCCTGAGGAGTAGATGACAAGCTGCTTGGATGAGTCATGCCAGTGCTGGAGTTGAGGAGCGACATCGTCGAACAGAGGGGTAGAGTAGGCACCGTTCTCGTAACCGGCCTGCCATAGATAGCCTTACAAAACAAAAGTTCGAGTCAGATTGTATTCACCCATGTGGGCCTGAGATAAGAAGGGCCGAGGATAGTAGTGTGACTCACCTTGCAGGTTCTTGAGATAGGCGATCTTGACATCGCGGGCCGTCAGGTCCTTAACGTGAGCTTCAAATGCTTCTGGAGATGCTTGAGCCTCGGTAGGGAAGGCATCACGGTAAGGTTTGAAGTCCGCAGAGTCCCATCTTTCCTGGATGACGCTCGAAAGTGCTTTCAAGGCGTAAGGGAACTTGATACAACGTCAGTCTCAGCATCAGAATGTCGAGATAGCACGACTATCTTGCGCGAACAACATGGTTTAGTGGATTCATGAAATGGTGATAAGGGAATAAGAATGGAAGATGTGTTGCGATCCAAAAATTGCGTGAATATCTGGCATCAATACGGTGCTCTTCGACGCGATTTGATCAGGTGGCCGTTGTCACGAATCAAAAGAAAAAAATCTTCGACCTACCAGAGTATCCTTGACGAAAGAGATAGGGCAAACAGTTCCCTCTGTCATTAGCAATGATTAGCCATTGTTATCGCAGACAGACGGTTCGCTCGATACTCAAGCACGCACGTTGGTGATAGTGCGGTGAGCGGAGGTAGCAAAAAGTCCCAATATTTTGAGATACGGCGGCCCAAGGCCAGCCAAGAAAGTCGGTTACATACCAATGTCGAGCAGCACAGTGCCCACGTTCTCGTGCTGTGGAAGCATTGTTTTCTGCTGGGTCGATGGTCGTTCAATGCGATGTTGCACAAAGTGCGGTGTAAAAGTCTAGACGCTGCGGTTGGTGATGGCGCTTGGGAACTTGGGAAAGGCTTCGACCGAACCCTGAGAGAAGACCACACCTTGATGTAAAGCTGTCTATTCACCATTCAACACAACCTACTCACGAAATCGCCATACGCTGGGTAATGTCGCGATTTCAATCAGTTAAGATCGCCCATCACCTGTAACTGATAGCGCTGAGATCTCAGTAAAATTCTCAACCTACGTGTTCCATAGAAGGTTCGGTCGTCAGGTAGTGGCTACGGCCGAACATGGCAGATCAAGCAATCACCTCATGGATAAGGACTCTTTTGAGTGGACAACAGACTTTATTCGAGTTCAATGAGCGGTGTACAGGATACATAAGCCATCGTCGCCTCACTGCATTACTGGTGTATGCTGGCGGCCGGTCTTGTCGAGGTATCATGCGGGGCAATATGAGTAGCTTCAATATTCAGGGCAGTTATACCCGTTATGGAGATACCGTCAATTGAACATGGGCGGCTAGATGCAGACCGCAAGACCTCCTTCGAGTAGACGCCGGCTAGACTGTGTTGCAGTTCTTTCATATTGATAATGCCAATCCAGGCGGCGCGGTACCTGAAAGCATGTCTCCTGCTGGCCAAGGACATAACCTTCGTCGAAAGCCTGGGCTCTACTCCTACAACCGCCAGCGATAGCATAAAACTTGCACAAAGTATGCAAAAAGAAACAAGCATACTGCGGTATCCGACACGTGGAGACCTGAAGAGCCAAAATTGGTGGCAAGCGTGACGCTCGAGCAAAGCGTAAGGCCATGGCTAAGCCGCTTTGGTTTGCATACCGCCATGCGTGTGACCTGCGTAAGGTACCGGAGTGTCCTCGATGCATGCATGCAAGCCCGCCACGGCTGGCAGATCGAGCTCATGAAAAGGCCGGCACAGAGGAGAATTTTCTGCTCGTTCAATGGAGGATTGATTGGAGAATCAAGCCCAGATGCAACAGAAAGCATCTATGTTTTGGTAGAGCACACCGACATTGCTTTGATGCAGGCACTCCGCCGTGCCCCACGTCCGCTTGCCGGAGTATGCAGCATCGTTTTGACGCTCGAGCTTCATACGTTGGGGTACCTGAGGATCACCTTCTTGTTTACGATCTCAGCACACTTGTTTGTGCGAAGCGCTGCGTATGCTCTTCATCAACCTGTGGTGTTTCGTGAGGGCGTCACCTGCTCTCTTGCAGTTACGTGTTTCAGTCAAACGTCTTTGCCTGGCCCCGGTCTCGCACTGGCTGAGTACGAAGGAAGCACTAGTTTCTGAGCTGTGCAAGCTTGAAGTCGGTAGCACACACGCTGCAAGTCTGCAACGTACTCTCGAATAGTATAAATATTCATAATATACAAGACATCGGCAGCGGCTTCCCGCAGCGACCCCATGGGAATTGATTGGACGAAGCCGTGGGGAGGCAGGGGTGGTGAGATGTCTGTCGCCGCGTCAAGCCACCTCGTTCCTGGACAAAGGACCGCGGGACTCTGATTCGGACGATCAAAGGTGATAAGGATAGGCACATGCCTAGAGTTGACGCGGAGAAGTTCTAAGCGATTGGAAGTTGAAAGAAAGAAAGCGCTGGACTGATACGACAACAAAACAGCTGGCCCGACCGAGCAATGTTTGTTGACAACTGAACAGGCGGTGCATACATAGGAGTTTAATCAGACTGACATGCCTAGGTAGGGGGGAAATGGTTTCAGGCTTCGAGAGATTACGAACACGACGTCGCAGCATAAACAGGGAGTCGGTTTCGCAAGACAACACGCAAGTGCCTGAGGAGATGACGCTTTTCCCGAATGTTCCTTGAGACAAAGAATGACATAGAAGTCGGAAAGATCGTGCCTGGGAGCAAAGTTGGCCAAGCCCCCATGATCATGTGGGCCCCATCCGCCACAGCACGCAAAGTGGGATGCTATTGATGTAGTGACAACGGGTTGGGCCCGTGCGCATTAGTGACTCCTCGGGTCTTGTCGCCGACCGACAGTGTTCCACCTGCTTCCCTCTCGCCCTCTATCTTTCGACTCACACCGCTAAGCTCTCTCTTGTTTCCCATAACTCCCCCTCAATTGCTCTTTCCTAAGCCCGGTTCGTTCCTTCTGCACCTACAAACTCTTGCTCAAAGTGTTTCGCACCTGCCGCCGTTGCATTCCTCGCGTTTCCTGTTCGACCAAAGCGGAAGCGCCGATAGCCGATAGCACGACAACCTCAGCTCCCTCCTCCTTTGGACCCTACGACTTCCTCGTTCTGTTTCATTGTTCCATCGGACTTTGGACTGCCACTCGCCTCGTGCTACCTGTCCCTCCAGCGAGCTTCAAAACACAGCGACCGCCAGTTCCTCAGCTTCCGTCGTCTCGCCTTATCAGTTCGTCCTCGCAACGGCTTCCCTCGGCTTCCTGCCTGTCAACATCCCTTTGAAGCCTCAGTCAACCAAGCCCACCAGCACTCGACGACGCCCACGCCAACTACCATCAATCAGCGTCCAGCTCTCCTACCCGTTGCATTGATAAGCTCGTCGGCTTCATCGTTTGCTCCTCTGCCGGCAACAAATCGCTCGATCCTGTACAGTCCCTCCCCATTCGCCTACGACAACAACAACAAAGCCACGAATAGCCGTCCCGTTAAGAGAGACCCTGCTTGTCACACTCGACGCTCTAAGCTTCACCTTCGGGTCCGCCCTTCAACCTCCCAGCTTGCCAACCTTGCTGCCGGACTCCCTTTCAGTACACCATTTATTCGATGCTCACATTAACGACCTCTACTATTTCTTATTCATAGTGCGTTCGGGGCTTTGATCCCTTCCTTCTCTCTGGCTCGTTGCGTCGATACTGCCTATCCCCTCATCATTTACCCGATCTCGTCTTTGGCGGACTTGTTTGTTGCTTTCTTCTTTCACGCCATCCGTGGTTAGCACTTTGCTTGAATCATCATCTCCGGTCGACACCAAGGCCATCTCTCCCGATCGGCTTGTACAGCTCTCCGGTGTCTACTCTCTTCTCCAAGCTGGTTTTCGGAGTCTCTTAACCTTTTACGTCTCATATCTAATCCCCTCACATCATTGCTCAAATGGACTGCATGCGGAAACAATTCGACAAGGACCTCCTCCTGGACGGTCGTTACAAGACTCTGTCTCCTCTCAACCATGGCTCCTTTGGAATGGTCTTCATGGCCAAGAACGTCAAGACCGATGCCACGGTTGCTATCAAGTGCATCGCCAAGCCCTCATCTTCCGATGCTTGCCCCACTGTCATGGCCGTCGACGATCGTTCCGAGGAGTTGGAGATCCATGCCCATCTCGGCTCGCATCCCAACATCGTCAGCCTCCTGGACACTTTCGAGAGTGAGCACCACACGTATCTGGTCATCGAGTTCTGTCCCAATGGAGATCTGTATGAGGCGATCCGTCTCAACAGAGGTCCTTTGGAAACCGAGCACGTGCGTGACTTCATGATGCAGCTGATCTCCGCTGTGGAATTCATGCACGCCAAAGGAGTCTACCACCGTGACATTAAACCCGAGAACATCTTCTTGACTCAATCGGGCTCGATGAAGCTCGGTGACTTTGGTCTTGCTACCAGAGATGAGTGGTCTACCGAGTACGCTGTTGGCAGCGACCGTTACATGGCTCCCGAGCAGTTCCAGGAGACAAGCTACACCAATGGTTATTCGCCTGCTGCTGCTGACGTCTGGGCGATTGGTATCTGCTTGTTGAACGTCTTGTTCTCTCGCAACCCCTTCGCTACCCCCACCCAGTCGGACCCTCTGTTCGATGACTTTGTCATGGACCGCCAGTCTCTCTTCGATGTCTTCCCCACCATGTCTCAGGACACCTTCAATGTCTTGATGCATTGTCTCGCTCTCGACCCTTCCAGGCGTTCTTTGGATGCCGTTCGCACTGCCCTCAAATCGGTTGTTAGCTTCACCACTGACGACGACGCCATGGACGATTTCTGCATCGAGGATCGCGATCCTATCCGTGCTACCCTCAACCGCGAGCCTCTACGTACCCCTTCAATCACAAGCCCTACCATTGACAATGGTGGCTGCTTCCCATGGGCAAAGGCTCTGCGCGAGACCTCGCAGAAGCATGGTCGTCAACTCTCGGTCATCCTCGACAACGAAAGCTACACGGAGGACCTCTTCCCCGAGGAGAAGGAGGCCACTGGAAAGAGCTGGTTCACTTCCACGGATCCCGATTCGACTTCGTTGAACTCGACCATGGAGTCTTCTCTGGGCATGTCGTACAAATCTGCCAACAACTCTGCCGAGCTCATTGGTCACGCTTCTTCCAGGCCCGTCCCTATCTCTTCGTCCGTTCCCATCAAGAGTTCCAGAGCTCTGGCTTCGGTCTATGGCAACATGGATGCGAACTTCTCCAAGAGCTGGAGTGACCTTTGGGAGGAGGATGAAGAGGAAGAGTTCCAGCATCCTGCCTTCAACTCTGCCGCCAGCCTTGAGCGCTGCACCACTGCCAAGCCTTTCGAGCCTAGTCCCTTGTCTGCTGTTTCGGCTGCTATGGACATCAAGAATGCATCTGGTCGTTCCTCCACCCCGCGTGGCTTGAGCGAGCTTAAGATTGCCGAGGAAGGCCGTGACATCCCTGGCGCTACCGGCCCTCAGCAAATCGCTGGTGTTGCTGCTTCCGCTCCTGTCTTCCAGAAGTATTCACCACCTTCCAAGCGGTCCATCGTTGACAAGTGGTCGGCTCTGGGTAACCTCAGACGTGGAAGCAAGGCTGACGCAGCCTCCGCTTCGAACAGACCTACTCCTGTGACTCCTCAGAAGAGCACTGAGAAGCTTGAGAAGAATGAGAAGTACAACTTCACGCCATTCGGCAACAGTGCCAAGAAGCCAAAGTCTCGTGGACGCGCTGCCAGTTGGCGTAAAGACAGTCCCTTGGCTACAAACACACCTTCTTTTACTGGCAGTGTCCCTGCTTGGGAGCGCAAACCCCAGAGCAACTCTCATGTCTCGCCTCCTCATGATTTATGGCAAAGCAATCGCGACTGGCGTCAACACCCAGAGCCTCAGCACTTCTTCAATTCACCTCTCAGCAAGCCTCGCACTCAGCCTGCTACCTGCGGACAGCAGTTGTTGAAGTCAAACAAGCCGTTTGTTGATGCTCTGGATGATGACGACATTGGCGACCTTGAGTGGGTTGGAGGTTGGCATGACCTCCACTTGTAGTCACAACGCTACCACCACGCTCGCCTGCCTTTGTACATCCCTCATCTTTCTCATTCCTCTCAGCTTTTCTCACTGTACATTTTTCGGTCTCGGTGTTCTTCTTGCAGCCCCAGTTTCATAATCTCCTTTGTTCATCAACTCTACTCATATCGGACGAAAATAAGCAAGTTACCCAGCGGTGGCATGGCTTGGCGCTCAATGGATCAACACGATACCGCTGGGCGGTCGATGGAACATCTTTTTCTGTATCTTTTTCTTGTGTTTCATTTTCTCAACTATTACATTTTCAGCGACAAGATGGGTTTGGCCTGGGTTTGGTCGGTTAAGGGCGTTTTTCTTGTTACGATTTCTTCATCACCACTTCATCAAAACACTGCGGGCTGCAGAAGGGGAAAAGCAAACGAAAAGTCCGGTCTTCTTGGAGGAACAAAAAGAGGATAAAGGTTTTCTGAAAAAGAGCGGTTTCGAGAACGGCTGACGATGTGCAAAACAATAGCGAGGGCGAGCGCTTTTCGGTGGTCCCTTGTGGACTCGCTGTCTGTAGACAATTTTCTTTGCAGAAAATTTACAGATTCTCCCACTCAATATGATTATTACGGTTCACGATTTTTAAAACTTGTTCTTCTCCCCTGTCAACATGTCCTCATTTGTGTCAATTTAGGGATTGTTCCACCTTTTCCTATCATGCTGGTAGCTGGGCATCTCACATGTTTGAAGATGCCAATACTCTGTTCTTTTCGAAACCTGAATTTGAACTTCTCCACTTCGCTGGTTCACTTGAGGGATCAATCTACACATCGAGCACCGCACCTCATTGTAATATAACCAATGCACATATCCATGAGAGTGTAGAAGTGAAACATGGAAGGACACGACCTTGATGGTGCCCGATATTGTCGTCGAGGGGGCAACCCTGATGTCCTGTCCCGAAATGGTAGGTCGATGCGAAACGGCGAAAAGGACCGACAGACACGAGTTGCCAGGTTTCTATGACTGTCTTCAAAAGAATCCATTGCCATAAATTGCGGCGCAGTAGATATTATATTCTCTTATATTGGTAGGCCACATTCTCTTCAAATCGTTGCTTTTTCTTCGCATATACCAAGGCTCGATTTGCATATCGCGCGCAGCCGCCCACGCTATCTTCGCAAAGCTCGAATTCACCTACAACCCAACACCCTGAACATCAAACAAACAATGCCCATTCGACCCGCCAACTTTGCAGATCTGCTGCCAGGAGCGCACGTGTGTGCCAAAGCATTCAAAGATGAAGATCTCTTCGGCGAACGTATTCACCCAAATCGATCCGCATTCCCTGGCGACATGTATCTGTTCTTCCTGAGACAACTACGAAAGGATTATTTCGACGGCCGCACCATTGTCATGGTATCTCACCCCAAAGACCAACCTAGCAGTGTTACTGGTGTAGCAGTCTGGACGCGCAAAGGCCCTGGTGGTGACCGTATGGCTGCTTCACAATCATGGTCTGCTTGGTTTACTGGCCGTTTCCTTATACCCGCGTACAACTGGCTCGGCTCTCTTATCTGGCAAAATCGTGCCGCAGACTCGGCAATGGTGGATATCTTAGACCGTGCGATGCCATTCACAGAACACTACTGGAAGACTCCCGAGTGTCTCGAGAATTGGTACTTGGCGCTTCTTGGTACCGGACCAGAGTACCAAGGTCACGGTTATGGCAAGGAGTTGTTGAAATGGGGTATCGAGCGTGCGACCGAGGAAGGCATTTGTGTTAGCTTGGTGAGCGCGAATGGCAAGGATGGCTTTTACAAACGCTACGGTATCGACCAGGAAGTGGGATGGGCTAGCGAAGGTGGAAAGGAGAACCCAATTCATGATATTGCTGGTGGCATGATTTTGTTCTCAAAGAAATTTGAGAAGTAATGAGGATGGAGTTTTCCGGAGTTGGTTGCTGGGTCAATCGTGTGAAGGTTTAGAGACATAGAATGCATAGAGCTACCAACCACATCGCACCCATAACAGAAGGAAAGCACTCGTACAAGAGCGTGTAGAGCCCCCAGGATGGGTCTCCGGCATTACCGGTACTAAGTCTCGAAATTTAAAGTTTGAGATCCAACGTTCCAGACCAATGCCACGAAACTGCATTGTCGAAAGAGCGGACGGGATCGACAAATGCCATTTTCTCTGACTGCATTCGCTTGGAAGACGAAGCCGTCTCCTTGACAGTAACCACATCGCAAATATGCACACAGCGAGGACGACACTTGTGAGCCTTGCACTTGCCAAAAGACTAGTTCAAGATACAAAGCCGGGGCCTCGGCGTCGATCTGGTGTGCATCGACCGATCTGATTCAGAGCATCGGCATGCCGGTCGAACATTCCACTTCTGTTCTTCGCCTGTGTGGTTTTCTGCCTTCCTTCCCGACTGACGCTGCGCTGGCAGATAATTGTCTATACCAACAACCTGACAGAAGCCCGTGATAATTTACTGTTAATCCTGAACTGGATCCTATGCCCGAAGACATATCTTGAGCCGTCTTCTCCGTGGGCACGAAGGAACTAATTCACAGCTTGCTAGTTCGCGATTGGACCGAACAGACACCATCACAACGAGCGCGATGGAGGGATTTTACTCAAAATCGTCGCCAATGGCCGCGGTCTTGGACAGACTACGTGGCCCAGATATGGATGAGCATCTAGAACTTTTCAACAACATTGAATGGGCAGCCACTTCTCTAGGACCACTCGATAGCTGGCCGCAGGAACTCGCAACACAGATCTTCTTGACTATGTTGGTGACGAATCCGCAATGTCTCCTCCTTGGGAAAGACAGAGTGGTGATTTACAACCAGGCTTATGGACGCCTCATCCGTGACTACCATCCACGCTACTTTGGACTTCCATTAATAAGCTGGGTGGAGTGGCAACCATATATGGAGGGCATGTTGGCCATATACGCCGAAGCAGAGAGCACTGGCCGAGCATGGGTCACTGATTCTTATCCGATGGTCATGGCAAGTGGTGGGTTCAAGGAGAATGTTCATATGACGTGCACAGTCATTTGCCTCCCTCCTCCTTTACACGGTATTCTTGGTATCTTTACCGAGACGACAGCGACCGTTACATCGGAACAAAGAAGCTCGGCTCTAAACGATTTGACCACATCCTGGAAAACATCCTCTGATCTGGGAACGCTTTGGAACAACATATTGACGAGCATTTCTTCTTACCCGGAGCTATTTCCATTCGCCTTTATCTACTATGGCAATTTACCTCCGGAGAACGACAATCGATCAGACTCAAGCGGGAACGATTTGGAAGACTTTGTCTATACACTAAAAGGAATCACAGGACACTCGGAAGCGAGCTCGCCACAAGTCCCTCGACAACTCGATCTTGACGGAGAGCTGGGACCATTTACACAGTACTTCAAAAGCGCACGAGCCACGAGAACTCCAGTATTCGTTGCCGAGCCTGACATACCGATAGCCTGGCAGGATGTAGCACGAAGCAGAGGAGTTCGTGAGGCTTGCAGAGGCGCTGTAGTCTGCCCAAGCAGCACTAATCAGCTAAGCAAAGTGGACGCTTTTCTGGTACTGGGACTATCCACACGCGATTCGTACAACGATTCATACCGAGAATGGACCTTCAGGCTACAGAGAGAGTTTGCCGACACCGTTGCATCCATCAATTCGGCGCAAGAGGCAGCAAGGAAGAAGAAAGAAACTGCCAGGCGACTGCGCATCGAGAAAGATTTCTTGAACAAGGAACTTGCACTTCGCAAAAGAGAAGCCGAGCTTGCAACCGTAAGAGTCGAGAGGATTACCAAGATTGTTGGATTAGCAGATGTTGCTTTGTTCGAGCGCGACCTTGATGGTCGTCTAGTATTTGCCAACGTGTGTACCTCACCAATTCTTCTACAAGCATATGTACTGACTTAGACAGGATGCATACTACAGATTGATACCTCGGACCACGGACGACGACGGCCCGACTCCCGGATCGTGCATTCCTCTCGAGCATTGGAACTCGTTGCTGCAAGGCGAATCTCGATCATACGAAATCCAGTGTGCAAATAAAGATTGGGCTCTCTGTAGCGCGCAACCAACAAGAAACGAGAATGGGAATATCGATGCTATCATAGGAGTCATCACAAATATTCAGCATCAGAAATCCGCAGAGCAAGAGGCGCTCCTCAAACTTGCAGCCTTAGAAAAAGCAGGCCTAGCCGAAAGACGCATGTATCGCTTTCTGGAGATGACCCCGTGTGGTATCTGTATATTGAAAGGAGACCGGCAAGTATCGTTCGCAACAAATGAATGGTTCAAGCTTACTGGACACGAACCTTGCGACCTCGATCAGATCAACTGGAACCCCTGTATCGTTGAAGAAGACCGCGAGTTCGTTCAAAGTCTGTGGGATAAGCTGACAGTCGAGCTTCAACCAGTCCACGCCCAATTCAGGGTTCATCGACCGTGGATAAATCCTGATGGGGAGCATTGTGGCAATGCTTGGGTTCTACTCAACGCTATACCCGAGCTCAATGATGACGGCTCTGTTGATCAAGTCGTCAGCGCGATCACGGACATCAGTCATCTGAAGTATGCCGAATCAATACAAAGAACTCGGGTTGAAGAAGCCGTTGAGAGTAGGAAGCACATGCTATCGTTCATCGACCTTACCAGCCACGAGATCCGGAACCCACTTGGTGCGATCGTTCATTGTGCAGACAGCGCCTTGGAGTCCCTATCCGACATCCAGGAGTCGACCCCTGCCTCGACGGATCAAACTCTACAAGCACAGGAAGGCCTGACAAGAGACCCTCAAAAGCTGACAAAAGCCATAGAGACTGGTCTTGACGCAGTAGAAACCATACTTTCATGTGCTGCCCATCTCAAGCGTATAGTGGACGACACTCTGACCCTGAGCAAGCTCGACGCCAACCTCCTCCGCATCAGCCCATCTCCCACAAAGTCACTCAGTATCCTCTCCGATATTCGAAGAATGTCCGAGGTGGAGGCCGGAAGACTGGGAATAAATCTCAGCACCATTGCTGATCCCTCTTTGAAGACCTCTGGAGCGGAGTGGACGGCCATCGATCCAGGAAGAGTTATGCAGGTGCTGATCAATCTGGTGACGAACGCGATGAAGTTCACGACCAAGCCCAAGGACGATGGCAGCTCAAGGGACGTGACAGTCCGAATGGGTGCATCGATCAAGCGTCCACTCGATCTGCAGGTAGACTTTTCGATCGCACGCGCGTTCCAAGACAGTATTTATGACACAGCCGAGTTCTCTGAGCACACGTGCTACCTCTGGTTCACTGTCGAGGACACTGGCATTGGTATGAACGAAGAAGAGAAGAACCGGATATTCTCACGGTTCGCCCAAGGCTCCGTCAAAACATATTCACAGTATGGAGGCTCAGGTCTGGGCTTGTTTATCAGCAGAACGCTGGTCGAACTGCAGGGTGGAGAGATCGGCGTCGCTTCGACAGCTGGCAAGGGCTCCAGATTTGCTTTCTTCATCAAGGCACATAAAAGCGCGCCGCCATCAACACAAAATGGAGACACGATCTCCAGAATACCGAGCCCATCAGCACACATTCTCAAGCCTGGCAAAATACCAGTCAGCGTGCTGATCGTAGAAGGTAACACAAGCCACGACGGCTTTACACTAGCTTGCGAACTTTGACTGACGATGCACAGATAACGCCGTAAACCAACGTGTTCTTGAGAAACAACTATCCAAGAAGGGATATATCTGTTACGTTGCGAACCACGGCCAAGACGCGCTAGATCTCTTGAAAACGACCAAACTCTGGAAGGGCAATGAGATTGATCTTGCCGCACCGAATATAGATGTCGTCCTCATGGTGAACACCTCCACCTCTCCAAACCACCAATCTGGATCTTGCTAACATGGGCCAGGACGTCGAAATGCCAGTCATGAACGGTCTCGAATGCGCAAGACGTATTCGCGAATACCAGCGGACAGGCGAGATGAGATCAAATCTACCAATCATAGCCGCATCAGCCAATGCCCGCGTCGAGCAAATCGGCATGGCTATTGAAGCAGGAATGGTGAGTTACTCCTTCATTTGATGACGAAACGATGCAGTGACTGACCATAATACAGGACGATTCCATCACGAAGCCATTCAGGATACCAGAATTGACGCCAAAGATCGATTCATTCGCTGCATGGGCGAGAGCCCAGGGATGATAAACTCATACGTCGATCGCAAAACATTTGCGCGTCAGATCTGGAATCTTAGCCAGCATCACACTCAAAATTGTGATGCTGACGTGATACACAACAGTTTCCTAGAACCGACAGCCTCCAGAGAGAGCAAAGGAGCCTCGTAAACTCTCTGGACGTACGAATTTCCCAGAAAAACATCTTGTATTTTCCCAAGGAGATCCACGAGATACCCGAGTCTGGGGCAGAGACTTCAAAGATGCACAGGGCTCAACCCTCCTAAGGGGTACCCGGCACCCAAACTTAGCTCTCAGCCTCAGGACACGCTTATCCGACCCTCCATCAAAAGGCACGATGTTTTTTTGATACGTAGATGCGTGTCCATTGAGAGCGCGCTCCTCAAGATGCTCTCTTCGGACAAATTCATCGATATGGAAAGCATCCTGCCTTTGGACAGACATCACTTGAGACTCTCCGCCCAGGGAGAGGAATTTCACGAATTTTAAACAATGTAATAGCAACTTTCGTCGTGTCTTGTTGGAGATACCCTTATGTTTAGCACATCCAGTAGCCTCGACAGCCACAGCTCAGACGCGATCAATGATGATGAGATTGTGATGGTGAATCATCATCTCTAATACTGAGACGTCTAAATGTGTATACAAAAGTTGGTCTGCCGTGTCCAGAGTTCATGCGGTGTCATAAAAGGAAATTGTTCTAAATCTAATCTCGTGTAGTGATAAACTCCGTGTCCCGCCACGCTTTCGTACGAAGAAGAAAATGCAAAAGGAATCAAGGCTGATGCTCTCTAGGCGACTTCTCGATCAAGAGCGGGTCGCTGTTTTCATCTGCATAAGGGAGAAGTGACTGCTCGAACCATCTCGTGAACTTCACAATCGGAACATCTACGCCCCTCCAGAACAGATCGGCTGCCCAAATCGTCAGTGGGATCACCACACATCCACCTAGCACAAAGCCAGACTCATATTGGAAGAGTGTCTCTTTGCCTGTAATCTTCCAGAAGTTGTACACAGAGACGTAGCCGATGGTCTTCAGTGTGAAACCGTGCATGAGATACAGCGCGAAGGAGATATTCCCCAGATAACGGCTGAGCGAATTATTGAAGAAAGTCTGGAGCAGACCATCGAGACTGGTGGTGTAGATCATGAGCATTGCTCCAATGCAGTGCCAGAATCGGTAGCGTTCTTCCTTACGCAAGCCTGACGGAATGAGCTTTGACAAAGTGGAGTAACCAGGAGCGAACTCTGCTTCCTGAAAAGGGTAGGACAACAAGAAAAGACTCAGGACAAAGCCACAGTATGTCAAGGCAGTACTCCACTGGGTCCTTGGTTCTTCTTCCTCGTCTGAAAAGGGATCCACCTTTACACGATTGTCTTTCTGTTCTTGGCGAATGAGATTGGCTTCTGCGATCAGAGCACCACTCCAGAAAGCACTCAACTCCCAGGCATCAGCTTGGAAGGAGCAAGCGACCAAAAGCGCCAAAGTGATGATCCTGACTCTCGTGCGAACCAAGGCCAGACCAGCGATTGTCAGGAACAGGACCATGGAGCATCTGAACTCCTGAGGAATGGTCCACAAGTGTACGTCGTATCTGCTCTCGGGCCAATGCTTGTGGGTGAAGATATCAAACAGGCGCAGATTCTCATGTGTCCAGTCTCTTGCTTGCTCCCAGAAGGTGGGCAATATCCGGGGCTGTGGATCATGGGCCCATCCGAGAAATATCTTTCTGAAGGTATCTTCTGGGCCGGCAATAGCGTTCGGGCCATCGTAGATGCCGATGCGAAGGGCGACGAAGACGATAAGAGTCGATACAAGGCAAGGGAGGTATAAGCGGAAAGGGCGTCTAAGGATCGAGGACGTAAGGGTTCGCATCAATTGATCGTGAGAAGACTTTCTGATTAGCTTCAATGCCTTGAGTGACAATGCGTAGCCTGAGATGACGAAGAAGATGGCAACCATGGCCTCTCCGCTGTAAAGCAGCCGCAGGATCGGTAGTTGCAGTAAGTGACGGTTCTCGTTTGGGAATTTCGGGTCCTTGACGGTGCCGTATGATCGCGCTCCAGCTCGGTGGTATGTGAACTCGAAGTGTCTAAGGAAGACGCAGAAGGCGGCCCAGCCGCGGGCTCCATCTAGCCATGCTGTAGGAGAAACACGAGTCGGTTTGTGAGGAACATCGACGACGAGATGATGTACGAAACTGGGTAGAAGCGCCAGCAAGAAGCCCGATAGCTTCTTCTTCTTCTCGCCCAGGAGCATTTTGTTGTTGATGACGGAAAGGAAAGGTCAAAGGGCACAGGCCGACACGAACAGAAGGGAAGGCATGACTTACACAGCCTCGCCAACAGATTGAGATGCGACTTCCTGAAACACCCATCTCTCAGGAACGCGGTGTCTCCGAAGTGCGTAAACAGTAAGCATTCCGGTGATCTCACCACGTTAATGCATCTTAAGGTTATGATCTTCGCTCATTCGTAACTTCGTCCGCGCCGCAGCAGCCATCATGGACATCGCGTGCGATGTTGTGATAGATGAAGCGATACCAATTCATCTGTCTGCCTATCCATCTCTGACCTGCAACATGTCAGCTCTCAAAAGACAGCCGAGTCTGTACAAGTGTGTGAGGCTGAAACGCGAGCAATCTGGCCAGACTCGCGCGTGAATGTTGCCAACGCATGAGCTGTTGATGACGTCCATGATTGGCTTGCGCCCGCGGCTTGGCTTGCTTCATATTTTGTGCATATTCAAGTTCGAAAGAATTATGCAGACGCCTACTAGAACCATCTTGGTCGAAGACTTGATACAACAATGATTATCATTGGAGTGTGCTAATGGTACAAAAGGAAGAAGGCGCTGTTGCTAATCTTGTATACGCTATCGTTGTTGAGCATTACCATAACGCAAATCAATACCCCCAACACCTTGCTCAATCTTCAATGCCAATAACATAAAATACCATTATCCTGCCATCGCATGCTTAGGCGTGTGCTGACGATCTGCGTTAGGTCCCCATCCACCTTCAATGTCCTTCACAGCGTCTTGCATACGGTCAACACCTTCACCTCCGATATTCCCACTAGCCTTGTCGTCCTCTGGTGATTCGACGGCCGTGTCGCTGCCGAGACTGTTGTTCTCTGCTTGAGCTCTTGTGCCTTCACATTCACCGCTCGCGTCAATTGCGCCTGTGTTGTTCGGACCTGCCTCATTTCCTCCTTCCTGCTGGCGGTTGCCGTGCATGGACTGGCGATGCATCGACTTGCGTCCATGAATTTTGGTCTGGCCGTTGGGTGCAATGGCATCTGAGGTCTCGTAGTCATTCGGCTGATCCATGGCGCTTGCTCTCGGTTGCTCGGCAATGTGCATCTCCTTGCGTCGTTGGGAGAAGACCTTGTCTATATCCTTTCCTTCTTTCTCGGCTTCGATCGCTCGCCTGGTCGCACTGACATTCTCAAGCGCTCCATTGTCCGCCCACTTCCTCTCCTCTCGTGAGACGCTCAGTCTGCCACGGATTCTACCCCCGTTGTGATGTGCATGCTTCTTCTTCAAGTCCCAGGCCTCATTCATGACCTTCCAGCCTTCATTGACCATTCTCTCGGTTTTCGTCGAGTCACTGCCCTTGTTCTTTGCATCAGACTCACGCAAGGCCTGCATGTCCTTTTGCCCTTGGATGATGTGGGCTCTGCGGATGAAGGAAGTCGTTCCAGGGCCGCCGATGCGTTTGGTGATCTCCTTTCGCACTCCCTGAGCAAGCAGAAAAGGCGGTGTGATAATGGCAGAGATATCCTTCAGAATGAATCCACCAACACCCCTGGCACAACCAATACCCAGGCCTGTGAATTTGCCATGCTTGCTCTTTGCATCTTGCCAGCCATGCATAGGCTGGGTTACTAGACCGGTCCACCCGTCGTAGATGCCATACATCAGTTCTTTTCCGGCAGCCTTGGACCCTGAATGCATACCAGTGATGCGAGTGGGCTTACGAACGGACGCATCTCCATATAGTCGAGGTGCGTTATGGAAACCTTGACCGATGGCTAGACCAAGATCCAATGGCAGACTAGCGAGAGCGCCACCGGATTCCAAAAAGGCATCGCCAAATTCTTCGGCTAGCTCTTGAGCAAGAGGTTCTTCTTCAGCTGACTGGACAGATCCAATAGTGCTATTCGTGGAGGTATGTGTTGGAGCTTGTGGTCGTTGCGGATCTTGCTTTCCTTCCACACCAGTCTTTCCTTTGGCGGCTTCCTTCAACAACCTCTTCTGTTCCTTCTTCTCTGCTCTTTCTCGCTTTTTCTTTTCGCGTTCATCTCTTTTCTTGAGATTCTTTGCCACGCTAGTAGGCACCATACCGACTCCTCTTGCGATTCCGGTGCCAGTCTTCAGTAGTGCGCCGCCTGCTCCGGAAATAGGCTCTCCAGGGCCATCGAAATCGTTCCACTCGTAGTGTCGTAGAAGGCGCAATTCCTTCCAGGACAGTTTCTTTTGTTCGACCAGGATATCCGCTGCCAGTGCGCTCAACCTGAGATTCGAGGATTTTAGTTTCCACACAGCAACCCTGTCTTCCAGGATGGAGCATCTCATACTGCGTCTTCCGGCGAATGGTAGACTGCGATGAAAGCTTTTGACCGCGTTTTCTGCACCGTCACCCTCGGCAGCAATGCTCTCGGCAATGCCTTCTGCATTCTTACGCGCTTCGTCGGTGAGACATTGCTTGATACCCTCTGCAAGCATTTCTGCGTCCAGCTTCTTGTAAGGAATGGACTCGTGTGCACCGGCCTTTGCCTTGGAAACCATTGCGCCCCAGAATGGCTGGTCTCCAAAGAAGGGCACTATCATAGTCGGCTACACCACTTGAGTTAGTACATGTCTATTCCGAACAGGATGAATATCCTTACCTTGCCTGCTCTCAAGCCGGCAGCTGCAGTTCCTGCGCCTCCGTGGTGTACAACAGCCTTGACCCGAGGGAACAACCAATCGTGTGGCGTGTTCTCTAACATGAAAATGTTGTCAGGTGTGTTGTCGCCTCCCAAGCCACCCCATCCCTTGGACACTAGCGCTCTGACTCCTGCCATCTTGACCGCATCAAAGATCATTTGGGTGAACGAATCAGGATCATCAACGACGATGGATCCGAACCCAATGTAGATTGGGGCTTCTCCTGCATCCAGGAAGTCTGTGAGTTCTTTGGGTGGGTCGTAATTGCTGGCAAGATCGAGAAAGACGTAGCCAGCAATATCGATCTCCGGACCCCAATCCTTCGGCTTCGGAACGAGACCAGGACTCCAAAGATAAGTATAAGGTACCTTCATGCGATAAAGCGCACCGGGTGCCCACAGACTACTCACAGGCTCTAGCCCGAGAGTTTTGACACGGAACTTGTTCACAAGGTCACCAAGACCTTGCCATGTCATCATCTCTACCAGAGGGTAACTCATGAAGTTGACATACTCCACACTTGTGTTGCTCTTCTGTGGGCTGATGTTGGCTAGAGGATGAGGGAATGACTGCGTTGGCGAGTAAGGGAATGTAAACATGACATGTAATGGTATACCAAGACGTTCGGCGATGTGAACATGGGCAAATGAAGGCGGGTTAGCGATAATAGCGTCTGCGACAAATGGTGCTTTTGTTCCCAACATCTTCATGTTGGCTTTGTCATGCTCATCATCTGTAGCGTTGATGCAGGCACGCCAGAGTCCCTCAAAGATTTCAGCCATTCCTTTCCTACGTCGAGCAATTTCGCCCTGCCTCACGGTCTCCAGGCTAGGGATGAGGCCTGGATTTTTGACCATGAAGGCCATGAGTTCGGATGGATCACCTCCGATGCTGAAAAATTCGAGGCCAACGTCTTTCTCAATAAACTCCTTGAAAGCTGGATGTGTGGCAATTCGCACTCGGTGTCCATAGCGTTTGAGAACACGAGCAATTTGGAGGAACGGTTGGATATCACCACGACTGCCGATGACCATGATGACGATATTCAAGCGAGGCCTCTTCATAGTTTCATGCACAGAGGACGCAACAGAAGCGGCGTCATCTGAAAATTCATCTTCCGAATTGTCGTCGGCCTTGATGTGATGGTCTTCAGAGCTGGAGTCGGAGTCTCGCTCGTCCCTAGAAGGATGCTTGTGCGGTATCCCCAGGTGATTCTCGATTGTCTGGCCCAGAGTTTTCGCAATGTAACCATTGTTCGCAGTCTCGCTGACCGAAATATTCAGTCTACCATCGCGCTTCGAGACCTTACCTTTCGCTTGGTATTGATCATTGCCGACATCAAACTTCGAGTATGATTGCTCTCTTTCCATCTCCCGCCTTTTTTGTTTGCTCACATTCTTGTGTGATGTAGGTTCGCTTTCCGAAGAAGAAGAGGAAGATGACGAAGGTTCGGTCTCGTCATCGGTATGTTTTGTGTTTTGGGTGTGGGATGTTGACCTCTGCAAAGCATTCATAATGGTTGCACTCCGTGGCATGGCCTTCGGTCTTTCGGTCTGCCATGACCTCTCGAGGCTGGGACGGTTCCCAGCTGGTAGTGATTGGGTGTTGGTTGGTCGCGGTTCCTTGGCTGGCGTCTCTGCGTAGTCTGTTCTCTCGATGTCGCGATCGAGGCCATTACTTTGCTGTGGTTGTTCTTCGAAGTATCCATTCTGCTCATCGCTCTTCAGCGGAGCAGTGGCAGGAGTGTGGTAGACGGAACGTGAATGGCTATCGTCGTGTCGTGGGCTTGGAAACTCTGTCTGCGGCGGTACAATGGTAGGAATAATGGCCTCGCCGGAGTGGTCGGTCAACACACTAGGACTCGGCTTGGGTATCCCAGGGGTCGCCATTGGGCATGCAGAAGCACTTGTGTGTGATGCGGCTCAATTCGTGATCGACTGGGTGAAGCTTCGCGAAAGCAAAAGTTGAAACACTCGTGTTTACAGAGATTCGTATCAATTCAGAACGACAGGGGGGGCAAAGAAGACAGACGAACTGAACTAACGTTCGCAGTTGCCATCTGACGCCCACTAAACATGATTCCGGTTTCCCTGAGCTTCTCGTGTCGATGATGAGATGTAAAGTCTGTCTAGATGCGGAAGTCGCGATTGCGGAACGACGTCATATTTCCGGATTCACGCGCCGCGCCGGGTCTCCCTTAATCCCCACAGCGGCTCTTTTGGCTCTCTGAATTGGCCAGAACTCTATGTCGTAATACATACAGATCTTACAAGTCTCATCTTACCTTTGGTCAAAGAACGCAAGTTATGCCATCTTGTCACATAGAAAGAGGCTGCAGGATCGGAATGGTATGGCTGCTGCAAGCAAGTATTCCCGGTTGTAAAGCGTTTCTGCCCTGCGTCAATGCCACTAGCATCTTATAGGACCGATCTGCAGCAGCTGATTCGTCCATAATTTTATCAGGGTGGGCGAGTCGGAGAAAAGGCGTCAGAAATTACAGCCGCACCTGACTCTTTCCTGGGCCAGGATCGGTAAATCTCCATCATCCTTCGTTTGCTTTTCACCTGGCGGATCCGCGGATCGCTGCAGACTTTCTCAAGACCAAGCGCTTCTCACTGTGATTTCTTCGTGTTGACATCATTACGGTTTGACGGTCATGTGGCCTGAAATTCATACAGCACTCTTTTTGCAAGTCTAGTAAACGATATACCCGGAGCAACGGAGCTCGGGGAATATGGAAGAAGGTACAGGCGCTGAATGGCGTGGGTCCAAAGCCTACCGGCCTTATCGCGACGTCGAGCAACATCCAGCGAATCTCCAACGGCACAGTCTCACCGACCAGCAGGCTCAGAGCCTTATCGAGAGCCCGCGCACGTACGGAAACAGTGCACGCTCGACCAAAGAAAGACCCTGCGATGCATGTCGACGTCGCAAGACCAGATGTGTCAAGGAGTCAGGCGAGGACAAGTGCGTCTTGTGCAAATTCCACAGCCAAGAGTGCACCTATCTACACGAACCTGTTGCTCGAACCAGAAAACGAAAAGCGCAGCCTATCGAGGAAACCAACCACGGAAACTCCGGCGACCAACCACCTGTTCTACGAACGAACGTCGGAACCGGCGTCGAGGAATACGACGAGCTGCCTGGCGAAAGCTTGCTTAAGAAGACTCTTGGCCTTCAGAACAAACACCACGCCCATTTTGTCGGTCTGACAGAACCGTTCTCGTTTCCTCGCTTTTCACTCACCTTGGGAATATCTCAGAAGTCTACGCAGGGTGGTGCGGTCATTGTACGCAAGGTTGACGACTTCAATGCTTTTACCATCCGCGAGGACCAAGGCACAATTGGCTACGACACCGAGCAAAGTCGAGTTGACGCCATTCAGCAATTGGTTGAACCTCATGGGAAAGCACTCATCGACCTGTACTTCCGTATCGTCCACCCCTCTTTCCCAATCCTTCACAAGGGCGTCTTCCTGGAAAAGTATGCGCGTTCTTATCGCGAATTCTCACCTGCTCTTCTAGCAGCAGTCTACCTCCTTACAACCAATTACTGGAGGTGTTCGCCCGCGTTGGCTACAAAGCCAAAACCAGACGCTTGTCTGCTACACAAGTTAGCCACAGAATCTTACGACCTTACTATCTATCGTCCGAAACTCTCGTCAGTCCAAGCCGGATTGTTACTAGCGCAGTATGAATGTTTCGATTCCGATGTCATGAGTTGTGGGTCAAGAGGCAGACTCACAGCCCAGTTGGTCTCGATGTCTCACACACTGGGACTCCATATGGACCCATCGCGATGGGATATTCCAGAATGGGAGATCAGTCTACGCCGTCGCCTTGCCTGGGCGATCTATATGCAGGACAAATGGGTAGCTCTCATCGAAGGTCGACCGGCGCTTCTCACGGACCGTGACTGGATTGTGCCGGCGGTCCAACATAGAGACTTCCCTGAACACGAGGAGAACAACGAAGAGGGTAGCTCAGAAGTCGAAAATGGCCGCATCATTTTCATGCAGATGATTGAGCTTACGAAGATACTCTCCGATATTCTGGACTCTATTTTCAGTTTACGGTCACATCAAGCCATTCAGATGTCTCCCGATCCTGTCTCGGCCCTTCTGAGTAGAGCCCAACCACTACAGCAACGACTCAGTGCATGGTCAGATTCTGCTATGGAAGTACTTTCCTTGGAGAGGGCCAACAGTATGAAGCTGACATCTATTGGTAAGCGTCAACGCATCTGATAACATTCTCAATCGTGTCTAATCGTCGGCAGGTTATCTCATACTTGCTCATCTGGCTGTTGAGGTTAGCATACATCGACGTATTATATGCCAAACAATGTCTTGTGCGTCAGACCCGAACACCGCAGCAGCTTGTCGTATTGCTGCCAAACAGAGGTGGCTGTCAGCTCTTGGGTTTGTGGATAGTCTGAAAGCACGCCACCTGAAGTCATTCTGGTATTTCTGCTCAACTGCATGTTTGACACTACTCATTTCTTTTGGGAACGTTCTTGTTGGCTCTGCCTTTGACTCATCCGAAGAGCAATTTTATCTCGAGAAACTGAAGGAGTTCAGATGGACATTGAAAATCAATGGCGAGATGGGGGCGAAGTTCATGGTTACAGCCATCAGGTCAATGATTCTGGATCCCAGAGAAATCCGCAAGCCTGATCCTTCTTCCACAAGTTCGGTCACCAGTCCAGGATCGAAGTCCGAATCCAGCTTCGGTATATCTTCCCAAAACGCCTTTGGAAACATGTCCATTCAACCACCTCCAGGCCCAATGGCACCCTCTGACGTTGCGTCTGGTTGGATTACGCCAACAACCTTTACCAATCCACCAGTATTTTCTGGCTTTACACCCGGTATGTCTATGCAGGTGCCTTACATCCCAGGCTACACTTGGCAACCGCCCAATTTTGAGACTGGACCGCCAGTGAACGACTATCTTGAGCATATGCCTGGCTAAAGACAACGGAAAAACTCTGGCGCCGGCCGGTCAGCACGGATTTGTGTGATGAATCTACCGCGACACCGGATGAGATGCAGTGATGGACTTGGTTTTACAAGGCCACATTGGCCTTTCACGATCACGTGGCATACACTTCTCTAGAGAGATCTCGGACTTTATGATTTGAAGCATGGTATGCGCACATGCATTTAACGAATGAGGATTATTGGGATGTGGCGGGAGTTGCCGAGCTTATAAATAAGTCCGACCAGCCATACCGTCACAACTCACGAAGCTGAGCTTTTGTGCTCGACACACAAGCCATGATCACGAGAACTACGAAACGAAGCTATTAAGAAACGATCATGACTACACATCACCTGAGAACGAAATAATTCCGTTTCACAAGCGAAGCCGCGTGGCTTTGGAAGCCACTCGAGCATCAATCTCGAGCAATGGGTATCGCCGGCCTCGGTTCGGCAGCAAATAGACCGCCTTTTTGAGCCTCATCTACACCCTGTGCGGGAGGCAAACGTTTGTGGGACTATTTTGTTACAATCGTTTCTTTTCACAGCACTGGGTCTGTGGAGAAGCCAGTATATGTCGTTTGCACAAATTTACTCGCCAAGCATCGAAAGCACAAGCAACTCCATCAAAATCACATATGATCGTCACGAAGATCCTAAGTTTGGCCGTGGTCGTATGGTCCATTGACTAGACACGCGCTGACAGAATCGATCAACTGTTCAGTACTATTATGCACGCCGTCTGCCGCCCTTGAGCTGGTCAGCAACGCCGTTACTTGGCTCGCTTAGATGCAGTCAATAATGCCGCAGCGCGTCTGTCCTGATAGAAACTCCGTGTGTGGCGCCTCGTCTTCACGATATCACAGCCTCTTATACGGCTGACGGATCTTCGCGGTATTCTGGCATGTACGTGACTTCCGTCGGCGATCGGTGCCCAGAGTCCTGTCTTAAGGGTGCTCAAGGCACCCATGCCCATGTCTCTTACGTCTGTGTCTACCAACGTTTCGAGTATCCACCTGTGTGCGACTGGACTGCTGGTCTGTCTTGTGCAGGCGCATGCGTAGCGCTGCTTCGAGCGATTCGAATCGTCTGTAGACTGGGCGAAAGGTTTTGGGAGCGAAGGAACAAGGGTGATAACGTCGGACCATTGATCGAGGGGCGTTCGAGGGAAGGTGAGAGTAGGTGTCCTGTTGTTCAATCAGTCAAATGGGTAAGAGTCGAGTCAGCACAGCACTGTATCGACTTGTCTGCAGTGCCGTTAGCTATACTTCTAGCAAGGCTCCCGCCTCAGCATCAGCGGTTGTAGCCTCCTGCTTGGAGCTCAATGCCGCAGACTGTGCTCTCGATGCAGGTCAGGATTTAGTCAACTGCGTCAAGGGGTGCCTATTTCTTTTGAGTTTCCTCATCGACTAGTACTCGCATTGCTGGTAAGGCCCCGTTTGTGAACAAACTAACAGGATTGTAGTGTTTTACGCAACAATGCCTGAGTAAGCCTTAGCCTTCTCACATGCTAGAGATCATACCGTCAGCTTCAGATGTTGAAGATGCCGGAGCTCGAATGCAGGCCTGATGTCGCGGATCACCTCCGTTGATGTCTGCCTTAAAATTGGAGGCCGCTCGGTAGCAAGTATGCCGCAAGTATGCCGGAAATGTTCATTCATTCAGGACGCACGCAGAGTCTCTCAGGCAACCTGAACCCAGCTGTGGTCACAACTTGACCCTTGTGGGAACGGCTCGCTTGCAACCCGTTCTTGCTTCTGTCTCGGGGCAACACCCTCTAGACTAGACAGCCTATTTGAATGGGGAAGCGGTTGACCATAGTTATTGGTCGCTCCTGTCGTACGTAGTTGGAGTAACGAAGAGAATGTCTCGAACAGGTGAGAAATGATGGAAGACTACATCAAAGAATGCAGGAGACATAAAGCGCCAGACTCTCGGCAGGAAGATGTTTGAAGATCAGGATTGAAGCGTGTCGGTGTGTCTAGTGAGATGAAGAAGCACAATCGGTGAGGATTCTGCTTCTCTCGGCAGGAGCGACCTCTGAAATTCATGCGGCTCAAAAGGAGGCTTTGAGCTGTTGAATCTGAGCGTCATCACCACCATTCCAACCTTGATTTATGATCAGACAGCTGCTTAAATTGTTATAGTTTAGTGATCAACCGCTCGACTAACTTAACTTTGTTGTGTCGCAGGTCCAACCTGGAAGCTCGAACATCCGATCTCCGTATGCTTTTCATGGCATCGTTTTCTACTACAGCCCCTGAGCAACAGATACATTGCGCTTATGTTTCTACTTGGCGTAAACTTCCACACGTTCATGAGCTTCATACAGCAGCCAAACTCAGTGAGGAAATTCTGCTCATAATGAGTGAGCCGGTGTGTGGTTCTATCGACCCTCAACGGACGTCCCTCAACCTCATCAGCCAACAGTCGTAAGCGAGTCATGACAGAAACCAATCCTCAATGAACATTTTGGGACCCAGTAGCCAAGCATGTCAGTCTTGCGTTATATTTTTCATTGCAGTGTCGCACGTAGTCACTTTACAAGGTAGTCATCAGCTCATAGATTCGGACTGAAAAGTGCCTTAGCGGCATGAGAACCTGGTTATTTACCGCGTGTTTGACCGTGAGCGCTTTCACGTGGCGCAGATCTAGATGTTCTACACAAAGGGGCTAACCTTACCATACAATAGTCGTCTGGCCGCATGATTCAAGTCACTCTGACATGTCTTGTTCATCACAGGAGCGCAATGTGATGGAACTACTACATAGTGTCTCCCACTTGCCATTTCACGGTGGACGCTCGGAGAGCCGTCTGGTGCCTGGCTGAGAATAGAATCAACGTATAATGAGCATGTATGGAGACTGAATCTGAATCGGTGTCCTGACACCCTCATGCTCACATCGCTTGCATGGTGTGACAACCGTTATGCAGCCCTCGAACGTTTGTGCGAACCAGTGATACCACCAAACATGTACATGTAGCAAGTATCGTCAGCTTTTCATAAGCCCAGTCACGGAGGACTGCGATGCGATACTGCTTTCTCTCAGCAATGTCATTTTCACTGCATCCCGTGTTGCTGACCTCTGCACAGCACGTATGTGGCCAAGGAAGAACATAATAAGGTTGACGCACAAACTCTCCCCGACACGGTGCGCAAGCGCCCAGAAGGCCACGTGCATTGAGCACTCTTTAAAATAGACAAACTTCAAATCTTCTGCCCGCAAAGAAAAAGTTTATAATATCATCGCTGTGACTTGCTGGCCGACGGCCATCATTGTCACATTTGTCATCCGCTATAACATCCACAACTATACAGACCGTGTCAGTATACCATGACATAGATGTCTATGGTTTCTTTTCCTTGTAGCCATCCCCTCACGACTTGATCGATTCTGAGTAAGCGAAGCGGAAAGCGCAAAGTCAATTGACATTTATCGATCAGTGGCAGCCTGGTCTCCAAGCGAACTACCATACGGACTACGCCCTCAATACACACACACACACCATGGAACTACCACGCGCCATCCCTTATGCATTCCGATTTCGAAAAGAGTCCACCGCACTTGTCATCATAGACATGCAGAGAGACTTTCTGGAGCCAGGAGGTTTCGGAAGCATCCAATGCGGTGATTTCGAAGTCTTCAACCGAGTCCGCAACATCGTGCCGACCGTCCAGCGAGCCCTAGAAACAGCTCGGAAACTAGGGCTTCATGTCATGCACACTAGGGAAGGACACCTTCCGGATCTATCAGATCTACCCGCATCTAAGCGTCTCAGGCAGACGACTGCTCCCAATGGCCATCACACAATCGGCATAGGAGGGCCAGGGCCTATGGGCCGATTGCTGGTTAGAGGGGAATACGGTCACGATGTTATTGATGAACTCAGGCCTCTGCCAGGGGAAGTTGTCATCGACAAACCTGGAAAGGGATCTTTCTGGAAGACTGGATTCCATCGAGCCCTACTGGCCCGCGGAATTACACACCTGCTGCTTGCGGGTGTGACAACTGAGTAAGGTTCGTGCTAATCGAGGAGAAGTCGAGGCTTATTGTGAGCGTGATATAGGTGTTGCGTAAATACCACAGCCCGAGAAGCCGCCGATCGTGGGTTCGAGTGCTGCATTCTGTCGGAGTAAGTGCTTCGCGTGATTATCAGGTCTTATCTCCGAATGCTCGTACAGGGTGCTGACTTACTCTTGAAGCTGCACATCAGGATTTGATGCTGGCCTGGTGACCAGTGCCAATAACACAATTTGTGCCTATGATGGTTTGTTTGGCTATGTTGGTACGTCTGCAGACCTGATAAGACTGTCAGAGGCGCAGACTACACTGACCTCGGTTAACGGCTCAGTGGTTAAGGATCTATCGATCCTGGCTCTGTCTCAAGCTTATCATACACATACAGTAACGCCAATGGATACTGCTCGCATCGTGGCTGAAAGCATCTCGAGGTATCGGAGCCAGAATCCCGATGTCTGGACTGATCTCAGAAATCCAGAGCTGCTTCTTGATGCTGCTAAGACGTTGCACGAGAAGTTTGCTGGCGAGCCGTTACCCCCGCTATATGGTATCCCTTTTGCGACTAGTAGCCACATTGGCTTTGAAAGTACAAGGTCTCACGACGAAGTGGTGGAAGCCTTAATCGATGCTGGTGCGATATTCGTAGGAAGCTCGTCAGAGTCCCGGCTTGCAGTAGCTGCGCGACTGGTTTCGTTCTCTCTCGAGACAAGCACGTCGAGAATCCCACACGTGGTCGACGGCCAGAATGGCATCGTCACCTTGCACCCCACACCTGGTACTCTTACCCCTGACACCAACTCATTATCCATTGTGGCACAGTGCGTGGAAGACGCACGAAAGATCTGGTTGATCACTGACCAGACTTCCAATAAGGACGATGTTTCCTTGAGACCTCAGGCAACTGTCAATTCCTGGGTTTGGCATGTTGACTTCCGTGGTCCAAGAGTCGGTGGCTTCAGCTTTGGAGTTCTCAAAACGTGGACCGATGCCTCTGGTCAATCGTCAACTGTCGATTCGGGAGTATCTAAAAGCCTTGGCCAAGCTATCGCACAACTTCAGGCTGTAGGAGGTCAAAGCCTTGACGTTGACTGGGACGTGTTCGGGCAGGCCAAGCAGCTTTCCCAGTACCTACTATCATTGGATTCTGCAGAAAGTGTCAGCATGAAAGATGTGCTGAGTTTGCAAGCCGAGCAGAAGCTTTTGACCCGAAAAGCAGCGAAGATTTTTGAGAAGATTGATGTCGTGCTTGACGCTGCATGTGTCTCTCGCTCTTCCAAAGGGTTCGACAGCTCTCTCGTCGACATGCTGGATCTATGCGGCATAACCATTGACCTCAGTCCCACTCACAAGCAACACGAACACAGCGATACTGTGATAACATTGCTCGGTGGGTCTGGCAGGGAAGGAAGACTCCTCGACATAGCTCGCGAACTGGAAGGTGAAGCTCAGAGGAGAGCTCAAGTTGTCACGCAGCAATTGCCGAGCTGATCTTCACGCCAAGCCGTGTACACTTGCCCAAGCAAAACGAAACACAACACTGAGAACTGATGATGGAAAATGGTATTATTTCATTCCTCTATAACCAAAGATCTCAAGACATAGCCCTGCTAGTCTTCAAACGACTCAAACATCGCTTGCTGGGTATTATTCAATCCAAAACATGAAATCGTAACTTTTTAGTTCTTGTTGAACAGGACAGCTCTGTATCTGACGTTGCCCTCGTCGAGGTCCTTCATGGCCTTCTCGATGCCCTCAACAGACATGTCGTAGTGCTGAGTGATAGGCTTGATCTGGTGGTGGGCGGCGAACTCGAGCATACGCTTGTGGACGAAACGGGGAGCGACAATGGAACCCTGGACGGTAAGACCCTGGGCGAGCATGCCCATGTAGGGGATCTTGAAGTCGCCCTCGTCAACGGAGAGAGGGAAGATGGTACCGCCGGGAGCCATGACGGGGAGGTAGACACTCCAGTCGATCTGGGCGGAGGTGGTGACGAGAAGACGGTTGATGGGCTTGACGTCCTTGAGCTCCTTGACACCCTTGGTGGCGTAGAACTCGCTGGCACCGAGTCTCTTGGCCTCCTCCTTCTTGGAGTCAGTACCAGAGAAGACGACAACGTCGCAACCCATCTTGGTAGCGAACTGGATGGCCAAGTGACCGAGACCACCAACACCGACGATACCGACGCGCTCAGTGGGCTGGGTGTTGTAGAAGTGGAGGGCCTGGAAAACGGTGGCACCACCGCACTGAAGAGGGGCAGCAGCCTCGTCGGGGAGGTTGTCGGGGATCTTGAAGAGGAAAGCCTCACGCCAGACACCGTGAGAGGCGAAAGAACCCTGGTCGGCATCGGCGTAACCGTACATCTTTCTCTCGGGGCAGTAGGTCTCGGTACCCTTCAGGCACTGCTCGCAGTGGGAGCAAGAGTCGTGCTCGTAACCCCAACCAACGCGGTCACCCTTCACAAAAGTTAGCAGGGCTCGTATGCATATATGCTATCAATGGTGCTCTTACCTTCTTCAAAAGGGTGCAGGCAGGGCCGGTCTCCTCGACGATACCGACACCCTCGTGGCCGAGGGCCATATCAGCCTTGCGGTAGTGCAAGTCAGTACCGCAGAGACCGGAGGCGGTAACTCTGAGGTAGACCTGGTCACCCTTGAGGGCATCCTTAGTGTTGGTAGCCTCCTTGATGGCACCGGACTCTGAGCCCTTGAAAACAGTGTAGTTGTAAGTCATCTTGATGGAGTGATATGGGATGATTGAGAAGATGAAGTTGAAAGTGGAATGAGCAGATGTCAGGAGATGGAGAATTGGCCTTATTAACTCCCCCACCAGTCGAAACTCCCTTCTAACACCTCCGCCACATCTTGCTTACAAAAGACATGCCTCAACGTTTCGCTTGTGCTCTGTCTTACCAATCTGCCATGACGTTTCACTCGATCTTGGTGCAAGGTTCGATTGGTGAACAAAGGGCAAGGGTTTTCCTGCAATTTGGAACAACCGGTTGGTCCGGCAGCTCGCGAGTCGCGACGAGGGCCGAATTGAGAAAAATTAAAATTGTTCCTGGCGACGTCATACGGTCCTTATCTTATCAGGGTTGCTCGAAAGAAGCGAGGCATGGGCCATGTTGTCTGCTTCCATCGTTCTTGCAAGCTTCCAGAACTTCATCTCTGACCAACTCATTCTCTTGAAGAGGTCTCTTCTCTACACGACTCCTGTTGACTCAAAGGGCTCAGGACTCACTGAACTCAGCTGCCTGCTTATGCGTTTACGAGTCTCAAACTGTGGGACTGACCACGACGTCTGGATAAACACAGAATGACGTCGTCAAAAACCCTGTGATACGCGTGGTAGACGAACACGATGCCAATCAATTGTGGTCTCGATCGTTATCGAGCACAAACCCCGACTCAGGCCTTTCGATTCATACCATACATCACCACGCGAAAATATACAGCCATCGATTGGAAGCGAAAGAACGTACATTGATGAGTTGAACGATGGCTGACTGCAATCTGGTGTTCCGCTTTCACCTCGTCGTGGCGGAGAAGATGAAGCCTTTGTTCAATGCAACGAATAATGTTGACCACACAGCCAGGCGAAGGTCTCTTTGTTTGATGTTCAAATGAGTAAGAAGCCGGAAATGGGCAAGGTCAGTATTTTCATTGTTGAAGAGCTTCCATTATGATATGGTATTCGACGAATACATCTCAGTCGCATCTCCGCGTAGGTGCTACGTGATTGTCAAGATACACGCACAATGGGTTTGACTCGATTGGCCACATTCTTTGCGCTCGCTGCAGTCAGCATTGCAGATACGTGCAACCCCCTGAACGCAAGATGTCCCCCAAATGTAGGTCTTGCGACCAGTGCTTATGAGGTCGACTTCACGAAACAATCCTCCATACCTTCCGAATGGACCATCTCCGACTGGGCAACCGTCAAGTTCGGATCTAAAGGAGCCGAATTTACTGTGTCAAAGCGTTTCGAGTCTCCTCAGTTATGGACCAACTTTTACATTCACTATGGAAAGGTAGAAATAGTTGCTCAAGTTGCTCCTGGCACAGGCATAGTTTCATCAGCAGTCTTGATGTCTGATGATGCCGATGAGATTGATTGGGAGTGGAGCGGCAACAACTTCCGCGACAGTGCAGGAAAGGGGCAAAACAACTACTATGGAAAGGTACTTGAGTAAATCGCCGTTCAAGAGTGTGAAAATTGCATATCTAAAACTTGATATAGGGAATCGTCGGCGACTACGACAGAGGCAGCTTCTTCAGTGTCGCGTCTCCCCAGACTCAGTTCCACACATACACTATCGATTGGACGTCTACGGCTCTGACCTGGTCTGTTGATGGCACAATTGTCCGAACCCTCCTCGCTGCCAACACTGACAGTGGCTCCCACCAATATCCTCAAACTCCCGCCAAATTTCAACTCGGTATATGGGCTGGAGGAGATCCAGGCAATGCATGGGGTAAGTATCAGTCATGAACAACAGTTTTTTACGATCAACTAATTCATTTCAGGAACCGTAGATTGGGCAGGTGGATATACCGACTTCACGAAGGCACCGTTCACGATGTACGTCAAAAGCGTCAAAATCACCAACTACAATCCTGCCTACGCCTACAACTGGACGGATAGCTCTGGTAGTTCGAAGAGCATCAAGACCGTGCAGAAACCTGTAGTCTCTTCTTCAAGTATAACCACGACGTCCCCACCGACTTCTTCCAGCACTTCAATTGTGATTTCCAGCACTCAGATCACATCGACGACTTCTATCTCTGTGCCATCCAAATCTTCCACTACATGTGCTGGTGTTCCTCCTTCCGCGCCTACTCAGAATGGTATCGTCTCAGGCTGCACGCAATGGTACACTGCAAAATCAGGAGACACATGCTCCAAGATTGCTGCGAAGTTCAGTATCCCTATCGAACAGTTTATGGACTGGAACCCAGCAGTTGACGCTCCTCTATGCTACAACATGTGGCTCAACTACGGATATTGTGTCTCGACGGATTGTGCTCTTGCCAGCACATCGTCAACAGTGGTTTCCACCAGCTCGACCAGTACATCCAGCTCAACATCTGTGACACCAAGCAGTAGTTCAAGCTCCACCATTGTTGTGTCATCAACAACGTTGCCAACTACTACGATAAGTCCGACATCAAACACTAGCACTCCCAAGTCGTCGAGCATTTCTGCCACTTCCACCACTACAACTCCGGCAAGCTCGCAGACGACAACTGGACCATCAACTACAAGCTCAAGCACTCAATCTTCTACCTTGCCATCGATTCCTGCGGTTTCACTCAGCGCAACCGTTCCTTCGTCTTCTGCCGTGCCCTCGTCGACACCATCGAGCACCTTGTGTCCCGACACGGATGGTCTAAGTCTCTTGAGCCAGAACAAAAATGTTTACACCATCAGATGCTCTTCTGATACTAACAAAGGCTCATACACGAACACCAGAGCCGCCGACTCTTACCTAGACTGTATGGATGCTTGTGATGACGCCGCAAATTCTGGTTGTAAAGCCTGGACATATGTTGGTGGGACTAACGGTAACGGGGGAGGCGTGTGTTGGCTTAAAAGTACCTCTGGTAACTTCTTGCCAGCTGGAAACAATTACATTTCCGGTGTTTTGTCTACAAAGGGCTCTTCCAGCACTAGTACGACTCGGACGGTGTCAAGCACTTCTTCTTCGAGTTCTGCAGCACCATCTCAAACTACATCGACTAGCTCTACAAGCACTACGATCTCTACAGATCTCCCATTAGCCAGCCCCTCAGCTGAACTATGCCCAGAGGTTAGTTCTCAGAGCTTTGTTGCGTCTCAAGGCGGATCTATCTACTTTATGCGTTGTTCGTCTGATACTAATATCGGATCGTACTCCAACTCGAGAGCTTCGACTTCTTACAAGGATTGCATGGATGGTTGTGACAAGGATTCAAAGTGTCAAGCTTTCACCTATGTCGGAGGTACGAGTGGTAAAGGTAGTGGACAATGTTGGTACAAGGACACCAAAGGCAGTGCTGTTCCTGCAGGAGCGAACTACGTGGCTGGTTTCCTTGCCGCCCGAGCTCCCTCTTCAGGTTCATCGACCAGCAGCATCGCAACTGGAAACTTGGCAGTCTCCTCAAAGCCCAGCACAATTTCTTCCATCACGAGCTCTAGTAGCTCTAGCACCTCGACCGCTTCCACGTCTTGGGCTACAAACTCTGCAGGCTCTAACTACACTGTCTACCGCTCTTCGGACACAAACTGGGGCGCCTACACCAACGCCCAAGCCAAAGATTCCTTCCTCGACTGCACAATCGCCTGCGACAACGACCCGAACTGCAAAGCCTACACCTACGTGGGAGGCAAATCCGGTTCCGGCCCAGGCGTCTGCTGGCTGAAAAGTAAACTCGGAGAACCAGTCCCAGCAAACGAGAACGTGATTTCTGGCTCAAGAGTTACGCAAAGTGTTAAGATGCGAAGAGCTGTGTCTAGTTGGTGGAATAGTGTTACCTCGAAGCCTACGGCGACTACGACAAAAAGGGTTGCGACTGTGAAGCCCAAGGCTCCAGCGAATCCTCCGTGGGCTCGCTATTATCCTCATGGTGGGAGGTGGATGTGGAATGGGCATGGTGAGTATGAGTGGGCTTGGAATTAAGGTGGCACAAAACATGTTTGTATCTTCTGCGTATTTTGCTTGACTAGTTTGCAATTTTCAATTACTCATTACTTCGAGATACTCAAGTCGCTCGGTGTTGTACGATGAATGTTGTTGCCTATGGCATGTTGTTTTCCTGATTTGACCAGGATACCTTGAGTCGTACCTGCTGCTTTGAGTCACAAGATCTATTCATCTAGCTGTCAGCCTGTCACATGTTTGTGAGACATTACGATGCGTGGACTCATCCTCACAAGCTATACTGTATGGCTTGCAAAACATGAGGTCGGGTGCTTCGCACGACTGTCTTCAGATGTTCATGATCACGAGCACGAGAAACATTGGAAAATCAAGAAAAAAAAGGTGGAAAGGAAACAAAACGATTGTCAAAAAAAAAGGTTCTTATTATTATCATTATGTATGGTAGACCTGCTACCAGATCCACAAGAACGCCTATGATCCCTACAATCAGGGATGTCAGAGATGTCAGAATTAGGGTCAAAACTTACCATCGGGATCACCATCGCACTTACTTACGCTCTTGTCAATTTAGAAGAAACCAGCAGGGGCGGCAGCACCTCTGGGGGCGCGCGGCGGCGGACTCAAAGGAACATCACAGAACTCAACCCTATCAGCAGTAGCAGCAGGAGCAACCCTACCCACCCGATCCATTCTAGAAACCCTAGCAGGACCAGCGCGAGTACGAGCTCTCTCCGGAACTCTGGGCAAAACAGGAACTTGCATCTCGATATCAGCAGTAGCAGCAGCGGCTCTGTCAGTATTTCTTCTTCTGATCCAGTCGTCGAGTTTGAAGTGATGAGCATTGTTGTGTTTGGCGGTGTTGTGACGAGAGTGCTTGAAAGCGGAGAAGCTCCAGAAGGTTAAGGCGAGGACGATGAAGATGGCCATGATGACGCCGAAGCTTGCGGCGACTTTGTTGCCCATGTCTTCGGTGTTGTGAAGGTTTGGGGTTGTGGGTGGGGGTTTGATGTTTAGTGGTATGGTTGCGGTGGTTGATTTCGGTGGAGGAGCTTCTGAGGAAAGGAAGAGGAGAATTAAGGACAGGTTTACTTGGTTACGAAGTAATTGGAGTATGGGTTATTGCTGGGAGATGGATACAATGGGTACAAAGAAGACTACTGAAGAACAAGGAAGAGCATGGACGAGCCAGCGTTTCTGAGAACAAAACAAAGAAGAAGTGACCGTGATCAAAGAATGCCTTGTTAGCTCTGCGGAACAATGCTTGCACGTGTGGCGAAACACAGCTTGTGGTAGATTCTGTTGCTGACTTGAAAGAGGCTTCACTTCCAAGCAGTTGATAGAGTATGACAGAAAGGAAAGTCAGGAGACTCGACAGAGCGGTAAAACACGTGAGCCATAACTTAGACATGAGAGATTTCTGTAAGACACAATATCCAAGTGCAATCAGTCTAGGCAGAAAGGGTCTCTGACTTCTCGACCTTTCCTTCAGAGGTTGCTTCCACGCTCTGCTGGTTCTTGGCAAGAGCTTCTGTTCTGGACTGGCTGTTGGGGTCCAAATAAGGTACCTCGCCAATACCGACAGCACGATTACCGAATCGCTCACCCAAACCTTCGTAGTCAAAGGTGGCACTGTGGAAAGCTGAACGGTTGTCCCAGATTGCTGATTACATCGTTAGCAAGGATGTCAGTCGGATTAAATATATGAGCACTAACCAATATCGTTCTCATTCCTCCACTTGAAGCGGACTTGCAGGTCATGGTTCTCCGTGATAGTAGCCCGGAACTTCTTGAGCAGATCTTCCGACTCATCTGCATTCAGCTCGTTGATGAACTTCGGGAAAGGACCAAGAGCGAAGATACTCTTCCAGCCAGTGACTGGGTTTGTACGAACGACGGGGTGGACAGCTGTAAGCTCCTTGCCCACATTCAATGGGCTACCTCGCTCTTTCTCGTAGATCTTCACCTTATCTGGGTTGGCGGCGGCGGCCTTGAGGAAGCCGTCGCCAGAGAATGTGGCAGTTAAGCCTTCGAAAAACTTCTGGTAAGCTGGAGAGAAGCGGTCGTAGATCTCGTAACCAGATGCCCAGACTGTGTCGCCACCAGACTTAGGAAGCTGTGTCAGACGCAGAGATGTATAATCAGCTGGAGCTGGCTCGAATTGAATATCAGAGTGCCACTGTGCTGCATCGTAGCGACGCTTGTTACGTGCATCACTCTCCTTGAATAGAGATTTTCTTTGCAAAGAACTGATTGTGCTGATCTCGGCATCATCGACGCCAAACTCGCTACTGTTGTTGAGTACGGGATGAATATGTAGCGTCGAGTCCGATGGTTTGCCAGTCAGTTGACCAAGTCTGTGATTCAACTGCTTTTGCAAAGCATTGGTAAGGTTGTCTTGCTTGCGAAAGAAGACCACACCACGCTCAGAGACTAGAGATCATGTTAAATTTGGAATACGTACACGCTCTAAAGCAACTCACTGGTAATCGCCAGGTCACGAATCAATTCATCGGCGTTCGAAGCATCAAGTAGATCATCGACGATGTTGACATCTGGAAATTCACGACCGATGACAGGCGTTGTATCTTCGTGGGTGAAATTTTCAAGAGCACCTGACTGCTTCAGCGGCTTTGGGAATGAGGTTTGATCAACGGAAACCATCTTGGATAGTGGTTTGATGTGATTGAGACTTAGGTTCAAAGACTAAACACGGGGAGGGTCAACAGTAAATAGTTTTCTTGATGCTTATGGGGTCTCTCATATGCCCTATGCCGTATCCGAAGGACGATATCGCGCAATGCTGATAACGAGCACGCAACAGCTCAACAAGGTATCCCTCCATATTGAAGGATAAGTCGGCAAAGCACAAGCTCCACAACTCCTGTCAATGGGGTGACTCAAAATACCGATTTCTTTGTCCCGTTAGACCTCTAAGCTCGTAGACCAATGGTTAGTAGAAAACACCACCATAGATGAACCTATCTTGATAGCAGAACCGATGACAAGATCAACTGGAAGTATAGATCTTCAGCATATTGTCGATGCAACATCTCCAGAGCCTTAACGCGATAGCATGCTGAGTAGCTTCCCCTCATTGATATTCGAGTAGAGTGTCGATTGGAACGCCAAGACCATGCATGTTGAAGCACGCCATCTGACAACATAGCATGCTCTACCAACGAGCCCTAGGGTAGGCACTGAGGCGTGGTATCGCTCTATCCATTTGCTGGACGTGATTCCAGCTTGTCTTCCGTTATCTGTCTTCGTACGCACTTCGCCGTGCGGAGTGGGCTCAGTCCTCCGAGTCCTGGTTTTTCACGTTCGCTCCGGCTTTGTGTGTTGAGAAGCCGGAGCGTTGACTCCAATTCCAGGGCGCGATGAGTCGGATTCAATGTACTCCGGTATATGTTCATCCAAAAGTGGGTTGCATAGAGAAGATGGCCAAAAAATGGTTTCCAGTTTTGCTACGAAGAAAGGACGCTGAAGCCAAGCCAAGCAAACGGTCAGGGTGTCCCGCAGAGTTGGACTTGCCACTTCCATCTGCAGTCATTGCCTTTCTAAAGGTATCCATAGTGTCAACATCTCCAGTCATTACTCCGTAATCACAGCGGTATCTTGAATCATACAAGTCTCGGATATAACACGTGGTGAACACTTTGTCGCGTTAAACTTGTGCTACCTGATCGAACGCCTTCCCAAGTACATTTGATTTCCTTCTGTCACCAATTCACGACTCTTAGAAATACCAACTTTGCACATTTACAAGCTCACCCGACAGAATGACACCACCAACATCGGTATGCTCAAGGAAAAAACTCGAAATAATCCCTGGCTAACAAGTCCTCAGACACCATCTCCACGTCGATTTCTGCTGAACAAAAAGCCTCAGATTAGCACTCCTACCCCTTCAAGACTATCACATCAGGTCCTCCAAGATGCGCCCGACTCAAACACTCCCCGACCGACCTCTGGTCCAATGCCATCACAGTTTGCGAGAGTGCCTCGATTCGCGATGTCTGCAGCACGGCGAGCATCATTCCCTCCGCGTTCACCATCACCTGCGAAACCTCAATTCGCAGCTTTTGATGCTCCACCAGTCAATCAACATGAGAAAGTTCGGGATATGATCTCTATCTCTGACGACGATGATGATGAAATGCTGGAAAACTACAATAGTAACAATGACTTCACACCTAAGGCACAACATGTCTCCCAAGACTCATTACCGGAGCCACAAAAGGGAGCACATTTGACATCCAACTTGCCATCGTCGCCAAAACGGCGTAGAGTTGATGCTGGAGATACAATGTCAACCCCACAGCCGACCCCGGGCCGTTTCATCCTACCGTCTACAGGCACGATCCGGACGACGTTCACACAGGGTGATGGGGATACACCCAACAGCAACAGACCAGCATTTTTGATGCCCTCGCTTCCGCCACCAGAAGCTGTCGCACCTCTACCTGATGCGTTTTCTCCTCGAAGGAGAGGACAGAAGTTTGTACCCGGTGGTCTAGCGTCAGAGCTACAATCGTGGATCATCGAGACTGCACAGACTGCAACTCAGAGTAGACCCCGTAACTCTTTACAGGTTGATGATTCGGTGCATGTCATCAACGTCATTGAAGCTGAGGGGGACGGGCCGGTGTTCGTGCATGGTACATCATCTGGTAAGGGACCTGCCAAAGCGTTGCTCGTTGACGGTCAAGCGAACCAAAAGGCAGTCAGAGTCAAAGCAGGGGATAGCGTGAGCATCAAGCTGCCCACATGGGATGTCCAAGTGTCGGGAGAAACGTGGTTAGTAGGCGTTGACTGGAGAACGACAAAGGACTGAAGCACTCATTTGGGTATGTTGTTGTTCTTTATATTTCATAGACAACAAGCAAGGCCATGTTCTGGCATGGGCGGCGGCAAGAGCACGAGCAAGAATGGTAGGCCTGAAAGCCGGGTGTGATGATCAGGTACCGGAAAGATGGCGATTAGGAAGAAATGCCATCATGATCAAGGACTAGTGACATAGCGAACCGTGGAAGGGATTGAGAACAGGTGATGAACTGGGAGGTTATGAGTGGAAGTCGGAGATTCAACGCGACACGAGCGATACGACGCGTGTGTTTACCAGCCACCACTTTATGAGTGACCCGCCTTGCATTTTTTTTAAAGTTGATGGGCTGCAACAGCTCAACAGGGTTCGGTTCATTGCTTGTCGAAGCTGCAGCTGTCACTATCTTTTCTCTTGATTGAATACAGCGCAGGATCTTTCTGCTCAGGTACACCGCTCGTTTGGCCTGTTCATTAGGAGACGCCAACGCCAAAGGAAAACGGTTATTTTGACACAACAATAGCAACGGCTACGTCACAGCAATCAGACGACGCTACGGGGACGAGATACTGCGGAAAAGTCGAGCCATATCAGAGACGAAGTCAGTCTGACAGCATTGCCGGCTACAACACGTCCATCTGCACCTAATATACTGGACACAAGGCGGCAACTCCTCGATCATCGCAACGGTACGCAAGCACCGCAGCTCCCAAGCAATCGTACCCCGGCTTTATTGCGCAAACCGCCAAACACAGCCCCTCGACTCAACTGGCCAGGCGCCGGTTTTCCCTTCGTTCACTCGCTGCCTGATCATCGGCCTTGGTCGATTCGGATCCTCTTTCTCGTCATTACAGGACATTAATTCAACACAACCGGAGCCATGGCGACAGCATTGATGAACGGAATGCATACGGCAGGCATCTATTCGGACATGACGGTCGACGGGCCCGAGATTGGCACCCTGGTGGCTATTGTCGATCGTGCTAAGAACCTGCCCAATGTTAAGCGCATGGGCAAGCAAAACCCATACTGCGCCGCCAGGCTAGGCAAGGAAGCAAAAAAGACCGAGACGGACAAACGCGGAGGCCAGACTCCCAAGTGGTATGCACTGAAATACAAGAATGCATGACGAAGCGAAGTACTGACAGAGCGCCGCAGGGACCAGGAACTACGATTTACAGTCCACGACTCGCCCGACTACCACAACCTCAAACTCTCAGTCTTCAACGATGACAAAAAGACGGACCTGATTGGCGAAGCCTACATCGGCCTGCAAGACGTCTGCATCCCAGGAGGAGGCAAGCATGATGGGTGGCATGCCCTCAACTTCAAGGGCAAGTACGCCGGAGAAATCAACCTGGAGTTGACATACTACGACTCGCGACCGCCAGTTGAAGACAAGAGGAGGGTGAGTGGCATGAGCGCTGCTGACAATGGTCGACGAAAGGCCCCCATCAAGCGTCGTCCGCTGCCCGCCGAGTTGACCGGTCCGCCGCCGCCAGGATCCATCGTGCCAGACCATGCCAGAGGCCCTAGACAATTGCCCGGACGACCCACAGAGGATTGGACTCCTCATGGCTTGAGACCGCGTCCCCAACCTCAACACCACACCCAGTCTGCCCCCGCAGTGCAGCACTATGACCCCGACGAACTCGACTTGGACTATCACCCTGGCTTTCACCACCCCTCGATGCCCGAACTACCTCAATTGCCTGCCAGTCGCAAACACCGCGGCTCCGTACCTGCGCAGCCTACCATGCCTCACGACACGCTAGCTTACGATCACTACGGCCATGCCCGTTCTCAGAGCATCCCAACTCTCCCCCATTCCATGTCGTCACCAAGCGTTGTTCAATCGGATCAGGGTTGGGCAGAACCTCTGCCACGTTGCCTGCAACCGACCGTCGAGGACATTGACGAATACGACTATGAAAGAGAGCTACCTCCACAACCTCCATCACACACAAGAAACTCTCTATCTGTGTCCCGTGGCCCTCCACCGAGAAGTATGTCTGTAGACGACTATGCTCCCCCACCAGCTCCAGGTTCATATTATGGTTCATCGCCCAACTTCCGAGCTTCGTACTCGGGCTTCCCTCCCCCAGCTCCTTCTTCGGTGGCAGGATCGCATTACCGCAGTCATTCACGCGTGGCTAGTCGCCAAAGTGTACCTGACGCCTATGCCATGACTCCTCCCAGAGCACACCCTCTGGCCAACGAGATGCGCCGATCTATGAGCCCTGCGCCTTCTTCATTCGCCGAGGACTTTGGCCAACAGTACCGACGTTACAGCAACGAACCAATTCCTATGGCTCGTCCTGCCTCTCGTAACGCATCTCCCCTTCCTCCACGCCCTGCATCCCGCAACACCTCACCTCTGCCTCCACGCAACAACCTCGACGCTATCCGCCATCCCGTCCGCACCTTCGCCAACAGTGCTTCCCCCTCACCCACCCGCAAAGACGTCCCTCGTCCTTCAACCTCCAATGGCAACTTCTTCTCCCCTGACGACTTCGACTCACTCAACCCCAACGCCTCCTCAAACTCGCCTTTCGCCTCGGGCTCGAACCCACACTCACCCTACCACATTCAAAACTCCCCCTCTGCCGACGAAGAAGCAGCTCGCCCCCTCCCGGACCCCAATGCTAAAATTGTCGGCTTCGACGGCCGCGTAATCGATCCCAGCGACCATCTCCCCGTACACAGTTGGGCACCCGAGCCGGAAAAGAAGACACCTACTAAAATCTACGGATCTAATGGGCAAGTGCATCCGAATGGTCTCGCTGGGCCTAGACAAGCAGTCCGCACACCCTCGAGAATGAGCATGGGCAGGGATGTCGTTGTAAATGTGCGCACGAGAGGCTCACCCCCCAAACGACCCATGTCTTCCGCATCCCATCACAGTCATATGACCGGCTCCCCAGGCCCTGGTCCATTATCCGAAATTGACATTCCCAATCCCTACGCAGGAGGTTCTACCTACGGTGGTTACGACGGGCAGTATTCACAATACTCGACCCCTCCTCCTCCTGCGAGCAACTCACCGCATTATGGGGATGTGTTTGGCAAATACACACAAGCTTCAAACGATCAATATGGGTATGGATATGAGAATGGCGGTGTGGGAGGTGGTCAGCAGCAGATGCAAATCCAACAAGCGCCGGTTTATGAGCAACATGGATATGGGGCTTCTGCGTTGAGTAAAGAAATGGCGAAGATTGATATTGGGGGCTCGAGGAGGCCGCTCAGTAGGGGCACTGTTAGACGGGGTGCTTGGCCTTGAGTTTCGCTCGAATGCGAACTGGTTGTTTTCTGCCACGCGATGTGTTTCTTTTCTTTTTCAGCATTTTGATTGTTGATTCCCCCTTTTGTTGGCCTGGTTGTTTCAGGCCTGTTTTGAGCGGAGCGCTTCTCGATGCTCTTGATGGACGGATAGAGATGCATGGGCATAAGGATGAGATACTTATGGTATAGAAGAATACAAAGAGTGGATATATGCAAGAACCTTTTAATCAAGAATGATGGTCTCGTGTTGGAAAACTTTTGCAGCAAGTATTTACTGTGCCTGGTAATGAGGAAAGCATGTGCAGATGTTCATGATCGATTTGACTGGGTTCGTTAAAGGGTCACAAGATGAAGATGTACTTTACGTAAAAGGTTTGAGATGGGCTTTTGTAGTAGCATGTTTTCTGATAGCATGTCTTTTGGTTGGTATGAAGCAAGTTAGCTAGGCTGAGCAGCTGGCTCGCCGAATGTGTCGTTTGTCTTTTGGCTGAGCAATTCGGTTAGTGTAGCAATACAAGCCACATGTTGTAGACAGTCTCTGTGACTGTCAATCGTCTTTCCTCCATTAGCTATTATCGTTCCTCCGAATCTTTGCTCCTTCTGCGTGTGGTAAATATATGTCCTTGTCGGCATGTTCTCTCATTATTGCGTTCTTCATGGACTTCGTCATCGTAGCTTGATAGTCATAGTATGTTGTCGTAGTCTTCATGATGCTGTGGTGTCGTTGGTTCGTATCGGGCTCTAGTGCCACATCGTCGTCTCTCTCTCCCTTCCTCCGCTGACGATTCTCTGCGACTTTATCATTACTGTGGTTACTGTAGTTCCCCTCGTCCCTGTCGTGCTAGTATTCGAAAAGCGGAGCACGGTAAAGGTGCGACATGTAATGCTTTTGAGGTGATCGGGTGGAACCAAGGAATGGGTGGTACTTGCCAATAAGTTCCTTGATGATTCTGAACTCTCGATATCCCATCAGTCCAGTGGAGCCGTGCTGTACACTCTCCGCGACCTTCTTTTGGATCTCCTTGGCAAGCCTTTTGCCACCGACTTTGGAAACCGCAACACGGCCGCCCTCCAACACTTTGACAGACAGATGTGCGAGACGGGTACCGCGAACTATTTGATCATTGATAAGGTTCATCACGACCAACTCCAGCACAACCCGAGTGTGTGCAATGAGTGCTGGTGCAGTCCGTTCCATCCAGACTGCATTTTCCAGGCCGGTTTGATATTCACAATGCATGAGATTCAAGACGGGGTCTAGTGACGAGACAAAGACAGGCATGAACTCACGTCGTACCTGGGCGCAGGAATGCATCAGACCTCCTCGACTCCAGCCGAACAGGGAATGCGGACGACTGAACAGGTCACCAGTGTCGTTAGGATCGATGGTAATTTCTGAAGCAAAGCTGTAGATGCGATTTCTGATCTCTGGTGGTAGATCGAGGAAGGAGACAGTTTGTTTTTCCCATGATTGTAGGGCTTCGAAGAACTTTCGGTGCAAAGGGCGATAGAGCGAGCGTGGGATATACCCTCGCCAGGGGGTGGAATCGACTTGGTTCCGCGCCCAAGACAGAAAGTCACGATCGACGTATTTTCCGATGTAGATGTCAAATTTACACGATTTTCGTGTGCGCTTCGAATAACGGATGCCTTCCCTGACGTACAATTCAAGGTTTAAGGGGTAGATGCGTTCCCTGACGGATCGTGGTAGGTCGAGAAAGGAGATGGTTTGCTGTTTCCAGGACTTTAGGTCTTTGATGAAGCTTTCAGACAGAGGGTAGTAGGTCCAGTCTGGATCGAACTCTTCTTCTGACCTCGAGATGGAGGCATTTGAGGGTGAAGAGCAAGACGGAGGAATTGACATGATGAGCGAGCGATCGGTATGACGATGGCAGCCTCAGGCAGAAGATGTTCTGTTGGAGAACAAGTGCCGTGTCGCGTCGCGTCCCTGTGTCTCAGACGGGAGTGGAGTCTTGGAAGGGGAGATATAAAAAGACGGATGGTTACGAGTCGAGTGAAAGGTTATGGGAGCGGCAAGGCTAGCTCGAGTAAGCAGCAGGGCGGTGTAAAGTGACGGCGGTGATGGAAGCGACAAAGGGGACGCGGTAAGGCTGGCGCTTACGGGAAAACAAGTGGGGTGGGGGCACAAGAGCCAATCAGAGGTCGACAGCCAAGTGGGCAGCTTCAGGGACGGGCAGGGAACGAGGGACCATTTTCCGTTTTGTCGAGGTCGCAGCTACTCGTCCTCTATCATTTATACGAGGGCCCCGAGAACCGTTTGCTTGTCTGTGAAGCTTCCCAAGAAAAAAACTCGACTCGACAACTTTTAGGAAAGACACGAGTTTGGCATCAAAGCACACGAGGCAGCAACGAGGAAACAACGACTCAGCCGTGCCTGCCCTTCCCCGCGCCATTCGCATCAACAAGACCTTGGACGCCGCATCTCCAACCAACCATCTCGACCATCCCTACCACATCCTATCGCAGCAACCATGACGGACGTTGGCGGACGCAGAAGCTTCAAGGTGTTTGGACAGGAGTTCATTGTCGACGCGCGGTACAATGTCACAAAGGAGTTGGGCCAGGGCGCCTACGGTATCGTGTGGTATGTGGCCGTCACGCCGTTATGGATGGAGCTTGACTGACGGAGACGACTCCAGCGCAGCACAAGCTAGCCACGATCCGAAAGAGCAGGTAGCCGTCAAGAAAATCACAAACGTCTTCAGCAAGCAGATCCTGGCCAAGCGCGCCCTCCGCGAGATCAAGCTGCTGCAACACTTCAGAGGCCACCGCAACGTCTGTCCCACCGACCACGCGTCCATCCGTTCAGCAAGAGCTGACATCCTCGCAGATCACATGTCTCTTCGACATGGACATCCCCGGCGGCCCCGCCAGCTACAACGAGGTCTACCTGTATGAAGAGCTGATGGAGTGCGATTTGGCTGCCATCATCCGCAGTGGCCAGCCATTGACAGATGCCCACTTCCAGTCCTTCATCTACCAAATCCTGTGCGGTCTCAAGTACATTCACTCGGCCAACGTCTTGCATCGCGATCTCAAGCCCGGTAACCTGCTCGTCAACGCCGACTGCGAGTTGAAGATTTGCGATTTCGGTCTTGCCCGTGGCTTCAGCAACGAGCCCGACAATGTTGCTGCCGGTTTCCAGACCGAGTACGTCGCCACGAGATGGTACAGAGCTCCTGAGATTATGCTCAGTTTCGCAGAGTACACAAAAGCCAGTACGTCATACTTGCATGATTGTGTTTGTTGTCTTTGTCATGCTGACCATCCCTCTCAGTCGATGTGTGGTCGGTTGGTTGTATTCTTGCCGAACTTCTCGGAGGTAAGCCCTTCTTGAAGGGCAAGGATTACGTCGACCAGCTCAACCAGATTTTGCACGTCCTCGGTACTCCCGACGAGAGCACCCTCCAGCTCATTGGCTCCCCTCGCGCCCGCGAGTATGTCCGCGGGTTGCCTTACATGCCTCGCATCCCATACCAGCAATTCTTCCCTCGCGCCAACCCCGACGCCCTGGACTTGTTGGAGAAGATGCTTGCTTTCGTCCCTGCCAAGCGCATTACCACAGAAGAAGCTCTCGAGCACCCATACCTTGCTATCTGGCACGACCCCAGTGATGAGCCTGCCTGCCCGACGAAATTCGATTTCCGTTTCGAGGTTGTTAAGGAGATTCCTGAGCTCAGAACAATCATCTTCGACGAAGTTAGACGCTTCAGAGGTGAAGTCCGCGCCCCTCTCCAGCAGCAACAACAACAGCAACAGCAGCACTACGGCGACTACCAACAACAGGCCGGTCAAGTACCCATGCCCGACCAATGGAACCCTCGTCAAGCCGAGGACCCACGTCCTCAGGCTCTGGGTGAGAGCAACACTGAAGGTCTTGAAAGAGAATTGGAATACGGTTTGGACGCTCAATATGGCCAGCAGCAGATGCGATAGACGTGAGATCGCAGGCTTTTTGGCGAACCCATTCATCCATCCATCATTTCCCTTGCGCGCTGGCAGCGCAGTCTTCTCTAATCCACAGCCTTATCATCATCTCTGAGCACATCATGTTTGTTTCTGTTGTTTTACCATCTAGCGCCGCCTTGGAGGAATGAACCAGAGTAATGCAGCTATGGGGATGGACATCTGCTTTTCCTTCTGATTTAGTTTTGCCTGAGAAAGCATTGAGGCTTAATGAAGACCATCTTTACTTTATCTTATCTCCCTGATTCTGATCTTCTGTGATTAATGGAGTGTAATCTTACCCTATCCAAAGTTTATTGGGTTCTGTCGCCCTTCTCGATGAAAGGTGAAGGAAGGTAACAATGGATGCGTGAGACCGAGCAGGACCATGCCGTTCATATAAAAGCGCATACTTGGCTTCGTCTTCTCTCTTTCTCTAGACCCAAATCTTAGTGAAAGATGATTATGGAACCTTGCAGCAAGGTGAATGATGACTTCAGCACAGTGACTGCTCGAGCAGACTATAATTAGCTATCAGTCCGGACTCATATGCAAAGAGATACACACATGAGAGCATGCCATCTCCGATACAGTAGAGATCGAAGACGGTCGAGAAACGTCAAATGATAAGTAACGATCCAACATACCATGCCCAAACTCCATAACCCAATGCCAAACCAAACACCATCACCAAAGACTCGAGCTCGAACTCAAATCACTTTCAGTACCAAGACTCCTACCCAATTCATCCCGATCATCAATCTTTCCCAATCCGTCAACATCCCTCCGACTCAACACAACTCTCTCACACCAAGAACACCAACTCCTACTCCTCCCATCCTGTTCCCTCCCCAGCACCCTTCCCCCATCCCTCTCATCTCCAAACTCACCCACCACATCGCCCACCTGCATCCTCCTCTTCACCTTTTTCTTAACCACACCCCCAATACCCTCGATCTCCTGTAAAAAGTAACCCGCCGATGTTCTAGCGGAAAAAGGTGTTGATGCAGCATCGGATTCTATTTCCGTGTAGACGGTGCGCGAGGAGAGGCAAGAGGGGCCTCTGCCGCATTGGACGCCTTCGAGGCCGTGGCCGATTCCTGTAGAGAGGCCGGAGAGGGTGTCGAGATTGTAGCGGGAGCGCCAGGTCCAGGCGCGTGTGTGGGAGGTGTCTGATGTGCGGAGGGTTGTGGAGCAGGGGGTGCAGAGCCAGGTTTGGGTTGCGCAGGTGCAGGGGGAGCGGTAGAGTGGTCTGGAAGGTGAGCTAGAGGAAGAACAGATTAGATTATAGTGGAAAGGGAAGAGCGGTCAAGGGATACACTTACTCAGTGGATGAGTTGTCGGAGTGGTGGTCTTGAGATGGGTAGATCTTTGTATGTGCATCTAATGGTGCTTTTTGACATGTATGACACAGTCGTCGATGCCGTTGTTTGAGAGCATTTGTTGATGGAGCTTTCATGGTGCAATTCTGTTCTTCTTCATCAGTATCACAGCTTTCTCTTGCTCTCTCTACTGCTTTCCCTCAGCACAACTTACCCTACACACCACAATCCCACATCTCCTACACTCTCCAACCATATCCCTGGCACAAGCACCCACCCTTCCACTGGTCATTCTGGGTATCCTAAGTCCATTGGGTCCTTGTGTGTTGCTCCAATGCTCATCCTTTTCTTGAAATGTATATCCCAATCCACCTTCTTCTGCATCCGAAGAGCATCGCAGGGTTTGTGGTATTAACTGTCTACGGTGTTGAAGTAAGTTGGCGCGAAACTGGCGACATGTGCGGGAAAGGTCGTGTAACGAGTTTAGATCTAGGTGTTTTGCGATTTCTGAGATAATCCTGACGTGCCACAGAATCAATCAGCAGTGTTCATATCTGTAGAGACGTGAGGACAGGACTAACGGATAGTTTCCTAGTACTGCAGAAAGAGCATTTAGATTAGGATATTCGCGATCCTCGTCATCATCCTCTTCTGCTTCCTCCTCTTCTTGTTCCTGGTTTTCGGGGTTATGGTACGACGAAAGTGTATGCACACTCATCAAGTCGCGCATGTCGAAGGGTCTACCATGATGGTGTTGCTGCTCGGCCTCATCAGGGTCGTCCAAGTCGACAAAGACAACCATTGGGTCATGTGTTCAGACGGGCGTCTCATAAGACGCTCCTGAATCCTCTACGGTATCTTTTCCAGTTGGTGGTTTGTTTGGTTGTTCAAGTGTCATCAAGGTTGGTTTGCCCGCAACCTCCGTCATTCGTTCCGGGAAGGTGGGGTCATCCTTCGACGCTATTTCTGCTCCTCCGAGGACATGGGTCTATTAGGGGCTGAAGCCTCATCAGCTTCGACTTGAATTGCTGAGTTGCTTTACAATGGACATGTTATAAAGGATAATGCAATTTCGCTCGCTATGCACATTGGCTATAATCTCCGTAGTCGCCGCGGCTACGGTTGTCCCATCTACTGATCGTGACGGGCATGCTCGCTTTCAGACTGTGAGGCCCGAATTTCTTGAATCATAGCCTGCCAACTCATCATCCTTAGTTTTCACAGTACCGGCCGCCGCTTCTCAATCTGACTGTGTACGATTCGGACAAAGTGTCTCCTGGCTATTTCTTCATTGCACCGTACTCTCAACTAGCAGCCAAACAAATCACAGATCCTGCCGAGGCATATATCACTGGCCCGACCATATATGACCGCAATGGAGTAAGGAATCTCCACACAAGTACTGGACCCGGCTGACTGTTCTCCAGCAACTAATATGGATCGGATCTACCATGTTTCCGGGGCGGGATGCCTACGACTTCCGAGTTGTCAAATACAAAGGGGAGAGCATGCTTTCATGGATCATTTCGACCAATGAATACTATCCGGATCATCCAGGAGGAAAAGCTGTCCTGGTGAACGACAAGTACGAGCTTGTCAACACAACCTTGCCTTTATTCGATACTCCAGAATTCAACATTCATGAGTACAACATCATCAACGATGGGGCATCTGTTTTGACTCTCTATTCCAATCCTGTGTTAGTGAATGAGACTTGGATCCAGGATGACGGTATTGCAGAGATTGATCTGTCTACTGGAGCAATTCTGTTCCGTTGGAGCTCTCTTGAACATATTTCTTTGAACGCATCAAACTTTCATCTTCCGAAAGCCGGGACAACATCACACAAACGACCATGGGACTGGTTGTAAGTTAAAAAAAAACTCTAAGATCAGCCATCCACTAATCATATCACAACAGTCATGCAAACTCAATAGACAAGAACGCAGATGGAGATTATCTGTTATCGTCACGACATACGAGTTGTATATACAAGATATCTGGCTCCAACGGATCTTTGATTTGGCAACTAGGAGGCAAGACTTCGGATTTCGACCATCCCAGCGGCTTCAACTTCTCCTGGCAGCACGATGCTAGATACAGATTTGAAGACAAGACAACTACTACAATTTCCTTCTTTGACAATGCAGGAATTGGCATGACAATAGAAGACAAGACTACAGGGAACTGGAGCCGTGCAGTAGTCGTCGAACTCAACACTTCTGCCTCGCCCATGACAACAAGGGTTCTGCGCAGCTACGACAGACCAGATCATGAGACGTCGATTGCAAGAGGAAGTATGCAGATGCTTCCGAACGACAATGTATTCATTGGATGGGCTAGCTATGGTCTCATCAGCGAAGTCACACAAGACGGCACGCCCGTCATGGAAGCCAGGTTCGTCGACGAGACAATGAGCACTTACCGCTCTTACAAATTCAACTTCACTGGCCGACCACGTCTACCGCCGGTAACGAAGTCTATCGTGTACGGCACAACGCCAAAGACAGCAAACACTTTCCACTACTTCAGCTGGAATGGAGCCACGGACGTCTACTCATGGAATCTCTACGGTTCCTCAAAAAACTCTTCGGATAGCTTTACTCTTCTGGCTAATGTGGAAAAGACTGATTTCGAAACCATGTACATGACAAGAGGCTTTGTGGCATACGTTTATGTCGAAGCAATCGGTGCTGATGGCAAAGTGATGAGCCGTTCAATACCTACAGCATCAGAACTTCCTCGGACATGGATTGGCACTTTTTGTACAGCCGATGGCATTTGCGAGATTGACGAGCATGATGAATCTCTTCAGAAGCCAGAGCACGAGCACTTTGGAGCAAAACTTGATCATGGGATAGAAGGAATATCTCTCACGAAGGATACGTTAGATGAACCAATGATGCTAGGTGTTGGTCTTTTGGTCATCATCGCATGTGTATATTTGATGGTACATTTGTACAGAAGGCGTAATGTAGTACGTTATAAGCATGTAGAGTAGTGTAATATATGAACTTGTGAACTCCATGCTCGTCTCCCATTAAGCCTGTTCCTGGTTTGTGTGACTAAAAAAATGCAAGATGGTTTCCAGGAAAGAGCGAGTGTCCATCGAGAGCCCCTTCCAACTACCAGCTCACATTTCCTGCCCATCCCAACTGTTCTAGTCATCTCCAGATATGTTTATCAAAATGCAAGATGCTTTGATTGAATCAGACAGCATTCATCGGGAAGCCCAACATTCACGAGACAGAACGCTAAATACTACATCCCAGCAGTCGAGGTGGTAGTTTCAAGTACTCACGAAAATGCAAGAACATTTTACAACAGACAACAGCCTCCATTGAGAACCCAATTCCTTCCCCTGAACCATATCTTGTTCTACCTATCCCAGCTACCCACTCCATCATCTCAAGCTCAGTAAAAACGCACAATCGAATTCGAGAAACCAAACATGTCCGCAGAGAGCCATGGACGAATGACCCCTGACCTCCACAACACCGTCGACTTCCACAACGACATCATCACTTCGATCCCAACCCTGCCGTCGACCCTCGCGCCGAGCACGGAACCATCATCGTCGACGACTAAGCGATCGCAACACCTCGGCGCCGACAGCTTCCCAACCCCCTTCCTATATAAAACACCCTCTGTCCTTCCTCTTCCTCACCACGCACGCACGACATACAACGCAAACCATGTCCACCATCCGCCCCGTTCCCCCTGAGGAACCCCAATCCACCCCTACTGTCTCCACCCCTGCCGCTCCTCCTCCTCCATCCCTCTTCGGCGGCCCATACACCCCCTCCCCAGCAGCAGCCGACACCAGCGCCCCCTCCACTCCCACCACCACCGCAACCTTGACACCCAATGGTCGCCACCGCGCCTCATCACCTCCTCGCAGCTTCAGCGGACCCCCTCCTTCCCCCGGCTGGTCCACATTCGAAATGAGTGGTATGCTGCCCACTTCTGCCACTTTGGCTGCTCGTGCCGCGATGAGACAGCCTCAGGATTGGCCCGATGTGAGAAGGGCCTGGTGGAAAAAGTTGTGGAGTTGGATCTGTGGGTTTGGGTTCAGATGATTTTGTGTATGTTTTGTGGATGGAAGTTTGTGTTGTAAGTTGGTTGTTTGCTGATGTTTGGATCTAGATTTGATTGTCGGCTCATGACCTGATACTCGACTTGATGGAGACCTGGGTGTCGACGGTTGAGGTACGCCTAGTGATTCTTAACATCATGGCGACAAGGTCCCGACGAAGGCTTGCTGTAAGTCACGATCATTTGTGGTTTGGGGTGCATTGCTAAACGAGAGCATAGAAGGCAAAACCAAGACAACAAAACGACTACACACAATCAAGACAGCAAACACGGCAATCAAAAAGTCTTGGGATCTTTCTTTTTTTCATTGTGAGGGTATCTTTCAATCGTTCGTGGGGAGAGGAGGATGGATATTTGTGGGAAAAGACGAGCAAAGAAACAGAAAAAAATTCCCCAGAAATCCTACTCTCTTCCATGCAATTGATGTTGCAAACAAAAAAACGCTCATGTGTTTTCTTCCACGCTTCTTCATGATCTAACCTGTTGCACGAACTGAATGAAAAACTTTTTGAACTCGAGCTTGTCCTTTGCTTCGAGATGCTTGATGTATTCGTCAATGATGGGGGCTTGGAGACCCAGACCTGACATTTCCGAGTCACGCAGATGGGCTTCATAAGCTGCACCACATTTGCGTAGGATGGTCCACTGCAGAGTGGCAGCTTCAGTGAGGTAGCTGCGTGCTTGAGCGTCCTTTGGTTGGAATGACGGAGATGAAATCAGAGCCCAGGTGAGAGGAGAGAAGCGTTGCATGATAAAGGTGTCGAAGCCAGGAACCGTTGGTGCAGCTGCTTGGGTGGCACCTGGAGGCACTGGAATAGTGAGGTCAGGACCGCCCCATACTTGTGTCATCTTGGTCAAAACGGCAAGAGAAAGGCGGGCTGTAGGGTAGTCTGAGGGATCGCGACAGAAGTGCTCAAGGGTGGTGAGGATGGTCTCGAATGTCTGCTGGTTGGCACTGCTGACAAGAACAGGCGCCAAATCGTTGTTGAGGATTACAAGGATGAATTGCAAGTATTGCATCTTGAGCTCGCCAAGCTGAATAGCATCATCAGTACCAGTGGTAGGTTCTGACAGACCAGCAAGCACCCTTTGCAAGAGAGGAGTAAGCAGTTGGTCGAGGATCTCGATGATCTCTGTCTTGAAGCCAAAAACGACCTGGTCCAGCAGCCTCAAGAACGTAGCCATCTCATCCTTAGTGGATGACTGTGAGAGTAGACCATCAATCCATCTAGGCAGCTTCTGCAGGATACCTGATCCGAGAACACCAAGCATGCGTGAGAAGGCAAAGCGAGCACCGGTACGGATGAGCATAGAGTGTTTGAGAGACTCAAGAGCTGTCAGGACTGCTTCGCCAGCAGGCGAGAACTCGTTTGCCAGCTCCGATGGTGGAGGAGCGCCCGAAGAGTTACCAGGCATCCAGTCACAGAAGCCCTTTGCAAGAGTTCCCACAGCCTGAATGATGTGGTGGACTTGGATGACTGCTCGCTCGTCACCATTCTTGGCAACGGGGATGTGACGTTCCAAGTCCGTGATCAAAGGGCTAACAAGAGTACGAGCGTAGAGCATGCGGTTTTCCAGTGGTACCGAGGTTGTGGACGCAATAGCTCCGACAGCCTCGAAGAGGTAAAGTTGGCTGGTAAAGATAGCGTCTGCGGATTGATCGTTCTCCTCAGATGACATATCATCATCATCGCTTTCCTTGGGGACTTCAGCGTGGATGGTGAGTAGATCGGCGACAGTCTCGATGACGGTTTGGGCGACGTTCCCGAGTTGGCTGCGAAGATGCTTGACAAATCTGAAGAAGAGATACCAGGAGCGTGTCTTGATCTTGATGTGGTCGCTATGAACGAAACGGACAAAGTTCTCGAGAACACGAGGAATTCTTTCCGTGTGATGTTCGAAGAAAGTGCAGTAGCGAACACAGATCTCCATGTACTGCAGTTGAACAGCTGGGTGTGGGTACGAGGCAATGTCAGATTCGACAAGCTTGGCCATCATTTCAATGAGATGTTGAGATGCAGTGCTAGAAGGGGAGCTCTTCTGATAGAGGCCACCATTCTTGACGGCTAATTCGCCGAAAAGGTACATTTCGTACAAAGCCAAATCCAAATCCCGCCAGTTGGGCTTGTTGTCTGTGGAGATTCTGTTGAAGGTCGTAGCAACGACTCTGCTCAGAGTTTCCATGTACATAGTCTCATCGACTGCAGCAACAGCCTGCTGAAGAACGTGTAACCTCCTGCGCAGCTCTTGAAATTCAGCCTCGTCTGTTTGTTCACCCTCAGCTCCCCAATCCGCCGTCTCATCGTATTTCATCTTGAGAATGATGGTGTCAAGAATAGGCTGCAGCATGGCGCGATACTGGTCGGGAAGGGCTCCTCGTTTGGCCAAGACGCGGAACAGGGTGATCAAGTCGGTGAGTGAAGGGATGACGGCGGAGCAGATTTCATCGTATTCGTCCGAGAAGAATCGTAGAAGGTATGGAACAAACAGTCGAAGCAACTCGTCGGCTTGAGCAGCTGTGTTTGCGTCGAGACCTTCTGAGTCAAGTACCTTAACAACATCAAAGACGACGTTATTCACCAGCTTCGCTACAGTCTCACCAAGATCATTGTCGTAGTTCGAAGTGCTTCGGTATTCGTGCAAGGCGGGGCTGGCAACGAGTTGACCGGCGACATTGGCTAGGTTGAGGTATGAGATCAGGTTGATCTTGTCTTGGCTAGGCATCTTTTTGGCCACAATCTCAGTGAATGTGTCGATGGCGGCATCGCGAATCTTTGCCTGAGCACTTTCCGCCGAAGAGATGTCTGGTTGACCGGCAATTTCCAGCAGAAAATTGAGCATGTTCTGATTGACCACAAGCGAGATATCGATCCAGCTAACCCATCGTGCAACGCAACGGAGGCACAACTCGACAATACCCAAATCAATCTGTCTCCACCTTGCCAGGACTTGTTGCCAGAAGGTAGAGATGTTTTGAGCATCGCGCGAGCGCACATAGTCTTTGAGGTCGGCATTGCGCTTGAGCTCTTCCGGAGTACGAGGAATCAGAACATCGGCGATTTCGTCGTGAATCGAGTTTATTATGCGAAGGTAGAGGATAGTTCCTTGAGGGTTGTCGGAGCCAATTGCGTTTGCGTCGCCAGCGAGTGATCTAAAGTCCTCGAAGAAGGTGGGCCAGACGGTAGCGTAGAGTGAGGTGAAGAGGTAGGTGATAGTCTGGGTCAGCTTGTTCTGAATGCTGGGCGAGTCGACACGGTTTGATTGGTTCGCGAAAGTTTGGTGGATATATGTCATGAGCTGGTCCTTGACATAAGACAGACTCTGCTCATCCAGACGGCCTGTCTGGACGGCATGACTGACCAGTTCGAGGCAGACATGGCGCACAACTTCGTCCGGGGGAGGGTTGCGGGTGAAGAGGGCTAGGCAGACTTGCCAGCCTGAAGCGTCGTCGCGCAGCTGCTGCAGAAACTCATAGGCCTGCGCTTTGAGGTTCTGGTCGGCCCGAGGGTCAAAGGCGATTTGGATGGCGCTCTCGACCTGTGAGTGAAGCGACTTGTTTAGCAAGCAGCTTCTGAAATTTGGGCAGGCACGTGGGCTGTCACTTACCTGAGCATCCATGCTCGCCACCAGGTATGTAGGAGTTGATACGGAGACTGGGAGCTGTAGTGTACTGGAACACACAATTTACGGCTTGAGTCGAGTGCTATGTGGTGCTGTGTAGTGGCGGGGTTTGTTGATTCGACTTGGGCTCTTTGGTGCTTTGCGAAGACAGCGAAACACCGACACATTTGACCAAAGCCCAAGGGCGGTCAGCCGCTTTAGGAAAGGCCAACTTCTGCTCTCCAAATTGCCCGCAATTGAGTCCATCACTTTCGAACAACTTCTTCACAAACCCTCCTGATTAACATTGCGAGATTACACAGCTATCAAGCCTATTCGTAGTGAGCAGGAATGATTTCACGACGTCTTTATTCAGTAGTCTCGCGTGCTTATTCAGGCCACTTCTTCCTATTATTCTCAGAACATGAAGGATCAGACAGGGTGCAACCTGCAGCAAACAAGGTCGAACTTAAGGGACGCGTTCCTTGCTAGAGCAAATCGGAGCTGCAGTGCATGACTTGTGACATTGATATTAGTCTGTCGAGCACAAGCACCGAAGCCTGTATAGAAGCATCATTTGCATGCAGAGAAGAAGCGGGGAAGAAGTGTGTGTGACTCGTACTGGCGGTTAGATGCAGCAGAAGACAAAGAAGAGGAGCAGCCTGTCTCACACAAAGAGGGACGAACGAGGTCGGAGAGGCTGAAAGTGAAAGCGAAGGAGGGTGGAGGGTTACTTTGTGGCAGTTGGAGAAGGTGGGGCCGGCAGGGTTGCGGATGGCGCCGCATAGCGCGTTCGATTGTCCCCGTAGTTAGTGATTCGTGATTCGGCAGCCGGGAGTCTCTCTCTCAATGCATCAACTTACTGCCACATTCAACCGTCGCCAGGGCATGCCAACGATGGTCTGACGGGAGCACAGTACAGCCAACTTCGCACAATGGCTGCATCACGCCCTGATCGGGAGCGGGAACGCGACCTCCTCCGCCAAATCGATGCGTGTATCGATCGCATGATGCTCACGACGCCCGACGAGCCATACGTCTTGAGCATCCCCCAGGACGAGCCCAAATACCACCACTACTCCCACCACTCGTCGCAGATGTGGCGTACCGGAACCCCTTTCCACTCTGACGACGACCCGAATCAACAGTACCAGACCTTCTACTACCACGAGCCGCTCTCGGACGTCTTTCAGTTGCATCGCAATTCACACTACCAGAAAGACAATGCCTCAGTCACGTCGCAGACAAAAGAAAAGGAGAGCAGCGCGCAAAGCACTCCCAGCATGCTTCCCAAGAAGAAGATCAGTCTCGCCGCTTACGCCAATAAGAAGACGCAACCCGACAACAAAGATGACATCAAAGACAACAAGCTCCCCAGCAGCAAGACTGTGTCCGCCTCGACATCCTCGCAATCGCTAAAGTCGCGCGACTCGGCCAATCTACCTCGCATGCTGTCACCACTTCAGTTCACTGTGCGCGATCCATCCCCTCCAAAACAAGCACCACCACCGCAACAACCACCGCAATCCCTCCTGCCGCCTCGATTATCCCCTACTCTACCGCCGACCATCATCGCCTCACTCGATGCGAAGCCTTACCAACCAGCGCGACGTAAACATGCATCGAAGCGTCTTCCCTCACCGCGACCACCAGCCCCTGAGACGGCGCGCAAACAACCTCCTAACATTCCAAAGCCCGAGACACGCGACACTCCGCAAGAGGCAGAATCTCGTTCTCCCCGCGACTCGCTTATTGTCAAGCTGAAGATCCCTAAGGGCATACGCAAGAATCTCTGTCGTGTTCTGCAGATGAAGCAACAACCACACGCATCTTTGCAGACGAAGCCGCAGTCTACGATTCGTGTATTACGCCCTGATGAATCTCCGGCCGAGCCTCAAGTCCCGGTTCAAGCGAGTAAACGGCCGCGTCCTGCGGAAGAAGATACTACTCTCCCAGACTCGAAGCGCAAGAAGGCCGTCAAGTCCGAGTCTGGTACAAAGCAAGAGTCCAATACTCCTATGTCAGTGACACCTGCAATATCAAAGGACACACCTGGCGCGCGCAATTCGACCAAAGATTTGCGCACATCAGCCGCCATGAAGCGTGTTGAGTCGACAGATAGCATGGTCAATGGCACACCGCAGTCTTCACGTCAAGTCAACGGCGTCACCAGGCCGTCGCCTTCATCAAGTTCGCGAAGCACGGTCGAGTCGAACGCTTGGAATACCGAGGCAGCACGCATTGGGACTTTAGGTCGCGACTTGAAGCACGCTGTTACAGCACTGGACACTCAAAAACCTAATGGTAGCAACAATGAACCGCGATCCCGCGATATGGCAGCACTCATGTCTCTTGAATCGTTGCTGTTGTTCATGCTCTCCTTCTACTGCAGAGATCGCATGTTTGCTTCTCGGGATCCGCCTCTACCATTGGAAGGCAAGACCACCTGGTTGACAATCCCGGGCTTCGTCAAGTTTGTCCGCGATCGCTGTCAGCACATCTCGATCCTAGATGGGGTGGTTTGTCATCTCAGTGTCGTGTGCAACGCTATGATCATACTGCGATTGTCCGAACGGGCAATGACGCCTGACGAAACGCACCAGTTCCACACTGCCGCTTCAGGAGGGCTCAAGGCTTCGAAAGAAGGGAATGCAAGGTTGCCTCTTACTGCGATGATGACCACTTTCCCAAAAACGTGGAAGAAAGCCATGAACAACCACGGGTCTGCAGCGGGAGCTGAAGAAGATGTCAAACTTGGTCGTTATGCCGGCGATTTCACCTTGCCACTTGGCTTAGACACCGAGCCTCTCATTGCAGTGAGAGTTGGATATGCACTGCTAAGAGAATGGTGTACCAGCAAAGGGCTGAAGTACGAATTCAAATTTGGACTCTGAGCACCAGTTGGGCTCGATCAAATAGTACTTGGCAGACCACGAAGGAGACGAAGCAGGGAAGCATAACATGGAGTTTGGCGGATAAGGCGTTTCTCATGGATTCAACAGATCAACATCGAGCGGATTGATCAAGAACATTTCGGGATTGGCATGGTGAGAACATGATCAAGCATCGGACCACTTCTTTCTTTTGTCATTTGGGTTGCTTGATTGTTAACGTACTGCTGATACCCCTTCCACGACAAGTAGGCAAGACCCCGCTATGCATTTTGATATAGTTTTTAGAAGACAATGAAATTTTTGACATCTTCAAATGCTTCCTCTCTACGGATGTGATGATGTGACTGTACGCTGTTCTCTCTGACTCCAAAACTTCTGGTATTCTTCCTCACCTCTTGGTTTCGCTGGTCCAGATCCTCATGAAAGCTTTGGGCAACGAGATCTCACATGCCTTCGGAAGAGCGGTCCGGCCCGCTGCACGACGTTTTGTCACGGCATCCGAATGACGCTCTTGCAGATGCGCAACTCTCATGCTTGTTCTGACCGTCTTTCTTCAGTTTTCCACACTACCTTATTATGGCGCAACGAGAGATTCCCGGCTTCTATTACGGTAAGGCTTTATCAAACAGACATCCTATAAGACGGCACAGATCTGACGGGCTCGATCACAGATGCTGAGAAGGGCAAGTACTTTCAAGTGCAGGCGAATCATATCGCGCCGCAAGGTGCCAAATACTCTCATGAAAATGTGCGCAAGGAGAAGGAGCAATCTAGAGTAAGTCTCATTTCTTCTGGATGAACTGAAAACTCCTCAAGTGGTGGAATATATCGACCCGCATTCCTCTCGACACAAAAGATCGTTCAAGGTCTTCACAATCAGATACACTGAGCATGAGCGAAATTTGTGTCAGTAGTGGAAAGAACTTTCAAACCCGGTCTTCGAAGAATAGTCATCTCGAAGACATTTCTACGCGGGCAGGTGCAGATGCTCAAAACCACCTTGATGTTCACCCCTGATCTTTAACCTTGACCTTCGATCACCACCGGCTCCTCTATACCCTTTGATAAGGAGTGTTTCGACGTCGGCTCAGATTCTAACACATCTCACAGAAGCGCAAGCGATCCGCGGCTATGAAACAGAAGCGCGAGATGCAAACTGTTCGGCGATCAAGAGTACTGGACTCAGCATCAGCAGCCGGAATAGGATTATGGCGTGAACAGGGACGTTCGCACTTTGCCAACTATGAAGCTCGAATCGCTGCTATGGCTGCGCAGTTCCAAGGCTACGAAACTTTGAGCCTCAAGAGCTGCGAAAGCTGTGGCAAGCGCGACAACATCCACGACTTCTTCATCGACGACGAACTGGATGCAATTCTCATGGCATTGGGCTCCAGAAACTTTGGTAGAGTCCAATTTCTGGGAGAATCACAGAATGCATACGATATTGCAGCTTTCAGATCGGATATCTCGTCAGTCAGCATATCATCATCACGAACGCTTATAGCGACGTCGTACGACCGACAACATCCTGGAAATGTATTTGTGGCAGGAATGGCTGGAAGTATAGACATGGAGGGATCACCGCCAATCTTGGATTCGCCAGCACCATGTTACTCTATGCTAGGAGGACCAGAAACAGCATTATGGACCGCTAGTCCATGTCCGGCCGGCGCTACTCGCGATATCATTGCTATCGGTAGTTCGGAAGGAGTCTACATGCTCGATTCACGTGGCGACCTCCTCCAACATCACCGTCTCAGAGAAGATGTACGGTCCATTGACTGGCTCACACCGACTGTAGCTGTAGGAGGCACGAAATCAGGTCCGGTCTACTTGTGGGATGCCAGAGCAGCAGGAACATCATTACGCTTTAAACACACAAGTGGCGTCACAGGCGTCCGCAGTCTAGGTGATGGTTCACGAGTACTGGTGTCTGGGTTCAAAGGCACCTCCATTTACGACACACGCATGACTTCCAGGCCAAAGGGTCCACACACACCCTCACCGGCTCTTCTCCGTATGGCGCCTATGAAGACAGAGTTCCCGAAAGTGTCCATGGACGTCCTGACAGATGCACAACTTCTCGCGACTGCGGACGACGATAATGTCATTCAGCTGCATTCGTTGTCCAGTGGAAAGCTGATGGGTAGTCTCAATGGAGCTAATCCGAGCAAGGAGAAGGGACGGATTCACAGAATGCGCTTTGTGCACTCGTCTGACGATAGACCGACGCTGATGGTATGTCAAGGGTCGAGGTTGTACGAGTGGTCATGGGGGGGTGCTTTGGATGATGAGGGTTGATGGGTTGGATTTATTGCATTTGCGTTCTGTTCCTACGGTTTGGCATGGCGTTAATGGGTGGGGAGCATACATATACCCCCTTGAATGACATATGATATAGCGGTGTTTCCATCTCTTGAGTTTCTCTGCCTTGTTGGCTATCAACATCCATGGAAATCTCCATAATTATGCAACTGTGATTTATGAAGCGGCACAATCGCACAGACCACACGCGTCCCAATCGGGAAGTTTGCGACTCTTGAATTTGAAAGTGAGCACAAGTTAACTGCAACTTCAGTCACACATCACGGACCGACCCATATACGAAAGACGTACACTCAGCAGTCAGCTATTACTTCTCTCCATCAATCCATCGCCAACGACAAAGCTATTCATCACGACCTGCGTCTCCTCTTCTACCCGGCGCATCACAAACCCTCCAACCACTCTTTCCACAAAAGACTCTCTACACATCTCACCGCCACGTCAACCAAACCACTCCACACACGCACAACGACCGCTGCAACCATGAGTGACGCCGAGGACGACTACATGTCCATGTCCTTCGCCGACCCCCCACCCCCCACCAACCCAAAAACATCCCTCCAACGCCACCAAGAACGCCTGCGCATCGCATCCCTAAAATCGCACCCGGCGACCAAAAAACAACTAGAAGCCGAAGCGGAAGCCGCCCGCGAAAAAGCCCTTGCCACCTCAACTCTCACCCCTACCTCCAAGGGCGCGCAAATGATGGCCAAAATGGGATTCAAAGGTGGGGCGTTGGGTAAAAGCGCAAATGCGAGGACGGAACCGATAGAGATCAATGTGAAAGAGGGGAAAGGCGGTATAGGTATGGATAATGAGAAAAAGCGCAAGATACGGGAAGCGATGGAGGAGCTTCAAGGTAAAGAAAAGAAGCAAAAGGCGGAGGAGGGTGAATATCGTATACGCGTTGCCGCGGAGAGGGAAGAAAAGAAAAAGGAAGGGCAGTGGTGGGGTGCGATGAAGGTGTGTGAGAAGTTGGACACAGAGGAAGAAGAGGAAAAGACGGGGAGGAAGGCAGAAGTCCCAGCGAAGAGGGCGAATTTGCTGTGGAGGAATTTGGCAATGCAGAGGGAACAGAGGGATAGAGATAGGGTGTTGCGCAAAGGAGCTTTGGATTCGCTGTCATCGAGGTATCAGGATGATGAAGCTGATGCGGATGATAAATTGGCCATGGGCACGGAAATCGAAGAATATGAGGATGAAGAGGATAAAGAGTTGGATGATTACAACGCTTTGGAGATTGGAGAAAGACTTGACAAAGTGGTCGAGTACTTGCGGAAGACCTACCATTATTGCTTCTGGTGCAAATACAGGTACCCAGATGAGCAGATGGAAGGATGCCCGGGCTTGACGGAAGAGGAACATGATTGATGATGACGAAGAATGAGAAGAATGGAGTGGTGTTTTGATACACAATAATGCTACTGTACATATATGATACCCAAAACCCAAAAACCTAGATGCCTATCTCTACATAATGTACAAACTCTTTGTATTAAACGTTCGAACAGTCCTTGTCGCCGGTGCCAATGTCCGGGCACTGCATGGCTTGAGCAGCCTGCCGAATACTACTCTCCGCCACTTCAGCATCTTCATGCACTCTGACCAACACCAATCTGAGAAACTCGGACAGCAGATTCAGACTCTCCTCCTTGCGAGCCTCAACATCCAAGGCAGTGATGTCAACACCTCTTTCCAGAGCGGCTTCCGCACGCTTCTGTGCAAGAGTAGCCATGACTTTGGACGTATTCTTCAGGCGGGCGGCAGAAGCGGGCAATTGTTGGCGACCTCTACGACCGCGGATTGTAGTCGGTTGAGCCTCTGCCATATTCGCAACGCCAGTCATGATGATACGAGCAATATCAGGATCAGGGAACTCCTTGTAGGTGCGGGCAATGCCATGCAGAGCGACCAAACACCCAGCAAAGTCCTTGTTCAAGCAGAAGCTAGAAATGATCTTTGCGTAGACTTCCGGAGTGAACTCTTTGATGAGTAAGGCTTGCTTCCTCAAGTCGTAGTGTTGAAGCCAGCTGGTCATGAGTCCAAACAGTTGACGTGGGGTGGGGTAGCCTTTGCGGTCTTTGTTTCTGCTTAGCCTTGGGTTGAGATGCTCCAGTTGGGCTGTCCAAAGGATGTTGTAGGTCTCGATATCGGGAGAGACGTGTTTTGCTTCTGAGAGGAATCGTTGCCATAATCTCGAGTCGTCGTGATAGGTGTTGAAGACCATGTTGAGTATGTGGTTCAAGAAGGCTGTATCCATCTTGTACTCCGCAGGACGTCTCATGCGGTCAAGATGATGAATCAGTGCCCACTTTTCCTTGATGCCGTAATGAAGAGCCAGAACATTGAAAGTCTCGATGGTCGCTGTCGGTACTGGACGTGCCACATGGGCGGGTATCTCCACACCTTCTTCGGTCTCGCGCACCGAGGGTACGACTTCGGTGCTTTCGCCTCGTCTTGCCCTGCGCTCGTTGTACTTGAGTAACAGTCTTTGTTGAATCATCTTCCAAGCCATCTGTTCACCCCGCTCCTGCAACTCCGGAACGGCAGAGCGGAAGAAGCCTCCGATGAGACCATTGATGTGTTTTGGGTCTGGCTCGATACCTCGTTCATACATCAGTTCAACGACCTTGGTGGCGGCTTCGAGTTGCCGCATTCCGATCAACTTCTTGAGCCAACTGCCGTAGAAGAACTTGTTATGCCATGGTGTGGGCAGAGCGCTTAGAGATTTGAGGGAGATAGCGTTGACCTCACCGGCATCTCTTGCAGACTCAGTCAAGCGCTGCATACGCTCAAAGACCTTCTCGTAGGCTTCGTTCTGGCCTGTGACACCAAGAAACTCTTCCGAGATTTGTTTGTTGGGACCACGCAACATCATGTCGCGAAAGACAGCCAGAGCGTAGTCCTTCTTATTATGTTCGAGGAAGGTAAGAGAAACAACATCGTAGTCTTCCATGTTCATCTTGTCGCCAAGTTTTTGGCTCATGAGGACGTAGCAACCAAATGCCATTTCGTCCTTTCCAGCACGAAGATCAGCGGTGAGGATGGGCAGGATGATACGAGGGTCATGTTCAGGGAAGAGCTCGAACAGCTGCATCAATATAGTCTGGGCCTTCTCCAAGCGTCCATTCTCGGAGAAAAGTCGTACACCAAGTCTGAGAAGAGACTCTGAAGGATCGGACGTGGAGTCATAGGCCTGCTGCCAGGAGATGATAGCCTGATCAACCTTGCCGAGAGCAAGCAGAGTGTCGATGAGAACCAGAGGCTGATCGGGCATGATGTTCAAGTCGATTACAGCCATGTCGCGCAAGAGTTGCTCCATGTGATCCAGACGGTCGGGGTTTGTGGGCGAATCTACAGATTGCAGATCCCAGAGCAGGCGCCAGGCCTTCTTAGGGATCATGCTCGATAGAGCAGGAATGCTGTATTTTGCACGACCGTACCATCTCCAAAGCTCTTTACGGCGGGTAATCATAGCTGGAGCGATAGCGGCTTCGCGAAGGGCTTGGTTGAATTTCTTGAGAAGCGGTACGGTCAAGGGAGGCATGTCTAGACTGACGGTGAGGCCTGATGTGAGATCTGCCTCATGCTTGTTGCGCTCCTTCAGGGCCTTTTCCACTTTTGCTCGGTCTGCGGGCTCAAGAGCAGCCAGCATATCCTCGTCTGACTCTTCATTGCGGTATTCCTTCAGCTCCCTTTCCAGCGCAGCAATCTTCTGTCTCAATTCTTGTGCTTCCAGCTCTTCAGGATTGCCTTCGACGCGACGGGTGACTCCAGTTTCCATATCTTTCTCGAACCAGCGAATTGCTTCCTCCTCTTCATCTCGTGGTTCGTTGGGAGATCTGACAGGGCGTGGCGGTTGTTCGGCAGCGAGTCGTTTGTTTCTGGCGATGATGCGCCTAGTAGAGCCCGAAGCGAGGCGACATGCTTGTTGAAACAGTCGCGGTTGTAAAGTGCTTCTCCTCAGGCTGAAGACGTGCATCAAGTCTGCTGAGATGATTGATGTCAGGCGGTTCAGAAATTCGCAGAATTGCACGTCAAGAAACCCCCAAACTTTTTACTTCTGGTAGCTTCGTCATTGCTGTTGCCAACACAGCCCGGTCGAATTCTCAACACACGTTCCACTCGGCTTAGTCTGTCCCGAATGTTTACCTCTCTTTGAGCCTTTCATTGAATATCGCCAAAGTCATGGATTTCCAGACTTGCTACCAGTATGATCCTTCGGCCCGTAAGAGGGACGGGCCAGTCAAGAGACGCAAGATTGAGCCGTTGCAAGGTCTCCAGACTTCTTGGCCACTTCGTCGCTCCCTGTACCAGCGTTTATGGGCCAAACAGCAAGCACGTCTGAAGGTATGCTTATTCTTTCCCTTTCCAACCGATCAATCTAACAAAACAAGATCTTACTACTCGAAATCAACGAATCTACCATCAGTCAGATTTCTGCTTTCGTCGAAACCACAGACCCTGAGCCAGCCCCTGGCAGAATATCTTCGGCCATCATTCTTACTGGTCCGAGCATTGCATCACATGCCTTGCTATTTTCGCAACTTTCCAACAGAATCAGTCAAACGGAGCAAAGCATCTTTGTTTCTCTGACATCTAGCTTGGCACCGAATCTCAAGACATTGCTCAAGAATCTCATCGCGAAGGGGACATCTTCAAACGCTCAGTCTGATGATGAGGACGAGGTTGATGCAGTCAAGCCAACGCGGAAGCGAACACGACTTTTGAATTACGACCTTCAACTATTGTACGACTACGTACAGGAGAAGAACCTGTCTAGAGTAGTCGTTGCGTTTCAAGATTGTGAAGCCTTTGATGGTGCCCTGCTGTCAGATGCAATTGAGCTCTTGACGTAAGTTTACTCCACTCATGATTCTTCTGACAATTCTTACTGATCGTTTCACAGCCGCTGGCAAGACAGAATACCTTTCGTCTTCTTCTTTGGAGTAGCTACCTCAATTGAGAACTTCCAAGTCAAGTTGTCCAAGAAAGCCACACGATGTATTCAAGGTCAACGTTTCGATGTCGTCAAAGCAGAGAGTGCTCTCGAGCAGGTGACTGAGGCTTTGTACTCCGTCTCTGATTCGGAAGCACCAAGACTGTGGATGGGTCCCGGCATTTGTTCAGCTACACTAAGACGTCAACGAGAGCACATTCAAAGTCTGGACGCTTTCGTCGACAGTGTGCAGGTATGAGGACATCAAACCATGTTTACTGAACCACATGCTGATAGGCTGTAGTATGCTTATCTATCACACTTCTATGCCAATGCTCTCAGTATCTTCTTGGACGAGACTGTGGCGCCTGCGGATATCTCGAATGAACACCTAGAAGCAGTACGAAATCTGCCTTCTTTCCAACAGTATGTTGCAGACATCCCAGACGCTTTTTCTTTCTAACAACCATAGATATATCGAGACGCTCCTCGAAGATGGCGAGACTTCGATACCCAGACGTCTGCTAGATGACGACCAATACCTTCTGGAACATATCAAAGACCGGATTGTATCTGGCACCAAAGCCCTCGGGGCAATCTTGGACACTGTCGAAACAATCGCGATGCTGCAAAAACACATCCCTGCATTGCAACAACAACTCAAATCAGCCCTTCTTGTCGATGCGCTTTCAGGTCAACTCAAAGACTCAATCTTCGAGAGAAACTTATTTCTGTATCTCAAAAAGTCAAATTCGGAGGCTCTATTATTGACATTACAGGACATGTTAACAGTCACATCCGGGAATCTGCACAAGACTTGCAGAAAGCTACTCAAAGACCTCGAAAAGCTTCAAGCGCAACAAGAAGAAGGTGGTGCACCTCTTCGCAGCGAGCAAGACCTCCACAACGCTACTTTGAGAACAACCGTCGTCGCCAAGAAGGTCGAGTTGAGCAAGCAAAAGTCTACACTTACCAAAGGCGATGCTGCCTACTCCGACATCCTGCGACAGTTCGTAGAAGCACTAGAAACTCAGTTTGAAGCCACCCTCATCAACCCGAAAGATTTGGTCTTCAACGAGATTTTCATGTATGACCTCAAGTCACCACACAAAGATGTCTTCACACCGAAGCCTCGAGGTGCCATCGAGCGTGCGCTGTCATCTCCCCACGATTATCTGGACTGCGAGTGCTGTGCGCCGGATGCAAATGGTGATGAGAATACTTTGGCATCAACACAGCCGTCGACTGCTATCCTTTATCAACTTTACCTGGAGAGTGGAGCTTTGATGAATGTTGCGGATTTGCGAACGGCGTTCGTGACGATATTGGGCGATGACCAAGATGAGGTTTTGACAAAGTGAGTAATTTTGAAGTGGGTGTTTCGAACATATGGCTAATTTGGCGTACAGTGCTCTGTTCCAGCGCTCTCTGGCTGAGCTGCGATACCTAGGACTGGTGAGAGGAACAAGGAAGAAGGCAGACCACGTCATGAAGATATCATGGAAAGGAGTTTAAAGTCATACAGGTCATGAATGCGTTACTCTAAAAATACGGAGTCCAATATATCTACTAGTCCAACTTCCCCATTTCAAGCTTCCAGAGTCTCAAGCATGAGGACCTGTTCTCATCTTCTCCATAACCTCTGGCTTGGGCTTGACATCACAAACCTCACCACAATTCTTACACTTCCTCGCCTCCAAGTCCTCCCCAAAGGCATTAACAGCCTCCTTGATCTGACTCCCCAAATCCGTACACACGAAAGCAGCCTCATGCACCGTCTCCCCACAACCCTGACAATACCACCTCAATCTATCCACCTCCCCCTCCGGCCTCGGCAACTCAATGACCACACCCACCGTATCCGCAAAGCGCACAGGATTATGCGGTGTATTCCCGGGCAACAAGAACATCTCGCCCTCTGAGATGTAGATATCGCGGAACTCGTTGGTGACGGGGTCTACAGTTTTCAACAGCATGCGGCCCCGGTATTGGTAGAAGAATTCGGGGGTGGAGTTGATGTGGTAGTCGGTGCGGGCGTTGGGGCCGCCGACGATCATGACGGTTAGGGGGTCGGAGTAGACGCAGTAGTTGTTGATGGGGGGTTTTAGGAGGTGTGAGTTTTCGGAAAGCCTATGGTGAGTGGAGTGTTAGAGATGATTTAGATGGATGTATGGGATGGTATGATATGGGAAGGGTAGGCGTGGGTGCGTGGTGGATGTGGTGCAGAAGATGGCAGACCATTTGGGCAGGTTCAGTGGCGAGCCTAGTGGTGTGGTGGGCGGTGAGAATGGCTTGCTGGTTGTGGGTGTGGGTGTCGACGACGGGTTTGGTATAACGGATAAATTGGCCCTGGCGATGCGTGGGACCACTGCTGGTGTGCGTGCGGTAGCTGCTCGTCGCAGAGCTTGTCTGCTCAATGTCCTGAATGGCTGCATGATGTTCGTATGTGCTATGAATTGTATGAAGCAAGAAAACAACGACACGGCAACTTCGGAATTATGATATGAAATCGCGTCTCTGCGTCATGGAAATCAAGGGTCCTCAATCGTGGAGAAAGGTACAATGCCAAGACCTGTAGAAGACCGTTTCGAACCGCGCTAACTCTATCTCCGTATGGGCCCAGCCTCACGTTAGGCTGAGACTCGTAAGACGGGTCGAATTATCGATTTCCCTTATCGAACTTCTATTCCTCTTTTCTTCTTCGAATCTTCTGCGATACCAGAGACATCACACATAATGGATCACTCACACATGGATCACGGCAACATGGGTCACGGCGGCATGGACCATGGCGGTATGGATCACGGAGACATGTGCAACATGAACGTAAGACCAGACCATCTCCAATCCTACTCTAGTCTTCCACATACCAGACTTGAGGAAATGACTGATCACGACACTAGATGCTTTTCACATGGGACACAAACAACCTCTGCATCGTCTTCAAATCCTGGCGCGTCACCTCGACCATGTCCCTCATCTGGTCCCTCCTAGGCGTTGTCATCCTCACAGCCGGCTACGAACTCATCCGCGAACTCTCCCGTCGCTATGAAGCCAAAGTCCAGAGAGAAATCGACGATCTACCGAGTAAGTGCTCCTTGCCTCCATCCTCTCCCCCTCTCACCCTTCATATCCTTGTTTTCCGCCTTTACCATCTCGGCCTTTGGCCCTGATGTTTTGTCTTTGCTTGCTTGCTTGCTTGTTACATCCCCGGTTTTTTCGAAATCAACCCAGACAAGTTGGCTAAAATGGCATGACCTTTTTTACAAAGATGATGGTGAAGGAAGCTCATTGCTCGCGTCAGGACGAAGCGCCGCCGATGCGCATGCAAAGTCGAAGACCATCAAGGCTGCTTTCTATGCCGTTCAGGTCTTTTACTCGTTTTTCATCATGTAAGTCTTTTCTTCCTTCCCGTTGGCTGTTTCGGTGTACTCATCGGGTCACAGGCTACTTTTCATGACTTATAATGGCTGGATCATGTTGTCTGTTGCTGTGGGTGCGTTTGTGGGATACTTGGTCTTTGGTAACTCTACAGTGACCAAGAGCGCTGCTTGTCATTAAGAGATGAGGCCAGGGAGAGAGACGCATTTTTTGCATGGTTCACCAATCGCGACGGAAGTAGGGAGCATAAGGTGCAGTAATGTACAAAAACGCTTGATTTTTGAAACGGAATATGGATCTACTTTTCCAATTTTTCTACATGTCGTTTAGACGACTACCCATTTAACGCCTTTCGCTTTGATTAGATAACTCATCCCTCCATTTCTTCATCCTCATCCTCTTCTTCTTCGCCTTCGGCGGCATCTACGCTGAACGTAGGTGCTTGATCAACGCCAACATATGAATCACTCATCAAGAACAAGGTCAAGTCGTGCTTGCCAGCTGTGGGAACGGTAAAGTCCAAGCGAACCTTGAGCTCGCGGCCAATAGTGACCTTCTTGATGCTGAGCAGGTTCTTTGTGCTCTCCTCGCCAACGACCAACCACCAGTTCTCGATCTTCTGGGCAGGGTAGAAGGGAGCGTGAACAGTGAGGTTAGGCTCTTGGTCTTCGTCAACATCACGCTCAATGCTGACATTGATGAAGCTAGGCTCGCCGGCAGTGACGTTCTCAGCATCTTCAAGCTCGAAGTTGAGCTCGATGTTGGGATAGCGCTCGTTGGTGAAGCGAGCGGCATCGCCCAATTGTTGGTTGCTAAGACGCATGCTCTTGACCAATTTCTCGTAGTTGGGGTTCTCGGAAGGATCCATAGCATCCATGAACTCGAAAATGTCGTTGATGCCGTTGCTGTTGACGGCCTCGATGACCTCGGGATCGAAGTGAGGAACCTGCTTAAGTGGTGAGTCACGGTCCCACATGGATTGAACAACCATCTGGCTCATCTCCATGGCGCTCATGGCGTTGAGGTGGGCTTCTGATGACAGCACATCAACACAAGCGCTCAACAAGACGAGAACCTTCTTGAGAATCAGCTCTTGATCCTTGGCAAGATCCACAGGCAGTTGCATGCGCGAGAAGTGCGCTTGCAGCAGGATGAAGGCCTTGAAGTGAGGTGATTCGAAGTTGACTTCAGCAAGCTTGACAGGTACACGGTCGTAGATGCGCGAGAGAATGCGCTCTTCGTGACGGCGGCACTGAATGTCTTCGAACTCAGTTGCAGCAGTGACAATCTCGAGGATACCCTTCAGCTTGGTAGTCTTCTTCAACGAAAGCAAGAAGGTCTGCATAGTGATGAAGGAGATGTTGTAGTAACCAGCGATCATGGCAGCGTTGAGGGGTGTGATTGAACCATCGTCTTCTTCGTCGACCTCGATGATGTTTGCATCGGTCAAGTCCTTGAGAGTGGACTCAATCAGCTCAGAGAGGTGGTAGTTGAATGCATCTTGTGTCGTATCAGTAAGACCGTAGAAACTGGGATTGGCCATCAGACGACGGTAGAAGTAGGTGTAAGTGAACCAATTGATGGCATCCTGAGTGTCCTCAATTGTCTTAGTACTGATCTCGGTCACAAAGACGTCGTGCAAGAAGGCTTGCAATTGACTCTCGACGGGAAGTGCCTCTGTCAAGAACTTCTTGTAGTAATCTCTCTTAACAGCAGGGCACATGAGAACACCTCGTGCCTTCTTGTCTTCCATAGGTCTGCCGGCCTTTCCAAGCATCTGTAGGATCTCGCTGATGGGGTAGTCGATATAGCGATGCTCCCGACCCTCAAAGAATTGAGTACCCATCACAATGACCATGTGAGCAGGTGTCTGGACCTCCCAAGCACAATCTCTAGAGACGAGCATGACTTGGATCGCGCCAGCCTTGAAGAAGTGCTCAACGGCACGCTTGTCGAAAGGACTGAGGGCCTCATGGAAGTAACCAATACCGTGCGACAAAGACTCGGCCAAGGCACGTTCATTAATCTTCTCCAAGACAGAAGAGATGTCCTCAAGGTTGGCGTTGAGGAAGCGATCCTCTTGGTCGTCCGCGACGCAGGTTGCAAGCAAATCGATGGCAGTTGCACGGACCTGCTTGCGGTTGGGGATGAACACCATAGCGGGCTGACCAGCGGCAAGTTGTGCGATAGATTGGTACACAGGCTTGACCATAGCCAGCATAAGAGAAGGGAAGTGAGGAATGGTGAAAGGTTGGATGTGGAGCTCGAGAGGGATCTGACGGTACTGAGGGCTGAAGTTGAAGATGGTGTGCTTGCTAGCGCCAAACCACTCACCAACATCGCGGGCGTTGGAGAGCGAGGCACTGAGACCGATTATACGAAGACCGTTCTCGAGCTGCTTGCTGATGGCGTGGCTTCGAGATACAACAGTCTCGTAGACGTAGCCATTTTGGCCTCCAATCATGTGAAGATCATCAGCGATAACAAGTGTCACAGCCTGAACGTTCTTTCTACGTTGCCACATACGAGACATCATGTCCCACTGTTGAGGAGTGGCAAGGATGAGATCTCCTTCACCAAGCAACTTGAGATCGGCAGTGGTCTCACCAATAAGCTTAACGATCTGCTTGCCACCAGCAATTCCGGTCAGACGTGATTGCCAGTCCTTGTAGCGAGCGTCGATGGCTTCTTGGAAAGGTGCAATGTAGACGGCCTTGCCATCACCTTGACTCCAGTGACGGAGGAGAGCAAATTCAGCACAGACAGTCTTGCCACTACCGGTTGAAGAACCAACGAATACGTTGTCATCCGAGGCGTACAACGCATTGAACGTTTGAGTCTGGATCTTGTTGAAACGTTCCCAGTCAGGGTAAAGGTTCACGAACTCCTCGCGCTTGAGAGCAGCAATAGGAAGAGGCTGCAAGTCCAAAAGAGGCGTGTGAGGAGGGAACTTCTCGGGCAAGATGAGCTTCTGGAAAGACACTGCCAGGCGTGCCTCAGAGTGCATCCATCTGTCTGATAGAACAGTGATGAAGTAGTTAGGAGGCATAGGCTCAGTGATGGGAACAGTGAACTCCACAAGGTGCTCGTTCATCTCAGCCTCAGCATATTCTTTGCGAAGGACAAACTGGTCGTGGAACAAGATTTCCTCACCGTCACAGTCCTCTACCAAGATCCAGAAACTCTCAGACTTGCCATGTAGATTCTCGTCCCACTCGAACTTGGGTGAGATGGTAAGCTCGACACGAAGCATGGTTCGTGTCATGGGCTGCACCTGGGCCTGAATCTCCAAGCGAGGGAATTTCTGGACCAAAGCACAAACTTGTCTACCAGCTCTGGGCATACCAAGAAGCTCACCCATGCGAGGAGGGTCAAGGTCAAAGTAGCTCGACCATGGCACGTCGATACGTTCAGCTTTGCGGACAATATCGGCAGGGCACTCTGGAAATTGTCTGAGTGGTGACATGGTTGGCCACATACGTTTCTCAGCCATCATGCAAAGGTTGAGAGCATCCTTGACAACTGAAGCCAGACCCTTCTTGAGCGCAATCTCGAATACAGCTCTCAGAATACGGCCAGCAGATTGTGTGACGTAGACCAAGTCAGCCATAAGAGCAAGACCGTCAAGCTTTAGACGAGATACGTATGCTTGGAGCAAGACGTTAATCTTGCAGTTGGGCTCGTCAATAGTCTCCTTGACAGGGATAGGAACTCTTCCAAGCAGCTTTGCGAGCTCAAGCTTCTCGTCTTGACGAACGGGAATGTACTTGAACTCTTCGCTGAGAGCGAAGACACGGAACAGCTCGATAGGTGTGATCGATGGCTGAATCTGCTGGTTGTAGGTCAACATTGATTTGTGAGTGATGTAGTAGTGGGATGCAATGCGACCAAGCTCTGTCGACACAATGCGGCCTGCACGTTTGTCATATTTGACAAGGTTTGCTTGCTCCAGAAGCAAGGCGGCTGAATGAATCAGATCGACGCGCTTCTGTTCCAGGGTTTCGTCATCCTCATAGTCTGCTCCGACTTGGTATAGGGCTGGCGATCGCAACATACGCACGAAAAGGTATGTGTAACCCAGCCATTCGACACCCTCATCACGAGTGCGGACATTTCCAAGAACAACTTCAGCGTTGAGGTTATCTGCCAGTTTGCTAACAAGCTGACTTTCGATAGGGAGCTGCTGGTTCAGCAATGACAGGTAGTACTGAATCTCTTGTTGCGTGGTGATGATGATACCTTCACCGTAAGTATCGTATTGTGGACGACCAGCACGACCAAGCATTTGGAGGACATCTTGAGGAGACAGCTCAACCCAGCTGCCCTTTTCAGGAGAGTAAATCTGAGTGCCCTTAATGATGACAGTATGAGCTGGAAGGTTGACACCCCAGGCGAGAGTAGCTGTGCAAACGAGTACTTGGACATCACCGGCAGCAAACAACTCTTCAACTGAGTTACGATCGGCTCTGCTCATACCAGCATGATGGATACCGAAACCGTAAGGAAGCAAGTCCTTCAGATCAGCGTTGGTAACGCTTTCAGCTTCTTCGGTAAGAATCTCTCTGCTGGCAGCATCATGCTTCAGGATTTGGCCGATGGTGTCAAGCTCAAGAGCTTTGTCGCGAATGTATTTTGCTGTCTTCGCAGTCTCTTTACGAGAGTGTACGAAGATCAGCATCTGGTTACGCTGCTGACCAACTTGCTCGAGAACCTTGTTGTAGCAAATATCGTTCATGGTCTTGAGCTGCTTGATTGCCTTCTTCTCGGTGACACCAATGAACTCCTGCTTCAGAGGACAAGGTCTGTAGGTACCGTCGAAATGGAAAAGACCCTTCTGCATGTCGACTCTGAGGAAAGTAGCAACATCGCGGTAGTTGGGAAGTGTAGCACTGAGACCGACGAGACGAACGGGTTCACCAGTCTGCTCGATCTTGCGAATTTGTCTACTCACAATGCTCTCAAGAACTGGACCACGGTCATCGTGAAGCAAATGAATCTCGTCGATACAGATCAGACGCACAAGATTCGTGTAGCTTGTATCTGTGGCCTTGCGGGTGATGACATCCCACTTCTCAGGAGTTGTAACGATGACTTGGGTCTCGGCAATCTGTTGCTTGGTGAGTTGGCGATCACCTGTCAACTCTGAAACCTTGATACCGTAAGGTGCAAGACGGGCACCGAAGTTTCCGACCTGTTCTTGGACCAAGGCTTTCAAAGGAGCGATGAAAATGATTTTAAAGGCGTCCAAGTCGATTTCGCCAGTCTCCGGGTTACGGTGCTTGCCAATCTCGCGAAGCATCGCAAGCATAGCCACGTTCGTTTTGCCAGATCCGGTAGGTGCGCAAATCAGCATGTTACCGTCGTCCTTGAATGCGGTTGGGAAGCATCGCGTTTGAATGCGGTTGAGCTCCTTAGAGCTTCCAAATCCAATGCGAGCCCACTCAGGTAACTCGGTAGTAGGCAGATTAGGCGTTTCAAAGTCCTCGCGCTTACGCTTAGGTGCTGGTACGTGGATCTCGTCGTAGCCCTTGAAGGTGCGCTTGGTAGATCCTTGCGGTAGCTTCACGCTGGGGTTGGTCATTAGATGGTTGCCTTGGTCGAAGACAAGGTTCTCCAGGTTGATGTTTCTGCTCGGTTGGAGACCTCCAACAAGGCCCTCCTTCTTCTCTTCAGCGTCAGAAGGCTTTCCGGTCGCGGTATCCAGATCCATGAGATCAAATTGCATCTTCCCTGAGGCCTGTCCATCCGTGCCTTGTTGGCGAGTCTTGAGCTCCTTGAGAATGCTTCCATGTCCAGCCTGAACCATTTCACGCTCGACAGCCACGCGAGCGGGCTCATCCTCACCAGCTCTTCTCCATCTCGTTACCCAGACGACCTTATCCCTGTTCTTGACAAGCTTCGAGACCAGCTCGGGATGCTCGTAATCGAAAAGCTCCATCAAGTCGTTCTCAACGTCGCGCAATTGCTTTTCCTCGCCATCTTCGTTCAAGCCAGACATCATATCTAGTGCTTGTGATGTCTTATCTTGCTGAATATGTGCATCTTCGTAGAGTTGTCCTATTTGTCGTTGAAGCCAGAAAGCGTCGATTTCGTGAGCGGGTATAACGTCCTCTTGTCCGGCCTTTGCAGAGCGAGTTGCGGTCGGAGCGGAGAAAACTAGGTCTTCGTCATCGCCTTCGGCAGCCATATCTTCGACACCGGCGTCTCCTTCAACAACGTTTTCCGGGTCCTCGATGATGTTCTCGTCATCTGAATCTCCTTCTCCATCGCGAACCTCGTAATTTTGTCCTTCCTCCTCATCCTCATCACCAAAGTCGACAGCAACACCCTGACGGTCATCGATATCCGCGCCTTCGCCGGCATCATCTGCGTCACCCATGTTCTCATCTTCGTCCTGTGCGTCATAGTCGGTGATCTTCTTGCCTAAGTTGACAAGCTCGTTAAATTCCTTTGAAGATAGATTGACACCGACAATATCGTCAATCTCCCTCTTCTTGTCAAAGTCTTTGAGGTCCTGATCCTTCAAATATTCCAGGATGCTGTCGGTGGCACTGGCTGTGATGTGAAGACCGTAGTCGCCTCCCATCTTTTGCGCTACCAGCGTGTTGATCAATGTGTAGGTCGCTTGGGTCGCCGGCGTGCGAGGACGGTATCGCAGACCTTCAATGTTGAGGTCTGCTTGTGATAGAATGCCAGAGGCGCGGGCACTTTGCGCGGGTTCTGCTCTCTTGCGATTCCTTTGGGCGTCTTGTGCGGCGGGTTGTGCAGGTGCAGACTCGCGGGCATTGCGCGAGCCCATATCGTTAAGGTTGATGCGACCAGCAAGTGACTCGGGATCACCTGTACTGTCATCACCTCGGCGCGTGATGAATCGACGGTCCGCCTGGAGGACCAGGTTGGACATGGCCGAGTACTTGTACTGGTTGAGTCTCTTTGCATCTTCATTTTCGGCCATGATGACGGTTGTGTAGTGTTGGTATTGAGCGGCGGGCGACAGACGTAGTTGGATGGCTCCCTACGCGTGTGCTGCCTTGACAGATGCTTTCTCTGACCCAGAGCTTCGCGAAAGGCACCAAGCGGCGAACATTGTTTCCGCGCTTGGCACATGGGCTTCCGCTCGTCGCAGAACGTTCCGCCCTTGGCAGTCGCTCTCGGCTTCAGCTTTCCAGATCTTCTGAGTTCCCGCGTCTAGGAGCACAGACGTGGTTTTCCAAGTTCGTCGAAAAAGCTATTCAGCAACATTGCTTTTGTTATAGGGCGTGTGCCAAGCTACCGAGAATCTGCTATCGCAATGCATAACATCATTCTCCTGTAGATAGCAGAAGCATAGCAAAACATTCGGATGATCCGTTGCAGGGATCCTGCTCTACAACAACCCTGTTTCAAGGATATTCGCATGATGAGGTTGAGTCTGGTCTTCTCGCATGGAAGCCGCGCAGCACAGCCATGCGGCATATATGAGACCATGTGCGGTCTTTATGAGACCAGACCGTTGATCGTGGCGCATGCGGGGAGCTCATCGTCATCGCGGTGAATCTCCCGCTGCGCTGCCTGGAGCTTTGTCAATCGCGTTTCCTACAAGATCTCGACCTTCCCTCGTCTTTCCTTTTGTTCACCCATTAAACTTCGGCGGACAAGTACAAGGTACCTGTCGCTAATATATCAAGATGGTCTCGCTGTGGGGATCAAAAAACGACGACGAGCAGGCCGACGATGGCTCGACTACACCCAGAGGTTCGACTGAAGATAGCAGACGGCCTCCTTCAAGACGCTCCTACGAGCGAAGAGAGCGTGAAGCAGATGAGAGAACCAGACTCTTGCCTGCTCAACCCCGTCCTCCTCACTCAGATGGTTATCTCGACCCCGATGACCCAGCTGTGAGTCGCAATCCCTCCGTCGCCTTATCACCGTACTGACAACCATAGGTCTCACCTTACAACCTATGGACCGTCCGCTTTTTGAGATACCTCACCGTTCTGTTCTTCCTCATCAACTTCATCTGGTGGGTTCTGCTCTTCGTGAGCATCTTTGTCTCTCCTCCCGGTCTGCACACCAGAGGTTCTGGCTTCTTCGACTTTTCCTACACCACCCTGACTGCCGGTAACCTTCTGGTCGCCATCCTCTTCTTCGCCGCACCATCCAAGGCCATGCGTATCACCATGGGCATCATCACCGGTATCTTGGCCATTGATCTGATCATGATCCTTGCCCTTCCTCGCCTGAGAGTTGAGGAGGGCTGGCCAGGTATCGCCTCGATCGCATGGGCTACACTCATTGGCCTTTGGTGTGTCATTACCGACAGAGTTGTGGCCTGGGGCAAGCGCGAGGAAGAGGAGCGTCTTACTGGTCGTGCCGAGACACGCAGAACACTGCGCGAGTGGCTGGCTGTTTCTCTGGCTACCTTGATCCTCATCGTCTACGCTGTCATTGCTGTCCTCATGACCGCAACCCTCGTCTTGCGTGCTCGCGATGCCACATTGGAAATGGACGGTGAGCGCTACTACGTTGACGGCGACAAGTACCAGGTCCACCTTGCCTGCTTGGGCAATGTCACCTACAACGCTGCTGGCGATGCCAACCCCACTCTCTTGCTTGAAGCTGGCGAGGTTCCTTCTGAGTACGACTTCGAGCATTGGGCTTATGCAGCCTACCAAAACGGCACCATTGACCGCTACTGCTACTGGGATCGTCCTGGCTACGCTTGGTCTGACAGCGCTCCCAGCCCCCACAGCGCCGGTATGTCCGCTGACGCTTTGTCGGAGGCTTTGGCTGTTGCCGGTGAGGAGGGTCCCTTCATCTTGGTTTCTGCTGGCTACGGTTCCATCGTTTCGCGTATCTTCTCTGCTCGTCACGTTCGCAACATTGCCGGTATCATGATGATCGACCCTCTTCACGAGGACCTCCTCCACCGCATCGGTGGTGCCTACAGAGGTTTCGTTCTTTGGGGCTGGGGTATCATCTCACCCCTCGGTCTCCAGCGTAACTTCGGTGCCATCTTCAACGGTCGCACTCGCGAGGACCGTGTCTATGGCCGTTCTGCTTACCAGGGTGGCAAGTTCATCAAGGCCCAGCTCCAGGAGAACCTCATCGCCGAGTCCTTGACCAAGAACGAGGTCGCCAGCGCCCGCACCATTCAGACTCCCGACGTCCCTCTCGTCATCATCAGCAGTGGCATCAGCAACCGCCGTGACAGCGAGTGGGAGCGCAAGCAACGCGACCTTACCAAGCTCACCGAGAACCTCATCAGCTGGGATGTCGTCAACAAAGCACCCCACGAGGTCTGGAGAACCCTTGACGGCAGAAATGTCATGGACAAGAGACTGAAGGACATCGTAAAGCAGAACTACAAGGCTTACTCTATCAACTCTGAAGAGTAAGAGGTAGTCTAGTCAAACGATGTTAAACGACCTTTTCTAAATTGTGTTCTTTTTGTCATGAGAGAGACGGAATCATGGAACAAGCGTGGCGGCGAGCAATGATTATAATGTTTTTACCCTGCGATTTCACTTTCTCCTTTGCATTTCACGCGTGCCAGTACATATGTCATTGCACTCTCTTCATGGGTCTCTGGAATGTCTTTCGATACGACTTCAAATAGGCTCGCTTAATGATCATCAATTTCCTTATGAACTATGCAAGCCGACCTTCGGGTGCATCATGATTGTGCAACAAAGGTGCATCTTCACCTTCCTCATACTCGCGCGAAGTGAAGAATCTCGTCGGTCTTCTCTGACCTCTCCACTGTCTCTGCTGCATACACTCTGACCCCTTTAATCCCCAATGCCAAACCATACCGGCAATGAAACCCACAGCATCATTCTTAAAAGCCAAACAACCAGCTACCGTGACCAACATGACAGCCCAACGATTTCTTCTCTCCTGCTCATTAAGCTTACGTCTCTTATCCGCAGCATCTTCATTTTCCTGCTCTGTCTCCTCCCACAGATCCTTGATGTCGTCGAGAGATTGTCCCACTTTTGCCAACTCGACGCCGGCGGCTAAGACCATGACTCCGAGCAAGCTCTTTGGGAAGCGTTGAAGAAGTGGGATAATTGTTTCACCGGCAGTGAGACCGAGGAGGAGTTTTACCAGGCCAAGGATTATTATGGATGCGCCTGAGCGGGCGCCGAAGCGGTATTGTCCTGCTAGACCGCCGCTGCCGTGGCATACGGGCATGGCGCCGAACCAGCAGCCGATGAGATTTGCAATGCCGACTGAAAGGCCAATTTCCGTGTTTGAAGGTGTAGGAGGGAAGGTGGGGAACAGAGAGGCTGAGAGAGATGTGACGGCCAAGATGCTATTCAGGGTTGTTAGAGGGAGTTGAGGGAGTCCTGCTTCGAGGGCACCTTTGCGGAAGTCTGAGGGTGAGGGGATGTAGATTTTTGGGTGCCAGGTGTGGAAGCCAGAGGTTTCGGTGTGAGTGTGTGATTTGGCGAGTTGGATGCCGCCGAGCATAAGACCTAGCAGGAACACGAGTAGGGCGTAGGGGATACGAGCAACCAGAGAAGAGACAAGCAGGAAGGCAAATGCTGCCATAGCCCAAAGCCAGTTGTCCGACCATGATGGGCTGATCCACCCAAGAGGCTTCAGAAGACTTGTACCTGCCGAGATTACCAGAGCGAGACCAGCTCCCATCTGGATGCCTCTAACAACAGGGATTGGCACCACACGGCCGAACCACTTTAATAGTCCAGTAAGACTCAGGAAAGTCACGACTCCACCCACGAAGAGGCCAGCAGAAATGTTCTCTGTCTTTGTGTACGACTGACTGATGGCAACTGCGGCGATCGCTTTCATTGGTTGTACAGGAAGCGGTATACCAAACGCAGCTCCAGTTGCTATGTTGGCGATTCCAGAAAATACCAATGTAGCAGGGAGTGATATGCTTTTCGTGAGAGTAAGAGCAATGAGCAGAGGAAGTAGAGTCCCGAGGTCGCCTAGAGCTCCAGAGAGTTCGTTCAGCGGTTGCGTTCGCAGGGTCCGTAGGTTATGCTTGTTCACGTTCGCGAGACGTGAGTAGATAGACGCCATCGTGATGGACGGCAATATTTAGGATTTAAAGATATGCGATGCAATGCAGGAAATGCTCAGGGAAACGCTCTAAGGATGGAGGAGATGCAGTCAAATATCAAGGTCGCAGAAATCGATTCAAAGCACAAAGACCCGTGACTCAGCCACGTAGGTATTGTGCCGATAAGAATATAGTGGTTTGTCAAGAAGTTGGACGTCGACACCGCCTCGGAGATCTCACTTGGTGGAGCAGCGACGCTTATGCCGAAAGCTGCCGAAGGTGACCCTGTCCTCTGACATCAATCTCGGCCAGCGCGCGTCTTCCGTGTTGCTTCGGAACGCGTCCTCCCAAGAACTTCTGCCTCATCACATTATCACGACCATCAAAAATAATCACAATCATGTCTGCGAGATCAGCCTTACCACCATCGTCACAAATTGGTGTGCCGATACCGAGCTCACAAATGGCTCCAGAGTCCTTCCAGCGACAACAAGTAAAGAAATTCTACCAGAGATATCGGCCCGTGAGGCCATTACCATATGAGCTTCGGGACATGATCCATGTGTATATTGAGGAGCAGCTATGTACTTCATCCCAAACCCACTCCATTTGAAGCTCCATTGACTTTGTCCAGACTCACAAGCCATTCCTCTGATTCTAAACACACTCATCGCAGGCACTGATGGCACTATCGACGGACGTACTTTGCCTGCCCAAGTGCCTCCTCCCCAAGCACTCGCTGTTGTTGCCACTCTGGCCGTGCATCCTAGTTGGACGAACCGATCCAGAGAACCGGATAACATGAAGGTGGCCAACGATGCACTATTCTTACTCAAACATGTAAATTCCATCATCGGTGCTGCCAACGCCGATTTCAACACCGCTTTCAAATTTATGGATAAATTTGATTCCCGGGACAGACGACGACGAACGGGTGATGTTACTTTGGACGGCGATGACGATGGTAAATTCCAGATCGAGATGGCAAACAAGGGTGCAATCTGGAACCTGGCCGAAGATTTCTGGGCAGTGGTCGGCTGGGCCTTCAACTGCTCGTGCCAACATCCTAACCGATGGGAGAGATGGAGACCTTGGCTTGAGTTCATGCTTGACGCACTCGAAGATGATCTCGAAGAAAGGGTCGCAGCTGCCGAACCACTCAAGAAAGATGGCAAGGAAGCAGCGGTCAACACACTGCTGTCAGAGAGTTTGATCGCACAATACTGTCTCACAGTAGGTGACGGTAGAGCCGGTAAACGAAGAGTCATGAGAGCGATCTTGGCCAATGGCAGTAAAAAGGACTTGGATGAGTTCAAGGAGATCTGGAAGAACGAGACAAAGCCACCAAAACAGAAAAAAGAGGATGAGACGATACCACGGAAGAAGATTGACTTCGAAAAGGATGAGTACGCAGACTATATGGATCTGGAAGATTCTGAGGAAGAGGACGATTTGCCCTCAACGCCCAAGGCAACGACGTCGGCTCGTCAGTCGCGTAAGAGAGGACGACCATCATCAGCGACACCCGATCTCGATGGAGAGGCCGAGTATAGCGTATCATCAGACTATGGTGGAGGTGAAGCTATACAACTACGTAAGCGCTTGATTGCTTTGGTAAGTGTTGCCTTCCTTCCTGCCCAGCACAACCATGATCTAACGCTTTGCAGCTCACACAGATCTCGTTCCACTATGAGCACGCGTTCATGGAAGCTGAAGACTGTTTCGACTTGGTGACAGAGTTCATTCGTCCTCTACCTCTGGATATGTTTATCCTATTCGTTTCACCACCAACACCTTGGCTAGAGCCACACTCACACGCATCATTGTGTCAGAACCTCCTTCGACCGACCATCTCCTCGGAAGCACCAACGTATCACGCCGACACGATGACCCAAATCGAGTTCGAGAAACACTTCCTGCCTTACCCTGCAAACTACACCAACTACGTCGAGAACGCCAGAGTCAGCTTGCTCGTAGAGGCTCTGCTGAGATTGTTGTTCAGACATTCCGCACTGACTGTTAACACCAGTCTGAAGAAGAAGCTGGACGAAGGAATCAAAGCCAGAGAAGCCAAAGCAAAGTTTGGTGCAAGAAAATTGGTTGGTGTCAATGCAGCAGAAGAGGAGAAGGCGATAAAGATGTTGGCGAACAGTGCTGCGAGGATGAGAATGGTCGTTCAGGTCGCTGGTTCTCAGCAGCAGTAGATTATCAGTCAAAAGCAGATATTATCCTCTATCACTCTACCGCGATCCAACCGCAGTGCTCTAGTGTTTTACAATTAGGTGTTGCTTTTACAAGGAGAATTTTCAGATATGGAAACATCAACTTATTAGACGAATAGATCCCACCCGAATTGGGTTCTCTAGGCGCAGACGGCTCATCGAAGTAGCTGTCATAAGGCAATATGATTTTAACAACTAGCTCCTTGTCCATTAAGGGCAGCATTGACTTCGTAATGTTGTTAGACAGCCAGACTGATATTGAGCCCATCGAGTTGATTAGTAGAGGGTCTCAATGGACTGAGAGCCCAGCTTCTTGCAGTTTCTATGCTCGTACCTTTGCACTACGGTCGGGTTACTTGTTTCATTGCGGGACCTCATTATTGTTGTATCAAACATTACCTGAGTTACCATCATAGCCTACAACAGCCCTCTATTCTAGTCTTACTGTTTTTAGTCGAGACATGACAAGAGAGCAGGGTGTTGGAAAATAGAACAGGGTTACACCATTTTCCAGTTTGACTTGTTCAAATGGAGGCAAGTCTGATTAAACTTTGTACCCAATATTAAGAGAGGCAGCGTATACAGAAGTGTACCTGTACTTATGAGAGATGTTATGATTGCCTCTTCTGAGTAAATAGGAACGGAAAGATTGGTAAATATATGAGGACGATGTCGAGGGTCACTCTTCAAGGGTCAAGTCTGAAGAGTCGAGGCTTCCGTCATCGGATCAGGGCGAAGGCGGTGAGACGTGGGGCCCTTGAGACTTGGGATGTGACGATGATTTGTCTTGCAACTCGCAACCAGCAACACACGACATAACGAATTCTTTTCGAACGACACCCTGCGCGTTCTCTTCCTCTACGGGACTACTTCTGCGGACTTCAAATCCACCACCCTCACTATCCACCGTCTCCACCTCGAACAACCTCGTCGGTTCAGTCACACCCAGAACACAGATTCAAGATGTTGAAGATCTGGTCTATGGTACGCGTGATATTGAGATGATATTGAGAGGGCATTACTGACTGCCATGACAGAAACAAAAGCAGCAGAAGGATGAGGCCGCCGCGTCAGGTGGCGCAAAGAAGAAGAAGGTCACAGCAGCCCAACTGCGTGTGCAGAAGGGTAAGTAGACAGGGACTATACCTGCATCGCATGGACTGATAGATGGCATTCAAGACCTCTCGGAACTCTCGCTCGGCAGCACCATGACAACAACCTTCCCAGACCCCGACGACATTCTGCATTTCAGCCTGACCATCTCGCCCGACGAGGGCATGTACAAGAACGGCACCTTCAACTTCACATTCAACATCAGCCAGAACTTCCCACACGAGCCGCCAAAGGTCAAGTGCACGCAAAAGATCTACCACCCCAACATCGACCTCGAGGGAAACGTGTGCTTGAACATCTTGCGCGAGGACTGGAAGCCGGTGCTCAACTTGAACGCAGTCATAGTTGGTCTGCAGTTCCTCTTCCTCGAACCCAACGCCAGCGATCCGCTCAACAAGGAGGCTGCTGAGGACCTGGCACGCGACCGCGATGGATTCAAGCGCAACGTACGATCCAGCATGGCTGGAGGCAGTGTCAAGGGCATCTCGTATGACCGTGTCATGAAGTAGATTTTGCAGAGAAGGTAGACGAAGGGATGATGTGGCATACGACAGGCGTTTTCTGTGCTATGGATACAAGCGGTTTCTTCTTTCAAATATTGGCTCGTCCTTTTTCTATACACTCGACGTCACGGACGAGATGAACGTGGCGATAAGGAAAGTCACAGTTGTGGCTCGTGTTATCTTTACACTCGTCCAAAGGCAATACATACGTTTCAATTCTGATTTCTCGTTCTCTCGTGTGTTCAATGTCGAAGGCTATCAGTTGTCTGGACTCTCTCGTGAGTTGAATGGGGGAGAGGTCTGTGCTTTGTTCGGAGCAAGATTCCATGTCGATTTCGCAGCCTCGCTCTACAAGCAGCAGCAGCACCACCCTCGTTCACCCTCCACATATACATACAATGCACACGACATTAAGGATATCACACTCGCTGCAAAGCAATGGCCAACAGTGCCTGCGCTCCGTCCAACAGCAGCAATGCCGCCACGTCTCATCTTTCCGCCGCACAAAAAAGATGTTGCTCGTCCAGCCCGACCCTTCATTCACCACCACCACCGGCGACCAAGATCACATCATCTACAACCCTCCCTCCTCTGCGCCGAATGTCTACCACACACCCTTGAAGTTCCTGCCCAAGGACGACCCGCGACGCCGCCTGCACACACTTCTCAGACCCACCGCCTCCGATTCCGCAAACACACCATTGCCTCCCGCAGTGCGACCAGTCTATGAGAAGAAGTACCATCTCAAGCAAGCAGACATCGAGGAGATCAAACGACTCAGGGCAGAAGACCCGCGCAAGTGGACCAGAGTACGATTGGCCGAAAAGTTCGAGTGCAGTCAGTTCTTCGTCAGCCTGTGCTGCTCAGCACCGCAAATCAAGGATGAGAGACAAGCCGAGTTGGAGAAGATCAAGGAGAAGTGGGGACGCACGAAGAGAGAGGCACGCGAGGACAGACAGACCAGGAAGCAGAGTTGGGGAAAGGCTGTCTAGTTGATCTTCTGTTCTTGTCGTGCTTTCTGGGAAAAAAGGAAAAGTCGCAAAGCATTTGCATTTTCACGGGTGTTCTAAGGGAGGGGAAGGGGCCTCGATTTGTTCTTATATCTGGTCAGCGCCTTGAGTAAAGGTGCTGATTGATTCAACTTGTATATGCCCTTTTTTGACATGTCACGCGAGAGGCGTGGTGTGTCTTGTTGTAAGATAAGGCGAAAAGGGTTTGTTGCTGCTACATAAGCAAGAAAACCACTACATTGTACCACGAAATGCAATACGATATACCCAAACCTTGACCTTCCACATGTGAGCATGTGAGCTTGTTGGAAGCAAAAGAATAAATGGGAAAAATAAAAGAATAATTCGCGGAAGGAGCTGACCACCGCGCTTGGCAAAAATGGAGACGCGGATTTATCCGAACGTCACCTCATGGGCATACCGCTAGCCCATCGAATTGCACGCCCGCAGCGCATACCTCTCTCCCCTCCGTAATCAACCCCACAAACCATTCTTCACAATGCCTATCAAGCCCATTACTGGTGTATGTCCCGTCCAATCGATACCCCGAGCCGCTACGCAAAACCGGCGGCCGACCGCGCGACACTCGACGACTCTCAAAGCCTGATGACAGTGACTGATTTGGATGATTGTAGATGCTCCGCAGAGGACTGGTCCTTGACCTTTCCGTCGCCTTCGGTAAGTTGAACCCAGGAAATGCTTGAGAGCGGAGATTGAGAGCAGATCGACTAACATTGAACTTATAGGTCTCGGTACCTCGGCCGGTTACCTCTGGTGGTACGGTATGTAAAACACCTTTTACTTCTTCGACGACATCGTTCTCTTTTCCTTTCGCTATTTCTCCACCGATGGATATGTGCTCGACCTCTGTACCGACATCGACTCGCAATCGCATCCTCCGAACTCCGAACCATTCAATCACGTCACGAAACAACGAAGGAACCAATCGACCACCATTGCACACCTTCCATACCACACCACCTACTCTCACCATCACCGCAACGAAAAAAGCAGAAAGAAACACAAGACTGATTTTACCTTCCAAAAGGCTTCCACGTCCCCGCCGTCCGCCGCCGCGATCTGTTCTACGCCAAGCTCGAAGACGAGCGCGCCGCCTCCCTCGGCCAGCTCTAAAGCACACAATCTTCCACACGCCTACTTGATACCAAATCGGAGGGAGAGAAAAGAATAGAACATATGGGCACACTAGCAAGCAAAGCATGAGAGAATGGAAAGCATATTGAAACAATAATCTCTTTGGTGTACATACGTGTATCGTGTTGGGACAGCCGTGTGTGTCTTATGATCGTGGGCATCGGGAAAGTGGTCTGAAGACGATGACATGCTATGAAGGTTCTGGATATCTGTTCCTTCTGTGATCTAAGCGTGAGTACTCGAGCTTGATATTCTCGAAAGACAGCACCAATCAAGTGATCCAATCTCAAGGCAAGTCGTACGTGCATCAACATATCCCCTTCCTTCTAAGCCGAGCAAGTCTTGTGTCTTGTTAATCTGACTGATGCCATGATCCCACCCTTTCCCATGTCATCATCACATCCCGTTTGACCAGACTTGCTCCATTACCCAATCCGAAGCCTGTGAATTCCATCATCAAGAAGACCTCTACCTCCTCAATCGGTCCTTCCTCTCTTCCTCTTTTTCGTCTCGTCTATTTCCGACTAATCCGCTTCTCACATCGATCTTTTCCTTTCCACTCTTCCCGCTTGTTTTTCTTTTTTCCCTTCCCATCTTCTGCTCTCACTCTCTATTCAACTGACTAGCCAAGTTTTTCCCTCAATGTAGAATTACCGGGATCGTGGGAGGGTGTGATGATGTTTGAAGGGGATCAAAAACTGTGTCGGAGCAATGCTTTATGGTTTTCTGATGTGAGGAATGCATGTTTCGATGAGGGTATGTAATGTGGAGCTCCCATTGGACCTCCACCACCGAGTGAAAAACATCTCGCATTTTGGTGTGGCGGTTTATCTCGCATGCGAGGCGAGGGTGGGATATTGGGTAGATGAGCTGATCTTGGGTGACCTTGCTTCTACCTCTATGTATCATGAAAGGGCGGTCGTCATGTGTAGGATGTGATGATGAGAGACAGCTCTCGGTGGACGTGGACCTGTTTTCATTGTGCATTTTTTTTAACAGTTCGCCGATTAAGAGTGTTGGATGTCTGGAGGACGGGGATATCAGGTTCATCCGCTTGTCTAAATTGTTCCTCTTTCTTCCAAGTTCATCGTTTCTTGCTCATTTGCTCACAGACTGATGACTTCGATGGTGTCTGCCATACTCTCTCGAATATCCAATTCCGAGTCTCCGTTCAAAGGTAGAGTTCTTCCCAGAGTGTACTTGTGACAACAACGATAGTTTGTATGTCGAGTTGCAAAGGCGCAATTGATTCTGTACGAGAATATTCTCAACATCTAACCTCAATACCCTTCCTCGACACCGTCAAATACTTGACACCTTTATACGGTCTGACTCCCTCACCAAGCCCTTTAGATCTCTTGGTGTCGATAACCAAACTATCCACTTTCAACCCACTGGCCAACCATCCCTTGACGCCGAAACTCAAACTAGCAGATCCAGGCATGAGAACTGCATTCTGTCTTGTCTTTTTCTTATCTCCTGCTGCGTTATTGGCGGTATTGTTGCTGGATGATTTGGGCTTGGGGGTGTCGGTTTGATAATCATCGTCGTAGTCGTACGTGCTGGCTTTCATGCCGTTGGAGAGGGAGGTGCCCATTTCGTCGTCTTCGGATTCGCCGACGACGGAGCAGCGGAGAACGCAGCCTGCACTACTGATGGCAGCGGCTTCCTTGGCGGAGATCTTCCATTCGATGGCGGTATCGCCAGGGCTCCAATGGGCTTCTCCTTTGGTGGCGCGCAAGTCGCTGATATTGCGGACGAAGGAGGAGATGGGGATGCTGACTGTCAAGTCTTCGAGGGCAGGTGCTTTTGCCTCGCCGGAATTGCCACGGAGAGTAGAGGGGCGGGCGCCTAGATTGTTGGACAGACTTGATGCTGCTGCTGATCCGATTCCCGAGCTGGAGGATGCGCCTGTGGAGCCAGTGTAGAAGCGATGGCTCACCGTTAGACGGACTTCGAAGTCTGAGCCTGTGGCGCCCAAACCAGTCTTAATCTCTATTGAGGCGGGGAGGTTTAGGTCTTGTGCTTTGGCGGATAGGGGAGATGCTGAAGGATCTAGCAGATCAACGTCATAGCCTGCGAGTACGAAACGACCGTCTGGCGGTACGAAGCTCAGTTCGGCATGGTCTCTCCAGCGGGCTAGTCGTACGCAGGGATGAAATACAGGTCTTTCCATTGTACGCTTGACCTTTTCTGCGCCAGGACCACTACCAGCTCGTAGGCTCAGCAGTAGGTCAGGGACACCTGAAACCTTGCTCGTGAATGCGATACTGCCGTTGGCGAAAGCGGCTAGAGGGCGTCCTGAGGGAGCGTAGGTGACGGACAAAGTCTCGACAATGTCGACGTACATCTCGTTGCTTGTATGACGGACGTTGTTCCTACGCCAGGGGATCTGAGAACCAGCTGTGGATAGTGTTGGAGTAAGGCTGCCGCTACCACCGCTCCCCATGCCAGAGAAGGGTGTCTGAGAAGGACCCAAAGCAGGAGAAGTGCTGTTGGTCTCTTGTTAGTCGTCGTCGTACTAGGCCTCTTTGTATACAGAACATACCCAGGTAGTCCTACACCTCCCAATAACCTGCCCATCCACGTAGGAGTATCCACGACATCTCTAAGCGCGTTGGCTTCGGTACCTCCAATCAAGCCTCCGTCGCACATCTCGCCCAACACTTGGGCAATAACATCGTAGTTGGCTTCCAGCTTACTCGCTAACAGCGGTGCGCCCAAAAACTCTTCAAGCGCATCGGCAACGCGGTGTAGGAACTCGAGTACGACCAGAGGTTCCGTATCGGTAGAACAGGGACCGAGGAACAACAGGCCATCCTGCAGCATGGAGAACAGTAGCGTCGGCGGATTCGTCGCGGTGAGATAGATACATGATGGTCTCGGTTCCGAGTGGGCGAGGTATAGCGGCAGTACTGTCGTGGCTGGCGGTGGACGCGCAGTGAATGTATGTGTTACGATGGCATTGCTGCAAGTGTGTCAGTAACGTGGTCGTGACAGCGAGGCTGGAAGGGTTTACTGTACTTGCGCTCGTTGTATATGTACACTGCCTCGATTAGACCCATGGTGGAAATTGTTGATTGACCTCAAGGGCTATGTTTGCATGTTCGCATGTGAAAGGTGGGATTTGGCGGGCTGTACATCAACGTCATGGGGAAAGTGCTGGGTGGACAGGTCAAAAATACAGTGGAGAAGATGTTCATAAATTGCTGTTCACACGTGTACATTGTGATAATCGCCTGCTGATGCTTGTTGCTGACACTGATAAGAGGAATGATGGAATCAAAATATAGTTTGTTGCGCTGCCTCAGCGGGCATGCTGTCTCTACAAAGCTGAAGTGATATATTATGCCAATGCATTGCCCTTGCCTCTTTCCTTGCTCTACTCCGTATGCGCCTGCCAGATTCGATCCTCTCTTGAACGCCGTCCTAAGCATAATCAACATTTTCTCTTCTCTCCAGCTCTCGCGTCCCATGACTGCGCCGTGTTCGAGCTTGCTTCCCTTCTGCTATCTCTCGAGTCCATTCGAGCTGTGTCGGCGGCAGCTTCCTATTGCTGTGCCGCGTAACGCATGGGGATTTCTTGCTCCTGTGCGTGGCCGTATTGGTTCTGGGCGTATGGATTGCGTGCAGACTGATCCCGGTGGCCTTCCTATTGGCGTCTTGGGTCGTGCGACATGGGCATTCCAGGTGGGGGAAGTCCAGCGCCATGGATAGGGCTAGGGCCACCCATAGGCGGGAAAGGCATACCAGCAGGTGGAGGGAAGGGCATACCGCCAGGAGGAGGGAAAGGCATGCCTTGAGGTGGTGATCCAGCTGCACCGGGAGTCGGAGGAGGGAACGGCATGCCATTGGGAGGGAAAGGAGGCATTCCGTTCGGAGGGAACGGGAATGGCGGCATACCACGACCTGCTGGCATCGGGGGAGCACCGGGAGCGCCAAATGGAGGAGGCATGCCAGGAGGGAAGCCGAAGGGCATGGCTGCTACACCGGCGTGGGTTCCACCAGGCAACATAGGATTCGCGCTTGCTTGTCCTTCAGCGGCGTATGATGAGGTGATACTGTCGATGACTGATTGTGCTTTTTCGTGGCCGATTTCTGCCCCATGCTGTTAGTCGCATGCTCTTCTGGAGGGTCGTGCTTGGTATTGCGTACGTTGGTAGTAGTCGACTACGTTTCGGAGATGGTTACGACCGCTGTTGTGGGCCTTTCTCACACTCATACTGTCGTGAGTGAGGTAGACATCGCAGTAATCGCCTGAGTTCGCATGAGTATTCAATTCGTCGACGTTCCGCCATGGAGTAAGGACCTACAGAAGAGTAGATGAACATTAGTAAGAGAACTAGAGTAGAGACTGGAGTGACTTATATTTCGGCATCTTGACTACTTGTTCACAGAATCAGATGCGACGAGATGTTTGATGGCGCAAAGCTGTCTCTGGTTGTTCGAGACACAGCTCGGACGACCCCAGCCTATATCATGTCTTGGCGTCAATCCGAGATCTTATCTTATCGTCTGATCGCGCTCTTCCAACACGCCTCTTGGTCTCACTCGTGAACAGGCGACAGACACAAAAGAAGAACACAATTTTTCTAGGCTTTCCCTGTTCAACAATCAGCATGTCTGGAATGCAGGTACCCCCGAACAGCGTATGGAGTTCCATGAACTACACTCCTCCTCGCGGCTCCTGCAATCACAAGAACGGCATGATATCCAATAAGTGTCCTTGTCTTCGCTTTATGCTACACCCAGTAAAGGTAGGTCATGTCTTTGATTCATTTGCCATTCACCATACTCTCCTCTCCCTGTGTTCATACCAACACATACCAACTCGCTAGGCTGCCACGTCATTTGAATGTGACGGTTGTGGCCACCATGCATCATACCACAACCTGGACAACCCATCGGAGGACGCGATCCTGGCCAAATGGAGTGCTCAAGAGGCACAGACTCAAGCAGCGATAACCACCACCTCAGCACGAAACAATAAGCGCAGACGCATCACCTCACAGCCTCACAACGAGCAGCAAGCTGCCATCACGATCGCCGACGATTCAGAGACCGTAGATGGCGCACCCAATGGTCAGACCAGGAACAACGAAAAACTTCATGCCTTTTCATCGGTCTTCAGCAGCAGGAGCGGCAGCCAGAGATGAAATGGCTTTTCACCATCAACCAAACATCCCGCCAAGCATTCAGCTGGTGTCAAAAAAGCCACCATCGCACAGCAAGGAAATACAGTTGTGGCTTTTTCTGCCTTTCTCAGCGCCCTCAGCATTTTCCCTTTTGCTCAAAAAAAGCCAATCAGCCTTATCGACGTCCGAAAACCTCCTTAGTCGAAATTTCTTTACACTCTTCGGCAGGCAGTGTTGATGTCGTTGCGATCGTGTCATGGCTGTTGCTTAGGGTTGGCTGAGTACGAGAGCAGGCGTTGACAGGAAACGCTCGCAAGAATTTCTATGAACTATAATGACGCTCAGTTATCGTGATCGTCTGGATTAGGGCGTCGGCTCACACTCCTTGATCGGGGCATTGGGCCCTCAACATGACTTACTCCGAACCGTGAAGCATCATGGGCTCGGAGTGATTGAACAGGGGGTCCCGGAGTGTGGAAGAGACAGCAAGACATCGGCAAGCATTGATGCAAGCATTGATGCAAACAAAAAATGGATTGCTCGGAAATAAACACGCCCTTTCCAAGTCGTTGTACGCAGTAGTAGTTAGCTAAGGCGCGACTGGTTCAAATAGACGATTAAGATGAGACCACGACCTTTCGTGAGATGAAGTTCCAGCAGGAAACATACTCCGGCCAATTCTATGCGGACAGCCATACTGAACCCAAGGATGAAACATGATCGTGAGAGAGAGAGAGCGACATGGTAGATCTTGGCACATAAACATCTTCCTACCATTCCAGAATTTGACTCCAATCTGTAAACCACCATCCAATGAACCACGGAGAGCCCGACAGACCTCTCCACTTCCAAATCAGCATGATGCAGATGCAAAATGGCGTCAATATCATACCCTCACAACAGCTGACAAAGATGCAAAAAGTCCGTCGAAAGGAGGAGATTATCCGATCTACGGCATCACCGACGACGATATCAATGATTCGAAAAATGCACACTCGATGCTTCCCTCGGGATGGCCGGTCTGACAGCAAGCAAAACACCAGCTTCTTCGGTTATTCCAGAACAAAAACGCCATGGCTGTGTGGACGATAGCTGTCCTTGATGATTGGAAGTTACAACATCATATTCGATATCCGGAATGGCCGGTTCAGCAAACGACAGCTTTCCAGAAAGAACGCCATACAAGCTGCCACCGATAGCTAGAAAGAAATGACAGCTGCCAACTTCAACCACGCTTTTGCTTTCGGAGAATAAAATGTGTGGACATTTATTGACGCGTCTGCCCCGCGGGAAAGGAGAGGCTGGTATGTATGCATGCAAGCTGAATGAAAACAAAAAAGCTCCATCCCACGATGCTGGATCCGAATCCGACCTCTTGCCTTTTCTTATATCAATCTTCCGATCTATATGAAGCCTTCGGTCGGATATCAAAAGTGACCATATGCTGAATCCAGAAAGATGTCCGACGAGCCCTGGGAACTTGTTTTGCGGGAGCGCTAAGTTCGGCACGTGGAGAGAGAGAGAAGTGTGTTGTGCAGGTGAAACGGGAGGAAATATTAACCGACGATGGTGAACCATGATATCAGTGTTTTGACCCGGTATGGGATCCTCACTACTGCCTGGTCTATACATAAAACACTATACCAAGATTGTGGAAGGGAAATGCAATAGCAGGTCAAGTTGCAGACTGGATGGATAGAGCACATGATTCATTATATGATATACGACGAAGTATTAAAGTAACTGGAGCCTGTACTCGAGTGTCTTCGACCCCGGTGGGGTGTCAAGCGGAAAGTATCTTGAACTTGAGTTGATCTTTCCCACGTGTACTACAAGGATGGGAAGGTCAGAACAGGGCCTATAGGTACTGAGTATACTTCTCCTCTTTCCGTGTGTTTGATTTGTCCAGTCAAGGATCTCTGACAAAGGTGGTTTGATCCAAGGAGTGCAGTACCCGGGTAGATCTGAGATCACCTTTTTCGATGCGATTGAGCAATCAAAGACGGCCTTATGCGTTCAGTGATGACCAGGTTTCCATGCCGCTGCTTTCCCCAATGGTGAACAACACATAGGCGGCGTCATTGATACTCCTTGATGATCCTGAAAAGCTTATCTGCTCTTTCACGTGGCCTTCAGCCGTGATCATCACGTCTTAAATCTCCTCGAAGTTCGAATTGTTCTTCTTGGCTTCTTCTCGTCGATTTGCGGTTGTACGAGCCTAAGAGGGAAGCAGCCAATGGGAGACGAAGAAGTATGTTCTCGAGAAAGCTGAGGGGAAGTGCTTCCGGCGAAGGAAGGAAGGATTGCGCTTGAGCTAACAGGCAGTTGCAGAGTTGCAATCCTGAACTTTATGTGAGGTTAGATACCTAATTTGTATTAGCTGTGACTGCATCGCACTGTATGACTCTTTATTTGATTGGAACCTATGGGAGCAATCGTATTGCAATTTGCAACGAGGACGTAAGGTCGGAGCGGTGAGTGTCACACGAAGTTGTGTCTCTGCATTAGATAGTTTGTTTCCTTTGGCGTGAAGTGGAGATTGTAGTAACGAATAAGGCTGCTAGACGTGCATTCATACTTGCCATACTTTTCAGAATATTAAGCGGGCTGTGTTGTCTGTTGGTTCAGGTAGCAATTAATTTGGCACCAAGATGATCCAAACTTGGTGATGTTCAAGTAAGGGAGTTACTCTTCAAAGCCGTTCTGCCCCCAGCTTCGCAGATTTCAACTCAGCCGGTAGCAATACACGGTCATCGGAAGTGCCTTGAGGCGTCAACGGAGAGTCGTTGATGATCGGCTACCCAGCAGGTCCTCGCCGAACAATATCATTGCTAGAACTCTGCTCTGCGTTACGACATTTGAAACCACCGTGATGCCCTGGGGATGACCCTCGATTCCCAGCGAAGCGAACTGAGTCTCGTGAAGAAAAAGTCTCCCAACTTTAAATCGCAAACCTACCAGCCGAACTGCCGTCCAGTGTCAGTCCCTTATCCGACGGCGCTCGTGTAAGGCTGTGCACGTCATGTGGTGTACCAAACAGCCTTCAGGATGAAGAAACTCTGAGCTTCGGATCTGTAAGTGTATTCGACTAAATTTTGTTTGTTTGAGACGAAGGGTCAAGGGTCAAGGGTGGAGGATGATATGATTATGACCAGGATGTTATGGTATGTACTGTATGTATTCCGTGTCAGGCCACGAGACGATGTGCACTCGTGCAGCACATCGCGCGGATTGTTTCCTAGCCAGGTTGTTGCATGAACAAGCAGCGCGCAAGCAGGAGATGAGGTTACTGATCCTTCGTCTCTTGGTACCCCACGTTCTAACCTACACCTCACCTCGTATCGTGCTTCGTCCACTTGCTCTCCATTTCTCGAACGCTCGAACAATTTGCTCTGCCTTGATGCATAGCGGATATACCGATCGCACCGTTGAGATGACTCGTCGAATTGAGAAAATGGTGTTGGTTGCATCAGTGGATGTGTAGGCGTTCGGAGAGATGGTGATGCATGCGGTGGCAGCTCGGAGTCGCCGAGAGGCTTGAACCTAAGCTGGCGGATCTGTCCGAGTGGTCCGCACGTGCTAACGGCCTGCGCAAAGGGCGGTGCGACCGTTTGGGTGTCTTGGGTTCAGTGCCGTTCGGTGTTGGGGAGTAAGAAAGTTCCGTCATTTCCCTTCTCTTGACTCGATTCTCTTCTCAGACCCGAAGACTTGGTCCTCACCGATTGGCGCATCCCAAGAGTATTCGCTTGCTTGTTTGCTTGGTGCTGATGGTTCGAGTGACCAATGCCATCATCGGCCGGTCCGAATGCTCTGCTCCATGGTGCTCCATGTTGGGTCCTCTGCAAGCCATTTCCCCTGGATGCTGTCTTGAGATCGGAGTGCCAACTCTACCCGAGCTGGTGTTACTGATGCAAGTTCCTGCAAGGAGGCATGTCAGTTTCTTGAAGGCTGAGGGAAATGACTTGTGGTTGGGCAGCGAGATGATGAAGCCCAGCAGTACGGTTCGGTTTCATGCATCCCCAAAGCTTTCGTGCATGACAGCTTAGCTGTAAAAATGCACCATGTTTTCGAGATCAGCGCCGTTGTCCAGAGAAATGGACTGCTTGACGAGCCTCACTGGACAAGGCCCTGGAGTGAAAAGCATCGTGCATTTTTACAGCTTCAATGGCATAGGAAAGCACATGGGAATGAAGAATTTCCAAAAAGAAAAGATAAGGAGAGCTGAAACGTACCGCACGCATAGTGTTGGCTATCTGTTGTAGCGCCGGAGTATGAATGGGTTGAGGTCGGTTTCCTCCAAGGATGGCATTTCTTGAGGTAAGCCAACGCAATGCTGCGCTTGCTTTGAGGTATATCTGTTGGATCTTAAAGCGCCGAATGCTAGCATCAAGCATAACCCTAGTACCGGTATCAGGATCGGAAACAAGATTATCCCAACAAGCAAGAGAACACTTACCGTTGGAGCTGCGCTTTCTCTTGTTCTCCATCTCCATCTGGTTCTGGTCCTTGGCAATCGAATGGTTGGTTGAGTAGAGCTTGGGCTTCTGCTGCGCATTGGCGAAGCACGCAATATCCTTCCTCGTAATATTCTTCGGCCGATGGATTTGCTCTGATATTTGCGATGGCATGTTGTAGATGTCTGAAATCAGAAAGAATTTCGGCGATACGCATGGCGCGTGCCTCATTCACTGAGGCAATGCATGTCAGGGTGGTTGGTTCCGGAATGGTGGGAAGAGTTGGTACAAGGGACATCTTACATCCGTCGGTCATTGAGTAAAGGCAGGATTGAATCAGCTGTGGTGTGAGTTGGGTCTGGGATGGGTAGTGATCGGCAGATATATAAACAACCCTTACAGCCAAGTGTGTCTTTTTCTTGAGGCTGATTCTGTTCAATTCGAGGAAAGTATCGTGCATTGTCACACATGTAACGAGGTCGGTAATATGCGAACAGATCGGGTGGAGAAATAGTAACAGATGTCAAGGGTGTGCAGAAGCGAAGGAGAGGCTGTGGATGGATTGGGAGAGGCGTTAATAAGTACACCAACAAGGGAAATGGTCGTCAAGGAGGCCAGGGCAGACATGATTAGAACGGGGTTCACATCTAAAATGGCAGCTTTACGCCATGGGTGGTGTCGGCCAAGACGTCACAAGCTACCAGACATGGGCGTGTATCGGTCGACAGCTACTACGGAACAGCCAAGGGCAAGCACGCGCACATGGCAGATGCACGAGAGTTTAGCGTCGTCGCAGGGCAGAGTCAGGTATCGGCGAGTCCTAGAGTCGTTTGGATTCAGGAAAGGCGTTTCAGTGGTATTGCGGGGGTGGAGAGCGCCACGGTCAGAGCTACCATCGAGCTGCCGGCGGCGCCGGCACTTGTGTCAAAAACAGGGCTCCACGACGGACTTAGCGAAACGAAGAAGAAATCATGGTTTGATACGGGAGGGTAATAACACAGCTTGATTCATAAGATGACGCTTCCGGCTGCTGCTTGCATACCGGGCTGGGTGGACCAAAAATACGCTGCTGGCTGTGCAGTCAAAGTGTGCAAGCGAGTCGGCGAAGGCGATGGTATGGCATGTGATGAATTAAATGACGTCGTGAAGGTGGGAGGTCGTTAAGTTCAGTCCTTCTCAGCAATCGAGTTCAAGCGCTCGTCGATTTGCTCTTCGGTCAGGGTGGAGAAGTCGGTTGTGGTGCCCTCCTTGCCATCGGGACGGGGACCGCCAACGATGCCAATCTCAATCTCACCCTTCTTGAAGTCAACACTCAGCACTGTGCTGAGAGTGGTGATGGCGAGCTCAACGACCTCCTCCCAGTTGCCCTCAGCACAGTTCTTGTTTCGCAGCTTCTTCTCGAGGTGGTTCATGGCCTCTTGCGCCTTGGGGCCAGAAGCGGTGGCCTTGTAGCCGACAAAGTAACCTGCAGGATCGCACTTGTAGAGCTGGGGGCCAAACTCAGAGTCGACAGAGATAAGCGTCGTGGCAACACCCAGGGGTCTCATGTATGCCTGCGCCGTGTTAGCACAATATCCAAGGACCGGCAGAGGATCAGCATCTCACTCTTTGCGTGTAGACTTGGGAGATGTTTGCGAGACGCTTGGCCAGGACATCACAAGGCATCTCATAGCCGTTCTTGTATCTGAACTCAGCGGCCTCTCCGCGCGCTCTCATGACCGAAGCTCTTGCATCTGCGATGGAACCAGTCATGACACACCCAACCGAAGGCGACAATCTGTGGATGTACGAGACGGATGAGGGGTCGATGAGCTTGTCGGGGACCTTCTTTTGCGAGATGACTACTGCACAGTCCTTGCCGCGGACGCCGACTGAGGTGATGTTTGCTGCGGTGATGGCCTTGAATGCATATTCTGTATAGTGTGAGCCAGTGGATGCGCGATCGGGAGATGAGAAAGCCACGCACCGACTTGGTAGAGACGACCCTGGTCCGAGAAGATGGTAATGTGTCTGTCGTAGCCTGCGCTGCCTGTTGCGGGAGTTAGCTATGGCGATGGGGAGTACGAGGGCGGACTCACTCATGATGGGCAACTGTTTTGTGTATGAGATTAACCTTGTATAAACTCCGGATGAAGCAGATCAACGAGACGAAAAGAACAAGGCGATGGATGGCAGTGAGATTGTGGTGATAGTGAAGCTCTAGAGCGCGCGTTTGCCCTTGCTCGTCATGGAGCTTCCAGCGAAACACGGCGGCAGCGCTTGGCACTTCCGCCTTCCCCGGTCGAAGATGCCAATCCCCAAGATTTTTTTGTTCCTTCTCTTTTGGGTTTGCATGTGATCCTTCCACTGCTCTTTCCTAATTGCAAAGACAACCATGGCCGATCAACGAGTACCTGCCTGGAAAAGACTGGGCCTCAGTCTGACAAACGCCAAAGACTCCGCACCAGCACCTGCTTCTCCTGCTACTTCTACAAAACGCTCTCGAGATGATGCCGATACTCCCAACAGTTCGAAGAAGCAAAGGCTCCATCAGACCCAGAATGGAGCAGATATATCTAGCCCTGCACAAAAGCAGTTGCAGCCTTCGTCAGTAGCTCCGATATCCAGTCCAATGCCCTCGAGATTGTATGCCTCTTTCTGCTTCTCAACTTCTCTGTTCGACCATCGCGTTGCTCCTCTATAGTGATGCCCGCGATACTCTCACTCTCGCTTCAGCTTCTATGTCTTCTTCACTCATACTAATACACCCTATAGACGAGCTTCGCCGGAAAAGTCCATTCTAGCCACACCAAACAGCAAGCAAGGACGTCGCAAATCCGTTGTTTTCTCGAATGACACTAAAAAGCAAGACGGAGACAGCGCTCAAACCTATTTCCAAGCCTGGGCAAACGACGAGCTCGATTACTACGCCCAGAAAGCCGCAGACTACGACGCTGCTGAAGCCGCGAAGACAGCAGAGACCGGAAGACCTGTGGACACCATAAAGTTTGATACAGCCCAGCCAGAGATCTCTCAGGAAGCCGAACTTGCACCCAACCAAACAAAGACTGAAGAGGAGGTAGAGAAGAGCCCGGTCAAGGAGGACAAGAAGAAGTCAAAGGCCGAGAAGAAAGCCGAAAAGAGGGAGAAGCAGGAACAGCAGAGACTGGCCGCATACAAGAACGACACGACGCAAGCCGCTTCCGATTCTTCTACACCCGTAGTAAAGAAGCCCAAAGTCCGCACGCCAAAGGACACCACAAACAAACCCGTTCCCGAATACGTCCGCTATCTTGAGCAGTACCACACCGACCGACCTTCTTGGAAATTCAACAAGTCCAAGCAGAACGATTTGCTCAAGAACATCTGGAATATCTACCGCGTCCCCCTATCTTGCAACGAAGCCCTGGTCGAATACCTCGACGGACTGCAAGGAGCAGCGGCACGCCAACGTCTGCGCCAGACAGCTCAATCTGCAAACATCGACATTGTAGCATTCATCCGCGCGGAGATCCCTGAAGTCAAGGACGAGCCTATGGAGACCGCCGAGGCTAGAAAGGCCGCCTACGACGGCGCTCTTCGCAGGCAAGCCGAGAAGCTTCGCAATGCGGGCATCGATCCCAACCCAGAGAGGACCAAGAGGATCCAAGAACAAAAGGACTACGATGAACGTGTTCAAACAGTCTACAACACTATGAGCAAGGGCGAACCTCAAAACTCTGCTAGACCCACGCCTAAGAAGGGAGAGCCTAAGGTCTCTGCACGCAAGAAGAGAAAGTCGAGAACTGACATCTCTGAGACCGAGAGCAGCGACAGTGACAGCAGTGATAGCGACAGCAGCGAGAGCGAGAGCGAGAGCGAAAGTGAGAGTGAGAGCGAGGAAGAGGAGGAGAAACCTGTGGTGAAGAAGGCCGTGGCAGAGAAGGCTAAGAAAGAAGACTCCTCGGACTCGGAAAGTAGCGAAAGCGAGAGCGAGAGCGAGAGCGAGGAGGAAAAGCCTGCTGCCGCAAAGAAGGTCGAAAAGCCTGTTGCAGAGAAGACCAAGAAGAGAAAGACAAGGGACTCCTCCGACTCGGAAAGCAGCGACAGCGATAGCGACGATGAGCCCGCATCAAAGAAGGCCAAGATCGCTAAGCTCAAGGCCCAGCTCGCAGAGGCAAAGATTGCAAAGCTCAAGGCCGAACTTGCAAAGGTCAAGGCTGAGACCGGCAAGAAGTCATCGAGCAAGAAGAAGTCGGACAATTCAGAGTCTGAATCCAGCGACGACTCCCCGCCTGAGGACTCAGACAGCGACGACAGCGATTGAAGTGATTGTCAACCTCCTCTTGTTCGATTTGTCTATCCTCCCAACCACAAACACACCTCTCACTTATCATTCAACTGCACATTATGGTCTACCATCAACATGCACGAGAGCAACCCTACAGCGAACTCTGCTCATGTCAATCTCTTCGATCATCGCATCCCTTGGTGGGGATCTCTCACTCGGGAAGCTAGAATGAATCTACGCCATAACGTTTGTCAATTGAGAGCTCAAATCTCGACTTGGATACAAGCGCTATGACCGACACAACCGTCTACTGCTTATTCAATAGATCACCCATCAAGACTATATCCGTAGTAAAGCACAGCTCTTCACCACTTAGATGATCTAGGTGGCTTGTCAGACAAGAAATAAACAAAATACTACAAACGAAGAACCTCGAACAACACATCTCACCAATCTACCTTCTCCAATCGTATTTTTAAACGTGAAAATCCCAAACCTGATGACCCTCATTGGACAACCACCTCAATTACAAACTCCACCGTGCATTTTGAGGGACTGCTTAGTGAAGCGCATCGGCAGTTTGAGAGCTCAGTCCTGATTGCACTTTCTGTGTGCCCCTGTGCCCCTGTTGCCTCTGTATCGTTACTTCTCTCCTGTCCCAGCCTCGACCAACTGGTCATTGCAACAGTCAAAAGGCACGATGTTTCCGTCACTTTCCTCCACTGCCTCCACGAGAACATTGTTTTCCTATATATCTCCATTAACAATCAAGTTGATGTGAAAAACATCGGGTATGTTGATGGTCCGTGTAGGAGTGTACTGATAGGATGAGAGCTTGAGTCTGCTGTGATCTCTTTGCCCCTTGTCGACGTCTTTCGGGCATTGGGTCGTACCTTCCCATCGACAGGCACTCTGATGTTGCATGTTATCAAAACGCAAGAATTTTGTTGATGTGTGAGGTGGTGTATTGAGATCCAGAAATGACGACGTGAAGGAACGAATTGAAACTTCACTTTGCATTCCTCTGGCAGCTTCTTGATATCCATTGCTCAACGGAGATGTATCATTATGCTTGGACGAACCATCCACTCTGCAAATCCCAGCCCCTCGAAGTGTTCAATACCAAAAGAAACGCCATCAAGAATCCCAATCAAGCTTCCTTGGAAGAAGCACCCCCATTCGCTTCGTCCTCTCTAGTCCTCTTTCCCTTCTCCCTCTGCTTGCCCTTATCTACTCCCTCCCTCTCCTGTTCTCTACCACCAGCAGCATTACCAGCAGCGGTCCCCTGTCTCCTCCTCCCTCCCCGTCTAACCGGCGTATAAACATCGTTGAAATTCATAACCACACCCAAAAACCTCATATCCACATCCGGCTGATACGCCAAATCCCCAAGCAAGATATTAACCCTGACCCTAAAGTCCGAAGCCAGAGATTGCAATCTGCCTCGTAGAGAAGAGAGGATAGCGGCTTCGTCTGCCGCTGTGTTGCCTGTGTTGGAAAGAGGAAGCAGAGGGGGGATGGGGGAATCATTGTCGCGGTCGGGACGGCGGGTGCTGCGGTGGGCGCCGCTCATGTGGGAAGATCCCAGGTCGGCATCGTCTTTTTCGGTTACGCCCCAGGTGCCTGCTGCGGTGCGGGTTTCAATTTTGGCAGCGAGGTCTTGACGGCGTGTGAATTCTGCTACCGAGTAGGAGTATAGACTGTCGACTGCGTCTTTATACGCCAGCATCAGTTTGAGCAATTCGTGCAATTGCGCTGTAAAGTCCGGTGCTGTGGATGAGTGGGCTTGAGTGCCTGAAGGTGCTAGTAAACCTTTTCTAGTGATGCTTGTGAGGTATGCTTTGTGGGCTGAGATTAGGGTGTCGAGAGTTGCGTCGGGAGTGCGCATGGCTTTTTGAAGTCCTTCCCAGCCAGCTTCGATGACTTCGAAGAGGATGTAATGTTGGAGTTGAGAGACAAAGTGGATCATCTCTGCGATGCCACCTCGTGCATTCTTCCAATCTCCATCAACTTTGTCGCCGACAGCGCCTAGCACACCACGAGCACCAGTCATTGTTCTTCGCCATGTGCTTCCTAGTGCGAACTCGACGCGCTTGACACGCCATAGGAAGTTGAACACCTTGAGATATTGCTTCGAGGCCCATGGTGTGACAATGACATCCAGCGGTGAATCAACTCTGTATTCAAGAGTGAAGACGTCCCAGCCGATTTCGCCATGAGACAGCTCAAGCATACGAGCATCGAGACGGCGGAGAACATCAGGAGAGTCGTATTGAGCGTTACTGTTCCTGATAGCATGCTCGAGTTGAGCAGTGAGCGTGTGTCTGTACTGGCTGTTGGCCGGCCTGTCGAGGTTCGTAGATAGCGACTCCATGAGCAAGGCAACAAAGTCACCCTGTCCTAGCAGTAGGTACTTCTTGAGAGCCGCAAGATGCTCGAACAATTTGAACTTATCTTCCATGAGGTGGATCAGACGGGCCATGGTGCCCTTGTAAGCCGAATCGATAGACGACTCAAGGGTGGCTGTGTCGCCATAACGAAGCTCTCGCATAGAGCTCTTGCTATGGTTCTCAACCCAGGCCGAATCACCACAGCCATAGCGAATGAAGTTGAGCGATTTGCCAATCAGGTAAACCTTCTTGGCGAAATCCTGTGTGATAATAGTCGGTATCATGCTGTCTTTGAGACGGTATTTGTCCTCCCAGACGCTTGTTGCACCACCGCGACGGGGGTCAGATTCCATGTCGGCATCGCGATTTTCGTAGACGAAGAATTCTAGGAAAGGATCTTCAAGCTCGCCATCGTAAATCCAGTGTTGCAGCATGGTATAGAAAGGTCGCGTAACATGGATCAGCAGTCGCTCAGCGAATGTGTAGACGAACGGGTCTCCATGTGATGAGGCGTAAGAGTGGATGAGTGATATCAGCTCTCCTCCTTTCTTCTCTGTGAAGGTGTTAGCTGAGAGTCAAGGACACCATGTTTCAAGGATTATCACCTTTTGCTTCCTCAACAATCATACTCATGAGCCTCAAACCCATGGTAGCCTCACGAGTCCAAACAACACATCGTTTTAGCGTAACGCCAGCTTTTCCCAGGCCAACGTTCCCAGGAGATTCTTGTAGTTGTGTCAATGCTCTTCTGATCTGTGCTTCAAGAGTAGCCACCAGACCAAGATATGCTCTCAGCTCAACACCAATTGCAGAACGTAAACTCTGACCCACTAATCCACCTTTTGAAGACTCGACGAATGCTGACAGACTCCGGTACAACAGCGAGGGCTCCGCGAGTGTGTGTAGTAAACTGATGATCGGTACAGATAATGTCGCAGGAAGCTTGAGCGAAGACTCGGAGAATGCAAGATTAGTCGAAGAGAGACCTTGTAATGTGAATGGCAAATCGCGAAGCAATTGGGCTTCCGTCGGCGCATCGAGCGGGTTTGCGGAAGCTGTTGGTTCTGGCGATGCTTCTACTGATCGAGTTGATGCGCGTAATGGCATTCTTTCTCTAGATTGTGGCAGTCGCACAGGCTCTGGGTCCTCAGGATTGGGTACTCTGGGTAGACCATTGCGGGAAAAGGCATCGTTGAAGGCGGGGGCATCACTGCTCTGCTGTCGCAAGGGAGGTTGCGGGCGAGGGGTAGGCGAGGGAGCGGCATCCGGTGCTGCTCCTGGCTCAGAGTCGGACAATCGGTACAAGAAGTATAGAATGGCCCATTTTCTGTCGAGAACAGGCTGGCTGAGCAATCGCGAATAGAGGTTTGAGAAGTGAAGGGCCTTGTCCGGTCGGCTGTTTTCGTGTACCAGCTTTTGTCTGATCAGGTCGGCGGCATGGTGTACATCGTCTGCCGCAGCCGAGGAAGGTTGTTCATCTGCGCATACCACTGGAGTTAGCTAGACGTTCTCATTCGATCTGCGACGAAAGGAGCGTGCCTGCCTAATGTTTGTCTTGCAGCTTGCAATGCCTCGTCGAAGCGCTGGTCTTCGACTGCTTCATCGTCGTCCTGGTTCCAAGGTATCAATCGGAAGAGTAGCTGTTGCAACGCGTTGTCCACGCGCTGCGCCCGATTTTCCATCGCTCATGGATGCAAGAAACTGTTTCTTGGAATTTGCGCTATGCTCCAGATACGCGCGATTGGAGAAGGACGTGTTGTTTGTCCGCCAAGCCCAAAGCTTCAATTCGAGTCTATACCGATGTGCTGTTCCTGACCAAAGACAGCATGTTTTTCAGATTGGCTGGTTTCCCGTAGAGAGTCTTTGATTTGAAGCCTCTCGCTTTACATGACTCCGGTTTCAAAGATATTGTGCCTTTGCCCAGATACACAACGCTTTCAAGGGGAGAGATCACATAGTTGTTTGAACGAGTCTTGCGGTAATACAGTACTATTCGTGTATGATAAAAACCAGTGATTAAAAGACTAAAAGCAAAGCCCTACCCATACTACTCCTGCCTACCCGCAGTGTGCCAATCCGTTTGTGCAGCAAGATCGCTCCTCCAATGAAAGATGTACAAGTTGAAGAAGGAGCCATTAGCTAGCTTGTAAAAGGGAATGTAAGTGCGCCAGCACTCCCAAGAAGAGCCTTGCGCCTTGAGCCCACTTTCTGCCTGAGCAAATACATGCTGCCGGCGCTGTGTCTTGCCTTGCAGTCGTGCCTTTTAAACGCCCCTATAACACTGATTTGCGGCCGTCTAAGAAGAAAGAGAGTTTTACCTTCTCTGCATGTTGGCTTGCGACGGCACGCCTTGCTGCATGTGAGACATTTGCATGCCGTAGGGGTTGGCGAACTGGTGGGGGTCGCCAGCAATGTTCTGCATTGCCATGCCGCTAATGCCCTGTGCCTGTGAGACAGGGCATTCTTTGTGGGCGAGGAGAAGAGTCTTGAGACCTACTATCTCCTCACGAAGTTGAGTGACAGTAGCGGCAAGTGCGTCGTTCTCTGTCGAGAAGATCTCAACCTTCTGTTGAAGGTTGGCCAGCCATTGCTTCTTGCGTTGACGACACTTGAGCGCAGCAATTCTATACGCTGGTTAGTATACATTCCTTCTGTGTCAGGGGATATTGAATACATACCTGTTTCTCTCGAGGAAATTCTTACGCTTTTCTTCATCGGTCATCTTCTTGTTGTCCGGTCCTCTCTCCATATCCATATCGTCCATGTCGGACTCATCCTCATCCATTGAGGGCATGCTGGTCTTCTGGCGCTTGTTGGAGCCCTTGGGCTGGTCCTCGGCCTTGCGTCTTCCATTGTTCGAGTTCTTGTTGTTGCCGTTCTTCTTTCCCTTGCCTCTGCTGGGCTTGACGTCTTCACCGTCACTATCGGAGAAGTTGCCGTGCTCATTCTGTGTTGACCCTGACAAGTTACTACCGATAGAGTTCTTGTTGGCACGGGCGGCCATGTTGGCGGGACCATCGTGGCCTTGTTGGCCGAGGCCGCCAGGAAGGTGTGGAGGGTTGCCCATGTAGTTCATTTGGGGCTGCGACTGGGGTGGTGGGTATTGCTGAGGCTGGTTACGGTTGCCGCCTCTAGCTTGCGCGAGCATAAACAGGCCGTTAGCTGCGTCATTGGCATCGTGTTGCTCAAATGTATCGTTCTGTTGCTGCTGACCGAAGCCCTTGCTATCGAGATTGGGCTGAATGTTCGGATCAGCGGCAGCAGATGTAGGTGGTTGAGGCATGGCAAATTGTCCGTTGACTCCGCCCTGGCTTGCGCGGGCTTGCATAGCGGTTCTGTGGAAGTCGAGGGTGCCAGGAGTGGCGCCACCGCTTTGGATAGCGTTGAAGATTGCTTGAGAGTTGGGGCTAGGCTGAGGGAACATAGACCCTCCACCGCCAGGAGTCAGACCAGTCCTAAGAGAGGACTCGTTGGGAGTAGGGAAACTGCCACCAAAGTGGTGGTCGTTGCTGAAGTAGTCGTTGGACGACCCTGCAGGGCCGGTCAGCATTGCCGGGCTAAGAGGACCTGAACGAAGAGAGCCAGGCCAGGCTGGGGTAGTTCCAGGGAGCAGAGGGGCTGGCGATGTCAAACTGTTAACACCTGGAAGTTGAGGCTTGCCGGGGGTATCGGTCGACCCTCCAAAGGCACTTTCGAAGGGATTGGGTTCCTTGGTTAGGTGGGCAGCGCTATGTGCTCCGCTGAAATAATCGTTGTCTCCGTTGGCCTTATTCGGAACAGGTGGAGGTGCAAGCGGCGCATTGGTCGAGGACGTGTTCTCTTTTGCGTTGTCACCAGAGGGTTTGATGTCAATGGCAGGTATGTTCTGCTGAGTGTCTAGCAAGATATTAGTCGCTGACGCAAATCACGATTCTATCAGCGACAACATACCTTGACGCGAAGGAGATGGAGCCTTGTCTTGGCTTGAGGTATCTGTGATTGATATCGCATTAGATGACATCGATGGAAAACGCGTCATATGGAAATGACGATGATGCGTGGCGGACTTGTCGACGACAACGTGCATGGTAACTCATGACAACACCTCGCAGCATAACAAAGATAAAGAGACCTGCTTACCTTCTTGTTTCAACACGTCCTTGGTCTTCGTGCCACTTGGGGAAGACATGATGAATGTTGTGACGAGAAGTTAGAGATGGAAGTAGCAGACACGGATGACGTATTTTTGGCTGCAGGCAGGTGCGACCGGTCTTGGGCGATGTTCCTTCTCCCGGCTTTCAAATCTCACAAACTGACAAGCCAAAAACTTCGACTTCAGTCAAGAGGCAAATTTCGGAAAGTCGATATTCCTGTCGAGCGGTCTTGTCAGTTTCGGCATCCTAGGATATATATACGTTCGGCGACAAAACGCGAAGTGCGGCTCCGGCTGTCAGTGGGTTTTCGGTCTCCACTCGCGCCATCGCGTCGCCCTCCACTCCTCGTCGCATTCAGTGGCGAAAGACTTACTGGCAGTGAAGTGAGTTGATTCACAATCGACGACAACGCGTGTTTGTCTTCGACTCAGTTATCGAGTCCTTCTTTGCGACTCTAGGATACTGAGGCTCTGCTTGGAGATGCGTCGAATTCTTTGGTGACGCAATTGCTCTTGTTCGCGACGAAAAACCCAGATGTCTCCTCGAACGCGAGAGTCTCAAGTCTGCTCAATTGCGCGCGTGTAAAAAATACCACAGTTGCAAGGCTGTATCTGTTCAATGATCGCTGCGGCGTGTATTCGAATAGGCGCGTTATGTTCCTGTACCGCACGGTGCTCCGGTGTGCTTCTGGTCTTGGGGTGCTTTGGTGACGTCGCGAGAGACGTCAGAGGAGGTGAACGTCAGATTTTAGAGATTTGGCAAGAGGCTGCACGTGATTGACAGGTGGAGGTTGTGTTATCGAACGGGTGGTTCTGCTTGATAATCATCCAGCCGTGTCCCGCGGACCGGAGACCAAGTCCGTACCAACACCTCCATCTCAAGCTCAGAAGCAAGCGGAACAACCAAGCCTATGGCGACTCAGACCAAGGAGATCGAGTGCCACAATGAGAAGAGTCCGGATCACTGGACGTGAAGCGTGAGGGGAACAAAGGTGAGCCGCGAGGTGTGGTATGCGGACGTTCTGTATCAGGATATACTTTGTCCAATATCATATCCGGAGAGCTATCGATCGGCAGATCGAACGGGCGTACAGCACAGTACATGAACCAGGTTTCCGGTGTCAGAGGAAGGCCGGAGGATGCTCCTATGGGTGTATCATCTTGATATACTCCGTACCATATGGATGAATGAGGACCATGTCAGCAGCAACTTTACATCCTCACAACAGTTACGGGGATCAGAGCAGAAAGAGGATGGAAAGATAAGTTACAAAATGCAATTGCCTATTGAATAACTAGGATACACATCCAAAAGGAAAGAGCGATCATGCAGAATAGGAAGGAACGACCATTCTGAAGGGTAGGCATGGCGAGGGGCAACAGCGTTCAAGAAGAAAAAGCGACGGAATGACACTTGAATTAGCCTGGACCTATGCAACTTCTATACCTGCCCTTCCCGCGAATCCTGTGTCTGAACATCCGTCTATCGTATCGGAAGAAGTGAGCATGCGAAAAAGGCAGGGGCAACCATGCGAAAGAGGAAGCAAGAGCCTCACAAAGAGGAAGTGTCGATTATGCAAAAGAGGAAGGAGCCGTCATGCTGAAAAGTGGGAAGTGAGAAGGAGCATGGTTCCCAGGAGGAAGGAGCGATGAAGTGACGCCTGTGCTCGACTTCCACGCCTGCTCATCCAATGTGGTCCAGTCTTCCAAAGTCCGCCCGTCTTCATTCCGAGTCGAATTGACTGAGCTCAGAGTCGCTGGAAGGGTAGTCCTGGGCCCAAACAGGCTTTGTGGTTTCCTCCTCCGATTCCTGTTTGATCTCGATGGTTGCTTCGGAGTCAGAGTCGCTTTCATCTAAGGGTGCAAGAATGGGGCCGTTGTCTGTGTATTTGATCTGCTGGCCGACAACAATTCTCGACGAGCGGATGCGGAGAGACTTTGTGTGCGTGTTGTATTCGAGGAACCGTGGGTTGCCGGGTTGATAGATGGCGAACTTGACGGTGAGCTTGAGGTTGTCACAGTCGAGGAGTGGATCATGCTTGCTAGGGTCGTAAACTACCCAGTCTGTTGTGAATCAGCATGTGTCTAATAATCTATGTTGTGTTTCGCGAGTTGACTCACGTCGATTGCGTGAACCTTTGTGGAGTAAAAGGTCGGTGTATCCACCTCTTCTGGCCTTGTGGGAAGCTGGTACGTAGGACTTGAGAAGATCTTTGGCATGCCCGACGTGATAAGGGGCCTCTGCAAATCTGCGGACGAGCTTCTCATTAAAGCCGAGTCCGAGCAAGTCGTCTGTAAGGGCGTGCGAAGAGAGACGAGGAGCGAGAGAGGCCATGACGTTAAAAGGTGGGATTGTGGTAGGTGTTGAAGGGCGAGGATTGAAGAGACCTGAACCGTGAAAGGAAGAATGTGTGAGAGTGAGGTGAAAGGAAGAATGTGTGAGAGCGAGTGGAGATTGAAATGAAGTTGAGCGGACTGTAAAGTTGTGTCTGTACAGAGACGAGAAAGAAAGATTGATGCAGAGACAGTGAAAATGTACGTGAGACAGCACCAACCTGGTCGACGAGCACGACAGACTTTTACAATAGCATCGATTCGACAACAATGTCACTCTTCCTGGTTCTTGATTTTTCGTTCACTTGCCAAAAAGTCTGGTCGCCATCGAAAAGCACAGTCGTCGAACAGCACAGTCGTCGAACAGCACAGTCGTCGTTTCTCCATCACTACCTACCATCAGGAGCGTGAATAGAGCGCAAGTGAACGTGACTCTCGATGGACACGATGAGCTTCGCGACAGATTCTTGCATTATGATGGGTGTTTAGTTGATCGTTTGATTGAGGAAGAACTCAAAAGTTGAGCTTCCCCTTTATGATTCCAGCATCAGATCTTCTCACTGACATAGATAGCAGCTCGACAGCCACCCCGGATGACGTTCGTCAGAAGCTCATAGGGACGAGCCTCCTTTGCATCATGCTCTACAGCGTGATCAAGATGCTCGAGCTCCTCGTCTCTAATTCTTCGGAGGTTGCTGAGCAAATCTGTCATCTCTTCGCCAGGCTCCTCTCCCCGGTCTTCCATGTCCTTCATCCACGCCAACAACTCTCGCACTTGGGCGTTGTAGTGCTCTCCAATCTCAGTCTCGACGGCCTCTGTACATGCCATGGCAGCCTCCTGACCCAGTATGGCGGTTGTCCATCCTAATGCAGTCGCAGCGACACCCCAGACTGGAGTCATGGCAGTCGGGCGAATGCGGTGCTTGGCTATGATCTTGTTGAAGTATTTGAAGTGGCCGGCCTCTTGATCGTACATGTGCTTCATTAATGGGCGAAGATGAGGGTGAGCCCTGACGGTCGGCGGTGTTTGAGCCTGGTAGATGAGAACAGCAGCAAGCTCGCCAGTCTGGTTCACACGGAGCTGAGGACAGTCAGATTAATTGATAGACAGGAAATCTAAGTAATTGAGGCGTACAGCACTGTCAAGGAAGCGTTCTTGTTCAGCAGTCAAGGGACGCTTCCTCTTCCCTGAAGTTCCAGACTCAATCGTTTTGGGCTTTGGTTCGGTACTCGGCGGGGCTGACGAGGTGGTGATAGGTGCAGCATGCTGCAAAGACCCGATATGCAGTGAACGAGGCGACATGGCCATGCCTCTGCTGCACCGGCTCAGCTGACGGAGCGACATTATGATTGCAATTATTTCTAGAAGATGTGCTGGAGTTTTCTTCGTTCCTAGTCTGTAGGTACGAGTAGAGGCGGAAATGCAGGGTTGAATTGGTAGAAAATGGGCAAAGAATGGAAGTGAAGCAACAATTATCTATGTCATCGATTCGAGGCTCTTTGGGTCGAGCTTGGCGCAAGTCAGTGGAGGAAGTGTCCCTTCACTTTCCATCTCTCACTCATTAACTGCTCTTATTGTCACACTATCTATTGTCCCCAGCCACGCTAATTGCACATCTTCCGAGATCACTGCTGCAAATCTTGCGACTTCTCCTTCCGTCTCCCACGTCAAACTTTTGGTCCTCGATCCTCGAAACTCGCTTTAGCTCTGTCCCCTGAAATACCTACCACCACACACACATCACCAGCCATGTCAGACAACGAGCTTGATGCTGAGCTCCTCGCTCTTGCCGGCGACGATAGCTCCGACGACGAAAGAACAGACAACAGAGCCGCACAGCGCTCATCTCCCTTCGAGCATGCCGCTCAGTCCTCAGAGCCCGACCGCTCTCCACCCCGTCGCGGTGTCGCGCAAAAGCCAAAGGGCCGTTCATCTGCTGCTGCAACACGAAGACGAAGAAAGGATGACTCTGAAGAAGAAGGTGAAGCGTAAGTCGACCAACACTTCTCCTTCATCCTGCCCGACTTCTCTTCAATCTGCCTGCTTTGCCATACTGTACGGCCTCACGTACTGATTGCCATCTCAGCTCTCCCGCTTCATCTCCTCGGTCACTAGGCTCCGCTGCCATGGACGAATCCGACTCGGAAGATGGCGCCGACTTCGACCAGGACGCTCCCCTGTACCCCATCGAGGGCAAGTTCCGCTCAGAAGCCGATCGCGCTGAAGTCATGGGTATGACCGAGATCCGACGAGAGGAAATTCTCGCAGAACGTGCTGCAGAAGTCGAGAGAAGGGTCCAGGATCTACAACTCAAGAAGATCCTCCAGCAACGCAAGCGAGAGCAAGCCGGTGCTGATAAGAGAAAGCGCAAGGCCGCTGCCGCCGACTTGGACGATGAGGACCAGCGAAAGAGCAGTAGACCAAAGGTCAAGGCGAGCGGGCCTCTGGAAGCATACAAGAGAGAACGAGAGATGAAGGGCCAGCAACGAAACCGCGAGGACGACCGCAGAAGAGACCGCTCTCCTTCAAGGGACGACGGAGATTCGGACAGAGATGCCGATGGAGACAGTGAGGTTGAGTGGGACGAGAAGCCTCGAGCTGCAGCTTCTCGCGAGGAAGCTCCTGCGACACTGCGCGACTACGAGCGTGCTCGCATCGGACGTACCAACTTCGCCAAAGTCTGTTTCTACCCGACTTTTGAAGCCAGCCTCAAGGGCTGCTACACTCGTGTCAGCATTGGCGTTAATCGCGAGACTGGAGCACCGCAGTATCGCATGGCTCAGATCAAGAGTATGTTCGGTCAAATCTGCTTCTGATCGAACGCTGCTAACAATCCCAGGTTTCGCTACCGGCAAACCTTACCAGATGGAAGGTTTAAATGGCAAGCCTTTCGTTACCGACCAGTACGCAGTTGTCGCCCACGGCAAGGCCGAGAAAGAATGGCCCTTCGTCGCATGCTCCGACGGAAGCTTTACCGAGATCGAATTCGAACGTTACAAGACCGCCCTGTCCTCTGACAACTTGCGCCTGCCTTCTAAGAAAGTGCTGGTCGCCAAGCTCGACGATATCCACTCCCTCCTCGAATACCAATGGACCGATGAAGACATCCAAAGAAAGATCAACCGCACAAATGCCCTACAAGCCAAATTCGCAGACTACGGCCGCGAAAAGATCAAGAAGCGTCGCGAGGAAGCAGCATCCCGTGGCGACGACACTACAGTCGCTAGATGTGATGCCGAACTCGCATCCATGAGCTCCGGCGGCTCCTCGAAAGCCCAAGCAGCAGCCAATGCAGCAAAGCAGAATGGCAAACTCGCACAACAAGAACGTCTCGCAGCACTCAACCGCGCCAATCGCAAGGCCAACAGTGAAGATGTGCGCAAGGCACAATTGGCTGAGAAAAGAGTTATCCAGAAGGCCAGAGAGGAGGCAGCAGCAAAGGCACGTCGTGAAGCCGAAGCCGCAAAGGCGAAGCTCCTCTCAGTACCTGACGATCTCTTCGGCGATGCCAGCGATATCAGCAGGACTGGCACACCCGCAAACGGAACAGCCAGCGCTGGCAACGTTACACCGCTCCCCGACAAGATGAAGAAGACGACGTTGGGCGGCTTCAAGAAGAAGGCAAGAGATGAAGACATCATTGCCGACATGGACTTGGGCATTGACATTGACATCTGAGAGAATTCAGCAATATCTACAAGTGCCGAAAAGCAGTACGGCATCGGAACTAGTCTAATCATCCATCCATCCCTGCACGACTTTTCCTGTCCATAGATCTGAAGAACGAAGTCATGAAAACAAAAAACAATGCATATCAATCGACTCAAGTCATATTTCAAGTCTCTCTTTCCTCCATCTATTACCTATGATCATCCCTTCTCCGTCTCTCCTACCGATTTGTACTCCACACATGCTCTCTCATTTATTTACTACGCATCATGCCTTCTCCATCCCTGACTCTTCATTACGCTTCTTTATGCTCTTCACGACTAAAGACAAACTTGTATGTGGTATCACCCTGTTCCTGGTCATACAGCAGCGATATTACCTTCCGCGTAACCACTATACTACTCAAACATGTTGTGCTCCATCGTCAATATAGTCTTGAATGTCATCAGATACCATTCCTTCGATTTTATGAAGTTTCCACCAGGATACAGTGTTGTCGAGACATATTCCAGACTTCTGTAACAAACAGCACTGATCATCATCGCATCATTTGGAGCCTCCAATGTTAGCAGCCATAACACTCGGAACTGAAGTAGATAGAATCACATATGGAGAAAGCACCGAGACAGATGCGTTTTCGCAGTGGGAGACTTATTTTCATCGCTGGTGGGATGGGTTTGGAATGTATAGTATAGGGAGAGGGTTACACCGAGTAGAGGAGAGAAATAAGTCATAAGAAAACAAGGAAAAGATTTCACATCAATTTGTCGAAACGACTTCACGTCCAGATCACACAGCAAGTCATTGAGGACGGCAATAATCATAGAAAAAGTAATTAGGAAAAAGAAACTACCTGCACTAGGTAACGTATGAAGGAAAGTCCGTGGTTTGCCTCTGCGCACTTCCCATCATTTCAAGAAGACGAGAAATCCTTGCCCTTAAAGAGTGACCATCAAATCCCACCTCGCCTTGGAAGTACCAGCAATCATGGCGAGGAATCGATAACAAAAGGAAAAAGTGGGTTGAGGAGTCATTCGTGTGAGTAACTCTCTGCTCAATCTAGAAGCTGCAGCTTTTACTTCATCGATGCAACGGTCTCTTGGTCGCTGGCATCGAGAATGTCATAGTCGTCGTCGGTGAGGAAGCCGTCATCCGAGGTCTCCTCCTCGTTAGCGCTGAGAACTTCGAGGTCGTCGGTGATGTCTTCGAAGCCCTCGTCATCACTGACAACACTGTCGGCAATGTCAGAAGTCTGGGATGCCTGCTCTGTCTCCTCATGTGCCTTCTTGCTCAAGCCTGAACCACTGAAGGATTCGTAGGTTGAGCTCGAGGGACTCTCCTTGTCTAGGGTGGGGAAGACCATTTGGCTACCCTTCAGCTCACCCTCCTCATGTTCTGACTCGGCAACTTCAATATCTGCCTCAGCAGGAGTCTTGGTAACCTCGAATGTTTGAGTGACCATGACGGCGTTGGCAGGCTTCTGTGATTCCTCCGAGACCTCGGTGGGTGCAACTGCTGCAGCAAGAGCAGCAGCAGCAGGCATCGTAGGTGCCGTTGAGCTCTGAGTGTTGGTCTGGTCAAGGTGTGTCTTCAATGCGTTCATGCGCTCCTTGTAAAGAGCATAGTAGCTCTGTGCCTGGGATGTGGATTGAACAGTGACTGGGGAGCGGGGCACTGGAGCAGCCCCAGTGAAAACGACTGGAGCATTCTTGACATCGATGTCACACCAGAGACGGTGACCGAATGGCGTGCCGTCGGCAGACTTGAGGCGCCAGTAGCTGATGCACTTACCCTCACGAGCAGGGGCCTTCATTGTCACAGCGAAAGGGAAAGCCTCACCAGGCAAGACTTCACGACCGACAACGTTGCTCTCAGTAGCATCAGCAATATCAGAGACGGCTGCGACCTGAGTGTTGTCAACGTTGAGCATGTTGTCGCCACCAACAAAGCGGACACTGCATCCAGCGGGCCAAGCATCAGGTCCAGGGTTGCGAATAGTCCAGGACTGAACAAAGCGGGTGTTGGGAGCAATGACAGTACCGTCAGGGATGCGATCGGCGACGAAGTGGGCCTGGAGAACGGCGGAAGGTGCGTTGGGCACGGGAGTAGCAACAGCAGCAGGCTGTAGAACTGGCGCCGGGACTTCCTCCTTCTTCTCCTCAACCTTCTTCTCTTCAGCTTGAGGCGACGGCTTGATGTCGGCAACAGTCTTGACAGGAGCGGTGACATTGGCTGACTGTCTGCGGTTGGGGATGACAGGAGAGTGAACATTGCGAACAAATTCACGATCGCCGAGCTTACGGACTCCATGCTTGGTCTCACTCTCGGTTGAGATTGTCAGGTGGTTTACAGGAGTCTTGAACTTGACCAGAGGATGAGTCTTGTTGTGATGGGTAGTAGGCAAAGCTTCACAGTTCTGGCAGAAGTCTGTGTCATGGCAGACGACACACTTGTATCGCACACCTTGGATGTAAGATTGGTGCGGCTTGCCCTTGCAAAGCGGACCATCGCAGTAGATGCCATGGTGAGAGACGGACGATGCAGGACGGCCCTTGAAGTGCTCGTAGATGGCAGCGAAGCGGTGGCGGGGGTGAGTGTGACGAGCATTCTGGTGGCATTCGCCGCAGTAGTCAAAGTCAGGACAGTCGAAACACTTGTGTCGCACGCCATGGATCATCTTGTCGCAGCCGTCGCAGATAGCAGTGTGTCTGAAGTTGCGGCCGGCAGGGAGAAGAGCCTCCTGAGCAAGCGAAAGATCTGCACCGTCGACAGCAGGCTTGAAGTGATGGCCGGGGTGGTGACCGTGGGCATTCAGTGTGTGGCAGTTCAAGCAGAGGTCATAATCATCGCATTGGATGCATGTGACAAAGTCGCGGTCGGGGAGCGTAACGACACAGGCGTTGCAGGTGCGCATCGACTCTGACAAGGTCTTGACATCATCAGTGAAAGCTCCAGGAATGTCCTTGACAACCTCGAACTTGGGCAGAGGTGCAGACGAAGCGGAGTGCTTGGGCTTGGGAGCAAAGCGTTCCGTGGTACTGCTGATGACCTTGCCATCTTGAATAGAGCGCTTGACCAACCAGTGACCATCACCAAGACAGGCGGCACCGTTGGTGATGCAAGTCTCGCAAAGGTCAAAGTCACCACCATCACAGACTCCGCAATGGTAATGCACGTTGCTCATAACTCTATCGCAAGAGTTGCAGAAGACCGACCATGGGCCTCTGGAGACCTCCTCGATGGATTGGGCCACACGCAGAGGCAGGACATGCTTGACACCCTGGACAGTTGTGTTTGCGGTGAAGTCTAACATGTCAGTACGTGTAGACCTCATGGACATGTCATCAAACTTACCAAATGGACGAGGGACTGGGGCCTCGACGTCGGTCTTCATGGAGCTGAGTGCATCACGGAACTCGAAGATGCCGGGTCCGATGGAGTGCTGATCGAGGGTAGTGGCGCTTCTCGAGGGCGCAATAGGGGCCTCGGGAACGACAGATGACTCCTCAGATGGGGCATCAATCTTGGTCTCTTCTGAGGGAGCAGATGCTCTCAGCTTGAGCTTCAACTTGGCCTTGGCAGCACGGATGAGAGTCTTGAAGACGGCAGGGTTGGAGTCGTCGAGGACGACATAGCCGCCGGCCGAGTCGGAATAGCGCTCGAAGACGACAGCTTGGTCGGGGGCGATGCAGAGAACTTGACGGAGCTGTGTAAATGTCAGCCGAGATGCACGGATTCATGTGACGATAAGCTGATTCATACCTTGACAGGAAGCGTGTTTGCACCAAGGTCCTTGAGAGGCAACTTGAGTCTCTTGGTAGAGTCGTCGAACGAGACCTTGATGGTGATGAGAGTGTCCTCATTCACTGGGCCTGTGGATGAAGGCATGTCGAACGACGCGTGGGTGTGAATGGCAGCCTGGTGACGTACAACAGCCTCGGGTGGAGGCGAGGTCTCGAGGATGCGTGTAAGGGGAGAGCGATAAGACGTGGAACTGTAGAAGGAGGATGAGCAGGATGAAGGCCACCTGTGATGGGCAAGATGAGATGGTTCGAGTGAAAGGGAAACAGAAGTCAACGACGAGGTGTCGTGTAGATGCGGAGGTGTGAGAGTTACAGCGGGTTGGTTGGTACAAGAGACGGAGCTAACATCGGACTTTCCCCGCGCCCATCACGTTGACTTCTGCCTAGCTCCAGAAGCCTCTCCAACCGCCTTGCGTTTCCATGTACCTGTCGCTTTCTGACGTTTCAATATGCAAACAATCAACGCGTTACTTCAACTCTGCTCGTAGTCATGGCTGAATTCTGTCTGTCTGTCGTAGTACTACTTCAAAGCCTATGTACCAATTTCCTGCCACCGCTCTGTCGTTGCTGCGACGCCCATGCAACTGTAGTAAACAAAACACAAGGAAAGAAAAGGAAAAAGAGGGTATTAAATCATCGAATCGTTTCGTCAATGCCGACTCATGTCATGTTTGTGTGGAAGAGATGTATGTAAATCGCCACTTCTTTGGTGAAGTCGACGTAGGGCAGATGGTTTCATCTAGTCTGGTCTTGCAGATTTTGGCATCGCAATGCATAATGTGTTCTACAGCCAAAGAACTAGAATCGCCTATGCCATGAGAATCCCTCCATTCCCAGGAGGAACAAGAAGTCCATCATGCTTACTGGTAGTACATCTGACCAGCGTTTGCATAATAGTAGGCACCTTCAGGGCTCGGTGTCATCATGCCACCCATGCCTGGAACAGCATACGGCTGCAAATAGCCTTCCTGGGAGGCATACTGTGGTAGCTGTGTGTAGTAGACCATGCCGTTGCTTTCATGCGCCATAGTACCTTGCGGATCGCTGGTCATGGGTGCTTCAGGAGGCGCGTAACTTGGTTGTGCTGTGGGTGGAGCATATGATGGCATCGCACCGTATTGTGTTGGCTGTGGTGGGTAGTAATAGCCAGAGGGACCATATGGTGAATAAAAATTAGATGCAGGTGGTTGGAACGGTTGTGCATGAATCGCTCTCTCTGGAATGTTGGAGAGTGGTGTGCCGCTGGGGTACATATATCCTGCTGGGCCAAGTGGATGCGGCGCCATGTCCGAAGATGCCGACTGAGTACTAATGCTGCCTTCTGCAATGTGCTGCGGCAGCTGATTGTGGAATGGCTGTTGCTTTTGCTGCTGCGGCGCGTGAAGAGCAAGCCCTGCAGGCGATTCTATACCGGTCATCGATATGGTCTTTTGTGGGCGAGGCTGATGCACAGTGTCCGGCTCGGCCCAATGTTCGACGGCCGGCGTCTGAGGCCGAGGGTAGGAATGAGGGTAAGAACGGCCGTAGGCGGAGCCGGCAGGCGATGGGTTCGAAGAGCGATGTGACCCAGCTTGGGGCAAACGAACGACCGGGCGGCCAGATCCAGGATGGCCACGAGCAGTGTATGAGCCAGTGGGAGAAAAAGCCGAATCTCTAGGCACATCACGGGCTAGAGACGATCTACGACTCATGGACATGGCTTGTGAGTATACACTACCGCCGAACAGGCTCTGGCGTCTGCTCGATGGAGCCCCATAAGCGCCAAAACTACCTCTTGCCTTGCCAAAGCCTTGTTGGTTGGGCCTCAATGCTCTAGGAATGAAGATAAAGGATCGCTCTGCAGCCGGGAAAACATAGCGGACGGGATGGTCAGGCATAGAGATCCTAACAGGCTTGTCGCGGCGGAGAGGGGGCCTGTGATCGGGCAATCGGGTGTGTGACTTTACGGGAACAGCGGCAAAAGGGACAGCAGCGGCCATGCCGGGCAGCGAGACACGAATCTGCACACTGCCAATCTGCGTGGTCTTCGAAAAGTTCAGTGGGTTTGGCTGAGCCGTGGAAGTGCCTCGAGAGACAGGCTCGGGGTTGATGGCAGGGAATTGCGGTGGTCGCTGGCGAGCAGGTGGGCCACCACGTTCGTTGATGGTTTCGTGTAGGTCGTGCGTCCAGGGTGCATCGGCTGTGCGCTCGACTGGCGGCGGAACATGACTACGAGCAATGTTAGCGCTTCTTCGCAAGTCTGCTGGAGCGACTTCGACGGACCTGCTAGGAGCTTGGGGAACGCCCCTACCCCTCCCCCCTCTACCACGTCCATAGGAACTGAAGCCTCGTTGATCGGGAGTGCGAGCGTCGTGCATGAAGAAGTTCCCCCGATTGGGAATGAAAGTTGGATCTGTGTCTCGCTTCTTCTTGTAATCGTCGTGCTCGCGCCTCCTTCGGTCTGCTACGCTTTCTCCTCTTCTTGCTGGACCACCATCGGATGATACGATGGGTGCGCCGGCTGCTGCAGTTGACACATCGGTACCATTCGACTCTCCTGCGACCGATCCTTGCGCAACAGACTCGCTAGTGTTTGTGTTTGAGGGCTTCTTGTCTTGTTTTGTGCCTTTGGACGACTTCTTTGAACGCGTACGGCCAGTCTTCTCCGGCCCAACAGATTGAGGTACTGTCTGGTCGATGGGCAAGGCTATGGCGTCCTCGACGTCGCTGAATTCACTTGCATCGGCATCTGCGTCTAATGTGTCGACTGTGTTGTCCGCATCGCTGGCAACGGAGCCGTCGCTTTGAGAGTCATCGACACCTGTGACTGATTCCTCATCCTCGTCGCCATCAGCCCTCCTACGTCGATCCACGAGCGTCTTGAGTGACGAACGTGGTGCCATTGGATCCGGTCTACGAACGGTCGAAAGGTCTTCAACAAGTGGCGGCGTCAAGGCGTATGTATGCGTACAACGCGTAGCCTGAAGTGGTCGTTTGTCCCGATCCAAGGTGAGGTGATGACGTGTGTTTGAAACGAGAGACAGCCGTCTATACCGAGAACACCCAAGTGGCCAACGTGTCGAGTTCCGAGTTCAAGAAATGAGGCTCGTAAGGTAGGCGGACACCTACTTGTATCACAATCGCTTGAGTTGGATGTCATTTCCTGGGGCAAAGCTCCTTCCCCAGAACCATCGGCCCGCGGCCAAGCTGTCACCCAAACAAGTAATACTGAGTAATCACATCGATATCAACTGGACGAGCCTCTGCCATAACTTGAATTATACTTCTTATTCTCGTACATCCTGATACTGAGACCAACAAAGCTGCCTGTCTATGCGCTTTCGTTGCCCAACTTGGTCAGTTCTCCAAGTACAAAGTCCTCCGCATTTACAAGCTCCGTGCTGCCGTACACGATACGCTTCTTGCTTACCGATCCCGCTGCTCCTTGCCCACTCGTCCTGTTCGCCCAGTCTTGCAAATTGCCATATTCATCCATGCTGCCACCACCGACCGTGAAGACGATGGCTTCACTGTAACCCTGTCTTCGTTGACCGAAGCTGGCTTCAATGCCTCGTGTCACACTGTTGTTGCCTGGATTTCTAGCTTGTGCTGCTGATGGCGGCATTGTGCCTCTAGCATTTGCACTGCGTGGATCGAAGTACAGATATCCTTCCGTCTTCTGAAGAGCGCTGGTACTAGCGTTGGAAGGGTCCATCAATGATTCGGTAATCTTGGTCAGGGTCAGGTCCTTGTTAGCTGGCAGGAAGTTCTTGACGCCCGAGATCAGATTCTCAAAGTTTGAGCCAATTCCAGCCTCCTTGAACTTGTCCGTCAGCCCCTTGGAAAGGGAGCTGAATCCACGGAACAGATCATTAGACGCTGATGATTGGGCTGGTTGAGTTGGTGCAGACGAGATCATGGTCATGCGTGTGATTTCTCGTACACTGTGAAGAATTAGCAAGGGAACTTGGAAATACGCAACCGTTTGATACGTACCGTCTCACGTAGGTCAGAGGTGTGGTGTCGACCCCAGTATTACGCAAAGCTTCTTCGAACTTGTCCATGTCCGCGCGAGAAACCTCCTGCTCTGTGCTTAAAAACCAGATGATGAAGATTCGGAGTTTGTCCAGAGGTTCTTTGCCTTTGTCAGAGTCTTGAAGCAACTCGAGCATCTGCGCTTTCGTTTGCTTATTGATGTTCTCCTCCAGTTGGAAGAAGTTGTCCAGTTGTCTGTCTTTGATACCCTTCAAAAGTGCTGTAGCAATATTCATGTGCATGTCGAGAATGTTCTTGCGCTCTCTCAGCTCGGGAAGCAATGTGATGGCTGCTTTCAGATGCTGGGCCGAAGTTGATGTGTCATTCTGCAGGTCCTCAATCGAAGAAGCGCCAGTCTTCTTGGTGATCTCATTGGCATCCTCTTTGTAGCGAGTCAATTCCGAATCGATATCCTCGGCGACTTGTGGGAAAGGTACTCCTGCGTTTCTGGTCCAGAAGAAGTCATTTGTGTTGAGGTCATATGCCCGCTTGGTCGCAGGTTTGGTGACATCGGAATCGTCTCCGGGCAGCTCGACTGTGATTCGGTTAAGGTGCATTTTGAGCACGTCGTGTACCAACGATTGGTAGGTCCAAGAGTGAGATAGCATGGGAACAAGATCGAGGTTTCTGTCGACAATAATCAAGATAGGCCGCGAAGCGGGTGTGGCAGCTGCAGTGCTGGTACGGGCGTTGGCGCTGGAGAAAAGGTTGTCCTTTGCGTTCAAGATATGGTCACGCAACTTGCGATCCAGTTTGGCTGCAATCATTTCCGCTGCACCTCCTTTCGGACATCTGATGATGGGGATCGAACCTAAAACAGGTTAGTATAACTCTTGGTGAATGCTCTCTGGATCGACTCACCCATGGTCACTGCTACACTGAACAGTCCACTGACGATGCGATCAACCTTGGCGTCAATCTCTTCATCGCTCGTTTGAGCACTGTTCATGGTGTAGTAGACGTCCTTGCCCATTCCCAGACTGAACAGGTTGGGCTCGCTAACAACGAAGTTCAAGTACTGATCGTAGACCTGTTCGATGCTTTCTGACGTTCCGCTCGAGGCAATCTGAGCGGCAAAGTCCTCTAGCACGGGTCTTGATATGGACGAGAGAAAGTTGACATATGCCGATGAGTAAAGGCCGTTTGCAAGGTCGGATGCGATGATGTTCAGGTTCTCAGCAGTAGGCTCGACGAGGTAGAGGGCAGGGACGTCGGGAATGGCGTGACGTTTTGAGGTAATAGGTCTGACGTGTCGCTGTCAGCAGCAGCTCTGTAGCAAGACTCAGCATGCATATAGGCTTGGAAAGGAAAGCGCGAGACGGCTGCCTGTGTCGACGTACAGATGTATTGTGACTCCCCATGAGCGCAAGTCCGAGACGCGAAGGACGCTACTGATCATATCTCTTCCCAGGCTGTCAAAGACAAGCACCTTCCAGATAGGCTCGCCGTCGGCATTGAGGATAGGGGTGGCTTTGGTGACAAGGCCGTTGGCGAGGGTTGCATCGTGCTGTGTATCGGCGCTTTCGGGGGAGGCGTGGTTGAGGTTTAGGACCTTCTCGATAGACGCTGAAAGTGTGAGTATCTGAGGGCGTGTTGCGCACACGAGCTGTACTCACCCACTTGACGGTCGCGAAGGGAGTTGTGTTGAGTTGCCATGTTGATCGAATGGCCAGATCTTTCAGCCGGACTGACGGACTCTACCGCATACAAAGCCGAGCAAATGGGATCGGATGCTGAAGTTGGTCGATGGAAGACAATAAAGAGGAACGGCGAACGTGCGACTAGGATAGGCAGTAACTTGGTGAAGCTTCAATAAGTTATTAACACGTTCATAGCATCCCCACACCAACTTTGGATCCAGAAGCTGAAGCGTCATTTCACGGTCGGTGACTGCCGGACCTACAGGTCGCCAAGCTTCTTTCCGACAAGATTGCGCTTCCCTTCCCCGTCTGCCATCTTCTCTTCAAACACCTCACAACACCATTTCATCGCCCATCCTTCTGTGTAATTGACCTTCCTTTGGCCCCGTTGCCATCACTAATGCAAGGCGCTTGAACGCCCGTCTGTAAAGCTTGTCATTTGTGGTCTAATAAGTGACGGACAAGTCGGAGGGACTCTGAGCCTCTTAAGTGCTCGCTCTCCTTACGAGTGCGCAAGGTTCTTTTGCGACGGTGACTGCACCCGGGAGCCTACTTGCTTACGGTGAAAGACAAGCGCGTTCTGGCTCTGGTCAGTGGTGCTTATCATCCATAAATTCCATTCTCTGCACAGCCGGCAGGGACTCGTCTTTGCGGCCCTCTGTTGCCACTTCGAGCCCTGATCGCGTCCTGTGCTGCAGCGCGGAGCGACGTTGATTTGCACCCCCATCCAAGGGCTGCCTCGGGACATACTAGCATACCAGCGCTCTTTTTCCAGAGCTGTACTGCACACGCGCCATACGCGTCGGCAGCGAGGAGAATCGACATTCATACACGTTCACTTCGTCAGACAAGCTTCTACACGGTCGACAGCTCCCACTTCGCCCGGACAAGACATTCCCACTTGATTTGAGCCGCTCTCTCACGTAATCTCAAGCCATAAGGCAGATTGTCGTTTGTGATTGGTTCTCCAGCTACGCACATACCGCTTAAAGACCAGTGCTCGATATCTTGTTGAGAACATTGTCATCGTTGAGAACACTCTTGTCGTTCCGTTCTAGCAACCATGGACGGTCACCACCCAATGCCGCTGCATGGTCATGACCCTTCTCCATACCAGAATGGTTATAATGCAGGAGATGAGTTTGGCAACGTCATCTCGAATGGTGGAGACAGTGACCACTACGCCAATTGGTTTGACACTGCTTCTCATATTCCGAATCAAAATGCTCAATCAGATCCCTACATGAATTGGCAATCATCGCATACTGGACTGGACAACTACAACCCCCAAGCCTTTACAAAGAGCTCATCAAATCTCCAAACTGTGCCCTTTGCTGGCTATAGCAACACTCATCAGTACTCGCACTCCTACGACCCTTCGCTAGTGTCCAGCACAACGAATGGACCGTCTGCATTCGACCTTGGTCACTCTCCGTATGGCCACCCTCAACCAATACAGCATGGGACTATTGCCCCGCAAGCTTTGGAGCATGAACGTGCCCACGTGGCCCGAACAAGCCAGACTCTGGACCCTCAATCATATCCTCGTGCCACTACTACCGAGGCCACTAGCTACACCAAGTCTGTCCCTCAAGCACCGCCAGCAGATCAAGCTGCTCTTCACGATGCGATTCCGGCCGGTACTCGCGTAGGAAACTTTTGGATGAAAGATGCCGATCGACTTCATCAAGCAACCAATTCTACCCGAGTCACTCCTTATGTCGCTGTTGGCAAGACCGAGTATGAAGTCGGTATCAATAGAGGTTTGTGTCCTTAAACTTGAGAATCGAATTACGAACGTGTGCTAACTTAACCTTCCCAGCCACCGTTCCGACACCAGCACGTAGGCATTCAAGGAAACAGCTCGCCAAAACCAATCCCAAGCTCAAAGGTCTGTACATCTTGTGACACAACTACCACAATGACTGACACCATCTTAGCAAAATTTGAGAGGCCAAGAGTACCAAAGACCTCATCTGCAGGAAGCAGCCAGCCATCAAAGTCCGTGAAGCAGGAACACTCAAACAGTGAATCCGACTCGTCCGAATCAGATTCTGATTCTGAGTCTGATGAGGAGCCCGAGCCCTCTCCTCTGCCAGCACAGCGACCAGAAGATCCTCGGGCTGGTGTCGGATATGATACCATGAAAGCGTTGTGGGAGAGTCGTCATACTGGTGTTGCCGCTGACAGGATCAGAACTGGTATGGTGGAATTCAATGACGTTGTGACAACCATAAGAAATCGATTGAAAGCCGATTCTACCGCTTTGCTCGAGGCAGTCGATCGCAAAAAGGTCAGCGAGGTGCCTCTTCTGAGAAGCAGAGTGAACGACCAGCTTGAGTTATTGAAGGTTTCACTGCAAACTGCAATCCAATACGGAAACAGAGATATTCTAGGACAGTGAGTTTATTGTTGACCTGTTCAGTGACGAGACTTTCACTAACAACAATAACAGGCTCGGCCACCATGCTCAGCTTATGGCTACCTTCGCGTCACTTTTGATTGATCGTATAAAGGCACCTGATGTCAACGGACCTGTGACGCGCTTGATCTTGGAGGTAGGCAACATTCACTTTTCTTCATATTACAGTGCGGCCAATTAACGGATTCTAGGTACTTGTGCGCTGCGACAATCTGTCCGCACAGACCTACAGCGCGACAAAGTTGCAAAAGTGTATCACCATGTTGAACAACAAAGGAAACACAGAAACGCGTGAAATTTGCGAGCGTATTAACCGCAACGTCACCGGAGCGCCAATGAAACAACCAAGCAGCGAACAGTCGGGCGTAAAATCGCCTCCCAGCAACCGACCCACTCCCGAGCCCGTCGCTGGCGTGAAGCGCGCTGCTCCTGGCAGTGCATCTTCTGATCAAGCCTCGAAAAGAGTGCTTGTGACACCCGGAGCAGGCAATGCCGTATCTAATGGCGCTGCAAAGACTTCGGTCCTCAAGCGCGTGCTCCCTGTTGGTAGCAACACAAAGCCTGCTACCGCTGTCAAGCCTCCTGTCGGCGCCGCTGTAAAAGCAAAGCCAATCGCCGCCAAATCAATCATCTCCGCCGCTACTGGCGCAGGTGTGAAGAAGGCAGTTACTAAGACTGCTACCCCATCGGTGGTTGCTGCAGCAATGTGAGTCTCGACATCATCAACTTGAAAACCAAGCTGACTCAAAACCAATAGTAAATCGATCGAGAAGAAAGCTGCTCCTGCTGCCCCTGCCAAACCTGCTTTCTCATTCGCAGAGACCATGGCAAACCTCAATAAAAGCAAGGAGAAGGAACCAACCCCACTCAAGGCAGAGGAGAAACAGGCACCGGAAACACTGGAGGAGAAGGCAAAGCGTGAACGTAAAGAGGAAAGACGTAAGCTGCGTGTCAAGTTCAAGCCTGATAGTCAACTCGTCGAGACCAGGATCTTCCATCACGATGTTGATGAGGAATTGGGCCATGACGCAAGCATGATCCGTGACGTGAGCGACGTAGGTGGTGAAGGACGCATGTTCAAGCAGCACAAGGACATGATGGACATCGACGAAGACGACGAAAACGCCGTGGGCGAGGAGAATCTCGGAGAATACGTTTCACCAACATGTAAGTCGATGTCATCAGCAGGCCTGCGAGAACCAAGGAAAATGCTAACCTTCACAGTGACTGATTTCAGCTCGGTGGACGTTGAGGAGCGAAAGAGAAACTACAGCCCTTACGGTGGAGGCGAGCTAGAGCCAGAGTCTGCAGAGCGTATCAAGCGTGAGCAGTACGAGGCCAGCACTTTAATGGTGTTCTACACGGATGCAAATGACATACCATCCTGTCCACGCGAGCCAGCAGAACCTTACAATGGGGAGGAAACAATCACAAAGGCCTTTGGACCTTTGGACACACAAGAACCGCTTGCTGTATGTCACCATAATTTCTCCCTAAACATGAGTGCCACTAACGCTGTACAGACGAGAATTGCCAAGCTTGCGGGCCCAGCTCAACCTGTCCAACCTGTGCAACCCCAGCAGTCGAGCGCTGCACCCGACATCTCCGCTATCCTGGCCCTGATTAACCCGCAAGGTCAAGCGCCGTCTCAACCCGCTCAACCCGTCCAGGCTCCAGCACCTGTTGCCGCACCTAGTCAAAACCAGGATCAGATGGCCGAGATCCAGCGAATTCTGGCATCCATACCACAAGCACAACCTCAGCAACAACAGCCTCAACCTGCTCAAGCCCAGCAACCGGTTCAACAACCCGCACAACCTAACATGGCCGCGGACCTTGCTGGCATCTTTGCCAACTTGAACCCTCAGGCACAAGTGTCCAACATGTTCCCTCCTGCTCAGCAGCTTCCCATCATGGATCCAAACCCAGCTGCTTTTGCAGCCCTGTTCTCACAGCTCAACCCAGGTCAAAATGGTGGACAAGGAGCTAACTTCAACCAATTCCCCTATCCTGGCGCAGGCTTTAACATGCCCAACATGGGAAACTATCCTGGACAGCAGCAGAACCAGCAGCCTCCCTACGAGAACGAAGAGCGCCGCCGCTGGCGTGAAGGTGGGGGTGGTGGTGGTGGTGGTGGCGGCGTGGGTGGTGGTGATAACAACTCCGACCACAGTCGCCGCGGCAAGCCTGGAAAGAAGGGAAACACATTCACTGACAAGCGCTTTACGGTGCCTTGCAAGTACTTCAAGAAGGGCCAATGCCAGAAAGGAGACTCTTGCACATATCGACATGAATATTGATGACGACCGAGGCATAACACATTTCCAACCAAAGGAGTACAACATTGTTGTTTCGCATTGCACGGTTTTCGACATTGCATGGATTGGCGTCATCTGATTGAAGTTTCAGCTTTTTGGGGGGCATTATCAGACCTGCATCTGCGCATACAGGTCCGGGAAGGTAGACATCGTCATTTTCGTTCAGAAGAACGTGTAGTATTAGCTATTCAGTCGCTATCATAGTATCATGCATACACTGCATTATAACAACGAGCCCCAAAATATGTTGGGCGTCGTTTCATCATCTGATATGACCACACTGAGATTTGGACTTGTGACGCGTGCGAGATAAGGGTTGAGATAGGTCCAATGATCGTTCTTCAAGTTGGACATACAAAACTTGCTTCCTGGCAAACATTACGTGCGTTACTGCTACTGCCGCTTGCTGATGAAACAACGTCTGCCTGCCTATGACGTGTTCTTCTAACGACCAACGAGAAGGCAGCCATGCGCAGCACCTACGCGAACACAGCTATTCCAAACACTTGTTAAACAAGCACATGAATCAAGCTCATCTACAAGAAATGCAAGGTGACGACGACGCCTGGTGTCGGATTGCGGCAAAAGGGAAGGACCGTGCCGGAGTGGGCACCCCACGTCCCCATCTTCTCCTTCCTCTTTCGTTCGAGCTCGCAATGGAGGCTGAAAAGTCTTCGCACCAAGATCGCATGTACGAGAGTCTGTCAATTATAGCCTTTGCAAGTTTTGAGAGTCGCATCCATCATACTAGGCTTGTTGGACGAAAACAAGACATGACAAGCTTCTTGGGGAACGAGCGGCTGCAGGGGCAATCAGCGGTCAAAAGCTTGTCTCATGCATATCAATCATCTTCCAATCGTCGCTGCCCGTTGAGATCGGCAATCGCGTGAACATGCAGCTCTCAGCAGGTGGAGATTCGTGGAAACAGGATAGTGCCTTCCCAGGTCATCTGCTTGGTAACAACAAACATAGCCCTTTACACTTAAGTCTGTCAACCTCCAACCTGCACCATCATTCCAACATCAACCTTTTTTCTATTATCACTTCACATCCCATCATCTACGAATCAATATGGCATCCAACATCAAGCACAACCTATCCCGCGTCAAGCTTATCCACAACCCTAACTACCAACGTTCTGGTCTCAAATCCTACGTCTACCTTCTCAGAAAGTACAACTTCGTCCCGACTCTCGACGGACCTTACTTCATCAGCAACATCGTCGAGCAACTCGGCAAGCCTATTCTGGCCAGCAAGTTCGCCTCTCACATCGGCGGCCATGCTCGTGTCAAGCAACACATCTTGATGAAGAAGGACCTCAGCAGCGGACACGAAGGTCAGGTCTCAGCTGAAGATCAACAGAACGACTCTGAGTATCTCTGTCAAGTTTCCATCGGAACTCCTGCTCAAACCCTGACTCTTGACTTCGACACTGGTTCATCGGACCTCTGGTAAGTCATTTACCCAGTACAATAACCGCCTTGCACATACTAACGGAGTCAGGGTCTGGTCAACCAACCTCAGCCAAAGCATCCAAACCCAGGGCAAACAGGCCGGCCACACCATCTTCGACCCCTCTAAGAGCAGCACATGGAAGGAAGCTTCGGGCAGCACCTGGCAGATCTCGTACGGAGACCAGTCATCGGCCAGTGGTACTGTCGGTACAGACGTTGTCACTGTCGGAGGTCTTGCCATTCAAAACCAGGCCGTTGAGGTTGCCAACCAGATTTCTGATCAGTTCGTCCAGAGCACCGGTGATGGTCTCTTGGGTCTGGCCTGGGGCTCCATCAACACCGTGCAGCCCAACCCTGTCGAAACTCCAGTCGAGAACATGATCAGTCAAGATGACATGTGCGTATTGAACTTCCAAGGGCATCGCTTCTCTGCTGATGCATAAAACAGTCCCAAGGATTCTGAGCTCTTCACTGCCTGTCTGTCTTCTCACAAGGGCAGCGATGACAGCTTCTACACTTTCGGATACATCGACACCTCTGTCACTGGTGGCAAGACTATTAACTACACTCCTGTCGACAACTCTCAAGGCTTCTGGACAATCCCATCTACTTCAGCTCATGTCAATGGTAAGAAGATCCAACGTCACAACAACACTGCCATCATGGACACTGGTACCACTTTGTGCTTGGTCGACGATGCCTTCGCCAAGGCTGTCTACGCCGCCATTCCTGGAGGCAAGTACGATTCAATTCAGCAGGGCTACGTCTTCCCTACCAGCACTGCTGCTTCTGATCTTCCTGTCGTCACTCTCGCCATCGGTGATCACCAGTACACCATCAACAAGGAGGATCTTGGATTTGCCGATGCTGGAAACGGCATGACCTATGGTGGAATCCAAAGCCGTGGCAACATGACGTTTGATATCTATGGCGATACAGTGCTGGTAAATCGCTCCCTGGCCGTCGCTGACCTCAAGAGTAATGCTAACATGCCCCTTTTCCGTCTAGAAATCGATTTACGCCATTTTCGACCAAGGAAACCAAAGATTCGGAGCTGTCCAGCGCCCCGACTCTTCAACTCACAGCTCTTGAGCACCCGCACTGTCTGTCATCAGTGGCACCGCTGTCTGCCTGTATCACGGATACTGTGAGGATGCATGTACATCGGGAGTTGAGATGGAATTGTTACGACCGTACCTGAATTACGAACCTGGGCATATATTGTTACTCTCAACGAGTTAGGCATAGACATCAATCGATTCCATACCTATCTCCGTGCTCGATGTGCTCACCATCCAGGATGATATATGCTTGTTGGGAGTGCTTGACATTTCTGACAGTGCTTGGCGAGCATGGGAAGCAGCGATCGGCTCTGAGGCGCGAGTGACTGCCTTCTTCCCCTTTTAAGACCAAACTTGTTGTTGGTACATCACGGCTGTTATACGATTACTTTCAACATTCGCCTTGACTCTCTCACGCGTATGTCGTACGTTGGCTTCCTTCTTGAATCAATGGCCTCCAGTGACGACGAATCCTTCCCTAGCTGTTTTTCCTTCTTCGTCCTGCAGGAACTCGATTAAACAGCGTGGTCCCCTTCATCCGTTATCCGATCAACGTCATGTTTCTTGTCGTCTTCGCCTCGGTCACCCATGTATTCCTCGCCCTCTGCTCCTTCGGCGGCCTCTCCATCCTCATTCTCGACACGGTCGACGGTGTGCTCCTTTTCATCTTCGCTTTGGACGACAGCGCGCTCCTCTTGTCCCTCGACCTGTTCCTCAGCTTCCTCCTCCTGCCCTTAACTTGTTCGGCATCTTCTTCCTGCTCGCCCTTAGCTTGTTCGTCGGCGAGAGATGATGTGCGAAGAACAATACATAGGGAGGGTACAATATCGCGCAGCTCTGCTTCGTACTAATCGTCGACCGTACAGGCTAGGAGTATGTTGCATTGCACGCGCGGACAATGTGGTAGCACATCTGTCAACATGCTGTCTACTTGCGCAATGCAACCGGTATCATCGCCACTGTTGTAGAGCCCGATGGCGGCCTTCAATGGCTCTAACCAAAACATTGTGTTGATGTTGTCTGTAGAGTAGGTCGGCGTGGCGGTAGTCTTGATATGTTCTAGATGTCAGATGGCCGAGTTCACATGTCACCTCAGATCAAGGGAATCTGGGCATTGTCGTCTGATGCTCTGGACTCTAGACTCATACTTCTTGGAGCATTGTCGTCTGATGCTCTGGACTCTAGACTCATACTTCTTGGAGCAACTTACCTCTCCGCCACTGTCGACAGCAACGTTCAATTAACCACTTGGATGTTTGACGATACAAACCCTAGCTTGCACTCACACTCTCAAGATGCCGGGCGTAGAGAGCAATGGTATACATGCCTATGATCTTATACCTACTGTAATCGCGAAGTCGAGTGTCCAAGTTAAAACTCACTGGCGCCTTCGCAAGCTCGCTACACACCGTCACACCTGCACAGCGCTCTGATTGAGGGATATCCGGGTTAAAGCGAGCAAGCGCATCAAAACATCACTCAAGACGTTCAGTCCCAGTCATCACAATCCCGACATGTTCGCCCACGACAGAAAACAAACAACCTCTGACATTCTTTCCCGCAAAGCTCACCCAGACCATATCAACAACATTGACGTCAACACCAAAGCCACCAAAAAACATCCTTTTCCACCAAAGTCATAGAAACAGTAGTAGACCCTTAACCAACCAAATAACCGAAACTCTCAAGCCCTGAAAGTCTGAAGTCTGAAGTCAGGAATCCCATGAAACCGTTTGTACACAAAAAAGCCGCTGGGGGGCTGACAAACAAGAACCGAGAAAAGATCAGATCTGCTGACCGGGTGAACAACCAACGGCTTTTGTTCCCCGTAAGCTGAGGGGGAAAGAAAACCACAAGGCTGGGAGAGAGGGAGAGAGGGCTGGTAGGGCTTAAGGGCTTGAAAGTCTAGATTCCAATTATTGTTCGTATTGTGCGGATATTTAATGTATCGGCTTTGATCGTCTACACCAATGTTCGCTATATTGGAAGCAAGAAAGCACAGCATGGAGAAACACTGAAGAGGCAGAAGATATTCAGTATTATGATCTTGATAGTATTTTGTAAGTAATGATAAAAAACGACTGTCTATATATCTCTTGTACGAGATCTCGGGGGGTAGTTGTAACGCCATCGCTCTGATGAGGAAAAAAAGGAAAAGTGATTGTAGATAAATAGCCGTCACAACATGATATCCAAAACGTAGAAGATAGGAAAAAGAAGAAAGGAAATCAAAACACCCTTTACCACGTGAACAACATGAGGTTGGGGTTAAGCGCAATGGGCAAGAAGAAGTGCGAGAACACAATAGTAGCCAGAGGCCAAATGGCGAAGAATTGTCTGATCTGCCAGTCCCAGGGAAGAGCCCAGGCGCAGACGACCATACCGGCGGCCATGATGATGCAGAAGAGGAAGGTGAACTTGAAGTTCTTGATGACCTTTCCGACTTCCTTGAAGAAAGTGGTGTTTTCGGCTTCCTTGCTGGTCGCACCCCAGTTCATGTCGATGCCGAACATGTGCGACAGAATGGCTTGAGACAGATGGAGGGAGAGACCACCGAGGAAAAGCATCATCATGGGGATCCACATCAGGTTGGTGATGAGAGCGCCCAAGAGACCTTGCTCGTCGGTACGGTAGCGGAGGATAGCCAGAGACAAGTTACCGAGACCGGTGAAAACGACGAGAATGGCGAGGTAAATCTGGAAAGAATCAAGGTAGTACTTGTCTTGGTAAGAGTTGTACCAGCCCATGAGGAAGTAGTTAAGAAGAGTCAAGATCCAAGCGCTGCCAATAGCGTAGTAGGTACCGATGTAGGCCATAATGGTGAACTTAGAAGGAAGAGGCATGGAGGAGCAGATGAAGTTGCGGAAGAGCTTGGTGAAAGGACCACGAGTGGGCCAGTAGCGGACAGGGTGGAAGAGAAGCTCGTTGCAGCCGTAAGCGTATTTCTCCCAACGAGCAAGTTCATCGTAGACGGTAAGGGAGACACCCTCCTTGAAACCATCGCCCGTGTAACCACCCATGCGGACAACATAGCCATCGTTTTGCAGACGCAAAGCCATGTCGAAATCTTCAGAGACAGTGTTCTCGGACCAGTACTTTTCGCGGTTGTCGTATTTGCAGTCGTAGGCAATGTTCTGAACGGAAGACCATCTGAGAATAGCGTTGTGACCGACGAAAGGAGCGACATCACCACTGGCAACGGCGTACTTGATCTGGGTGTAAATGAGGTTGGTGAAGAAAGTGATACCCTTTTCGAAGAAGCTGTCGGTGACGTTCATGACACCAGAAGCGTATTGAAGAATGGCGACCTGAGGAGATTGGTGCATTTCACTGGCGGCGTCGATCAAGCAGTCGGTAGGGACACGAGTGTCGGAATCAATCAGAAGGATGTAGTCACCAAGACGGACGTTACCATCAGCCCAGGTGCGGCCTTCATCTTCCTCGACAACCTCGTTGAGTGCTTTCACGTAAGATTCGGCTTCGTCTTCATTGGTCCAGTTGGCGTGCTTGGGAGTCTCGTTCATCTTGTCCTCAACACGGTTGCTGACCCAGAGAGCGTAGTTCATGTTAGAGGCCTTCTTGAACTTTCCGCGACGAGTGAAAGGATCACCGTGCTCACCCTTGGGGTCGTGGCGGGGACGAGCGACCCATCCGATGTTGTGCTCATCGTAGAAGTCCTGACGGGCGCGAGCTTCCTCTTCGGAGATCAACTGCATACCGTCGTCGTTGACGAAGATGTTGGCAGTACCGCCTTGCATTTCGTAGGTGGAAATAGCAGCCTTGATAGAGTGAACAGTGGGCTCAATGACGGCCTGGAGACCCTCCTTGTAGACAGGACATTGAATGGTGATGTGGGGAAGAGTGGTAAGATCAGCGTTGAGTCTCTTGGGGGGAAGACCGGAGTAGAACTTGGTGTTTGACGACAACTGAGAGATGGGACCAAACAGCTGCCAGATGTTGTTGACGACGGCTTGGTAGAAGAAAAGCGACAGCCAGGCTTGCGGGATGACACAGAGGACAAAGGCAATGCGAATGTAGTTGTTGTCGGTGCCGATTTCCAGAGCAATTTTGCGCCAACCAGTAGCCATAACGACAATGAGCAGACAGAGAGTCATGGCACCAGTAATGGCCTGGGTGAGGACGATGCGACGAGGCTTCTCGAGGGCACCTGCTTCTTCGCTGTCCATGCTAATTTCGTCAACGTTGACCTCGGCAGACTTCTCCTTCTCCGAGACCTCCTCTTCTTCCTCGCCTTCTTGAGGCCAAATCATCTTCATGAGGGCCTTTTCAATATCCTCAGCGCGCTTGATGAGATGTCTAGGCTCATCGTCCCAGACAACGAGAATTCCACGGTCGGCGATGAACGCGGCGAACTGATGCTTAGCGCAGCGAGGGAGGTATGAGATATCAGGGAGGACTTGGAGACGGAGACCGCTCTTCAAGGGGATGAAGGCACGGTCGTTTCCGTGGAGGAAGAGCTTGATAACACGAGTGTTGACGGTCATGGCACTCTGGATATGATGTTAGCGAATATACTGAGAATGTGGACGAGGCTTTACTCACTCTAACGTTAAGAGTCTGGATAGCCTTGAAGAAACCGTTGGGCTCGCTCTCAAGATCTGAAGGGCAGCAGGCATACTGTCCTCTTGACTTCTTGAGAAGAGCACCCTCATCGTGGCCACCGGCAGTCCAGAGCAATTCCATTTGTTGACTGTAAAGGTGGTTGACCATCATGTCACACTTAATGTCGTTGATCTCCTCCTTTGCGTTGTTACGGAAATCTCCCTCAGGGAAGACGGATACCGGTCTTGATCCATAAGGAGTTGCTGCGCCAGACATCGGTGCAAGATGTTGTGGTGTTGATGTGCCAGTGTGTACCTTCTCGCTCATGGGAACCTCGACGACCGGCTCCTTGCCCTTGTCGGCCTTGCGGCCTGGTGCAAGGTATGATTTAAGACCCATTATGGTAGAATAGATGTGATGTTAGGGTAAAAGTAGTGCTGGCTATAGCCAAGCCTCTTAATCAATTTCCAGTAGATTAGATGTCGAGTTGATTCCCTTGGTAAACTTCTCGTCCTGGGTGTATGATTGATGTAATTGCTTGGACTGGTATATTGTCACAAGCTCGAAACGAAAGGATGAGGATCAATGAAGATCTCGAGATGTCGTGATGGATTGGAAGTGGTTGTAGAATGGGAAAAAGAGAGGGAAAGACCTGACCAGGTTGGCAGCAACACGAGTAAAGAAGTAGTCCGGCAGAGTAGCGCCAACGGATTGCATTTGATAGTGTAGACCACGGTAGCAGGCATGAGGCCAAGCCAGACACGCCCGAGCCAGAACATCCCAAAACGGTTTTGCTCCAGCACGGTCGAGAATAGCGTGAAAAATCTTGTCCTATTTTGGCGGACCAGGCGACGCTAACGGCCATGCACATCGGTTGCCTGTCTTAACCTTATCATCTTGGTGCGTACCTGACATTCGGCAGTGGTCCGGTGAGAAGTGGGCGAGTCTCTGCCGCTCAACTGCTCACCATGCAATCACATCACACATCCTCCGCGCTGCCAACGGCCGAGGCTCTCCATCCTTGAGCTGGATAGAAGCCGAGTACGCTGATCATTGATTCACATCTTGCTGATCCGCGAGATCCCAGTGCGGAGGTCCAGCAACGCCTATCGTATCGGCGGTCCATCATGGCTGACAATAAGCTGAACGGAGATTCCGAGCTGGCACGCTCATGGTCTCACAACGCCGCTTCCTTTGACACGCGATAATGTGGAAATTCGTCATTTTGCAGGGTTCTCGAGATGAAGCTCGCAGGAAGGAGCCTTTAGCGAAGAGGTGCTCAACGGAATCGAGCGCCATGGAGCGAAACAGAGTGCGGATGGTCCGGCGCGGGCAGCACGACGGCCTCACGCGAAGCGCATGCATGCCGAAACTTGATTGCAAGCGCGCACCACCAAGGTTCACTCTCCCGTCGCTATCTAGCCGCACACGGTTTGGCCCTCACAACGCTTTTCTTCTACTCTTCGCCACGTAGAAGAACATTAAATGCTAGACCATTTCCTCAGCTGCGTATGACGAGGCGAGTCTCGTCGATGTCTCAGACATGTTTCTCTCAGCTCCAGCTCGCAGGTGTTCGCCGGCACAACCGTGCATTTGCCCAAACGGCCCGGCCGATCGTCTTTGCAGGAAGGCTGGGCGACGATATAACAGTCGTCTGAAATATCAAGGCCTGCTCGACGGGTTGGGTTTCTCAATATCAGTTTTTGCTTTCACTCTGCCGCTGGCTGTCGCTTTATCTCTGCAGACATGAATAGAAGTCTGCGTTGTACCGAGTACTTATGCAGGTTCCAGGAACATGCTTTCTTGGTGGCTGACCAAAATACACTAAACGAGCCAAGGTTGGCCGCATAGAATGCTATTTTGAGTTGCATCTCATAGTCTATGCATGATGCAGTGGCGGGCTTCTCACCACTATTCCTCACTCTTTTCTTCCTCTCGACCGTTCGGCTTCGACGTTGGATAAGGCCATCTGCCAAACAGTTCTATGCGAACGCTTACACCGTCTTATACAGAGAATATATAGAGAGGCTGGTAATCCGACTCGACCACGAGCATTTCTTGACGTGCTCTCTTGATCTACCTCCCCCAGAAATACCACCTTCCATTCGCAGACCACGCGATGATCGAGGGCTCTGTGCTTTCTGTTTCGGCTCGTGCCTTGGAGATCATCCTCCATGCATCACCTCGGCCTGAGAATGAACCATGTCAATAGTCGTGATTATTCCCACACGATTGGGTTTATTGGATAAGTAATAGCAACAAGCATGTCAATACAATTGATGCACTCCACTTTGTTTGATGGTGCATGGTTTAGCAACCCCCTTCGTGTGCATGGATGCTCGTGCTTTTGCGATGAGGAGCGAAAAAAACTAGGACACAGCTGAAAGAAAGCAATGAGTTGAAAATCTTGAAATATTGCTTTCTCAGCCGCTTCTGTTGAAAGAGTCATGCATCTTTTTTTCTGTTGGACATGCAGGTTGAGGCGCTTTAGCACTGCCTTTTTGAAATTTCGCTATCATCCGCTCCCGTGTTCAAAGCGTCAAAAATCATGCTTTACGGCGTTCCCGTCAACAGCTTGCTGCTTGTTTGGCTGGACTCTTGGTGGTGCTATCGAGATGCCAGCGCACTGGGCTGAAGCCTCAGGGCCTGTGTCGCTGTGGAGATTATTTTGCGGACATGGCGTGGCTGAAGACTCGCGTATTGTTACGGACACTCGTGGCAGTGTTTGTTCCAGGGTGAGGGCAGTGATTTTATTCTTTTTGTCATGAAGTGTAGCTGCTTGTCAAGGAAGTCGACAGTGTGAAATCAACTGGTATACCAGGTAGGTGTGGTAGTGAAGTGAAAGATGTCCCAACGGTCATCTACGTACAATCATGAATTTGCTTTCGGGTTGTCTCAAAGACTCAACCGTTGTCTAATCGCCCACCTATCTTTTGACGAGAAAGCTGGCACTTGATGTAAAGATACTCAACGCTCGAAGCCCAAACCTTGCCTTCTACTTGGGAAGTCTCCTCTTCTCAACGCTCATTCCGCCAATCTGTATCAGATATCAGTAAAGGGGTCAAGCGAGACATGATACATTCCGATGACGCTCATACCTGTAGCTCACAAGTGTATCGACCTTGTGGTTGTTGGTGGAGAAGCTACGTAGTTGCACTTTCTCGGCGTCCTGGATGTCTTTGGCATCACTGTCACCCCATTCCAGAGGAACTTCGGAATCTTGGTCGGCATAGACCAGGACATTGAAGGTGCAGTTGCCATCAAGCATGGGCAAGAATGTGACGGAAGCTGTGATCTGGCGGAAGATGGACTGGATCTCTTGTTGGACATCCTGATCTGTCTTTTCATTTGCTTGCTCGGTTGTGCTGTCGCAAAGGTCAGCAACTTCAAAGAGCCCAACGCAGGCATACTCTCGTACCTATCAGCGTTTTCATCTACGGTCTTGCTGGATCCTTTCTTTTTTGATTCTTTGCCGAATATTTGCACCTGATTATGATGAGTCCAAATTGGTATGGAAACAAGGACAGGGTGTTACCCACATCGAACTGCCATCTTTCGACGGGCTCACCAGTCTCTTTGCTGGTGATGACTATGATCAGTTTTGAGATCTTGGATTTGAGCATCCATTTGTTCAGCTGTGACATGATTTTCTTGATGTATGCTTTGACCTGATCATCCTGGGAAACTGTGGTGAATAATCAGTCTTTGAAATCGTCCAACTTTGTAGCGAAGTCATCTTACCCAGCATGTTGAGGCCATACTTCTTGACTCTGTATAGTTTGTGAGAGACTGAAGCAAGACGATGTGTATAGAGGACATGACTGCTTACGCTGTAAAGTCTTCCGGTGGGTAAACACCACGTTGAAATCTACAGCAGTCAGCAAAGCACTCTGACAGCAGTCAACAACATCGACTTACAGAATAGTGTTGATGCAATATTCAAACTGTAATCTTGTTAGTCTTCCTGTTTTATGATTGATCTATCGAGAGTCGTACAAATTCGGTGACAGTTTTGGAAGAGCCTGTACAGGGTCAGTTTCTGAGAGGTTATGTTCTCTGACGATACGGACCTTTCAAGGCAAGCTTATGAGTGCTCTTCTCTTTGGGCTCCTTCTTTGCTGGTGGCATGACAAATGATTATTTTTGGTGCTCCTGCGATGTATTGATGTAGTGGTTGATAGCACAAGAGAAAAGAGTTGTTTGTTGATGCAGTGATTGACGGAGCAACAGATAGAGAGCTGCACAAAAAGAGAAAACGACAAGAGCAGTTCTCGGCGAACAATTGAAGAAAGACTTTGATAGAGACAAGCGAAGGTCGAGGGCGAGGTAGTACGGGTATATGGCTAGCGAGTCGTGGATTTGGTGGTGACAGCGAGGGAGAGGTCGGGCAGCTTCGGGCCGTGCGACAAAGGCAGCGCAACAATCGTGCAAGACACCAAGTCCAGCACCACCTTTTAGACCCAACTACTTGACAGACCCGGGCAGGCAGACCGCAGGACCAGATGCAAGGATGCTTCTTTCGCGCCCTTCCTAGACGCTTCGGAGCGTGCAACATCAATGCGCCCTTCGTCAATCATGCCCGCCTCTTCCACACGACTCCCTCGAGACTGGCGCAGGTCGCTAAGGTGCAATCCGAACTCGAGAAACGTATCGCCGCCATCCCCATAGACCGCTTCCGCAACTTCTGCATCGTCGCTCACGTCGACCATGGAAAGAGTACCTTGAGCGACCGCTTGCTCGAACTCACTGGTGTCATTGAAAAAGGTGGAAATGCTCAGATTCTGGACAAGCTCGATGTCGAGCGAGAACGAGGCATTACCGTCAAGGCCCAAACATGTACCATGCTGTACAATCACAACGGACTGGACTACATGTTGCACTTGGTCGACACGCCTGGTCACGTAGATTTCAGAGCCGAAGTCTCGAGAAGTTACGCCAGTTGCGGCGGAGGTGTGTGCTATACGATATATCTTCTTGAGCCAATGCGCTGACAATAGAACACAGCTCTACTAGTAGTCGACGCAAGTCAAGGTGTCCAGGCACAGACCGTCGCCAACTTCTACCTTGCCTTTTCCCAAGGCCTTACCCTAGTACCCGTCATCAACAAGATTGACTTGCCTTCTGCCGACCCTCCGCGCGCACTCGAACAGATCAGAGATACCTTTGAACTGGACCCAGAAAAAGCTGTATTGGTGTCGGCCAAGTCTGGTATCAATGTCGAGGCATTGCTTCCCAGCGTCGTCGAGAACATCCCTGCTCCCGTAGGAGACGAGAACAAACCGCTGCGACTTCTTCTGGTCGACTCGTGGTACGACAACTACAAGGGTGTCATTCTGCTTGTGCGCATCTTCCAGGGTCAGGTCAAGCCCGGCGATCACCTCACTTCATTCGCTACTGGTATCAGATACTATGTCGGCGAGGTCGGCATCATGTATCCTCTGCAAACACCTATGACCAAGTTGCGCGCAGGCCAGGTCGGATACATCTACTTCAATCCTGGCATGAAGCGATCACAAGATGCCAAGGTCGGTGACACCTACACCACTGTTGGTTCGGAAAAACTCGTCGAAATGCTACCTGGTTTCGAGGAGCCTAAACCCATGGTTTTCGTCGCCGCTTTCCCCGTTGATCAAAGTAATTACGAGCATCTCGAGGACAGCATCAACCAGATTGTGCTCAACGACCGTAGTGTCTACGTTCAGAAAGAGTCTTCGGAAGCCCTGGGTGCAGGCTGGCGTCTCGGCTTCTTGGGCACGTTGCATTGCTCGGTCTTTGAGGATCGCCTTCGACAAGAGCATGGAGCGAGTATCATCATTACTCCTCCATCTGTACCCTTCAAGATCATCGACCCCAAGGGCAAGGAAACCATCGTCTCTAATCCAAACGACTTTCCCGAGACCGATGCTCTGCATCAGAAGGTTCAGGAGTTGCAGGAACCATACGTGCTTGCTACAATCACAATGCCGGAAGAATATCTTGGCAAGGTTATTGAGCTGTGCGAGGGCAACCGAGGTGTGCAGAGCGAACTCACATTCTTCACATCGACACAAGTCATCTTGAAATACGAGCTACCTCTAGCGCAACTGGTAGACGACTTCTTTGGCAAGCTCAAAGGTCTGACAAAGGGTTACGCTTCACTTGACTATGAAGATGCTGGTTGGCGCAAGTCAAGCATCATCAAACTGCAACTACACGTCAACAAAATCCCCGTCGATGCAGTCGCCCGTGTTTGTCATCACAGCCAAGCCGAGCGTATCGGCAAGCAATGGGTCACCAAGTTCAAAGAGCACGTTGACAGACAAATGTTCGAGATCGTCATTCAAGCTGTCGCTGGCAGAAGAATTGTGGCCCGTGAAACCATCAAGCCTTTCCGAAAGGATGTTTTGGCAAAATTGCACGCAGCTGATACCAGTAGAAGGAGGAAGTTGCTTGAGAGGCAGAAGGAGGGAAGGAAGAAGCTCAGAGCTGTTGGTAACGTCGTAATCGATCAGAAAGCATTCCAGGGCTTCTTGGCGAAGTAAGATGCTTCTGGAAGGCGCGACTGCCTTGCATTCCAGCTGCCCTATAACCGCCGACACAATAAAAGCCACATCTACAAACTTGTCATTTTACAGTCGTAGTCAACATGTTGCCTTCTGATATACAGGTGGTCGTCATGTCAGATCCATTGACAGAAACATCAGCAGCACACTTTGATATCGGCAGCGACAGCATTGTCAAGACAAAGAACCCGTCAGCGTCGATACATTCTGAAGCCGTCTTTGTTTAAATCCGTTTGCGACAGAATGAATACCGGATGCGATGCAAAGACAAGCCGATGTACCAGTATAATCTCTCGGTGAGCTTGTAGTGCGTGGACCGTTCTATTCTCCTTCTATTTACCACTCACGATTTTTTACGTCATGGCAGCACCAGCTCGAGCTCCGAGACCTCTGATTCCAGCTATCGACATACACGCTTTTGGTAACCTTCTCAAAGGTGCACAGGATAAACTTATCGACACGTTCCTGAGATGGGGTTTTGTACATCCGACCGTTCCAAGCGCGACACACGCGTTGAATCAAGGGCGGTGGCTGCCAATACAGCCTAGGAACATTTCAGGAGAAGATCCGCTTGCAGAAGGTGGATCAGGCATAGTGCATCTCTGGTGTTGTCTCGACGCTCGTGACCGAATCATCGATCGAGTGATTGTGAAGGAAAATGTGCCTGGACTTACAGAGTGGAATCGTGTCGACATTTGGCGCAACGGACAAGTCGGAACCGAACCCAGAGAACACGAGATAAGCGTCGACCTGTTCACACGATTGCAGGCCGCCAACGCTGGCGACGGTAAATTCATGGTGGAGTGCCTTGGCTATGGTGACCTGAGAGGTCCTTATGGGACCAATACTCAGGGCCAGCCCATTGCTCAGGCCTTTGCTAACCAACCGGCTGTCAGTGTAGCGAGATTCAAGCTCTACCTTGAGTATTGCCCTTATGGCGATCTCTATTACTTGATTCGACGACACAAGGCGGCCAACAAACTCTTCGAGGAAGGATTTATCTGGATGATGTTCGAAGCTCTTGCAAAATGCGCCATTGAGATGGAGCATGCCAACTTTGTTCATGGAGATATGTCAACGAGCAATAGTGAGTTCCGTTCTAGTCTTGACAAAGGTTGAGAGCTGACTATTGGAAAAAGTCCTTCTAGGAACGCATGATCCCCAGCGATTTAAAATATGGCCAGTGCCTAAGGTAAGGCGTGAAGACGGTCGCCCTTCAGCTCGAATCTAGTCTTGCTGACACATGTTTTAGTTGGCTGATTTTGGGGGTTCTCGCTATCTCACCGCGGGGGCAATATTGCGCAATAATAATGCATTACTCGAACCGATGCAACCAGATTTTGGATCACCGGTATTATAACAAATGTAGAGCCTGTAGATTTATGTATCGAAACTGACGGGAGTTATAGGAACTGTCAAAGAGTGTTGGAGGTTGGGAGGTTCCCGGCTTGACACTCTCAGCAAAGACAAATGTTTGGAACATCGGTCTGCTCATCTGCTGTTTGATGCGGTTGGAGCCAGTGCTTCCGTAAGTCTCAAAGTCGATGTTGCAGCCCTTTCCAAGGACATGATACTGATCAAAATCTGAATCCAGGGACACCGAGTGGCGCTTCACAAACAACCCCCCTGTGTTGGTGCCACCAGCACATCATTACCTCCAATTTGCGAACCCCCAACAGAGAGAGCTGCTACCAGCGAGTTTCCAACACCCAAGAGCCAATTACAGCCAGGCGCTTCGGGATCTTGCGGAGGATTGTATGAGATATGATCCAAACAACAGACCGACACCAACGGTGTTGTTACGGCGTATAACGACAGACATGGTTGGAAACACCGGTGGTTTCGATACTTTTACTGGAGGTGTATCTGGCAGAATTGCTTGGAACAAGAAAGAAAGAATCCTAGGACCGAGGGTGGATGAGTGGGCTATCGGGACGCAATCAGTCATCTATTTGACGCCACCTTGAGTAGTCAAGGACTTGAACGGTGGTTCGCGGTGTTGGTGAGAGAATTTAGTTCATACGGCGTTTTTGCACACCAATTAATAATTATCAATTGGAAGAGTTGTACTACAGGGGCGAACTTTCACGAAGTGTACGATTTGATTTGCTCCTCACACGAAGTCTCAGAAGTTGGAAGTGGATGTCTGGTATGAGGATCGGAGTAATATATATCTCGTGATGGAAAACGTCATCGATCACAGCCGTTCCTTCCGATGCGGCTCTGCGCGTTTGGCTTCCAGATCGCCAACCACCCGATATGTCGACAATGCAACCACCTGGACCTTACCAAAGCATTGCAAAACGGGATGGGAGTGCGAACCAAGGGCAGTAATGATACGCTCGTTAAGAAAGCGGGCTCTGCCTTCCTCGTCGTGATCTCGATCTTGAACACCTGCATGTTGCCTTATGGACGCCGACCACTCCGCGAAGCACTTCTACAACCTTTGTGGATACTAAGAGGACTCGACTCGACTTTCTTTACAGACATCGCGATTACTCTGCTAGTGGGGACATACTACCATGGGATAGATGACTTGAAGCCTCCATCATGGATTCTGGAAACACGACTCGTGGAGTTCCAAGTCTTCGCCTGCCTTATACTATTGATGATCTTTGCTGGCCTGATCGTTTGGAGAGGAGAAGCACAACCATCTGAATTCGTTCCTCAGCAGGAGCATGGGTCATCAAAGGAGCAGTTCTTGCCACCTCTACTGCTGCCTGGACGAACTACGCATTCGCGAATGTTTCCTCAGAAGCATTCTTTTGCGTATTCTTACTTCTCTGTGGGAGTACCTGTCAACTTCAAGGGCTGTGCTGGATCTATGCTTTCTACCAATCTGGAGTTATTGCCGCCGAATGAGAGAAGGAAGGGATGGTTCAATGTCAATGCTGCGGATTATCTGTATCGAGGTGGACCAGAGCGTGGACTTGAGGAGCGTTTACGATGCTACCTCCGTGGAGAGGTATGTCAGAAAATCATGAGAACCTGGAATTCTAGAAGCTAAAGAGTGACAGGGCGTACCGGATGAAGCCTGGTCTTTTGCCTACCTAGTGACAGCACCAAAGTTCTTAGGCTACTCATTCAACCCTGTGTCTTTCTGGTACATCTACGACAGCTCAAGAAAGCTGACTATGATGGTCTTGGAAGTCAACAATACCTTTGGAGAACGCCGTCTATATCTTCTCAAAGCTGAAGAGAAGGCTTCGGACGAGTCTGTCCCAGATGGCTTCGAGGCACCTGCCAAAGCAACCAAATTCACCAATGCGTGGGTCAAGGATTTCCATGTCTCACCTTTCAACTCACGTAAAGGCACATATTCTCTGACCGCGGCTGATCCAGTCGCTGCTTTGAAGACTGGCTCGAAAGTGCTGGACAATGTTGTCGTACTCAACTCGTCCAAAGCACATGCCAAGTTGGTTGCTCGTGTGTACTCAGATGGCGATCACATGGATCCCGCTACCATGAGCACTTCTCAAGCTCTGAGACTACTAGCATCCTGGTTCTGGGTCGGCTTTTTGACTTTCCCAAGAATCATCGCTCAAGCATACCAGTTGTACTTCAAGCGTAAGATGCACGTTTGGTTTAGACCAGAGGTCCTGGCATCGAGCATCGGACGCACGCATACTTTGTCTGAAGCAATTCTGGAAGCCTTCTTCCGTGCTTATCTTGGTTCCTTGGTCGACAACGCATCTGCACCTCTGAGACTCACCTATACGCCAGCAGGTGGATTGGGCGAGTCTGTCATCATGACGTCCAAGGAAGTCAAAGACGATGACCAGGTCAAGGAATTGACAGTACGAGTCATCTCTCCAGCCTTCTACACACGCTTCGTACACTACTCCCACACCACCGAAGCCTTCGACCGCGAATCTCTGCACACTGATCCTAAGAACCGCACTCTCGTCTTTGAAAACGCAGAAAATCTACCTCTCCTGCTTTCTTCCTCTACATCTTCCTTCACCATCAAAAGCAATCTCGGCAAAATCGACCAATACCGCTGGCAACTCCTACAACGTCTCCGCTCTCCACCTCCAGCCACAGCATATCCCGACTCTGATACCACTATCAGCGACAGAGCCAGCGTCCAAGATATCCGCAAAATGCCCTCCTCACCACTTGATCATTTCGCTATATCCCTTCTCCACGATGACGGCAGGTATAGTGATGTGGTTAAAGCGCAGATTCTGAAAAATGCATCAGTTCTACTTCGTGTTGAAGAAACTAGTTTGGCAGCGGTTTATAGGGATACTGTCACTAAAGTGTTTATTGCCGACACGTATCTCTTGGGCTTTGAAGGATTGCTGTCGGTGATAGATCTGGTTGTGAGGATTTTGTTGGTGGTTGTGTGGTTCAAGTTCTTCGCCACGGGACAAATTGGACAGATGAAGTTGGAGAAGGGCGAGAGGGCTTGGGCTGCGTTTGGGTGGAAGTTGTGTGCGTGGGTCGTGCAGAATGGAGTGCATTTGTGGTATGCTGTTAAAAGTGCTTGAGTGGACATGGAGAAGCAAAATCATGCATATGATTGGTCATAGAAGAGACATGAAAATGTAAAGAAACAAAATCTAAGTCATGCGTGATGAATGATACGAAATGAATAATCTCTGTATGGTTCTGTCTCTGTCCCATGTATCCCTAGGTATATCGCCGTATATAACCTTTTGAATCTTCCTGTAAGATGTGTAGCGAGGGTATCGTGCCTGCAATGAAAAAGAAAGGAAATGTCAAAAACCAAAGTCCCAAAAGAAACGCCAATCGATGCATCCAACACATCAGTCCCCCCAAACCACAGAAACCCATAGTATCTTGAACGGGTCCCGATGCATTATCTAGCATCTAATCCCCAACCCCACAATCTCATCCTCCTTCTCCCTCTTCACCTTCACCAACGCCTCATCAACCCTCCTACACCACTCCCCAGCATCCCACCTATCCTCCCTCTTCTTCCTCACCGCCCCAGCCACAAGTTTCAAAAGATTACCTTCTCCACCTCTGCCTTCCCATTCCTTCTGCAACGCCCCAATCCTTTGCTCAAATGCGGGTTCTTGCATACCCCAACTAATCGCATCGCCCATCTTCACCGCTTCACGGAGTCTGAAGTTATTGGACAGAAGAGAGGAAAACGGGTTTCCACCACAGAGGAAAGACAGCAGGGAAATCCCTAGGGAGTAGACATCAGAGGAAAAAGAAGGGGTGGAGAGACAAGGGTTGAGGGAGAGTTGTTCGGGTGCCATGAAGGACCATGTGCCGCCTCCTGAGTGTTGTGATGGTTGTGCAGACGCAACGAAAGCGGTGCTGAAATCTGCAAGGCGGGCGAGGGGTCGGCCAGAAATGGTCGAGTTTAAAAGTATATTCGCTGGTTTTATATCCGCGTGGATTGTGTTTGTTGTGGTGTGGAGGAAGGAAAGGGCGTGTGTTAGTTGAGGCATGACGTGGAGGAATAGATCCAGGACTTCTGGTGGTGAGAGCGAGGTCGAGGACTCGGTTAGAGATTCCAGGGTTCCGGCATCTGCGCAGTGGAAGAGGAGGGAAGGTGTTGGAGTGGAAGTGCAGAGGCCGAGGAAAGGAACCACGTAGTCGGCACTCGAGTCGTAGGATTGGATATGCGTGAGTATATTGGCCTCTGCTTGGAAGACTGCAGCAGCATCCGAACGTGTTGCCGTTTTGATGGCATAGTGTTGAGGTGGTCCGAAGAAGGATTTATGCGGTGTAGATGGTGGGGTAAGAGGACGTCCCACCTGAGGTTGTGATAAAGGTGTAGCAGAAATGCGATACACTTTACTCCAAACACCTTCACCCAACAACTCTGCCCGTGAAAGATCAGGTGAGAAGTTGAGCTCGGGTACGTGCGAAGCATCCAGTGACCGCCTCGAAGGAAATTGCTCTTCAAGCTTCGCTTGCGCGGGTGTAGAAGGAGGAGTAAGCATTTCTTGATCATTCACATCATTTTTCGATGATTGATTTGTCGTTGTCATCTTGTAGTTTCCGGCATTCACTGGCGTCCTAATCTGAAGTCCTTGCATCTCGCGGAGTAACTCGTTGGGTGCTGTCCTAGCCCTGCTAAAGATTGGTCTGGATGTATATTGCTCGTTCTGGCCAGTACGTGTGGAATGTAAATGTGAAGCAGCAAAATTTGTATGGGTGACAAATGAACCTCTTGCATCCGTAGCAGAATTTGTCGAAAGCATTCTTATCGCCATGGCCTCATATATATCAGAGAGGAAAAGTGACCAGCAAAAACCTATGACGGCATGGGTATGTCCGGAAGATGATGGGTGTGTGGGCTGGCTGACTCGGGCGAGTTGTGAGGGTCCCCCGGTGTCTTGAAGCAGCGCGTCAGAGATACTGAAACATAAAAATCCTTCGACGCGATCTCGACACCCGTACAAACGGAGACAAGCGTTTCCAAGAGGCTTGAACCGTAAAAAGAGGGTGTGACTGCAAAAACACGAGCAACGAGAAAAAGGAAAGAAAAATCTCCTTCCGATAGCAAGGGAAAAACCAGGATATAAAGAAAAGTAAAAGCACTACCGTAGCATTGGACAAACGATGGTAACACTGAATAATAGGATCCACGGCTCCGCTAAGGGTTTTATCGCGGAGTGGGGAGGTTTGTATCCATTTTGCTTGCTTGCAAACGCATTGATAAGGGAGGGTCCCTCTGGAACGGCATACTAGAAGCGCCACATTTGGACAGATACAAACCTTAGCTCGCTTGGCATCCTACTGGTTTTACGATCATCTGGTAGAGGTGTGTGAGATCCTTTGGCTGCTGGAGCTTCCAGAACCCCCCGAGTGTCATGTCAGTTCAAGGAGAAAAAACAGAGATGAAGAAAGAAACGTCAACGTGCGGTGCTCGCGAGCCAGCCAAGGGCAATGGAACGTGGGGAGGGAAGCAACTTCATTGGTCGTGTTTGGAACGTGAAGGTATCCTTCATCCTCGGCGGTTTATTAGCCCAGCCGGTGCTGCTTTCCGGGAAATTGGAGAGCTGTCGAGCACAGATCCAGATGCGGTTGGATTGACAGCTTGGTTCCATTGGTTTGACAGATGATCTGTAGACTTGTTTCTCCACGCCCTTGCCTCGTGACACACGGAGCGATTGGTCGTCGACGATGCTGCTGCTTTTTGCAAACCTATCATCATCATCATCTCTACTCATGTTGTGACCATGCGGTGCCACGCTTATCTGACTTTTGCTAGACCGACATCGTAGAAGCAGCAGCGATGTCATGCAAGAAAGCAACCAGAAAAGGAAGTCCCGCGGGCGCCCAACTATGACTCCAAACAGCATCGGATCATCCCCGAGATAGCATCGCACCTTCTGTAAGCGAGCAAAGGAGGGACAAAGAGGCTCACAACTGGTGCCGCCCGGTTGAGATTGATGTGGTGGCTAGGATAGGGGAGCGCGAACCCGATGTTCGGGACTGCCTTATCGCGCTTTTAGACGTGCTTTAGCGCTCTTTGTGCCTGCACTTGCCGACCCGGTATGACCGAGTCAAGGGTGTTTCTTATATCCAGCTGGACCATAGCAGAGGGAGAGCAAGCCAGCTTTGGCGCTCGAGTTTGGTTCATTATGGCTCTCGTAAGCATTGACTTTATTGCGACACGGCATGGTTAGGTAAACGCGATCGGAGCTTTTCGTGTTGCTGACACAGAGCTGAAAAAGATATGGATTGGATATGATAAGATCGTATGCCACAAAAGTTGCACAAAGATCCGACGACGCACAAGGGTTGACTCGCAGTACAAGATTGCGAATCGATTTGATTTTTGGAAATTGCATCGTTACCCAAGAAAAAGGTCGGCTACGCTATGCTGCTGAGACGCCCATAACTCCTTGCCCGCTCCTTTATGATATCAGATACGATACACAAGATGCTTTTCCCCCTCCCGCTTTTTATCCGTTTATGGTCGTGATGTCGTGTAATGTCTATGCGAAGAACTTGCTGTAGGCAGCCTTCTCCTTCTTCTCTCTGTCGATCTTGGCCTTCTTGACGGCAGCGAGCTCGTTCTTGACGGCTGCGTCCTCGGGCACGAACTTGAGAGCCTCCTCCAGGTCCTTGACTGCCTCGTCCTCGCTCTTCAGGCCCTTCTTTGCCAGAGCGCGGCGGTACAGGGCCTTGCCCTTCTCTGGTGCCTTGATCTGAGGAACAGCAATGGCATTTGTGGCAGACTTCTCGGCATCGGCAAAGTCGTTCAGCTTGAGTTGCAGAAGAGCGCTGTTGGTGTGGAGAGCGATTCTGAGAGAAGCAAGTGCAGGGCCAAGCTCCGGTGGGTCGTTCTCAAGTGCCTCAGGGTATTCGTGAAGATATCTCAGACCCTTCTGGTACTTAGCCAGACCGAGTGCGATATCTCCCTTCTTGAATGCGTCGGTTCCTCTGGTCTTGAGGTCGTTGACGATCTTGACAATCTCGAGTCCAGGAATGTCCTCGCCCTGGTCCTCAGGGAAGTCTTCGTATGGGTCTCCAGTGCTGTCGGGAATCTTTTGGTTGGCCTTGTCGTAGTCCTCGCCGCTAAGTTCACCGCAGTCGACGATGGTGCATTCCTTGTTGGGCTTGTCGTTGGGACCAGTGGCAGTGTTCTCGATGGTGCGGATAATGCTCTTGCCGCCGAGGACCTCACCGAAGACGACGTGCTTTCCGTCGAGGTGGGGAGTAGGAACGGTGGTAACGAAGAATTGGGAGCCGTTGGTGCCTAGGGAGATGGTCAGCAGTTGCATCTACGTCTCGCGCCCACAAGGTGACTTACCAGGACCAGCGTTGGCCATGCTCAGCAAGAAGGGCTTCTCGTGCTTGAGCTCAAAGTTCTCATCCTCGAACTTCTCTCCGTAGATGCTCTCGCCGCCAGTTCCATTGCCAGCAGTGAAGTCACCACCCTGGATCATGAAAGACTTGATCACACGGTGGAAAGAAGAGCCCTTGTAGTGAAGAGGCTTGCCAGCCTTGCCCTCGCCCTTCTCGCCAGTACACAATGCGCGGAAGTTCTCAGCAGTCTTGGGAACGACATCGTTGTACTGCGATTCGGATTAGTCGGTTGCAGCGTTTTAGTCGGACTCGCATAGAAAGTGTTTACCAGCTCAAAGGTGACTCGGCCAGCACTGGCCTTGCCGATGTTGATGTCGAAGAAGACACGGCTACGCTTGCTCTCTGCCATTGTTGGTTTGGTGTGTAAGTTCCTGAGTATGTGACGATCTTCGGTGAGGAAGGAGAATGTTATGCGACAAAAAGGCAGCAAGCAGAGTGAATTATTGAAGGTGTTGATAGCTTCTAGGACCTTCTATTCGCATGCGCCGCCAAGTGATACCCCACGCCCTGGATCACCAGCCAAATTGCCTATCTGGGACTTGTATCGAACCCGACTGCACACTATCATTCAAAGTGATATGTAAACCTATTCGACTGGGTTGATATTACACAAAGGCTCGCTATCCTGTATGTTAAATGGTATCATGGGAAAGGAAAAAACACCGCCCGACAAGATTAAGTTCAAAAGCATCATAAAGGGACGCAGAGCACGAACTGTGCTAACTATTCCAGAAGCGAAGCTGGAAGCTCGAACGTCGTTTGCATCTTGCCTTTGTGGGTGAAAGGATCACCAGGGAGATCGAACCCTGTAGGGTTGTCCATCTTGGGAGGATCTGTGTCTATTTGGATGGTAACCTGCGACAGGGAACATTAGCATCAGGTACGTTGGCAGAAAACGAGGTATTTACCGCGCCGTCTTCGCACGTATAATCTACACCTACCGGTCCATCGTTGACAAGAGCTACATCCATCATTGCTTGGAAGACACCATCCTTGACTCTCTCCTCCTGGTATAGGGATTGAACTTTCTTGAAAAATTGGTCGTAAAGCTCCTTTGCCTTTTCTGCGTTGGCGGATTTGTGAAAGTCGGGTTTGTTACCCTTCTTGACAGAGGCAAGGAGAGTGAATTGAGATACTACAGCACTGTCAGAGGTTGGTCGTGTGAGGAAGGTAATCTATACGTACCGCAGAGGACCTCGCCTTCGATATCTTTGACACCCCATTTCCATTTACCACCTTCGTCGTTGTCCCATAATTTGGCCTTTAGAATCTTGTTGGCCATGGACTCGACCTCCTTCTGGGTGTCCTCCTTGCCAATGGCAGCTAGTACAAGCAAGCCCTTGCCAATAGTTGAGATGAGTTGGCCATCTACAGTGACCGAAGCTGACTTGACCCGTTGAATAACAGCTGAAGGGAATCAATACGATGAGGTAAGGAAACGAGAGAGCTGTGGGTCGTACTTCTCATGGTGTTGGGCTGATATGATAGGAAACACGGGAGAATAAGAGATGGCAGAGATACAACACAGCTTGATCTACCTTGGACGTCTCTCTGATGGAATTACAGGGTCGAATAGTAAGATACGAGTGCGGTGGTTTTGGTGGTCGAATCGATAAAGTCAAAGCAATGAAACGCACGTAAACCCGACCTTGCTGGCGGCTTGGCATCAGTGGGAAAGTCGCAGCGGCAACAAACGTGGAGAGGTTGCGACAGTCGCACACGGCGCATCCACATCTCGACTCGTCTTCGTTCGTGCCAACAATTCCATCACTTCGAGTTGATGGAGAGCTGTCGAATCGCCTCCCTGGATCCTGAGACACCCTCCCCCCTACACGCCGAATTGCCTCGCCATAACCCCATTCGACACCCCCGCGGAGCCCACGCACGAGGGCTACATAATCAGCAATGGCACAACGAAAGCTACAGCAAGAAATTGACAAGGTGCGCGAACATGTGCGCGATGCGTTGACCAACTTGTTGACTGGCGACAGACGTTCAAACGTGTTGCCGAAGGTGTGCAAGCATTCGAGGGCATCTACGACAAGCTACAACAATCGACGAATCCCTCGCAAAAAGAGAAGCTCGAGGACAACCTGAAAAAGGAGATCAAGAAGCTACAAAGGTCGCGAGACCAGATCAAGGCATGGGCTGCCCAGAATGACATCAAGGACAAGAAGCCATTGCTAGATCAGCGTAAGCTGATCGAGACGGTATCAAGAGCCATCCTCAGTCTGCCACACCTGTCGCTAACGCATCCCAAAGCAAATGGAAAAGTTCAAGGCCGTCGAAAAGGAAATGAAGACAAAAGCTTTCTCCAAGGAAGGCCTATCAGCTGCCGCAAAGCTCGATCCGAAAGAGAAAGAGAAGCTCGAGATATGCGACTTCTTGGGGAATATGGTTGAAGAGCTGGAAAGACAGATCGAGGTCACAGAAGCAGAAGCCGAGACATTACAAGCGAATATGAAGAAGGGAAAGAAGGACACGGCCAAGGCCGACAGGATAGCAGAGCTGGAACGAATGGCCGAACGACATAAATGGCACCAAGGAAAGCTCGAACTACTACTACGATCTCTGGAAAACGGCGGAGTGGATACAGACCAAGTCAAGGACATCGAAGAAGGCATCAAGTACTATGTCGAGAACAACCAGGAAGTCGATTTCATGGAGGACGACACAATCTACGACGATCTAAACCTCGACGCCGACGAGCAAATGTTTGGTCTGCAAGGTGAAGACGATCGCGTGTCTTCACAAGACAACCAATCACAACACGACGATAGTCCGGAACAACCTGAGCCGGTACAGAAGGTCGCACAGCCCACACCGGCGAAGCTCACAAAGCAATCCTCGGTCGACATCCCCAGCGCTCAGCCCAGGAGACCGTCAGTACAGCTCAAGTCGCCGTTACCAGCACTAGCTACGCTGCATGCCTCGATACCGAGTAGCGTAAACGGCAACGCGCCGCCGGGCATGAAGCCCGCTCCTCTGCCAAACATTCCCACTGGTCAAACTTTGAAATACGCCTCGGCTGCAGCTGCTGCCGCCGCGAGCGACAAGAGCGGTGTTGGCATCGCTCCCCTTCCGCCGCCGCCTGGTGCGACCGCCGCGACCGCGCGACAAAGCTCGACTGCTTCGCCCGCTCCAACCCCTTCACAACCAGTCACTCACCAACCTTCGCCGGCGCAACCGCCGCCGCCTCAACCTGCGAAAACTCAAGAGCCACCTGCCAAGTCTCCGTCGCCCGCTCAAGAACCTGCTCCACCTGCCCCGGAGCTCAAGGTCAAGAAGAATGGAAAGCAAGCTCAACAGCCCTCGCAGGATTCTGGCGTTGCTCTCACAAATGGCGAGTCATCTAAGCAACCACAACAACCACAGCAGCAACAAGTAGAAGAGGAGGAAGAGGACGAGTCCATCTATCATCTGCCGTCAAGCTTGTCCGACCTGCTTGACTCTTTCACCGCCACAAAGCAGCGTGCCATCTCAGCGAATCCACCGGTACCAGAGGACCACTTGCTCTCCTTGTCACGGAGCAGTATGCCCACACCTATGGACGCCGAGAAACCATACCACTACAAGCCAGCGTCGCCGTATGCTTACACACCGGCTCACTACCCCCAAGAGCCTCTCACTGTGTTTGACGACCCGCGACTGTACAGTAGAATTGAGACGGATACACTGTTCTACGCCTTTTACTACCGCCAGGGTACTTACCAGCAGTTCCTGGCGGCAAAGGCATTGAAGAGTCAAAGTTGGCGCTTCCACAAGCAGTACCAGACTTGGTTCCAACGACACGAAGAGCCCAAGAACATCACCGAGGAGTACGAACAAGGAACATATCGCTTCTTTGACTATGAAAGCACATGGTACGTCAAGACTTCCCCCATACTCTTATTCTTTTTCCTATTTCTAACACACTTCACAGGATGAACCGTAGAAAGGGAGATTTCAAGTTTGCTTACAAGTTCCTCGAGGACGAACTTTGAGTTTGGCCAGAAAGACTCTCTCGAGTGATGTTCTTTCTGTAGGCCAGGTCGTTTTCTCTTCCGACACAATGTTTTAGAGTTCTCTTACATCGTTTGTCCCTTCTCTTCTTCACCAATTCCGCAGCAAGGCTTTATGGCAATGATCATTATCGATGTTTTTGGTGGGTTGGAGAAACAAGGAGGCTATCCATCAAATAGCGCTACCTTTTCCAATGGGCAAAACAAAACAGAGATTTGGTTCTTGCTTTCTTCACCTTTTTGGTTGTTTGTCCTTTTTCGTATTTCCTTGTGATTTGAGGTCTGTCGTGTCCTGCGGTTTGTGATTATGATGTCGAGAGTAAGTGAGCACGTACTCTGTAAGTGTTCTCATGCCTCCCTCATCGTCGTCGCTGCAATGTTCTCTCTCAAGGGTGAGGAGAAACAATTCACAAGAAATGTCGAGTTCATATTAGAGCAAATCCATCTCTCACCATCGAATCGGTGAGATGGTGTAGTTGTTAAGAAGCTCGTCGCTCACTATCACCCGGGCTTACCGGTTCGATTCACGCCATTGATTAATCAGACTAGAGGTCCCAGTAATCCTCACCCGACAACAATTACGACGAAAGCTTGCTTTCTCTCCCCTCCAGAGCTAGTCTTCTGGGGGGTTTCTGTTTTGCCAAAGTTGTGAGAGATGGGTTATAGTTTTGTTTTTGCGCGCACTGGATGGGAGGGATGTGTTGCTGGCGCGTGTGTATATGGGAGGTTGATTCGGATGTGCAGTATCTACTTCGCGATGTCGGTATGATATTTGCTAATTTGTGTCTCATCAATGCGACTGATCGCCATGTGTCTCGTCAACTAGAAAGGCATACAAACTTTGGAGATGAATCGATTGGAGGGTTGCGTGTGGCCGTGAAAATCAACAGTCTGATGTCGACTTCCTAGAGAGAGGTATTGATTTGGGAATATTGGACCATAACCTAACAACCTTATGCTTTAGACAGACAAAAAGCTTTGATAGATCGCCCTCAGTAACCAGGAAGATATTCAGCAAATTTGTAAAGCCACTTCGACAACATTACGGTGTCTACATGTCGCCGACTGTTTTTTATGCTAGTCAAGGGCATGACCCTGTCAAAGTCTGTGCGTTGATGTGCTTGATTGATAAGATAAGGCGGCCTCGAAAAAAGTGCCAAAGCCTCTCCACCTTTCGGCCATCTTTTTCGCGACAAGAATACTGCATATCAACGACACAATGGCGGCCGAAGTACAATCATTGCAGCCTCTCAAGCTGGCTGCTGGCCCCGAGGCCATTACCGCTGATCAGCGCTACTGGAAAGGATTCAGATCACAGCAACTGGTGCCCTCGCCGCATTCAAATCCCATCACGCACATTTCGTTCCCTCCGTCACCTACGAACCCGCTCGTAACGCCGCCTTCAGATACTTTCGCAGTCACATCCGGAAGCAGAGTGCAAATTTTCTCGTCAAAAACACGCAAGTTGTTGAAGACCATCACGCGATTCGGCTACGATGACATTGCGCATTCGGGAGAGATTCGTCGCGATGGACGTGTGCTTGTCGCTGGTGGAGACAGCGGTGCTATTCAAGCATTCGACACAGGATCAAGAGCTATTTTGAAGACATGGAAGGAACACAAGCAGCCAGTCTGGGTCACAAGGTGGAACCCGAACGACCTCACATCAATCATGAGTTGTAGTGACGACAAGACGGTCAGACTGTGGGACTTGCCCAGCGAGTCGAGCATGACCACCTTCTCTGGACACCAGGACTACGTTCGCAGCGGTGCTTTCATGCCCGGACAGAGCAGCAACTTAATCGTGTCTGGAAGTTACGATCAGACTGTCCGTCTTTGGGATTCAAGAGCACCCAAGCGCGCTGTCATGACCTTCAAGCATGCCGCTGCTATTGAGAGCGTTCTGCCCATGCCCTCGGGAACTCAGGTGCTTGCAAGTGCCGACAACCAAATCAGTGTCCTGGATCTGGTCGCCGGAAAGCCCCTGCACTTGATCAAGAACCACCAGAAGACTGTCACATCGCTGTGCTTGGCGAACAACGGAACAAGATTGGTCAGTGGTGGTTTGGACGGGCACGTCAAGGTCTTTGAGACTTCAGCATGGAACGTCGTGGCTGGTTTCAAGTACCCCAGCCCTGTTCTTTCGCTGAGCGTTGTCGGAGCTGGCGCAAGCAGAGAAGACAGACATCTCGCAGTCGGTATGCAATCCGGTCTCTTGTCAGTCCGCACACGTCTGTCAGGCGAGCAAAAGGCAGCAGCAAGAGAGAAGGAGAAGGAGATGCAAGCTTTGGTTGCTGGTACTATTGAGGAGTACGACATAAAGAAGGCCAAGAAGCTGCGACAAGGCGACAAGAAGGCCTTGCGCGGTCGTGACTTTACCGGAGAGGGCGCTGACATTGTCATCGATGGTAACGCACGCGGCAACATCAGAAACCAGTCAAAGTGGGAGTCTGCTCTACGAAACGGCAAATACGCTCTCGCTGTTGACATGGTGCTCGGAGCTACAGTAAGTCTAGACATTATTGCTCTGTGAATTGAAATGCTAACTAATCTCCAGAAATTCTACAACCCCAACATGCTCACCCTCCTTACCGCTCTCCGCCACAGATCCGCCATGCGCACTGCCTTCAAGGGACGTGACGAGACATCTCTCCAGCCTATCCTCCGCTGGGTCATCAAGTACATTGGTCACCCTCGCTACATCAAGCTTACGAGCGATGTTGCCATGCTCCTATTGGACCTCTACTCAGAGCAAGCCATGGATTCGCCTGAGATTGACGACCTCCTGAACCAACTTCACCGCAAGGTCAGACACTGCTCAGAGTTGGCACAAGCCGCATACTCAACTCAGGGTATGCTCGACTTACTTGTATCCGGTGCATGAGCTACGAAAAGGAAATAGACTTGAGACCAAAAGCTAGCGCAGAGCAGCATCTAGCCATGCATTCACAAGGCAGTCTACGCCTCCAGACGACGCTCCGAGATGAGGAGCATGTGGACGTCGGTGAAACGCCTACACGCCCCAAGCAGGCTGTCAGTGATGAGCGTGAAGTCACTCAGGAGACTGAAGTGTTGGCTCTATGAAAATTATAAAAAGCATGGAGTCTGGTGTAAATAGGGCATAGGGAGGAGCTTGGGAGTTATGTAGCAGGATGCATAAAGTATTGATACCCGTTTTCACAAAGTAGTGCAAAATATGACGAAGCTCGCACTGCCCCGCAACCAGCTTTCGATGATTCTAGCCATCTCAATTCCAAGAAACCATCATCTGTCACTTCTACCACGTGTTTACACCCTTCACAAACTCCTAGACTATATATCTTTGCTACTAGACCAGTCGCGTAGAAGTACAGAAGACACAACCATCAACATGGCCGCTCTCATCAACACAGACGACGAGATGGCTCCCTCGCTGCAGAACATCCTCGACCAAAAGTCACTCCGCTGGATCTTTGTCGGTGGTAAGGGTGGTGTCGGAAAGACAACAACTTCCTGCTCTCTGGCCATCCAGCTCGCAAAGCACCGCAAGAACGTTCTCCTCATCTCGACCGACCCTGCACACAACTTGTCCGATGCCTTCAACCAGAAGTTCGGAAAGGACGCCCGTCTTGTTAATGGCTTTGACAACCTCAGCGCCATGGAGATTGACCCCAACGGCTCTATCACCGACATGTTGAATGCTGGTGGTGAGGAGGCTCAGGACGCCATGTCTGGTCTCGGCGGCATGGGCAACATGATGCAGGACCTTGCCTTCAGCGTGAGTTGTCGCATCGCTGCACTCCTCTTGCGCAAAGAGACACAGTACTGATCACTCAACATACAGATCCCTGGTGTCGATGAAGCCATGTCCTTCGCCGAAGTCCTCAAGCAAGTCAAGTCGCTCAGCTACGAATGCATCATCTTCGACACAGCACCCACCGGCCACACCCTCCGCTTCCTCCAATTCCCCACCGTCATGGAAAAGGCCCTTGGCAAGATCTCACAGCTCTCCGGCCAATTCGGCCCCATGCTCAACGGCATCCTCGGTGCCCGCGGCGGCCTCCCCCAAGGTCAAAGCCTCGACGACATCATCAAGAAGATGGAGGACCTGCGCGCTACCATCGGCGAGGTCAACACTCAGTTCAAGAACGCAGATCTGACCACCTTTGTCTGTGTCTGTATTCCCGAGTTCTTGTCACTGTACGAGACGGAGAGAATGATCCAGGAGTTGAACAGCTATGAAATTGACACACATGCTATTGTCGTCAACCAGCTTCTGTTCCCCAAGGAGAACAACCCTTGCGAGCAGTGCAACTCGAGAAGAAAGATGCAGAAGAAGTACCTCGAGCAAATCGAGGATCTGTACGACGAGTTCAACGTCGTCAAGATGCCTCTGCTTGTTGAGGAGGTTAGAGGAAAGGAGAAGCTTGAGAAGTGAGTACAAACTGCTACTCGTAATACTGGATGTCGAGTCACTGACACATTTACAGGTTTAGTGAAATGCTCGTTACCCCTTACCAGCCCCCTCAATAGATGGCTTGAGGTTGCTACTGCATGGAAGACGCCTATGATCGCACAGGTTGCAGGCGATGTAATCTTTACTTTTTGGAAGACATGATACCAATGAATTGACCGAGCCGTTATTTGCTATCCGATATCAAACCTTCCCAATTCGCCCTGAACGAGTAATGTGAAGCAGGTGCCGATCAGGTCAATGTCTGATCAAGTAAATAGGTGAGTCATGCCAATCTTTTGCGAAAACGACTGAAAGTCGCAGGAACAACCAACGCTACCTTCCAATCCGGAAAACGACCAAACAAGAAAGCTCAAGGCTTCAACCCTTTTCAATCCTGTTTCTCCTCTCGCTCCGAATCCTCCTCGCAAAAAAACTCCATCAACATCATTACTCATCAGTGGTTACCGATTCCATCACATCTTTTCGCCACACCTCCTTGTGCAGAGTCAAGGTTGTCCAATGGAACACCAGCTTCATGATATCTGTGTCCGTCGCCCGAGACTCCTTCATGCCCTGGATGATAGCTTCGAAGGTCATCGGGTGCTATGTCTCGAACGATGGCTGAATTAAGAGGAGGAGGTTGATTCTGGAGAGCTGCTGGAGTGGCCAGGTCATGCAGCAGTGCATTGGCGAGTCCATTGTACAATCTGTGTAGGCATTGGACATCTACTGGCGTCGACGCGGGTGCATGACCAAGACCTTCTTGAACGTTGTGGATTTCACGCATGAAATACGAAGAGACGGGATCTGCTCAGACAAAGATGAGTGTTTGCTGTGCAAACTCAGGCTTTATCACGGTCTTGGAAGCGGCGAGAACGTTCTTTGGAATATCAGCTTGATCAGATCACTGGAATGGCAACAATCAGGTCTCACAAAACAACTACGACTTGATCTCTGCTCTTACTAGGTCAACACAGCCAGACCGTTCAACGTCAGTCGTCATTACTGTACTGCATAAAGAATCAAACTACCCAATGAGCATTTGTGCTATCGCTTGGATGACACCTGGAGCTGTGTTACATCCTCATCACGTCCTCACGCTTGAAGACGTCGCACTCGTCCAAGGTCGTCCAGTGGAAGACCAACTTCATGATGTCCTTGTCAGTCGGCGTCGACTCCATGCTATCAACGATGGTGTTGAGGAGCCTGTCGACGTGGGTGTTCAAGCTGTGAGTCTCTAGAATGAATGGCTCACGGACGTCTAGAGTCAAGAGGGAATCTCTAACAGGTACTGGTCTTTCGTTTGGAACTGGCTTCGGAGCCCCTATTTTTTGTTTCAAACAGCGAGCAAGAAGGTCGAGCTCTCTGCACAAGAAGCAGAAATCATCTGTACTGACAGGCGTTGAGCTTGGCGCTTGACCGAAACTCCGCTCGACATGATCCACTCTGTTCAGGAATGTTTCTGCTGCTGAGCGGCATTCATACAGATCCAGGTGAGCGACTGTCTTGACCCCTTTCAAGGGCTGTGCGCTCTGAGACAACGTCGATGTATCAAACGTGTGGAGCAAGTGGACCAGCAAAGCGTTGTAAGAATTGTACATGCGTTGGACATCGGTAGTCACGTCAGGACCAGGGTACAGCCTGAGTTCCTCGACCAGTCTCGCGAAGCTTGCTGTGGCGTATGCACAACGCTGCAAGCTGTATCTTGTGATGAACGGAGGGCGAGCGGTCTCTGTAGTATCGCTGCCAAGGTCGCTCCAATCTTCGGTCGGGGTCATGATACCCATGGTGGATTGTGTGGATGACCAGTCGTCTGCATCTGGGAGATCTTCAGACGTTGCTTCCAGTACGCTCTTTCGAAGCAGTCCATGTGAAGTCTTTGGGGTCGCTAAATCTTCCAAACGAGCCCTCTTCCATTGCAGAAGCTCACGTATGGACCGAAAAGAAGCCATGCACATCGCAGACCAGCGGTCCATCATGACTTGTGCCTCGCGAGCGGCTTTCCAGCGTTCGGATCTTGCCTTGTACTGATCGAACGTGGGATCAGGCAGGCCCCAAGCCTTGCACTTCGGTAAAGGTGGGACGATGACAGATTCGGGAGACTCATGTGGAGCAGGCTTCTGGGAAAGATGCCCACTAAGATCCAAGATGCCATTCAGCAAGTTCAGGTGTGCCTTGTACTCTTTAAGATGGCCAGAAAGCAAATCCAGACGGTCGAAGGAGCACTCGGGCGCTAGTATGTCCCACTCTCCAATCTTGTCGATGATCGTCGGCAACTCTGCGGCAACCCTGTGGCAACCGGTTTGTGCGAACTTGAGAACAGGTGTGGCATTCGAGCTAACAACCGACTTCTGCTTGAGATGTTTGCTCGAAGTCTTGTATGCTGCGCTCAACAACGAGAATTCGATCACCAAGAGATCCAGAGGACTGCTCAAACATCCAGCTGAGGTCTGGGTGAGATCTCTCAACCTTTTGGAGACGTTTGCACAAGCTGTAGCAGAGCCGATCACACTGTCCAGGAGCTTGGTGTCATGTCCAGCAATGTTCTGCAAATTTTCAGCCATCAGAGCGGTTCTGATCCGAGGGTTTGACGATGATGAGGACACAATTGACAAGCTGAACCGACGCCTATTTGTATCTGGCCGAAAGAAGCTTGCTTAGTTGCGACACCTCGGCATGATTATGCTCTGGCACTTTCTGGAAGCTAAAGACATGGTTCACTTTTCGACCTCAATCTCACCTCAAAGGATCGATCACCCCACAAGCCACGAAGGATAATGACCAGAAGCTTTGAGAGACGCACTTGTCTCCAATGCAAGTGCACACCCACATTCGAGATACACGTTTGGCACAAATCAATGCATGGTATTCTGTGTTTACTGAAAACTCGCCTCCGTGGTTATTCCTTCCACGCTTCCTGACAACTCCTTCCCAGAAGCTCGCCGGCTGCTACTATTTCTTGGTAGCAACAACCACGAAACACAAATAGCTAGCCGAATCGATCGAAGACCAATTGTCAAAAGCAGCGTCGAACTGAAGAGCTGAACCACCAGTAATAGTCTGGTCCAACATTCGGGCATATGCCAAGCTACATCACATCCTCACGCTTGATACCATTGAACTCGTCCAAGCTGGTCCAAAAGAAGACCAGCTTCGTGATCTCCTTATCGGTAAGATCGGGAGACATGAGCTCAATGATCTTCTGGAGATCCTGGTCAATGAACTTGGAGGATGCGCTCTCGACAACCTCCTCGCGATCTATGTCTGGGTATTTCCTCGCAGCCCATGCTGGCCTCTGAGGGCATTCTTCAACCGCGCGCGGCTTTCGTGCTTGACCAGGATCAGAGAAGGGACAGCCTTTTTGGAACGGCGCAGGCGCCCAGTCTAGCAGAATGAAGACAAGCCTGCCATAGGCAGCATGCAAATGCTTGACATTGTGTGGTTTGACAAGCACCCAGCAGTTTCCTTGATCAGGCTGCTCTTGAATCTCTTCCACAACACTTTCAAAATCCCTTATCACGTCTAGACAATGCTCTAAGTCGAGCTCTGTCAGGATGTGCTCTGGAATCGATCCAGAGTCAGATTGAGAATCATGTTCAGAGTCAGTATCATCGTGGTTTTGGAACGGTATTGGTGCTTTCAAGACGTGGAGCACTTCGAAGACAAATTCATCGATCAATCTGTGCAACGCCTCACGACGCTCGGCACTGACGGGATCAGAGTCGCAAGCGAAGGTCTGGAGTTTCTTTATCTTGTTGTTCATTGTCTCGATAAGACCCTCGCAGAATTGCAAGTTTTTCACGGCGATTTCAGAAGTATGGTCGGTCTTCGTCACATCACTGCCGATATCGCTCCAGTCCTCAGCAGGCGTAGAGACGCCCGTGGTAGAGTGCGTGGTAGAGAGGTCATCCGAAAGTTTCTCAGGTTGCACTCCAGCTATATCGTCCTGACGAGATTCACTCTTCGGCAGATCCTTGCACAGTTCTCTGCAAGACGCCTGTTGGAGCTTTAGACGCTCGCGAACCTCGGCAAAGCATCTTTCCCGATACACGGCCAGATCACCAGCCCTGGGTCCTTCTTCAGAACCATGTACCAAAGGTCCAAATCTCAAAAGGCCAAGTACGCCCGCTAGCAAGCAAAGGCTGATCCTCTGCTCGTGCATACGTTTCGACAGCGTATGCAGTTCGCGATAAAGAGGCTCAGACGGAAGTACGCTAATTGGATTGTTCTTCACGTCGAGGCCATCGAAGAATGAAGCGGCTTTCAGGCATTGGTCCTGTGCGCGTTCTATCGTTGTGGTCGCGGAACGTGTCCACAAGGACTGTTGCTCTTGGAAAACAACAGCAATCACCGTGAATGCTGTACACATCAACCTGAACTCCTTCTCCAGATACATGAGATGAGCGCTTGACAGTACAGCGCTCTCCTGGTAGTTCTCCAGGTCCTTGTAAAGTTTCGCGCAGAGGGAAGCAGATCCAACTACGCCGACGAAGAGTTCTGAATCGATGCCGGTGCGAGACACGGCATTGTGTAATTGATGTGACATCAGGGCGGTTTGACAGATGCGTCTGCAATGTGAGAAGAGATGCTGTGAGGGTGATAGGAAAGTCGGGCAGACAGCCACTTATATCGGATCAGATGAGGTTGCTGACCTGCATCGGCCCATCACTTTTAACCTTTGTTTCTATCGTGGGAAAGACTCAAACGTACTCACGCGGCTCGTTTTCGACCTCGTTTGCGATTCGAGGAAACAGACTTGCGAATCATGACAGTCATAGACGACTATTGATTTCGAGCTACCCATCGAGCTGGAACCTTGATCGCCTGACCGAGGAATCTATCTGAGCCTCAACAACTCATGATACCCGTTATCTGCTCGTTCGACTCACGACTCGGCTCCGCACTACCACACCTTCATCACGTCATCTCTCTTGAAGCCAGCAAATTCCTGGACGTCGACCCAGAGGAACACCAGCTTTGCGATATCCTCCTTGACGGTGTCTGGACCAAAACCGCTGATAATAGCCTCCAGTGCTTCATCCTTGTTCTCGTTGCTCGTCTGTTTTGTGCCAACAGTATCACTATCTTTACGCATGCTCGAATGCCAAAACTGGGATGACTTGGGAACAGCAGGCGCAGATGTTCGTGAAGACTGCTCGAGGTCAAGGGCAAGCTGCTCACACTTATCTTGGACGAAGCCAGAATAAATAGCAATGACTGCCGGATCAGCAGCCTTCGGACGATCCAGTATTTCGTCCATCGACTGCGCGAAGCGGAGTGCGAGATTCTTGCAGAGTTCTGCATTATGCTTTGTAGTGATAGCAGGATGCCTGTGACAAGTCTCAGTGGCGTCGCTGGTGACGCTGCCAGAATCGCTCCAGCTCTCTGCTGGAGTCATGATGCCGGTACAAGATTGAGTTGAGGACCAATCTTCCACATCGCAGGTTGAAAGTGTCGTCTCCGAAGAACCCAGTCGACTCTGCCAGACGGCCAGTCTTGCTTGTAAACTCTGTCGAGCCTCTAGCCATCCCTCTATGTCACGGTGTACGTCGATGGATTTCCCGGATAACGCTTTCTTCTGTTCGAGTCATTTACTGACCAAAACAACTCGTTCACATCAGTGACGTTCGCCTGGTGACGGCGGAAAGGATAAGGAGAGAAAAAAGCAATTTGTATTTCGTGTAGTCATCCGTTGACGAAAGCCATCCGCCCAGGTCTGATATACGTTCACACCAGGGACGTTGATGTTGAAACGTTGCTTGCTGACCACAAAAGACCCTATCCGAACCAGGTCAACACCTCAGTCTTCACTCGACTGTAACACCTCGGAACCAGTCTCCTTTAATCGAAGAAGAGCCAAGTGGCCAACTTCCAGCAGCCGTAGAACATGGCAGCGACAACCAGCACTGAGAAGATCACTAATTCGAGTTCTTCATCTCCACTCTCTCCCTCCTTGGCACTGCTGAGAATCAGAATCGAAGTTACAGCGACATGCAATGTGTTTACTTACATTCGGTTGAAGCCGTTGACTCTGTTCAATGTAGTCCAGTGGAATATGAGTGTGGTAATATCGCGACATGATACCTCGGGGCTCATGGCGTCGATGATGGTGTCCGAAGTCTTGTCATCCTTCTCCTTGTTCTTGTCTGACTCCAGCTTCGTCTCGGGAACCTCTACGGGGCAGGTGGTCTCAACTGCAAGTGCTTTACATGCATTGCGTAGAAGAAGACGTCCAGGGGAGTCAGGCAGTTGCGAGGGCACTCTGGTCTGGCGGTCTGTTTGTGCGATGCCGAGTGATTCCAGGTATCCGACAACCAAGCCTTCGCAGTATCCGAGATCGACTCCTTTCGGCAAAGTTGCGCCAGCTGGTTGATCATCAGATAGCGGTGCCGGTCTGCCAATCTCACTCCAGCCTTCGGACGGTGTCAGAGTACCCGTGGATGAGTTGCTCGATGAGTCGAGGATCAGCACCTGTGAGTCCGAGTGCTCCATGTCGTCTTCAGCATCCTGTCTGCGGGCATCTGTAATCTCGTTGATGGTTGCAGTGGCGGAACGTATCTTGGTAAGTGCGCTGCGGAAGGACTTGATGGAGGCACTACTCAAGAGTCAGCAAATTACTTCACCAGCAGGTTTTCAAATGTTACCTCGAGTGATTACGAAGCTTTGAGATCTCTCTAATCATCCACAAGTCGAGAGAGTGTTTGCGAAGTGTCAAGAAGACGACCAACATCTGGCGGGAGATATCTTGGGATATCTCGGTCCATTCATCCTTGATTGGAGCGATGATGACTTCCAGGTTTCTCATAGCTTCGAGAGACGACGTTTCTGCGCGCTTGAGGGTTGCTGTGACGTTTGCGCTCAACTTCTTGTTGTTTGTATATCCCTTGAGCTTGATGAGATGTTGCTTGGTGACTTCCAGGGAGTGAATCACGCGACCGATATCTGCGGCCAGGTATGCGTTGTCGCCGGCAAACAGGCTATGCTCCGTCCTCTTGAGAAGATTGTCGACAGTGTTCTTGTAGTCAATCAAAGCCAGCTCGAGCTCATCTAAGTCAGGTACAGCGCGAGCGCTGATGATGGTATCCGACATGATGTTGATGATTGTGTGGTAGTATAAGTTTGTTGTGGAGGATTGAAAAAAGAATTTATAGACAGGCGGATTAGATACGGCTTCAGCGGAAAGGCCGTCCACTCGAGTTATACGGAAATTTCAAAGTGATTGCGAAGCGCCACCAACCAGTGAAGAGTTATTCTCCAGGCTGTGCAGAGTGAATAACAACAAGAACGTCACCCGATTATTTTCGGCCATCATCGCGGCTGCCTGCTTCCAAGAACACGTCACTTCGAAGTTCTTCACAGCATCTCAAGAACAGAAGTAAAACGACAAAGTGTCATGACAAGTTTTTAACAGCTGCCACACAAACATGTCCTTCAATTGGAGCCTTTCCAAGAGGTATCCTATATATCGTAATGGAAGGCTTCCAAGCTTTCTCGATCTCGATGAAAGTGCTTCGGGCTTAGTGCAGAGTGTTTCAGACTTCTCCTAACTTGTGAACGTTAGCATATGAGCTGCTCATGCTTCGAGATCATACCCTTACCTGAACTCGGGTGAAGCCATTGAACTTATCAAGTGTTGTCCAGTGGAAGACGAGTGTAGCTATGTCTCTGTCCGTGATCTCTGGATCCATGGTCTCGATGACTTCGTCCAACGTATTTCCGACCTTTTCGGACTTCTTTGGCTCTACCTGGGGCTCACCCAAAACTGTGGATGTATCGATAGAACCAGTCATCTCGCTAGCCAGGACCTTGCATGCGTTGCTGAGAAGGATGCGTCCGGGAGATTCGACCAGCTTCGAAGAGCCTTTGTCCTTGTTCGCGGCTTGAACGACGTCAAGCGACTCCAAGTAACCCAAAACCAGACCTTCGCAATGAGCCAAGTTGTTACATGTCACAGGGAAGTCCTTTCCAACGTGAAGTAGAGTCGCCTCGCTATCAATGTCGCTCCAACCCTCGGACGGTGTCATAACTCCTGTTGAAGATGTATTGGATGAGCAGTCTTCGGTAGAGACTGTGTCCAGTCCTTGCGTTGTCTCTTTAGCTTCTGTTTCCTTGGCTTGAGATGCTTGCTTGAGTTCGGTGAACCAAGTTTGTCTCTTCGACAGGTGGTTTCGAATACCACTTTGATCGTCACACATAAGTTTTTTACTGGTCAAGTGTCAGATTAGCACTTAGGACATAGATCGAAACAAACCTCGGTTTGCTTGCAATCCTCGCAAGTCTCGCAACCTTTTTGACAAGATACACATCTACAGAATGCGCGTGCAGCTCCATGCAGATGGCATCAATCTGGTCTGCCGTATGACGCGGAATCGTGATCCATTCATCCTTGAAGGGTTGAATGAGGGACTCGAACTGTTTCATGACCTCCAGGGTATTGTTCCTTGCGTTGACCAAGACGGCGACGATATTGTTGCTCATGTGCTCCATACCAGTATACTCCTCGAAGTCAGAAAGAATGGTTGCGCAATACTCAATCTGGTAAACTGCTTTTTCAACAGCAACAATTAGGTACGGGTTTTTGGCACCGAGCTTTTGCTCCTTTACCCTCTCCAAAAGAGCCTTGCATACACTTCTGTAGCATCGCGAAACCATTGGAAGTTGGCTCTTCGCAGGTGTAGCCTGAACACATGTGATTTCTTTCGACATGATTTTTGATCGAGCCAAGTGCGAATGGAGGAAGGATCGTATCCAGGATGAGGTGATCCTTTTATGCGTGCTCATACTTGTTCAAAATCCGGGTCGACTGATTAGTCACTCATGCTGGACGATAGATTGAGAACGTATTATAAGACTTCGCTGGTCATGAGTCGCTCTTTCCAACCTGTGAAGAGTAAATATTAGCAAGAAAGTCACGAGCGGGATCTGTTCGACCATCATCGCGCTTGCCTACACTCGAAATACGTCACAACAACACTCATTACCAAAGCGCGAGAAGATAAGTAAATAGACTGGATACTTGTGACTACCTAACCGAGAAAGACAAAAAGAAGTTCGTCATTATCATCATCGTCGACCCCATTTGCTTCCAGGATTCGCAGGACTGAGGACATGTTCTCTCAAGCACGGCGACCAGTAGCCAATTGACGCTCCAACACATCATGGCGCGCTAACGGCTGCTCACGTCTCGCCGTCTCAATTCTGAGTTGCTGCGATAGTTGCGCAGCTCTTCTCGCCTGGTTCACCTGCTCATGAGCAACCTCTTGCTCGAGGTTGACTCTCTGAGCGACACGTCTGCCGTTCACGGTCTGCGAGCCCAGTCTTTGAACCATGGGTGCTACACGTCTGGCAGCGCGAGTGGACACACGGGTGTTGGAGCGAGTGATGGTTGCAGGCACACGGCTGATGGTACCTTGAGGACGGAGGACAATACGCTCGACCTGTCCGGATTGCATCCACTGATTGATCTTGGAGGCGTGAGGGTTCATAGCGTAGTGTCTCTTCAGTGCAATCATCTGGGCGTTGAGGTTGTGATTTTGCTGTTGCAGGGCTCGGATATTCATGTCTCTGCGACGGATGTCCTGGATTCGGGCTCCAAGAAGATGGTTGGCCTTCTTGACCAGGTCGAAGATACGACCATGTTCACCGATGACAGTGGTTCTAAGCGACTTGATCTGTGCATCTTTGTCCATGCCTCCAATCTCAGAATCGATACTGGAGAAGTGTTAGTCGTTTGTACTGTATTGAGAGTCAAGGATAAAACTTACGAGGAGACAAATGTCTTCATGAACTCTTCACGCGTCATGGGGGTCGCGACGACGGTGCCATAGGCAGGCGGAGCGACGCCGACGGGAGAAGGAGAGGTTGCGACATTGGCAGCAGCATTGCCGTTCACGACAATAGTGTCATGGGCAGGCGGAGCGACATTGAAAGCAGAAGTCGTAGACGCGACAGAGCAGTCGTTGTTGGCGGCGACGGTCGCAAAGTTTGAGCGGGTAGAGTGCATGTTGTATGTAAAAGTATCGGATGACTAAGGTAGTAGTAAATGTATCTTAGGCTTAGTAGATAATTAAAACTAAAAGGTAAGAGGGTTCTAAGGTCTTTTATAGCCTCTAGAGGCGGGGTAATATCTTAATTAGCCTTTATCTCTAAGTAGTACTTATTACTAGGTATCTTAAGACTAAGTTAATAGATAACTCTAAATCATTATTTTATTATCTTAAGGCTTTTCTACTTAAAATGCATAGTATCTCTACTACTAGTCTATATTATCTATATGTTAGAACTAATTTAAGCTATATACTTAGATACTATCTACTAGAAACTTAGTAGGTCTTAATAGGACTTTTACTTAGAGAGTTAGAAGTTTTTAGTACTTTTCACTAAGAATTCTTTACTAGGCTTATTGCTAGACCCTAGAGACTCTAAGTATTACTTAGTTATTAATCATAGCTTTAGATACTTATCTCTACTAAGCTATTTAGCCTTTTTAATTAAATAATAGATAACTACTCCGCTCCGGCTAATATGATCCTAGCGCTAAGATTGCCTAAGAAGAAAATGCCGCGGTTAATCTTCGGGTAAGAAGCAATCATGGCTTAAGGCGCAGAAGCTCTAAGATACGTACAAAACGTGGCATTTGCGTAGACAGGTATGAAGTTACCGAGATGAAAGCCTATAGGCAGTGAGCACATCATGATTGCGACTTCCCTGTGCGTTTTGCTGGCGTTGCGCTATACAGGTCGTTCGGTGCTCCAAACCACGACTCGAGAGTTGCGACACCTTAAGACGACCCGCGACGCCAGGAAAGCAACGACCAAACGACCTCCTTTCAGATGTCGCCACTGTCCGATGCGATTTGACATGCCATGATGCAGAGCTGTGAACTCCTTTCGCACTGCGCACTCATTGAGATCCTGTCTTAGCCAAATTCTGCCCGGCACATGAGAAGCTTTTGTCTCCTAACTGAAAACCAACGCCATTGTTAGGTCCCATGTCCTTTAGCGACTTCTGCACACACTCTATCTCAGTGTGTAAAATAATCAGTTCGAGCGATGCGACCGACTCTGTCTCAACATACTTGAGCGTTTGAAAATCGACGAACTATCAAGACCGAGTAGGGAAGCCTCAGAGGTATGTAGGTCAACAGAGGAGTCGTTCATTCAAAGCGTAAGTGAGCCAACGTCACGGAAAGTTGAACCAGCAGAGAGGTCGTCTGACACTTACTTTGACTGATTTGCTGGTCAATGTAAACACGTCGAGCTCTTCAAAGCCGTGCATCCGCCTCTAGAAGAACTCGGATTCCAAAGTCAACAGGTCAACCTGCGTCCGCAATGCCATTGATGCATTTACTCTACACAATAATGGAAACAGATCTTTTTCACAGCTTTGTAACCCTAGACAGAGATGCAAGATCTGGTTTGCAAGATGGGCGCTTTACAGTAATCATGCAGGTATATCTTGGCATACAATAGATCGCCTTGATAAATCAAGAGCAATCAGACCCGGCAGACTTTTGAGGAAACAGCGAATGAGATGAGAAAGGCCACCAGTATGTCGAGATCGACACCTGAGCGTCGAAACAAGCTCACTGTATTCCACGTGGTGCAACGCTCATTATTGTGTTCTTAAATCTGCGGCCTCTGGGCGGAGCCTTGCTCATGCTGTAAGTAGATGCTTCAACTCTTTCCAAGCCAGTAATATCGCGTGTCACTTTCCAATCTGCTTTAGACAATGTTTTTATTATGCCTCCATTGCTTGGGCTTGTCACCGTTCCTGGCTGATCTTCTAACAACTATTGTGGAAGGCACGATTGCAGCTCTATCATGCCACCGAAAGCTTCTAGAAAAGGTTCGCGTCAAAGCAAACACAGAGTGGGGTCACATTTGACGTCTAAATATTATGATCTGATCACACCCCACAGGTAGGAGGAACCTTGACCTTAGCTCACGCCTATAGTCGAGACTCTGATGGTGAAACAAAGTCAAGATGACCCCAAGACTAGCTCAGAGTACTTTCCGCAGATACAAGACAGAAATCTGCACCAGCGACTGTCGAATCCACGACTTCCTTGTATGAAAGACAAGTTGTTTGAATCGTCAAACCATCCATCCACTTCTCCTCATGAAGCTCACTATCATCTGGTTCAGTATCGGCGTTACTGCTCTAGCAATCGTAGCTCCCGCATCCACCAACAAGTATGATGTCCAAACAGATCTCACCACCATTCTGGCCAGAGACTCGATGGCTCCCTCTCCTGAGACTGAACACGAGTGCATGGAGGCTTGTGTAGATGCTGCCCTGTAAGTCCGCTCTCTCGTCCCTCCCAGTTTGGTTCTCGTTGCACCCTCTCCCACATCGCCATCGTACCACAAAGCCATTGTCTGATAAAAGTGTATCAAGAAAATCAAGCCCTTGGAACGGGCGAATCATCAAAGCAGCGCTGCAATGCCGTCGTCGGTGTCATGGACACGAAAAGACGGAGGAAGAACTACAGAAGGAAGCGGAGAAAAAGAAGGAGACCGAAGATGCGATAGAAAAGTGGAAGGAAGTGGAGAGATTGGAGGAAGAGGCGAAGCCTAAGAAAACTATCGAGAAATACAAGAAGCCCGAGAAGGTTGAGAAGCCTGAGAAAACTACCGAAGAAGACGATAAAAAGCCTGAGAAGACCGAAGAACCCGAGAAACCCACGGAAGAAGACGACAAAAAGCCTGAGAAGCCCGAGAGAACCACCGACGAAGAAAAGAAGAAGCCTGAGAAGACCGAAGAACCCGAGAAACCCACCAAAGAAGAAGACAAGAAGCCCGAGAAAACCACCGACGAAGATGATAAGAAGCCTGAGAAGACCGAAGAACCCGAGAAGCCTAGAAATCCTGAGAAGCCCGAGAAGACTGAAAGGCTTGAGGAGACTGAAAAGCCTGAGAAGACCGAGAAGCCTAAGGATCCTGAGAAGCCTGAGAAACCCGAGAAGACCGAAAAGTCTAAGAACCCTGAGAAGCCTGAGAAGACTGGAAAGCCTGAGAAGCCAGAGAAGACCGACCCCGACTATCTTACCTTTGAGAACGAGGAAGAGTGGAAAGAGTGGCTGAAGTTAAACAAAACATACGAGGAAGTCACACCGCCCTTGCAAAAACTCACCTCGATCAAGATGTCTGCATGATGTATCCGACGTACGTTACTCCATTCAAGTTAATTCGGGAGACTTCGTATACCGAAGTAGTCTTCAGCCATACCAAGTTCAGTTTGCTTCTCAACATATTTTCCTGTATTTTCTGATGGCATCAAACAATAATATGACTCTTGCTTCTCAGTCAAAGAGTGAGCAATTTCAGCTCCAGAGATATAGTCATTCGCAAGCAAATGAGCAAATTTGAGAATTTTGGCCAGTTGAAAAGCCCATTGCAACTCCGAAAAACTCATACATTACTTCCAACCATCTTTGCTGAACTTCAAAATCCAGCAAAAATTCCAACACAATGAAGATCTCATCAACTATCGCGCTGGTCTTGCTCAGCGGCGCCGCTATGGTGGCAGCCACCCCGATCAGCTCGCAAACGAATTCCGCCCCATCTCCCACGACAATGAAGATGATGAAGAGCATAATGACAAGGCCTGGACGCCATATCCCCGTCATGACCATCATCGGCACAGACTCAGAGGAAAGAAGAACCACTTCTGTCGCAGTAGATGTCGCGCCCACCTCCACTTCCATCGGTCGTGGTATTCCCGTTGTACCGGTCCACCACGCAGATGAGAAGGAAAAGGAGGAAGATATCGGCTCAGCCATTCCCTACGTCCCCATTCACCACGAAGACGACGGCGGTCTGGCTTTCCCTGTCGTCCCCGTTGATCACCACACCACAAGAACAACCACAGGAACAAGCCATCTCCCTAAGGCTTCAGCCTTTCATAAGCGCTCCGGCCAATAGGAAAGAGAGATGCCAAGGGAAGTTGCTCTTCAAAAGCAGGTGGATGATTCTGATTACCCCTTGGCATCTGGAGCTAGAGGTGCAAAGAAGGGAATGCAGTGGGAGAGGTTCAGAGTGCAGGATGGTACTGCTGGGTATCCGTTGGCGTCTGTGCCTGGAGCTACTGCTACAGGATATGGTCCGTGATGAGCGGGTGGACCACAATATGGCAAGGTGGATGGAGGCGAAAAGATAGTGTTCCAGTATCGACAGTGGAGGTACAATTTGTCGTAGAATTAGGGAACAGATCCAGCAAAGTCTTGGAGCTGTAGCTGTGAGAATGCAGGAATATATGCTGAGAAGCTGGCATGTGCACAAGTACCACCCATAAACATTTCTGGCCTACCATGTGAATCTTTACTTTTGCCGTTACAAGGTCACAACGATGGTCGCTTGACTAGCCATCAGATGAAACCCGTGTCTCGACATCAAAGCGCGAGACAATCATGTATGAATGCATGGAGTGCAGAGAGGATGTTTCATCCACTGTTCAAATCTTGTATCTCGACATGCGGTAAAAGGCGCAGTGATGGTGATGCTGACAAGACTTCAGTGTTTGAGGCCGTGATTGACAGCTTGGAATTAGGTCGGTTTCGCCAAGCATCACACCCGATCAGGCAAGTGCGGAGGAGGCCGACCTACCCCTCTCACGTTTCCCAACCCCTCGCTCTTATCGGCCACAGCTATCTATTCTAGCATTACAGATTCAGAAAAGCACCCTGCGTATCTGCACTAATGACACTGTGTCACGTTACAAGGTGGAGTATAGGGAGATGACTCCTTCGCCCTTGCTGCCTATTGCCAAAACCTACCATCTTCAATCCTTGACCACGACATAACGAAACTACCACTCGATCATGACACCTGATATTGAATATCTGCTTTCTCTGGAAGCTGTCCGTGAAAGATCGCGGATCGTTTTCGAGGCTGCTAAGAAAGACGAGCTTTCTCATTTCACTTACCATGCCTCCAAGCTGCCTGAAGCTGCGGCGTACGTGACTTCTGTGATCAATGTGAGTTGCCCCATCTTTGAACTCGACCGTTGTTCCTTCCAACCTGAGCTCCAAAACTCGGTCAATTGCAGTCTTTGACACAAAGTCTACCACTCTGTTCTATTCTAACATCTCACCAAAGCGTGACTTCGGTCCCGACAACTTCGATGCCATACCTCCTCACGGTCGCTGGCAACACTTTAATGTCGGCGGTGTCCCTCGCATCGATGATCTGAACAAACAGTGGAAACACGATGGCTGCGACAGAAAAGAACAGGCTCGCCGTCTGATTGATCTTTTCATGGTATCCGTATTACTGGATGCCGGTGCGGGTGACAAGTGGAAATTTGAGGAACCTGGATCTGGAGATGTTTATACCAGAAGTGAAGGTATTGCTGTGGCGAGTTTGTATATGTTTACAGAAGGTGCTTTTGCAAGTGCTGGGGGTGAGAAGCATATTGTAAATGGTAAGTGCTGCTGTATTGAAATTGTGTATGGAAAACTGATTGTTGAGCAGCAAAGGGACTTCAAGGAATCAATGAAGAAGTATTGACCAAAGGTTTTCAAATCACTTCCGATAACCCTATGATTGGTGTCGGACCTCGAGCACAACTCCTGTCGCGTCTCGGCGACTCTCTCCTCCAACATCCTGATATCTTCGGCCCCGAAGGCCGTCCTGGAAACCTCGTCGACTATGTCATCAATTCTGCAGATGCAAACAGCAAAGAACTCGACTACCGCGTCTTCTGGATGACATTGCAAAAACTCCTCATCCCCATCTGGCCCAAAGACCGCACGCAAATCGATGGCACACCCATCGGTGACGCCTGGCCTCTTGCTGTCCTGCAAAGAAAGAATGACGGCCAGGATGTCAAGCAAACTATCCAACCATTTCACAAACTTACTCAGTGGTTGGCTTACTCACTTATGGTCCCCTTCGTCCGCGTCATGGGCTACTCCTGGCGAAACGCAGATCTCGGAACTGGTCTCCCTGAATACCGCAATGGAGGCCTCTTCATCGATCTTGGTGTCCTGACGCTCAAGCCAGAAGCTTTGGAGCGCGGACAAAGCGCTTCTGGCCAAAAGTTGCCCATGTTCAAAGACAGCGGTGATGAGATTATAGAATGGAGAGCTCTGACCGTCGCACTGCTGGATGAGATCTATGGCATCATCAAGAAACAGATGAATGAGAACGATGTCGAGCTCAGTATGGCGCAGATGCTGGAAGCTGGAAGTTGGAAATCAGGAAGAGAGTTGGCTGCTCAGCATAGACCCGAGACAAAGTCTAGTCCCATATTGATCGATGGAGATGGCACTTTGTTTTAGGTCAGACTTGGTTAATGTGGAGTTTGACCGCAAGCTATAGGATTGCAACAGGGGTTCTTGAGAACAGAAGATCAAGATCATTCAGACGCTTGTTGTTCCAGGCAAACTCAAGCATTCAACAATTTCTCATGCTCACCTCCATATCTCTCACCCTTGATCTCGAAATCCTCCCCCAATACCTCCAATTCCTCCATCTCTTCCTCATTTAACACCAAGTCCCCGGCCCTACTGTTTCTGACCACTCTTTCCACATCCTTGCTGCCGGGAATAGGTATACCACCGCTCGCCACAACCCACGCAATGGCGACTTCAGCAGTGGTAACGCCCTTGCGCTTCGCAATCTTCTCCACCGCATTCACAAGACGAACATTGGTGTCGAAAACCTGCTCGGAGAAACGAGGGAGACGGTGACGGTAATCTCCAGCCGGGATATCGGTATAAGTGCGATAGGTAGACGTCAGCCAACCGCGGCTAAGAGGCGAGTAAGCTACAAGTGGAATATCCACTATCCAAATCCCCATCAGCAAGCGAAACAACAATAAAGCAGAGAGAAGTATCAAAAGCTGGGTAAAAGATCTTACACTCTTCACAAACCTCCCTCACCTCATTCTCCAATACCTCTCGAGTGAACAAACTCATTTCCACCTCCACAGCAGAAATCCCATACACCGCACTCGCTCTCCTGATCGTCTGCGCAGAAACCTCGCTCAGACCAATTCCTCCAATCTTACCTTCCTCGACCAATTCCGCCAGAGCGGCGATGGAGATTTCGACATCCGTATCCGGATCCACCCTGGCCATTTCGAAAATATCGATTTTCTTGATGTGAGGGGGGAGGATGGCGATGGCGGCGTCAACGGCAGCGCGTAGGGCGGAAGGACTTCCTTGGGGCCCGAGGGTGTGGTTGTATGAGCCTTTGATACTCAAGACTACTTTATCGGCATCGGAGGGGTGGGTGGTGAAGTAGTGGTTTAGGAGATGGAGGGAGTTGTTTGTGGATGTGCCGTAGAAAGTGCCCTATACAGTTGGGAATAAGTCTATGATATCCGAGATGAAAGGCGGCCGGATAGGCGATTGGTGCCCAGGGCATCGAAAGACCTGGATATCATAAATTCACGCCGTGGAGTGTGAGATCAAGGGCAATTGTACTCATCAATCCATAGCCGACTGGTCCAATGGCCTTTCCACCAACTGTTTTGGCCGCTTTCCTCATGATACCCATATTGTTTCAGTCTGGTAAGTGAAACTGAACGGATGAAGGACTATATAGAAAATAGAGTTTGAGTATGCTTCGAGATGTAGACTACTTGTACTCTGACACCAAAACTTCGGACTTTGATTGTTTGACCCGCGTAACTCTTGGTCGGACGATCTTTGATGCTCACACGGCTGATCACGGCTCGCTTTCAAGCAATATTGTATGCATCTGGAACGGGCAGCGGAGCAATTGCATGTCCGATTGACATATTCAAGTGCAAGGAAGGCCAGACATGCGGTGAGACATCTTGCCAATACGAGTATGATGACCGAGTGGTCACTGTTCACAGAGCCAACTCATTCACCTCTGAAGTTGCCATGGTGGTTGTGCATTGTAAGAAGAGGGTTGGGTTAGGGGAGTACAGTACACAGCACGCAGCTCAAATGGAGCGGGCCGTGATTACCCCATGGAGTTTAGATTGGAGCCGAGTCATTCACAAAGGATGTCATGCATTCATGAATATCAATATCACGAGCAGAATAATTTTCTCGAGATCGATGAATACAGAGAATGGATTCGCAGGTACAACACAGCACGCTCATGACCCGAAGAAGCGTTCAAGACAACCAGACATGGGGACGATACGGCAAACAAGAGCAAATCATAGCAGAAATAAGTGCCTGTATTCCAAGAGCGCCGACCACATCTAAATACACACACATTTCCCATAGATAGAGAGAGCCAAAGTATTTGTTGTATCAAAAAAGAAGAACCTTTTGTCCTGTCATTGCCATTTTTGGTATGAATCGCAGCTCAGAATACATCATAAAAAAAGTAGAAGAGGTAAAAGAAAAAACACCCTCAAGTCATATCGTATAAAGCAGAAGAGAACGCCTTTTTGGGGGGAGTTTAGATGTTCTCGGGGCGGAGGCTGCGGACGGCCTTGCCGGCGCGCCAGATCTCGAGGTTGCGGATCTCCTCCATCTCGGCCTCGAACTTGGCGCGGTAGTCCTTCTGCGAGGCGTACTCGAGGGTACGGCGGGTCTCCTCACCAGTCTCGACGGAGGTGTAGAGGTCGTCGAAGACGGGCTTCAGGGCGTCCTTGAAGCGGGCGCTCCAGTCGATGGCACCGCGGCGGGCGGTGGTGGAGCAAGCGGCGTACATGTAGTCCATACCGTGGGCGCCGATCAGGGGGTAGAGAGACTGGGTAGCCTCCTCGACGGTCTCGTTGAAGGCCTCAGAGGGAGAGTGACCGCGCTCACGGAGAACCTCGTACTGAGCGAGGAACATACCGTGGATACCGCCCATCAAGCAACCACGCTCACCGTAAAGGTCAGAGTAGACCTCCTTCTCGAAGGTGGTCTTGTACATGTAACCGGAACCGACGGCGACACCGAGAGCGACAGCCTTCTCCTCGGCCTTGCCGGTGACGTCCTGGAAGATGGCAACGGAAGAGTTGATACCACGGCCCTCCTTGAAGAGAGTGCGGACGGTACGGCCGGAACCCTTGGGGGCAACGAGGATGACATCGATGTCAGTGGGGACCTCAACCTTGGTCTGGTCCTTGAAGACGGGGGAGAAACCGTGGGAGAAGTAGAGGGTCTGGACATGTTGTTAGAGATATGCGGAAAAAGTTGGGGACAGCCAAGATTGCATACCTTGCCCTTGGTGAGCTGGGGCTTGATTGAGGGCCAGGTCTCGGACTGGGCGGCATCGGAGAGGAGGTTCATGATGATGGTACCCTTGCCAATGGCCTCGTCAATGTCGAAGAGGTTCTTGCCGGCAACCCAGCCATCCTCCTCGGCCTCCTTCCATGAGGCACCGTTCTTTCGGACACCGACAATGACGTTCAGGCCGTTGTCACGGAGGTTGAGACCCTGGCCGTGACCTTGCGAACCGTAACCGATGAGGGCAAGGGTGTCGTTCTTGAAGTACTCAAGGAGCTTCTCACGGGGCCAGTCGGCGCGCTCTGTTTCTGATGTCAGCTTGCTGCTCTCGCGTCTCGATCAATTGGCGCTCAAGCTTACCGAAGACCTCCTCCTTGTGGCCGGCAAAGTCAACGGTCTTGACACCGCGAACCTGCTGGGCAGCAACGGAAGCTCTGGGGAGCTGCTTGACACCGGTGGTGCGGGCAGCGTTCAGGGCAGCGCTGAGGTAAGTGCGCTGCTGCTGGACGGCAGGGCGCTGGGCCTGCTTCAATGCGGCGCGGAAAGTTCTGCTGGCAGTACGGGAAGACATGATGATTGTGTGAGGATGAACAAGACAGAAAGAGTGAGGGAGTCTTTGATTTTTTAGAGGCAGCTGTGACTACGTCTCGTTCGGCCGCTTCGCACGCACAGACTCGCTCGAGTACTGCGACACTGCGACATCGGCTCTCCCCCAGAGTCCCTCTGTCTTAGTGACTCTTCTCCAGCAAATTGTGCAATATCCATTACCAATTAGAAGAGCTATAGCCTCCTTTAACCGTCCTTGCTGACCGCGATAGCACTGATGTTTCATGTGAAAGCGTGCCTCGAACCTCGTCCACCATCCATGAGCTTTGCGACCCTTTCAAAAATCCCACAAAGCTAAGCGAGAAGCGTATCGTCAAAACGGTCCCTGGCCAACCCAGCAACCAACTGCGCATTTCTCGTGACTCACGGCAGTGAATAACATCTTGCTAGAGGGCACAAAGGATCCACCGAGTGACGATTATTTTGCTAGGAGACCCCCGATTCCCCCGAAGTGCAAGGGCCATTCGCTCGCCGAGCGTCATCGCCCTGGTCTAGGCCGACATCGTCCGGTGGAGCTCTCTTTTGTAAAATCACAGAGCCTCATACCATTGAACACTCCGTTGTCGCAAAGAAGACGACTGTACGAATAGTGTGACTCAGCAGGAGAGATCTCCTAGCCTGATTTCAGCATCTCTCCTGCATCCTTCACCTTTGGCAGAAATGTCCTCGAGCAAGAATCTTGGTTGTTGACCATGACGATCTCTCCCCGGAACCAAAAAATTTAAAGCCCGATCGCATTTGCAACAAGGACAGACGACAATGACACACAATTAGCCCTCTATCGTTCGAAAGCCCAGAAATTCGCACACTGAAGCAGCAAAGCAAGAGCAAGGACGTCATATACAGGATATAGCTGGTCAGGTCCTCAGCTTCGACACAATGTCGTGAGTGCTCGAAAGTGATGCACAAGGTTAAGAAACCCGGGAGGGATCGCAACAAGATCAGACTCTCCCTCTTTTCAGAGGCTCTAAGAATGTCAAGGGAAGACAAGATGATATTGTGCATCAGGTGCATGTTCACTGAGAGCGACATCCTCACCTGCTCTCTTCGGACATGTACTCAATCCGCAAACTCATCATGCCTTTTGATGGCAGTGCAGAAGGACACGGTCTGAGGCTGGGAGCTCGGCTCTGGTGTGAGCTTTTGCGACGTGAAAGGTGAGGTTCGCAACGTTTTGGGTATTGGAGAACGTAAAATTCATGCTTTGGTATCTTTAAACATCACAAACTCGAACTCTTCTAAGGTCTTTCTATGACTCGGTCATAGGCTCCTCGGCAACAAAACTAAGATACGAACCCAAGAGCTTGATACCCTCGATGTAGTTGCGCTTGTCGAGCTTCTCGTTGATGCTGTGAGCGGCGTCTGTGCTGGAACCCATGGGCAGGAGAAGGACGTTCTTGCCAGTAGCTTCCTCGAAGGTAAGAGTGACAGGAATGGAACCACCCTCGCGGGTAAGGTCGGGCTGGACCTTGAAGACCGACTCGACGGCCTTTGCGGCAGCGGTGAAGTTCCAGTGCTTGGGCGAAGCAACCCACCACTTACCAGAGTGCTGCTCGACGACCTTGCAGGTGTTCTTGGAGTTCAGGGTCTTGAAGACCTTGTTGACGTGAGCCTCGACAAGCCTGTTGACCTCGGGGATCTCCATGTTGGGGACGGTACGGATGCTGAACTTTCCGATGACCTTGGCGGGGATGACAGTCTTTGCGCCGGGGGCGGAGAAGGCGCCCTCGATACCGTGAAGCGACAGAGAGGGGAATCTCCAGCGGGCCATCAAGGTGCTCTCCTTGTCCTCGAAGATAGTGGTCTTGCTGCCAAGCGATTCGTGAAGGTTGTCCATAGTGAAGGCAATACCCTCGTACAGCTTCTTCTCTTCCTCAGTGACAGGGGCAACCAGCTCCTTGATGCCATCGATCTGAATCTTGCCGTTGGTGTCGACCAAGCTTCCCATAACGCGGACGAGGTCGGTCATAGGCTCCTGGGCGGTACCACCAAAGACACCGCTGTGAAGGTCCTGGCCGGGACCGCTGATCTCGATGCTGTAGTAACTGCAACCTCTCAGACCGTAGGTAAGACAAGGCTTCTCGGTGCCGAGCCAGTAGTTGTCGCTGATGCAGACGGCATCGGTATCCTTGAAGAACTTCTTTGCCTCGGCGTTGATGAAGTCGTCCAAACCCTCACTTCCATACTCTTCCATACCCTCGAAGCACATGAGAAGGTTGACGGGGAAATCGATGTTGGCCTTCTGATGGGCCTCGATGGCGTTAAGCCAACCAAGAACGGGACCCTTGTCGTCGGTGGAACCACGACCGAACATGCGGCCCTTGTCATCGATGGTGAGCTCGAAGGGCTCGGTGGCCCAGCCATCCTCCTTAGCGGCGGGCTGAACATCGTAGTGACCGTAGACGAGGATGGTCTTCTTCTTGGGGTCCTCACCGTAGCGGGCGATGATGACGGGAGGGAGTTCGAGATACTCCTTGTGGGGCTGAGGGCCAAGAGGGCGGGCTTCGACATGGGCACCGAGAGCCTTCAGTTCGGACTCGAGAAACTTGCCCATCTACAAAGTGGTCAGCATTCGGCATAACACTGAGGGGTATGGCACGTGGACATACGCGGACGACCTCAGGTCTTCTGTCATCCTCGGACGAGACGGAGGGGATGGCGACGGCCTTTCTGAGTCTCTCGATGAAGTGATCCGAGAGCTCGTCGACCTTGTTGAAGTATGCGTCAAGCTGAGGAGCCATGTTGGGTGAAGGATGCTGTCTATAAATATAAGGCCAAGCGGCGGTTGTTTGGCGGCGGGACCGAGGTGGGAATGCTGGTGTAGGGCACTTGGGGATGGTAAACTGTCTGCGGGAGAACAGCTGGTAGACGGAGCGGAAGGGCGAGGACATGCAAAACAGAGAGGGAGCAAATTCTCTGGTCAATACCGTAATGGAAACTGTTAAAGGACAGGGCGCATTAAGGCGCGATACGAGGGAAAGAGCCACCCGAGCTTGTTTCACTCACTCCAGGGACCTCCCCACCTTCCTCTTTCGGATGACATTTGTCCGCCGCACGCCCTTCCCCCCGTCTCGGCCAAAGACTCCTCCGCCTAACTACGTGAGTAATAACTGTGAGAAGGAACACTTCATATTCAGTAAGCAGCACCTCCAATCAATCATTGATCATGGGCGACGTCTCTTCCTGCCCACCTCTGACGCGCTCGTCTGTTCAGGCGGCGCATGAAGCCATCAAGCAGCACATCCACCGCACTCCCACCATCACATGTGACACCATCTCTCATCTCGCATCCACCCCTCAATCTGCCGACTCTCTCAAAGGAACACCATTTGAAGGCCGTACACCCGCCAAACCTCATATCAGCCTCTTCTTTAAATGCGAGAACTACCAAAAGATTGGCGCCTTCAAGGCTAGAGGTGCCTTCCACGCATTGAGTCGTCTGAGCAAGGAAGAGCTGAGCAAAGGCGTCGTGACACACAGCTCGGGCAACCATGCTCAAGCTCTCGCTCTGGCCGCCCGTACTCATGGCATTCCTGCTCACATCGTCATGCCTACCATCAGTACCCCTTCCAAGATCGCCGCTACCAAGGGCTACGGAGCCAACGTCATCTTCTCTGGTTCCACGTCTGATGAAAGAGAGGCTGTCGTCGCCGATGTAATAAGAGATACCGGTGCTATACTCGTACCACCCTACGATCATCCGAACATCATGCTCGGTCAGGGCACACTCGCTCTCGAGCTGGAAGAGCAAGCCAAGGACTTTGATGCCCGAGGATTGGATGCTGTTGTCGCTCCGTGTGGAGGAGGCGGCATGCTAAGTGGTGTCGCCACAGCTCTACACGGAACCGGCATTCGTGTGTTCGGTTCTGAGCCAAGTTTTGAAGGTGCAGACGACGCAAAAAGAGGCGTCGAGTCTGGTGAACGCGTCGAAAAGGTGAAAACATTGACAATCGCCGATGGACTACGAACACCACTTGGAAAGATTCCATGGACCATCATCAGCGACCCTGAAAAGGTGAAGGGCATGTACAGCGTCTCCGAGGAACAAATCAAGGCTGCTATGCGCTTGTTACTGGAGCGAGCGAAGGTCTTTGTCGAGCCTAGTGCTGCTGTCCCGCTTGCTGTCATTCTTTACGATGAGGACTTTAGAAGTATGGTTGAGAAGGAAGGCGGCGAACAAGGCTGGAACATTGGCGTCGTTCTGTCCGGTGGAAACACCACTGTCGAAGCCATTGCTAAACTCTTCCAACCTGCTTCTGAGCAGCAAGCCGAGAGACAAGAATCCAAGCTGGGTATGGATGGCAAGAAGGTGGCTGAAAATGTTGCAGGATAGATCACGTCGGCTACAAACCAATGCAATGGTCCCCATCCGACAACCAACCTCACCCAACTCAATACCAAGATGCGTTCTCGTTCAATCGTTATTGTTATTGTATTGAGTGCCTCGGTTTTCCGGGAGTCTTCCTCTCTAGCGGTTCATATGCAGGGCGTTGTCAGGTAGAACCTCCTAAGAAGTGTCTACCAGCAGCCAACCCTTAGCGTCTCCAAGCAAACGATCTTCTTTCATTCAAACGCAGCACCACTCCGCGCTGTCGCCAACACTAAACTCGATATTTTGCTCATACCGGGCGAGTAGAACAAGATTTATTCTACAAGGTCTCGAGTTGGTGAGATCCACACCTACATGACATACAGGCAACGTCTAAAACCAGGTCTACAAAAAAACCTTTGTGGTCGACTACTCCATATCCCATCGGTGCGCATTCACCACTAAACCATCTCACGGTAGACCTTGTAGTGTGGTGGTGTTTACTTCTCGGGATATCGACTCAAAGCATACTCTCCACTGCAAACGATGGCATACTCTGCAGCACTCCCGTTAGCCAAACACATATATGACACCGATGAGTTGGTAGGTTAGTTATAGCAGTTGTTGTCGGTGACCTGCTTCTCGACGACGACTGGTCATCTGCGGTATCGTCTAGTGCCGAAGAATTGGGCGCTTGCAATGGTTGCATCGAACGAGGTCTAGTATGCTCTAAGGGGGGTGTATGGAAGTCGCATGCGTAACAGCTTTTAAGCTGTCTGGAAATCTTTCTTGAGCAAGAGATTTCAAGGCAGGGGTTGCTCAGTGATGCTTCTGCGGTTTAACGGGTATTAAACCTGGACCAAGCAAGCAAAGATACCACGAAACTTTGTAACAAAACATGACACGAAGGTCAAACTAGAGTTCACCATCGTTCGGCCACTCTGATTTTTGTGTTGTTGGTGTATTTTAAGGTGGTAAGGAGTATCGATAGGTGTCTTAGGCCTTTTGTCCATCGCAGAACATTGACAAAATGGTGCTAATGACGGCAACGCCATTTCACAACCACGTACAGGATTCATTTGATCTGGTTCACCTTGTAGCGACGTTGGCTGTTGAGCAAGAGACTGACTAGGACGCATATCGGGTAAGCATACAGTACTTCTTTTAAGCTTCACCCCATCCAGCCACCACACTCTGACTCACTGCGCGCTCAATCCGTCCTGGTTCCAAGACAACGCAAATGATGGAGTGCTGTAGACAAGTCCTCAAGGTCAGGCGGGCTATTGTTCTCTCTTGGAGCAGCTGTTCGAGGCCGAGGACTGTGGCTTTGTTGGCACGATTTGAACCAAGATTCGCATGTACTCGAAAACCATCATTATCATTCAATATGCTATATCGTTCTATTCCAGTCTATGTTTGCCCTATTCCTGCAATGCGTAAACTCCAATCCATGGTATCTAAACGACAAGAAAACACAAAATGCAATGCAAACACTCTTCGTTCCACCTCTTCTCAATTTATACCAACAATCCACCACCCTCCTCCCTCTCAGCCTTAGCAAGCACAACCCTATCAAAAGCAGCTTGCTCGAATCTACCAAGAGCGGCCCAGAAATGTCTTCCAGCCTCATGCACTCTGATCCTATCCACCAATGCTGCCACGCTTTCCCTGACATCCAACCTCGGATGCATCAACCCAAGACTCAGATAAAACATACCATGTTGTCTATCATTACCCACAGCAGGACTGCCGTAAGCGAAAACAGAAAGCAACTGATTAACTTGCTCGTACGTTTTCACACGCGCGCAGAGTGCGAGATAGATGGATGCCGAGGCTTCGGTGCCGAGGCGAAGTTTTGTCAACTTGTCATGCAGGTGTTGGAGATCAAGATCCTGGATTGGGCGGAGAGAAAACATGACGCTGAAATCTTGGATGAAGTTGTAGTAGCTGCGAGTTTTGGTCCAGCCTTCGATGCGTGTAGCGTTGGCTGCGAGTTCGCGCATCTTGGCTTCTTGTGATGGCCAAACATAGCCGTGGCCTGCTACCGCTGGGTCTTCAAAGGCTGCGTCCAAGACAGTCATAGGAGACGGAAAGTCCATGGTGGCTGTTGCTGGAGAGATGGGCGAGCCGGGTGGATAGTAGGCGAAGATTGCGGAGGCCCCGTAGACCAGCTCTTCGAACGCAGCTGCTATGCGGATGAACTTGAGGATCCAGAGGCGGAACTTTGAGCGGACGGCGCCTTCGCCACGGCGTTCAGCAATCGAGGCGAGTACGCTGGACATGAATGCCACGTCACCAGTTGGATCTCCAGCGCCTGAAGGTATTGAAGGGAAGCCGCCCATGCCCGCGCCTGTTGCTGTGCCGGCTGATGAAACAGGGCCTGGTGCATTAAACGGTTGCGGCATCCCTGGTGCGCTCTGTTGGAAGAACAATACGCCTTCAGTCAATGGGGCTTGCTCAATCTTCGGACTGATCCGGATGCGTCCAGTTGGTAGATCACACATGAGATCCCACCATTCAGTGTGCGTGGCAAAAGCTGGGTTAGTGACACCTGCGATGAAGCCAGGAACTTTGAGCAGATCCTCAATCTTGGTAAGATCGGTATAAGGGAACGCGTGACGAGTGAAGCCTCTGAGGAATCCTCCAGATGCGAGAGAGCATGCAGCCAGTACAGCTTCCGCTACTTCAGATGACGGCAGGTTGTGTCCAATGAAGATGATACGCTTCTGGCTGAGTAGAGCGTTCATTAGAACGATTATAGGATGTGTTAGAGGACCAGAAGTGGTAAGATGTGGGTGGTGTTGAGTGAAAGGCTGAGGAGAAGCCGAATGTGGAGTGCTGAAAGTCTGGATAAGTTTGATGAGAGAAAAGTCACCGACAGTCTCAAGAGACAAGGCTGTAGGGATCTTGATGGGAACAGGGATGTTGTTGTATTTCACAACAGAATCGAACTCGTGAGTATCTCGTGGTAAGGCATAGCGCTGACGAGGCGTCTGCTGTTGATCGTCAGATTGGCTGTTTTTCTTGTCCTGCTGGACACGCTTGTGGACCATGGCTTCGAATTTCTCAAGGAACAAGTCTTTGACATCCGAAGCCTGTAGGATGTAACGCTCTTGGAAGGACAGTCGTGGAAGTAATGAGAGATCCATATTGTTGACTGATTCATACAAGGACGCCAGCGTGTCGATGGTCGGCGTACGGAAGTATTCTTCGAGTGCCAATAGAAGCAGCGGCTTGTAGATGTGTAGGAAGGAGTGGCGTGTGCAGATGGCCATGGCCTTGACGACAGCACCACGTTTGACGTTGACATCGTGCTTCGTGTTGACAAGATTGAGCACATATACCAGTGGAGGGCCTTGAGTACTTTTGACAGCGTCGTCTTCCGACTCGGCATCCTCTGTGTCGTCCTCGCTGTCATTGTCCATGTCTGCCTCCGTCGCAACTGGCTTGGTCTCAGGTCGCAGCTTCTTTTTCTCTGCTCTCCTTTGCCTTCGATCGTCTCTTCTTTGCTGCAGCTCTTCCTCGGGCGACTGGTCCTTGTGCAGGAAGAAGACAGTCCAATCCTGACTACGCAGATGGGTTTGATCGGGCAACATAAGTTCTGCCAACATCTGTTCATCACCTCCGATGGGTGTAGGATATTGATGTTCCATGATAGATCCCGTGTCAATGTCGAAGGATGCTACCAGGATGTATTCGACATGGCGCTCGGTTGAGTCTTGGGGATACTGCGGCCGGGGCTTGCGTTTGCGGTGAGGCATGGTCGGTGATCGTACGGATTGAGATAGAGAAGGTCGCATCGAAGGCCTCACGGTAGCGGATGGCATTACATCGTAGAAGGACTGCTTGCGAGATGGGAACGAGGCCAGCGAAGGGCGGCGCGAAGCCGTAGCACCCCCTGACATGACGGCGGCAGGAGCGATCGATGCGGTTTGGCTGGTGCTGCTATGCTGGCGAGGCTGAGCCATTGACAAGGAAGGCTCGAAGGGTCTGAGTGTTATTGTCGCTTCTCCATGTGGTCAATTGTTCTTGGTTGTTCCTGCCTCGTCGACTTCGCAACCTCCTTCTCCACATATCACGCCAGGGTCCAGGACGATCTGCAGGCAGGCACGGGCCCGGCCATCCCCTAGCGCGGAGAGCGGGAGAGAGCGCCGGGGCTTGGCTTTCCCGGGGCTTGTTTGGCTGTTTGTTTGGACACAACCTGAATGGCTGCCTGACAACATCGACTATACCATACTAATATCAACATATACAGCTGAACTAATCACATCCTCAGCTCTGGTCCGCTAATCATGGTGAGTTCACTCAAGCCTCGGCATTCGAAATGGTAAACTGACAGCTCCCAGTCATCGCCGACCAAATTGTCCTTCAACTCGCCGCGCTCTCCTCGGGCCTCGCCCTTTCGTCGTCCGGACTCAGACGGTCTTTTGCGATCTCCCTCGACAGTACGTGATAGATCAGAGTCTCCAACGAAACCACTGTCACCCTCTCTCTCGCCTGAAAAGCATAACCCTTTTGTACGACGACCATCACAGTTGACGACGGGCGACCGTCCCAGAAGCCCCTTCGCCCGTCCTACTAGTCGTCTCAGTATCGCAGAGCCATCTTCGAGGCCTACCTCTTCTGGATCTCTGGCCCCGCCAATCTCTTTCTCCCGTCATGCCTCGGTGACATCACAAACATCCGTCGAGCGGGAGCACTCTGAACCGCCATCTCCTTCGCCCGTGGCTCGCAACTTTGAGCCACCCGCACCCGTAGACGGAGCACCCTCGTCACCTCGCGCTCCTCCATCGCCTTCTCCGCTCGTCATACCGAGCTCTCCCGCTGTTGCGCCCTCTTCGCCAATGGGCCCTCGCTCTCCTCTTCTATCACCCAATGCCAACCGTCCTATGCGTCCGACCGCTCAGCGTACTGTCACATCATCTACTCAGGCTACCATCCGAGCTCCTGTGTTTGGCAGACCCACATCTCGCGACTCGACTACAAGTGCTGCTCCTAGACCAAGCTTCACAGCCCCTTCGAGGCCGAATTTCTCAGCTCCCGTCCAGATGGCAACTGGTCAATACTCCCACCTCCCTCAATCACTACTACGAAGCATGCGCGAGTCGTTTGAAGTCTTGGACAGCTCTAACACTGGTGCCATCACTTCTGCAAGCGTCGCCGACATGCTTCAACAGATGGGCATGGACTCTTCTCCCAGAGCTGTAGCTGCCTTCTTCCCTCCAAACACTCCTTCTACAATTACTCTGGGCCGTTTCCTGGATTTGCTCTCGGCACCACTAGCAGAGCTCAGTGAGCCGTCCGAGCTTGCTGCCGCCTTTGCTGCCTTTGATGTTGACGACAGCGGTCAGATCGACAAGCACGAACTCAGAGACGCTTTACTCAATACTGCTCCCGAACCTGGTGCCGAGCATATGCGCTTGTCTGAGCACGAAGTCGATGCCATAATGAGTCAGTTTTCGGCAAGAAGAGCTTTCGGCGCAAAAGGTGTCTTCGGCAAAGAGCTTGGTGGCGGCGACCGTAAGAGAGGCGAAGTCTTCAGATACAGAGACTTCATCTCAAACATCTCCGGAAGTGGAGGTGCTGACGGAGCTGAACAAGTTGCTGCTTGATTTACCAGCAGGCCTGGTTCGATTTCTAATTACTTATGCATATTTGTCCAAATTCATGGAGGACGCTGGAGCTGGTCGATCGTTGTTCGAATGGTATCAAAGATAGACGACAGGTATCAAGCTCTTTCCTCAACTCTCACCATTATCCCGTCCCACGATCCGAAACCTGCTCGTCAGTGGCGAGAAACTCGAAATTTGTCCACCAGAACATTGGCTTGGTCGAACGACGACACAGCCTTTCTCCAACTCACGCGACGATGGACTGGCCACGCTCTCTCCCGCCTATCGCGCGGTCATCATAGGCTGAACCAATCCGTTTATTTGCTTACTAGAGTAATATCCTCAAATGCTCTCATACCGCATCACAACGACCAAACAAGCTCAGGCTGAAACCTCGTCCCATCCAAACAGGACTATATGATCCTGCCCTTGCCTCTGTATCTTGCCTTCCTCTTCCTTCACACACGAGATCAGACTCAAAATGTTCATCCCCACTATTTCAACAGTCCTGAGTGCCCTCAGTACCCTGAGTGGCCTTGCTGCCATTCCTACTCAGCATCCCTCGTCCTCATCAGATGTTGCACTCAACCCTCATGATGTCGTTGTTAGCAGCCAAACGCGCGTTGGAAGAGTTACTGAATCTTGCTATCAGCCCATCCTAGGACTTCGACAATGTACTATGTATACGGTCTATGGCGACTCATTCAGAGGAGAAGCTGCTGCAAAGACGACCATGAGTAGCAAACCTACCGAAACTCCTGGAGATGATACCGAAGATGAGGTGGTCACTGTCACTGTCGATGCGCCCGAGAAAATCGTCACTGTAACTACAACTGAGGAACTAGAGACAGTATGGGAAGATGTCATCACCACTGTGCATGTCACTTCCACTGTGGATCTTCCTGAAGTCACAGTGACAGAGACTGCGAAAGCAAGTACTACCATCGACGAACCCAAGAATACAGCGGAACGCATTCGTCACCACCCAAAAACCTCCGCCACTCCATCAACCAAGAGAGCCAAGCCCTCTTCCTCTGCTTCCTCCCCTGCCTCGAAGAAGACTTCTTCTTTCTCCGATCGTCGCAGTAAGAAGCCAAAGACCACTTCTGCCTCTGCTGTTGCATCTACCGCTGTGGCTTCCTCTATCTCTACATCGGCATCGTCATCGAATCCCCTCCGAGACTTGTTCGACTCGCTCGACTCGTATTACGAATGCCCTCCGCTCATGCCGAAACAGTTTTGCGAGGATTTCAAACTCAAGAAGATCAGAGCCTCTTCTGCCTCAGTCTCTGCTTCCGCCACAGCTTCCGCCACCTCTGATTCTTCACCCCCTTTTCTTGATGATTTCACCGTTGCATGGACCGCACCTCCCTCGTCAGCTCCGACCACGATGGGTCTTGATGATTTCACCATTGCGTGGACCGCACCTCCCTCGCCAGCTCCGACTACGATGGGCACGGTGGTCAAAGTAAACATAGTGGCCGAGGCGACGCAAAGCGCCACCACTCAAACTTTGGATTGGGAAGACAAAATCGATGATTCTTTCGAGAACAGGGACTGGTTCGTGCCCAAGAACTTTACGTTGCATGGATCTCGCACTGTTTGAGGTACTTTGAGTTGGGCTGGATATGAAGGAAAGAAAAGGAGTTCGATACCTTTCCAACAAAAACAGGAGAAGTCAAGAAGACATGAAGAAGGACTAGGAAACCGAGAAGCCGAGAAGATCATAAAACACTTAGAAAATGAGAAAGAAATGCAACTACAGGAATTGTCAAGACGAACGAGTTCAATACTCCAGATCTGAGGATTAATCTTACAACCGAGGATACGGAAACAATCCTCCTCTTCAAACAGAATAATGAAAGATGGCTTGATAAACTAAACAAGTAGCCGAAAGATGAATAAAAAGGTTGCGCCTAGGAGGAGGGGGGGTGTTTATGTCTACTCGAATTGACATGGTTTGATGAAATTCACCGCTACTACGGGAAACGCAAGATGTGGTTATTTTTGGGAAGAATCAGCCGGAAGAAGGTAGAGACGAAAGGTGATTTAGTCGGTGAGATCTTTGTCGATATTTCAATAAAACAGAGCGTTAAGATATGGCAGATAGGGGTACAGGAATAGCGTTATATCCAAATATAAACTTGAACAATGAAATCGGTTCTCCGAACACATCTGGATCTTTCTAAATGGCCGATTACTACAATCCTTCTTATTTACACCAAGCTCGAGAGACTACCTCCTAGCAGCCATTTTTGCATCTCAGATCTCTCGCTTGTATATAAACTTCACATACTGCTCTTTCTTTAGTCTAGCAAAACAATCTGCAATGCCTCCTTATCGAGACCCGTTATTAAGAAATCCGGAGGGAGAGAGGAGACATTCTACTATTCTAGCATAAAGATGATGGAAAGTCTTGCGCAAGAAAGGGAAGGGAAGGTAGAAGTGATAGGTCAATGAACTATCTCTTCCTTTTGTTTTTCTCCCTGACGATCAAATCATATTAATTGGTTTACAGACCTCGCTGTCCCTTACCTTTTGCCTACCTTCCCAGTTCGCCAGCTGTGTTCCGTCATGTTGCTGGTCTGATCTATCCAGCTCCTACTCTGGTGATCACAAAATCCCCACGTTATCGCTCTAAACAGGCAGGATGCACAGATTACATACACTCGAGCTTCAAGCAGCATATATTCGATCAAATATTATCAACGAAACGCGTAAGGATAATTGGAAAATGTGTTGTTTTGTGATGTTTCAATTACTGTGTAACAACTTTCGGTCTGTCTATGCTGCTTTTTTACGCCCTTTTTTTCCAGCACACTTTTGAGGGCTTGAATGATAATTCTCAAGCGTCATCTTGCTTGCACTATCCATCGCGCAAAGCGCTCCGAAATCTTCTTGATACCACTCCCTGGTCAGGATTCATAGAATCCCTTCTCCTACTTCAACTCACCCTTCTCTCATTGCTTTCGATGCTAGTTGAAATATCCCAGCATTCTCGAGCCTATGATGCGGCGCCCGAAGATTCTTTCGTCAACAAGCCGGCACCTGCGCTTTTCTATCGCTTCGCCTTCGAGAACAGCAGTTTGAAGCCGTTCTTGAGTGCGCGCATGTCGGGGTAAGGATGACGTTGGAGCTCGAACGCGTTGGGGATGATTTTGACAGGCCAAGCAGCAACCTTTGCTGAAGCGCCAGCTTTGAAACATAGGTCGAAGTAGCCGGGGTACTTGGGGTTGATGCAGAAAGCGTACATTGAGCGGATAGGGTTGGCTTCCGTGTAGGCGTTGAGCCATTCGTCTGTGCAAAGCAGGTAGTTAGCAAGATGAAAAAGTTATGGTGGATTGCGGGAATGGAGTGGCAAGACTTACTGGTAGCTTCTCTCGAGCCTTTTTGGAAGCGCTCGTCCGTCATGATTTCATCAACCTTCTTGGCCATTGCCTTGACGTGAAGCACGATCAACTCATCGAGATCGGAGTAGGTGTATTTACCGCCAACCTTGAGTGTTCTGCCCACCGAGAATTCGTTCTCCTTGTCCAGTTCCAGTACGTCAATATGTTGGAAGACGTTTTCTGATACTTTCCAGGTGACCGCCAAGTGGTCGAGTCCTTTTGATGACGGTCTGATAACAACGTCACCCTGTGCTTGTGATCCCAGGAATTCTTCTGCTTGTGCTGAGTTGAAAGGACGGAATAGAGGGTGCTTGATGACACGCTGTGCTCTCCCTGTCTTGGCATCCTTCTCTTGCATGGCGTCTTTACGGTCTTGAGCTTCTTGTTGTTCGTCCCATTGACCAGGCTCGTGGTCGAATTCGCGACGGAAGGGCTCACGCAGGTCGTCTTCTCTTAGCGAGAGACGTGCAGTAAAGCGCTTGGGTTCGATCTCGAGAAGCTTGGCCTGGACAGTCTGGTGGGTTTGCCAGACATGGCGAGGCTCGGCACCACCATTGCCAACACCAGCAGGGAAGTCTTGCTCGTTGACAGATCCGTCGATACCACAGTCCAGCTTGACATCGATGTGATCAGGGAAGGTACGCTTGATCGACACAGGCACGATCATGCCAGTGGTCAACGACTCCTTGGTCTCTCCAGTAAGCATGGTGAAGACCTCATCTGTTGACAGCAGGTAGAAGCTGCGGCGAAGCTCTTCGTATGGTTGTTGAAGTTCACCACGGATCAGCTCCAAGGTAGCCTTCTTCTTGAGACCAATCTTGCGAAGAATCTCCTCAGCATAGTCGTCGAGAACAAGGTCGTTCAGCTTGTCTTGGGCATCATCCTTGATGAGCTTGCGGACAACAGCGTTGGGACCAGCCTCATCAATCTCAGCCTTGACATCCTCTTCATCCATGTCGAGTGTGTCTGCCACGATCTTTCTTGCCGTTTCGTAGTCTTCAGGATGCACACGGGTGTTGTCCAAGTAGTCAGAGTCTGGCTCAGAATCATCGTATGTTATAAACAAGAAACTGGCACAGTTTTCGAAAATCTTGGCACCACTGACGGATGGTCTCTTGCCTGCATCAATATCGCCAACAAGCTCCATACGAGTGTTGAGATCACCACCGTTGATGTTGATAACCTTGAGAAGATGTGCTGCCTTGCGGGGACCAAGACCGGCGACGTATTGCAAAAGGTTGGCAGTGTAGGTATCGGCGACAGCCTCGTTGATGTCTACACCAACCAAGTTCACGGTTTCGATCATTGCCATCTCCAGATGCTTCAAGACCTTCTCCTGAGGAATCAAATTTTGGTTCGGCGTGAAAGAGATCGATGTGATGTCGCGACCGAGAGCAGCGTACTCCTTAAGCGGACTCTGCATGTATCTGGCAAGAGCGATACAGTATCTGGTGAGCGGAGGGACGGTGGGGTGTTCGGCAGTCGCTCGGTCGCTGGTGTAGTAGAGACGAGCGACTTCGTCGTTGGTGATGACAATATCAAGCTTGTCGCTCTGTTCAGAGCCATCCTCTTCTTCGTATGGTGTACCACGAAGGTCGTTGCTCTCGATGATTTCTTGAAGGTCCTTGTAAAGTCTACGAGTCTCGACCGAGAAACCAGAAACAGCGACAACATCAGGTTTGCGGCGTTCGACGAGATCAACAAAGGCGCCAACATCGGCACCATCGGGCAAGAACTTTTCCTTGTTGCCCATACGAATATCGACAAATTTGCCATTCTCAAGCAAACGACCGTTTTCATCGACATAAGCCCAACATATGGCATCGTTGCGCTTGCCTGCACCGTTGGAGAGAGCCAAAACACGAGGGGTGGTACCAAGAACCATACCACGAGGCTTGTAAGGAGCTTGATCGAGCTTGTTGGCGTATTCCTCCCTGCAAGCGCGGGCAATTTGTGCCTCACACTCGGTTTTGAGGTTCTCCTTGACGCCCTTAACGATGACGCGAGTAAGCTTTTCCAGTGCCATGTCCAGAGTTTCCCTACGTAGAGCGTTCCAGGCATCAGCAAGCTCACTGAAGTTGTCGGACATGATGTTCTTGTAGAGGCTGTCCTTGAATCCGTCCCAGTACTCAATACGAACACGGACATCAACAAGACCTTCGTCTTCAGCCTTGAGCATACGCAAGAAGAGCTCCGGCTTGGAGACAATCGATCTCAGATCCTTTCCGCGGAGGTACTTGAACTCATAGTATGGGTGTTCCTCGTCAATTCTTCGCAAACCCTTTTCGGTGCGGAAACAGTCGAACACACCGTCCATGTAGAAGTTCTGGCGCAACAGCTTTCGCATACGAGGGCTTTGCGCGAGCTCTTCTGCGAACATGGCCTTTGCAGCTGCAAGCAGTTGCTGGCTGTTCGAATACTCTGATCCGTCCACCAACTTGTCAGCCATGTCGTCGGGTCTCTCGGCAGGGTCCTCGGTGTACTGCCTCGTGCCAAGCTTGAGAGCGTTTTGCGCCAGAGCATCTGCAGAAATGCCGAATGCTCTGACCATGTGGTATGCCTGTCCAGCGCGAACCTTGTCCCAGATATTGCGCGTGCCTCTTGCTCTTTTCTGTGTACCATTGGTTTCCTGATCGTAGACAGTCGTGTCCTTGAGTTGGGCGGCGTATTGGAAGTGGAGATAGTCCTGAACGTCTTGCAGCTCCTCCATGGTAACTGCGACCGGAATCATGTCGTTGAAGATGTCATCGTTTGAGTCGGGCATTGAATCGCGGATGCTTTCGATGGACCTTGACAAGGCCTCACGCTTCTCGACAAAGGCTCGGTATTTGAGGTCCAATTCGTAGATCTCCCACAAGTCGCTGTTCTGCAACAGCCTTGAAGCCTTGATTTCGTGTTGGGGAGCATCTGGGTCGTTCTGGTTGGGTGAAAGAGGGACGCGCTCTTCGTGGATGAGGTAGTCTTTGCGATTGTGAAGGATGAAGGGGATTTCGAGTTCCTCAACGTTCATGAAGCGCAAGACATGACCAACAACCTCGCGGAAGGGCTCGACCAGATCGCGATCCAGACGCTTCTTGGGAAGCAGGAAGTTGGAAATCCAATGTGTCTCTTCTTGCATACGAGCCGTCATCTCCTCGTCGGACAAGTTCATCTCCTTGAAAGGCTGGCGAGCAAGCTGGTAACGTTCGGGCACATCCGTGTTGCGAATGATATTATCGGCCTCTGTCAACATCCTGTCCTGCAGTTGAGACGGCTCGAAAACATCCTTGAGTTCGAGCGGTTTGTCCAGACCGTCTTGGTTCTCATCACCCTCCTCTTGCAGCTGTAGTGCCCAGTCGTATTCAGTACCGTCACCAAAGGCGGCCATCATATCTTCCTGGGCAGATTCATCCAGGCCACTCTGCATGCGAAGTGGGTCGACGAAGCCTCTGCCTGGTCGTCGAACTTCAGCAGCATCGCGCATGGCTTCGCGCTCCTCGTCTGGGAATTCATCTTCCTCGATAAAGTCGGCGAATTCGTCTGCGTATGCTCTGGGTTCGCGGCCGTAGGCTCGGCCATCAGCGTCGGCCATCTCTTCATCGTCACTAAAGATGTCGTCGATGCCGCGCGCTTCGTTGCGATCTCGGTCTTCGCGATGACCACGCTTCAGTCGCTTGAATTTGCTCTTCTGGAGGTGTTAGCGCGTTGAGTGCTTGTTCGGCCAGTCGCAAGTAGTCACCTGTTCCTCTTGACGGCGTTGGTAGTCTGGATGCGTCTCGCCAATCAAGTCGAGATCTTCCTCATCAAGCAGAGCATCCTCAGCCTCGCGCTCTTCTCTTCTACGCTTCTTCCTTTCGCGACGGCGCTCACGGCGTTCCCCATCATCTTCTTCGTCTTCATCTACTATGAATCCTTCACGAATCTGGCCATGTGGTTAGAAGAACCTTCTTGGTGGGTCATGGGTGTGCGCACTTCTCTTTCGGCTTCCTCGTCATCGTCCTCTTCCTCCTCGCTGGAGTCGTCGATGTTTCCAGGGGCCTTTTGCTTTCTGGGGCGGGGCGCCTCCTCGCCCTCCTCAAAGTCCTCGTCTTCGTCGGTGCCGAGCTCGGCGTCGAGATCAAACAAGTTGGCGGTCGTCATGTCGATTGCGGTTCGCGATGTGTTGGTGAGAGCTGTCTTGTCGGCGGCTTAGGCGCGTCGTATAGGTTGATGATCAATTCGTTTTGCCGCGGTGCTGGAGAAGGAGGGAAGAATAGAGGTCGGGCAGCAAGCGCTTTTATGAGTCGAGGAAGAGAAGGTCAAGTGATGTTGATGAACAGACGAGTGCTCCTTGACCTTTGCTTGCCTTGGTGCTTGCCAGTAAACTGCGACTTGGACTTCCGTCACTCTTGGCACCTTCCCCCGGATGAACGTCGGCTAGATGGTCGCAACTGCCTGGCTGCAGGAGCTTGACAGACGGTGCTGCAAGAAGACGCTTGACTGGATCTTTCCCTATCTGACTTCTTTGCAATGGCCAAGTCCGAGTGAGTGCACTCCTCTGGTCGCGATTCAGCTACAACAATTCCAACACACCGACAGAACAAAGACTCCCAACTCTGCTGTGGAGAGATGGCTTGGCACGCGAGTCGACTGCCAAGGGCGGAAGTCTCTCTGGAACGAGACGGACGAAGAGCTGCCGTTTCGAATCACCACCAGCCTACGTCGACTTGTCTCAAGTCCATTTTTCTTACTCTGTCTCGCTCCTAGTCTCGTCTCCTGGATGCCTCAATATAACATGCTATTCGCTCGACACTCTTAATCATTCTCTGTTGTCGATTCTTTGCATTCTCGCACTCTTCCAATCTCGACCTTCTCCATCCAATCCAACAAAGCGGGATTCTGGCCCCACCCGAAAGACACCAAACCCCTTGTTGACGACGTGCATACGCCAAACACGTCCGAGATACTCGCTGATTGTACCTCGCAATTCACGCCCAACTACACTACCGCCCAATCATTGATTAATCCCGCCTAGAGGGACAGCCAATCACTTTCCCGGCTAAAGGAGTCGACCGAAACTTGCTCAGGAACTGAACGACACGACTTCCTCTACAGCTTCGACACACGCAAACACAACCGCCCATCATGTCGGACGCCTTCAAGACGAAGACGATGAAGCGCAAGAACGTCAAGGGTCTGGCCCTTAGCGCTCCCGCTCCTCGTCCTGCACAACCCGCCACGCCCGACGGTGAATCAACCGGTGGTCAAGATGGAGGCCGCGCAGACACACTTGAGATCGGAGTCGAGTTCAGGTTAGATCTCAAGAGCGAAGATCTACAGGTCATCAAAGAGTTGGGAGCAGGAAATGGTGGCACAGTCAGCAAGGTCATGCACACAGCTACCAAGGTTGTCATGGCACGCAAGATCATCCACGTCGAGGCAAAGAAGGAGATCCGAAAGCGCATCGTACGAGAGTTGCAAATCATGCACGAGTGTAACTCTTCGTCGATTGTATCTTTCTATGGCGCCTTCTTGAACGACATGGGCGATGTTGTCATGTGTATGGAGTACATGGATGTCGGGTGAGTGGACAGAGAGACACAGATGGCGCAAGACGGCCATGACTAACAAGACACACAGCTCACTGGACAGCATCTCTAAGAACTTTGGACCGGTGCGTGTCGACGTTCTAGGAAAGATTGCAGAGTCCGTCTTGGGTGGGCTCGCATACCTCTACCGCATGCACCGCATCATGCATCGCGACATCAAGCCATCGAATATCCTGGTCAACAGCAAGGGTCAGATCAAGTTGTGCGACTTTGGCGTCAGCAGTGAGCTTGACAATTCGGTGGCTGATACTTTTGTCGGAACGGGCACGTACATGGCGCCCGAGAGAATCCAGGGATCTCCTTACACAGTCAAGTCGGACGTGTGGAGTGTCGGTTTGTCGTTGATGGAGCTTGCCATCGGCAAGTTCCCCTTTCACAGCGAGAATGGCGAAGACGACGACCTGGCCGGCCCTCAGGGCATTCTCGACCTTCTTCAGCAGATCGTGCTGGAGCCATCACCGAAGCTTCCCAAGAGTGACGCTTTCCCCAAGATCCTCCACGATGTCATCGACAAGTGTCTTATGAAGAACCCTGACGACCGACCGACACCAGCAGAACTCTTCGAGACAGATCCCTTCCTGCAAGCTGCTAAGCGCACGCCTGTCGACCTCGAGGCCTGGGCTGTCAGCATGATGGAACGCCACAACCGCAAGTCTCACCTTGTGCCACAAATGTCGCCTCAGACAAAGCAGCTACTACGATCTGGAGGCAGAGAGCCTGAGAACCAGCCGAGTCCGGCATCCTCGTCATCGGGCGACATCCCTATTAGCACACAGTCCATGCCGCGCCACTCACAACGCCCGAGTTACCCTATGCGCACCTCTAGCGCTGGTCAGGTACCCATGGCTAGCCAACAGCCCATGAACCTGCCTATACGCCCTGCACCACCCGCCGCCTCCTTGTCACAACCACGCTCCGCACGCCGCGAGCCCGTGCCTACATCGAGGCCCGATTCGGCCCCGCGCTCGACGCCCAGACGCGCTCCCAACTACGATTACTCAAACTACGATGACATTGTCTCTGGCTACTACGACACAAACAACAAGTTTTAGAAAGATTACTGCGACATTTGTTCGAATTGGAAAACTGCCACCAGAAATAGCTTGGGATACACATCGAAGACTTTTGGCATGGTGGATCGCCCCGTCACTATCATTCAAGGCAGAATCATGCAGCGAGAGACGAGGAACAACAAGTTGGCCAACCAGACACCAGTACATCACCGACACAACCAGAGCGAAGCACTCAGTATTACCGCGAAAGGAAGCGATCATACCCAGATACCCACGTTTCGCGACGACTCAAGAGGAGGACAGGAAACTTGCAGCGGCATTGGTTCAAGATCAGGCCATTGCACACCCCTTTTCTTTTTGTCTGTTTCCTACAATCCATTGCACCGGCGTTTTTTTCCTTTAATTCTTCGACGCCACAAAGGAATCATCAGCGTTCTCATCTCGGGGTCTAACAAGGCAGGCGTTTTGTCCTTTCTCATGCGAGCATTCTGGATCACCCTTTCTTGCAAAAATCCAAATTACAACTTTTTCCCATCAACACGATCTTTTGCTCGAGAGGTCTTGCTGATTGCTCTCTTGCTCTCTTGTTCTCATGACTGTTATGTGTTCGCAACATCTCGCTGTCTTGTGAGATTTGGTGACTCCTTACTGCCGATCCACTACCTTTGTTGTGTTAACACCCATGGGCTTCTTGGTTATTAATATTGGTTGCCCAGTCATAGTGACATCGGAACTCATGTTCAGGGGTCCGAAGAGGGCTTACTAACCTGATCTCTTTCCTTTGCATGTTGTTGGCCTCATGATCATCGCATGAGAGAGTGGGTGTATGCTAGCACGACACTTTCAGTACATGAGCTTGGGTATGTTAGTACTTCATAGATTCGAAGCCGGCGTGTTCAGCAAAGTGGTGTTATCGTTTCTAGAGTGAAATTTCAACTCGATTTGTTCGGGATTCATGATGGTAAGGATGTTTGTCTTTCATCGTCATATTGATGAGGATGACAGTAGCAAATTGACGAAACAACGTGGTGAGGTTTCGAAGATTCTTCTTCAAATGATCCAAGAGAGCAACGTCGCTTCTCAAATTGGTAACGAACATGTGACGAAGAAAACATGGCAAAACGGCCCCCCAAGGGTCTCTGGCAAAATCGAAAACTGGTGAGACAGAGTTTGGTTAGCAGTTCTCCAACTACAAGGCTCCCCTCCATTTACTGAACGAGTATAATTGCATGCAGAGAGCCAATATGCTATCGAGAGAGATACATGAGACTATGGTGGAGGGGAAAGAAGAAGAATAGAAGTTCTGATGTTCGGGACAGGGTTGCCCCGAAAGCCAAAAGTGATCCGATTTTCGAGGCCGAATGCTTGTCCTTCTCACCTTCTTATAATCTAGATCAAGGTGGTCTAGACTGTCGACGAAACAATGTGAGGGGTTTTGTTGCCAAGTTCAGTATTCTGTTGCTTGATGAGGTCAACATACAGTTGAGCATGTCTGTGTGATTTGCGCTGTCATGGCCATTCTTGCCTGTCATAGAGTAATAGACACTATGATATCCACTGTGAAGCATTTGAAATCATAAACACGTGCTGTCGAATATTCTGCGCCGCAGGATGGATTACTGAACATCCAGCCGAGCTTACCGACGGATACAAAGTGTCACAATAGTATATGTCGCCTCTTGTAGAGCCGCGCCGTGCCGTCCGCCAGCAGATGACACGCAGGCAGGAGGTAGGTGTGCGACAAGAGAGACTATTGAGACATTCTGCGCCGCCTTAGGATTACTGAACGCATGACCGAAGAGGCTCAGCAGGTTCGACAAGCACGAGGTGATGATAGTGTGTTTCGCAGTGCTCGATCTCGAAGGTCCGCACGCGATATGCAGGGTCGAAGGAGCTTCGTGTCAGGAACAAATTGTCAGAAAGACATGTCGTACTTGCCACAAGATGCTCAAAATACATGTATGAATCAAAGTGTTCCTGCATATAGGCAAAAGTCATGACGGCGACAACTGCATATCGGTTGGACATTTCTGGATCAGAGCAGATGTCCTGTGATATCTCATTTGGATCTTTGAGACAGCAAGTCGAGCCTGAGATCAAACGTCTTCGCAGATGTGGCGGCAATCGGATCGTCCCAAAGATCTTTGTGCAACGATGGCTACTGCGAGATGGCGATTTGTCAAATCGAGAACGGTGAATGTGCATATAACTGACGGCTTGCAGTGATTGATGCACGATTCAAGGTGGTTGGTAACTGTTGATCGTGCAGTTGGAAGTGAGACATGTCGACTCCAGAAGGGAAAGTCAGATTTCGATGCCTGAGCCGCAAATAGGACAAATTGAACAGCGAATCACAATGTCGTCGGTCATGACTCCTGAAAGTCCTCTGACTCTAGATCCCGCGGCAGGTAAGACATTTGGATTAGGGGAAGTGATGTATCTCTTGCTATATTTCGCTCGAGCATGGGATGTCGTCGTTGATTGAGACCAGCATGCCGCACGGGATCGGCCGGGATTGCGATAGCCGAAGATCGAGAGAACGACAATAACGTCCCAAAAGAGTACTGCCGTCATATGGAAGGGTACATCCGCTACGCCAAGCGAGACTCCGGGGACAGACACACGGTAGATAGATGAATACCGAGACATTGATCGGATTTCTGGGTCGTCCCGCTTGGGAACATTATAGGTATTAGGGTTTGCGTTCGTGCTAGATGGCAAATACCCGACGATGTGAACAGAGTTGTGAGATAAGCTGCTTTTGAGAACGCGAGCTCTGGGCTCGACAAGTCATGTGCGGACCGGTTCGCTGTCGACATGTATTTCGTCCACCGCCAGAAAAGATGTGCTAGAGAAAGTTCCGTGAGGCCATGGTAGCCAAACATGATGATGTGATACTTTTGGCTCAACCTTGCTGCGAATAGATTGATACTTTCGCATGTTTGACGGTCAAATCCTGAAGCAAGAGTTGCAGTGTGTAGGTTCATCAATGTTGTCCGTTTCTAGGCCGTCGCTCCGATGAGCAAACATTGTCGAGATTGATCGTCGTCGGAACTGATCTTTGCATCGTGTTCGTCAAGCGACGGGGATCTTATCAAGAAATGACCTGTTCCGGAACCAATATCGGAGAAAGCCCATGCCTCTAGATATATTCAAAACAGCCATCTCATAATATCGCCATCATCATGCCATCAGCACACGGCTTGGATCTCTCGATACTCAGGTCAAAATAAGGCATCCAAGAGTGCGCATACAGATGTTCGAGATGTGTTTCGGATGCGACCGTTCGAACTTTGCGCGATCGGAGTGTTGATGAAGGACGCTCGTACGGAATCGGAGCTGCGCGCAATCTATCTGATTGATGCTGTTGATTGCTGGCGGTCGGGACACCGGGACGGCCGAAGCAGATTAAAAATCAAAGTCGATCAGGGAAACGCCTGTTCGTGCCACATCTGCACCCACAGACCATCCACTTGCTTCAAGGATTCTCCAGATCACAGCTGTGTCCTGGGGAACCACGAGCGTGTTTCAAGATCTTTGGTATCTTTCTGTCGGGACATGGCTTCCAGATGGCGCGCGCATGCATATGGAAGATGACATGGTCGGGATGTGCTTGTTTCTTTTGTCGGCTGGCCGGTTATTTATGATTTCGGAATGGGCGAGCATGGGATATTTGCCCGCGCGCAGACCGCCAGATCAACCAGACACTTATATGATAGATGGAGCGCATATCCCAAAACGTGTTTACTTTGCGAAGCTCATGTAACAGCTGATCCGTAATGGGTCCCCTAGAAAGGAGCTGTACCCAAAGTAGGCAACGGACCTTCTTTCCAGAAGAATTAACATTCGATGGCGGCAGTTGCAAGGACATTGAGGCTATGATGGTTAGTCGTACTACTGTCCAAAAGCATTGCAGCTTCCCCTTTTAGTACCCGTCCTTGCGTTCATGTAGGCTGTGCGCAGTGAGCCTATTTCGACAGGGCTGAATCGATCTAACCACACTTCCCTCTCGGCACTCAGTCATCATGATACTTATGACGTTGATTCACTTGTGCAAATGATGACTGTGTGCAAGGAGAATTGCAGAAGTCGCGATTACGTGGGTCGGAGATGTCCTGCAGGGCTGCGATCCTTGAGGCTGGGAGGCTTGCATCCGAAAGCCGCTCCGATTGTTTGGATATACCCAAACACATCTTGACCGCAGCGTCGGTGGCATCGCTTATCGTTTGTCGGATCGATCTCGTCTCCCAATGTTCATTCAGACCAATGTGTTGGAAGGTACCTGGGACCTGCATCTGCAAGTCTGGATACTAGCAGAGATGCCACGAGAGAAGAGTCGCAATTGTGTAACCCTCGACAGGTCATATTCTTTAGCGAGCGTGCCACTGTGAAAAGGTTAACGAAAATGGTCGCTTTACGTGGAATGCAAGCTCCAAGTTGGTCATGACCTACACGAACGAGCGAATCATTGCGCGACACTAGAGGAAACATGAAAGTGGTGCCAGATTGTAATTGTACTGGCGTTGATCCCACGCCGGTGCACGAACTGCACGCTGCTTGCACGCTGTGGTCTGGACACGGCGGCGCACCCATGAAATCGCCGAAGTATCGTGGTATGACGACGACCTGCTGGAACGTTATGGGATATCAACTTGAGAACAAGGATACCCAATGCTGAAGCAGGACCCAAAGCGATCAGGCGAGCCACCAACACATCCAAGGGCTTGGACGAGTTGAGTAGCGTGAGGACCGGATCGTGGCAAGTCGATGCCGTATATTAAAGATTTGCAAACCTTGCGTGAAGTAGACCGACCCCTCTCCCCTGAGCTGGGACGCTTTGACAGACTTGACGTCCATCATGCATGAGAAGCGTGTTTCCAAAATCATCCGTAAGCAAGTTGAGTGCTGCAAGAAGAGAGGGGGCCGGGTTTCTTTGCTTGCAGGATGAGATGTGGGATTTTTGCCGGTCATGGTTCCCCGGGAAAGTCTTCCCTCGACCGGTCGCACCTGCAAAATCTGCAAGTCATTGCATCGCATCGCACCAAGCTGGGATGGCATGCGTTCTCTTTTTCAGATTAACAAGATTTGTCACACCTACAAGACCCACGGGATAGCTCGCGAGTGTGGATCTGCAGCGCTTATCCACAAGATCGGGCTCTTCGAGATTGCGCGTGTCGGCTCGAGGGACATCACTGCGTGTCGGTCGTCTATTTTCCAGACTTGGCAACCGCCTAGTGCCGCCTGGCTATAGGCAGAGGCGTACTTCTTGTCTGGAATGGTACAATGGTCTTGAGAAGAAGGTTTGTGACCACTCCTCAAAAGGAGAGTCGCAAAGGTGGTGCCAGGGCTTCCTTCTAACTTTGGCAGATTCATGCAAATGCTGTCAGCGCTTCAACATGGCAGGGCCCGTATTTGGGAGAAGCGCGTCGTTGCACAGGCCGGCGCCTGTTCCTCGATTACCCGGAGGTGGAAGTCGTCGACTTCTGCGCTGTGGTTGGTCGAGGGCAAACGCCTGGCGTCAAACGGGCAAAGTGAACCGCCGCGCTCAGGCCAAACGTCTCTCCAAACCAAGACGTCTGCATCAATTAGCAGCACGCAATGGCGTAAACCCGACACCATGTCCATGGATGTTTGGGAGAAGGTGGACTCCGGCATTGATATGCGACGCACCGAATCTGCACAATCTCGGGCAGATTTCCTGCTCGATTGATGCGTAGATTCGTACTGCAACGTCCATGCTTTTCCCATGCCCACTCCTTTCCAAACCCTCATCCTTACAAGGCCCAATCCTCAATACCCAGCTCAACGGCTCAGGATGATCCGATCCAGTCCGCGCTGCACCGGAGCTTCTTGGTTGCAGTGGATCTCGCTGCAAGAGGCAAGTCCAATGTCTGTGTCGTCCGCATAGATGTCTAGTTGACTCAAGTGGCACCCTTTCTGGCACATCTGATTTGACGCCCGACCATTTGGCTAACTCTAAATCGTGACTGAACCTTGTCATTGAGTAGAGGGCATGATGAGTTCGGCCTCCACTGCAATCAGCCCGTCTGAAGGGAACCATAGCTCGAAGGCCACTCGGCCGGGACCCAGATATAAAGTCTTCGTACCTTCTCCAGAGAACGACCATTGGATCAGATCAATTCATCTTCATTCTTCATCTTCAAGCTTCCTCCACATTCTTCCATCTCAGAACATCATTTTCTGCTTGGCTGTCATTGATTCAAGTCGAAAGTTTATCTCCACTTCCGCAAGTTTATTCCAGCTGAACTTCACCCCGGACACAACTTCCGTTCTATCCTCTCTATCCACTTCCCGCCAGCTTTACCACAGTTTGAATCTTTATCATTGTCCAATCTTCGGTACGTACGAGTCAAACAATAGGCTTGAGCGTTATCAACGTCTAGCTGTTTCTTTCACCGGCTCGGTCCTTCCCTTGCCTGACATGTCTCGCATCCCCATGGAGAAGAGGGCTGGCAGAGGAAGAGATTCCAAATTTCTGACTTCAAGCCTCAAAAGCCATTGCCCTACCATCGCAACGTATATGTTGTGACCACGACCCCTCCATCTTTTACACTTTCCCACCTCTCCTCTACCATCTTCACCACCGACCTTCCACTACTATGTCTCGACCACATAACACAGCTGCTAGACGATCAAGGCAACATACTGATCAGACATCTCCGCAGGTCAGAAGTACAACACTCGCTAGACCCCAAACAACAAGGACCCGGAGGCCATCTGTTAGACGACATCATTCAGTTCAACATCATATACCAGAAGAAGATCGATTCTTGAATCTTCGACGATCGGCACGAATTGCACAGCAACACCAAGACCATTTTAGACAACTCCAAACCCAAGAAAATCACCAATCATCAACAATGGCAGACGTCGCACGCCGCACTTATGCTCGCAATGACCACGGTCCTCGCAGTGTTGAGTAAGTTTACGTCTTTCTTTGCGCCACCCATGAACGACGCATTCTCTCGTCTCCACTCTCTAGCCTCCCTTCTCCACTTTCCTACACCCGATGCTTGGGCATCAGTGGTCTGTCTCCTTGTGAGCCGTGCTTCTGCAAGATCCAGCACGGGTCTAGTTTCAGATCTTGGTTAGCATTCTGCCTACACCCAATGGTCTCCATATCATGTTGTACAAGACGTGCATGGCCAGGCGATATCAACAAAGACCATCGGCATCGTAATGTCTACTTGACATGCCTTGCCACTACATGTTTCTCATATCTACCCATCTTCACTGCCTAGACCCGATGTCTCTCATTTTCCTCACCTCTCATACCTTACCTTCAACTTTCCCACCACACAACCAAAACAATGGCGAGACCACAACTAACGCAATCTCAAAGATCTCGCCGCAGCTCCACTCGCAACGACTACCCCTCTCCCACCTCCACCCGTAGTCGCGAACCAACCTCCCCCTACTCTCTCACCATCACCACCGCCCCATCTTCTTCCGTCTCCCCCTCGACCCCCTTCACAACCCGCATCCTGATCTCCTCGCGCACCCGCACCCGCACCCCTCTCCTAGCCGTCTGCTCTCTAGTCACAGAATCCCACTCTCCTCTCCCAGCCGGCTACCTGCACGCTGCCAAACTCATGGATTCTGTTCAAGAACCCACGAGAGCAGATTTGGCTGCTGTGAGCAGAGAGAGAAGGGGTGATGTGGTTGGAGCGGCGGGGTTCGAAGGATTGTGTGTTAGAGAGCAAGGGAGCTTTAGGGTTAGAGTTACTTTGGCGGTGATGACGGGGGATGTTTATGAGGCTGTTGCTGAGGTGGACAGTGCTGTGTTCAGAGTCGGTGGGGGTAGAGGTGGTGTCAATGGGGTGAAGTATTAGGCTGCGTTTGTTATTTGGGGATCTTGTTGGGTCTTGTTTCCGGCGTTGGGTGTTGGAAGGGGGGTCCAGGTTTTGGGGACGAGGGATGAAGCATGGTGGATGGAAGCATCAAGGTTGTACGATGATGAGCATGAGGATGGCGATGAGGACGGTATGATTGCATGGAGTTGCAAGAGCTGGTGATCTCACGAGATCAAAGTGCTGGTGCGATGAAGGGGAAGGAGTTGGATCTCTGTTTCCTCCATTTGTCTTGGGATACACTCATTGGGGCGTTCGTCGGAATCTATGGGAACACAAAGAAGCATGATTATGGGAACAAGCATTTTACGTATCACTATGGAATAATGAAAGCGAAAAACGAACATCACAAAATCTCACTCAGCCATTTGTTTCAAATCTGCTTTATCTACTCTACGACTACTCTGATATCCACATCTCCCGAGTTCATTGTTTTCTGGAAGTGAGATTCAGCTACGATTAGGCAAACTACTTTCCAGATCCACGAACCTTCCGGTGAAACATTCTTGGTGCTGTTCTCTGTGCGGCATTCAATCCCAAAATCAACCTGCCGAATGCAAAGTGATATCAGATCACTATACATTTTCAGCGAGAGTTACATCTTGGCTCCCCTTCCAAGACTGCACTCTCCTAGATCGACATGTCAGCATAGAGGATGGACTTCAACATTGATGACATTTGCACAAAACTTCACGAATCCACGCCTTTCCTGCACAGCTCCGCGTTCCAAAAATTGCGTCCAATTCTCAATCTCCCTTGACCTATCCAATTACTCCAGAGCAGAAATTCCCATCCAATAACCCAAAAAAAAGTGGAGAGATCTCCTCCCACCACCTCATCAACCCTTTCGCTCCGTCCACCCTCAGTCCGCCATCACCCTCCTACTCCTACCTTGCAGGCAACATACCCTCAAATTGCGCCGCCCCCTCCACAGGCAATATCCACTCCATCCTCTGCGCGGTATAAATCTCCACACTAGGTTTCTTCCCCTTCAACACTTCCAAATCGTCAAAACAACCCGCTCTGACGACTGCAGTTTGCAGCTTTCCTGATTCATCCACAGCGCCACCGTAAAGAGGTGATCCTATAGCGAGCCAAAGATTAGTGATTTTGCGTTTAGGATATTGAAATGGGAAGGGGAGGTATGGGAGGGAGAAAACAAAACCGACCACAATCTTTACAGAAATAATTAACATATCGTTTTCCCGAATCCGAAGTTTTCGGATTTTCCACCGGTGACGAACCGCTGAGTTTCAGGTCGGTGGTGGAGACGATGAAGTTTAATGTATACACCGAGCCGGAGATTTTGCGGCAATCGGTGCAGTGGCAGAGAGCCTGTGTTGTATACATCAATTACAATATCCAAATCACGGGGATAGGGGTTTGAGGAGTGGATTAGGCGGAAATAATGGGTGAGCAGGCAAGGATAGAGGAGGTGCAAGCTTACAATTGCATGCGGTTCACCACTCAATTCCAACTGAATCTTTTTGCAAAAGCAGGAGCCGTGGAGGGGGGAAGAAGACATGATCGAGATACTGAAGCAAGAATATCAAGTGAATGGAGGTTGTTGCGATAGGATCAAGTATTATCTCGTCTATTGTGGGGAAAGAATGTGCTTTTGTAGAGCTGTATTGCTAAGGACAACTGGCGACGACGGGCTTTTTTTAGGCAGCGACGTTTGGCGTGCGATGAGGCTTTGAAGTGGAGGAGATGAAGAAAGGTCGTACGATGTTGATTTTGGACAAGGCTACAATGATAGGAATTGGCTGTGCAATGGTTTTTGTGATATGGATACGTGGTTAACTTGAACTAAGGCTTGTGTTGTGGTGGTGCGCAACAGGTGGTCTTCGTCCTCCGCGGTCGCGCGGGTTGCAAAATTTGACTATGTCTGTTGTTGGGGGGCGCACCCTGTCCTATGGGTAGCATCAGGTTGTCTCTTGTACATCAACAACGATCGAGAGAGCTACGTAGCCAGTGCAAGTCCATGATGTGACAACTGAGGTACTTCGATATTTGCGACATCTACCATAAAAAACAGTGGTTCGGTCGAAATTTCGTAGTGATTCACAATGCGTGAACGATGATTAAACAACTGGTATGCAGTCCCCATTGCGAAGCCAATCATCCCAGCGCAAACGCCCTCCAATGCAAATCTAACCCAAGTAAACCGGAACACCATAAACAACCGTTGCCGCACCATTCAGATATCTCAAAGTACACGCATCTCGACTCAACATGACGGCCCCCGCAAGACTGTTCTTCCTATCCCCCTCTTCATCTCTCATAACCAGACGACTTCTGCTTCTACCACCGGGTGTGCGCGATGGCGTTTTCGAAGGTGTCTTGGGCACAGATCTTCCTCTCTTGCGAGGCGTCTTTGGCGGTGCGAGTTCTCTGGACGAGACAGCAGGCGCAGAGGACCAAAGACCCCATTGTTCGCCTAGCTTTACGGAGAAGCGATCGATATCTTTGTCTGTGACGTCCCAGAGTGTGGCGACGACGGCCATGCAGAGACCTTCTCTGTTGTCGTTACGGTGGGGCTTGGCTTCATCGTCTGTGTTGATGTCTTCGAGTCGCTTGCCAGCGATGAGATAGCTAAGTGGTACGCTTGTGGGTTCGAAGTCGCCGTACTCGGTCACGCTGCCGCTCGAACAGCCCATCAACCAAACTACCTCTGCACACTTGTCGAGTTTCTTGATTGTGCGTTTGCAGATATATTGACTCCCGCTGCCGTGACCAAAGTAGAGCATCATATTTTTCTCCGACAGAGCGGTTGCGAATTCCTTCTCTGTTGGTGCGCGATTGTTGATAGACTGCCAGGCTGAACCAGAGGCCTTCGTCAAGGAATCAAGTAGTGGTGCCATGGTGGTCTGTGTTCTAGACAGATCTCCAGAAGGATTGAGGATGGATGCTCCAGATTGCTTGTTAACAAAGTACCTCTCCAAAGTGTTGTCCTTCATTTGACGACGCATAGCAAGAATGCGCTCCCGTAGAGTGAGCATACTTCCAACTCTGCTTACACTGACGTTTTGCAGGCAAGGCATACTTTCCCAAGGGAAGGCATGTAGCCTCCGGTCCAAGATGAGGATCAAGTGGTTTTGATCGGCTTCATTGAAGTTGGCTGCTTCGTGATAAGATCTCAAAGCATCCATGGTCTCGGTAGCCATGACATCGAAATCAACTTCATCGTAGGCATTTCGTTCGCCATTGAATTGAAGGATGTCGATGACAAAGTAGAGAAGGTCCAGCACTTGTTCGTCCATGTCGACTTCGCCATCATGATCATCACCAAGACCAACGAACAGCTCGACGATGTTGGCATCCAGCACAAGCTTTTTCGCTTTGCTTTTAGTCCCTTGTCTCGAAGGCAAATGTCGGTCCAAAATTCCATCTAGCGACTTTCTGAACCGAGCCAGTAGGGCCGAGTCTTTACGATGCTGAGATAGCACACCCTTGAAGCCACCAAGCCAGATACTCTCGATGTTGATTATCAGTTCCTGCATGCGGAGGTCAAGTGCTTCTCTCTCTTCCCACCAGCTATGCTTTGCTTCTGGTGTCATAGCACTGGGTGGCTTGCTGCATGTGTAATTCGAGAGCTCGATGATCTCTTGCAGCTCAGCCTTACCAGACTCAAAGTCAAAGGTTGGAGACTCCTCATCGCCTTCGATATCTTGCATCTTGTTCCGCGTCATCGGTAGGCGTAACAAGAAAGGTGCCTGATTTGCTCGGTATCGCACGATATACAGCTCATTGTGGTCTTCGCTCAACGTCAAAGATACAGCGGTCCAACTGCTGGGGATGATATCAACGTATTCTCTCTGGAATCTTGCTGCAGACAGATGGCCGTTGAGATCTTGCGCCGCATATTGGATGGCAAGATCATGGTTGGTAAAGTCTTTCTCAGCCTCGACTGTACACATTTCTCGGGAAGCTGCTTCGATACGAGACATCTCGATAGAGCAAGCGGCACGCGTAGGATGCAAAGCCCCAGACAAAGACAAACTTGCATTGATAGCAGAAAGGAGGAGCATGGCCTTTGAACCAAGTCCACACAACTGATGAAAAACTGACATGCCAGCTGTGGTTGCGGATCGACGTTGAATAGCGACAAGACGTTCCTGTGCTTCGCAAAGGAATTGTGCGAACTCGTCGTCGGCGCGTTTTTGGCGGTTAACTTTCTTTGGGGTAGTAGTAGTCGAGGGAGACAAAGAGCTCGAAGGAAGCGAGACTTGCGTCGATATCTTCTTACCAGTGCTAGTTGATAACGCAGGCAAGGAGATAGTTGACTCAGGCAAGACGTTGAAGGTGAAGTCTAGCGCTAGCTCATCCCCAAATTTGCGAAGCAGTCCCTCTGCCATTGCCAACTGTTGTAGGACCTCTTGCGTTGAGTCGTACTTCATTGAGTCGGCCCGTTTCAGTAGCTCAAGACCAAGATCAGTCTCACCCTGATTGAGTAAAAGGAGGCCACGCTGCCTTAGTGCTGCAGCGCAAAGGCTTGACAAAGGTACATTGTCCTGGTTAGATACGGCAGCATGAGCGGTAGCTTTGAATTTCGTGCTTGTTGGCTTGACCGCTTTGATCAGAGAAGCCTTGACCGCGGGACCTTTGGTTGCAGCACGTTTGGTAATCCGGGGAGCGGTGGTATTGGTGACTGGAGCCTTGTCCGATTGTGATTTGGCCGGCTCAAGCTTGTCAACAAAGCTCTTGGACGCCAGTCGAGACGCCATTGATCCGGCTTTTTCATACTCCTGCTGAGCAGCTTCCCAGGTCTCTTCATCAATTGCATAGATGTTACCCCGGGTAATCCCCAACTTCACTAGGTCAATAGAATCAACAAACTCATCCTCGTCAATGAGATTGTCAGACTCAATGCCTTCGATGTATGCTTGAGCTTGCCTTTGTACCAACACTCTAGTGCGCAGCTCAGGCACACCCACTCTGGAGAGCAGATTGTCCGCTTGGTCTAAGTAGTACATGGCTTCGGGGCGCAGACCCTGGTGAGCATACATGTCTGAAAGATGCAGAAAGCTGCTCAATAGATGAGGTATAATCAGCGAGAACCCGGCGCCTTGTCGAGTAGTGGGGACTGTTTCTGATGTAGTCTCGGATCCAGTGTCCGAGATGGCGAGTTTATCAACCGCCGTGACAAGTTCTTCTTGGAATGTGACCGTGAGAGATGCAGAACGCTCAGCTTGAGGAGCATACTGGGCCTCCAAGAACGACAGAGTTCCCTGGCACGCTGAGACGTAGCGCTTTGCGTGGACCATAGCCTGTTTTACTTGACCTATGCTTCTGGAGTACAAAGAACAGACAAAGGCAAATTGCGCTCGGAGTACTTGAGCATGTAGCTTGGTAGTATGGTCTACAGCAGGAAATGAACGCATACACTCGGTAGCAGATATCATGGACTTTGTTGCTGGACCGATTCGTCCAAGAGCCGTCAATGTCTCTGTTTTTGCAAGATGCCATTCGAGTCTTGCTAAGACCGGAACATCCGGTACGCTTGACAAAGACTCTTCGCTGTCGATAATCCGACATGCTTCAGTCGAGTAGCCAAGTCGCAAGTACTGCAGAGCAAGCTGAGATGAGGTATGCAGAATAGATGACCGCTCGGGAGTGGGCCGTAAATGATGTATGTGAGAAAGTGCTTGAAGTGCTTCAAGACAGGAACCGTCTTTGCCTTTCATGGCCAGAAAAGAAGCCGCGAATTGTAACTCTGATACTAAGATATCAACATCATCGACTCTGGCCACAATTGACTTCCAATCTGTGGTTGATTCTGACAAGAGTGTTAGCGCTTTTGTCCATTTTGCAATGTCTTCAACAGAAGCTTCTCTAGCCTGGAAAGCTTGTGTCAATGACAGAGACGTCCTCAGATAGACCGCATATGGTTCTAAACCATGATCTTGACCCAAGGAACCATCCACAATCTGACTGGTCATTGCGATCTCCTTGGTTTTCTCGCCAATCAGGCCTGGGAATTCATTTGAGTATCGGAGTACACGGGCGCACACACGAGCTTGCCGAAGTGGGTAGGCGTTTGCATCATATATCTCCAAGATTCGATTGCATAATTGTTGTAGATCCGTGGTTATCCTCCTACGATGTGACGGCTTGAACAAATCTTCCTCGAAGAGTGCTAGTTGAATTTCGAGCAGGGCGGCTCTTTCCAATCGGTCCATAGATTCATCGTCGAAGAAACTGATATTTTCGCTGTCTTTGGCTGCAATCGTATGATACTCGTGTAGATGTCGCTTCAACAACTGTGCCTTTGAATGTGTCTGTAAGATGATTGACAGCGGCTTCTGGTTTGCTTCTTGATTCAAATCCCGCAAAACACCGGATTGGAGCTGAACTCGAATGGACTCGACAAATGTGGAGCAGGATTTGGAAACGCTTCCTAACTTCTCCAATTTGGCTGCCAAGAACCCAGCTTCTTGATATACGGGACTGCGATTCCGCAGAACGTCCACCGATGCTTGGAGGCATCGTATAGCCAGAACCGACGGCTCTTCGGATGCAGTGTTCAAGAGTTGGAAACAACGCCAAAGCAGATTGGAGATGTTGACCACGAGGTGTTCCGCTTCTGAATCGGACTGGAGGTCTATCAATTGTGTACAGACTTCGAGATTATCCAGGATCACCTCGATATGATCATGAGACGAAACCAAGGATTTACAAGCGTAGATGCTGGAGCTAACAAAAGGACTGACCAGTTTTGAAGTAACATCGGCACGTTCTTTGCTATCAGTACCTTTGACGCACCAGAGAAGGATGGTAGTGCATAGACAAGCGATTTCACACAAAGTAGATAGTTGTTGATCTATCTCTGTCGTGGTCTGCCGATCGAGATCAGGCGTCAATAGTTTGATGGTGATCTTGCGCAGCTTAGTCAACTCCACTAGTAGGTCATCCATTGACAACGTAGTTGGTCTGTCGTCCTTCAGCGCAGAACTGCAGAATTTTAGCTGATTGCGCATCGAAATCGAATCGAGATGAGCGTCGCGATGAAGACCCAGAGCCAAAGAGCGAATTCTAAAGAGTAGCATTGAGCTAGAATTTGTAGTGCTGTCTGATGCCAGGGACATGGACTCGGTATATCTCAAAGCTTCGTCTTGCATGCCGAACGACTCGGCGAGGGCACTGAGAGATCTGTACAGAGCAATCGGAAGCGCGTTGGTAACGGAAGCCTTCTTTTGGTCCAAATCGACAAGCGCGGCCACAGCATTGACAGCCTCGTTGTACGCGTGAAGGCCCTCATTGCCAACACGCCTTCGGTAAGCATCGAGAAAGCGAACAAGTGGCTCATGAAGTTCTTTAGATAGATCTGCCTTGTGACCAGCCAGAGGCCACCACTTCTTTTGTATAAGAAGCGCCGTGCTCTGTAGCTGAAATACAGTATGTGGAGAGGCGCATGTCTTGAAGCTTTGAGCATCATGGTCCACCGACGCAGATGGAGATGGACACATGGACAACATGAGTTTTGACACAGTATCCAATTGTGTTGCAGCCTTGGTTCTGTCTTTTGTCTGCTCTGCACAACGCAATATCAGCGAGGCTGGAGAGATGTCGTTGTCGAGCAGCAGATGAGGCAGTGAAGCCTCGATAGTCGCAGGTGGACCGGAGTTGGCAATCAGTCGCAAGACAGTCAGGTGGTAGGAAATGGCCAACGACATGACGTCTACATGGACAGTGCGACATTCGAGACTCAACAGTGTTGCTAGGGTTTCCTTCTCCGAGGTGGATGGAAGGTTGGCTCCTTCAGACCTTTTGTGTAGACATGCTTTGAGCATGCGCAACTCTTTCATAGCCAAAGTATCCATCCCAAGAGCGACGAGCTTCGAGGACAAGGCAAGCATGCCCTTCTCCAGTTGTAGGGACTCATCTGTGGCAGATCGAGCAGAGCGAAGATGGGCAAAAGCGATACGGGCGCACTCAGCGACGGTTGTCAGGCCAGACAAGGCTGTCTTCTTAGGCTTCGGCGACAGCGAGGGAGAGGATGGGCTTGTCTTGGTCGCATCAGTCAAGACTTTCAACGAGACATTGACGACTTCTGTGGCGAGTTTGTAGCGCTCCAACACCGTCAAGGTCGTGGTCGCATCCGGAGCAGCATTGGGGGTCGTCTTAGTTCGAGTCGTCCTTGTCGGCGCAGGCCTGCGGGTTGTTGTCTTTGCTGGGGTCTTTGTAGGCTTCGCAGTTGGGTCTTGGGCAGATGCTAGAAGGGCCTGCAGAGTGGTGCTGGTGGTTGGAGCGCATGACGATGCAGTCGCTATCGCTTTGCGCACCAGGTCGGCCGGACTTGTCATAGGTGGCATGCTTGGAACGATTGTCGCTGCATGTTAGTCTGCCATCATGGTGTTTCGAAAGCACGAGCGGCCGACAACAGCCTCAGCCTTGATTCGTTTGTTCGCCAAAGAAACATGCACTTCATGCCCTGTCCCCGCAGCAACCGCTTCGGCCCGACTGTGCCGGCGTGGCGTTGTGCCCTAAACCTCGGAGCGTTGACACTCCAAGATCCGTCGAGTCGAAATAATTCCACCAGACCAACAAGATTCGACTCAGATACCACCACCAACATGAGAGTCGTCGCCGCTCCTCTGCGTCAGCTGCTATGGCGTCGCTCTTTCTCAGTCTCGACCTTCCACGCTTCCAATACTAGCTCGGTGCCCCGTGTCGCATCTGTCTGGCAATCCGTCATTCCAAAAGCCTTCAGAAGACCTGATGATCCCGTCTCTGTCGCCGAACGTCAAAAGGCGCAAGCCATGAAGTCCAAGGAGTGGAACCCTGCAACTTTCTTCATTGTCATTGCACTTTTGATTGGCTCCAACGCCATTCAGATGATCGCTTTGAGAAATGAACGCCTTAGCTTCACGCGCAAGACGGATGCAAAGATTGCTCTTCTCAGGGAAACCATTGAACGCGTACTTCGTGGGGAAAATGTCGACGTTGAGCGCGTTCTGGGAACTGGCGATCCGGAAAAGGAGAAAGAATGGGAGCAGGTCATGCAAGAACTCGAGTCGGACAACACGCTGTGGAAGAACAAGAACAAGAATAAACGTGAGGCTGCTGGGAAGGAAGCTCCAGCTCAACAACCGCCGGCAGACGAGAGTCCCAAGCTGGTCTCACAAATCCCCACTCCCGAGCCTCAGACGCCCGCTCGACGACCTGGATTCTTCTAGGTTTTCCGTGTTGCGTCGTAATCAAAGTCATCGAGTACTGTAGTCGTCGCCAAAGTACTGGCTCACTGAGTTTGTCGCTGACAAAACATGAGAGTTTCCTGGCTGCAAGTACATTCCCCTTGCTTCCGCGAACCAATCAGAGTGGGGTGACACTTCTCATCGAGCATTGCCGTGTGCAGATCTACTCGACCATTCGTGTTGCTGACCACCAATGTTTAAACTCCTCAAACACATGGGCACTCTTGTTTTTCCACGTTTGCTATTCTCCTTTCGCTTCCGTCTTCGTTTATTGTCTTGGTGAATCGCTGTTTGTTGGACCCTGCAGACGTCGACGGACTCAATTTGGACGCAAGGGCGATCCAAGCCAAATTTGCTACCTCCTGCCCGATCATGAGCCTGACTGCAAACGAATTGCGTGGTTTCCACGTGTGTCCGTATCAGAGAGAAGGAATCACCAACACACTCCTTCCTGGCAATCTTGTTCTGCAACATCTCCAGCATGGCGCCATTCGCTCTTTTCACCCATCGCAGCTTTCGACGCGGCGCAACAAGTCAGTTGACCTCGGTGCCAGAGTCTGCCTCTGCCCAGCAGAAGACAGACATGGGGGGCATACCATCCAAAGTCGCTTCTCAAGTCAATGAGTCTTCGCAAAAGAAGTTGAAGCACCGCTCGTCTTCGCTCAACTTACTCAAGCGCAATCGCAATCCATCTGGACATGCTGCAGTGCGGACCTCTGTTGTTCCGCAGTCCCCGCCCAGTGTGGACACAAGCACCACCGAAGACGCCGAGTCAGAAGCAGATTATACCAGATCATCCCTAGGACAACGCTCGGGTTCGGAATCCACGGTGAAAACGCTCAGCGACTCGGTACACTCTAAGAGATATGAGAGCAGCAAGGACGATGGCTTCGAGTCAGATGCCAGTTCAACAAGGACAGCCACACGCGTTACCCCTCCATCCGGACTGCAGAAGGAATGGCAAGACGAAATCATCCACTTTGGTGCAGAAGATGAACCGAGCGGCATGAGCACACCGGTACCACCACCACCACCCAAGACTCCACAAATCCAACTTCCAACTCCGCCATTCTTGACCGAAGACAGTCCTACCAAATATGGCTTGCGCGTTACTCAAAGCCCCTCACCTGATCGCTCTATGGCCGCCTCACAACGCCAGAAGATGACGGGCGCTGGACTGTTCGTGGTGAGTGGTCCATTTCATCATCTCGCTGTCTTGATCATCGTGACTGACTCCCTCAAAGCATGCCGCTACCCAGCAAAGGTCCGCGACTTTAACGTTGCCAATTGGCCAAGCAAAACCAGGCGCCAAAGATGCAAGCCACCTGTTCGCTCATAGCTCACCATCTCTCCCCCTTTCCGACAGAACAAACCTCTCAAACGATCAGTCAAAGTCATTGCCAAGCCGAAACCTGCGACCCGACTTTGATCAACCTTTCAAGGAAGCGCCTCAGGAACATGTCGCTCACGCCCTTCCACTTCGAACGTCGCAAAAGACATGCTATCGCCATCACGACATTTGGCAACGCATGGGTTCCAACTACAAGCATCCGGTAGCTTGCGCCATCTGCGATGGTTACGAAGCTCCAGGCGACGACTTCATGACATGCCTCTGGTGCGAGGTTCATGTTTGTGGTCATTGTTATTCCACATTTATTAGTGGTGGAGTGACAGCCATGATGGAGCGTCAGCAGAAAGGATGATTCGAGGTGATGTGAGGAAGAGCGATGCATGGATCTGAAGTTAAAGTGGCGCACAAGGAAGCATTGAGCGAGGTCATCATTCATGTGCATGGTAGATATCATCACGCTGAGCAAGAAGTCGAGCGTTTGTATAATGGGACCCTAAGGAGAAAGAAACGAAAATGACCGATAATCGTACAGAGACCCACAATTTTCTTGTCTACGTGTTTCAAGATCACCACCTCTATCTCCATTGCTACCATGGGTTCCAACAAAGCGCAAAGCAGTCTCACCTCTAGATATCCGCTAAAACCACGCCGTGCTCTCCCATGCCTCAGAAAAACGCCTCAACTTGAATATAAATGCTTGAAAAGGAGAAACAGAGAAATAGACGAAGGATTGGAAGACTGCTAGGTCCGTGATGATAGAATATCCTTGTTCTTCACTCGATCACGTGGGATAGACCAGTAAGTTTGTGATCAGTAGGTTAGAGGTGGAAGTAGTATCACTGACCTGCTTTCCTTATTCCCCCCCCCCCCTCATTCTCCCTTCGTATCTCCCTCCTTAGTCTCCCTGCTATCTTTGTCATTACTATACCGACCATCTCTACCAGACCAACCATCTCTATTATCTAGCCATCTCTACCATCTCTACCATACCTCTAGATCCGTAACCACACTTTCCACAATTCTTTTCCACATCTCTTTTCCACGTCTCTTCTTAAGTTGTTTATGTGCAAAACCACCTATGCTAATTTTAGCAGATCCCTCCATTTATTCATACAAGCTCGAGGCTTTAGAGACAAGTATACATATGCCATTGATTTCACTTGTGAGGGATTTACATTCTTTTACAATTGCGTGCTGATGGTATAGAGGGATGTTGTTGGGCATGTAGGATGGTGAAACTCTGGATCATCGAAGGGGAAAGCAAAGTTCAGATATAGTTTGTAGAGAAGACAGGGGAGGTATCAAGGTCTCGAGATAATCCATTGAGAGCCGGAAAGATCCTTCGCAAAAGCAGTAAATTCCAAGCTTTCAAAAAGTTCATGAATTTACTTCAATCTTGAATATCTTCTATTACACTCTCACATACACCTCCCTCCCTTCCCCTGCTTCCACTTCTCCCTTCTCGTCCTCTACTTCTCACGTTCCAAACACCCAATCTCATAGCCCAGCAACACTTCCGTACCTACACCCTCCCACCCCCTGTTTCCAGCAGTGGAGATCATAAACCTACACGCCGGATCGATATGCAAAGCGCTAATAACACCGGTGCGATGGCCAGGAACGATGAGGAAGGGAACTGTGCTGCGAGTGTTTTCGACATCGCGGAGATCGTAGAGGCGGAGGATATCGTAGGATGCACTGAGTCATTTGTTAGCATAAGTGATGCAGATAAGAAAGAGCAAGGGATCAAGGTGGAGGGGGATGTTGGGGGTAGTTTTACCAGATCAAATGTCTTCCGTTGGGCATAGCCCTGACTGCACTGACCGCGCCACTGCCAGAGGGAAATCTGAATGTGCGTTGTGGTTGCGCCATTGTTAAGCCCTTGTGTAGTGAGTATTCCTCGACTGTGCCGTTTCTGCGTCCGGCGTAGATGCTGTTGCCGTCTACAGACCAACAGGCGCCCATGCACCAAGGAGGTACGCCGGAGGGAGGATGCATGATAGCAATGGGTTGGGACATGCGTTGATCCCAGATGCGGAGGGTGCCATCGATGGAGGCGTCGAGGAAGGTTGAGGAGGATGTTTGGGGTGGATCTGAGGAGTCGGAGGTTTCTTCGTTGTGGCCGTTTGTTGTTATTTCTTCGGCGTGAGGGTTTCCTGTTGTTAGAGGGTCTTGTTGGTCTTCATCTTGCATGGAGGTATCTTGTTGTGGTTGTGCTGTTGAGTCGGTAGGGTCTTGTGGTACGATGGTGTCTTCTGGTGGTTGGACTGGACCTCCGGCATCCATCATCTCGGTGTCTTCTTGACCTTGTTGTTGTAGGCCTGTGGCTATTGCCTTTGCAAAATCGTCATCGTCGTCAAAGGCGTTGTTATTGTTTGTATTGTCGGCGTTGATGTTATCATCGCCAAACAGGGAGCCGTTGTCATCGCCGAAGAGGGAGCCATCTGGTGAGCCTGCTGCATCTTCTGTGCCATTCTGACTGTTCTTGCTTCCTCTTCTTTCTTCCGGTGCTGATGTGCCATTGGTGAGGGGTTTGGCGGCGTTGTTCGAGGAGAAGGTCGAGCTGGGTATTTGTGTATCTTCAGCGACGTGAGGAACTGGTATTGAAGATTCCGGCCGGCGTTCGAGTGCTGATATTTGACCTCCACTGCCGACGAATGATCGCTTCACTTTGCCCATGTTCAGATCCCAGTCAAGGATCGTCTTGTCCCAACTACCTGACAGGAAGGAGTATTCGTCCTGTGCCAGACTCAAGACTGAGACTGCCGAAGTATGTTCGCGCAATGTCGTGATCTTCGTGCCAGCTTGGTGACGGCACGTTTGTAGATTGATCGCTCCCGACTCCAGACCAGAAAGCAACCATGTCGCTTGGTGTTGAGTTGCGAGAGAGTAGACGGGTGACGAGTCCTTCGGCTCTTCTGCAGATTGCGCAGGTGGTGTGCGGACTGATGTCTCTTCGTTCTCCCAATATGTTGTCAAGCTGCCAGCCTTCATGACACTGTCCACGAAGGGGTGCTTCTGCGCCACAGTCAAAGGAACCTTGCCGTTCGCTGTTTCCACCCAATTGTACATGCGGATATATCCATCTGAGCCACCGCTAAAGACCCATCTCATGTCTGGTGTTGCTGCGACTGCATTGATCGACGTGCTTTGTGGTGCTGCCATTGTAGGCACGATGTCGTAGGTGACGGCATTAATGGCTTCCTGCCGTACTGAGGGCCACGGTAGGTGCATACTCGGCGATTGATGTGCGGAAGGGCGCGGTGACGGCGAAGTGAGCATAACGGTCGGATTCGGCGGTCGTGATGTAGAGGGGGAGGCTCGACTTTGACGGCGAGATTGTGAGGGAGAGTCTTGATCGTTGTCGTTGTCGCCTTCTTCGTCGTCGTCTTGGTCGCCGTCATCGTCTTGATCATTGTCGTCCTCGTCTCCCTCCTCTTCACCTTCACCCTCCTCCTGATCTTCTCCTTCGTCATTATCGTTGTCGTTGTCGTTGTCATTGTCGTCCATGTTCTCATCCTCATCTTCTTCTTCCTCGCCAGACCCTGTTGCGTGTTAGTCCGACAGCCTTCAGGTTGTGTCGCAAGAGTCCCTACCTTCTATCGGGTCTTCATCTTCGAACGAGACCATTATGCACGTATGCTCCTAGCAATTGACCGTACTCCTGTTCGCGACCATGTATCCAAGAGCTTGTCGCAATCGCTGGCCAGGGGTATGACTCGTGTCGCGCAGTCGTAGCTATACCGCCGAGCTAGGAAATACCACTGCTGAATCGTCAACGATGTATGACCAGGGAAGTCGCGAATGTCCAACTTCGACAATTCAATGTCCATGGCGAACGCGGAGGTCGCGCCGATGAGGGTCGAATGTGGGGTCGTCCGAAGTTTACCCACTGCTATGGCGACTCGGAGGGGACATCTTGGTAGTTCTTCTCCTCCATCCTGAACACTCAGACTCGATGAGGAACCTTTGCTCGAGAATCTAGCCTGTTTCATTGGACTCAAATGTATCCTTGAAAAAGAAGATGTCTTGTCAAACATCATGTCCTCCATCGAGATACGAGATACAAGCCACGGCTGTGGCAACAGAGCATATCAACTATAGCTTCTTCTTGTTTATCGCCGCCGGCTGGAGTGGTTTCGGATCTACTTGAGACTGGCCCTCCGAAAGCTACTGACCCAAATGGAGCATGTCTATCTATGAGCTAATGGATGGGCGATGAATTTCTCGACTATGTACAACCACTCGCCAGTATCTGGCTAGCCGTCGGAGATCAGTACTATGTTATCTTGTTCAATGGCCGCTCTTGAAGAAATTTTGCGAGGCCAGGTCCGTCCAACAAAGAGTACAGGGTCCAAGCACAACTGTTCAGGAGGCAGGCGTACTTTCCAGCTCAGATGCACCTTCCCGCCGGACAAAGTCAGGGATTTGCGTGCCTGCAGCAAGGCACATGGAGCAGCCTCTCAGCTTTCTTCCATCGGCTTTTCATCTCCCAGACATCAAACACACTCACAAAATACAGCTGTCAAAAGACACAAACTAGTTCAGATCAAGCTGCCCGTCCATTGAGAGTCCAGTCTACTGATCTGACTATCCCTGCTCTCAGCGGCCAAGCCTGCCTTTCGAAACACTTTCTGCATTTCGACAGGCGTCAAACAGCGCCGCTTCTCAAGGAGAGACCACTAGAAAACAACACTTCCGCTTCGTTGCCCCTTCCAGCACCCGGTCGATCGGGACCTCCTTGGCACACGACTCTCGCGCGCGCCTGCGCATCCTCTGCTCTCACCCGTGCAATACATCAACTTAAAACCACCATAATTGTCATCAATATCATCATCATGCATCCTCAGGAGCGCCTCCGATACGAGGCCATCGTCAACGACTACTACCGTAACGCCGCTCCTAGAAACACCGACGATGGATGGCTGCTTCTCCCTGAAGTGCCAGACACTCAGGAGATGTTGCGCCCTCTAGTCAGTGACGACTTACGCGTGCCCCACAATCAGATTGACGGCAATTGGCCGTCCAAGTATGACCATCTCACCGCGCAGTACGAATTCCTCCGCGAGGAATCAACCTTTGCCCTCCGGCGCGCCATAGGCCTGATGCGTGAGCATCCCCATCTCTCAGAACTGGACCACAGAGACATCTCACCCGGCATCGGAATCTATGAAAAGGTATCACCTGAGCCATCTAATCACTTCCATAGTGACCGCAGCTAATGACATCAGGCATTCGCTGTAGGCATCATCCTCTGCAGACGCGGTCTGGGCGTGAGAATGTGTTTCTCCACCTTCCGCGCTGGAGTCAAGATTGACTGGATCACTTCCAAGCGCCTCACCACAGGCTCACTTGTTGCTCTGTCCCCTGCCTCGGACAAGTTCCAGAGGAAGATCACCATCGCAGTCGTCGGTGCTAGGACTCAGGAGCTTCTCAACCAAAGTGAGTCTAGAAAGAATACCAGCATATGTTCGCCACGCTAACACAGTTCACTAGCCCCTCCAAAGGTTGAACTGTTCTTCCCTCGCCCTGAGGAGACTATCTTCGACCCAGGCGAGGAGTATGTCTTCCTCGAGGAAACGTCTTCCTTCTTCGAAGCCATGCGACACAATATGCTTTCTTTGCAGCGGATGACCAGGGAAGAGTCTCCACTACAGGAGTACATCGTCTCACCTGTCAGTGAAGAACTTAACACACCACTGGACCTCATCGACCTTTCCAACCAGGTTGAATGCATGTCCTTCATCGACCGAGAGGCAGGTGTTCACACTGTTCGCGTGCCCGACTACGTGGTGCAGGACCCTCACATGAATCTGAGCTTTGCTACGGATGAGGACGTCGACCATCAATACGACGTTGTCAATCGCCCTATGCCCAAAGATGCCGCTCTGCTTGACGAATCCCAGATGGACGCCCTCCGTCAGATTTTGACGAGGGAGCTCGCCTTGATTCAAGGCCCTCCCGGAACAGGAAAAACCCACGTGTCCGTCATGGCGCTTCGTGTTATGCTCCACAAGATGGAAGAGCAGAGGCAGAGAGCTGGGCCTGGTGTCATCATCCCTCCTCTCATTGTCGCTTGTCAGACCAATCACGCTCTCGATCAGTTGCTCCGTCATGTGGCCGAATTTGAACCCTCATTCATCCGTCTTGGCGGTCGCTCTGCTGACACAGGAGTCGTCAAGAAGCGCACCCTCTTCAACGTCATGGAGGAGCTGAAGGAAAGCAGTCCTGGAGCAGTCGTTGATCCACCTGGCTTTCGTTTCGCGAACGCCAGCATGGCCAGAATGGAGAAGGAGTGGAAGTCTGCGCTTGCACCCTTCGATGAGAGCAGACAAGAACCCGGTCCAATGGATGAAGACGTGTTCACCGACCATCTCTCGCCCCAACACATCGACTCAATCAAGAATTCAAAGTTCCAGAGCTCTGATGTTACATCTGGAATCCCACCTATCGTCAGATGGCTTGGTCAAGATGTGTCATTGACAACTAGCAACCACAATTGGCCTGCCGAGCAGGAGTTTGGATTCGAAGAGTTTGATCAGGAGGAAGAAGAGGTTGATGAAGCCACTGCTGAGAAGGCTAGAGAGGATGACAAAATCGAGATGCTTCGCGGAACCTACATTCCTCTTCTCGATCATAGTGTTCTGATGGCCAGCTCGATCAAAACCCTTTCCGCCAAGGAAGTCAAGAAGATTTTGACAAGCAGCAAGTTTTCGGATCTCAACAAGCTGCCTCCTCACTTCCGCCTCGGTCTGTACCAGTACCTCGTCAATAACGTGAAGCAGAAAGTCGTACAGAAAGCTCGCGCTCTTGCGTGCAGATGGGCCAAGGAAGTGCAAGACCGAGACCGCGGCAACTTTACAAAGAAGCTCCAGGTCCTCGCCGATGCCAAAGTTATTGGTTGTACAAGCACTGGGTTTGCCAAGTATCGTCCGATGGTATACGCACTCAAACCTCGCGTCGTAATGGTCGAAGAAGCTGGAGAGTGTCTCGAAGCCAACACGATGAGCATGTTTCTGCCTTCTCTCCAGCATCTCATTCTTGTCGGCGATCACCAGCAGCTTCGTCCTCGTGCTCAGAAACCTACTCACAACTTCAAGCACTGGGATATATCTTTGTTCGAACGCCTCGCACGCAACACAGTGGACTTCAAGATGCTTGCAATCCAAAGACGTATGCCTCCTGAAGTCAGACGCCTCCTCTGGCCCATCTATGGCGACAAGATCACGGACCATGAGTGCACTCTCGATCGTCCTCCGGTCCCTGGACTGAAAGACTTCAAGACCTACCTCTTTCATCACGAGAATCACGAAGCTGTGGACAAGTTCAGGTCTACTTACAACCAGCGCGAAGCTCAGCTGGTCGTGGACTTCGTCAACGGTCTGATTGGTCATGGTGTGAAGCCGGAAAAGATCACTGTTCTTACCTTCTACAACGGTCAGCGTCGACTTCTCACGCAAGAGCTCAAGAAGGTCGAGGGCGTGCTGTCCGGTACACGCATCAAGGTTGTGACTGTTGACTCGTACCAGGGTGAAGAAAACGACATCATCGTCCTGTCACTTGTCCGCAACAACTTCATCAATGACGTTGGCTTCCTGAAAGTCGCCAACCGTGTCTGTGTCGCACTTTCTCGTGCTAGACAGGGCTTCTTCATGTTTGGAAATGTCAAATTGCTTGAGGAGGCTGGCGGCGATGAGTGGAAGCAGGTTGTTGCCATTCTCAGAGGCCAGGGTCCAGTTGAGACCCAGATCGTCACCGGAACCAGAGTCATCAACGCCGAGTAGAAACCGCATGGTGCCAGCATGATTGATTGGTTGATGGACATCGGTGGTGTTCATCTGTAAATGCTGATTGGCGGAATTCATCGTTAGACCTTTCATTGGCAAACATTCATTGGTAAAACAGTTCATGATAAAATTTTACAATTTGCTATGCAGTCATATCTCGACAATCTTCACGGTGCATAATGGTACGATCATCGCTAGACTCAGTATCACAGGTACAAGGCAGCGAAAAGAGGGACCCATGGCAGAGACGGTCGACATGGTACTGTCTGGAGACCCAAAATTATGGTTGGGAGCAAGACCATGCATCATGCCGGTCAGCGTCGGAGAAACAATATTCCGCACCGATTGCTTGCACCCTTCCTGCTTGACTTGTGGTTTTCGTCACCACATCTCTCTCTCTCCATAATGCTCCCAACGTTCTTTGTTATCATCCTTCCGAAACCAATTATCTCTAGTTCAATCGTGGCCCTCTAAGTTTCGATATAACACCAGTGATATCCAGCTGTGACAGGCTTTCATCTTTCTTTTTCAACGGCTACATGCAGAAACCCGTCTTTGCTCATCTGCCATGCATCCAAAGTTCCACGGCACCACACATTCTGTGTAATCAATGCAGCTTGAGCTGTCAATTTTTTTGTTGCCTGGGAGCTTCTGATCGCTTGAGCAGTCATTTGCTCCCCCGGGATTTCTTTGATCTTTACAGAGCTGTCGATTGCTCGAGCGGAGTTGGAGCTTTGTGTTTGGGCGGTAAGGTACATGTCTTGCAGGTTATTGGAAGCAAATACCTGTCCTTGACTGACTGGGTCTACTGTGCGGAGCCCGAGCTTCACGGCGATGTGCTTGAGGCTAGGCGGAAGATCCCTGTTTCTGCAGTGTGAGCTGTCGGTTATGTCCCGTTTCTTTGTTGTCTTGAGCTGCCGGTTGCTTGAGGGGCCGAACTGAAGTTTGTGGTTGGACGGCAAGTACCAACTCTTCCCAACCCCTAAACGCAAGACTTCTTCCTGCCTCACCACCTGTATGCACTGAGCCCGAGCTCCACGGCAACGTGCCCGAATTTTCATTGATCTTGCAGTTTAGGCAGACACTTCCTTGTGCTTTCTTTTTCTCTGTGGAGCTATCGATTGCCCAGGTCTGCAATTGCAGTGGGTGTCTTGGTGTTTGAGGTGAGTCTTGCTGCTGCCTTAGAGCTTCTGACTGCTTGAACAGTCATTTCCCTGAGGTCTCTTTGTTTCCATGGAGCTCTCGACTGCTCTGACGGTATCGACGCTCAGTAATTGGCTTGAAAGTGTCCAGCGGTGATGAGCATTGATGAAAGATGATGACTGATAGGATAGAGATGATGCTCGGTGTAAACAACCAAGAGGGGGTGGCAATGATGCATAAGGTAGGTGCGCTAGAATGTCCTGGCGAGCTTTCCCAGCTTCCATTTATTCCCTTCTTCATGCTCTTCTTCCTTCATGCTTCCATTCCTTCGTGGCTTCCTCCATTTCTTCAATTTGCGTGGTGTGGTTCTTCTTCTCTTTCCTTTTCCTTGGTGTGATCTTTCCTCTTCTCATTTTCTTTGGCGCGTTGATTCTATTTCTTTTCCCATTTGTCTTGACGTGCTTGCTTTCCTTTGCTACTTCACCTGATGTGTTTTGCTTTCCCTGTCCGTTTCGTTCTATATATAGGCAGCAGATTGAAGTGATGAAGGAAGATCTCGACTGCCGCCCCCCGGTCAAGACTTTCAACACTTGCAAGAAGGGCCCGGTTTTCGAGAGCATGATCAGGCATATGTTGGTGCATGAACGCCACTGGAAGTGCACTAGCTGCAAAGTCATCTGTAAGCTCTGAGATGCGCACGATACAAGACAGGAGTTTCTAATCACATAATCACAGTCAGCACCTCGAATTACACCTGCCTCTTCTCGACCATTAAGTACACCTTCAGAATACGTGTTACAGATCTTCTGACTAATGCTGACTCCTACCCCAGGAGAGAGCTTCTCTACCCCGGTCTGCTCTCGGAGGTCATTCGCCGGTCGGGGTCGGTCGATGTTGAGACCGCCCTTGACAGTAAGTACTTGTCCTCACCCCCCACCTCTTATCCCCTGTTTCTGTGGCAGACGCTGATTGATTCAGACCACCGTGATGAAAAAGCCTTAGTCGTAAAGATGAGCAAGGTGGGAGCCTACCGAAAGCCCCCTCAAGGGTGCTCAGATGACCTACGCGCTGTTCAGTACGGCCTATTCTTGTGTGTTTGTTTGTTATATATGTAGAGCACGGTGAGGAAGAGGAACACCATAGAGGGATGGCCTGCGACATTGTTCTTCCCGCACAGTTCGCTGTTGGCTCGTCTGCGGAGATTGCTCAATCCACTTTGCTTACTCGGGAGCTTGCTACGCCTGCGAGATTGATTATTGACACTTCGACATTCGCCCGTTCCAGAGACACATTCTCGCTCCTAACGCTTACTCTTTGATCTCTCACCAACAATTACCGACTCGGATTGGATATGTGATCACCTTTGGCTTTCAGTGTCAAATCGCCCACTTTCTACTTCGAGCAGTCTCACATGTCAGCAACGCCAGCTGCGGACGAACTCTGTTGCTATTATGTTGCGATGCGATGGTGGTTTCTTTTTTCTTTATCCTGGGGTGTACTTTTCATCTCCTTTCATTTGTCCTTGCGTGTTTTTCTCGTTTATATATAGAGAGCAGGAGGTACAGGAGGGGGATATCAGAGAGAGAGCGCTGATGACCTTCTGTCCCCTCAGGATTCGCAGTTGGCTTTCTTCCGTTCTTGTGGTCCGCTGCGACGTTGTACTGTTTTGGCGTGTGCTTTTCCTTTTCTTCTTCATCTGTACTTGCGTGGTTGATTCCTCAAATCTTGAGAAAACCAGTGGGCGCAAGACATGAGACGATCCTAGAAGAATGATCGGCGGCATCCCTCGCAATTTCGTGGACTCCTCCGGCTCTTTAGATGTATTGCAAATCCGCACGCACTCACAAGCCATCCTATCACGAAGGTCGAATAACAATTCGCATCCACCAAGCAGATCGATACAACATCAACAACAAGACATTCGAAGATGCCTCTCTACATACTGCTATGGCACTAGAACGCCCGCTTCAAGTCCCAGATGGCCCTCTGTGCGCTTGGTGAGACCCGGTGATCTCGCAGCATTGGCTACAAGACAGTCAACAACACAGCAGTCTCGCGCTGCGATGACGCCTGCGCAAAGAGCCCGTCTCGGTACAACACCTACCCGGGCACATCGACCGACATAATGTACATGACTGAGTTTGTCCTGAAGTCAGATTTGGAGGAGGTGTTGGGCAAGACTTCACCCTCTGGACTGGCAACACTTGCTGTGGTGTCGAGTATGTCTTGTCCTCGTGGTCCGTTCTGGTGTCATTAGTGGTTCCTCATCTCATCTCATTTCAGTGTGTGCTTTGCCTTCTTCTCTACCATCTGGACATGGACCTTTCACTTTTGGTTTTATATATCTTGAGCAAGATGCACACTCGAAAAAGAAGAAGAAGGGATATGGCTGATGACGACGATATCACATGGTGTGGTGGTGTCCCTTGTTCTGTGCGCTAGCGTGCGACTCCGCTGTTTTGTTTCATTCTCTGCATTTTCAACTCTCTGTTTTCTTTCCTTTCATATATCTGGGATGTTTCGAAGGGTACTTGCGCCTCTCTTGGCGGTCAACTGGAGGAATATCTCGACTCTGACAAACGAGATGTCAAAGGCCGCCATCAAGTTCGGGTACAAGCTGATATCTGAGAACCTTCAGTGAGATTGCGATCCTGTTGTAGCATCTGGGTTAGTGCGCTAACGGACACAGACTGTTCTCAGAACGATGAGCCTCGATGCCGTACATGAAGAAAGCACAGGAAGATGCCGTATTGCCAAAGCTCAAATTTGAACCGGCATGTCTCAAGATTCTTCGCCAGTACCAGAAAATGTGTTAGCTGATCAAGAGGAGCTCGACCCTGTCAGCAGACTCAGCACATCAATTTCAACGATCTTCCTGTCTTCCTGGCGATGTCCGCTTTCTCATTTACTGACCTGAGATTTCCTATCTGGAAAGCCAAACGAGACTCGCAAGCACCAGTATCGAAAGATGCCCTGTTTCCACTACTGCCAACGAGGAAGACACAGCTCCATCTGCCACCGACGAGCAGAGCGCCGAAAAGGTGCACTCTTCCACAGCGTACAATTGTCAAAGTCAAGTCATCACGCACATGCTATTCCAGGACAGACCATGGCTACTCACGGCCAAGACAGCCAATCCACTGCGCCGAGCGATCGCCCCACCGTGCAGAACAACAGTCTCTTGGACACACTCCCATGGAACAGAAAATCGACAAGAGGATGGCTGCGTACTCCAACAAGTTCAGTGCACCTGGCATTATATCGGATCTTACAGACGTTGACACAGATGTGTGGACGCAGCGTATTTTTTACCGAGCTACGTGCGACCAACCACCACAAAGACCGCTAACGCACGATCTTTCTTGTTAAAGTCTACTCTGGACTTCCTACCATCCAAAGAGCACGCAACGCTGAAAGCATGGATGCCTTGCTTGACATCATCGAGTAAAAGTAACGACTCTAACGAGTCCACACAAAATCAGGCTCCTTATATATGTGGAAGAGAGCGAAGGCAACGATGGGTGATCTATCATCATCGCTTTTCCACAAGATCTTCTGTCTGCTTTTTTCCGTCGTTGCTATATAGGCAGGAGCAAGGCAAGGAAAACAAAGGGCAAAGGCAAGGCATCGGAAAAGGGAAGAGAGAGCCCTGGAGGAAAACGGAAGACCGCGGACAGCCAACGACACCAGCAATCGAAGCCGTTCGGAACAGCGTCTGGTGTTATGACGGTCCCCAAGCTCAGGAGAAAAGAAAGCCACAAGTGCCGGCACCGATGCTCGGGTATCTCCAGACCTGGTGGACGCATATGACCTCTCACTTTGACATTCCTGGCAGGCTTGAAGAAGCTTCTCAAAACAAGTTCACACGGCTCTGGGCAAGTTCGATCGTAAGTCATACTCGGTCATCTACTCTGTGATAAAGCTCAATTGGCGCAGATTACAGACCCTAGAACCGGAGACATGTCACCGCCCAAATCAGACTCTAGAGGCAAGACTGAGAGAAAGTCATTGCTTGCATCCGCAACATCAGCTGTTGATGATTTGGTGAGTTTTAGTCTTTTCGACATTGCTTTGAAGTTGTACTGACTGATATGACTCCGATGACTCAAGATTTCCAACCTCAACTCGAAACAACTTTTCATAGTTGAACTCGCCCTACCCATCCAGGTAAGTACATTGTCCTGTGGTATTTTCTTGACCTCGCAAAGCCAATGATTCATAGAGATCGTGCGCCGCGAATGACAGAGTGTGCTCGACGTATGTCCCTCATACTCCTCCTTTCCTGTCTTCGAGGTCGAAGAAGAAGATAGCTGACTTCTTGACTGGTCAGTGTCAATTTGAAGTTTTCCGAGCGATACATCAGCGACCCCTGCAGCGAGCTGAGAACTCTTCAGTGCTTCTGGATCTTGCCAGAGTTCGAGTGACAGCTTGAAGCTACGGGTTAGCTATGAAGACACCGATGACCTTTTAGACCAATTGAGGCAGCTGCCATGGATCCCGCTTCCAAGAACATGAAAGTCTGCCAGGCACACAGAAAAGCAGCGCGTCAGGGACCGAGGCTTAGTAAGAAAGAGATGCTCTTCTGGATAGACCACAATCTGTGAAAGTTCGTCGTAATCGTCCCGGATCGCTGTCCAGGGACCATCACCAGCGACCAGGGCCAAAGCACTTCTCAAGCTCTGCCAATGTCACTCGAAGTAGGGGCAGAAGAGCTTGGTGCGAGTTAGCTGGCACGCCCTTACCAGGTTTATGAGTATCTCTCCTCCCGAGTCCCGACTGTTGATCCCTACCTGCACGACGACACTGTTCTCTCGGAACCCATCACTACCACTTTACCCCTATGACACTGTCATCGACCCGACCATCGCAACTCCCCACTCTAACATGGACTACTTCAACTCTGCAGCTTCGGCTGTTCTCAGAAACAACAACCCCATGCTTGCCGTCCCGTAAGTCCATGATCAGTCGCTCTAGTAAAAACATGATATGTGTGACATGCTAACGATACATCAGGTCTGAGCCCGTGCCAAGTGCAAAGGCAGCTAGAAAGCTCATGTCATCCTAAGGCCCTCAGTCCGCCAAGCTCCCTAAGACCCACCGCTCGAATAAGGTCTTGAAGACCTGTCTGCTTTCTTTGGGCCCTATATATAAAGGGTGGGGAAATCGGAGGCAAGGTAGCTGCCGTCCACTTCCTTCTTCCCACACATTGCCTGTTTCCCGGCTTGGTAAGTTGCGTCCTTCTCCATCGGTGGTTAGAAATGGAGCTGGCTTACGCGACAGCTTGCAAATCAGGCAGTTCACGATTGCCTGACAGAATCCGAATCCGAATCAGAGTTTACACCAGATTGAGCGCAAGCATGTCGGAAGTAGACACACAGCAAGCTATGTCCAAAAGCAAACAGAGCGAGATGTGTTGGCACTGTAACTCGTTTGCACAGACTTGATCCAGAATTTTGTCGGTCACTTATTGAGTTGGAGATCTTTTTTCACCACAAAAAACAAATACGCGAGCACCCACAACAATTTACGTTCAGCACTTCCTATCTTCTATCTTCTATCTTCGAGACGCGCACAACCTATCATCACCATCAAGCAACCCCCAATCTCTCTCCTGAGTCCTGACAAACGGCACATCAAATCGACACAAAGCAAAGATGGAGGGTCAGGATCGTTGTTCAGAAGACGCCGATTCGATGTCGCTCCGTTGGCCAGTGTGTGTAAGTCCCTTGTTCCCTTTTCGGTCATCGCAAAGCTGACGGTGTCTAAGACATATATAGGTGGACTGGACCTCAATTGTCTAACGCCCAAGAGAATGCTCCCGTCATTTCCTTCTCTCCGTCGTCATCACCCTTGTTGCCTTTTACTCTGTTCTGTTGCGCGTACATCCAGTCACCATCACACGGCCAGACTCACGACCCAGAGGCGACCTTCCAGTACTAGTTCCACGAAGCCGGATACGTCACGGAGGTCATGGAATACTCCGTTCGTTGCGCTTCCATCTTGGACACCTGCAGAGTTCAGGATCTCGTGGTACTATGGCTCGATTATGGTCTGCCGCTAGCCACAGTTCGACTGCTTGCAAATATGGATGCGACAACAAGCATGGGTTCCGCAAGGGACATCAAGGTGATTGGCGGAGATTGCAGCTACATCCGGCTTCGAATCTTGTCTTCGTTGACGATATTCGCTGGTTCGCTTGCCCGACGTCTGGGATTAATCAACACTCTGGTCTTCACTTACGAAAAGGAAGGTAGAAGAGTGTACGAGTTCAAGTTCCCTGCCTTTTTGGAGAGATGCACCCGAGCGCGAGTGTCGATTCGCTGTCGACACGTTCACCATGCCTCAGAGCACGAAGCATCATCTGGGCTGCTTCTACCAGGCAACGCAACAAACTTGAGTCTATAGCTGCTTTACAGTCTCTTCTGCGCGCCTTTGGTACACCAGAGAGTTCCCCCTCACACACTCAACGAAAGACACAAGAAGATGCTAAACGACTCTCATTTGGTTTGCTCTTATATATATCAGATGTCAGAAGCGCGGGATGTCGCTCAACAACTTGCTGCATAACTATCGGTTCGCTCTGCTGGTCTGGTGGCCCGGGCTATTGTCTGCCCACCTGACTGCAGCTGATGGACTGATTAAGAATCTTCAGTGGTGAGTTGCACCTCTGTTCGACATTGCTTAGGAGCAAAGCTGATGGGCATGACGGGCAGCCTTCAGGTCGAGACAACTTTCTCGCATCCCATTCTACATCCGTTGTTCTCAACTTCTCATATATAGCTTCATCAGAGGCGAGGGTGGTAACCGCACAACTTCTCTTCCAAGCAAAGCCTCATATATGGATCAGCAAAGTGGCAATGATCTGCGACAGAGAGATGGGCTACGACCTGAACGAGAAGACGCACACTTAGATCCTGTTCTCGCAATTCTCCGCGATCGCTGCTGCCTTGAATGCTGTTTGCCCAAAGCTGCAAATCGTCAATCCACACGGCATCACCGGCCTGTAAGTGTCCCTCGTTATATCTTGTAAGAAGCTTACTGACCTTGACACAGAGCTTGAGCCTTGTTGCACCTTAGTTCATCCGAAAAGTCGGTTGCATGATCTGCAGATCGTGTTTAATGCAATTCAGATCAACCAGCGATGTTCTGGTATGTCTTTTTATCAACAGTGATATGACTGTTATCGAAGATCCCGGGTACTTGGCCAAGTGTCTAGTCATGCCTCTGATTACCTTGTTTCACAACGCCAAATCTTCCAGGTCCGCAAACTTTCATGATCAGTCTACCGTCATGACAGCTTGGCGCGATGGCTACACAATCGCCACATCAAAACCCTCAGCTTCCGAAACTGCGACCTCGATGCCCTACACTTCCTCTAAGTTTCATCTTATCGAGAGGCGAAAGGAGGTGTCAAAACACCTTCGCTATGGCTCTAGTGCTCAAATCAACCAGCGAATCACTCGATTCGAGGGCGCAAACACCGACATGAAGAAGTTGCCATACCTTGTCCGCTGCCATAATATTGGCGATCAAGATGTTCGGGCCCGAAAACGAAGCTCTCTAGCCGCTAGATGAGATGTTTGGTTCTTGTCCCGCTTTTGGTTGTCGAAAAGGCTGGTCTAGGACCGAGATCAAGATGCACTGCCCTGTCGTGCTTTCTTTGGCAGCTCCAGACCTACGCATACGCAAAGACGTGCTGAAGGTAGGCATTCCAACTGACTTTCTTGGTCACACCTCATACTTCATGATGACTGATATATCCCAGGGTCTTACCTCGCCACTGCGAAACCCGCCGCAAAAGGCAAGGAAATCTTAGGTCTCGCTTTATTCCTTCTTCGTGCTCTGACATGAGTGTTCTGTCTGGAGTTACTGATCTGTGCATGAAGATCCGACCACCTCTGTTGAGGACGAGGGCCCTGTTGTCTTATTAATGTTCCTTCTGGTGCTCAATCCCAAACCTCTCCCGCCAACAATGAGTCCGGTGAGGCTCAAAGTTCGAAAGTCTTCTCTCTTCCAGCCTTTTCGACGCATCGCTACTTTTTCTTTCTTCTCGCAACGACACCGCATTATCAAAGTAAGTGCTGTTATCGGTGACAATTCCGTCCAGGATGTTGAGTGAAACTGACTGTGACGAGATTTGTCTTGTAAGCACTAGGCTTGCGACTCCTTCGCTTCAACAGATTCAGGCACGACGTTCTGTCGAGACAAGTTCCTGTCTATCTTTCCTTATCTTTGTATATAAAGCAATCAAAGCAGCGGCATTGCGCTACTTTGATCTCGCCATACGCAGTTGCTTTCTGGACTGGTGAGTTGAGATCATTTCTGGAGCCTTGACACATTGGATTGGCTGACTGTAGAGCAGAACCATATATAATGACCATCAACTGGTCCCGAAATGCTCCCTGGTACTAGCACCTCTTCGAGGTCATCTGCCATGTCATGTCCTTGCAAGAAAGGCCACATCTGGAAGCTGCTTGCAGGATGGCGATAGCTTCGGCGATGCCGCTCCAGCTGACTGGCCACGGTCCTTCAGAACTTGGGTGGCTCAAGGATAATTTGCGGAACTGTCCTCGCACCAGAGAGCGCAAGATGGAGATCATACGCAAGGGTGACCGGGCCTCACCCGCGGGGAAAGGTTGGAGGTCACCGTAAGCACTACCAATTTCGCGCACTAGGGGCTTAATATCGATGAACTCCCTGCAGGACCTCACTGTTGAGGATGAGGACGAGTAGACGACAAAAGCTCCGGTCGAGGCTCCGGCCGAAGGCTCACCTACTGCATGTTGAGCGATGCTTATAGGTACTGGCTGATCTCTAGCTGGATCCAGAGGTCAAGCGCCGCTGGATGGATGTCATAAGCAAATGACCTGGCTTCTAAGGTAAGCTTGATCGATACCTTGCACAAATTATGGTAGACCCGCTAATGAGAACATCCTAGGCCATCCTCGAGGACAGGCCTATTCCTCAGGAATCAGAATCGATAGCCCAGGAGCCCTCAATCAATGAATTTGCTTGTCTAAACGGTTAGTGCTTCTCCTCCTCTCTTCACACACAAAAATTTTGTGTCGTTGGCTAAACACGATGCAGCCTATTTTATATATTCCCAGTATTGATAGCTGGATGATGTGCCAGGTTTGTCGTTCTCTCTCTTCTCGATTCCCTGCTTTCTGGTCAGAGTGTGGCGCTCCGCTCGTGTTCGTGCACTTGCCCCCCTGATTTCTCCCTTTTTACCACACCGACCACATCACTCCGAGCTCTTAACATCACTTCAATTTCTCAACATCACTCCAACTCCTCGGCACAACTTCAACTTATCTGCACACGCCATCACACCTCTTTGATGCCCACTGACCCTCTTCCAGATCTGACTCAACGTTCTACGCCTCTTGCCAACGAATGACTCCATGTCATCTCCTGAAAATATGTCGGGGCACAAAGCTCAACTACGTGGACTCTCAGCGCTCGAAGAGTAAGCACATCCCAGACCGAGTTTTTTGGCTTGCCTTCTTCGACACTTCGCGGGCCCCACTTCTTGACCGATCAAGCCCAATTTACTAAAGAACGGCAGGCCCTGTTCATGGAGCTAGCCAAGAGAGGAAACCGGCAACAGAAAGCAAGAAGAAAGAGCGACAATCTTGTACCCATCAGGGAAGCATGACTACTCCCAAGCTGGCATGTCCGTAACCTCCTCTCGCAAGAGCAATGCCGAAAAGTGGTTGATCGCGGCTCGAAGTGAACGTCAAGTGCTCCGCTTCGTCGAACAGTCACTGATTGGGTATGATGACACGTACAAGAAGTATATGGATACTGTTTGGGTACGTCAAATCCCGATATCTTGATACTGACAAAAAGCTGAGCTCTCAGCCTTCCGACTCACCCTCTAAGCAACTGCCAAAAGACACGATGGTTTTGATGCGCGGGCCCATCTCTTACATGCTCCAGTCTTCTCATGTTGATGCCACAGCGGACGACAACACTTTCACCGCTTCTGGGTACGTCTCACCCAACGAACCATCCGTACGAAAGGGGTACGTAGTAATCCAAGTCAGCACATATGCTCTCTTGCATGCTTCAATCGTCTAAGACTCTCTGGAAGACGAGATCAACATGGAATCCAAGTTTGAATGGCCGGGGAATGTCAGACGATCTACTCCCCCGCACAACTCGTTCAAGATGAACATGCGTGCTTGCGCTAGACGTGCGACCGCTCAGAAGGGCAGATTGGCGAAAAGTGAGGATCCGAAAAAGGTTACATCTCCAAGATGCTATGACAAGGAGCACCAACGTCGTTCCAGTTCATTGACCGAATGGACATGGGACGAGCACGACTCAAACATGCCATGTGAGGCGTTTTCGCAGCTCGAGGAGCAGGGGATTCGATATCTGATTCGTCGGCGTCTCAAGATCGCGAATGAAATCCCTTGTGGTTGCTGAGCACACTACCTGGCGATCACTACAGACAGGCAGCATACGACCGTGCCAACCACTGCAGATTGCTTCCACTCTGCCTGCCGAAGGTGGCGCTCCAGTCAACCCGTTTACACAAGGAGCTGCCGCAGGTCACGCTGGCGCCCCTCAAGCTGGCCCCCCTGTAGCAACCGCCCCTCAGCCTGGAGCCGAGGATGGCATTGCTGCTGTCATCCGGCGTGGTTCCAGTTCGAGGAAGTCAAGCTCACGTCTATCCACCCGTTCCAAATTCAGAGACCATTTTGAGCGTCACACTGGATCCGTTTTCTTTTGTTCTGTTTATATACTGTGTTCTTGCTCTGGAGTCGAGGCTCGACACCAACACAAGCCACCCTAGATGGGTTCGGTGCACCTCTCGTTGCCCGGATGGATGCTCAAGCCACTCGAAATGTGTGCAAGACATTTGATGAACTGGTTCCCGGAGTCGCTGACACAGCTCATCCTTGACGTTACCAATGCTGCATTGCGAAAAGGCTGGGAAGATGATAACGATGTAATAGCCATCGGGAGTCGTTAGGCGTCTCAACGCAGCTATCAACTGGCTGTACAACCCCAAGCTGGTCAAGGAACTCTGTTCTCAGCTCCCCGACACTTCATTGGTGACGCTTAGCAGCCACGCAAGCACACTCGTGGCACAGCACTCTTATCACCGACACATGATCTTTAACCTCAACATGACAAGGGCTACTTATATACAACCCGGCAGTACCACGTGCACATTCTTGACGACATTGCATGTCTTTCGAGAAACCTGGGCGCAGCATGTCCACGCTCGAGCACCAATTCCAACTTTCGATATCCTGGATACTCGGCGCTCATCCTTCATCATGACTTGATTCTTGCCTCGTTGAAGTCATGCTATTTTTTTTGAACAAGAGCTTGAGAATGCAGGTGACTTCTGGGATTCCCTGTATCTCCAGCTCTCTTCTATATAAGCCACACTCAAGCTTGCGACATGGCTCTGTACACTGGCTGTCGATATCAAGACGAGTGAATGTGCCTTTTGCTGCTTCCAGCCGTTCGGAACAGGCCATGGTGTCTACAGCCGACATTTCCATCATGTCTGAAAAGTGCTGTGGTGTCCCTGTACTGTTTAGTCAGCTCTCCTTGGTCTGCAAGACTTCCGAAAACCTCTCAGTTCACAATGCCCTCCCTATACGGCGCAGATCCAGCCAACAAAGCACTGAGAATGACTGCAGATCGTAGTCCTGTTCCTTCCTTAGCTTTATCCTATATAAGCCACCCTCAAATCTGCACATTCCTTTGACATCGACTTCAGCACGAGTCGTTGCGCCTTTGGCTGCTTTGAGCCGTTCAGAACAGGCCCTGGCATCTACAGCCGATCTTTAAACCCGCTGGGGGTGAAGAAAGAGTCAAGGCAGGTCTCCAAAACCTTTCCAAGACAAGTTCCCATTGAGCTCATCCACCAATTGCTCTCTTTGAGCGCCGCCACGCTGCTTTTCCTTGATGTGAGCTCCTCAGCAATTCTTGCAACGGCGAGAAAATAGACACTGGTCTGAACAGTTTCCAAGTCTCCGTTCTCTCCAGCATCGCCGGACACAACAGCCCATATACATGGAAGCCGCGATATGTGACCGATCCGGCTCTCGCGCCGCAACCTTCCATCTCGCAAAAGAAAGACCGGTATATGTCAATCGCGCTCCCATGTTCTGTCCAAGAAATGCAACATGCAGACGATATACTGATGAGGAATATCCTGCCCCTACAGAGTTCGCGAATGCAGAGCCTGGACATGCCTCTCTTGTGTTCTCCTTTCCGAACATCTCTGCACCTTCTATTATTCTTTCTATATATAAGTCGACCAGACTTGCAGCTTCGTCACCGCTACTTCAAAAGGATGATATTGGACTATTCAGAACAATGGAATTGCAAAAAGACACTTCAAAGAGGCGTACAGGTTATGTCCCCAATACTGAATATGACACTGCGACATCTGGTCAAAATACCTCAACTCTGAAGTCTGCATTGAGACGTTGACCATCAAAGCACAATCTCAAGAGCAAGCCTACGAGTAATTCATCTGCCCCTGGTACTGACGTACGATCGTGCAGACTCCCGAATCCTTCCAAGCAGGACTTAACGCTAGAGAAATGGCGCACATCTACCACGACAGCGAAAGAGACACCAAGTACTACGTTTAGCACGGCACGCTACCTCAGAAGCTCATCATCCCAGCCTGGGACCATCTCGCCATTGGTGAGCCCTAGGCTGAGCCCAAGCATGAAGACATTGCCTCGAGGAATGGCCCATGTGTATTACGACACTCTTCGTGATACGAAGTTTTACGTCGAACATGGCACACTTCCCCATGAGCTCATCATACTAGCTTGGGATCACCTTGCCATTGATGGAACCGAGGCTGGTACTCCTCCAAGACCTGTCCCTTCTTGCTTTTCACTGCTGGTCTCACTACTCGTGGAATTAGCTAAGTCACCTTTGCGCACCCCTGCTTCCTCCACTTAGAAGAGGCAGGTTTCAACTTTGAGCGAGCATTTCGATCAAGTCTCGAATCATCAATCATGTCTGAAGTCAAATCCCGGACCCTGTTGTCCGCAGTGTACAAACTTTTGACTGCGAGGGAGCACCACAAAGAGGTGGATCTGACACATCTTTCCAAAGACCCCGCAGCCTTCGGCTTGAACGAACAAGACATGGATTTCGTCCAGATGCACCGGTGCGGAATGAAGCTGCCTAATGTCTCTGCGGTCGGCAGTCATCAGTAAGAGCGTAGTTTTGGATGTCGACAGACACGGAAACATCAGTAGCGTTGCCACAACATACTCACAGCGCATTATGACTTCTACCAACAACCTCATTGCCTCTGTTCTCCTTCGCGCCAGGACTTCCAGGTAGCCACATATGAGTATACAGCTCTAGGTGCGTCTTGCTTTGAGCTTGCTCGTGGTGCAAGTGAGGTTCAACTTATCTCGATCTGATTGGAGGAACGCGTATCACTACTTGACGTGCGGCTGCGAAGCAGGCGGACATCCGACAGTTTCTGAAGACTGTCGATGACACGAATAATGCCTTGAGCTTGTTTTCCGATCGTCATTTTCGTCAGACATCAATTCTGCTCTTGTATCGTGAAGCTGACTGGAATCTGCACCTGCGCTCCGCCAGCGGTACGCACGGTCCCGGCTCCCGTTACGAGCCCGGCTCGCCTCGCAACCCATTCCCCGGTCCAGGATCCCAGTACCGCGCTCGCCATGAAGCTGCTGTGTCTGTCCACACTTCTCCTGACGCGCTGCTCAACGGCGCCCTCGTGGCTTCTGCTGAGCGTATGCACCGCATACGCGAGGAGTTGCTGACCCCCTCTCGCCCGCGCCAGCCTGATTTTGGCCGTGGGTCCACCTCTCGTCGCCGCCGTCGTGACGAACGTTCTTTGTCACCTTTCGAGGACCTCGTGACCCCCACTTGCTGCAGCCGCGCTGCGCCTGCTTCGGGCTCTGCCCGTGGCTCGCGCAGCGTGCGCTTTGGTGAGACACCCATGGAAGACCAGCTTGCAGCTCTGCGTCGTCGTATTGAGGAGCTTATCTGCGCGAGTTACCCATCGGGTTCTCGGATCGCGCTTGAAGAGCCTGCTGCGCATCTTCCATAATGAGCCTACCGTTGTCTCTATCTTCGTCCCCGCCAAATTGATGGATAGTACTACTAGACTCTTTTAGAGAAACCTTGCCCCTATCATCCATCCATCTCAGCCGTTGTAACCTTGTTCACTACGAACACTAGCACGCCGAACTACTCCGCCCTATCGGTCGTTTTGCTCGCTTCCAACACGAAGAATGCGACCTCAAGAGAATGATGGTCGACCTTGTCGACGGGAAAGAAATGCCGGCAAGAGCCGCCACTGTGTTCCTCCCGCGTATGCTTATTCTCGAGGTACCCAGCATAAATTCATAGGACGACGGTCTCATTCGATTTACCAGACTGTGATCTTTTTAGGCAGACATTACTTGGAGAACGGCAATGGAAATTCCTTTCCGTTCCACTGGTCCGAGCGGCTTTCATGCCAATCCCTACTGATCGACATGACCAACTACGCGCAGTGGATCACCTTTGGCTATTGCAAGTGCCCCAAACTGCTTCGAGGCTAGCTAGAAGCCTTCGTCGACTGTTTCAAAACCTTGGCATTGGGCCGACCTCAAGATCATCAACCTGCAACAAGAGCGCAATTCGCTATCAACTGCCCTTTCCGCGTCGGATCCGGAGACAGAGACTATCAGAACGATCCATATCGAAGTGCAGAATAAGCTCGAATTGGTAGAATCTCTATCTGCATTTTACTATCTCATCCATTATGCTCTGGCAGAGTTGCCCGAGGACCTGAGATCCACGTCTTTGTATAAGATCAAGGAAGTCACATTACAGCTCATCCAGGCTGTCAACTGTTACGAAGATTTGCAAGGAAACATCGACAAGCAAATAGACAGCAGTACAGACTGCAGTGACATTGTCCCACAGCTCATATATATACACAGAAGCACATCACCACCACCAGCTCACGAGCATGAAACAACTGAGTCAGTAAGCATTGCAGACAAGCTAGGATACAACTCGAAACTCCAGCCCAGTGCACATCCTGGAGCAATACCTTTGCTTACTGAAAGACTACTTCCTAGTTGAAGTATCGTCAGCGGCGGTGATGACATCTCTGGAAGACCTCTCAGATCGGGATCGAAGAGCGTGACAGAGCAAAGTCAAGCTTGGTGTTTACACATCTCGCGCTACTCCTCTTTTTGTCTGCTCCAACTTGGACTTCGAACACCTCATCGGCGCTTCCTGTGAAGATGGGATTCTGAACGACACCCCCGCGGTCAGACTCGTCAGTGCTTTCTGCAAGGACGGGTTCGTATACAACACTGCTGTTCTTCGATCGGGCAACAAAATCACTTGCACCCTACCATGGGCTCAGATTTATGACCGCTATGGAGAGGGAGCATGCGGCCCCGTAGCCCCCGAGCTCCGTAAGGAGGACTTCGCTCCGTCGATCACCCTATGTGTTGTGTCCTAATAGACCGCCAGCAAGCTGTACAACTTTAAGATCGAGGAGTACATGCATGTCCGGAACCTTCGCCATTTCGAAAAAACCGCCGACCTGTCGCATAGTGTAGCTTTCGGCAGCGGACGCAAGAGCTTCATCGAAGGTCTCGTCGCACAAATGCTCAACGAGGAGCTGGAACTTATTCGTGGCGTGCTTTGAGATGTCGCTGCGACCTCAACAACACTTCCCGTCTTGCGTGACTGTTACCGGTTAGCAGCAGAGCATCAGAGACAAAGGAGGCTCGGCAACTTCGTATGAATGTAGGTATGCATGGAGACTCATTCTTCTATACACCGCAAAGCCCTAAGGCTAGCTCGCGAGAGGACATTACCAGCGGCTTGTCATGCTATTGCTCGCCATCTTGGACCTTGGGTTCTCTCTCTGAAGCTTTCATATATACACTCGATCGCCGTGAATGGCTTCGAAAAATGCAGGATTGAGCATTAGTATCAAGAAAGTCACCTAGGGCAAGAAGCGCGCACCCATCCTGCTGCTACTCCACCTGCGCAAAAGCTCTGACTACTTTTGACAATGTCAATACTCCACGAGGAGACAGTCCTCCTTCTTGATAATTGTCTGCTCGGCGTGGGAGTCATAATGATCGCACTTCTCGCTGGTGCTGTGTTGCAAGGGCAAGGTGTATCTCGCAAAGACGTTGCGCTCTCTCACACGATCATTTCGGAGTTCATTGACAGACATCCCCATAAGCGTGTCCAAGAAGACAGGATGGGAATTAATGATGAGAACCCTAAGAACTACCCACGTTGGAATGGTCATATGGGGCCTCTAGGAGTCACTAAACGCATTCAACAGCATAAAGGCAAGGAAAACTTGACGTCTGCATCATCTGTGATTAAGCCCCTTTAGAAGGCGAAGAAGGATTTCTACGATCTGTTCCCTGCACCGCCAACTACGTTGCAACTCTCATCTAGAGCATATCACGCGAGAAGAGTTGACTGGCTCAGCCCTCTCCTGATGCTCTCGACTCGCAAGTTTAAAGTCACATTGCCTCCACTGCGGTGGCACTTGGATCGACAGAGATCGAGTGAGTAATAGTTGCATACGAGCTTACTCATGAGCTGCGTTGGATGCTATCTCGAATGAATCTGTACAAGGCATACGAGCTACCAGTGCCAAAGACTCTTTGGCCTCAGTCGTTACGCCTCTGGCCGCCCCTGCTATCGATCCCAATTCAAATTTGGTCACGACCCCAAGGAGACGTCCCTGACTCTCCTCTCTACAATTTTGACGACGGCCAGCTCGCTGTTTCTCGTCGTACATCACTCATTTCGTATATGCATGGTCTGGGAATTACGCTTTAGTCTCTTCGTAGAGCACCTTGTGCGTAACCTGGGCGGTGTGAGCCGCCGTCGCGCGTCGACAGGCATGCATCCAGCATGAGATCAGCGCCAACATTGTACTTTTCGATGCCATTGACCAAGCTTTGGCTTAGGACATTGACTTGTCTTCGAAGTTGTTTATTGTTCATGGACCTGGATATTGTTCCTAAGACCCTCGAACTCTCTATGCCACGACCTGAACGTTCTTTTTAGAACCCTAGACTTCTCTCTGCCTTCGCCGGTCGCGCGCTCTGACATCTCTCCTGCGCGAACGTATCTTGCCTCGACCATTGCGCATATCTCTCTCTACAATGAAACCCGCATTACATACACCGATGCGCCTGGTTCCATTCTCCACGACCCGCACACACAAACCCTTAGCATAGAGAAGCTGAAGGTCAAACATCTTCGTGAGCTTCTTTCTGGGTTCCTGCTTTAGGACTGTTTTCTTGACGGGGAACTCGGAACTTTTGTACGTCCTCCCAATCAGTCTCGAGAAGACAACGGGATGGCAATTTGTATATACCGAGCACTCAGCGCGCTTGAATGTCTTCACCTGCTGGACCACTCGAAAGCAGCACGACGATCCTCGAAGTTTGCGAGAAGTGCGAATTCAAGAGCTCGAGACTCTGATCCGATGACAACAATAACATAACCTCAAAGTCGGACCGAATTTCGGTGTTGGATGGAACCCCTTGGTCACATGTAAGAGTTGGCTTTGAACGTCTTCATAGCTGCTCAAAGGTTTGGTCGAGCACAAAGAGGAAATTCCAACGACCTTAGCCTTTGGCAATCCAGATGCCTTATGCTATCTAGCACGGCGTACCTGCAACAGCTGTACCGTGAGATCAAGTCATACCAAGAGCAGACCTTATAGGAAGACTTCTTTTTGCAAGTCACCGACATATAGTGCACACACCGCACTAGAGATCGAACATGTGCCGTATCGTCGACTCGAACAACATCCGCTTCGGCTCTGCTCCTCCCCCTCACATGCCACAGCAGCAGAATGGCCAAGCCTTCCCTCCTGCCCCCAAACCAATGGAAAAGGCAGTCCCCGGCATCACCAAGTTCGAGCTGGTGTTTATCCTGAGCAGAGTTGGCTCGTCGCCTTACCCATCCGCCGTCAAGGCGTATCTCGAGGAGAACATCGATGCGCTTCGGAAGAAAGCTGAGATGAACGCGCGCCAATCGCGCCGTCTTTGTCGAACGTGACGATGATAATGACTAAGCCCAGGCAGCAAGAGTCTGCATGACAACCCACTCCGACTTGAATCTTGCTTGAACATATATCTTCCGCCCGGTCCACTGAGAGCACCGTGATCTACCCAACCATCATCCAAGCTTTCTCCAGAAAAAGTCTTGTCTCTCTGGGGTAGTCGATATTAGCCTGTATGAGCACCGCTGATATCCACGCCTCAAAGAAAACGATGAGAATCGAGTTTCTGTCCAGCTTGACGCTCAAGTCTGCTGACTTGGAAAGCACATGCTTGAACCAGGTCTTTCTAATTTGTCCTGTATTGCGTGGGCTCGAGTATCAGCATAGTCTGATCCTGGGCGCTGGACAGAGTGACTCACCGTTCGCCGTCATGGATTCCCCGCCTATCTCCACCGAGTTCGAGCCTCTTGGATCTGGACCGGATATCTCTGATGCCGTCACTCACAATCGTACCGTTGTTCGCACGATGCTGCGGTCACCCGAAGCGCATAGTCCGTCGCATTGGGTGGAGGCAGATAATATCATTGACAAGCAGCTCTCCATGGGCACCCTACTGCCCGTAAAGTATAAATACTCGAGAGTGGAAGACGTCGAGCTGAAGGAGGATATTGCCACGGCTCTCCGATCGATGACACCTCACCAAACCCAGGATTCGTATATCAATGTCACACAACTCATGAGAACTAGAACGAGTATAGCTGGCGGATGTTTCGTGACACCGATGACGAGTGAGGCGCCCTGAGATGTCTTCCACCGTACATAGAAGCAGCGCAGTGCATCAGCCAATTACTACACATAGCGCAGCTTGTGCATCGTCTACGATCCCGCTAGGAAGCACCTGCCACGCGATGCTCAGCACTTCCAGATCAAGGCCAGATGGGGAGGCCGCACCGAAAACGGCGCTTGTCCCGCATGCAAGATCGTGTGGAACTCTAAGTCGACAAAAGTTACTGTGCATAGCATATGCATCACTACGGTTTGGAGTTCTCTTAGGCCATCTTTACTGTTTTGGAGACGCCACTCACGAGCCTGGTTTTGCACGTTTTGGATGACGAAATGACAAGCTCACTATGGTTCGTTCAGATGATTGGGTAGCCTGCTAGCACTTTGAGGGCTCTCCTCAACGAAGATGCTCACTTTGCACGATCGACTAGGGCTTCGGTCATCGTATCTGCATATCTGTTCTCGACATTTACACTTGTGAGCGCTGCGCCCTTCACGTCGCCGTCGCCGACTTTGGTGTGTTGCCACTGTTATGCCTAGCTTGCGCCAGATTTCTGACACCTTGCGCAAACTGCGTTGTCACCATCTCGCCTCCTGTTCGCTGTAAGCTTTCCTCTGTTTAGCAGGATCATTGCAGCCCTCATGTACAGACTGAGCTCGACGACTTGAAGAACTCTACTTCCTAACAATTATTCTCAAAGCTCAAGACTCAGCTTCAAAGCCTTAACACTTGAGTCGCCTAACACTAGGCCGATCTCAATGCTGCTCGAGTTGTAGAGCAAGCTGCCATCAATCGCGAGACTGCAGCTGCAGCAGAATCTAAAGACTTGCGCTCTTAGCTTACCGCTGCTTAAAAGAAAGCAAGCGCATGATACGATGGATATCGCAGTCGCCGTACAGACTTCTGGATTAATAGCCGAAAAGAAGGACTTACAAGAGCAGCTGGAAGAGACTCGTGAAGAGTCATTAGCAGCGTATAAGACAGAGCAAACTGCGGTGGCAGTCGCAGACAGCATGGTAGTTCCAGTCCCTGGAACTCCAGTATACGGAACTCAAATATCCCAAAATGCGAGTGGATTTTCGTATGTCACGCCCACTGGCTCGACACAGCTGGCGATCGCGAAAGCCACTGTCACGAGGGACAAAAATCTCGCATGGGCATAATGACTGACGCAGCAAGAAAGACCGCTAGCCTCGATACAGGCATCGTGTTATCAGCGGAAGCTGGTACGATTAGTGCTCAGTTTGTACTGCCATTGGATGTCCTACCAAGTGATGATCCGTTTCTGACTGAGCGGGTATTTGCAGCGCTGTGAATGCGGCCACGAGAGGCACCGTGCTAGAAATCGTGGTGAGTGTCAAAAGTAATAAAACTATCGCGGAGATGATGCAGACCAGGCAACATTGGTCTCCGTGATGGAACAGTTGGCGGAATCTCTAGCGCCAGCGTTCCCCAGAACAAGTGACCCCTGAATTGCGCATGTGAAGGACGTCAAGATGTAGATGCCCTTCACTTCAGGAGAAGGGGAGCGAACGAGTAGACAAAAAACCAGAATTCCATCGGATTTGCACACTCGTGGGGCCCAAACACCCTGAATCCAGTGCCTTTGCCTGAGCCTGACTGCCTGTTGCACAGAACACTCTGCGTGATCATCATTCACGGCACAACATTATCTATCCACCAAGATGGAAATTCAATATGAGTCGGAGCCCAGGACAAGGGAAGACACCTCTTGTAGTGCTCTAGAATCCAACCATCAAACCGTGAAAGAAGCAACGATAACATCTAAAGGAGAGGATAAGTACTGCCAATAGCTCGTTAAACATTCCATGGGTGGTGTCTTCGGAACGAACATGGCTATGGCGAAGGTATTACTATCACTATCAGGATAGTCATACTAGGGTGGAAGAAGAACTGAACGTCTGGCTGGTATGCATAGCTCATAGGCGTTAACAAGTCACTCATATCCGACGAATTCGCTACTATGACCTTGTAAAACGGACTAGCAAATTGCAGGTCAGAGAGACGTCGACACAGGAAGGAAGTTAGCGAGACCTTCACTTAGTCTTGATGTGACGAGGTGTGCGAAAGTGAAGCTATCAATAGACCCCCCAATTTTGAAGCGTTCTACAGACCGTACAGCCACTGTAATTCTACCACCCTAAACTAGCCACGACTCTCCATATTATCATCTCCCCCGACCTCGACCTCTTCTCGCGACAAGGGTCACGGCTCCCAATTACCCTACACCCCTTTACATATCAGACTTGGAGATCTTGCCATTCATCTCATCTCCTCTTTTCCCTCTAATCCGCGGCGCATCTCTACATCCAGTTCTTACGGCTCCGACTCCAAGAATTGTCAAATTGGCATTTCGTCCTGGATCGACAAGAAAATCTTTCTCCAAGAACACTCCTACCACTGCTAAACACAATGGACGATAAGCTACTAGAGCCAATCCTCGTGCGAGCTCTTAAGCGCATCGAGAATCTCGAGAACGAGCATGCTAAGAGCGAGACCGAGAGAAAAGCAGCGCAGCGTGCGTGGGATCATTCGTACAATCGTCAGGACGAGATGGAAGTCGAATTGGCATCACTGAAGAACAAGATTCATACATCCGGCGAGACACAGAATGGAGAGTCACAAGCACTGAGGAGGATCTGCGAGACACAGCAGCGCACTATCCAACAGCAACAGACCAGTCTCGCGAAGATGCAAGTCGAAATTGATAAACTCAAGCAGTACCCTCGACGCGTCGATGACTTGGATGGTACGACTCTCGACATAATCGATGAGCTTGATGCGCAGAGGGAGATGTCCAAAGCCGAACGAGACATCCGTATCGAGCTTGGAACATCCATTGTCAGTTTGAAGTCTGCAACTGACCAGATCCTGGCACATATCCGCGCACATGTCCAGCTCACTGGAAGCATCTTGGACAGGGTAAGCTCTTCCTGAGTTCCTAACCTACTTTCTCTACTGATTGGCTCCTTCGCAGACCTCATCCACCGGTATACCTCTGAGACTGGCGATCCTCTACAAAGCCAACCTTAAGGCTCTCATCCTCACGTCTCCGATCCTCACAACGCAGACTCCGAAGCAGAGTACGGATGTTGTCTATGATGCAGGCGGTACATACCAGACCGCGCCACACAGAGTTTGGGTTGAGCAAGGCATTCTATACACTAATGGCCATCACGGCGTTGATGTCGCTAGCGGAGACCTTCTGCTGGAGAGTTGGGACCAGCAGGTGATCGACTGGACAGCAAGGTACAAGGAGTGGGAAAAGCTTAATGTACCCTACCAGTGCATCAGCTCGTTGCTAGCAAAAGAGCTGACTGGCGTCCCGATTCCTACGACCATGCCGGCATTTGCCTGCAAGAAATGTCAGAGGGAGCGCAAGCTGTGCGTCGCATACGACGCCACCAAGAAGCACCTGCGACTGCTTCCTCTTAAGCATGTAGCCAGCGGACATATTGGCCTGATCACACGCAGCGCCTTCATCCGGCCATTGCTCAAGCTAAAAGTACGCCAGCAGCAAGCAGATGGCGCCCTTGAAGACAATCATGACTCGACCGATCACTCTAAAAACGACCAAAGGCGCGATTTCGACGAAGGCTACAAAAACAGCCACTCCGATCGATTCAGTAAAAGCCACGAGACCAGCCTCGCCTACCAGCCCGCAGATACCGGCAACGGGGACAACGGGGCCGACGCCATGCTGCTCGACATGTGATGATCCGTTGAGCAACTCAAAGCTGGAATCGACACATTGAAGTACGTCACGAGCCGCAACGACGCAGACCAAAGACCGACTGCAGTTGCAGGGGATGAAGGAGGTTGGTTCACAGATCCGGGAGCAAGGAACTCCATGTGCCCCTCCAGAAGGACGGGAAGAAGGTGGCTGATGACGCATGGTGGGAAGGGCAAAGCAAAGGCACTCTCGGTAGCGAACATACTGCGAAATCATGCTTTGATGAGCATGAGGGAATAGGCAGCGAGTTTGGAAAAGACGACAAGAGACGGAAGAAGAAGCGCGCACTCATCGCAATGAGCCAGCGCTCTAGCATTATATCAACATCTGCATATTACAGCTCACCCAAATTTCAAACATGCAGAATGCTGGTCCAAAAGACTACACGGATCAGGTTTTTGGAAAAATCACATTCGGATCGGGATCGTCCATACGGCTAGGCACGTTAACGAAAAGTCAAATACTGGTGATACAGCGGTCAGGCAGATTATACCGCATCCCTCGCAACTGGTATTCAAGACGAGATTCTTGACACTGAGTTCCTTAAGAGAGGACATACGCGGTATCGCGTACGCAGGAATTATAGTGAAAGGACTCGTTCTTGTTGAGTGTACTCAGCAAACTATCTAATCCTCCTTGTCGCGGTAAAAGCAGCTATAGGAGCTTGTTGATTACCTTGATATCTGTGGGACAATATTCGACATCCACACTGATGGTATTGTGGGAATATAAGTGTAAACTTTGATCCATATGATGGATTCGCATTGCATGTTGTGAGCACGAAGCCGCACTTTCTTATAGTCTCTGCTCCTTATCTTCCGCCTCAGCACTACCTTTGCTTCGGATTCCATGGTGGCGGGAGTTTGGACAGGTACATTTGAGATACCAGAAGTGTGACTGCTAGGTGCCTTTCCTGGCTGAGTTTGATTGGTCGCCATCACATTGGTAGGGATTGGACAAGGCGGCGCGAAGGAGACACCCAGGGCGTTTGAAGTGTGCTGGCGCGTCTTACATTCGAAGATGACAGCGGTGCGTGAAAACATCAACATGGTCTCAGCAAGAGGGCTACAATCTTCCGCAGTTTCTAGTTGAACTACGATTAGCCTGACGCAACATCAACAGATCTGTGATGTGTGGTTCCTCGAGATTCGTGGCGTGCTGGTGTGACCCTGTCGGGATTTTCACTAGCAGCTCAATTTTCCATATGAGCTTAGTATCTGATAAATGAGGGGAAAACAGGAGTAAACTATCGTACTGCATTTTGTGGAATTTGAACTATGTTTTCCTTCGCTATCTCTACATGAGTGAGCCGATCGTCAAACCCAATTCTGATTCGACTCTTTCGACCTCCATCACGCACTGAGCAGACTGTGTGGTTCACCGTGATTCTGATGACCACAGGAGACTCAGCACTGCGCCAGTGATGGAAAGCAGGCGACGGAAAGCAGGCGACGGAAAGCCGGCGATGGACAGCACTCACAGCGTCATGGGGCCAACCCATCCTTCTCACCACAAGCTTCGGGAGACCGCTCGTTCATCAATACACCAAGTATCTCATCCAAGAACGGTAGCGCAGTCTTTCACATGCTCAGGAGTAAGAGAAGAAGAGAGTGAGCCCCTAACAGCTGATGTAAAAGATCCTGGACAAGTTGAGAGGAACTGGCAGCTCACCGTTCGAAGTATCATCATCAAGTGCAGGCGTTGTCATAAGTTTCAACCAGGTCTGTGCTTCCCATGCAGAATCGTTCAACTCCTGTCGAATGCCTTCGTCGTCGTTCTCTCGAAGCCCGGTGTGTGAAAGCCCCGTTTAGCCAAATCGACCTGACTGAGGCTTGATCCAGCTAGCGCGCAGTGAAGGACCCTGCATGCGGAGGGTACACCGAGCATAAGTACCTATATCATTAAGGGGATATAGCTCAGGAGTAGGATGAAAAACAATTTTTGGAGATACTGGCAATATCTCAACGGTATTGCATTTTGTACCTGGTCGCGTGCGTGTCGGCTTCGGACATGCCGCACCATGTTCTACCTCGTGCGTCTCTCATCTCTGCTTCATCTCCCATCTATGTTCAAACGACCGGTTGACTTGTACGCTTGGAAAGCCAATAGGCAGATCGCCTTGATCAAGCTCAGTTCCCGACGTCTAAAAAACGCTCTGGTGACCGGCATGTTGTACCTTGTTTGGAAGCGGCCCGGACGGCTGACGGCTGCGAGAATGGCACATGCGTTCACAAGCTGCGGAGGACACTCCGCACATAATCGGTCTTTCAGGTGGGTCGCCTTTTCCATGCGGAACACTACTTCAAGGAGATTTGCCCTGTTTTTGGAGAACGCCTAGCGGTCCGGTGCATCGCGTGGTAGAGTTTCAGCAAACCACCCAAGCCAAGATCACACATCGGAGCCTCGCAATAGAGGACACGATCGGAGGCAGAAGCTCGTCCCAAGAATGAGAAACACCTGGAATTTGGCATCTCCATCTCGGATCATGTTCTCTCTGGCATTGAGATGACATTGCGAATCATTGCATTAGGGCCATGCCGGTCTGAAGTATGGGGATCAGGGGACTGTTTCTATTGAGTGGTCGGAACATGGGAGATTGACATGTGCCGGCCAGCTATGGAGCAGACATGACAATTCTGTCAGTGCTTGTGGGCTCATAAACTTCCCACCGGTAGGCCGGCTTGGTAACCTTTTCCTCAGATGTTGTGTCTCGAATTCTAATCTCGCAAAAGCAGATGGACCCGCGCCCTCTCAAGTGTCTAACTCATCAAGTCATTGTTCGCCCTTCGATCCGCCCTCTCACTCTACGTATCAACGCCATGGCCAGTGTTCACCAGAAAGTAGCCACCGGTCAGCGTGACGTTCGCTTGAGATCTCTGGATGGTTGCCAAACCTGTCGCAGGAGAAGAGTCAAGTGTGACGAAAGCAAACCTCGGTGTAACGGATGCATACGTCTAAATCACTCATGCTCTTGGACACGGGACTGGAAGTTCAAGGACCATACATCTCTGGTAGCAAGAGGATATCGTGTGTCGGCTGGACCCCAAGATTCCGATCAGTACAGACCGACCTCGACGGGCATTATGGCCAGCCTACAATGGTTGCCCGTTTGGAATGCATGCCCAGCAGATGCTGATATGGATCATGATCTAGAAGTTCCTTTGTACCGAATCCAGAGACCGCAAAAGCTCCGCTCTAGAGAGTGCCGTATGCCACTGCAACTTGACAACGTACTTACGGAGCGCTCACAACTACTGAATTCTGCATTATTTCACTATCTCCCTTCTGACGAATACAACCTTGGAAAGGAAGGCCTGGACGCGTCAGCCTCGATCAACATTCTCACTCTTCATAATCGCCCAATATCAAACCCGCAGTCATCAGCACTCAAGGCCGCAATCGATACGTTCAGCCTAGCGCAAGCAGCGTTGGTACTTGGCGACGCTCGCTTCGCCGCAGCATCTGTCCGGCGATATGTGGTTGGCGTGGCTGCCCTTAGGTCTGCCCTGTCCCGTCCACAAGACTCAAGTCGAGATGAATTAATACTGGCCATGCTAATCTTCCAGCTGGTAGAGGTACGCCTATTGGTGGCAGAACACCAGGAGTCTAGAGCTGACATGGCTGCAGATCATGAAACCAACTTCGCAAAAAGGGGTTTGGGCGGTGCACAATGCAGGCGCTCAGAGGTTTGTTGAGAGCCTTGGCCCATGGCAACTACAAGATCGGTACGAAGGGGCCCTGTTCGATTCAGTTCGACAAAATGCGATCTTATGGGGCATTGTGCACAAAAAAGAAATATCCTTCGATCAACGAATATGGATGGCGATGTCGGAAGCAGCTATATCGGTTACCAGCGAAAGACGACTCATTGATATAGGCACAATGATACCTGGCCTCCTGGTTGTCACGCAAGACCTTCTTCAAGGATATGTCAAAGACGGAGATTACATCCCAATCTGGCAGAATCTCAAGCGTGTTCAGGAAAACCTGCTTACTTGGATTCACCACTACCATACTGAGAGCTCATTCGCGGTCAAGGCATGTAACGCCAAAAATTTCCCAGCCTACTTTGACCAGATAGGCACAACGAGCGACTTGCTCAGGCACGGTTTCGTTTTCTCCAAGTTTCACGATGCTTGGTTCATGTCTACAGCGTGGATCTATCTCTACGCTATCCAGAATGCCCTTCTACGTGTGGCGCAAATCACTTCAGGGATTGCAACCGAGGAATATCTGGACGAGCTACAGAAGTCCGTGCATATCGCGGTCTGGAATATGTGTCAGACCATTCCAAAACTTCTCGAGCATAGTTTTGGCTTTTTGGGTCGGATTTGTATCTTTCTGACATCGTCCCTGAGGAGGATGTACTTTGAAGCCATCGGAGACCTTAATATGATCGAATGGTGCCAAAGAATTGATGCAATCCTGCATTGGCGAGGTGGTGTCGCACCTCTCTGGATGTCCAAATGGGATGACGCCGTACGGCCGTGCCTGAGTGAGACAAACCGACGAGCAGAAGAGTTCACCGGCATCCGACTACGATTGTGATCCATGAATGTCGACGGCCGCAAGTATAGATTTAGAATCAATCTCAAGTGCTGCTACTCATGCTCATCAGCCATGTCTCTTGCGATTGTGAGGTCATGGCGAGTTAAGACCCTCGTGGCTACCCAGAATCTCAGTCCATTGCACTGTCTGCCATGTGGAGCGCCAAAGAGGTCAGATCTGGCGAGGCTTGGCCGAGATACAGAGGTCGGAGCAGAAGACAACATTCGTATAGTATACGAACTCGGAATAGCATGACGCTTCACTTGACTCCCGCAAAATTTCGGCCGAAGCGTTGGTCCATAGAAGGGGCTGTAGACCATTCGATGAATGTGGTTGGCAAAGAACGACTGACTTTCGCACCGGGTTGCCTGAATTGGCAATTATACAGTTATGCTCCACCGGTCATGGGTTGACGCACAACGGTAGGCGGTGGCGCAAAAGCTTGTTTCCTTCCAGGGTGATCCCATCCGACGACAGCTCCCGATAGCGAGACGGCGTAGCTTTACCACGTTCTATGCTATGGGCCATGAGAGTCTTAATATAGGTACCTCCTGCAAGGAAGCTCATTGCGGGGCTGTATGAAGTCATCCCGAGCTGTCGCCAAAGCAGTAAAGAAACGGCCAGACAGCGTCGCACGCCTTGTTGGCGTAAGTTAGTATTTTTTCGAAGTGATTGTGCGAAATACGTATGGTTTGTGTGGGAGCTTTTCTTCTCCAGATTCTGAGAGCGATGGTGCTATGGTAAGGAGAATATCACAGAAAGGAAGTGGTTCGGTTTCCCTCATCTCATCTAGATCTTCGTCATGCTAGAACTCTGTGTCAAGCGGCTCGTACCACTGCAGACCGGCGAGTCAGATAACAGATACCGTTCAGGAACTGCCGACCCTGATCCGCCCGCCGAAAAACGCTGCTCGCAGGAAGGTGCCAAGAATGGTTAGCACGAAGTTCAAAATGGTGTTGCGAAACAACGTGATAGCTCTGCCCGTCATCAACCGACAACGGCGACTCTTGACCCAACATCTTTACGTTCAAGCTCTTGACATAGGCGTGTTCTCGGACATGCCGAGCCACATGATAGATGCACTCTTGACTCCACTCGATGAGAAGGTAGAGTAAAATCATTGCAACTGCATAACCGGAACTTCTGATACGCACTTCATAACGACGAAAAGAGGGTAGTCGCGCTTGCACGTTAGATTCACAACATGGCATAACAGTCGAGACCGCAGCCCAACGCCGATGTTACCTGGCGATGGGTGGGGCTTCGGGACTTGGTCCTGATACGGTTCTCCAACGGCTGTCACTATGGTCAATGTAGATCCTCGAAAACACGCAACAGCACGGTAATAAGATCTCTCACACTAGCTTCATATCGACGACCTATTCATGGAGTCATCTGGTCACTAGCAGACTCCATGATTAGCGAAAACTCCCTTCATCAGTACAAGTAGCAGTCTAGGTAGCAAGAGGACCAGATCTGATTGTGCAAGATTCTTGCTATGCACTGACTGATGGTTGGACTCGTATCCGGGTCCCATCTGGCTGTAAGGAAACGTTCAACGTTCGTCGAAAACAGCGAGATGCCGGCCTCCGTTAGATGTCTCAATTAGGAACCCGTTCCTAGCAAAAGCTGGCGATGGTTTGGCTTGAGGTCGCAAGGGAATAATCGACACAGCCTGAGACAGCACCATCATTAAAGTGGAAAATGATGGTTTGCGGTTCGATTGACGGCACTCGGATTCGCGATAGAGAATTCATAAGATCTCTGCAACCGCCATTGACTCGCAGTCATCTCCATCTTCCATTCCTCTTGACGAATCTTCTATCTGCATCCACTTCCCCCCTCGCTCAACGACAGCACATCTCGCAACTACTCGCCGTTTCGTCTACGAGTTATTGATACAACCTCTTTGTGCCCCAGTCTTCTATTCTCATCCTCTTCAAGCTCGCGCTTCAACCGCCAGATCTGATCCTGACTGGCACGATGACTATCCAGATGGAAGATATCCTGGCAAACAGAGTCCCAACCCCTTGGACATACGCCTCTTTTGTCGCATATCTCTCGGACAACTACTGCTTGGAGATTCTCCAATTTGCTCTGGCGGCCGCACAGTACAAGGAGCGCTATGATTTTGTTTCGAGCATACCTGGGAGGAGGGTTTCCTTGCCATCTCAGGAGTCCCAAGATCTCTTGATTTTGTGGACTTCGCTTGTCGAAACCTACCTTCTACCCGACGGCGAGCGCGAAGTCAATCTGCCTTCTCAAATACGCGATCCCATCATTGGCTATACACTAGAGCAGCGCGCTGCCGATCCTCAAGTTCTTGAGTCGGCCATTCTTGCGACTTGGGAGTTGATGGAAGGATTGATCCTGAGCTCATACGTTTCCGGGGTCCCTCTACAGTCCTGTCTCCCTGGAGCGTCTCAGCCCTCTGGTCGTTTTGAAAGAACAAAAGTCCACGCCGGGAACGAACGAGGCCGCCGTGCGAGAGTGGCGGACATCCTGCACAGCTCCCGGCCACGAGTTCGCAAGATCATCATTTCACTGTTCGATCTCTTCGCCCGGCATCATGTCTCTCGCTCTCGGCAATATACAAGGAGGTTTTCCCATTAGTCACGAGGGTATTGGAATGCAAGTCATCGAATCAGTTCCACATCGAATGTGATTCAGACAATGGACATGGTTAGTGTCATCGACAAACGAAGGAATAGCGACTCTGTCATTCTGGTCGCTAGTCGCTCGTCTCTCAACATTCCTGCCCGTATTTGCTCCATTGTCTTGCGCTCAATCTGCAAGCCTCCCTCTGATACAACGTGCCGGTAGTACTATAAAACTCTGGAGTTGATTTAAATCAGAGAGAGGCAACAAACACAACATTGCTTTTTTTAAAAGCTCAGCACCCGCCCATCTAAATGTCGGAACCGTGTACTGCCATGATGAATGGATGCAAGGAGGGGCCACCTTCCATGTTCGCCCCTAGAGCAGACCAAAAGGACTCGAGGAGGTCTGTGATCGACCGAGATTGAAAAAAAAAACCCATTGTCCGCTGCTTTGTCTGTTCAAACGAGCGGACGAGCTCAAAGTTGCACCAAAGTGGGAGACTCACAGACCTCGTAACTCTTTGTTCGTGCTTCAAGATCCTGTCACGGAACAAAGAGTCAGGAGTGAGCCTGTTCCAGCTGAACCGAACGAACGATGTACATCTTCCAGTGTCATGTTATAAGGAAGGAAAGAAGGAGCGGGAAGCTTTGCTAGCCTTATAGGTGGCATTTGGGTGTTGTTGGTCGTGATATCAAGAGCCTCCGGAGTCCGCCCTATGGCGGCAGCTACCAATCTGACATATACACATATATATTCATCGTTTAGTCCCTCGATCGTACCACCCTGGTTTCAAAGTGAACATAGAATTGAAGTCAAGCTCTCAACGCAATATCATTTGATGGAACAAACAGTCAAGCTCATTGCCGCATGTCGACAAGTACGATACTTCGTCCTGTCATATACCAACGGTAGGTCACAAGTACATCATCTCGTTGTATATCTATCGACCTCTGAGACACATATAACATTCACTTTCGAGTCTCGAGAACTCAGCAATCTGTAGCCATCGCTCCAAGACACCTCTCAAGACTCCACCCCTACTCCAAGGCAACAAGTTACCAATCTGGCCAAGCACCAGCATGATCATTTCCAGCGTATCCGGCGACTGATCAAGAAGCTACTGTGCAAAGGGTCAGGAGGTCTGTGACACCAACTGAGATGCACAATAACCTGTACTCGTAGCGGCAGTTCATCTACTACGCGCCAACGAGGTATGGGTATCCACGCGCGGGGTCATAGACCTGAACAGTTCATTCCTCTGCTGTGTGGCCCAGTGTATCAGCACGGCGACTGTTGATGGAACACATTCGCGATGCGTTCGAGGTCATCATGAGCGCTGAGCGCTTCCTTTGTGGAAAGAAGATAGATGATGACAGTTGTTGTATCTGCATTGCAATTGAGTCTGCGTATCAGCTCCTTGATAGTAAATATCTCATGGCCATGAGTATTCGCACAAGGAAATTTGAAGGAATCACAGCCTTCTCACACTGATCATGGATCTAGCGACTCAGGGCACAGCTGCTCAAGACAAATCGCAGCATCGATTTATCACTTATCTACTTCTACTGCATTCGTTGATATAAGGACTTTCGTGGGCTGACAGTATATATCCGAACCTACGCTGCATATTCAAGACCTCCTTCTTCTTAACTGCAACGACAGCACTCCGCTCATCCCGTGTGCTTCTGAAACTGTCAAGTCGAGAATTTGTGTGCTTGTAGAACGATGTGGACTCGCCTCCGAAGTAGGCAGTAAAGATGGCCAGGTCTGTGATGCTGCTCAACGGACTCTGCTCTGCTAACTGGATATCTTCTTCGATTTTGCACTGGACTGATGAGATTCCACGCGATCATTGGAGGCAGAGTTACGACTCACAGACCTGATCACCCGTTTCCCCCTGCCAATAGTACACCTCGGTAGGATTGCAATACGATGATGAAACCGTTGCACGACATGTAGGTTTGGTGTATACTTATTTGCAAAGACCTTGACAGTTTGGTACGAGTTTGAAAGACATGGAAGCAAGCCGGAGCTTATATACCTCTTCTTTAGCGATTGATTCAGTGTTTCGAAGGCAATCCATGCAGGTATCAGCAAACTAGGGCGAAGTTCAGCTCGGTTCTTGGGTCCAGTTTCGAGTCTGGAAGAACTCGTTTATACGTCCATTGTTCGAAGAGACGCAATACTGACCTGTGTCATTTTGGATATGCTAATTTACCGTCGCAGCATCAAACCGCGCGTCAAAACGCAGTAGCAGGTACTCCTCAGGCTGTCAATTATCTTGTGTATACAGCAGCTGATGTTGTAACTATGATGCAATCAATACCTCCAGCGGGTATATCAGTAGGTTTGCGGTTCGACGAGAGATACATCAACGCAGTGCCGTCGACAAGCCAACCTCGGGGCGCAACATCCTTGTTCGTGCAAGTAGTTTACTTTGATCTTGAAGACTGTCAGCAGTATGCACCGAGCACACCATCTGCGCAGACAACCAAAGAGCTTGAGGAGGTCAATGATGCGGAGATCCCCTCATCACTTCCCTATCACGAGGTAAACATAGCATCTTTTCGTTGTTCAACAGGAAAACATGCAGGACACTATGGAAGCGACAGGCTAGTTGCTGCATCACAGACCTGATGCTTTTCTTTCGACACTGTCTGTCTCAAGAAGATAAGATAGTCGAGAAGGCAGAGGACGAGAATCGTGTGGAGCAGATTCGAAGTGCCATTTCCGACTTTCGTGGATGTGGCTGTGACGATAATTGATCAAAGAGTCTGAGTAGCTTATATAATTGAATTCGAGTTCGGCACTCACTTCCTACTTTGGTAGTGCTAACTGAAACAAAGAGACAGTCTCAACGTCTCGCCATGATTAAAAGTATTCTTCACATCCCAGTGTTAGCTAAACACGAGCCAGTGAAGAGATATTCAACCCAAAAACAAGACGTTCAGAAGAAAGATGGAAGAAGACAGATGCATCAACGACATCGATATTCCTACAGCGAGACATGAATGCTGTGTTAGAGCGAACCACAAAAGTGAGGCGAGAAAAACAATTGGGATTCACAGAGCAAAAAGTGCAAAAAGACAAGATTTGCCCGGTCTTGGATTCGAACCAACGTCTGTAGGGTAGTGCTTGGTAGCGACTGAGCAACGCATTTCGGAACACAGCAGCCGTTCCCTCACACCACCCCACCACCGGGTGGAAAAGTGGTGATCCTGTGGAAATCTAACTTGTCAGATTTTGCAGTCGGCAGCTATCTTTGCATTTCCTGAATGATCCCAAAGGCTAAATGATTTGCATTTGATCCATCTCATTTCTGAGTACTGAATGTGCTTTAGATTATAAGCCATCATGGTTCTTGTATCCTCGGTGCTCTCCCATGGTTTAAGGGACCGCCAACCCTGAATGTACTATCACGCAAAAAGATGAAAGGGATCTTAGCTTGACAAGTCCGCATCCACTTTTTCAATATGTTATCCTTTTCTCCTAAGTCGTTACGGAAAACTCCCTGGACTTGCGCCGCCGCAGTAATGTTGGGCGGACTTATGTTGGAGTATCAACCTGTACTCAGCAGTCATTCAACCAAGGGTGAAGGCGGAAGTGAAAAAGGTCTGTGACACCCCTGGATGTCTACGGCCTCTGGAGCTGCATTTCGCAGTCACGACTCCATCATGTTGATATCAGCATCAAGGGGAAATACGAAGCAATGCAGGGAGATCACTAACCTGCCTGTTCGCGTTGCAAATTTGAATACAGTTCGGTGGCACGAGATTCTTGGTTGCGGGCAAGACAACTCTAGATTCTGCTCTCGAGAGGTCCCATGAGATCTCTCTTTCGGATAGACGGGGAGAACCATGGAAAGGATCTGAAGCCTTTTATACTGAAAGATACCACTCAGTGAGACTGGCCGAAAGCGTTCTCATGAGCTTTGCAGCAACTCTCAAGCCTTTTTTCTTGGACCGCAATCACAGTTATGATTGAGAATGCTAAAAGTCTTGAATATCACGCACCGAGACCACACCTGAGTGAGAATTGAGGCCGACGTCTTGCGCAGTATAACTACTTATGTCCATCTTCTGCAACCATGCTGTTCTATACCGAATGGAACTACGACCTAGGCGGCCTTCAGTCCAAACCAACTACGAGCTTGGAACGAGATACAGTATATGAATAGTGTCGAAGGTCGAGTAGACAAACGAGTACATCAGGTCAGTGAAACCATGACATAACCACACTCTTGGTTAAATCTGTAACATTAAGATAATAGTTTGCAACTATCAGATGTCAAGCACTCAAGATCTACAGTCGCATCACAGACCTGATCCCTTGCTGTTGCCTGGCACAAACACTATGTAGGAAAGAGCTGACAAATCAGACTCTCACCATTATAATGAAGCATTTGTGGACTTTCCAATTGGTGCAAAGGTCTGAGTGATATGAGAAAGAAAGAGATGTAAGCGATGAGTGTTTATATAGCTAGAAGCGGGAGATCCTATTGACAATCACCCAAGGGATCAAGGACTCATCCCCCACATCACTCCCTGATGACAACATTCTTTCGGACTAGTCTTGCTAGGGAGATCATCCCATAATCGCAGCAAGGATATCTGAAATGTCCCCTTGTACTCCAACACCCACCCCCATCTCCGTCAACTCAAAAGGACAGAAACCCGCAGCATCTCGGCCAACACGAACAAGTTTGATCTGTCCCTCCGACTCCTCCACAAGATCTTCATTATGCCATCTAAGCACAGAAGGCGTACTCATCCCCACCCCAATCTCCAAGATGACAACCTTGTTCGCGGATGACTCCAGCGCTCGCTCATAGAATTCGCGATATTCGCGTTCTTTTTGGCGGAAAGGATGGTCATTGAAGTAACTTCCTCCCCGTACACAAAGAACGAGATCGCTGTTGCAGTACGGGCAGACCGGGACGGGAAAGTCGGCGGGCAGATGCTGGGTGATGGGGTCGAGATGTGGTTCAGCGGCTGCTATGTATGGTGCAGCATCGAAGACTGCATTTTTCCTGCACTTTCGTATGCATTGGAGTTGAGCATAATGGCCTTGTGGAGTGGAAACTCTGGATGCAGGAAGTCCGTGGCGAACGAAAAGGCCATCTGCATTCGAGGTGCGGACAAAGTAGCGGTCGTCTCCGGCGTCTCCGGCGAAACGTGTGGAGATTGTACGCCATAGGTTGGAGTAGAGCTCTTGCTGTTGCCAATCTCGTACTATGATCAGGTGGTTCATGAAGTAACTCCACCTTGCTTGCTCTGAAGGCCAAGATTGGAAGCCAAAGACATCGTACAGACAGCGGAAGCCATACTTCTTGAAGCCTGGTAGATGTTTGGAGAACAAATCAGCGCTGGTATAGTCGAGTCCTGCGGAAGCTGAAAGTCCGGCACCTGCACTTATTATGAGGTAGTCGGCTTCTCGAGTGATCGTTCTGGCAGCTTGGATATTGGGCGAGTCGTATAGCTTGACGATGTGTTGTTCTCCCGCTGGAAAGACAACACCAGGGCTCTTGCCATCGTCATATGACAACTCGGACAAACTATGGCGATAGAGATCCAGATCACTCTCACTGAATACATCGAATACGACGTCCGTGATTGTTGAGTCGCAATGATGAGAGAACCATTCCAGTACCGTACGGACGGCGATAGAGCAAGCCTCGGCAGAAGGAAAGCCGAAGATGCCTGTAGAGATACTGCAAAAGACAAGTACTTTCCGTCCACTTTCAGGTACAGGAAGTTCTTCAGCTGCCTGTAAGCACGATCGATAACAATCTGCCAGCATCCTCGCTTGCTCGACTCTTGGAACACTACCGCGAGACATCTGCGGACCCACGGTATGTATCACATACTTCGAGTTCAGGTTGTATCCAGGTGTAACTTTTGCTTGTCCCTCAGCTTCCAGACATCCTTGCTCTTCCATCAAAGCGTAGCAAGCTTCACGAAGTCCAGGTCCTGCTGAAGCGTGGATAGCATTATCGATACATTTGTGTCCTGGGATGAAACAGCCTAGCATCTGACTATTGGCCGCATTGACAATGGCTGTACAGTCCCGGATGTTGGTGATATCGCCCTTCCACACGCTGATAGAAGGCCTCGACTGGTATTTCCCTGACTCTCTGTCTGTCAGGAGGCGTGGTAGAATGGGATTAATGTCGAGTGCGGAGACTTGAGCTCGACTTGCGAGATCGTAAGCAAGGGCGGTGTCGATGGCCTCTTTGATATCGAGAGGCAGGAGTGGTCTCGCTGGTCGAGCACAGAGCATGGTTTTCAATGCAGTCATCGCATACCAGTCGTCCAGGGTGTTCAAGTCACAGGTCGCAAATCTCGAATATTGCTTGGAAGTGTGCTCCTCATCAAGAAGAAAGCGTAGAGCACGGTGCATCTGTGCTCTGGCTGTGAGTCGTTCTCGGGCATGATGTTCGCTTGACATGTTCTCGCGCGGTTGGGAAAAGTAAGAGCAGAGCGAATTGAACGAATTTTGGTCAAGGTGGGCTCTGATCACGGATCATAGCTCTACCTCTTATAGATATACTTACAAGTCCATACACTCAATTCAAGAGCGTTTAGTCATTCCTGAGCATGTCTGAGATGTGCTTTGTCAAAAAGCGGAACGTTTCCGCTGTTTGACAAAGCCGTGCTATGAGAAGCGGATATGATTGAGAAGTAAATTTAGATTGCTCATCAGTTATTCATAGCGGGAGAAACGCATTGTCGACAATGCAACTCGTTGGCTGCAAGCTCGAGACCATGTTCGGAAGACGGGAGGTGTAAGGTTTGCTGAGGATCTCCGCATCTTATCTGATTCTGCAGGGGTGACCCTGCTTATGTCTCCTGTTGAATGGGGATCTCTGTTTGGAAATGTCGACTAGATCCGCCCGAGTAAAGCCGGTGATACGTCTACAGATTTTGGTGAGTTCTGTTGGATTAGCGCTTGCCATGATGAACTAAGACTTACAGACGAACAGTGGGCTCCCAAGTTGTCCTGGCAAGTGCCTTTCCGACGGATTTTATCTTCATTCGTCAATCTAAGCTAATATTCATCATTGAAGATTGTCATAGAAACCCAAGCTCTAAAGGTGAACAGCCTCTGGACACCTTGCCTCCATGGAGATACCAGGAGGTCTCGAAGACCAAAAAAGACACCTTGATCTATCCCCACTCATGCCCAAGGTCGTGCTTAAAGCCATAACTTGTGATCGGCCGAAGCATCGACACAAGAGACATGATGAGGTCCATGACACACACCCCTAGTCTCTCGCTCAGTTCAGGAATCAGCAATTCACAATTAACAGAGCATACCCCTGACTATGTAGAAGCATCACTGACCCGTGTAATTGCTTCGGCTTGGTCCAGGTCAGCCTTCGTCGAAGCCTCGATGATCGTGCGGTTTTCGATGTCCCTTTTCGCCCTGGCAGCTTTGACGGCCGTCGACGAGGTCTCTTTGGCGGATTGTTGGATGTCAGTGTCGGAGCTTGCGATTGTGGAGCCGATCTTCTGTTCGACTAGAGTAACAATCCTCTGTTGGAGATTAGCAGCCTTGACCAGTCCATGTGACTGCAATGCTGTGACGGCCTTGCTTGCGGCGTCTAGTTGATCGGAGAGTAAGGCTACGTTGTCGGCGCTCTGACTGAACTCTTCGCTCCTTTTCTTCGCGTCCTCTCTTGACCTCTTGATCCGGCGGATCATGGCGATCGACTCCATGGCGATAAGGAGAGAGTAGGTTAGAGGTGGACTTTGGAATTTATATGATTGGTGTCAAGTGCAAGAAGTGAGTGACAAGCAACAACTTTGTTGTTTCGCCTATGCACAGCTAACGCTATGCTACTGCTCTGCCTCTACTCTAGCCGAGCTCTGTAATTGAGAGAGATTATAATGATAGTTGTTAGATAACGAGTATGTTCGATGACTGCCACCCGAAATTTCTACACCGAATGCTATATGAAAAAGCTTTCCGGTATCAGATCTCGAGTCATTAGACTCTTCCGATCGACTCCGGCAACTGAAAGTAAAGATGAGCTCTCGAATATCCCTGCAGAGGTGTAGATAGACAAGGGGCTCGACGAGGTCAGTGATACTTCTTTACCGAGCGGTCTCCCTGATACAGTGCGTTAGCATGTGATCATGAGAGACTGTATAGGACTTGCAAGTCGCCAAAAGCAGGAGCATCGTCTCACTCCTTGAGTGGGGAAACTACAGAGGCATCACAGACCTGGTCAATTCCTGTCGGCTGCCACCTGGTCTTTGGTTCGGCGAAGATCTAGAACTTAGGTATCATGTCTTTTGTTTAGGCGATCAACATCTTTCGGATCGTTGACTCTGACTCAGTCCGGCCGTTCGTTTGATTGATTAATTTCTTCCTTCCTTTTGGCTTCCAACAGGCCGAGCTTTTACAGGTCCTTGCCGTGCATTTCCTCCGTAAAGAAGTTTGTAAAGGGAACGCTAGATGCCATCTTCTTTGCGAATGAGTAAATTGTGAGTAGGAGAAGCTTATTGGGCTATCTTCTTTTGGCCCAAAAACGACTTTCCATGCGTTTGTACGGCTTGGGAGGCTATGACTGGTTTATAGCGAGCGTGATCCTGAATGCACAGTCGCATTTGTTCGCTGATTTCATGAATCCCCAATGAGATTCGACAGTGTAGAGAAAACGTAAACATCGAAAATTTGCAGATGTCTTTTATGGTCAGAGTGGCAAGCTCGAGGAGCAACAGTCAAGCTTCTGAGCCTTTAATACTCAATCACATACATTTTGACCCAGCTGTATGTCAGTATGTTGTACGATAATCATCGTCATACACACATACAACCATGATTACAGGGCATCGAACAACGAGTCTGGTCAGACAAATTGTGACTCCACTTGAATATTCTCTAAAGGTCACCCTTCATGAAGTCTGCAGCAGTTAGAACCAAGAATATACTCATGCGATGCGGTATGGTATGAACAGTATCTGTAAAGGCACTATTGCTAGTGTGCGACTTGTTATCCACCAAAAAACCGTCTTTGTCATGGGAAATCTGCCTTCCTCACTCCAGAACCAGAACCATAAGTACAATTGCTCAGCTATGCTAAAGCCCGCATCACCCAATCCCCTTTCTCAATAATCACGAAACACACTCGAATCCCTGCCGTGAACGCATAACGCCAACGTCAGCACTGTGGGCCTCTTGGCCATGCTGTTCCTGACCTGAGCGCTCGAAGCTGCGGTTTTGATCCGACATGACTGATTGATTCCTGCGTTACGATAAATATGAATGTAATCAAGGAGCAAGATCATGGAGGGAACCGCTGATAGTCTAGGCATGCATACCTTGCTGTGTTACTGTATATCTGCGCAAAATGGAATCTCGCTCCGATGCGCGCAAGAAAAGTTGTGAGCACAACGGGGCTGAGTTTTGATGGTGCGGACCGCCGACGAGGTCCACGCCAAGACTCTGATATAGCCTTGACCCAGGACTAACGCGAGGGTGTTCATTGCCAAAGAGTGGGGATGCAGACTTGGGCCGGAAGTGTTGAAACGCTTGTTTCTAAACAGCTTGCTCTTTGGGTGGTAGCAAGTCTGAGTAGACTTTGACAAGAAAGAGCGAGCGTTACCATCGGACAAGGAAGAAATACATTGCGTCAACATATTTGTCTCGACGTCTGCAGGATTTGAAATTGTGATTGTGTCAGATGCACCGAACTTGTCGCGGTACACGGCGATCCTCTTGTCGATTTTCTGTTCCAGGAAGATGACCACGCTGATAGAGACACTCGAACTGGTTGATAGAGTTGCCGCGGGCACATAATACAGCAGACATATGCCCAACGTATTACTATGGAAGTCGTCACACCAAGACGACAATGATGGGACATCGGTCGATGATATTGTGGGGACGAGAGCCAGTGCGTATACATGTATATAAAAACTAGCATGGACGGTGAACAGCGGTTGAGTCTTTGAGTGTCACTCGTGCACAAGAGCCGATTGTGTAGTAGTCAGTAGTGTCTTCCTTGAACTCTTTAGAGAGAATTTGGCGGATGTTACCCTTCGTCTAGCCGCTCATAGACTCATGATCGACAAGTACTATCAGTTGGCGACTTTTCCGGCTTCTTCTCTGTCTCCTGGAACCTCCTCGACTGCTTCTCCTCATACGGCGGCCTCCAGCTCCTACAACCGAATCGATACAATTCAACGCGAGCAGGAAAACAAGTCAAAGCTCGATTGTTGTTCTGCACTTACTCGGAAGCTTCTCTGATGTGGTACTCTATGGTATACGTCACCATCGTGACTAGTAGAACAGTTTTCTGGTCCCTTATCACTCGACTTCATAGGCTTAGTGCAATGTTGGGTCTTCTCAGGGCTGTACTGCGATCGTGGTAGATTGGAATTCCAGGGAGGAGCTACGAAGCCCTTGAGAGCGACTTCATTGTCGAACCTAAGGATTGTCTTTGCCCAGAACAAGAGGAGAGCATCATCGTGCATCTCACGGCATGTGGCGAGGATGCTGTGTTGCTTGTGGTCGGTGGAATATAGCGCGCGGAGACGGTCTTCGGTCTCGACCTTCGACAAGGTGCATTTAGATCTGATGGCGATGACCTGGAGTGACTTTTTGGACATTTTGATCTCGATGTTGGTGAAATATAGTGCGCGGAATCGCTATTCAGTCTCGTCCTTTAGCAAAGTGCATGTGGATCTGATATCGATGATAGAAGAGTCGTCGACGTGGATCATGATCATCTTGATAAGCTCATGCGGCAGGTCGAGAACAGGAAAAGGTCTGAGAATTGTCTCTTGCTCTTCGTTGGGGGAGAGCAGCTTGGCTCTTGCTTCTAGTTGGAGAAATTGGCAGGGTCTAGGCCCAGAGGTAAAACGGGCCTTGATAGGGATGCGGTTGAAGAGATTGCTGCTCATGGCATCGAAGTTGGACGAGTCGGAGTTAAGCGCACGTCAAAAGAAGTCTAAGAAGAGTGCTCTCATAGTCGAGGTCGTGTATACTATAGTCCCGCATGATCCCGCGGTCGTGGCGCTCCTTGGCAACCATCTGAGCGGTTGGGACGGGTTTGATCCCGACCCTGACACGCTTTTTGATGCCGAGCTGAGTTGCCTCAGATCTTGCACCGCTTGTGCTTGGTGCCCTGGTGCTTGATTGACGTCAGACCGTATGGACTTCCGACCTCGTTTGAGCTTGCAAAGCTCAGCGACGCTGAGCTCTTGAGTCGGGGCTCTGTTCAACCCTTGGAGAGACAAATCCACACAGATCATTTATGTTCTTGACGAAGCCGTCGGACTGAGCGACCTCGTTTTGGCCCTCATAAAGTGGGACTCTAGGCGCATGAATGTGGGATCCACATTCGTATGTGCTAAACGCGTCTAGGCGTACTTCTTGCTTGTTAGGATGACCAAGCAGAAGGCCACTATACTTGCGCATAGTGTCATTAAACAGGTTGAGTGTTAGAAGCTGAGCATGGTGTCAGCATATACTGGCTTCGAGGCAGATGTGACACATGGTGGGACCTTTGACGATTCCCACGATGTAAGAATTGTTTTCGAAGCCGAAGAAAGAGTCGTGACTGGAAAGACCGTCTCTCTTGAATGGAATGTGGCTACAGCCTTCGCTGAAGATTGCCACAAGGGGCTCGATGCTCGGATCGTTACTAAACAGACCATCTCACTTAAACGACATGTGGCCGCAGTCTTCCCTGTGACAGCTCTAGAGTCGACTGGCAACGACATTGGCTGGTGCTGCGGATTCTCAAGGTCTTGCTCAACTCATCAGTTGACTTCTTCTCATCGAACCACCTCCTCCAACCGACTCAACGAGCAACATCGCAGCTGTATACATCAGCCAATCGAAGGAACGAAGAAGAGGCGCGACTGCTCTGGCTTGTAATGCGAACGGACTTTCTGTGCTGTGCCCAAGGCACACGAGTGGCGATGGATAAGTTTGCCAGGCTAATGTCCGCTGCCAACTTAGAGCGCTTCTTTGGTCGTTCAGACTCTATAGCAAGTCAGGACGATTTGACGAGGGCGTTTGCAAACAAGAAGAACATACTGGTTACGTTCAGAGTGCAAGGCTGACTAGCAATTCTGTGCTGAAGATGTTTCAATAGCTTGACAAGCGATTGAGCAGGCTCCAGGTCATGAGAAGATATGCCTGAACTTGAACGTGTGTTATCTGCTGCGGATATATACTGTACGCAGAAAGGTGAGACGGAGGAATACAAAGCCGGAGAGCTCTGAGGAGACCAAGAGGAGTCACATCCTCCAACTCAAGCATGGCCTTCTCGATGGCCTCCTTCTGCCACTCCGACAGGTTCTGAACGTCCTTGGCACGCTGCAAGAGCTCCCAGCTTTGTTGAGCAGCCTGTCCGGTCTTGGTCTGGGCTCTGATTAACTCGAAACCAGCAACCTGACGTTCATACCATTGCTGCCAGAGACCATCCAGTTCGACTGTGTGAGCCCGGAGGCATGGTCGTTGGACGTATAGAGCGGAGGAGTGAGGTGGTGCGGCCAGGATCGAGCGCCCTTCGCACCCATGGCCGCGACAACTCATATATACGATACAGAAGCAACCACAGTGGGTGATGAGGGTTACGAAGAGCTCATCATGTGATAGTAGCTAAGAATGGGAGACTTATTCGTCCTTCTGATGGGCAGAGCTGAGTTTATATAGTCGCTCTGCTACATTCGCTACTGCTTGGTCAAAGAGTCTGATTGCTACGACTATTTGCTAGGCGATTCTAGCATATACTAGACAAAGGCTCTTTAAGGAGCATTCCATTCAGAGCTCTATCATGGGGCAAAAATACACACAGCAAACTAGTGCATCACAAAGATAGCGTTGGACAGATCAGTCAAGCATGAAAGTGTGATTAAGGTACAGTGCGATGTCTTTGCTGCCTGCAAGGAAGAAGTGGAAGCAAAAAAGCCACAACAAAAGAGAAAACCAAAAGGTTTGGAGAAAAGGGGAACAAATGAAACGCCGATAGTCGTGCTCCCTGGGTATCATCTGAAAACAAAAACACCCCTCCCAAATCAAAAAAAAGGCTCCAATTGCCAATGGCATGCCTGATCGGGTATCATTATGGAAACAAGAACGACTCTGCCCAAACTCCAGAAACGCAAGAAAGGGAACCAAGAAAGAAGAGAAAGCTCGAAGCACATTGTTGAGCGTAATGACGAGTATGATTGCGCTCAGTCATAGAGATGAAGAACGAGATGCCGGACCAGGGAATTGGGTATTACCGGGCTGCCGAGGCCCGATGAACGAGGGCGCGTGGTCCATCGAGCACAGTGGAGATGTCTGCAGAGGCTCCATCCCACAAGAAGAAGACGAGCATTGATCCGTAAGGGTGAGAATCGAGATGGTGACAGGCGGGTCGAAGGAGGCGGGAAGACTGATAGCGCTTAGGAGAAGGGTTTCTATGCTGCGTCCTGCTCGACGTTTGCTCCATAAAGACCTCTCAAGTTGTTGGCGCAACTGTCGGCCTTGCCGCGTCTCACACAGCCGTCGCATTTTCCGGGGACGTCTTCTGACATGCTGCACTTGATGTGCGCTTTCTGACAGTTTGTAAACGCCATGTTGTGCGAGCGCTGGCCGTGGCTCTTGATTGAACGAGCAACACGCCTCTGAGCCTTCGAGATCTTATCGGCGGGGTTAACTCTAGCAGTCTTGGTGGCCTTGGGGCGTTGTTGTGACATGTGCTTTCTGATGTATCGTCAGTATGTTACATATATCACCGAGTACTAGAGCAACGGATCTTGGACTTACGGCGCGACAAGCATGGGATTGTTGGCTCTCAGAACAGCCGAAGCTGCAGAGTTGAACAAAGGAGCAATCGAGGTGTTGCTGGTGGTAGGGTGGATGACTTTGTCGTAGGGGGCAGTGGTGGTGCTGGATTCCGAGAGACCAGTGTCGTACCACTCTTGCATCATCTCGAGGATCTCGAGTTCCTCAGGACTGTGCTCGAGTTGAGTAGCCTGGTCACCGGTCTGAAGGGGCTCAGTGTTGAGTCCCTCAAAGGGGTCAAGGGTGGAAGTGTAGATATGATCCATGTTGAATGTCGGAAATGAACGCGTTGAAGGCTCTGCGTTTGATCCAAGTGGTTGACGTTGTTGTGGTGAAGACGAACTGAGAAGAGCATCCCTTCCAAACCATCCGGAAGCGAACGCGACAGAACGCGTCGGCGCCGGAAGCTACCCGTTCGGCGGGAGCTTGGACCCGCCGACTGACGACGATGTCATAATCATTGATGGAATCGCGGGCAGTTTGACACGATTGCAAAGACGTAAACTCTCGTGCTTGGTTGTATGGTTCTGAAGTACAGCTATCTGACCCCTGAGACGCTCGAATACCCGCGTCCCCAACCTCCCCAGTCGCCCAATTGATCAAAAGTTCATCCTCTGAGATGTATGTTTCCGTGTCATCTGTACAGCGAAGACGTGGTTGAACTCCTCATGAACAGGACAAAGAAGAGCTCGGAAACAGGTCATCATCCTCGAGACTCTCGCTTGCTCGCTCTTCCAACCGAAAACTTGATAGCAGACGTCATCTATACAACATGATGATCGAATCAGTTTACAGCTTCTCGATGGAATGCAGATAAGACGCACCGTAACTGGCGAAATGCGAGAAGGGTTCCAAGAAATCTGATATGTTCAGTGGCAGGCCTCGCATGTAGGTATCTGAACGCTCGTCCCCAAAGAAGTAGAAAGTAGGGTGCATCACCATGGACAATTCAGCAATGTACCGTGATTTTGGGAGTAATGAACGAGGGCAGAGAAGAGAGAGAATCCCAGGCTTGTTACTTAAAGTATCTCAGTGGCACGTTAAATACACAGCACATCTGTCAAAAGGCAAGTGGTTTTTCGATATCTTCGGTATGTACACTGAGCGGTCTTGGACCACGAGTTTTCCGTGGACATCTCAATGAGAGCAAAAAGCATGCTGCCTTTTCCCAAGTTTGCAGCAAGACGTCGCTGCCACGAGGAGCAATATCTTTGGATCTAGACATACCAGTGGACATCTTGACTTTGTCGAAAATTATGCTGCATTTGCACGGGCATAACAGCAGGGCATGGGCGTGACGAGGAAGAAGGTACGATGGAGTCGAGGTATGCCTGAGGGAGAATAAGAGGTCGTTGCTCGGGAGTGTGTAGTACTCTCGCCCGAGGGCTCTCTATCCTTTGTTGGTGCTCTTGCTACTCGACGATGTTAGATTATCCGGAATGTGCAGAGCAAGGCTGGAAAGTACTTACACATTGTCAGCAGCCTGTTGTAGGCGCTTGCTTCTTCTAGCGAAGCTGGCGGGAGTGGAAGGCACAGCGGGCTTTTTGGCCGACTTGGGAGGGTCGGGGTCGACGATCTTGCCAGGCCAGTCTGCGCCTTGGTAGTAGGCGTTAAGAGGGAGGCCCTGACCGGGCAAAGTCGTCTCGGCACCCTTAAGAGGGCTTTCGGGTGGCTCCCAGTCGGCCGGTTCCCTGCGGCGGAGAATTTCGGAAAGAACACCAGGGTAGAGAAGTCCCTTCCTAAGATAAGAGTCAGACATGGTTCAAAGATCTAAAACACGTATTCTCAAGGTGTTACCTACTGGTTAAGGAGAGGTACCGGGCGCTTCGTGCTAGTTTTGGCTTTCTTGGGCGCGGGGCGGCCATCGTTTGTTGAAGACATGACTACTCGCATGATCAGCAACGTAGTTGCACAGGGGATCGAGAACTGGAAAAACTCGAGGCTGACAGGGATGTATCCTCTAGCCAGGGGGTTGTAGTAGTATGGAGCAGAACTGGGAGGATGTATTGTAACTTACCCGTAGTGTTTCGGTTGTTGTTGTTGTTATTGTTGATGTTCACCAAAGGTGGAAGCTGGTGAAGGAGAGGTAACGGGCGCTTCGTGCTAGGCTTTGCTTTCTTGGGCGCGGGGCGGCCATCGTTTGTTGAAGACATGACTACTCGCATGATCAGTAACGGATTTGCACAGGAGATCAAGAACTGCAAAATTCGAGGCTGACAGGGATGTCTCCTCTGGCCAGGGGGGTCTAGTAGTATAGAGCAGAACCAGGAGGATGCATTGTAACTTACCCGTGGTGTTCCGGTTGTTGTTGTTGTTGATGTTGACCAAAGGTGGAGGCTGGTGAAGATTTAGCAGATGCGCGGAGAAAGCACAGCATCACGTCCACGAAAACACCACCAAAGCTTAGACCACACCTTAATCGGACGGAATGACTGTTCAAAACACTCGACACCCTGACATAAGGGACGAGGCAATCAAGCGAAGATCCAGCTCTCGATGTCAACCTATTGAGATCTCTATGTAAACAGCTAGAACAAGCCAAGATGGGTTTCGGTGTGGTCAGTTGTCTAGAGAGAGTATCGAGGATTATTCGCCCTCAGTGGACGTACGTTCGAGGAAGAAAACCATTTTGCCTTTTACGAGCATTTCGATGGCCAGTCGCTGCACTCGGATGAACAATTGCGACAATCCAGTGCAAATTGAGTTCTCGACCTCTCGGGGCCTGTTCAAAAAACAACCTGGAAAAGGCAAGATGGGGTTTCCGCGTAGTGTCTTATTCAAAGAGAGTATGAGAGACGACTGGTCCTCAGTGAACATACGTTTGACTGCCAAAAACATCTTGCCTTTCGATGGCCAGTCTTTTGATCAGCCTGTACAGCGAGAACCGAGCAATGATATGACTTTCAACCTGCTGATGATGCTTTGTAACCAACTGGCAAAAAGACCAAATTACTTTGGCGTTTGTCGATTGGTCAGGGAGGGCACGAGGGACTCATCACTCCCAGTGGACGTGTGTCCGATCGTCAGAATCATCCTGCCTTGTGAAGGCCCGTCTTTTGACCAGCCTATACACTGGCAGTCAAGCGAAGACATTCCTCCTGACCTACTGCTGTCTCTCTTTGCCAACCGGCCAAAAGGCAAGATGAACGTTCGAGTAGTCAATCGTCCACAGAGAGCATCAGATATTCATGCCTCGTACTGGGCATACATTTGCTTGTCAAGAGTTGTAGCTATTCCTGTGACCATTCTGTGTTCTGTAATCTTGACTTGGGTACAGATTCAAATCACATACATGCATCACAATCACAGTGCAACATAACATGCTCGTTATAGTTTTGATTGTTACAAACCATGATCAGGCTACCAGGGTGCCCAACACGAACCAAAGCATTGCTTTCGGCTGCAGCTAGCGCGCAGACCACATCATCTCCCTGAGCGATCTGCCCAATGATCGCAGGAAGAACACATCCTCCCCGTATAGATGATGAGGAAGAGAGGCATTGCACTACATCGTCGTCCTCCGCATCTGCCTGCTCGATGGCTCCAACGATCGGACCGTCTGCAGCCTGCACGCTCGACAGTTTTATCCTCGCCGGCGTCATCGTTGTCGACCTTGTTCTCGTCGTCTTCCTCGCCATTGTTGAGGTCAGGAGCTAGATCACTGAGCAGGGTGGTGTAGCTATGCAATGTTCAGCAATGCTTGCTCGAAGCATAGCAGTACCGATGTAACTTGCTTGATCACACGACTGTCGTCTGCGTAAACCCAGACCAGGACATCGGGGCTAGGGCGCCAGTGGTAGTCGAGATCGAGGCGGGGAAATCTTCACTCGAAGGCTCATGGTCATGTGCCTTGTCATGTATCTGTGTATTCTAATAAGCATTTGATGAAGGACCGACGTGAATTGGGAGGCGTTCTTTGCCAGGTTACGTCCAACTTACAGGCGGGCAAGAGGAGAACTACATGACGGTATTTCTGATGCCGACGATTTACATGCGGAGGATTGTATTGAGGCAGACGTGCATGTGCGCTTACTATCACAGCAGGACGGGAAAGGGAGTCAAGACAACTTTGCGGGTTGTTTGTGAGAATAGTGCTGTTCAATTCTTCAAAACGCAGGGTTTTCCTGCTGGGGGTATCTTTCGCTGTTGTAACCATAACTCCTCCTTCTTCTTGAACGATAGCAAAGAAAGCAAAATGAAAGAACTCCAGAACCAGAACCATATCATCGTGGGGCAGAGGGAATGAGCTGACTGCCTTAGTCGATTGACCCTTTGCTCAGCTTGAGGGACGCTCAAGCTTCTTGCGTTGCGCCTTAGCACTAGTGTTCACCTTGGCCCTGTTGGTAGGGTAGGATCTGTATTTCGGAATACACTGGATGCCTTTCCTCTCGCAACGCTCGCACCCACCCCCAGGAAGCTTGACACAGCCACCCTTTCTGACCTTAGCCTTGTTGCAGGCAGTACAGCAGGCGTTGGGAATGCCCGACTCCCTGTGAGTGGGTGCGAGGGTTGGTTGAGGAGTGGCGTTCTGTGAGTTGATGAGAATGTCGTTGGTGCTACTTGAGAATTAGTGAAACTGTCAAGCATGGATAGGGAGCAGATTCTCACGCAAAGGGCTCAGTCTGAAAGCTTGTCTGATTGTGCCCGTACATAAAACGCGCATAGGGATGCTCTGTAGCGATGGCCTGCTGATGCTCGCGGTTTGGATAGGGGTTAAAGGCTGCCGGAGTTGAGACCTGGGTTTGCTGAGTGGCATTGTTTCCCCCAATTTGGTTGAAGGGCTCAGCCCATGAAGTACTCATGTTGTTGCTACTATTGACTCGTCAGTCAAAGCTCAAACTCGAGACGCATGTCAGTCTGAGGCCACAGGGCAACCTACCTGAATGTGAGGATCTCTAGCATTTCTGCTTCAGTGACCTCTGTGCCTGCAAAGGTGTTTCCTTCGAGGAATGATAGTTCTGGATCGTTTGGAGCGTGATCAAACTCAATGACTGGCTTGTAGTAGTTTGCCATCGTTTCTTGTTGGTTTACTGCAGAAGAGGGCAATGTAAGTCAAATAGAGCCAGCCGAGTGGGATTCCAGAAGACGCGCGTAGGGGATGACTTACTGTTCTTCGAGAACAAGTCTCGAAGATGGATAAGTTGTTGAAAGTTCTTTGGATCTTCCTGGATCTGTGGATGTGGAGGATGGGCGGAAGAAGTTGAGGATGAAACACGCGTAAAGAGGATGTTGTTATTGGTGAGAGACAATACGGCTTCACTTCCAAAACACAAGACCAACGCGCCAGCTTCGAGCGACAACATCGGCACTCGACCAAAGCTTGGACCCCCTTGACAAACAATTGATATGTCGAGACCATGCAAGAAACCCTGGGGGGATATTCACTGCTATTGTTCAGATCAGGGAATAGTACGCCCCTGTTGTTGCAGCACGATTGGTGGACGCAAAGGGTCAGAACATTGATTTCATGTCTATCTAATCAGGGGAAGACATAGTTGCAGGTGACTTTCTCATTGCAAGAAGATATCAGAGCAGCGAGGATTGGCAGCAACGATCATTGCGGAGGCATGGGGTTTCTTGCCTTAGCAAGACCCTTACTAGGCTGAGGACCCTGACGGCCACCGTCTTTCCAGTCCTGGTGAGCTCCGATGACGGGACCATCGTAGTGCGAGCATACAAGGTCCTTTCTCTGGCAGGTTTGACAGGGCACGCCTTTGCACGGCTTCCTAGCCTTTCTGCAGTTGTGGCATGCAATGTTTCTGCCATGGGCGTTGACAATCACGTCGTTACCATTGCCATCCAATGCCCATTGTCCCTCTGCATTACCTGGGACTATGACTCTCCGGAGTCGAGCGAGTTCCTCAGCGTCGATACGAGCCCACTCTGCGGCCTGCTCGGCAGTCGGATTGTGTTGGTTCTCGACAAGTCGCTGGTGGGCTGCTGCCGCCTCGGCTCTAAGGCGATCCTCCATGGCAACTCGCATCTCCGTACGTGTTTGTTCGTGTAACTGTTCAGCCAGGATGGCAGCTTCGGCGTCGGTCATGTTCCTAAGTCAACAGGTCAGTCGAGACACTGGGGTCAAGTCCTGTAGAGAACACTCACGAGGGGACAACATAGTCGTCGTCAGAATCATAGACGGGAGAGTCAGGGACGTCTCCTTGATCTTCATCATCAGCATCGATGACAGGGGCAGGCAGAGGCGTAACCGGGACCTGGATGTTCTCCTCGGTTTCACCCATGTTAACATCCCCATCCTCGTCGTTGTTGGTGTCGGTGGCAGATTCATTGCTGCCTTGTGCAGCCTTGCGACCGCTGTGTCATTGATCAGTAAGATACCCAGACGAGCAGATTTAGGAATTAGTATCTTACGGGAAGGTGCCGCTAGCCTTGTGAACAAGCGTGAATTTGGGAGGCATGTTGTAATATTCAAGACCTGCGATGATCCGTTAGATTTGTGTGAGGAATTGAGTGCCGGGATAATAAATCTGCAAGACACTGTTGATGGTGTTAAGCTGGACAAAGAGATAGAGAAAAAAGCCGGACTTGGAAAAGCGTAAACAAAGCTGCTCTTCTTTCCCCCCACCATCCGATCGAATTCTTTGGCGCTCAAAAGACAAAGGAACCATCCAGTACCTGACATATTGCCTGAGCAAATGCAACTTTATTGCTGTCTTCCACCATTGGGCTTTATATTACATCGCTCAGAGGGGATCCTGCTACGAGGGTACAGAAATGCAACGGACAGGTGACAACGTGCTAATGACTGAATCAATTGGCTATAATCAATTGTACCATCTTAAAATAGTGCTAAACGTTCCTTCTGAACTCCCGCAAAGAAAGAGGAGAAACCCTTTTGGTTGAACATAACACAACCAGCACCCCTCTGAACGACCCGCTCGTCTGTGGGAGTCAATTTAGCCACAAGTTCTTCGCTGGATCGCTCTATCACGATCACTCTCCTATGATAAGGAAGAGAGATCGTGCCTTGCCTCAAGTCGGTTCTAGCTATGTCGTGGTAACGGATATAGGAGGTTGGTCTCCAGGACACTGCGAGTACCAGTGCCTCACAATCCATTGTTGGAAGCTTCCTTCCGTTATGAATGATAGCCAAGTCCGTAATAGTTGTGTCAACTGGAGGGTTCCAACCAGGAGGCCAGGTCGGTGCTACAGCAGGCACAGTAGCAGCGACAGCACCGGAGTTATGACGGCCAGCAGGAAGAGTATTGAGGGCTAGTTGGGCGTTGCTGATAGCAGGATCGGCAGATGGAGGCACAGTAGCACTCTCTCCTTCCTCGTCATCATCTTCCGCGTCAAGAACCTCAAGGTGTTTATCGGACTCAAGACCATCGTGAGCGATGTGCACCTGACCCCCAGCGGGAAGAGCTTTGAGAAGATCGCAGGTGACTGGGATGTTACTCGTAGGCTCGTTGTTTGCCACGGCGCTGCTTGCTGGGGGACCGGCAGAGGGCGGTGCGAGTCGTAGTGGTATACGGTCGTTTAGCGTTCGCCGTCTACCGTTCTGCAAGGTCGGTCAGTATGAAATCTCATCAGTGGAACATTGCGGTCTCGCCTATCGGCATCATTGCGCGTCGCGCAGGTAAAGAGCTCGTAAGCTTCGGTAAACAGGGTGTAGGCCGATAGTTTCTTAGCCTGGATGATGTGTCCAGACACGGTCCTGAGCCCTGCATGTACGGATTTGCTGAGGAACACAAACTATGGACGAGTCTCGAAGCTACAGCATGTTAACTGGATAATGAGATAGATTAAAAGCTGTTGACCTACTCCTGGCCTTTGGATGCGGTAGAGACCACGGTGCGCTTGTCACGGCGCTTCTGCACTGTTCCAGATGTTGGTCGTGTGTCTTTTGAATGTGGTCAGTCGTATGCTTTAAATTCATCGCGCCGGTGCGCAAAGAACAGCAGAGTACACAACCTGGCTGAGAGTCGTCTTCCAGTTGGCGGTTGCTACCGACTCAAGCGGCAAGAAGGTCATCGTCTTACTTGATCTATCCCTCGAAAATGAGATTTCACCATTTGGAAGTATCTCTGACATCATGGAACTCTCTGTAATTACGACTGTGGGCAATCCAATGGGCGAATCAACGGGCAGGATCGCACTTCCAAGGTCCATGTGTTCATGTATCTAAGGTCAAAAAACTCGCAGACGAAGGCAGGCCTTATGCTGATGGGTGTGGAAATGGGATTACAGACAGGGTAAGCAGCCCCCTCTCTCTGAGTCTTCGACTGCTAGTGCTCAGGATCAAACAGCATGGCCGAGGCCAGTGTTCCTCTCACGGAGGCCCTTGTCCCTGGCGATGGCTGCTAGACGAGCTGATAAGCGCGCGTGCGGAAGTGGCAGAGTGTGGCCCCTCAGGTTCATCGCGTGCTTCAGCAGATCACCGTATCTGCTGTTATGGTGTGGGCAGTCGCGATGCTGGCAATAGTATCTTTCTTCTGACTTCTTCTTGAGATAGTCAAGACCCCAGACAGGGTGCGTCAGGCCGTTTTGAACACCAGTGGTCCCGGAGCCGATCTTGTAGTAGGCCAATGGAGGATCATGGGACTGGTTGAGGTTGTGAAGGTCGGTGGTCGAGGGTCCAGCAGTAGGGCGTGTGTTAGCATCGCCATCCTCCTCTCCCTCTCCTTTTTCCTCCCCCTCTCCATCGTCTCCCTCGTCTCCTTCACCTCCGAATCTCCCGTCATCCTCCGTGATCTGTTCGGCTCCAGCATCATCATCATCATCGTCATCGATAACAAACGGGGTGTCTTTCGAGCCAGGGATTGCTTCGCGGGGACCGGGACCCTCGACAGGGACAGTAACAGCGCCCAAGGGATGGAAGGACCCTGGATAGGCCTGGGTTTCGGAGCAGATGTGACACATGGTGGGACTTTTGACGATACCCACGATGTAAGAATTGTTCTCGAAACCGAAAAACGGGTCGTAGCTGAAGATCCCATCTCTCGTAAACGACATGTGCAAACAGCCTTCGCTGAGCGTAGCCACAATGGGCTTAATGCTACAAACGAGTTAGTGTCACAGAGCTAGCGAAAAGATAGCATATCGGGAACCTACACGTTGAGAATTCGATGGCACTCTGCTCACCGGCAGCAACGCGTCTGTAAGAGCCATTAGAGAGAGATCTGATGATATGATGAGACTGTAGCTTACCTTGCTGCGCGCTTGCATGTGGGACAAGCGCCATTTTCGGTGCGCCCTTTCCATCTGGCCTGCATCTCGAAGTGCTGGACATCCCGTGGTGCCATGTTGGCATCGAATAGGGCGATATGGCCACACAAGGCGTAGTGGATGTAAGATGCCTCCTGGATGGGCCAGGGACGGCTATGTTTCGCGCTTTAGTAGGCGCAACAAGTCAAAACAAGGGCTCAGACTTACCTGAAGATCTCCTGGAGCCACGGCTCCAGTGGCGATACACTTCTGCTCATCTTGTCGGGATGATTTGATGTTTGATGTTGCGTACTAAGGAGCCTTACGAAGAAGTCAAAAAGATGGAACCAGAATTGTGGACGCGCTTCAAATTTGTTCAGGCTACGACGAGCTCGAATCTTCCCGCGCGGCAACCACAACGGAGCTAGCTTGATCGGGAGTAGTGTCGTGAACGGCATCATCACTGGAAGGACTTCGCACTATGAATGATGAGCATTTTGGGTTACTCTGATGCACATCATATCCTACATATCCTACATACCAGGAAGAATCCTGGGAGAGCCCCTGGATGTTGCTCTTTGCACCACATTTGGAAGACAAGTAAACAGCCGTACACCTTTATGCACAGAGTGTCTTGGTCCTTGAACAAACTTTGTGTGTGTCCTACTCTCAGTATCCGCAAGGGCATGGCTGACGGCTAGTTTCACCCGCTCGACTGATATCTGGATGTCTGGATGGTGCTGCTGTTTACCAAAGCTGTGGGCGGAATCTTGGACGCTACTCTGCGCAGCATCACAACGCCCACATATACTACTCTGCTGTTTATAAGACCTGGAACACACATCTATTGCAAAAGGGGCCTTAAGAATAGTTCTCGCGGACTGGAACGCTGGTCCGGACCATCGTGGTTGCCGTGGAAGTCCAGTATCGCCACGAAGCACATTCGCTCGTCAGCCGCGACGAGCAGAGCCAGATTCAACCACCGCCTCCCGCCCAGAACAGGCCCAGAAGTGCCTCAGACAGTCCTAACGCTACGTTACTGAGAGTCAAAGAGATCAATCAACGCAAAATTGAGTGTCTGCTCGAGCGAGTTCTTCGACCATAAAGAAAGGCCAAAGCCCTCTTCACCTCGACGGCCGCTTTCAGAATGTCTTTGTCTACTTTCCACTCCACGCCTCCACTCACGACTGTCTTGAGGGTCGCATACTATCTTCATTCACCTCAGTGCTCCCTTTTCTCGGAACTGTTAGCAGTCTTTTTACAACACGGAAACGAGTCGAAAGCCCGTAGACATATATGCTCTTCCTCTCGTCACAAAACCTGACTGTCACGCTACAAGATACTTGAAACTTCACTGGAGGTATACATGTTTTCCAAAAGCACCGTTCATTCTCGGAAAGTAGAAGGGAGGAGAGGTGCATCTGATAGATCAACATGCACGGCCAGTATCCTATAAAGAATGTAGTATATCTATGTCGCCGCGCGCCTGAAAGCAAGAGATTATCCTCTACTCCCATGTCAACACATCCTTGCCCAGTAGCGAGCCGGGAAAGTGCAAACCCATCAATGGAACAGAAAGGTCCAAGCCGCGAGCACAGTACACTAAAGAGACTCACCACATCTCCATACCACTACTCGTCTTTGTCTGCTCCAAGACTCACGTCCCGGTTGCTTTTTCCACCCGGAAGTAAGTCATCGTTTCCACCTCACGGAGCGAGACGAACACCGGACGCACATGCATCCCTAGAAAGCTGACCATCATGATCTCTCTCCTCGACTTCACTCCGTACACCGATTCAAGGCATCTGAGCCTACACACAAACCTCCATTCCACATCCCCGACCCTTTCCAAACTTCCACACGGAAGTAAGTCATCATTTCCACCTCACGGATCAAGACGATACACCGGTGACTCCAAATTGTATGTTTCGCCGAATATCCCCTTCCCCGTCTCCGTGCTATCGATCTCCTTACTCCACAACCCGCTACCTCTCCAAGATCCCCACACGGAAGTAAGTCAATGTTTCCGTCCCACAAATCTAGACGATAAACGGATGACTGTCCATATCTGTGTCTTTCACAGACGTGATGACTTTCCCTCTCTTACGTCTCAACGTGACGAAACTTCTTCTCGTTACTCTGTCCTTGCTGTCGTATGCTCTCATCGCTGTTGATAAAAAGAAATGTAGAAGCTACAGCAGACATGTTGTATATACTCCAATCTTGATATGGCGCCAGAAAATCGCGCCAGAAACGGGACTCCAGACGAGCGAGGTACCGTGCAAGATATTTGTCAAAAGGCAAGATGGTTTTCGAGATAGATGGGTTGGCCAGAGAGAGTGGGGAGGAAAGCAAGCTCTCAGTGGACATTTGGCTGTTTATCAAAAACATCTTGTACTTTTACAAGGAGCTTGGAAACCCTCGTTGGGGCGAGGGAGTTGGTTCAAATATGCATCTCTTCATTTCCATACAAAATGTTTATCGTTATTAGTACAAATGCCTGTCCAGCGAGAAAAAAAGGCCATCCAATCCATCTATCATCAAAACATCCATTCTCAAAACATGAAAAACACCAAAGCCGACTTGAATCTTGTCAACGAGTTCGTCCATGATCAAGCTTCTTCATCCTTCTTCCTCCATCCATCTCTACTGACAGGAGGAGAAACCCCCTCATCCTCTCCATCAGCATCCTGACCGGGGTTTGCGATCTCATATTCCAAAATCTTGATGAACTTATAGAACACCACTGCAATGAGCGCTCCGATCGCCGGACCGACCCAGTACACGAAATGTTCCGAGTCCCAAACGCCAGTAACTGCACAAGGACCAAAAGAGCGAGCGGGGTTGAGGGAACCACCGGTATAATATACACCGACCAATTCCGCGATGAATAGGGCCATGCCAATGCCAATGGGAGCCATATAAGTGGCGCGGTGCTTTTCCTTGGCGAGCATGAAGATGGTAAACACGAGTTCGGCGGTAAGGATTGCTTCGATAAAGACGCCGCGGACTCTACTCGTGTCGGCAGAGAGGGTAGTGCGGACGTTCAATTGGGTGGGGAACAGCGCTCTGACCAGTACAGATGCGAGCAAGGATCCACAAATCTGTGCGATGAAGAGAAGAGAGCCTCTGACATAATCCAGAGATTTGACGAGAACCATGGCGAGAGTTACGGCAGGGTTGAAGAGGCCACCGCTGATGCGGAAGAAGATCCAGACATTTACCATGAGGGAGAAACCGAAAGATACGGCGGTGTAGAGTAGAACGATGGGTGAAAACCCGTTTGTGGCGTTGGTGGTTGTGGTGCTGTCTTGTGCGCCGACATTGGCGACTTGAGTGCCGGCGAAGGCGAAGAAGAGGAACATGGTAGTACCGACAAATTCACCGATCATGGCGACAAAGTCTAGATCACTGTCAGTGGTAGGTTCGCAGTTGTTGAGATCCAAACATACGGTTCTTGGCTGTAGAGTTCATCCACCATGTCAGAGGAAGTCTGAGGATTTCTTCGACAGGGGTGGAGCGTCCATTTCCACCATAGAAAGAGCCGGGTCTGTGGCCTCGAGGAGGTTCACTCTCAATGGCAGACAAGTTGTCAAATCGATATGATCGTTTTTGAGTGTCGTAGCGCAGACTTCTGAAAGAGTCCGAGGGTGCACGACGAACTTGATGTTGATGTTGATGGTGCATTTGGTGGAGGGGGCTATCAGCATTGACAGGAATGCGCTGAACATCAGTAGGGAATGGGTCGACAGAAGCTTGCTTGTAAGCTCTAGGAGTAGGGTCGAGTGCTTGCGTGTCCTCATTTTCCATGTGCATTTGAGGTTGACCCATGTTCTCGTAGTCGTTGTAGGAATGACGCTTGACGAATCCAGGACGACCCAAGTCGTAGCTCTCACTGTTGTATCCACGAGGTAGAGGCCCCCAGTACGATTGTGTGCCAGACTGGCTCATAGAGCGCTCTCTAGGGTGAACTGTTTGCGATGTGCCGGGTCTCGGTATGACTGCCGTCGAGGGACCGCCGGCAGCTGTGCTTGGCCGAGTACCAGGCATGGCCGGAGGTGGAGACATAAATCTTGCTGGTCCAGGCATTTCTTGAGATGGAGATGTGTGCAAGAGAGGAGCGCCTGTTCCATTTGGGGTGTTGGGATCGTAACCAAGTTGTCCGTTCGACTTCTGGGACGAAGGAGTGTTCGGAGCATACTGGACTTGAGACATGTTTGCGTCCGGATCTTTGCTTCCAATCTTTGTGTATGATCCTGAGTGGTGCGATCGCGCGAGACTAGGACGAGTAGACATCGTGACCAGTCCCTTCCAGTCTTATATACGAAGAGAAGATTTTCGGTTCAAGGTTCGGCAGTATCGTATCCGAGTGCCGTAAAGTTGGAAGGCGAATGACCCTGGACAATCTCAAGGAAGATGATGTAGCGGAACAAAGTGGTGCGAGTGGAGAAGGACAAAGTGTGGATGAAACGAATCAACCCGTAAGCGGCGTTCAAGGTCAGGCTATATGCGTCCAAAACGCGGTCATCGCGTGTTCGTGTTGTTGATCTGGTCTTGTAAGTGGTTTAGACTGTTGCCAGGAGAAACACACTTGACAGGGTGTGCTCGAGTCAATTGATGGTAGGAGATGCGCTACCAAGGAACAGATGGAGAGAACGTGGCCATACACATGGCAGCCGTCAAGACGAGTCATCTCACTGACCGAGCAACGGACTTGATTGATGCCCTATCAGTACGTATATGCACATGACGACTGGGTGGAGGCATCGCAGCCGAACTGTAATTCTCGCAAAGGATTTGAGTCAGTTGATCAGGCTTCATACCATTGCAACGATGACATGTGTAGTCCAACGAGCGATTGGTGATCTTGCATTGGATGCCTGATACAAACTCAACCAATCTTTGCGCAAGCACTGTACGGATTACAGTTCCGAAGACGCAACAAATATCCGCATCAAGGGTTTATAGCCGAGCAAGAGCGCAAGACCGATAGAGTTGTCCCCTGCAGATGCAGTAAAGATCCTGACATAGCAAACACGACATGAGACCAAGTGTAACAGGGCAGAACACTGTCGTAATTCGTCCAACACCTCCAACTCAATCTAAGTCACCGGGAGACGACGGAGGTGGCTGGCGATCTCAACGCCCTGTAGATACGGATATGAACGTGCGGGGGAGGCCTGAAACCATCAACCCTAGCATCGCGAACCTCACCACTAATCCTGTCGTCAAAGCAAAAGACTTTTTTTTGCGCAAGGTTAGGCCTTCCATCATGTTGATCCTATTTGTGGTTGCCTGTACAGAGGCTCGATGGAGATGATTTGCGAGCCCACGCGACATTGGTATCTTGCGACACCCCAGCAGGGTCTATTGTTCAAGACAATTCGTATCGAGGGGATGAGATGTGGTTTGGAAGGATGTCGAGGAAGAAGTGGTAGGTTCAGGGCTTGCATGTTTCAGAATGCCACAGCCCGTAGATCTTCCGAAGAGACAGGGTCTCTGACATCACCGGACTGTCTTGGCAAAGTCCCATCTTTCGCAAGCACTGCCATTTTGATGGTCAGCAGATGCAAGACTCGACGATCAAAGTCTTTCATAAAAAAGGGAGGGGAGATGGCAGAAGAGGTCAAAGAAAATGGTTGTCTATTCTGTACAACTAAACAAGGGGGTATCCATTGTCACCTACGCGCGCCCAAAGACAATTCGCAAAGAAAACCTTGTCAAGCTCCATCTGTTTCAATCTGGAAAAAAAGCTTCCAGAAGGTTTGGTGGACATTTTCGTGTCTAACAAACAGAGACATGGAAGCTTTCTTCTGAAACCACTTCCCAAACCTAATAAAACGCCGTGTGTTGCATTTTGCGCTGTCGCTGCCACGACACCTGTGCTGTATTTGATCTTTGGAAAATACTCCAACATGGACAAAGAGAACCAAAAGAAAAAACGAAATACGAAAAGAAGTCTTGAGAAAGGATAGATGACTCGATCAAGGCATATCCACATAGGTAGTCTTGCGCTGCCAGAACTTGCTCTTCTTCTTCTCCGGTTTGTCAGACTTGCCGCGGGCGCCGACTGAAGGAGCCGGTGCTGGTTCACGTCTTTGCGGCGGCTCTGGGGGTCCGGAAGACATGAGGAAATCTGCGAGATCACTGGTACCAGAAGAATGGAAAGGATCAAGTCTGGTATTCTTGACCACACCGGCTGAGCGAACTTCCATCTTCGGCTTGTTGCTGCGAGGAATATAGCCGCTTGAGATCTGGGAAGTAATGTGCGCGGGTCGGACTGCGGTAGTTGAAGTGGCTGAACGCACACTTCGGATGCTGGGGTCATATCCTGGGTTGGGAGACAAAGTGGGAGTGTTGCCGTTGCTCATAGCTGGTGAGCGACCAGCTGAAGAATGCATACTTGTAATTGAGCCGGCGCGAGGCTTTTCTGCACCGCCGACACTAGCACCGTTAGTGCCTACACCTGGCAAAGCAGCGAGCACATCTTCCTCATCGTCATCATCAGAATCATCAGGAATGGCGTAAGGGTCCTTGATTCTGCTTCTCGTGCGACCATCGCCGGACACAGTGGGGCGTACGTTAGGCACGACCAGATTCATGGAAGGTGAGCTGGGCTGAGTCAAAGGCGACATAGGTAATTTTGGTGTGTTGTTGCTGCCGTAGTTGATGTTTGACGATCCATTCATCAGAAGACCTGTACGTGAGTCCGATGTTGAAGATGTAAGAGGTCTATTAAGATTTGTAGTGGACGAACGGGGTATCTCGGATGCACCAGTGATTGTTGTGCGAAGATCTCCTCCATCTTCACCTTCCCACTCAGCGAAAGGTGCGATGTTGTTGGGAATGCGAGCCTTGCCGCCAGGACCGGGAGGACCGCCTCGAATGAAGTCAATCAGATCGCTGTTGTTATCAGATGATCCAGTCGCTCCTCTGGCCATCAAGCTTGGTCGGTTTCCTACACGCTTGGGCGGTGGTCCAAGTGGGCTCCTGGGAATGTACTTGCCTCCAGCAGTGCCTGACTTGGGCAAAGGAGGAGCATCTCTCGCACTTGCGGCTTGAGCTTGTGCTGTGGCACGAAGAGATGACATACTACGGCTTGCAGCAAGACCGGGAACAACAGGGTTCGGTTCCTTGTCTGGACCAGTGGATCGGATGAAGTCGGCGAAGTCTCTGGTAGATTCAGTCTGCATGACTGGCTCACGAGCAACCTGTCCGGAAGGTAGGGCGTGTAAATTTTGAGGGGAAGGACGACTGATCGAAGTCTTTCTTCTGGTCTCTTCAATCGGCTTGGGCTCCTTCTTGTCTCTCGATCCACCGAGTGACCAAGTCGTACTACGATTTGATCGCACGGATTGGGCGTCACTGTCCTTCTTGAAGTTCTCCCTCGAGTTCGAGCGGAACAGCGTCTGCTTTCTCACTCTGGCGTGAGGACTGAAAGGTCTGTCGGGCATGTCTCTCACCGTTTCGGGCGTCAAGGTGTATTTGATTGTCTCGTCTCTTTGAAGCAGGGCATCAAAATCTAGTTCGGAGGTCATAGACGATGTGGGGAACTTCTTCCTCTCATCAAGACTCTCTCTGTGTGAGGTCGTTGAGATCTGGCGCAAACTTCCTCTCTTGCCAGGACTACTCGAGTCGGAGTCGGTGAGCTTGGAAGTCCTTCTGGATCTCATAAAGTCGGCTGACACACGTTGTTCGTGGATCGGTGTTCTTTCACGTCTGGAAGAGGCATCAGAACCAGACCTCGAAATCCCCAGGCCAGGGAATTGTCTTGCAAGCGGGCTCGTCGGCAGGCTTCTGTCATGGCGAGGAGAACTGACAGCCGTTCCAATGGCCTGCTCAGGATCACTCTCAGTCTCAGTAGCACTGTCACTTTCTTCGTAACGTTCAGCAGAAAGCTCAGCAGGAGGTTCCAGTGTCTGTGACTTGCTCTCGTCGGTGGTCGGAGTCAATCCTGAGTGGGATCCGCTCAGATTGCGGCTTGCCAGGAAGTCCTCAGGACTGAACGGACGGTCAAGATCGGCTGCAAGTTCCAAACCTTCTTGAGAGAGGTTGAATGCTTGGGTATATCTAGCTGATGAGGGGCCGTAGATAGCGAGTCTCTTAGGTCGCTGAACAACCTTCATAGCAGGGAGACGATCGTCCAAGCTGGTGGGTTGAGACGAGACAGAAGCCTTTTCGGTGTGTGCGCTGTCTCTTGACTCTGGTCTTTCCGAGTCGTACGTCTGTACAGTAGGAAGACCTTCTCCAGCTTGACCTTCGGCAAAGCGCGAAGTGGGGTCAACGATCTCTGCAGCAGGTGTGTCGGTAGGCCAGGCTCCCGGTGCTTCGACTAGGGGAGTCGTGATTGGGAGCGGGACCGAGACTGGGCGAGACTTGACAAGGCTGCCGGAGCGGTATTGTCTGTTTGCGCCGAAACTGGCACTTTGCGGACGGTAGAAACGAGGCGCGTCGTAGGATTGCTGAGCGGATTCTGGAAGATCTGGATCCTTGGCAAGACCTGGGACTTCAATCTCATCGACGTCGCGCTGATTTTCAGGCAATGGAATGTTTGAAGCCAAGACGTGCTCTGGGTAGTGGTTCTCCGGGCGGTCCGGGATGCGGTCCCAAAGACTGCCCCGGCGCACAACGACCGGACTGCTCGCAGCAGAATGACTTTGATGAGAAGAGCGATTGAAGATGCGAACAGACTTTTTCCACGCGCGCCATTGGCGGTCGAGAGGTGAATTAAGGATGGCTCTCTCCAAATCGGCGTCCTCGACGAGGATGTACGTGACTTCGTCGTTGTTCTCGGCCAGGGTAGAAGTGCTGCCTGCACGCTGGATGCGGGTAAGGGCGACTTGAGAGGCCAGAGTAAGCACTGTGTCACCCAGATAATCAAGCACACCGGCCAAGAAGATCTCAGAGGCCAGACTGATGACGCCGGCCGTCTCTGAAAAGGTTGTGTTTAAGCCCTCCTCACGCACATAGCGCTCATCATCATCAATGTCAAACTCGCTCTTTTCTGTGCGCATCATGACCCTCAGGCGCGATCTCTTCCATGTGAATTCGAGGTTGAATCTAGCGTTCGACTGGCTGGAAGGGCGCACGTCCTCGTTAAACTCGTCATCTGCCTGCAGAGCGAGCAAGTCTTCGAGGTTATCCTGGGCGCTGGCGATTGCGTCCCGGGCGAGATTCTTCTTCAGGACTTCGGTGACTGCAGGCTTCAAGGCGTTCAGATTTGTTGTTCTCGCGACACTGATGTATTCGTAGAGCTGACGGTCAAGGAATTGGTTGACAGAAGCAACAGCGCTCTCTGCCACGGTCGCTCTGTGGTGAAGGCGCCATGTCTGATCCTCGTCGGCGCGAGCGTCTGCCACGTCGGTAGCAAGCTGCGATGCACTAGAAAGCGAAATGTACTCGGGCGCAGGCTTGACGTTGGCGACAAAGGGCGGTGTTGTTGTAAAGGTGGTAGCCGAGGCAAGGGAGGCCGCGTCGCTGGCGGTGGAATGGGCGTAGCTCATGGCGGGCGACGGAGCTGCTGCAGACACTGCAGGATGCGCAGAAGATGTGGGCGGAGGTGCCGTCATGCTGTGCATCGTGCACCAAAGACGACAGACTCGCGATTAGTCTGGCAATTCGTCTTCAGCTGGGCAAGGGTGTGACTGAATTGACCTCGGACTGCGTTTCAAGATAGCGATGGTACAAACGTAGAAGCCCGGATGTTTGCATCAGCCGCGCCACAAGTCTTTCATGTGTGTCGCCAACTCTGGAGAGGGCGATATGCGGGTCCGTTGGATCGTCCAGTCGACCAGCGTCAAGACAAGTCGTCGGTCAACAGACAGAGACAAGACGACGAGCTGTCCTCATGTCTATCTACTCTGGTCGTGCCCGGCATGACATCCGTTCGTTTTTCCAATTCCATTCCAATACCTTTTGGGTCGCAGCTAGCACACTGGTACAAGTCTAACCGTCTCCCGAAAGTGGATCGAGCACGGCCTTTCTTCCATCGCAAACTCACTTTGTGCTCTTGGCGTCAGCTTGAATGCGACGGCCATTTCGTTGATGGTGTTTCGTGAGTTTCTGATGTTTCTGGTTGTTGGACGATAGTGGTGATAATTCAATGGACAAAGCTGAGATAAACGGAAGACATTCATGGCGTTGCTCTTTCCTTGCAATAATGTTGCCTTCGAGAAGGCAGTCACAGCCGTTGTAGGTAAGTAGCGGCTCTTCGCAACGCCGATTGCCGCTTCCCGGTGTGCCCTTTGTCCGTCGACTCTCTATTCTTCCACCCATCCACAACCTTTCCCTTCACCACGCTTGTCGTCACCGCCAGTCTGGAATACCGAGTTGCTTTCTCTGGACATGGCGGTTTCATTTCCACTTTGTATCCTGTGTTCGGTCCTGCCAATCGGCAGGCTCTGGAAACGAGAAACCGTTGTGTTTCCGCCGCGTGCTTGACACGCTTTGCAGTCCTCTTGCCGTTTCAAAAGTCTGCTCGAGTCAAGTCCTTTGCCTTTTACACCCGACCTTGACAATCTCGTCCAACGGCTTATGGGCAATCAAACTCTTTTTCCTTCCAAACCCTCCTCCCAAACCGGCTTCCATCTCATTGAACTGTTACATTCCTTCTTGAACCATCGTTTACTGTCTTGACAAAGGTTTAACTGTTGGTACCTGACTCCATCAGCCATCTCGTCATGACAGGCTCAAGATCCGACACCCATAACAGCGTCTGCTCATCCTTACAGCCTTGTTGACCGTTTCCCCCATCCGCAACCCACTTGTCATGCTCCCGCAGTCTGCCCTGAATTTGTGGAAATCTGGATTTGCAACCTCGGAGCTATGAATAAGACCACGTGCCTTGACAACGTCAGATCTGCAAGCACGTCCATGAACCCTTTGTCTTTCGGTTTGCTCATCCAGACTTCAACACCAACTTTTCGAACACCGGATCACCGCCGGTACGGGCTTGCTGCAAGTCGAGTCGACTGAATGTCGGAAAAGACGGCGTGTACGGGCGTAGCAGCCCTGAAGTTCGGGCTCTCCGATCACACTCGATGCCTATCAGTTGGTGTTGAGCTTGATAAATTTCCTCATATGAGCTGGCACCAGCATCTCAAGGGTACAGTAGCTACTCATTGATCTTTGGAATGCGTGAGCACCTTCAGCAGTCTTTTCCTCCAAGACCTAACATCCGACCTATTCGGCCATCATATATCAACAAACGACTGTCAGGACTTGGAGGCGGTCACGTTGTTCACAATCTTCCTGCAGAGCCCGCCTTGTCAAGCTCCAACACGGTAGTGAAGGAAACCCTTATACTGAACTCGAAGTAAGTTTGATGATGACCATCGACTTGTGCGTTGTTTTACTGCCATGTTATCACTGCCGCTTTCGGACGGGCTTTTGTGGGTCTGTATGGACTGCGGCACTGCTGAATATATCTAGACAAAGAGAAGTCAACGGGGTCTCTACCGAGGCTGTCAAAAGACACACGAATCTGACGTCAATGAGACCATACAAAATGAGCAGGTGGGAGGATTGAGTCTTGTTGGACATTGGTCTGATGACCAAACTTATCTAGCTCTTCAGTGGCTAGATTGGCGACCATTCTGGATCTGAGAAGCTAAGACAAGCACACGGTTTTGGTGCGATGCCCCTTTCACAGTACGTGTGTTCAGGAATCCGAGCTTCCACACAGCATCCAATATCACGGTCCGTCAACACACCACGCGAATTCATTGGATGATCTGTGAGCTAGAATCTGACACTTCCTGATGATATTCCGTTGAGACACATTCTCGATGCTCAAAGCGGTATCAACAAGAGATCCTCCTTCCATGTCTTCCGGGTCCAGATTTGCTTCCAGCAAGCCGCAGCTCAAGCCTCACTCTGTTGGATTCATCCCATTTGTGCACTATATTACTTCTAGCTATCATTCAATCGTCGCGCTCTACTCTACCTTCATCATCAACCCATCTGTTATTCGTCATGGCTGCTCCAACCATACACACAGGATTCAATGACCTCTACCACAGCGACAGGGTTTCTGATATCACTCTCCGTTTTAGCAATGTCGACTTTCGCGCACACAAAGTAATTCTGATGGGTGCATTTGGACACTTTTAGGCACCTTTCAACAGCGATGTTCCTGTATGTATACTGTAGCACATCTTTGCGGTGTTCATCGTGTCATTAACTTGTCATAGCTCGCCTCTAACAACATCTACAATATCGACGGATATCCTGATGATGTAATTTATGGCATGCTCAGACACATCTATGGCCTCCCTGTTGAAGGAAATTGTGAAGCCACGCCTGTTATGCCTAGTGGCAAGCGCATTATGGTATATCATTCGCTGGGTGTTCAAGGACGTTGTCTACGCACATTAGTGTCTCTCTATCACAACACCTATCTAATGTCTGAAGCTGATAGACTATGGATGAGTAAACATCATCAGCCAATATGATGTGCCTGAGGCGAACTTAATGGGCGATTTCTGCCAGGGTGCTACCCTTAGCAACCTGGTGTCCGAATGTCGCTAGTACATCTTTCCCCAATTAAACGATGATGAGAATGCTCGACGTTCTTAAACCTACCTATTCGCGTTGGCTTTTACTGCTCGATAAGATTCGCGCAAACACAAATATCATTAATGGTGTATCCATTCGAGATCAAGATGACAGTGCAAGGACCAGCAAATTACGATGTTACATGCTCCTGCGGGCGGCACGCGGTACAAGATCGAAACAGCAAAAGCGGATTGTCAAAAACGATATGCGAACGGCATGGCAGGTCGGAGATGGTGACTGGAGCAAGATGAGTTGAGGGGTACAGGAGACGATGACTAAGCGAGCGGATTGTCGACGGGGACATTCTCCGAACCTTCCTTGGGTACACACAGCATGTACCCAAAGTCTTGATCGAAGCTTAGTCAAGACTCGGCCGAGGCTTGCTTCTCAGCTGCTACTGGCTGTTGATATTCATCTCCGTGATGTTGGGCTTCCTCGCATGGCTCGGCCCAGGTCGCTCACACGACCCATCAACTGGGAGAAGTGACAGGCTCGATGTCTTTTGCCCGCCCTCATGATGAGTAGCTGAAACAGGGTGCATGTGGCCCACACCTCATGCAGATTGATCAAATCATTTTGCAGAGAGTATCTGAAAAACAGTCCTCATGGACCTGGAGCCGCGAAGCCAATTCTTATCAGCAGAATATGACTTGCAGAACCAACTCTGGATACCGATCGAGCGGACCTCAAACGCTGGCCCGGCGCAGTTGAATTCTCTTCTCAGCGTCTCCTGTTCTTGCCTCTATTATAAGCTTCATCGTCAGCTCGGAGGCTTGCAGCAACACGGCACAGGTTCTTGCTTGATCGGTACATGCATATCAGAGCTGAGTATTGTCCCAAGCGTTGCAGGAATAGATGCGAGCTGAGTTCTATTCTGCAGCCTGCCATGATTGATCATTCATTGATCCTCTCTTCTGTAATGAAGCCCCTGTACCGTGCAGAAATCAGACTCAGCTCTGGCCGCTCTTGAGCGGGGTTAGAAATAGGTCGCTCTGGGGTCTGTTCTGGAATACCGATGCATAGACTGCTATATGTAGTGTCGATGATATAAAGGCGACCTCACAGCACTGAGAATTGTGTATCTCTTCTTCACATCAAAGCCGCCGCAGTCTATCGAGCATTATACACATAAATTGTCAAGATGAAGAACTTCTCAGCCTTAGTGGCTCTTCTGTTTGCTTCTGCGCAAGCCGTAGCCGGAGACTCGACCAAGACTTTGCGGACTTGTTTGACAAAGCAAGGAACGGCATCCATTGCAAAAGTGCCTTCGACAACTTATGGTCTGACAATCACCAAGACGGCCGTACAAGTAATCACATCAACTCCATCCACGACATTCACACCCGCTCCAACAACAACAACCCTGACGAGTACCTCAACAACTTCAACCACCACCACGCTATCGCAAGTCACGGACACATACACTGATACGACTACCCTCACTAATACGGAAACGGATACTACAACGGCTGCCACTACCACCATCACCGAGACTTCGAGTACCACAACAACATCAACAGGCACCAGCACTGTTCCAGCACCTTCCGGGTTCACTGCCTTAGGAGACTACATATCCGGTGCTGCAAAGAAGCGATCTCCCAATGGCCGTTTCGACGCACGTGCAGCGACACCCGCAACAAAGACCTACTGCAAAATCGCAAACGGCAAAGTGACAATGTCTCCAGCCTCATATCCCAAAGCCGTGACATGCGCCCAACTGGTCCAGATCATAAAAACATCCACAAAGACACAAACGGCATTCAAAACCACCACCATTACGGCACCTACGCCCATCATCACTTCATCCACCACGACAACCACGACAGTAACATCTACTATTTCCCTGATAGATGCGTCCACGACTACTACCGAAACTGACACTTCAACCACCACTACGACCATCACCGTCACGCCCAGCACTACGACGACAACAACAACCACAATCACAGTCCTCCAACCTACAGCAACTGTCTTGGCCCAGTGCGCAGCCAACAACCTGATCAGCTCGGTCAACGGCGCCGGCATCGACACCGCGTCTTCCAGTAATTCCGCCTTCGCTTTTACGGACGCCGCTTCCGCCACCGATTGCTGCAACATTTGTGCCAATACGGCAGGCTGCGAGGGCTTCGTTTACGGTGGTCCTTGCTATATTCTCTACGCAGACAATGGCCAATGTTCTCCTGGACAGAGCGTGGCGACTTTCTACACTAACCCCGGTGATGGATTTGTCATTGGCAATGGACAGTGCGGAGAATACAGCTATGGAGGATCCGGTTAAGGGAAGCCGAAAGGGACTACGCTGGAAAAAGATCAAGTCTCGCTTTATAGGCAGTGCGAGATTATCTCTACAGCACTATGGGACCGGTCATCGCTTCTAGCTTGCCGGTGTAGTTGAAATTGAGATATCTCTAGCGCTTTAAACCTCTCTACACGTAGACTCGTTTACCGACTGCTACTACAATAAGACAATCGTGTTGCAAGCTTAATAAAGTCTCTTCCTAGCCGAATTCTTCGATATCTTAACGTTCAAATGATAAGCAAAGATAATCTTAGAATCGTTATTCGCATTTACCTCTCTAGTAGGCATAGAAAACCCTAACTTCCCTATTCTAGTAAAGACTAGATTGCGAGAAAACTCTTTTTTGTCAGAACAACTAATGGTATATAAGCAATAGTAGAAACATCCATCCCTAAATTAGGTTCTTTAAGAGATGCTAAGACTACGGCCGCTTTGATACTTTCGAAAATGACAAGCGCGATTTATTGTTATAAGAGCGCCATCGATAAAGGAGAATTTGTCTAGGCTTATTAATATAGGCACATCGAGAGGGTCCATATAGGTAAGATAGTACATTTAAGCGCTCGTTAGCTCCCTATATATATTTGACATAGATAACAAAATTGCAGAAAGGTAGTTCCAGCGCATTGCCAAAGAGACTAGTTATAAGTATGAATTGTGCATGTAGTAGAGGACTCTACTACATAGTTATCGAAAGTTAACCCCCTTTTAAGTTAAAATTGGTACAGTTATAGTAGATAAGCTGTCGGCTATCTTTGCCCTTGTTAGAGTATAGCTAAGATGGTCTATATGTCTCTTAGCATAAGGGAATGCTTAACTTCGCAGTCAGCTCTTAACCCCTATGTAATTAAGTTAATTTAAGTCATAAGGAGTTGCCCATTCGTTTAGGGGTTCTGCTATAAGCCTCTTAATTTCTATAGTATACCTTCTAGGTCTTCCGCACTTCCTATTGCTAGGGAAGAGTAGTTTATGCAGGTTTGCACGAATTATTTTAACTAGTTATAAGCCCGGGTTTTGCACAAACCTAGAAGTATACACTATGTTGTAGCCTATAAGTCTCTACTTAAGAAGTAGGAGATAATAGCCTACCATAAGACTACGAGTCTCTACTAGAATAGTAGGAGATAGTAGCAACAACAAAAGCCTAAGGAAACCAAGATACTTAGCTAACAATAAAAGCCTAAGGAAACTAAGACACTTAGCTAACAACAAAAGCCTAAGGAAACTAAGACACTTAGCTAACAACAAAAGCCTAAGGAAACTAAGACACTTAGCCTACAATATAAGCCTAAGGAAACTAAGACACTTAGCTACCTACACATAACACCAATCTAGCAATTATTGCTAGTGCTACATAAAAGAAAGAGAGCTTAAACGCACCTACAACTGTACAACTACTTTATCTGTAAAAGAG